GGGAGAGAGAGAGGGGGAGAGAAAGGATAGCAGCTTTGACCAAACTATTGTGTGATATTAATATATTAGCTAACTATTATGGAATGTGTGATATTTGCTTGCTTGCACCATAACGAATGCGTCCCACTTCGATGGTGTTTCCAGAAACCCTATCCAAGCTATTAACGACCGTAGTATACATTCTTCTCTCGTTCTCCCTTTCGAATAAAAACCGCAGGCCTACATTCCAACTCCGTTGACAAAAGCGTTCGCTTACAGCAGGGCAGCAAAGACACCAGCGACAGCGGCCATCATGCCTGGGGCGTACTCGGCAGCACCGCCGGTCTGGATGGATGCGGTGGATGACTTGGTGGTTGAGCCCTTGCTGGTGGCGCTGCTGCCCGATGAGCTGTCCGAAGAGTCTCCCGAGTCTCCCGATGAGCTGGAGCCGGTGGACTCTGCTGTCGCTGTGGCGTCGGCAGCGCTCGCGCTCTTTGAACCGGTTGCCTTGAGGGTAGTGGTGCTTCCGTACAGGGAGGCGTTCATGCTGGCATTATTGTAAGTCTTCTCAACATGCAATACACGGAGCAGCCACTGCGTGGCGAGTAGATCCCTTACCAGTACTGTTGCTTTGTTGATCCGTAGCTCGAAGCCCTCGGGTCATTGGGGCAGTTGGTGAAGCAAGTCATGATGGCAATGTACTTGTCGCACAGGCAGCTGTAGTCATTGGAATCACAGAGGGCCAGGTAGGCCTCGGTGGTTTGGAGACACTGCTCAAGGATGTTCTGGGCGGCGCAGGTGGAAGTGCCAGCAGCGGCCGAAGTGGTAGTAGTCTGTGCGGAGACAGTGGCAGCAAGAACTGCAACGGGGACGAGGAAGGACTTCATTTTGGCAAGTAGAGAAGTGAACAGAGTACGAGTACAGGAAGTGAGTGCTTGATTAATAAAGAAGCTAGATAGTGTCCGAAGCGAAAGTAGACGTTGGAATCGAAGAGATAGTCTGGGCGATCTTGTTAGAGAGCTTAGCAAGAGGAAGGAGAGAAAGTTGAGCTCGAGTCGGGACACAAGATGGTCTTATGAAAAGGCCCTCAAGGTCTGTGTTGACCAGGCCGTTTCGAGGCCCGCTTTGCGTACGACCAACAATATGGGAAACGCTCTCAAACCTAGTCCACAAGCTCGAGTCTATCCGGACGAGGGCCTGGCGCTATTGGGCCGGGCATGTGAGCCACTCGGCCAAGACGACGAAGCTTCGTCAGACGGCTTCGTCTGCATGTTCTGCGAAATCCACGGCATACTCCTGCATTGCGTGTGCCGACGGGCTGGACCTGGGGCCGTCGTAGCCGTCGTGCATGTCGGCAAGCATGCTGCGTGACGCGTTGGGCCGGGGCAGGTTTACCTCTCAACTCTGAGCAGGGAAGGGCGGGAGACGAGATGTCGTGTAGTTTGAGATGAGCAGCGCTGGGGTTTAATTTTGGCGTACTGCCTTTTCAAAGGGGCCGCCCGCCGCTGATTGGGCAATGGCGGTTTAGAAATTGGCTGCACCAAAGCCAAGTCCAAGCTGCACGACGCTAAGAGGCCCCGGATCTCATGCTAATTGTTCTGCAGCAAGGGACCGCGATCTCGTGGGCTCTCGCGCTTGCAGGGGACACAGCTCCGGAATCCGAGATCTTGCCTTGTCATCCACGTCTTGCTTTTGTATGCCAGGTCGCCGCGTGTCCTGCATATGTAAACCGCGGGAAGCTGAGCAGGTGCAGAGTTGGCCCAGACGAATGGGTGTTGTCAACAAATCAGGACGGCGCCTCACCACGAAGCTTCCGCTAGATTGCCAAGCTTTAGGTGTAGGCAAGGTGTTGTTGAAGCTTCGCTTCGTGTCTCGTTGCTTTGAACCCTGAGATCCGACGACGGAGGTGCGCATGCAAGTCCGGAAAGTTGCGGCTTTTCAGCAGAAGTCGATGCGCGCATCCAAAGTTGCAGCATGTTCTACTTCTTTTCGAATGTGCACGGCTCCCTGTTCGAGTGCCCGCAAAAGCATGGCTCGAGAAAGGCTGTGTGCGGTCTTAGGCTTATCCAGCTCTTAACGTCTGTAGTATTTCTTCTGGCTTTGAAGAGAACTTGAGACCACTCGACTCCAAACAAAGACCGATGTATGACTGGTCAACTTACCTGGACGTTAGGCTCCGTTACCCAAAGGCCTTAGCACACACAGAGTACATAGCAGGCGATTCTACAACGAGACGGCTGGCCAAAGGAGCGACTAAAGACCATTTCGATAATGTAACGCTTGGCGAATCCAGGGGTGGAGGCAATCCATGGTGGCCGGCGTGAATAGAGCGTCCTTGTACAGCGGGTGTTACTGGTAGAATGGCAAATGCTTCCGATTGGGCGTTCAAAACCGCGATGGGCTGCCTACCTCTCAGGCAGACTTGGCCAGCCTCACAGGTCAACTTGCCACCAGCCCCCCCTCACACCTGCGTCTTGTCACTTTGCTTCGCGCCTCTTTAGTGAACATGCCATTTTCGGGGGAAGAACGCCTAGCATGCCTCCGTCAGCGATTCAGGATCATGGCATTTCTATCATTTACCAGCCGGCGATTGGTAACGCTGTAGTCGAGTGAGCAGGAACATCCGTTGTCGCCGCAGGCGGGTCTGAGCTGACGATTCAGCATATTGGTCATCCATGGTCTTCAGGGGCATCCATATAAAACCTGGGCTCGGAAGCTGTTGCCTGCAGACAATGCTCGCCGTTTTGTTGAAACTCCAAAGCCAGACAAGGGCGGTCGTAGCAAATCATTTCGGCGTATCATCCCGCTGTTCACCAAGAGGCAGTCCAACAGTGGTCACCCCGGATACCAGGCCCAAGCAGAGAGTAGCCCTGCTCTGCAGGCCCTCTCCGTGTTCTGGCCAGAAGATCTTTTGCCTGAGGATTTCCCAAGTTCTCGCATCATGGTCTATGGGTACGACACCCAGGTGACACAGTACAATATTAAGAAGTCAACGAACAAAAATGGAGTGTATCAGCATGCTAAAGACTTGCTGTTTGCCATCGCCCGCGAGAGAGTGCCTGGGCGCCCGATCGTCTTCATTGCTCATAGCCTTGGGGGCATTGTTGTCAAAGACATGCTTGCGCAGTCATCTGCCTCTAGCGACTCTGAACTTCAAGACATCGTTGGGAGCACAAAGGCTGTTCTTTTCCTGGGTACACCTCACCGAGGTAGCCCCGATTTGGCTGCGCTTGGAGAATGGGCTCGAAGTGTTCTAAGCCTGTCTGGGCGGGAAACAAACTCAGCCATCTTAGACGCGTTGGGACTCCGAACAGCAGATCTTGAGAGGGCCCAAGATGCATTCTCACAGCTGTGGAATAAGCACGGCTTCCGCGTCAAGACATTTCAAGAAAGTCTCGGTCTTACCGGCATTGACCTGGGAGTCTTGGGAAACAAAGTAGTTCCAAACTCTTCCTCGTTGCTTGGAGACTCCCGTGAGCGTGCCGAGACTATACAAGGAAATCATATGGACATGTGTCGGTTCATCGGGAGAGAAGATACCGGCTATAGGAAACTTACCGGAGAGCTTCGAAGTACCTATAACGAACTCGTCAGCTCCGCATCTGGGGCGGCTATGAGCCATCAGCTGGTGTCGCAGTCCTCACCGGCGCTCGTGAATACTAAGCTTTCAGAGTTGCCTCACAGCATTCCCCAAGATCAAGAGGTTTCGATTGAGGCCTTCAAGGAGAAGATAGGATTCCCTAGCGTAGATCTACGGTACCAAAATATTGAGCGGCCGGCCAGCAATACGTGTGAATGGCTTTTCCGACACAACAGCTACGAGAAGTGGTTCAATTGCGGCCAAGGAACCGTAGGACACCGCCCGACCGAGAACCTTCAAAATGGCCTGCTATGGCTTAAAGGAAGTCCGGGAACAGGAAAGTCCACTCTCATGAAGGAAGCTTTCTCTCGTGCTGCACGTGAGCAACCAAACTCGGATTACTTGACAGCGGCTTTCTTCTTCAACGCCAAGGGCGAAACCCTAGATCACTCTGCTACTGGTCTCTTTAGATCATTGCTACTTCAGCTGCTTCCGTATTGTTCTGACGAGAAGGTACCGTTCCTTCAATTCTTGAACGATCAATCCGCATCAAACACCAACTCCTGGCGGGAGGCCGACTTACAAATACTATTTGAATCGGTCATCGCGAAACTCAACCGCAAACGAATCATCATATTCATTGACGCTCTCGATGAGTGTGACTCCTACAGCTTGGGGTATCATGTTGAGTTCTGGAGATATCTCGTATCAAAAGAGCATTGCAATATGGCTATTCTCAACGTCTGTATATCCAGCCGAAAGTATCCCCACGTCGGCGTAAGCAATTGCCTAGAACTTGATGTGACTGACCACAATGGTCAGGACATTGCTGCCTATGTTGACTGGAAACTGTCTTTGAGGCTCGAACAGGAGGCCAAAGGAAGATCTCTCATCAGAGAAGGAATCATTAGCAAGGCTGGAGGGGTATTTCTTTGGGCATCTTTGGTCCTTGATGACTTGCTCAAACAGCACGATCGAGGTCGCAGCCTTCAATATCTGCACAACCATTTGAACTGCTTACCTGAGGAACTGGATGATCTCTACACGCAGATACTGAATGGCCTAGACGCTGCTTCAAAACCTCTGGCTCTTCGTCTTTTCCAATGGGCAACCCTTGCAATTACGCCTCTCCGCATCCACGAATGGCACCATATATTGGCGTTCATACAGAAACCAGCACCTTCTTCCCTCAGCAGCTGGAAAACCTCTGAAAACTTTACCGATGACGATGACCAGTTAATAAGACGATTGAGAGCAATCTCGTGTGGCCTAATCGAGGTATGCACAGTCGCCGACTACAAGGATGACGAGTCTGAAAAGTTATCCGTTCGTGCTGGTGCTGGGTCCCTCGACCTAGAACATGGGCAGACACGGGTCGTCCAAGTCATCCACGAATCCGTCCGGGATTACTTCTTACGCGGCAGAGGGTTCTCAGCTCTCGGACTTATAACACACACGCGTCACGCAATTGGACAGGGTCATCTTTCAATTATGAATACCTGCCTCGATTATCTCAACATTACGGAGTTGGATGCTCTTGTTCAAGCTAGGTTAGACGACCACACTGGAAACGGTCAGGACTTGAACCTTCGAAAGAACAGTCCAACAGTTCCAGCCGTCCATGATCTGTTTACATCATACTATCAGGAACAAACAACCCTCAATTCTCAGTTGGGTCGCTCTTCGCCTCGTGGTGTTAAGAGGAGAGCTAGCGTTGCCAGCTTCGGTTCTGCAAGTAGTCATGGGTTCGGCGCAGACTCTCCTGCTACTCCAGTTTTTCATGACGGAGAGCAAAATCCTATTCCCAATATAAGGGTTATCGAGAGCGATTTCCCTCGTGAGCGGGGGCAGAACTCATATGGACCAAGTCGTAACACCGAAATGAATGTTGAGCTTTGGGTTCGCGCAAGTCAGGCTTTTCGGGAAGTATCACCCTCTCAGTCCACCGCCTTGTCCCCCGCAAGTCTTTTTTCAGGCGTATCTCAAGTATTAGAGGACTTCCCAGCGCTTCTTTCTTATGCAATGTCCGCAATGTTTGTCCATGCTCGGCAGGCCGAAGATTCCGGCGCTGATCCTACCTTCCTTGTGCAGCGTCTTTCCAAGCTTTGGCCTCGTTGGAAAGCACTGAAGGAAGACATATCACATCAAACGGGCCTACTTTACTATGCAGCTGACCAAGGCCTCTCTTCTTGGCAAAGCCAACTATGGGGAAGCGCTACGCAAGCTATGCAGGAAGCTGTCTGTAGAAAACACTACCAGGCTCTCGATTTCCTTTTGGAGCACACTCATCGCGCCTTTTCACTAACTTACATACAGAAGAGGGAAATTCTACCCTGGATCATCGAACAGGGCGATTGCTACTCTCTGCGGATCTTTTTGGGCCATGCCAGCAGATGGAGAGAGGGCTGGCTGCCAACTAATTCCTATTCCCTGGTTGACGAATCGAACCTGGAAGGTCAGACACCTTTGCAAACCGCTGTCATGAAGTGCAACCTCGATGCAGTTTCGATACTGCTACAACACGGCGCCAATGTGAACGCTATCGACACCGAAAAACGCACAGCTTTACATATTGCCTGTTTCAATAAGCCGGGCTGGAGGCTAGATCCGTCATGCAGGAAGCTTGAGCCTCAAGGGCCCCATTGTGCAATAGTCGCACTCCTTATCCGTAACGGAGCCTCTGTCAATAGTCTTGATAACATGGGCCGGACGCCGCTTTACGGGGCTTGTTACGGGCCATTCTGGCCTGGACAGGAAGACAACGTGCATCCAGGTGAGAGGCCTTCGGGTACGAAGGAGTTTAGCTGCCAGCTCGCCCAGGCCTCCACCAATGCCGCTGCACAGAACAGAGATGGACAGTCTCCTTGTCGCGACAGTGACGTGTTGCATACTGATGAATGCAGAAGTAAGCTACATGTTGTTGCGGCATTATTAGATAGAGGCGCACACATCAACTCAATCTCGTATCGAAGCGAGACACCCCTTCACATGGCATCATTCTGGCAGGACATAGATGTGGTGAGACACCTACTTCACCAAGGTGCAAACGTCTTGGCGAAAGACTGCGAAGGACGACAGCCTGTGCACAATGCCTCGTGGTCTTCCTCACCCGAAGTCGTCGAAGAGCTTCTGAGACATATGGCGCAGTCTGTCGATTCTCAGGACGCGTGTGGCTGTACACCGCTGCAGCTGGCCTGCCATCCTGCTTCCAAGGCAAATAGGGAAGGTAGGGGCCTAGGTATTATCCGGACATTGTTGGGCAAGGGCGCCAAGGGCTGGACGATTGCGAACAATGAAGGGTATAACGCGTTTCACATTGCGAAACATTTCAATTTCAGTGAGGCTATGGATCTGCTGGTGGACCTGGGCTGCGATTCTCCGGGGCACGGGTCTAATCTGACAACTTCTGGCCTCGGGGCAAGCATATAGCAAGTCCATTAGGGTATCTTTCAGTGTGAGAAGATCGTTTACGTCAGAGTTCAAGATGGCAGACCTTCTTCGTCCTGCTGCCGCTTGTAGCGTCGTAGCTCGTCCTTGAGATCTGAATTTTCCTTCTCTAATTCCTCAAGCCTCTGCCGAATCTCTTCCGTTTGCTCTGATGCTTCCACATTGAACTCATTCACAATCTTGACAAACCTCCACAGACGTAGGATGACGACCAGAGAGGCAATCTCCTCGGCCAGCCCATGTTCCATGATATCGATGGCAAAGCTGACGACAATGACAAACGCATCAAAGCACGAAACCCAACTAGACAAATACCTCCTGTGGTGAAAGTCAGCAAATAAACAAGCGGTAGCAAGCAGAGAGTAGGCAGTCCTTACCTAGGACCCTCAGCCCAGAGTGATAATAGCAACTCGATCAGGAATAAGCAGCTAAGTACCAGGGAGAAGTTCTTCAGGCCATCCCTCGTCGGCTGGACCCAAGCCTCATCCCGTCGGTCTAGCTCACACGTGATCAAGGCAATGAAGATATCCGTCAGGATACCGGCAACATCAAGCACGATGAGGGTGAGGATGACCCAGTGCTTGGCCCGGGACGATAGGAACCTCTGGACGTCCCGGCGGGCCTTACGATATCTGTTCAGGCCCAACGTATCTCCTTGGTGGCCGCTGGCGGGGAATTGGACTATTCATCATTCGCATCGTTAACTTCCCAACAGACCGGCTCCTGATGAGGGCACAGGATACATGCTCCGTCCGGCACGAGACACTGCTTATCTCTAGAAACATGCGCTGTAAGGCAAGGTATCTGCGGGGAATCATGCTGGATCGGCGGCGTCCGGCTTACACAGCACACGCGCGTGCGCCCAAAGCCAAAGACTTCGCCCGGGCGCAGTCAAAGAAGGAGACTAGAAAAGAAAACTTACCAAGCAATGGGGTGCGGTCAGTCATGATGGCAACCAAAGCGACGGCTTCTCGCAAGCCCGCTCTCAACGGAGAGAAGAGACAGTCGCCCCTACGACCTTGGTGGAAGACGAAGTGATAGCTCACGTTCGATTTGAAGGTGAGAGCTCGCCTGCTGGGCAGGTTACCTCCCTGCTCGGGTTTCCTCTTTCGGCGTTAGTTCGGCGACTTGCAACCAGATCGTCCAACGCGCGTCTGGCCAGTCGGTGAGCAGTGAGTGTGTGACATAAATACCATGCCGTGCCACCCTGTATCTTCAAATTACAAATTCTGGAGGCAAAACTTATGCAGTGGCTTCAGGGTAGTGATAGATGGAGGCGTGACAGAATTGCTTTGGGCCTCGTCGCATGATATATGCTGTCAGAGCGCTCTGGCTCGCCCTCTGACTTTCTGGGGTTCCCACTTACACGCATGCTTATTTATCCATCCTCAGCATCTGGAAAGTCGAAACGACACCCACCAAGCACAGTTGCTACAAGGCGGGCGGAACCAGCCCGCTTTGCTGCCGGACACATCTCGGCCCCCATGGATTGCCATTGCCCAAGTAACCCATGCCCGCAATATCACACGCAAGCATCGTATCTTACACGAAGCGGCGTAGGATTGCAGTGGTCCAAAGGATGAAATCCCTCTTTTGGCCTCGAGCCATTGGCTCACCTGTGCCGTGTAAGTAAGCAATGCACCGCGACTCCGATCTACGGCAGGACTTTCGTAGTCCTAGCTCGTGAGATGCTGCTGCGTTCAATGGCCAGATTGCAAATTGAGCTCGTAAAACGGCCTCAAGGTCGTTGACGCAGGAAGCATCACAAGTGGTAATTGGAACTGCGCAATATTTTGAAGTGGAATGCAACTTGGCGTTCTCCTACCTACTCTGTAAGTGACACCCCTCGTCGAGATTGAGAATTGAGAAAGGCACGTCTGGTCCAGCCCTGCCCAGAGCCGTGACGTCGAGGAGTGCCTATGTACACGATCGAGCTGAACCACAAAACCGCCGGTGGCTTATTCAACTTCAAGACGGCCACGAGGAAAGAAAACCAAGGATGTGGCGCACTCTAACCCGTGGTTCCAGCATGATATTGCCCGTGGCAGACAGATGAATTCAATCCATTGACGTTGATACCCCGCATGTTTTCGTAAGGTATATGTAGTCGATACGCTGCCTGATCATCAACTGATCTGAACTCTGCAAAGGTACCGTACCTAGGTAATTGGTTAAGGTAAGTATACGTAGTTCTGTAGTATACATTCAGCCCATCCACCCCTGGGTGCGGGAGATCCTTCGGGGGCCCACCTTCTCCCCAGGCTCCAGCTGCTGGGACCTCGACCCGAGCCTCCTTTGAGGGCGCTAAGCTTCAGGTAGTCGGTTGCCATTGAGGTCATTGTGCTGGGGAATTTTTGGAGCGGTTTCCACCGCGCGGGCAGCAGCTTTTCACGTGGCTCAACTTCACTGCTTCAGTCCAACGTCGCGACAGCGCAACCAACAGCCTCGCACGCATTCGGTCTCTTGTCACGGGCGCCTTCCTCGGGGTCTCCACGTCTTCTCCCACCACTGTCCTTCTTGATCTCCCTTTTCTCTTGATACCCACCCAGAAAACCCGGCGGGAGCTGCTCTATAGACGCGACGCGCAAAGTGGGGGGTCCGCAGGTACGCTATTTGCCCAGCCCAGCCCATCCCATCCCATCCCATCCCTGTAGCCACAGCCTTGCCTTGCCGTCTTCTCTTCTTTTCTTTCGCCGTCCTCACTCAGCCTCTCGGCGTCCATTGATACACCGCAGCCCAGCTGACAGCCCTACCGCAGATTCTTTGCCGGAGCCTGAGAACCTCTCTGTGACAGCGGCCAGCTCAGTTCAGCAACTCGCGCACTCGCAACAAAAACTCCGTGCGACGGCAACCCTGCCTTGAGGATTCGCAGTCCAGCCCGGCTCAAGACCATACACACAGAGCACCCACGGCATACACTCATACATACACATACAGACATACACATATCATGGCGGACGTCAAACACGACGAGCCCGATGTGGCTACCGAGGAGCAGGAACCTCAGGCAGGCGGCCAGGAAGAGAACAATGAAGAGGTGCGCTCCAACATCTACCTTTACTACCCTACCACTGCAGCCGGCTGCCTATACATGGTCCGGCCCATCACCCGAACCGAGCATGAGGTTGATCGCATCATGGCCGCTAACAAGCACTCGGTGCGCAAACAGGAGGAGATCGTCGCCATGAAGCGCCGAGTCGCCGAGATGGAGCAGGAGGCCGCCAAGCTGCGCGAGATGCAGGCCAGCCTCGAGGAGAAGGGCAACGACCTCGCCGCCGACGACAAGAACGACGTCGACAGCCGCAGCATCTTTGTCGGCAACGTCGACTACTCGGTCTCGCCCGAGGAGATACAGGCCCACTTCCAGCAGTGCGGCTCCATCAACCGCGTCACCATCCTGCTTGACAAGTTCACCGGACAGCCAAAGGGGTAAGAAGGCCACGGCCAAACAGATGATACGAGTAGATGAGGACTGACGAGATACCCCCAAAATGACAGCTATGCCTACGTCGAGTTCACAGAACCCAGCCTGGTCGCACAGGCCCTCGTGCTGAACGACACGGTCCTCAAGGGCCGCAACATCAAGGTCACCCCCAAGCGAACCAACATCCCGGGCATGTCTAGAGGGCGAGGAGGACGTGGTCGCGGGGGCTTTGGAAGAGGGTCCTATGGTGGAAGAGGCGGCTTTGCGCCCCGGGGCGGCTATCGCGGTGGCTACCGCGGCCGTGGACGGGGCTTCAACCCCTACTAGGAGACATCCGACCAGGCATCTCAGTCGTCGCAGTACCTCGGTGGCCGCGGTTGGAATGAATGCGGACGCGACAGCGACCCTGGCTGCACCTACCCAGTCAACGACACCTGTCACCACCCCAACCCTCACGTCGGCCGTGACCACCTCTCTACTGCGAACCTGGCGCCCGCGAACGCGCCTCGCGAGCCTCGGGCTATGCGCGAGCGCTGTCCTGCGCAGCCCCGACGACTTTGATGCTGGGTTGCGCGTGTAACATACTGTACAGGGCTATGAGATCAGAGAAAAGATGAGGGCATTGGTGGGCTGGGCGTCTTCTCTCCTCTCTTTTCTGGCGGAGGCATTGTTCATGTTGGAGGGGAACGCAGCGCCTTCTTTAATTCAAACAGCCGGGAAGCATGGGCTGCAACCTCGACCGCACAGATATACCACGGGATTCCCGCTGGCCCCTCTTCCACGTCGGCCAGCTTCGACACAACAGCACCATCAACTTTTAGGAGACGAAAGAGAAGAAAGAAGAGAAAAATTCACAAAAGATGAGAAACCTTGTTAGGGGCTCGGAAAGCGGACGGGTCTGCTACATATGCAAAGGGTCGATCTCAGGGGACATGTAACGTACGTCGTGCGCGAGGGGAGGTCGCATGTGGAATGTGCTCAAGACCTCGCATAGAGCCGAAAATAATTAATAGGAGCGAGGGAAACCCGAGAAACCGTTCTGAAAAGACATGATTGCCTGCTTGATGATGACACCTGCTCGACTTTGTGCCGCCCTTGATGTTTCACGATGGACCAAAGCTGACGCGCTGGACTATCAGGAGTAAGCCCTGCATCAGCATTCACGAAGACCTCGACCTAGGTCATCCTCTTTGCAGCCCGGAGGAGGATCTGGGTCTGTTCTGTGTATTCTGGTCGTGATGCTCTATATTTAGTAGCGCGGCAAGCACATATCTGGCAGGGTGCTGATGTTGTTTCCATAGATGGGCGACATATTATACACGGGTAATCTATGGATTGACAGCAGATACCTAGGTTGGTGTAACAGATAGCCTTATACTGGCATTGCACGAGCATCGGGCTCCCTAAGATGACGATCGTGGATCGAGTGTGGTCGGCGCTAGCATCGAATCGGGGCGTGCGGGCGGGCAGGTCTGGTGTTTCCGAGCTCATGCGGGTAGCCGCCGTGCCCCTCCACTGGGCGCATTGAAAGCTCGGTCCCCTACCGACCTACCGGTATGTAACCAGACACCTAGCCAACTTCCATTGCCTTGCTTACCAGAACTACGGTGTCGTACCCACGCGGTTGTCTGCCCAGGTACGTGATCGTTGGAGACCTCCCGGGCCATGCCCTCGTCCCCTTGAAACCGTACAGAGCAATAGCGAGATTCGGCCTGCATGTTTACGGTCGTTTCAGAGACGGTGTTTCGCAGCAGTGCTAACTTGGGTATTGTGTGATCACCTCTCACAGTGGGAAACGCCCCCACAGGAGACTCTGGCCAGCCATCCATCCCCGGTCCAAAACCCACAGTACGTACCTGTTAGTAGATCTATATCTAGCTACGCATCTCCATTGCGATTGCGAGTTTCTCTAGCCGCTCCACGGCGGACCCTGCAGAGCTGAAGGCGAGAAACGGATGATGAGTGCAGATGGGTGCGCTATAGAGCGTGCGTGCGCAATCGGGGAGGCTTTTGCGGGCAGCCCGCTCGATCGGTTTACGTCGACCAGCAAGATTCAGCCTCGCGTCCGCGCGTTCAGTGACCCGGACGGTGCCTGAGCCCTGCTGTGTTTGCGACGCCTGGAGGAGCTATACTATTCGGATCCAGATGTCAAGGCAGACCTGGGTTGGTCCCGCAGTGGTTGGTGTATGTAGCAGTCGTAGTGTATCAATGTCATCGTTGATGATGCACTGGGAATCCCCTGAAACCCGTGGCCAAGTACGAGTATCACGGACGCAGGCGGCCGCAGTGGCATGGCTGGGAGGCGGGTGCCGGACACCCGTTGACGCTCACAATGGATCACACGGCCAGAGAGATACGGAATCCTACAACGGCGACAATCACATTCGGCGACGAGCTCTTTTCTGTCTCCCGCTCTCGCTCTCGAGTCTTGCCCCCCTTCGGCCGGCCAGCGTAGCGTTGGCGTCACTGGCTCACCCTGCACAGCCTCAGCGAGGAGCTCAGGAGCCCTGCCACTGGACCACCCAGAGAGACCCCTGGAGCCTCGACCACCCGCACACGCACCGTTGACGCTGACGGTGGACGGCCGGGCCCCAAAGCTGCATCATGGAATGGGTGGCTCTCACCTCACCTGCACCTAACTTAGCGACAGGGTGCTGCGGTCGTCGCCAATGCGGGCCAATGGCTGGGCGTGGGCTCTCTCTTCCTCTCCCCTGGAGCTTGCCGGGCCTGCTGGGCTGCTGGGGGGCATGGGTTTCCAGGGCCCAGGGCCCTCCTTCGCCTTGCTCCACCCAGCCGAACGTGCCCCTCCCCCCCTCCCCCCTCAGCAGTACTACCATCCAGGCCATCCAAACATCATGGACACCTGCAGTCAGTCATAGTGCCTTTCCAGCGGCCAGCAGCAGTGGACAGCCAGGCAGCTCTCCAGACGACCACCTGCGCAGACGACTGCCCGGGCCCGGGGCAACAGGGGACTCTCTCTCTCTCTCTCTCTCTGTCTCACTGCCCAGGGATCGCCATTCACCATTCGCCATTTGAACCGCCCTTCTGCTGGGTACTAACTTGATCCAAATCCTGCTTGCTGCACTGCATTGCATTGGATGCAATCCATCCCATCCCATCCCACTACTAGTTATTGCTCCCCGAGTTTACTTGCGCCTGCGCCTGCGCCTGCGGTTACGGTTACGGTGTGGTCCCTACAGACAGACTAGGTAGCCACCGTCAAGGTCATCCATCCCGTCGTTTTCCCCCTCCAGCTTTCCCTCGCTCGTCCCTCCCGCCCCGGAACACACGACATCAATCTTTCTTTTCTCCATCTTCCCACGCGCGCCCCCAAGCATTGTTTTCGTACGGCCGATCCGCCCTCTTTCCCCCTCGCCTCCCTCCGACTCCTGCTCCCGCTTGCCCGCTCCCGGCTCCCCTGTCTCGTCGTACAGGATAGCGCCCCGAGACGCAGGGCCCTAGGACGGCCGCTGGGCGCCCGCTGGTCAGCAGCTTCACACGGCCGACGAGTGTGATTCCCTCGTCACCGTCACCGTCACCGTCACCGCCGACCTCCCACCGTCACCACCACACACGACCAAACCCGCCCGCTGCTGTCGCCGTCGCCGTCGACGCCGCCGCCCCAGCCATGGCCTCCAGTCGCCCAGAGTCGGGTCTGCCATCGTGAGTCCTCCGTCGCCTATGCTTCCCCTCCAAAGACCTCGTGCTGACAGATGCCAACTTTCCAGCCAGGCGAACCTGCGGGTCACGAGTGCGTTCCATTCCATGTGCCCCCCTCCCCTTCCCACCTCGTTACCCCTCCATCCATCGACGACGATGGCATATGCCGTATGCCATGCCACAAATCCGCACACCGAGTGTCATTGTCCTCCAAACATGGTCGAATGCTTTCCGCTAATGTCGACAAACCTCTAGTCATCGCCGCCGATGGTCTCTACAAGCGAGATGTCTTCCGTACGTTTCTCCCCACTTGCTTCCAGTTACGTCCCGATGTCGCCATGGATTGCCTGCCTGCCTGTCTGGCTTCTGCACGACGGGCGGTGCCAGTTGCTATGGACATATGTGCCTACACACATGAGCACAGTTTGTTGATGCAAGACACCTACAGGCTTCCCCGACCCGTTTGCCGTTGCTACCATCAATGGCGAGCAAACAAAGACTACCACCGTCTCCAAGCGGACCCTGAATCCCTATTGGAACGAGAGCTTTGACTTGTACGTGTCTCCATTCCCGGGCCCGTCCCCGTCTCCTCCTCACGACCAGGACGCTCATCATTTCCTTTACAGCCGCGCAAACGAGGACGGCATCCTCGCCGTTCAGGTCTTTGACCAGAAGAAGTTCAAGAAGAAGGACCAGGGCTTCCTGGGTGTCATCAACATCCGCATCGGAGACGTGATTGAGCTTGCTGATGGTGCCGACGGTTTGTAACCCCCTGACCCCCCTGACCAGTTCACCAAACTGAAGACCTGGAACTGATTGCATCCCACAGACCAGATGCTTACGCGAGACCTCAAGAAGTCCACGGACAACCTGGTCGTCCACGGTAAGCTGATCATCAACCTCTCGACCAACTTGTCGTCCCCGGCACGCCCGCAGCAGCAGCCTCCCTCAGCAAGCTCCAGCAGACCCTCACTGGCAACGCCCCAGTCCTCGACCATCGGCGAGCGCCCAACATCGGCGACTCCAGGACCCAACGGCATCGCTTCGGGCTCCCAGGCGACCTTGCCTCTGCGTCCCAACAGCATGACTGCTCCTCCTCCTGCGACAGCCGGTGCTGCCAACCAGCCACCCAGGTCGAATAACCAGATGAGTCCCTTTGAAGATTCCCAAGGTCGTCTGCCCGCCGGCTGGGAGCGCCGCGAGGACAACTTGGGCAGGACGTATTATGTCGACCACAACACCCGGACCACGAGCTGGAACCGACCAACGCAGGCGAGCAGCGGCGAAACTCGAGGGGAGAGAGAGGCTGCTACTCAGGTCGAACGTCAGCGCCATCAGAACCGAACCCTGCCCGAGGATCGCACGGGATCCAGCTCTCCCACGCTTCAGCAGCAACAGCAGCAGCAGCAACAGAGCGCCGCCCAGAGTGCCAATGCCGCGACCATGATGCATACGGGAGCTACTACCCCCGGCACTGGTGAGCTGCCTCCTGGTTGGGAACAGCGGTGGACGCCCGAGGGCCGCCCGTACTTTGTGGACCATAACACGCGGACCACCACCTGGGTCGACCCGCGCCGACAGCAGTACATCAGAATGTATGGTGGTCAGAACAACGCCAACGGCACCATCCAGCAGCAGCCCGTCTCGCAGCTGGGCCCCCTGCCGAGCGGTTGGGAGATGCGGCTCACTAACACTGCCCGTGTCTACTTTGTGGATCACAACACCAAGACCACCACCTGGGACGACCCCCGTCTCCCGTCGTCGCTCGACCAGAATGTACCCCAGTACAAGCGAGACTTTAGGAGGAAGCTCATCTACTTCCGGTCCCAGCCGGCGATGCGCATCCTGTCGGGACAGTGCCACATCAAGGTGCGGAGATCCCACATTTTCGAGGATTCGTTCGCCGAGATTTCGCGGCAGTCTGCTACAGACCTGAAGAAGCGTTTGATGATCAAGTTCGACGGCGAGGACGGTCTGGACTACGGTGGTCTTTCCCGTGAATTCTTCTTCCTCTTGTCCCACGAGATGTTCAACCCCTTTTACTGTCTCTTTGAGTACTCGGCCCACGACAACTACACGCTCCAGATCAACCCCCACTCTGGCATTAACCCCGAGCATTTGAACTACTTCAAGTTCATCGGCCGCGTTGTCGGATTGGCCATTTTCCACCGACGGTTCCTGGACGCCTTTTTCATTGGAGCCTTGTACAAGATGGTGCTAGGGAAGCCGGTCAACCTGGCCGACATGGAGGGTGTGGATGCAGACTTCCACCGCAGTCTGCAGTGGATGCTGGATAACGACATCTCGGGTGGTATTCTGGAACAGACTTTCTCGACGGAAGACGAGCGCTTTGGTGTCTTGACCGTGGAGGACCTGATTCCGGACGGGCGCAACATCGATGTCACCAACGACAACAAGAAGGAGTACGTCGAGTTGATGGTCAAGTGGCGAATCGAGAAACGTATCGCCGAGCAGTTCCAGGCGTTCAAGGACGGATTCCAAGAACTTATCCCTCAGGACCTCATCAACGTCTTCGACGAGCGAGAACTCGAGCTATTGATTGGTGGTATTGCTGAGATCGACGTCGACGACTGGAAGAAGCACACTGATTACCGTGGATACACCGAAAGCGACGAGGTCATTCAGTTCTTCTGGCAGACGGTTCGCGGTTGGGACGGTGAGCAGAAGAGCAGATTGCTGCAGTTTACGACGGGTACCTCGCGTATTCCAGTCAACGGTTTTAAGGATCTGCAGGGTAGTGATGGTCCGAGGAGGTTTACTATTGAGAAGGCTGGAGAACCGGGCAACTTGCCGAAGGCACATACTTGGTACGTTTTGCTCTCGCTCGGGGCGTTTCGAGATAATTGAATCGGCGCATTTTGCTAACACCAGGGAACAGTTTCAACCGTCTCGATCTCCCGCCGTACAAGTCATTGGAGGCGTTGCAGCAGAAGCTGACGATCGCAGTCGAGGAAACAATGGGTTTCGGCCAAGAGTAGAGGCTCATGAAATTTTGTCTATTATTTGCGGCTTCCTTCCTGGTTTTGCGAGTTTCTTGACTCGCCTTGTGTATATAGACAGCGTCTTTGTCCTCAAGCCAAGAGGGCTCATCATGGACGGGAGCTGCATGATTCTCTCCTTTCCCCAGCGAGGCGGCACGTACGGATGCAAGTTTTGGTTTTGATATTTGGACCCGCACACAGCGTCCGCGTGGTCAGTCGACCCAAGAGCGGGTGTGATGGGGTGGTAGTAGCATCTCCAGTCGGTGTAGACATTCGGCAAAGTCGTGAGCAATGGCCCCCTGTGCGACTTTTGCAGTGTAGCGAGGACGGATAGTAAGAAAACAAACACCACAACAAATCATCATCCCGAGTTACATGGTCCGGAATAAGGAGGGGGGATTGGTAGGGTGGATGGAGAGGAAGGGAGATGGGGGGACTGGCACGCCTGACGCAAAAAGACAAAGCAAGCAGCACTTATCTGCATTGATAATTTTTGGAATACTTCATTTACCCCATCCCATGTCTTTATTCGTCTGCCCCAGGGAGCTTTTCTTGATCATGTCTTTCTCTCTCTCTCTCTCTCTCTCTCTTGCTCATAATATTTCCGATAATCTTTTCCCGGATCTTGGCGTTGCGGTTGGCGGAGATGACAAAGCGTTGGTTGCGTGCACACTGACTGATGCTGTTGTTGTTTGTCCCTTTTCCCGGAAAAGGCAATACCGACCCCGTGGAGACGAATGAAATGAAATGGATGGATGGATGGATGGATGGCAGACACGCAGGACCTACATATATAAATAACGTCTTATTGTGTTATTGTCAATGTTCCTGACCAGCATGCAGTGTATCATGTGGTTATTATCATTCAGGAGAGATAAGGAAGAAGCTTGAAAAAAAATAAAAAGACCACATAGTGAGGTCCTGGAGGACCGTTTGGCTGTATCACATCGTTGCTCCTACTTGGGTATATTTACTGCGTGAATACGCAGACGTGCACATATATATATGGAAGATGGAACTCGATATAAAAAGCAGATTGGAGCATTACACAGACTACAACAGCCATCGAGTGTTGTCCATAACCATACATTGCACACAGATAATATATTCATGACCGAGGCGAGTTGTCATCGAGTTTCAACTTCGTGTTTCGTCGTATTTGTGTGTATGTACAATGTCTCGGGACGTATGAATACAAGAGAAGGCGCGATCAATCTCAAGAGGGCTAAGCCAATCCATCCGTTTTCCTTTCCTTTCCTTCTCGTCAGAAGTGAGAGGAGAGAAAAAGAGAAACCCGAAGCCCTGTAACTGCTGCCATGATGAGAGAGCCTTCCCCTTTTTGATGCTGCGGATTTCCTCCTTCCCAGCTCCCTGGGGTATTGAAGCTTGGTGAGAAATACGCCCCCCAACCCCCCTTTGAAAATCTAGATTCTACATAAAAAGGTTCAAGCTCGGTCTCCAAGCCTCATTTCTGCGCTACCCACGCAGTCGTATATCATCGACCCCAGCAATAGAGACATTCCTCCGTCTCCTCTTGCGAAGGGTCATCCAGCCCCTAGATTCGTATCGGCAGTACAGTTGTGTTTGGAAATAGAAAGGGCGTGTAATAAAAAGTTGTACGGGTAACATTGCTCATCCCAAGAAGTCGGTATACAAGGGAGAAGAGTAGAATATGGGTCTCGCCCGGAAATATAGAGAGCATAGAGTGGCGGAGTTGTTCAGATCCTGTTCTTACGCTTCAGTCCACCGTGGGCCTGCGTGGTGGGCACCGGGCTATCCCTGACAGGAGTCATGAAGGTGACGTGCTTGTCATCTTCCTTGCGGAGCTGCAGAGGATCCGCACCTGCACTCGTAGAACCACGGTGACCGAGGGATCGTGGCCCTTCGTCGTCCAAGTGAATCTCGGCAACATCGGACATGGACTCGGTGTCGAGCGTGTCATTCACTTCAGACTCGTCACAAGAGCCATCCACAGAGTCGTCATACTCATCATCGTCGCTTACGAGTGATGGAGCAACGTTGCTGACGGCTGTGTTGGGGCTCAAGTCAATGTCCATCTCATCATCGAGAGGACACTCGGATTCGCGATCAGAGAGGCGAGGGGCGGGAGTGGGAACGGGAGTCGCGTAGGCCATGGGCGCGGTATGACCTTTGCTGCTGGTCGGGCGAATGCTGATGGGGAGGATAGGGGGAGGAATGGGAGACATTGGCTTCCGGGCAGGCGCGGGCATACGCATTCCGGCTACTGCAGATGAGGCTTGGTCGCCCTGAGCGACCTTGGCCTCCACAGAATCGACCTCACTTTCCTCTGACTCATCCTCAGGGGTAAACATCTCGTTCAAGTCAACCTTGGTCGTGGCATCGCGAACCAGCTCCTCAAGATCCAAGCCCTTGTCTTGAAGTTTGGCAAAAAGAGACAAGTTAGGTGTCTCTGCCGACGGCTTGAACGCCGAGGGTCGCTGGGCGCTCGTGGCAGCCGGCGTTGACGATATCTTGACACCTGGGATGGGACCCTTAAGCTCACCCTTCTTGTACTTGGCCATGGTCTCGTTAATGCGACGCGCAGCAGCAAAGAAAGACTCAGAGTCAACGTAAGAATGCACAGGCCCAGAGGTAGGCGTGTGACTGACCACAGGCGGTGCGGGTCTTTCATCACTCACTATGCCAGGGGCGGCCTCGCTGACGTCGATGGGATGACCGCAGCCTATTGCGGCTTCCTCATGACTCTTATACTCAAGCTTGTGAGCTATACGGCAGTGGTTGATGAAGCCTTGAGTGCTCGAGAAATCCTCCCTGTTGCACTTCACGCATACCAGTTTGACAGTCTTGCCATCGGCGATACGCTTCAAGATGCAGGGTCCCGACTTGCCCTTGGGTTGCGAGTACCCGCTTGGCAGAGCTTGCAGCTTCTGGCCGGGTGGCTCGCGGCCGCGTCGGCCCTTGCTCAGAGCGCTTCCTACCTCGTTGGCGCCATTTCTTGTTGATCTACCATCCACAAGAGCCCTAGAGCGAGTATATTCAGCGTGAGTCGGCACGGGATATATGCCGTCGAACTTGGGATCAGGTATGAGCCACTTGGCGAGATGGCGGGCGTACGGTCCGTCAGTAACACCGAACGGCGGTGCCCACTGAGGCACCTGCGCGCCCATCTTCGCTTGCAGCGCTGGCCCTAGACCGGAAGAGATGTTCAACATCTGCTCAGGCGTCGGGACGTTGACGGGGTACGGGATCAGGTGGCACCGGCGCAGCTGTTCCAAAGCGACTTGGCACTTTGCCAGTTCCTGGTTGATGAGACGCAGCTCCTGGTGCTTGAGTAGGATCTCCTGGCCAAACTCGCGCTCGATCACTTCCTTGACTCCGTCCATGCTGACCATCTCAGGCTCCGGTTGCGCGGCACCCTGTTCCTCCACGCCCGCCATTGCTACCTCGACCTCCGGGAAACTACCATCCTCCAGCTTCAGGCGCTTCACCACCGGGGAGTCGGCAGCAGCGGTGAGCGACGCTATCGCGACGTTGCTTGTCCTCCGGCGCTTGGGAGAGCGGGACGGAGTCGTGACTGCGGTCTCTGACACGAACGGTTGCACGGGCGGTTTGCCAAGATCGAACATGGGCCGATCAATCTGCACGGTCTTATCGCTTCCCCTCGAGTCTGAGCCCCAGAAACGAAACATGAGCATACCCAGCGTTGGCGGGAAGTAAGACTGTCTAGGTGGTGCAGGCTGAGGTTCCCAGGATTAGGCGGCAGCGAGATTCCAGGTTGGTAGCTGTAGCCAGGCTGACGCGAAAGGGGGAAGGGATGAGGTGCAGACCCGAAGTAGCAGGCAGGGCTGACGTAACGACCCCCGAATTCTGCAGGTGGGAAGGGGAGTGATCGGAGAATCGGGCCCAGAAGTAAGCCTGCGACGCTTGCGCTAGCGACTCGCAGGTCGAGCGAGAGAGAGTGCGTGCGGGCTGGCTGGGTCTCCCCTTAGAGCGTAGAACCAAGCTCAAGGATTGATTGGTGCCCCCGAGAAGCAGCAGATTGTGGACTGTTGATGCTCCAGCGGACTGCTGATGTGGCCTCCGTCAAACCCAACGAAACTCAGTTTGAGTCAGGCCAAGTGGGTGGCGCCCTGGAACCCAAAGGAATGCGAGAGGCGGCGCGACTGGACAGGCCAGGGTGGCAGTGCAAGTGCGTTGCGTGGAAATGCCCCAACGTGCAGGCAGATACGATGCGATGCGATGCAGCAGGCAAAAATAAACAGGAAAAAAAAAGGGAGAGGCAGCCCCGGTGGATTCCGTGCCAGTAGAATTTGAAGATCGCTGGGTGTGATGCGATGGGATGCGTACAGGCCGCAGTCGACGTGAGGGTGCGTGAATGAGTGAGTGAGTGCGTGAGTGAGTGAGCGTGGTGAGCGCAATGCGACCGGCGGCAATGGGCCTCAATCACAGGCAACGAAAGGCGATTAGAACAGGCGTACGGAGACGTAGATCGACCGGAAGGTATTAGGGGGCGATAGATGCGCGATTAGTGGAGAAAAGCGTCACAGGAGCCGGACTCGAAATCCCAAAGTCGCAGCGACACGGAAAATACCAGGTCGACCAAAGGAATGCGCGAAGAAGATTTGGAAAAGCTGGAATCTGTTTTGCTGCGTTTTCTCTGTTTTGCGACCGTCAGTCGGCTTTCGGGGGGGGATGGGGATGGGGGATGGTCGGCGAGGGTGCGAGAGGTTGCGAAAGGTAAAATGGGCGGCGGGCGGCCCTTGATTGCTTGCTTGTTTTTGTCCACCTTTCCGCGGACGACTGGGACTGGGACTGGGACTGGGACTGGGACTGCGATGCGATGCGATGCGTTGCGTTGCGTTGCGTTGCGTCTTGGGTTTGGGACCTTCTGGGGGCGATCCTTCCCTGCGAGTACCTTGGTGACTAGGCCGCGAGTTGGTGAGGGAGGCAGGGGTCCCAGATGGTTCGTCGGGTTGATGGTGTGAAGCAGCAGGCAACGCCAGCAGGTGCCCCGGTGGCAGAGTGCGCCTCTCTGTGATCTGATTTGTTTGATCGGTGGCCTGGCTTGACTGGCTTTCCACTGGCTCGAGATGGCTGGGCGCCAGGGGTGGTGCCGTGGACGACGGATAACTGACTGGACCGAGTGCCCCAGCAGTAGCTGGCTCGAAAGCGGGTCAGCAGCGGGCGGAATAGAGCTGTCAGACTTCCAAGGTTGACTTTTCTGGGGCCCGCGTGGCCCGTCCGTGGGCACCGTATGCTATTCTCGTATTAGAGAGTTGCGTACGGCCTTCGGGTCACTTATGCGCGTACACGCAGAGGTGCTGCAGTACCCGGATGCTAATTGCGATCTTCCCGAAAGCAGACGGATCAGGATTGCACAGAACACGCGCAGCACTTGCAACTCTCATAAGTAGTGCAAGAGAAATGATAGGTACCTAAACCAAGGAAGCGCTGCGCTGATCGAGAACACGGCGGGCTGTTGGGTAGAGGGTGTTGGAAATGGTGTAATTTCCTGCTGACGGTATTATATTGCCTCTTTAGGATAAGGAAGACTGCAGCAGGTGTGGGCGATTTAGGTGGAATGCGAGCGATGCGACAAGGCCCGTGGGGTGCTTGTGCCGTGCTGCGTATTGGTCCCAGAAATGTACTATGGTATGTGACGATGCAGTGAGCGAATAATGAGACTCACCACCAGGTGAGCAAAGTAACAGCTCTGTGCTTATGTCGCCGGCGATGCGCATGAATAAATCTTGAACTGATCCTCGGACAAGAGGACGGCTCCCCGTAACTTATCAGGCTCCCAAGCTTACTATGAATTCACAAGCAGGCAGATAGGTACATACTGTACCTAACTGGTAGCTAGTAGTCCGTAGTAGTCCGGGGTACGACGGGCGGTCTACCTGTATGAGAGTGCAGCATCAGCCCCGGCTAGACATTTCCTAAGGAATGTGATGAGTCCCGTTTGTGCTTGGTTGTTGCTGATAAACGAAGGCCGACTGTATGCAGGCCGCACGGAGGACCGGGCTTGACGACCTTGTCATGCAAGGCCAGGAGCAAACGCTGGAGGATGAAGCGGTGTTGACCTGGGAGGACTACTATTACGATGTGCTGCTGCTGCCGCCAGCGCCGTCGCAGAAGGGCTTACATGCAAACATAGTGCTGTACGCAGTTTCGAAGCTGCCCATGGTTGTTAGCGCAGCGCCGACAGGCTACTAACTAATATAAAACAAACAGGCGCAATGCTTTACGCAGGTGGAATGCTTCCCCATCGAGCTATGCAACAACTAGGCAAGCCTATCGAGGGCGCTACCCGAGCTTCCTCGAATCCACGGCCGAGCTATGGCGCAGGTTTGGGTTGAGACTTGCATGGAAATTGTGGGGAGCTGATGAAGCCATCCGACCTTGACTTGCTTGTGCTTTGATGCGCCAGAATCGCATCCAAACAGCTTTCCTTGCTTTGTGTGCTGTGGAAATCGCTCTCCACCATGAATGTTTCACAGCTTTATCCTCATGTATCGCGTGTCTAAGACCACCACCCTCCGCACTCTGGCAACAAACAGTATCTTGAACGCCGACAAGCTTTTGTTGTGTCCAACAAGTTCCGGATCTGACGCAAGAAAACCCGTCCTCAAAGCCGGACATTGCAAGCTCTCTTAGCTCTCTTAGCCCCCTTAGCTCTCCGAGCTCTCCTGAAGCTCATCATGACCACGTCTGCGAGACGCCAAAAGAATACCAAGGTACCAGTCTGACCCTCTAAGATCTTGGCATGAACGCGACGAACGTGGCTGCATGGAAGGGTAGGGGTGGCCTCAAGCATTAAGTTAAGTGTCAGGCCAATCACAGGGCCACATGCGCGCAACACGGGCCATCCGTGCCGTCGCATCCAGCTTTCGGCTGTTCTGGAATCCAGACGTCAAGCTGCCGCACGGCCAGGACAGAAACCGAGGTGTGCTCGGCACGGATAGGTGAAACGATAACGATCCCGATAGAGAAATGTGAGCCTGGCGAGACCCGATACTGATAACAGACGTGACCTACTGTAGTTAGGCTACATTATAAGGATGTACATTTGGTGGGCATTAGGTTCAGAGGTGGGAAATAGTGGATTTCTGGCTTTCAGCTCTGGGATACAAACCCAGGGGCGATCTCTGATCTGGGCTTTTTTGCGGATTCTTATCTGGATCTCCAGAATCCCTCCGTTCAGGGGTCGGGTAGGCCCTTTGGTTCTTCTCCCGCTACCCGAAGCCTCTATCTAGTTCAGCATTACGCCCGAATATCTTGAGCGCAATGTGATAGTAGATGAGCCAAACCACTATGCGAGCATGGTTCTGCCCAAGTTGGATATGATGAAAATACTGCAGTAGGAACAGAACGCCTTTTCTGCATGTGTCGAGACCTTGAGTATCTAAAGGGCTGCATGTACCTATGTACAGTATACGCGTATGTATGTAACTCGTAGTGAAATGACGTCCCTATCGATAAGCCCGATAAGACTTGATCGTCGAAAATTAACCCATCCAATACTCTGCCAATCGCCCACCCCGCGAACACAACAACGTCGACGCACCCCCGTGGAGATCTGGGCTCTCATACTCACAAGCAATGGGAAAGGAGAGGGACGCCAGGTCCCAGGGGCCAGAGGCCAGACAGCAAACCGCACGGGGAGCCGACGATGACGACCCGACGGCAAAGCGCAAACACGTTGCTTCGACCGAGACCATCGCGCACCCTCCCAGCAAGAAGGCCCGTTTGGCTGCGGACCTGAGCCTCCCCGCCGCCGAGGACACCCGGGCGCTCGAGGCCGTCGAAGCCAAGTACGACGTGCAGATTCACTCGGTCATCTCGTCGTCCAAGATCCAGAAGAAGGTCACGTCGGTCCTGCGGCATCTCACGCCGCGCGCCAAGGCCGCCGACGATGCTCCGCCGACGGCGACGGGCAAGCCTCGAGTCTCAGTCCTGCGCGCCAAGGCCGCCGACGCGGGCAAGCTCATCAGCATCGCCGAGATCGCGAAGCGCGAGATAGCGCAGCTGGAGGACGGCCAGGGTACGTGGTTCCAGTACATCGGGCTCGGCGGGGAGGTTAAGGAGACGCCGAAGGAGAAGAAAAGGGACAAGACCATCGTCCAAGATACGGTCTTAGGCGGAAAGGGAACCAACGAGGAGGAGGAAAGTGACGAAGACGACGAAGACGACTTTGAATACATGAAGACGCCGTTCGAGCGGGCCATCGAGGGCCGGCCCCAGAAGCAGAGGGTCGCCATCATGAGCCTGTTCCTCGCGCGTGTCCCAGTCGAGGAGCTGAAGAGACGGTATGGTGGCCAGACAAACGAAGATGCGGGCGCAAAGACCGCCAAGGACAAGACCTGAGAGTTGTCATCCTGGCCCTTGAATTCAGGACCAAAGGAGCCTGGCGGTGCCGCATGTGAGCACGCTTTGCTGTGGTTCTACTTGACCGCTTCCGAACGACCATGAGATGCCTTCTATGGGCACAAGAAGCACGCGACGATATTCTTCCAGAGCACAATAGTGTATTCCCCCTGCTCTAAGGCACCTATCAGCTCGTCCATGTTGGACGTATAGATGTCATTATACCTCGCTTGTTGGTAGCATTCTCCACCAGAGTCAAGCATAGCTGTGCAGACCTAGGGTGTTGTTGGAAAAGCCATAGGAGTATGGGTGGGAGTCGATGCTGGCACAGAGTAACTGGAGTCAACACGCTCGCCGTTTGGACCCTAGAGAGTATGGACAGACCCATTATGGGGTTAGGAATGCGTCTAGTTATTATATGATACCCATTGATATGTACAGCAATCCCTTATATCTTATGTAACAAATCATGCAAGCAGAGCCAATGCCAATGCCAATGCCAATGCAGCCCTCATAACCTGTCATCCCCCGCCCCTCTCAAGTGTCGGCTTTATTCCTAACTCCTCCATTCGATGTGAGTCCCAGTATAGTGCAGCGACTGTCTCCCTTATATCTCGACGGCAGATGACCATGAGCTATGAGCGAAGCCCAATATTTCCAATTGACAGTCTGATAAAAAGGATCGAGAGCGGGGCTTGCACCTTATGCTCATACCAGACTTGACGCAGCACCGTTGGTCCAGATCACTTCCAGAAGACTCTTATCCGATCTACATGCATCCTAGCTTTCCCGTGACGCAACCAACTTCTTCGGCGGGATCCTTAGTGCTTCTTGCCACCCTCACCGCTGGAGTAGACGATTCTGAGGACAAAGTTGACGACGACGGCCAACAGCAGCACAATGGCGAGGAGGGTGGGGCCAAAGCGGTCGTCGAAGCCCGACTGGCCCCTCGTCCGTATGCTCTTGGCGCGCCAATGGTAGGTGAAGAGGGCGTAGATCATGGTGAGCATGGCGACACCGGTGAACAGGAACGCCGAGATGAAGGCGGGCCGGTCACCAAAGTTCAGCATGCCGATGGCCAGGGCGCCGAGGATGACGGTGAAGTTCAGCCATGACAGGAAGGTTCGCTCGTTGGCGAAGAAGACCTTGGGCTCGACACGGGTCGGGAGCGCGATGCGCTTGCCTGGGGGAGAGGACAATGGGTCAATATATGTTTTGTTTGTTCAGGTGCTGTAGGCGGCCCCTTGAACCAAGCGGAACAGAAGAGGAGGAACGGGTATGTCTAACCTGGAGCGGTTTGGAGAAGAGGCTGGCTAGACATGTTTGTTGATAGGCCTCGAAGCTGCTTCTGGCGTATGGGAGACTCGTTGGTCGTACCGTGTTACGATGGCGGGGCACTGGCGGTAGAGTGACGTCTGGCTAACGAGACGAGGCTGTGATGGTTGGTGTTGACAATATCCGGTTGAGTATACCTAGCCGAGGCCTGTCTCACAACGGGTCGCGACGGATTGGTTTTTCTGGAAAGGCTACTCTTCTTCCTAACAGACCAAACTCCAGAGAGGAGACTCGAAGAAAAATGCTGAGCACGGGCGAGGAACGAACGACAACGGCGGAATGTCAGTCTGAAGAGAAACAAACTCGGCTAGTGAAAAGCTTCTCAACTCAATTGCAAAGAATCTATGGGGCAAGAGAGCCTGGGGCTGCTTGCTGCTGCGCTACGGGCTGCGACGGGCTGCTGCTTCGCTGCCCGGTGACGATGCAGAGCGAAAAGATTGGTGCACGAGGGTCGGTGGTGGGGGTAGCGCACGTACCGACGTGCCGTTGCACTCCACAGGAGCTCGGACAAATCAAAACAAAGGCAGCCGGCACGTTCTGGCTTCAAGGGCCACGGTTGGCTTTTCCTGTTTCTTCAGCTCAACGGCCGTCTTTGCTTTCCCAGCAGGGCCACGTGATTCAGGCCCAGCAAGCCCCGCCGGCGACCAGAGCTGACCTGGGGAGATGACATAATAGGACATCTATTCAGAGTAATGCCATGTATAGCACCGCGTATAGGCGAGTATAGGCCAGGGATGATACAGATTGGCTGGATTGGGGTACACAGCAAATGATAGAACAATCCTATAAGTTTGTTTCCGGCCAGTACGGCGTACGGCTGGAAGAAAGCCATGTCCGCCAGCAACTACTTCGTAGGCCGTTGGCAACGTTGCAGCAGCGAGAGAGTGCTGGAACCCCCCAATATTCCGCTCAGCGGCCGGCCCCGGGGTCGAAGGCTGGAGGCTGGCAGAGGCGGGCCAGGGCACCTCGTCTGACAAATGAATGTCGGAATTATTCCTCCACCACGACCAAGAGAACAGAGCAAGCAAATCACCGTCACCTCGAGCACTATTGGTTATACATACCTTACCGTGCTAGACACCTACTCGACAGTCAAGTCCTTGCGATTACATCACTTGTGGTGAGGTCTGGCGCGACGTTGGCGCTATCGACTCCTGATTTCCCCACCCGCTGGCGGCGCGACAAGGTTGTAGGGAGGAATTGGCTTTCGCCTCCGCAATCGCAAATACAAGGCTACCGCGGAAAAACACCAAGACGGCTGTCCCAAAGTTGCGCCCTAGATCTCCCAAGGACACCACCCTCAAGTCGCACCGCTCTGCTCCTACATCTATCCGTGATACACCCGCCACGCGCGCTCAAGTCAAACCTCCGCCCAACATGTCTTCGCAGCCCATCAGCTCTACCAGACTACGGCAGATTGCCGCCGACGTGAGCCTCTCTCGCCCGCCCCCGTGTCCGCCGTGATCCATCCAATGCTAAAACTCGCGTTCCCACAAACAGGCTTGCCAGAGCGCCATTGGCAGTTCTGATTTCTACGAGCACTCCAAGGTCGAGGGCTGGAACTCGTCCATCATCGTACGCCGCCCCGTCTCCTTTCTTCACCCCCGTCTCCTAGGCCCCCCCTGCGATAAAGAGGGGGACGCAGAAAACCCGGCGCTTACATCAGGGACTCATGAAATATAGAACTCGATTCTCAAGGCCGTCATCTCGGAGTCTACCCCCTCCAACTCGCAAGGACCCGCTCACAAGTTCGTCGTCAACTCGACCATCGTTCAGCACCTGGTGCCCACCTCGGCCCTGAACAAGCCCAAGGGCGGCACCGACACCAAGCACGATGAGCCGCACATCAGCACCAGCGACGGCGGCGCCGCCACCGGCACCGACGGCAAGCCCCACGTCGGCCGCCGCGGCATGCACTCGGCCACCCAGGCCTTCTGGAACGAGAAGTCGGATGGTATGTGGAGCTTCAAGTATGACGGCGGCGAGGGCAAGGGCATGGACGTCGTCATCAGCGTCATCTGGATATCTGTCTAGGGGGCATACGCTGTTCGGCCGACAGATCCGGACAACACGTCTCAGTTGTAGCTGATGTCAAGATGGAATGGAAAACGGAATCCTGCAGTCGTCGCCGGTACAATGCGGATGGGGCTACGACGGGACTTTCTCCGTGGTCGACACCTGGACCAGATATGCTCTTCACGGAGCAGTCACCCACAACGGACAAGACGCAGGAGCTCCCTGGGGGCACGCCTTGGTGGAAGGGGAAGTGCTGTCGGAGGGGGGCGTTGTGGCATGGCGAGGAAGGTGGGGAGTCTGGACAGTGCATTTTCGTTGTTTATACCCAGAAAGAGTGCAGAATGGCATTGTAAGCTGTGTATCTCTACTGTACAGAGTACGGAGAAGCGAAGCATCGGAAGGATACCATGAGTTCATTGGCCGGCAAAAGCAGGATTTAAATAGCCTTGAAATCCATTATTAAACTCCCAAGAAGCGCTAGGTGCACCGTGACCTATGCCTCCTACTGACGACACACGGGTTCTCATGCATCTTGATGGTCACACAAAGAATACAAGCGCGCCGGTTGCAATGATCCCTAGATTCCTATGGGCACATGGCACCATGGCTCAACTACATATATGCGGATAAACTGTGGTCCCTCCATCCATCTTATCATGGACGATGTTTACTGTTCTACATTTGTTGAGTGTGAATGACATGCCTAACACCAGCTGTTGGTCCTGGCAACTTACCATCGTTTCACATGATCCGAATGCACGCTGTGGCCGTGCCGTGTTGGCATTATTGAACCTGCTTGATCTTATCTTCTATACCGCGCTGCCACTACCCTCACCATCCATAAACGATTTGGCTGATTAAGCAGGCATTCCATGGTCTATATTTCACAGTAGCAAATCGACCAAACAGGTCGACAATGGGACGATGGGCCGTCCCGGTGGCCGCTCTCGCTCCTTGAAGAATGTGATCAATCATCTCCCGGCCGATGCTCGGATCCGCCTCGGAATTGCTCGGCCAGGCGCACCTCCTAAGATCTGGTTGTCACTCAGGTATTACTGCAGCGTTCTAGAAGACTTCAGTCTTCCATACGACCCGCGATTGGGCCGGGTAACAGGGCAATGCAACCTTGGGGTTGGTATTTTGTGAAGCAGTTGAAAGCTGCTGATGATGGCCAGACACATGCAGGATCTCAATACACAACGTGCAGATGCGGAAGACGGCTCTCACCGTTGACACCGTTCGAAAGAAGCCTCGCCATTAACTTGGCAGTAGCTACGGGCTTCTGGCTGGTGAACTTGAAATCCGACAGGCGAGCTGAAAAAGCTTGACTGCTGGGGCAAAGAAGAACCAGCAGTCGCTGAGTAACAACCTCGTTGTTACCAGCATGACTCGTCTGTTTCCCGCCTGTCAGCGCTGCCTTGCAAGTCTTTTCCACTAACATTTGCCACCCCCATTGCAACAGCGGAGTCTCCCCATGATTAGAGGGCCCCATTTACGCAAATCGCATCCGTTCAGCTAGGCGTTGACGATTGCGATCGCCTACTGTCCCGGATTTTCAAGGCTATGGAAGGCTCTTACTGACGGCGAGCAGCGATCAACGATGGTGGGAGGAGGGGTTGACGAATGACAAGGTGCGATAGGAGTGACCGATAAAGCAGCTGGACCCTGCATAACACCGACGTCGTGTCGTTGCCAGTCCATTGGCCAGGTCTCCCAGCACAGCCAGTTCTGGAAACCCGAAGCCACAGGTCACTTCTCGCTTCGAGATTTCCCGGCTAGTCTTCGTTCACAGTGTCAACAAAAGTCTAGTATTGCGGCATTTGACACTCTTGCGTTTCCCCGTCTTCTAGACTCGAAAAGATTTGTGAGCAGTCATCCTGAGCTCTCCAAGTTGCCAGGAACTTTTTGAAATGCAGCGACTCATTCCTGTCAGATGTCTCTTGGCAGCTAGTCGGCTTGACAGGCGTCATTGCCATGGGCCCAAGTGGGATCACCCGCCGACGGCACCAACTTTCTATCCTACCTTGACACAAACTATATATGCGGCCATTAGCGGTGAAGGCAATTAAGCAGTCCACGATACTTCAATGTAAACCTATGGAGCCCGGAAGTTTCTGTCATTGGGCCTAGAGCGTTGGCAGGCAGGAAGAACGTCACATTGCATACGTCGGTATCCACGAAGAAGGCATGAAACATTCTAGGCGCGCGATACAAGAGAGGCTCCCAGGCCAGTCACCAGATCCTTTATGCGCACTGTCCGCCCATCGCGAAGGGCTCAAAGCGGGTCTATCGGCCTCGCCTTTGGAAAACACTGGGGCTGTAGAGGAAGGGACCCATCGTGAACGCCAAGTGCCCCCATGGGACTGTGTTGGTCACGTTCGACGTCGAGCCGTTGCAAGGCGGGACTCGCCAGGATGCACTCACGACGCCGGTCCTTTCCCCGTATTGTGAGCACATCCTTCTATTTCGAGATCGGCCTGCTTCAGTCTGGCTGAGAGGCCGGTAGACTGGTCACAAGCCAGTCACACCATCTCTCCCCATAGTCTCTGTGCATCTCCAGATTCGTTGCTCCATCGTGCCGCCTCGGAGCAGATCTTGAAATGGAATAAGTGGATAACACGACCCCCACTTCGTGAAAGATGCGATTTGCCTCTGTTGCAGACCCTTGGCTGGGCCTGCTATTCCGTCATTTATAGCTGGGCATCCTCTGGGGGATCGTGTCAGTTGCTCCCATCTTGACTCGTGTAGAACTCATCGAACTGCCTTCTTCCCAAAGATCTTGAAGCCTCCCGACGCTTAGCATCTCCGTGTTTCTAATTACGGCCGGGACTTCATCCACAAATAGTCCTAGTTGCTCGACACATCTCGAACTAAGAGCCCTAACGCCCCGTTCTTCGCGCTCTTGGATCTGGCCGAGGTCCCCTGACGCCGAAATCGTCGTGGACCTTATAAGTCGCATTGGTCTCCCACCGCTCCAGCCAGCGGCCTGACTGTATACACAAAAACTCCAAACTCATAACCCGCCCTACGACACACTGTACCGGTAATCGACGACGCAATTACTGGAACACTCAGCAACACAGCATTCCGAGTCAGTCGGCTGATAATTTTATCTTTACTGTGACCCGTGGACCGTCTCAAAACCAATCGCAATGGTTGAGGTTATGCGGGCGCCAACTTTCGGCGGAAGCTTAACGGGCCCGATCGACATGACGGAGGTGTCGAGCCGGTTTTCGGATGTGAAGTTGTCGGCAATCCACGAAACGGAGGAGAGTGCGGCCCAGGACACAAGGAAAGAGACCAGCAATGGCAGCTGGAAGAAGGGTCCCTCCCGGGCGCCGCGACGTGCCTATTCCTCCAACGACTACCATCTGCCCTCCCCAGCTGGCTCCATCTCGAGATCCGAACTCCAATCTCCCGCCTCCAGACCCTCCGAACCTAGCTCCTATTTCTCGCTTCAACCTACCCTACTCTCATCCATACCAGGAACGCCTACGGAACCAGCACATTCCCCCAGCGTGGCTTTGGCGGTACAACCCGGATATGCCGCCCAGAGGAACATGCGGCCCGCGCTCCCCTCGCCGCAGCGGTCGTACTCGGTCATGGACTACGTTCCGGTGCCCATCCTGCAGCGGCCGGGCGAGAAGCTCCGCCTCGTCCACCTGCCGCCCGAGCTGCACTTTGCCATCTTTGACTGGCTCGACGACATCGACAGCACGTGCCTGGGGCTGACCAGCAAGAACTTCTACGCCATCCACCGGCGCATGCGCGGCAGCGTGGCCCTGTCGGCGCGGCGCGAGGGCCCCAACGACATGGAGTGGGCGTGGCGGCTGGCGGGCCCGCTCATCGCCGCCGGGCAGAGCCACGAGAAGGCCATGGCGCAGGTGCTGCCGCGCGGGCAGGTCTACTGCCGCAAGTGCGGCATCACGCGCTGCGAGCTGCACAAGCACATCCAGGACTGGATGGGCGACGGCTACGAGTACTGCGACGTGCGCCAGAAGTTCGGCCCGCCCGCCGCCCAGGGCGCCCGCAAGACGTGCTACCGCAGCTCGCCCCGGCACCCGCACCGCTGCGGCCGGCACACGCGCCAGCAGCGCACCGTCAGACTGGTCTAGGATCTCATGAGGCGGAAGAGCAGCGGCGGCGGTGTTGTCCGGGGGAAAGCGAGAGGGCAAACCGCGGGGCGCCGTCGGTCTTGAAGGGAATGCGAACCAGAAATAAGAAAAAGCAAGCAAGCAAAACATGCAGGCAGGCAGGCAGGCAAGGAAAGGCGGGGTTTAGGGCTGTTGTTTCTTTTTTAACGACATGGAATGAGCATGGGATCGGATTGGGTATGCAATGTGGCGTTTTGAGGAGCATCGAATCATCCATGGCAAATGGCATGATGTTATTTTGGAGATCGGATGAAGCATGGGTTCTGGAGAGACTCACATTTTTGGGTTGTACGCATAGAGTCGTTTTCTTCTTCTTCGATACCGCGAGAGATACCTCAGAATCATTACTGTGCAGAGTTTCACCTGTTATATGTCTTGTTACTCTCAGTCGTCTGAGATGTGTGAGCAAGTTTGTTGACGCTCGTGTCGGCTCAATGCCGTACCAGAACGTATGCACAGAGCCAATTGCTACAAGCAATGAACGTATTTGTATGTTATATACCTTTCAGCTTCGGGGCTTCTTGGAATCCCCTGACGCTGAGCATCAAGTGAGCCAATGTCTTCCTGGGTGTAAATATACTGTTGATACGAGATAGCTGCACGCTGGCAAATCGTGGCAATACGAGGTATGTGGTGCACGCCTTGGGGCTATAGGGTTGGCTACATGCGGCTGGCTCGTGAGCCTCTAGACCGACTGGTTCCGAGAACCTGTAGCGATGGATGATTCTACGAGAAGTTATAACGCTTGAAGTTCCAGGCGCACTCTAGTTTGGAACTTGGGGCTGGCGATAGTGACAGACTATTACAGTATCACACAATGAGACGGGGTCATTTCTCGCGGGTTGGGCTCCGCAATAGTCACCATGACGCCATGCCCCCTTGGGCCAACTGTAATGAAAACGCGAGATTCCCCCAGCCTGCAGGGGTTTAGACGCGCAGGAAATTTGGCGGGCCATGGATGCGAGATTTGACCGTGCTCCTGTACATCGGATGTTCTCGATAACGCAATTTTAAAAACAGAAGAGTCTGCGGCTCACGAAGGCACAGTACCCCCTTTGTCCGTCCGATAAGCAAGGGGGGATCTGCTATCGGTAAGGCGAGTAGTCAACATTTTAAGAAACACGTAGCCAGCCGCCCTTCGCTCTGGGCCTATGCACCTTATCGTGAGGACCTGAAGCTCATCCCCACCGGACTCGGCTGCACGTCTGCAAAACTGCTGCTTGCTTGTATGCACGGAGGCCTGTCTGTTGCTCAAGAGACGGATCACTTTCTCTTGGCCAGCCCAGCTTGCGCGTGGCAGACACTATCCGGGCGCCGTTCGCAGCTCCTCTGAGACGATTGGCCCGATAGCACTTGAGGACACAGAAAGTCGTAGAAACGTCATCTTGTCCAGCTCCAGCGAATAATTGGCCGCCGTCGATTGGCCTCCGCCCCAGCTTGCGTTCCACTTGTTAAAGGACACAACGACCTTGCCGTCCCGGGGGTTTCAGAGAGGGAGGAGAGCTACTGTAGCCCGGCACGAACGCCAGCCAACGACCATTCAACACACACGGCCTCGCCCACTACTTCTCCTGCACCCAATCTCTCCGGCTGCTTGGTTGCGAGACGAAAACAAGGAAGGTCAAGGCTGGAGTGTTGCAGTCGCGTGGCCAAGGAACTGCCCGACCAGACGCACTTCCCGAATCGTCATTGCTGCACCTCTGTCGACCACTCGCACTCTCGCATCTGCAATCCCCTTCCCACATCCCTGTCTGCCTCTCTCCAAGAGCTGCAATAATTTTGGAAAGCGTCAGTCTTCACCCGTCTAGCAACCGAGAACCTGGAAGCTGGACAATTGGGCGCTATCAAGAAAGCCAACGCGCGCGAATTACGACACCAACGCCAGCTTCCAACATCAGGGGCTGACCAACGACTTATCTTCACCTCCACCACCCTCCCCATCCATAATGTCGTCTCCTTCGAGCTCTTCCCATGCCGGGAAGCGCAAGCGCCCCACCACGGCGGCCTCGACGCAGATGGACGAGAACCAGCTTCTCCAGAACTCGTCGCGCGACGCTTCGGGCGAGGAGGGCGACACCACCGCTCCGGAGTCCGGCAGGCTAACCCACCGAAAGACGGACTCGACTGCCAACGCGAACCCTTCTAAGAGACAACGCGCCAATTCAGACCGGACTGCTGCACCGGAATCCGTCGACCAGACCGTCGACCCCGGCGAGCCCAGCGACACCACCGAAGCCAGCGTCGACATCGCCAACCGCGTCGGCAGGAAGAGCAAGAAGACGGCCGCCTTCAGGGATGAGGCTGAAGATGCCACCATGGCGCCGCCGCCCATTGGCAAGCTGACACATCCAGTTGGCTACAAGACAAACGACCCCCCTGCTGGGCGGCCCGTGAGAGTCTATGCCGACGGTGTGTTCGACTTGTTCCATCTGGGACACATGCGCCAGCTCGAGCAGGCCAAGAAGGCCTTCCCCGACGTGTATCTGCTTGTCGGTGTCACGGGCGACGAGGAGACACACAGACGCAAGGGCCTGACAGTGCTGTCTGGCATGGAGCGAGCCGAGACCGTCCGGCACTGCAAGTGGGTGGACGAGGTCATTGAGAACTGCCCTTGGATCGTCACGCCCGAGTTCCTCGAGAAGCACCAGATCGACTACGTTGCGCACGATGATCTTCCCTACGGTGCCGACGAGGGTGACGACATCTACAAGCCCATCAAGGAGGCTGGAAAGTTCTTGGTCACTCAGCGGACCGAGGGTGTCAGCACCACGGGCATCATCACAAAGTAAGTGGTATCTATGGATCTAGGATTGTACCGTCTGTGTGAGAATTCTTCCCTAACAGCTGTCTTCCAGGGTCGTGCGTGACTACGAGAAGTACATTGCCCGCCAGTTCAAGCGTGGCGCTTCGCGTCAAGAACTCAACGTCAGCTGGCTGAAGAAGAACGAGCTGGACCTGAAGCGGCACGTCCAGGATCTTCGCGATAACATCCGCTCGAACTGGACCACTACCGGCCAAGAACTGAGCAAGGAGCTGCGCCAGTACTGGCCCGCAAGCAGGCCACAGAGCCCGGCTCCTAGCCTCCGACTCGCTCCTCCTACTACACCTGGTCCCAATGGCGAGCTTAACTTGCGCGAGGCGGCCGCGATGGCCAATGCTGCCAAGTCGCCTACAACCCCTGGCGAGCGGGTTGCTAACGAATTCATCAGCGGCTACACGCTGGGATTGATCGGTGGTGTCAAGTCTTGGGTAAGTTAAACGCCTGGGCCGCTCTGTTTTCTACGTCTTGTGTGGTTTCACTTGAACTAATTCCCCGGTGCTAGATGACGAAGAACCGCAGAACTGTGCCGGACAGCAGCCGTCCACCCAGCGACGATGAGTCGGAAGGAAGCGATGGTAATGGACAGGAACGCGGCAGAAAGCCAGCGGCTTCAAGTTCGAGTTTAGCTTAAATGGTTTAGAATTTGGGCAGGCTCACGGCAAACTTATTTTCCAGTGTTAATGGTATCCGGTTTCCTACGGTGGCAGTCGGACGACCTAAGAAGACGGGATACACAAAAGTTGTCGACGGTTGTTGAAATGTATTACAGTTGATCGACAAGTCTCTGGGCTAGAAACATCTGGGAACGTGATCGCTCGGGCGAGCAGAGATGAGAATGGAAACTGTGCACCGAGACGGTTGTCGGTCGCCCGCGAGCATGTGTGCTTCGGGCACGAATATAGACAGATCACATCTGAGAATCTTACTGTATTTTTTGTTTAATGGGCGACTACTGCGAGCTGTCATCATGCTGACAGCTTATCAAAGCCGTCGAACTGGATTGTGATTATCTCGTCAGCTGCATGATTTTGTCGTTAGTACTGCTACTACATAACGTGTCGCCGTGGGGTTCGGCTGACGGCGTAATCTGACCACCACTTCATCTCCAGCGTTGCGGTTTCCGCGCGCCTAGGCACGTGGTGACATGCCAGGTCCTTGTGCTTCTCGTCTACTTAGTGCTGAGGGGGGTGAGACGGGCCGGCAAGTTGTAGCAAGGCCGTTGCGTTCGTCTACTGCTTGTGTGACTACTGCCAGGCCCATGACGGATTCTATTGTCTCTGTGTAACCTGCAGGTGCAGGAGAAGGAAGAGTGTCTGCAGATACGAGCCTCTTATCACAAAAGCAGCCTTGCCTAGTAGCGGTCTCTGGCGCCTCTTGACGATCACGCCTATTCTATGCCCAAGAGACGAAATCCAGTGCCAGATGCTGCACTCGTCCCAATAAAAGGGCCACCGCAGCTCGCGGGGGATCATGGTGAGGGAGAGCACCGCCGCCGAGCGACATGCAGATATCTTGTTGTATTTGGGGGTCATGTGGATCTCGTCCTTACTGTTCTACTGTGCTGTGCCAAAGACCGGCGCTCAGGAATACGGCACAGAACGCCTTGGAGGAGCCGTTGCAACCGTGGCGAAGCTGAGGGTGTGTCCCGGATCGGGCCAATCCCCATCCCTAGCCTCCGGCGTCCGTCCCGCTCTCTGGGGATTGTCATGAACTCCCGTTCGCCTACCCGCAGTATAGCACTTCATTAGCGTTATAGAGGAATCGGTATATGATGCTTGTAGGAAGAACCACGACGCCCCCAATATAATGGGCCACAGAGCTTTGCATGCTGCAGGCTGTTCTTCTGGCTTGCTGAATCTAGCACAACTCAATTGGGATAATGAAGGGCATTGCCGCAGGTACCACGTTGGATCTATCAGCTCTCCCAAAGGAGACATATGTTCGATGAAGCATAGCCAACCTGGGCGCCATCACTCGCAACAGTCGCCGAATGCAGATAACACACTGTCTTCACGAACCTGCATGAAAGGTCGGTCCGACTGATAACAGCTTTAGAAGTGCGCAGATGGGCGCAGAGCAGTTCCTTCAAGAGCAGGCGCAGAGAGGCTGAGTGGTACAGATATCTAAAAGCATACCGGACAGCATGCGCGATTCTCGTAGGGCGGCCGCCAACGCAAGGTACCAGATGGTTGCCGATGCGGGAGCCGAAAGTAAGACTGTCATGTACTACATTTCACCTGCACAGAGATCCTTTCTCCATGCTCGCGGTCTGGCGTGCGTTATCCCCCACAGCCTGGCTTGTCACATCTGTGCCGCACAAGTGATGGATCGATGGCCTGATGGCTGAGTCCACGCCGACCTCGACTCCAAGGTATGCGTATGTCTCTCGCTCACACACTCTCTCTCTCTCCACCTGGAGACACTCCTCCTACCTTTGGGGGCGAGCCCCAAGGTTACAACACATTGACTCCGGCCGCCGATGCGCACAAGCCTGGCTGTCTCAGGTGGACAGGTAAGCACACCCCATGGCCGTGTTGTAGTAAAGCACATCGCCTCGAGAGTGCCACGCGACGACCTAGGATTCCGTGCTTCTCCCGCGCTTAAAGGGGACATGCATGTGCATTTGCGGTTGCGGGTAGGTATCCGGGACCCAAAGTGATGACGCAACAGGTGGTGGTACATGAAGCACTTACTGTACATATCAGCGACGTCTCTGTGGCTTCCTTCCCACCCTATCGGTAGTCGAGTATTTTCAGGAACAACGGCCTGAGCCACAGCCGCATTTGGAACACTTGAACACTTTCGGCGCCTCGCATTCCAGTAAGACAGCCGGACGCGAGAGACAAGCCTTCATAGTACACTCTTGCCGGGTGCCCGCATCTGAACCGGCGAGCAGCTGGCTGTCCGGCACAGCAGCTCTCATCCGGGCGCAGAGAGAGAGAGGGCATTGGCCTATAATTGGAAATTAAGCGCTGACCACCTTTTTGCACCAAGCCTTGATGCAGAAGGCATTAGACTGCGACACAGATACCAAATCCGGACAGAACACGGTGACGATATTACAATTCCGGCATACACCGGCTTTTCTCCAAGGTCATTGGAAGCAGGTTCTCCAGAGGCGTGGAGAAAGGGTCGGTCCCGTAGGATTTGGAAAACTGGAGATGGTGAATTACGCCGCTGGGTGAAACCGCTCCCGCAGCTGAGGGGGGCGGCCAATGTCAAGGCCAGCTGCCTGGATCTCCAGATTCAGATTCGCGCTCCTGGCGATCGAGCGGTGGGCAAATCAACTATCGGGGTGAACAGAACTCGACTGCCGTGATGGGTCCTGCATGCACGACACTTCTTTGACATTACGGTTCAGCCCCCAAAAGGGGTTTCAAAGGGCCCTTGAATGTCACTCGCGGGCGACGGGTGCTTCCCGTAGCCCAGCCTGATCGCCAGAGAAGAAGAAAGCCTAATCCATCCCGCCGGTTTGGACCCCAAAGTGCATCGTGCTTCGGCTCGCGCCTGACGGCGCCAAAACCGTCGGGTTGCGTTGCCGCAAGCGCGAAGATTGGCAGGAAGAAGGCCTGAGATTGATCGGTTCGATCCCCTGGAGTGAAGGGAAACACACACTCTCTACCGAGGCGATCGATCGAGATGGTATCTGCGAGAGAGACCCGGACGACTTTCCACACTCTCGCGCAGAATGGAAAGCACATCTCCCAAAAGTACCGCCGCACGTCGCAACACACAATGCCTGTTTTATTAATAGGATCCTTCTGCTCACTCGGTTGGCAGACCGACTTGCGTCCAATGGCGATGCTCGCAGGGAGCGAGGCTTAGACGCGACTCGCTGCGCGACTATTGCCCTTCCCCCCCTCCCCGCCGTTTCTGTGAGAGGGACCCTGCCAGCCTGCCGCTGACTGGCCAGCCTGGGGGACCCTGTCACGGCCAGCGAAGAAAAGGCACCAGGTGCTGCTCACTCGCTGCAACCCATGCACGAGGTGTCCCGCTCCAACGGTTGGTGAGACCCGCCCGCGCAGAGTAGTTACCGAACCTGAAGGATTCGCGCCAGCATGGGGTGCCCTGGCCAAGTAGCAGCGGGCCGTGCTCTTTTGCAAGGTGCTTTCCATCGCTGGTCGTGTGGTTTGTCCTTTTCAATGGGTCTCGTGGGTGCCGGTGAATCCTTCGCCAGCCGTTCCAATGCCCGTCGTTGAATCTCGTCACCAGGATTCCCGCGAGCCATCTGCCGGCCGTGGTCTCTGGAGAAACTGCATGGCATCTCCTGAAACCTTTCGCAATCACAACGGGAAGGATGCGCCTTGGGGTCCCCCGGCGACTCCTTACAATCTCCTTCGACTCTGCCGACGAAATGCAGCCCTATACCAACAGCTTGGGCAGCTGAGCGAGGGGGTTGCCAATGAAAGGCAACTCGGAGCTCCGCTTTCGGTTACGTATACCCTGAACTAACTAGAACGGCGTGTTGGTGACAACTTTTTCATGATTGTTTCAACCGGGAATAGTATTACCCCATTATCTACAGCTCTAGCGAAGAGATAGGCCTGCTAGTCCTGTCTTGGCAGGTCTATTTCCCGTCCCTCCTACGGCAATCGACGTGACTCTGTGTCTTTTCCTTGCGTCTATGTCTCTCGTTGCTTCTCCCGGGGATCTACAGTAGAACCGTTGTGTTTAGAACCTTCTATGCATCTTGCTTGCGCGTGTCAGAGCACTCCCGCACCGGATGACGGGCATATGTATCTTCGGTCCCGTGTGTAGCAGCAGCGTCGCCCGCTGGATAACTAGGAAACATCTGCAGAAGATCCTCTGGCCGTTGCGTTCCATTGCAGAAGGGAGGCAGGAAAGTCAGCCTGTCAAGTTGTGTTACCTCATGCATGCTTGCGCTAGTTGGCAGTGCAAGGCCTGACAATAAGCAGCCCGTCTAAGGCCAGGGACAGGGGTCCTCAGGAAGGCTGCGCCCCTCTGGCCTGTCAGATTGCCTCTCACGCTCCGTTCATACAACTCGCCAACTCGACGTTCGTCTCATTTTTCGGGGACTCGCTCACCAAGGGCGGTCACAATAAGGCAGCCAACGCTTGGTCGCCAGGTCGGCCCCGAGGTTCGCGCACTCTCCATCTCGCGCGCATGATCCTTCTCATTCACTTGACACCTTGAATGTATGCATTGCAACTGTGCTGAAAGTCACGCCAAGCCTGAAATTCATCGCGACGAGCGTTGCTACAAAACGTCCAGAGTACTGTGCCGGCTCAAGGCGCCTCTTGACTTTTAGGGTTTGTCCTTTCTAAATATGGTAGCATGCGACCCGGTCCACCGGTGTTGCGGGATGGCACTACTGTATATTGCTCAACTCCCTCCCCGAAGCTTAGTCCCTGTCAGACTCTTGGGTGGAGTTGAGCATCCACACAGACAGAGAGAAAGTGAGTGAGAGAGGCACAGAGACGGGCTTCAACAGGTTGTTCGCAACCACATCCTGGCAACTCTCCACTGCGCTATCGCGGCAGGGAAGGGTTCAGGATGAGGTAGACAATACAGTTATTCCTAATTGGGAGCGTATGAGACCATCATGTACCCGTAACCCCCCTAAATAGCATCTCAAGAGATGAGCCACCTTTTGGCCGCCTTTTCTCTGAAGGAGTACCTGCAGGTCTGCACCACCCTGGTTTCCAGCTGACAGGGGTACGTATACACATGGCCATCGACGACCTTTCCCTCTCTCTTCTGCCCAGTCACATTAGAAAGGTTTCTTGTCTCTACCTTTTTGATTTGTATCCCGATCACACTCTACTGCCCAGTTACCCGCACCCTCGTGGCCTTAGGCTGTCTGAATATAGCAATACCTGCTCAGCCTGCCTAAGACTTTCCTACTTGGTACCTCCCCCTTCACCATCTAGGACTACTCGTACCACCCCCCAAAAACCTTACAACAGATACCGACTTGATCTCCATATCTGTTGGAAGGCTGAGGTCTCTTTCTCCCTGTAGCCTTCTTTTTTTTCCAGGGACACGCCCCTGTAACCCCAGTCTTACCGCGTCTACATGTTATTTACATCGTTACCTCTTTAAAATTATTCTGGAGGGGGTCACTTCAGCAGGGCTGAGCGATTACTAACTTTGCATCTGCGTTCCATTTTGAGCCTCTCCTGCAACCATGACCAGCCTAGAGTTTATCATGGACATGGATGTTGACGAGGAGCCGAAGGGCAATAAAAAGGATGGCGCCTCTTCAATTCCCGGTTCCAGACGGGATCGAGACCTAGCCTCAGATCATGCGAATCCTGGAGACCATCGCGACAGACTCACTACAGCCCCAAAACAACGGCGTGGTACCTCAGGACGGCATACCAAGTCTTCAACAGCGGCAGCGTCCTCGTCAACGGCGTCGTCGAGCTCCACTGCTCGGCCCGCTCCCGCTCGTCGACATAGCAACACTAGCAACGACGATCACGACGACGACGACGAAGAGATGTATGCACACACTTCAGGGTCCGGGTCAGGAGGACAACAACCAAACCGGCCCATGGGGAACCCTCCTGGGGCCGAGATCCCCATAAAGTTAACACCCATCACTGGTCGCGTGAGCAGGGCGAAAAAGGGAGTGCCGGTTCACACGTGCGATATCTGTAGACCGCCCAAGGTGAGTCTCGATTATATCGGTATGGCTAGCTGGCTACATGGCTAACGAGCACAGACGTTTACTAGAGCAGAACATCTCAGGTGAGGGACTATACCGACCTAGATGATATGACATATATAGTCCACCAACTAAACTGAGGAAATCGTATAGGCGTCATCAACTCAGTCATCAGACACCTGGCTATCCGTGCACATATCCCGGCTGCGATCGAGCTTTCCACAGAGCAGACCTACTGGCCCGTCACGCAACACGACAGTATGTTGGCCCGGCAAAAGAACGACATTAATTCCATTCTGGCATGCTGACGGTATTATAGTGAACAAGATGTGGGGGACAGAGGCTCCTCAACGGGCGGCAGTCGACGGCCGTCCACCCCCTCGATGAGCGATGGCTATGGCATGCCTCACCCAAGACAGCCGTCTCAAGGTCCAATGGCACCGCAGGCACCTGCCATGCAGCAGGATCCGGGTTCTAGCTACGGTACGCCGTCGTACCATTATAACACATCCGGGGGCGGGTCCACGCCAATGTCTCCTCCACAAGCGCGTGGCCGGCAGGACAGCTACCAATCTACAAATTCAAGCGGCGCTCCAGGATATACGTTATCAACACAGATCCCCACCATCCAACAGCCCAGCCTGGAAGGCTCCCCCAATGGTGAAGTGTACCACTACTATCACACACCGCGAACGGAGTTTCGAAACCTCCAGGTGGTGACCCAGGGCCTCCCGATCCCGGACAACAACCCTGGCCTCCTGCATCCCAACGGCTCTCCGTGGGAGTCCAACTCGGACAGCAACTTCTCCACGCCGTCTAACGAGAGCTACAGGAGGAGTATCCTGCCGGGTTATGAGACACCTACCTCTGCGTCAGAATATCATGTCGGTTCCTTTGTTCCAAGTTACCCTCCTAGCTCCCAAGACCTAGAGGTCATGACCTCCGCCGCTCCGTACTTTTCCAACCCTTGGTCGTCGCCGCCGTATTCTACGGCGATGATGGATCCAGTTTTGTCTATTTATCAAGAGGACTCTACCATCCTCGATCACACCTACCCCCCATTTTCTTCTGTTCGTAGTCCGACCCCACCGATCATAACCTCGTCCGTTCAATCGGCTGAATCTTTAGTCACCCTCGCCCCGTTTCCGGACGCGCAGGCAGTAGCAGGGCGCTACAAGGACCAGGCGGCCCTCTTGGGGACTCTCTCTGGGGCCGCCTTCCTGACGGCGGTCACTCTGCCGCGACCCGTCCGCAATGCCGTCCCCGACTTTCTCGAAGTGTACTGGAGGCGCTTCGACACTCTCTTCCCCCTAGTCCACCGCCGGACCTTTGAAGCCGCGCCGAACGAGGTGCTGCGCTGTGCTATGGCTGCCGTGGCCACGCAGTTCCTCGACGGCAAGGAGGATCGCCTTAAGGGCAACCAGCTGCATGAGTGGGCTTGGCAAGAAGTGAGACGTGTAAGTTTGACAAAAAAACGCCCTTGCGAGTAATCACGATTAGCTGACCAGCTGATATAGATCCCCCAATGGAACGTCCAGACCATGCAGGCGATCCTTCTGTGCGAGTTCTTTGCCCGGTTCCGGGGGAGGAAAGCAGTGATCCGACCGTCGTCGCCCTTCCAGTCGCTATACTCGAGAGTGAGTTCCCTGTCTTCTCCTATTTGCGTTGCTTTTGATTTCGTTACATACTCTCTTTATCAGGATCATCTCTTTAGCCTTGTTCTGTCTTCTCCGTTCTCCCAATGGCACCCGTACTCAACGTCTCCCTCACAGGTCGACACAACTCAAGACCCCGAATCTTCTTTTGGATCTACAGCCAGCACCAGCACCACTTCCACTGGAGGATCGCACGCTACCACTCTACAAGGACGCTGGGCCGAATGGATCGAAGCAGAGGCCCGCCGGCGGCTCCTGGCCGCGTGCTTCGTATTGGATGTCCATACATCCGTGTACTATGAATTACCTCTAATGCAACCTTTCACCAACCCGTGCCCTCCTATTCCCTTGACCGCAGCCGGCCAGGCTCTCTGGACCGCCTCGACGCCGGGGGAGTGGGAAACCCTCCGGACTGCCAGGTACCAAGCACCGGAGCCAGCGGTGCTGACAGAGGACATAATCACCCCGGAGAGGATAGCCAATGCGCCACCCCTGGATCAGGCCGTTTTCCTGGCATCCGAGGCACTACGACTCCCCAAGACGTCCGGAGCCCCGGCCGTGGATTTCTCCAGGTCCCCAGACCTGTCTACCGTGGAGCGACTCCTCATGCTCTTCCCCGGATCCGCGGTTGCCAACACGTACGCGGCGCTGCACTACACCCCCCTGCACGACTTGCTCGCGGTATCAGGCGACAGCTGGCTTTTCACGCAAAAGGTGCTGCCCAGCCAGAGTTTCCAGCAACACCAGAAGCAGCTCAAGCAATGGAGCAGCAGCCCTCGCGCTGCCGTGGCGGCCAAGTTTGCCTCCCGGGCGCTCCTCGCCTTCCTGAACGTCAACGCGAATGAGTCGCACCACAACAGCAGGGCGTGGAACAAGAATGACATCTCGGACTACTGGGCTGTCTACGTCTGTGCCCTGATCTGCTGGGCGCTCGGCTACCAGGCGACCAGGGGCACCAACACCAGCAGCAAGAACAACAGCGGCAACGGAACGGCGGCGGCCCAACACGATAGTAGTAATGTTAATGAGGCGGCGGCGACGGCCGAGAGCGAGGCCGAAGCGCTCCGCTGGCTGCACATGGTGGCCGGGTTCGAGACAGCCGCCGACATCCTGGCCAGCGTCAACCTCGGCGGCCGCCGCGTCATCATCGCCGTCGTGGCCATGGTCAAGCGCCGGCTGGAGGTCGAAGCCATCGGTGGCCGGAGCCGGCTGCTTGTCGACGCGCTCGGGGTCCTCAGAAAGCTCGAGGAGGGCGTCAACTGGAAATGGTTCTGAGTTGTGGCCGGCTTTCTTCCCTTTTTCTTCCCAGTTTTCTTCTTCTTTTTAATGTGGCGTAATGGATGGATATTGGGGGGGGTTTTTATGACAGTCGCTTCCGTCTTCACGCTTTCCGTCTCTATATCTTCTCGTTTCTGCTTTCATCTCGGGAGGTTTTCTGCTGCTGTTCTTCTTTCATCATTCCTTCTCACTTTCATGATCTGTATCTCACTTCTTGCATCCCGCATTGTCATCATCTTCATCATCATACTTCGGGCCTGCTCTTCTTATCTCTGCTCCAGATAGACGCATGGAATGACACGAAACGAGGCGGAACGGGACGGAACGAGACGGAACGGATACACATGTACTATTAGAATTTCTCTTACCTTTCCTTTTATTCCTTCCTTTCACTTCCCTATACTATTTCTATACGTCCGTTTTTCTATCTCTCTCTTTTCTTCGACTTCTACTAGCCTTGCTTCTCCCCTCTCTTTCTCTATTTACTGCATGGGTGCAGACCAACACGCGCCCGAGGTCATGACATCTAGGCATCTTGGATGGTAACAAAACAGCACAGCGAGGGCGTTGGGACGTTTGGATGGTGTTTTGAATGCATACACTCATGAGCGTTGGATCTAAAGATCATGATGGGACCTTGTCCTTTTACTTTCCTTCTTTATGTGTGTCTTTTGGTGTGCGTCACGATGAGACGAGAGCATCAGATGGGAGAGGAGCAATGAGGGGGACCAAAGGCGGGAGGGGAGGGAACCGGACTGTCTATTCTTGCTGACACAACGAGATAATAGACGGTGTGTTTTCACTAGACAAGGTTCCGTGGAGGGAACCGCTAATCGATTGACTTTTGTCCATGGCCATGGTTTCATTCCCTGAGTGACCTGATTATATCGCGTACTCAAACTTCGCATCAACTTCGCGAACTTCGTAGGTGGTGGTGGCTTGGCAGTTCCTTGACACTGCATTGAATGATGTCCCATTGTCCAACTCTTCAATGAAAAACCTCGTTCCCTTTCATCCATAATAGCGTGGTAAATACAAGTTGTGATTACAAATTGTAGCCACGTCAAAAGCGAGGTTCGTTCCGAAGCACGTTGAGCTACATATATGCATACGTGGATCGCTGTATCCCAGACATATACTTTAGCTGTGATGCGATCATGCCTATTTACAATGGGACGCAAGCTAGCTGCCTCGTGAATACCTTGCATATATCCGTATATGGGAGGCCAGCTGTGGCTCTAGGTCCACTATACTACTTGTCGTTGGTCGTCACTGGCCATCACACCACGAACCGACTCATATGAAGAAGACGAAATGAGAACGCGACTGTTGCGAAAGAATGCATCCGGGTTAATTCTTGACAGAACCGCGTACTCGAGTCTAGCTCCAGCCATGCTAGGATGGGTAGAGTGTGACATCGACAAAGTCTTATGTGGTGGCTGTTCAATTGCCCAAGTCAGCATTCGTCTGAAAATGCTGATTCAGAGGCCTGGGATAAGGTGCAAGTGGCTGTTATATGTCGGATCATGTTTTGGCTCCTGAGAAAGATCGCATGCAGGCAAGTCTCTTATCTATCTTGAGGGCACAGACCGGATTGGACACCGACGTGAGAAGTGTCTCAATGTATAACACACGGTTGTCTCGAGGCCAAGGCTAATTGGCCAGCTCCCCTGGAGCGGCGTCTGGGGAGATGAGAGAAGTTCAGGCACAGACACCCGTCGGCAACTTAAGTCAGGTATTCGTACCTGAAAGTATGGCGCACAACGCATCGAGAACCGAGGCTGGCGGACCACGCCAACAATCTCGCTGCACTTCAAGAGGATTCGCCTGGCTGAATGCGGACATGCCCGGGTTTAATGGGGTGCCTCCAAGAGCCAGCCCTCCCGGCATGTCCTCGGGCGTGAACTACATACGACAGAATGCAGAGGTGATTTGGTTGTGTGGTTACGAGATTGCGTGCCCGATAGCGTCTCCCAGCCTCTTCGTTTTTCCCTCCCCTCCCCCCTTCTTCTCCTGTACTGTTCTAACTTTTATGCTGTCGCTCGGAATATACTGGAGCTCGCTCTTGACAAATACATATGTACGTTTAGCATGAGCATCTGAGATCAGTTGCTGAACAAATTCGACCTTGAGTCAGGCCATTTGGTAAGTTGGCGAGTGAGCGGTGAAATGGTAGCACTGGAGTATCTACACCGACCAATATCTGCAGTATGTACTGCATACATACGTCAGCGATTGAGGGCAGCCTAAAATAGCCGCCGGCGACCCACGCCCGACCTCAGCTCTCCACAAGACATCCATGGATGCTAGTCAGATCGCTAAGCAGAAGACCGCCCAGGATACCCCGGCTGTACGCAGTAGCAGAGCTAAGAGCTCAGAGCTAAAGAGCTCCGAGAAGCTTCTGTGCAGCTGGGAGGCTTGGGGAGACACCGGAAGCAATCCCATCTGAGTTTTTGATCGCTGTGCGCGTGGTCCCCCAAACGTCACTGGACTGGGAGGCCCTGGGGATTGGCCTCCGGGTGCCCAGGTGGTTGACTAAGTGCCTACCCAGGCTAGGTAAGGCCCACGGGTGGAGAGGGAGCTCCAGACGTCCAGTTGCTCACTCAGTCGCTGCTATTTTTTTGCCTGCTTCCTGAACCGCAAAACCCTCAACCACCACCACTCCACACCCCCATCTCTCCAATTCCTGCACCTTAATACTGGCCCGTGGATTTTTTTATTATTTTATTCTTTGCCCGCACCTTGTTGCTGTCGCCGACCGACTTCTTATACCACCAGATCTAATTCCCTAACCCACCCGCCTGCAACATGGGAAGCTTTGTCTTCAAGTGGTAAGTCTCATCAGCCCTCAGCCAGTTCTCAATTCCTTCTCAATCCCGCCGGCGCAAATGGAACCTGGGCCATAATCCCCAACCGAATGCAGCCATCTTGACCTCCGCGCGCACACTGCGCGCATAGACGACTCAAAGGCTCTTGACGATGGCTCTTTTGCGCAGCTCCGCGAACGCACACTCTTTCACAAAAGATCATGTCAAGGCATGATGTTCAGGGCAGTGGAAGTAAGCACACGTTGCTGACTCTTGTGTCTCTGTCTTCTAGGGAGCACCCGGCCTCCGAGGTCTACGTAACTGGCACCTTCGACGGCTGGAAAAAGACGGAAAAGCTGGAAAAGGTCGACCAACACTTTGAGAAGCTGGTCCAGCTCGAGGACGCCTCCAAGAAGATCTACTATAAGGTATTGTAGCCCTTTCTCAGTCTGTTTATCCCGTTACCTGTACCGCCGTGGATTTGGAATAAGACCGCCGGCGCCCAACGAATTCGACAGCGCCGCTCCCTGGATTATCCCCGGTCCACCGCGGGAGAGGTGGTTTCGGCGTACGCGAGCTCCCCGGAGGCTCGACGTTCCAGTTTCCACGATCCTCAGCTCCGGGGAACTCGGGCCCCCCTGTGACTTACTCTTACCACCTGGCCTTGGACGATATCGTATGAATGGTCCTCCTCGATAGAGGGGTAACACGATCCTTGTGGGGGAAATCTCTCGCAAAGGCCAACCAACGGCCGCTGCGCAAAGATACAAGGGACCATGATAAGAGCCTCCACCATCACTAAACGCCGCGGCCTGGGACCTGGGACCTGGGACCTGGGACTCGACAGGAACGACGACGACCAATACCGATCAATATCACCCAAGCGCGACCAAACGAGCAGTCGGGCATTCCTCACGACCTCGCATGACGCAGCGGAGCCGAGAAACGCAATTGCCCGTATACCGCGCTGGACGAATTTTCTTGGGCAAGCGACGAGGCGCAGCTGCTGATAGGTCAATGGCGTCGCATCAAACCCGAATCCGTGTAGCCGCTTGGCGAGGTGAGCAAATGGCAGGGGTTGGGGTTGGGGGGCCTGGGGGGTGGTTAGGGCCGTCTTCCAGCAGGACCAGGACTGGGACCAGGACTGGGACCAGAGGACCAGGTTCAAGGCTCGTGCCCACGGCCAAGGTTTGCCAGGTCCAGGTCCGGGTTGCGGTGGAGCAACGCCTGGCGCCCATGGAAAGCGGAACCAACAATCGTCATTGCTGACAGGACTGAACTCGAGGGGCTGCCAGTTCGTGTGTGCCTTTTTATTCCGCCGCCTCGCCAGGCGCCCTGCTGCTTCCTGTTCGCACACAACAAGACTCTACTGCTGCTCGCTCTGCTCCCCGGATTCCCCAGGAGAAACAGGACCCGGATCTTTTCCTCTGGTCTTCTACAACGCGCGCGCCCACTGTCTCACGTGCCCGCACAAACATCGTCAGCTCGCACACGCTAACCCTTCGCTCCTCTGCTAGTTCGTCGTCGACGGAAATTGGGTCACCGACCACACTGCTCCTAAAGAAACCGACGAGAGCGGCAACGAAAACAACGTCCTCACCCCCGAGCGCATAGTCAAGGAAGCGCCCGCCACGTCCGCCATCATGAACTCCGTCGGCCCCGATTCCACCACCGTCGCCCTGGCTGCTGGTGCACCCTTAGAAAAGGAGAAGAAGCCCGAGGGGCTTCCGGGCACTTTCCCCGAGACCCCCGCCGCCGACTTGAACAAGGAGTTCAGCATCAACCCGCTGCCCGCCGCCCCTGGCGCCGTCAACCCCGTCCAGCTTGCGCCTGGCGAGAAGATCCCCGACACCCTCGCTGCTGAAAGCACTACCAGCAATGTCAAGCTGGACCCTGAGTCGTACGAGAAGAGCGACACTCTGCCTGGTAAGTCATCGAAAATCCCGATCCCGTTGAAACGCAGGGCTAACTGCAGACAGGTGGGGTTGCTACCTTCTCATCCGTCGCCCCTGATGCAACCACTGTTGGCCTGGCTGCTGGAGCACCCATTGAGACCAAGGTTCCCGAGGTTGTGAAAGAGAGCCAAGAAAAGGCTCACGTTGACCCCGAGGCCAGCGCAGTTCCTGAGGAAGTGAAGGACAAGGCCGCAGTCGAGAGCGAGCTTCTCGACCGGGTTAAGGAAGCCCCCTCGACTGCTGAGGGCACCGCCGGCAAGGGTACCGAGAAGACTGAGGGCACCGTCACCGCAGGTGAAGCTGCTGCATCTGTCGCCGCCGCTGCTACCGCCCTCGGTGGTGCTGCTGTGGTTGGTGCTGTTGCCGCAAAGGACACTGTCGCTGAGCAGGCAACTGCTGCCGCTTCTGCTGCCCAGGCCAGCGCCACTCAGGCTGCGACCAACCTCCCTGATTCCGTCAAGGAGAAGCTTCCCGAGTCGGTTCAGAGTGCCATCGGCACTACCGCCAAGGAGACCAAGATCGAGGAGACCGCACCCGCCGTCCCCACCGAGGTCAAGGAATCCATTGCCGAGTCCGGACAGAGCCCGGAAGCTGCTGCCAGCACGGCCGCTGTCGAAGACAAGAAGGTAATGGAGAACGAGTTGTTAAAGGAGGTCAAGCCCGTTGCCGCTGTTGGTGAGGAAGCCAAGCCAGAGTCCAAGGTTGAGGCCGTCAAGGCTGACGCCTCCGCTGCTGTCGACAAAGCTGTCGGGAATGTTGAGAAGACCGTGGGCGCGCCAACGACCGAGACTGAGCCTACTCCTGCCGCCGCCAACGGCGCTCAGACGACAGTTGCTGAACCCGTTACACCCGCAAAGGACGCAGCTAGCCCTAGCAAGCCGACGGAGAGCCCGGCCACGGGAGAGAAGAAGAAGAAGAACAGGCTCAGCGCTTTCTTTGGCAAGCTGAAGGGCAAGAAGTCAAAGGAGTAAGGGACGGAGGTCTCTGCTCTTTGCTTTCTGAGCCACTTCGTTGTCGAATTCCTGTTCTTGGTCGTTTCAAGCTCATGATTCCCCGTCTCGTTTCGACAAAGCTGCTTTCGGTGTGCGCGTGCACGAGTTTCATAGTGGATCCTCTCAGCATCTAATTGTAAAATAATACCCGTCTTACTTCAGCATACTTCTGCGTCTAATCAATCGCCTTTCGGGGATGGTCTAATAAGCTGACATCGGGCATGCGAAAGAGACTTTGCGTTACCAGGTCTTGTAGTGCTAAAGAGGCCCCCAGTGGTGATACTTAGCATCGCCGGGTAGATATTGAGTTGCATCGTTACTAGTTGTCTATTTTTGGAGGATATAACGGATGCCGAATTGGAGTCGTTCACCCCTCTTAGACAGAATGCGAGATGGGGGTCGTAATCAGTTGGACATGACGGGGAGGGCTTTCCAAACTATGAGAGAGGACGGGAATTCTCAGTGGGAGTCCGTAGATACGGTAGTCGATCTAATATAGCTCAGCATACCCCTTGCCTCGAGACATGAACTAATGTCCATCTTTGGACGCGTCGTTATGTCTGATTAGCTTATAGACTGCGAAAGGCCTTAAAGATAAGAACATAGGGCCATGACGACGGAACGATACAATGGGTCTGTCTGGCATTCCATACCGAAAGAGGGCCGGTATATGGCCAAATCCGAAGCTAAATTTCGGATTGGATACACACACATCGACGTATTTGTCCCAGTTGATCCGAGTTCCTCATACTGCAGGAGCCCTTTCATGGCAACTGGTATAATTCCCGCTTTACGAATCGTGATGAGAAAGAAGTGTATTCAAGGAGAAAGATACGAACCCCCCCTCCAAAAATAACATAAAATAAAAACCTTTCCGCTCTCCCAGCGGTTACAGAAGACCAAACACAATACCGTCTACTCAAGCCTTGATCAAGGTCAAATAACCGCGCTGCAACGTCCCTGTCCTGCGCAAAAATCTATGCCATCTCCCCAGCTTGTCTAGTCTCAGTCCTGTGACATGGATTCCATCTTTGGGTGGAGGCTCGTCTGGCCGTACGGTACGCGCATGTTGTTTGTTTTTATCGAGGAAGAGGTCCCAGCTATCGCTCCTTTTGTGTGAGCAGGGACCTATATCAAATTCCCAGACTGCGCGGTAATCTAATACGGCCACATCATCAGACTTAAGCTCAGTAATCTTAGTATGAGATTATTCTACCTTCTCGTTTGACGTTCTTGTCTACTTTTATCTCGTAGGAATGCGATTTCGAGTCGTAGACCAACGCGCGCGGTCGCAAGCAACGCAGCAGATTTTGGGCTTCATTAGTTCTGGACATGATACACTCAGCCGACCGTGCGTATCATCTACCGAGCAACTGTTATACTGCTGTATATATATTCGCTGAATCTCAATAACTTATTCGTGAGGAATACTGGGTTTTATTGTTGGCCCGGCGATGGGGTATTTGACCTTCTACAAGGAGACACAAGGCTACAGTAATATAAGGGTCAGCAGGCGTCCTTCCGACCGAAATTACGTGATATAATACGCCCCGCTAAAGACCCCAAGGAGCTGGCGTACAGATAGGACTGTCTGTTGACATTTGTGCCCTAGTCATCTGAGCAGCCACGCTGACGGTGTGGTACCACATAGCCAGCCTGCTTCAAATCATGCCCTAGAAACTATGTCTCCCCGTGCTATTAGCCAAACAAGCAGGGTGTGGTTACTCAAGAAATCTCTAATTCGTGTTCTAGCAACCACACTGGAGGCGAATATGATTTTGGAGGATTTCAACTCGTCATGAATGCACCCCCACTGAAAGCAATGGAAACGCCATCCAATATGAATTGCAGTTTCCTACCCATTGTCAACCGGTGAGCCAGCACCGTATGGCTTGCATGTCGCGCTCAAAAGTCCCTGGTAGCTGAGGCTCTGTTTCTGCCGCCTGGTCAGCTTTGTGCTGCCCAGAAATACTTGCGTAGCCTGACAAAAATTTATTCACGTTTGCCGTCTCTTCCAATACTAAACGGTACTTAAGTAAGGCGCATTCGCCATCATATGAGACACAAGTCAGGAGGCTTAGATAGCACGCGGCGTCTCCAGCCTAAAGTCTGCGGTCATAGTCGAGGATTTGAAACGCCAGTGTCTGAAGGATGGCGGAAGCTTCCAGAACAAGGGTGATGGTGCTCACGTCACATTTGAAGGACGAAACAATGGATCCGTGGCTGAAGAAAGCTGCATTGAGTTTTGGTATGAATTCTATCAAGAGCACATCACACCCTTTCACTAAGATGAATTAACAGACGGGGGTGGCATTCGAGGATACTGGAGTTTGCTCGCCCTCAAAGCGCTCATGGAAGAGGTTCAAAAGGTCGAAAAGGAGAGAGACGAAGGAACCCACTCGAGCTTTGCGCCGTGTGCCGAGCCTGAGAGAGTTTCCCACTTGCGGTCAGAGGAATATACACACTTTCTCCCGTGTCATTATTTTGACTACATTGGGGGAACATCTACTGGAGCGTATGTATTCTGGTCAGCTGATTGAGAAACTCTCTGATTTGCGATCACAAGGTTGATCACGATTCTTCTCAGCCGCTTCAGGATGACGGTAGAAGACTGCATAACCGAGTATAGAACAATGGCTGGGACGATATTCGGCCGTCGTCGAGTGCTTCACGCCCTTAACACCTTCATCTATCCAAAACCCAAATACTACGCAAAGAGTCTGGACGATGCCATTAACCAAGTCTCCAATAGACGAAAGGAAAGAGGCTCAAACAAGTCAGAGATACTCTTCGAGACGGACAGCAAAACTTGTCGAGGGTGAGTGTACATCAATTTCTGTGTAATCCATTGTGCTGACAACCGGCATCACGTGCAGAATAGCTCTTGCGACAGATATTAGCAATATATCAAACACAAGGTTCCTATTCAGGTCCTACATGCCGTTCTCGGAGCTCGGCAAGCCCATAGACCAAACCATCGGTATGAAGAACCATGACGAGGGCATAAAGTTAGCAATGTTGACAGTTGCCCGTGCCGCCACTGCTGCACCTCTCTTTTTTGGACGTTACCGCGTCAGCTTAACTCCTGATCAAGTAGTTGGTTCGCGTCAGGATTTACGGAGCAGGACAACATTTGTGGAAAGATTGACCACGCGTCAGCCTGAGCCGAATTCCATGAAGACATTTGAAGATGCAGGTTTCACTTCGGCAAATAATCCAAGTGCGGAGATTCTGGACGAAATCGAATACCAACAAGGAGCAAAGAAACGCGGCGATAGGAAATCAAACAGACCAATCGTTGTAAGCATTGGAACAGCGAGACCCGGATATTCCAACAGAAAAGAAACGGTGCGCAGCATCATCAAGAAGAGTTTCTACAATGCTGGAAATACTGAAGATGTGCACAGCATTATGCTGAAGTACGAACGTGACGGCAAATGTTTGTATCATCGGTTTAACGACGAGTATGGTCTAAACATAGAGATGGATGAATGGAAGCCAAGCAAAGACGGGAGAGAGACTTTGAGGAGAATGGATGATGTCTTTCAGGAATGGCGGGAGAATCCTGGCGTACGAACTAGCTTTCGAGCATGTGCCGAAAGGTTGGTTGACCTGAGGCGGGCGAGAGCTTGCCATAAATTGTGGAAACGCTATGCCCTAGGTGCGTACTTTGTCTGCAGGCTAGAAGGGTGTAACGAGGATCGCTCTGAAGTATGGAGTAATGAAGATCGCTTCATTGGGCATCTGCAACGAGACCATGGCATGACAAGAGAGGAGGTAGGATCGAAATGGTCTGAATGTGAAAAAAAAATGGGAATACAGTGGGCCAAGTTAATCTTCCAATAATATATCCATAGCTTTCCTTGCTACATAGGTACTCGTAGGACAGGAAACTGCTCTTAGATCATTGAACTTGTAAATAAACCAGGGGCAACTTGTTTTCACTTCATTCCGCAGCATGCTAAGAAATGAAATGCGCATTATGTGCTAGATATGTTAGTCACGGCCAGCAAGACCAACCGTGCATTATTTTCCACTTGCCGTGCCATCTCAGGCGATAATGGCGATCCTTTGAAATGCCATAATTTTGCCTTGGTAACCTCAGACTCACAGTGTCATGTGAGAATATCAGCAGCCAGTCATTTATATCGCCTTCGCGGGGCGTTTCAGCGGTGTTGCCCGGCTGCTCTGCTCTCTTTTACCGTCTACCATTCAGCCTCGTCCTCAATGGATACGAGCTGAACTTCCGTCAGCACCTGACCTGGAATATAAGACTTGCAGTATAGCAATGGACACTCTGGAATCATGCAAGGTGAGGTCGTAATGAAGCACGATTACCTAGGGATTAATTCTGCTTACACATCCCTCAGTCCATCTCGGTACGATTTGTGAATGGGCTGGGTAGCGCGCTGATGCACTTGATTACCCTTCCCTACTACCGGTTTTTTCGTCAGAACACACTGATTCCCATTGTTTCTATGGTTAAAGCTACTGAAGTGGGACAGAATGATGAAGAGATTCAAGGCATGCTCTACAGTTGGCGAGACCGTAAGCTGCACGAATTGCATTCCGTACAGATATCCGTGAGCTGAACCTAATTTCTCCATCAGAATATCTCTTACAATTATCTTAGGGAACTCTGTTGGCTGCTGGAGTAATAGGGTGCTTCTCTTGGCCAACTCGGGAAAATGAGCATTGGGTAAGTGTTCAACTTTCCGGAAGGCAGTCTCGGTGGGAGAGGTTCTCTTTTATACCGATCCGTTCACGGCCTTCTACATAATTTTATGTCTCAAGCATAGCAGCACTACGTTTTACCGCTGAAGAGAGAAGCTCACTCTTGGTAGCTTGGACCGGCCTCGTGGTATTTAAGCCTTATCATGGCATTATTTGCAATTCTGTTATCTTCGTCCCAGGCTTTCATATTTTCTACAATGAAATCTCGATCTCGGCCTGTCCCACTGATGGAGGAACTGTCTTTAATCTGTCGCATTGAAGGCCGTCCCGAGTTCAGTCAAAATAGTGATAGGGAGAAGGGCAAGTCAACAGTGTCTCGTACACCACGGGTACAAATCCGATGGAATATGGTCTTCACATGGCAAGCTCCAACCGTGCTCCTAGCCTATTCAGTCATCGGTTTCATCATGGGGATGTCCATCTATGTCATTACACCTTTGTATTCAGACGAAGATGAACTGGGCGGAAGACGCGTAAGTCGCTGGAATCGCCCCTGTGTTTTCATTTGGCTGATTGGCTCATTAGACTGCAATTCTATACTTGGCGGGAAGCTCACTCTCGGCGACAGTGTTCACCTGGTGTTCGTTCTGGGCTTACAAGCATGTCGAACTAGATTGAGATCTCCAGTATTCTATTTCTATATCCGTCTATGTATCTTATTGCCTTTTCCTAGTTATGACGCAGGTTCTGTCGTGAAAGACTGTCTAAGCTTTGAAACAAAATACCATACACCCATGGAGCTCGTGACACTTCAAAGGACCCAGAATTGCTGTACATCTTATCTATACCCCTTTATACATGACTCAATGCGATACCCGTGAAGGATCCTTGATCATCGTAGAACCTCCTTTTGTTGCTCCCATCCATATTGAACCTGTACACAGACCCGCCAAGATCTGTAGCATATATGTGTTGGTTCTTCTTGTCAAGGGCGAGACCAATGGCCTCGTGTAAGTTCCTTGCCAGGATATCGTACTTTCCAGTTCCCACAGTTTCTAAGGGAGCTCGGTTAAGACTATTTCCCAACGGCATTTCGCCGCGATCTGTCCAATAGAGAAAACCGCCTTCCTCATCCACTTCAAGGTCTATTGGTTCCGGCAGATTGTTGAAGAGGCGCTCGATATCGGTGCGACTACTGGCGTCGGTTCCAGTGGGAAATTCGATCGATGCTCTGAAGATTTGGCCCTTCGAAGCCTTCGAGGGCCCTTTCTGGGTCCAGTAGAAAGTACCTCGTTCAGGTGCTACGGCGATACCGACGCACCACTTTGTCTGATCCTCAAACCCTTGGGTCCAGTCTCCGGTTTGGATCAATGTTTCCAATGCAGAGCCATCGAAGTTGCACCGCAGGATCCTCATGCCTTCGCGATCGGCGATATACACCTTTTTGTTGACTTCATCCAGAGCCATCTGCTTCGGCGTATGCACAGCACCATGCGGCACAATGGTCTTGACATGGCTGCCATCCATATTGCAAGACATGACATGGCCGTCATTCTTGTCTGGAACAGCCATATTTGTCCAGAATATCAAGCCTTCTGAACGACTGAGGGCTATGCCATCAGGGAGATTCTGGTGCTCAACGATAGTGCGAAGAGGGGACTTGCCATCAGCACTACCAACGAGTATGCGGCCAGAACTGAAAACATCTTCTGGCTTGTTGGCCAGACCGACGTCTAGGAAATATAGCTCAGGGGCGTGCACGTTGTCGTGATCCCCTTGCTGCTGACCCGCTGTCTTTGTCGTGTAGCCGGGAGGGTACAGGCCACCAAGTGAGCTCTTGGCACCCAGCTTGCCCTCGTCGATGTATTTTTGCAAGTAGGGAATGACGCCAGGGTCTTTGAGTCCTCGTTCTTCGATGTAATGCTTCTCAATGAATGACACCGTATCAAGACCAACCGCATCCATGGAGGCGCACGGGGTAGCGCCCGTCTTTACAAACATCTCTGTCCAGACCGCATCCAATTCCTCCGGAGTGGAGACGCCCTCGGCCAAGACCGTGAGACACTCTCGCTTGATTGCGGCCCAAACCCGGTTGATGACGAAGCCCGTTGACTCCTTGTGAGCGACCACGGGCAGCATACCGATGTCCTTGAGCTTTTCGACGAGAAACGGGAAGATTTCCTCTTGAGTATCACCGCACGTCATCAGCTCAACGATCTTGTTAACTGGCGGCATCATATAATGCATGTTGAGAACTCGGCGGCGGGTCTCCACCTGCAATTCGCTCGCTGTCTCCCGGGACTTGTAGGAGGACGAGTTCGATGCCAAGATAGCATCGCTGGGCGCCAAATTCTCTAGCTCGCCAAACGTCTGCTGCTTGATCTCGAGTTTCTCAGGCGCGCACTCGATTACTAGGAACGCGCCCTGGACTGCCGGCTCGAGGTCCTGAAATGTTCGGACGCTTGGAATTTGGTTGGCGGAGTGCCCGGGATATCGCCATAAGTTTGATTTGACGTACTCCGAAGCTGCGGTCAGTTGCTCTGGGTTAGGATCCCGGATGTTGACGGCGTACCCGCCGGCTGCCCAGGCGGCGGCGATCCGTCGTCCGAGGACGCCAGCGCCGAGAACGGTAACGGGTCTGTCGAGTGTCGAAGGCGCAGTCCAAGGCATTGTGAGTATTGTTTATGGGGGAACAGATTGTGACCCAAACTTTCGGCTTGGCCGGCAGAACACATTATATACGACGGCGTAGCGTGTCGGCGCCCCATAGTGTCGTCATGAGCCGAGGCTTCTGTCAATGCGGCGGCCCGACGGGGTTTTCAGACGGAGACTGAGAAATTCTCCGTTGCCACTTCGAATCAAGATGCTTCATAGCTGATAGAAAGTAGCTTTTCCAAGAGTCAAGCGAAGAACATCATGTAGAAGATCACTTGAATAAAAGAGACCACAGGTGCATGTTACATTGGGCGGCCGTGGCTGCATGAAGTCCGAAGCGGAGCCGCCGAAAGTCTTGGCCCGGCCGGGCTGCCGCTTATCTTATCTCCACCGCCCCGCGATGCATCTACCAGTAATGAAATGCTGAAGAGATGCCATGTACGGAGCAAGATCTTTACTAAAGAACATCGCATGTCTTGGTAATTGAGCCTCACATTTTGAAATCCTGGGGGCCAGAATGGAGCGAAGCGTACCAGTTCTTGAAGTCAACCCCCCGCTGATCAATTCAGCGAACCCCTGGGCGACTTCGCTTGAAGACCTCTCTGCACTATTCAACTGCCCTTCTTTAGGGGGTATCACCACCAGAACGTCTCTAGTCAATGGCTTCAGGCACGATCCTGCGGTCCATCAGTACATCTTCTTCGATCCCGCTACACATGTGTCTGGTACCCATGATGATGTTGGGAATGGTCCTGGACAATCGAGCCTGAACAATCTTGGCTACAGCCCTATTCCTCTGAAGGACTATCTGTCGTACATCCAAACCATCTCAGATGGCCTCTCGGCCATCTCGGAGAAGCTGGTGATCGTGTCAGTCACAGGCACCCCAGAAGAAGTTGCGGAATGTTATCGCCTCATTGCAGAGCACAGCAGGCGAGTCAAGATGCCGTTGGCAGTCGAGATCAACCTCAGCTGCCCCAACATACCCAATGCGCCACCGCCAGCCTACTCAGGAGAGTCACTGGGCCGATACATGGTGGCTCTACAAGGGCCTATATCTGACGCAGAACTGCCACGACTTCCAGTCGGCTTAAAAACGCCGCCTTACACTCATGCTGGTCAGTTTGAGACGCTCATCTCGGCCCTGCGGACTGCTGGAAGCCAGTGCCCAGTGAGCTTCCTGACTGCGACCAACACGCTCGGGTCATGTCTCATTCTCTCTGATGGCGAGTGTCACACCGGCAAGCCCAAATTGCCTGGATTTGGTATTGGAGGCATGGCAGGGGCATCGCTACATCCGTTGGCTTTGGGCAATGTGGCAACTCTAAGGAGATTACTCGACCAGGATGACAAAACGAGACACATCAAGCTCATCGGCATAGGAGGCGTGGAAGACGTTTCTGGATATCGTCGGATGAGAGGTGTTGGTGCAGCCGTGGTAGGTGTAGGCACAGCATTGGGAAGAAAAGGCACTGCAGTATTCAAGGAGATTGAAGAAGACCTCGCAGGAGGACCGTGGTGAAGTATAAATCCATGTGAAAACTGGTTTTGGTAAATAGCACATGTCTCAGCACGAATAATGAATTAGATTTTCGCGCAAAGTGCGGCGAACGAGGTTTCCAGTGGCGTGTCTATCTGTGTTGAGATCTACCTGAAGTCCGAGCAAGTCATCAACTCTGTCTCGTGCGATCTAAGTAAATGCGCTGAGTGATACGGGAATTTAATGTTTCTAACACCGTAGCTCGGAAGACGCAAGATGACAGTATGGTCCTGCAAAACGCTGTTACGTATTGTAGCTCATTCCCAAATCTCTGGTTGTTCGTACTCTAAGTGCCTATATCGCAAGCCGAGCGTCGTCTCGCCAAATTAGTTCTACAACGACTAAAGCCACTTAGACCAAGCAGCTTACAGCTTTCTAATCTATCTGACTTGCCCATGGTTCAAGATTTCGAGCCTCGGCCGGCCTAGCTAGCCTAAAGTCGCCAGTGATCTCACAACTTAGCTTCATTCGTATCAATTGTACAGAACAGATGATATCTTCGAACGCCATTCACATATAGCCGTATACAACGGGTGGGCGGAATGTCACTTTGTAAACCTTGTGATTCGAGGACAGGAAGCTAACTCAAAAGAGGCATCCCGGGCTTGCTTGAAGGCGTAAGACTCGATTTTCGAGGTCCGGCGTGGGTACGTGTTTTTCTCCCTCTGCAGAATGCTGTCTTGACTAGTGCAAGCTTTCTTTAGGGTTCCAGAGTCTCTGGATGCCACGCGGGATCTGCCAAGAGCCCCCAACGCAGTCCTGCAACGCAGCAACTTATTAATGTGCAGCATTCCAGGACGCAGCGCCAAGGCGGGAAATGGTTTGTCGGGAACAACGCCGAGAGCATGAGCTCGTCGTTGCGGGCTAGGCCGTGTGATTCGTGGAGAATCTTGGTGCTGAAGATCCAGTAATGGGGAGCGTCCGGTAAAACCTGTCTCCTAGGCCCACGAAACGGCGCCCCGGCTTCGCCTGCCCCCCGCACACCATCCAGCCCCTCCATCGAGCTTCTCCAACTCAGGATTAGGGGCTGATTTTGGGGTGCATGTTCATACCTGGCACACTGCCTTGCCTAGATAGGCATTTGAGTGCACCAACGTTGACCGTTAGGGACTGAGCACGAGACATGTCAAGTTGCTGCTGAACCCCAGGCTCTACGTCAGGGAGTCTTTGTAGAGTCTCAGTCTGGTGCCGTCAATTAGTTCGCATGGTCGCCTCTCGTATAGTCAGAAAGAGCCTCAATGAGGCTTCGTTGGCGGCTCCTGTCGCAACAGATATTGGATGTTGACAAGGGGCAGGCACTGTCCCGTCTCATTCGGGCGTATGGGGCATTTCTGGGGCCTGGTTGGTTTTTTCTTATTAGCATCTTATATTGCCGTTGCGAAACATCGGCCCACTATCCTGGAAGGCCGTTTGACTATCTCTTTCTAACGAGATACCTAGATACATACGTTACGTGATGGATCTAGATCGGCAAGGTCGACGATGATAGGGGAAATGGCTGCGAAGGAGCCCAGCAAGCCATTCCCGTGCCAACTGCCGAGGAGACTCTTCCTTCCGTGTCGTGGGAAGCGGACAGGAGATATCACACAGGCGTGTAGTAGAAGGTCACGCATGCGGACCTGGAGGCATATGGAAGCCATGCTGACGAAGTGACGCTGCGACGGCCATCCACCACGCACCTGATAAAGCCCAGAAGCTCACACACACACAGCATTGCTTAAACCCACGAAACGGTGGAATGGGGCACCTGGGGCCCCAGTCGCAGAACCCTGTCGGCCTGCAACTAGTGGCCATGGTTACTGGATGTCGGGGAAATTCGTTGGCTAGGCAGGCTTGGCGGGTCGTATGTGGGTAGATTCCCCACGACCATGATCCCCTTTCAACCCGCATTCTCATTCATTCAGCTGCTGGTTTCATTTTATCCATGCTGGTCGACTTGACGGAGCCTTCAAGGAGTTCAAGGCATTGCGGCTAGGCCAATACAGTCCCACCCAGGACGATGCAGATCTCTCTTCTCGAATGCGACTTTAAGCCAGCCAAATCTGCTCCAGATCTGTAGCACTCTGTCCCAACAGATCTCGGGAACCAGCTCTCTTCTCCTCGGAGAAAATCCTCGCACCTGCTGCATATCCAAGCTGTCAACTGCTTGGGTGGTGGTTACATAACAGACAGCTACGGTAGCCCCAGGGAGCACCAGACCGACCAGTCAGCGCCCCCATCACCCGCATCCTGCCTAGCTGTACTCTGCGGCTCATCCGACGATCTGGTTGCTACGACCTGGCTACGCCGAGGCCCGGCCTGGAGAATTCTCTGCCATCTGATGGCTGGAATAATTATAGGCGACTAATAGAAATCGATCACAACCGGCCAGGGCCAAGACTCGATATTATTCCGCCATATCTCATTCGTCTACGGCAGAGCTAGCGCGGCACGGCGAGCCCTGCCATCTCGCGACCTCATCAAGTCGCAACTGCATTTGCTCACTACAACTCTGAGTCTGTCCTGTCGTGATTAGAAAGCACTTCGTCTGAAGTGCTACTCACCGGTCTATCTCCAGACACCTCACAGCTTATAAGGATCCTAGCTTTATACTCAAGCTTTTTAACACCACCAATGAGCTGTCCACAAAGACGCATCTAGGCTAGACGCTGCCTCGGATCGCCAGATTTACGGTCATCCAGCTGCGCAGGATTCCTCTTGCAGCCCGCTCTTGCGAACTCTTAAGAGAGAGACCCGTGCCTCACAGCATTGCGCTTGACTTCAGTGCGGTATTTGACAGTCTTGTCATGCGACACTGTTGCCTCAATTCTACGTTTTCTTAGAAGGGGGAGAAGGCATATGCGCCAAGTCGACTCGTCCTCTCCACCGCCGTCCGGCCCTTATTTCCGATTCTTTGATAAGAATCGACTTGAAAGTCTTCTGAACCTGCCGTCCATTTGGCGAAAACACCTGGCAGTACCAGTGAAATGACGACTGCGGTCCAACAGGTTGGTGGTGGGCCAACGCCCGTACGGCCCTTGAGTGTGAACGGCGCAGCTTTGGTCGGCATGGATATGGACATTGACCGGCGTTCACTATCACCGGCCACCAACGGGGTCAAGTTTGGCAGTGGCCCGAAAAGGGGCGACACACGCATCGTCGTTATTGTGTATGGGCAGGGCCAGGAAAATATTGTATCAATCTTTGCGGATGTTTTGGGCAAGCCCTACCGAGTAGCCGCCAATTTTGAGAGTATCACCTCTGCGGATCAAGATGTTGTCGTTGGAGTGGCAGCGGAGAAGGCTCAGGAGGACGTATCGAGTCGAGCCAAAAACCTCGTAGTGGCCATCAACGCCCACTGCGTCAACCTGGGGATGCCGCCGGACGTGAAGCTGTCGGCCGAATGTGACTACGAATTTCTATACTCAGAAACACACTTCTTCCGGAGAGATCTAACTCGCTTTACGTCATTCGTCCTTGGTCAGATCAACCATCACGAGGCCTTGATGGCAAAACCACGGACGTACTTCATCTCGACAACTTTCCCCGATGTTCATGCCGCCCTACCAAACATAGATATCCTGACAGTCGGTGCTGACGCAGTAGAGCTGCGAGTCGATTTATTGAAGGAACCCCTTAGTGACGGGACATTTGCCCCGATACCCAGCCTCAGCTACATTGGAGAGCAGGTCATGCTGCTCCGCCAGCGCACGGAACTACCGTTAATATTCACGACGCGGTGTACGAAGGAGAACGGCCGCTTTCCTATGGACAACCCGGATATTTACTACGAGTATCTGTATAGGGCCATTCAGTGGGGCGTTGAGTACATCGATGTTGAGGTGTGGTTGCCGGAGGAGATTCGACAGAGATTGTACGAGCAAAGAGGGAGCAGCCGCATAATGTCTGCCTTTCACGATTTTTCATTCACATTTAAGTGGCCTTCAATCCAGGCACAGTCTATATTCCTCGAGTCACGCAAATATGCCGATATCGTCAAGATGATCGCTTTCATCAATGAGCATAACGAGAACTTTGAGCTTGAGTATTTCCGATCTAAGATCCGGGCAGAATATCCAGACGCACCACCATTGTCCTTGATCAACATGGGCGAAACAGGACAATTCTCTCGAACTCTGAACAAGGTCTTCACGCCTATTACTCATCCACTACTACCTATCATAGCCGCACCTGGCCAGATGAGTGCTGCCGAGATCAACGCCGCCCTCTCCCTACTTGGTCAACTGCCCAAGAAGAATATCTACGGAATCAGTACCCCGGCATCTCGCATCGCCACGCCACAGGCACCATTCTATGAGAAATGTTTCAATGAACTTGGACTACCGCACCAATTTGCCGTCGTCGAACGCCCGTCAAGAGGCTCTGGAGCTGTGGAAGCTTGGTGCAATCAGAAGGCCTTTGGCGGCGCCTACCTCAGTCCTCCAATGGCTTTCTCCAGCTTGATGCATAACAACACGTTCTTTTCTCGACACAGAAACGGCGCTGGTCCTATAGTCACCGAGGCAGCCAGGCTTATTGGCATGGTCGATACTATTGTCGTTCGGCCAAGTTCGAACTCAACCCCCGAATCTGCCCCTGCTTCCATTCCTTCCAGCCCTTCTCGACATGGTGAAATGTCGCCTCGTGGACTGGCGAACTCCAACGCTGGCCTGCCACCTAGCTCCTCCCTCATTCTTGATAATGCGACTTGGCGCGGGATCCTGAGTACGCTGACTCGAGACTTGGCCCCTTCAGCCTACTTGGGACGAACAGCATTAGTCCTGGCATCGAGCTCGGACGATGCCGTATCCGTCATATTTGCTCTCAAAGCGCTGCAGGTTGGAAAGGTGTACACTGTAGGCTTTAAAACTCCACTGGCTCTTTCACGAGGCATGGTCATCGAGCCGTTCAACAGTCTCGAGAGCCTCCAAAGAGCGCGGATGGTGGGAGACGAGGCAAGTCCATTCGTCATTGTTTCCGCCTTGGGCCCTGAAAAGAGCAACATAGTCGGCATGCTGCTTCGCGTGTTTGGCGGCACAAGAGGTCCCTCAGCGTCAAATACTAGGAAGATCTTCTTAGATTTGGCAGATGGGCCGCGCAAAGGCGACCCCGGAATCGTTGCTGAGCAAAGCGGCTTCGCAGCCTATGGTGTTGCAGATGTCGCAGCCTTCACTACGGTCGAAACTTTACGGCTTCTCGTCGGCCAGAATGTCCCGTACAGTTTTGTGCGGCTGGCGAGCGGGAGAGGCGTGTTCTAGAACGGTTGGCGTTTTGCCTACTTGTCTACACTCGTGCATCAGGAAGAGTTCCGATACTTCAGGCCATTATGGCAAAGCCACAGTCCATTCAAGCAGCGTCTGAAATGTTCATTAGGACATACTGTCGTGTGCCAACATGTATCGTTTATTAGTCCAGAGACACTGTTCTCTAATCCTATCTTCAATTATCCTAACCTTAACCATCTCCGGGGAGAGCGCAACATTCACCATATATCACACAGCTCGACATCACGCTCCAATCGGGCGGAAACTCACCTACACGATGCTCCTCTCATTCGGATTTCAGCGTTCATGGCACTTGAACTAAATGGCATGGATGTGGCATCATTTGCATAGGGACGGGAGAACGCAAAGACGTGGAGTTCAGAATTAGTGGCGTTTACAGGTGCTCTTTCGAAGCACAGTTTGTTCGAGTTCTGGGGATACTTCATTCATCGTGTATGCTTGCCGATGTTACTTCCTCAACATTTACAACTTTCATTAGTCTCTTTGTTACTTTAGGGTGTTTTTGAGGCTCACATGGTGTGTGCAGTTTTGGAGTGTATATAGTGGAAGATTTACTGCATTGAACTCTCGACCTCTCGCCAAAGCTGGTGAAATCATGATCATGCCACTCTTGTATGTTGTGGAAGGGCGAAGCCGGGGTACGCCCCTCGAGCCTGAGAAGTTCGACGGCAGCCGAACGCCAGCATATGAATCTGACGCGAACCTGAGAGTGTATTTCGTTCTAGTAGTGTTTCGAGGGGTTATCCTCGCGAACTTGAGCACAGGTTATCGGTTCTTAACATGATCAATGATCAAATAATTTCCATCTCGTCTTAAAGATCTCATTACCAAGAGTATTAACACCCATAGCACAACAGAATTGGAAACTTCTGGGTAGGACGACTGCGATGGGCCCTCCAAACATATCATTTTCACTCGAGCCATGGTGGTGCTACTAGCAATTGGATTGGATGCCGAGCAACTTGTGTTCGATCAGGTACCTGCCGCTATTGGTTTTGGCCAGTGAGACTGAGCCAAAGTATTTCCACCTGTGGCAAGTACTGGCAGAAGCAGTATTGGCTAGGAAGCACTTTGATGTATGCAACAGGGACAAGCGTAACTGGTCAACGTCACCTGCTGGACTGCCAGGGGTCTTATCTTGCCACTCACGTACTGATTCTTTGGCGAGCCACATAGAATCGCATTTCCTGGGCCATACTTTTCGTTAAAGACAGAAGAACATAGTTCTTGCAGGGTAGATCATTGTAATGTCGGCAGATACCTTCATCAATGGCATTGCAGTCAAAGACATCTTGCCTCGGAACTTGGACTGGTACTTCGTATTGTGTGTGCACGCCTACGACCATGGCTTTGCCACTTGTGTCATAATGTAAGCTGGGGGCACGGCATTGGTCGAACTGATCGTGACGTTGTCTTGTATGTATGTGTTTATATTAATGTCTGTAAGCAAACTATTCCGGCATTCGATAATGGTCGGGTGGGCCGAAACGAAGTGATGCGGATGAGGCAGTCATGCGGCGACTTCAATTGTGATTAAAAACGAGTATGGCGTCACAAAACGACGCATCCTTGGCGAATTCCAGCCACAGTCGGTTGAGTCTCGACGTTTGCACTACCCTCATGTTGAGAGTCGGTATAGGAGACTAAGGACTGTATATGTCGGGGGACCAACACGGAGTAGACCTCTCCGAGATGACGAGCGACTCAGGAGGGCGAGGCTCGAGACACCACGTCGGCTGGTGTCCCGGCAATGCCTGACACACGCATTGCCCAGTTCGATGTGTTCGTGTGAGTCCCAGCTGGCTATGCCTGAAAGCGACCTCGACAGCGATGTCACCCCCCCGGGAACTCCTCTCCCGCAAGGTAACCCACATCGAGTCACTTGGAAATGAGGCTGATCTGGGGTAACAAGGGGTCTCGCCAGGATGCTTACGTATGGGTACCTGGCTACCTAGCTGGAATGGTGCTGCCTTGCGTCAGACTAAGGTTTGGCAGCCACCCTACGTGTCTATTGTACTACTGAGGCAAACCTGGGTCCTGGGTGAGCCAGAACCGTCGGTCAGCCCGCGGATAGTGGAGGCACAGCTTCCGAAGACTCTAAGGCAGGCACACTTGCGGCAGTAAGAGGTTTGTAGTACGCGGAGGTGGCGGGGGGCGGATGATGGCATAATGGAGTGAGTCTATGTGTTAACGGCATTTTCCAGTCAAACATGCTACGGCTATTGCCATCATTTTGGAGCCAGTATACATGGATAATCAGCAATTTCACTGGATATTAATGAAATGAAGGGATAGGCTTCCTGTAACGAAGACGAGTGTTATGCAACAAGAGGTTCTGACACAATCAAGTGTCGGGAGCGTGGCAGAACGGATTGCGTTCGTCATTTTGGTATGTTCAACTTTGACAACTGCCCGAAGGAGGTAGTACTTCTGAGTGTAGGTTTGGGAGCTTATTACGAGTCTTACTTCGATGATACTACGTAGCCTAGCGATACGCTGCGGGAGGTCGATAACACGTCACTTATACATGTGAGAACTCAGGCGTGTGGGTTACCCGCACGAATAGAAGTCCAGAAATTTCTCGGATGTCGTCGTTTTGGAGCAGGCCCCCGGATTAACGGTAACGCGTACCGAACCACGGTTATTCCAGGTTTTGCGTTGCATGAATGACCTTCGAGAAACTGCCAAGGTGCATCTGCGAGAATGGCTAGTAGTACCACAAGACCTGGGGACGATGGTTCAAGCGAGTCGCGAGGCGCACCCAATATCGTGGAGTGCAGACAGCTGCAAGGGACATCTTTCCCCAGGTTTCACATATCCTGTTGCATGCTCAATTTTAAGCTTATCGGCATACAGTGTTTTGCTTGGTTACGCATTGATTTATTACTGATGGCCTCGCTGTAAGTAGTGGCCCGGAAGGAAACCTGCATCTCTCTGCGGACACTGGCATCGGCTAGATAAAACTTGACTTGCCAGACGGGCTGGGCTTTTGACAGGCCATTGTATCCCCATGTTGCCATATGCTCCAGTGCCGATCGTTTTGATACACTCACTGGTCGATCCGTAAGCAACAAATTCCGAGACCTAACCACGGTGGTAATAGGGCTAACGAGCAACTGTCTACGAGTCTATTCATCATAACACTGCGCTCCAAGTAAAGAGTCACATGGTGAAGCATGGAGGATTGAAGCTGGAATCAGTCTCACGCACCTCAGGAGCATGGCTCAAAGAAGAATGCCCAATAGGCGACATCCCCGCTTCTCCACACATTAGGAAGTCGGCACACTGAATCTTGATTGCTGAGATCATGCTCCGGAAGCATCTAGGGTCCAAAGATCTGCGATCAAGGAGCCTTGAAATCGAGCAGGTCAAATTGCATGTGTTTCGTAGTGGCATGACCGATGTAAGGCCCTGGAAGTTCCGCAACCCTGCAAGCTTGGCACCGTCTTTCAACCACGCGGGGAGATACTGTAAGATTTCTGCGAAATCAGAAGGCTTGATTAGGCATCCTGCAACATGTCACTGGAAATGGGAGTCTAAGAAGCGCTGAGACTTGGGCATAAATTTTCTCTTTGACCTTCCAGATATAACGTTCTCAGGGGAGCTGTCGTTCCGGAAACTACATTGACGTTCGGGGCCAAGACTACACCCGTGGTCACGATGCCGGTTGTCAAAGCCGAAGTTTGAGTTTCAAGACGCGTGTTCGTGCATAGTCCTCTGGTCGCATACTGGCACCACGCGAAAGAAAAAGAGACGAGTTTCTCGCCAGGCTCACCACATGGTACGTTTGAAAATGATAAGATCCCCGCCCCCCACGTGCATGCATCGATGAAGAAAGGGAATCGATGTTAGGGGTTTATAAATAAATCGTAAACGGGGATTGAGGCTCCTCAAATCTCCCTCGAAAGCGGGCTGTTGATAGCGTTTATCATGTACGATAAAGTATCTACTTTACTCTGCCGCCCGTCAATGTCATGCCGCCTCAGGGGAACATGCAGGCAGGCGCATACGTGACCCGGGGTTTTCTTTACGTTGTAGCGGTCTGAGAGGTTGTAAGATTTCTAAGTCATCACTACCACGGTATTCGTATTGCCCAAGTCACGAACCAGGCGAGCTGGGAACAGCGCTGCGTTTCCCTAAGTATCGGATGAACGGGATGTGACTACTATTGGCAGTACCTACAAAAGAAGAACAAGCATCCGGCGTATACAATCAGTGACATGCCCTGTTGGCCCTTGGTGCATAAGCGAGGCGGGCATCAGCTAGTAGAAGACTTGCAACCGGGTTACAGGGATCTTGATGTGTGTGTGTACGTACCATAGTAGCCTTGGTTTGTCGCTGTCGCGTTTACTCAATCTCACAGAACAGCATGAATTAGAGCCCGATTGCCAGGCTTGAAGGAAATACTTCCCCACGAGGAATAGGCAGAAATAGTTATACCTGTCGACATGCCTGGATGGGCCTGCAAGGCCACTTCTGGTCTGTCTTGTTACAAGTTGCATGGCGCATGGTGCGTGCACGTTGCACGGCGCTTAGCACATAGTACTCAATATCGAGTGCCGAACTTAGTTGCCACCAACACGAGTCAAGCGTGTGGTAGTTCTGCAGACAGATTTACTTCCACATCCCTCATCCGCTGCAAGTAGTTATGCGGTGAATAGCCAATGTGAATCGTATGTTTGGACGTGGGAACCGGCCTTTTCAACGACCCCGCAAGTGGCCTGGTGACACATGAGGCATACACACAGGATGCTGGCGGGCAGTTCTTTGCATTAGTCGGTTCTTGGGGCCGAGAGCTAGTGTTCTTCCAGTACAGCAGCCCGGAACCTGTGTTTGACAAGCACTGCAACCCTCGACAAGACACTGGTAGGATCGAATCCTCTCCATAATCCTCTTGCAGATCAACCTCTAGGATGGCTGTAGCCGAAGCACAGGTAGCTATGGGCGGCTATCGAGCTACTGTTATGGTTTGCAAGGCCGGTGCCAACTTCAATCGAGCAACGTGGTTGCGGATCACCGCATAGTAGGGAAGCGCCGCTGTGACCTGTCATTCGGGGTGAGTCTAGCTTGACCCAGCCATCTCCAACCCTCGGGTGATCGCTGTCCGGCCCCTCTTGCTGGCAAGCTGGGTCGTCCTGAACCGCCCACACACCATCGACAAGAAGGTAGCGATGTTGCAAAGGTGTCCCTCTCTGGGCCTTCCAGAACGCCCCCAAGAAGCCTTCGAATGCCAGCCTTGCGGGCCGACAAATGACGCGCATCTAGCACTTCTGAATACGGATTGGGTCTCTCATACCTGTGAAGTCCGGTTTCCTTCCCTTTCGGACCCCGGAGCATCGGAATACATAGCAAAGGGGCATGTAACGCGGCCGGACATGTCTACGCTGAGTGCTGGGAGGAGGGGCGCATGATTACCCCAGGTTTTTGTCCAGCGGTCAAACGGCGATCACTTCGCGAGATCTGCAGTTCGGCTTTTGGACTGGAAGCGGCCTAGTTAGTCGCAATACAGGAATGAAAAGGACTTGTGCACGGCTGCGTTGTATGCACGGCGAAGCTGGCGGCAATGGGAGCGCATTTCTTCTGTCTATTACCTGCTCCACGAGGCTCTAGCACGCTCTAACGTGCCCTAGCCTGGGACGAAAGACCCAGAGAGGGCGTGAAGCCCCCAAGACGCAGGTGCTTGGCGAAGATCTTTGGCATTACAAGCATGAGCGCTGTGGATCGTCTGATATTATACTTTGCCGGCAACCCAAACCGCTGGGGAAGCGCACAGGCCGAGGCGGCTTCAGGTGAAGCGGCTTAATGATTGGGCTTCAGCTCTGAACTGCTCGGATAGGGAAATGCTCACGAGCCACATAGCGCAGAACCACCAGAGTGTAGTGCCTGCTGCCGGTACTCACCTGCTTTTCAAACGAATACGCAATTGTAGCCCTGTTTGCTTCTGCTACGGATGTCTTGAATCTAGCCTAGGGACGCCCGCAAAACGCCACACAACGTGCCTAGCCGGCAGCTGGCTGATTCACATCTCGGCACCCTGACATGTCTGATTCGGCGGGATCTCCGATCTACATGGTAACTTGACTATACAGACCGACCCCAACCTGCGAACGGTTGATTCTGCCTTGCTTCTAGACTGCAACTATACCGGGGGTTGGCTATAATACCATCACGAGGCCGTTGAAGAGAGTTTGCTTTTCTAAGCCCACAAGGCACGATGCGCTCACCTCACCTCTGCCCACATACTACATAGGTGGGTACACAGTAGCTTGGCCTTGCTGGTCTTGGGCCGCTTTGCGAGAGGCAGCTCCAGATGGACAAAAATGAATCACACTGGAGGTGGTAGCACACGATTATGTTTCTTGATTCGGCGTTACACGCATGGGGACCGACGTCTGTGGCAGCCCTCTGTGACGCTTCCGTCATCACTATACTGAGGGCGCGGGACAGAGTCGAGTCATCATTGTTCTGCACTGCTCACAGCCCCCACGACTAATGATGCACGATTCCTCCTCGCTGCACGAGTTTGTGTGCAGGGGACTAGCGCCGTTCGAGAACGCTGAACTAGCGCAAATACGACAGCTGATTTAGAATTTTTGGCCTGACCTGGGTCCCTGGTTCCGCACCAATGGGATGCAAGCTTGAAAACATCGCTGACTCCTTGCTCATCTCTCACGACTTGCAAGGTACGATGAGGGCACGATGGGGAAAGGGGGAAACGGCTTCAAGACCGCGACCTTGACATCACCGCCTGTAAATGTGAATCGGACCACGACAGCTCTGTAGACCGGCTGAAGGCATCAAGGCCACGCCTGTCGCAAATACTCCCTTGCAGCGCGCAAGAGGACTCAGTACTGACAGGTCCAGTCACCCAGGGACTGCCCTGCCTATTTGATACTTGACAAACGGCATATTGATTGCCTGTACAACGGGCAAGCCCTTCCCCCTTGCACGGGAGTTGACAGCTCTGGATTGTCCTTATATGATGGAGCCTATAATGACGGGATGCTATTGTACCAGTGGTCAGCCTCAAACAGGGAACCTTACACGATTCAAGATGCTGGTGTTCTAGAACGATAGTTACGGCAGCTTGACCGCCGTTAAAACCCCGTGAATCGAAAGGAAGGGGACCTCAATCTCGGCTCTCGTCCCTTCCAGACGGGACCTACGGAAGCCAGGACAGTGCTCCACTGTGCCTGGTTGAAGAACCAGAAAAGTCTATACACAAAGCAAACCTACGGAGCTTTGATAACTTGACGTGTTAGTCGAGTCACAAGTTTCATTACTTGCTTTGCCTGACACAAGACTAAGATACAGATCAGAGACGACACCTAAGCGACGTAGAAAACACAGTAATAGGGGTCCAAACCGCCGGTGTAAGGCCCACAGACGAAGCCCACGATCATGAAAGCAAGACGGACACCTTCTCGCTACCTGGGCTAGATGCAGGCAGATACCTTCGTGAGTGAGAAGATGGCGTCCGGCAGCCATAGGGAACATCATAGTAGACGTCCATGACACAAGTGGCCTAGCGTTGCCAATTAGTGCTCAAGTGCCTAGCTGCAATTGGGCAGGAGAGCAAAGTAACCTCAACCTTGCAGCCGGCGTCGAGGACCTCGAGGCCTGGTGGCTTTTGGGGATTCATCACCGAGCCCATGGCGGCATTCGGCCCCTTTTGCCATGCCCTGGTCTATCCTGGGCACAATACCATCCTCCATTTCGCAGGCCTGCCGGGATTCTGCGACTTGTTGCAGTCCCCAGCCCGGCCATCTGCTTGGCACCCATGCGCCGTCCCCCTGTCCCCTTCTTTCTCCCTCGCTGGACCATGTGGACCACTGTCTCCATTTCCAATGCTTACCCCATTTTCCTCTCTCCCCCGCGAGAGACAACAGGTCCCACTTCGTAATCTGAGCCGAAGGGGAAGAGAGGCCAGGGACGCATGTACCTTCAGCGCCTGGTAACCCCAGTCGCTCACTAGCCACCTCCACACCCGTTCCAATTGCAGAGATCATCCTCGGCGGCTTGGAAGGGTAGGGGACCACAAATACTGCACGATGTCTGTCCAGGGCGACCCTCACCCACGTTACTTCCGTCTCCTCTGGACTCTAGGCCATGTCATACTATTAGTACCTTGAACGTCCATCCAGTTGCCTGTCAACCCAGACCAGCTCAGGTACATGCAAGTCTTCAAGATATACTATTCAACAAGCGATCGAGTGTGGCCGATGATGCCCGAGCCGACGACAGCTGAACAGCCTCTAACGTATTGCTGAGAGGTCCGCGTCACCGAGCAAGGCTCACCTGCCGATTTCGTCCAGTGTTATCCAGACACTGCTTAGACTGCATCCGCCAGCAGCGACAGCAGCCACGCCGACTTAGGAATGCTTGTTTCGACTTATGAACCGATGAGCATGAGTGTAGCGCCTCTTCCTGGAGTCCATCCAGTCGCCATGTCGCGGCCGCAGGTGGGCATAGAACGACTGCCCACCCGCCGCATGAGCAATGAGCCTCGCGAGTCTATGAACTGCAAATCGTGTCGGAAGCGGAAGGTTCGTAGTTAACCTCGAGATCCCGTTCCCGCCCCCGAGTCCCAATTACCCGGTCCATCGCTGTCGGTCTGCCCTGCAGAAATTAACGTTTGAACTGTAGATTAAATGCAATAGATTACGGCCGTCGTGCGAGGCCTGTCAAGTTTTCCAATGCGCTTGCATTTATGGTATGTTAAACTGTCTGAATGCTTTGACTTATACTGCAACCATTCGAAATGGAGTGGTTACGTGGGGTGGCAGGAGCTGATTTGTTGCCTTTTTCTCATCCATACAGATGCCGTGCCGAAGAAACGAGGACCCAAAACCGACGTGCTGGAGGCCTTGCTGAAGAGGGTTGACGGATTGGAGCAAAAGCTGAAGGAGAAGAAATCTGATGCATCACCGACAACTGAGGAGGCTCCTCCGCTGTCTGCAACTACGGAAAGCGAGTCGCCAAATGGCATAGCACCGGAACAAGAGGAAGGAGCCCAAGCAACGGCCGAATCAAAGGCCAAACGTCCGCTCTTGGAGGGCCCGCGCGTCAACGACGTGGCCGAAGAGACTGCCGTTTATTCTCCGACCGTTGCCAGCGAGCCGTCTCCTGGTGTTCAAGTGGAAGCTCTGCTTGACACCTACTTCAGCCGGTTTCACGCCAAACCATACCATATTCTCGACGAGTCCACTGTCCGCCAAAGGCTGCAATTGAGTCAACTACCTCCTTATCTGGTGCATGCCATCTACGCCGTTGCCGCCAGGTACGATCAATTCTGCATATGGCTCATACCGCACTCACTAACATTCTACAGGTATACTCCTCATCCAAGTGGTTACCAATCCGCCGTGCAACTGAGTGAGGAATATGCCTCGCAATCAAGGAGGGAGATAGATACGGATGAGCCGTCCGTTGACGCCCTTCAAGCCTTGCTCTTGCTCGTCACTGCTTTCACCGCAGCGGGCAAGGGCAAGAAGGCCTACATGCTGCTCAGTACGTTACGGTCCCATTTTCCTCACTTTGAATGACATTCTCACTAACGCGTCACAGCAAACGCGGTCGGAATGGCGATGGCGCTGGAACTACATCGTGAGGTAGAGCAAAACGCCCGCATCACACCAGTGGAACGCGAGATGAGACGCCGTCTTTTCTGGACTTGTTACTTACTTGACAGGTTCATGGCGTGCGGATCCAAACGTCCATCTCTTGTTGGCGACAAGACAATCCTGCTACGTTTGCCATATTGGTCCCCCAGCCCAGCAGCTTTGCCTATCGAGGGCGAGTTCTTCCAAAGCGATTCGAACCTCCAGAATTTTCAAGGCAGCGGTAGAAAGTGTCAGGGAAGCAGCGGTATGCTCATCGACATCAGCCGCATATTGGGCATAACGAATCGATATCTGGCAGCTGGTGGCGTCAAGGGCGACTCCCACTTTCCCTGGCACTCCCTATCCAACCTCTCAAAAATTCGTCAGCATCTCGATGTCTGGGCTTCAGGTACTGATGACGTCTTCTCGAGTGTCGACGCACTGTTCGGACAACCCGACTCAACAGTACTGGTCATTAGCAAGCTAATCTATCACCTCATCCATTGTCTGGTGTATAGACCATTCATACCAATCGACCTAGCGGAACTGGCTGGCACAGGCCAGCATCAATCTTGGCAGATCGAAGCAACCAACATGTGCTTCTTACACGCCAATGCTATTGCTGAACTGGTGGAACTCGGAAAACAGACGGCGACTGTTGAATGGCCAGCCTTTGTTGGATATTGCATCTGCACAGCGGGGACGGTACACATCCACGGTGCCCACTACAATAAGATCGGCGCAAACGAGATGACAGCATTTGCATCTTCGGCAGACTTCTTGTCACGGGAGATGCAACAGTTGAGCGAGCTTCGCTACGCCTGGGCTAGTGTCCAACACCAACGCGAGACTCTACAGGGCATCTATAACGCCCATGCGGAATTGGTCAAGAGCGTGGCAAACAACCCTATGCGGCACTCGCCAGTCTTTCACCTAGAAGATTTCTTCGACAGATACTCCAACATTGGCGGCCCAGGTGGGCAATGCTTCACTTTCGACCCTGCGAATTTGAGCCTGTCGGATGTCATCGTCGACTTTGCAACAGACACATACACTGGCCATGATCTATATGCACCTAGAAATACTCTCGACCAAGGGACCGAGAGACCAATGTTGAAGCGCAAGAATACCGCAACTAGTCTGGGCCGCAAGAGACCGGATATGCGGAGCCTTGCACCCATCCTCAAGCCGATGCACCCGCCGGCTCCTGGATTACCTACGCCAGCACATCACTCGTATGCTACGGGCCATAATACGGGCATGATGCTCCAGAGCCCGAGATCTCTGCCCTCCAATGGCGAGCAGCTAGGACATCACCACGGCCAACAACTACACTCAAATGCTCACGACGCGGTGGAAGACGCCGCAGCCAAGGCTGCTGCTGCCGCGGCGGCGGCAGCAGGGTTCTCAATTACGCCTCCGCAACCTGCACATCAGATGTCAAATATGCCAGCCACACCCTTCTCTCCACAATATAATTTCGCGACACTATCTGGGAACACTCCGAGGCCAAGCGGGCACAGTGGAGACATGAATATTGGGTTCGACCCAATGTTCGGCACCATCCCAACCAACGCCTTCTCCTCTCCGGCGGCGTGGCATGGAGATGAAGAGCGGAGACTGCCTCCTATTGCGCCAAGTCCGGGAGCTGCCAGTCATAGTGGAAGTGCCGGAACTGGTCCTGGCGAGGAGAAGGATCCATTCTTGGGCCTTCTGGAGCAACTAGCGGAGAGTGAGAATGCTCAGGGGCAGGGGATTGACTTGGATTTCTTCCTTGCCGGAGCGCAAGGTTGAGATACGGTAGCGCGCGCCTTGGATGTAACTTCACTTCTCACCGAGTGACCTGTGGGTCACTGATTCTTGCATACTTTATTTTTAGCGGTTCGGCGTTGACATCAGCTGGGAGATCTGGGCAGCACAAGTTTCCGGGGAGCATTGCATGGGTAATGGGTGTCATCGGGAGGAAAGCATCTGATCTATTTAGCGCGGTGTTCATATTGGGAGCGTTAACTTGCAATTTCTCGGAATCTGAGGCTATGAACGGACATGTACGACATGTACCCTACGGGTTCTAGCTGAGAATCCAGATAGCCACGGGCAACAAAAGGGGAACTACAATGAAAATCCATTAGAGGATTGCTGCCAAAGCTGAAGATCATCTGTGATTCTGGTATCCTTTACTGATGTGAAACAGAGATTGAATCAACGGCGGCCTTGGTAGAATGCCCTCGGTTGTCGTCAAGGTCAAGGATCAAGCGACTGGAGCTCGTACTAAATTATATCCAACGGACACCAGCGGAGCACTGGAAAGTGACGTGCGGACACGGATAGTTACCCATTTACCAGGAAACCGCATCTACTTCATCTAGGTGGATATGATGTGACCTCATCACTTAGAAAGGCAAAAAAAACCTTTGAACCGACAAAAGCACGTCCCCGGTCTTGCTAATTCGACTAAACCACGGTTCCGGCTTTCAAGGTACGGGGAAAATCAACAGTCAGACGAGACAGGGCTTTGGACCAAGTCCCGGGTCCCAGGGAGCGAGCCTCGGTACCCAGCAGAAGACCGACTTACACAAACGTCCGGTAGCGGTGAGAGCGGGTCTAACTTAGCACATCGGCGCAAGCCGCGCACGCGGCATAGCGTATTCTGTGCTTTTGCTCGCTACTGTACTTGGGGCGCCGGGGCCCCCAGTCCCAAAACACTCTTCGTGAAGACGACGACCCTTTCATTCTCTGTCATGTGTGACGACAGAGGCAATCAAACGCGAAAGCAAACCAGATGGCAAGCTGACTAGCCACTCAGAAGGGGAATATGAGGGTGTATTAATGCCCAGTATCCGGGTTAGCTCCCCAGGAACCAAAAGCAAGTCGGCTGGGCGGGCCGCCTGCGGGCAGTGCGTCCGAAAGTCTTTTTTGGGGTAGGTACATGGCGAGTTGGGGAAACGCAACGGCCCTTGGTGTAGATCAGCCCCCTGTCAGAAGTTGGGACGAGACGTGTTGGAGAGGCGCTTGGGAAAACGAAGTTTCTTGGGTGGGCCGGAGGGTGATTGGGTACTTTTCTCCCAGTACCTAGCTAGGTAGGGGTTTGAGGCTGACTACTGTACGTAAGTGGTCCTTCGTTCCCCCAAACCCTTCCCGTACGGCCGCTTTGCCAAATCTTGTCGTCCACGTCCGAGTAGGTGTTTGGAGAGGTTCGGCAGTTGAGTGCACGGGATGGGCGTGGCTTTGCTAGAGACAGCTGCGTGGCTTGCTGGGACCCTGCAAGGCTCTGCGAAGAAAGTTAGTACATGCGATGCGGGTGGCTTGCTCGTGTGATCAGTCACTTTCGGCCGCCGTGAGCTCGTTCCGACTTGCAACCCCCAGCCTCGGAACTAGGACTGAGAAAGGTCCACCTTGCGATGAGGCGCTGCAACTCTCGATTCGCCAATGATAACGATGTTACTCACTGGCCTGTTTTTGAGCCTCAAAGACGCTGTTGTGTTACCTTAGGCTGCATGGACCAGCTTTCTCCTGTTAGCGCTGACTATAGCATTAGCAGATCTTATTATAAGCTATGATAGAACCTGAGGGTTGAAAGTGATACTCCAGTATCTTCGTCAACAATTTATATTGTTACGTTGCCCCATTCCTATAGCGAAACAGGTTTTTCTTAAAGCTTGTGTTGCAATCAGATCAAATGATAATTGTTCCCGAGACATCTGGATCAAGAATGCATATCAATCCCATGTTTGGGCAAAGGCCATCCCTTTTGGCAGCAGTATGGCCGTATCACCAGAAGAGCTTCCGCGCAGCGGACAGGGGAGGGGGGGGCAGGTTGACACGCCTGTTGTTTTCCTGAATGCAAACCAGTCTTGTTTAAGCTGGTTCCTGTAGAGTACATCGACAAGCTTCGGTAGACGGGGACGTACGAAAGACAACCATCGCCTGTAGCCCTTCAATACGAGCTAGACGGAGCCTGCACAATCGTTCTCCCGTGCCCAATTGCCCTGTAGCCTATGTAGGTGTACGGCAAGTGATCAGCCAGGGCACCAACCTCAAGTTACACAGATTAGCACCTCGCGTCCCAATGCTTGGGTGTCAGATGATAAGCAGTCAAAGCGAAGCCGCTGGGTACGCAAGAAGCAAGTTTACGCTCAGCCAACTTACTACGTTATCAGTCATATCGGCGCCAATAGGTTGCCACGCGGGTCTGAGGCATACCCTATCAGCCTTCGACGCCGCATTCTGGCACGCATGTGATGTAACAGAGCCATCGCTTAGTTACAAGTTGAATGCCTAGAGTCCATTTGCCGTCAGCTAGGGTGCCGTTCGTTCCGCTATCGATATCGTGTTGCATGTGGTATCTATGACCATCGTCTACAGGAAACTTGGACAGTGTATATGTTCTGACAATTATTGCGCGCGTGGGACAGAGCCCACCATGTTGCGGCGAGATCAATGATTCGAAGCGATATCGAAGCCAAGAGTGTGACGTTCGTAGGCAGCAATCACTCCAGAAGGTGTCCAGTATCAGGACTTCACGGTTCAACCTTTGAAGCAACGTGTCGCGGACAACGCCAAATCCATTTACTAGGATAACGTTACAGCTGAGTGCTGCTTCACCGGAGTGCACAACGAAAGTAGCTCCAAATCAAGAAGATGATAGGCATGATTTGAAGCAAGTGATATCGTTCCCTCTCTCAACTTCAAAATGGTTGAGCACACGTACGCTGCTGAGCAGGAGTTTCGAATATTGTGATCTTGGCAGAAAGGGGCTTACCAAACCCCCACGATCTGTACATCTCCGTTATGGCGACAGCATTCTAACCAAGCGCGATTCGATCTGCCAACATGGATGCAGATATCTACAGATGGCGGTGAAATCATGAGCCACTGTATTTGTGTTAGATAAAATGCACCTGTCGTCACTGTGATAGCCCGAATCCAGGCCTTCACGACTGATATGTGCAGGCACACCACCCTGCTCAACTGAAACACCAGTTTAGCTGCATGATTGACTCACATATGGCCAGAAGAAAAGCATCAACAGGGGACTTGCCCCAGTTTCATGAGCGTGGAAGGCTGAGTATTGAGGGAGAGATGAATTGTACCGGAAACGGCAGGTGGCATCCGGCCCGTGGCCTCGGGATGTCTTATCCCTAGACTGAACACGGGAAACGTGCTCGGCGACCATTATCACGTATCATTCGCCCAAGGTAGATGATTGTTTGGCGAGAGGCTTACAGATGCTTATAAACCTGCTTAGACTCTGTCTTCATGTTTCAGTCGCGTGGGGGTTGAGCTGGCGGACTGCAATCTCTAGGTCTGCTGTCATCGTCAAGTTGTAGGAATATGAACAGCATGCAAGAACATGTAACCACAGTATATTAGCAAATCTTTTACGGGAAGGTGTATTGAATTAACCACTTAGTTTCCAACCTGGAGACCTGCTTCGCTGGCTTCTTGCTTATGCAGCGAAACATAGACTCGATAACCTTCTGCAGTGTCGTCTTCTCGTCCTCTGAACCAACGAAATGTCAATGACTGCTAGTATCTGCGTTATCTAGTTGTATATAGAACCAGTGTGAAATTAATCACTAGATAACGGGCCACATACGCACAAGAAGCTCGCTTGTCAGTGGTAGCCGGGGAGTGTTGTTTGAAACTTCGAGTTGTGTCTCAAAGCACGAAATGCAAGTCAGAATGACACAGGAGGTACTCGGAAAGGTGGTTTGAGTAACACATTGTATTGGTTAATGTCGTAAATATGTGACTTGTTCTGTAGTATTCAGGTCTATTAACTCGCGAGCATGCCATTGATAAGTTCGTTGGGGAACCCCTATGTATTCATAACTAATTGCGTCCGGCGAGTTGTATCTAGGAATGACGAGAGATAAAAGGACTTAATTGGAAAAGCAACCCCATTACCATACTTTGTTTATAGCCGTGACACCTTTGTAACGCCAACCTGTCTTCTTGTGCACGTCATGTCGAAGTCCCTCCAGTCAATCTTCCTGGATGAAATATCGATATCTAGGCCCCGTAACTCCTGCAAACAAGACACACAACTACCATCCGAACTGCTCGCAATGAAGCTCGATAGATGGACCGTCCTTCGTGATGAGGCCTGCAGCTGTATTTCTCACGGCCTTCATGAGCCCATCGGGACCACATGCAGCGATCAGGATCCGTTTATCCCGTCCGGAAGACTTGACTGCTTCTTGAAGCAGCGCCACCACGTCTGGTCGTCCCTCCTCAACCGGCATATCGATAGAGCCCGTTGTGATAGTTCGACGACCCATGTGGCACATGACCGCTCTAAGGCCATCCTTCTCGGGATCTTCACCCGGAGGAACAATAGCTGGTAGGTCCTCGGGATGGACAAGCCTGCCCTCCTTTTCCAATTCAGATACCGGTGTCATGGGCGCTAGGTCTGCAGATGACATCGAACCCACGGTGGGCTGCAATGATTGCGTGGAGGGTTTCTCTGTGACGGCCGGGGTACTTGGTGCAGACCTCGTGGCGTGTACTTTCAGAGCAACCTTCGGGGCATGCGTATGCGTGCGTATCGCATTCAGATGATCAGCAAACCACGATAGATTATCTATAGGTAGTTAGCATGTTTGCCCAAGCCGTGGTTATGCGTATCATACCTCTCTCCTTAACAGTCCAAATAAAGTCGATCTGTTTATCTGAGGTTTCTGTCATCTTCGAAAGCATGTTTGATGCCAAGCCAAAGGTGAAGCTGGCTCCTGAACCACCCGCGACCAGCACCACCTTGTCGAAGTCGATAGGGTCGGGGAAAGTTCCGTAAGGGCCCTCAAGGGATACTCGTAGGCTAGCACCGGGATTCTTCAATGCGTATTTGTGGAGGTCCCTTGTGAAGCCACTATACGTGTTGACGATCAGTTCGGTCGGAGATGTCGCCACAATGGTGAACGGATGCGTTTCGAAGAGCCGGACCTTGGGAAGCCAGACAAAACAATGAGCACCAGGCCTGGACCTAGGCAGGGGCTTGCGTAAAAGTATCTGGGTTCCACCGTTGGGGAGCGGGTGAACTGTGGCCTCGTTGTTGATTCCGTTGTAAAGCAGTCGAGAAAAGCGAATGAGTCGGTCCAATGCCCAGATGCCTGCAGCTATGCAGGCAACCATCCCAACCTTTTCTGCCTCCAGCTCGGGGCGATGCAATGCCAAGGTTACAACCATCATCATGAATAGGACGATGTGGAAAACGTAGAACAGCTCGTACTGTAGCCTGCGTAATACTAGAGCCTCAACGCCGCTAGCGAACATCGCAAATCCCAGCACAATCCCAGCGGTGGTGAAGTCTTCGTGCAAAATGTCCCATCTCTGTTTCTGAATGAAGTAAACACAATATATCACGGAATGCAGGATCATGTATACAATGGTGGTATACCCCGCTATCTGGTGCAAAGGGTTGAGACGTTCGTATGAGTAGGAGGTCAGGATAGCCAACGGTGTATTCTTGAGTGCCAAGAACACAACGAAGGTAAAGTTGGCGGCTGCCATCCTAAAGACATCGTTAGTAGACTTCTCTCAGACAGCTAATCAAATTCCACATACCATCCGAATCTAGCCGCGAAGTTGGTTGGACCGCTGACGTCAATTCCGACAAAAGAAAGCACTACGTTAATAGCCACGTAGAGAAAGACAAGAATTCCATGTCCCATCGAGGTGAAACCAGGTAGTTTCCTAATGAAGACTCGTCGCGCTTGTCTGTTTGCTTGCTTTTAGTATCTCGACCGAATGGCCTGGACCGCAGACGTCTTACCTTGATATGCCTGCCAGAGGTGATAAGACATTGACCAATGTCTTTGGCAGCTTATTCTTGATAGCGAACAAGCGTACCCAGTGAGTGATGATGAAGATCGCTATGAGCCCACAGAGCGCAGCTGCATAGTATTCCGTCGCTAGCTCACTGGCCTGTTGTCTTGCCGCGAAGAATGGGTTAGAGCTTTTGGGTGCCATCGTCTGTACAGCTTGACACCAGAATGTGTCACAGTTCAAGGCAACGATGTTGATTTCAGAGAGTATGCAGTGATGGTTGGCCGAGAAGTCGTGGCATGGATTGTACTGCAGGAGTTGGCAGATAGGCGTCGTTAAGTACGAAACAGGCAATGGAAGCAGGGCCTCGCCAGTGAATATTGTGAAATAACTACCAGGTAGGTGTGAGGTGTGAGACCAATATCAACAGGTGTATAAAATTAGTGGCGTAATGACCAAACGCTTAATAAGAGGGCCCACGACCATCCTTTCAGGTCTTCTTGTGCATAGTGAGGCGTTCAGGTTCTACTACTGCATGGTTATCTCGGAGGCAGGCGAGCGAGGATGTTGCATCCAAAGTTGTATTGAGACGCCAGCCGCTGTTGAAGCGAAAGCCTGATATGGACTCCCATGCTCGATATGGGGATCTCCACCGGCATATCTGGTATTCGGGACCAAGCTTTCACGATTTTACAATCCACTATGGATGAGACCTGAGCAATGTATTTTTTGCAAGCCCTCCACGGCGGCAACCCACATGAGTGATTCAAGACCATAACACGTCTCAGATATTCGCCGGTAATGAGAGAACGTGGCAAAGTAAAAGTTAGAATAGTGACCCGTTATCATTGCATATCTATAATGCCACTTACCTAATGCGGTGATAGAGGCCGATTTTTTCGTTCTTCAAGCAAGATGCGCCGAGCAGCACGTCTTATGGCAACGAGAGCATGGGTTCCCCAGACTAACATGTTTGTCATACTGACAAAGCATGGTAACGATATTGCTTGCGCCAGCCTGGCAGTCACTTGGAACCGCGGTTACTTGGTATGCGTCAAGGCAGACGGGATGCGGAAACCATGTAACGAGGGTGTAACCTGGGTCCGCTACCCAAGACGGACTGAAACCGGTAGAAACCACTTTGGATAAAATCGGAGGCCATTTAGCCCTGGCCCGCCAGCTGACCAAGTACAAGCTCTGTGTCTCAATCTGGGAGACGTCTGGATGCGGGGGTCCCGAATTCGAACTGGGACAACCTGAATGAATAGATTGTCTGCATCTGCCACTCCTCGGCTCTGCTTCACGCAATGCAGACGTGGCAGGCCACATGAGTTTATCTCGACGTCCACCGAGGCATCTCGGGGGCGTACCGACGAGGCCTGCCAACACCAGCGTCACATCAAAACACTCGGCCGACTGCGGGCGTCCGAGGATATCTTCGCACGAGTCTGCATGGCTCAGGATTGTCGCTATAGCACGTCAGACAAGGTGGAATCCGCAGCCGCACGTGTGACGGTGAACGTGGACGTTCTAGGCCCATGCCACTGCCATTCGCCAAGTTCAGGGATGCGATAGGCGTGTGCATGTTCCTCGCGGTCGGTTCCTACATACCATGGTAGATCTTGGTGGCCCTCATCAGCCGGATCGCCGGCCTGTCAAAACTTAGTGTCGTGCTATAGCGGAACCCGATTTGTCGCAACAACCAGGTCAATCCTGGCCGTCGAGTGGAACGGGCCAATGAACATTCAGAGCCCGACTATCGCTACGCAAGCTGCCGTGAGCACCTGCTCAGGTAAGGCTAGGTGCCGAAAGGAGCCGCGAGTTTAAGATCGCTCCGCTCTGCCCGCGACTAGGAATAATGTCATTGTCCATTTTGAGAGAAATTGATCATTAGGCCACTGCAGAAAACGCAATGAGCATGCTTGGAGCTCATGATAGATACGTCGCACTGGGAATGGGGAGTGCCGGCTGACGAGTCTCGGCCTGGGTAGGAGACGGGACCCTTCTAACAGGGTGGCTTCTTAACCTGCCAAATCCGGGGTTCGGCTAGCATCTCTCGGGTCACCCAACGGCACTCACCACCGCACCCCTACAGGCCACACTTTCAGAGAGTTAAGGTTTTTCTTGGCTGCATCGTATCCAGAATTGTCACGGAAACTTTGTAAGCCTCAGTGATTGTCAACTCGTGTTCAGCTCAGCATCACATCTCTTCGCCACCGTTCAACCGTGAAGTTTTGATACTCGGGATCGACCCATCAGGAAACCAGCGACATTCAGCTTGTATCGACGGCAATGCACAATCTCTTGCAGGGTTAATGACATGGAATGAGTCGCATTTCTCTACCGTAACGTCGTAACAGGGTCTGCGATCAGCATGCCTCATCAAGCCCCAGTGAAATCCGACAACCAAAACCCTGGGTTATAGGCCAGACCACAGTAAGATCACGAGCAACGGGATTTATTCGTGGTAATTACATGCCCTCCGATCGCGATGACTCTTGGTACAAGTGCATCTCACAACGCTCACGAGAAGCCGCCAACACATCAACGCGTGCGATTCGTGGGAAGATTGGAGAGTATTGATCGTCCAGCTGACTTTGTCTGAAATCGACGGCCGCGCTAAGACGCACGAGATTGGACGACCCTAACGGCTACACACCTCACATCCTGGAGCCGAGTATGGTTTAATATAAATAACCTGTCTCCTTTTTTTGCGCTTGCCAATCTGCTTCAGTACAAGCCGAAACCTCGTTTACCACAGACTGGTAGGACTGCGACATAAATTCCCCGCATCTCGCATATTAACTGCAGTGGCTTCTGACCTCACATAACATCGGCAATCCAAGCGCATGCAGCAGCATGCCGGCTGTCGCTTATGTTGTTTTCGAAACGGTGCAGGTGGGCTCCATTCGCGAAACGCCTTGCAGTGCTGCATCCGCTTGGAGCGAGGCTTGAGCTGTGCCGTGGTCGAGGCTGAAGGCATTTCTTAAATGCCCGACCGCAACTGCCTATAGACAACGGTGTGCCAAGCATACCCAGAGTTGTCAGGTTTTTGGCTCCTTCGATCCCAGATGTAACGTGCGTGTCCACGAATTCTTTCATCTTCCAACCAAGAGCCGAACACCCCAAGTCAGTCCAAGACAACTTGCCGACGAATGTGTCTATTCCATTGCCGAGAGCTGGATAATTCTATTATAACCTGGATTTAAGATGTAGTTTTGGGAATTATACAGGTCCTTGCAAAGGAGAAATGGAAGTTGGCCTCTCTGTCTAAACCCAGGTCCGACATTGGCCCTAACACGAACCTCGATTTTACAACGAGTACGTAGTCAAAAACCGACTCTACGTGATAATATTCTCGGGAACCAGTTCACAGCCTCGTTTGACCATGTGGACAGAGGGCAAGATTTCCATGTCAAACTATCGCATTGATTTTGAAAATGCTCTTATGTCTATCTCCAACACTGAACGAACGAACTATCTAAACACTAGCCTTCGACCTGCATAATCAATGCCCTAGCAAGACGCTCGTTGATTAGCTCGGCAGAAGCGATTCCACGGTTCGCCATCTCGACCACCCTCTGGCGATGGCGCTCGACATCTTCAGGCTCCTGGGGCTCGTGCCTGCGGCGGTCGTCCAGCTCCCCCATGACCCTGTAGAGCTCCTGTTTGGCGTCTCGGAGTGAGTCCTCCAAGACGTCGATTTTTGGTTTAGACTCAGCTCGCTTGTTCATCTCGGCCCGTAGCCGCGCCCATTTCTTCTCCAACTGCCGCTGGATGAAGAATAGGTCGTCCCTTGTGAAGAGAGGCCCGCCGTCGTCGTCCCGATACTCCTTGCCCATGTCTCGCTGTGCTAAAGTCTGGTATGCTTCAGGGTCAATGACCCCACTGGTTAGCATCTCATCGTATGTCTCGAAGAGCAACTTTGCCGTCTGCTCTAGTCCTGGCTTGCGTCCCGCTTTCCCACCTGCGTCTCTCTGGTTTTCTTTGCACGCACGCAACTTGTCCTCGAGGTCGCTGATCTTCTGTCGTTGGGTGATTTGTTCCTCTTTGTACCTGATGAGCGTCTCGTTTGCCATCTGACCGTCTTCATCCTTTTCACTCTGGACCATCTCTAGCTCATGGCATTTGGATTGATGTTCAGCTGCGAGACGGGCATTCGAGCGCATCTGCTCCTCTGAGCCCTTCTCAAGCTCCTTTTTCTGTGACTCGAGTTCCTGGACCTGCTTCTTAAGTTTGTTGATCTCCGTGTCTTTTGTGGCCTGTGTCGATGTTTTGGTTTCCTCAATTTTCTTAACGCGTTCTTCGAGAGCTTCATTCTCGGACATCACCTCGCGAAGCTGATCTTCGAGCTCCTTGACTAAAGCCTCACCTGCTACTAGTTCTTCCTGTGTCTCCTGGAGACTCTCCTGCAAATCAACCGTGTCTTGTCCCGGGGGGTCTCTCTTCAGCTCGTCGATTTGCGTTTCCGCTGCTGCTAGTTGATCATCCTTGTCCTTGAGCAGCGCTTTTAAAGAACTGATTTCTGACTCAGTGATGGTGTCTGAGTCAGACTTCTCGAGCTCGGTGAGCTTGTTTGTCGCGTCGAGTAGTTCCGCCTTTTGTGCCTCGAGCTCATTCTGAAGACTGGAAATGTCCTCTTTTCTCTGACTCTCTGCCGCCCTTAATGTTGCGAGTTCCTTGTTGGCATCAGTTAACATCTCCTTCCAGTGCTCAGTCTCGTCGCTCTTGCCCGACGAATCTCCATCTAGTTTGGTCCGCGCTTCCTGCAGCTCATCGCTCTTGGCCTTGACTTCGATATCGTACTCCGTCAACTTCTTTATAGTTGCTTTTAGTTCCTCTCTTCTGCTCTGAAGCTGATCGTCAGACCCATGACCGGCCCCTAGCTTCATTTCCTCCTCCTTGACCTTGGTTTCCAGATCTTGTCGCTCCTTCGTGATTTCATCCAGCTTTTTCTGGCTTTCCTGAAGCTGACGTTGCAGATCTTGTAGTTCGACTGGAGTGCTCTGAGCGGTAGCCAGCTGTTTCTCCAGCTCAGTGATCCTGTCGTCGCGCCGAAGCAACTTCTCGGTCATCTGGGCATCGTGGTTCACCCGATCGCGAGCTACCCACTGGATAGTATCCTCATGCTCTGCAACAAGGCGGTTGAAAGCCGCCACAGGAACCTCAGTCTTCCCAGCCATATCAATCTTGAGTCCTTCCAGCCAGCCGCTAAGCTTAAAGTGGGTTTCCTCGATGCGTTGCCGTTCCTTGTCGGTAGCTGGCCGCCCGACAACACGCTCATACTGCTCCAGCGCATTTTTGACACGCTCCTCAATTGGATCTGCTCGTTGTCCATGCCGGTGTAGCGGATGTTCAAGCGACGCCATTTGTGCATTGTATCGGTCGATAACGGACCTGTCATTGGGATCGAATCCCTCTTCGGGCCTCGCGAAGATACTTTTAGGGGGCCCTGCCATGGCGATCTATATTGCAGGAGGCGCACTGATTTCGTCAGAGAATGGATAGTCTTCGTACAAGCAAAAGTCCTCGAGGCCTCATTAACAACTTGAGAACCCAAAATCTTTCTTGAGCTGGTGCTGATCACATACAGAATTGATGAAATGGCGAAAAGAATGAAAGAAAGTTAAGTGTGTATCTTGTAGGGTTTAGGTCTTACGGCGTCCAAACAAAGACTTTACAGGAATATTCATTATTGTCTCAAGGATCTCTAGGACAAAGGCCGAACGCAAGCGATCTAGCACAAAGTGCCTAGCCGAAACCTTCACTACAAAGATCTGGGCATTTCAGACGAGCTGCCTAAAGAGAAATATTGCAAATACCAATGAATAGCTAAGCTACAAGTCAGAAAACTGGTTGTGTCTCAAACCTGCCTGGTCGCTCTGGTATTTTCATGAACAACAACGGGAATTGACTGGCGCTTCATAATGGTTACATATTTTGAGTATATTGTTTCGAAGTCAGCCATCAATCTCACTCTAATCTTAATGGCTATTCGGTGCCAATTACCTGTCCATGATTGACCTTCTACTCAGATCTTGACTAGTTATAGAACGTGTACTTTATAATGACCAATACACTACGACTGATGACCCTGAACTTCATTTACAAGTCCAAAACTAATAGCACCATTGACTCTACGAAGCCCATCCACCGACTCTGTCCTTGAAGCACCCCCAAACCGAGTTAGGCCGACACTATCTCTCTCCCTCCTCTCTTCCTCATCGAGCCAGACCAACAAATCAAATAACTCAACGGCCTCGCGGTTCTGTCCTGCGACATCAAACTCATTAGTAAACCGCCCCATCTCCGCAATGGACCGGCCGAGGACCTCCGGGCTCTCATGTAGCCACCTGCCCTCTTCTTCTTCTTCTCCTTCTTCTTCTTCCCCTCCATCATGCTCCGGCTTTCCCGTTTTCTCCGCGTACGCGTAGATGCGGCCGAGCCGCCTCGCCAAGTCGACGACGCGCTGGCTGCGCGCGCGCCGGACGACGTCGTAGGCCCGCAGCGCCATGTCGGCCTGCCCGGCGGGGGACCGCACGCGCGCGAACACGGCCGTGAGGGCCGCGGCGTCCTCGAGCGCCTGGGCGGCGCCGTTGCCGGCGAATGGCAGGGAGGCGTGGGCGGCGTCGCCGACGACGGCGATGCGGCCGCGCGCGTAGAACGGCGCGTGGTCGTGGTCCGCGGGCTTCCAGGACGCCGACGGGTCGCGGACCACCAGCCGGATGATCTGCTGCGCCTCATCCGAGTAGTCGGTGTATTTGTCCGGGTTGAGTTTCGGCGGCTCAGAAGCGTCACGCGAGACGAGGTCCGGGTTGGACGCCCCTCGGACTGCAACGCCGGCGCTGAGACGGGTGCCCTTGTTCAGCGGTATCACGTTGACGTGGCCCCTGGGTCCGAGAAGGATGGGTACGGTACTGCACCACCTGGAGTCGATATGCTTCCGTGCCTCATCCATAGACACCATGGTCCGGTAAATAGTCCAGGCATCGTGGTTCTTCGGCGCCGTTGCCGGATGATCTGGTCCCAAGAGATAACTCCTTGTGAAGCTGTGGACGCCATCGGCACCGATGAGCACGTCGGCCTCAGCGCTTGTGCCGTCCTGGAAGCCGATGCTGATTTTCTGTCCGCCGTCCATTTCTCTGATAGAGGTGAGTCTCTTGCCGAAGACTACTGTTTCCTTCGGCAGACACGCGAAGAAGCCCTCCAGCAGATCGCTTCTTGCGACGCTCATCCTGCCCTTTGCGCGGCCCAGCTCTGCTACCTTCTGGCCTTTGTTCTTGCCTTGCGCCAGTATGATCTCAGTGGCCATCTCGATATCGGCATCTGCAGCCATGGACAACGCTTTCTCGAAGTAGGCATCCCTGAGTTCGGGTCCAATCAGTGACATCGCCGCGATGGCATTGCGGTGTAGAGCCAGGCCAGCCCCGACATCTTGGTATGAAGGGATGGACTCGTAGACGCGGACACTGATGTGAGTTTGCTTCACCAGGCCGGTGGCAAGTGCTAGGCCTGCTATACCGCCACCAGCGATGGCCACTGTGATAGTGGAGTGACCAATGTCTCCCATCCTGACAGATATTTCAAATGACTGTTTATCGAGGCTGAATGAAACGAAGATCCATCAGGCGTTAAGACAGTCTATGCCAACGAAGCAAAGTCGTTTGGAGCGTGGTACTACATTTAGAACTACGATTTCCCATGTCAGCATCAATGACAGTCAGCCCTTAGGAAGGTTAATATGCGAGCCACGTACAACGCAGACCTGGTGGACGTGTGTGTACCATGACATAGCCCTGAATTGGTAGCCACTAGGGGCTGACAGAAAGTCTCACTTGACGACTGAAGCTCGCCGTCCGAAGTCACGAATACTCAGCATTTTGTCTACAATAAGCCTCGGCACATAAGGTTTTGCCCGCGTACCCCAAGGTTTCGGCGTCCGAAAAAGGGTTCGGGTAATCTGAACAGTTGCCCCATCGTCTCAAAAGATTGCATATTCCGATACGGTTCAGGTACGATGCAGAGCCAAATTATTCGGTTAGTTTCATCATGTGTATTCAAAAGAATAAAAAAATAATAGATAATAATATCTCCGATTGTACGTAGTTGTTGCTGAACTCCATCCAGAACGCCGGGATCAATGCTTATTGGGAACAATCTAGTGTGAGCTTGACTGACCCTCTTTGCGCTTCTCGCTGGGGTGCTCCTCGTCACTGTCATCGCCGATGCTGTACCGCTCCTTGTTCATTTCTGTAGGCGTTGCCACGTTGAGGTCGTCCAGCTCGCTCTCGTCGAAGTCGCCTGCCTCCACATCACGGCCCGACCTCTTGTTGCGGAAGCTCTCGAGGCCGGTGTTGCCGCGAACTCTCTCGGCAGCTGCTGCTAGTCCTTGGTAGCCCTGAGTACGTCTCCGGCTTCTCCACATGCAGAAGCCCCAGACGGCAGCCCCAATAGCCACGATGGCCAAGACAAGTTCTCCAGACTTCTGATACGCAGCCCATTTGGCGTCTTCGAGCGCCTTGTCCTTTTGGGCCTGGTCGGATGCCGTGTTGTTGGTAGCACCTCCAACGGTGGTATCTGGGAGCTTCTCGCCGTCAAGCAGACTCTGGCCCGGTACACCACCGATGCCGCTAATATCCACGCCCAGGAACCTGTCGAGCATGTCCCGAGTGCGGCGAGGATAGTCAAATGGCACCATGTGGGACGAGTTGTAGAATAGCACGTAGGTCAGGTTTCTGGCCTGCTGCCAGAAACCAGCAGACTCGCCCTCAAAGGTCCAGTCCTGGCGCGGAGCCCAGTTGCCGGGAGAAACCTCAAATCCCTTGCCGCCATTCCACTGCATGTTGCTGATGAAGGCTTCAGTGCCAAGGTGGTTGCAAATGAGATCCTCAGCTCCCGAGAAGAGCAGCACGTCGACTTCTTTCAGGATATCGGGTAGCAGGCGAACTGAAGGCACAGAGTTCTGTGCCTTGAATGCAGCGCCTACAGCACCGTTGCACTCCTGCCAGCCTGTGCTCTTTGCCGAGTTGATGTGCAAGGCTGCAGTGACTTCGCTCTTGCGGAGGTACGGAGTAACACTTGTCAAGTCCGGAGGCCAGTTCATTCCACAGCTCGGGTAGGTGTCGGTCAGGCGAACGTCGTACATGTTTACACACTGGTTCTTGCCCCTGGAATCTTTGGGAAGGGTTTCAGCAGTCAACCGAAGGATCTCTTGCAGAATCTCTTCACAATCCGAGACATCGACGGCGTCCTTGGCGGAGGCGGCAATCTTCTGGTGGCAGACAGCTTTCTGGGCCTCGATTTTGTTGCCCTCGGTGGAGCCCTTCTTCACCAAACCCTTCTCGTAAGCAAATTGCAAGTAGGCGTCGTACTGCTCCGGGGGAGATATCCAGCCGTTTCCAATCAAGAGACCCTTCAAGTTCCAGGTGTGTTTGGTGGCGGGCTGCTTGTTGCGCTCGAGAATAGCCTTGGCGATGTAGGGAATGTGCTGGCCAGCAAAGGACTCGCCCGCGATGTAGATCTAGATGAAGTGTTGTGTGAGCGTGCGGTTTCATTGCAGGGGGGAAAAGATAAGGGCGCCTTACGTCGTCATGCTCATACTGAGGGAAGAGCTTGAACCACTTCTCGAGGAACGTAGTGAACTGGTTGGCCATCTCGTCGAGCTCCGAGACGTACTTGTTGGTGTCGACGTAGCTGAAGCCGGTGCCGACGGGGTTGTCGACGAATAGAAGGTTCGCAAACTCATGCCACGAGCCATTGTTGTACTCGAGATTATTCTCGTCCTTCAATCGGTAGGGGCCAATCTCCATCAACGCACCATCCTCGGAGCTGCAGCCGGGGCCACCGTTGAGCCAGATGACGGTGCGTTGTCGGTCGGCGATGTGCTGATTCTCGAAATGCCAGAAGAACAGGTTGCCGTTGCCGCTGCCTGCTGGGGTGACCTCTACGTGTCTGTCGGGCGGGAGAGACAAACGGTTAGCGACGCGATCCGAGATCTGAAACGTGGAGAGCTGGCCGCGACTTACCCAGCATGCATCTTGACCAGCGGACCAGCCGGAGCGCCAGGCAACGAGTGGACAAAGTAGTCGGCAGCCGTCATGTCGACGGCATTCGCAGTCGAGGTCCACGATGCCAACATGGCCAGCCCGGAGGCGGCGATGCGCACCGAGCTCCATGGGGGAGCCATGGCGACGCGGGTGTGACAGCAATGAGAGAAGGGGGCGACGAGGACGAGTGAGTACCCGCAGGCCCAAGGAGAGCGATGGTCTGGCTACAGCGTGGTCCTCGGCGGGTTGGCACGACTGTTGAAGGGGGTAGGAGAAAGAATAAAAAGAACAAGGAGAAAACAAGCAGCAGGCAATAATGTACAGGACGACAGCTGCTGACGGAGGATTCGATAAAGGACGTTCTCGTTCATCAAGCGTGAAGTGGCAGAAGTGGCCTCTCGGCCGCAGCTCAAAGCGGGTAGGCCCCACAATTGGCACAGGGCCACACGAGCCCCCCCGTTGCTGATTGGCCTGCTAAATCGGTACGCTGGACCCTGGAGCGAGCCGGCCCATCGGGGCTTACGTCTTTGCCTGCCAGGCCACGACGCAGCTGGAGCATTGCCCAGCTCCAGCTAAACAGCCCCTTGCCCCCAGGATACGGGGACGCTTCCAGGTTAGGTGCCTTGGGTGCTGTTCAACGTTGACCCCCTAAACCCACCCAAGTCTATCGCTAACAGTAGCGCAGTGCTTTGTGGGGATGGGGGTTCGGTCCCCATCCATGCCTGACGCCGCATAACATCGATCGATAGATCTCGATAGATAATGCATGACCCGTTCTAGTATCGTGGAGCACGAGCTGTTTCTAGTTCGACCAAACATCCATAGAGGTCAACTCCTCAGCGAGAGTTGAACGCTCCGGGACGAATGACTTGTCGTCTTTTGTTCGTCTTGGAAGACGACCAGCGTTCAATCTGTCAATCCCAAGTGTCTTCGTTATGTAGAGCAGCGAGAAGTGCTGGGTGACTACCTTACTGTACCTATTTCAGCAAGACCAAATTCTGTCGATTCGCCGGGAAGCATAGATTAGGCTTTGGCGAGCATATGGATTTATGGGCAAACGGCCTCTCCAAGTCCAGAGTCTACACCCGCATCCAATGTAGGCAGATAGCGCACGCACTACAGCGTTCCACATGCTGAAGCCAAACTCAACGGAAGGGGGTGAGATGAAAAGGTACTCTGGAGTATGTTCCAGTATTTGCACGGATGGAATCCTGTCTTCCAAGGCATTGCCGCAATTTGAAGCTTATTGAGGACATGATAGATTACATATTAGCGTCTATGAGATATTTCCTGACCGTTTGTCGTGAAATCCACCTCGAGATCTAAAATAGAGCAATGCCGATGCGAACGAACCTGGTACATGGCGTCGTTTCCGTTCCCTGATCTCCGATTACGGGCCATGAAAGATGAAAAAATGACAATATGACACTCCCCTTGAAAATGCCCTCTCGTCCGGACTTTTGCGACGCGCAACTCCACCCTTTTCCCCTTGGCTACCGGGACAACCACGGGGTGGGAAGGAGCCTAGATACATATGTCGTAGGAAGAGGATCATCGCCAGACTCATCTCGAGGCTTGCCACACCAAAAAGCCCTTCCCAGCCGAAATCAGCACTGAGTATCTCCATTCAGGAATAGGCGGCTTATTTAATAACATTTGGGGGCTGGCGGTTGGGACCTGATCTGGAATATGGTTGAGTGGGACATATTAGGTAGTCTTGGGTGATCGGGGTCGACGATTGTCCTCATCACTCGAGGGCCTGGAGCAACCGACCAGCTTGATTTCTCCGCCAACGCCTAAGTACCGGGAAACCTGTCTGTCCTCGCCTATAGTCTCGCCTTTCCGACTGGGGAGCTGATAGAATACACCTGTAAACATGCTGGGCGCACGGTTGGCGATGAAAACGAGGTTCCCCCCACCCCCAGTGCTGATCTCGTCGGTCAATGGTCTTCCAAACTCCAGACTCCTATACAATGTTTTGTCGTAGTCGTAATTGCCCGTGGCCCCAACAAGACGCCCATGAACGTCGTGTTCTGTATCCCAAGGTCGCAGCAGTATTTGTAACTCCCCATGCCTCCCGAGGGTGGGCACTGACATCGCATTACACACTACCCCTGGGCAGACCTGCATAAACCGGAGCGTAGGGGATCGTCCAAACCAAAGCCGGGAATCCTGTTCGTTACTCGTCGACTAGTACCCCTTCAGAGGACAGGCTCGCTGCCGTAAGGGGCGTCGTATATCGCGTTTATCGTTTGATCAACCACTTCGTCTCCCTCCTCCGAGGTTATAAAACCGCCCGCCGACAAGCTGCTGATCACATCTGCGATCCAGCTGAAGCGGGTGAATTCTGGGTCCTCGTTGTTGACTAGGGTCCCCATGATGGCATTCCGAAGTCGTGAATCACTAGCCGAGGCCACGGGCACAGCTGCGACAAAGAACTGGCGGAGATAATGAGGTCGCGAATGGGGAACCCCCGGGCTTGGGGTCACCTTGACCCAATACATGCCCGTGTGGCCCTCGAGCCGGAACGCAGTGCTCGTGGTGGCGCTGTCATCCGCAGCCAGGTAGAACTCGATCATTCGCGAGTCCTCAGTGTCTCGGGGGTATCCTCTGAAAATCAGGACCGTGAGGGTCTGGGTATAGGTTGCACTCTCGGCTACGCCATTACTGTCAAGGCGAGGCTCGCCGCCGATATGGTGTTGCGTGGTTCGTACACTTCCAACCGTTGTCGAGCTGGTCCCCATTGGTCTTCAACTGGAGGCAGTATGTATACAAACACAGCACCGGAATCATGAGTGGCAAATCAAGGATCTCTCCTGCCCCGACCACCGTCGGATCTCGCGTTCGGGCTGTAGCCTCGCTGCCGGTCTAAACGCTATACCTCCCTCGAAAGATTGCTCGGGTACACAGAAGTAAAGTCGCATTTGGTGTACAAGGTGAAAGATCGCCGCGGCTGGGGTGTATTGGTTTTGAATGTCAATCCGGCATGCTCGGCAATATTGGGGACTAGAATGGGGGTTTAACTGTGGTGGTGGTAGTGGTGGTGGGCGCACCGAGGACGTCGATCGCTTTCAAACATATGCACAGTCAACTCTAGCCGTCAACTGCATAATTGTACCCCGAAACCGCAGGCCGAGCCTTAAGGGAAAAGTCATACCATCCGCCCTCCTCGGGCATCGACTAGGCGGCCTCTGCTATAGGCCCTCGGGATATGCAACTGATCTACATGAGACCCTGTAACTACAGAAGGAACTGCTGGCTCCCCCACAAGCCTATCCGGCGAGCTTCCGGGCCTCTCGCCCGCAATCACCGTACCTGTCGACGCCCTGAAGAACCCTTAGAGAAGTCAGACGAACCTGTCAGGCGTATTTCCCTCCACCCTGCCGCCTGGCAGGGGAACAAACATTGCTCTAAGGCGTCCATCTGCATTTCATGCATGCATGACCCTGGTAGCCGAGGCTTGGGTGGACCGGTCTAGACCACTATCATAGTTCGACGATTGGGGCGCACAACGGGTGAGCTACATGAAAACTGCCTATCTTGGATTGCGGACACGATCACATCTTTTGTCTTCTTCTATGGACGTGTCAGAAGTCGTGGCTCCTTTGACGGGCATTTGACTGGGGTTTCGGTCGTGGTCTGATTTTGAGGCTTACTGGCAGCCGGTATGAAACATCCGGCACGTACCATAGTACAGAACCCATGAACCTGTCACATTTTCATATATCGAATGGGGTTGGCTCCTCGGTTCTCGGCGGAGGCTGTGTCGATCGCAGGCCACCTCGTATTTACCTTTCCTTGGCCTTTCTGGGACAGGATTCTGAACTCAGAGACAACAATTGGTCATGGGCCTGCAAATCAGTGACAATATAGGGAGTATATTTAAGTCAATTACTGTTAAGAGCATTACACGTGACTGCACGGAGCCTGGCTTGCTAGGCGTAACCACAACCATAAGAGCCGTCGTTCTCAACGAGGCTTGCACATGCCCACTGCCCAAATGTGTAACCATCCGGCAACATTGCAGATCTCTAGTAGCTCCGAACACGGCTCGCGACTCTTAACGCCCATTGGCCAAGACATTATATTGGACATTGAGGCTGACAGGAAAGCCATAAGCAATGTTTTGAAGGATGGAACCTAAACCAGTCCAATTGGTACCTTTGCAAGTCACTGAGTCTCGCTTTACTGCAGTCCGAGGGTTTGGAAACCTTATTGTATCACTGATCATGCCGACGCGACGCAGCAGCCAATCTGAAGCAGCCGTACCCTACTACGCTATCATGATGTCTAGGGTTACGCTGGGATGACCGCAGTGGATTTTGTACGTCGAAACCTGTTGCGCTCGGAGACCCTTACTCTTCCATGAGAAGATGATCAGCTGACATTCCAAAAGTTCAAGCCCTTTTCCAGGGTGGAAACTACCGTCAAGGCCATAGCTGGAATGAACAGACATTGCGTGGTCCGGTCCAGTTCCAGAGACGTTCATACCTGTCCGTAAAACAGTACCAAGCCACTCCGGTTTGACCTTGATGGATTACAGCGGCAGCTCATCAAGGGACGGTCACCTGAAAGGGGTTGGCAAGACTGGTCAGCAGCTTAGAAAGCAAACCCCGACAGCTCGAAACAGTTAGAGAAGTCACAGACGTACAGATACGACGTCTATCAATGCTGTGGCCGGTTATAACAAATATGCAGAGAGAACGGATGTCCTTGAGTCCTATTGTTAAGATGGAGTGGTTTGCTCCAATTCTGATGCCGTACGAGAACAACAGCTAAGGCACCCCTCCTCCCTCGACTTGGCAAACACATCTAACCCATGATGCGGACGACCCAATCGGTACAGGCACCGAGGAGAACTATCAACCCAGACTGGATGAGCGTGGCCAGGGATTAAAGCTGCAGATGGACTTCTATAGAGCAATGCGCCAGGTCTGGCAGTATTGAAAACGGTGACTCGTACTTGCAGATCCCCAAGTAGTCGGCGCAGGACGGCTCGTTCAGCAGGGATGCTCCCTTGATTTGCACGATGCCGCCTTCAGGCAGACATATATCCGCGGTGGACTATCGAGTCAATATTTGCTTGCTTCTTTCTGCCAGGACAGATCGCCCAGCAACTATGGCCACCAAAGGTCGCTATCCAACTGCATTCTTCACAACCACTCCGTTCCTTACAAGGATAGATGGCAAGCATGAATGTGCGCGTCGACAAGACCATCGCGAAAATTCCGATTCAAAAGCCCTTTTTGTTAGTCGAGCCCCTGCCATGTGGCGCGGGTAACTGCCAGCGTCGTCCGGCATACATATATTGCAGGTAGACGCTCAATCCCCAAGAGATTCCCATTTGCGTCCACACGGGTCTTCGCTCACGTCCTGATTGGGGTTTCAGGGCATGGAAATATTCTGTTTCTCCAGAAGAACACCCACTGCCTAAGCACATCAATTCCTACGCTATGCCTTTTTCCTTTAGTTTCGCTTTGGGTATAACGGGTACGCTCACTTGCGGACATCACTTTGACGTCGTTCTATAGCAACTCATTAGACGACTAACTTGAAACGCGAACCCACCAACTCCGGGTCCTTCACGAGCTTGATTAACGCGAGGGGGACTACTAAAATAACATAGCACCGAACACTTCTTCCCCCGTTCCGTTTGACATGACAATTGATCGCATGATAAGAGAGTACGCCACAAATCGTGAGACTCAATTATCACTAGTCGCAAAGATGTGGCAGTCAAGATTGAAATAGTACATGCATTAGAACTTATCTATTGTGGGATGTATTTGTAGTAATCATCCGGGCCTTCGGGCCTTTCCGTACCTCCGCGTCCCAATCTCCGTTCTCCTCGTTTACATTACAAAACACAGCCTCCCAACTTTGTATCTGGGCTGCATCGACGGGTTTCGACGTTCAGTCATATTCGGTAGTCATGCCCGCTATCTCTTCTCTCATGAAAAACTCGACTCCCCGTAACCCCAGGCCACGCGAACTTCTACTACTATGGAGTCGTCCGGGGGCTTTGCACGTAGGGATGTCAAAACTAAGAGAATGCTAGGCGGGCGGGGTGAGGGGAAAAAAAAAAAAGGTAGGACAACAGCTCGCTGTCGTGCGCTGCTCGATGGCAAGAACTGAATTTTTGCACCCTAATCAGGGTTGCTTCCGAAGACGCCCCTTATGCCTGCTGCTCGTAAGACCCCTTCTGATTATATGACACAATGAAATGAGATTTATGACACAAAAAGTGTTGTGAAGTTGATGTCGAATGTAGGGCGTGATGGCCGGGTATAGTTGAGGAAGGCCACCAACGACTATGGCAATGAGCAGATTGACAATGAACCCCACGAGGACAAAATGTAGCATCCATATGCAGAGAATACACAACCTCAAGGCTGCAGGCAGTTAGTACGGCCCTTGTCTTCAGGTGTGCAACACGATTGCTGCTTTTCAACATGTGCCACAAAGCCTGCCTTCATAATTCGTCGGCATCCACGCTGCCGTGTCGAATTTCCTCATTGCGGCGACGGTTTTGCGGCGGTCGAAGAGCCGAAACAATGCTCGCTATTGCGGATGCCTTAGGCTTAGAGCCCAGTTTCTTGGAGCTGGATCTTCCAGTGCCGTTCGGATCCGCGGGCGTTTTCTAGGCGCTCTGCGGTGTCGAGAGGAGCGTCATACCAGGACTTTTCTCAGGGTCAAAGTTTGGCTTGCGTGCAGATGCACTCTCAACCCGGGAAAGGCCCAATTTCTCCAGACCAGAGATAGCACTGTCGACTTCACCGAAAGAGATGCCAAGACCATTTTTCTTCTCTCCGTCACCGTCCTTCTCAGGTCCATCCTCGGCATTCTCGTCAAGGTTCATGAGCGCAGGTGGCCGCTGGCGCTGTTGCCTGGCCTTTGAAAGAGAGATGGTCTTTTGCTGGTATGTGGAGGTCATAGGCACAGTATCATCACGATCAATGGTCGCTTTCATCAGTGCAGCCATCCATGCGCGTCCTTGTTGAAGGTTGGGCACTGCGAAATAGTGGACCACGGGCTTTGTGAAGGTGACTGCCTTAGACAGGCCAGCACGTGGTGGTTGCAGCTTGAAGATGAACATGGAGTCATCCCCCTTCTGAAGGCCTTCGGCGTCACCGGCCGACGGAAGACTCGTGTCCGCAGGCGCCATCGGAGCATTGCTAGCGCCCGTGAGAGTGGCGTGCAATCCTGTGAGTTTCTCATCGTTGGCGGGCAATACCCGGTGAAACGAAATGTCGATGATGCCCTTCTCCTCTGTGTCGTCCTCTGAGTAGTAGTAGGCAAGGCGACGTCCCCTCAGCACGAAGAACCTCGGCTTCCACGTTGACATGATGTTGGCATTCCTCTTTCGCATCCAGCCGTGGAAATCGGCGTCCTTGATGGCCTCCTTAGGCCCTACGTTGGTAAGTCCCCGGGTGTAGGCGCTGGTTTCCTTTTTGCCCTTCTTTGGCGCTTTCCGAGCGGCTTGACTGCTGATGGTAGTTGACGATACAGGGCTTTTGGTATCCGGTGAGTCCAGCTCAAAGCTGGGACCACCAGATGGTGTGCTGGATCCAGTCCTGGAGGCGGGCGACTGGATCGGGGAGTCCTTGAAGCCGGCCCCTGCGAACTTGGCTCGCTCGTTGCCCGTCACAGCATCAGATATGGCTCGCAGACCACCGAAACCAGACATCTTGGCCGGTTTGGCGAGCCAATCACCGTTTCGAGTTGCCGGTCTCACGGGGGGTGCGGCCGCATCATCCAGCTTCGTCACGGTGGGCGGCGGGTAGTCCTTGGACGGCGGGACTGGCCGTACAGACTCGGTTGTAGCAGCTGAAGTCGTCCTCCTATGGGCACCGTAATACTTCTGTGCAGCGCCACCTCCGGATACCGAGTCCATGCTGCCGAATCTCGAGTGTCTCGACAGCGCAGTCGCGCTCCTCATACGCTGCTCATCGGTGTAGCTCGACTTCTGTGAGTGGCCAGAGATGGTGTCGCGCTTCTTAAGCGTGTTCCGCTTTCGCCCTTCTACTTCTGTGCCAGAAAAATAGCCACGGTCGAAGTCGAGTCCCAAATCGGCCCCTACGACTTCCTCGGAATTGTTGAGACCGGCGAAGCCAGAGGACGAAAGAGGGCGCTGGGAAAATGAACCAGACGCATTGTTCATAGTCCAATTGCGATCAAATGAGGGCTGCTTCTTGTGAGATACAGGGCCGGATTGGGGAAACGTGCCAGAGGCCGCGAGCTTGGGAGTGTTATTCACCAAAGTAGTGCCAGTGTACCGGTGATCTGTTGACGAATGGCGGCGTGAATGGTGCAGGTCTCTAACCGAGGCAGCCGACGGCCGTTTCACATGGCTAGGTCGACTCGGGCTGTCATTCAGATTTTTGGGTGAAACGGGGGTGATGGGGGAAACAGGATCCATCTTGGGTGTGGTCTGTGACAGTCGCCTGCCATCTCTGACCGTTGGCAGTTTCGTCAAGGTATTCGTCCGACTTCGCATCCTGCCCTCACTTCCCGCCTCGCTGCCGTAGGTCTGTGTTGTCCGCCGCCCAGATTGGCCGACACCATTCACCTCATCCTGAAGCGACTTGATTTTCTGCCAGGTTTTGAGCCTCCTCCCCACAGAACCCAGGTCAAATGCCTTGAGGAACAGGGATGACTGGTCCATGCCCAAGAGCACCTCGCCTGAGATTTCCTGGTCTCGAAACACCTCACAGTGCTTTTTCTCCACGCCTGAGGTGAACAGAAATTCAGCCACGTCATCAGCAGTCCATGCAACTACTTGCTCCCGGGTGTGCGCGTCTTCCTCCTCCTCATCGGTCTCCTCGCCTTGAATGTAGGATAGCCGGTCGTGCAGATGCGCACTGTACTCGCTACTTGAATCCGTGGCATGATGCAGGGCTCCGGTACTTGGGGTGGACTGCAGATCATTCATATGCTCGTCGATGACGGTCAAAGTCTCGTGTAAGACTGCGCTATCCTGGCCAGCGCCACTCATACGGCGAATTCCATTGTACGCAGCTGGACCGCTAGGTGTCTTGCTCACCAGGGGCGCAGACGGAGAGATGGGTGACGGTTCTGGCTTGACAGCATTGAGAGGAAGAATGGGTGCGGACTCGGCCTTGGAAGAGGTAGTCGTGTGTGAGGTGCTCGGCCGTCCGTCTGTGCTACTTGCTGCTATCGAGGGGACCTTGCTTAGGTCGGTTGATGATCCGTTGGTTGCTGCAGCTTCTTGGGATACTGGTTTCGGAGGGGGCGGCGGCGCTCCTGCCGTCGGTTGGATGCCCCTTGGGGCTGGTCGTGTGTAGACTGTAATGGCACATACATGTTAGACACCCGGTTCTTTCGGCTATCGACGCAGTGTGTGGTTTATCGCCCGCCTACCTTCAGGAAACAATCCGCTGTTCCCATTCACCATGTGACGACCCAGAAACCAGCCATCGCCGAACTCGTCGTCGCGCTCGATCAGTTCTACCCGATCACCTTTGGAGAGGCTGAGCTCATCGGAGCTTCGGGCTGTGAAGTCATCTGCAAGTAGCCACCTTTGTTAACGCACTTCTTTCTTCGGCGCCATGTTGTAGAGCAGCGCTGGGATGACATTGGCTGCGAGCCGTGATGGCGCCTGCTTCGAGGATGTCATGGCCAACTTGCCGTTTTCGCAGCAAACGCCATCGCGTCATCACGGCACTACCGGGACACCATAGTGCATGGGATCGGTCGGAGTTTACTCACGGATCACGACGAGAATGTCGCCCACCTCGGGCTTGGGTTGAAAACTTGCAGACGCCATGGCTCAAATCATTCGAAAGAAGAAGTAACTCGAGGGACTCCAGGCAGGAAAATCCGACGGTCGTCCAATATTCACGTGGTTGCGGCTCCCAAAATAAAAAAAAACTGGTGCCGAGGATCGCATGAATCTGTCAACGGAAGTCGCCCCAAGATCCAAATCGGGGGGTTCGACAGACGGGGATGCGCGTGCGCAGCTCTCGAAGGAGCAGAGACGGGGGTGTAGTTTTTTTTTTACCCTTTGGGGGGGTCCCAAACGCTGCTGGCCGACGCAGCGCACTCGCGGGCTGAGTCGCTAGTTCGGGTGAGAGTCTACGTCTCTGATTCGGTCAATGTTTCATCGGGCACGCAGAAGGCATCGAGGCCGGAAGTAGCGAAGGATGCGACCGCGCGGGATGCCGAGGGTGGGTGCGGGGATTTGCAAGTTGGTATATATATCGAAGTAAATCGATGTTGTCCTGGACGCGAGAAGACAGACGGGTTCGCGCTTTGCTGCCGGCGGTAGTGGGCTAAGGTTCAGTGGCAGCCGTCGGGGGGCGGCCGTGGCAGTCGGCGGGCCTGATGTCTTGTGTGAATGCGCGGGTGGGAGGTCGGTTGTCGTGGACAGGTTCGACACGTCCTCCAGCTCCAGCAGGCAGGTGGTCGGATCCAATTTCCGACTTGTTTTGTTGTGATGTCTCTGGCTGAGGTTTTAGATGCGGCCACTAGGCGGGCGGGCGGCGGCGGCGGCACTTGATGCTCCCCTTTCCCCTCCGGTTGCAGAGCTGTCACACAGGACACCTTTTTCTGCGGTACACGAACACCTGCCTCGTACGGTACGCCGCCGGCTGGCTGGCTGGCTGGCTGGCTGGGGAGGGTGTTGCAGCGTGCTCGCAGGGGCGGTTACTGTTTGGGCGCGCACGGCAAGACGCTGCTCACAAGCAATGCTACGAGCGACGTGGTGAGCACCGTTTGGCGTGGGAGTGACTGAATAGTAGGCGGAAAAGATTGGCACCGCTGCACTGGCTTCGAAGGGGGCAGAAGCGACAGTCAAAGTCAAGTCAAGTCAAGTCAAATCAAGCCCCAGTCCTAGACGGAGAACGGAGAGGCGCCGGCGTGGGCGTTGGGCCTGGGGCAGGGAGGGGCACTGGCACTGGCACTGGCACTGGGCTTGACTGGCACCGGCGTCACTGGCGCTGGCGATCAGGCTAACTAACTACAGTACACACCTTACCATAGTACTGCGTAACTAAACCGTAGATGAACAACGACGGCTGTGCCTGTCCAGTGCCTGCGCCTGCGGGTCCACCAGGTGATTGGAAGGGTACTTAACATATGCAGCCCCGTAGCCCGCTTCATTCACTTCAGGTGGGTGAGGGTTTGGGCCTCTGGGTCCTCTTTGGCCCTTGGTTCTGCTTGGGGAGGTCGCACGGGAGATGGGTGACGACGGAGATCGCTCGCCTCGCCCAACTAACTCAGATACGATACTTGGCCCAGCAAGGGCCTAGCAAATAGCGCCGGCCGTCCTGCGTCGTGCAGCTCCGTCCCCATTTATTGTGTCCAGAGCTGCCGAGCCCTGGTCCGTCTTTGCAGCCCAGACCCCAGAGAGTGCCTCGGAGTGCCATCTCTCGCGCGGCGGCATTCGATAAAACTTCCCACCCTGTGGAACTCTCCGCTGATCTAGCCGGGCGGATATACTTGATCCTTGGGGGGCGGCCCCAGCCAATCTAACGTACCTTGTCGGCGTGGACGCCAGCGATTGGGTGTGGCCGTGCTCACCACAGGAGCCAGATAGCGTAACCCTTTCCTAGCCTTCCATCCGACTCACTCACTCTTGACAGATGGTTGTCTACTGGGTCATACGCAGATTCGAAGATTCGAAGATTCGAGGACCGTTGTTGGCACAATGACAATCGTCCAAAGTTCGACAAGAATAGCAGCTCGAAGTGTGTGTTCGTATATGTGGGTGTGCATGTAAATCTGGCGAGCCAGAAATGCAGGTAATGCAGCCGTTGACGAAATGGGATTACAACGGAAGGCTCTCAGCGCCCCCCTCAGTCGCACAGCATGACTATAGGTTGGAACCAATCGGCCCATGTAGTTACGTACCTGTCCTGCTGTACTCACCTGCAAGTTTGTCCCCAGGCAACGTTTGGGTACCGAGTCCGGCAGGGCGTTACCCGCCTACGCCGGTGGCCGGTCATCTTGGGGTTCTGTCAGTCTTTTACTCGGGTCACCCGAAATCGAAACTTGTTCCGACTGATTCGGGGAACTGTACTGCTGTGTAGTTCACTATGGTTTGGTTGCTATGAATCTCGCAACCCACTAAAAATGCGAATAGTCAACCATTCAAACCAGCCCAAGAAATCCAGAAGCCTCTTTCCACTCAAGCACGCACTCTGGGGGTCAGGAGTCCACAAGGACCCTGGCTGCCCTGCACCTATCAGTCCCTGGCGAAAGACCTTATCGAGAAAAAGACATGGGATTTCAGATTCCAGAATTTCAGTGCCAAGGAACGGATCCAGCTACCCAAGCCCGTGTCTCGTCAGCCGCTCAAGGTTCGAGTTTGACACAACCTGGAGCGAGACGAGGAGCGAAATCAAAACCTTGAATGGCAAGCTTCTTCACAAAGGTCTCACCAGCCCTGCTGCTATCTCCGTGGCAACTTGCGTAATCCTCCCATTGCCATATGCACGCACCGAGCCAGGCAGGCCTGTAGGGAAGGTGGCCAACATAAGCGGTCTTGGATACAATTACCGGTGCAGCTGGCCCTGTGAGCGACGTTCTCTCCACGCCCACGAAGATTGTGCGAATAGCACACAGCAAATCGTCATTATTGTTGTCTTGCAAACCCTACCGTGGTATATATCGTTGGCAGTCTGTCGGGTCGCTGGGAGCCAAATACTTGAGGTCACGAGACCTCCTTGCGCATGTAGTGAAAGCCCCTCCGTGCTTTCACACACTTCTTCACATGCCGATGGTTCACAATTGACTCCGCGCTGCATCTTGCTCTCCTAAATGAGAACTCCAAAGAGCAGTTGCTGTGGCCAGTAGATGTCTACCGTGTATGGCAATGTACTTTGACATGGTACATATTCGAATGAATGCGAGTGGCCCCCACTTCCAAGTGAACGGACCAGAGCCAGACCAGGGCGCAATAAGGCAAGAAAATCATGGATATATTACTTGCGGCGGAGGAAGTCACCACGCAGTCTCGCCGTTTATACTGGCGGGGCTTTGGAGGCAATTTGTTTCCGTCGGGAAAGAATGTAGTGATCAATGTTGCGCTTGGCAAGTTCATCGTCTACATTCTGCAGTCCCGTCGCCCAAGGCTGCTGTACTGAAAGGGGAGTGGAAGAGAAGATTCGTGCCTAAAATTGGACACTGGCCGCATGTAAGTTAGGTGCCCAGGCAATTATAGTGCCAGATCCCGAAGGCCCGTTCAGCCAGGTTGCAAGTGCCCAGAGAATTTGGATGTATTGTATAGTTGAGATCAGTCCAAGAGGCAGGCTTGAGACGATTATCCATTTCTGATACATTTCTGATGAGAGACAAGGGGAAACGGTTCGCCCCCCGCTTGTACCTTCTCTCGTGTTGGCCCTCGCCGTCCATGCGTGCCACGACCTGAAGGTGCCGTGCTGAGTTTGCCGCACTGTCGTAGACTCGCAGTCTGCATGTCGCCCGTTTCAAACACACTCCTCCACCGAGCTTTTGGTCAGCTCAGATGTGACTCGGAGCATCACCAGCGTCAACAAGCCCAACGAGACGAGAGACAAACATCCAAGCGAATAAACAAGCGAGCAAGTGAGAGAGTGAGAGAGCGAGTTCAGCAGAAGAGGGCAGCACGTCCAGCCGCCTTCTCGGATGCATGTGGTTATTCGCTCATGTTGCGCCTTGTCCGACTTTCTTCTTTCTCCGCCTTGGCAAGATTATTGCCTCTTTGAGCCTCAGTCCAAGGTAAGCCGGACAGACTTGCTAAGGATCTCACCGGACTATACTGCTCACTAGCGGCCGCGACTTACGAGCTGCACATGCGTTATTTGACCGGCCTGTCTCCAGCCTGGGATGCACGACAGTCGTCGGCGCCTCAGCAAAACGCCGCGAGATCCCACCCCCTCCGTTGATCCTTGATCCTGCAGAGGGTGCGATGCGGCGCGGTTGAGTGGGATGGCGCCAGCGGGAACGGGAGGCCATCGCACTTCTTCGACGAGGGCCGCCTCGTCTGACGAACACCAGCTCCAGACGACCAACGACACGGTCAACCGCTTCCTGGGCGGCCGCCAGCGCTCGTGGATGACAACTGCGAAGCCGGTCAAGCCCACCCCTCGCCCACCGAACCGACCACCGAGAGAATCCCTGCCAGAACCGCAAGCCTTCAGGCCCAACGGTCAACGACCTCCTCAGCAGCAGCACTCAGCCTTGTCAACACATCTACTGTGGCCTCAATTGCCCGCCCCATCGGATCTGCTCTCTGTCGGAGCGCCGTCAGCCTCAGCGTAGGAAATCCTCCCTTGCTTCATCACTGTTGCGCCGCGCACGCGATGTCTAATCTCCGCCGCTTGGCCGTCTCACGCCACATGGGATTGAACTCTCGCTGACTTGAAAAGATCCTGCAGACCTTCGGCATCGGCTGTGCTGCCCTCTCCAGCCCCCAGCGACGAACCGAGCCCGGCAGCCTACAACCCGAGTGCAGGCGTGGGCCCAAACGATTTTAGCAGGAATAATCGGCCTGCGCCCGGGGCGACAACGACCGCGGCAGCGGCAGCAACATATGCTCCAGTCACTGAAGCGCATTTCTTACCAGTAGACGGAGCAGGGGCGACTTATACGGACGCACACTATACAGACGGAGACTACACCGAGCCTGCAGCTCGGGCTCCGGCACCGAGGGATACGGCAGTAGCGGATGGAACAGTAAATCCCCCGGAGGCTGATGCTGGCAGTCGCATATCGAGCGCATTCTCACCAGCATCACCAGCATCTTTTGCGCCGCATGGTCCTCCGCATCCGAACGCCCCCTCTCCCATTCCCATGACGGCAGCTCTGCCGCAGGCGCCACACGTGGATCCGGAACCGCCTGCAAAGCGGCGTCGCGTCGGACGGAACATGAGTGCAGCTTTTTTGCAGCATCTCCATGCTGCAGAGGTCATCGATAATCATGTTAGAACACAGGGAGGCGAGGACGCCTTGGAGATCAGTGTGGAAAGGCCTCGGTATCAGCTGCTTCGCGATGCATGTTTTGCTGGGGACCTCTTCTTCGTCGCTCTACACCAGGTCTTCTGCGCGTGGTCTAGCAGCAACAGAATAGTTCGTAAGTTACCAAAGTTTCGTCCTTTATCTGGCTTTGTGACATGTAGACGGCTGCTCAGGTCGAGGGAGCAAGGGGGGCAACCGAGCACAAGAGCACAAGAGCACGTGGGCGCGCGTCTCGCCTGGCCTCGTATCTGATTCTTTTCTTTGTCCTTGATGTCTTCCTCCAAGACATAATTGCTAACGTGAGGTTCTAGATAACCTTTGTGTAGAAGGGTTTCATGACACAAACCTCATAGACAATGCTTTTGGACTGATGGGCACAATCCTGAAGAGCAACAACAAACTGCGGTCTCAGCATGCTGCTTTTTTCATTAATTTCCCTGGGCCGCTGGATGAAATACTCCAAGAACACGACGTCTATGCCAGCACTATCCACCAGGTCCTCAACTTCCTAGTGAGGCTGTCGCAGCACTGGATGGTGGCGAGTCACGAACACAGGAGGCTTGGGTATCCCCTGCTTATGGACGAACTGTTGAGCACATTTGGGCTCCTCTCCAAGATACTTCAGTCCATCGTATTTAGAGCGTCGCGTAGGGCCTTGGGGGTTATGGACGGCATGGTTGGCGCTGAGATGGACGAACTCTTCAGGCAGGATCAAATGACACACCTGGACGGGAATGGTAACTTCGTTCCAAGAATGACCCAAGATTTTCATAAGGACCCTACCAACCGGCTTTTGATATCGCGTTTCCAGACGCTCATCGCTCAGACAAGAACAGCAAGCCAGGCCACACTCGCCTCCCAACAGCAGCCGCAGCAAACCCCCCAGCAACAGTATCAAACTCAGCAGCAGCAATATCAACAAACTATTCAGCACCAACATCAACAAGCCCCTCACCAGCAATATCAGCAAGTCCACCAGCAACAGCACAGGCAACAACCCCGTCCTAACGTGCGCCAGGTGGGTTCACAGGGGGTTTCCGCGCCGCCTTCACACCAATCCTCACCCACCACGACCTACCCGGGATCTGTGCCTACGCTTCCCAGCACAGGACAGGAAACCCACTCTCCTGTAAATCCGTACTCTCCTGTAGTTTCCAATGGGAATACGTTCACAACTGGCGGCAGCTTTGTACCTGCTCAATACCAGCATCCCTCGACGCATGTGCCAACAACAACTTCGGGCCATGCAAGCTCGCCTACACATCCATATCTCCCGAGCAACTCGCCAATTCAATCGCCAAACGCAAGCCAAGGCCAGCCCAATCAAATGCGAGTAACCAACACTCCTAACGGCGGCCAGTTCGTACAATCTCCCGTGAATGCTCCAGGTTATATGCAGCACCTGGGTCGACGCGCGTCCCAACAGTTTGTTTCAGTCCCTAGCACACGTTCACCACAAATGCAAACCTTCAACAGTGTTCCAACCCAACGGCACGGGTCGGGTTCTCCAGCTCAGAATTCTCAGAATCTTCTGAATACAGCAAACCAGGTGCCGCAGACACGAACACCAGGCCAAGCTTCTCCTGTCCTGCCAGCTGAGATGGCCTTCCAAGCGCCGCCTCAAGCTCAGCCGGGTCGCAATCCGATATCGAACTCCCTGACCACTGCTCAGAGCCCAGCCAATGGCATGTCGATGTTCGGGACTCCTCTCTCGGCTAACATCGCAAATGGACAGGCTTCAGCCGGACAGCAGATGCGAAACCAACAGAGGTTAGCTAATCAGCAGCTCTTGTATCAAATGAGTCAAATGCGACAGGGCATACGGCAGCCTCCTATCAATCGTCAAGCTCACCAAAGTAGCACTAATGGCAGCTCCATGGCAAATTTGATACGGGCTGACAACCGAATTGCGCAGTCACAGTATCCCGGTGACGCTTATGACAGGAAGTCTCTTGAGATGTCTCTTCACCAAGCACACTTACGAAGTCCAAGGAGGCTGCCGAGAAAACTTAATGAGCCGACGGAGAGATACTACCAGGCTGTGAAACGCCTTGCGCTACCAGCCACTCCGATCCCTCAACAACAGCGCCTTTACTCTTTGCAATTCTACATTCCTGATACGGAGCACATGAGTATTTCGCGCAACAAGCAGGTGCAAGGAGACTCTCTGCCAATCAACTTTTTCTGGGATGGGTCAATCCGTATGCGATTACGGACTTGTCTCATGAGGAGCAGTACTACGGATGTCCCGGAGAACGAGTGGGTACTCAGTGAAACTAGCTGGCCGGAGCATATCTATATGCAGCTCAACACAAACGTCCTGACCGTCAAGCGAAAACAGCATCATGCTAAGGACCAGCCAATTGAGATAGGTTCTTTCATTCGACGAGGCATCAATGAGCTCAAGATCTCCGTTCCTGTTCCTAAAGACCCCGCCCTGAGGGCTGTAGAAAAGAACAAGACGCCATTCATAGCTGTTGAGGTTATCGAGACCTTGAGCCAAAGCTCGATTTACGCACTTTCTAACCTTGGGACGGCCTCGATGGTACCCACGGAGGAAACACGAGCCAAGATTCAGAAACGCCTTGGCGGATCTTCGGACCCGGGCGACGACGAGATCGCAATGGTTGTAAGCGATCTCAGCATCAACCTGGCTGACCCCTTTAGCTACACTCTCTGGGCAATTCCGGTCCGGGGTAAAGACTGCACGCATTTGGAGTGCTTTGACCTCGAAACATGGCTCGAAACCCGCCCGAGAAAGAAATCTTGTATCTGTGGAGCGAAGAAGTCTTCAGACTGCAGCCGATGCCCGAAAGAGCCGTCGATGATCGATAAGTGGAAGTGTCCCCTATGTCAGGCCGACGCTCGTCCCTATAGCTTGCGTATCGATGGTTATCTTTCAGAGGTCAGGGAGCAGTTATTGGCGAGGAACCTGCAGAAGGTCAAAGAGATCAAAGTCTCAGCCGATGGATCCTGGCAGCCGGTCATTCCTGACGACGATAGTGACTTTGACAGTGACGATGATACCAGACCCAACGGGACAGCAGCCAAGAGACCTGGTCATCAGCTCACTCACCAGAGCTCCGCAGTTGAGGTTATCTATCTCGACGATGACTGATTCGACCCGGCAAATAAAACACCCAGGAGACACCACACCTTTGCATGCGCAGCTTATATCTGGCACGGTGTGTCAAGTTATTTGCGTCATCATTTCGGAGAAGAAATGCATAGCGCGTGACATTCTATGAGACATTCGTTTCGAAGCGAGATACCCCAGAATCGTTTGATTTAATTATTTCTAACCCATGATTTTCTGGGAGCAAGCAAGGCGTTCGCAAGGCATCTATGTGGCTTTCTATTCCTCACTTCAGCTTGGCATGTGCGATGGATACAGGGAAATGACTAAAGAGAAAACGGAGCTTTTTTTTTCACCCTTTCTTCTTTGACAATGGATGGCCAAGTCGGTTGCTCTTTCCTTTTCATATGCATCAGAATTGCACACGGAACTGTTAATAGCGATGGCTGTGAGCGTAGAACGAGGTAGAGATGGCTGTAACGATGGATATGAAGCATCAGGAGCTCACGAGGAACTTCTTGAGGCAATCGGGTACACAAAGCATTTTGTGGCACAAATGGCCCGCATTACATAGCCACCAACTCGAAAATTTAAAATGAACCATTTCCCGTTCTTAAAGCGTGTGACAAACCGGGCTATATATGGGTAAGGTCCCTGTAAGCTTTCGCGGTATCTCTACAGATGTTGCATCTACAGCTCTCCCAACATGTCCTGAACTTCATCGCCTACCCTATCAAACCATACCATGACCTTCTGGTCAATGATACTAGGCTCGATATATATTCCTAAGCTCTTCACTCGACCGTCATCCCCAATCCTGAACTCAGCCGGGACAGCTACGCCGAGCAGAGCAAAGACCTCCGAGGCACCCCAAGCCAGAAATTGTTCTCCAGACACCCATTCCAGCTCGATCGTAATATTTTCCAGCCTCCTCCAGTCCGCCCTCAACACCGGATCCTCGCGGTTCTTGACAAATGTGAACTCCCGCGGCGACTCTAAGCGAAGCTCTAGTCCTCTGAATCCATCGTTCCAATACCTGCCCGCGTAAGCCTTGAGCGGGAGGCTCCGCGGGATATCCGAGACGTTCGGGAACACCCTATCTCTGGAGGTTTTCCAAGCCTGGGCCATGGACTGAAGTTGCCTCTCCCCCTTCCCAGCGACATCCTCTCTCTGGCCGTCCTCAACCCCTAGAAAGTCGTCCATGAGCTTCATATACACCGCGTCTTCTGCCATCGTGCCGTATATAAACGAGTTGGACAAGAGCACAACTCCCCACTGTTCCTCGGGCATGAAGGCCATTCTCGTGCTGTAGCCGTTCACCGCCCCACTGTGCGTTACGAATTTGTGGCCACGGTAGTATGTCTCCTCCCAGCCCATGGCATAGAGGAGCGGGCTCATGTGCTCGAACGGACCTGGGCTGGTCGTGAGCATCAACGGCCTAGTGAGTGCCTCGAAATCCTTCTTCTCCAACGGCAGGCCCTTGCCGCCTTCCATGAAAGCCCGAACCCACTTCGCCACGTCCGACACGCTGCTGATGATCCCGCCTCCGCCGACCAGCTCGGTGTCCGTCCAGGGCTGGTGGTCCACGCTGGCCGTAAAAGGGTTATACGAGTACCCATACGCCAGCCTCGCGGTCCCTTGCCTGTCCGTGTCCAGAGCCTCGGTCAGGTTGATGACGGTCGAGTCCATGCCAAGGGGCCCCCAAATCGCCTCGCGGTGCACGTCGCCGATCCAGCGCCCGCTCAGCTTCTGTATCACCGCCTGGATGAGCATGTATCCCTGGTTGAAGTAGCGCCACTCCTGGCGCAACTCGGCGAAAGCGGGCAAGTGTCTCAGGCTTCTGATCAGGTCCCGCATGCCATAGCCCTCGCCGCCGTATGACAGATCGCAGCGCGGTAGGCCTAGACGGTGCGCCAGAGCGTCCTTCGGCGTTGCGTGGTGTGTTGCGTAGTCAGAGGGCAGGGCGAAATCTTCGCCCAATATCTCTCTGAGGGTTGAGTCGATACTCCAGCGGCGGTCTCCAGGATGGGCCTTGGTGTAGTTGTCCAGCGTGTAAAGCAGCGAGGCTGCGGTGAAAGATTTGGTGCATGATGCCAGGTAATAGAGCGTGTCAGGTGTAGCTGGTGTATCCGGTAGGACAGCATAGCCAAAGGACTGTTCTTCATTGTGAGATACCACTGCGGTCAAGATTTCGAGGGCTACACTCACATCAAGGTACGTCTCGTTTCCTTTCAATACTGCCACAGAAATGCTTGGGACATGGAAGCGATCCATGAGATCTTGGATATATCCACGCGTCTCCTGGTCTAAGCCATATTTAACAACGGGCCTGTCAGCAAGCCCCGCGCTGGTCAGATGCGCCTGCTGTACGTGCGCAGCGATACAGAGGCCGCACAACAGTAAAAAAGACACATTGTACAACAGAGATGGCATATCAACGATGGTGAAGAAGTACAAGGCTCCCTGGCTAGAAACTGTCGTCTAGCAGCGTCTGATTACTGTCTGGTCCATGGTCTAGTCAGGCATTGTTCTGTGTGGTGCATAGAGTAAGCTTGCGGCACAGCAAGTAGATAGTGCCGAGGCCCGCCAACGCTCTGACAACGCGCCTCAAGGACAGCGCAAGAGACGCAACTAAAGACTGCTGTTTATTTACATGTTCTCGCACCCCGGAATGTCCGGTATTTCCACGTCCACTGTTTCCCAGTGCCCTTCACGAGACTCTACCCAGCTCCTTGACGATAAGACGAATATCTCAATCTTCTCGAAATCGATAGCGTCGCCATATAACTCTTTAATCCGGGGCAACACGGCCTCTCCGCAAGCTGGACAGTCGTTGCCATTGATCAGTGCCTGGAATACTGAGAGATATTTCGAGGGCGTGTTTGTCGGAGTATATCTTCTGGCAGTGACACAGTCGCTGTGGTAACCAAAGGCAAGTTCATGTAATACGTGCGAGTAGATATATAGGATATGCGAGGGGTATAGGTTGAAGGGTCGGAATTTGCCCTTTCCAGTTTCCTGGGAATATCTTGACCAAGGATCCCGAGGCTTTTGATACCACAGACTAGGAGGGACGGCTCCGAGACTGATCTTGGACCCAAGAATATGTTCCTCAATATCGGAGAGGCGCACCGCGACGTAGCCTTTTCTTATTGGGTAGTCCGATGGAACCGACGTGAATTCGGAACCCTGACGGTACCCTTCTGAAATCTCGGGCAGGGCAACTAAGACGCAGTACTTGCGGCTGCTGAACTCAAAGAAGGGATTTGGAAAGACAGGAAGATCATCGTAGATGACACATTCAGGGAATTGTATGCCCTGACCAGGGTTCTCATCCTCCACCTTCCTCAAGGCTTCATTGAGCGTCTGAAAAGGTTTCCGCGGTCCTCCAAGACTACGGATCACACGCCTGCCAATCTCAAGGTCCACAATGTCATTCCTTGATATGTAATCATGCCATCTGCCCTTCTTCTGCTTGGAGATGGCGTCGTTCAGGGGAAATAAGTTTTCCAGAGCTATAGTGCGGCTGAGACGACAGACGTGTAGTGCAGCAGGGTGGTCTTCTGGGTCAGGAAAAGGAGGTATAGTGGGTATCCTCCCGTAGACTTTGCCTGGCTCCGGGGGCTTGGGAAATTCAAGGACTGGCCAGAGAGTGGTACTCCCTTCCCACGTAGATGTTCGTATCATGGTGGTGCTGGGCAAGGTGTGCTTCCAGATCTTGAGCTGAAGCTCCACGGGAAGAAGTGCGAACTGGTGGAAGTCCTTGCCTTGGAGGCTCAATCCAGAGACTTGGCCTTCGAGATATTCCACCGTTACCTTCGGTTCGGCTAGCTCGATATCTGGTGGCGGGCTGCTGCCCCGAAACCTCTCTCTGGATGGATACATTGTGGGCCTTGATCTCAAGCCCTCGATAGAGTGAGTGTAGCGACGTTCGAAGTCACGGTACGATGGGAGTACAGTACGTACAGCTTCGCTCCAAGACGATTATGCCCTGCCGGCGGGATGAGGCGCACCTGAACCCCACTGGTGAAGAAGGCGCCTGGTTGGGCACCTAATCTGTAGTGGGGCTCAAGGCTTTTGAAAACCCTAGCTTCGCTGTAGGGAACGCCACAGGCAATCTCAGGCACCTATTGGCCCATGTGAGGTCGCTGAGATGTCAGGACAACTTGCGACAGATATCCATATCATAGGACAGAAGACGTTCACCGGTATCTCTTTCTTTAAGTCTTCATGGGAATATCTACATATTAATCGTATGTCTTGTCTGTTGTGTACATGGTGGGGCTGTTCTATATCTCGTCCGCAGATGCAGGATTACGCCCAATGGCTTGCGCGTAGTTGACGTCTATAGACCTTCTTTTGCGAGCATGTCTGCTATATCCAGATAAAAAGCAATCGCATTGAATCTTGATGATTGTCAGTTCTCAAAACTTCCTTGAGCAGACCTCAGAAGTGTAAATAGTGTAACTTACGTAGGATCCTTCCCCAGCCAAAGTTTTCGCATCGTCCATCTTAGCCGGTTTGTCCAGTTGATCAGGTCGAGGTGGCTTACACCGACGAGGGTCCCTTTGTATTCGCCCCATCTGCTGGAGTTGACGCTCACCAGCCCATCATTGGGTCCTTCGGCGTCTTGCAGAATGCTGTGTGATTGACGAAAGGGACTCAGTAATGATGGCTGGTCCATCATGGCTCCGTAAGAGAAATATCGTACGTTGGCGTCATCGACTGTCTTGGGATTGAACTCCTTTGTGGCATACTCCCGTGTTAGTTGAGAGAATGCGCCGGTTGAGAACCCAACACCCTCCAGGATCTTATAAACGCTTGGCAACCGCTCGGCACCAATTTCATTGAAAACGAAGTCTGCAAAGGCGCTTCCATGGTGAGGCGTTGCAACCGTGACAAGAGAGCACACATCAACGTCCTTCGGTTGCAGGTGGGATATCATGTGTCTGGCATCCAAGCCGCCCATACTGTGAGCGATGATATTGACGCTCTTGCCCTGGGCTGCTTCGGCGATGTGTTGCCCTAGCTTTTCGGCCCGCTCCTCGATGCTCCCCGAGGGCGGCACAGCGGCAGTGATGACCTCGACACCATTTGCCTTGAGAGCGTCTGATATCCCACGCCAGTAATGGACTGAGGGCAACCAGCCTCCGGCTACCTGAAGTTCTGCAAACCCCAGAAGGCCGTGAGCCAAAACGATTGGGTTCTTTGGGGTGTCTGTGATGATGTTAGGATGCTAGGTACTCAGGCGGGTTGTTGACGTTGCGAACCATAATTCTCTCTGATTTGGGCATAATCATCCTGTATCTGCCGACCCAAATCTCTTAATCGGGGATCGCTCTCTGACTTATCGGAGTACCATCTGACCCTAAGGTGGTAGTCTGCCCTGTACGCCTTGGGCACATGGATGAGTGGCTGAGCATGGGTGGGATGAACTCGGCAGTGATGCGGTATACGCTTGATCAGGATCATTGCAACCTCAGTCTAGCCCGAAGGCGTCGGACTGCAGGGGACTCGGATTCTATAACATGCACGTTACCCTGGCGTGCAGTCTTGGTGGTCGTGTCACTCGGTGCGGTGACGAAGAACACAGCCTGGGAAATTCCACCCGCTCTCGCTTTCGGGATTTCAGCCTGACGTCACGAGCAGCCGTCGAAGCCCACGAGCCTGCAACCAACTGGTAGCAAGAGAGCTCGAATTTGAGCGTTGTGCTCTTATAGCCAGAATCGGGTCGTCGTGATACGGCCTCTCTGAGCCTTCTGCGCCCCAGACGCGACAGTGTGCCTCGAAATGTTGCTGATCTAAACTATCAGGGATCGTCCGTGACGTGAATGGCTGCAGCACTGCGGTGTCTTTGACCGTTGGTGATTTTGGGGGGGCAGACAGGGGTACCTGGGGGCGGAACCCCGGGTGCTGCGCCCGTGGGAGGTTCCGCCCAGCCATCCGCGCCTGGGCTGAACCTGGCTTGTCTGGCACTTCTTGCTCGGTTACCTAGGTAGACCTCAACCTGTCCACGGCCGCATTCGAGGCCGCAGACGATGTCCACGTTGCCCACCCTTCGTCCCCAAGCCCAGCTTATCACCGTTGCCGCTTCTTGCAGGGCCGCAATCATCCTCACAAGTCTAGTCTCTTTTGATCAAGACAGCTCATCGCTGCCCACTGCGCTATTGCAAGGTTGCCAGTCGTCCGCGATGCGCAGTCAAGCGCCGGCAGCTAACTGCATTCTGGGCCGGCAGCTCTGGTCGTAGGATTAAGCGCGATGCTCTCGTGAACGCCAGGGTTCTTGCAGCATTGCTCATATGCTCCACTTTAGTCGTTCGAGACTTGCGTGAAGGTAGCAGCACTGTTCACATGCCTTGCTGCCAACCGAGCTAACTACTTACACAGGCCTGCCGCGACGAAGTGGGACTTCTCCTCCGGTATTGGGCAAGCAATATCGATCTCGTCTGTCCCTCTCTGGCGCCTTGCAAGGAAGTCTTCCATATCCATATTGAGTCTGATTATACACGTATTAAGTGATAGGCATCTGGACCATTGCAACCAACATGACAGACAAGGCTATGATTGTGATAATGTATCATTGACTGAAGAGGTCAAGATCTACCGCATTTCTCGTGCCATATCATCGACACTGGCTCTGTGGATCAACAAGGAACCGCGTTTATGATGTATGCACGTCAAACAGGCTTCTTGACTTTGACCAAACAGACTCTACAGTTAGGCGCGTAAATTTGCAATTGTCAAAGTGATTGGTGGTGAAAAGCAGGGGTCTACTGGTCGACCCGGAGCACTGGGACGACTACTCACCAATGCCCGTCCCTCATTGGACAGCTACCTCTTGAGCAGATGACTACCAAAAGCATAACAGCAGGTGCCCCATAGCCTGTGGGGCAGTGTCATCCTCTCAGAGTAGTTTTCGAGAGTGGCCCTTGAGGCCGTGTCCAAGACCGGGTTGCACTATACTTTGTTTGCTCACATGCGGTAGCTTGAGCCCAAAGCTCCACTCAAAGCCGATCCTTTACTATAAGCAAGGTGAACAGGGAAGGCAACAACCAACAGGTAACACTGCATATGCAGACCACAGGGATACTGCTCAGCCATCCGACCAGTTGTAGAATGGAGATAGACAGAACCATCGGTTGATCTGGTCATGGGTAAATAACTCGGACCGGACCAGTCTTTCTATTCGGGATGTGTCGCTGGAGGACGAAGCGCCGCGGGGTTTTGCACCCGGATTTTCGGGCCCTGCCTACACATATACTATCGTATAAACGCGAAGGCCGCACGATTCATTCCCAAGACCTTCACTGCTTCTCGAGGGATCTGCCCTTGATCATTCATGTAAACAGTCCAGCAAAAATGGCCAGCTCAGGAGATTGCAGCAAGGACGGTTGTTACTACGGCTACCTTCAGTATGAACCTTCGCTGGCCGGCAATGCTCTATTGCTCGCACTATTTGCAGTTCTACTGCCGATCGCCTGCATTTTGTGCCATCGATACCACAGCAGCGTCTTCTCGACGATAGTCGCCACTGGCCTCTGCCTTGAGGTCATCGCGTATGCCAGTCGCCTACTACTTGCGACCCATGAAGATGGCGACAAAACCGAATTCGTCCTCTCCTACATTGCGACTATTCTGGCCCCTACAATCATATCACTCGCCATCTTCCGGCTTATGCCGCCAGTTGTGGCCGCGTACGGCGAACAGTTCCGCGCTTGGAGACCAAGTTGGCACAACGTCGTCTTCTATGCATTAACAGCCATCTGTGTGGTGTTGCAGGCAGTTGGAGGAGTCCTTTCGACAGTTCCAAATGATCGCGCTTTGGTGAGAGCCAACCTTCAGCAATGTATTCATGAAGTCACTAACACGTTTGTCGATAGAATGACACCGGGGTTCGAGTCCTTGTAGCCGGCTTTGCAGTTCACATATCGAGCCTTCTTATCTTTACACTTCTTGGATTTCGCTTCGCCCTGGCTGTTCGAGAGAGGAAAGGGGGCCTTGATACAAGTGGTGTTGCAGTATACAACAAAAAACGATTCAGTGCCTTTCTTTTTGGTACGTATGGAACTGCTAGCCTGCAAGTGACATTGTGCTAATACAGACAGGTTTGGGCATCGCCACGCTACTCCTCTCGACACGCACATTCTATCGCATGATCGCTATCTCTGAGGGGCTATCAAGTGCCCTCGCACAGAATGAGATCCTATTCCTTGTCCTCGATGGAGTGCTTGTGTTCATCGCCTCGGCTCTTATCATAGCACTATTCCCCGGGCGCATGCTCGGAGGCTCCTGGCGGGAACCCTTGACCCATAAGCGCAAGATGTCACAGAAGACTGTGAACAGACCTGCGCCCATTCAACTCCAGCAAGGCCAACAATATCGGGCGTCCTACAGTCCGAAATACAGACGCGTCAGTCTCAAATCGAGCAACAATGTGTCTCCGAGGTACTCTCCACGCTACTCGCCACGGCACTCACCGAGAAAGGCTGTCGTACCCCAGAGAAACGCAAACCTGGTGGACAGTAATGCCTTGTGGTAGTTCATTCGCAGCCCCCGCAGGGTAATTTCTGCAGGACAATATACCCTTTTAGATTGATGATGAGGAGTAAGGGGGTGGAAGGTTTGATTGCTTCTTCTGCGCGGCGTTCAAGGTTGTTTACTTGGGAGGCGTTACTTGTATTTCTGGCTTCGCTTCATCTTTAGGTGTTGAAGGTTACTTTGATTTTTTACAGCGAGTACTGGTGTTACGATCATGTCCGTTAGTCGCTCATTATAGACAAGACATCAGAATGCTTGGGGAGCCAAGGCAGATTGATATATTTCCACTATCACTTGCTCGTATCCTTTCCATAGTACTCTCGAAGCCACATGACCAGCGTATACATACACCGAGTTGCTTGTTGATCTCCTTTCACGACAAAAGTTGGAAGATGTCTGGTTACGTTGTGCCCATGAGAATACGGTGTTTCTGGCCGTTGATACGCTACGAGTCAATCCAGCAAAGGAGCGGTGAGGGTAAAACAAAGAATGCCTTTTGCAAGTTTTACGCGTTGCCACTGGTTTGAAATGCCGATTTAAGCGCGCTCCTCCACGGTGTTTATGGCATCGCAAGAGCAGGCCGCCCCCTAACCATCAGTTGCATATCCACTTCCGGGTACATCTACCGAACTTGATCCAAGATCGCTCTCAGTTGCCATGGACCTATCTCCCCCAGATCAGGGCTGATATGCAGCACCTATAGTGGAATGGGGTTCGTGAGGGCCACCGTCATATGGCCACAGGAACCAAGAGCCGCCATAATTCCACGTCAAAAGGTCTGCTCGAGGACTGCTTCCTTACCACAAAAGAAGCCAGTGCCTCCGTTCTCAACTCAGGGGGGTCCCTGTGCCGTACGGGTGGGTGGCCAGGGGTTATCGTTGAAGTAAGGGAGGGCAGATCGCTATTTAGACTTGGACTTGGACATTGGATTGGACGACTGTACCTTGTCTATCTATGAGAAATCAAGACCAATCAGATATCTAGGGATGACGTTTCCTCTGCTAGTTTCTACGTCGTGGCCAAAGACCAACCATTATTGCACCTATCCCCTGCTGATATTGGGTTGGCGCGTAGGGGAAGTGCAGACTTCGGCATTCTCTGATACCCAACAGGCAGTAACGTACCAACAGCAAACCGGAACATCAGACTAGGCATGGACTGTAGTCCAGACCAGACACCCACCAGGATGTCCACAAGATACTTTGTTGTTTCCCTGTTCAGCATGCTTTGGTGTTCACCTTGCAGGTCGTATCAGTAGAAGTACCTGATTAGGACTGCCTGAGTAATTGACGTGTGCCCTACATTGACTCATATGGCCATTTACTTTAACGGCAACCGAGATAACGATCGGTCTTGGTTTCCACTCATTCACGATGCAGTTGATTCTCATAGACTAGTCTACGATTGACCACCTCATGCATCTATCGTAGATTTTGCATGCTACTGTGGCTTCTCTATACAGGATCAACCCCGGGACTGTAAATCTTAGCATTTCGTAAACAGGTATACTGTGTAGAGCGGCCTTTGACAAGCACCGAATCTTCCTTCCTCGCCATGAAGAGTCCAAGGCTTCATACATCAATTGTTACAAATCTGCCAAATTTCAATATACCGGTTCATATTCCCTTGTGTTCTTTGACCATCGATACCACATGTCGCCGTCCTGGGGCTCAAGATCTCACATTGGGCCTCAGTGTTCACAGTTCATCTGTCGCAATTTACTGGGCTAGCATTTACCGGGCTAGCCGAGGGCCGGATCTTGTTGTCTGGCAAGTAGACCTTGAACCGACAACATCTGAACAGCGACTCGGTTCTATTTGGCCATTGTTAACTTTGAACGGTAGTTTCCATGAAAGGAGGTGAATCTATGGGATTATGGGCCAGGAACGAGACATTGACCGTCAGATATATAGATAGGTCCATGGGAAGTTACACTATCCATTCATGTTTTGACTCCGTAGATGCACTACACGGGGTGCCGCCTTCTGGATACAGGACATCTGTGGTCTCCAGAGAACCTTTCAGGGGCGTTTCAGGGGCGAGTGGCCGAGGACAAAGGGACAGTATATTCCTGAGGCAAATATATGTTCCATTTGTAAACGTCTGTTCTACTTCACCAGGCAACGAGGTTCTTCTACGGGTGGCCCTAGGCACCACGTCAACCTTGCTTTGTCGGTATCCAGACGCGTACTTCAACCTGCTCGCGTGGCTGCTCGTAGCAATCGCCTCGCCGAAGCTCAGTACCTGGCAGCACAGTCGCTTTAATTCGATTTAATACGTATGGTTGACCCTCTAGAATCACAAATCTTGGTTGTTTCTGAGTGTGCTCCTCATGACAAACATCATGCCGCAAGGAACGAAGCGTGTGCATTCGCCTGCACCTTACGAGCGTATCGTCAGGGCCAAGACTTCCGACGAAGAGATAGAGGGCATGGGCAATGCCCGGAACATCGCGATATTGCCGGTTGAAGAGATCAAATCTGAGCTGAAGGGCGACGTAAATGTGCAAGCACCTTCGGTAAGAAAATCCACCCACGTCAACGTCCTGATCATAGACCAACTACCCCGTTAGGCTAATCAAAGCACACGTGCTGCTTGTTCCTACTGCAAGGAATTGTCTACAGAGAACGAAGAATTGAAATACGAGAACGCCAAGCTCATATCACGACTCCAAGGACTTACCGTATCCGAAGAGCTCGTCGTCAAAGCCGAGCAGCCGGATCGCTCTCCTGACGGCGACCCAGACGAGGAGGCCGATGCCGAGGTCAAGAGACTCGCGGCCCAGAACGGCGGGCTGACGCAGACGGTGGTGTCGCTGAGGCTCGCCTTGAATCGACAGGTGACAGAGCACAAGGCGCGGGAGGATCTGAATTGCCGCATCTACGAGCAGTGGCTGGAGGTGCGCAGCACGTCGATGCAGACCAAGCTCAACGAGCAGCTGGCGGCCAAGACCCAGGAGATGGAGCAGCGCGGCCAGGAGCGCGAGATAGCCCTGGCCGAGAAGGAGGGCCAGCTCGAGGCGCTGTCCGAGAAGCACCAAGCGGAGGTCCTGAAGAACCAGAGATATAGAGACCGTCTCCGGGATGCCGAGTGGCACAACAGGCTCTTGCGCGAGGATTACAAAGCGCTCGGAAGAGCTCATCGACGCAATGCAGATCGTCTCATGGCCCCGGCATCCGACACCTTGACCCGTATGGATGAAGAAATGGAGGAGCTGCACCGGGAGTTGCAGCATTTACTGTCTCCATATGACAGAAGAGATAGGGGTGGTCGCCGATGACCACGGACGCGGAGTTGGACATGAGAATCCTATCTCGGTTGGATGAGCGAGGGACAAGTCTGGAGAGCAACGTCAGAGAAGAAGTCAGAAAAAAGCCGAGCGCGGTCATGATGTAGTGTTTTTCATTTCATTTCATTTCACTTGCTTGTAGATGTAGTCAGATAGCAGCAGGGCCTCTTCTGACCATGCTATGGTTTAGTATGAATCTATACGCTGTGTGCACATGTTTCCCCCGGTTGCAATAATTTACCCTTACAACTGAATATCGTTATTCAGCAATCTGACCTCCTCTCCAGGTTTGAAGGCAGGCATTCCCAGATACGGACATCCGTCGCATCTGAAAGCGTCTCCTAGAGAGCAGTTGCCGCACGACCCAACTTTACCCTGTACTGTGAAATCAACCTCATTTAAATCATCAGCACCAAGCTTTAGCGACTTGAGCTTGGCGTCTGCATCCTCTCTCTTCGCGGCGTCTTCGGCAGCAATCTTCTCGGCCAGACCACATGTACAGTCCTTGCAAGCGCGCCGCCTCTTGCCCACCTTCGGCACACACTCAGCAGCTGGACGATCAGTCAGTGGATGGTTCAATGTGAGTTGTCCGCGGAATGCGACTTACGGATTGCGAGGGGCTTGTTCAAGTCCTCCTCCGTCAAAAGGGTATCTTCATCAATAATATCGTCGTCGTCGTCGTCCACATCAAAATCATCGCTAAAATCCACAAAGCCAACGCCTGCCGGCTTTGAAACAGGCGGCGCCATGCTCAGCTTGGCATCTGCACCATTTGACTGGTTCACCGTCACACTCGAAACCGCGGGGCCTGCTGCACTCTTCTTCTTGTTCTTCCCAAACGACAACTTGAGAGGGACGACCGCCTCCTCGTCCTCGGCCTTGGTGAACCCGTCCGGGCCGGCTACAAGACCAGCAAGGACAGCCTCGCGTGCGTCGGCGCCCTCACTCGCTTGTCCCAACGTGCCGTCCTGTGCCTGCAGCTTGCCTCCGACCTTCAGACTCGGCACGATCCTTCCAAAGACATCTCGGTTCAGCAGGAGGGACGACTCGGAGCGAGTGCCGTCGGCATCTGTCAGGACGAGGATCAGATCGTATGTGGCTTGGGGGAGAGACACGAGGCCGGCGGATAGTCTGTCGAGCATCTGGAGATCTGTGACGGATCTGTCGTGGGCGGCGAGGACATCGCGCAGTTTCTCCTCGTGGCTTGCGATCGATGGCGGGGCCAGGACGAGGGTGCGGGCCGCCGAAGAGCCATTCTGGACCGACTTGGCGAACGGCGAGACGAAGTCGTCGCTGGTGTCGATGGTCACTGCAGAGGGCGACATGGTATGCAGCTGCAGGAATTTCTCCCAATAAGGTGGTCGTCGATGATGATGGGTGGCGACCGTGACCTTGTTCGCTGTTGTCGCAAAGTTGGCTTTGAGTGACTGATGGCGGGGCAGAGTCGGTAGATGGAGGGGCAAATTCAACGCTCGAGGCGCAACAGGATCGCGAACTTCCAACAGGGGGATACGAAAGAAGTCGTGGAGCTGGCAGCGAATGAGGTGGATTACAAATAAGGCAACGGACAATTCACGAGCGGAGATGTCTGGATTAGTCAAGATGCGGCTGTTGGGCTGCAAGGGCAGATAGAAAAAAAATTCGTCTACTAAGGCGGTTGATTACATATGCGTGGGAGCGTGAAGCGTCGTTCTCCGGCCAGGCCTTATCAGATCCGATCGCGGAGGGCAGCCTGCTCTGTCGGCGGGAGCGTCGCCGCTCGCTGCAGTGACGTGTGTTGCTTCGGGCTGGCGACTCGATTCCAGACTGGTCCCTTGGCCCAGAGCAATGTACAGTGTTGAGAGAGTCATGCTTTTTTGAACTAGCACGTTGCCGCTGGCCAAGTCTACAGCAAGTAGCTTTATGTACACGCCATCTGAACCAGGCAGGCCCTGTCCATTCCCGCAGTGCAATTGGAGGCGATCACTGACGCAGGCCGGGGTGGCTTGGGTGGGTCCGGGACCCTTCTTTCACTGACGGACGGATAGTGCCGGGGAGTTCGAGGCATAAACTACTATACATTTAAAATCTTATCACGACTTATTCAAACTACAGTATAACAGTTTACGGCACGGTATAATAGCCGTGCTTTACGAAACTGAGGCATCTGAGCCTTCGCATTGTCCCGCCCAATCTTTCGATAGTTCTCCACTCCGCCCACGGCCCGGATGATCTCTTCGGCATGCCCATCCCACCATGCGGAACAGCCTTCGATTGTCTCGTACGGATAATCGACGCTGAACAACACACGGTCGGCGCCAATCTGCTTCACCACGAACCGTAGCGTCTCTGTACAGAAATGGCCACTTGTGGTTACCCAGATGTTCTGCTTAGAGTAATCATAGATCGTCTTCTTGCACGTGACACCACCTTGTTCTTTCGCGATAGATTTCTTGACATCCTCGAACCAGTGATTGATACGCCAAAAGTCATATGGCAGATGCTCACCAAGGTGCCCGACAATGATTTTCAAGTCAGGAAATCTGTCGAAAACCCCGTTGCTGATGATGCCTCATGGAGTCCCAGTTGCTTAACGCAGCGATGCAGCTCTTGGCCTGCTTGCACAGGATCGTGCATAGACAACGCCGCGAATGCCCCTAGCTTGTTTAGGTGATCCCGAATCTAGGCATACGCCCAATCATTGGCTTCGGTCGCACGACGTTCGGCTTCTTTAGCGTTGTAGATACCCTGAATGCCAGGGACTGTCAACGAGACGATGGTGTACCCAATACCATATGTATCAGAGAGAGGGATGCGCTCGTTGCTGATGTCGCTGATTTGACGCATATACCGCTCTCGGTCTGACGAATTGATATAAAGAAGGGCTTCATGCTTGGACTTCTCCTCCATGCCAGCAATCTCATAAGCCTTTTTAAGAGCGATCTTTCCAAACATTTTGATAGTGTGGATTAAGACGATTATATATGTTAAAAGTTAAAGAATATGATAACACTACGAGCAAGAGTGTGCCGTGACGAATGTTGGACTGACTGTGCTTTGAAAAATGTAGAAGATAGCATTCTATCTCTGTGTGTATGTATGTGTTTCCTTTCGACACTTTACTCGTAGAGTTGGTTGGCCCGACATCATAGCCCGCGAAAAGTCAGGATACTCGCGTTTCGCGAGTATCATGCTGCGCGTTCTCGAAACTAACCGGAGGCTTACTGCTACACCGGAAATCCCGGAAATGTGAGGCCAATGACGACGGTTGTGAGAAGCACACTCGTACTTACTACCCGCAATGTGGACGAAGGCTATATACGTGGGGCCCGCAATGGTGCCATTATGTGGCTGCGTTATGGGTACGTTGTGGCCACCCACATTATGTGCACATTGTGTGCCCAATGGCCTAACAAGAAATGGGAAAGTCGACACTCGATGTTGTTGAACGAGGTCTTTACGAGGTGGTTAGTCTACAGGACAATGAATGGAGGTGGTCACGTGGGTAAGGGACTTCCCACATGCACTACGGGATTTCCTAGGTATTTGGAAATACCACGACTGGGAGGTGGGGAGGGGAGGGATACACACAACTACATACACAGTACGACGGACAATGCAATACACAGTTAACAAGACACCTCCAATCAATTACGCACCAGCTAGGTCACTGTGAACGACCATCCACCTGACTGTCTGATAGCACAGACCGATCCAGCGTTCGTCTAGTGCCGAGTCAGGGGCTTCAACAAATCTTGAACCCACTGCGCAACAGTGGCCAACCGCTGTGCACCCTTCAGCTGGCACCAGAACGGGGGCAACGGGACTAGGTCTGATGAATACTCTCAACCGTCCAGCCGTCCTCAAGTCCCCATCAGCTCGCATGGGCAGTGAGCGGCGGCCTGCAGGCAGCGCGTGAGCAGAAGTGGATTCTTCCCCGCATTCTCACGGCTTTTCTTGGCGGTCTCGAGCGGTACCTGAAGCTGGCCGACAGCGACGGGACCCACTGTGACATAATCCAGCGGCTTGGAGTTTCCAGGCATAGAAGCTGTCTGCGAGACAACAAACACCGATGCTGCCCCAGCTGACGTACGCCGTAAACCATCCGTTGGAATCCGTGCAGTCAATTGGATTCCTCGTGGGGACGTAACCACACAGGATAGAACGATGCAGTCGTCAACCTGCGGGACGAATGGCTGAATTGGCCCATTGGCGGCTTATGAACACTTGAGGTGATCCTTGCAGGGGTGGCCATGGCTGCGAAGGCGAACGCACCCTTGACGGACTATTCCAGCAGCTCTGAGTTGCGAGTCTCAGGCCCGGATCCCCAGCCGGGCGGCCATTGGGGAGCTCGAATCCCGTGATTCCAGCCTCTCTTGGGGACCAAGGTTTTCTCGTAGCTTCCGCCGAAGTCGCCATCCAGGCGCCCGGTGCAGCCGTAGGCGGGTAGGCCTCTCACGCGAGCTCTGAGACGAGATTGCCTGAGGTCACGCGACTGGGGGCCCGCCCGCGCAACCCCCAAACTTACGATTTCGGGATCATGCAATGACTGATCCCTTGGAAGGCCAATCAACCCGCTGGGGTTCCACGAGGCATCACGGCCGGCTGCCGCTGCAGATGCGACTTGGAAGTATTGCATGCAGGCCCGTGGCAGCAGGTTGCTACCAGGCGTGGCAGCATGTGGTCAGCCTGATGGATGCTTTAAATGCAGACCGGTCTCGCCATGTCATCTCCCATGATTCTCACCATACTGATGCATGCTACCCCAAACACACAAGCCCACCACCTCCGACTAACACCAAGTAACTACTTGAGTACTTCTCTAGTTACTTATTAGACTGCTGGAGGAGCTGCAGCTGGACTCACTTGATACCTACCTCCTCCCTCCAAGTGCCTACTTGCCTACCAATCCCAGACCCCACTTCCCCCATCCGTCCATTGACTTAACCTCCCTCCCCCCCATCATCAACCACCTCAAACGCCTGGTCGACATCCCTCCGTTCTACATCTCCAACCCAAACACATCCCTCCCAATCTCCAATTCATCAACCATCTTCTCTTCTTACATCAATCTTGAGTCACGTCCATCACCAACAACCACCTCGTTACACGTACCATCCACCAATCCATCAACAGTAAGTCAGACTAGCTCCAATACTCCCCCGTCCTCACCAGCTGCCCCGCATGATCACCTTGTGACGTCCTTTCTCCCCTTCCTCTCCCTATCTCACACCAGACCCACGTGATTGGCTCCGTCCTGTCCATGGTCAACCTTGATGCCATCCCATCTTTGCAATATGCTTGGGTTGCCAGCTTCAACCCAGGTCACACGTGTAAGCTCTTTTGGCTAACACTATATCCTACGCCACAGTGACTCGATCTCACAAGTACAACGAGAAGGACCACGCCGGCATTGCCGAAGGCACCGCCTTTCCCACGGACAACCTTCCCAAGTTCTTTGCCCAGAACGGCTTCGCTGGTGTTGATCCCAAGAAGACCAAGAAGAACGGTGGTGGTAGAGGCAACTGGTGAGCAACCCGTCACTGTGTTACATGCTAGTGCTTGCTGTCATTGCCGACGCTTGAACTGGCCCATGTGCCACGTGTTCCCATCTCATATAACTATGCAACTGTGTGCTAACTTGCCGTCAGGGGCAATCCTGGCGAGGAAATCGTTGATGAGCAATTCAAGTTCACCAACGAGCGTCGTCGGTCCAACAGCAGCGGCTACTCCAACCATCTCCATGACTTCAAGACCAAGTTCGAGATCAATGAGCCCGAGCCCGTCTTTGAGGAGAGCGTCCACGGCCCTGAGGCTGAGGATGACGAGAACCTCACCAAGACCGAGACTTCGTCCAGCGCCGGCAGCTCCATGGACGAGAAGAACAAGAACATGTAAACATAGCCTCGCAACGAGGCATAACATAAGTCCCCCAATATCTGTGACATAGGAACGACTGAATTTTTGCTCTGGGAAGCTGCCCTATATGGAAGGCATGCTGTGACGGCAGTCAGGTTTGGCATTGTTATGAGAAACGATGACGGTCTCCCTAGCGTTGAGGATTTGACGAGCACTCATGTTCACGGTGATCCGGGGGCATCACCTTTTGTAACATCATCGAATAGGCAATGGCTCTGGATGAATGAGACCCAATTGACCGTGTACCACAATCAAGATTTCTATGACCGCTGTGACAAGATATCTGAAACTTCTCGTGCAATGACCCGAAGCAAGCATGCACAAGCTCGAGTGTATTAATACATGTTATACTAATACATTTTCTGATATCAAAATGCAGTCACTAAAGTGCTGCCAGTCGTTTAGCTGTCTGGCGACTGCATCAAAGTTGGTGCAGCACTGCTAGATACAGAGCTTGTAGGACTTCAGAGGCTTTTGCTCGACTTTCGGGAATTGTTCGAACGCCAATCTCGCCGGCCTCTCCCGCTCGCCTTCCACCTTGAGCGTGAGTATCTTCAGGGCCCGTATCCTGAGGCCTCCCTGACGCGTCTTGTCCGACTTGACGGACTCAAGAAGGTACATTGCGTCGTCATTGGGTAGGTAGAAGATGACCGCAGAGGTCCGGAACGTCTCCTCTTCGTCCGACACCGTCACGCCATACAGGTCGGTGCGGTACCTGACCAAATCCTCGTCGAACGCGCCCAAGGTAATAGACTCCACGTCCCCAGGCACGATGACCCTCTTCAGGTGGCCCGCATGATCCTTGGCCTTGAACCACAACGGTCCGATGGTCCGCTGTGTCAGTGCCGCCATGTCCGCAGACCAGGGGAGCCCGACCCCTTGCCTGGTGAAGTCAGGCTCCCACACGGGCAGGAGCTGGCGCAGCCTCGGCGTGATCTTGGGCGCCATCGCGTCCTTATCCAGCTCCAGTGCCAGCACGTCGTCCGGTCCGGGTCCCGGTGACTCGGCCCTGGGTAACCATCCGGCGTCGGCGTGAGGCGGGACATGCAGACCCCGGCGCAGACCATCGACCAGCATCTCGGCGGCCAGAGGCGCCAGGGCATCCTGCAGCTGGGGCACCGTGCAAGCGTCCGGTATCCGGTACGCATTCCGCAGATGGGTCTGTGCCAAGACGGTACCGGCGTCAAAGTTGTGGTGGTCGAGAGTCTGCAGCGTCACGCCCGTGAACGGGCGCTGCCGCAGCAGCGTGTGGTGTAGCGGCGCGGGGCCCCGGAGATCTGGTAGCAGCGACGGGTGCATGTTGAGTCCGCCGTACTTGGCCGCTCCGAGCAGGCGGCGCGGCACGAAGAGCCCGAAGGAGACGGCTATTATTAGATTGGTGGCGGCTGGCATCTAACAGCGGTTCAGTACGGGAATGCCATCTTAAGCGGACGGAGCAGTACTTACGTCCCAGCCTGTGAACGTATCACGCTCATGGATGGGAAGACCGAGCTCAGTGGCTACGTCCCGGAGCAATGCTGCAGGGATCTATCAGTGGAAGTTCTACACATACTGCTTGCAGGTGAGGATTGAGGGCCAGGACTCACGATGTTGGATCTTCTTGTAGCCCCTGCCCACACGCTTGCCCGGACGCACCACCACATCGATGGACTCGACCAGGCTCGGATTCCTCACGTGTTCGGCGTGCAGGGCTCTGAGATTGGCGCAGCTGAACTCGTCTGACCCGCAGAAGAGTATACGGAGCGGATCCGAAGCCTTCGGCGGGCTGGCGTTGGACTTGAAGCGCTTGGCAATTGACCGGTCCCTAAATAGAGGTAAAAGCCACCTCTGGATGTTTGTGTGCTCCGTCCGTGGACGGACTGCTGAGAGCAACGGCTTGAGCTTGAGCTTCATCGTTCCTAGAATTATGGCCTCCTCACGAATGACCCATGTTACCGGCGCCAGACCACTCCAGCTTGGTGTGTGGTCGTGGAATCTGTTTGGCGCGACTGACGCGCCTCGGGTGAAGCTCAAAAAGTGATGGAATCCTTGTAGCCCCCGCTTCGGTATCTTGGTGGATTCGAGATTGAACACTCCTCGCTGAAATGAGTTGAAAGTTTCACGCGGATTTGATCTCAAATCATCTTCACATTTATCAGAACAAGCCCGTAAAGTCGTGGAGCAGATTTCCTACTTGTTTAGTTACCTAGCTACACATCACCTGCGTTAATGCAAGTTTATATCAAGTGTAAACTGGCCCGGTTACAGCGATGGCCCCATCTAAGACAGGGTAGCTAGAGCCCCGCCTACTGCATACGACCTTCTAGCAGGTGTGTGAGGTAAGGACTAATACCGCGATTGGAGTTATTGCCTGCAGCAAGATATTCGATGGTTTGACTTTTCTTTCGAACGTTGTTGCGAGATGTTTCCCCCCGATGGCATGGCGTCCTCTTCTGGATTGTCCACAGCCGTTATGGTAAGCCTCAAGTCCTGCTAGCAATCAGATGCATAGCTGCCTAATTGCCATCCATGATGTACTCCGTCTAGGAATACAAGCAACCCCTTCCGGTCGTCAATGAGACAGACGACTCATATAGTACTACTCCTAGAAGCGATCTGACCCGACTCAGTTACTGGCTAACCATTTCGTGTGTCACGGCAACAGCTGGCGCCTCTTCGACTGAAGGTTCTTTCACCAAGACAGAGATAGGACCTTGGCCGCCACCTGTCTACGACGTCAGCAATGTTGTGGTATCCATATTGGAAGGAATGATGTACACATCTCGGGGGCATAGCCACTGCAGCGCACGTTGCATTCGGAGTCATCCACCAGGCTCTCATGCGGCGGTATGCGATTGCCACAAAGACAATGCGTCCCATTTGTCAGCCCCAAAACCCACAGACCCATGTTGTCACATAAGTGAAGACATCGTCCGCGGGACTGAAATATATAAGGACCCATGTCTGTAAAACCCAGTGAGTCCAGGAAGCAGCCTACATAGCTGTAAGAAGCAGCACTCCCCATCGGGGCGGCAAGGCAGAGGGCAAGGAGCGTCAATACACGCATGATGATCAAGGGAAAGATAGCGAGGTGTATTTGCAAGTTGTTAGAGCTGTGAGGCAGAAACTATTTGTTTCGAAGTGGGATGGATATCCAGTAAGTAGCACAGTTGCTCCGCCACACCATGCCTAGCGCCCTTGTCGCATTTACGTCAGATTTCAGTCACGTGGGCTTGTTGAACTGAGCCGTAGGATTCTTGGAAACCGGTTCAAAGAAGACTGTGCTATACTAGAATGAGACAGTAGAAGCACCTTACGGCTCGGGTGACAAGTATGATTGGCTCATGTAGTAATTGGCACTGTCAATATCCGTCCTTCGACGTCTTACTGACCAGGTATCTTTTGAACGTCGGAAGTTAGAAATTCTAACAAGCGCACTAAATCAAACTCTCTATAACAAATGTTGAATGGGTCTACGAGACTCACCACTTTATACGTACTCTTCGCTTTGGCCAGCTCAAGCTTCGAGGGGTTCACGCTTCTCAGTCGAACAACGTCAAGTTTCTAGAAGTGAGGCGATTCGATAAGTCAAGACAAGTCTTGGGCGACATGTCCGTAGCTATCGAAGGCGGACGGCGCCTCGCTAGAGTGACGTATGTATCCATACCCACAGATACCTTTTGATGTTCGGCTGTGCCAGTATGATTAAGAAAACCATGTAGAACAAACTCCGAACCTACGTATCTAGCCACCATCTTAGCTCCGCTGATGCTGAGAAATGCCAGCTTTCTTGACAAAGTTCTTGACATCGTTCACTAGCAACTCTGGCTTCTCAACTGAGGCAAAATGGCCACCTTCCTCGTGCCTCTTTTCAAATACTACAGGGCCCAATGTCCGGCCCCACGAGCTGGGCATCACGACTACGTCCTGGGGGAAGTACGACAAGCCCATGGGAATGCGATTCCACTTCAGGTAGTCGCCTATAGGACGGTTCAACAGGCTGCCACCTTGTCCGTTGGTGGCGGCTTCGGGGTGCACGATTTCATAGTAAAGGTCAACACTTGCATCAGCGCCCGCCTCGCTGAAGTAGTAGATGCTGATCCAAGTGATGATCTCCTCGTCAGTCCACGGATAGTCATCGGACCAGTCGCGGAGCTTCTCGTAGATCCAGGCGAGTAGGGCGATGGGGCTATCAGCCAGGGCAAAGCCCAGAGTATGAGGCTTCGTGCTTTGGACCTGGTTGTAACCAGAGCCTTCTTTGCGGAACCACTGCGTACGTTCGAGACCGGCCTTCTCGGCCGCCGTATAATTCCCGATCAGGTACTGTAAGATCAACATCGGGGTCTTGAGCGGAGACGGAGGCGCAGCGAGTACAAAGTTGACATGGGACGCCAGGACGTGCTCCGGGTAAAGGAAACCCATCGCACGAGTGATGAAGAATCCCACGTCGCCGCCTTGAGTGACTAATAGTCCAGAAGATCAGCTTCAATGATTAATAGGAAGCTCTCACTGGCTACACACCATAGCTATTGTAACCAAGTTGTAGCATCAACTTATGGCACACCTCCGCATGCTGAGAGATTCCGAACCCTGGCTTCGAGGTCCGCTGCGAGAAACCGTAGTTGGGCAAGGAGGGAGCGACGACGTGGAAAGCCAGATTGCTATCGCCCGCTTTGGAGGACGTCAGTAGAGGCAAGATCTTGATAACCTCAAGGAAGCTTCCTGGCCCTGATTCGGAGAATTTGCATTAGTTACACATTTGGAACAGCGACATCCCGCAGGAAAGGTATCATTACAGCCATGGCAGAAGAGTAGAGGAATGCTGTTCGGGTTCTCGGCTTTTTGATGGACGAAGTGAATTTTCAAGGCATCTTCATGACCATCTACCGATATGGTCGTGGTGAATTGAGGTAGCTTGTTGATCTTGGCTTCAGCCTGCCGCCAATCGTAACTCGTCCAGAAGCTGGCTAGCCGCTTAATATCCTCAAGCGGCACGCCATACTCCCAATTGTTGGCGTTTGACGTTTCGCTTGGAAATGTCGCCAGTGAAAGCTTTGCCTTCAACCGTTCGATTGCCGAATCGGGGATGGCAACGTGGTATGGTTCAACGTTCGAGCTCATCGCTGTGAATTGCAAGAATGTATTGTCAAGAATTATCTGATAAAATGAGTGCAAGCAATGGTGGCTGGCTACTATGAAGCGGTGCAGAGCGGTGCACTGTCCCTGTGGTGTGTGTTTCCATCCCCGCATTTCGATTCTGTGGCTCCTCTCCCTTTCTTGACAACCCTGGTAACCGCTTCAAAGACAGGCGAACCTAAGACGATTATTGGTTAGTAACTGCATCAGTACTTTTTACGAAGGGAGGGCATTCAATCAAACCTTCGATGCTATACAGCCTTTTCCTTGTCAGTGCTGACTCGTTTCTTGTTCCTTGCACCGCGCAGCTTGGTAAACCATTCCTTGAGGATATTCAGGAAGGCAAGTATGCAGCAAATGAAAACAACCGCGAACCCGAGAGGAACTATTGAAAGACTGAGTTTCCACTAGCATGTATACGTGCCGGGAGAGACTTACAGAGATATTGGAGAACAAAACCCAATGTCAGTGTTGGAAAGTCCACAATTTGTATTGCAAAGAATGACGTGAGAAACGACAGCGGTGCCTAAGGCTTCATCAGTATAAGCATTCTAATACTTCTAGGGCTATCATACGAAGATGATTGTGACGACGGTGAAAGTCATGATGGCTCGGCTTTGCTTGCCGGATTCAATATTCTGGACGCTCAGAAAGTGCGCTTCTTCGGCATTGGTCTGTTTCTGCTTGAGGTCGAGAATATGGGAGAGCTGCACGGGTTAGCTCTGGATTTTGTTACACCGGATTCACTTAAGGAACACTTACTGCTTCTTGCGTCCGTGATGCAAATTGATCAAGCCTGGCGATATCCCCCAGACGGTTGGTAACAAGCATTGAAAAGATGCGAAACATGTAGGGATCTCTCGCCGCAGCTATTTGGGTTTCAAAGATCGTCCGAATCATGTTCAGCTCGTCACGAATGTCTTTGATATCATCAAGGAGCTTTATCTCCTCATTGATTGCATACCTCTCACTTTCACCACCACCAGCACCCCGGTCTCTAGCTTTCGTCAGGGAATCGGAGAAATTCCGAAATAGAGATGACTCTCGATTAGCCTACCAGATGGATCGTTAGCGCACCAGATATGTGGAAGCTCGTGGCAGTCAATCATCTTACAAGGTTTCCTATCGCATCCTCGTATATTTCCTGTGTCTGGGTCCACTTGTCTTTGTGTTTTGCCGGATCGAATATGATACCGGAACATTCGTTTGCAATGAGCTCCGCAAGATGTATACCGTTATCTATCTCGATATCCCAAGCCTTTGACATGATCCTTCTCTCGATCGCAGCTACTACGTCGGTCATGTTATACGTGTCGATGCTGCCATCGTTGACCCACCTGTGGGGGAAGCTTGTAATAACCGTATCTATTCACATCAATCATTACAATCTAATCTTATCCGAAATATTCAATAAGGTCTTAACTTACCATCTTTAAGAACCCATAACCATAGTTGATCAACCATCAACATGGGATAGTCGCAACTCTGGGCTGTTCCCATCGAGATGTTGCGTGGGCTGTGAATTTTGCCATGGCCTAGGAAATATTTGGATATGGTCTGGTCCTTGTCTCGAAGCTCCATATCTTCCGCACTTAGATTGAAGTAATAGAATTGATCCAAAGTCCTTCTGATATGCAGCGGATGCTCACGGTCCAGATAGTTTCGGAGAAGTTCTCTATATTTGTCTCCGCTGGGATATATCAGACTTTCGGACTTTGGTAAACTGTTGTCACCATTCTTGATCAAATGAATGGTATTTTTCAACATCAAGCGTTCTTTATCCATTCCCCAGTGCAGGTATGGTATCTAGCGTTTCTTGAGAAAGTGCAATGTAAAGTTTAGAGTATGGATTACTCACGACAAGCATTACTTTGCCTTGTTGTGATACTGTGGGGGGGAAGTTCCTGCAAACTGGTCGGAGGCACCGGCTGTAGAAGTGTTTCTCCGAATTTCGGACTCGATCACCCCAGAGTTTCGACCTCAGCAGGTTCGCCGTAGCTTCTGATGACCCAAGGCACTTGGTCATTAAGGCCTAGACTTGAAATTAGTTCTGCATTCCTCTGGATATCCAAACTTGAGTCAAACCTCGACCCATTCCATCTGTTCCTCAGTTAGTGAGTCAGTGATGCTCCAGGGAGCTTGAACACTCACATTGTTTTCCGGAAGGTGGATCCATCTCAGCAACTTGTCTCCACCCTTCGAAATACCTTGAGGTCTACCGTCCAGCATAAGTTCGTCGAAGCTGATATCTGGGCTCAGTATGCCATCAACCCGTACGGCTTTTGAATGGCATTTTTGAGATGGTCCAATCTCGACGATTCTTCCCCAAAATCTGTTGTCAACTCGCTTGCTCTCTGGTAAAGGCTTGTACATAAGTTGCACGTGACTCTGCAAGAGCTGCTTTAATTCCGGGCGAGCTCCCCTTAGCATTTCTGTCTCGAAAGAGGCGCCCTTTTCCAGAAGCAATTGTACCATATCCCTCCATCCAGCCTGGATAGCAAGATGTAGAACAGACGATTGATCAGCCGATCTAACATTGACATCTGCCCCATTATCGAGGAGGAGTCGTGCAACCTCACAGTATCCGTGGGTTGCCGCCCAGTGCAGGGGAGTTCTTTCTGATCCATCCCTGGCATTAACATCGGGTTTGTATCCGGTTTCAATAAGTACTTTAACAAGCTGAAGATACCCTGCTTCTGCAGCCATGTGCATCATCGTGAAATTGTCAGGCTGTGTTTCTGCCAAGCCATATTTGATCATCCAATACTTTGTGAACCACATGCTCCTGATTGTACTATTCTTCTTGAAGAAAGGGTTTTCAGCAAATATATCGTGGACATCCTGTACGGTTTGTGACGAAACGCTGCCGTGTCTCATCCAATACAATGTTGGGTACTGTAGAAGATCTGAGTTTCCACTGGGGGTCTTGCTCTCCTCTGCCAAGGTGTGACAAATATAGGCGAGACATCGAGTAGAAATACTCTTGTGCATGTCGGGTGTGTTTCCTTGGTGGATATTAGCCATGTTCACGGACGAAAACAGTGGTTCTCGGATGTTTTGGTTAACAAGGACAATGCCATGGTCGAGTCGAACTAAGGAGCGTTCAACGAGGAGCTGACATGCTTCATCCATCATCGACTTGTACCTGTCTTGACTGATTTTCAGCTCATAGATGTCTTCGAGGAGGATTGACAATGTCGATAGCGTCAAGGGAGAAAAGGATATCGCTACTAATGTCAGGATGTATTGCACCATCTTCTGAAGATCTGCTTGCGGACTACCCAACAACTGGCCCAGCAGTTGGTCAACAATGGTCGAGCGGCTCAATGGTGCAGTGTCTAGCATCCCGCGAACTTGTGAAGTTGTAGCATTCTCCAAAGAGTTGAGAGTAAGGCTGGGCAATATGAAAGATCCATTTGCTCTTTGAACTAGATTCCTTACCAAAGAGACTTTCGTATCCTCATCCAGGTGTAAACGACGAACACGTCTAGCGATAAACACTTCGATGTCGCTTTGCGATCTGGTGCTAATATCCAAATCGAAGCAACCAGAGAGCGCATCTTCTATGGCTTGCTGGTCGCGACTTATGATCATCCACTTGTCCCTCCGAGATGATATCTTGTGAGATTCCGTTTCGCCGAGAGTTTGCGAAGAGTTGAGACTTCTTGTAATGTCAAGTAGTGCCTCATCACACTCATCTAGTGCATCTATGATGAACAGTATTGGCTCAACCTCTGGATCCTCTATAATCTGCTGGACTGAGCGCCAGAGCAGGTTGTGGTCGTTGAAGAATTTGTCATTCGCCCCGGATTCTTGATACCATTGTATCACGTGCTTCACTAGGTCAGGCTGCTGTAACACAATTTGATGGATCAGGGACCCGAGAACTACTGATGCGCGTTTAGTGCCATGTTCCTGAAAGCTGGGAAAGTGGTACGCCAATGACTTGATCTTCTGCGTTTCCTCATCTTTTACTGCGTTTTGCATTTTCTGCACAAGGGACGCCACGAGTGTCGTTTTGCCACTTCCAGGTGGGCCGTGTATCCAGAGAACACGCGGCTGATCCTGCTCGTCAAGCCATTTTGTGATATCAGCCTGGGCCGCTTGGATGGCTTCTGGAGTCAAATCCCTTGTGAGATTATATAGATACAAGTTCTGCTGCTGGAAAGCGGAGAGCGAAACAAGACAGTGCCGGCCCTCTTCACTCATGCTCATCAGAGCGGCAGCAGAACTCTGCCCGGCCAATTTCAAATCTGATTTACTTAGTGCTTCTTTCGACAACTAAAATTTTGAGGTCAATCGGAATAAGAGTTACCTTTCATGAACTCTTGTAGATTTTCAGCAGCAACAGACCACTCAACAGGCGCGGCTGTAGCTGGATCAAAAATTATTGGATCATCCGTGAAGCTCTTGCCAGTAAACCCTTTGGCCACTGTTATTGTAACGTCGCATATTGCTTGAAAGGGTGTATTGTTCTGTCTTCGTATAAGCACCGCAGGTCTGAACAGTCGTGGTACAGCATCGCCGTCAGTCTCCCACATAACAAGACCTTTCGATCTGCCAGCTTTGTGAGATGACTGTGTGGAGCCATGAATGTGGCCAAAATGTGTCCGATCGTGCAGAATATCCACAACTTCAGGGCAAGGTTCGACAGAGTCAATAGCAGTGAACCGCATGCTGAACTGCACATGTTGAATTCCCTCTGGAGGTGCATGTACCTCCATCATGAGGAGCGAAGCGAGGTCACGGCTGCCGGAACCTATTCGGCCATGGAGGATTGAATGCATTTTCCAGCTGACGGAGCGTACATCGACTCGATTTTCTGGCTGTTCTAGATGCAATACTCGATCGAGGCTAGGACCAACTTCGTAGCCACTGATTGAAGCGGCTGAAGCTCTTCGAACCTCATAGATTGCGGGGTTGCTCCCAGCCATGATTGCTCGATATTCTACTCTTGGAATGATACTGAGGTGACTCAGACAGCGAGTACGTTATAACCTAGTCACGGTTAGTAGCAGATGCGCTACTAACTATTGGGTTGAAATATGATGCGATTTAGATTTCTTGAGAGGAGGTAACTTATCACACAGCGAAGGAAGAGTGAGGCTGAAAGCCATGCTGGGTCAGCTGAAGCGGTGCAACTACAACTATAAGTACTTGTTTGAAGGGCTAGGGCTATGCCAAGACTGTCCTACTTCACACAAATGACAACCTGTCGCATAACTCGGTCAATAGTTTATGCGCAGTTAACTCGTTGCTACAGGGATCATTGGCCAGCGTTATCCACGTGTGTATCGATTCCGATGCGAATCTTGTTGTGTATACGTCCGTTCACCAGGCAGTCCAAGATCAGTTCCTGCAGCAAAAGCAGGCAGGCGGTTTCGACGTGGTCAGAGTGGTCAGAGTGGCGGACATAGGGTGAAGATACCCGCCCTAGCCAGTCTAGAGCGTTGAGATTGTGCATCAAAGATCATCGTGGCATAGTATACATTAGTTAATTGGAAGAGTTTTCAAGGTGGTCGAAATCTTCTGGGGGCATCTCTCAGTGCTCTCTCTACTGGTGAAGCAAGTGCGTAAGTAGTTTCACGTAGTGGATCAAATAAGCTTAACGCGCGGACAGTGAATGCAGTAAAGCGGTGCCGCTATTTCAGCGAAGTTGCTGTACCGAAGCTCGGCAGCGATAAGCGATAAGGCCCGATGACATCGTTCCTGCATGTCCCGCAACCTGCGACAGCGACGGCAACGACGCGTGGGATAACGGGGCTTAGCAGAATCCAAGGAAAACTGGCCACCGTCGAACTGCGTTTGCCTCCCGGCGCTTCCATACTGAAATAAGCCGGATGTGCTGTTTCAAGTCAAACATGAATTCCAGCCCTCACTGATACTGCAAGTTGGAAGCCTGAAGAGCCCTTCCGGCCAACAAAGTCGGCAGTAAGCCCGCCGAACTAGCCGCGACCTAATTCACCTCACGAACGCCAAGTGACATAGGGCAGCTATTCTGAGTTTTGGGTACAAGATTTCTCTCGTTACACATACCGAAGTAATTTGACGTCGATATCCATCCGTTCAGCGTCGCGGTCAAAGCAGACCATCTCTCCAGACGGCATCATGTCGATACGGATCGCACTTGATGCCGCCCCCGAGTTTTATACGAACCTGGACTTCGTGGAGGGGCGCGTCATCCTGGGCCTAAACAGGCCAGAGAATATCGGCAATATTGTTGTCAAACTCGAGGGCGAGTGCAAGACCGCCGTCACACTTAGCGAGAGAGACCCGAATCTTCCTCGCGCTCCGGGGGCACACGATTTTGTTACGGAAACACACAAGCTGCTCTACCTCGTTGAGCAGGTGTACCCCGATGCGCGGTCTGCAGCCTCCATGGCCGTTGGCGCCATGCCTGGCGTGCTGTTTCCCGGCCAGCACGAATTTCGCTTCAAGTTCAAGGTGCCTCTGAACAATATCTGCGGGAATCCGAATGCGATGGCGGCGCTCAACGGCATCGGCGGTGTTGGAGGGGCTGGCAACTCGGGGTTTCTTGGCTTTGGTGGATTCCGCACCATGGATGGCAGCAAGCAGTTGATGCTGCAGCACGTGCGAACCACACTCCCACCATCGGTGACAGGGTTTCCAAGAAAAGCAGAAGTCCGTTATTACATCAAGGTCACCATTCAAAGACCAGGCTTTTTCAAGGAGAATTGGAGATATCAGATCGGTCTAAAATTTCTTCCAGTCGAGCCCCCTCGTCCGACTCTGACCGGGCAAGAGGCATTTGCCAGGCGGCCCTTTCTCTTCAAACCTAGAACTCCCGGGACTATGAAAAGGAAAAGCTCCTTCTTTGGTTCAAAAAGCAATCAGACAGACACAGAGAATCAGGTCCCCCCTTCGTTCGAGGTTTCGGCACGACTCCCACATCCTACCATTCTGACCTGCAATAAGCCTATGCCGTTACGCTTAATAGCCAAGAAACTCGCTGCGTCGCAGGAGCAGGTCTACTTGACCTCCATCGAGGTCGCCCTCATAGGATATACAAATATCCGGGTGTACGATCATCAGCATGCCGAAGTGACTCGATGGATCGTAAGCTCCGCCAACAACCTGGCAATACCTGTGGGAAACCCTGCAGATGCTGTGGACACGGAAACCGTGCTTCCAGACCACCTGTGGGCGCACCAACCATTACCAAACACTGTCGCTCCGTCGTTCACGGCCTGCAACCTCTCTCGCAGTTATGAGCTTGAAGTCCGACTCAGTCTAAGCTGGGGGCTTCCAAACAAAAGCGGCAAGGCCAGCGCACCTTATCCGCAAGTTATATTTCTACCCCTGAAAATGTCCAAGGTCGAGATCTTCTCCGGCATTCATCCTCCCAAAGAATTACTGCAGCCCGCAAGGAAAAGGCCGCAGGCTCCGCCTCTTCCACCGCGGACAGCCACTGCTTCTTCCACTGCACCGCCGTCTGACCCCCTCTACCCGCCACAACTAGGACCTACAAATGCTCCGCAACCCGACGATGCACCTCCCAGCTACGACGAGGCCATGGCACAAGACATCACCGCACCTCAGGAGAGACCGGCCTATAGCGGCGTGACGGCTGAGAATGATCCTAGCATAGTGCCTCCTGAGAAGTCTGGGTTACACTAGAGATAGTTCGCGGGAAAGGCAAGGAATGTCTACCCCATTGACGGTATTGGGTTTTGGTAGGAATGCATCTTAAAGGTGCAATATGCTCCCAGGCACTGTGGAGTTTGGAAACGATAGAGGATACCCTTTTACTTTGATTTACATTCTCCAAGTTTCAAATAGATATACCTTATGCAAACGGTTCTTCGAGTATTGCTCATGCTGGTAGGGATGCTGGTGGATCACAGCGCCCCCTGTCTAAACAAGGCTGGCTTATGACATGGAGAGGTTAGTTGTCGTCAATGTATCCAAGCGTTATCAAGTCTCAAGCGAGCAGGACGCAATTACGTACAAAAATTGATAAGAGAAAGCTCTTCGTAACTTGTCTGAGCACTTGTTTCTAAGGGTACTTCAGAGGGGAGGACTACTAATTGACATGAAGCACAAAACCCTAAACAAGTTGTTCCCACCCACCAAGCGGATACCAACAGGAATTTGTTCGCTTGTCCATACAAGAAGCTCGCATCGCCCACAGGGCATAGTAGGCCAACCCGAAGGCTCCCAAGCCTGGCAGTCTTGCTTAGATACATAGACTTCTGTCGAGGCCCTGTCTTGGTTGTGTTAGGCTGATCATGGTCCATGATAGCTCGATGATTGTCCATAACAGTCCAACGAATATATATTATAATTCGTTAAATGCTATTAATAACGCGATAATGCGTTATGGTTTTTCAATGAATATTTACGGCTCGATGATGGTATAACATATTCAGGGGGTTCTACTGGACCGGGCAGCCCCCGCTTCGGCTTCGTCGGCGGCCTTCCATTCGGCTTCGTCGGCAGCCTCCCCTTCGGCTTCCTCGGCGGATGCGGTTCTGGATTTAATTTGATTATCAATCCCCGAGGTTGTGCAGCTTCGTCGCCTAAGCGTCCGTTAGTCCCGACATAGAGTGCGCTTCAATATGTTCCCTTACAGCTGCGTGAGTAACCGTCGTCGGTGATAGTCCTGGTGCACCTTCCGTCCCCGGACATATATCTCGGAACCATTGTCCCACAAGACTCATCGACCTGTTGGACACTTATTAATAGATTGAATCAAGGAGGAGACAGCTTGAGCGTCTCTCAGTTACGTTTATTTGATCCAGAAAGCTAAGGGTTTCTCTCTCGATTGCAAATCCTTATCTCTATAACTATCTTTGTTGCTCTCTCCGTCTGTCTGGCAGCGCTGCCCAACATGCTCGGCCACAGGGATCACTACGAGGCTGCACTACAGCCAAGGCAGAATATGGACGAAGGTCAGCCTCGACTGCTACGTCTCCTCTGCATGATGATGTGGCATGTTTTCCGGTCTTTCATTGGCTGAGGTTGCACTTACCAAGATGTCCTCCAGCGGGGCGCTTCCTTTTTCAGTGATGAGAAAGAAAAGAAAAAGGTGCAGAAGAGAGTGCACCACACGACTCTGACTGATACTGGCCTTGGGCTTTCCCAAGTTTGCAGGTTCATCATGTTTCGAGAGGACAAGGCAGAAAGGGAGGGAACTTCTTCCCCCCCCCCGGCCCTCCCTTCCCAAAAAAAAAAAAGAGTGGATCTGAAGCCTAATCTTGCGGCAATAATCAACTCCCTGATTACTAAAAGTCATTGGGCGTGGAAGAGCGAGCTGCCTGATGCCTGTTGAGTTGCAGCAAGTCGTTGGGGACAGTGGAGTTGCTGAAGAGACTCCGACACGACTAGAAGCCCGCCTCTATCCTTGGTAGGGCAGTGAACAGCGGTGGTATAGAGACGGTGCTGACTCGATGTATGAACAGGAAATATCTAGGCTACAAGAGCTTCGCCTCCGCTTTCGCTATTGACCCTGACTTCTTTGCGGTACGAAGATTCGATCGCTTACATGCGCGAGCGATCTTGACACTCCAAGCACAACTTGTGGAGCTTGAGTGTAAACTCGATGAACTTGACAAGAGATACAGTGCGAAGAGTTGCAAGGTCAGAGTAGTGAACGGCGAATTTCAAGAAGTTGTGGAAACGACCAATAACTCAAGTGTATCGGATGACGCTGGCGAGACTTTGGTTGATATAAACAATGGCAGCGTTAGGGTTGACATTCCTGAAAGAGCCAGTCTGGTCAAATCGATCACTTTGAAATTGGCAGAATATGGTAAGTACCCCTGAGTATCTTCAGCGAGATTTGAAGGTGATTATTGCCGGGCCAGATCGAGCCTTGTTAGACTACGCCTCCGTTCTTGCCCTGGGGTCGGCGCCGTCTAGGAATGTTCAAAACATCAAGGTCTGGCTACAGGAGAATCCCGGGGCGATTGTCAAGCGGGAGGCGAGCTTTATCGAGCATCAATACGAACTGGTGGCCATTACGCCCTCGAAATCGCCTCTTCGCCGGTGGTTTGAGGCCTACGTCCTGTTCCCGACCCGCAAGTCCTTGGCTTGGTTTCGAAAGACGCCCCATCCGAGTTTACGCCCAGAAGCCCACCTCGACGTCCACCTCACGAGTAATGATGCCATCGACGTCTTTGCGGCGGCAACCATCTTCCTGGCTGTTGCCGTGATGCTGATAATGCCCCTGTGGATCTTGCAGGCCCTAACACAGTTAAAATGGAAGCTAGTGGTTATCACTGTGTTCATCGTCGTATGCCTTGCTTTTCTCAGTGTGGCAGCGGTGGGAAATTCGTTGGGGAGAATCGGGGCCACGGCTGGGTAAGTCACACCTATTAACATATTCAGGAAGTTGGTTGATGATCTCTTGAAGCTATGCGGCTGTTCTCGTTGTTTTTCTTCAGTTCGGCAATAATACCTAGGCCAGAGGGGATTCGGGCCAAATCCTGGGATTCGGTGTGGAGATAGATGAAGAGTCAATATTATAACGTCCTTCACAGACTCCTATATGATTAGAACACTGGCAAATAGCGATGGACACTTGGAAGGGGCACGTCTCGAGGGATCGGGACGAAGCTTATTATCGCACTCATAACAGTAAGAATGAAAGATCGCTTCGACGTTCAATCACCTCACATCAAATGCCATCACAATGCATGATACTCAGAGTATGTTGCAGTAACCACGAAGAAAGGCAATGCCTTTCTTATCATATTGACATACAGCTATCAGAACAGCCTGACCGAAAGATGGATCGTTTACGCCGGCCACATTTGGGGGAACCCCCCACCGTAGGGCAACTATGGGAGTAGATGATGTGACGCCACCGACCAGGCTCCCCCCTGGTCAAACTGTCCGTTGCACTCCGTGAAAAAATCCCAACAAGAAATACCACACACAAGTGCCATTGGGGCCAGACACTGATTACGATAGATGGGACGCTGGAAGGACTTCGAATGTGTAGTTCAATGCCCCACCAGCGCCCCTGCGGATGAGTGGAGAACACGAGCTTAGACCTCGTCCTCGAGGAACCGGTAGGCGAACTTGAAATCCGCCTTTCTTCGGTTCATCCTGCCATCGCTTGTTAGCATACGTCGACACCAGAAGAGAAGGATCGCAGGTGCGGATTGCAGCTGGTCCATCAACGGGATGAAGAGTAAACTTACCAGGTCGATTCGTAGTCAAAGAAGCGGTAGGTGCCCTGCTCGAACTCTTCCGTAATTGACTTGGGCTCTTCGTGTCTCTGGAACCAGGTTTGATACTGCTTGTGGAATCTCCAGCTCTGATCCTTCAGTGCCTTGGCCGCCAGGTACTGTTGGTATGTCCCTTGCTTATAGTAAAAGACATAGAATAGCGTGTCGGGATCGATGCGGGAGTACAACCGCGGGTCGTCAAAGATCGCCAATGGCTCCTGGGGATACTGGGATGCGGAAGAATACCTCTGATCTGGCTTGTATTTCCTCGGTGCCTCTGCGTCTGCAATAGCCGGCGTTTGGCTCTGCGACACCTCCATCATTCTTAGATGTGACGGCGAGTTCACTGGTAATGAGCGCTTCTTTGTGACTTCGAAGGATTCTACAAGATCCTGCAGGGATGCTGGTAGATGGTACACGCACTCCTCCTCCTTCTCATCTGTGCCAGTCGCCGACTTGACGCCGTTGGCAATACCATTCGTTTGCGGTGCTGTGAATCATTGTTAGCTTTGGGGCTAATGTGGGTAGTTAGAAACAAGTACCTTTTGAAGACTCGGCAGCCTCGGCCTCCCTTGCGGCCTTTGCTGCTGCCTTTGCTGCCGCCTTCTCTGCCTTCTTTGATATCGGGCCAGGCGTCGCGCTCGGAGCCGGCTCGGGGGCCTTGGTCTCGACGGTACCAGAGGCGGCAGATTTAGGTTCTGAGGGTGCCGGTTGTATGGAGGCAATACTGGGCGAGCTTGTCGCACTCGTCCGCGAGGTTTGCGAAGTGGGCAAGGGTGAGATACCAGGAGGCGGCGCCACAGGTTGCGATCCAGGCGGCGGAGGTAAGGGGGCGATGCCGAGGTTGTTCTTTTCGCTGGCTGCTGCTGCGGCAGCGGCGGAGGCATACTTGAGGCCTTCCCCGGCGGGACGTGACGGTAATGAGGCAGGCTTCATCGAGGCAGCACTCGCCGTGCTGCCATTTGGTGTAGTGGCCAGAGGGTTGTTCAGGGTCGCGAGAGTCGGCAGCGGTGACTTGAGTTGCGCGGATGGTCTTCGTGCGGCGGGCGGTGTTGGTTCGGCAGCGGGTTTCGCCTTGGGGGGCAAACTTGCCGGTCTCTCCACCTCGGCGGCCTCCTCCTGTATGGATTGAGTATCTTGTGACGATACGCGGTCGCCCTCGTGGTTCATGCCGAAGACCTCCTCGTCCTCTTGCAGATCCAGCTCATCGTACATCTCCTCGTCCTCCATGAAGTCGTCGTTCTGGCCGTCCGTCACGTAGTACCGGATGCTCTCGTCGAGGGCCATGACGTCGTCTGCCTCAACACCTCCGTTCTCGAGGGACCGCCTGATAAGCTCCATTTTCGATATATGCCACTTATGCCGCTCGATGACGTGTTCGAGGGAGGCGATGCGCTCCGCCTTGTCCCGCTGGTTCTTTCCCTTCTTCATGGTGGCTTGTATGCCCTCGGCCTCGGCCTCCAGGGTCTCGATCTGCAGCTCTAGCTCCTCGACCTGTGTGGACAGGAAATCGCTGGCCTCCACCTTTGCCTGCTCCTTGGGATCTAACTTGGCCTGGGCGGATAAGCCCTCCTTGGAGTAGGCCTTTGTCTTCATGGCCTTCTCGACGGCCTTGAAGCGCTCCATTTGCTACAGGAGAAAATCAACAGGTCAGCAGGGGGAAGAGGACATGGGTGACTGCATGCCCGCCAATTCATGGATGGTCACAAACCGTCTCGATCAGTTTCCGCTGCTCTATGAGCGGTGCTTTGTCCTTGATGTCATTGCTAGCGGCCCAGGTCTTGATCTGATCGCGCAGGCGCTGGAGCTTCTTGATCTCGCGCTTGAGGTTGTCCTCGAGCTTCTCCTTCTGGGCCGGGTTATTCGACTGCTCTATCTTCTCGTAGATGGCGTCGAACTCGGCCATGCCCTCGGCGACCTTCTTGAAGCACTTGTCGACTTCTTGTTGGAGCTTCCGTTGCGCCATGATGGAAAGCTGTGATGGGTTGGACGGGTGGTGTGAAGGGTATCTATCAGAGGATGCGGGCGTGTTCTCGCAGGCCAGGCGCGAGAGGGAGAGAGGAAATCGGGATCGCGATGGCGGCGGCGATGGTGACGGCGACGTCGATCAGATGTCGGTCGAAGGAAGGATGCGGTGGTGATGATGTCGATTGTCGGGTGCGATCGAAGGGCGCCGGCGACCTTTGAGAGGCAGCTGGGGGCCTGCTTGATTCAGGTGCGTGGGCTGTCCGGAGACGTCAAATCTGGGGATGGATGGGATGGATCGCGCCTCCCTTCGTTTGCTCGAGGGACGAATGAGGCCAAGGCTCGGTCGCTCATCCGTGTGCGCAGGCCGAGGGTGGAAAAATGTTGCTTCCGCTGGGACGAGAGCACGCGGTGGGTGCTCCGGATCTCTGGATAGGTGGTGGTGGTTGTGGTGGGCGGGTTGCGTTCTCAATGGTGGTGGAAATCGAAATCATACATCCCGGACGGGCATGGCCAGTCGACTGCAGAAGGCGGAAGGCTGAAGGCTGAAGGCTTAGCTGGTCAGAGAATGAAGGCGAAGCTCCGCGACGGCTGCTGCTGCTGCTGCTCTGGCGTGGTAGCGGCTGCTACAGTGGGCAGGCCGGCAGGCTGGCAGGCTAGGCGACCGGCTGGGGGCGATGGGGGCCAAAGGGCGGCTGCCGGGGCACACTGCACGGCTGAGGCTGTGGACTGTGGGCTGGGCTACCTACCTAGGTATGGTATGGGGCTGGCTTGGCTGGAGGCTCTGGCTGGTGTGTACCGGCCCGAGTTGGATGATAAAGTGCTTCCGTGTACGACCCGGCTATCGCATCTCCCGTTGCTCGACTCACATTACACTTATGGGAATCCGTCGGTATTCTATCTGGTGCCTTACAGAAAGAAGCCGTAGATCCCTTACTCATGGGCCCTGTGCGGCTGTGTAATCGCGAAACTTAGTCCCCTAACCCACATCCACACAAGATACTTCGGCACCTCCAGCCGCCAGCACTGCTACCTAATGTACGTAGGTACTGCAAGTTGCCAAATTGGTACAGTAAAGCACTCAAACGGGCACGCTGCTCCCAATTGCGAACTGCATGGATCGGCATCACATGACCCCTTTCCTATACGGTTGATTCGTCGTCGGTCCCTTACCAAAGGCCAGCAAGGCATCGGGGTCGTGATAGCCTGCCCGATCGCATGGTTATGAGCCGTGGTAGGTCGACAGGCGGTTGGTTGATTCATCCGTCTGTCGTGTCATAGGATGACTGGGTCCTCTGCCCACGCCGGCGCCTCCACCACGGCCAGCCGCCTATCTATCGCCTAATTTTGCAGCTCATGCAGCCCAAGCAGCCGCCCTGTCCTGTTCAGCGCATAGCCTTTGCAACATAGCGAATGCTTAGGGAACAACCGCCAAAATGAAAGGTGAGTGATGTCCATATCCCCTCAGGCCCCCCCTCCCCACCCGTTTAAGTTTAGTCTGTTTATTCATTCGTGCTGCATTATATAGCGATACTTCAGCGCGTGCTGTCGGCTTCTGTCACGGTGGACAAGGAGGTCGTCTCCTCCATCGGCAAAGGCGTACTGGTCTTTGCTGCCGTGGCGCCCGGCGACACGGAGAAGGAGATTGATTCCCTGGCCGCCAAGGTCCTCAAGATGAAGTTGTGGGACGACGATGCTGGTGGTAGAGTACGGCGTCCATTCCTGGCTCCCTGAGTTTGCGTTTGCCTCCGTCACAATTCAGGGGAGATGATATCTGACAGATTGTAATCCTAGTGGAAGAAGAGCGTGCAGGATATCGGCGGTGAAGTTCTATGCGGTAAGCTGCATCTGATATCTGTCATCCAGTGGATCGCAGCCTGACGATCTTATCCAGTCTCGCAGTTCACCCTCCTGGCATCTACCAAGAAGGGAGCAAAGCCGGATTTCCACGGTGCCATGGGTGGGGAAGAAGCCAAGAGATTATACCAGTACTTCTTTGACAAGGTGCAAACGGGTTATAATCCTGAAAAGGTCAAGAACGGCGTCTTCCAGGCCATGATGGAGGTCGCGCTCGTGAACGACGGTCCGGTAGGTCACCCATCTGGACAATATTCAGGCTTCGAACTGACTGACCATGTCTCAGGTCACTCTCGAGTTGAATGCCACGCCGCCACCGCCAAAGGCACCTGCTTCATAATGGAAGTGAACAGTTTTCTTAGACCTGACATTAGATGTAGACTAACGTATAGACATGGATCAGTTCAGTAGTACGACTATTATTGAATGAGAGGGAGGGTATCGACAGGAAAATCTAGATGCTTATCGAATCAACCACTAATAACCCATTAGAGCGCCCTGTGCTCCTAGATTTCAAAATGCAAATAAAACTCCTCATGCCCATGGCGAGACCGTCTCGGTCGGGTATACGTAATGCTAAAGGAACGAAAAGGGGGCAGTCCTCTACCAACTCCACTCGTATGAATGACCTCTGCTGTCAATCTGCGGGTTCTCTCAAAATGCGCCATCCCATAAAATGCTGCTTTCCTTCACTTCGTTCTCTGATTCACCTTGCGGCTGCGCCTCTTGGCAACGACCTCGGGGTCCCACGTTCCCGAGAAGAGGTCCTCGCATTCGTCCTCGTCCTCGGAATCGAAGACGATGACGTCCTTGTCCGCGGACGCGTGCAGCTGCTCGGACTCGAGCCCGAACTCGGGCATCTCGGAGACGGCGACGTCCTCCCACGTCCTGTAGTCGACGACCCGCTGCGTCTCGAGGATGAACTTGCCCACCTTGTATTTCTGCGCCTCCTCCTTGGCGTCGACGTACTTCCAGCCCACCTTGGCGTGGCAGACCGCACACGTTATGTCGGCCACGACGTGGGATCCGGTCACAAGCAACCGAGTCTCGGGCTTCCCTACTCTGATGTTGACCAGATCCCCCGTATTCTTGCCCCGGGGGAAGTGATCTGGCGCCGAGACCAGATATGCCCTTCCGTATCGGCCCGTGAAGCCTTTGCTGACGATCTGGGACGCGAAGGCGAGGTCTGACGAGCACGTGGAGCAGCGGATGGTATCGGGCTGTGTCCGTGCGAGCTTGGTAGTCTCTAGACCCTGCTTGGAGGCCCGGTGTTTGTCCTTCGAGAAGGAGAAACGGGAGGGGAGGTAGGAGGGTGACGGCGGGCACTCGGCGAGGCTCGACCGCGGCGAGTCGCTCGGTGATGTGCTCAGGGAGGGAACGGCATTTTCGTTCGGCAGGCTTCCAAAGCTCTCCGACGAGAGAGAGCTCTGTCTTCGCCTTCCAAAGGGGATGTTGAAGCTCGGTAGTAGGTAGACGGGGAATCTCGGCGCCGGGCCGCCGGCGGTGGTGCTCTCGCTGGCCATGGCAGCTGGATCAGGTTATGGCAGGTTGAATAGAGTAGTACTCCGTGTGCAAGTGTAGGGTTAATAAAGGCCCTCTTCCGGAATCATTCAAGGGCGGCTGTCACAGATGCTGCCCGACTCCAAGCCGAATCTCGGGTAACACGGTCGGTGTGCCAGTGTGCTTATAATATATGCAGACTGACGAGGGCATCAGAAGGAAGTCATGGATTAAGGTACAGAGTCGTCAGCGGCGTGGAAGGGAAAGGAGGAAGGATGCATCGCAGTCACATCTTTCCGCTATACCGGGAAGCACATGCAGGACCGGCGGGTATTTGAAGGGAATAGTCGAGTGATCAACGCCTCTGCATACTGTTCCCGTGGACATCGCATCATGCTGCCAGCCCAGCTAGTCCGTGTAGGTGCGGGTGGCTTATCAGCCCATCCACCCCCCATCTGCCCGCCTGCCCATCTGCCCATCTGCCCACCTGCCACCGCGGGCCCCCATGGCACAGTTCCACTGACAGCAAGAGCCCATAAGCTTTTATCGATACCCGACCCAAGCGGGAAATGGGGAAACCCTGCATGGATGTGACAGCGGGCTGGCGGGGCTGCCCACTAGCCGTCACCCTGCAGAACGCCGTGAGTGCCGGCTCTCCAGCGAGACGCACTACCGAGCATGCCGTGGGGCGGGATCGCTCGGCTTTAATCCTATCGAGTCATTCCGCCCCCGTTTGTGCTGATAGGGGATAACTGGCCGCTATTGCGAACAGTTCTCCGTGCTGAATCAAACGAAGAGTATGCCTGAGTATTAGTAGTGTTCAGAAGGATATAAATCTTTTCGCCATGAGCAAGATCTCTGCGTTATACGCGTTGTTTCCCGAAACGCGCATGCTGCGATCGCGGTCCTGTTGTCGGCAGCCGCAGTGCGTCCGGACGCAAAGTTAGGTTTTACTGGATACTTTATACTACCTGAGGTAGAATTCGCAGATGTGGACTGATTCGAAGACTCTGATTTGCCGGGCTGTGTCATCGGTGTTACACAGCAGGCAAAGAGAAGATTAATCTCTCGTATTGGGATTCTGGCAGATATCAAACACCTTGCCATCGCACTCATTACAGCTGACTTCCCAACCCTATAGTAGCTCAAGACACAACCATGCCGCATATAAATGCACGGGGCGAAGGCCTCTTTTGAACCATAACTTATTATAATGGTGAGAATTAAATGTATGCCGTAAGCCTTGACTTCATTACGTTCGAATACATGGTTCTGTGCTTCGAGAGCAGAAAATGCGACGAGGGCGAAGTCAAATCGCGTTCCATCCTAAAGCGCTCTCTCAACGGATTTCCATTATGTCTTGATTCCACCAACGCCAACGTATATACTAATGAAGCATCCTTAAACGGTTTGAAATGCGCATAGGCCCTGCTCTTCTGGCCGTCTAGGGAAACTTGCAACAATATCCTCCCAGTGGCCGGGACAATCGCCACCACGGATCACAGCACGAACCATTATGTCATAAGCCTTGCTGTATCATTTACAGAGATTTCAGATGAGGAATGTTTCCAAAAAAAAAAAAAAATATGATATAAAAAAGGTCCGGGGATGGATCAAATTGCGAGACTGAAGAGCGAGGAAGAATAATAAGATAGACGGCACAATGAGACGCAGAGTGAAGAGTCCAACATGTCGTGTAAGTCCCAGATGGGCGAGCTTGAGAATTTATGGAATAACTTATATTGTGACTCTGCAAAAATATATTGTGATAGTATACTTACCCAAGCGGCTCACACAAGTCTATTTCTGCTGACTGAGGATCATTCGAGGCAGCCACTGCGAGCTGAGCCTCGCAGCGAGCTAATTAATCACTTGATCTGAAGGAAAAGAGGATAAATAAATGAAAATGTAGGCAGTGAAACGCAATGTGCCGCTGTGAAAGCTGCCACTCCCCACATCAGATGCTACAGCGTTTGGCCCTTGAAGTTGTACAGCCGAGGTACCTTTCACTAGGTACGAAATTATATGTATATATGCTGCGTCTTCATAAGAAAGTATACTAGAAGATTATTATATACATTGTGGTATGATCAGTATAGGTTGACTGGCCACCGAGTGCATGGTAGTAATTTCAGACTTGGCTGTGGCCATGTTCGCACTTCGGATATCATACTAGATTGACAACCTAGACTTTACCCAATCTGTATTCATGAGGTATCTCAGTTGCTCACCACCAAGATTTCTTTGAACACCCTTGCAAACGTGCAGATACAGCTGATATGTTGGCTAAGAGTGTGGCATCTACACGGTTTACGTACGAAAAGATGTGTAACTGCTATTATAGAGCGTGAATGCTTGACTGTAGGTGATTCAGTCCGCATATTTCAAATCTAAATCCAAACGTGTTCGAAGACCATTACTGCGGTAATGTGGACACTTTTCAGGCGTTCACTCGCCGTGGTTGGCCTGTTATAGGCATACAGACTTTCATCAACGCCAATGGAAACCCGAAACAAAATTGCATCAGACTTGCCTTGCCGATCGTTCCTACAGTTGGGACAATTCCCCAACTCAGCACTGTGCCGCAGTGTTGTGAGGTAACCCATCGTCGTGGGACATCGGTATCAGGGATACGAGACGCTCAGCATCAAGTAGACATCATTCTCTCTATATGGCATCCAGGGGACACTAACAGCTCTCGCGACCTTTGTCTCACCTCTCAACGCTTCGTCCTATTAAGGTCCGGGCTGAGTCACTACGTGTTGTCTCGTTGATTATAGTTTCAAGGTGATTTGCGGGGGGAGGGTTTTTTTTTTTTTTCCCCCAGCCTTTCGACATAGCCTCTCAAACTGAGAACGGCACCACCCAGTCAAGCAAGCTGATGAAGTTTGGAAGTAGTAAAAGCCACGCCAATGTTCCTTCCAATCAAAGTGAGGAACTAATCGCTTTTCGGGATGTGAAGACCCTGTAGACTTGGGAACTCCAGATGTGAAAGCATGCACAGATGCTTCGTGAGGAAGGTTGCTTGAAAATGCCCCAAGTTGGCTGTTTCGCAAGTGAAGAGGAAGCATGCAAGTTATTGGGCCTTTTAAAGCTCACGACATTCTGGCATCGAAGCTTCAGTAGTGCAGCATGTGTCAGCACCCGAGCAGGCCTTGCTGCATGTAGTATCTCCATCTCTATTCGGGCAGCGCATCCTATTCCTACTGGACATGAGCCAATAGAGGAATCCAATTGATTATTTTCCAAGTTATCGGCATGTCCCAATGTGCTCCAACCATACTCAATTGAAGAAATGCAGCGAATGGGACACTGGAGAATTGGGCATGTGGCACTCGGCAGCGGCGGGTTGCAGGTTTCAGGTGGGGTCACACGTGAAGGAGGCGCTAAGGCACACACCAACGCCACCTAGGGAATGGCCCTGTTGCCCCCCAAAGCCCACCGTTAGCCCCGCCCGTTTCCAGACCCACGGGCCTTTGTGGCCCATGCCAAAAGTCACTAGAAATTTCTCCTCATCTCGCTCGTTCGACTGTCGGGCTGACTTCTGACTCCTCCTCTCACCGTCCTGCCACGAACACCCACCCGTCAAGGCTCCGACACTCTCAAGACTCCCTGCGCGCGCATCAATCCAAAGAACACCAACTGCCTGCCTCTTCACCAGTCTTTGGACTGCTCGACCCGTCAATCGCCTCTCAAACCGCAATTCTGTCGAACGCACGCATTTCTTGCCACCTCACCGTCGAGTCCTCGGACTAGCCTCAGCCTCAGCCATCCTTACCGAATCACTTCCCCGACGACAACAACCCTGGAGTTCATCGCTAGTCATGGCGCCAATGAAAAACAGTAGTAATAATTTAAATAGTAGTAGCTATGGCGAGGCCATGGTTCGCCAGGCCAATGTCCTCGCCAGCTGCTACGTTGTCGACCCTACCGCCGCCCTGAAGGGCTTCCACTACTGCACTACCCTCGCTGCAGGGGCAGAGTGGTATTCCTGAGGTTCCTATCTCAGGACTACCATCCCCTCCGTCAAGTCCCCCCCTCGCGGCCATCACCCAAGACAACGAGCTCGCTCTGACGCCCAAGAAGAAGCGCAGCTCCGCCGCCAACAGCAGCGCCAACAACAACAATAACCGCCGCAGCCGCCGAGGGGGGGCAACACTCCAGATCAGGGAAGAATGTGAGAGATTCTTTTGTGACACCATGAAAGCCGTGTTCCAGGTTGAGGGGAACATGGCCGGTAGTGGCTCCAGCCTGACGGGTGTTTACTACAACACACCACCACCTACCGACTATCCCACGCCGCCGTCCTCTTTCTCGAGCGCCGATGGCTTCATGAAGCCCGCCATCGCCGCCAACCAGTGGATGGAGTTCTGGGATTACGCGGGAGGTGCAAGTTTCCGAGCCTTTGTGTCTGAGGAAGACGCCGAGAGGACACTCTTTGCCTTCTTTGACGTGGGACTGCTTGGCCGAGATCTGAAGCAAGCGTGAGTGCCATTGCCATTGCCATTGTTGTCATCATGCCTGCCCGAAAGACACGAACTAACCGCCAGAGATAGCTTGATTGCCTTCATTGAACTCGCCGAAGGTCCCCTTGATTGCTCTCAAGTGGTCATCTGCCTGGACAGACTGATTCCCAAAGATGACGCAAAAGCCCTGATGCGCAGCTTCCAATGGGTCGGCTTCGAACTGACCACATTGGATCACTGGGCCAAGGGATTCGACGTAACCAGCGATAAGTGGTTGTTCATGGCCATGGACGTCTAAACAAAAATCGATTTCTGTTCTGCTTCGTTCGGGAGTTCCGGGAGTTGCGGTTTCACACACGATCCGACGTCTTCACTGTCCTGCCTGCTTTACGTATTTCGCGTCTGCGTCTTTTTCTCAGTTCAGTTCGTCCCATTTGTCAGTTCTTTCGTTCCCGGAGTAAGGAGGGAATGCTCAGCTTCTGTTCGCAGCAGCTTACCGGCGCCTGGATCGCATGGCATAAGGGGCACGGCTGCATGGTCCAAATTGTTTCTGAGCACGGCGTTTTCTTACTCGATTCCAAACGGCTGCATTTGGGCAAAGCATTCCGAGCGTATCATTGGGAAAGCGGACACGGGAGATGGGAAAAGTTGAGTGTTCTCAAAATCAGTCTCCTGTTTTTCTGCATTGCCATTTCGAGACACGTAGGTTGCAAAACCACATCTAGTTTCTTGTTCGGAAAACGTTTCATTGCTTTTAGGGGGTTTTTGGGGAGAAATTCGGTCTGAGAAGAAAAAGCTCTAAATGTGGTCATGAAATACACATGGGTTCTCTCAAATTCAACGCCTCTATCCCAGCCATGTGATACCGCAAATGTGACCTAGATCGCCAAACCCCCTTTTCTACCTCTAATCCTGGCATTAGTAGACTGCGAACCCGGTCCCCCCCCCCTCTCCCTATCTAGGCACGCACCTAGGGAGGGAGTCCATCCCTTTTTACCTGAGACTTGTACTCCAGATAGCCCAGAGTTCCGTCACCCTACAAGACCCTCCTACAGGTCTCCCTCGAACTGCCTCACCTCCAGGCCCTTCTCCTGCAGGTAGTCCTTGACCTGCTTGACCGTGTACTCCTCGCGGTGGAAGATGCCGGCGCCCAGGGCGGCGTCGGTGCGGGTCTTGGCAAAGACCTCCTCGAAGTGGGCCGGGTTGCCGGCGCCGCTGGAGGCGATGACGGGGATGCGCACGGCGTCCTTGACCTGGGTGACGAGCTCGAGGTCGAAGCCGCTGTTGGTGCCGTCCTTGTCGATGCAGTTGAGCAGGAGCTCGCCGGCGCCCATGGCCTCGACGGCCTGGGCCAGCTCGACCACGTCCATGTCGCGCGTCTCGCGGCCGCCCTTGATCGTGCACGCGTACCAGCAGTACTCCTCGCCCTTGGGGCCCGGGAAGGCCGTCTTGACGCAGGCGTGGCGCGTGGCGTCGAGCTTGGGCACGTAGACGCGCTTGGGGTCGACCGAGACCACGACGGCCTGGTTGCCGTACGCCCGGCTGATCTGCTCGATGGCCGTGTTGCCGAACAGCTTCTTGCCGACGGCCTGGTACTCCTCCGCCGCCAGCACGGCGTCCGACCCGATCGACACCTTGTCCGCGCCGGACTTGAAGTACATGGTCGCAATCTCGAGCGCCGAGACCTTGGTGCCGTCCGTGTCCACCGTGTCGCGGATGCCGCCGCCGATCGTCAGGGGCACGAAGACGGTCTCGGATGTGCGGCGCAGAATCTCGAGCATGGGCACATCGGCCAGTGGGCAGTCTCGGAAAGACGTAATGTTCAGGAACGTCACCTCGTCGGCGCCTTGCTCGTAGTACCGCTTTGCAAGTTCCACGGGCTTGCCAAGGTTCCGGACGTTGCGATCCGAAGACTTGTCACGCACATCGTATTGGTCGCCCTTCGTGACGACGAGGTCTCCCTGGTCGTTTGTCCGCACATCCAGACATGCGATCACACGTCTTGTCAGGCCCCCCGTGGGTGCCGAACTGGCCACCGTCTGTCCCAACGTCTTGGCACCATCCCCAGTCAGGAACGACTTGAGCAACCGCAGGCCAGCAACACCACTCTTTTCCGGGTGGAATTGCGTCGCTAACACGTTATCCTTGGCAACAGCGCCGACAAAAGTCTCGCCTCCGTAGGTGCCCGTCGCGACTGTCCAGCCCTGGCCCTCCAGCTCCCCTGGCACATACGGATACTTGTAGCTGTGGACGTAGTAATATTTGCTCTCCGACCTCAGATCGTATAGGCTCTTGCTGCTCGAATTGGCGCTGTTCCAGCCGATGTGCGGGACGGCCTTTTGCGAGTCGTCGAAGCGGTCGAGGTTGCCCTTGATCAGCCCAAGGCCCGGAATCCCCGGGTCCTCCACCGAGCCGGCAAATATGGCTTGGAGGCCCACGCATATGCCCATGAACGGCTTGCCGGCGGCGATGTGCGCTTGGATGGCGGGCAGGAAGCCGGCGGACGAGAGCTGTGAGAGGCAGTGGCCGAAGTGGCCGACGCCCGGCAGGATCAGCTTGTCGGCATTGGCGACCTCGGCCGGCGTCCGCACCCAGGAGACTGTGTAGCCGCACTTCTCGATCGCGTTGACCAGGGAGCGCACGTTGCCGGCGACGTAGTCGAGGAGGTAGACGGTTGACATGGCGGCGGCTGGCGGGGCTTGCCCTTGTGCTAGGTGGGGAACTGGGAGAGGCAGGCCGATCGCCTGAAGTGAATGAAGAGTCCAATGGTATTTGGTTGTATGGAAGGTAGGATAGGTTCCGGTTTCGTCCAGTGTACGAGGTTCGCGATGATTATTTATAGCCGGGCCCTGGTCTGCAGGTCGACGTCTTGAGCTGCTGCTGTGAGTCAATCGCGCTGGGATTTTGCGAGTTGGAGGGGTAGTCAGTCACTGAACTGCCCCGCTACCGCAAGAAATCTGGCAGGCCGATCTGGGGACCCACGGCCAACGCCTCCAGCTGCCGTTCAGTTAACTTGGGGCGTTCTGCCGCTAGTGACCGCCCGGGACCCTTGGGGGACAGCCTGAGCCCCAGGGCCTTGGCGAACTGATGTCCGCCGCCAAGCTACCGGATGGACTGCAGCTCAACTTCGCAGGTAGTTAACTAAGCTGTATGAAGCTGTTCCGTGGACGTCGATGTATATCCCAACGGACCACGCGCGATATCCGGCCACATTCCGTCAACCCCTCTGGTGAAATGTGAGCAGCTGCACCCTCATTTGATGAGGACGCCATCGCCGTATACTCAATAAAACTGCTCACCACGGCCTACTCTGCGGCTTCATTCGTCTTTCACCGTCAGAATGGCTAGCTCTCGGGCGCCGCCAGCCAGCTCTGCCATGGTGCATGCAAGCAAGCACGGCCAGCACGACGACGACGGTGATTCGGATTGGGAGTATGAGTATTCCACTACGGAGACTGAGGTACTTGGTCGTGGCGCTGGATTTGACTAGTTCATGGCTTACCTTTTGCAGACGTATTATGTGACTTTGGATATCTCCAAAGCAGATTTCATCACGCGTCATCAGGCTTCGGTTCCCAGTGGACGTGGCGGCTACAAGGAACAGGTACTTGGGGACGTCTTTACTCAGACCAGAAATGCAGACGACGACATGGGAGCCTCCGATGATGGTGAAGGCGAAAACGAGCAGAGGCACGACGGGTCATCCCAGCCTGATCCCTACGGGCTTGACGAGTTTCAAATTTTAGAGTTGCATTCGAGCCATCCGTTGATCTCCTTTCGGGGACGTGTTTACGAGGGCCAATGGTCAAGGAATGTTGGAACCGAGCTGCTGTTCACGCAGCACGACGAGAAGCGCCCGCTGCCCGTCTTGCGACATCTCGAGGATGGCATTGACCTGCTTGCGGCCAGCTCAGCCCGGATTATGCTTACGGAGAAAAGCGTCAAGCCTACAAACGGCCATCCCGGCGAACTTGTGACGGGCGGAAGACTTGATGACGATGAATCGTTCTCTGGAGACCGGAACGCTGTTGTACCCGAGCCTGATCCCGGAGCATCAGCAGAGAGATATGCGCAAGGAGATTTCTTGGCCAAGCTGATAGCCCTTAAGAAGCGCAAGGGAGAAACCGACGACGTGACGGTCGTCGCGCGCCTGAATGATGCGGACAAGCGGCCTAGCAAACCGAAGCCAAAGACATCCAAACGGAAAGCGTCTGAAGACGAGACTGCGGAGAGACCGGCTCGAGGAGGAGGTAACGGACGAGCCCGAGCGCGTGGGCGTGCTCGTGCTCGTGGTCGAGCAAGGGGCGCGGCACGTCGATCACGTGGCCAGCGTCTTGCAGGCTCAGAGGACAGGCTTACACCTGACGTCGCTACCGAGGATGCTGATGAATCTCAGTCAACTCCACGCACATGGGCTGGCGACGAAGGGGTCACGAACGTACGAGCCAAGGGTGATGATCGGAGAGACGACGACGGTGTAGAGTCAGAGGAATCCGAGGACAGCCAAGCGAGCTACGTAGACGAGGGGTCTGGAGATGAGATGGATGTGGATTGAGGTTGGCAACACTATGCTTGCCAAGATTTTGATCACAACTGAAGATATCGTTGTATCAAAACCCGCGTCGCACACAGGCAATATCCGCCTCATTTGAGCCTGCCTTGTAAGTGTTTTCACTCGGCAACGTTGGAGTGGCGTCTTGTCTAACCCATGTAGACTGACTTGATATGCGCAACAGGGCCGCCCTAGCTGAGTTTCCAAGCGGATACTTAATACGATGACAGCAGCCTACACCTAGCAGCATCGCATGCTGTGTACGACTTATTTAAATATGACCTAGACCCAACCTACGATAACAATAACATATGAGATTAGAGGCAAACAAACTGTAGGTTTACCGAAAAAGATGCCACGGTACTTTGTCGTCCGAGGATCCAGAATGGACAGATGAGCGAGTGATGGACTTGATACAGGACTGGTCTCAACAAGTCCGCGAACCTAATTTGCAAGGGCAAGTATGAGATTGTTGCCCAGTAGGATCGGAAAGACAGCCCCGGTAATTTGACCTTTGTCATGGGCTATCTCGCATGTGGCAGCTTCCATTGGACTGAGGCACCGGATGGGCAAAGAAGTAACAACCCCCTCGTCTACAAAGCTAAAAGGATAAAGCTGAGTATTGGCTTCCATGTAAGAGGATCGTATAGCAGCACGACCTGGCGCAAATGGTAATGCCTTATATGACCCTTGTAGCAACGGGTGTTCGATAATAAATGGAGGCCCTCACGCTGCACTTACAATACGTTCACCAGTCTCTGTCGCTCGGGTTGGTTATAATGAGACGAATGATCTCAGCTTTGGTGGCCCCTGATTTGCAAAAGGCTCTGTAAGCATGGTTAACAAAGCCTCGTCTGGATTGAACGCCTTTGGATTGACTGTGGTGATGCTTCGGATAGCATCACAAACTTCCGAGCTTACAGTAACACTGGGAAGCGCAATGGCGTTCCTATCAAGTTGATCCACCCTCATTTAGGTTTTTATCTTGAAAGTCCGAGGAAAGCAACACTTTAGGAAGTTAAACTGAAAGACCACTGCAATTTAGCGATGAATCGAAAATGTCGCCAACACCTTGAGATGTTAGGGTCTTCAGCGACTTTGGTGCTGTGGGGTTCCTTCTGTGCCATGGTGTCCCTAGGTATAGGCCATGTTCTTACTTCAAGGAGTTAAAGCCTTCGGCCCCTGCCGCTCCAGGTGGGCGGTGCAAGCTTAAAGACACATGTGCATACTTCGTACCCGGGCGACGATCCGCATCCCTTGTAACCTCGTGTTAACTCTGGCTTGCAGCCACCTCACCGCACCATTTGAATTGTTCTGTCCTGAATTTCTTTGAGGTCGCCACCCACATCACCCCGAGGCATTGGATGCAAGATGCCTATCACCCTCGTTGCCTTTGACCTTGACGGCACGCTGGCCGAGAGCAAGCAGCCCTTGCTGGACTCCATGGGCGAGGCGTTGGCCGATTTGCTAGACGTCGCTCACGTCGCTGTGATATCCGGCGGTGATTGGCCGCAGTTCGAGAAGCAGGTGGCCAGCCGCCTACCGCCGCGCGCCGACATCCCGAAGCTGTGGCTCATGCCAACCACTGGTACTAAACTCTACACCCACCGTGACGGGAAATGGAATGTCGTCTATGCCGAGCTGTTCAGCGACGAGGCAAAGAAGCAGATTTTGACCGCCTTTGATGCCTCCCTCGAGGCAACCGGCTTCACGCCCGAAAAGACATGGGGCGAGCGCATCGAAGACCGCGGTAGCCAGATCACCTTCTCCGCCCTGGGCCAGCAAGCTCCCCCTGCCGAGAAGCACGTCTGGGACCCCGACTTTGCAAAGCGCAAGGTCATCCAGGCAGATCTCAAGAAACGTTTGCCAGATCTCTCCATTAACATGGGCGGCGCCACCTCGATTGATATCACCCAGAAGGGTGTCGACAAGGGGTATGGGCTCAAAAAGCTCCGCGACGCAAGCAGTATTCCTCTTGAGCAGATGCTGTTTATTGGCGACGCTATCTTCCCAGGCGGCAACGACTACCCTGCCAAGGAGCTCGGCTTGAAGACGGTGCGTGTCAAGGACCCCAACGGGACACTGGCCGCTATTGCTGGCATTGTTGCGTGCCTTTCATAGAGCCGCCGCGTATCCATTTCTTGAACTTGGTTTCTTAGTGGCAAAATATCACTGGAAGTAGATATTATAGAGGAAATCACCGTCATGTTTGGGCTTCGACTTCTGACGCCCAGCAGAGTACGTCATTGTGTGGCATCAAAAAGACTGGCGAATAGATCATGGCACATATGTAGACTCAGCAGAGTATCTTTTAGAGCCAAACCCTGAGGAAATCATTCCCTTATATGTACCACATTCTCGTATCTCGGCGACAAGCTAGACTTGTCAAAGTAGGGGGGTACACAGCAGGTACCATTATGACAGGGATTCACCCGACGGTCAAGTTGTGCGATGTCGCCATTGCCCTGTGTCTACTCTGGTTAATCGAGCACACGAGCACTGTGCACCTCGGGTGAGACGACGAAGGTGACTACTGCCTTAGAATAGGTGGCCAGTCCACTGCGACTGCTACGATTGTAAGTGTTGACCGCCAGATACGTTAAGTAATTCGAACGCAGCAGGCATGGAGTGTGTGCGTCCATGATGCTGACTAGAAATAAGGCTATTAGGCAATCTGCTACTTACCTTGAAGAAGATAGAGGATTGCAAATGGGTCAAAGCTACACAGGCCAAGACATGAAGAAACGACACCGCTTGGAACTGCTTGGTATTATGTGTACATTGAGGTGGCCAAGCTGCTTCTGGGGTAGGAAGCAGAGTGAGTACTGATTGATAACACCCGAGCCGGGTCCACTCTATTGTAGTTCACGTTATAGACACAGTAACGCAGCCGAATTCTCTATCGAGAGTGGCGTTGAAATCGACGTTGTAAACGGCCATGGCCGGGTGGCTCTGCCATGGGCTGCCACAGTGCGTTGCGTTGCTCAGCTGGTTCCTCAAAATACACATTTCAAATTGAGACATGGAATGCTCACGTCCCCTGGTAAGAACTAGTCTCCATTCGCTAAGCAAGCTACGTAATCAAAGATATACCATATTACTACATAGTACGCTCGGACATTGCCTTTAGCTTTAGGTCACGCACACATGCCTCCTGAAGCCCGCGCCGATCGCATGAGTATGAAGCAATTCGCCACGCCGTACGACGGATCTGCTATTAGTTTTTATAGAAGCGTTGCAGCCGAGGAAGCTAGTTATGGAGGGAGAGCTGGAAGACGAGAGCACAGATTGACATATTATAACTCATAGTATACTTTGAGAATAGCTACACGCGAGAACCACTACTCGGTGCCTTGAAATCCCAGGTGAAGTGACCAGGCAAGTCTTGGGATGAAGCGTGTGATTGGGGGCTCTCGAAGGAGCACACCTAGCGACTGGAGCAATCAAGAACCTGAAATTTCGACATTGCCTCGGGTGAATTACAGGGATCTAGTCACACAGTCCCTGTTGTGATAAATACGAAGTACTTCTGCATCGATTTTAGCTTTCCAGGATGGCATAGCGTGCGACCCACCCTCTTGGCCTGGGGTAACAGCAGCCGGGTCCCCACAAGATCGACACATTGTCAGCCAATCATATTCTTAAATGGCCAGGAACGATTGCTTCTTTAGGGGCGCCATGTTACCATCCTTCCCACGCTCCAATCAGAGCACGACGCTTTCGTTAACGGGCGTCCCGGGGGGCCTCAAGGATATCTATGCGGGGAGAGCCACAAGTCTGGGGTATTAAGGTGATCTCATCCCGAGAACCGTACACATGTGAAAGCCCTTCTCGGCTGGGAATGGAGGGTAATAAAACACTTGCATCAGGCCCTGTCATCCCAGCGAGCTGACGTCTCCGCTGTTGTTACTCCCCGGTTCTGTCCTCTCTCTCCGTGTGCTGTTGTATCAAGCTTTATCAACCGTTCCGTGTGGACCATTCTGCTCTGTGCGGCTCTCTTAGCATCAAAGGAAGACCTACACGTGGCAGGTCTGCAGTGACTATTGAGGAAGTCTCACAGTTTCGATTCAAGAAGGCAACAGCAAGCGTTACAATGAAGTCGATAGTAGCACTCGGTGCCTTCGTTGGCGCCGCTGTTGCTCAAAACTGCGCTGCAGTGGCCATCACGGCGATTCCGGCTTGTGCCCAAAGCTGTTTCTTGAGCGGTGCGCCGTCAATTGGGTGCGGCGGCACAGACTTCGCCTGTCAGTGCGACAAAGAAGCTGCTTTATACGCTGCTGTCGAAGGATGCGTGTCATCAGGGTGTCCAGAACCAAGTTTCCAAGCCGTGATCGATGGTGCTTCATCGGGTAGGTGACTTTCAACCTGGCACGGAAGGAGATGGAGGGGTGGTACTTGGTCAAACATCATGCCATTTCGAAGAAATTGAGACCAGCTGCCTGTTTCTACATCATTGCTAGGCACATCACTTACTAACTCCGTCGTGCAGTCTGTGCCTGCGCCTCGGGCATCGTTGTTGCCACCACCACGGACACCAAGGGCGCCGTTACGACAGCAACATCAACGCCTTCGACGGCAGTCGGCAGCACGGTCATCAGTTATACCACCTCTGCCACCGGTACTACTGTAGCCCCAACCGCAACTACTGGCAGCACGGGGGCTACCTACAACACCTCCCCAACAACTTCGGCACCAACCGGCGGCGCCTCCACCTCCCGAACGGCGGTGACTTCTGTCTCCACCGCCGGTGCAGTCCCAACATATAGGGCTGCTCTCGGACTTGTTGGAGGAGTTGCCGCCGCAGCCATGTTGATGTAACTCAATGATATTTCCCTTATAGACATGGTGGGTGGGTGTCAGTGAAGGATAACCCAAGACAAGCCAGTTCTAACTCTTAATAATGGAACGATATTGGACCAAACTTTCAATTCTATAATAGATAGTTGATTTGAGCTCAATGTGGGGCTATTTCGCGTTGGTCGTCGTGGCGACCTTACTGTTGTTCTACATGTTCAGGTTCAAAAGACGTCTCACCGAGTTAGGTGCCAGCGACCTGGAGACTTCACCTGCTACGGGCCACGCGCAGTCAAGACAAGCAGTCCACACAAGCGAAGCCTGGTGTTTACGTCGGTCGGGGATGACGGGAGGGCATTTCGCTTTATTGCCAAAGGGAAACAATATCAAGGAGGGGAATCGGGGTCCTACCAAGTCTGTCCAACGCACTGGATTAGGAGGAAACTGGGAACTGAACCGAATTGATGAAACATATCTCTCTGGATTGGATCTGCTACCTCACGAGTCTTGGAGGTCATCAAATAATAGGAATAGAGAAGAAGAGAAAGGTTAATCCCCGTTTACCGTTCCACAGTGGCACAAGAGGCTTTACGCTGCGGACAGTCTACAATCCTTCTGGACGTCCATGCTCACAGACACTCCAGTGAAGCGTCTCTTATGAATAATAAAGGCTAGTTCTCTCTGCTAGGAGGATGAATCAGTCTGTTGGGATCCCGCATTTTCCCATCGTCGCAATCAGGGCATCTCGACTCCACCGTTGAGCACACAGATCCGGCTCCCAGGCAACGACGAGGCAATACTTGGCTCAAGCACTGTCCGTAAACATTATACAGCTCCTAACTTCCAGAAAACACACCAACGCGGGAAAGCACCCCTCACTACGTGATTTCTGTGGTATGAATTAGGGGCTTTCATGAAGTTGTGAACTGATCACGTGCGAGATACAATTTAAGATACGAGCGCGATAGTACGTGTGATGTGTTTTGATAACTGAGGGTTCAGTACACAGACTGCAAGTCAGAGAGCCCCAAACTGGTTCTCGTGTATCTTTGGGATATTCGGCATTGAGTGGACTGGAATCGAAAGAATGCACGCCTCCTTCGCAAGGCTCCTTTTCAGGCTTAATCACTTCCCTGCCCCCATGTTCAAGGCAGTTTCTCACGGGAGAAACCGCCATAACAACTCAAATGTATCCAAAGGCAGTACTTGGACAGGAATGGAGCACAAAGGGGCTTACTGGTGATAGGTACAACCGGAGCGTTTTCTGGACCTGGGTTTGGGGGGCGGCCAACCCCGAGAAGAGTATCCAAGCTTTAAGACGATTGGATGAAGACAAACCAATTAGCAGCGACCGTGATTGGTTTGAGAGAGACTTTGCTAGGATCGTGTAACTGCGCAAGTATGTAAAGCGACTACGACTATTTGGCCCCCACCCTAAGATATAGACAATCACTATGCAGCAGCTGCATCTTGTCTTCCTTGCACCATGAAATTGCATGCCTAAGAAAACGTGGCACCAGTCTCATGTGGTTGTTCCTGGCCAATGAATATATATGAAGCGGCTGCATGGCTGCCCAACGAGCGACGTCAAGAGTATATGTATTGGCTGTATACTGAGTCGCCAAAACGTGAGATAGCGTTTAAATCTCACCGAATCTCCAGATCTACATCATATCCGCAGGTCTATTGAGTCATCCTCTTACTTGGCGGTTGTCGGCGTTGCGGCTTTGCAAGCTCAGTCTTACACAGCCATGATCTTGGCAGCCTCGAGCTCGTCTACTTTCAAAGGTGGGCCGGTGGGTTTCCACGCAATCGAGCGATCGTGCTCAGACTGAGACCACGCGGCAGATGGAATCAGACTGTGGAAACTAAGCACATTTATTACGTTCCCAGCGAGTGGTCACACCAGTTCCTGGGGATGTTCCTGGGGATGAATCCGCGCCGCAGGGCGGATTTCCGCCAAAGAGAGGCCGCTGAAGGGCTGTGATTACTATGGTACCCAAGTCGTCGAAGACCAGTGCCGGGACGAGCCGCATGCATCCTCATCGTATTACAAAAAGTGGAGGGCACCACATGTCGCAAATAACCTTTGGAACTCCTGCATCGAGGCGGATCAAGGTTTCCTTCCTTCCGCGTTCTCGAGCGTAAGCAACAAACAGGCAAACACGTGGTGTGCTGGCAAGGCGTCTCGCGGGGCGAACTGGTTTGCCCGTCCGAACACCTGGAGCACAGACTCCGCTCCAGGGAATGACAGACGTCTCTTGCCGCGATGTGACTTTGTCGTGCGATTTGACGATGCCAGGACTGGGGCTGGCCAGAGAGCTGCCGCACCGCACAGCACAGCGCAGGGGGGGGCTGAGAGCGCTGTGTTTAGGCAGCGACCCAATCACAGCGTACCATGCGTGTGCACGGCCTGGGTCATGACGAGTAGTATCGCGAAGCTGGCAGTGCGGAACCGGCGCATTTGGACGTCCCAAGACGCTGCCTATGCATATCTGCCTCAAAATCCCTTGCATGCACTCGCGACTGGGTCTCACAGCCGTGACGTCTTGCAATAAGGCGCAGCATCCCGGGTGGCTATCTGCTGAGACCTTTTGCCGGGAGGATCCCGCACTCGGAGCGACATCAAGGTTATCCAACGGCAGCTCGCCAATGCGGAGGCGCATAGTCCCTCCACCCTCTCAAGCTTACTGTCCTCCGCAACCTGTCGTTAACCTACCAACAGTAAGCCAGCCCTATTTTCCAACCGATGAGCCGGGACCCATGAGACCTCCCTCTGGCATGTGCGTCTTCCTGGTTGTGACAGGACTCTTCTAAGGCAGGCGAAAAAAGACGGTGCGTCTCGACGCCATGTTTTCGAGTTTTTTGTTATCCTACTCCGAGCGCTCGAGGCTCACCGAACAGGCCTAATCTGGCGAACCGGAGCTCTGGCATGCGCCTGAATACGTATGTAGGCATTTTGAGCCCCTAATCGCAATCGGCATGGTCTGGCGCTCGATCTCGGATCTGATAGGTGGTCTCGGTGAGGCAGTGTTATAGTCTACCCTAAAAGCCCAAGCATCTCGGTGTACGCTACTAGTCTGGAGCCTTTTGTAACTCGTGGATGCTTGAACCCTGGACGCACGTTTCAATAAACGTCCACACAGGCTCGGCTCGTCTGAAACTGACGGGCTTCCTGCATCAGCATACCCGCCTCAGCAAGGTTCTTGTTGATCATATCTTATAATCAGCCATGCCATATCAGAAAAACATGTAAACGCCTCTGATGCATCTCCGCCTCGTTTAAAGAGAAAATTGCACTTTCAGCCTTGCTTTTCCTTATCTGTACGGAGCTAAATGCCGGAGTGACACTTATAACAGCATCTCCAAGCCCTGTTTGTTTGACTCTGGATGACCCCCTTCTCGAAGCAAGGAAGTTGCTTTTAGATTCTGCAAGAACTGTCAGTCACCGGGCTTCACTGCTATTTTGTCCTACCACACCGCAACCACGTCAACCCACGCGAGTGGACATATATGTTCCTGTCCGAAAGGGCGGTTTGCTTCTCATACACGTCCTGCTTAGTACTACACCGGGCATCGGGCAAAAGATAGGCTGCTCCTAGCAGCATAATCAGCTCTATAACTGTGCGTGTTCACCTTCTTTCACGATAAAACCGGGTTACCAACACCGGTGCGCAATACGCCAGTCGAACTGAACAGCTCAGCCCGTCCCAGTCGGGCTAGCCATCCGGTCAATCATTAGACATGCATCCCACTGAGGCTTCTTCTTATGAGGCTTACTTCTACTCTGCAGAAGATAGCTCCAGCAACCAAAGGTCGCCACCGTGCTCAAGTCAAGGCCAGGGCATGAGCCGGGGCTTTTCCAGTGATTCGCACAGCTCGGCATCAACGTACGGAAACGTGTCGCCCGCAACCCCTGGACTAACGGAAGGCATGTCGAGTTACTACTCCTCCTCATACGGAAATACCAATATGAGTGCAGAGGACAGTTACTACCTGGAGTCTTCTGAATACTCTGGCGAATACTCAGAATATCAATCCCCTGAGGGTTCCAATACCTGGTGCGCTACAAACGACTTCGCCACGCCGACTGGATATTACAGCCAGGATTGCAACTATCAAGACCAGAGCACCAGCTATGTTGTTTCATCCGATCCCGCAACCATGACTTATGTAACCGCGGGTGACGAAGTGTGAGTATCTTAGAAGATGCCCGGCAACCACAGATGATCCTAACAGCCTCCCTCTAGGCCTCGAACCCCAACAACATCTGGCCTTGCCACCGGTTACGAGCCCCCGAGCGGATACCATGTATGTCTTGTATCTGGATGCGACACCCAGATCATGTTTAAGCGCAAAGCAGACCTACAGCGGCACTACGAGCACAAGCACAAACCGGACAATCAGAAAGACCAATTCTTTTGTGACTATTCCAAATGCCAACGCAGCAGCGAGGCTTTCCACCGGATGGACCATTTCCGGGATCACTACCGTGATTTCCACAACGAGGACCTGCCCCGCAAGAACGGCGAGAAGTCGGATTGGTATCAGAACCGCAAAGGCAAGGTCTCCAAGAACTGGTGGCGATGTACCAAGTGCCTACGCCGCATCCGCATCGATGAGCACGGATGGGACTGCACCTCTTGCAACTCGCACTGCGACACTGCAAGACGAAACATTCGAGGATACGCTTAAGCCGACCTTTGGGGATTGACGATGCACTCGGCTCTTACACGTCATTTGGGGTCCAGGCCAGCATGCATGACGCTCGAGGGCCACAACCGTCAGGCCTTGTCTACTCTCCGGGCCCTCTTCCCCCCCTTTCTCTTACCTCCCAGGGCTCCAGAAGCACTGGAAATCTATTGCCATCATCGGTGTTGATTGCTATGATATTTCATTTCGTTCATCGCCTTTCACCGCCCATCCCCATGACAGAGACGAGGCTCCGGCCCCAGCAAAAAAAAAGATCACAGCCCTTCTGTTCTTCTGTTCAGCTCTCGCAGGCTATCTCATTATTTCACGTGGAGTTTTTTGGTGTAAATGGTTGGTTGGTTGTCCGTTGGTCCGCACGATTCTGTGCAACTCTGCACCTTGGGTCACACCACAGTGAGGCCCGCTCAGGTGCTTCTTGGCGTATTTTGATTACCAGCCTTCCCTAGGGGCTGTGTGCATGTTCAACGACGCTTTGGATTCTGGAAAGGTTACACTCTGCACGCATGATTTTTGGGGAAAGGTGGCGCAGGGCTAGACGGTCGTTCAGCAAGCGGCAGGCATTCTAATAATCTGGAAAAACCCCAACCCCAACCCCCTGGCAAAATCCCTCTGATTCGCCAAAGCGCACTGCTATACGCCTACGGCTAGGACTGCGCATTGGCGATATATCGAGTACTCACAGAGGAAGCCGGCACCGCGCGATTCGAGGGAGTGCATCGTCGCTCGTTCTCTTCCTTGGAGGTGCCGCTACGTTGGTTGAGCTCCTACGCTGCATTGCGCGTACGTGGGCGTGGATGGACAAGACGGACCCGCGACTGGCAGGCCCAATGGCCTGAGCGGAAATGGCTGGGGATGAAGGGGGGAAGAGAGAGAGACTAATGCATGCTGCTGCACTGCTCTACTTTTGTAAGAATTATTGTTGACAGGAGGTAACGCTCCTCGCATCCTCGTATGATGGGATGCAACTGAGCGCCTGCAGGCCAAGTTGGGGGCTTTGCCGCGCGCCAGAGTTCAGTTGAGCAAAAGTTGGGAGGTTTTCTGTTAGAATGATTCAGATAGCTCACAGCTGATTTGCTTGCCAGTTTAGAAATCAAATCACGTCAAACTTATAGTCAGACTGTGCCCGGCTCTTACATAATTAAGAGCGTTCGCAACTGAATACCCACTGGAGCACCCACAGAGCCGATTAGCTTCCGGAATGCGGACTGCATAGTCGGCAATCCACCCAGCAGGGACTCACTAGGTAATTACTGTGTACTCCACAGAGTTTCCCATTCCCAAACCCAGCGCTTGTGACAGCGTGGGCTCGGGCCGTTGAAGCACGTCCACCGCGCATTCACTGGCGCCAACCTTGGAGGCGGCATTTTTTGCTTCTTCTAACACGAGACCGACGTATGAATCTTTGACGCACCTGTCACATGCTTGGCATGATTCAGGCACAGTACATGCTTCCGCTGAAGAATCACCTGAAGTCATCGAGCTGTCATAAAAGCATGTCCCGTAACTAATCACGGGCGACTGAGCGGAATAAGTTCCAGCGACAGTCTTCTCGGGGGTCGACAGTGTCACCGAGGCTTCGGCCGAGCACCCGTTCCGGCTAGACCACAACCCCACAAGCCGTCATGCCATTGTCGTCGTGCTCTGCGACTCGCTCTCGAATTCCCCCGTCAGACCCTTGGACTGGCCACCCATCCCATTGGCATGCCATCCTCCTGGCCTCTCGCTAACAGCAGCTTGGCTGGCTCGCATCATCCGGGCCTTCTGCTCTCCGCAAATCGGCAGAATGTGGGGAGATAGAGATCCCTGGCGGCGCGTGCTGCTCCCCTCTTTTAGCCTCGAAGATTCTGCCATTTCTAACCGCGAGGACGGACTCATCGCCAGGTCTTGCTTGCATTGACTGTGACTGTCGACCCTTGAACGCCTGCATCACCCCCTCAGACCCTCGTGTGACGCAGTTCCTGTCCTGCCATATAACCATATAACCGTCTGGGGAAAGCCACACGGGCGCGCCAAAAGGGACCTTGTGTTACCCTGATCTCACTTGCCGCCAGTGTCCTGAACACTTCCTTTTCCACGATCCCTTGGGACGCAGCGTCATTTTTTTGTCCGCATAACTGGAGTCGTCAATTGGTTTCATCGCGCCGCACTCGAGCTGCCCTCCGACAGCTCCTCAAGTCCCGTCACAGCTTACCGAAGTGGTGAGCCGCTTATCTAATAGGCAGCTCTCCGCGCCCAATCTGCATACATACCCCGAAACTAGCTACCCGGTTTCTCCCTCGGCACTCAGGCTGTCGTCTGCCCCGAGTATACCTTTTTAGCTTCCTTTCGGTATAAGAGAGCCCCGGTGCCCTTCCCGACCCGTACCGCCCAACATGAACACCTTTGCCGCCTCCGCCGCCCGCTCCATTCGGCCAACGACTTTCTCACGATCTGCACGGCCAGCCCTCCGTCCTGCCTTCAGCGCCGCTACTAGACCTGCCGCCCCGGTCGCATTCTTCCACCACACCAGACAGAACATGGCGCAGAAGATCAAGGTCAAGAATCCCGTCGTGGAGCTCGACGGCGATGAGATGACCCGTGTCATCTGGCAGGACATCAAGGACAAGTTCATCACCCCCTACCTCGACATCGACCTCAAGTACTATGATCTCGGCCTGCCCTACCGTGACGAGACCAACGACCAGGTCACCCTCGACGCTGCCGAGGCCATCAAGAAGTACTCCGTAGGTGTCAAGTGCGCCACCATCACCCCTGACGAGGCGCGTGTGGAGGAGTTCAAACTGAAGCAGAGTAAGCAGTCCTTTTTGTTCTATCTCACAGCGTATAGCCATCTTCTTTCATGCGTTGCCGTCTTACGTGCATCCGTGTTCCTGCGCCTCGCCCAATGGCCCAAAGCGCCTTGCAGTAGTCCCGCGTGTAGCTCATGCAGTCCCGAACCCACGGCGTCGCATTGCTTTTCGGCCTACAACTTGACTGACGCCTCTCCCTCCTGCATAGTGTGGTTGTCTCCCAACGGCACCATCCGTAACGCCCTGGGCGGCACTGTGTTCCGCGAGCCGATCGTCATTCCCCGCATCCCTCGTCTGGTACAGGGATGGAAGAAGCCCATCATCATCGGCAGACACGCCTTTGGTGACCAGTACCGTGCCAAGGACAAGGTCATCCCCGGCCCCGGCAAGCTGTCCATGGTCTACACCCCCGAGGGTGGCAAGCCCGAGGAGATCGAGGTCTTCCAGTTCAAGAACGGCGGCGGTGTCGCCCAGACCCAGTACAACACCGACGAGAGCATCGAGGGTTTCGCCCACGCCAGCTTCAAGCTGGCTCTCGACAAGAGCCTGCCCCTGTACATGAGCACCAAGAACACCATCCTTAAGAAGTACGATGGCCGCTTCAAGGACATCTTCCAGGAGCTCTACGACACCACCTACAAGAAGGAGTTCGAGGCCAAGAACATCTGGTACGAGCACCGCCTCATCGATGATATGGTTGCCCAGATGATCAAGAGCAGCGGTGGTTACATCATGGCTCTCAAGAGTAAGTTGTGCTCATCTCACAGAAGAAATCCCTGAAAATGCTAACACCTCGCCCCCAAAGACTACGACGGTGATGTCCAGTCCGACATTGTCGCTCAAGGTTTCGGTTCTCTTGGTCTCATGACCTCGGTCCTCATTACTCCTGACGGCAAGACCTTCGAGTCCGAGGCCGCCCACGGAACCGTCACCCGCCACTTCCGTGAGCACCAGAAGGGCAACGAGACCTCGACCAACCCCATCGCTTCCATCTTCGCCTGGACCCGCGGTCTGATCCAGCGTGGCAAGCTCGACGAGACCCCCGAGCTGGTTGCCTTCGCCGAGAGCCTCGAGCAGGCCTGTATCGACACTGTGGACCAGGACGGCATCATGACCAAGGATCTGGCCCTCGCCTGCGGCAAGAGCGGCCGTGAGGACTACGTCACCACCACCGAGTACCTGAATGCCGTCGAGAGGCGGATGAAGAGCATCCTGAAGGAGAAGTTGTAAGAGAGAGAACGTAGTTGTACGATGATACCATGCGTAGAGTGATGTAGAGCGGGAGAAGAGAAAGGGAAAGTCCTTGGTCTATTTTGGGTAGTTCATTGTCTGACTGGTCTCTGCATAACCTCGTAAAACGTTGCATTCTCGGTTGACTCCAAGAACTGTAGATAGATCCCTTACATTGGCAAATATGAGCCCTAAACTCTACGCATTCCATGAACTTGGCGCGATGCAAATTTTGTGCGGTTTGTTGAAGGCTCAAAGCGGGGTTTTAACACGCACTGAAACCTTGCAACTCTGACTTGTCCCTAGTTTGAATTTAAGATAGTCACTGGCGTGCTTCAGTCATTGACATGATTCCAGTATTGGCAAAAATCCAAGAACAATTATGAACTGGTCTATCTGAACAGGCTGCTGGACCTTTGTGTACGATCTGATCGTTGTCCCATTTCCCAACCTCGAATAGCTCTGATATTGGGAGCTGTACTGTGCAAAGCACTTGGCTACACCAGACGCGCTAGTGAAGTATACAGACAAAATGGAGCGGTAGTTGAAGAATAAAGCATGGCTTGTAAACTGTGGTGTGTCGAGGTTGCGATGCGTATGGTGGAAAGGCTAGAAACCTGTCCGCTTTGTGTAGGTTATTTACTTAGACACTTTAGACAGCATAACTATCGCATATGGTAGAAAGTTTCCATATCATCGTTGTTCTCTATTATTGAAAAAGCCTCCTCTCCGGGCAGCCTCCGGTAGTTCGGTTGGCCGGTTCTTACCTTCGCCGCTCGATTTCCACAGGAGCTGTGCCTGTTCACACCAGCGAAAATGTTTTAGAAAACCATCCCGCGCATATACTTTGTCGCGAGCCTCGAATGCCCAGTCGTCGCACCTAGAGCTGATGATCTCCTTTTCGAGAGCAAGTTGACACCCAGCACACGATATGCCGTATTCAACTCTGCCGGTTCGTTTATCGTGATATGGAAGCGCGCACGACCCCATAAAGTTATACTTTTTATCTCGATCCGAGTTCACTGGCTGGGCCTGCGCTAGTGTATCTGGTTGCTGTCCGAAAAGCAATTGGGCCTGATGAAGAGAAACGACGGTAACGCGAGATTTGCATGCAGATTCGTTCATCGAATATATTCCAGGTAAAGTCTTAAATGACCTCAGTTGGTTTGATTCGGCCTTGATCAAATGGAATTGCTTTCGGACAGCGGCAAGAGTTCGCACTTGAGTTTCCGGAGCGCCTTGGAGGCATAAAAAACAGCACCGATTCCAGGTAAGAAGGGATATAAACCCACCGAAGTCGCCGCAAAGAGTGCAAGCCTTGGTACATAGTGCGTCGTAGAAATCGAACAAAGAAACGCCAATAGCAAGTCGTGTTCGTAGCAAGGCGCAGAAGAGGTTCAGACCATATGAGACGGCCATCTGATATTGCTTGAGAGAATCAACCGTTTGTCGTGATAGAACATTTGTTTGTCGAAAGTTGAATAAAGAACGCATATCTAGACGTAACAATACGCCATGCAAGAGCTCGAGTGGTAGGCGATCGAGGGGGCCGAGTCCCGCAATGGAAATTCTCCAGGAGGTCGCTGTTGAAGGACGCATGTCAACGTGTTTGCGAGGCGAGAACCACACCACGGAGCGACAGTAGTCTTTCCGATGGTAGGCAGCGGTCCGAACAATGGCTTCGGCCTCTTCCTCGCGATAATGGTGTTCGGTCACGGAACGACTTCCGCGACGCATAAGGTCAGCCATTGTCGAATTTTATCGGCTCTTGCATTATGATGCGCACAACTCGTCGAACTCGGCAACGGCAGCGGCTGTCCGAGATATGGATATTCAATGCAACACTCTCTCTAGGCGGCGCTGCATTTAGCTTGTCTCCACAGTCAGGACTCGCCTTGGACTGATGAACAGAGAAGCCAGCGACACTGCGAGCTCGGCTGTTGTTTGGTAATTCATGAATTGAAAGCTTGAAATTCGCAGCAGCAAAGCGGAGGGTCAGGAGTAGATAGACGACCAAGGGTACTGGACGCGACGCGCTGATCCGCGTTTAGGCGTGGTTTCTGCCGCCCCTGACCGTCTGCAATGTCCACCCTCACCGAAGCGATCCCGATTTCCTGCCATAGCAAATGAAGATGACGGAAGCTGCGGATTCTCTGTTCTCGGGACATCGGAGAGGAAAGAGAAGCATACAATTGCTTCTTCGCATCATCTGCACATGGAATTAATAGCTTTCCTGGAGTTCTGTGCTGCTCTTCTTGCCAGTGTAACACGTATTGACCTAGTCACATATTTGGTCTTCGAGGAGAGAAAGTATAACATAATTCCGTGCTCGTTTTCCGAAGAGTTATTCGAATATAAGGCTTTCCGCGTCGTGCAGGCGCATGATAGCAAGGCACCCCACTCTACCACAGTGTCATAGGGATGGGAAGCGACCCCAAGAGCAAGAAAATTACGAGAGTCTCTTGAGTGACTTCAGATTTAGACCTCACAGGATATTTCTTTCCATCGCTAGGCAAGCAGGAGAGCTCGGTAACGCTCGATGTCTGTCGACTGGGCGAGTCTCGCTACGAGGAGGTGACCCCTCATCAATATGCCGTTGGCCCAACAGCATGCACACCTCTACGAAGACGGGAAATCGAACAACACATCTGACCCTGCACCTCCGTGCACAATTGATCCGACATTTGCAGACGTTATAGCAGAGCTCTTTCTGAAAGTCGAAGAGTTCCCCACAAATTCTCAATCACTGCCGACGACATCAGGCACGCATAATTGGCTGACCGGACAAGAAGTAGAGAAAACGGCGACCTGACCTGAAAGTTACTTATAATAAACGTACACCATGGGAAAGGGGTGTCGATTGGCCGTCAGCAAGACTACTTAAAGGCTATGGAATATGAGCTTCGTCTTGAAAAGAGGCACTCAAGGGTCGCTGGCTGTTTAACTCCATAGAAACCTGTGTGCCGTCACACCTCAATGGTTGCTTTCAGAAATTTGTGCACATGTAGTAGTCGTTCTTGGCCTGTTCAATCTTGACATTGAGTATATCTCAAATGCTCGACAAGTAATACGCGATGATGTATAACATCGATCGAGACTATCCATGTGTGTGTCACGAACTCATTCGAATCGCAGAGTCTCCCTTACTTCGACGTCTAGGACAACCTGTCTCAGACCAAGGATCCCCGCCATCCTGGTCTTGACTTCTTTTGCGGCCGTGGCAACAACTCAAAGGGCAACTATCAACATTTGGGCTGCAACGAGTGTCCTCGTGCCGTCGGCCACTGAGATGAGTGCGCGATCCACCTCCCGCCGCGGGCGCAGCCGCATGATATGCTGTACGCCAGACAACTCGTCAATTCTAGCTCATCTCACCCGCAATTACAGGGCCTTCGAAGGCGTGAAAATTGCTACAATCAAAAGAAACCACCATCCTCAGATGAGCTTGCTTGTCGCTTGTCACGGCACTGGGTACAAATGGCCAACTAATGGAAGCCAAACATCAAGAGCTTTTCCAATGTCAATGACGGCCGCAGTTAACCTGTTGAAGGGAGACGTTCTAAACATTCATGAGCAAGCTGAATTTATGTGGATAAGGTCCGGCTTATATACAATATGAAGTTGCCCTTCGACCGCACAGCATCGCACTACGGCCTTCGCAGCCAATAAGCTTCCGCGAGAGAGGCCTGAGCCTCCTAACAAAGATATTTACAAGAAGTGCCAAGTGGCGGGATCGCTTAGAGAGTCTGACCAGCGGTCTTGGGGATGGTGCTGGCAATGGAGCCAGAGCCGAGAGCCTTAATGGTGTCGTAAGGGAACGAGCTGGCGGACAGGGTACCCTTGGGGGCCGAGTTCTCAGAACTGCCGAGGTCGACATCGTCAAGGACAGCGTAGCCGGTGGTGTCAGAGTCGGCAGACTCCACGGCCTTGGTGGCGCAGTTGACGAAGGCAGAGCTCTGGATGAAGACCTGGGCGCCCATGCGGGTGTTGACACCGGTGCCCTTGGCACCCTCCCAGAGCTGGTTGATGATGTGGACGTTTCCGAAGCGGACAGAGGGCTGACGGCTGTTGATGTTGGAGAAGTAGTTGTTGGCGTAGGTAACGTGCAGGGTGCCGGTGTCCTCATCCGCGTTGCTGTCGGAGTGGCCGACCAGGGAGGCCTTGAAGTGGTCGTGCAGGTGGGTGTTAGAGATGGTTACCCACTCAGCAGCGTGAGTGACATCCAGGAGACCGTCGTAGTAGTCCTTGTCGTGGTCAAGGTCTGAGGACAGGTCGCAGTGGTCGACCCAAACGTTCTTGGCGGCTTGGATACCAATAGCGTCACCGTTCTCAGCGAGGACCTTCGTCAACTTCAGGTTACGGAGGATGACGTTGTTAACACCCTTAACGTAGAGACCGACACCCTCGATAGCTTTTCCATGTTAGATTTGGTCCCTACTTTAATATCATCCGTAAACTTACAGCTGCCAGATTCACCGTAGATGGTCTTGTCAGAGCCAACACGGATCTTGGCGGCACCAGAGATAGCGCCGGAGACAATGATGGTGTAAGGGTCCTTGCTCTCGGCGTACTTCGTTAAGCTGGCGAGATCCTTGACGGTGACGGTCTCACCGGCTGCACCACCAGTAGTACCGCCGTTTTGAGTGCAGTATCCAATGGAGCAGGCATCGGTGGCAGCACGGCTGGCGATGGCATTGCGAATGTTGGTAGGAGAGGCGGCGGCAAGGGTTGCCAGAAGCGCAGCAGCGGCGGTAAACTTCATTTTGAAAAGCTTGGTCAAATAACTCGCGACTTGCGCTGAGTGTTAAGGAATGTGATTAATGACTTGGAAAAAGCAAAAAGAAGGAATGAAGGTCAACTGTGAGTTAGTCCAAGAAACCACATACAGTAGGTGGCCGGTCAAGAACGTCTTATAGATATCATGAAGATGACATTGATCCATAGCCGAGAGGCTCTAGCCCCAGAAAATCCGCCATTTTAGGCACATTGTTCCACCACTCAGGACGTTTGCGGGGATCACAGCAGGGCCCTCACCATCTTTGATGAGCGTAAGGGTATAAAGTGGATCTGCCAAGATCTCAGAGATATACTTATAACGTCCGCAAAAGGCAAGGCTCACTAAAACAGCATGATGTGGAAACATGCGCCAGTAAAAAGCTCGAAACGGATGACCTGTTGACGAGTGACCATGCAGTGATTCACCTTAGCGCCGGCCAGGTGTACGAATGCACCCCCTTTGCGGCTGATGCGCGCGGAAATATGTGTAGACTGCCGGGCCACTTGATGGAAATAGCGTCTTCAGGTAGATGAGCTTACCAGGTTTTTGGGTGAAATGTCAGGAAAGTCTGCCGAGAAGTCTAGGATTTAGAGTCTTGGCATCCAGTCTTAGTGAGCTGAGACCCCTGCCTTACCTGCATGCAGACAACATTGTGGAATATGGACCCATTATAACGGGTAGGGGGATGTTTCTGAAACCATTCTCATTAGTCTCCGTCAATAGGTACGTCGGTGCGATCCGAGTTTGCCGTGCTGAAAGTTCGGACGATGGCGAACAAAAAAAAAATGGAGTTAAGCCTCAAGTTGGATGGCGTTTAAGTTAGGTGCTGGTCTGGGAAGTTCTGGTTTCATCTTACTGTGAACTCTTGGTGGATCTACAATAGTGATTCCCAGTCAAGCCAGCCTTCTGAACCCTCTCGATGATCTATTCCGAATACGTGCTGCAGGCGTTCTCGACGAAGACAGGTGGAATATCACGCACCGGCCGATCTTCATGAGCCCCGGAACAATTCGTGTTAACCAGGAGCAGCAGACCATGTCATGTCTAGTCCTCAAATGCTGTAGTTAACTCTCATGACTATATGGTTTGCACCAGGTGTAAACTCTTGCGCTATGACAAAATACTCTGGATAGACCTCTATATCCCACTTCACAACTTTGGGTGTAATTCCGATTCCAGGACGGACGTGCTGGTGGCCCACGGATATGTGCCGCTCAACTCGGACTCAATCGGAACATAATCAAGTTTGATACCTTGACTGACAGTGTCAAGATAGTCCTTTGCGAACTTGAACTTACTAATGTGATCCAGTCCTGACTTGAGTGCTTGCTTCTCAAACATCTCTCTATGTCGTTTTGTCTCAAACGTCAGGAACTTGACATGCCAATAACCTCGACGGTACCAAGATTCAACAACGTCAAAACGTTGGTTTCGATATGCTGCAAACGCCTCGCCTAGAGCTATGGAGTCTGGAGCTGATTCTTGTTTCAGAAGGGCATGTAGATGATTGGCAAGACTTGCAGCCGATTCGATGCCAATATTGCCCCCAATGCTGTGAGGAATAACGTTAGCGGCGGCCCATAAATGGCAGCATCATACAAAACTAGACATTGTCTACTTAATGTACCATGTTGTCTTGGCATAGGTGGTGTATGCAAAATCTTACCCTAGATTCGGTGTAACCTAGACATGTGAGCAATGAATCAGATAACAGTACAGGCTCTTTCAACTCACCTTATGCACGGAGTCTCCAACGAGAACAACCCGACCTCTGCTCCAAGTCTTCGCAACACCTTGTTCAAGATATCGTAGCTCACCCAGGTCGCGACGCTCCCAAAGATCCGCAAAGGTGACCTCGCCAAAGACCTTCTCGTGTGAGTACAGCTGCATGAACTCTTGAGTATCGGCAGTCGTGAAACGTCGCCGGTCTTTTGTTGGCTGTTTTAGTTTGGCATATATGAAGTAGAACGTCCTGTCTCGACCTGTGAGGGTCTGAACGGCCCATCCGTCATGGTGGTTCTCAACAACTTCTCCATTTCTCATCCCGTCGATCCGTGGGCCATGGCCGTACAGACCCTGGATGATTGTCGTGAAGGGCATTGCCTCTACTTCTCCGGCGCTCATATCACTAAGGAGGTGTCGGACAGTGCTGTGCACACCATCGGCTCCAATGACAATTGAACCCTCGTCGACGGTACCATCTTCAAAGGCCACTGACACCCCTTGATCGTGCTCCTTGATTGACTTCAATGTCATTCCAGTGCGAATATGTTCTTCACGATCAGGGATCGAGTCTAGCAAGAGCTTCATCAAGCGGAATCGCTCAAAGAGCAGTATATTATATCCAAACCTACGACAGGCATTTGTATCAGTATTTGGGTCAGTACAGGCAGGTCAGTACCTTGGACTCACTTTTGGGACAAGATTTCGCTTGCATTGTCGCGCCAGCCCTTGTTTCCGCCTACCACATGCGCAGTGCCCAGCATTGGTTCCCCAATCTTGCATGCTTCCTCAAGTACTCCGAGCTGATGCAGGATACGCACAACATGAGGCATGACAGCAATTCCTGCACCTTCCCTGTCGACTATAGATTGACGACGCTCGTAGAGGGTGTAGTCAATGTCCGCCAAAGCCAACGCATGCGCCATGACCAAGCCCACGGGCCCTCCGCCGATGATGATGGCCTTGAACTTCGCCATGCTGTTCAAGCCTTGAATCTCGTTCCCACGGTGCGTTAATAGAATATCAAGTTCTGCACATACTAGGTAGAAAGGATCTCAAAGGGAGAGTCTGCTTCTATGCTCACGAGCCATGCGGCTGAACATGTGAGCGCTAATCGTGTTGGCAATTAGCGAGTTGTTGACTGCGGAGTTTACCGGTGAGTACCCGCTATTAGCCGGGGTTGAGTACGGCCTCGGCAAGATGCTATATACAAGTCAGATTGAGTTGTCTAACAAACTCTATTCTACGCTTCGTTCCTAAACTTGTCATTGAGTCTGCATCGCAAAACCTGGGGATCCCCAAGGCATGCAAATGCTGTGTCGAAAAGCTGATAACCATAGAGATTGGAAGCACCGCAGCTAGTACCTCAAGCCCTTGCAGGTTCACACTTCCAGTTGCAGTTACTATCGCGAATTGACACTTTGTTACGTGTGAGTGGATCTGTCCATTGATTGTTTGTAAACCTCTGTGAATACCTCACCGTGTCATTTTACCTCCGCACCCAATACGGACTGGGATCAAGCACACTCAGCAATGGCAGAAGTCATGTACTAGATAACTCCGGCGCCATCTCTCCCCTTCGGCTACGCAACTACTCACAGGACGCTGTCACTTCAAAGGTATTCCGCTGCCTGTAAGAACATCTACACCCCGCAGTAGCAACACCGCATGCCGTAGTGGGCATAAGCCCCAACAATGTACTTCTTGCAGAAGCGCTTGTCGCAGTTGCGGGCATCATGGCGTGTGTACTCGGTGGTGGCGGTCGCGATGCTGAATTTGGCCTTACCGCTTTTGGCCGGGAGCGGCTGGCCGTCGAGGGAATGCCCGCACACCTCGCACACGTTGAGCATGTAGAAGCAGCACTTGTCGAAGTCGCACGACGGCTCCTTGGCCTTGAGATCCTCGGCGTTCTTGTAGAAGACACGCTGGTAGTAGGGCAGCGAGCTTGTCGACATGGCACCAGCACCAACGACACCCACTGCCTGGGGTTTTATCCCAGCAGCCAACCAACCCGGATGCGTATCTGTACAGCCAGGGAGGGATGTGCGGGGATGCCGTAGTAGGCAGCCAGGGTCGTGTTGACAAACGTAAGCGCAGATCTGTGGATGTGATGTATACTGCGCAACTCGCCTTTAAGGTATGTTGTTATGTAAGTGCACTGCTAGTGTAAGGCAAAGCAGGGAAGCCTAATTGGCAGGTATATCGCACCCGTACTCATCTTCACTGCGGCTCTCATGTTTGCAACCATCTATACGCAGCTCCTGGGCGCGAAACATCTCTTCTAATACATGATGCCTTGAGAGACGACTCGGTTGGACGCGCCTCTGACCGGTCCAAACATCAACGGGGGCTTCGATCGCTATTGGGCTTGCCGGGGATACGTCATGTCCCCTCCCTTGAGACCTCGCGGTCAATGGCCATGACTTTGACGTCGAAAGAAATTCCCGCGTTACGGTGAAGCTGGCCATAGCCTGGCTGGCCAATGAGAGCTGGCCCGAGGCTCTTATTGGGCCAGAGCTCTGCACGTCGACGTTACATACCGAAGCTGTCGGTCGAGGCGCCGCAGCCGGGCCACATCTGCCAGTCGTGTCTCCAATGCATCGGGCGAGGTGCCATCCATGCAGTTCAAATATCATGCCGCGGGTTGGGCATCGTCCACCGGGCGGCCTGGGCTGTGGTGCGGAGTACAACTTGATTGGGGATCCAGGGTTACGGCGGCTGGTTCAGTACCGTGTGGTCCATTGCCTACCTAGAGATGCACGAAGAATGCGGGGATATGCATGAGCATTCTTGGAGAAGACGTGATAGATGCCGTAACCGATGCCGCAAAAGCTTTACACACTATTGGCCCGACCTCGTTTTGACGTGGCTATAGCCACCCGCATTTGCCCAACCCTGGTCGGTGCTTTGGTGTCGGGTTGTCCTTTTTTGACCTTCAAGGGCGTGTCACAACGTTACAAGGCACAGTGCGCAAGATTCTGCAATGGCCTGACATTTGTAGTTTGTGTTACACCTGGTACGATGCATCATGGTGGCCCCACGTCACTGGCAATGTCAGTAAGGTTTTCTCGAACCACAGGGAGATGAGGATCATGCCATAAGGCCAATCTCGGTACTCTCTTTGTGGCAATTAGACCTAATACAAGCAGTCGGCGTTCTAAGAGGAGATTTTGGTAAGTGTATCCCATGAAGTACGGGCCGGTATGAAACAACAAGAAACGGAAACGCGTATATTAGTGTCCAATAAGACTGGATCGATCCACGAATTGAGAATGGACACAAGTCTGGGCAAAGCGGGCTCAGTTATTTTCATGAGCCCAAGTCTTATTAGCTACCGCTCACCTTCGTTGACGTTATGAACGACGAATAATCTACCGAACCCAACTCTTTAAATAGCAATGTAGCACTATAATTAACGGAAGTAATATACCCGATATTTCAATTCTCTCTCGTCTCCTTTTTTTTTCTAGAAACCTATTCTGTTTTTTCTTGACTCCGCATCTACCTATAAGTGGAGCCTCTCACGGACAAGTGCCAAACAAAATCCTCGAAAGTATAATAAAGAACCCTGGCGCACCTTTTTATAGACCGTTACTACCCAAAAGAAATGATCTAAACCCCTCTTTTTAAGCGGCACCTCGTCCACCAGCTGCCTGTGCATTGACCGTGATCTCGGGCAGGGGCCTTCCCTTCTCCGTAGGTGGGGGGATGAACTTGATCTTGGTCAAGTAGCCCAGATACTTTCCTACATCCTCCCTGCTGATACCGTAACCGAAGCTTTCGTCTAACCCGGTCCACTTCTCGGCATCGGCCTTCAACACCGCCGCGGCGTTTCTGTCGTCCAGCTCGGGAGCGCGAGTGTTTGCTGGCAGGTCATTCATGCAGAAATGGAACAGTGGCATGAGAGCATGCTGTTCTTGATCCTTCTCCACGGCACCGGCAGAAACAAACTTCTCCAGCTCGGACTTCCAGGCATCGTAGCTGATTTCAGGGGCCTTGAAGCCATAGAACTCCAGAATGGACAAGTATTCGTTCATGCGAAGCCGGGGGTGCGCAGTCACGTGGACGACATGAACGCCGTTGGGAATAGGGTTCAGAGCAGCGGCGACAACAACACGAGCGACGTGGTTAACCGGAACAGAGTTCACTGTGTTGATGATGCGTGGGCGTGCCGACAGTTGCACGCAACCCTTCAGAATTCGGATCAGGAAATCATCGGTGTTGCAGACACCAGTGAGCATGTCGCCAAGAATGTATCCGGGTCGCACAACGGATCCGATAAGACCTCGCTTGCCTGCTTCCCGAACAAGCTGTTCTGATACCCACTTGGTTTGGCCGTAGCCCGTTCCAAGCCCTCTGCGGCTTCCTTGCATGTCATCACTCTCGTAGACGGCACCCTGACCAGTGCTGGTCTGCTCATCGGACAATTTGATGTAGTGATCCGTATCCAATGCACTTGTGGAGCTGACAAACGTGAAAGTCTTGGGCTTTCCTTCGTTACAGAGCTCCATAGCATCGAGGGTTGAGATAACGTTGGCAGTCATCATATCCTGGTATCTCTTGACCCAATGCACAGTAGCACCGTTGTGAATGACCGCATCTGCTTCCTTGCTCAGAGTCTTCCAAGTCTCGTCATCGAGGCCGAGCTTGGGCTTGGCTAGATCACCAATAACACAGCTCAGTCTCGACGACCACTCATCCTTCCATAGGCCATATGCTGCGAGGGAGCGCTTGAGACGGTCAAGCGCAGCTGTCGAGTCCTTTGCACCTCGCACGTGTGCAATGACCTTGACGCCGCGGCGTGTACGGTCCAAGATATCCTTGACAAGATACGAACCCAGGAAACCAGTGGCGCCAGTCAAGAAGATGGTGAGCTGCTCCGAAGCAGAGATCGCCTCCAAGTCTGCTGTCTGGTATTTCGCAGCTAGGCGGCCAGTCAATTCATCTAGCGATTTGGCGTAAGCCGGGTCACCCTCTTCGACGTCCTTGACCTCAACGCCATTGGCCTGCTGCTTGCGCTTCTCGATCTCGGCACTGAAACCACCCAGTGTCGAGGCCTCGTAGAGCTTGTTGATAGTAATATCCGCGCCCAACTCCTTTCGGACATTCAACAATAATTGCTGCGCCAGAAGACTGTGGCCACCGAGATCGAAGAAGTTGTCCTGTGATCGGATAGTCTTGGGGTTCAAACCAGGCACAATATCGGCCCATTTCTGTGCCACAGCTCGCTCTGTATCGGTAAAGGACTCCCAGTTCTTCAGGTCTTCCTCTGAAGCATCCTCGACACGCTCAGCAACATCAGGGAAAGGAAGGTTTGGCTTGTCGACCTTGCCATTGGGATTGAGTGGCAGCTTGTTGAGTACGATATAAATCGTTGGGACAGCGTAGGCCGGAAGACGGGTCTTCAGATGGTCTCGCACCTCCTTCTGCACCATTCTGTACTTCTTCAGGTAGATGGTCACGGAGCCCATTTCCATGCCCTCATCTTCGATATCCTCGAGGCCTTTGGCGGCGAGATAACGGCGCCATTCGGCTGCCTCGGGGACAATGTAGCTCACCAGTGTCTGCTCTTCGTTACGATCTCTCCGGACAAGAGTCTTACAGTCTCTGATGAGCGCGTTTTGGCTCAGGTTGCTGTCGATCTCATTGAGCTCGATTCTGAAGCCACGAATCTTGACTTGGTCGTCGGCCCTCCCAGTGCACTCGGCATCTCCAGACTCCAGGTACCGTCCAAGATCTCCTGTGCGGTACATTCGATCTCTAGGTCCCTTGTAGTACTTTCTCCACGGTTCATCCTTGGCGCTCTGCTTGTCCGCTTCCACCCACTTGTTCGCGTCGACGAACCAGTTCGTAACGAACTTCTTCTCGTTCAAAGTGGGATCCCCCAAGTACCCTTCAGCGAGGCCAGCAGCACGGACATAGATCTCTCCCGTCTCGCCAACGCCACACAGCTTGGTCGGATCCTCGCGGTTGACGATCAGAATCTGAGCACCCTCCATACCCTGACCAGCTGGGATCGCATCCTTACCCAGTCTGTCCAGGAAGTCGGCATCCTTTGCTCTGCTGGGGACTTCGAAGTAACTGACGGCTCTCTGCGTCTCGGTCGAGCCAAACATGTTCTGGATCGTGGCATTGATAGCAAGCCGCCTAAGAGTTCGACAGTCTCTGGTTGTAAGAACATCGCCGACGAAGAAAACTTGCTCCAGACTTGGGAACTCAGCGGTGGCACCGCCGACGAGGATTTGACCCATGGCAGGGGTCAAGTGAGTAACAGTCGGCTCAAACTCGCGGAACCACTCAGCAAGCTTCTCGTGTTGGATATCCTCCTTGGCAGGAACTAGCAACCTAGCACCGAGGAAGAGAGGCGTAAAGATATCTCTCTGGATGGGGTCGTGTGCCAGTCCGGAAAGCATGGTGAACCTGCTTTCCGACGTGAGGTTGAAGCGCTTGGACATCCAAGGGAAGTATCTCGCCAAGCTGTCGTGGCGGCCTAAGACGCCCTTGGGTCGACCTTCGCTTCCGGAAGTGAAAGAGAGAGTGGGGTTCGAATCAGGACCGACAATGACGGGCGGTGCAGTGGTCGCGGACTGTCTGGCCTTCTCGAACACATCCTTGCCGTCGACTTCGCCTCCCGTGAGCAAGCCTCCGTCATGAAGACGTAGCTCGGGGACTTCGGCCTTGAGCTGTAGTTCCTCGTCGATGTACTTCTGCACCAACGGGGCGAGCGTGCCGTTCTCGTCGGTTGCTCGGCCGATTCGGATCAGCGCGCGAGGTTGCGACACCTCGAGGTAGATCTTTTGTCTTGCTGGAGGATATGCAGGGTCGAGGACGGTCATGGTAGCTCCAGCCGCCTACAAGCAAGGTCAATTAGTTCTCTGCGGTGCCAACCATTGTGTAAGCTGCCTTACCAGGGTTCCCATCAAGCTGACGACGAGGTCGACCGAGCGATGCGCCCAGATCATGACCACGTCCCCGTTCGTAATACCCGCATCGTGGAGGTAGTGAGCGAGCGTGTTGACAGCCTCGGAGACCTCGCGGTAGGTGAAGCGCCTCTCGGGCGTGGTGGACGACTTGGTCTCGACGACGCAGATGCGGTCAGGGTTGGCCTCCGCTTGTCGGCGGAAAATCTCGTGAATCGCTCCAGCGTAGCCAGACCAGTTAAGGTCGGCAGTCGGGTCGGGTAATTGAGCCATTGCGAGATCTGTGTGACACTTCCTGCCTCTCAATTGGAACAAGGAGGCAGAAGATCGTGTGTTGTGGTGTTAGAAGAATCACGACCAACAGATTTGGTGCATGACGAAATTTTGGAGCTCCGACAGCGGGGGCCGAGAGTGACTCTTCTCTTCCAGGAGGAACTCGGTAGTGGGGGCGGGGCACACTATAGAATAATAGGTCGGCAGGTCGGGTTCCAAAAAAAGACTGCATCGGAGCAGGGGCTGCAGTCTAACTATGTAGTTAACAGGTTACCGAACTTAGCCACAGCGGATCACTTAATCAGCTTACAGAGGACGACATACCTGGGGCTATACTTTCCCTGCCTTAAGTATTCAAACGCTCCGACACTTCCTCCGACGCACGCCGTTGATCCTCCAAACCACGGCCATCCATGATCCTGACTCTTCAATTACACGTGTCATGTTTTCAGGATCCAAGAAGAAGCCACTTCAATTTGTGAGGTTTGACGTTAGGTTCACGATGCCCCCGGCCAAAGGAACTAGGTGCCACGCGTATGTTTCGAGTCCACTATAAATGTACCCGATTCACTTAGCTATACGACGATAAGGCAGAGCCATTGTCACTATTATGAATATATGAGACCCGGAATAACCAAGTAAGTAGAGAGCGTATGTCTTTGCAACTTCAACGAAGACGCTGGAACCAGGGAGAGGAGTCGTGGGGGCCGCTGATTTCTTCCGCTCTTTGTGCGATCCCTATTTTTTAGGTGTGTGAGGGGAGCTGTTCCACATTTCCTCCATTATATCGATCCGCCCAGCATAGGCTGCCAGATCATAGGCAAATCTGCAATAGGGGTGGCGACGACCACTCAATCGATGCGTCGCGCCATATCTAAGAGCACACGAACGACTTCTCTGTGCCCCCGTTGAATTGCCTTTCTCCCCAATCAATGTCGATTACAGGCTTTCCGCTTCTGATGCCAGTGATGTAGTCGAGCATCCATTGGATATATAATTTCTCGCTCGATCGGACACCCAGCCTTGTGCAATAAACTCCCAGACAGGCGACAAATGAACCTCCAATCGTTGCGTTAGACTATTCCAGATGACCTCCTCGACATCATCGCTGTATGTGGCATTATTGTTAATGGAACTCAGGAATTTGTAAAACAATAAAAACCGCCGCGCCACTTTCCAGCTCCTCATAGCTCCCGACGCTCTTTCAGCTGGTGGCAAGTGCAATAGTTCGCGAATTATTTCTTTTTCACATGATCTTGGTTTCATATTGAAATGCTAACAATACTCCTGTTGCATCGAAAGCAGTTTGGGTCGCTAAAAAGTTCTTGTCGCCGGGAACCTTCGGTATGATGAGCTTTTAGGGGAGCCTGAGCGCACCTTAGGTCTTTCGGTTAATACTGGTGCCCCAGGTTTGATAGGTGACGGTCCGGAGCTAAGTACGGCCCGAACCCGGCATAGGGCACTGCAACGACCTCGGGAGTCTATGGTGACTGCATCAACCGCCTAAGAAGCCCTTCATAGTATTGATTATTCTCAGCCTTGGAGCAGCATTGTCGGCCTCGAATATAGTGTTCTACAGAGTTGCAGTGGGAACGTCTTCGTTGGGATCGCCGCCGTCCAGACGACGGTCTGGAGGCATGCCTCCTCAGAGGTGACTCCATCTTCATGCGTATTGATAACCATACTCACAATAATTACAGCTGGCATCTGCTGTGCGTGATATCTCGGCTTGATGATATGTCGCCGCAGGCTATCTTCAGCTATAACGCAACAAGGTGATCAACATCTAGGGAGAGTGTGATTTTAATAATATCATTCGTAGTGGATGGATTATCACAGATGGGATCGACTGCCCTGCTTTACCAGGTTGCTCATGCTTGTAATATGTCATAATATAGACCTGCATGAGAATTAAACATTGCACAACTGGACACAGGCTCGAACCAGTCCTTCCGAATTATTGCAACTGATATTTTGCTATGCCCTGGGATTCGAGGCTCTCGAGATTTTTGAGGCTTTCGAGACTACAAGATGTCTTGAGAAAGATGGGCCTCTTCTTCGGTCACCTGTATGGGGAATTCTTGCAATTGTCGCACTGGCATGATCATATCCTCGCCAGTCTCTCTCCCAAGAAACCCAATTGTTGTATGATGATATCGCTAAACCCGAACCGCCACGTTCACTCGCTCGATCACTCAACCACATCACCATCCCACCCATCCAGATTAACCACACACGGCGACCTCCCACTCCTCACCACACAAAGCACCAGCTCATCGTCGCCGTCGTTGACCTCCTGGTGCTCCATGTAAGCAGGGATGAGGCAGAAGTCGCCGGGCTCGAGGCCGGCCCTCCGCCGGCCGCCCTCGGACACGATGGCGCCGCCAGAGCCGGCCGCGCAGAAGACGACCGTGTCCTGGGCGCCATGGTGGTGGACCGCAGACGCCGTGTGAGGGGCAGCCACCATGCGGCTGGCGCAGATACCGTCGCAGACGCCGGCGATGGCGTTGGCGCGCTGCATGCCCTCTGTCTGGCCGCCGGATACGGTCAGCGAGCTGCCCTTGGCGAGGCGGACGGGCTGGGATGGCTCTGGGTGTGAGGAAGGCATTATCGAAGGGCGGTGGTTAAGAAAGGGGGTTGAGTATAGGTGCACGCCTGATTGGATACAACTGCTGCGGGTATACAGTTTCGAGCTGTGGAATCCGTGTTTCTATATGCATTCATGTATGTTCGTGGTGATAGCTCCAGGATACCTCTCTTCAGGGAAACAGCAGGTCAGACATGATTGGGTACTGGGCATCTAGCTATGATGTCAGTGGTACGGCTACAGAGATGTGACTGCTAGCCCAAGGCGCTTCCTGGCCGTATATAGAACAATTGATGGACAACATTCCGGCTCAAGAACACATAATATCCAGGTCGCTTGCAAGTGATACCACTTCAGGCTCAACATAGGCAACATTGGTTCTTCTTCTCCCTGGTCTGCGAGGAAATGGGATAAGCAGCATAATTAGCGGATAATGTATGTGAACTCTGAGTAATACTTTCTGCTTTTAGTTTTCAAGTCATACACAGCATACCTGTCCATTTGTTGTTATGGGTGAGCCTAGCGGGCCAGCATCGCGGAGGTCTGATATGCAGAAATGGACAGGAGCCAGTATGGCCCCGCTTGGTCGAGTGAATGCCTCTAGCTAGAAGTAGACATGGAGCACAATTGGCTACCACTGTATACGCCTGACTCGCAATTTTACCAAGCAGATAGCAAGACTGACGAATCCACGAAGGTGAGAAGCCGCATGGTAGGCTGTTAGCTTACCAGGCTTGCTCTCCACGGTACGCCCAGTTCATCTAGGCGTCGTGTAGCATCACGCCTGTGAATCCTCTAGCTTCATTGACGGTAGTGTCACGTGGTGTATGGATTCTGCCAGAGTATGGGTGCCTGTAGAACCACTGTCTTCCTGGAGCTGGCTAAGGTGAGACTATACTAACAGGACTAGTATAGATCTGAACTCTACCCCACACGACGAAGCTGGCCAAAGCCAGTTATCAAGCCTCTCCCCAAACATATGATCAGCTGAGCAGGTGAAGCAGACTATCCGGCCATCGAGCTAGTGGACACGGACTGAGCTCCGTTAGGTCGTCCGGTCGTCTCCAACCCCGTTTGAGACGAAAGGTTTGCGGACGCAGATGTGGTTGGGGATGGTCGTCCAATGATGACACACTTACGATGCCCCGGGAATAAAGGAATGCGTCCCGACCAGTCGTTCTGTCGGATAGCTGCGTGTTGCCATCTGCCGTGTCTCTTAGCAACGCGCTACCCTCCTGCAGTAGGGCGGTAGGCTTCGTCGGTGGATGGCAGCCAAGAGGGATATCTACCAGACAGGACCCAAGGTGTAACTGGAGGCTTCAATTGACTTTGACTGGGCGCTGATAGCAGCACCACCAGCTCCTTGGAGGCTGCCGGTGCATCGTCATTAGATAGCTATCTGATCTTCTTCTTCGTATCAGCCCATTTGAGGAACCTAGAATGTGCGTTGTCGAGTGCTGGCAGCTCCCAGCAGATAGCCGTCGCCGACGTTGGGTTGGGCAATGGCGTAGGACGACGTCACAAATCCCTGCCAGCACCCGGGGCGTGACCTCTCGGGATACCTCCCGTTTCAAGGTGAGTTGTTTCGATACCGACAGCAAGGATCGCCAGGGCCCCCCAGGTCAAAGACGCATACTCCAAACTTTGGCAGATCACAGCACATATCGAGATTGTCTTGGTACCCCAGAGGTATTCAATGTCTCGAATCTAGTGTAAATCGCTTCCTGACTTGGGGGGCGTGGAACGTAGGACCCGTTTGCTGCTTTCGACCGAGGATAGCACAGCAAAGGCCAGGAAAGCCAAGGGACTTCCTTGAGCCATCCCTTGGATGATTATTCATCCCAATGCCATAGTTCCATGCACTGCTGCTACACAATGCTAGATTTGTGTGGGACCAACGAAGGGACGCTGCACCGGTATCAAACTCGGGCGCACACACCTACAATGGGCAGTCTCATGGTTCTCAGTCCGAAATTGCCATCGATGGACTTGCATTGACGTAGGCGTGGGAGTCTCTTCCTCGGGATTGATCCATGCTGTGATGCTGTGGAAACGAACAGACGGCGTGGAGCATGCTGGGGGTTCGTACACGGAGCGAGAGTGCGCAGTTGGTGTTTCAATGCTAGCGCGTGACGCTACGAACTTCTCCAAAGCTTCCATTGTTCGTCGGGCCCGTCAATCCAAACCCGACCCAAGCCAAGGCAGGCCGAAGAGCAGGCAGGCCTGACAGGGGAGGGAGGCCCGTACCCACGGCGACAATGCTTAAGACGGGCGTTAAGGACGAGGGATGGGCATCAACGACTGGCCCAGCTGGTCCGTAGGCCCTGGGCTGATTATCAAAACTTCACGGGCGGCCATGGCAACAAGGACAAGGGACAAGGAGAGCGAGGGAGAAGAGTCATCGCTGCCCAGCTTCCCCACCAACGGCATAACATCAACATGCAAGTGCATTTTGCCTTTGGCAGATCTCGGCAGCAGCGAGAGATTACTGGGGCCACCTGATGGAGGACCCTGATAATCTTCCGTATTGCCAGCTTTTAATAAGCAGGGAGAAGCCTTGGTTTCGAGCAATAATATGTTTTTGTTCCCTCTCCCCCTCTGTTCACAAGTAGACCGAAACAAACTCACGCATTGTCCAAAGGACATCGAAGCTCGCTCGTCCCTCACATTCACATTCACCTCCCTTTGAGTCAGGCGGGATAAGCAGGTCACTTGGAGAGCTAAGAATTTCACAAGGTCGATCAAGTGTCTGTCGATCAAAGGAGCCAATCAAGCCCCGATCGTGGCCCCCAGCTTGCCCGGCAATCCAAGAGCGGTACAAGCCGTCTACTCGACCTTGCCTGCAGTAGGTACCTCTCTTTTACCCAGGTAGTCACTGGCACTTAGTTACCCACATGCTCCCTGGCTCGCTAGCTACTGCTTCCGCAGTACCTACTTATCAGCTAGCTGCGCCATTGGTCCCCTCCAGGGACTTGGGCACCGCGCTGCACCACGCTGCACCACACTGCACCCAGGGCCACCCCTTCTAGACTGAACCTGGAACTGACTGACCTCAAGTTGCCCATCCCATTCCCCGCCCTCCTCCAAGCCAAACGGGCAGCACCTCTCCAACACCCCCCCGACTGACCACCACCACGACTGGCCCTTTTTCTGACCTCGCGAAATCGCCTGACAACCACACGACACACAGAGCCAACCCCCGACTTGCACAGCGACGACAACGACAGCCGCTCCAACTCGCCTCGGCCAACTCCGTCAGACTCGTGCGAGAGTCCCCGCCGCAGCCAACATGAACCCTCACCAGAAGAACAAGATCGATGTCAAGGTTGGTTGTCCTTCCTCACTGCCGCTTGTTCACTGCATGCCGCATATGGCCTGCCCCACGTCGCTTCCCTCCCCCCGAGCATTGCTGTATCTATATACACATACATGTACAGGCCCTCTCCTAGGGCTCAAACAGAGGAGAGATTAGAACCCCTTCTCTCTTGCCCCATATTCCTGCCCCCCAGAAACCATTGGCACAATTCCAAGCACACCACCATCACCGTCATGCTGAAGCTAAACCTCAACCTCCAGTCCCTCAGCCCGGACGAGCAGCGCCTCTTCCGCCTGTACGGCAAGCTGCCCAGCAAGTCGGACCACTTCGCCAAGCACCTGAAGGACCGCAAGTACTTTGACAGCGGCGACTACGCCATGTCCAAGGCCGGCAAGGGCGACAGCGTCGACACGGGCTCCGTCGGCTCCCAGCACCCGGTCCCCGAGAACATCCCCCACCTGTCCTCCCCCAACGGCGCCTCGTCCACCTCGGGTCTCAACGGCGGCCACCACGGCAGCATCTCGGCCGCCAGCGGCGTCGGCGTCGGCCCCGCCGGCTCCCCCGTCAAGGAGAGCAGCTTCCTCAACCGCGAGACGAGCGCCGACGACGCCGAGGAGAAGACGGAGAACAACGCCGCCCCCGCTGCGGACGGCCAGGCCGCCGAGGGCCAGGCCATCCCCATCCGCAGATAAAAGGCGGCCACGTCGCCGGACGCAAAGGATTGCGTCATGGCCAAATGGAATGAATGAACGAAACGAATTGGTTGCGTGGTTTAGTGAACAAAGCCTTTGGAAAGGGAGGACCAGGAAGCAAATCAAGTCAAGCCGAGCGCATAGGCCAGGAAACATGGCTGGACGCCGAATCTATGTGCTCTATATCCAGCCAGCTCCCGGGGTCTGTAACGCTTGTCGCTCGCCATGGGGAAACGTTGTGCCGCAGCGGTGCTGTAGACGACGGCTTCCGGGGTGGCACGTTTGCGGTGGTTTCTTACGATGATGACTATGAAGGGATCAGTTGTTCACGGCGTTTTAAAGGTGGCTTTCTGTTGTTGCCTGGGAACCAGGAGACGGGGGTAGTTGTCCTCTATCAAACACCCCCTGTCCCTCGTCATCGCGTCTGTTCCGGCTATTCTGTCGACTTTTCCAACCGAGTCGCTTTTTATTTTTTTTTATTTTTTGACTTGCGGGGATCTACTTTCGTCGTACATGTTTACTACCTGCTAGCCAGATTGCTAGAGTGAGGATATGATATACCGTTCAAAGTCACAGCTTGGGATTCTCCAAAGTATGCGACAAGTGATGTGATGTGCTCATGATTGATCTCGTGTCATTCATTCCCCTTTTTTGTCTAAACCATATATACCCAGGCCCAGTGTATCAACTTGGCTCTGCCAGGTTGTCGGCTTGCTTGTACCCTTCTCTATACAGAGTCGATCTACAGAGTCAAGGCCTTGACGGCCATGGCCTTGGCACCCTCGAAGGTCTTGTTGCCCCCAATGAAGCCCGAGGCGTGGATGAAGACACCGCCGGGGATGCCGGTGATGCCGTCGAGCTGCTCGTCACGGGCGCCCCTCCACGGCTCCGGCAGCGGCTTCCGGCTCTGGAACGAGTCCTTGGTGACGGGGACGGCCTGTATCCTCCACTTGGCGTCGGGCACGGGCTTCTCGGCGTAGAGCACGTACAGCACCTTCTTGTCGGTGCCCTCCTGCTCCTCCAGCGTGTACAGGTGGTCCTTCCACGGCACGCTCTGGCCCTCGAGCACCATGATGCGGCCCTCCGGGTCGTACTCGAGCCGCTTCTGGTACGCCTGGCGCACGATCTCGCGCGCCGGCAGCCAGGCCTGGGCGTAGTACTCGAGGTCGCGGGTGAACTCCTCGCCGATGCGGGCGCTGGCGGCGACGAAGCGCTCGTCCTCGGCGGCCTGGGCCTCCTGGGGGTCGCTGGGGACGGGGTCGTTCCAGTTGGGGTTCAGGCGGCCGACCATGGCGCCCAGGGTGAAGCCGCCCTCGCTGAAGCGCTTCTCCAGGCCGGCGGCCTCGAGGCCCTTGGCGTCGTAGGCCGAGATGCCGTTGTCGTGGGCGTCGAGGGCCTCGACGAAGGACTCGTAGATCTTGTTCCACAGGAGCCCGACCTCGTCGCTGTCCTCGGGCTTCTGCAGCTTCTGGGCGACCAGGCTGCGGCCGAAGTGCAGGTAGACCAGGCCGGCGCTGCTCAGCTTGGTGGGGCGGCCGGGGAAGGTGGTGGCAAAGGTGCGCTGGTGGTGGTCGTAGCGGTTGGCGGCGGCGTCGTACTCGCCGCCGACGTCGACGACGGTGTGGCAGGTGGCCAGCAGGGCCGGGTCGCGGGTGCGCACCAGGGCGGCGTCGGCGTAGGTGGGCAGCTGGCGCAGCATGTAGACGGCCAGGGCCTCGTCGGCGTGGAAGTGGCCGTTGTGCGTGCCGATGGTGATGCCGCCGTCGGTCTTGAGGCGTTTGGACGCGCTTTCGGCCATTCTGGTCAGGGTGCGCAGCATGCGATGTGGGAACAGGGTCGGGGGGGAGGCTGCGAAGGGTCTGGCTATGTATACCAGGCCGATTGTGTTGTTCAGTTCTGTTCCGTCGGAGGGGCTGAGGTGGGCAGGCTTGTAAAGTAGGCTACGGGTCTAGGTTGATTATAACATGAGGCTATCGCTATCTGATTTCTCTTCTTTCGGTCAATCCATTCGCCGCGGGGTTGATTGGTTCCTGGGAGCCAGAGCCCCAAAACGGCAGCTTAGGGGGTTTCCTTAGGGGGTGTCGGCGTGTGGTTAGCGTCGTGCCCGGCCGACCATGACGCTGGACTTGGGGGCCAGGTCTCTGGAACGCGACGCCTGCGGTGACTACAGTGCAGGTTGGCGGCCATGGCTGGGCATTGGCTTGGGTCAGGTCAGGTCAGCCTGGCCATAGTCAGAGCCACCGCCAGCAGCGAATGGCCTCGAAAAGTGAACGCGGCAACAAGGCTCTTCATCAACCCGCTCACCTGTCTTTTGTAGTTTTCCAACGGCCGGCGCAATCTTTCCATATTCCTCCCAGCTTTCTTGGGTTTTCATCATCCATTGACCAAGCACACGTCAGCGATAAATGACCGCGACCTCGTTTCTGCACTGTTGAGCTGCACATCGCCGACTTGCGCCAGTTGCCCCAACACGGACGCAGCAAGCTCGCCTCAGCACGCACGCGCACGCGCAACACGCCCTCCATCGCAATGGATGACCGGCAGATCAAGGCAGAGCCCGGTCTGCGGGACCACAGCAATGAGGATGCACGCGTCGCAGAGTCGAAGCCGCCCTACAAGTCCTACAAGAAGAAGTACCGGAAGATGCGCCTTCAGTTCGACCAGAGGGTCGGAGAGGGCGAGGACCTGCACAAGATGGAACAGAAGGCCATGCGCACCATCAAGCGTCTTGCCATCGAGAATGAGTACGTAGACACCCGCGATCGGATACCAAAAGCCCATTACTGATCGAGAGCTAGTCGTTTGATGGAGGTCCTGCTGGACATCAACGAATCGCCCCAGATCCCCCCGGAACGACGGGTGGTGCTGGATGCGGACAACGACGATGACACCGAAGATGAGGCAGACGCTTCAGAGAAGCCGTCCAAGTCCCTGAAGCGCCTCCTGAAGGAGGTTCCTCACCAGTCTTTCGCCGAGACAGCCGAGCGCTACCCCGAGACCCTGGAACAGCTCCAGCCCCAGGACCCAGATCTGTACCCAACAGCCTTTCTCAGCGCCGATGACATCGACAACTACCTTGCCGAAGTCGACATGCGCCTTGGTCTGAAGGCCAAACCTGCCATCCTGCCAGCCCCGACCCCACAGAAGGCCGCGGCCAACTTTGCTCTGCGCAACCCGACCAGCGTCTACAATTGGCTGCGCAGACATGCGCCCAAGACATTCCTTCAAGATCTTGAGAAGGAAAAGGACAAGGATAAGGACAAGGACCGTGATCACGACGACAAGGAGGGCGGCGGCGGCCACAAACGCAAGAGCGGTGCCACACGCGGCAACAAGAGACAGTCTGCTGCGAGCCGTAGGGAGGCTGGCGAGTCTATGGACTGGGAGGAGGAGGCCAACTACGACGACCAGCCTTTCGGCAGTGTCAGAGGCAAGAGGAAGCGTGACGATGACGGCGGCTACCGCCCCAAGGGGGGCTCAAGTCGCCCAACGAAGAGAAGGGCGCGCAAGTCAGGCCCGTGAGTTGACGGCAATGGAATATGTAAGATTTGGGCTCCAATATCGGCAGGGCAAGGGGCGTACGGCGTTCACGGCTAGAGAAGTCTGTAAAACACATCGAGCAGCATGTAATCATTGGCGTGTGGCCACCATTATTTCAGTGCGATGGACCTGGTTTCAGCATTCAGAAGAAGCCTACTCGGTCTTCTCGCCCATTTGATTTCGTAATGACTATTTCTCGTGACTAGATAAAAAAAATAAAAATAAAAAACACCTAGTCCTGGCCGCTGTTGGTGTTGTGCACGACCTTGGATACATACGGACACGCATACGTAGAGCTTCACCTCGATAGCACATCCACAAGCCGCGCTAAAAATGTAGCGACGACCTCAAAATTCTCAACCTCCCAACACCTACCTTGCTGCCCACCGAGAACACAGAATTGGTGAGTCAACGTGATTGACATCTCACTCAATCCATCTTATAAGAAAGCTCCATACTCACAACACATTCAGATTTTGACCCCAGTATCCCCTGTTGGCTCTCGATATAGTTCGTCCAGCTTCACCTGCAACAAGACGTCACTGGAGACTGACGCACCTAGCCAGAAGCCCTCTCGTGAACGCACCGTTCAGCTGGCAATTCAACCCAACTCAAAAGGCTCACCCTACAAACTCAGGAACATCTGAGGCAGACTTTGGATCACGCTTCGCCATTACAAGCCTCATCCGTCTAGATATAGCTAGCCAGCCACAATGCCCATCTCCAAGACCTACATAGTCGAGCACCTGGACCCGGAGCTGGGCCCGTGGTCCGAGCTGGAGTACATCGCCATCGCCAAGGAGACGGGCGAGGCCAAGAGCACCTTCGTGCTGTCGTCGCTGCCCGCCGACTTCCAGGTCCCCGACCAGCTGGCCGCCCAGCCCGCCTTCAAGGCCGAGCACCGCGGCGTCGAGGAGATGTACCCCGCTGGCAACGGCAAGGAGCGCGTCTGCCTGCTCGACCCGGCCGCCGAGAAGGACCTCAACCCGGACGACCGCGCCGAGTTCGACGTCTTTCTGTTCGGTGGCATCCTCGGTGAGTGAAAGTCCCCAGCCCGACCTTGGGGGCGGGGGGTAATGGGAGAAGGATCATGTAGCTAACGAATATACAGGAGATGACCCGCCTCGTGGTGCGTAGCTTTCAGTCTATAGTGTCTGAAGACGTTGACTCTTATACTAAGTGTGACCGCTGGCAGATCGCACCTCGGAACTCCGCAAGAAGGGCTTCACCGGCCGCAGACTGGGCCCGGTGCAAATGACGACCGATACCGCCGTCCGCGTGACACGCATGGTTATCGAAGAGCAGTGTGAGTTTTATTCTTGCCATCATTCTGCCCCTTGTACCCTCAGTAAAGTGCTGCGCATGCTGATCTGGTCTCCCAGATACTCTGAGCAAGGTCCCCTTCGTCGACCACCCGGATCTCAAGTTTAGCGAGCACGAGAGCACGCAGATGCCGTTCCGGTATGTGACGGACAAGGACGGGAAGCCAATTATGCCTGAGGTATGTGTTGTGTCTTGGGCCCCCTCATTTCAACAATGTGCATGCTCTGGAATGGTGAAGGTGCTGATAGTCATAAACAGGGCATGGTGGATCTCATCAAGAAGGACGCGGATAAGAGCATTGATGATTTGTTTTAGTTGCCGTACCTATATCAGACTGGTAGCGTTTATAATATGTCAGCTGCGAATTGTGACATGTACCAACTCCCTCAGGAAAAGTCTAGAGCCAGTCGTTAATGGGGATGATAAGATTAGTCAAAGATGTTCTGCGGTGCATATGCAGTAAAGCTGGTTCGCGGTTAGAGCCGACACAGTTCATGGCTATGGCCTGAGTCACTTTGTGAGGTTTCAGGATTTGATTTCATTTATTCATTTAATTTATTAGGAAAGAAGTGATCGAGAACTTTCGACACCACTCGAGTCCAACATAGGCCTTTGTCGTGCAGGGAGTCGAAGGCCTTTTGTTTGTTCAAGACTAGTTGGCGTATCAGCCGCCTCGAGCAGCCACTATGAAGCTGAATCGGGCCTGAGTTTCAGATTTGGGAAGAGGATTCAGCCGATGCCTTTAAGGCTTTCTTCTTCTCGGATTGAGACAATTTCTGCTTAAACTCGACTTGATACCTATTTTCAGGCCGTTCTTCGTATGTCGTTACTGCGCCAGCCTCCCGGGCCTTTTGTAGCGGATAATTGCCCCATATAAATAACTCTGGATTGGTAGGTACATCTGGGAGCGTAGAAACGTCTGTTAATTCGTCACCGGACATGTACAGGTGGACTGAAACATTGATCGTCATCATCTTTCTTCCGAGACGGAAAGTAATATGTGGGTGCGATATTGTTTCCAACTTTTCCCCAGTCCAAGTAAATGTACGACCAAGGATGTGGACGGGAGCCCTGATTCAGTTCAGCCTGGTTTCCCCTATTCCCCAGAAAATATGCATGCAACTTACATTATCCAGATATAACCGCATTCGTAGTCACGAGCAACCGACTTCGCCCGTTCCTCGATAGCCTCGAGTTGCTGCACAGTCCAGTCTCCGAAGTCCCAAAGCCAAATAATCTACGTAGAGCTGTAAGCGCCAATAATTTACCCAAGATATCAGCTACATGATCTGCACACCTTAGGATTCTGGATAGATCCATCCCCGATGACCCTCTTGGATTGGCGTGCTCCAGATTTCATACCTTCGCTCACGGGTCCCCCCCACGGGAAGTCCATCCCTGGGAGCAGCCGCAGGGTATCCCTGGGCCTCTTATCCTTCACGGTTTTCCGAATCATATTGCAAAGCTTCAGCTGGGGTTTCGTCCAAAGTTGATCTAACATTGACTGTTTTTACTAGTCAAACTTACAGAGTATATAGGTCTATATAATACTGTTGTAGCTCGTTCGGGCTTCATTCACGCACTCTTCCAGTCAAAGCTCTTTCTTCCATATAGAGCAAAGCCTACGTGTATCTCAAGGAGATTCTTTCACTGAAATAAGCTCCTTTAATGGGGGCGGTCATTCTTCCCTTTTTTCCGCGTGAAAGACAACTTTGCATCTTATTGATGAGTCGCGCCATCGTCGTAGCGGTGGCTGTTATTTGAGCACAAGGGCGTGCCGCTGATATCTCATCTGGAACTCGTCATTGGGGACAATATGAACTTTGTAATAATTATGCTCCATATGTCAACGCTGGCAAGCACATGAGTATCTTTTTGGAAATCATTATGTTGGATTCATCCTAGATTGCATTATACCTGATATCAAAGGTCCATCAGCAACAAATTGTAGTACCATCTCTGGGATCTTTCTATTAGCCATACTGGCAGCCATGCCAGGCTTATTCCTTTGTTCAATCGAGTTGCGGCAGAGGGTGTATCACACTGATGCCAAGCAATACCCTGCTTTCTTTGTCAACATTTCTAGACAACCGTTTCTAAGGCTATCAATACCGTAAACAGTTCCTTTGTCCGTTCAGTTCCCAGTGGCTGTGGTCTTTTCCCTCGTGATTCTGCTACTTAAGCGATTACCTACTGAACTTCCTGATATTGGAATGGTTGGCTGGGGTCGTAACAACAATCGCATAGAGCCATATCATCCGATTTTACATGTTTTATATATTTCAGCCCTGAGATCTGTTAGATTCCTCTAAGCCGCGACTGAACACAACATTAGAGATGCAGGACTTGAGAGAATCTTCACCGAAATCGACGGACTCTGCGGAGGGCCCGTGGGAGGAACATCCCACATCAAAAACGCTTGAGGAACCTGAGTCTGATGAACATGACTTTTTGAGAGGTCCAATGTATTATGAGATGGAAGGGACTAATTTTGAGGACACAGAGCAATACAAACCAGGAGGTCTCCATCCGATACACTTGGGTGACATTCTCGGTGGTCGCTTTGAGGTCATCACTAAGCTGGGCCAAGGAGGGTTCAGTACCGTGTGGCTCTGCTTAGACACACAAACTCACGCTTGGAGAGCCGTGAAGATTCTGGCAAGCCGCTTTTCAAACGAAAATGCACCAGACCTGAAGATCGTGGAATTACTTGAAAAAAGTGGTGCTCAGCCTGCCGATTGGGAAATGGCCCATATTCAGCTTCCAAAGGAGCACTTCTGGTTACAAGGCCCAAATGGTCGGCATTTATGTCTTGTCCTGCCCCTTCTTGGCCGGCCTATTAAATGCAGGAAGGAGCTTGGTCTGTCAGGTGCTGCTCTTGATATCGTCAAAGATCTGCTTCTTCAAGTCGCTAAAAGTCTGCAGTTCCTGCACCGAAGCAATATCGTGCACGGCGACCTCCGACCTGATAACATCCTTCTACAACTAGAGGACACTGGTGAAATCAGCAAAGAGGAGATGATTCAAATCATCGGGACACCTAGCGTAGAGGAAGTTGGTAGGCGCATAGATGAACTGCCAGGCCCTTACGCTCCAGAGTATCTTGTTGAGCCTGCTGATCTTTCGTCTCTTCCACACAAGAACGAGGTAGCCATCGTGGATTTTGGTATATCTTTCCACGTTGACAATCCTCCCAAATGCGTTGGGATACCCTCGACATATGCATCTCCAGAGGCGTCCCTCGGTCATCCCCCAGGAATAGGGACCGACTTGTGGGCTTATGCTTGCACAATACTGGACATGCGGCGAAGCTTGACGTTCTTTGGAGGTCTCTACATATGGGAATATCTGCAAAACTTGGAGCGCATTCTTGGCCCCTTGCCCGAACCGTTTCGAACTTGCTGCAGAACAAGATGGGAAAATGATGCGATATTTCGCCAACAAAAACCACGCCTCTTCGACGGCACTGATCCCAGCATACAAGTTGACGGAATCGAACCTTTGTTATTTGATTCTCTCGAAAAATTGCAATATTCTAGGGACTATGAAGCTAAGGATAGTCAGTATTCAGAGCCACTGATGGTCCACATCGGAAAGGACAAAGGCCGACATGTTATCGCAGAGACTGAGGACGGTGACCTGGATTTTTCTAACTCAGTCTGGGTGCCCGATACCATCGACCGTGAAGAAGTCATCATCCTGGCAGACCTTGCCAGGAAAGTCTTTAGATACGCTCCCGAACAGAGGATTGGGATTGATGAGATTATGCAACACGAGTGGTTCAAGTTCAATGATGCACAGCTGAACGATTCCGATTCCGAGAACATTGCGGTCAACAAATTCCCCATGTCGGAACAAGAGAAAATCAGTGATGAGTATGAGGATACCCCACTAGGAGCTGATGTCGGGGGCTTTGGTGCTACGTTGGGATCCATGGCTTCAGATGGTCCTGACAATCAAGAGTCATTCCCTTCTAGCCGCTACACGGCAGATGTTGAGTTGGCCCCAACCATCGCCAGTCTTGACGAAACTTTTTCCTATGACAAGGGGACAGAGACTGAAGAGACGTCTGCGGCTGATAGAGAAAGCATTTATCATTTTATAACCACAGAGGAGCGAGAAAGAGACGCAGCGGATAATCGACCGAGATTCGAGGACGTAGAAGAGTATCGGGAGGGTGGTTTTCATCCGATCCGTCCTAATGACGTACTTGGTAACCGTTTCGAAGTCATTGCGAAGCTCGGGCATGGCCGATTCGGCACCGTTTGGCTTTGCATAAATACAGAGAAAATTATATGGAGAGCAATCAAAGTCCTAGCCGCACGGTATTCCATGGAAGGCACTGCAGATATCAGGATAAGAGAGTGGCTCGAGGATGCTGGTGCCCAACCTACAGACTGGGAAGCATCACATTTACAATTGCCGAGGGAACATTTCTGGATCGAAGGGATCAACGGCCGCCACCTGGCCCTCGTTCTCCCCCTTTTCGGTCCAAGACTCAGTACCATCAGAACTGCAGAGCCGGCGACTATTAAGAAGCTACTTCTCCAGGCTTCACTTGGACTTCAATTTCTACACCACCATGGGGTCGGCCACGGAGACTTCAGAGCTGATAATCTCCTTCTACACCTTGAAGATACAAGCAGCCTCAGTATGGACCAAATGCAAGATCTACTCGGTCTACTCAACACAGAAGATGTTAGGAGACTTGACGGTGCACCCCCGGGACCGCGCGCTCCAGCATTCCTTGTTGAACCAGTAGACTTATCCAAGCTACCTGTTAAGAATGAGATTGCAATAGTCGGCTTCGAGTTGTCGTACCACGCCAAACAGCCCCGCAAGTACTTAGATATCCCCTTCAAGATTGCAGCCCCGGAAGCCATTCTCGGGTGTTATCCGGGCCTCAGCAGCGATGTGTGGGCACTGATATGTACTTTCGGGGATATGTTGGCTGATACGCTGACATTTGAAGACTTCGCGTCATACGTGCTTTCGTTGGAGGTAGCTTTAGGGCCCCTACCTCACCCGTACCGGAGAGAGTGTCTAAAGAAGTGGAGAACCGATGTTGATCTACAGTCAGCATGGCGCCATCTTTGCAGAGAAGATGAAACGTTGCCGGAGGGGGAGGTGCGGCCACTGTCGTGTTCATATCGACAACTGGTTCAATACAAGGAAAACTTCGCCGAGGAGAGCGGGTACATCGACTCCTTTGCAGCGAAGATCAGCGAAGGAGAGGTAGCTGACAGATTATCTCGGGACGAAGTTCTCATGTTCGCAAATCTTTGCAGCAAAGTGCTGAGATATGACCCGGATGAAAGGTTAACGATAGACGGGGTTATTCGACACGATTTGTTTAGAGGGATCGATATCCACAACACGCTACGAGTTAGGCCTTCGCCTGTTGAGAACAGGTCTATCGTAGAGCAGTCTATCAATCAAGTAGAAGGCCCGCATTCGGAGAAAGTGCCGGCGATAAAAGCAACCAGTATCTCAACATCCGGGCACCAAGTCCAACAAGGGATCAGAGGCTCGAAGGGTACTTTGCACGCGAAGGAGACGGGACAATCCCTCACGCCCGACCCAAAATCTGCGGACGACTTGCCTGCAGTTCAAACTACCAATATGATCAAACTGTTATTCGTAGGATTTGCGGCTTCCACGGCCATGTGCGCGCTGCTTGCCGCCCTGTTCTTCTTTGCTGCGAAAGCACACGAGACCTCATCGGCACAGAACGCATGTGCGCCTGGCTTCGTATATGCGCAGACCAGGAAATTGACAGACCAGACGACTTTTTTCGAAGGCGCTGTGACATTTCCCGGACAGGAAACGCTAGATGATGGAACTCAATGCCCCGTGTTTAGAGATTTGAACATTGACTCTGAGGTGAAGATCTTTAAAGGATGATGGGATATTTCTGGCTGCGGTGCGCTGCCGTACATAGTATCATTGAACAGGGTCTATATAAATTTGAGGATGTACATAAGCATCTTAAGTATTGATATTCCAAAAGCCATGAAATATGAATCAACGCAATACTCAAGAAGTACATAACTACCTCGTCAAGCCCCCATTTCCATCCACACCGAACAACCTGGTATTGCCCTGAGTCTTGCTACCCCGAAGCTTTCGATTGCGATATCTTGAAGCCCCCCAAGCAGCGGGTCTGGAAAACACCGGAGGGGTCGTACTTTTGTGCAGCAGCCTTGATCTTTGCCACATTCTCTTGACCTGCATATCTGAAAGGGTCCTGGCTGGCATCTGCGTAGTTGACGTATACCCAGTCGAGGTTCGTACCGTTCTTCCGAGTCAAAGAGTCAATCTGGTAATGCAATTCCTTGCATAGCGCATCTCCAATCTCAAACATTGATGCTTCTTTCACATGAACACCGGTCAAAACGAGCAGCGCGTCGTCCTCGATCCGGTCGAGACCCATGATGTTACCTCCAAGCTCGCGACCAAGTTTGCCGATGAAGCCAGGCATAGGTTGGAAGAGCGCCAGTGTCCAAAAGTCGCTGCTGCTGGGGAATTTTGACTTGAGCTTTTCCACCATCTCATTGTGCTTTACTACTATTTCTGCAACTGTGGCCTCGTTATTCTTGATAAGCGAAGTCAGCCAAGTAGTGCTACCGCTCGAATTAGCAAGTATTGGGAGTGGAAATTTTGGGATAACGGGGAGGAATCATGATTACATACTAATATCCATCAGGTTCTTCTGCATGTTTAGCACGGACGGCTACTGTAACCCTCTCGGTCGTGTCTACCATGGCGGGCAATCGGAGCCATTGCTCGAATGCCGCCGGCCTCTCGACTCCCTTAGTGTTAGACATGAATTGAAGGCAGACAATATCATTAAAGTCTGGTTGATAAGACCACCCTACGCCACAGTGATTTTCGGGTTGGCGTTGGAGATTGGCTGTGAAGTCTATCAGAGCCTTTATATGGATAGCCGTAGTTGACTTGTTCGTGAGACGCGTGCCGCCCCAAATGAGTGGCTCGACAAAGGTGAGCAAGTCAACCCTCGTCACGATACCGAAGTTGCCAGATGCCCCTTTGAGGACTTGATAGAGATCCGGGTTCTCCTCCCTGTTGGCTTGTACAATCCCTCCATCAGCAAGCACGACTTCGAAGTTGACGACTTGATTACAAGAGAATCCAAAGCGTGGAAGAAACCACTGCGAAATTTAGAAGTCAGCCAGCTTCTTGCAACAAAGGTAATGCACAGTCTTGACCTACAGATATGCCGCCACCGGTTAGGTAGCCCCCGACACCGACGTTGCCATCCCGGCCACCTGCTACTACAACACCATGCTTATCGAGTTCTTCATATACTTGAATCCATCGCGCTCCCGGTTGAATTGAAGCTATCTTCGTATCTTGGTTGTAGACGATCTCATTCATGGCACCGAGATCAACCGTCACACCATCGGCAATATTGCTGCCACCTGTCCAGACAGTATGACCGCCGCTGCGGACAGCGAATTTACAGTCTGGGCAACTAATAAGAGTTGTCAAAAGCCTGGACACCTCGTCCGAAGTCTTTGGCCGGACTATGAACCATGGACGGACGTGCTGGCTCTTAGACCAGTAACTTGCGATCCGCTCATCATACAGAGTGTCGCCTGGATGCACAATGAGGCTCCCGAGGCCAGCATCAGTGAGCTTTTCAATCTATATATGGTTGTTACATTAACGGCTTCTCTTAGATTCAACCTGTAGTCCGAATCAAGAAAAGAAACAAGGGCGCTCGAGGAGAACGTATGGTCAGACTCACTGCATCTAATCTTGCGTCTAAAGACATTTTTGACGTAATTCAATAAGACTTCAAACTGATCTTTCGGTGCTAAACTTTTATCTACATAATGAACTTGACCGATGGATATGGTCTTTGCTGCCTGTTGCCTGTTGCATGGTTTGTGTGCTGTTGGACTTCCCCTCACATCCCTAAGAGGATAAGACGATGGTGGCTCAGGGGTCAATGTGGGTCCCTCATCTTGCTTTCAAGCCTGCCGCAGCATCAAACTGCTCGTACTAAACTCATTTCTTCCAATAACCTAAGAGTCTTTCATAGGCTCCTTGGAGGAATATCATGAGAAATAACAAGCGCGGCCTATTTTTCGATACTTGGAGCGCGATCAAACCAGGCAAGTACGGTATCATGATCTCCCGAGGCCGTGTTATTGGGCAGGCAACAAAGACCACCCAACACCTCGTAGTGTGGTTTTTGAGAAATTTCTATATGTAATTGGAGTTCTGCCAGTGTTGATATCACCAATGGAGTATGTTGTTCCATCGCTAGAGCAGCCTCCAAACTATCTATTTTTGTTTTCTAGATGTATGCCTACGCTCAGTAGCGGACTCACTTACACCATAGCCGTTGATACGCTAGTGTCCGCTATGGGGAGTGAAGCACATCCAGATAGTGAGGTGATCATGTTTGCCTATATCACCGAGATTTTTCTTGAATTCGAGAATTCACAGAGGGGGATCTACCCAGCAGACGGTGATTTTGTGACAGCGAGACTGCAAATACGTGCAATATTAGCCCCAGGACGAACTTGATACGCATCGAAAGTCGCCCATATGATAAGCCAGCGACAGCTAATCTCCCCATTCAAATGCACATCTGTTATTAGGTTTTGTCCATTACCCTCTTTGATCTAATCTGTTCTCGTACCTCTGTTCTCGTACCTCTGTTACCTGTAGGCCCAGTGAATATGCAAACGACATGGCCGTGCCAAACTGTCGCTACGCCAATGAGATACAATCAGTAGAGATCGACATGTTAATAGAAATGTAGTCCGTGAAGCGATTTCAAACGATGGCGTACAAGCTAAGTATCAAAGCGATAACGATTCCTACTCTTGGCTGTTCATGTGCCCCTTACACGGTAGCGAATTACTGCTCTGCGTGGTTTTTCCCAAACGGTATTATGCGTGTTATCACGGACAGTATAGCCCCGACTTTATTTTACTCATCCATAGGGTATCTATCGTACAGTAAATATGCCGGACTATGTGACTATAGTACACATGGAACAGTTCTAGGTGCGTTGTTATGGGGCGTTGCTCGCTCAGCTTCTGGCCGCCAAGTACTTGCTGGAACACACACAGGTAGCACATTGATATTGAGATGAGACAGCTTTGGAACAGAGCAGTCAGGTTGAAGCTCATGGTTCTTGGCGCTACACTAGACCGGCTTCATAGGTACACATGTCATCGTCGATAGGCGAGGCTATGCCACAGAACAACTTCATCTTGATCACCGAGACTTTTGGTCCATCCAGTTGACACAAATGTAATCGGTATAAAGGGTTCGCCATCTCAGGAAGTGCCCCTACAGGAGCTCACTAAAGATATTTGTGGCAAGTCTAAAGGGATCAAGTTGGTTCAGGCCATAGTTTAGTCGCAAGGGATAAAACTGATCTGAGGAGCGAAGATAATTCGGAAGAACACCCGAAACTTCGCGACCGATTCGAATCCTTTCACAAAGTATCGTACTAGATGATGAGATCACAGTGCAGGTCCACGTGTGCCGCAGTGGACAAAAGTGTAGTCAACGGATGCTGACTATACCAACAAATCGCGGGATAGTACCCCGCTCCATGGGTTATAACACCCAGTTGGCCAAATGCCGGCAGTACCAAAGGCAAGACAAGCAGGCGTTATTAATCATGAGTCACACTGCCTCTGGCACTTAAACTTTCCATCCAGATGGAGTTTGCCAGTGAGGTCCGACTTTGGTCAAGCCACTTGTGAGCCGGTCAACGCATATACCGTGGGAGCCTCGGTGTGGCGGCGTCCTCCAATGGTTGTGATCCAACGCCCAGCCGACCTTCCAGAACCGGGATGTGCACTCGCCACGTCAACGATTTCAGTCGCGTGACCGTCTTCTGTATGGAAGAAGACCAAGAGAAAATCAGGTTCCGGCTTAAATAGCGCAACGTTGTTCCGTCGCGATTGGAGTTGCGCAAATGGACAAGTCTGCAGTGGATGCTGTGAGACCGCACCACACCCCCCGCACTAGCATCTCACACCGAGCAGCTGGGTATGGGGGAAACGGGCTCGACGAGTCTCGAAGAGGGTGCCGTCCTCATCCCATATGCATCGGTTCCATCCGGAGTAACTTGGCCGATTGGGACGCGGGAGGGTGGGATGGTTATTGCAAGGACCAGAAGACCTGCCCACTCACGTCTTGCCCCCGTACTCCTTCGCGCGGCGCCAGCCTATGGAAATCGCGGGTTCCTGCGCAGATGACCACCGGGTCTCCCAAGTGATCTCTCTGACATGTCAAAACCTATCACCTGGAATCCTCGACAAGATACCTAAGATGGAAGCGAGCCTTGCGAGCGATAATCGTTCCCATCTGCGGCCCGCGGCTTATGTCAGACGGGTCTGGTCAGAAATCGACACGACTAGACGCCAAGTGATACTCTGTTTCCAAGGTTGTGGACAGGCAGACGTGGTGCGACCGGTGTCCGAGAGTATTGTACAGCCGAAGTACAGCACGGTCGGCTCCTCCCGGCCGTCCGCTGTCGCTTTCGTCCTTTGGTCATAGGGAAGCTGGGTCCAGATTGCCATAGATGGAAACAGATCCACGTGTCAGCCTGGCTTGGCTCCTTAAAAGGACTCCTTTGAGAAACGTGGGGGAGCGACAAGCTCCTATGGCTCGGAAGGAGTCTACAATTCTGGAAGTCAGCCTCGTGAAGCAGCAAATAAGCCCTGTCAAGAACGCATCTGGCATCTTAGAATAGAAATCCAGTACTACGCCATGCTCTTACGGAGCATTCTGGTGGTATTCTAAAGTAGGCGATTAGAGATACCGACCATATAACCTGGAGCACAGCCGTGCAATATCCTGTATGTAGCTGAAGCGATAAACGTCTTGGGGTGCACGGGAGCGTGCCACGTTTCCGACTTGTCTCTTTTGGAGAGACATGACCGCCAGTGGACGATGCTTTGCTGCAGCGGGCAACTCGGTACAAGGCTGAGCGGGCTAGATTTCCTCCCGATTAGGTTACAGGTCGGCAGTGCTTGCATATATTTTAATGAAGCTGCATGCTGAGTATTGGAGTTGTCCCTTATGGGAACAACGTAATCCCTCACGGGCCACGAGGAATCTGTCTTGTCTCGTTTCCCTCCCGACGCAAACCTATGAAGATCTGACCTGTCTGCTCTAGCCTAGTCCAGCCGTGTCGGGTACCAACGTCTCAACAGTCAAGCTGAAACCTGAGGCAGACATAGCAACGAGAACAATGCTGGGTCTGGGTATGTTCGGCAGCCTAGATGACTCCCTTAAGCAGGTACCGCGGCCGTGGCCCACTCCCAAGACTCCCCATGTGGGAGGTGTTCCATACTCAAGGCGGTCGGGACAATGCCAGGCCTCTGGGCACTGACGAAGGCTGCCGGTGATGGGTGCCAAAGTGGGGAGGAAGTCGGCGAAGAATGTTTTGGAAGCAACGGTAAGGCAGTTGGAGCAGCATGGGTAACAGTCCACTAAGCCTTACTGAGTTTTAGTGCCTCCGTGGAGGAAATAGTCCGTCCGAGGCAACTTGCGGTCAATAAGAGGTACCGCGGTGAGACACCTGACACGGTACAGCGGCTGCGCGCCGTTTTCGTAGCCGGCAAGTCGCTTCTGACTAGTCCAGGTACACAGGATCCTTCTCTGGTCCTCATGCGTGCCCCAGCAAGCGTCCTCATCGTCTTCACGATGCGTCGATGACAGGTGGTGGCGATCCGAGTGCATAGCAAATCGACGGATGGATCGCTGCCTTGCAGCGTCCCGAGGTTGGAGCCGGCCATGTTGCATGCTCCTCTGCTTCGCACCTCGGGGGATCGGAAGCTGCTCGTTGCCAACCGTGTGACAGCACGATAGTATAGTACCATAGTATGTGCCGCGAGGATACGTACAGTAGCATCGTGGAGACGCAAGACTTTCCGGCAATCCGGCCATGGCGAAGGGCGCACTTACTCATCAGGAGCGTACCGTTTTTCTTTCGTGCTCTCGCAATCTCGTTATGGCCCCCTGTGCCCCCAGTGGTTGCACGCCTTAGCAGAACCAAAGGTTGGGAAGATATTGCCCATGGACAAGGTGGGCAGCGCACAACGCACAGCGCACCTGGCGCGTGAAACGGCACCTGAAGGAAGGCAAGCAAGCAGGGAAGGAAGGGAAGCGAGGCATGTTGATTTCTGGAGTTCTCCGCGAACGACTTCGACCGTATGCCGAATGTGGCTAGAGCTCTGGGGCATTCAGGACGTCTAGAATTGTAATGGCCCAGGAACAACCTGGGAGAAGGGGCTTTTTGGCCGTGAGAAGCGTGCGTGACTGGCTCCTGTTGATGACAATGACGAGATCAGCGGTTACTAACAGACTCTTCTTTGGACTTCCTCGCGGCTTGGATCCGGCTGGCTGGTGACAAGCCCACGATGGCTTCTTTGGGGCTAGAGCGCGGCATTGACCAAACCCACCTCAGAGCCCATCACGCATCACCTGGTGTGGCTTTGATTGAACAGGCTGATGAAGGACTGCCAACGCAGCAAACCCCCAAATCCGCATTGTGTGGGCCGTGAATAGACCATGTCATGCCAGGCCAGGCAGATGACGGGAGTCCCCTTGATCCCATTGCTTACACTGCATCTCATTTCTTACATTGCATCTCCGGCAGCGAGGTCCTCGGGCCTGGGTCTCTTTCTCGTAGCGCAGCCGTAAAGAAATGGCATCCGCGGCAACTGTAAGTTTAATGGGAGAGGTACCTTGGTACACAGGCTTGACAGCCACAGACCACAGGCGGGAGGCGCCCACAAAGCAACGTGCCCATGACTGACTGGCTGACTGACTGTGACTGTCAAAAGTGAGAATGGCCCGTTACCCAGAACATCCAAGGTCCGACTGATCCCAGCAGCGCTGGCCGCGACCCTTGCCTTGTTCCTTGCCCAACTTGCCGTGCTTCCATAACCCATCCACGGTCCACAGTGGCTGGCAAGCTGGGATTCGAGAAGAAAGGCGCTCTGTGTGTGTGTGTCTCTCTCTCTCAACAGCCCCGTCGGCGTTTTACAGACGCTGCCCAGGTGGTCCGCTGTGGTCTTTCACCCGTCAGATGGCATCCACGCTTCCTCTTTCTGCACGCACTCTGGCACACCACTCTCTCCCCACCGTCCCCGTACTAAAAAATCACCTAAATACATCATAGCCCCCAGGGACAGGACGGGACAAGCCAGGTCCCGAATTATTACCTACACTGCCCAATTTTCCTCCCCCTGGCATTTGGTTATTGTTGTTATGACTTTTCGGCTGGCCCTTCCCATAAACCCCCAGTCAAGTCGAGTGGCCCGTGGATCCGCCGTGTGTTTTGGACTGGGACTGCATCCAGTCTGCAGAGCTAGCTGATTGACGTACATACATACTGTACTTCCGGAGACCGACACACATACCTACATCCATCCATATCCATACATACACCCAGCCCGGGCTAGTCAAGGTAGTCGCTGCTTCGCTGCTGCCGCTGCCGCCCGCGTGTTGCTTGCTTCTCAACAACACCAACCCCGAACGGCCAAAAAAACAAACTCCACACTTGAACGTCATCCACCAGTCAACCACACAGCGACACGACACGACACTACCACAGTACACGCCTACCGCCAACACCCCCCGACACCGACATCTTGTTCCATCTGCGTCAACGCGCCCTCGAACCACATTTTCTGGCACTATTGACAGCTGTTCCAACCCTTACCCAACACACCCCCGGTCCTGCATCTCCCCCGGACTTCTTTGCGTCTCTTCCTCTCCCTTGGGGAAAAACTACCCAGCCCGAGCCATCCATCTGGTCGCACAGCAGGGAACCGCGGGCAGAGAGCCGTGGGACAAGAGCGGAGGAAACACCCAATCCCACGCTGTCGCGAGCACTTCGACACGCACATCCCACGTCGCCGGTCCACCTGTGGCTTCCACGTCGCATGCTGCAGCACCCGCCGTGCCAATATGGTCAACCGCTGTCCAACGCGGACCAGTCTTCCAAACTAAAACATTCCCCGTGAACCCGTGGCATGAGCTTTTGCGACTAGACGTGGCTGCTTTCTTCGCCAGGGTTCCGCATTTCCCGTCACCATGGAGAGGGCAGAGGCCGAGACTCTGCCTCGCCATGGCAGCGCCGGACTGGAAGCTAGCATCTCGAGTCTGAACTCTGTCGACCAAGAGACGTCGGCAACCTCCAGCGCAAACGTCGACACTCAACCGTCCCGGTGGACTTCCACGGCGACATCGTTGACCGCCTCGCCTCTGGTCTCGAGAGAAAACTCACCCACACGGTCTTACCCTAAATCCGGACGAACCAGCCGGTCGTCGACGACGAGATCGCGCAAGAACAGCTTCCAGGAACCCAGCCCTTCACGAACACGAGTGCACCCGCAAGTGTCCACTCCACGACAACAATTATCCGCAGCAACAACACCTACCTTGCCTCCCCCGCCCACCTCGGAACCCGTACTGCGCGCGCCTCAGCCCCAGAAGCCCTCCCTTGCAACTGAAGCTTCGAAGGACGCGCCGCGGTGGCCAGTGTCCCCCCGGCTCAAGTCACCACCACCAGCACTCAACCGCCCAAGTGCACCCCCACCGCGCAAGAATGATCAAGAGCCGCCGATGATAAATGTGCTCCGGGCTACCCCATCACCGCATCCACCACCGTCGGAGTCTCCCTTGCTGGTACCTTCGGATACCGAGGGAGACGAGACGCTTTCTACTGGCATGAGGACACCAGGAAGAGGACCCAGCGCCGGCTCATCCACATCGCAGCTGGAGACGGTCCAAGAAGTCAGCCAACCGAACACCCCTGGGCCCAATTTGGATCTGGCCTCGGAAAAGCTGGCGCAGTCGGGAGCCGCAGGAGGCCAGCCATCAAAGTCTGACGGTGCCGTCAACAAAATACTCAAGTCGGAAAATAATAGCGAGAGCGGAAGCGATAGCGGAAGCATCAAGACGCGCACGAGGAGGTCCAGTGCTGCTGGACCCCCTCCTACATTGCAAAACAGGCAGTCCAGCTCGGCCTTACGCTATGGAGGCAAAGGCCATACTTCTGGAGATGCATCGAAACATATCACAGTCGAGGAAGAGGAGGTCAACTCGGTACCGCGCGCGGCACTGGGACTGAACCCAGCCGCGCAGGGAGGGGCAGGGAATAGCCTGAAGACGAAACCAAGTTCCGAGACGATACGCCCCCGGAAGGAAAAGAAGAAGACGGCCCGAAAGGCGGTGCCGGCTACTTCTGGTACTGGTGAGAACTCAACCCTACTTGCAGCGAGACCAACGTCGCGACTTCGTCATAGCCGTTCGATAAGATCGATCTCATCATCGACATCTTGTCGTTCGCCGAGGAAGTTGCAGAGCGGCCAAGGGTCGTACGTTGAGGAATTCATGATACCACGGGCGCCCTCCAAGTTGTCGCGCACCCCAAGTATCACCGCCCATGTGACCAATTTGCTAACTGGAGGACCACGTGTAGCATCTTCAAAAGCAGATATCTTTGAAGCGAAAGTCGCCAGCGCTGTCGAGGAGAACAACTCGTCCGACTCGGACGAGACCTTCGTCTATGACTCCAACCCGCCAGATGCTAATGACAGGCCACGACGGTACCACTCTCGTACGCCGAGCGCGACGTCCATGGTCAGTCAGGTGGACCGCAACGGCTTGCGTTCAATTCACAGCGTCCTTGATAGTGGCCCTGTCAACCCGGCTATCAAGAAGAACATGAAGTTCGTGAACCCTTATAACAGCAACGGAGCTGAAAGCCTCGCAGGTGATGATGATGGCAAAGGTTCTGGCGGTCGTAGTAATGCAGGCTCGGGACGCGGCACAGCACGGCACCATCACCACGCTGGCCGCTGGGGTCGCAACAACAGCAACAACCACCTATCACTTTTCGACAACGAGTCCCCTTTCCCTGCTGCGGCACGCTCCAAGCTGCCTGGAAACACATCCAGGCAATCTTCTAATCCCCCCAGCCCGAGATTCCCTCCAGCACGGGGTGGGCTACATAATAGTAAGCGTCAAATGGCCATGGCTGGTTATGATATGGACGATACCACCACTACTACCGGAGCAGACGACGAGCGGACTCCATTGCTGCACATGAACGGCAACCGATCAACCAGGTCGAACCGGAGCAGACGCAACATGCTTCGAGGGGGGCGCATTGATGTGGAATCGCATGATTACCGTTCCAGACCATCCTTCTTGAACCGCTTTGCCAGCTGTTTGGTTCTCACAATAATGCTACTCCTGGTTATCATGGGGGCTGTTGGCTTCATGTTTGCGACTTCACAACCCCTGACGGACATCAAGCTCGTAAAGATTGGGAGTGTGCTTGCAAGCGAACAGGAGCTGATGATGGACATTACGGTCAAGGCCCACAATCCAAACATTGTTGTCGTTTCGATAGATTCTGCAGACCTGGAGGTCTTCGCGAAATCACCACACGCTGGTACGGACTCGGAGTGGTGGCGTCATCCCCACGACGGAGAGCTGGACATCCTGGACGACCCTCCAGATGACCAACCTGATGATTCACCTGATGACGGGAAATCACCAAATATGCGACTTGGCAACATTCTTGAGCTCGACAGTCCCCTGAGTTTTGAGGGATCCTTCTTCCAGACGGGCAACTCCATGTCTTCCGGCGAGTTACGTCTAGTTCGACCCGGAAACCAGACAGATGGCGGCACCGAACGCTGGGAGCGTATCCTGAACGATGAGTTCACCCTAATCCTGAAGGGGGTACTCAAATACACCCTACCTCTTAGTCAGAAGATAAGGAGCGTTACGATATCGGGCAAGACGACGGTGAAGCCCAATTCCGCAAACGACCCAGTCCTGAAGCCGAACGGGACGAATTTTGAAATCGGCATATCGTAGTCTGGCGGGTGACTCTGACCCGTCTTCCCTATGTGGCCCATTCATGATGTCATTTTTCTTTTCACTTTTTACGATTTGTATATTGAGCGAGCAACTGGCATTTTCAGGAGCCTGGGGCGTTGGACAACAAACTAGCTTTTGCATTGAAAAAGGAAGCGGGACTACCCCGTAACATCACACTGGAAGGCGCGGCGCAAAGATATGGAATACTGGGGATACAGGACTTCCGATGGACCACACGGCCACCACAACACAACATTCACGAATCTGCCTTACTCCTGCCACTCGCATCCGGCGGCTGTCATGTTACGATATCATTGATTCAAAAAGAGTGGGATACTCAGCTAGACATTCCATGGAGATGGCTACTTTACGAGCGGGCTGGACTGGACGAACCGTCACCGCATTTGCATAGGGATAAGGGTCACAAAACGCATAGCAAGGCAGAAAAGTAATGATTAAACAAGCTTGGAAGACCAAGATAGTGATACGTGGCTGAAGAAGACTACAATAGTCAAAAGAGCAACCGTTTGATGGGGGACTGGAGGTGACATCCTGACAAGACTATACGCGTCACAAACCCGCAATTATACTCGGGAAGCAACTTGTACTGGTAGACAACGGTCTGGACGAAACGCAGTCGTCTTAGTGGATAAATGATCAAAAATGGCTTTCAAGTCGACTTCCGTCTTGCTCATCTGATGATGTGTGCATATTTCAACTAGCAACTGCCTTCGGACACCTTTCCCTACAGCAAATCAAGGGTATATCCAAACCCAGCTCACTTTATGCAGGTTACATTTTTTTTTTCCAAAGTTAAAAATGATTCACATATTACGGAGCGATCCTCAATTGTGGTGTACCTCCAGCGCACCCTTCTCCCTGACTTCCTCGGCGCGTCTTTCGAGGTCGGCCGCCAAATCCGCCGAGTACGTGCTCCGGTCGGAGCCCGGCACGATCCAGGGCGCGTTGGTGAACAGGTAGTTCATCTCCTCGAGGGGCACGCGGCGCGTCTCGGGGAGGACGAGCCAGAAGAAGACGGCGTTGGTGAAGTTGCAGACGATGAAGAGGATGAAGTAGCGCCAGCCGCCGATGTTGGCAATGGCAATGTCCGTCACCTGCCCGATCATGGTGTTGAAGGCGAACGACGTCATGGTCGCGATCGACACGCCCTTGGACCGCGTGTGCGTGTCGAAAATCTCGGCCGGGATGATCCACGACAGCGGGCCACACGAGTAGCTGAACGAGATGTTGTACAGCCACGTCACGATGATGAAGCCCCAGCCGGCGCTGCCCGACCCGCTTCCGTTGGTCGGCGGGAATACGGCCAGCAGAATCGCGGCGATTAGGAACATGAGGCAGTTGACCAGGTTGCCGATGATCAGCGGCCAGCGGCGCCCGAAGCGGTCGATGGTCATGATACAGGCGGCCTGGGCCAGGAGCGCCAGGATACTGTTGATGGCCTGGTACTTGAGCGCCTCGTCCGTGCTGATGCCGATCTGCTTGAAGATGTTGACCGAGAAGTACTGGATCGCCGACACGCCTGTCATCTGGACGGACGCCTGCAGGGCGCAGGCCAGGAAGAGCCGCCGGAACGAGGATCGGTGGACGAAGAGCTCCTTGTAGCTCTTGGCCTCGTGCTCGCGGTCAAAGGAAATGGCTTCCTACAGTTGCAAAATGGTCAGAGGTTGAAACAACAACGGTGGGTCCGGGCGATATATCGACTTACCTGGATCTGAGCAAACTCGGCCTGCACCCAGGGGTCACTGGTATCGCCGTGAGAGTGCAGCTTGGCCAACGTCGCCAGGCCCTTCTCGGCCTGGTTGTGGTCGATAAGCCAGCGAGGGGACTCGGGGAACAGGAGAATCAGGGCGGCGAGGATCACGGCAGGCACCACCTGGATGCCCAAGGGAATGCGCCACTGGCGGTCGTCCAACAGGTTGTGGTTCGTTCCCCAGGTGATCCATCCGGCCATGAGAGCGCCGATGCCCAACATGAACTGCTGCAGCGCCGTGACTCTTCCGCGGATCGACGGGTGGGCAATCTCACCCTGGTAGACGGGGATGATCATGGTCAGGAAGCCAACGCCCAGGCCGGCGAAGGCGCGGCCGGCGTACAGGTAGCTGAGCGACTGAGCTGCCGTCTGCACGGCTCCACCGAGGATGAAGATGACAGCGCCGAGGAAGATGGTCCACCGACGCCCGAGGAGATCGCCGGCGGGACCCGCGAAGCCGGCGCCGAAGAAGGCACCGCCCGTGAAGAGCGACACGACGGCGCCGCTTTGGGCCGTGTTCGGGGCGAAGAGCTCATTGAAGTGTGTGCTGCCCACCACGCCGGCGATGACACCGAGATCATAACCGTACAGGGCAGAGCCCATGGAGGCAAAGATGCCGACCAGGAACTGGGGGAGCAATGGGGTTAGCAACGCCCGGCTATTCTCGAGACACGGGTGCCAGGTATCCACCGCTGTAAGCCACTCACCTGGTAAGTATGTGGCGACAACATCTTGACTGCTGCTGCCAAGTAGCAATCCTACTGCCCGAAGTTCGAACAATGGGGAGAAAGGCTCGGGGGTGAGCAACTAGGAGAGCCAAAGCGACGAGCGAGACAAGAAGCCGCGACGTCGTCTTCAGCGGCCATGTCACTCTATATATTGACCCCAACGACCAGACCCCGGGGCCACGGGCCGCCGAGGTGCTCTGCCTTGTTCTCCCAGTTGGACTTGGGTTTCTCCGCATCGTCGCACACGTGCTGCCGTTGGGGAAGAGGGTCCCATTGCGACGACACTGGGCAGCCCAGCCGCTCGGTTCGTGAAACTCTGCGATTGCACGGTATGCAAGGCGAGGTCTTGCGCCGGGACGCACGCAGTTGGTGGAATCTGCGGGCTCGCCCCGGACGCTACGCAGGGGTCGCTACAGGCGCGCCAATCGCTGACTATAGCGATGCCCTAGGGGAACCCCAGTCTGGGGATTTTGCGCTGTGGGGAGCCGGTATGGAGCCTTTCTCCACATCAGCCTTGGAGACGGAGCGAAGCGAGATTTTTCTGGGGATTGGAGCCGGCATGGCATGTTGTTCGTAAGACGTGTTGGTAAGTTTACGGATGTCAGTTCATGTGATGAGATGCGACGGGGTGGAGACGAGGGAGCCCAGGCAAACATAGTCAAGCCACTTGCTCTATATTATGGACCCAAAGTGCTTGCTCAGCAGCCTGTCACGATCATATGATCTGCTCATTCGCCCGGTTACGTCCCTAGACATTTATTTTCGTCCCAACTTCGGGCGAGATACTGTTTAGTACAAGAGTCGCCCTGTTCGAGTTACTGTTCACCTCGCCAAGCCAACCAGTCCAACAAATAGTTCAAATCTCCAGCGTGGATGTGTCCCTGTCGATGTCAGAACGGTGTAAAACGGAGTGAGTGGGTGGGTATATCCAGCGTTCCCGTCCCAGCCAAGACAAGGCCTTGAAGCTGAACCATGTTGAGCGGTGGTCGACTTGGTCCTGAAAGCTGTCAGGCCTCGGAACCGTGACAAGATTCGATGAGCACATTGCCTCCCGAGAGACAACGTCTGGCCTTGAAGAACCCTTACACGCACTTGGGAAACAGAGTCGAATAATCGATACTAGAGAACGCAGCCTTGAGACAAAACTAGTGCTATAGCTCGTGTAAGGGCTTCCAACGTACTTTTGAGACAAGCGGAGGGTGCTTTTCTTAACTGCATTCTACAATTCAGCCAGAAACTCTACCTAAACGTAGGTGCCAGATGAGAGGTATGCTCAAGCTGTGAGTTGAACGGCAGTGGACACCGATCTCACACCGTTGCTTTGGCATGTGCCGGATCCAGGGACAAGACCGAAACTTCAGGTTGTAGTTCAACATCGGCCAATATCGAATCCAAACAGTATGATGATACTGACGGGACAAGATATCAGGCTGAGGTTATGGTGGTGATTGAATCCGATGTCACCATACACGATAGGCAGTCTCTGAGGTACCTCATTTGATAGACATTTCCATTCCCAATTGCAAGCTATACTATTGACGAAGACTCCACTAAATCAAGACTTTGGTCTAGGGCCATTTCCAGGTTGCCGCTAGCAGTCACCATGCTTTGTTCCTGCTCATGTACATATGGTCATCTATCCCGAATCCACCACGCAGCACATGTCCCCCCGGTGTCTCGCATCTAGTGGAACTGGTCCTCGGTGACGCCCTTGCCCATGGCGCTGGTGGAGCTGATGCCGCCGGTGACCATCTTGAGCATCTCGTCGCTGTAGTTGGCGCCGCTCCACTTCTGGTGCTTGACGACGTCGACGCCGCCGTCCATCTCGGGCTCCTGGACCAGCTCGCCGTACGCGCGCATGCCGCTGGCCGCGTACGCCCGCGCGAACTGGTCGCTGATCAGCGCCGTCGTGTGCAGGCCCGCCAGCGTGATGAACTGCCAGCAGTACCCCAGCTTGGCCAGCCGCCGGATGTACGTCTCCTGCTCCGCCCGCGGCATGGCCGTCTTCCAGTTGAACGAGGGCGAGAGGTTGTACGCCAGCCTGAGAAAGCACGCATATGTGTTAGTCGATTGAGAGGTCGAAGCTTGGCTATATGCCCGCGGGAGAGGGGGAAGGACTCACTTCTGTTCGGGCCAGACGGCGTGTACGCCGTTGGCAAACTCTTGCGCCTGCTTGAAGTCGGGCAGCTTGCTCTCCATCCAGATGGCGTCGCAGTACGGCGCATAGGCAACGGCACGGTTGATGGCGCAGTCGCAGCCGCCCTTCAGGCGGTAGTAACCCTCGCGCGTCCGCGGGGCGTCCCAGTTGAAGTAGATGTCGACGTTGGTGATGCCGTGGGCAATGGCGCGGGCCTCGGCGTGGCTCTTGCCCTTGGCCTGGGAGAGGTATTGCTGCACCAGCTCCTTCTTGTTCGGGTACGCACCGGCATTGATCGTCTCAACGACGGCCTCATCGAAGCGCTGCAGGCCGGCCTTCTCCAGCCAGGCCTCCTCGATCTGCGAGAGCTGTTCTCCGTTCTTACCGGCCTGCTCGGCGGCGAAGATGAGGTCGTTCAGGGGTTGGAGGTTGGGGTTCGTAGAACCCATGATGAAGGCATGATCTCGAGGGTCGATTGTCGTCGTGATCAACGTGGCAGCTTCGGCATCAGTCCGGGCAACGGCGAGCAAGTCGGAGCCCATGATATCGGCTTGAGCACGGATGGCCACCAGACGGTTGATGTGCTCGCTGATGGGCACCAAGACCTTACCAGCCATGTGACCACACTTTTTTGTACCGGGTGCTTGATCTTCTATGTGAATACCGGCAGCACCACTCTCGATGAAGAGCTTGGTAAGCTTCATCACGGCTGTGAGGCCACCATGACCAGTATCGGCATCGGCAATGATCGGCCGGAGGTAGTCGATATTTTGTAGCTTCGTTCGCGCAGCCTTGGGCACGCTGACTCGTTCGTTTCTTTGTTTTCGGTCGTGGAAGAGCTGTGCCATGAAGAGGTGCTTGACCTTGTTCGGGACGGTAGTCTAACACGTATTAATGAGCGAGTCGTAATAGCCAATGGTATCATTCTGACTTACATATGGGTAATCAGCCAAATCAGGACCAGGCTCATCCGACGAGGAGGCGGTTGATGATGATTGCCAACCGGAAACGTAGACAGTATCCAAGTACTTCGCCATTTGGGTGACCATGGTAGGTTCCAAGCAGCCGTAAGTATAACTGGCATCACGGTTCTAGTACCATTAGTGTCGAGGGCCTTTGCTTGAAGCAATTGGTGAGAGTACATACCTTGAAGCGACCTTCCAGGATATTCCATAATTTCTTAGATTGCGTGTTGCTGGCATACTCAATCTTCAGGTGACCCCTCTTGGAGACAATCTGCTCCGCAGTAAACGGCCTCTTGGTGTATCTCCATCGCGAGTCGGTCCACCACTTCTTGACAGCTTCGACCTCCTTTGTGAACAGCTCGTCTTCAATGTTGGGGTCGATCCCAGGGTTGATCATGTTGTTGGAAGCCATGATGGAAGGAAGGGCAAACCAGTATACGGTTGTATATACAAGGAGGCGAGGGGTAGAGGAGGAAAGACCGTGAGGTAGAGCTATAAAATGTAGAGTATGCTTATCTATCCACTGGACGAAGCAGCTCAGGTGTGGGAGTATGTGTCGAGTAAGAAGAAAACCACAACAATCGTGAGAACTAGGAATCAAGAAACCTATTTCTTTACTAGGAAACGAGAATAGTCATAGTCAACTTCCAATGCTTCGGCCGTGGCAGCTGACGGTCCAAGTATCGGGAAAGATCGGTCGAGCGGGTATTGATCACGGTCCAAGGCCCATGCTTCCCACTGCCGCCAGGGGTGTGTGCCACCTAGTGTGACAATCCAATCCCATGTGCCAGGCCAGTAGTTCACGGCCATTTGAGTTTCGCAGTGGATTGGCACCTCGGCGTGCAGCCGTGGCAATGGCATCACCGCGTCTGGACAAGACCGGATCCGGCTCAAAGGCTTGTTAGTCAGGCAAAGCCAGGGCTAGCAGTTTGCCGTCATTGGCCGAGATGCCGAGAGAGTTACATGCCATTGGAGCGCCGATTGGAGCGCCGCCCACCCCGCATTATTGGGGAACGAGCCGGGGCAGCGCAACAAGAACGGTCGGGCATCTGGCACTTGACAGTGACGCATACTGCAACTATTGTATGTCATGCCTACGGCCCCTGCTATGGTGAATTTCGTGGCCAATGGCATTTTGAGATGGCATGTTCGTAATGAGGTTCTGGTCAACCTGGAAAGAAAGGCAGTGGCAGTGTGACAGGTCCAGCGGTTTCAAGAGGACCCCAGTGGCATTGTCAGCTCCCAGTGTATCGACACAGCAGTCTTATTCCCCGTGCCTGACTCGAAGCTTGTACCACTTCCACTGAAAATGTGGACATGTGAAAACGAGCCGAGTGTCTCACGCTTGTCCTCAGAGGTACCTACCAGTCAGCGCGGCAATGAGGACGCGCACAGGGCTGGGCCTGGCTGGATCGACAATTGCCCGAAGGGGTTAACAGGAGGCTCTGCTATTGGTCAATTTTGAGCCTCGGCTCTATGGTCGGTAGTGTCGTCACCGTGCTTCCACCAGAACAGTCATCCGTACTCGGTGCAGCCTCTGAGCTGGAGCACTTGTCACATGTACGCGATTCTGTGTTCAATCAAGACCCTTGACGTTGGTTATGGGGCATGACATATTGGGAACCATGATGTGCATTATAATGTGGCTGTCTGCCCTGGGCTCCATAATTGTCCTGCCTAAAGGTCCATAATCCCTAGTCACGCGTTGATAAGCTCCTTATATGAGAGTATCAACACATGCTTCAGTTGGTATTCTACAGGTGCCCTAGAAGTATCATTTGAGAGGCAGGCCTCCCTTGGCTGCGAACCGTTGCACTCAAGCAAATAAAAGCAGCTTGACAGCCTCGCGACTGGTGACCAGCAATTTTACACCACCCCTCCACACGATACCAAAGCACACTATGGTACAAGGCTTAATCCCAAACGGGGCCCGTGCATATCTACGGGAGAGCCTCAAGTAACTTCTCTTCTTTGAGCTGCTGAGCTCTTTCGAAGGACTCCCAAGGCGTCAAGGTTCCTAGTGCTCGTCTCTCCTCGGTGGTGACGAACTGAAGGCCGTATACATAACTGGCATTGACCCAGCCAAAGCTAAAAGAGCGCGTTAGCAAAAAGCGTTGGACACAGTCCGGTGATCGGAGCAGCCTACCCTTCCTTCGCAACACCCTTGAAGTCGAGTCCTTGATTTCCATACTCGGCGTCCACTCGATGAGGATCGACAGGTCGGGTCACGTCGTACTTCTCTACGACGACGCCGTTGAAGTCGAAAAATGCCTTGGTTATCATGTAAAGCCACTTGTAGGCTAATCTCTGAGCCAGGTCGTGATAGCCGTATCGGTAAAGACCGGTCCAAGCAAGCATTTGTTGCGGTGCCCAGCCATATGGATAGTCCCACTGTCGGTTGGGCCGTTCCAGGCTGATGGGGCCTCGAGATTCCTCCGTACCGGACAGAAGACCACCCTGTGCCTCAAACTTTGGCACAGCATTTTTCACCACTTTGGCAGCCTTCTCCGGGTCCGGAACTCCAGCCCACAGCGGCCAGAATGTGGTGCAGCTTTCATAGTTGGTTCGCTCCTGCTTCTTCGTGTCGTAGTCGAAATACATGCCTTGCTCCTCGCTCCACATGTATTTATGAATCGCTGCTCGGCGTCTCTTCCAGCGCCGATCCCAGATCGCTGAGGTTTCAACCTGGCCTGGCTGCATAGACCCACCGCACCATTCGGCAGGAATAGTCAACTTGTCTCCAAAGACACTTCGGATGGTTCGGGCAATGTCCATTTCGTACTTGTAGATGAGAGAGTTGAGATCAACAGTGGCAAGGTCTGCGCATATCTTCTCAAGGCGATAGGACGTATCGTGGCCGGACTCTCGAACAGCCCGATCATGGAGGAAGTAGTCATCAAGCTCCGGTTCCTTGACCTCACCGTAGTTGTAGGCTCTAATGAACTGCTCAAACGTCATGTTGTGCTTTTTGGCATAAGGTTCCAGAATATGGACGAAGTGAGAGGCCTCGGTCTCAGGAGGCACGCCCCATCCCTCGGGGCGGTATCTCGATAGTCCTGTCTGGCGATCCAGTCTAGGCTCGGCCATCCACACACAGTAATACTCTTTGATCGCTGCAAGGAAGGCAGTACGAAGAAAGTCGATAGCACCAGGCTCATGCTTGATTTTCTCGTAGACCCGCAATGCCATATCAGTCAGGAAAGGTGGCTGAGATCGACAGAGGTAGTATGACCGAGTTGCGTTGAGGATCTTGCCGTAATGCCTGATGCAGAAACAGAAATTCTGCACCATAGACTTGGCCAGGTCTACCCTGTCGTTTACAAGCAATCCGAGGGATTCCATGTAGCTGTCCCAGCCGTACAGCTCGTTGAACCGTCCTCCAGGAACAACGAACGGGAGGCCACGGAGTGTCTTCTCGCCTGTCACGGGGTCGGTGATGCTCTCCATTTCGACAGCTAGCAGTCCTGGCTTATCGTTCATATCTCGAACCAAGTGGGGAGTGATGATCTCGGGCAGCTGCACAACGTCCAGTCGAATCTTGGGACGATCTCGTGCTACCTTTTGATAGAACTCAAGCTGTTCGGGGGCTGCGTGGGGTACATAGATTCTTGGGCGGGGATCATCTGTCCAGTCCTTCGGATCTTTGGCTGCAACCTCGATGGTGGAGGCATCAATTCGTCGGGTCAAGCCATCCCAGAACTGGTCCTTGATCAAGCGAGACAGTCTGCTGACGGGATTCTCATTGAGCCTGCCAATGTCCAGAATCACTTCAGTACGGCCAAACTCCTTGGCCATGGATAGCTCCTGCAAAAGGTTGGACAGCATGTATGTGCCTCGGATTTCGAAGCGGTTGAGCCCTCCGGACTGCGCCGTGCGCAAGGAGATGACCTTCGGGCCGGTGTCTTCGATGGTGATCTGCATGTTCCTGTCGGTATCCTCCTGTTCCTGCAGCATCTCCAGCGTGTGGTCCACGTTGACGAGGAATTGACGCGAATGCGGTCTGCTTGACTCATCTGGCAGGGTTGGGTTAGAACGTATTGATAGCCGGTGCCGCGTTACACATACCGTGACTTCCTCGCCTATGCGGCTCTACTAAGCCCAGACGCTCGAATTGTTGTACTAGACCATTCTGATGCCATATTAGTCGACAAGTTCCTCCTTGAAACAGTTGGCTCGTTAAGACCAGGCTTACCTGGGAGTAGGTGCGGCTTCGGGCGTGGTAGCGGTTGGTATGTCTCGCATCGGAGTTGTAGTAAGTCTTCGCATCGTCGAACACGCCGAAATCTTCGTTGGAGCTGACACTGCCACCCTGCTGGTGACGAGACCTCGCCGCGGCGGCAGAGGGTTGCGCGGCCATGCGGATGCGTTTCCTAGACAGAATCCCTACCAGGCGGTTGGTGGATGGGATTACTGCAGCTTACGGTAGCTCCAGGATTCGGCGTCTCAGGATTGCGGGCGGCTCTTGCGATAGGGATCAAGATAGCCGGCCACTTGGTGCCCGCACAGCTATTCGCTACGGGAGGAAGTAGTCTTGCGGCTCAATCGCTTCTCGGCTCGTCGTGGTCGGACACGGAGTTACTTTGGGGAAAATAAAGTAGCGGGGGATTCGGATTCGGGTCCAGGTTCAGGGCGGGAGTAGAGAGGTCGAAGCTACTTGCACGACAGCTATCATGTCTCTGCCGCCCAGTCTCGGAGAAGGGATTGGGGTTGGGAGCTCGTCGTGTGTCGCACGTTGCCGCGGGAAGCCGTAGGTGTCACGCGACGATGTTTTTGTCAGGTCAACGGATCTTGGTCGTCTAATGGTTAGGACCTTGCGAAGACAAAGCTGACCGCCACCTGCACCGCGTGACGAGATACGGGTGCTGGAGGAGGGGCAGAAACGGGGTCCCTGGGGAATAAAGAACGGCTTGGAAAACGGTACTGGCTCGGGCTCGGGCTTGTGGAGGGTTCGGGCAGCACGACGCGTGTGAACGGGTGCTAGTGGAAGTATGTGCTCTACGAAATTCGGCTGCTTCACGATGGTTTACATATCGATGATCCGGCTGCACGCGATCACGACGTGGAAGAGCAGCTGCGGCGGCAGGAATGATATCATAGGCAAAAGTTGACGATTGCATCTGCAGAGGCGATGCGGCTGCCCATTGAACACTCCACTCTCGACACCCTAGTCCATCAGCGGTGGATTAAGACACAGTACCCAGGTAAGTCGGCCGGCAATTGTTTGGGACTGATCTGTGGAGCCCACAGCTGTGTGTACGAATGCTGAGAGTGAGCTCGTATCATGCAGCTGAGGCTCAGGGCGAAAGACTTTCGCGTCGGCGACAATGAAAAAAATGTATTGGATCTCTGGCCACAGCGCCTGGTGAGCGTGGACAGCATCTCTCACATCGTGCGAGTCCGGCCAGCACAACGGACCGTTGAACGTGGGGCTGCGGGCAAGCTTGTACAAATGACTCGCTCCACCACGGAGCCCATGATGATGAGATGTCCCTTTCCAATCCAGCAACGAAGATCCCCTTCGCGTCATTTCTATATCTCGTGGTCCCCTTTTCCCAAGCCGTTGTTTCGGCCCTAATGCAAGCACTTGAGAGTGTGCAACCCCCACCATGTCCCTCGAGCCAATGGTATCATCCTCATCCCGCGTTGGGGCACCCTCAATTCCCCAGCCAGGAGCTTTACTGGTCCATGTTGACTGTGCGGCTGCTGAGAAGAGCAAATCGGGTCAGCTTTGCTTGCTTCCTGGAATGCAGGCACTCATTGTTGGTACCGATTCCGGTAGCCTCCCCACGACATCTGGTAGCCGAGAACGCGTTCTGGCGCCGGTCCCAGACCGACCCGTATCTGCGGACCATGAGCGGACATGTACAATCTGCTGAAGGTTCACCGTGAAACACGGTACGTGGGATTTTGCGCTACGATGACCTGTCGGCATTGCGGCCGAGTTGTGTTAAACCAACTAGATTGGCTCTAAGACATGTCACATTCGGGCCAGGAGTCCACGTGGGGTTCCAAGCTGCAAAGTCTATCTGCGGAACGTATATGAAGGCCTGAGTCAAATTGGTACAAGCCACCAAGAGCCGCAATTGACCCTGCCGTGTCGCGTTATCCAATCAAATTGGCCATCTCTGTGCTGTTCTTAGACTTGCTCGCATCTCGTAGAGACAAGGCAGACCTAGTCAGAAGAGAAGCTGCTATAGCGAAACAGCGACGAGATGGTGCAGTCGACATTGTTGCTGCTAGCGTAGTTATCACGGCCTTGGTATGTATGTATAATCGGGCACAGCGAAGTTGATAGTATGACAATGGTGCATATACTGTTATGCGCTCTATAGAGATCAATCAACCCGTTTCGTAACCTTAGAAATTGAAATCTAATGTGAACGTTGTTGCTCGATATTATACTAGACTTTGTTGATAGCTTCTAAACACTACCCAGATAGTACATTCCTATACTTGATATGCCTTACCAAGTACGAAATAACGAAACTGGAACACAGCCTTCTAGATTCGCAGATCCGCAACGAACAGTAACTGGCACAACTGAACATATGCTCGGTTTCATAAGCCAGTGGTTGTTCACACAAGATGAGGTACATGATAGAGGGTTTGCCCTGCCTGTATGTTCAAAGTTTGCTCGCATGCCCTGACGCTGCAAGAGGGGAAAGAAGAACTCGATGCTCTCGGCGCAATTGTGGAGTTACCTGAGCCCGTGCGAAGGCTTTAGATACAGAGCTCTCCACATCAATGGATAGTGCTGTAAGACTTCACACTGCCAACTCTCCCTACAAAGTGCCAGACCTTGTCGAGATCTATACCCGAATAATGGTCGAGCCCAAATCTGTTATGGCAAAAAGCGCTCACACGGGACGATTCCCTTCTTGGAGGGCTTGCCTTGGAGTGAAGAGTGCATATCACCACATGGGCAGGTGTAAGTTACTGCTGGGGTATATGCTATTACGCGACACACGACGACTCCAGTCCATGGCTTTATCAATCCTAATTCGCCGCCTTTTGAGACATACTCGCAGTGTTTGGTATCTCGCTCAGAGCTATTAATATCACAACAGATTGTGGATGCGAACTGCCTACTAAATGTGTATATTGCATGAGTGCTGCATACATCAAGTACGGCTTGACACGTAGGGTGCGTGGCAAACTTGGGAAACTCGTGCGTTTCTAGAGACCTGGCCCAGAAGCGACCGCCAATGACTAAATGGCAAAGTAGAGTGGCTGGAGTGGTTGAGAAGATAAGCCCTTGCCCAGGCGATGACAGCCATGGGGAGTCATCCATGGGTAGATACCGAGGAGAATTCTCGGAGGCGGGCCTATTAGGACATAATATTGACTGAATGGCTGCATGCGCATCCCTGCCGTTGCAGCATTCCAACGCTGTGCGAACAAATAAAGCCTGCAGATAATGTGCTGCACGACCTTTCCAATGCAGACTGAGATCAATCGACTGATCGAGAACGTCATCCCTTGCTACATAACCTAAAACCTAATTGTTCGCAGAATGTCACCCTTGGCTCAGTGATGGTTACTTCCGCAGGCTCCGTTCTGAAGTAATTTCCCTCTCGGTTTGTCTGCTGGGTCGGCCACGTCGAAGCGACGCCTAGACGTGGAATTCTGCTCAATGCGGCTGGCTCTATCTCGCGCTGACACGACTGAACACCAGCAGTTTTGAGAGCTCTAAAAACAGGTATGGGGTCCCTTCGCTTAGGGCTCCTGCACTGGAGGGTGACTTTGGAGGGATCCAGAGAGGATTTGCGAGGCAAATTAGTTGGCCGCTCTAGAAAGCCTGGATGTTGAACAACTGCCGTCGCCATCGTCTGCTCTTCAGAAACCTTGACAGTGCGGTCGGGGACAACCATGAGGCTCAGGAGACAGTGTTGATCTTCAACAAGCAATCGATGCGAAGAGGGCGACTAAACTCTAATAAAAGAAAGCGCCCGTAGATCAACTAGCCTGGAAGATCCGGAAAGCCACCGACAGTTGTGCTAACGCTAGTGACGGGGCAGCACCCACCGTATCGGCGGGCTCTAACCGGATTCCTGTAAGCTTATCACATCCGCACCACGACCACGGCGCAACCAACCTCGTATTCTCAGGTCAAGCCATCCGAAAAGAAACGGCAAGTCTTCAACAGGCCGTCTGTCTCAGGCAGACCGCAATCTGTTCGAGCGCCCCATGCTGAACAATATGTTTGTCTTCTGCCTTGCCAATCTCTTTTACCCTATCTGGGCAAAGCCCACGACAAGTAACGGTAGTCTCTGGAATTAGGAATCACTCCGTTATATACTTACTGACCAAGACCCGAAAACGTGGCGCCAGTTCAAGGCTCGAACAGTCCCGGATCGGTTCCGGCTTTAGACAGCTCTCCTTTGCTAGAAGTTAGCCTCGAGTTCCCTTGTCTGATTCTTTTGTGCGTGGTTAAACTGTTGAAAGGCTGGGTCACCCGTTGTGGCCATGGTTGCTGGGGGGCGATTCCGCTATTGTTCGGCCAAGCCTACCGCACCTGCATGATGCAGCTACAGCCCCGGTATCAAGGAATGTGCACACCTTTATCCAACACTCTGAAACTCCTCTCCCGTGGAATGTCAGATTGATTGCTCCAGACTGATTGTTGCCCTTGATCAAGTCGTGAACTGACATGATTTCATGCTTCCGTTGAAATACTGTTCGGCTTTTATGGATACATAGTACGCTATCTAGAGCTGTAGAGCAGTTATTCCATTGTGAGGTGCCCGTATACCCGGACGTACAGCTCATCTGCATGCCTAGTGCGTTATCAGTACTCCTCCCGTATTCGGCAAAATTGATAGCCAGGGGTAGGCAGCCTCAAGTTCTGGATTCGTCGAGCAAGGTATCAGTGCAGCCTAAGCCAGTCTGCAAATTCCTTCTCAGGCGTTGCTCTTGTATCTGGTGGCTCAGGGCTCATAGAGTTGGTACCGCATCTGCAGAGTACCAGGATGGCCCTTCGCAACTCGACTTCTTTATTGACAGTGGGGGGAGCTGAAAGACTATCAGGCGTGATACAGCTTAACCGCCATCCTGGCTTGGTATCGATGCATGTCATAGCTCCATTTCTCACCAACTACCAATCGGCCTGTTGGCCTGAAATCAGCTCGGATCTCCTCAAAAGAATGCCAACCTGTGTCATCATGTACAATGCGTGTCTGGACCCGGACCACACTGCAGGGCGCCAATAGACTGGTCCAGTGGCTAGATCCCAGCCCGATGTTATGGTGTTCCGATAATAGAACTGGAGTAGTCGGTCTTACCAGTTAGGATTCCATGCCTCTGATCCTAAATTTTTCTTACAGCCCATTTTTGATCTCACTTACTCTTATGTTCACAAGGTGAACCATCTTCCATCTCAATTCCCCTTCCATGAGGGGCATCGTTCGCTGTTGTTGATAAGTGCTTTTGTCACTCGTTCAGATTTCCAGCACTTATCGCCATGGGATTCCTCAAGTCCTATCTTGCGCCCGGGCGGGCGAAGAAAGAAGAGGAGAAGCAAGGCCATAAAAAGAATTCGGGCGCCCAGGATGAAACGAATATGAAAGACATGACTTCCGCGTCGAAGAAGACTGCACAATACTCAAGAGGCACTCCTGTCGCGGGCTCGACACCGGGCGTGATAACACCTTCAAGCCAATACGGCTCTCGTCCAGCGTCGGTATACTCACGCCGCACATCTCTGTACCCACAAGGTGACTTCCGGAACTCGGCTCGAGACAGCTTGCTGGACGTGAAGGCCGATGTCATGTGCAATTGGCTTTACCAGCAACAGCTTGAGAAGCAGTATGCAACTGGCATGCTGCCCGGCGAAGGGGCAGTCATCAAGAAAGGTAGAAACGACTACGCCTGCTGCCCACCATTGCTTCGGAACATGCAAGGGAGTCTTTTTGAGATGGCTATGGAACTCAATGTCAGGGTGTGTTATGACTGCCGAGTGAGAGCTGCACGCCATTGTCTAACATGATTCTGCAGTGCGCCATGACCGTGAACACTCGAGTCATTAATGTCATTCTGAGCTCGAAGCGATCAACTTATGACTATATCCCCCTGCCAGACGGACTGCATTTGCAAGTGCTCCCGTCTATGCGCGATCTTCCAAGGTGCCAGAAGCACCACTTTGCCGCCTTCATTCAAGACGCCCAGATCCTCGTCGTTTGGGACGACGAACCCAAGAAGTTGCTACTCAGAGCTGAGGCCTTGGAACGACAGTTGATGACAATGATTTGGGGTACTGGTGGTGATGAAGACGAAGAGGAAGACGAGAAGGCGGCCGAGAAGAACGCGGTTGAAGTTGGCGTGTCTGCTGTTGACCTCGAGGCTGCTCTCGAGAAAGGAGTCCGAAAACTGAAGCTTACCAGTCCAATCACCGTCGCCTTGACCATAATGTTAACCATCGCCTGCCTAGGTTTGGGTATCCGAAATCTCGCCTACCAACTCGCCATCGACGGGTCCTATATTCGACTGGCACTAGTAGCCGCCATCCCGGCACAATTCTTCATCTCCCTTTTCTTCTTCCAGACCATTGTCACCAACATATTCCAAATCTTTGGTCCGATATCTGCCATCGACACGAACTCACGATTTTACTCCGGGGAGGCTCCAAAACGCCTGGACCGAAACTACTGCACGCTACCCCATGTCACTGTACAAATGCCAGTTTACAAGGAGGGTCTGAACGGAGTCATCCGGCCGACCATCAGCTCGCTGAAGCAGGCGATATCCACGTACGAAATGCAAGGCGGCTCCGCGAACATCTTCGTCAACGACGATGGTATGCAGCTGATCTCTGAGGAGCAAGCCGAAGCCCGGCGGGAGTTTTATGAAGAGAACAACATTGGATGGGTCGCGCGCCCTAAGCACAACCCCAAGCCGGCCGAAGGAGAGCAAGTCTTCTTGCGCCGTGGAAAGTTCAAGAAGGCCTCCAACATGAACTACGCGCTAATGGTTAGCAACCGTGTGGAGGACAAACTGTTGGAACTGCAGCGAGGCCCGACTTGGACTCAGGACGATGAAAATACTGCTTACCAGCAATGTCTCGAGGAGGTCATCCAACAGGATGAAGGGCGCACCTGGGCAGAGGGTAACATCCGAGTTGGTGATTACATCCTCATCATCGACTCAGATACTCGTGTGCCAGCAGACTGCTTACTGGACGCCGTCAGCGAAATGGAGCAGTCCCCGGAAGTTGCTATCTTGCAGTTCTCTTCTGGTGTTATGCAAGTCACAACATCGTTCTTCGAGAAGGGTGTCACCTGGTTTACCCAGCTCATCTACTCCGCCATCACATTCGCCGTTGCCCACGGAGATGCTTGCCCCTTTGTAGGCCACAACGCCATGCTGCGGTGGTCGGCACTGCAGGACGCGGTCGTGTACCAGGACGAGGATGGCTACGAGAAGTTCTGGTCCGAATCTCACGTGTCGGAGGACTTCGAAATCTCGCTGCAACTGCAAGTCAAGGGTTACACTCTGCGGTTCGCATCTTACACCGGCGATGGCTTCCAGGAGGGTGTCTCCTTGACGGTGTACGATGAACTGGCTCGGTGGGAGAAGTATGCGTACGGCTGCAACGAGCTTTTGTTTAACCCCCTCCGATACTGGATCACTCGTGGTCCGCTGACACCGTTGTTCCGCAAGTTCCTTTTCTCCTCCATCCCTCTGCCAAAGAAGGTGACTATCATGGCGTACATTGGTACTTACTATGCAATCGGCGCTGCCTGGCCCCTGACTGTCGCGAACTACTTCCTCTCTGGCTGGTTCTTCGGTCTTCTCGACAAATACTACCTCGACTCGTTTGCTATCTACATCTCAATCATTGTTGTTTTCACTGCTTTTGGCAACTTTGCCCTGGCAATTCTTCGATACCGTCTCAACCAACAGGGCCTTGTGGAAGCTAGTAAGTCCTTTCTTCGCCTCCCATATTGATAACGTACGCCAGGACTGACACATACCCCTTTCAGTCTGGAACAACATAAAATGGATCCCCATGATGTCGATCTTCCTGGGAGGCATCCAGTTGCACATCTCGCAGGCCCTCCTCTCGCACTTCTTCTCCATTGACATGAACTGGGGCGCTACAGCCAAGGAGCTGGAGGAGGTTAACTTTGTCGAGGAGATCCCACGCCTGTTCAAACGCTTCAAGGGCACCTTCGTGTTCTGCACCCTCATGACCGCCCTCATGGTCTGCGGCAATTTTGTGTTCCCCTGGCAATGGCGCATTACAGATTTTGCTGCCATCTGGCCTCTCGCCGCGTGTACCGTCAACCATTTCCTCCTGCCGGTAGCGCTGAACCCGGCGCTGATGGTGTTTGCATGGTAATTCAATATACCGGGCTGGAAACAAAGTTGCGCTCGCTCTTTGAGAAGGTGCTGGTAACAGGGAGACCAAGTACACGCACGCATATATCTAATGTCTTAATGAACTTTGGTGTTGGTATAGATTTGGAGCTCAACTATAGACTTTAGCTTTTACAATCCGAGGCATCCGAGAGAGATTATGATTACCCTTGGATGGGATGTTCCATTTGCAGCTACAATTCTCATATGCTTGGTTAGAAACATGAATACAATTCACGAGTAATGAAAGCTTCACGCCGGATATCGGAGGGTGCTGTATCGAGCTATAAGATGGTGAGGACCAGTCTTGTAGTATTATTAGAGTATTGTGATCTCCATGGGTTGGCCAGAGCAGCGATAGTTGACGCGGCCGATTGCACAACCCGTCGAGCCTTCCCACAGTGAGGTTACGATTGAGTGCGTGCTACGAAACCCAAAGGAGCCAGATGCAGCGCGGCGTAGAAACTGTTATGTAAATAGTCGCAAAGCCGAGTCACACCTACATAATAAGCTGCAGCTATTGACACCGGGAAAACGCCCCTCCAGTCTCAGCATCATCCAGAGGCGCTATGTCCCGCGTCACCTGCCATAGCAAAATAGCACTCCAGCAAGTAAAAGGCGATGCCAACCAGGGCTGGCTCTCCAGCGTTTCCCCACTCCCAATATAAGTGTCAATTATGCCCAGAGCCTAGAGGGCGCTGGCGGGTTGCAGCGGAGCTTTCTTTGGATCTGATAACGTTAGAGGGGTCGTAGCCATCCCAGCAAGCCTCCAAGCCTCCAATCCACCTGGCCCGAGATTCCCACTTACACGCCAACCTGCGACCTACCTCACACAGGCACGCTCCGGTTTAGGAGAGACAGAGGAACCGTGCTCCTTGTATTTCCCGTCGACCACGAGGTCTTTTCAGGAAGGGGATTGCAGCAGCGGTGGAAGCGGCGCGGCATTTCCAGATGTGTTCATAACTTCTGGCCTCCTTTGGTTCAAACCTCCGATTCTTTGTCTGTCGCTTCAAGCCGTTCCATCTACCTGTTTATCTATCTTATCTTACGTCACCTCTTTCGAGCTACGTATTGTGCCGTAACAACAACACACATCAAACCGCAATGGCCGTCTTCGTCGATCTCGACGAGGAGGAAGAACCGCCAACCGCCCAGCAGCAGAGGCAAGCGTACAACCATTATCATCATTTCGGCGCGAAGCCCGAGTGGAATGGCCAGACGCTGCAACATGCCCAGCCGGCCAATGGCGCAGATAAGGGCGGGCACCGGGAGGAGGACAAGGACAATGAAGCCCAACATCCTGAGCTCTCCAGCAGCACAACGACGGACAGCAATGGCTCGGAACCTCTCAACAAGACCGCGATGACGGAGGCTCTCGGATGCTATCCGTAGGCTGGCACCCATCCCCCCCCTTTGCCCCCTTCTGTCCTTCTCGTTCTGCCAATTGTCCCGACTCAAAACGAAAGCTCGCGCGGGTTTTCTGGCAAAGCCCGTCCGGAGCTGGAGTACTAACACGAGGGTAACCCGCAGAGTCGTCATGGCGATCGCCTCGTCCCTCGACCTCATCTCGCTCGACAACCTGTCGCGCACGTGCCGGCGCGCCCACGGGGCCCTGCTCCAGTACCGCGGCTCGCTCATCACCCACACCCTGCACTGCGTCAACGAGGACGTCGCCCTCGACCCCGACGACACGCTCCGGTACCGCGCCCGCGCCGGCAACTGGTTCTACATGGAGGATATCGGCCGGGCCGGCGGAAACTACAACGGCAAGAGCGGCCAGTGTGCCCGCGACATGGTCGCCGAGTGTCGGAGGTGTGCGAGGGTCGTTTGTCGGGTTCGTCTCCCCGCCGTCTTGCCCTTTGGGCGCTGTAGAGCTCTCGTGAGGGAGTCGGTCAAGGTATCCGCCGCTAACCTGTACCTCGCCAGAACTGTGCCATCAAACCGCCAGCACCAATTGTGCTCCGCGATAGACACCGCCGTCTCTGCATCCGCTGCACTAAAGCACCGCTTGGGGCTCTCGCCAAGCCGCGACTCAAGCCAGATACGCCTATTGATGCGGACTTGATGAAGCGTGCGATCTGCACATGCCAGAGCGAGGGTGTCTGGCTCTGCCAGCCCTGCGGGAGGAGTATACGCGGCGCAGACCATGAGTACCAGACGTGAGTGATTCCCAGACATATTTAGTGGCCATGTTTGGTATCAGACTGCGACTGGAGGCTGACGAGAAGCCCCAAAATAGGATATGGCGCTGGCGCAACCAGTACGGCGACGTGATCGGCGGGCTGGGCACGGGCATCGGCGACGGCGACCGCGGCGTCATCTGCGGGCGGGACGCCGAGTGCTGCGCGGCCAAGGAGCGCGAGCACGAGACGGACTGCGACGCCGCCGACGCGCGCGAGCATGTGCTGTCGAACCCGGGCACGCCGCCGCCCTCCAACCCGCACCCGTTCCAGTCGTGGGCGACGGCAAGTAGCAGCAGCAGCAGTAGCAGCGTCGCAACGCCGTCGCCGCCGTCGTCGCCCCCGGAGCACCACCACGAGCGCGGCCACACGCCGTCGCCGACGCAGCTGGGCCCGGGCTACACGCGGCACGAGATCGAGGGCATCGGCGGCGTCGTCAAGACCAAGCGGCTCAGCATGATCCGCGTCGGCGCCTGCGTGCCCGAGTGGGAGGACGAGAAGAACAAGGGCGAGATCCTGGGCCGCGAGATCAGCGGGCGGGCGAGGAGCTGGTGTGGGTGGTGCTGGAGGGCCATCCCCGGCAAGAAGGACTACGAGACCGGGGAGCCGGGCAAGGGGAGGAGTAGTCTTCCTACCGTCAAGGCATGAAACGAGAAATGGTAAAAATTAGTTGGGCAGGCACACCGTGCCACTTTATATCGTGGACCCGGTAGGCTCGTGGGCACATGCCCACATCAGGGAGGGAGTATCATGCAGGGCACTCACGGAGTATAGGAGTAATACCACGGACTGGTTTGAAATTTGATTTGATTATACAAAGGTCTTTGGCCTGCCGGTTGCTGGCAAGCCAGGTACAACAATATCTGGTGATGTACAGTGAAGGGGGATTGTGGTACCCGACAGCAGATGCCGTGCCTTTTTTGCTATGCCTTGTCTAAATGTATCTCCCAACGCCAAGTATGGCATAAGCCAGATGCTTTTTGGATACCCATCGGCCTTGCTCTGTTCTCGTCTCGCAGTCGAGAACTCTGTTATACACACACATGAAACACGTCTCGTACAAGTCGTCTTCCTCCGTCTCCTCCCTCCGGTCTCTCGTTTTGTCGTCGAGTCGCTTCATCTCGAACAGCCGTGGGCCCGCTTCCTGGAGATGGCGTGCGCATCCTAGCCATGGCGGTCGCGACGTTCGCGAGACTATAACTCGCCCCTGCCGAGCATGACCTTCCGCTTCTGCCTGTCCTCGCGCGCCTTAGTCCGAATCGGACCCCACCGGGCCTTGATGGCCTCGAGCCGCTCCTTTTCGCTTTGTCGGTGCTGGGGGTTGGCCCTGCAGCACATGAGCACGAAATAGTTGCTGCACTGGAACTTTTTGGCCAGCGCGAGGACGCTCCACGTTGCGGGATCGCTGCTACGCAGCGCCCGCATCTCCTCGATCTGCTCGGCCGTCACGTTGTGCTTGGGGGCCACGAAGGACGGCGTGCCGCCGACCTCGGGGGCGGACGGGGATGAGGCCGGGGCCGAGGCGCGCAGCAGCTGGGTCAGGTTCGCTTGCCGCCGCGGGTCGGTCTTGGGCAGGAACTTGAAGGGGGTGTGGTAGACGGAGGGCGCGGACGAGGGCGGGTTGAAGACTATGTGGTCGTCGGTTCCGTTGTCCAGAAAGGACGGGTGGGGGGCGATTTTGAGGGCCTTTTTTGTCCGGCGCGTCGTCGATTGTGACCGTATGCTCGTGAGGTTGACGGAAGCTGTGAGCCTCCGGAGAGGCTGGAGGACGGGTCGCTCCATCCTGGGATGGGGATGTATGTATGCACGGGTGTTCAGCCTTTGGGTAGGGTCGACGCCTCGGTGCTCAGTTCATCAAGTCCGGCAGGTCGAAAAGAACGATGGGGCGGAAATACGAAAGACAAGGACAGAATGTCGGATTGACCCAATTGCCGGACGTTGACGGTCGCGCAGCAAGGGTGGCTCGAATCGAAAGTGATTTTCACGGCGTCTCAGGAGCTTTTCCTGGCCATGATAGCTTCCCGTTCCATCGGCCCATACAAATTTCTGCGGAAGCATTGACGGCCCGGCGCTCGCTGGGTCACGTGTCATGATAGCTGCTCGTTGTCCAGTTCCACGCTAACTTCTTCCTTGGACTACGGTACCATAGGTTAGTAGTACCTTACGTCAGCCATCAGCTTCAGCTCGCTCTCTCTCCAGCTCTCCAGCCCCAGTCCACTTCCGGCGTCCGTCCCCCAAAGCAACCCCCCGACCGGGGCACCGAGTCAGGAGACTGCCAGTTCAGGCAAAGGCAGCAAGCGGTCGGGATCGACAGCAGTGCGACCCCCGACCGTCAGGCTCAACAACGAGCGAGTGCCCCTCCCTGTGACGTACCCCCTTGGTATACTCGACCGTTGGGTTCCAGTGGGATGATGGAATCAGAAACACACTCCTCCTTGAAGGAGTTGTCAGCTCCCAATGCAGCCCAAGTTCCGACTGCTCTTCCTCGTTGATGGGGGATTGCTGTGATCGCGACGCTGGCGGCGACGACGATGGATGCCAATCTGTCCCGTCTGGGCGACTTTCTCGGTAGTGCCGAGCTCCAGCGTCGTCCCAGCAAACCCCCCCAAGACGACGTCCAGCACCAAGTCTGGTTGGCCTGTCAGGTACCGTGTAAGTATTTGCGCTTCTTAGGGTACCCGACCACAGGAGAGGCATGGCATGGACCATGCTCCTTATTTAGGTTGCCATGGTAAGGACTGCTGCGTAATCAGGCGGTTTTGCATTATCGTCTAGTCTCGAATCCGATCGTCAGGGTTCAAAGTGGGATCCTCCTCACTCATCAGTTGACGATCGTGGCTCCTGGCTCGCGTGCCGTGAACAAGACGCCCAGGTCGCCAGGAGCAGCCCAAAGTTGGCCAGTGGCCGCTGCGCGGGGAGGCTTAAAACAGGCTGTGTAAGGCATTCTCTGCCACCCTATTCTTATTTTCAGCAACAGCAGATTGATTGCATTGATTTATGCGATGCGCCGTGCCGGGCCTGACCCAATCATTAGCCTCTGTCAAGGGTTGCCAATTGGGCCGGGTGGTCTTGTTTCCCACTGATAGCCGTGACCAACATTAAAGGGTCCTGGACTTGGAAACGGCCGTCCGTCCATGTCCAGGGACGAGGGGCCGCCGGTGGGCATTATTGGACGCAGCAAACAGGAATCTCGTCCCAAATGCCTCGAGGCCACCGTCATCTGGCCTGCACCGCGCGATACACATGTCTCTAAATAGCCCCGGCAACCCCCCAAGGTAACTAGGTGGCTCATAAGGAATATCTTCCCGTCATCTACGTGAGACGACATTACGCTGCCGCGCCCCCGACCCAAGCTCACGAGACTTGAGAAACAATCCCGCCAAGCGTTTGCTCCATCGCCTTCGTACTGCACTGCTTCCGCTTACTTTGCTTTGCCCATACCCATACCCATACCCATACCCAAATATCATCGTTTGGACTGTCCTCTTGGCCGTCCGCTATAGCACAGCAAACGTGGGAAAACATCAACCATCTTCATAACTCGTGATTGCGTTCTGTCTCGTATCCCCTCAGCAGCGAAATCTCCCGACGGGCAGGCTTGAAATCACCTCCCAGGATTGGTGGTCTCGTGCACCAAGCTTCGCGGAGTATCCGAACAGCCAACGCTACCCGTTGCCGCACGCCAGAAAAGACAAATTTACGTTCCAGATCCTTCCCATTGGTAGCTTGTTCGCTCGCGGTTCCGGAACTCTTGGAAGGGGCGTCAATCTCACGGCGGTGGTTCTATTAAGCTCCTGCGATTTCCCCCCAAACAACCTATATCTTCGTCATTCTCCCAGCCCACAATACGCCTGCGTGCCTGGGCCTACCTGGGTGCAATTGGACGTCGCGGACCTTCCCCTACGGCTCTGCAGTTTACGAGTGCTCACGAAACGCTCCCTGCCGAGCGCACTCACCACGCCTGGAGCCTCGAGAATACATCAGTCGCATCCATCCTTCTCAAGACAGAAGCCTCCCAGCAGCCTGGCACCTGCAGCTTGCAGAGCTTCCGCATTTAGCGTCCCAGTTGAGCGGTCGCCATCTTGAGCACATTCAGTAGCAAGGTACGTCTTCTCTGGCGTTAGTTTGAACGCACCAGCATGAGAAAGATAGAGAGAGAGGAATAATAGCGACGCCGTGCACCCGTACGACAGACTGCTGTTCTTCATTTACGTTACACACGCCCATTTGCCCGTTTCTCGCTCCCCCCCCTCCATACGAGTTGCCGCGCACAACGCCGTCTCGTTCCCCCACATTTGCTCGCTCACCGTCCCAATAGTGGAACTCCGACCCCCAGCTACTGCTAAGCTCCTTTAAAGACCTCCGTCGGGATCTAACCAGGCATCCAGGTATCTGTCAGGATTCCAGCGGCGAAAACAAGCCTCTTCCTCTCTCAAGACATATCTGCGATATTCTCTAGAACAGCCGACACAATGAGCCTCGCGCCGGCAGCAGATATACAGAAGCAGAGCTCAGCGCCGAGCCTGAGCGAGAAGACTTCAACCTCGGGATCCACACCGACCCTCAACGAGAAGGGGACCGACACCGATACGAAGGGCAAGAAGCGGAGTCTTTTCGGGTTCGGAAAGAAGAAGACTGAGGACAAGCCCAGTACAGCTTCTGCTGGGACACACCTCGCCTCCAAAGCCGAGTCGAGTCTTCCCAGTCCTCCGCACACACAGGACACTTCCCAGCTATCGTCGAGGCGATCGACACAGACGTCGCCCGGACCCATGGACGCATCACAGAGGATGCCGTCGTCTCCGGGCCGAGGGCGCTATTCTTCCACCTCCCCACGCCTTGCCTCGCCTGCCGGCTCGCAGATTTTCGAGCGAGATGTCCAAGAAAGCGCGGCTGTCATGCCCAATTCTCCGGCCATTCCCTCTCATATCCAGGTCGAGAACCACATCCCGCCGGCCCTTGATGCGACCTCGGAAGCCATCACCAACGACCACCTCAGCCCTGACAGTGTCGAGATTGTCACCCACGCCTCGCACCAGCCTGCTTCCGTGACGGTCACTGGCGCTTCCACCTACGAAACGCAGTCGAGCGCATCCTGGGTCGATGAGTTGCAGTCACTGGCTGAAAAGGAAGAAGCTGCGTCCAACTACGGCTCCTTGGACTCGGCCGATGTTCGGCGGTTGAGTTTCATCTCATTTGCAGATGTGGTCCAGGCAGAGCAAGGTGCACACGGTGTTGCGGCAAGCAGCCGGGATTCAATGCAGCTTGCCGGTTTGACGTCACTGTCTTCAAGCGGCATCAACCGCTCTCCTTCGCCGGTCAGATCACCCATCTCATCTCAGGGCCCCGAGACGTCTCCGCCCACGAGCAAGTCGGGGTCCATCAAGGGGCTGGATATGTCCCCCAGCCGAAAGCCGCTTGGCAGTCCGATCTCTGCTCAACACACCCTCGGAGCTGGCAGTGGCAGTGAATTGAACATCGAGACTATGTCACAGGCATTGCGACGCACTGGCAGTACCGATCTCAGCGCTGCACGGAGTTTACCCATCAGCCCTATCGAGGGTCCCCAGTGAAGATAACAAACACACGTTCTGTGGCACATCAAGAATTTGTCACAGTGCAACGTCTTTGGCTGCAGAACCCAAAACGTACAATTTTGAAGACTGAATTACAGGGAGCTCGAACTTGGGCAAATAGGAGTCGACAGGACATGGGCGTCCAGGATATGCTATTTTACAGGACCCGACAGGGTCGAATTTTCACTTCTCGAATATTTTTGGGCTTTTTGGGACGTTTGATTTGAACCTTTTCTCTCTTTTTTTTCTTCATTTCCCGCAAGGAGCAGAGGATAGCGACTACTATATTCCCCATTGAGCGCAAGACCGGACGGCCGAGACGGAGCGAGGGTGATGCGATAGGTTGGAGAGGAGAATCATGTTGTATATGTGGTACAGCCTGCCAGCAAAGCAGAAAGTAGGACAAGAAAGAGTATTTCTGCATGCAATCTAAATGGAAAACTTCAGTGACGCAACTCATGATTGATCCCTGGTGCTGCATGTTCGCACTATTGGCATCTTGACCACGGTGGAATTAGATGAGCTGCTCAGGGGTCATTCGACCGACTGGTTTTCCCATCCTAGGATGGGAAAAGCCAAAATCCCATGGGTCATTGCAAACCAAACACCTCCCATGGACTTTTTTCGATAGTCATTGCTAGCGAGAGGGCATCGAGATCCCTTCTGCCAGACCGCTGGTGAGCTATTCCCGGATGCTGCCAGTGGCGCCCTCTTCAGATATCCATTCACACATAGTGCACATAGATAAGGGATCGACGCGCCTCCACAAGCAGCTCTTCCAGGGGACGGTCCGAATCCATCAAACCTCGGACACTACTGGCTAGCTGGTTGAGCGCGCGTTCTTGCGAGCCTAAGGTTTTGCCCGGCCTTTTGGACTAACTAGCAGCCCACCCTTAGCCACCGCCACCATCTTTGAAGCTATCACCCTTCACATGCGTGCTAAAAGATGAAGCTAGCCAGAATGCTGCTGATAGGTGGCCTCGGGTTCGCGAACGCAGAGCTGAAGGATTGACCCGGGCTGCCAGCCAAGACACGACTATCTGCCCACATAGCTGACTCTCTAACGGCGGCTAGGGCTTGGGTTCCTGATTCATACACAGCCACTATGTATGGATGGAGCTGATGGGCAGAGCGGACCTCTAGGAAATAGCGACGAATTGCGTAATGCGTCATCGAGCTAGGTTGGTTATCTAGCATTGCTGGTACGCACTGTGTGAGTGAGTATACGTGCGTACACCATCCGGAGCCGTGATCCGTTCGTCTCCAGAATTCTTCGTCTAGCAGACCCGGAAATTCCGGGCCTCCCATAGTTCGACTTCAGCCGGTTGACAATCTCAGCCCTGACGACGACTAGCAGTCTATTCACATATTGAGCATGGAGCCCGTAAGCTGGCCAATGGTTGGACTCTGTAAATGGAATGTTATATTGAGGAGAGGGGGTGCTTATAGTTGATTCACAGGGGAACCGGCTTCTAAGCTGTATATATGCGGTATTCCCATTGATAAGGGTCCCCCTAATGAGCGGTCTTTAATTCATTTCTCCTGGCCTGCGTATCAGATTAGGTGGAAGCAATGTAGCGGTCTGTCAGTTTTTCACTGGCTCCTCGGCTGGCTGCACATATCTGGGAAATGCATTGGTTCAGAACCGGTCAAGAAGAAGAAAAGAAAAAAAAATTCACTTGCGTTCTACGGCCAGACAAAAGCAAGAGCCACCTAGCCCTAGATGTCGTTTTCTCTGCGTGTTGCCGGGGCCGACTTTCTGGAGTCGAAGCGGCGGCGCGCCTCGTCTAACCAGGCGCATGTCGAGCAACTAGTTTACGCGACATTGGCCTTGGAGAATCAAGGACCAAAAAGCAACTGGTTTCTCTCCCCCGGACTCACGATTTCTACTAGACACGACTAGCGATCCCCAGGACTGGGGACGGCGTAATCTCGCCGTGCCAGGCGCAATCTTCCGAGCGCTGACTTACTGCTTACATGGCCCGTGCAACGGGGGTGGACAATAGTCGGTTATGTTGGTTGCAGAAGAAAGCATCGTGAACTGCCTTCTGTACTTACCCTTGGACGCCATGCTGACACGGTGCGTGATTGCAGTACCGGCCACCTGGTTCCTCAGAGCTTCTAGCCATGCAAGAGATCGCAGGTAGCAGAAGTCACGTTTCGTGTGAGACTCGTCGCAATATGCAGGGACCTTGACGCACCTGATTGGCTGGCGACTGGAAACTAAGGTCGACCTGCCCATGCACCTAGGGACGCTGGCCTGGCTGGGGAATATGTATGTTTCGTTTAATTCCCGGAAAATAAAGCCATCTTCGCTGCTGCGATCTGTAGTTGGCTGGAGCTATCTTGTTCTATGTCAATCTTGTCTCGAGTGAACAGCTGCGCACAGGCTGGCGCAAGACGGGGACCCGGACTCTGGGAATTTTTGGTACGCAACACTTGCCTTGGTGGGCTTCGATCGTGGGAAATCGTGCTTGCAGTAGGTAGCATTAGTGATCCTTCGGGGTCTCGAGTCCCTGCAGGAATGGGTATGCGTGATCTACTATCTAGGGCATTTATGGAGCTTGCCAGGTTCTGGGTAAGCAAGCTCTGACTCCAACATCAACACAGTCCGTGTTGCTAAAGCTCGTGCACCTTCTCGCCAGGTACTTTCGTCGCTAGCTCGCTACGCGGGCACGATGTCTGATGGTGGTGGTCGTCGTCGTTGGTTGACATCAGGGCATTGACAAGACGGCACAGATGAAAGGGGGTGATCTTCCCACGATGTCTGACCCAAGATTCCTTGTACTGTGGAACGCAGAGAGCAGGACAGGGGTTTGGGCCTGGGACTTGTGGTCTCGGGAATATCGAATGGATACATATCAAGGTCTGGGGTTTCGGCAGGCAATGGAGATAACAGGAAAGTTTGACATTGCTGACAAAGGAGCCAAAGGCCCGGGTTGCGAAGAATGTCATGGCACGATTGTGAGATGAGAAAGCAAACAAGTAGTACTGGTTCTGGGCCTGGCCCGGGCACCGAGGCAGGGTACGGTAGTTGTCGTCCGAACTGATCTCCCAATTGAGTTTGGAGATGCAGGGTGGTCAACTCACAGCGCGCTGGCGGCCCTACCAACCTACCAACGTCGATGATCCTCATGCAAGGTACAGTCAAGAGTGCCGAATGCGCCGCCAGCGCAGGTACACCCATCAAACGGCCGAACAGAAGACGAACGTCGTCCAAATCTCTGGGGCGTACAAGGTTGCAAGGCCCATGGATGCCAGTGCACCGCTGCGCATGAGGTACGAGGACCAGGTTGTCCGCCCCTGGGCATTACGCCAGGTTGCGTGTCCAGCAGCGGCGACTATGTACACAAGCCAGACGGGACCGAACATCTCGTCGGTGTCGGTGCTTGAGTGGTTCCGCAAGACCGCGTGTGTAAGAAACCTGTGGTAGGCGTACCTGGGGGTCGTTGACGTGTTCGTAAAAGCCCTAGGAGCTGCATGATCTGATGATTTGGTTCTGTTTTTTTGCTTCGGTGTACAGTAGTAAGCTTTGATTCTGGAAATGAACACAAGCCTGGCTTATCTCCGTACGGGACACAAGGTGGTCTGTTGTACGTTGGTTGTTTCGTCTATCCTTTGCCGGCTTACCAAACGTTCGGGTTATTGGGTCATGAATGTAACAGCGGATCTCATCCGAAATGTTCTAGTTGGGAAGAACGGCACCAGTAACTCGGGACATGCTGACTGCTAGCTTTGGCTACTTCTTGTCCTATATCTTCCCCCCAATATCCATTTCGTCTGCCGTTACTGTCCATGTGTACTGTACTGTACATAGGCCTGATAGCACGGGCATAATATAGAGCAGGAGGGCTCGTGGCAAGCACTTGGTAGGTAAGGAGTGCCGTTGCTTGGAGCTTTCCTGAGGCCGGCCAAGAAAGCATCACATGGGATTCCAGGGCTGCTCAGCCGTCTTCCAACACTATTGAGTAGCATCCGGATGAGGTTTGGCACGGGCGTCTGCAGATGCCGAGATTTGCAGCGCACCGCGTTCTAACAACCGACAAAGAAACTTTTTCTCTTGTGCCAATTGGAGGTGCACGGGATCTGGGCCTCTGGGCACCCGCAATGGGACGACGGCGACCTGGGAGTGAGTATACTCCAGGACGGCGAGGGCGGGTGATCAGCACAGTACGGAAGCCGCCAGGCGACGCCCCCCCAGGGCTCCCCCAAGACCCAAAACCCGGTGGGCCCCTGTCGCCCGTCAGGCGATACCCTGTCGACTGCGGTACCATAGTACCATAGTACCATGGGTAGTGCCATAGTACACAGTAGACCGTAGCTCTGCCCCAAACTCCCAACCTGATGCTCGTCTCACGGTCTAACCTACATGTAGCAGGGTAACTTTAGTGTCTTCTCTTCTTGATTAGTCCCATCCATTCCTAGCTGTCCCTGCTTGCCCTGTATCTGTCCTGTCCGCTTTGCGTCAGTACATATGGGCGCTGCGGCCGCATGTGGTTGATTTGGGCCTCCGGATCCGCCTCAACTTACATACATACCTCTCTTGCTTTCCAACTATTTGCCTACCCTCCCCTCCCCTGCCCTGCCCTGCCCTGCCCTGACCTGTCCTGTCCCGTGTCAGCCAGCCAACGTTCCATGTAGACGACGAGGAGCGCAGCGCAGACGCAGACGCAGACGCAGATGCAAATGCCAGACAACCAGGACGGTGCTGCTGTTGCAACCGTGGTAGACTCTTGGCGTCGACCAGAGCCCCCCTGCAAGTGCCCTACTGCGATCCCATTATTGAGACAAGGTCATCTCCATCTGCCCCAGGTGCGAAATAAGCTGTCCTGTCCTGCGGCAGGCTAACTAGGACCTCGACCTGGATCTGGGCCGTCGTCCGTTTCGGTCGCCCTACTTTTGCTCTCGGGCGAAATTTGCTCCCAGCAGCTTTCCGTGCCAGGCCCAGAAGCACACGGTAACATCTAAACGTTGGGTAGACCTTCGGCCAGTCCCCGTCCGCCGTCCCAGTTCTTTGTTGCAGACGCCAGGAACAAGTTCGAACGGCTCCGGGTGTCACACAGCAAGCTATTGTGTCCATTCATCGTCCAGCCTCGACTCCCAGCAGCAAAGTAAAACTCCGACCTCTGCATCCGCGCCCGCGAGTCAACGGCCAGAACCAGGGCCCCCGCGCATCCTCCCCCTCTCTCTGCCTAAGCGATCCCGTCCCGACAAACAGGCATTTCCCTGGACACCTCTGCACAAAACCAAAACTTCTTGGAGTCCTGCCCCGTCCGACGGCTTCCGAGGCGCCCTCTTGCTCAAGTGAACTTGGCCCTGTGCTGTTCCACGTGCTGGAGACGACCGCCCGAGTTACGCAGCGCAGCCAGTGTCATGGTGGCAGCTGTTCGGGTATAGAGTCAGGATTTACCGTTACCAATTCTACTACAACTTGCTTTTCCTGCCGACCTACCAAGACCCATTCTTAGCCCCCAAGGGCCAACCGATGCGCATCCGACGCCGACGCTGACAGCAAGCTACCTGACCACATCGCGGCCGTGGGCCACACTCGACGAGCTCCTAGTATGCTGGTAGTCTCCCGATGGCAGCAGTTCTCGACCCCAAGAACGACACAGAAGGAAGACTACAGTGGTTCATGACGACGCATATCCACACCTCGTGAGCAGACTCGCAAATCTGGCTTGTCGGGATCCCACTGTTGCAAAAGTGGATGGCCGCGGCGCACATATACTGTATACCTAACAGCGAGCACGACATAGAGCTAGAGCTTCCTCCGACCTGTACGAACCCGCGCACGCCCAATGCGCAGCTTAAGTCCCTGCCATCGGTGTGAAAGTCAGCAAATCGAAAGATGATGGACGGGAGAGCCACAAACGGCGCCAGCGGCCAGGAGCGCCGAAGCGTCGACGCAGGTCGAGGCAAGGACAGAGACAGGGACGCTCGCACCGGTGCGGCCACGACCACGACCAATTCTAGGCCCGCCGCCAACGTGCAGAGCACTATCCGGACTGTTACACCCGAGTCCTCCGACAATGGTCGCGGCCCCATGGACACAAGCACGACACAAGCCTCACAGCCGTCCCGAGGTTATGGCACCACGTCGCCCCAGACCTCCCCCCGTTCCATACCTGGCGGAGAGCGACGGCGGCAGGGCGTTGTATTTAATGATGCCTTTGAGGGCTCAGGCGACAGCTCCGAGTCGAGTCCGCCCCAACAACAAAGGTCAGCCGTGAGACCTCGCACGCACACAATGGACGGGGCGCTCGCGTTACGCCAGCAAACAACTGCTTCGACCGTCGACAATCGGCACAGGGTGGGGTCGTTTTCCTCGTCAGGTTCCACGCCATTCAACGACATTGATGTTCGCCCTCGCGCCGCCGCGCTGGAATCCGTGGCGTACCAGCCTGCTGCCACCTCACGAGGTCCAGCTCCGGACCTAAAGGTCACCGTATCCTCCACCTCCACTTCTACGTCTACGTCCAAGCACGACAAGAGATCCTCGAATCGACGTCTGATAAAGCGCGCGTCCTCCCGCCCTACATCTCCTCTAGTTTCTCCTCCTCCCTCCGTCGACTCGCTTCCCCTCCCCATACCTACCGACGATGCCAATCAGGTGCTTCTGCTCATGAGGACGCTTTGTGGCCGAATGAAGGGAGAAGTTGAGTATCAGGGGGAGCCCAATGGGCCGTGGTATTCTGGCATTTGCTATATTGATGAAGAGCGAGGCAGCCTACTGTTTGATTCCGGCCAGAATGGGCCTTTCCATATCCCTCTTGTAGGAGACCTGCGAGGCTGCAGGGTGCTGCCCGCCAACTACCCGGAACATGGTGGTCAATGTTTGGAATTATTGAACCAGAAAATGGGCATCGAGCTGCTGCTCAAGCCACTGGTTGCCGAGGAATTTAACCTTTGGCTTGCTGCCCTGCTTTGCTGGCAACAAGTCCGGCCAACAGGAGTTCGGCTGCCCAGCGCAAAGGGAGGCAACCCGCCGCCAACCACCAGCCGAGCTGATATGCGAAGACGAGGATCGTCAGTCGCTGGCGCTGCGGCTTCGAAAGACGCCAATATCATAAAGGTTGGCAAGGTCATGTTGTGGGATAAGGGAACCGCGACATCGCCACGCGCCATAGTGAAGCGGCCATCCACGCGAGATTTGCGTGGTGCAACAACTGCTTGGGTCAGGGTCTCCTGTATATTGCAAGATAATGGCGAGTTTAAGCTCATGTCGGAAAACGACGTGACAGTGCTTTCCATTATAGAGCTCTCCCAGCTCTCTCGCTGCGCTATACAGCAACTCGACAAATCCGTCCTCGATGAGGACTACTGCATTGCCATTTTCCCAACCTACTCGTCCACATCAAGACAATTGTCCATCTTCAGACCTGTCTATATAGCGCTCGATTCGAGAGTTCTCTTCGAGGTTTGGTTCGTTCTACTTCGAGCATTCGCAGTACCAGACCTTTACGGGATAGAGTCGGCTACGGAGCAAGCCGTAGAAGTCACCAATTACGACAAAGAATTCGAGGGACAGATGTTCAGACTTGAAAAGACGATACAGGTCAGGGTCACGGAGGCGAAACTTCGACGCCTCGATCAAAGGTTCGAGCAACATGACAAGCATCACAAGAACGAGCGCGACCCCCTTATTGGAAACTATCTGGCTGAAGTCATCTTGGACGGCGAAGTTCGCGCACGCACCACCACCCAAACTGACACCAACAAACCTTTCTGGAGAGAAGCTGCGCAGTTCACTGAGCTTTCCACCTCGCTCCCATACTTATCCGTTGTGCTCAAAAGGGTTGACGGAAATCTTGATAGTTTCAGCCATCAGCTTCAGGCCTCGCTAGGGTTGTCCAAGACTGGCAATCTGACCGAGATCATGTGTGGTGCAGTTGACATTCCGTTGGACAAACTTGAGCGAGGTAAAGACCATGAGCAGTGGCATCAGATACATGACGAGAAGAATGAGTCGATTGGAAGCATGTTTGTTAAGGTCAACCATGAGGAGCTTGTCGTACTCATGTCTCAGGATTACCGTCCGATCTCTGATCTCTTGCACAAGTTCAGTCTTGGCCTGACCAGCCAGATCGCAGCGGCTATGCCACAGCAACTGCGGAGGCTCGCGGAAATGTTCATCAACATCTTCCAAGTATCCAACAGCTCCGTTCAGTGGTTGTTGGTCTTGGTTGAAGAAGAGATCGATGGTATCAGCGGGCAGAATAGCATGAAGAAAATGCGGTTCAGCCGAAGGTTGAAGTCGAATGACTCGAACAACTCGGCCAGCGACAGGGAGCTGCTTGTTCGTGATATGGGCAAATCATTGGCTGGCGAGGCCAATCTTCTTTTCCGTGGCAACACCCTGCTGACCCAAGCCTTGGAGTTTCACATGCGACGCCTGGGCAAGGAGTACTTGGAGGAGATACTCAGCGACAAGATCTTTGAGATCAACGAGCTCAATCCAGACTGTGAGGTTGATCCCAGCAGGATACAACACCACGATGATATCAACCAGCATTGGGTGCAGTTAATGCAGCTTACGACAGAAGTATGGGAATGTATTGCAGCGTCGGCAACAAAACTACCCGCGGAGCTTCGGCAGATACTCAAGTATATCCGCGCTGTCGCTGAAGATCGTTACGGCGACTTTCTCAGAACTGTCACATACACAAGCGTCTCGGGCTTCTTATTCCTGCGTTTCATCTGTCCAGCAATCCTCAATCCGAAGTTGTTCGGCCTACTACGCGACAACCCCCGCCCAAGAGCCCAGCGTACACTCACACTGATCGCCAAGGGTCTACAAGCGCTGGCAAACCTGTCAACGTTTGGCAAGAAGGAAAGTTGGATGGAGCCGATGAACAGATTTCTCAACATCCAGAGACAGCCCTTCAAGGACTTTGTCGACCAAATCTGTTCAATTCCTGCAGAGCGCGCTGCCACCCTGCTGCCTGCTACCTATACGACTCCCATCACTATTCTCGGTCGTCTATCTCCAGCATCGAGAGAAGGCTTTCCCGCGCTACCTTACCTCATTGACCATGCCAGGAACTTTGCTGCTCTCATCAAGCTGTGGTTGGAATGCCATCATGCCGCCGCTGCCGACTCGCACACCTTTGAGGGAGAACTTGCCGATTTCCACCATCTCTGCGTCAAGCTCCAGAAACGTTCAGATGAATGCATGGCTAAAGTTGAGGCTGTGCGTATGGCAGAGAGCGCATCGGTGGCGACCGACGATGTCGCTGACAGTCTAGAGAAGGCGTCTATAATGGATTCTGTCCATCTTGCCTACGGCAGTCCGTCAATTTGGGTGGACAACGATCCCTATCGCGCCCCTGGATCATCTGGCTCTGACATTGAAGGCAATGATCGGTCCATCTTCCGCGAACTCAAATTCGTTGGAGGCCGGGATGGCAATCCGCACCGGCAAGTTTCTGACAGCTCCGATATCTCGAACATTGGTGGCACGCTACGCCGCAATGGCAAGAAGCCGCGCGCTTTTCTTAGCGGGCTCATAGGCGGCAAGAAGGACAAGCATGGCAAAGGAGATTCGCACCACTCAGGCTCATCGACAGTTCGCGAAAGGAAGGACAAGGAGGATAGAGAGAGGAAAGGCTTCCTCGGCGGTCTAGCCGATGGCTGGCCGAGCAGTGAAAACTCGAAGCACTAGTACTTCTTTGGGTTGGAAATTCAGGCGAACCAGCCTGCATCACCTAGGCGGCACGCGAAGAGAAATGTTTTGAAGAAGCGGCGAGGTGTCATAGTATAATTGGCCCTTGCTTACAGGAGGGCTTGATGATGGGACACACAGAAAAGGCAAACGGGACGGAGGCGGACATGGCTTCTTGATGCAGCATCGTTTTGCATTGCCCTCTGTTTTCTGGACACAGCATCCAAAAGGCGCCGGAGGCAAACCCTTTTCGACATAGATGGCAGGAGTTACTTCAGCGAGTTGCATTTGCGGGGTGTTTCTTTGGACTCGCCCAGCTCGGTATATGATGTGGGAACGGCTATTTTACGACAATAGAAAGAGCATTGGACGAGTATCATAGTGTACGATGAACCGGGAGGGTCCGGCGTGGGGTGGCAAAGAGTCCTTTATACTTCATGAAGCCGATGCAGCGTGCTGGCATCGCGGAAAATATGCATTTTATACATACAATCGAATACCCTTTGATACTTCTGCAGACCTTTTTGGATGAATGCGACGTGACGGGACGGTATACTGACTCTCCTCCTCTGGACGACGGAGGTTGCTTTCTTGGAGATGCGGCGATATCCAGATAGTAACACGAAGCCCTGCCTTCAAACGTGGTGCATGCCGAGCTTGATTTCATTGAAATGAATATATGTGGCCTTGAAGACTAGTGGCAGTCTTACCAGCTAAGATCGTGACGACTCTCGAAGAACCGGCTCGGACTAAAGTGCCAGCCAGGTATCGAGCAAAGCAGTATTGGAGTTGTAGATGGAGCCTTGTTCGTTGTAGCTACATCTTATGCTTCGTGCTTTCACGATTGACGCCTCCGGGATTCGTTGATTACGCGGGCTCGGTCAGTATAGTCTTCTTGAGCTCGGGTGATTACAGGTTAACTATACCGTTATGGGCGCTGACAGACGCCCCCGAAACCTTGATACACTCAGGGTCGATCTTCTATCCTATGTCTTTTCTTGCAAGGCATTGCTGCGAATCCACTGCCATCGAAACATTCAAGATATCGTTGGAAATTGTCACCAGGCCACTGTTGTCTCCTCGCTACCCAAGGCAACTAGAAGAACAACTAGAAGTTATGTGCAGGGGGCAACTCGTACCGGGTCGAACTTCAGTCGTGATTGGGTAACAAGTACCCCTCGTTTCTGCGCCCCACGGCGGGGGACCCCTAGAAGTTTCTATGCAGACGAGGCTTCATTCAGCCCCCAGCTCCCGGGTGTTGGCATCTCCATCAAATAACTGCTACTGCTACCTGGAGATTGTCAGACTGGAATCTTCTGGGCACTACTCGGAGGCTATTCCTAGAGTTGCCATTCATTTCTTGTCTCACAACCTAGCCCTTCAATCCACAAGACTGGGCGCCCTTCTTTCACTAAATCACCCCGCCAACCACATCGCGATCCTGCGGCAGCTTTAAGCATCACCAATCTCTCTCCCAGACTAGGTTCCAATTGAGCTCGCGAAGCACGCCAACACATAGTACGCACGTATCTTCAACATGGCCGCCGAGACTCCCAAGCGCAGCAAGGTCTTCTTCGACGTCAAGATCGGCCCCAAGTCGGCTGGTCGCGTCACCTTCGAGCTGTACGATGACATCGTGCCCAAGACGGCTGACAACTTCCGCGCCCTCTGCACCGGCGAGAAGGGCCTGGGCAAGAGCGGCAAGCCCCTCCACTACAAGGGCAGCATCTTCCACCGTGTCATCAAGCAGTTCATGATCCAGGGTGGTGACTTCACCGAGGGCAATGGCACCGGCGGCGAGAGCATCTACGGCGAGAAGTTTGCCGACGAGAACTTCGAGGAGAAGCACGACCGCCCTTTCTTGCTGAGCATGGCCAACGCTGGACCTGGTAAGTCTTCTGGTTCCGGGCTTTCACCCAATTTCCATGCCTTCATAACGATAGACACTGATACGTTCCGTCCAATTCAGGCACCAACGGCTCGCAGTTCTTTGTCACCACCGTCGCAACCCCACACCTGGACGGCAAGCACGTCGTCTTCGGCGAGGTCCGCACCGGCAAGTCCATCATCCGACAGATCGAGAACACCCCTACTCAGGGCGGCGACAAGCCCACCCGCGACTGCATCATCGAGGACTGCGGTGAGCTGACCGGCGCCGCTGCCGAGGCTCTGGACTCGGACTCCAAGACTGCCGATGCCCTGGGCGATGCCTACGAGGACTTCCCTGAGGACTCGGATGACAAGCTCGACGCCCAGAAGGTTGCCAAGATTGCCTCCGACTGCAAGGAGTTCGGCAACAAGGCCTTCAAGAGCGGCGATGCCGCCTTGGCCCTGGACAAGTACCAGAAGGGTCTGCGATACCTTAACGAGGAGCCCGATCTTGACGACGCGTCCGACGAGGTCAAGAAGACCCTCGACTCGCTGCGCTTCGTGCTCAACAACAACTCCGCCATGATGAACCTGAAGCTGGAGTCCTGGGAGGACGCCGAGCGCGCCGCCACCAACGCCCTGGCCGTCAAGGGCACCACCGACGCCGAGAAGGGCAAGGCCTACTTCAGAAAGGGCCAGGCCCTCGTCAAGCTCAAGGACGAGGACGGCGCCATCAAGGCGTTCGAGGAGGCCAAGAAGCACGTGCCCGGCGATGCCGCCATCAGCAGGGAGCTGGAGGCTGTCAAGAAGGTCGCCGCCGCCCGGGTGGCCAAGGAGAAGTCCCAGTACAAGAAGTTCTTTGCGTAAGCGATGGATTGGTGTAGTGACACTCGGTGAGGGCCTTTGTGGCTAGTTTCATTTTGGAGTTCAGGGAAAGGGCATCTCAAGAGAAGCGTCGCCGTTTCGTGCAAGGCATATGTTCACGTGAAAACAGGTGTGGTAGATCTGAACTAGGGCCCGTGGCAACCATGTAGGGAAAACAATCAAAACATGTTAAAACAAAACCACTGAGGACACGAGCCCCTATTGCACTTTTCCGCCGTGACAATTCAACGTGTTTAAAATTGAGTCTTTCCATTTTCAAAATCCCTCATCTGAACTCTATTCTAGAGCGTTTACCACAGGACGATTTAGTTGGAATGCTCGTGATGCTAAAGTCTACCATAACTCCTCATAATAAAGCCCCGTGTCTGACCCTGCTTTGTTCAAGTGTTAGCGTTTACCTGCAATATGTATTTGAGGGTTCCTAATGAAAGTAGCCACTCACAGATTGGGGGAGGAGGGCATTATAGCGCTCAAGGTTAGTTGGCGTCCCATCCTCGCGGGTCCTAATATTGTTGAACTTGGATTTAGGACAGACCATTATGATGCGTATTTCCAGAAGGCTTACTAGCTGCCGCATTACAAGATGAACTGGTTCAGGGGGGGCTTCATCTTACAGCCCCCTAAATGCGTTCTTGCAAAATCCCTCCCGTTGCAAAATACTTTTGACGAGAGAGGTACAATGTAGACCCCCAACCCAATTGATTCCAGGTTCTCTAGTTGCTATTGGTATGTTGGTCGAAAACTTCCTTGTAATCCCAAGATCTAGACTTCGTTTGTAACTACGCAAGGCCGCCCGGACAGATACGACAATGTCTGGAAATTCCACTCAGGTGTTATTCATGAAAGGTACATTATGTCACTAGTTTCTTCCGCACACAGGCGCTATAAAGCAATATCATGGAAAAGTTATAGGGTCGACTATGGCATATTCTCTTTGTTGAAGTCGCGCAAGATAGCCTTCTACGCATGTTTCAAAGGACCCATCTGGGCGTTGCTGATGACTTATCGGGAACGCCTTTGAGACGTCAAGCTTGGAGGCGATTTGCCGACAAAGACGAGTCTCCTCCTAGACTCCTAGACTTCTACAGATTCTATAACATTTCCTTCCTCTTCATAGAAGTCAGCAGAGACACTCTCAAAATAAAGAAGACGGATTAAGGTTACCATATAGACCATCATGGATATGCAATCCCTCGCCGAACCACTAAACGAGGTACATGAGGAAGTTGATGAAGCACCTCCTTCAGATGATAACAAAAACGCCCTAGATGCTCATCGGAATCATGACAGGGAAGATAAGTCAGTACCAGGCGGCACAGTCCCAAAGCTTAACGGTCTGTCAAAAGCGGCTGAGTCTGAAGTGTACGATTGGTTTGCAGGCGATCCGTATGTACCCTGTGCTGGTTGTAGCCGGACTCCATTTCAAGCTCACTTCTACGACAAATACCGCAGCAATCACAAACTCTTCTATGTATGCCAAGATATAGGAGTCTGGTCGCTGGGATCTTAGGTGATTATAAAAGATCGACCTTTCGAAGCCGACAACATCGAGGCGGACAATATGAGGTTCTTTAAGCTGAAGACCACTATTCCCGTGCCAGCCGTCTTCCACGACTGGAAGGAAGAAGATGGTCGTTACATTCTGTTGCAAGAGAAGATCGAAGGGCTTCCGCTCCAAGAAGTCTGGAACGATCTTACGTTGGAGGACCACGAGCGCATTGCGAAGCAAGCAGCGAGACATATCTTTGAACTTCGCTCAGTGACGTCAGATAAGCTACAGAATGCCAAAGGGGCTGGGTGTCGCAACAATGGTCTCGTACCGAAGAGTACAGGACTCGTGGGTCCTTTGGCTTCAGATGATGAGCTGTGGTCTGCTATTTCCGGATCCCTTAGCCATGTGGATGCAGTCCTCAAGGACAAGCTGCGAGCTAAAATGCCCCGATCCAAGCCTTACACACTGACTCATGGGGACCTGACAAGTGTGAATATCATGGTCAAGGACGGAAATCTTTCTGGCTTCATCGACTTTGAGTATAGCGGTTATTACCCGCGCTGGTGGGAGTATGCCCGGCATGCCATGTGGTTCAGTGAAGAAGATAGGCAGTGGAAAGACCTGTTACGCAAGTACATGAGAGATCACGATGAGATGAATGAGGCCGGTAGTCGCTGGTGGAGGGCTTGCAACGCGCTTGCGAAGTATCCTGATAAGGACACCACACAGGAGAGACTGAAGGAACTGTTTGATGGAGAACTTGCATAGTTGACATGGATGACAAGATGAGGATACATTTCCAGGGGCTATGAGCAAATGAGATCCAGGTACTCAAAGGCCGATCGTCTTTCAAGAAGTAAAGCTTAACCTCAGTTGTACAGATTTCATTAACGCCATACTATCCTAAACACTAAGCCCTCCTCAATTAACTTAAGAGATGTGTATCTAGGGCTAAAATAACAACAGCACTATCTAGCCTGCGTAAAGTAAGAATTCATGGAACCGAGTCCTGCCTCAGCGAGCTCCTCTTCGAGCATTGTAAGTCTATGACGGGACCCCATTTGCTGGGCTCTTTCGATTGATTGTCGTATCAACTTTGCATCCACCATGCCTGTTTGCAGCAATAGTCCCGTAGTGGTCCGGTCGGTATGGCTTACAGCCACCATCAAAGGGGTTTCCCCGCCGACTGCTGTGGTGTTGACTTGTATGCCAATAATATTCAAAAGAATCTTCACAATATCCCTGCTCTTACTTCTCACTGCTATGTGAAGTGGCGTCTCCATTGCAGTGTTCATGTCATTGAACGACAGGGGCCGGGTTTGCAGCAGTGTTGCGAATAAATCAGCATATCCAAGTCGTGCTGCGAAATGCAGGACGCTGTTACCTTCAAGGTCGTGGCCGCCTGTATTGATGCTCGACATCTCCAAAAGACTGCCGGCCGCACTATGGTTGCCACATAGCAGCGCGAGGTGGAGCGGAGTTCTGTCTTTTTCATCGCGGACATTTGGGTTGGTACCAACATGTTCACGTAATGAACTCAATATGCCCCATGACTCATTGTTGTCGGAGAGTTGAATGATGGCCAGGTGTAAAGGGGTCCTTCCCTCCCCATTCTGCAGATTTACATCCACATCTCGACTCGATAGCAGTTCTTTCACTACTCCGAGGTGACCACGCCACACTGCATAGTGTAATGCCGCCCAGTTTCTGCAATCCTGTCGATTCATGTAAGATTGGTCCGGACTACGGCTCATGAGGGTTTTCACAGCCTCCGTATGGCCTTGAAAAGATGCAATTAGAAGCGGTGTTCTTCGATAGGTGTCCTCGCGACATAGTAACAGACTAGCATTTGCTCTCCTGGATTCGTGGTCGATCAACATGCCTACAACTTCTGAATGCCCTGCTCCACTCGCACAGTGTAACGATGTCAATCCTTCCTTGTCCTGAAGGGTGGCATCATAATTGTGATTCAGGCAAGATCTGACGGCTCCCTTATCCCCATTGTAAGAAGCAATGTGAAGAAGTGAGCGTCCAAAATAGTCGGGCGTTTTCAACGTCCCTTGTCCGAGGTATAACGGGAACTTGGAAGTATCGTTGCGATAGAGCTGAATGTGTAATGGAGTGCGGCGTAGGACGTCCCTTGCTCTCGGCTTTTTCTCGATAGTCTTCGCCTCCATCATGAAATTCGGGGAAGGAAGCAACTCATCGAATCCTGGATCGAGGGGCCTGAGATGTGGCTCCGTGTAGATAGAACTAAGCTTAACCTTCAGCTCTGAGCAGCATTGGACGTATCGTTGGGCATCCTCTTGGGTCAACCTGCTCGGGCCTTTCATCTCCAAGGCTTTGATAAGCAAGACACCATTTTCGAAGCTCGCTAAAAGGGTTGAGTACTCAGAAGTATCCTGTCCTTTTCCCAAGGGAGACCCGATATGTCCCAAAAGGGCTAACAGAGCATGCTCGATGCTGATCTTCGTTTTCGATATCATTAGTGTATGTATCTTGGATATTATCAATGCTCTTTCGTCGGCGAGGGCGCTCTCCAGGGTGGAAAACGGGCTGCATATCTTGCGTCGGTATAAATTCATCGTTTTGTAGAATCGGCCTTCAAATGTGCGGTGGGTCAAAATTGTTTCGTAGATCATGTTCGTCCAAGTGAGTCGAAGCATTCTAAGGTTCGTGTTAAAGATCTGCATGATGGATTCAGTACGAATGCGGCCTCTTACATATCTTCATAAAGACTCTCTGCATTTGCGGCCTCATTCCCTGGCTGCAGCCGGCTGATGGGGGCAAATGCAACAACAGACTGCTTTTCCCGATGCTGTGCGGTGCCATCTCTCGGGTGTGCAGAGACTGGTTCGGATGAAGGCAAATTTCGAATTTCCTTGACACTTTTGTTTTCCGAGCATTTGTACTTCTTCTCTATACAACGATCGCATTTCTGCGGCCATTCGCGCTGGGTTGGCAGACACTGTCGGTTGTATCTACAAGTCAACAAGAGCCTTACTTCCAGAAGGAACAAGACCCACACGAGGTTCGCGCGCCGCCAGAAGGGGCTTGTAAAACTTTATTCAGTGTTACTCACCTTTTGCTTGTCTCTTCTACATTGCGAGCATTTCTCAAAGTCAAGCTTTCTGCGCTTGTTCACTGGCTCCATGAAGTACTTTGATCTGGTTCATGAGAGTTCGCCGACACATGTCATGGTGGACTTCTAAGTATCAAAGAAGATTCTAACGCAGTTTGAAGCTGAAAGATCCGCAGCTGCGGCTGAAAGGCCACCCTTAATCAGCACGCCCCTCGATGGGACTTCCTCATGCCTTGCACATACACTTCTTTGAACTAGTAAAGGATTATTACGTCCTACACGGATAGCAGGGAGCGGTCTCTTACAATCGGTTCCAAATCGATTGACCACTGGCGTCCGCCAAATCACCACACCCTTACAACCCCCCCCCTTCCTTACCCACCTTCCTTTACCCCCCCCCCTTCCTTACAACAACCCCCCTGAGGAGAAGCCCGCTGGGACCATAGATAAAGCCAATGGCAACGTCCTTGGCTAACCGGTAACGAGCTAGGATCCTACGCCCGGCCGATGGGCTATTGCCGATGCGCTGGCACCAGCAAGCGTGCGAAAGTGCGATGATTGGTGGTGCTATGAGCTTGGTCGAACCTGGGTCGACCCTGAATCGAAACAGGCAGCGCACATGGCGTTACTGCACTACCCCTACATGAAGTTCATCGTTGGCCACCCAATTCACGGGTAGCCGATGGCGCACCTAATGGTCTGCCGAGCACGCCTGCGCACCTTCGCATCTACAACCAGGACAAAGCCCCGCTCCCAGTTACCGCATAACTTCCTGGTTTCGAGTAATTGATGTCCCGAAGCAAAAGCGGTGATCTCTTACTCTGCTAGGAATTGTAGTCAATTTCAGTCTATGAAAAAACAGACCAAGACTATATTTCTTAGTTCATTCAAATTAGGTCAGACGTATTTCCAGTATCTACCTAGGTATTTTAGACTGGTGGTACAAGCACGCGCGACAAGCACCTATCATGGGGTAACATAAGAACTACTGAAGTGTTTAGCCAATAGCGCACCTTTCGCACTAGAGGGGATCGCGAGGAGCGCGCTGGCGAGATCTATTCCCAAATTTCTGAGAAGTAACATAAGGCTGTGCGTGGTCAATTAAGGCTTAGCGATTCGCAAGAGACGTTCGGCATGTCCTTGATGCGAAGGCAGGCAAGGATTACCTCCTCACTCGCACCTATTCTACATTATCATCTTGCAATTTTCGGACTCAGCCTGGATTTACGCCATCCTAACCAATCACATGCTGAGTTGCGCCCAGATTGCCCCTTGCAAAGAGAAGCATTGAAACAGTCAACTATCGCCGAGTCCTAACTACCTAGAGTATTAAAGAAGGATCAACCCTCAAGCTTTACTACATCATTGACTCTACAAAGTTCAAGTCTCCCCGTAAACTCAATCATACTTTTCAAGCTCTGCGATTATGCTGTCAGACGAAGTCATTGTTGCCATAGCCTTGGGCCTCCCAGCTTTGCTGGTAGGCATATTGGCGCTTTGGGTTGCATACCTCACGTACAAAACGTCTCACCAGACGCCTTATAAATCAAGATCACCCACTTCGGAGCGTATCCCATCATGGCCTTTGCTGGATCGATCCACGACTATACCGGCGGTATCAGACCACCAGTTACCGGCTTTGCCAGGACACGCACGCCATCGTCTCTAGCCAGCCTCCTAGCTCCACCTCTCGGCTTTCAGCTGCCTATACCGGGTCTACTGGCAAAATCTAAACGTTCCAGCACCATACACATTCCTACAAGCTTCTATGCCCCTAGGATTGTCCTTAGACCCAACGACTACCCGCCCACGATATGAGAGTGCGTACTCTTACCCAACGGCCCCTAAGCAAGTGGCTATATAATTCGGCTGCCATCAATCTTTCTACTCCCATCTCGGACGCACTGCGACTTCCTTCTAAGCCTACATATAACCAAGCACATCACAAATCAACATAGTGCCACCATGATTATCATGAAAGATATCAGAACAATCTTCAGATATTGTCACCACCTTGACACGTCCAGCGAGCACGGCTTCATCGTAGTCGACTCTATCTGCCGCACTAATGCAGGCCCCCGTCGACAAACACTCAAAACAGTTACCAGCCGCTACATACAAAAATTGGCTCGGCTACGGCGTTGGTATTTCTTAGTTCTTTGTTATGCCCCAGGCGGAACTAAGTCGAAAATGGAGCACCGGACTGGAGATCGCTGGCGTGGTCGAATACAGCAGTCAATTTTTTTTATTTTCCCCTTTTCTTTCAAAGGGCATTGGCGTAGAATAATCACTAAAAATCAAGCATAACACTTCGTGGGCAATTACGGTATGGTTTACCGGACTAGTATATGGGTATCTTCTCGCTCAGGCAGCGGCTGCCATCATGGATTGGCCAGGAACGACAAGGTTTATACTTGGCGTAAGGGTCTTATACAAACATTCTCCTGGATTGAATTGATGGCTTCATTTCATCAAGGGCTTTACAGGAATCAGGATTGACCGTCATTGTGGCTATGGAGTATCTGTGAAAATTCGCTCGAGGGAGCCATTCCACTGGTGATGGTCTTGTGCATTGCATAGCCTTCTCCTTTGGGTAATATGAAGACCTCGACATAGCAGAAAACTCTCCAACACACATGTCGTAATATCTCACCTCCAAGAAGCTTTTGAATATCCGCCACTTGCAAGCTGCATTGATATCGTGCCTAGCACAGCCATCCCAGGTCACGCAATATGCTCCGCAATATTAACTTTCATTGCCAATTTGTCCTCTTCGCACGGGTTCCAGGGATCGCAGTCAGGCTGGCAAGAGGTTCCGCTCTCAGGAACGGTGCCAAACTCCAGGTACTCCTGCACGATCTTCTTGGAGCACTCGCTGGGAGTCGAGAGGGCGCAATGGCCAGTCGACTCCTGGACGACCCAGGCGGCGCCCGGGTGGTTTTCGGCCATGGCTACGGCGTTGCGCAGCGGCGTGACAGGGTCGAGCCGAGTCGAGAAGAAGAGCAGCGGCGCTGCGGGCCGGCCCTCGACGATGGAGGCGTCGTGCTCAGGCGTCGTGAACGGGCCCGTGAAGCGCCACTTGGGCCGGATGGCCAGGCCCGAGCATGCAAACCGGATCGTGGCCCAGTACCAGCCCAGGGTCTCAGACTGGCCCTTGAGCTCCTGGATGTAGTCCCTGAAGTATGGCAGACCCAGCTTGGTGGCATCCTCGCCGTCGCCGCACATGATGTTGTGGCTGGCGTCCTTGTCGCTGATGGTGGCGATGGTAGAGCTGTTTTGCAGCGAACAGACATCGTGGAGCTTGGGTCCCACTGAGTCGATGTCCTCGAGAAGGAGGGTATAGTTGCCTTCGAGAGCATCACTGAGGACTTGGCCCAGGCGAGCGAAGGATTTCAGGGGGTCGTACACAGGCCGGCGGAAGGCGGTCAAGATCTCGGTCGCAGAGATCACAACGATTCGCTTGTCGTTGAAGACCGAGATTGGTACGTCAGCCACCTGGGCTTTGAAATCATCGACTCGCGTCCTGAGATCCTCCCATTTGGAGTCAGATGGCTTCCTCAGTGCGCACTTGTCACCTGCCTCAAAGCACGATTCATAAAAGTACTCCACGATCTTCTCTGTATCTTGGAGATTCTTCAGCCAAGTCTATTCGACTGTTAGTTGGCTTCGGCGTTGGCAGATCTGCACTGGAAGTACTTACACCAGCCATGTAGTCATTGGCATTGGAAATTCCATCAATAATTAGTCGACCGACGCGACCTGGCTCCATCGACGCGAACGTGTTTCCCAATATACTGCCATATGAAAAGCCCCAGTATTGGATCCGAGGAACATCGGCTTTCCTCAGCTCCAAGCGCTTCTGTCCGTCACCACCATCAGTCGCCTCCGCCGACCGGCTTTCTGTGTCGCGCAGCTCATGGATCTCGTCCAGGATTGCCACCATATCTCTTACCACCGATGGCGTGGTCAGGAACGGCAGGATGGAGCCGTTCACTGCGCTGTCGGCGCACAACTTACCATAGGCCTGGGTCCTCGCCCAGTGCCTCTTCAGTGCATCCTCGCTCGCGTCCAGGGGCCCAATGGCCTTCTCCTGCAGCTCGGCGACGTCCCGGGTTGCGATGTCGCCGTAGCAGTCGGCCTTGGGGCTGGTGAAGCCGACGCCACGCGGGTCCCAGCTCAGGATCTCATAGGAGCGGTTGCCATCGGCGACGTCCTGGAGGATGTGGCCCTCGCGCAACAAGAAGCCAATGCCGGAGCCGCCAGGGCCACCCGGGTTGGTGAAGATGGTGCCGCCGAAGGCGGGGTCGTCGTCCGGGACCTTAGCCGGCAGCTTCGCGATGGCGACGGCGACGGTGTGCAGATTGGTGTCGTCGAGCCAGTCCAGCGGCACGACCAGTCTCGCGCACTGGAGCTCCTCGTAGCACGGGTGGTATTCCAGCTTACGGCTGGGCGTGATTGAATCCCAGTCGAAGTCATTGATACCTGCTGCTGCGGCTGCGAAGCCCGACAAGCCGAGCAGGCCAAGAAGCGAGAAAGATCTCATAGCCATATCTCTGGTGCTCTCAATGGGCGCAGTTGTTAATTGCTTCAACTCTCTCCTTCAGCCTCCGGGACAGCCACCAAGTTATGTCTCTCGTTGTAATAGAGTGGTGCAGTATATTAAGTTGTGAATAGTGCGGTCCCACCTCAGCTATTCCAAATTCAATGAGGTCAATTAAGTGGGTGTTATATAGCACGCTACCGGTAACTCTACCCGAATCAGCGCTGACGATTCGTCTCACTGTGCTGCCTGCAACTACCTAGGTGGGCCAGTACTATGTATGCTATGCCATTCCGAACCCCGAAAATATCGGGGTTCGCGCTAGCCCACCAATAATGCAACTCGATAGGCCGCCCTATTCTACAGGCTAGGCTGTTTGAAAGGGCTACAGGGCTGCTATGGCATGATTCTGCCACTTAAGTGTAGGCTAGAACCTGGCTCCGGTAGCAAGTCAGAGCCGTCCATATAGCAACTTGGAAGTCAAAGGGACCGATAAACCTAAGAGGATAGCGGTAAAGTTCATTCATCAACATCCTTCTGTGGAATTGAAGTGATATATACACGAAGCTAATAACCCACCCAAGCACTTCCCATGGTCCACCCAGGCAGACAAATGCACCAAGAGGACTGCCTACTACTTGACATACGACAAAAAGCTGTCCAGATCCGCACTCTGGACCTTGGACCATCCGGCCGTCTGGGCTCCGCCGTCCGTGAAGAACTTGGCCGCCGTCAGGTTGCCCTTGAGGCCCCATTCCAGCCACTGCACCGTCGCCGTGCCCCAGGCGCCGCCGTGCAGGGCAGTGAGCGTGCCCATGTGCCCGACGTTGTAGCTGCCGAACCACTTCGGGGTAGCGGTGATGTTGCCATAGTCCGCCAGGCCCTGTGTGTGTTGTTCAATCAGTACACCGAATCACCGACGTATTGGAGAAGGACAGAAAGCCCTCTTTGTGAGCGATCTTACATTGGCGTACGCAATGTCCCCCGTGTTCCCCAGGAAGTAGAAGACGGGCTTCTTGAGCTTGCTGGCCTGCGCCGCGTTGTTGCCTATGTACCCGGAGCTGAAGATGCCGATGATGTCGACGGCGGCGTTGCCGATGACGTCGTAGGCCTCGAGACCACCGCAGCTCCCACCGGCGGCCGCGATCTTCTTCGCGTCGACGTTGCCGTACGGGCCTGACGTGCCGGCCTGTGTTCCCACCCAGGTAATGGATTCGGTCATCAGGGCCGAGGTCGTGCTACCAGTGCCGCCCGGGGCGCCGGATGCTATGGCGATGAAGCCGTGGGAGGCGATCTCAATCAAGTAGCTGCGCTCTTGGAGGCCATCGGCGGCGCATCCTCCCTGTCCCCATACCAACACCGGCAGACTGACGTTGGCAGGTGGGTTGATGGGCCTGTAGATAGTATGCTTAGGGAGGCTGGTCTCTGTGAAGTAAGCCTGGGATACCCATTGTTAGTATACGTCCTCTATTGATTGGCGATGACTACTCGACGCACAGCTGGGTATGGCCCGGTACCGACATCGTCGGCTAAGGGGGCCGCAAGAGCCACAGAGGCCCCGGACAGGACCGTGAGCAGATAGCCGGAACACTTCATGATGTTTTTTTTGATATGTACTAACTCAACCGATCGACGGCGCATAGCCAGTGGGTCCGCCTCCGGCTTCTTATATAGTGGTCATCCTCTCGGCATTAGAAGCCCTTTCATTGGCAGATCTGGCTCCCGAAGATCGAGCCCGTCGATCGAAGATCTTGTTTCCAGAGATTCCCATTTCCAGAGATCGGGGTTGCATGCGGCTAGGCTGGGTATTATACCGCCAAGGCTGCAAAGACGACGGGCCGACCAGCGACAGGTTGGACAGCATGCTGTCCTATTGGTCATAGTTTCCACTTGCAGTAATAGTTGCGGACGTGCCGTTGCGGATAGAGTGGGAGTCAACGGGATTCTGAGTGGGGAAGGAACATTTAGCATCTATACTCTTGGAGAGATCTCCTCTTTTTATGTAATCTGGGTAAATGTCGACATGAACCGTAGCATTTGCCCAGAAATTCCCACAAACCACAGCCAGGTGTGCTACGATGACCTTCCATTGCACTATAGAAGAAGTCCAAAGGCAGAGTGAGCTTGTGTCATTGGATGATGGCGAAACCAAATACAAACCTGACTAATCGGAATGGTTTTTGAACAACACTGCTGGTCATGGGATGGATTAGGCTGATCCAGGTTTTCATTTTCGCTCTCTCAGATCCAGATCGTAATTCATTTATAGTGTAAAGCACCTGGGCGCCGTGGTCTTATATTCTAGTCAATTATATGCAGTTCATAGAACTCGTAGCCCTAGCCCGGGAACTCCCCTGAACTGGAAGAAGCAAAGTTTTCCTGGGGATCATCCTGAATAATCATACATAGAAAACACAGATTGATTGAACTCCGACACCAGAATGCACATTGCTAGTCGTCATCATGTCGTATCGCTTTCATACCCCGCTTCAAAATCCAACACAGAGAGTGGCGTGACGTGATATGGCTACTCTCCTCGGCCCCTATAGCTCCCCATCTTCTCAATCGAGGACATGATACCACTCCGCGCTCCCAAGCCAGCTACAGGCCGGGCGAGGCCTCCGCTCTTGGTACGCTGGTGGCCCAAGCCGCCGATCCGACTTTCGGTGTTTGGCTTCTTCATGGAGCCAGGTGCGCGAAGTCCGGATACGGCCGGCCGACTGATGCTGCTTCGGAAGGTGGTGGTGGTGGGCCCGGGGGTCTTCTTGGGCGTTGTACTAGGCCGCGCAGGCGACCGGGCGGGCGACCGGGTAGGCGACCGAGCTGGCGGGTCCGGCTGCTGAACAAAGCTGTGCTGCATCGACATCATCTCTTCAGCCAGCTGAACTAGCTCTCCCTTCTCGATACGCTCCTTCTCTAGCAGCTGGATCAACTCCTGATTGTCTTGCTTGACACTGTTGATCACAGCGCCGAGCTTCTGGACCTCAGCGTCCAATTGCTTGATGTGGGCGGAGTCCTTCGCGCCCTGTGCCTGGAGCGCCTCGTTGGCTTCAATCTGAGCGGGATCGACCTTTGTAATGGTAGCGTCGCGGCCGAGCTTCAGCTTTTCGTTGTCTTCATTGAGTTCCTCGATCTTGGCCTCCAGAGCTCGAACCCTCTTCTCCCATCGGTTCTGGTAGCTTTGCTTGAGTGCTGTGACCTTGGTCTCATGCTTGCTCTTGTACGCGGCGTGGAGTTCTCTGGCAACTCTCTCCACAGCGATCTCGACCTCGCGCGAGCCGGGGGCCTTGCCGTCCTTGCTGGGTGACTGGGAGTTACCTCCCTCGGCAGCGGCGTCCGAACTATTCTTACCAGCACGCATACCGGCCATCTTGGACTCAGCCTCCTGCGCCATGATCTCAGCAGCCTCGCGGCGCTTCTCACTCTCGTCGAGCTTCGATTCAAGCTCCTCCCGTTCCCGCCGTCCGACATGGATCTCGCTCTTCACTCTACGAAGCACGCCCTCCATATCTTGACAACGTTTCTCCCACGACTCCTTCTCCTCTGCCAAGCTGTCCTTGGCACATTGAGTCTCGCGAAGCTGCTCCGCAGACTGAGCGACACGCTTTTCGGCATCGGTGACAGCTGTCTTCAGGGAGTTGACCTCGGCCTCCTTACCCAGGAGCGAGGCCTTGAGGCCACTAATCTCGGACAAGAATTGTGACTTGAGGGTTTCAACCTCGCGTGCGGTTACAGTGGGGACGCTGCGTGGGGTAGGCAAAGGAGGAATGTCAAAGTCAAGTAGGTTGCCGTGGCGCTGGGGTGTATTGCTGGGTCTGTGGCCAGTAGTCTTGGCCGGGGATAAACGTGCCCTTCTCGAGGGTGATGGCGGGCCGTGGGAGTTTGATGTAAAGCCAGAGAGTTGATCAGTGAAATCCATCAGACTCGTTGTGTTCCCAGCATCTTGCATGGCCAAGGCCCGCGGTGTACGTGAAGGCGACGGGTCAGGTCTGGCTCGCTTGGTTGAAGGAGTCGAGCCAGTGTTGGCAAATCTGGTAGGGCTGTGGCCAATGCGCGCGAACATGGTCATGTTGGGAACAGCAGAGAAGGTGCTGAAGGTGCTGACCAAAGATGTGTTGTGGTCGGCAGGCTCGTCGTCGACGTCCATGTGTTGATGGTCGATGGTCATGGATGTGGCGTCGACGTCGTCTTCCCCATTCTCCAGCATGGAGGATTCATCCTCGAAGATCTGGATGGCCTTCTTCAGTCCCTCGTTGGCCTTCAGGGCCTCTTCCAGTGAAATCTCCTGCTCAATCACGACGGGCTTTTCAGGCAACTTCTCGGGAGACTTTTCGGGAGACTTCTCGGGGGATTTTGGCGGTGGCCTCTCAGGGGATGAACTGCCGGACGCGATCTTGACAGGGAAGCGCTTGTCGGGAGACATCTTGCGCGGGCTCTTGTGGACGCTGTCTTGCCGCGTTGGGGACCTCGGTCTTGACTCTGCGTCAAAGTTCTCGTCTCTCGGACTCAAGATGCGCAGGGGTGCAATCTCGTTGCCAGACAGGATTCTCGAGTGTCGGATCTTGGACGGTGACACATTCTCCTTGACGGAACTGTCGACCTTGGGCTCTTGCGTGTCTGATACAAAGGGAGAGCTCTGGGGGTCGTTGGCGTCGGATGATTCTGTGACATTCTCGTTTTGCTCGGTGGAGTGGTTGGCGTCGCCGTTATCGACGCGGTGGGTCGCGGTCGGCGTAGCGATATTTAGCATGGCGCTTGGCGTAGGAGACAGTGGTGATGCCATGGTCGGCATTCGCATTCGCAACGACAATGAGACTGGCTTCTGGTGCTCAATTGGAAGAACAGATTGGCATGTTCGTTCGAGCGATGTGATTGATATGAATGTCAAGAGCTGTGACCTTGTCGCTGCGAGTCGATATCACGAACATGTTATTGGGTGGTTGCTGGGCAACGCGGCGCCCCACCCCCAGCGACGTGGGCTTCCTGTGACCCAAGTTGCAGGCCGGCAGGCTGGCTCGAAGTCAGCTCGTTACCAGTCCCTGTCCTGCCCAGCCAACGGACGTCATCGTCGCCTCGAACATCCTTGAACCCGTTCCCACCGGCCCAGTGTCCATCTCGGTTGCTAAGGGGTTTAAGATGAGTCTAAAGCCCTCAATTATCCCCCAAGGAGGCATCCCTTGGAGTCGCGGCGAACCAATGCAGTGCGGCTCGGCCCTGTCTGCACCTTGGTGGAGACGATCCGGTCAGCCTCACCAGACTGTCTGCCCTTCAGTATCCAGCAGCGACGATGACTTTAAATTTCTATCGGCCCGTGACCATCGATTGGGATGGCAACAAGAATACTGTTTTGATGGCTGAAGTAGGGTCTCCCCGGATCTGAGTGGCTTCTCGTGACACTCGTTTTTCCTTTTCCTGGTTGTCTTGTACTGTAGGGTCATAGACACCATGTGGCGCACCGGAGTCCGGCCTAGCAACCCAACCTTCGGGGCTCTCTCGTATGGTTTTGCATCTATTTTACACTTTCCCGGACCTCCCGCGCTGGACTTCGGGAAGCCACGATGCGCCCCTTGAGATGTTCGGGCTGACCGTTTTCGGCCTTATTTAAGCACAAAGGAATGTCGTCGGTTGGCTCTGCCCATAACCTGGACAAAGGGGTCCTTGTCTACTGATGGCCAACTGACGAGAACACGGCCCCATCTCCGGACTTTTATTTATTTAATTCCAATGTCTCACGCGCACAAAGACGTGGGATAGTGAATAGTCCTCGTTCTTCACTGCATTGTATTGTTCTGTATTGCGTCTGTAAGATCGATATGAGTTGCACAACTACCTTGGCGCCGACAAGCTCCAAGAGTACCCTCCAGGTCAGGATACCATGGCTCCCTTGTGAGATATGGGTTCTAGTGATGGGCCACCTGGTCAACAACAAAGACTTCCCCGATGCTTGGTTTGCTTGTCGAAGGGCATCGCGTACTCTAAAGAGGGCAATTGAACTCGCCTTTCTGGGCGAAGCCCTGCCCGAGATCGAAATCAACCTCTCTCTCATCGGAAGCTTTGGTCGGAACTATGCTGAGGTGGCACGACTTGAGTTCAAGTGCTTCTCGGAGGACGGCAACCGTGTTCATTATGGAGAACCCGGTGCAGCAAAGACTGCCCTGCCACGCAGTCCACCATCATCAATCGACCATGAGCCATTGGCCGAAACAGAAAACACTAGTAGTGACTTTGGGAATCCGCCAATGTTGATCGAATGGGCCTCAAAGATATATATCTCGGTCTGTCGTGGGCCGACAAGTTATTACAGCTGGTCGGATGGGTATCGGGACCAGCTACGACACGTTTGGCTGAAACCAGGATCGGACAAGACAATGAGGGTGGTTGTGGATCACAAGAGACGAGAGGTGTCATTTTGCTGGAAACCGATGCTCACCGCGTTCTTCAGCAGGCTAAGCCAGCCTAAACAGGTGTCTAGGGAGGTACACTGGCTCAAGATGAATAGAGCTGCCGGCACAAGCACAGGTGGGAGTTCCTCTCGGGCTGAAGAAACCGATAACTTCAGGCGACTGAGTATCCAAGAGCCCGTCGGAGAATAGTATATACTAAGGATCCACTAAGATAAACAGTTTATAATAAAGAAGGATTATGCCAAATTTCAAAAAGCCAACGTCGTCTGCTCGGTAAACTCGGTAGGCCGCCCAAAAGTAACCTGCGCATTCCTGTCTCCCAGATCCATGACAATATTGAACAGAGTCTGCGTCAAGGTCCCGTCAATCTGCCGTCGATTGATCGATGACGGATACCCTTCGGTGTCCTTGAAGAGGTCGAAGATGGTGTCCGACGTTGGCTGAGCCAGCGTTGATGTAGTCCCCTGGATCCTCGCCAGCCGGAGTGGAGAGTCTGCCAGCCAAGGGGGCTCTTCCACATCGCCGTGCTCGAGCACGAGATGATTCGTGTGGCACACCCTGCCGTCTTGCATCGGCAGTTCCTTCACCCACTTGCTGGTGCACTCGAGGCCGACCGAGCCGGTCGCGTCCGCGATCAGGATGTGCCCGCTTCCGGCTACACCGGGGCCCTTGATGCGAGCTACCGCCTCGTCCCGCGAGTTCGACTCGAGCACCGTCCTCAGGGCGAAGTGTATAGGCAACTTGGATCGGTCGACACCGCGACACCGAATTGCATTCAAGCAGCACCCCACCCCCTGGGAGTTGAGCCCAATTTTGCCAATAATACCGGCCTCCGTCACCATGGCAATGTCTGGCGTCCCTGTACCGGGCTGCGAAATGTAGCAGATAATCAGGTTATGGCCCTGCTCGATCATCCAGTCCCAGTTCTGCGCCAGCCATGACTTTGTCTTGTCTCCCGTCAGCCAGGCCAGGCTCGTGCAGCCATCACTGGGGATATCGTCGACCTTCTTGCCGGCCGCGCTGCCGTCGGTGAACAGGCCGAAGTTGATCTCGGTGCGCACATTTAGCGCAAGGACGTCCAGGAACCCGAGCCCTGCACCCGACGCGATGCCTCGGATCTCATCCAGGTAGCGGGGCGCCAGCGTCTCCAGGGGCGCGACGTAACGCTGCGCTTCTTGCAGCACGTCGGGCCAGTCCAGGGCGCAGGTCTTTTGGAAGAGTGCGGCGTAGAAGGCGATGGACCCGCGAATTTGCTCCTTGGCGAGTCGGCCATGGGTCTCCCCGATCTTGAACACAGTGTCAGCTGCTGGCTACTGCTTGGTAAGTCAGGAGCTATCTGGTGTCGTCGGCTTACTTCACGGGGGGTTCCCGAGCAACGAACTTCGAGCATGTTTAGCGGAATCTCATGAAGTAGATAGAATTCAGTTTTGGACGGATGTAAAAGTCTCGACCGAATTATAGCATCGCGATAGAGTCAGCTAGAGTTTCCAGCCTGCTTTCGGGCTTCCTTGGAAGCATATAAGATCGGGACTACCGTCGGGAGCCCCGAATGCCCCGCACTTCTCCGGCCGCGGTGCCGGCGCTGACGACATAGTACGTGATCAACCATATCTGGGGCACGGAGGCCAGCTGCGTCTGGAAGCTAGATGACGCACGCGTGTGCCTGTTCTAGGCCGACACAGAGTTTCTACCACCGTACAGGAAGATACGGCCGCATAGCGCGGGTGCTCGTAACTTGGAGGGTTGTGTGTGTCGCTAGGTCACTTGCTGTACACGCATTCTTGTAAGATAAACTTAGAATGATAACATAGAATTGACGGCATTGCGGTCCAGAACGAGCGCATCTTCCATACCGGACAGAAGCGGACCGCTATCTGCTCCTTTTACCCTTACAATAGACTGGGAGATTGTAAGTGCTCCCGGTCGTAAGTGTTGCTAAACAATGCATGGACATGGCTTGTACATCTGTCCTGAACCTGCCCGTCTATGGAAGGCTGTAAGCAGTGCCCTTGCATGCAAAGCAGTTAACTGGAAGAAAATCAAATGAATTTAGGAAAATGGATAGGCCAAGACAGAAAGGTTTCAAACATGCTGATGCAGAACTGATACAGAGTTCTAGGTGCATAGAACCTGCAGGAGAAGAAGTGGAAGGTCGAGCTCCGGACTCAGAGCCGACTTGCGCCGTTGACTTGTGGACCCCACCTAGTTGATGGTTAGCACTGCCGTTTCTCCAAATTCAGCCTCTATCCGGCTCGCACGAGCCAATCAGAGCGGTTTCTTCAGGACCCTGAACCAGGGGAGCGCCAGCGGCTTGGGGAATTTCTTTGCAAGCTGTCCTCTAACCCGCGACGGCGCCCCAGTTCGACGACAAACCCACGACGACAGCACGGGGCCCTCTGATGACCCGCGGATCAATTGAGTGCGATCGATTCGACGTTGCAGCGATTTCCGGCCTCTGACAACCGCGACAGCAGAGGAACCCTTGACCGACGCAATTCACTCGATGCGGTAGCCGGCCACGCGGCCTAACTTCTCGGGTGCCTGCAGTGCGTTCGAGGCGCTTCGGGGTTCGCAGCACTGAACCCGAGCGACGCATTCCGCGACGGGCTGGCGGTACAGTATCTACCTAGACATCGAGGGGTATCCTACACCAGGACCGGCACGCCATGATGAACGGCTACGAGAAACACAGCTTTGACGACGAGCCCGAACCCGGCAGCTTTGTCAAGGCCTTCGATGCCTTTCGTAAGCCGCCCACGATCCTCCCTCCAGCTCTGTCGCATGCCTACACAGCTCCGTGTGCACCGTACCTAGGCAGTCACTAACCGCTCTCCTCTGCTTCACAGCCAAGTCGAAACCTCAGTATGTAACGCGCACCGCTGGCGGCGGCAAGTGGACCGTCGCCATGGCCCTCGTCTCCCTCGTCCTCGTCTGGGCCGAGCTGGGCACCTGGTGGCGGGGCACCGAGAACCACACCTTTGCCGTCGAGAAGGGCGTCGGCCACAGCATGCAGATCAACCTCGACATCGTGCTGCGCATGCAGTGCAAGGACCTGCACGTCAACGTCCAGGACGCCTCGGGCGACCGCATCCTCGCCGCCTCGAGGCTGCAGGAGGACGCCACCAACTGGGCCCAGTGGGTGGACAACAAGGGCGTCCACAAGCTGGGCAGGGACACCCACGGCAAGGTTGTCACCGGCGCCGGCTTCCACGACGAGGGCTTCGGCGAGGAGCACGTCCACGACATTGTTGCCCTGGGCAAGAAGAAGCCCAAGTGGAGCAAGACCCCCCGGATCTGGGGCCGCGGCCCTGCTGACAGTTGCCGCATCTACGGCAGCTTGGATCTCAACAAGGTGCAGGGTGATTTCCATATCACGGCCAGAGGTCACGGATATGCTGAGTTCGGCGAACATCTGGACCACAACGGTAAGTCCACGAGTTCCCATTGGCACCGGGGTGTTCCCCAATACTTAAGGCTCAGAAGACTAACGCATCTTGGTAGCATTCAATTTCTCCCACATTGTCAACGAGCTGTCCTTCGGGCCATTCTACCCCTCGCTCGTCAACCCTCTCGACCGCACCGTCAACGTGGCAGAAAACCACTTTCACAAGTTCCAGTACTTCATGTCCGTCGTGCCCACCGTCTACACGGTCGGCCACTCGCATTCCGCCTCCCGGACCATCTTCACGAACCAGTATGCCGTGACAGAACAGAGCCACCAGATCAACGAGCGCATGGTCCCCGGCATCTTCTTCAAGTACGACATTGAGCCTATACTTCTCACGGTCGAGGAGAGCCGCGACGGTTATCTGACCTTCTTGATCAAGGTCATCAACGTGCTCTCAGGAGTGCTGGTTGCCGGCCACTGGGGCTTCACGCTCAGCGACTGGGTCAAGGAGGTCATTGGCCGTAGGAGGAGACAACAGAGCCAGGGCATGATTGGCAACGAGAAGGGCTCGTATCACGACTGATATGGGAGCAGTATGCATAGAGTCAAAGGCGGGCGGGTTTCTTTGAATCGTTGATTCCTGGGTTAATCGGAGTTGGGGTTGCGTATCTGGTAAATAGTGACTGAATTGCAGTTGATTCCCCCATTTCTACCCCTGAATATTCGCACGGAAGCTTTCATATCCAAATGATTATAGCCGCTGCTCAGCAGAGACGCACTTCAAGTAACTTACGGTCCTACTAGCCATTAGACAATATGCAACCCTCGACCCATTGCACCCAGACCTTGCCCCGATACACTCCACGTCGTAGTCCAGATCCACCTCCCCGAACCCGACCATTGCGCTTGAGTAATGAGACCCCAGCATTAGCGACTTATCGATACCACCAGAGACCACGCTAGCTACCAGCAAGACGCCATGGTGAAGCCCTCGTCTCCACCACAACTCCATTCCGCAATCTCAATTTTCTTTTACAATATAATTCCCCCCTGAGCCAAAATTCACCATCACCACACAAGGAGAAGCAATTCGCATCTTTCCGATCGTGGCCCGATTGGCTCAGCGGTAGAGCGCCTCACTAGTAATGAGGAGGCGATCGGTTCAACTCCGATATTGGGCATCCTTTGATGTGTTTATCTTTTGCCTCATGTGAATACTTGCGACGTTGGCAAGCAGTATACAAAATTTCGGAAAACTTTAATTTTTGTTCCCCCACCCCACCCCCTCTTCACCCTTTCTACTTGCCTCAGTAGGAGACTTGGAGCACAGCACATAGCCGTCCTCTGGTTCAACAACATATGAGGCCTTCCACAGGGGCGTCTCAGCCGAGCCTCTATACGCGACTCACCAAGGAGTCAACGGAGACTGGCTCGCTCCATCACGTGGACGGAGCCGCCACAGCACATAAGCCTTTCGGATCACAGCGCAGCCACGTCCTCCCTAATTGCTGCCCAGAGGACTGTCGACGGCCAGGACCAAATGCGCGGCTCGGATGTTGCTGCGTCTACCACAGTATCGAGTCATGTGCAGCGAGCGCAGTCATATTAAACGTCTCCATCAAGCGGCCGCTTGTGGATGGTCCAAGATCCGGAATCCGCAGCTTAACCCATGCCAGCGCTGACAGCACACTACCAGCAGCAGTCCTAGGCGGTTGCAGTCTAGGACTTCCCCTGCAAAAGATTTTCTCGCCCATTCATCTACAGAGATGAGTTTGTTTATCATTTCAACCAATAGCTCGTATAACCCCAATCCAATTATCGAACGCCCCAAGGCCGCGATTTGGAGTCCTAGTCGTGGTTCGCTCGCAATGTACACCGCCAACGTGAATAGGAGAGCCACAGGCTATATTTAAGCTTACTCAGCCTTAAGATGAAGCTAATAACACTACCGGACATGATTAGTGGTGCTTTCGCTTTTGCTTCGCCTCCAGATAGGCCGCAGCCCAGCAGGGCCCAGCAGCCTTTTACTGGGCGCTCCAGCGATAGGCGTAAGATGCAGCGACGATCTCCCCAACCAGTCGCATGTTTAGCCCCGAAACAATGCCTGGCATTATCCACTGCCGAGAGGGAACAGACGATGCCAATCGTAGATGCTTTTCAGGCCCCGCCACAGCGGAAGGATCACCATGCTGGCAACCACTATGGCGGGTCTTAACGGGGGGACGGGATGGGGACTTGATCAAGAGCGCAGATCCCACCCCAGCTTTCTATCTGTCCTTTCGACTGCTTCCGACTTGCCGACTCTTTTTGGAAATCTGTGTTCTAACCCGTCAGTTTTTGTTTACTTCGGTCGGGCTGGTATGTGTCTGGCGCATGTATCAGTGACGTGAGTGCTGTAGCTTGTGTGGCTTTGCAGACTATAGGCCCGACTCCATCAAAACTACCTTTGCGCACCTACCCAGGTCCTGCCTGAGCGAGGGCGAGGACGGGCGACATGGACCGCTACAGCAACCTCGAGGTCCACTACAACCAGGACCCGAACAACGCCGCCAACCCACAATCACAACATCCGTCCCCGGATCACTCGAGCTTCCCAGAGGTCGTGCCGGCGGCGGACCAGCATAAGGAGGCGGCCGTGACTCCGGACCCCCAGGGTCAGTCCCAGAAGGAGTATATACCAGCGGCGAACCTCGCGCCCGAGGTCGTCGCTTCACATCAACATCAATACTATAATTCAGTCCCCCAAAATGAAGCCGCCTGGCAAAACACAGATGGCCACGCGGCAGCAGCCGCACCGGAGCGGAGGATATGTGGCCTACGGCGGCGTACTTTCTTCATAGCACTCGCCGTCGCCATCGTGGTCGTCATCGGCGTCGTCGTAGGAGCCGTGGCCGGGGTCCTGACCTCGCGGCAGAAGTCCGCCTCGGGACCGGACAACCCCGACTCGCCCCCGTCGTCCACAAACGTGAACGTGATGGACGTGTCGTCGCTGACGGCGTCCAACTGGACCGACTCCAAGGGGTTCACGCACCGGGCCGTCTTCTTCCAGGACCCGGCCAACGCGCTGATCGGGCGGCGGTGGGACTCGCAGAACCGGACGTGGGCGACGACCAACGTGACGGCCGTCATGGCCAACTCGGCGACGCACCTGGACCCGGCGCCCGGGACGGCGCTGGCGAGCGCCGCGCTCGACTGGCCCAACGCGTACCAGGTGCGCGTGCACTTCCTGGACCGGTCGGACCTGGTGCGCACGACCTTCGCCGACGACCCCGTCAACTGGCCCGACCGCTGGAAGAACGACACCATGAAGGACGCCAAGCTGCAGACGATCCACGCGTCGCGGCTGGCGGCGGCCTGGGAGCGCTGCGCCGACAAGAACTGCGTCGGCGTGTGGACCGTGGCGTACCAGGGTCCCAAGGGCGCCATCAACGTCGCCAACTACACCGACTGGACGACGTCGACCGTCGTGCTCGACTCCAACGTGGTCACGGGCAACACGGCGCTGGCGCTGGTGCCGCAGTACCGGGGCACGCAGGACAACATGGGCCTGCTCAGCCAGAGCTACAGCTCGGGGACGATGGGGAGTCTGCAGGTCACGGCGTATGACAACAAGACGTGGACCAAGAAGAGTGAGTTATTTTCCTGGGCGGGGAGGGGGACCAACGCATGGAGAAACGTTTCCAAACTGACTTGCACTTGCTATAGCGGCCGAGATCATCCCGGACCTCCCGCTCCCGGCCGAGTCGCAGCACGTGGCCGTGACGAAGTGGGGGAGTTGGTCCAAGACGCTGTCGTACACGTCGATGGCGGACGGGACGGTGAAGGGGAGCTGGTGGGACGGCCCTCAAGGGTCTACGGTGAACGCACTGTCGAGTATCCGGTTCGACGGGGGCCCGGCGACGGCCAACTTCAGCGCCATAGCGGCTACCCTGGATGCCATGTTTTACGGCATTATGGGCGACGAGGTACACGAGTATTCGGTGGATAGCTCGGATGCGGCGACGTTGCATTATGTTGGGAGGGTGTACCCCTAGGTCTAGGGCAGCGATTTGCATCAATCAGGAGTCAAGGTTGCATAGATTGGTTGGTATTGAATTTTGTAGCGTCACCGTGATATATACCCCTCGGGTGTCTGAGCGAGCAGGGGATAGACATGGCTCACTTCATTGTCGATGGAATCTCGTCGACATGGATAATTCGCAAGCCGTTCTAAACTGCGAGCCACGCACTGCCCGTATAATGTAGAATTCATGAAAGATCGCAATGAGGACGCTTTATTGCTGTATGAGAGATACGGGGTTGCAGAACACATCACAAATCACAAATCTCTCTGACCTCACTAACTGAAAGATTGTTCATGAAAGATCAAATTGAGCTACCTGAACTACCTGGCGAAGCAATCAAATATACCCATGGCGACCAATCTGGAGGGGTGTCTCATAAGTGAGTGAATCAGGGTCAGAATCTGACCAGAGTTTGCCAAACAGCGGCAAAGAAGAAACCCATGACGCCACAATGACAGAAAGAAATAGCAACACATAGTAACACACGTCGCGAGATATTTGCCCCAATGTCCAGCAGTCTCAAATCCGGAAGAAGTTAGTTCGCATACCAGCGCTTCGTAAGAGAGCCAGTCTTGTCACAAGAAGGTCTATTTCTTGTCCTCAAAGACGTATTCCTCATCAGATGCATCAAGGATATCGTACTCTTCGTCAGTCATGAAGCCATCGTCGGATTCTTCGGCCCAGTCCTCATCCTCAGCGCAGTCCTCGAAGTCATTGGCATTCTCCTGGACCGAAGGAGCCAAAGTATCAGTCTCGGTAGCGACCTCGAGCTCGCTCTCGGACTTGGGAACAAGGATGCTGGAAGCTGGCGACTCGTGGTCGAGCTTGGGGATGATCATGTGGCTCTTGCCCATTGCGGGGACCTCGGAATCCAGTAGTGACTCTTCCTGGTTGAATTCGTCCTTGACCTGCTGCGGGGCTTCTACGGCGACGTCACACCACAGCTTGTGGCCAAACTTGACGCCGTCGCGGGTGGTAAGACGCCAATACGAGATCACCTTGCCTTCACGCTCGGGGGTTCGCATCAAGACAGTGAAAGGGAATTCCTGACCGGGTTGGAGCTGGTTGTAGCAGATGGTCGACTCGGAGGCGGAGATGAGCTCGCGAACACCAGTAGGACGCGTGGGGTCAACGGCACCCATGTAGTCGCCACCTACAAACTTCACAGAGCACCCAGCGGGCCATGCAACCTTACCCTCATTGCGGAGGACCCAGGTCTGCTCGAAAGTGTGGTTAGGAGGCATGACAGTGCCATCCTCCACGGTGTCATGCTTGAACATGGCGACAAGATCGGGCTCCGCAGCTTGCTCCTTCTCTTGGGTCGGAGTGGCCAGCTCAGGCTCCATGACCTCCTTCTCAGAAAGCTCTTGCTGCGTCGGCTCCATCGCGGGCTGAACCTCAACAGGCTTGACATCAACCACAGTCTGGACGGGGTTCACAGCGATGTTCTCATTGGGAGAGGGAACTGTCTCTGTGGAACGAGTGCTAGTACGTTGAGGGAGTGAGGGGTATCCACCGAAGTTGCGGTCTCCCATGGTGGGTAGACGTTGTCCGTTCTCGTGCTCTCCAGTCGTACTCACACTCACGTGGCGGACCGGTGTCTTGAACTTGATCAAGGGGTGAGTCTTGTTGTGAGTGTTGGCGGGGCTAGCCTCGCAGCCAGCACAGAAATCCAGGTCGTGACAGACGGCACACTTGTAACGAACACCAACGATGTACCTCGATCCGGACTGCGTACTTGTGCAGAGAGGACCATCGCAGCAGATACCCGTGTGGATCGATCGAGACGATACTGACCTATGGACGGGATCTGAAAGAGGCTCGTAGATCGGGGCAAATCGGTGGTTCGCGTGGATGAAGCCCGCGTTCTGAACACAATCGGAGCAGTAGTCCCAGTCGGGGCAGTCCAGACACTTGTGGCGGACGCCTCTAATGTAGTTGTCACAACCATCGCAGATGGCGTTGTGGGTAGCGTTGCGGCCAGGGGTTAGACGCGCCGTGATGGAGCTGTCAAATACGGTGCCCGCCACAGCAGGGGCAAAGCTGTGCTTGGGGTGGTGGCCGTGCTGGTCCTTGGAAAAGCAAGTCTTGCACAGGTCGAAATCCTCACAAACATCGCAATGCAAGAACTCCTTCTCGGGGAACTCTTGGACGCAGCAGTTGCACGTCCGTGCCATGAACACGGGGCTCCATGCGTGAACGGCAGCCGCGACCCTCTCCGCAGACCTAATCGGCAGGCTGACTTCGGCCAGCGCAGGCGTGCTCTTCACAGTCTCGATGGGCTTCTTCTCACTCGAAGAACGGCTGGTCTTGGGCGCGATGTGAGTCGTGCTGTAGTTGATCTGACCATCCTGGATAGTTCTCTTGATAAGCCAGTGCTGATCGTTGTAGCATGAGATACCTTGGTTCACACAGTCCTGGCACAGGTCAAAGTCGCCGTCATCGCAGGTGGAGCAGTGGAAGTGGGCATCGGGAACCGCCTTGTCACAGCTGTTGCAGCAAACAGTGAAGGGCCGCCTGAAGCGACTGGAAAATGCCGGGCACTGTGGTGCCTTGGCCTCGTGAGGAGTTACAGTTGCTGCTGGTGCAACTTGAACCGGTGTTCGTGCCTGAGTTTGGCGCTCAGTTCCACGTGCCTCGCGAAGGAGGTCAGCAAAGGAAAGGGTGGAAGCGGTTTGTGAGAATCGGTAGCGAGGTCGGTCCATGGGTAAGGACTTGTCCAACGAGGAGGATTGCTCGGCGACAGGGTCCACAGTCACAAGCGGCTCAGCCGGAGATCCCTGGCCCAGGAAGTCAATAACCTCGACGCCGTTGGTGTCACGGCGAAGGTGGATCCTGGGCATGCCTTTGGCACGCCACTGCTTGATGAACTCGGGGAACTCGTCGGGGGTCTGGGGTGCAACGATCGTCTCAGACGACTCGGCAGGTGCAGGTGTGGAAGTCGAGGGTTCGGAGATCTGCGATGCCTCCTCGGGGGTTGAGGCTTCAGTGAATTTCTCCTGAGAGGATTCAGGCTCGTCCTCGACAGTGACAGGCTTGGGGCCTTTGTCCTCCTCGGGCTCGGTCTCGGTCGGGACGGGGGTAGAGACACGCAGCTTGAGCTTCTGCTTAGCCTTGGCGGCTCGGAATAGTTGCTTGTAGACCGACAGGTTGCCGGGTTCCAACATGACGTATGAAGCGGCGGAGTCGGAGTAGCGCTCGATGATGGTCTTGGTCCCGGCGGGGATGTGTAGGAAACCTCGGAGCTGTTTGGTACCTGCGTCAGCATTGCATGCTTCACTATGATATGGCAAAGTCGACGACGAGACGCTGATATATGGATCTTATCTGGGTACGTCTTGGGGGAGCCGGCCTAGGTCGACTCAAGGAACGCGAAAAGGCACAGATGGCGCTTTTCGTTGGACAAAGAGGGTGTCCAGGTTTGTTTGGTACTGACCTTGGTCTCCAGTGTGATGGCACCCAGCTCACGCAGAGGCAGCTTGAAGCGGCGGGTTACGCCATCGTAGCTGACCTTCAGCGTAATCGGAGTGTCGGGGGTGGCAGCCGACGACGCCATGTTGTCGACTTTCTGGCTGCAAATGTGTCCCGTCAGTAATCAGAAGTCCGGCAGAGAATGTGCGCGTGTAGCTGATGGACAGAGCGCTGCTCTGGAGAGTGGCAACGATGGATGTGTTGCGGGCGTTGTGTTGGAGGTGACGGGAGGAAGTGGCAGAAGGGAGGCAGTGTAGCGTTGCGTTTCAGCGCCGCGGGCGACGAAGGCAACCAAGGTAGGACGTACGTAGTGAATGCTAAAGTAGTCAGGTGAAGTGGAGGGAGCAGCAGCCAACCAAAGCTGGTGCTTATCAGTGGGTCGATCGTGCAGCTGGCGGTGAATGCGGAGCGCGCCTTATCTCGGCTCGGTCTGGGGAAAAGAGGCGTCTACTTACTGTACCGTCGATGTGTAAATGCTGGCGGATGGGGTGGGAGTGTTGATGCAGCAGGAGATGATGACGACGACAATAAAGTGGAAGAGGAGGAAGAGGGAGGATTGAGCTTCCCGAGGCTCTCGCCGCAGTTGATGAGTGAGGGAGAAGGAGGGGAAAAGAGCAAGCAGGTGGTCACGGTCCAGCGCCAGGCCCAGGTTCAGGTCCAGGTCCAGGTCAAGGTTGCGTTGCCTGAGTTGCAGTCTGGTCAAGTGGGTTGGGGCTGTCTGGTGTCTGGTGTCTGGGTGAACGTCACTGAGTGGCCAGCCGGTCGGTCGGTGGCTAAGGGCAGGGCTCTCAGGACACTCCGAGTCAATGGGGCACGGGGAGGGGTGAGGGGGGACAGGAAGGCTTTCCTAGCAGGGCAACGGGCTTCAGGTTGATGGGATGTACGTACCCTTTTGAATGCGACCTGCAGGCAGAAGTCAACCCTCGCAATCCATTCGTCGGTGGCGGCGGGACAAGGAAGGCGTGGGTGAGACGAAGCGGGGGACACAAGAGTTACCTACGACAAGAGCGGCGCCAGGGGGGCCCCAAAGTCCGCGGGTGTCTTCGTTAAGGCTCTAACCGCTGTACCGCGTCCCCAGGCAGTTGATCCCATGTGCCACTAACACCGGGCGGAGCTGCTCACACGCGAGAGGACATGTCAAGCGCGCATGTGTCTAGTTACGTAGGCCGGGATGCCTCGATTCGATTCATAAACCTATGGCGACCACGAGGCAAAAGAAGACGGTGGAAGGGCGGAGGCAATGGATGTCTCCCGTCCTGTCCTTGTCTCTTTTGACCGCAAGGCAAACACAGCTTACACAACACAGTTCTACGTTGAATCAAAGTAATCTATCTACATTTGTTTCCTCAGCTCACGGTGGCATTTTTACTGGGGCGCGAGTGGCGGCGGCGAGTGGCCATCTCGGCAGCCTTACCGAGATCGCGTCGAGCTTGCATTACCATACTCAGCGGTTGAAGACCTCTTCTCCTGTCTTGCTCTAACCGCTTTCTTGAATCCATAGGTCATCCTCAGCAGGGATTGCAAGCAAATTGATAGATCAGGAGAAAGCCAGAGTACGGCGCGAGGCAAAAAAAAATAAGCTCCATAGCTGCCTGCTCTCCAGGCATGATGTCGTGCTTGACTGGCTCATACCACGCCGCACACGGATTGGCTCGAGGCACGTCAGTCAGAGTAACCTTAGCTACCCGATCTCAAACAGCAGTGGTATGGGTGATGTCGGTCCTGAAGCTTGATAGGCTGTCGCCCACGTCTAACCGTGGGCGCCGGAGACTCGTACGACGTGACGATTCACGCAAAGCGACCAGCTGCAGAAGCAGATTCCCTCGCATGCCTCCTCCGAACTGGCAGAGATGGCGTCATGAGACACTGATGCCCTGGAGATACCGGACTCACATGCGCAGTGTCAAGCATAGACGGGTAGTTCACCCAGTCCCCTGAGGGGAGAAGGAGACGGGACCTGACCCTACCCATCGTAGTGTTGCTCAGGCTCTTTAATATTTCAAGGGAGCCTTGCGAGAACAAGCCTTGTTGAACATGGTAAGTGTGAGCATGCTCTCCTCAGCAATCTCGCCATGACTTTTACATACACCCAACGCAAGTCTACCAGTAGTTACGTTCAGGAAATAATCCCATCCTCAGCTCGCATGAATATGAAGAGGGAAGAACCAAAAGAAATGGCTCCAGGAGTTGCAAGAAATGAATCCCGATCATCTCTGACCTATTTCTCCTCGACCATGTTCTCGCGGCATGGAAGTCGTTTACCTAGATGCAACCATAGGGCCCCTCGAGTGTGTGCAATTCCGAGGTCTCTCGTTCACATTTATCTCACAGGCTTCAGCCCGATCAGTGCTGACGCCATGGAACTCGCCTGTTCAGCTTCCACTCTGGCTTACTGATGACGGTTACCACAGTAGAAGTCTAACATGTCACGGGTGAACGGTTACGTGTATCATAGTTGACGGATTACAAACGAATTGGAATGCGGGGGCTCGGCCGGTTATTCTGCTCCCCCTTCCCCGAAAACCGGATGGCTTCGTGTTGGAGCCGCTAGGCCACTGGCTGATGCGGCTCGAGGTTGTAGTTTCGTCTTAGCCTGCACTAGAGCAATTGAGCTCTCCATACTTCGGCTTTAAAGAGATGCCCACGGCAAGCCCACGATTACGGGAGTTCAAGCACAGGAGCAGGAAGCATCGTGCGAATATGTTCTGTTCCGCTCTGCGTATATGTATACAAGGCGGGCGGCCGTGTGCCAACCCATGTCAAGATGGCTCTGATGCCGCACTCCAGTAGCGAGCAGCCAGTGCGTGGTCGTCTGGGCAGATGTGGTTCGGTCAACCAGACTTGGAAGGCGGGGGGGTGTCGGCACCGGCAGGAGAAGACCGCGAGGGACGCTGTGCTCGAGGAACCGGCTATGGAGGGCAGTTATACGTGAATCCGTAGAGTGCCTCTTAGGGGATTGCCGATGCAAGGCAAGGCGCGTCCAGCAATCGCAGGTGAACTCGGCTTGTGCATTGTTTGTTTCGGCGACGATTGCTCGCTGCCAATGCCAGCTAGCGCCTCGGACACAATTGGCCGCGCTGCAACGCACGACAGCGCAGGCATAAAGGCAAGGAAGCCAGGCATCGACGATTTGATTGCATGTACGGGTTCGGATTCGGTCAATGCATGCGCGAGCGAGAGTCGGAAACTGGCTGGCGCTGCATTGTGGGAGGTAACTCGTCTCTCGACGGCATCGTCGCGAGCCGAGCTGGGCGCCTGGATGCGACAGAGACGTTGGGGATGGATGGTGATCCAGAAAAGTAAACAACTCCATTCCACAACAGAGTGATGGCAACATCCAAATGCACTGGCCATTCCTGCGCTGGCCCAATTGGCAGGCTCTGGTTCTGGATGCAGGCCACCCTGGACGGGCGAAATGTCAACACTTTGCTCGACACACCCTGGGCAGACCCCCATTGCCCAGGCTTGCCAGGCCATGAGCAGCCAGCCAGCCAGCCAGCCAGCTAAACTACCTCAAGCAGCCCTTGCAAGCGGCCGGGGCCAGTGGCGCGCCCGCGATCCCCATTTGCAACAGAGCGCCTTGGACTGGCGTCGTTTTTTTCTCGGCTGACACTTGCTCTCCTGCGTGTCTGGACCGGGCCTAAAGCTGCTGGCCGTCTCCGCCTCCGCCTGATGATTTTCAGACCTCCAACTCTCTACAGCTTCAAAAAAAATCCAACAGCCCCCTCCATCACCTAGGACACTATTCCCGTCGAAACCACCGCCTCGTGGGTTCGAGGTCAAGGTTGGCGTCATCGGGCACGGAGGTATATCTCTAGAACCTGTTGTTCCTTTCGCTTCCAGACCCTCCCTTCCGTCCTGCCTTGGGCCGTAATCTAGCCTGTCCACGGCTCTTTTGGGGGAAACTTGTAGGAGCACAAACAGAGGCAGAGAGGCTCTGGACACTGGGCATTGGGAACAGGCACAGAACAGGCACTTTGTTTTCTTTTCTGGCTTAATTGGGTTGCGTCAAGCTTCTCCCTCGACTTATTCTTCCCTTCGTTCGAGCACCGCGGGCGGTTCCACGCACGCCCGCCATCCCGAGCAGCTGTTCTTATCGAGGCACCCGCTGCACGCATTGCCCACGACCCTCCACGCCCGGCTTCCTGCAGAGACGGCACCGTCACGCATGAACTGCCTCTCCACATCCATCACGACGCCGACGGCGCGCGATTCTGCCATCAACTGACCTCCCTCGTCGCCATCTACGTGCATCGGCCATTCGCTCCTGTCAAGCGAAGCCATTCCACTCGGCCCTGGTGCTACCCACGGCCTGTAGAGCCGCACACGCACGCGCTTACATATACACACACACGCACGCACACACACACAGAGCTATGGCGGCCCCTCGACGAAGAAAGATGGTTGCCCGCCGCAGGGTTGATGATGACGGCGAGGATGACTTCGACCTCGACGACGACTCGCTCACCGAAGGCTCCGTAGCCTCGGACGACAATGACTTGGCAGATGATAGCGATACTAGCAATGTCGACGAGACATCCCCCACCTCCCCTGCCGTGCGCAAGGCACATGCTCGTGCCGCTAATGGCCACGCGAGGTCGGGCACCGCAAAAGCATCCGGCAGCTCTGGCAACGAGCCCAGGGGCAAGGCTGGCAAGGCAGCTCAGACAGCCGTTTCGGACACCGAGTTCATGTTAAACGGCCTGACCATCTCGGACAGGACGGAGACGGTTCAGGAGATGAACTTTGAGGATGCCACCACGGAGACCCAGGCCCAGCCTTCCACGCAAGCGGCGGCTCCTGTCATCGTGAGCTCCAGCTCGGCAGCCATGGACCAGCCACAGGATCACCCCCACGATCGACGACGCAAGGAGCACGATGAGTACAGGCGGAAACGGGATGAGGATCCGGCCTTCGTGCCCAACAGAGGGGCCTTCTTCATGCATGACCACAGACACGCTGGTCCATCTACCAATGGCTTCCGGCCGTTCGGCAGAGGAGGACGCGGCAGAGGCCGTGGTGGTGCTATCGGAGGGCCCTTTGCCCCGGCAAGGTGAGTTTCTTCCTCGCGGCCGTGGTGTTCCCCCCATAGTGTGGACGGGGAGTGTGCTAACCCTTTCGACAGCCATCAATTTTTCAACCCATCAGATCCAACAGTTAGTGCACCATGGGCTCACGACATGCACGAGACTGTTGCGGAACCTGCTCGGCCACCACGGCAGCCAATCCACCATCGTCCCACGGTTGATGATGGCCCGCCCAACGGCGACGGCTACATTCCTACGTGTGACATGAGCTCGACGCCCATCAACCGAACATTGTCTACGGAGAAGCGGATCGGCAACGTACAGATCAGGGTGTTTATCCCACCGCTAAAGACGCCCGTCGTGTTTTCGGCAATCCCGGTCAAGCAATACACCAAATTGCCCGATCACCGCCCACCCCTGCGACGAGACAAGCCTGTGCGGATCTCTCTACCCAACTTCCCACCTCGCTACATCTTCCCGGCTACGGACCGGTCGTTCATCTTCATCCCGCGAGCCTTGCGGCCGAATCAGCAGCGTCTGCGTGGCAAACCAAGATCTGGGCTCGGTTCCATTGGGGGCTTCTCGCGGAGAACGAGCGTGTTTGGCGGAAGCTATTACAATGGAAGCCATTACAACGGCAGCCAGTATTCCCCCAGTGTTGCTCTCAGCAGGCGTTCTTCGATTGCGCCGGATATGGGGCGGGACTTCCTCGTGTCGCCAACCGGCTCAGCGATCTCGCGCCCTCCCATGGCCATGGACGCCTCTCGGCCTGTGGTAAGGCTGCCACCACGCGCAGAGCCACAGGGGCCCAGTGTTGATGGTACATATGGAGATCGGGCTTCTGCTGTTGGCCAGACGGCTATTAACGACCTGCCCCAGCCGCAGACTTACCCTCTCCCGCAGAAACCGATGCAAGAGAACCAGCCCGCTGCTATTCCTATGCACCAACCACGGCCGCAGAAGACGGTGTCGGTCCAGAATATTGAATCACCAACCTTCCAGCAACAACAGTCACAGTCGTATCAGCAGGCTTTCCACCACCAGGTACCTGTGCAGGTGTCAAATGGCTTTGCTCACGACTCCCACGCTCGCCGCCCGTCGTACCCTTCACAGCACTCGACAGGCACCCCCTTGTCCCAGATTCCGGAACGTGCCATCCACGCAGCTCCATTCCAGCCCACGCACTTTTCGCAACAAGGCTACTATCCTCCTTACCAGATGATGCAGCAGCCGCCTCATCAAGGTTACTATTATCCAGGCGCAACCCCTTACTCTGCTGCAGCGCCTGCCTTTGTTCCTGGTAATCAGCAGGGCCCACCGCAAGGTGATGGTGCACAGCCAAACGGGCAGATGGCACCTAGTGCCAATCTAGTTGCACAAGAGGTCAACGGCATGGTATACTACTACGACGCTTCGCAACTACCACAGGTCCCACAGGTACCGCAGGTGCCCCAAGTTCCTACCTACCCGCCTTACTCAGCTCCCCAAGGGTATCCGGGGAACAACGGGGTCATGAGCCTCAATGGGGTGGTCACGCCCAGCCCAGACGGGTTTTACTACCCGCAACCCAACACTGTCTACTATCCTCAGTAGATCCGCTGCAACCGATAGCCGCTGCAATTGCATTACCTACCCTCTAATCACTTGCTTAATGCGGGTCCAACATGTTATTGCTTTACTCCAACTCCTAAAAAAGCCTTCCATTGGCATGTTGCATTAGCTGAAGAGCACAAGACTCCATCGCTCGCTTGCTCAGATCCAATACTCAGCTACTGCCCGCCTTCTTGGATTTTACTCTTGTCTTCTGCTGACTGTTTCAAAATGGGCCATTGTACTGGCGTTTGGTGGAGTTTCTGTTTACATCTGCTTTTTCACATCATATGCGGCGGAGTGGCAGAGGCGACATCAGTCGTAGGATTATTGCGGGAGAGGAGCTCGGTGGCGCACTGTCTAATTTTTAAGACACATGGCTGTTGAGGAGCAGTGGATCGGCGGATGTCATACATTGGTTAAAGAGGAGGCGGATAGCAGACGGACGGATAGTTTAGGTAATCCTTGGAGTAGGAGGTGACCTAGAATATTAACCTTATGCATTCCATCTTCATCTGGGTTCCTTTGACTTTGAGCAACCTGTGAAGGGGCAACGTTCTCTCGATTCCCGGGTTTTGGATGTGCAGCTGCATAAGATGGATCCGCGATGAACCAAACATAGGCTGAATATTAAAGGACTCGCGGTGAAAGGGAGAACCACCATGAGAATGAAGTAAACAACAAAAGGAAAGTTGATATCGAGTTCTGTTTCGGGTGAGCTGTTGAGCACTTGATTTGATTCTTTGGGAAGTAATGAATAGGAGAGCATGACGTTGGGCGTTGCTCCGTGCATGTTGGACCTGATGAAAATGTTGTAATTACAAACAGCTCGAGGCCTTGTCAAGCATAACGTGCTAGGATTTATGTCAGGGCTGTGCTTAATGCTAGTTCCCGTCGATATTGGCAGGGTCTTGTATGCAATATAGACCGGCTTGTAGCTTCTAGCTTCCAATACATCTATGTGGACCGTATTCTCCGCCAGCAGTGCATAATTGTACTATGTTCACTTACATGGGAAACGCTCAAGGTCTGATTCATCTGATTTCGACGTGTCGTCCTCAGACTCGTATTGCCATGCCGCATCGCTTTCCGACACGGGTTTCTACCCTCCAACACATCGAGCATCCAGGTTTGTTGAGTCTGATTTGCGCCTCCTGTGTATTCTGCGGGGGCCCTCTGGAGATATCCATTTGCGAGACGGAAGCTCGCATCCCATTCTGTATCACATAGGCTGGGGCCGACGGCGAGGCTACACGAAGCATAGGTAATCATTTGACATCAAACGCGCGGTTAGATGAAGCACGAGGAAAGGGAGCGGCGGTTTCCAACATGGGTTAGCACCTCTACTCGCTCTTCTTGGTTCCAGATACTACATTGACACCAAACGTCTTTGCCATTCTCTGCATATTACCTCGTTGCTTGTTTGATGGGATCCAAGGGTTCCTCATGCAGGTCTGGGAGGACTTGCCTTGGCATAGCCCCGGGTCGCCCAATGACGTTGTGTCCAGCGCCCGATTGGGCAAGCAGGGTTCCCGTAACACAGGTGGGACAACCACGAACGCGCAACACGATTGCGGACAATCGTCAAAACAAGCTCTTCTGCCAAGGCACGTCACACTCCTGGGTGACTTCCAGGAACTAGCCCTCCTTTATCAAGCACCTTCGACGGTCCATGATCGGCAAGGATCCAAGCGTTCTCCCGGCTAGGGCCAATGCATGGAGCGATAGGCAGTAGCCGCTTGCCGGGCTCCATTCAGGTCAAGCTTCTATTCCATGCGTTTATCTGGGTCAAGCAGATAGCTGCCGGGCCCACCCACGACGGGGGGATGCGTTGACAGACTCGATCTGCCGCTGCGCTGTCCATCCATGTCGACTAATCAACCCAGGATTCCCACTCTCTCCGCCATCCAACCAACACTGAACCATCATCTGTTCCGGGGTCCTGGAGCCCCGGGGTTCCCGGAAGTGGGAGCCCTCAATCTGAACTATTGGATGGCGTGTGCATTGGTGTAGTTTCTGGTGAGGCAAGATGACGAAGCTCAGAGAGGCAGCGACTATGTACAGTACAAAGCCGGCAGGGGAGCAACGTGGTACGAGTGGGCAGATGTGTCGTCATAACCGTTTCCTGGATGACAACCTTTGCGGTCCGTGATATCTCAATTCATGCAAGCAAGCAAGGCTTGTCTTTCGTGTTGAACAGGGCTCAGACGACTCCAATGAGTTGTTTGGGTACGAAGCAGTCTCAGAGTAAAGATGTCGCGGGGATGCCATTCCCCTCCTGAATCAACTAGATGAATTGTACGCAAACGGTTGCTCTCGGCATAGCTCAGCTCTGGAGCTTGTGTTCCCATCGACTGTATAGCAAACTAACATGAAGCTATCGGCGATCGGGTATTGGTGGAACCCTGCTCGCAACTATTGGGCAGCACCACCCACAGGCACAACAATCATCACATCACATGTAGAATGAACCAGTTGTCTAGTGGCATGTACCATAGCACGCGCCGGCTACCCTGGTCAACTCGTTCTCCCCATGTTCTGCTCGTCGCACCATACTTGCCGCAGCTTCTGATCAAAACAAGTTATTCCAAGGAGGCGACTGCAGGAACAAGATGTTGTGGATAGGCTGGTGGATGGTGCTTTCCTCATGTTCCACCATGGAGCAGGTCTTTGACCATCCGGCCATTCCATTCAAAAGCATGATCTCTCCCACCTGCGTTGCTCTTCTTGAACCCTCCATATTCCCCCAAACCGCGATCTCCCCCCTCCCCCCATTCTTGCTTGATACCAGTATTATTTGACTATATTTCAAAACTCTCATTTCTCTTACGACGCACTCCAGGATTGAACCCGAAGCCAACATGGAGTCTATCTTCGCTGCTCAGAACACCCTCCGTCAGAACCTTGGCTTGCAGAAGGTCAGGGCCATCCGCAACAAGAACTACAAAGCACATGGCACCAAGTCCTATGTTTACCTGCTCAACCGGTTCGGTTTCGAGCCCACACAGCCCGGGCCTTACTTCCACCAGAATAAGGTTGTCCAGCGTGGGCTGGTCCCACAGTCTTTCACCAAGGCAATTGGTGGTCGCGTCCGCCACGATCGAGTACTTGTGAAAAAGGTTGGCGACGGTGATCAGACTGGCGAGGTTACTGCCGAGGACCAGCAGAACGACTCCATGTAAGTGTGTCACTTAAGTCACCCCGTTGCAGTAACTTCATGCACCGTTACGGTACTAAATCAAGTTCAGGTACCTTTGTGAAGTTGGAATCGGCAGTCCTGCTCAGACCGTTAAGCTCGACTTTGACACCGGATCAGCCGACCTCTGGGTCTTTTCCACGGAACAGACCAAAGCCACTCAAAAGGGACACAATGTGTTTGATCCCAAGAAGTCCTCGACGTGGAAGAAGCTCTCCGGCAAGGCCTGGAAAATCTCTTATGGCGATGGCTCGAGTGCCTCAGGTGACGTTGGCACCGATACCGTGACTGTTGGCGGCCTCGCAATCGAGAATCAGGCCGTCGAGCTTGCCAAGACCATGTCCGACCAGTTTGCCCAGGGTTCTGGCGACGGGCTCTTGGGACTTGCCTTCAGCACCATCAACACTGTCACCTCAGGGGGTGAATCAGACCCCCAGCCCTCACCCGTGGAAAATATGATCACTCAAGAGGACATTCCTAAGGATGCTGAGCTCTTCACGTCGGCCTTCTACAGTGAAAGGGACGAGAAGAACGACTCTTTCTATACCTTCGGCTACATTGACCAAGACCTTGTCAAGGCATCTGGTGAGGATATCCACTGGACGGACATCGACAACTCCCAGGGCTTCTGGCAGTTCCCATCTGCATCTTACTCAGTCAACGGCAAATCCACAGAGGTTAACGGCAATACCGCCATTGCTGATACTGGCACGACTCTTGCTCTTGTTTCGGACGATGTGTGTAAGGCACTGTACGGGAGCATCGAGGGGGCCAAGTACGATTCAGCTAACCAGGGATGGGTCTTCCCAACTACTGTCAAGGCTAGCGACCTGCCCGACTTTAGCGTGGCAGTCGGTGACAAGGAGTTTGTAATCCAGAAGGAGGATCTAGCATTTGCCGCCGCCGGTAGTGGTTACTGGTATGGTGGAGTGCAAAGCCGTGGCACTATGGACTTCGACATCCTGGGTGACAGCTTTCTGAAGAGCGTATACGCTGTGAGTAACCCCTGCCTGTATCCCTTCGCTCTGTACCGACTCTAATACCTTCTCGACAGATCTGGGACCAAGGCAACAAGCGCTTCGGTGTCGTGCCGAAGATTGAGGCGACTCAGAACCTGGACGTTCCGGCTGACTCTGGGGCAGCTGGCCAGTAGGCTCTTGGTTACGACACAAATCGTAAGTTCAGGGTCCAACAGAAGGGACGACAACTTGAATAAGAGTTGAAACGGACGTCCCTGTGCTTCTCGCTAGACAGATTGAGACTGTTCACATCCTTATGAGCTACGAGGTTTTCGTTTTAGTAATTTGGATTATCTGACCATGGACTATAAACACATCCCCAGCTGACGGTAACACCATTGCATGTCTTGTGTCTCACTTCAAGCAATTATGTGCTGCTGTACGATGTCGATCACATATTTGCCATTGACTGTCTAACTGGCATGACCAAACCGTAAATCCAAGAGAGCTCTGGCTAGTCTCCCTTTGGCACCGATACCGGTCAAGTCGATAGTAATACAGGCGAGACGACTGAACAGACAGCTTGCGCGTGTTCGACCACTGGACATTACTGTAATAAGTTTTCCTTAGCCTTGGAAGGTCAAGACCGGCAAGCTTGTGCTCATTGGGGCATAAATATTGGGACACCTTCCAGAGGGTTTCAACCATTACTTCTCATTCCGAAGCGATTTGATCAATGGACCCATCGCGGCCCCCTTCCTTAGTTCAGTAAACATTTTCTCGTCGATCTCCGCACGCTCCTGGCACAAGGCGACTACTTGTTCTACCAGAGACGGCGGCGTCACGACAACGCCATCCTCGTCTGCAACCATGATGTCTCCGGGGTTGATCCACAGGTCGTTCTTGAACTGCAATGGCACGTTCACACGAGATGCGCGGGTGAATGTGTTGGATCCCAGAATGGAGTTCCCCCTCGCGAATACCTGGTAATTCGGCATCAGCTCAATAATTCAACCCTCACACAATTGGTGGCCAGTGGGATCCAACTTGCCGGAAATTCCATCTCCCGGTGTTCGCTGATATCTCTCATCCGTCCATCGATGACCACGCCCTGGGCACCGAGCCACTTAGCCCTAGTTGACATCAGGCCGCCCCAGCAGGCCGAGGGAACGTCCTTTGGCTGCTGAATGTACATGACCGACCCGTCCTCGTTGTGGTCAACGAAGTGCTTGTCGAGCTTGGGTGCAGAGGTATCGCTCATCGCGACCATCTGCACAGTCACCGCGGGGCCGAATACACGGCCGCTGGCGCCCGGCGAGAACATCTTGATCCCGTCGAGAAAGCCGCCGTAGGGATACTTGAGCTTGACCAGAGCATCGCCGATCTAGCTGGCTATCAGGGCTCCTGGCTCAGGTCTACGTATTGGGCAGGCGACTTACATCACACGATGTGAATCTGCGCAGACCTTGCATGGCGCGCGCCGAAGCCATGGTATTTGGATGGAGCGGGTTTATAGATACCGAACCAATTGATAGCCTCGGACTGAGTTATTGACTGGTGCGGTTGTCAATTGAATGTTGAATGTGGAAGCTCTAGGCGCAGCAGGCAAAGCCGTGGGGTTCCTCCGGGCTATGGAGTAGTAATCCCGGACCCACCAGGCACTGGAGAACGATCGTATCGACCGCCGAGACTTTAATTGGGAGACCTGAGTATAGTGTAAACCAGCTTGGATTATGAGATTTAATACGTAACTAAGCCCAACTACAAACAGGACCACGTATATTCGTGCCTAGTTCACCAACAACGCCATGATTGGCTATACCTTGTTCGGAACTTTGACAATCTGAAGGTCTACCTGTCGTCCACGACCGTTGTGTTTGATGTGCAATGCGCCGTCTGTATCCTGAACATACATGGGATGCTTTTGCCCCTGGAAATAGATGCTTCCCAAAACTTTTCGTCTGGGATGAAAGTGCAGGAGGTTCTGGTGCGAAGTATTCGAGAAGCGCTTGGCAGCTGGCAAACCCTCGCAAATTCCACGCAAGCTTGCCCACCAAGATTGTAACTTAAGGCAACGCCATGGTCGTAATACGTGGCAGCTGAAGGCTCAAAGAAGATAAGACTATTATTACGGAGTACATGCAGTTCGGATTGGCTCCTGTACCCTCAGGCGTTTCCGCCGCCGGGCAAGGGTGGAAGTGGGGCTCGCACCCAGAGCTGACCCGTCTGACCTCACCTCAGGATCGCGCCAGCCTCGTGGGAACTGTACATTATTTCACAATGAAGCATGTTTGCCTACTGACCCGGAGGTCGTCGCTGTGAGTTGAGAGTCTTTCTAAAGCTGACAACCGTCCCTGAGGCCGGGAAAGGCGTCACAAATTGCCGAACTGCAGGGCCGCGGCCTCTCTTTACGCTGACGATCATGGATCCCATCAGCGCCATCGGCGTTGCGTCAAGCATCTTGACGTTCGTGGAGTTCTCATCTAAGCTGATCAATGGCATCTACGAGGTGGCTGGTTCGGCAGATGGCACCACTGAAGACAATGTCCACATCGCCACTGTCATCCAGGATCTAGAAAACGTGACTGATGCTATAGAGGTCGATTTCAAGGGATCTTCCAAGCATGAGAAAGAGTTGGTTAAGCTTGCAAATAAGTGTGCCGCCCTGTCGCGCGATTTGCAGAAAATATTGAAGTCCATCAAGGTCAAGCATGGCAATGCGTCCTGGCAGACTATCAAGGCGGCCTGGAAGTCGGTCACCCGGAAGGACAAGATCCAGAGCCTGGAGAAGAGGATTAGTATGTATCGGAGCGAGTTGATACTTAGACTTCAGGTTCTACTTGTGTAAGTGCTACTGCGCCAAACGACCTCGAACTTGACAAGTTAACAGGTCATAGGGACCAAAACTCCCCAGTCAAGGCTCATCTCGACAGGATAAGCAAAGAGGGAGAATCACTAAAAAACTTGACATCAAAAAGGCTCAAGGAAACACAAGAAACTTTGGAAGAGGTCCTCACTCAGTTAAAGGCTGGTAGCGATTCACAATTAGAGCAGAACGATGCGCTCGCACAGATTCGCGACGAGCTGAAGAATCTAAAGGACATGTCAGAGTCGGCTGTTCAAGAGAACAGTGTATTGGAACGACTTTACTTCGCCGATCTATACTCCCGCGAAGACGCAGTGGCCGACCCAAGCGAGCATACTTTTCACTGGATCCTTGGACAAGCCCTGGACATTAATTCGGCGGCTGAAACAACGAGCATCGATGGTGACACCGAGAAACAAAATGATGCTCACGTGAGAGGAGGTGACGGCCATGAAGAAAACAAGGCAATGGAGCAGATAAGTGATACTGTTGGAGCCAATGACATCTCCAGTGATAATCCTCAAACGGGGTTGGAAAAACACGACCATGACGATATCAGCATGCCTGCGATCAACCACTTGGCAGTAGACGAGCCTCATTCGGAAACCCCAAATGACAGAGCACTTGGGACGTCGTTACCTGAGAGCGGGAAAATCGATGATACTCAACAATTCACGGACGGTTCATCTCAGGTAGCCACCGCAACCTCTCGCCCACCGTCCCCGCAACCGGCTTCTGGCGCAGGGTTGGATAATTCAATCTCCATCCACGACTCGCCGGAAAGGGCCGAGGAAGAAAGTCGACGTGGACAATTATCTCAAGATTTCTTGAAATTCCTTCGTGAGGATAACGGAACGTTCTTCATCAGTGGGAAGGCCGGTTCAGGGAAGTCAACATTGATGAGTAAGTTTCCTTCTCTTGTGTGTTGTATGCTTGTCTTTATGATATGTCCAACAACAGTGGTTTCGGACGTTAGGGGCTGCTCTAACTGACTGTGAATGAGCATTTAGAATTTCTTGGCTCCCCAGAAAATGCTGTCGTTCGCGATTCTCTGCAGCTGTGGGCTAGCGACCGCAAATTAGTATTCGTCTCACTATTTTTCTGGAGTGCTGGCTCAAGACTTCAGAGAAGCTTAGAGGGCTTCTACCGATCACTTCTCTCTCAAGTCCTTGGCCAATGTCCGGAGCTCGCCCACTACTTACTATCTACAGCTATTCCTTCGTCACCTTTGGGAAACCACCCGTTCAGACTTTCTGAACTGAAGCAAGCAATTTCGGAACTAAGCGCAATGAGATACCTACCCGGGTATCGTATATGCTTTCTCATCGACGGCGTCGATGAATATGAAGGCGACGTAATGGACCACTTGTACCTAGCCCGATACCTGCGTGCCTGGTCTCAGCACCCCAACGTAAAGATTTTGTGCAGCGGAAGACCTCATGCAGAGTTTCTGGATACCTTTAGTCAGTCTGGCAAAACTATTCAAATCCAAAATTTCACGAGACACGATATCTACGAGTTTGCATTCAAAACTCTCCAGGAAGAAAATCAGTTACGACCAGGTCCGCTGAAGCTATCGAACACCGACCTATCGGACCTTTCCCACGTGGTTGTTGACCTTGCAGAAGGTGTCTTCCTCTGGGCTTGCTTGGTTGTGCGTTTACTAGCTACGAAAATGGGTATCTACGAAAAGGAAAAATTGTTGAACCTTGTTGCGCAGACTCCTCGGCAATTGCACAAACTCTACGAAGAGATGTTAATGAAGGCGGACCAGTCAGGAAGACGCAAAGGGGATAAAATGCTGATGCTAACGCTTCATAATCCCCTCGACAAACCTCTGAATGCAATGACGTACTCCTGGTTGGATGAACTTGACGATCCGACGTTTCCTTTCTCTATGGAGCCTTATGGAATAAGTCAAACTGAGATACAGACTCGCCTGGATACTGTTCGACGTGAGCTCAGCGATCTGACTGCCGGGCTCTTAGAGATGAGGGAATATCCCCAAAGGTTTCAGCGCGATCTTGAGAAACCCAAGTTCCTCTTCTACAAGTACAGCGTGGAACCTTTTCATCGCACAGTGAAGGACTTCTTGGTCCAAGACTGGTTTGGAGGAGAGACGCACACGGCTGCTATGCAACCTATCACTCGAGAAGTCTACTTCAAGCTCACATTAGCTGAGTTAAAAGCGACAGTCTCGATGGAGTACTGGAATACTAGTCCTGAAGACCTTGAGCCTAGTCCGTGCTTTACGCACTTCTACAACAGGTATATTGACGAGTTTTCTTCCTTAGCAGGCTCCTCCCGAGGACCCCGTGGAACCGAGAAAACAACACAGGTCAACGATAATCTTATCGAGCAATTCGAGCAGGTAATACAGGCTTACCAGAGCTTGCTTGATAGAAATGGACAGGGGCATTTTCCTGCCCTTCCGACCGCAGGACACGTGTCTCTCGGTGATGATCATCACCGCCTGTTCAGCTCGACGATCGGGCCGTCGTTGGTGCATCTAGCTTGCCATGAAGAACACCCAGGGTATGCGTTGCGCCAGGTCGACATCTGCCGACATATCAGCGAAGTTGATTCCGCCGATAGGAGTTTGCTCCTAACTGCCTTTTACGAGTCCCACGTTGACGTAGCTTGTAAAGCCATCGACAAGGGTGCCAGCCTCAATGCTCAAGTCAACGTCAGGCTATACCACCCAGGTGAAGATGCCGAGAGCGGCGAGAAATATCGCAAGACAATTCAGAGCGTGTCACTCTGGTTGGTTATGTTGAGGGTTCTCATGCTCCGAATCTGCTATCTCAACGCCCCATTCAATTACGGCGGATGGGGCCGACCCGTGGACAGAATGGCCGCTATCTTGGCTTATGCTCTGCGCCATGGCGATAAGGTTGACACCGACATTGTCGTACTTCTCGCGATCGACGCTGATACCAGACCTACTACGCCTGGTAGTGAAAACTCGAATGGAGCCATAGCAGCTGATGAAGCAATACCACCACCGAGCCGGTCGAACACTGGGACCAGCGCAAGAGAAGGTATTCAAACTGCGAACGAGTCGAAGAATATACATTATATAGACCTCGAACAAGTAATAGATCTCTGGGTAGTAGGCAACGACGAGAACGACGAGGAGGACGGTACAGCGGACATCAACTTCCTAAGAGACCACCTGGTGGCGTCGATGCAAGGCTATTGGCGTTCGAATTTGGTGAAATTATGGAGAGGGGTTCCAGAGTGGATGATCACGCGGAAAAATACGTCGAGTAGTCTCGCCGGTGAGGCGAGAAGAAACTACCCGCGCGCTGATGTGAATCAGTACAGGAATGATTGGATCCTACATGGTGTAGTATCAAGTACCGAGAGCTTCGTTGGTGACTTTTGGGTGGCTCTCGCTTGAAACTTGAGAGTAACTCGATCTCATATTAGCCTGGTTGTTTCTGACGCTTGAGTGATGGGGTTGGTTTGGGTTGGGTTGGAGAGAATATACACCCACTTTAACGTATCACTCTTAACGACTCTTCTCCTCGTGTTCGGTGCTGTTATGCTGTAGCTATATAAATTGGGCCAGCTTGAAGTTATCATCATTCAAAGTGATGGAGGAGTCGAATCGTGTCTGTTTCAATGCCATGTAACACTATAAAATTCGGCCGCATTCCCACTGACGCTGCTCGGAAAGGGAACGGAACAACGGATTGTTGCACCCCAATAACTTCATGTGCCTTTGTAACGGCAGCTTCTTTGTGGTTTGCTTTACCCCATTTATTGAGTAAACAAGAACTTTGTTCCTATCCTGATGTCTGCTGTGCAAAGGCCTTTTTTTCAACAATATGGTTGTTGAATGGCTTGCTCAGCTATATAAAACCCTATTCTCTACTTCATCATCAATCCACAGAAACTGCCACAGATCAGACACTCAAGCGCAATGTCACCCCTTCAATCGAAAAATTGGCTTGGAGACCGGAAGGGTCACCACCTTGGTTGGACCAGGTTATACTTTCCTCATGATGGTATGCAGGGCGCAGACCAGGTGCCGGATGACAACTACGTGTGCGAATGCGACTCTGAAGAGCCCGGGTATAACCCCAACGCTTGTGATGAGGAGCTCTACAAGCCTGTGCAAGAGCCCTTCGTAGTCCCGCCACCTGTCATGGTCCCTTACAAGAAGCAGAAGCGCGGCGCTCCCGTAGGCCGCCGCGAGCTGTTTGACAAGCATCGAAACCACGCTCCAAGCCGGACCGGTGCCATTTTAAACGGTTCGGTTTGCGAGGCTATCTGCCTTGACGTGCCTTTTCGCTCCCAATGTTGCAAGGCTTATGTGACGAAAAGGGCCAAGAGTGCTAAGCGAAAGGTCGATGATGATTTGAAGGAGCAGGTTCGATCCTTCCAAGACGGAGATTTTGAGCTGGCAGAGGAGGAGATAGCCAAGGAATACCAGATAACCAAGGACGAAGCAGCCTTTGATAAAATTGTATGGTATACCAGTGGTTTGGACCAATGGTGCGATGAGGATGAGGATGATGATGACGATGGTTATTGGAGGACTTACACGCCTAGGATACGTCTATAGGTACCTTGTGTATACAAGGGACCCCCGTGGCTCGGCATGTACAGAGAGGCTTCTCAGATAAGCCGTTATTAGGGTGATCACGATTTATGGAATGTGCTATTCCTAAAGATAACAGACGTGCATCGATATACCAAATTCAATTTGGTACCAGTGACCGTGTGATCACTTGGAAGACCTAACCCATGTGGAACTTTATCAGTTCATGATCCAAATTAATTGATTATGCTCTATACCCTGGCACTTTGAAAGTGACAATCACGACGCGTAACTTGCACCACTATCGGAAAGCTTGTCGAATATACGCAGGAACTTAGGCTATCTATCGCAAGTGAGGGCAAGCTTGGTGCTTCGAAGTAGACCAGTTGCCAGCTACTGTCCATCTTCGGTCGGGCTATCTCGTTTCCAAGGTAGGTGGGTTGGTGTAGGGGGCGGCGGCCGCAGCAACGGGCTAACAGTCAACCCGCACGCCGGCACCTCCACACCAGGGAGCGTGCCTGTTTTCTACAACCAAACTATGGAGTCACAAGCAAAGATCAATCCGTAATGCAACTTTCTCCAGTATGTGCACTGCACTAAGGACACAAATGTGCAAACGTTGGTGGGAGAACCGTTGAAATGTTGTTCCATTTATAGGATAGGGTCATGTTCTCGTCCATTTGCTCATTTGACTTCTTTAAAGACCAGTCAGGTATCTTAGTCTTGGAATGTCGTGAAGTGAATGCACCTTATTAAGCGTTGCAAGCCGAACGATCACGAGCATGAGACCAAGTTGAGGGACGAAGTAGAGAGGCTAAAGAGAGGTGGCTAATAGTGGGGAATTGCCTGAGTTATTGTGGCCATGACTGTCGCTCCGACTACATAGGACGCATCAAAAGAAGAGATCAACACGGGGTGTTTGTGATCTTCGAACAAGAGAAAGCATGAGTCAAGAATAGACAAAGAGGGGGGGCGGCGGCTGGTAGATTGGTAAAAAGAAGGTGAGGCGGACGTTTGAGGCTCGAACGATTGGAGATAACCTCGGACAGGAGAGATGTGGACGTAATTTCAGAGATTAGAGTCGCCCGATGCACGATGTTGGGATTCAAACATGAGTGTGAGGATTAGCTAGTAAAGTCCTTTCAAGTGGCCTGTATGTTTTAGTGCCATTTGAATAAGATGCCGTTCACAAAACCAAGACTTGTGCGCGCTTTTGTCACAGTGATAAATGCCGTGTAGCTCTTACTAGACATATTGAAAACATGAGAAGGCCAGAATACCCATAGGAATCCATATATATGGTTGTTGCTAGGTTGATTTAAATACCAGCGTCAACTGGGTCCCTTCTGTTACCTATGGCAATCTTGCTGCACCGTTACTTAGTTACATTAGACGAAAAAGATTTGCGTCCCTGTCATGTATCGCCAAGACATACTTATCCCTTAGTAGTAACGATAGTACTTCTTACAGTTTAAGGCAGACACAAACCTTATAAAATCTGCAGCCTATTAGAAAGCAATCCAGACAAACGCATTAGAAAACCGGACACAGCGAAATCAGACGTACTCTGGGCCACAAGCTGCAACCAGATATGGCTGTGTCATGTGGAGTTATGAGGTACAGTAACTTGTATTGTGTTATTCAGTACTGCACTATGTTGACGAAGCAGGTATCTTTGTACCGGTGCCCGAGCAATCCTCGTACCTAGTGCTTCACTTGAAGTAGTACATCCAACATGTCCGGTTTTCTAGTACATCTCGCTGCCGCCTATTTTAGGAGCATATCTTCGTTGTAAACTCACTTCCACCTGGCAGAGAAACCGCGAGGTTCACGTTAAAGTGCACTGTTCTCTAGTACGTCTGTATAGAGGTTAAATGAGGGATGTATCAAAGTTAGAGATGATAGCTAACCCTCATGCTCGCCAGAGTGCGTTCACTAGTATTTGTGACCCGGATCAGCCCCTTATCTAAGCCACTTCTCCGAGGCCTTGACCGGAGGCTCGAGAGCATCAATTTCTGGAGCTTTGTGGCTTGGAACTCAAAACTGCACTCTTTTCAATCAAAACTTATTCAAAGAAATCAATACTGTGACCTGTTGGTTACCGCAAGCATTATAGAATTATTAGAATCTTGATTTGAATTTTCATCCCTCGTTCTGGTTAAGTATGAGCTTTTCCTATCGACAATCACGCTGTTTAATACGGGTGGCCCGGTTCACGTGCTGGTCCGATTCTGGGGTCCAGACGTTACAGTACTAGCTTCTCTGTTGTCTGTCCAGCGAATGGCTTGGCAATACTTGAGAGAGACTCATTTATTTTGCACTATGGTGTAACTGCAAAATTTTACTCTATCTGAAACATAACTTTGCAAAGCAAAATTTAACGCTTCTAGACGCTTGCTTCCTCCAAAGCTACTTTACAACTAGGCTCTAGCACCAAGGTCGCTGAAATGCCCCTTTGAAACATAGAGAGACCGAATACCACGGTAAGCTACATCTGCATCTGTTCACTGGTTAGCGGACTCCGTAGAGGTGAAGTCGAACCGTTCGACAAAGCAGGAGTCTTGGCTTGATAGATAGATCTGGTTTGAAAGAGCGAGCACCAGGCATCGTGGGCTCATTAAGTGAAGCATTCCCGTCATATCCTGTCTTGGCTTTATCTTGACTGTATGCACACTTAAAAATCATATGGCTTCCAGCGCTCATCTTGGAGAAGAACCAGCACCAACAACAGCATTTGCTTACTTCGCCCGCATCAATGTCGTCGCCCACTTCTAAATCATTAAACACCCTTCATTTCATGATCCTCTTCTATTCTCCATGGGCTCCTACCAAGTTCGATTACTTTGAGGTATTCAAGGCTGCCTGACCCCTGTCCATCCGCACCTATAAAAGCCAGACGTGCCCTGTTGGTTGACCTTCACGGTTCCCACCCCCATCCACCCCATTCACCCTCTATTCTCCTGCTTCTGCGCACTACAACTTTCAAGCGAGTAGCCCATTGACTCCAATCCCAAGCAAGATGGACCAACGACTGCCTCTTATTCTTGGTGCATCTATCATGGCCACACCGTCAACACTTCAGTTATGCCTTGCGATAGCTGTCATTGTTGTTTCTTGCAAAGTTGTTTCCTACGTTTTCATGTCCTGCATCACACTCTTTAGCACCGGAATGCTAGGTGAGGTTTCCGAAGAAGGTACGCGATCTCGTTCAGATATACTGACTGCTTGCGCTAGCTCAGCTACAGTCCTTACGAGCCTCGACCCCCGCCCCAGGGACTCAGTTATCTGCGAACCGAGAGCCAGCAGTCGCACCACCTGCACCACGACAGATGCAGCCGATAAGTCAACAAGCAGCTATGTCAGGCCCCGTCTGTGCATACCCATATAAACCTGGTAGTGACATTGATCGTCAGCATCCCTTCATAACTCGTACTTGCAACTTGAACTGATCATTGCCGATGCAGGCTTTTGGGTCGAATACGAAGGACAACGGGAGAAGAGATCTAAGTATTTCTATACACCACGCCCTTTGATGGCCTCTGAATGATGCGATGCTCGTCGCTTCCATCAAGTAACCGCACTGGGTTGCAAGTCAAAAATATGATCGCAAGAGTTTAGCTGCCATCAGTCCCGTTTGACTACATGGCATTTAAAAACGCCCGACCGGGACCCAGCTTCTCGGTCTCCGTAAAGGCAACGAGTGTAGAGGTTTCCCATCACAGAATGAACAACATGCTTTCAGATGAGGCGTCATTGATTTCCCTCCACATTGAAAACTTCTTCATTTCATCCTAAAAGAAAAGAGATTAAAAAAAAAAAAAAAGGCTTAAGGGTCGTTGGTTATAAGGAGACCAATACAGTTTCTTGAACTGATGTCAATGGTAGTGGAAGGCTAACAGACGTCTGCATTTGAGAAACGGAGCGTGGGTCTCTGTCGAAACTGGGTCATAGATGAGCCATGGGCAAAAGACAGAGCTAGCCTTTGTCTTAGCTGCCAAGCGCAATGCGGCCTCACGCGTGGGTTTGAAGTGTGTAGTAATGGTAACAAGATAGACTGGCTTTTATTTGCAACTCGCTCATTCCAAAACTTGCCTCAGTGTCTGTTATTAAGCAATTATTATTAGTTTGAAGTTTGCGCTTGATCTGAGCAACCCGCATTGAATCTGCCTCCGTAGCGAATTCGCGAGTGGCCTAGAGCTGTTGGTTGCCCACTCTTTTTACCTTGAGATCCTTGAACGTAGGCAAACGTGTTTGGTTTCCAATGCAATAGAACGCAAAAGGATATCCTGTTGGAGATTACGTTTCCACTTGACACCACGCGGGTTCGACTCTATTGGAGCGACGATTGCAGGTTGCGATAATAAGGCCCCAACACGCAGCAAGTGAAATATCACAGCGTGCCCCTTCCCCGGCGACCCCGACCCCCTGGGCGAACAAGGTTGGGGCTGTGATACCTCCAACTTCTCTGCAGTTCGATACTCTTCTGTGTCCCATCCAATCTACAGGCCATGATTAGCGCTCATGATTCATAGTATCGAACATTGTAAATTATTTTTGTACAAGAAATCGTAGACAAGCCTTCCCAGGATAGAGCGCCGTTCTGTTATCGGGCTGATCGAATGGGGTTAAAACGGCCAAGCCCATAGGCAGCCGGATCTTATCGTTGACTACGACAGACATGATTTGGCTTAAAGTACAGTGGCATGGACCTTCGACACCATTGCGGCTGAGATTTTTGGGCGGATTCTATCGCCCATCACCTGTAAAGTTTTCTTGACATCCGTAGTCGTGGGGTCTGTTTCAAATATTTTGGCAGGTTAGCTGAAATTATTCGTCCAACGTATCACTCGGTGATTGGCCTACACCTTCAGGTTGCCTGTTTCAGCAACATAGATTATGATTTCCGAACCTTACCAGTTTGGTCTTCATCTCTTCTTAAGATCGTCCGTGAATTCCAATCCTGCCGCTGAGCGCTACCTTCTGAGCAGTGTATGAGATGAGGGACTAGACTTTAGCATCGATCTAACCTAACAATCATGGGTGGGTGAAAGAACTAGTTCAAGGAAAACGTGGACAAGTTAATCAATACGAAGATTTATGACTAGCCTGGTCAGGAGTCCTAGATGTATGCACTAGGTTTACTTACGTTGATTTTTGATACTCGTTGATTGTCCTGAGGGTCAAAGGGCTAATAGTTGACGTTATAAACTTATTCGCCCTTCTTCAAATGTATAGTACAGATCATAATTCATGGCTTAGTGAGGCCGCTATTCGCAGAGCCTGTCATCACCGTAATCATGTCTTTTGTATTCCACGAAAGATTTCCAGTGAGCAGCGCTTGCACTTCGAAGAAAAAGTTCACTGTGTGAAGAGGAAGTCGTCAAGCACGTAGCAACGGAACAGCCTGCGTAACGTGGCGACAAAGAATGGAAGATGCGGCCACAACATCGAGACCGTTGGCTGACGCGTTTTCTTAGGATAACGGAGACCGGCTTCATTTGATATATATAAGCAACTACGGTCACTCTTTTCTCTAGCCGCCCCACGCGAGGCTGATAAATGACGCCAAACTCCAATTTTCGTATGGTTTTCCCTGTTATATTCATGTCCGGCCCCGTATAGAGCCTTAGAGAGGGAGCCTCTCATGCTTGAACCTCTTCTGGCCCTCACCCTCACCATACGCGGCCGTCACCTGACCAGCGCCCCGGATCTTGTACTTGTAGATCATCAGGCCCTCCAGGCCAACGGGGCCACGCGAGTGGATCTTGTTGGTGCTGATGCCGACCTCGGTGCCAAAGCCGTAGCGCATACCGTCGGCCAGGCGAGTCGGTGCGTTCCAGTAAACACCGGCTGCGTCAACGCTGGCCATGAAGCGCTCGGCGAGCTCGGATGACGACGTCATGATGGCGTCTGTGTGCTTGGACCCGTGGGTGTTGATGTGCACGATGGCCTCGTCGATGTCGCTCACGGTCTTGACGGCAAGATCCAGCGAGAGGAACTCGGTGTCGAAGTCGGCATCTTGAGCATCTACCAACTTCTCAGAGCTGGAGGCTGAGAGCTTGTTTGCCAGCGCTGCCTTGCTCTTCGCGTCACATCGCAACGTGACACCCTTCGCGATAAGAGCCTCGGCGGCAACGGGCAGTAGTGTTTCTAGGGCAGACTCCTGAACCAACAGGGTCTCCAGACTGTTGCAAGCGGCAGGGTAGCTGGTCTTTGAGTCAACGATGACATCTGCCGCCAGCTTTGGCTTGGCAGATTGCTCCAAAAAGATCGAGCAGAGGCCATCGGCGTGACCCAGGACGGGAATCTTGGTCGATGACTTGATGTACCGCACCAGCTCGTTTCCTCCCCGAGGAATGACAAGATCAATGTACTTGTCTAGGTCAAGCAGTTGCGGGATAACATCCCTGGTCGTGACGAGCTGGACGGCGCCATTTGGTACTTGCGTCTTGTCCAGCGCTTCTGAGATGACCTTGGAAATGGCAACGAAGGACTCTGTCGACTCTTTTCCACCTGTCTTGTAGTTAGTATCCCGGTCAAACAAGCATTGAAGTAAAGAAAGAATTTACCCTTCAAGATTGCCGCATTGCCCGACTTGACGGCCAATGAGGCAATGTTGGCAATGACTTCTGGCCGCGCCTCGAAAATGATCAACAGAACGCCAATGGGACAAGTGACTCGTTCCAATTCCAGGTTGTCATCCAGCTTTGTCCGGAGCGTGACCTTGCCGACTTAAACGTAGTCAGTGAGGCGGTGGTACAGCCAACGTCGGCGCATATGACTCACCAGGGTCATCGAGGTCCTGGACGTCCAGTATGCCCTTCAGCATGTCCTCCCACTTGCCCTTCTTGTTCAGATCCAGGCGCGCCACCAGGCTCTGGCTCAGCTCGCCGCTGGACGCAGCCTTCCGCGCGAGCTCCAGGTCCCGGGCGTTGGCGGCCAGGATCTCGTCGCGCGCCGCTGTGAGCCCGGCGTGGATGGCCGTGAGAGCGTCATTCCGCGCCGATGCCGGCAGTGTCGCCAGGATGTGGGAGGCGCTCTTGGCCGCCTTGGCCGCATCGGCGGGCGAAGCATTGGTCAGCGACATCTCGGGCGGTTTGGGTAGAGCGCAAAGAGGTGGCAGTTGAGCAAGACTTTTTGGTGATGGCCAAAGTTGACTCCCGCCCTAAAATTTTGGTGTTGGCTCCGAGAACCGCAATTACTCACTCAGCTTCTTAGTTACAAAGACTAGGCCGGAGGGTCACCTTGGGCAAATACTTCCCACCGCCGCCAAGCTGGTAAATCAGGAGATTTGAGTCTTTGTCTCTAAGTCAAGACAGATCTCCGACCTGGACTTTCACTCTTCACTTGTATAAACGCCGGTTCAGGGAGCGTTACTCGCGGGGTTCGAGCGCCGCGATGGAGTAGTACAAGCCCGGCAAGACCCACCTGCTTATGTACGCAGTATAGGAATCCCACCTTTACGGCGTAAAGGCTTTCGAGAACTTTCCCAGAGCACGACTTGATCATGAATAGATGCCTTTGTTATATGTATTATTGTTTCTTATCATATAAGTACAATGATTCGGGCAATTTGCACAGCTAAACTGGTCGCAATTGTGCCTGAGGTCGTCTTCGAAATCTGGGATTGAAAAAGATCTGCAGCCCAGGCGTCTTTTCGTTGGCCTGCGCAAGGCGGTTTTGTTCATTTTATTTATATACCAGCGTCTTTATCGTCCATCTCAGTAGAAACCCCAGTGACCCGCCTCGGTGCTCCTCAAGAAGTCACCGTAATATCCTACGAGCTCCCTGACAACCGAGGCGGCCATGATGCGCCGTATCCACAAGTCTCCGAACGAGCTATGCAGGGTATTTCAATCTGGCAAGATGCTCGTGTAAATGCTCAGCCAGCTTTCCTCAGTGAGTTATAGTGTTCCCCAAGCCCGTACCCGTGGCGGTAATACGCCAGCCATATCCGGCCCCTGTCGGACGGTGTACTCGACGGCTCGATGGTCTCTGTCCGGCCGTCCTGCAGCACCTTGATCTCGACCCCGTACACGTTCGCCAGCGCCATGAGCTCGAGCTGACCGCCCCACTCAGCCGTGTCCCTGATCTTGGCGATGTAGGCGTCGAAGTCCTCCTCCATGAAGGGCGCAAAGTCGTCACGGTGGCCGCGCATGTAGTCCGTGGCCCGCCGGCGCACGACCTTGTAGGGCAGCTGGCCCTTGGCCTCGGCCTCCGGCGCCAGCGCGGTGCCCTGCTGCGTCAGCTGGTCCGCGACGGCCGAGAATAGGCAGTGCCCGTCGGGCTGGATCTCCTTCTCGACGAGCCCGTTGGCCTTGAACTCCTTGAGCAGGTACGTCTTCTCGATCGCACGGTGGTCCGTCATGCCTTTAGCCTCTTCCTCGGCCGCTACGGCGGCAGCCTCTTGTTCAGCGGCGCGGCGGGCCATGCGCTCCTTCTGGCGGTTCCGTTTCTTCCCGGCTTGCTGTTGTTGGTCGTGGCTCGGCGGTGTCTCTGCGTTCGATATCGATGTGTTCTCGAGCTGTTCCGCCACGCCATTCACGGCTGGCGTGGTCGCCTCGGCCGCTTGGTCTTGTGTCGAGCCATTGATCTCGCCGTCGGACGCTGCATCGTCGCCAATGGGCTCCCCGCTGAGGGCTGCCAGCTCCTGCTCTTGTTGCTCCTTCAGCCGGCGCTCGAGCTCGGCGCACTCGTCGTTCACGCCCTTGCGCGTCTTCTTTGTCGCATTCTTCTTCTTGCTCGTTATGCGCCCCTGCAGATCCCGCTGCTCCTTGCGATGCCGCGCTTGCAGGGCTTCTAACGTTTCCATTATGTGTCGTGATGCAAACCAAGGCTCCCTGCCTTCTTTTCAGAGCCTTGACAAGGCTCCAAGGCTCGTATGCTGGAAAAGCTAAGAAAATCTGATTCGGGTATTGTCTCCGAGCGTTAGGTCTCTGGCAATTTTCCTGGCAGACGGCGATTCTTCCTGATGGATGGAGGGGCTCAGGGCGCCCAAGTGGCGCTTGGCGGGGTAATTGCACACCAAAAGTCCACGGGTTACAGGGGTTCGGGAGGACCCGCTGGCCCCGTCAAGACTGCAGATGCATGGAGCCTGTGTGACCTTCACAGGGGTTGATGGGAAGGTTACCTTTAGTCTTGGAAGGAAATCAGAGGCATTTGATAAGGGCTTTAGAGCAGAAGATTCCGAGTGTTGTGACGAAGATCATTGGATGCTTCAGTTGAGCTACCTAAGAAGTTGAAGATTACTCTATATACATGTAAAGTCTTCTCTTGACCTGAGAATGATGTACCGACACTGGCCTCGAGACCAGATTCCTTGATATTCTACCCAACCCTCGCCCCTAATCCTACATCGCTCGGGCGCTGACCCTCGTCAATCGGAGGGGAAAGACGGCGAGACCCTCATCTCCTCGAGAATGGGGTAGCCTAGAATGCGACGCAAGTAAACAGTGTGAAAGTGACTGACTCGAGCAGTATGTGTAAGACTCCATAGTTGTCTCAGATACCATGGGCCACAATGGTTTTGTGCTCCTGAACTCCGTGCCCAATGATAAACAAATCGCCTCAAATTTCAAAACGTGCAGAATCCTCGCAGGCTCGCAGGAAATGCTCGCACTAGGGGTATCGGGGTATCTCTCGCGCGCGCAAAGTGTTTTTTTGTTTCCTCCTTCAGTTCAAACTTGGCTTTGTGCCTCAGCCATCTCAAACCTAGAAACCCTTGAAAGGGTCATCACGGAAGTAGTCCTCCTCACCTCCGGTCCTGCTTCCTCCATGCCAGTCGTCCGTGCCGCGCGTGGTCCGCGAGTTGTAGCTATCCCGGTGCCTGCTGCGGCTTCGGCGACGACGGATCTCTTTGCTCCGTCTCCTCGCTCTATACCGAAGCTCCTCATGCTCGTCCGGGTACTCATTGACGCTCGGAAAAGCTAGTGGGCTAATGAACGCTTCCATGCGGACCGTGCCGATGGCCTCAAAGAAGTTGTTTCCGGGCCGTGATGACGCCTCTGACGTCCGCTGAGAACCGACTGTACTCATGGCCCAGGTGGATTGCCCCGAGTGGCCGTTGCTCGACCCTTGAGTGTATATGTCAGATATTCCAGCTGTGCCTACACTGTTGCTGGCATTGCTGTTGGTAGATGTGTGATATGAGCTTTGAATTGGTGAAGAGAAGCCACGGAAGGAAATCGGTGGTGGGATGTGACCGCCCGTGTTGCTCCTCTTACGTCCATGAAGAACCACCTGGTTGGCACGTTCGTGAACCCGTTCCATGGTCCGCTCTTGGTATCGAGGGACGAGTGGCGGCTCTGCCACATCCCGTGACAGGTCCCGCACGTGGCCTAGAACAGGAGCAAACGATTCGGGTCTGAATGTCGGCGCTTCTTCCAGTTGGTTGCCATGGGCAGGAGCCTCCGGTCGTACTGCCGCCGTACCCTTGCCCTTCTTCAGCATTATGGAGTCACGTATGCCAGGCTTCCTCGACTTGCTGGGCAGCGGCCCGAAATCAGGAGTGGGTGCCAGTTTCGCTGCCGTTGGCCCCAACGGAGGGGGTGCGGCGGGCGAGATCATGTCTGGAACTGCCTGTTGAGAATGGGCCAAGAATGCCAAAGATGTCAGCCACAAGTAGTGTCTCTCTGACGAGGTGGCAGTGAATTTGAGCGCTCGCTGCGGTGTTAAAATAAGAATGGAGCGGTTGAAGATCTGAGTGATCCCCTTGGGGGGCGGGTTGTCGTCCTTGACATCCAGCACCGACTGGATTGTTACTATGAAAAGTCAGTCATCGTTCTAAGTCGTCAATTAAGCTGCTCAAAACTTACGCTTACGTCCAGACTTGCCCATCAAGGCGCTTCCAGACACTGGCTGCTTGCTGCTCCACAAGATAGAGCGCTCATATGGCGCCAACCATACCCATCGCTTGTGACGGTCATTGCTCTCTTCGGCTTTCGTGTCGGCCATGCCGAATGATTTCCGTCTCCTTACATACTTGAACATCCATTCTCCCACCATGGTTTGAGCGATCGCATCTACGACGCTCGAGGCGGGTTGGGAGCTGGCAACTGAGTTCATGTTTGTGTTTTCAGTGTTGGCCGTGGTCGTCGAGGGCTGAGACCGATGACCTCGGTACCGTGGCGCTCTGTAATCGCGTCTCGGTGTGGTAATGTCGTTGTTCGGCAAAGGTGGCAGGCCAGGACTCCTAGGTGCTTCGTCGGACGGCGACATTGGAGGCGGAGAACGGCTTTGGCGGCGCAATCTCTGCTGGCGAGGTATAGCTGCGGCAGAGCGGGATTTGCGAATGCTATTTGATCTATGCGGCCCATATGGCCCAGATCTCATGCGGCGGTGCCAACTCTCTCCAACTCTAGTCGGGCTGTGCTGACCGTCACTGGGATTGCTAGAACTGAAAGGCGGTTTGCGCGAGCTTGCCCTGGTAGGAATCGGAAACGGCGGGTCTCGTTGGTCCGGTAGGCTAGGGCTTCGAGAGCGTCCCTGGTGAGACGCGATGCCGCTCTGGATCATTGCAGACTTCCGCATTGCTCCTGGCCGAGATGCCATTGGCTTGCTGATGGAAGGCTTACGGGTCACCGTGTCGCGCCCCTGAGCGAGATTGAAGCTGCTGTAAATCTCAGAGCTGCCCATCTGCCTCATAGAGCTTCGAGGTTCACGAGGAACTGAAGGGGCTGGGTCGATAGTCGACGTCGTCCCTGCAGATCCTCGCTGCCTATGGCGGCCAGCTTTCGACATCGGCGCAGATAATGCTGTTCGAAACTCCGAATCGCTGCCGTCACCATCCGCCAGATCGTCGGCATCATCCGAACTCCCCGCATCAAATCCAGCAAACAGACTGCTGATGCGATGTGGCCGTCTCATTGGGGCCCGATGGCTCGACAAAGGTCCATCATCGTTGTTACCAGGGTACGCATCGTGGGTTTCGATATCGTTATATCCTGGTGACGTCGGGGGCGACGAAGGTATGTCGTTAGTCAAACTTCGTTTTGTAGCCAAACGTCGGGGATTCCGCGCCGGTAGGTTCCCTGGAAGAGGCGTAAAACTATTCCCATTCCCACCCACAGTAGGCGCAGCGATATTTGGCGATGCCGGGCGAGATCGAATGGCAGATGGATGGAGATGAGGGGGCAGTTTATCGAGCCGCGTATCGACCCGGATTTCATCAGTCTGGACACCGGTGGACATCGTTGGAACTGCTTGGAGAATGGAAACCTGGCAGCCAAAGTCTTTAACATACTGAGGCAGTCGATGGGCATGTGGGGATGGGGGCCGACTGGTCGGTGGGTGTATACTGATGCTAGGAATTGTCAACTGCTCGACAGAACGGGGCCTCTCAGCGGGCGTGTTCTCCGTTTGTGTACCGGAGGTTACCATTTGAGCTGCATTAGGCTTAACCTCAACAGATGGCAACGAGACAACCTGAAGTGGCGTCACGGGTGTTCGAGGCGGGCTGAGTGGTGCTTCTAGCGTCTGTGACCCAGCAGAAACCATCAACTTCGATACGTTAGGTGGTTCAATAGGCGGCAGTTTGTTGATATGAACCCGCTTGCGGCTTTGGTTCGCCTCCCATTCACCACGATGCGGGCTTTCGAATTCTTGTGGCTTATCTGTCTTGACGATTGGTTCAGGCGTTGATGGTTTCACTGGAACCAGCTTGGGCGAAGGAGGTGGTGAGAACTGAATACCCGTATCCGTATACGTCGGCTTGGGTGCGGGCGGGTTCTCGTCGTCTTCCCGGATGCCGCCCTCGAGTCTGTCCAGAACAGACTGGTTCATGAACAGGCGTCCGCGAGCGACGCTTCCGGGCCGTATCTGACTGTCACTGCTCATGTTACGTCGATGAGCATGAGGCGCCGTTTTGGACATTGTGCTGTCTCGACTTTGGGTACGTCCGTGACCAAAGTATGATAGAGCACTCTGCCGCCCGTCCGGGTCTGTCTCGTACTCATCGTCGTCGTCGAAGTTAAGCTCGTCCGCAAGACTGTGACCATTCGCCTTGGTTGGAGCCACCGAATATCGTACGCTATTCGTGATACTCATTGACCTCATGCTAGCGGCATCATTGTCCTTTGTGGCATCCTCGAGTTCCGAATCTACACCCGTCTGTTGGCCCTTGGCTTGTGCAGCCTGGAAAGTGGACACCTCATCAAGAATGGCCTTCAACCGAGTATCCGCAACGTGCAGCTTCCTTTCATATTTCCGGCGCTCTTCTTCCCAATCATCTTTTTCCTTTGCCCACAAGGCGTGGACCCTTTGGGAGTCTTCCTCTTGGCTGCGAACCTTCTTCTGAGACACCTCAAGACGTTTCTTTGTCTCTGTGATGCCGTCAACAGCCTCATCACGCTCCCGGGCCAGCTCGCTGAGAGCCGACGACGTTCCACCCTCCAGCAAAGCCAATTGACGTTTCAGAGATCTGCTTTCCTTTGCAGTGTTGACTAGAGTGGCCTGGAGAGACTCCTGCTCCTCGCGCGTAGCATGTAGGGTTGCCTCAAGGCTGTCTATGAACTTGAGCTTGTCTTCCTGGTCCCTTCGTAAATTCAAGATTTCCGCAACCAAGTTTGCATGGAGAGTAGGCGTGAACCGACGCGGATCCAGGATGCTGATCGATTCGTCGATTGTCACGTCCTTCGAAGAGCGCTTCGAGTGTCTCTCGTTTCGCTCTGAGGGCAGGGGCGGGGGAGGAGATGATTTGATTCCAGGAGGCGTGACCGACCCCCGCGATCTCCTCGATCCTCTTGATGGCGTCCTGTAGGGCGTGGCGGACGGCGTGGGGAGCGCCGCCGCTGCGGCGCCGCTCAACTCGTCTTCAGTCTCCCAAGCAGCCATGGCTCCTGATCAGACGCACTCCCGTTGCCTACACCTTGGAGACAGCTAGGTTGACCTCAGCTGTACATGAAAGCAGAGTATCCCACTGAAGTCCAGGAGAATGCTGCTACTTAGGGCCCCTTTCAACCTTATCTAAGGAAAAGATGGAGACCGGTGCTTAACATAGGTCGTGTATACCCCTGCGCTGCGTGATCCGGGGTGCAAGATCACGGTATAGCTGCCGTCCGCGGCGACTGCCCCTGCGTATAGCACGCCTAGCCCCACCGTTAGCATTGGCCACCTTGGACAACGTATGAGGATTGCGAAGCTGTAGAAAGATGCAGGGGATGCGCTTGAACTTAATACAACTTACGACGTGGAAGATTATAGGGTGCTGCGGCGTAGTGCAAGCAGTGCCACCTTGAAAAAGGGGGATCCCAGATCAGTAATGCAACCTCAAACCAGCGGGCTCTCAGACTGCAATATTGCAGGGATCGTCAAGAGTCCCTAAACCAGGCTCGGCAGATTATTGGAATTCGGTATGGACACCGCGAAAGCAGCTCGCCCGAGGCGTATTCTTTGGGGCACCTTAAATCTCGATTGTTGCCAGAGTCAATCCGTGCACTATCAACGATGCCGTGAGTAAACACAGCTTTGACGCATCGTGGTCGCGGGGGAGGTCGCTATGGGTGTGGGTTCATGCGCCGGCAGGCATCCGTTGACTTTCGAAACTTGGAAGTGCTCGAGCCCTCGCGATGACCAGGAGGGAGCTGCGCGCAATGTGATAGGTATTTATATCAGGAGCGAATCGCAAGAGAGGATTGTATAACGTATCTGCGTCATGGGAGCGTTCGAGTTAGTGTTGCACCGGAATTGTATGCCTGGTCGTACAAGGTGAAGCTCCAAAGGTGAAGCTCCAATGAGCTTCCCGAACAGCGCCCGCAATAGAATACTCAGACACGAAAAAAGCAAAGAGTTAACTTACCAACGACAGTGGAGAATGTCTGACGAAGACAAAGGAGACGAAATGATCAATTTATCGAATTGATCTGAGCCCAATGGCTAAAACCTCAGCATCGGGTAAGTAGCAGAAACCTCAGATACTGGGAAAAGAGTTCCCCGGATCAGAATTCCCAAGTCACGTCGCGAGGAAACTCGCGCAACGTCAATAAAGAGGTAGACCACGGGTCGAAAGCTTGACGGCAGGGGAAAAAGGAACGAGGACGGATCTCGCAACTTCAAGCTGTGGTCAAAGCAGAAAAGGACATGCGCGGCGCCGCTACAAGTAATAACGAATACCCACTTCGACTGGCATCAGAGAACCGGGATGCGAGGGTGACAGGCATGCACCTACGAGGAGCGCGAGCACGGGGGACAAGGGCTCCGCAGGACACTAGCCAGTAGCCACGATTCTCGGCGAGCGTGGGGTTTGCGAATGTGCAGGTGTCACTGTGCCCTGCATTGGATCCCTGGAGGTCTCACGCAGTATCCCCGCCGCAGCGCCGATGGGGACCAAGGGACTGTATCCAAGTGGAAAGGAGTCGCGTCGTTCCCTGGGTTAGTCGTACGAATCGGGGAGGCAGGCCAACCGCTGGGCGTCTATCAGAGCAGTCTACAGCATCCCGCCCGCACTCATGCCAACCAGTGAGAGAATTGGCAGGGTGAAACGGTTCCGGATTGGTGGCAGACGCAGGTACAAGCGTCCAATTAGTTACTTAAGTGAGAGCGGAAGCGGGAAAAGGAGACCAAGCTTCAAGCTTCGAGCTTCGAGCTTCGATCAAATTGAGCGGCGGTTCACCTGCCAAAGCTCGACGGTGGCGCCCACTGCTCCGGACGGTCTGTTGAGTTGGCCCGCTGGGTCTATCAAGCAAGTAACTTAGGCAATTACTTAGTTTAGCGCAGACGAGACGAGCTTGGACAAGATCACCGGCAGCTCTACTCCTGGCTGGCTGACCAGCGACCCTTGGGCGATTAACGAACTTAGTGCCGGCCAAAGGCCGCTCGACCAGCTCTAGCAGAGCAACGACCGCTCTCCATCAGCCGCGGCGGACGCAACGGCCCAAGTTAACGCTTCCTGGTGGCGTCTCAGGGCGCAGCCAGGCTTGGGATCTTCAGATCACTGAACCAGCACGCTACTGTAACCCAGGGGTTTGGGATCGTACAACCGAGGGGACGGCTCATCAGTAATCAAGAAGAGGGGAGCGCCAGCGTCGGGTAACAGCGCCGTGGCTGTGGTCTTGCTGAACTAAGGCGCGGTATGTACGGGACTGTGTAGAAACGAATGGCACCTCGGGTTGAACCATGTACACTGTAGTAGTCGTCGTGAAGCGCAATCTCTCTTGCGCCGATCGTAGTCCTCAATGGGTTCGGCGGGCAGCTGAAATCCATCCCCGCTTCAAAGGTCAGCCCGCCCTCCTGGGGTTCTTCGACGATTAGAAAGAATACCCGGATCGGTCTGGATTCCGGGTCCTGTCGTAAGAAACTGGCCTTCTTCGAGTTTGTTACGAGTAGGGCTTAGTGGGCTGCTGCTTGCATGCAGCAGGTCTGATTCGCGTCTCCTTGTTGGGGGGCTTATACATAGGACTCGAGCGAGGTTACATCGCGGAAGCCAGACTTCGGGCTTCGGTCACGCTGGCGGGAGGCTAAGCCGCACCCTAAAATGGCCCAGACGACCGGTTCTCTAGCCGTTCACCTAGGACATCACATACTTTCTTGACCTGCGCGAGTAATTTCCAAACCGTTTTTTCATACAGCGGTGGCTGCATTGGGTCTGTTTCATAAATCATCCGAAGCACACAATGGACCAACAAGCGGAATTGTTAGCCTGCTCCGTTGAGCAGGGAGCCGGGTTGTTCAGTAACGGGATTGCACGTGTGATTTCTGCAGTACTAATAGCCCGAACAACTATAACTGGCCGGCCGTGCATTCACCTCGCCTACGATTGGCCTGGGAATGGTTAACTAAAGAAAGCTTCTGGTCTTGCATATGCCGTCGATATGAATGTCATAGCGGCAGCTTCCGGGCCTGCAGGCCACGCAGGCATGTTGGACCTCTCCAGGTTTCCTTTCCCAGTCCGTGATTGCCCCCCCTGGCCGATGAGCCATCCAATTTAACCTCATCACATCTACGGTGACACTCGTAACGCCTTGCAGGTCCGTCACAACACCCCTTGTCGGTGCTCGCCAGGCTTTGCTCAAGTCGCATCCAGAGGACGACAGCTTCCGAAGCGAAGGAAGCGAATGTGCCTAAACATATCGACTGCCTCAAGAGTCTTCGCAATACACCCACTGTCACCCAGCCCCATGCAGTCTTTCCTGTTGTAACAGCAGGGACTTGCGAGGACCAAGCAGTCGAGAGCAGACACTGTTACCTACCGCAAGTGTGATTGATGAGCTTCGTCGCAATTATATCATCCCGTGCCTCGCCAAGATCACCAACTTGAGTCAATCAGATCTTCGCCCAATCTTCTAAAGTTTGATTCGCAAGTGGTCCAGTCATAAGCCCTGACAGCACATGATCCCTGAGCCTCCGGGCCCCTGGGACCCACCGTCCCAGCTTGACGGGAAGTACGGGGGCTTCTGGGCCTTGTAATCTGAACAAGGCCGCGCTATCGATCGAGCCTGATGAGAATGGATATGGATCATTTGCTGAGCCGTTACACCTTGAGGACGATTGACGAGCAGGCTTCGTGTTCCGTTTCCGCCTTGCGACTCGTCAATTCTCACAGCCTTTATTTCCAACAGGCGGAAAACCCGGCTTGTGTCTGCCTTGGTTATCATGATTCGAAGTGACATTGACGATACAATACTCCGTTGAGGTCGCATCTCATCTTCATGTCAATTTCGGGTATCGCAACCTGGCCTGGCGAACTACCATCCGGCGGCCGGAATCGTTCGGTAGAAAACCCAGGGGGTTCCACGCTTGCGCGCAGGGCTCTCGATCGTACCTGGATCCTGACCCTGCTAGCTTCTTATCGTCAAATACTCAAGATAGTCTACTCATCTCTCCTACTTCTATTTCCAATCGAGCCAGTGCTCTAGATTTTGTAGGCCTGGTGCAATGCTATAGAGACTTCACATCTTGATTCGTCTCGCTATTCATCTGGCCATTGAACAGGCTCCATCCTGAATCAGATTTCCACTAGAGTTGCACCAATGGACGTGCCGTGGCGGCCCGCCCTGCTAGAGTCGCGCCGGTCTGGAACGGCTTTCATCCAGTGACCAACAAAGGCGCTTACGGGCCTGCTACTGGGAACCGTGACACTCCATTGTCCCTTCAAAGGTCCATGATGCCATGTAGTTTGGTCCTGATCAGAAACTCCATGAGTGATGAGCCAAACAAACGATCCGGTGGCCCCCCTGCTCAGAAGAGTTCATCCCGATGCAACCGTATGTCTTATTTCCGTGAAATCGTCCGAGATCTTGGTGCCCAACAGTCCATAGCAGGAGGCAACAAGAACCGAGCTTGAAATTGTTCAAGTGCCGTCTTTGGCTTCGCCTTGGTGCGCCGTGGGACCAGCGCGGAATAGAGCTACCTATGTGTCTGTGGGAAAGGATTCTGGGGCGAAAGTCGGACCATGTCGATCATGGTGCCACACTGCTGCAACTCCACGACTCGCGCTGCAGACTTCGGGTGCTGCTAAACAGCCTCGAGTGTCACTGCGCTATATGGTCTGCATTAAGCCGCTGTGGACAATTCTCACTCATGCCCGTCATTTATAAAGGTGCGGTACATGCAGCGCGCAGCTGGGGCACATTAGCTTGACGGATATCAAAGCCGGGTTTCGCAGAACATCTCTAGGTTATATTTCCGTAGCCTAGTATAGCTTGGTCAGCGGAAACACAACCGTCTTCTAGATTCCGGTCATTTAGTATTCAAGCCTGGCGCATGCATCATCAAATACTTTCATCGGCACAACCGCTGTCGAAGTGCTGAAGGTTCGGTCCACAAACTAATATGCTCCCTTGTTGCCAAGTGAAATGAGCGCCCGATGCGCAATTTGGATCTGTCGGTTTGTCAAAGCAGCAATACTCTGGAGGAGATATTTCGGCATTTCTTCCACCAATTGATACTAATTTGCAGCTTCAAGAATTGGACAGAGACAAGTCGAGGTGTCACAGTATAGGTGCTCACATCATCCATTCAGCTATAATTCATGGCCAAACTTGATATGCTAGACATTGAGAAGTGTGATTGGACTTGAAACAGAGAAACACCTCGGTTAATATCTGTTGCTACCTTGGACTTACCAGAAACCAAAGAAATAACCCAGTACATACAAGACTAGAAGCCACTTGATCATCCTAATGACTCCCTTCCTCGCCAACTGGGTGGGCGTGAGAGCCTGGCCGTATATGGAGTCATAATCATCGGGTTCATCGTTCATCACGCAATTAAATGGAGGCAGCCGTAGGTCCGACCAAATCCCACCAACAATATACAGGGCACCTATAATGATCATGAAGTAGGTGAAGTCGAACCAAGCAACGTTCTCCATGGTGACGTTCGAAGGATGTCCTGGGGTTGTTGGCGATCCTGCTGCCGCATCTCTTTCCTTTTGCTCTTGCTCTTCCTTCTCTAGCTGAAGGACGTGTTCGTCGACGGTACGCGCTGTCTGCAGGTCCCCGTACAGGTCAGCAAGTACTTCTCTGAATCTACTCACCTCTGGCAAGAGCTTTACGAGAGTTCTCGTGATAAAGTACCACTGCTCGTAGAAATAGCGGCCGTGCCCGCCGTCGACCTCAACTTCCAGAACTCGCCGCAGCAGACGATCCCGCGCGTCTTCGTACGCAAATATGCCCAGCCACGCGTGGGTCATCTCATGACCCAGTGTCAGTACCAGTTGAGGGAGTTCGAATAACGTACCGTCCCTGCGGGCGGAATATACGTCGATGGTGTTGAGATCAGGCCACCATCTGCCATACGTTATGCCCTCGACGGTGGGTTGCTGCGAGAGATACCGCAACGTGATGACCATCTTCTGCGGGTCCGGTCGCCACGGCTGTCCCGGTGCCATGAGAGACGGGTCAGGCTGTGGCACGGTAATGATACCGAAGAAGAACAATCGATCCAGCGCAGCGAGGTATGATGCTAACACTATCGACCTTCTGTTGTACGTCATGGACTCGAAGTTCAGCTTCAAGTCGTCCCTGAGCTTTCTAGTGAAGTTCTCTGTTTCGACCCCGTCAGGAGTGCCTCCTGCTAAGGAGTGATACTTGCTAACATTGAAAACATCCACAGCTTTCAGGTTGTAGCTCTCTTCACCTTTGTACTTCCACCAGTTGCGTCCGGCAAGATGCCAATGGGTATTCCAAAGAGCTCCTCTTGCCTTCAGCTTATCGATAACTTCCTGTTTCTGATGCGACATCGTTCAATAGGGATGAGTTAGAAATGAACCGGGTGGCAAGAACTGTATGTTTGCCAGAGTGATCACTATGTAAGATCGCGAACTGCCGAGCGAAGAACACCCTTGGGCTTGGGCGGACGCATGGCAGCTTTATCTGACGGCTCCTCAACTTCCACCAAAGGCATTGTTCGGGATTCCAATACAATGGGCTTGTAGAGGGTACAAGAGACATTCCATAGCACAATAAGCGTTGTTTCATCAGCACTATTTTCTTTATCGTCGTCGGAGAGACTCTTCCGGCGGCGAAGTACGGATGTAGCAGAGCAGCGTTGGGAGCATGGCGAATATTACTCTGCTGGTCACCCATGATATCGTGTCCACGACTGGCCTGCGCGCTTGAGTATACCGTGTTTACCATGTGCTGGCACCCGAAAGAGAAAGCTTTGCGATCCTCGTTGCGAATTGGGGCATCAGAAGTTGAAGTTGTCAAAACGACGAGCCACCAATATTGTGGCGTTCAAGTAACAGTACGCCTATTGTCGGTGGAGGTAGTGTCTCCAAAGATTTGGCGACGGAGAGACTTCAGCCTTGATATTTCCTGCAATGCCTATTCTATACGGCGAATGAGGACTCTATAGGAGGTGAGCCAATACCGATGTACCTCATAATTGGCTTATCATAATATGCAATATATCGGTCAAGTCTCTCATTCAAGTAATCAATGCATGGTACGCGGTTTGAGACTGGCTGGCTTGTCCGCTTTGTTTCATTTTCTCTTTCTCACCTTGACTGTTACTCGATACCTTCAGCCGGAGAGTTCATGTCTGCGCACTTTACATATATATATATATATATATAAAGACTTGTTGGGTGTACGCCTCTATCACAAGGTTCTAATCTATCCCAGCGTGGACAGGAATAGGTTGTCGCCTTGAAGTCTCCGTAGATCTTGACTACTCTTCCTATTCTTGATATCTCGAATTCATCATGTAAAGTAGACTGGCTTTGTCGGAGTCGCTTTCTATTGCGCCTTCGAACCTCGGCATATCTACTCTTGAGTCAGCTACCCTGTCCGGTGTGCCATTCACACCCTGACAGCCACAGGACTGCTTGCCCCTCGCCAAGCCTTCCCCCAGGCTTCCAGAACAAACCTTATCTACCTGTTTCCAACCACTATCCGCAATGTCAAACCCAAGCGGCCGACGGAAGTTCCGAACCTTAATCCTTCAATTGCCTCAGGATCGCGCTCGAGAGCTGCGGCTGATCGGAAGTAATCCGACCAAGGACGCATGGGGGGATACTTTTAGTCATCCCATCGCTTCCGATTCCTATCGGGTGGTCCGTGGAAGGACATCGATATGATCTCATACAGCTCATATAGCATTAGAGTTGGACATCGCAGCAGCCCTTGATCCGTAGTTGCAAGGATGGCCGAATCTAGACAACGTCCAAAAAAGAACTACCTACCTCATGAGGGGCATGCTCGCCAAAACCCGTTGCTAAGCTCAGGCAGCATGGGTATACACGGTAGTCAGCGTCGTAATGTGCTGTCTGGCTTGCCATGATCAGTCGCACTGAACGAATCCTTAGGCAGGGCTAACGGGACAATGCGCAGAGATCCTACCCATTCAAGTGGTCGGTGGCTCGCGGGGGAGACGCATACCAAAAAAACGTGTGCGCTCGTGCCGCAGCAAGAGAACAAGCTCGCATACGTCGGCTACCGAATCAAGGACGCCTCTTTGTCCACCAGTCAGGGAGCCGCAGCACGCGCTGCGACGCGCCAGCAGCATTGGCTATAGCGAATAGTCTACAGACCGGCTCTGCACTTGTTGGTGATAAGTCGCATTGCATGCAGACGTATTCCAGTCGGTGACTGAACTCTCCCAGTCCGAAGATCACACCGGTCTCAACTCTTTCCTTGCATGAGTAGCTTCGGTTCAGAAGGATGCGATGCATCGGTCGCAGTGTCCAACCACGGTGACATCCGTGTGCGCTCTACAGGCAGACAGCTTATGAAGTCACATAAGAGCCGAGAACTATTCCTAACTTGCGTCTGCGGTATGCTTGTCGGAGATCGAGGATCAAGTCCACCTCGATGGACACAGTATTGACTGGTATACGAGCGACTCTACTTTGGAGCTAGCACACATGGTATCGGTGGCGATTTCAGATCTTGAGTTCCCGCCGCAGCAATGAACTTGTGTTCTATAATAGTAACACCAGGATGTAATAAACTAATATGATAGGGTATATCGGCAAGGTGATATGGGGTGAAACAGAGAGAATCAAGTGCCTGACTCAGGATACAAAGAGTTGACAACCCAGGCAGGATCCAGGGAGGATAGACTGCCCCCCCACGAGATCAGGCGGCTTTGTGAGCCAGCAGAAGATACACCAATTCTCTCAACCATAGCCATATCTCTAGGAGCGCTGACGTAGCCATTGAGCCCATTCCTGTAATGCTTTGCGCATGGTGCGTGGGATTGGTATGGCCGCGAGGTATAACTCAACCACACCCGTGGGGGTTTTGGGTTCAACGCGGTTATCGAGCTATTAAGGCAGTGAACCCCCAAACTATAGCTGGCAGGGTACGAATACGACACAAGCAACAGACGAGGAATGCAGGGGTGGCTAATTGGAGTACGAGTAGAAGGCAAAGGACCATGCAGGATCATCGGTAACCCTTTCTGAGCAATGCATTCCCTCCTTCTTATTAGTTGCTGATCTGATATTACAACTAGGTATGTATCGCAAAGCTTGGCATTATGTTCCAGAAGGTCTCCATTGCATCTTAGCTACATTAACGGATATCGTGCAGCATATGCATTATGTAAACTAGAGATACTATCTCACACCTTCGCGTTGTCAAATCATTGAAATCACTAGGTGACGCACGAGCGACTTGCTTGCTGGTTTGAACCGAAAGACACTGAGGATACTGTGAGATACACTACTGTCACAGCAAGGATCTAGGCAAACACTTTCTTCTAGTTCAAGTATATGCCCTTAGGTAGGAATAGGTAGCATGTGTCTAGCCCGTCGAGATCATGACTACCTGCTATATAGCCGGGGAAGGAGTTCCACCAGGAGCTATTCAGACTTCTCGCGGCGACGTCGAAGTTGACCGTGGGGGCCACTATTAATCCCCTGCCGATAGCCTTACCGTCCTTCCCTCTTGGGTCTCTTCGCCAAAGCAAACCGATAGAGGCAATGCTTGCCTATCTTGTGGTCAACGCATGCCCACAACAGTGTCCGACCGTCGACGGTCCACCACCCCCACCCGCGACGAGGCAAGCCTAAGGCAAGCGGAGCGTTCTAGAGCTGGAATTGGAAGGGGGAAGAGAAGGCGCAAGGTCGCCAGAGAAAGAGCCCCGGCCAAGCCCAAGGGCAGACGATGGCTTCACAGAAGCTGGGGGCCGGAAGAGTGTGAGAGTGGCTCTGCAATGGCTACAAGGGCCACGACCGTGTCGGGACTCGAGCAGTTGGAGGCACGCTATTGAAATGTCGACAGTGGTAACTAGTCTTTTTCGGCAACGGCTCGCCTGGCACGGACCAATCCCCTGAAACGCAAGAGCAGCTGCACGGGCGATCCCCGGACTCAACTCCCGCGTTCCCCTGATTGAGGCACCGAACCCATTGGACCCAGCGTGGGACGCCGCCTGTCCCCGGCATGGTTACGCGATCTCCATCCGTCTCCGCCCCAGTGCGTGCCACAGCAAGAAGCTGATCTCCAACATGGACGCCCCCAGCAGCCTGCGGTCGGTTGGAGACAGCTAAGGGAGACAGCGCAGCATCTCCAATGGTTAGGGCAAGCTGGGGGGGAGGGGCCCATTTTGGAGAGACTAACCAAGGTTGCAATTGGAGCTGTCCCCTGCTGGCTCCTTGGCCCGCGTGGTATTCGCACTCGAGAACCGGAATGCTTCGCATGCAGCTCTCATCATGTGCCGTGGATCGGCAGCCCTTCGAGATGATAGATATCTTACGTCGAAATACAACATCACGGGAGTAGAACGCCGACTAGCGACGCCGGCAGCTGTTGCTTGCGTCGCCAGCAAGGATAGGGATAAGAGTCGTACATAAGTGCTCAAGCGGGGGGCACGCAAGATGACGATTCAAGTCGCCCATGACATGGCATGGCAGAGGTTGCGCACAAGCTCATTGAATATCGGAGGGAGCAAGCCCCAGCCCTAGGGCCGGGCGAGCCAGCCGTGCAATGGGGGCGGTGACGGGAAAGGTGTAGTCAGCTAACTTGGAGAGCTTTTATGCTTTGTGGTATACCAATCGATATAGTCCGACGGATAGTTATGACATCAGCCGCAAAGTATTGACAGCCCAGGTTGCAGCATACCTCGCAAAACCGGGCAATTAAGCGAGCGGGTGCGAGGCCGATTCTTTATTTTTATCCTCTCCATGTAGACAAGCCACGAGCACGACAGCTGTGTGCTGGGTGCCACTGCATACTGGCAGACGGCGGGAGGATACACAGCGCGAGCGAGACGAGACGGAAAGCCCTCTCGTATCAGCTCACTATGCATTCCCGGGGTTACATATCCGGATGGTCGAGCGTGCAGGGCACTTTGTCCAATGGGCCATGGTGGTATAGTTGCGGCCTGGGTCTGGGCCTGGGCCTGGGCATTGACATGCCATTGGCATGCTGGCATGGGCATGGCAAAAATCTGCATTGGCCGAAAGAGGCATCCCAGGTGTGGCTCGGTGAGAATGGGCCCGAGAGTCGTCTCCAAACGGGCGGCAGCAACCAGCCCAGCGGGGGCCTTGGAAGCGGTGCGGGCTACCTACCTCGACAGCCAGCCGCAATGCGATTTTGACTTTGAGCAGAAGCGCCTGGGCAGAGAAAAGAGCGGGGGAGCATCATCCGATTCGATATAAATGCGCGAGCTATTGGCCGTTCGGCGGCCGTCCAAAGCGAGACATGAGAGTTGCTCTGTAGCTTCCAAGGGCTTTGAAGCAATGCCGCGTCGTCGAGGTTCCGCATTACCGGCACGGCGCTGCAGTTCGTTGCCATGTGCAGTAGCACGCAGTTGACTAATACCTAGCCCAGACGCGAAATTGATGCATTGCTGCTCGAGCCTGGAGGGAGCTCTTGCTGCCCAATGAGCTCCACAACCGTGCAACGGTTCCCCGAGGACCAGCCGCCAGAGGAGACAGGGCTATCTAGTTCACAGAGCAGTCTGGACATATCAAACCCCTCCCAGGACAATACCCACGTCGTAATGGGGACGGCCATCTTGAGTCAAGGACCCTGTTTGACACCAGGCAAGGAAACAGCAGGGCTGCAAGGTCCGTCGGCTCGAGCAACCATCCCTAACTATGCATTGTACTTGAGTGCTGTACTCGGTAGCGCTGGCGAATGGTTGTGGTGGCTGGCACGCACTACTATGTATGTATATTCATAAGGGGAACCTTGGCCGTGACGTTTCGGGGCCTGTGGTTGGCAGCTCTCATGGTTGTGGGGGTCGGTGGTGGTGGGGGCGAGGAACCCGTAACTAAACTCCGGTGCCTGTAGGGTTGGGAAAGGGTTGGTGAAGCTTAACAACTCAGGATGTACCGTAGCACCCACTGTGAGCGTGTAGCAGGGCAGCAGACCAGAGTCCCCCTTATGCAGACGTGGAAGTTGGGAGAGAAAAATACTTCGTATGATGGGGTTTACTAAACATGCGGAAGTGGCATCCCTCACTTTTCCCTTGCATGCGCTACACCAAAAGGAGAACAGAAAAAAAAAAGACCATAAACCAGTGAGGGCGGGGAGGGGATATTCTGCCAGAACTAGCCTAACATCCTTCGGTGATACATCTCGGCCACACCAACGATCATCATAAACCGTCCTGTGCTGTCAATGCCAGCAATGCCCGTTCCCGGCGTGGAAGACCGGGATGCCATGCTGGCTTGCACCCTCGAGGACAAAGAAGCTTGAACGAACGCCTTGCGATTCAGACGACGATCTCCAGGAAACCCTAGCCAAAGCATATGATCCGTCACCTCCCATGTGGGGTCGAGAGGGACGGGCCTCACACGAATTTCCGACAGTCAGATAAGATGTCCCAAGGGACTCCGGACTGTAGATCCTCCCCATTGTCATCATCAGTACTACCATGGTATTGCTTGTTGGCGACGGCGGAGTTGGAGAGCCTCACGTAGAAACGATGGGATTGAAACGCAAGATCATGGCACTTGAACGCAGGGCAAATTCTAGAACACATCCGTGTACTGCTGAAACGTATGAATAGTTTGATTCGTCTTGTGAGCCTGAGCTTCTGAGCCCATCTTGAGTACTATCGACTGTAGACATGCCAGCCCCTAAATGCTAATATGCAACAAATCCATGCGCATGCTGTCAAAGACTTCCGGGCTCGAGCGTGCGACGAGATCCAAACAAACCCAAGGTCAATGAGTTACGGGCATCGTTGGGGGAATAAGGGCCACGAGACGGGTGGGAACAAAAGTTTTTTTTTCGCCTGGAGTAACAAGAAACTCCCAATGACTCCGAACGCCTTCATTCTTCCTTGCATCTCTCTGCTCGTTGTCATCGTGGAAAACACCAGTCTCGCCTTGGTAACCAGACCCTACGCCCTAAGATGCCTGCGGTTTTCTCTTTTTCTCGATTGGTACGCCATTCGCCAGACCAAAAAAGCTGGGTCGGGGAGGTATGGAATATGCTGCAACGGGCGTGACGACTTCATCTTTGCGTATACACATGAAAAGAAATTTCGATCAAGATCGGAGGTAGAATGGCCCAGGGGCGCGGCCACCATCGCTGTGGTAGGTCCGGCCCGTGTCGTGAACGTTGAAGTTGGTTCGGCAGACAGCGTCTTTCGAAATGACCTCGTCAGGCTGTCTGGGGCCTTTGGCTCATCCTCGTCTGGATGTGATGGCTAGTGCTGGGACGTGGCGATTATAATATGACACAGCGGCCGCCGCGCTCCTTATGGCCGCCTCTCTTATTCGCTCGACCCCCATGGGTGCCGCCATTTTCCCTTCGGGGACCCGATTGTTGCATCGGCCTTGCCGCAGCCTGGCGCTGTCGGCGCAATATTCTCACGACGTCGTAGAAGGCCTTCTCGACGTTTATGCAATTCTTGGCCGACGCCTCAACGAACTCACAGCCGAGTTCGCGGGCCAGTGCGTGGCCTTCCTGTGTCGACACCTCTCGTTCCGTCACGCGGTCGCTCTTGTTGCCTACGAGCATGATGGGCACGTTGGGCGAGCTGCTCGCGGCAGTTATCGGCGAGCCAGGATACGTCGGCGACGAGTTGACGGACTCCTTGACCCTTTGGATCTGATGATGGAATCTCTTGATGCGGGAGAAGGACGACCGTGATGAGATGCTGTATACAAGCACGAATCCCTCGCCGTCTCTGATCCATTGGTCCCGTAGCGCTGTGTACTCTTCTTGGCCTGCGGTGTCCAGTACCTCCAGCATGCATGCTTGGCCATCGATGACGACTTGTTTCCGATAGGAGTCTTCAATTGTGGGATCGTACTGTTAAGGTTCGGGTCAGCCACTGACGACGGCGCAAGCTGGCAACGGAGAGGGAGAGAGGGCAACTTACTGTCTCGACGAAATGTTGTAAGCACAGTTGAATTGTTAACGCAGTCTTTCCGACACCGCCGTCTCCAAGCACCACCAGCTTGTATAGTACCATCTTGCCCGCCATGATGGAAAGTGGTGTCGACCCAGCAGCTCAGGGTGAGAGACCGGGACCAGAGGATATTGACGAGGACCAGCAGTCGCGGGGTAGGGAAGGGGGACGCGGCGATGAGTTGCGATGCGAGCTTAGCACGTTGGCGGCTGATGATGCAGCGAGGAGAAAGCCCGCGAAGGTAGATGGATACCAATCAATCAGGCGAGCAGGGGGGGAAGGTGGGAGGGAGACGTGGATTGGAGGCAACGGGCGACGGACTTGCGCCGGGTTGGAGGCAGTGACAGCGATTGACAGTCAGCGTTGATGCCGTTGAGTTGACGCTCGGGTAGTGAGGTCCGAGTTCGTCCGTGTGCTTCACGAGCAGGTGACAGTAACCAGCAGAGGATCAATCACTCTCACGTTTGTGCTTGTGCTCCGCGGTTAAGTGCGTGGTGGAGCGCTGCGAGGTGATGCTATGCGCGGCAGAGGCGGTCCGTCTGGCTGATTCGGCCCAGGGCCAGAGGCAGAGAGGCAGTTGGCTGTCACGGGCAGGAACTCTGAGTGTCGAGTGTCGAGTGTCGAATGTCGAGCGTCCGATGTCCAGTGTCCAGTGTCCTGGGGAGGGGAGCGCAGCGCACTGGGATAGGAGGGGTTAGGGGAGGAGGGGGGATGTTGTTCGCAGGCGCTCGAGGAGGAAATCAAGAGCAAAAAGACCCCGGGGGTGGACTTTGTTGGCGGACGGGACGGGAGGAGTGGTGGTGAGGTGAGTGGAAGACGCCAGCTAAGACGTGGTCTGGGACTTTTTGTGAGGAGGAGGGGGGTGGTTGGCCTTTGCCTGGGTCCTGGGTCCTGGGTCTTGGGTCTTGGGTCTTGGGTCCTGGGTGCGCCCGGCTCGCGATTGATTGCTTGGTTGCTCTTTGCTTGCTAAGTTAACTAGGTTGCTTGCCTGGGTCCGGGTTGCTGTGCTTGCCTTGGACTTGGAGAAGAAGAAGAAGGGCCTTGGGCCTTGGCCTGGGTTTCCGGCGGGTAGGGCCAAGCAAAAGTACCTAGCTCATCTACCTAGGGATGTTAGGCGCGACGAAATGGAGCGGGCGAGTGGTGAGTGGTGAGTGGTGAGTGGTGAAGAGAGAGTCCAGTCCAAGTGGGCAATTGGGTCCTCCCCCCAGGATAATCGACCGCCGCGGGAGGGCAGTGGGCAGCGGGCAGTGGGCAGCAAGCAGTTTAGTGGGCAGTACTGGACGCGCGCAGTGGACACAACAAGCGTAGGCGTAGGCGTAGGCGTAGGCGTAGGCGTAGGCGTAGGCGTAGGCGTGGGCGCGGGCGCAGGCGTAGACGTCGGCCCTATGTGTGCGTACCATAGTACAGGCACAGGACTGGAGGCAGTTAGTTAGGTTGGAAGAAGACGCACCAGCCATTGGCGGACTGCCAGCGGGCAGCCAGCCAGACATCCAGGAGCCAGGGAGCGGTGCCAGGAGCAGGGTGCGAGCGCAGGCGGGACGGGGGCCAGGACTGGGACAGGGCCCACGACCGGAGCAGGATGCGATGGACGGATGTGGATGGACGGTCATCGACGGCTAGAGCCCGTGTGTCGAGGTGGAGCGGAGCCATGCCCAGTACTTTACCTTTCCATACCGAGCCTGGCGGGCCCAGCATTGGAAGCCTTCAGCAAATAGGCGTAGCACGCTCTTGGGTCAATCAACGGCCCCAGGTTGGCAGGGCTCAGCACACTGGCACCACCGGCAAACTGCTAGCAGCACCGCCTGCAGCTGGGCTGGGTAGATAGACTATTCTACTGGATTCCGCAGGCCTTGCAGGGTTGGGATGAGGATAGCTACCTAGGTAGCTGGCTGGCTCGCACGATGCTACCGGGGATCGAAACGAAACGAAAGAAAAGGAGGGCTTTACACGCATTGGAAGTACCTCGGGTGAGGCCAGGAGCCGGCTCCGTTCAATATCGACGTGGGAAAGCTCAGGTTGCATCATGGCAGCTGCTGTAATGCATGAACCTTCAACGTTGCTCGGTAGCATATGAAAAAGGATCGCCCTGTCTAGAGAGGTGTGTTGCAGGTACATATGCAATGTGATCCAATATGCCTAGCCGCCCGCCATGGCTACACAAGGTCATCGTCTGCTGTAGATATCAACTCCTCCTCGGTATCTCGCTTGTGACGACCGCGACGGCGCACCAAGAAAATAGGCAAGCCAATGAAAAGGAAAGGGGAAAAGTAAAACAAGAGCAGCCCCATATACTTGCCTAATAAAAAAACAGGTCTTCTGTACTCGATCAATGCAAGCACTTACAACTCGGCGCAGCACATGCCGCTCCATTCATTCCTATCTTGAGGGTACCGGTAACTCGCTCGCAAGTCACAAACTAATGGGCCGGTGCAGATGGCCGGTAGCGCGTAACGCGCGGGCCTGTGAGAGTGCAAGACTGGGAGGGAGGGTTGGGGAAGTGTGCGAACTACACGGTAGTATCCAACGTACGTACAACACGCCCCGACACCTACACCTGGGCAGAATCACCTACAGGTATCTACCACGTATCTTCTGATAGGGTCCAAGCAAGCCAACCTTAATTCCTGCCGCCTCCCCCCGGTGGCTTTCCTGGCTTTTCCCCCGGCCGCGCGATGTGGACTGTCTCCAAGTGTTGCTTGCAATTATGTTAAACAAAGGGAAAAGATTTGACGAGGCAAGAGAGTGCGGAATGATTACTACACCAATTTCAACCTGCATAGCGCAGCAGGATGTCTCGTAGGGACTTTTGGATGGCGCTATCTATCTCATCTGCATATGCATGTCCCACCAGTCTATCGACATGCCATGCAAGCTGGGTCACTGCATATATATACTTTGTTACCTCGGACCTCCTACCGTCTTTGCATACATAAGGCCTCTTAGGTTTCCTGTTCCACAAAGCGCTTATGCCTCTGCGGGAAGATCGTTTCTACCCTCCTCTTTCTCTGCTCCCAACTATACGGCCGTGTCTGTACTTTATCCTCCATGTACCCGGCCTTCTGACGGCGTTGGGCCAGTTTTCAGGAGACGGGGACTTGTCGCCATTTCCACCCTCGAGTTCAAGCGAGTTCTGGCCAGGCGAGGGCATCAAAGTGGCCCCCGGTACCCAGGAGAGTAACCATGTGCCGCGCTTGGTACCTTGATGAACCCCGTTCCAAATGCAACTTGGGCCCGGCAACGAATGCAGCAAAGAAAGGGAACGAAAAGCATGGCGTGGGCGGGGAAGGCTTCCAGAGTCCACTGCCATGCCCACTTTGCACTGCGCCGCTTGATCCCCTCACCCCCTTGTGGCTAAAATTTCGAACACACCCACATAGCATCAGGGGGCAGACTGATTGACGGGCTGCACCTACGGTACGGTAACTACCATCTGTCTTCGCATGTGAGCAGAGCCCAACGACTATGAGCAAGGTAGATCTATAGACTCCACTAGCTTCCGACGTCCTCGATAAGTCCCGAGTCAAGTCAGACCTGCGACGCATAGATGACGTTGCGCGTCACGGTGACAGTCCTGATGGAAGGAAACCAGTGCTTCTACACCAGCGCACTAACTAGTGCTAGAGCGGGAACATAGCGACCCCCCGAGTCACGTAAGCATGCTAGGAAACGTCACAGAAGCCGTGAAGAAGGGGACCTGCCAACGGCGCCCTGCTACCTTGCCTGCCGATCCGTCCTGTGATGACACAGGGCCTCTCCCATTTGGCGGAAAAACGTGTTTGCCTCGCATTCTTTTCCTTGCGGGTTTCGTTGGAGCTTCGCAAGCTTCTCCGCCGGATGATGGCGCTGGTGGTGGTGGCAGGGCTCAGTCGACTCCGACCCGAGGTCATGGGTAGGAGACGTATGCCTGGTAGGGGTAGCATTCGACCTGACGAATCAGCGGCCCCGAAGCGTTCCGACCAGTCGGCGGCGCCATCTCTGTTTGTCCTAGAAAGCGCCCCCGGAAAGCTTTCCCTTAGGCCAGTCGACCCGGAGGAGGGCAAGCATACTTATAAAGCAGCGAACTCCTAGAAACTCCCCCTTGGACAGTCGGCTGTCGCCAGTCCATTTGGTGGCTTCACCAGGGGCGTGGAACCCACGGCAGCTTCCACGTTGCACCCAACCGTCCGGTCGTGGTAGAAATATGTGATGAGCCAAGCCCCCAATGACGCAGCCTCTCTACGGGGGGTGTGCATTTTGCACAGCATTCCTTGGGCCAGCACTGGTTGTATGAACCCTGAATTCGTCAGATCACGTCGTATCATGCTGTGTACGCAAGACCCCGGGCCGCTTCCCGCGGTGAGGGCCGTCTTACATGCATCCATGGGCCATGAACCATTGTTCGTGCCGGATTGGTAATATGTCCGAAAGGGGACGGCTAGGTGTGCACTTTCAGACCGTTCTCGCGAATCACACGCTGGGGCTTACTTCCCACGTTTGGAGGCTCCACGCCCAATTCTTCAGCCATTCGCATCTGCTCACTACTGTGGTATACGATGACGTTCGTCTTGTCTCCATTTACGAGCCCAGCTTGTTACCAGCAAGGCTCGTCTCCTCTCCTCTCTCGTATTTTGCCAAGCCTCTGTGTACCTCCTGCGACGCGACTTTCTGGGTGTGCTGGGATCCTGGAGTGCGAAGTAACCTAGGCCTGACAGCTGCAGCCCGTAATCTTTGAAATATCCTGACAAGCAGCCTTGATTACTCGCGTCACCGCTCATCCAATCTGCCGAAGGAAACTGCCGTGAGTTACATGCATATGTAACCTCCTGAAGTCGATGTCATAATTGTCAATGGTGTGGCCGTTCTGCCCATTAAAGACGTCGGTGAAGACTCTAGCCGACCCGTGTCGGGCCACGCCTGTCTGGACGATTTTCGGCACGTTCTCAACTGCGTCGAATTTCAAGCGCATGTGCTCAGTGACCTATAGAGGAACCCTGACCCCCCCTGGACAATAACAACCGAAGATATGTTCCATACAGGTAGTCCTACCCACACCCAAGGCTCCACCGTCTGCTCTCGTCGTTGGTGTGAGATAATCTTGACCACGTATGAAACAATTCAGCACATTTTGGCAAGTTGTCAGAAAATCACCCATTTAATGAGTGCTATCTGAGATATGAAGACGGTTCCATCATTCCAATGCAGAAAGGAAGGACATTGGCCGTGAGCTTATACAATGTATTATACATAGTAGGCAGTGGGTATATATCTACAACCATTTGTATTCATGAGCGCAATAAGCTGCGCAATATCTAAGTGACAAGACGCTGGGTAGCTAGTATAGACAACATACGTCGCCCGAAACATCAAGTGAGAGACTTGTTGCTGGTCTTCTCAACTGTTATGGGGTACTTATCCAAACTTTCAAACCATTGAATTGCACTCCCAATCTGATCGGCACTGATAAGTATGTATTGGGTAGATTTGCCCCTCGGGAGAAGTTGGAAAGCTTTTTCTTTTACTTACCAGAAAAGCCCACGAACCAATGAACGTAGCTAATGACGATGCATAAGCAGCCGACTCGTTCTCGCTCGCGAAGCCGAGTGCACCACATATGGTAAACCCCAGGGCCCCGACAAGGTTCCAAAACCCTAGGTGCCAACCTAACACATCCTGAGCAGGCTTGTACCATTTAGTCTGTGTTTCCAGCATGAAAAGCCAGCTTGAGATGATGAACCCTGTACCGCCCACAACCTATACAGAGTCAGCGACGGCGAAGATAACTAGTGTCCAGAGGCGACGACTAACTTGAGGCAGCCAGAATATTCCATTGGCGACTGGAACAGACAAGCTATCGTAGATAGGCATCAGGCCGGTGAAGCCAGATATCCAGAACACAGTGGCGCCGATCAACTGAAAGAAGCATGCAAGGAAGCCGATCTCGTGGAAGTAATGCGTCTTCAACTCCGACCATGAAGGCCACCACTGCCAAGTTCTTCCCGTCCGTTCTTTCGAACCCTGAGTCGCGAGCAGGGAACGCCGCTGTGGATGATGGTGTAAGCATTCCTCGGGGTCAGGCCGGAGCACCAGGCTGTGGCTCTCCAGGGCGTCTTCGAGCGCCCAGCCGAAGCATTGGGTCCGATTCTCGTTGACGGCCTCCAGCATGAGCAGCACGGAGCCGATCTCGAAGACCGTTGCGCCAATGAAGGCAGTGATGCCGCCTCCCACCTCGACCTCGCCGCTGAACTCGGTCCAGGGATCCTGAGCCGGAAGCCACACGAAGAACCCATTGATGACCCATATCACGGAGCCTGCCACGATGCGTCAATGCAACAACTCCTATTATCCCCCATGCACATAGAGTAAACTCACCAATGGTGAATAATATCGCGACGTCGTAGCTCACGTCCCACACCGGGTATCGGAAGGCCATCTTGGCAATCCCCTGCATGCTCTGGCTCAGCGAGTTCGTCGCATTGGGATGTGACACGCCATGCTTTGCTGCGGTCTCCTGGGAGACGATCACGGCGTGCCGGCCCTTTCGGTTGTCCCGGGACCGCCAGAGGTGGTAGACGCCCGGGTCGGCCGCGCCCCGAGATGCCAAGCCGGCGGCGCCCGGTGGCGACGGTGCCGTCGGGCTGCTCCTCCTCTCTGGAGCCACGAGAGCGTTGGTTGGATTAAGTGAGCGGACGGGTCCCCTGATGCGCTGCGCCGCTGTCGGGTGCCGCTTGGCATTCAGTCGCGGCATCGTGCCCGGACTCATGCCCGTTGGTTGGTTGATGACGTCAAATGCGGTTTCACGACAAGGGACCACACGTGTGGACGCCTTTGCAGGATGATATTCTTTGGCTTTCATACGCGGTCTGGGGAGGGGGGCTTGAAGAAAATCATGACAAGTAAGCGTGACAGCGCGTCTTTCCAAGTGCTACGATGAGTCGGCCAGCAAGTTGGAGTCCCATGCTCGTCAGGGGTCTCGTGTTTCCAGGTTTCCGTGTTTCCGCGTCTTCAATCCCGAGAACAGGCAGCTCGGTCCGCTACTTCGCAACTATGAAATTGCGAGCGTCCCGTGAGATTGATCAGCATTATTGATAATTCTAGGGCAAGCGTCGTATCACTGCATTATCATTATAGTCATACGTGACCCGAGTTGATTACCAGAGATCATTTGGCCGCGAAACTCTGGACATAAGCCGGCAGCGGACGATCTTGACTTCCAAGTGCTTTTCGATCTGTTGATGCTATGAAGAAAATCTGAGCTCACTTTGTGCGACATGACTTTGCATTCGACATGACCAAGACGCAGTATGATGGTGACACAGGAGACATGTATATAGCGTCCTAACCCCGCATCACTTCCGAGGTTATGATGCGATTCACTCATGACAGGGCGTGAACGACATGAACTGTGCCACAATGGGGAACCAACTTCCAGTTTGTGATGTTATTCTTCTATTTTAAAAATGAAGCCTAATTTTCTTTTTCTACAATTAGATACGACAGCGACTCTTTAATACACAATCTTGCAACTCTCAACTTGGCCCAAGCCAGTAACTCCCTCAAACGTCGATCTACGAAAGCGGTGCCAAACGCTTTAGCCATTGAGCCAGGGTCAGGATGTCCACAGCCGAAGCATCTATCCCGCCTTCATTGATAAACGTCAAGGCGTTGCTCTTCGATGTCTTTGGCACCGTAGTCAACTGGCGCTCGACGGTCCACGCAGAGCTCGTCAAGCGAGCACGCGAGAAGCTCTCGTCGCCCGGCAGTCTCCCGGAACCACTACGTGCCCGCCTGCAGAAGATCACCGACGACGACGACTGGGCGAGGTTCGCGCAGGAATGGCGGAATAGCTACGGCAAGTTCACGCGGACCTTCGTGCCCGGGCAGACGCCCTGGAAGGACATTGATACGCACCACCACGATAGTCTACTGGAGCTGCTGGAGGCCTGGAGTATCCGTGCCGCGTACACAGAGACCGAGGTACGGAGTCTCAGTCTGATCTGGCATTACCTGGCGCCGTGGCCGGACTCGTCTGCGGGCCTCGCCAAGCTGGGCACCGCGTACACGACAGCGACCCTGTCGAACGGCAACCAGGCGCTGCTGCGAGACCTTGACGAGACCGGGCAGCTCGGGTTCCAACACCTGATATCGTCGGCAGACTTCGGCGCGTACAAGCCGCATCCGAAGACGTATCTCGGGGCAGCGGCAAAGCTGGGTCTCAGGCCTGATGAGTGCGCGCTCGTGGCTGCGCACCTGGGCGATCTCCAGGCGGCAAAGAGCCATGGGTTCGGGGCTATCTATGTCGAGCGGTCGCGGGAGGAGGCCTTCTCGCCGCAAGAGGTGGAGGAGGCAAGAGGCTGGGTGGACTTGTGGGTTGCGGAGGGTGAAGGTGGCTTTGTTGAGGTGGCGCGGCGACTTGGGATATCCAATTGACATAGTTTCATAGTTGATCGATATTCGATCGGATGTAGAACTTCCATCATCTCCTGCAACGAGACTGACTATCTCTAACCTACCATGCCATCAATGATGATTGCCTAGCATCAGAGACGTGCAGGGTTCGGCTTACCCGAAGGATTGTATCAGTACAAGGCCACATCAATTTGATCTCGTTCAAGACACCAAGCCTTTGACCTTGACCTGGTGTTTGATTTCAGTCGTCAAGCACTTGCAAGTCGATGTGGTGGCAGTTCGTGACAATGGCTGATTTCGCGGAGCGTTCATACGTCTCATATCACGGTATACACTTATGAGATCTCGGCACTAAGCGCATGTAATGCGGAGTTCTGCTTGCTATAGTAGATGCTGACACTTGGTGTCGGATATGGATTTTTTCCATTATTTAAGAGAAAGACAAGTGCCAGTAAGCAGCCTCATGAGGTATGAATCAATACCTCAACCAAGAGAACTTATAAGCCAACGCTGATTTTGCTTAATTTGCCGTTGACTTTCTCAATATCACACTCATTTTTCTTGCCCCTCAAGCCTGTAGTTTTACCATTGAAGCAACAGTTCTCGTACCATCTCATCTTTTCCCACTGTTCGGCACTGGAGTTGTTGGATTTATGGGCCTTGAGCAGCGTGTTCCAGCCCTCCTCACTGCCAGCGTCTTCACCGGCAACGTGGCCACCGCCGGCCTGGCAAGTGAACCTGCCCGACGGCGCGGCTCGCCCACCATCTCGATGTGGTGATCCCAGTGGTCTCCGAAGTCGTATAGATAGATGATGGGGCACGTTGTCCACTTGTTCTCGGAGAATAGTTTCCGCAGCTTCGCTTTGTTGGTCCGCAACTCCGGTGTCTTAGAGTGCACCCGCATACTGTTGTTCGTCGAGTCCGAGGCCCCCAACCCACGCGCGGGTCCCGGCAGCCCGCCTGCCACGGCACGATCCGTAGGTGGTTGGAATATCTCATGAACAATGGCCCCGGGGGACGTTAGTACGGAGTACGTACATATATATGGACCAGCCCCAGCTGGTGCAGTTGCAGGGCTAGGCAGCTGCCACTCCACCTCGAGCCAGCACAGTCCATCCTGGTCCCTCCATGCGGGTCCGCGACCTAACGTAAGTCATGGCGTATCGAAGCTGCCTTTTCCAACCAGGCGGCAATCGCAGTGATCTCAAAAGTCGTGTTATAACCAACCTTCCGGCCGGAAGGGATATCGAAAGGCTAACTTGGACAACGCCTCTCGACAGTCTTTGATGTCACTCAACCCACGAATTGCATGACACCGATTTTCCACCAAAAATATCGCAGAGCGTTGCTTCACCTCACCATGGTTTTTCTCCAAATTATTTCAGACCTGCACCTGGAAGCACCCAAGGCATACGACGTCTTTCAGATTGCACCCAAGGCGCCATATTTAGCTCTTTTAGGTGATATCGGCTGTCTCACTCGGGATTTCGACGACTACACCAACTTCCTCCTTGTCCAACTAGGCCAGTTCAAGACAGTGTTCCTCCTTCTTGGCAACCACGAGCCATATCACTCGAGCTGGTCAACAGTAAACGAATCAATGGCCAGGTTCCAGGAGAACGTCAAAGCGAGACGGGAGACCGGTGAAACTCTCGGTGAATTTGTCTTGCTTGACCGAACAAGATTTGATATTGATGTGGGAGATGATCAAGTGACAATACTGGGGTGTACGTTATTTTCCAACATACCCCCTGAGTCGCACGATCATGTAAGTCTCCGGTTAAACGACTTCTATTACATTGAAAAATGGGAGGTCGAGAAGCATAACGAGGAACACCAGCGTGATGTGCAATGGTTGAGTTCACAGTTAGAAGAGCTCAGAGGATCTGCAAGGAAGGTTGTCGTGCTTACACACTACAGCCCGACTACCGACAGTCGGGCGAAAGATCCTCGGCACAGTAAAAGCCCGATCGAAGCCGCGTTTGCGACGGATCTGCACGACTCTCCAATGTGGCAAAACGAAACAGTCAAGTTATGGGCTTTTGGTCACACGCATTACAACTGCGACTTCGAGGACGACCTGGGAAAGCGACTGTACACAAACCAGCGAGGCTATTATTTCAGTCAGGCTGCTGGCTTTGATGCCACTAGGGTGATCCAGGTCTAGAGGGTCACCAAGCAGTTTAGGACCGAGCTGTAATCTCGGGCATGTGAGCTACGCTGTTTGAAAGCCGGGCTTCGTAGAACATAGAATAATAAATGGGTTTTCAGTAGGGCAGTTGCGGATAGCGACTTAGAAGGTCCGGAGTGTTTGTGTGCTCGGAAAACTACATTGCTTTCCATAATCACTCTGGGTCGAGTTTCAGTGTCATGGTGTGTTGCCATTCAAGTAGCCAACTGCGTAAGGCTTCAGGCCTTGGGTTGACTTCCAAAAGACCACCGGGCCAGTGGTCTACGGGTTGAGCAGAAATTCTCACGACTCGATAATCCAACAGCGACCAGAGACACGTAGAGAAGTTCGAGATGTCTTGATACGGCATCTGAAGAAGAAATATCGTAGATCTGAAGAATCTGCCTGAGCGCACTGTAGCGACAATAATCAGCTGGAATGGAAACCGCTGATGCCCTTGCCATTTGTACGACGTTTGATGTCTCAAATGTAAGCGTATAATTGGCCTGAGGGCTGTCCTTCTTAGATCCATACCTACCACCTACCACGACGCTATAAGTGCTCGAGTTGTGCATCTTCGGCTGTGCCAACGTACTGAAGCACCCATTCGTAGCATTTGTGCTAAAAGAAGTCGACGATACTTATGACCCTTAAAGTCCATAGATATTTTTCAGGTGCCCAAGAGCTGTTGTTGGCAGACTACGAAAATGTTCGAGTGTCCTATGCTTCATCTTAAAACCCTAGTCAACAGGAAGAACGTGGACCAGAGAGAAGAGGAGGTGACAAGAGAACCGTCATTGCCACTGATGTAGGATAAGCGAGAATCGCGATATCGCACGCAAGCTCACTATATCAACTGCAGAAAGGACAATAATCCCGATAGTTTCCAATCTCGGCGTACTAATAAGCGATTTATCTGAGTTGGTAGCGCCGACCCGGAACCGATCCGTACCCCGCTCAGGAAGACTTCTGAGTAGACTGCAATCATGAGATCGGACAGTCTGTTATGCATGACCCAGACCCGGAATCAGTTTCTATTGTACTACACACTCGAGGTAGACTCCCGTGGGTTATTCAGCCAGCTGAGCAGAGTAGAATAATACTGCAAACTGATTTACGAGTATGTACTCCGTGCTTCACCAATGAGTACAGCTGCAGCGAAAGATATTTCACACGTACACAGTCAAAGCTTTCACTTTCAGCATCAGACAAGTACATGTTCATAGAGCTTTACAATCTTAGTAATGTGAGGGTGAGCTACGAGGACAACCTCGACCTGCACGTGTAAGTAAAATCGGCGTTAACATCCCTTACCTGAGCAAGCCTTGAAGTGTACTTTTGAAGTTCCAGAACTTAGATTGCTTCTGTTTTTACAGTCTTGAGACCAATTATAAGGGATAATGCCTGTTGAAGAGGACAAAATAAGAATGATTTAAGCCCTACCCTCTCATGTGCAAGATGAATAACCAACTGCCTAGGTACGGACCGTCCTTGGGAGCGAGTCGGAAATAGTATCCACCTCCGGGTCGGACATTCTCAACGCTAACCGGGTGCTGGCACCAGACCCTGGACCACGGGTGGCAGACCCAATCAGAGTTGCATGTGGACATGCCGATGCCTGTCTTACATGAGAGTTTGGAGAGCACGACACGGCCCCGGCCATACTCCAGAAGCCGAGGAGCGAATGGAATAATAGGCATATGTGACCTCCTGCACGAAAGCAATGAGCTCGCTGCCAATGCAGAAAAGCACTCAAGTGTTTCTTAATCTCTATTGTTATGTTTGAGCTGTCTCGCTCATAACACCATGCGTCACATTGCCGATGATTTGCAGTCGAAAGCCCACTACTTCAACCGTCAGCTAGTTCTATGCTGTAGTCTCATCGCCTTGTCTACCTTCAACTATGGATTTGACAACCAAGCTTTCGCCACCACCCAGGCCATGGACGCCTTTACGAAGCAGTTCGGAGATTACAATGGATCAACTGGCAAGTATGGGCTACCAACCTCGTGGCTGTCGCTTTTCAACTCGCTCAATTACATCGGGTTCGCTGCCGGTACGTAATGACTGCTACTAAACCTCCTTACAACTTTGGGCTGTGATGAGATAGAGCAGAAGTCGGCGAGTGTGCACGTGTTGACTGATCCGACTCCCTAGGTGTACTTACTGGTTCCTGGATATCTGGCCATTACGGACGCCGAATGTGTATGTTCGTCATGTCCATCTATGCCCTTGCCACAGCCACAATCGCCGTGACGTCGCACAGTAAGGAACAGATCATGGCCGCTCGCATACTTAACTACGTGTACGTCGGAATGGAGCTTGCTGTCGTGCCCGCCTTCCAGTCCGAGATTGTTCCAGCGCCGGTCCGTGGCCTTATCGTTGGGACTTATCAGCTCTCCTTGATAATTGGTGGCCTCGTCATCAACTGCATCTGTCTGGGCACTGCACATCTGCCTGATAACCGAGCCTGGCGGATCCCGATCGGCCTCTTCTATATTGTCCCGACAGTCATTGCATCCCTCGTGTGGTTGATTCCAGAGTCTCCTCGCTGGCTGTTGTCCCAGGGACGCGTCGATGAGGCCCGGGCAAACCTGTTGCGGCTTCGGTCTGGTGCATTCTCAGAGGATGAGATGGAGGCCGAGCTCCGCGAGACACAGTATCAACTCGAAATTGAGAAAGAGAAGGGAAAGTTCTGGGAGATCTTCCGGCCTAGGAACCTCAAGCGGACGGCCTTAGTTGTGGGTATCAACATATTTCAGCAAGCCACTGGCCAACAATTCGCCAGCCAGTACGGCACTGTATATGCCAAAAGTCTAGGGACCGTCAATCCGTTTGTGTTTACCGCCATCGTCGCAGTCATCAACACCTTGGCTACTGGTGTTTCGCTGTTGATCAACGACAAGGTGGGCCGTCGCGGGCCGCTCTTGCTGAGCGCATCAATCATGTGTGCCAGTCTCATTGCCATGGGAGGCCTTGGCACGCCAGCCGTCTTGACAACCAGTCTCAAGATCGGAATTGTCAGTATGCTGAGCCTTATGGCTTGCGGCTTCAGTATCGGCCTCGCTCCACTGACATATGTTGTGGCGACCGAACTGCCCGCCCTGCGCCTCCGAGATGCCACTCTGAGGCTGGGCTTCTTTGTCAATGTATTGTTCAAGTAAGTGAATTGAATGTAACTGGTTCACCAAAGGCCAAGAGCAGACTTTATCTAACGACGACCTCAGCTTCCTGTCCAACTTCTCGCTGCCGTATCTCCTATATGAACCTTACGCCAACCTTGGGTCTAAGACCGGGTTCGTCTTCGGCTCGATAGCAGCTCTTGCCGTCGTTTTTATTTTCTTCTGCGTCCCAGAATGCAAGGGGAAATCCTTGGAGCAAATTGATCGCATGTTCCTAGAAAAGGTACCGCTACGCAAGTTTGGCACTTTCGACGCCAGCAACCTCATGCCTGTGGGGTCGAAGCTAGAAGAGTCGAGAGCCGCGGACCTGGAGGAAGTAGAAGTGCCTCATCAAAAGCACTAGATCGAGCTGGAGGTGTAATGTATCAGGATATAGACCACCATATTCAGTCTAGACCTTGGGGCAAGCTTGTTATGGGTCATTGTTTCCCGCTTATTGAGTGATTTTGGCAAGCCGAGGGGTTATCGATGAGTCGCAATAAAAATCATTGAAATGGTGCCTCGATAGCTGTACAAACTGCCGGATAGGCATTGATCTCTGTTGCCAAAGTCGATATCTCGGCAGGAGAAGAGCGTGTTGCGAAGACTCTACAACTGTGTAGTCAAGAGAGTCGAGATGATCCTGGCATGCAACTACCAGCCGAGCGATCATGACAGACCTGGACACCAACCAGCACAGAAGGCTCGTTCATGTCTTATCTGTCACTGAGGCCGTCCATCTTTCCTTACGAGTTGCGACGATCCCGGCCTAGTCGAACCCTATAGCGGTGCAGTGCTCCGCATCGGACAGTGATAGGGGCTGGGATCTTGGCGCGCTACTTAAGTAATCAGCCACCAGTGGGCTGCACTGGACGGGAGCCCTGAACTCTAACCGCAACCCTGGTAAAACAAGGCAATTGCAGCCAGTGGCCCGTACGTCATCGCCCATTCCTCCAACTTCACCGGCGCCAAACGTGAATGTGCTGTCGGCCCTGGCGTCTTGGTCCTGGCGACCTGGCGAGACGACTCGAGCATTTGCCATGGCTTCGACGCCGACTCTCCTTAGCCTTCGCTATCTGACCTGGACATTTCTGTCCGCTCCCTCTATATCGCATCGTTATAAGACTCGGGCTATCTAGCCACCCGTCCTAAAGGCATTAGCCTCCCTGCGTTTCCTGCCCGGTTCCTGGTTTCATCGGCTGCCCTGCATCTCAGCAACGTGATTCGGTTTTCCCACCAGGGTTCTTGAGGGGTGGACCAGGATCTACCCAAGCAACCCCCATCTCCGCGACCTGGCTATCTCTCCCTCGCTTCGAGGTTCCTACGTCACTGGTCGTGTTTCCCGGCATTCTAGATGCTGAGGTGCTCTCATTGGCGCTGAGTCGTTCGTTGCTCGACGCGCCTGTCAAGTGGCTTACCTGGACCCGCAGCGAGAACCAAGATCTGGGCTGGACCGACAGGCGCTCAACAAAGCTTCACCCTTGGCAATCATTCAAGAAGGCTCTGCATCCCGCTTTCTTATATCTTGTAGTGTAACATGCTGTTTTGTACACCTGGAGCATTCCGATTTGGATCAGCCGCCTTCGTCTGTTAGCACCGCATACAATTCCTGGAACACAGCATCTAAGTAGGTCCGTCTGTTGGACCCACTGCTGAGAAGCCGCAATGTCGCGGAATTCAGAGCCGCCGCATAGTCGAATGGGCTCCTCCTCGGGGAGGGGATTCCACCAACTTGCTCTAGCTCTTTTGCTATCGTCGCAAATACAATGCGCATTATCGGTCATATTCCCGAGCACCCATTCATCGTACAAGTTCGATTATCTTCGTCGCAGTCCGAGACTGGATCCAATAAATGGAGAGGCCAAGCGCACACTATCCAAGCGTGAAAACCCCATCCCGCTGATCGTTACCAACAACTGTGGCGATACCCTGTGGCCTGGAGTTGCAACGCAGGATGGCGAGGGTCCGGAGTCGAGTGGGTTTGAACTGGCCTCCGGTGAGACGAGGAACATGACCGTGGGACCGACCTGGGCGGGCCGTGTTTGGGGCCGGACGAATTGTACCGTTAGTAACGAGACGGCTACATGCGTGACGGGAGACTGCTTCGGCTTGCTGGAATGTGAATATAGTGTAAGCCGCAATTTTGCAATCGTCTCGTACAAGCGACAGCTGACACTGGCATAGGGGGCCGTTCCAGTCACACTCGCCGAATTCAACTTAGCAGGAGGTGACACTAGGAGGCAGACCTTCTATGATATATCCCTTGTTGATGGGTACAACCTGCCATTGGGCATTGTGTACCACCCGGCAGCCAATACCAGCAATATCCCGCCAAACTTTGTCAACGCTGCCTGCATCGCGACGCCTGGGTATCTGATGGCACCCAATAGAACCGGCATTGCCTACACCAACTCCAGCTTTCCCATGCCCTACGAAGATTCCCAGACCAATTCGGGCATTTCCAACTGGTGTCCATGGGATCTTCAGGCTTTCATCCCAGACAAGCCCGGAGATGGCATCTATCCTTACCCCGACGACAACGTGGAGCGGCCCGTCTTCGATCCCTGCAAAAGCGCATGTGCCGCCAGCAACTCTGCGGCTGACTGCTGCACGGGAGACTACAACGACCCGAATGTCTGCAAGCGGAGCGAGTACTCGGAGAGCGCCAAGGTTGTATGTCCTGATGCGTACAGCTTTGCCTACGATGATCAGACTTCCACCTTCATTATCCCAAGTGGAGGGGGCTGGGAAGTCGTCTTTTGCCCCGCCGGGCGCAGCACAAACATACTAGCGACATACGGCACACAGTTGTCGGCACTCGCATCTGGTGGAGTGGTGACGGAGGAGATGCGGAAACTCGCTATGAACGTTAGTTACATCGAGTCTGTTCCCGGTAGCAGCGCCCCGCCAGGTCACAGGGTATCGGGACTTGCGCTCGTAGTGACCATTGTGGTCACGGGTCTACTCTCACTCTAACCAACCGCACCTCATCGGAAATGAGCCATAGATTGTACGAGGACACGAAGTTTGGACAACAACACGCCATAGGCACATACGAATTATTGACTTTGGAGGAGATACATTGGGCTAGGAGACTCATATTCGTTCTAGGAGCCGAATGACAGCTGGGCTGTCCCGAGCTTTCTGGCGTTCTGCATTGAGGAAAGACAGACTGTCTGTTGAGACGTAGATATAGCACAGCATCAGATACCCTTCATGCATACATACACCTTTGATATTCAGTACACAGAATGTCTCCAGCACTGCGTCCTACCAGTCTTGAGATCCATTGTTATGCATCGTTTACAAAGATTCAAATGGCGGTGTTTTACAGGAGAGTGCTAACACCCCATTGAGCAATTAACTAGCTAGTAGTTGGATCAACTATAGTCGCATGTCTCAATGTGGCTCCTTTGTGCCGTGTATCATAAAACGAACCATGTCAAAATCCTGCATTAGCTATTTCTTTGTGATCTGTACGTACGATTTTCTCTATTCTCTTCCAGATCTTGCCGCAAAGCTGCACCTGTACGCTACGCAAAGCATGTCGCAATAGACAAGGTTTGCAAAGGGCTGGCTCGCTGGCCGACGAGACTTGGCCATGAATGGAAGTGTTGCTTTGGTGTGGTGTCTCATGGCGGTGGCAGCTCGAGCCGCGGTTGGTAACCTAGACTGTGGTGTAAGTGGCGCCATGTTTTCCGCCTAGACTTGTTATGCCTCTCTCGATGTGTTGTTAATAGGGTTCTTCCTGCAGCGGACTTGTCTTTCGGGGGCGATCACTTCCTTCCCGTTCTGCGCCGTCGACCAGCTGGATTGCCAATGCGGCCCCAACGAGGACGACATAGGTGCGAGGGCCGGGAACTGTATCGATGCTCAGTGCGGACCTAGCCCTGTTCAGCTCCGGGATCAGGTTCTTTCCTCGTTCTCGGCGGTCTGTTCCTCGTTTCATCGGCGAAAAACTTCGTCCCGGGCGGCAAGCCCTGTTCCTACCCAGGCCCGGACTACATTCATCACAACCGTTGTAGTCACCGACGGTTCAACTGGGCACGCTGAGACGAAGACAGTCACAGAGACGGTCGGATTGGAACCTCCATTGACTGACAGTGTGACTTCCAGTGTACTGTCTCCAGCAACCCCGTTTACGGATACGTACACTAGGCTCGCCACAACATCTCCAGCTCAGCCTTCGCAGCCCGCAGGCACTGGTGACAGCGGCACTCCAGGTCTCGCCAAGAAGTACCAGATCATTATCGGCACCATGGTTCCTGTATCCGTGATAGTCACCACCTACCTGGTGTACCGATTGCACATACGGCTGCGGATTTCTAGCTCCCGCGATCGATCTGACCCGAGGGTCGACGGGGTGAACCAGACGACGCAGACCGAAGGGCCCAGCTGGCCAGTCGGCCCTAGTTGCTTTGGCCGAGGCCTCGGCTCAGGTGCCCCGGGTAGAGTGAGGGAGACGCATAACCTTCGGCCTTCCAGGGGCTGTGAAGGGGTGGAATGCCGAGACACATACAGCGAGAGGCGTCTTACAGTGCATGCCATTCGGCATTAAACAGTTAAGAGAGATATTTGGGTTTATTGTGGCTGCGAACTTGTATGTTGGGCTGCGAAGCTGATATAGTATTGTGGGCCAAGTATGTAGAATTACAAGTTCATGCAAAGATGGCCTGATTCACCCTCAAATCCGATCGTCGTGTATGAAGAGTCTACGACTTTGCTCTACACGATTTGAACGGGTTCGACTAAAAGAGAATTCTAAGAGCGTCTCGCTTGTTATAATAACTCGTCAATTGCTCTGTTAGCAACCCAACCCCCCTAAGTATCATCTCATCGCTTTCTTCAGGTGATTGTTGCATCAGCCCGAAGTGTTTTGAGGCTTGCCGAAGGACCGAAAAACTTCAACTGACTACCCCGTCTGTAAATCATTATGAGCTGGTTCACATTGCTGCCGATGGGCAGCCCCCGTATCGACATAGCAAAAATCGCACCTCAATCACCACTAAGCCGACTAGATCATGGGCAGCAAGACTTTTTCTTGCCCTGATGCCCGCACTAAGCTGGATGAGTCCGGTATCACCATCAGGTGAGCGATGAAAAACAAAGCTCGCAGCTGAATCAATGTTGAAAGCTTGATCATTCTCTCGCACACCCCGGGTTGTTCCCTGTCGCAGCCGAACTCCTTCATGAGAGCGAGGTGAAGATTCTGCCACGGCCAGTCTGCATCTTGGTCGTACCAGGAATGTAATATGGCGTGGGTGGCTCTCAGACTCCACATAGGACGTTGGGTAGTTGGCCGGGCACGTTGACGACCTTGTTCCTTGCCCATTCCGTCTGGTTCGGAAGGAGTTTCCACACTCGAATTGGATTCCACCTCACATACAAGCACCAAGTTCCTAATATAGATATCCAGGATGAATACTTGTGTCCAAAGAACGTTGCTTGATTGCAGAGGCTCAAGCCCCCTGATATTGAAATGAGAAGTCAAGCGCGTGGACGCGTCCCAGGATGCCACATCAAAGCCTCTGAGCAAGTACTGTGTCCATGGCAACATATACCCACTCAGTTGACCGGGGCGAGTATGTAGAGCCTCCGCCTGGTTTCGAAGGTCAGGTTTTGGGTTGAAATCCAACACCTCCGCTTCAATTTCTTGAATTTCGTCGTGATTGCGCAGTCCAAAGGCCCAGGAGGATCGTTCCGCAACGCCCATCAGTCTCAGCTTGCGGAGATTGCTGACTGTCGATACGTCGTGCTGCAACAGGCGAAGCAACGTTGTGCCACGGTTTTTATCGACTGCATCAGTAGAAAGGATGAACTCGAAATTACTTCCCGAATTGTCTACCAGATGACTTGCCCAGTCTTTAAGTATTTCGATGAAAGGCTTGATCATGATATCAGCTGGGAAACCAAAAGTCATCCCGGGAAGGCAGGCAAAGCTCGCCGCAAGGAATATCATAGGCCACATATAAGGAAGATGGCTGTGGCCTGATTGCTCTGCGTTGAGTCTCCGATCTTCTCGCCATGCTATCAAATATGATGCGAAGTCGGAATCTCCCTGAGAGAGTTTTGTTTAGGTCAACAGAAGCTCACAATACATGTTTCCCACTGTCATCATGTAGTTTTAGAAAGAGACGCACATATAATTTCAACTGCGCTATGTCCCGCATCAATTCTGCCTCAGGCTTCGCTCCTAAAAGGATTGTTTTTCCGGGCTGTTGTAAGACGTCTAAGTCTATTATCCCATGCCAGAACTGTGTCATTAGCGTATCAGTAGTGATATCGAAATAACGTGGTTGTCGAGAAGGCGGATAACCCCGCTTGTAGGGTATTCCAAAGCAAAGAGAGCCGAAAAGTTGGGGGCCATGAAAGCGAAGAAAGCCGCTAGAACCTTTGAGAGTATCGAACAATCCATGACTTTGAAATCTAACGACTTTGCCAAATCCTGGCACATCTTCGGTTGAGATGGACCCCGCTCTTCCAGTGGCGAGGATGCTTCTATCAGTCACGTTGATGTCGACGGAGTGGAAGCCCAGATGGAAGGCGACGACACCCATGCTGACCAAGTCCACCTTTTGTGTGGGCACATCCACAGACGATGGGATACACTCTGCATCTACACGATCCTCGACGAGCGGCGTAAGATCACACACATTTAGTGTGTCGAGAAGTTGTGCCCACGTGGCCCGGGGCCTCAGTCTCTTGGGGTTGTCGTATGTGATGGTACGCCACTTCCATCGAATAATATGTGCCAACGACAAGTCCCAAAGTGAGGCGGGGTGCGTTCCCCGGGAACGTGTGTGTTTGTGTAGTACCCAAGCTCCCTCCGGTGCGGTATTAGATGCCTGTATATTCTCATCGTAGATGTTCGATGCAGCCTACCGGATAGAATCTTTGCATGGGTCATTTCGATAGGGCATCCGCACCCACACATATGGTGTTTCAGGGGTTCCTTGAGAATCCGCGCCCACGCCGAGCAACGTAACAGAAGGCGAGAGGACGCCCATCATACTGTTGGGAGCGGTCGTTGAAATGCTCCGAATGACCAAGTCATGATGTAGAGACAGCAGTGGATAGGTATATCTGCGGCGCCAGTGGCGCCACGACCACGCAGAAGTACCTGGGAGCATGGCAGCACGTCCAATGGCGCCGATGTTGCATTTCTCTCGGTGGTTCTCGTTAGAATTTGCGTATTGGAGGACTGCCTGCATCAGGGCAATGACGAGCGCCGCGATCGAGACGGCCATGGCGGCGGTGGACAGGCTATTTGCCGTGGCAGCATACCTGTCCGCGTCGTCATCCTTACCCTTCTCGACGAGCTTCGATAACAGTGCGATGATTTGGTCTTCGCCTTTGCTCGTGTTACTGCTCATAGTCTTGGAGAGTTAATCCAACAGCTTCTGCTTTCGAAGAGTGAGGGAGGAGCAGATGAATTCCCACCAGTCCCACTCCCCTATCTGGGAACCCCGGTACGAAACCTCCATCTCCTGTTGGGGGCGAGGTAATCAGAATGCGGTCGCATGCATCAGGACCTTGTCAAAATGCAGGATTTTACCAATGAGCATTGATTTCCAAGTATCACCCAAACACTTAAACTCATCGCAGTAGACAGGCAAACAATTCTGGAAAGCACGGGCTAGGCAGAAACATGCGCAGTCACCTGGTTATAGCGACTGAGTCAGCAGCCGTCCGGTACGTGCACCCTCAACACCATATATGCAGATGAGATGGGGTTTAAATGCGCGAGGCCTTGAATCTATCAGTCTTATTGTTGAGGAAGACCCGAGGAAATTTGCTCCTACAGGGCCTTCCAGTATAGTCCCCGCGTCTGCATGGTGCAGCTCCTTGGTGAGCGTCTTCAGCGACATTGGCGGAGTCTCTTCTATCGGTCCATCGTCATCATGAGACACCAGCATCTCCGCGTAGTACACATGTAAGCATGATGCCACTGAAAAACTACGCAAGCCGACCTTGTCAGGGGCTTTTACCAGAGCACTGGACAAGGACCGTTGGTTCGTGAGAACACAAATGACCCGGTCTCCTACTTCTACCGCGCCTTCCTGGCCGCTCTCCTCCTCTCGAACTCGGCCCTCTCCTCGTCGTCACTGCCGCTGAACTCGGCATCGTCGTCGCTCTCCTCGTCCTGCTGGGCGTCCACGAAGGCGTTCTGGTTGGATGCGCCGGCGCCGCCCTTGATCTCGCTGGCGTCGACAAAGTCGCCCTGGTTCAGGCTGGCGTACTCGTGCTTCTGTATCAGATCCTTGAGGCCCTGGTTGCGGGGGTCGACAAGCTGGACGGCTGTCAGCTTGGCCTTGTTCTTGACGCGCGGGTTGGAGCCGGCCTCGAGCATCATCTCGACCAGGGCGTTGCCGAACTCGCGCTGCGCCGGCGGTTCGCTGTTGATCCAGCGGATGGCGCTGTGCAGGGGCGTGTCGCCCTCGACCCGGTTGACGGGGTCGCACTCGAAGTTGGGCTGGTCGAGGAGGAGGTCGATCACCTCGTCTGTAAGAAGAAGCGCAGAGGCTCGTGTTAGCTTCGATGCGATAGACGTATAGGCACGGGGCAGTCCATGCCAGACGCATAGTGCATGAGCAACCTGGGGAAGCAGAACGTACAGTGCCCTTGTAGCGCGGCCTCGTGGTATAAGTGGTTGCCCATGACGCTGGTGGTGTTGTTCATCAGACTCGAGATCTCGTCCTCGCTCTTGCAGTTGTTGATGATCTCGGTCAGGAGTTCGACGTTGTTCCGTCGGCAGGCCTCAACGAGCTGCTCCTTGACTGATGCACCCTGGACACAGAACCAAGTCAGCAGCGCGGACGGCGCATCCTTTGTCGAGGGCAACGCACCTCGTGCACCTGGTCGTCCGCCATGTTGGGCTAGCCGTCGTCCCACGATCTGGGTGTTGAGTCTTGGGCGGTGGGAGGCACTGGACAGGAGTAGTACGTGGTGAGGTTCAGTCGGATCGCACGGTAACAACAGCGGAATCGGTCCCCTGAGGCTGGAAGCTGGTGATTACGTATTGCTGGTCTACGTGTGAGATGATCGCTCTTTGTTCAGCTGTCGATGCAGTTGCGTATCGACAGGGGCCGGCAGGAGGTGGCAGTGATACGAGGGCCGGTCAGACGGTGACCACAACGGCCGCGTCGTCGCTGGGCTGGGCTGGGCTGGGCTGAACTAGTAACTACTGTGGTAACTTGGACTGGACTTTCCCCCCTTGCGGGCGCGGGGCTCTGTGTGGTGTGTGTGTGTATGTGTGTGGCTCTGACGTCTGGTGCCTGGCGGGGCAATCCTTGGCTTGCTTGGGACCTCGAGGCCCGCTGCTGAGGCTGCTGAGGCTTCTGAGGCTTCTGGGGCTGCCGCACACGGCCCAACTGTTTCAGCGGCTTCCGGCGGGGAGACGACCGCGGCGCAGAGCAGACGGGATCGCCTGCGCAGCCAAAGGGGCTCCACTGAATTTTTGGGCCGCGCGAGCAATCGATAAGAGTCAACCCATCTCATCGGATTTCAGATGCGAAAAGCTTCCATGTCGTGAACGTGCTACGTACGACCGGTCTGCCAACAGTTATTTTCCACACCTCCACAAAGCCAGGCCTTGGGGTCTAAGCACTGGGCAAGATGCTTCTATGTAAGTCGTCTTCCGTAAATCTGCTCCCCTCCCCCCGCACACGAGAGAGAAGAAAGAAAAGAATGCAACCGACTAATTCCGCTTGCCCGCCCGCCTGCAGTCTGCCCCCACTGCTCCAACATCCTGACGGTCAGCCCGTCGCCCGAGACGGGGCGCAACCGCCTCGAGTGCCGCACGTGTCCGTACCAGCATCTGATCACGACGTCCATGTTTAGTCGACGCGAGTTTGTGCGCAAGGAGAGAGAGGACGTCTTTGGCGGGCCCGGCGCCTGGGACAACGCCGACAAGACCCCGGTCCAGTGTCCCAAGGACGGCTGCAACGGCAACGAGGCCGCCTTCTTCCAGGTCCAGATCCGCAGTGCCGACGAGCCCATGACCAGTTTCTACAAGGTGAGTGCCTGCTGGCCGGTGCTGGCCGCTCGAGAGCGAAGAGGGACGGGACGAGAGACGAGACTGACCACCCTCTGCAGTGCATGACCTGTGGTGGACGATGGAGAGAAAACTAGACCCGTGTTGGAGTCCCCTGGAGACAGATTCTGCGAATTGTGCGGCATGGCACGGAGTACGGCGTTTAAATCATGGTGATTACGGTCCTAGGATACAGGTCCTAACCGTGGAGGATTGGTTTACTTTCTATTCAAGATACCAATAGATGCCAGGCTTTTCCTGTTCCTGCTTGACCTCTTCCATCCCGCTCTCGGGCAACATGGACCTGTGTGGCCTCGGCGCGTCGCCTCTCATGTTGCTCGTGACTTGCAAAGTGGTCTCAGCAAGTGATAATGGCATGCAGGCAGGACTGATCCTGATGCTGTGGGTTTCGAAGACGCGTGCTTTCCCATGTACACTTTAGGTGTCTGTACCTTGAATCCCCTCTCTGTTCGGGCGAGAAAGGTGCTACTCTCGTGTGTGGCCTTCGCGTAGTGGCGTTGTGTGCAGCTCCCACGCTGTCCACCTTATATCTGCAAAGCCGCCCTAGTTCATAGCAGACAGCCCATCTTCATCGGGGGGCTCCAGAAAGCTGGTGGTGCTTTGCTTCCGAGTGTCGCCAATTCACTCTTCCTTGTGCCAGTCGATGCTCGCCTTCTGGTTCTCCGCCGCTAGGAGATGCACAAGCTCGGGCGAGATGATCTCTTGCCGGAACCGCTCCTGCTGCAGTAGTTCGAGGTGCTTGAGGGTCGGTCCGGGGTAGGTCAGGTACTTGAGATACGGTGGCTTGCTCCAGTATTGCAGATACTTGAGGTATTCGACGAAGGCCGGCTCCGAGAGCAGCTTCTGGGAGGCGAGGTGGTTCAGGTAGAAGGGGTTCGCCAGGGATTGTACGAACTGCGGGCACGTCAGTATGCTGCTGCCCACTGGCGGTAGGAGAGGCCCTTCCCCCTTGTCATGGCGGAGAAGTGGGCCCAAGAGCAGCGGTACATACCTCGAGCTCGATTTCGAACCGCGTGAAGCCGCCATACAGCGGCTCCGCCTCGGCCGGCGGGTTGGGAGGAGACTGAGACATTGGGCGACGGCCGCGGGCGGGCGGCAAGGACGCAAAAAAGCGCGCGGCAGAAGGAGAAGGTTGCTGTCCGGAGAAGTCGAGAAACAAGGCGTGGGGTCTGGCGAGTGTCGACCGACGATGACGTGGAATAGAGTGAGCCTTGCGGCCTGGTGTTTGATGTTAAGGCTGGAGTGCCGTAGGTGAGACAAGGATGTTGATGAATTATCCCCAGGGCTCGCGAGCACGGGGGCGACGGGTTGGGTCTTGGCGCCCATTACGGAGCACCGAAAGCTTAGCCCCCCTAGCGCGGCCGTTTTTTTGCTTGCAGGTGCAGGTGCCAGGCAAAGCAGGTGCACCGCGCGCCATCCAACAGCTAACTAGCTACCTAGGTAACCCCTAATTCAGCTGTGGGCGCGCGCGCGTCCAGGCACAGAGCCAGAGCCACAGAGCCAGTCCTACTGGACACTAGAGAGAGAGAGAGCGAGCGAGCACGGAGGCGACCCCTGCGCGCGCGCCGCTGCTGGCCCCCTTTTGTCTGCCGCTGCGCACGCCATTGAAGAATCTAGATCGCCAAACGTGGGCCCGGGGTCGCACATGTGAAATCCAAGTACCGTACGCCGTTCGCTACCGATCTCCCTGATGGCGATGCTAGGCTTTGCGGCTTGCGCTGCGTCCTCGCCGCCTCCCATTTCGCATTACATTGCACACACCTTGCGGTGGACACGACCGCTCGAGTTCTGCCCGCTTCCCACTTCCCACTTCCCACTTCCCAGGTCCCCAGTCCCGTGCGGACAGCAGCGCATGAAAAAGCCTCCTATTTTTAGGGCGTTGGCAACTCTATCGAGTACAAGGCTCCGGGCGGGCGGCCACTGGAGAGCCTCAATCTTCCACGTGTAAGGTACGATCAAGATCTCACAGCCTCACTATTCGAAACGACGGGCGGCAGCGATCCGTACATGTGAGATGGGCATGGATGGGGAGACTGTAAGGGGGATGGGCAAATAGGGGGGCTGCTGGTCTCCATAATAATACTGTCCAGTTACAGTACGTGTGCGCCCTGTGTTATCGAGCATCCGCTTCCTTGAACAGCGTCTGGTCGCTCTGCGCTCTGCTCGCGCAGGTGGTTCACCCATTGGCGTTGCTTGCTTTGCTCGCGACGGCTGCCCACCTTCCCGTTTCCACCATGCCCGTAGCTAGACGACCACTTAACCAGACGACATCTCTGTTTGCCCGTCGCCAACTCGTCCAATGGGCAGTGCAACCTCAGCGCGCAAATCCTTACCCTTTCCTTGGCCGGAATCACTTTGATTAAGTATATCCAATACCAGTGTTGCATGGGGCATATCCGCAGTTTAAAATTGGACTGGGCCCCCCACGGCCCACCCGACAGATAGTCGAGCAATCGACCGTCCGTCTGCTTGTCTGGAGCCCCCCCTGTGTCGTAATCACTCGCCTTTTAATTTTTGGTCCTCCCGGCCGTCCAAGCTGGTCCAACTTTTTCTTCCTCTCCTTCGACTCCAGACTCTCTCCTCAACTCCAGCCCGCCCGCCCCCCATCTCCCCATCGTGAACGTCGCCTCCACCAGCGCCAGCTTCACCATGTCTTCCGTCGCACAGGATAAGAATGCCCAGGACGAGCGCAAGCTCGAGGCCGGAGGGGTCGCAACCCCCGCGCCGAGCAGCGGCCCTCACCCTGCTCTCTACATCGCGTATGCCGCCCGCCCACGATCGATCCGACCCTTGAGGGATGGCCGCTAATGATCGCAATCGCTCTCCAGACTGTGGATTGCCATGAGTTCCAGTGTTATCCTCTTCAACAAGTGGGTTCTGGCAGCAGCCCATTTCGGTATGTATACTCCTGGACCCCACCAGTCCCCCGGGGGGAACAACCTACAAGTGGAACAAAATAGGCTAATCATCTCAAAATCCAGACTTCCGTGAGTGGCACGAATACGGCACGACGTGAGGCGCCTTATTGACTGTTCGCAGCCCTCTTCTTGACGACATGGCACATGGTGTTCGCGACCGGAATGACCCAGCTCATGGCCCGGTTCTCCACGACGCTCGACTCGCGCAAGAAGGTGCCCATGGACACTGCTACCTACATGTAAGTGCCCTCAGCTCTCTGCCCTCTACCGGGACGGCGAGACAGGCGGACGGTGCTAAAACTGCGAAATCAGGCGCGCAATTGTCCCCATTGGCATCATGTTCAGCTTGAGTCTGATTCTCGGCAACTTGGCCTACCTGTACCTGAGTGTTTCCTTCATTCAGATGCTCAAGGTAAGACCCGAGAGGTGTCCTGCTCTGCAAGCCCCGGACCCCGCGTATCTAACAGTGTTCAGGCCACCAACGCCGCCGCAACCTTGATTGCCACTTGGGCCTTTGGCATGGCTGCCCCTAACATGAAGGTCCTCTTCAACGTTCTGATCATTGTCGTTGGTGTCGCCATTGCGTCATTCGGCGAGCTCAAGTTCGAGATGTTCGGTTTCCTCGGTACGTGCGCGTCTACTCCAGCACCCGCAGGCCGTTTCCTAACTTGTGTGTGTGCCTACAGTCCAGATTGCCGGTATTGTGGCCGAGGCCATGCGCCTCGTCATGGTCCAGCGCCTTCTCAGCGGATCCGAGTTCAAGATGGACCCCCTGGTGTCTGTCTACTACTACGCCCCGGCCTGCGCTGTCATCAACGGTGTCTTCACCCTGTTCGTTGAGGGCTCGCGCATCACCATGAACGACATCTACACTCTCGGAATCTTTACTCTGATCGCCAACGCCTTCATTGCATTCTGCTTGAACGTTTCCGTTGTGCTCTTGGTATGTGCTATAGCTCCCAACCGGATATAAAGCCAGTTCTGACATTTTTCTGCAGATCGGCAAGACCTCCGCTGTTGTCTTGACCATGGCCGGTGTCTTGAAGGACATCCTGCTCGTCGTTGCCTCCATGGTTATCTTCGGTGACCCGGTCACAGGCCAGCAGTACTTCGGATACGGTATCGCTCTTGCCGGACTTACATACTACAAGCTGGGAGCCGAGAAGATGAACGCCATGTACACCGACGCCAAGCTCTACGTCGAAGATGCTCGCCGCAACCAGCCTGGCAAGGTCAAGATGGTCATTCTCTGCGCCCTGCTCGGTTTCATGACCATTGTCGTTCTCGGCTGGTGGAGAAACACCCCTGGCGCGACCATGCCCATCCCGCAAGAGTAAACCTCTCGTTGAGGATCGAGGCCATCGAATTGGGATGAGGAGCCACGAGAATGCGATCTGTGTCACGGACGAGACCATTCTCAATGTATTATGAAATATCGAGGCTGTACATAAAACAGGGCTCGTACATTGTACTTTTGTGTATAGAATCTGGGAAAGGGAGCCAAGCGGAACAGGCGTTGTACAAAGTGGGGGATTTTGTTTGTCTATTGTATGAAACTTGGCCCCGAGCCGGTGAAGGACGGTGTGGGGGCATATAGAACACGCGTAGGCGTGCGTGGTGGCCGTAACGGCCATTTTTTGAGGCTGCTTGGCACGAAGCTGTATAGAACTCTTGTGTCAGTCAGATCAAGCCAATCAAAAGACCATGAAACAACAACACTCTCACCCGGAAATATGGGTTGCACATGGAGTTGGTGAATGTCTTTCCACTGGCTGGGCCCACAATCCCTCAACTCTATACAGATGGGTCTTGGTATACGGGACTCGGCCTCGGATTGGCCAATTCGCAAGTCCTATACCTGCGTCCCCTGTTTTCTCCACTTCTCAGGAATGTAAGCACTAGGCTCTTAGCCATCTATAGGTCGATCGGTGCAACTCATGCTGTGTAGCCCACGGGCGCATATGACGTGTTTGTGTATCGGATAAAACACCCCATGCACAGGAAAGCTGGCTGAACTAAGTTCGTCGATACAGATACATGGGTCCACTTCGCATCATTGTTCATGGCACGGTTCAGGACAACCCGGGATTGAGGGCATTGGTGACGAGTGGGGGCCATTGGCATAGTATTCGTGTGAGTAAGCAGACATTATCTGTACATCGCCCTTCTGGTTATTATCGATATAGAGTTGGCTTTTGGTTTGCCCCATCGTTTCGACCGGGCCCCAATCCCCGGAGTATTAATGACGGGCGCACGTCAAACTATAATGACAGTCGCGTACACTTTTCACTTCCCATTACCATATCACATCTCGACGTCAACCTCCCCTTCACAAGACAGCAGCAACGCCCAAAACACCGGCCAACACGCCTCCGATAACCTTGGCGGCGCCCTGCGTGGGGGCGGCGTTGGTCGTCCTCGACGTGCTGCTGCCGCTGATAGCCGAGGGGACCGCCGTCGAGCTGACGACCGGGTTGGTGATGGTCTTGCCGGCGCTCTCGCTGGTGGTCCCGGTGGTGCTAGCAGCCTCGGTGGTCTCGGTGGCGGTCCCGGTGGTCGACGCGGCGCCGCTGCTGGCGCCGGAGCTGCCGGGGGCGCCCGTGATGGTGGTGCTGGCGTCCGAGTCCGTGGTCGTGGCGGCGTCGCCCGTGGTCGTGGCCGTCGCCGGGATCGTCAGCTTGCCCTCCGACAGGCTCGAGCACACGGCCAGGCCGGCCGACTGCGCCTGCGCCAGGTCCGCCGGGCTGCAGCCCCCGATCAGGCAGGCCGCGGCGTTGCCGGCGATGGCCGTCTGCTTGGGCCCGCACTGGCACTGCACGTCGTTGAGGTCGCAGCCGGCCTTGGTGATGGCCGAGGTGAGGCAGGGGATCTGTGGGGTGGATCGGCCCATGTTAGGTTCTTGGTTCGAGTGTAGCCCATTGGCCAGGCGCGGTCAAGAGGTCTTCATTGCACTTCTTCTTGAGGAGGGGGAAGACGGAGGATATCCTGAACTAAGGACGAAACTCCAGGGGGAGAGACGGCCACTTACAGCACAGTCGGGCTCTCCGGGGAAGTACTGGGCAGCGACGAGAGACGCGCCGGCGAGGATGAGCGATGCCTTCATGATGAACGATCGGGAGGGGGGTTGGCCTGAATTGGTGTGTACTGCGATCGTCACGTCCTCGAGTTTACAGAGTATCTCAGCTGTTCTTTGCTTGGCACGTAGTGGGAGACGGGGGCGGGCAATCAAGAGAAGGGCGAGGAGGAGGAGTAGGAGGGGGGAAACGGGAAGCTCAGCCAGATATATTTCCCGTCCCGGCCTCGTCTCTCGTGTCGAACGGGCATCTCAGCTGCTGCCCTGCTGGGCCCCCATTGGGGAAACTGCCAACGCGCCGATGCCTTTGCCGGGCAAGCGCATGTCCCTTTTAGCTTTCTGGTTTCATTTGCCATTCCCAATTGGCAGGGGGGAGCGGCTTCCAGCGACGCCCGCGGGAGCCCGTCCGTCGTGATGGACGACTGGAATCGCCTGTTCGGGACTGCGCGCCACTGACTTAAAGGGTGCTTCTATTGGTCTTGGGCGCACAGTGCTGGCGTCTAGCGTCCCCCTGTCAGCGAAAGCTTGGTCCGCCCAGCTCGTGGTTAGCTCGGCTCTCGATCTCGGGGTCGACGCAGGGGTTGTGCAGGGCCCGCGGGCTGCATGTTGGTGCGGGGAGCGTCGCAGTGCGCTAACACGAAGAATTAGCTCGGCTTGACAGCACCGTCTACGCACTGTATCTCGTTGCTTTCTGTAGCCTGTGGCTACCTGAGGCGGGCCAAACGGCATTTTGACGTGGACGGTCTATAATTCGTCCACGTTACATCGTGGTTTAGTCTTCTGCGGTTGATGGCATGATGGAGAGCATGAATGCTGGCCGTCAGGCGGTGTCCCCTTCGTTTGCTGGCTTTGGATGCCCAACAATTGTGGGTGCTGGTAAGCCGAAGCGATATCAGATAACACGGGACTCTTTTCGAATAGCTACAAGGCTCGGTATGCAAATCCTGATAAGACCCTAAGGGATTCAAATGAACTGTAAGCTTCTTTGAGTGTATTATAGTGCTTCTCCACTCAAATTAGCAAGGGGCCAACTCCTTAGAGTAGATTAGTCTACTGTAGTGTCAAGTTATCGGGATCACTTGATCAAAGCTGCTGTGGACACTCGATGTAATACAGCCGACAACAACCACACGTTGGTCCGTTGCATACAAGAGAGATCTGTTAATCAGATGGCACGTAGGTTTATCTTGCTATATCCCCAATGACATCTTTGAGGAACTGCGCCATCGCCGGGGCCACGTCCTTCAACGCATGCTTGCCGCCTGGCACTATCTCAACGGACGGCTTTTTGACGCCTTCCTTCGCAAGGTCATCCGCAAACGTTTCCAGCAACTCCCTCCTGCTCACCATGCGGCTTCTTAAAAGTTGCTCCCAGTCGACCTCGTCCTTGCGCTCTTGCCATCCTTGCGCAGCTGCCACGATGCTCTCCAGGCTACCTTCTAGAGCCGTGTCATCACTGCCGACCACAAGCTGCCAAGCGGCAATGCTGGTAAGATCCCCGGTTGCACGCCCGTCGAAGATGTCTGCCATGTCTGCGGTTCCCTCTGGCCACTCTTGGCTCGTTCTTAGCTTCGTTGTTGAGCCAGGCGCGGCGATGCTTGCTGCTATCACACGCTCGCTATACAGGAGACAGAAGCGTTGCACCATGGACGCACCCCCGCTGAAGCCTGCCAGCACCACCTTACCAGTATCTAAGCCAGGCCAACGTGCTGGCACATCCGTGTCTAGAATATTTAGGAGCGCCGTGTCGGCTTGTGTGTCTCCCAGCCACGCATCCTGTTTCGATGGTCGTAGCACTCGGTAATTGTCCCAGTCGTTCGGTCCGTTGAGACCGGCCGGAAAGAGCGGGGCTAGGATGGCACAGCGGCAAGTATCCGCCACTTCCTGGAAAGCTGACAGTAATGGCGTTGTCTGGCGAGTTGTCCCATGGACGGCGACGACCACGGGCAGAGACGCATCATTCGTATAGTGACTTGGGGGGATATAGAGAGCATACGAGACCCGGGCATCGTAAGTGCTGGCCAAGTGTGGAGTGTATCCGACCAATCGAGCCGCAGACAGGAGGGACTGAGGGAGATCGCGTGTGGAGATAATCGAAGACATGGTAATATAGTCTATCCTGCGGCATCCAGGGCGTTTGAAGCTGTTTAGGTTCTCAAATACCATGTAGCTCGCTCATTGTGCAAGGATGCTTGCTTATGATGGGGAAATTGACTTTGGTGCCTGATTGGCTCTCAGGGCCCAATGAAGGCCAACGACCGCTGAGCCCAAATGCATCAGACAATGACTTGGGAACTCGCCAGAATTCATTTCTCATAATGGTCTCAAAACCCCATTTCGGTGAGTGTGAACACTTCCTGATGACCAGAAGCTAGGGTAGAATATCACGATGAGTATACAATGTGGATCTAGTTAGGCAGGTCCATGGGGGGGAGCTATCCTGAATCCTAAACTATAACATACTCACAGTGCTTTGTCAAAAAGTGCTCATGCCCTGCTTCTAAATACGGATGACTAGGAAGGTTTGATCTGGTGAGGGTCTGGCTCCACGTGCTTTCCAAAGAGTTCGGAGAATGTTGACTGGTTGAGAAAGATGCTGAGAATGGCCTTGATATAGATAATGCAACTAGTAAATAATCCAACGTATATTGGCAAGCCCCGTTCAAACTGTTTATACATTCATCTGTACAATTCCCATGTGAGTGCCATCTATCACCCACCAAATCACCAGAAACCCCAACTGCAGCTATGGAGGTACGAACCCGATTCCTGATCGTCTCCGACACGCATGGAGATTCGTTCGGAGTACACAAAGGCCAAAAGGCAGATGTCGCCATACACTGCGGTGACCTAACGGAAGAGTCTAAAATTTCTGAACTCCGCACAACTCTGCGCTTTCTCGCAGAGCTCGATGCGCCCCTGAAGCTCGTGATTCCCGGCAACCACGACTTCACCCTCGACGTACCCACTTTCAGGAGGAGGGTCGCTGAAGCAGCGCAACCACTCGAGCCAGAATTGGTCAGCAAAGAATTCGGCGATTATGGAGAGGCGCGGAGCTTATTCGAGGAAACAAGGAAGGATGGAATCATCTTTTTAGACGAAGGCAATCACGAGTTTACCTTGGCCAACGGGGCCCAACTCAAGATCTACGCCAGCCCATTTACGCCGTCCAAGGGCGGCTGGGGGTTTCAGTATGCGCCAGAGACTGGACACCAGTTTTCTATCGACCAGGGAGTGGATGTTGTCATAACTCATGGCCCACCGCTCGGTGTGATGGACTTGACGGACTCCAGGGTCAGAGGCGGGTGCCCTGACCTATTCGGCGCAGTTGCCCGTGCTCGACCCCGGATGCACTGCTTCGGACACATTCACGAGGGTTGGGGAGCCAAACTGGTCACCTGGAGGGACAAAGTCAGCGAAAAGCCGTCTCATTTTACAGACATCGACAACAGCCGGTCAGTAGTCGTTGAGAAGCTGACGAATATCTTACCAAGCCGCTTCGACGATGCAGAGTCATCATTAGAGAAGGAACTCAAAGCGAGGGCGTACCTACGCGATGGAGGTGCCACGATCAGACATTGCAAGGGAGATGAACATGCACTGCAGGTTGGACACCAGACGCTCTTTGTCAATGCAGCCATCGAGGGGACACATGATGCTTTGCCATATCAACCAGCTTGGATCGTTGATCTCGATTTGCGAAGATGCGGCAACTAAAATCCAATGTGTCCTGGAGCTATGAAACTGGATTCCTATCTGTCAAAGTGTATATGTATGTATAGACCAGGGCAAGGCTTGAAACGATAGCCTAAGCGTCTCGAAGAACTACGAGGCACATCAAGGCGATTGTATACGATCCCATGTACAATGGTAAACATGTTAGGGCGGGGAGTACCAATTGATCGTAGCTGAACTAAATCTTATCACAGCGGAAGGAGATAGATCGGTTCTTCCTTGCTTGCATCTGTACCTCACATTGATCTTGAAGACTGACACCAATTAACGTTCTTACCATCCGCTCTTGCTCTTCCTCGCTAGGCTTGTATTACCATTCCTGGACATCGACATCCCGAAACCCACTTAGCGCACTCTGTTCTATCAACAAATAGAACCACCCCAAAGTGGCACTTGTTATCAACTAAGAGTATCATAAACACATCTTTCTCTTCCTGCCACTTCCTCTCCGAAACCTTGTCGATGCCGTGAAAGCGGCAAGACTCGGATCAGATAATCTCTGACTTCTTCCACATGTCGATATCTCCGTGTCCATCAGGAAAAACGGCCGCCAGCGACCCCTTTCTATCGCATATGAAATGCTTTGAAACAGCGCATTACGGTTTATATTATTTGCTTGCTTGTTCTATGAATCGTTTACACGCATCTCACGAAGAATGCAACGGGAAGGCGACAATTTCAGGCCGTGTGAGTTCGGCGATTGCTGAAGCAATTGGATACCGTAGTGGGTTCTCTACAGCATTGAGCCCTGCGTTATACTCTCCAGAAGTTATGACTGATGGAGCTGTCTATATATTAGGCAACATATTCTTAGCAGTCTGCCTTATTAGCCGATGATTCTAGAAATAACAAACATTTCTCCTCGCATGACGTTCTTTGCAGAATTCGCCATATACGAGACTTGGCGGCAATGTTTCGGTTTTCACCTAGGTACTCTACGAGGTACTCGTGTATAGTCTCTTCCTACTCTTTGATTATCGCGAAAGCCAACGCAAAGCGTCCGTTTTACTTGGAACAGCAACTTTAATGCCAAGTTCTTTCCATGGTCCTATACCTTCTTCATCATCCTGCAGCAAAGCTTCATCCAATGCTGTCTTTACATGTTTAGATTGAATATGAAATATCAGCACCGAGTTCCTTGAGCTGTCGGATAGCTTCGGTGCGCCCAGAGGCAGAAGCTTTATGCAGCAGCGAGCGTTCTTCATTACTGATCAAATGAACGTTGACCGTCAGTGCCTTAAGGACAGTGAAGTCTAGATAGCATCCGTGTTCTTCTTTGGAGCAGGCGCTGAAACGACGGCGACCTGGCTATGTGCCATAATGAGTTGACAGTGCGTATATGTACTCGGCATGAAACGAAATGTCTTGGCTGCCAGAAAAGGTGGCGCTAACGCACGTGCCGCTATTACCACCCGTGGCACTTGATCACTCGTCGCGCTTTCTCTCTGATCAGAGGAGCTTCTCAGGTCTGTCATCTGCAATTATTTGCGACCCTGGCTTTGAAGGGAGAGGCGCCGTGATTGTCGACATGCGCTCATGGAGCCCAAATCCGTCAACGACGGTGCATTAAATCGCATTCTCACGCTTTGCGCGTTTAAGCTCGCGACTCAGAAATATGTCCGGCGGATATTCCACAGTTCGGGCGGCGTGGTATTTGTCTCCAAGTACTGCATCAAGTCAACGTCAGTCACCACGTTGACTGAGGCAAATAATATGCAGTTCGTGTCGAGCCATACGTCTATCCCCGTCCCAAAGATCCACTGCGCTTTCGAGCACGCTGGCCGGACATACATCGTTATGGAGAAGATAGCTGGCCAGTACCTGGGCCTAGGATGGGTACAACGGCCTGAAGCTTCCAAAGCGCGCATTCTTGAGCAACTGAGGTCCATGATTGCCCAACTGCGCGCTATTCCACCGCCACAGGATGTTGGCGTCGCAAACGTCAATGGGGGCCCGATGTACGACCAACGGCTGCCGAAACAGTCGAACTGGGGGCCATTCAAAACGATCAAGGATTTCCACAGAGAGCTCCGGAACGGCATTGAAGCTGAAGCTTTCCAGGATCCTTCATTAGCAGAGGAACTACGTGAACTGGCCTCGTTTCATAACCAGCCTTGGCCAGCTCCCGTGTTCACACATGGTGATTTGAGCAGTCTCAATATCTTAGCACGTGGCGATGACATCGTTGGGATCGTCGACTGGGAAACCGCCGCATGGATGCCTCCCTATTGGGAATACACTTCGGCATGGCATGTCAATCCTCAGAACATGTTCTGGCAGGAAGAGGTCGACAGGTTCCTGGAGCCCATGCCTTACGAGCTGAAGATGGAGCAGATCCGACGGAAGTACTTTGGAGACTTTTAGAATTTTTTTAGTGGGGGCTGCTCGTACGTACGACTTACAGCATTGCTACTCTAAAGCATCATGGAATAGTCTCTTGCTTTGTCTCGATCAAGTCGTAAGTGGGCACTTGCCTCGCATTGAAGATGCCGGCCTGGGCTCTGCCATCGAACCTGTGCTGCGCTTCTTTATGTCGAACATACGACAGTGCAGCATCACGTATAGTCCGCCAGTCAATAACAGAAGTACCCAGCGCTTTGCCATCTTTGCCTAAGGCCACCAGGGCTTCTTTCACCCACCCAACACAGTTCCATCCCGGCTGATCACCTCGAATTGGTATGGACCTGAGAATCGACGCGACTCGCTTCCGGTCCTTGATTTTGCCAACCACGATACGCACTAGAATCATTGAAGTCGCCAGCATGCTCACATCTCGTTCATCGAACTGCCATTGGGACTGAATATGACCCCGGATAGAGATCATTTGCTCCTTGGCGTGGTAACGCTTTCCCGTCGGTTCATCTCTTTCCGTCTTGGGGCCAGTTAGTAAGGCCCAATGATATCTGCAAAGTCCTAATATAAGCTGATGGACGAAGAACGTGCATGTTCCGGATACTGTCATTGACTGACTTATCTTCGCCTCTAGGCATGGTAGGCATCCCTGCTCTAGCATAAAGTGCAACATACAGGCGATCTTTATCAGAAGGCATGGCTGTAGAAATCTATCCACAAAATTACTGATATCAATGGCGATGATATGTTATCGAGCTGTTAACGAGATATTCAAATGGTTCAATCTATATGGAAGCACACCACGGTCTCAAGCGTCAACAGACTTTAAATACCAGTCTACCGCGACTGCACTATGGGGTTTTGGCAGAGCTGCGCCTCCGATTAACTTCATTGTTGGTTCGAGCATAACTTGCCCGCATACGTTGGCCTGTGTTCTTGGATATGCGTATTGAATCTATGTAGCTGAGCCAATCGACTGTCTCGAGAGGGTTTTTCGATTAGCGCCGGCCACCCCTGAGACCCAAGGCTGCAGCAGCCTAGTGCGTGCCAACTAACGTTGAGGGTGTAAACAACTCTCAGCAGGTGAGAGAAGGGTTAGATATTGAGTTCGATTCTCAATGGCGCCAGGGCGTTGAGTGATCCTTCGGGTCCCTCTTTTATCTCTCTGCACCATCGGCATCAACTACGTACAATCGGCTCTAGCGAGCCCTGAGAGGAATTTGGCCTGTCTACTGGACGCAGCGCCTTGAATCATCTATACCTTGTGCATCGAAGTAGGTCAGATTCTTGCACTCAGTTCATTGACCGGCCGCGACAATATACACGTAGGTGCTTTCTTCATGAAGCTGGTGATCATCACTGCCCGACATACGCCAAATTCAACTCTTGGCGCAAATTATCTGATATGAGAACTGTACGAATCATGCGAGGATGGGACCCAAAAGCTCACACACACATGTGTGTCCTCGTGCAGTAACATTGCTAGATAGGTATACTCCCTGCTCTTACTCCCAAAGATACGTTAGAAAGGAAACCGTGAGGGCAATGTGGACTGTGCCTGGCTTCTTAATGAGCCTCCACCTGTTCAGAGCCAATTACAGACATAATGGATCGTTATACAGGGGATGTGGTCTAACCGGGACTAAGGGCCTCAATTTAACAACTTCACGATCTCATGGCCTTGTAAATGATTATACAATATGCTCTGGGGTTACTCGTATTTATGGCCAAGTTCTCGGCCTTACATATACTCTGCGTCTCAGGACACTATTGGTATCATCCTGGTCGTTGCTCCATATCCTAAAAGCCATAACCTACTGAGACAAGACGCCGGTTCTGCATCGCACAGCTATTTGACACATCTCGGTATCCAACATTGGTCTACCTGTTGATAATCTCAACGTTGGAAAACCTCTTGACTTCATCGGGCATGCGTGTAACGCATAGCTGCTCGCAGAAGAGGCCCCATTCTCCACTCGTGCCCTCCTTGACCGCTTGCGACAGGTCGTGGCCGTACCGCTCCTTGTACGCCTTCTTGATAGCAGCCATGTGGTGGCGATCCCAGTGATAGCGGACCAAGCGACTAATCAGCAACTCACGACGCAGGTTGTCCTTCTTGGACGCCGTGAGCGCGTGGTTCAGGAGCAAGGCGTCACGGACAGCCTTATTGATCACTCCGTTCAAAATGTGCGCGAGAAGTTCGCCCTTTGGTTTGTTAGCTTGGACGAGAAGTACAAGTAGAGCAATGAGTACTTACGACAAGGTTTCCACTCTTCTTGAGGGCGTCTCTGGCGAAGTTGGACCTATAGGTCCTCTCGTAGAGCTTCAACACTTCCCTGAGGTGGGAGTCGCTTCGCATGACAACAATCTGAATCATGGCTGTTTCACCACCCTTCTCGCTCCTGACGGACTTGTAGAGATCATGAGCATCGTCCTCAACCAGCCTTTGATCGATGCGGAGAAGTCGGCCGTACTCGTCCGTCTCTTCCATCCTCCTCTCCTCCAACACCATGAGAACAGCCTTCTTGAACTTGTCCTCCTTGAGCTCTGTCTTCATGCATTGTGAGAGGCTGTCGCGGTACTTCTTATCACTGAAGCCGTCCTTGATCCTTCGAATCTCGTCATTGGTCCGACCCATGATAGATTCGATCAGCAGCTCGCGCCTGGTCTTATCACCCTGGTACCAGAAGTTCGCCCAGTATGCTTCTCCTTCCCACTTGCCAAGTGCAACAGAGTACGCTGCTTTCATCAACAACGGGTGTTCGTCCTTTAGCCGCGCGCGGATATGCTTTGCAATGTTTACGCCCTTGCGTTCACTGCCGGTTTTCACAAGTCGTTTGTACTCCTGGCGCAGATCCATGATCTGTTCATGGGTCAAACCGGGAAGGATCTCGATTAGAGGCTCAATGTCAGGGGCACGCTTCTCTCCCTTGAGCGCCTTCGCAAGACGAGCAGCATCATCGACTGGATCGCTAAAGCGCGCGCGACGCTTTTTCTTGTCGCCGCGCTCGTCGTCCGAAACCCCTGGGGACAATGGCTCAATAGGCGAAAGAGGCCCGTTGGAAGCAAGAAGGAGTGGTGATGGCATAGGCGACATAGACTGGTAGGTCCCATGGTAGGACTCGAGTAGCGGGGAGCCAGGCGCGTTCGCTAGTGAGAGATGAGAGCCACTTGGGTGTCCTGTACTGACACTGAGAGAGGACATGCCCTTGACAGGAGGCTGAGGCGAACGCGATCGATCGCGGCGCCTGCTGCCCGATTCAACAGTCAAGCCGCTTGACTTGGAAGATCGCGGGTCATCATCACGGTGCTTCTTGCTGGAAGTTCGGTGAGGACCTGGACTCGGTTCTCTGCGGGAGCGTCGGTCGCCTCTTGGTGGGCTCAGGGAGGGGCCATTATACTCGGCATTCCTGATGTTATAATGGAGGTTGTCATCGGGTTGGCCATACTGCCATTGCGGTGCGCTCGCGTATTTGAATTCAGATGGTGGTGAATCGTCTCTTGGGAATCTGCCGGGTAGAGCCGCGGTATTTCCGTACGCGAGGTCCTCCTCCAGACGGGCCTTCTTCTCGCTCTTCTTCTTGTCCTTCTCGCCATCGGATGCCAGCGCCTTGTCCATGACTTTCGAGGCATACTTTGCGGGGAGGTAAGCTGCCGCACCACCCAGAGCATTTGCAAGACGGTCCTTTTCTGAGTCACGTTCATTCCCCCGCGTGGAGTCTCTCTTGTACTTCCTGTCCTCATTATGCCTGGCATACTTGCCATGGCCGTCGTCGTCATCGAACTTCTCCCGGCTGCGTCGATATGACGACTCGTCAGTGGGCGAAGTCACGCGGTACGGTCCAGAATGGTCTTCATAGTCGTACACAGACCTCCGAGGCGGCGCATCGCGGTCATCGTCGTAGCTGAAGCCGGCTGGCGGAGAAGGCATGCGCACCGCGTCCATGATATACGGGTCCGGCTCGGGCACGCGACCACGGCTGCGGTCGCGATCCTCTGCGCCGCGGCCGGGTGAGCGCGACCGGGCGCGCCGTCCACTGTCGTCAACGCGAAGAGACATATCCTGAGCTTTCTGAAAACCCGGAAATCCAATCAGGGTTTGTGCTAGTGATATTTCCAAGGCTCCTCGGCCAGTAGCGCTGCGGGGTATCACGATGCTTAGATTAGACTTGTCCCGGTAGGGCTGGCTGATGAACGGGAGCAGAGTGCCAGGCCTGTACTCGAGCGCCGTTCAATGGAGCTCTGGGCTCTCCCGAGAGAACAACGGAGAGACTTATATGAGCGTCCGACGAGTTGCGATTTTGTTTTCAACAGAACAAAAACGAATGTGAGGTCCGAAGCACTGCTTTGAACATCCCCACTAGGGATGCAGCTGGAGAGGGGCTGGGGTTTTGACTGCAAATGAAACGCGGCCGGCTAGACCCCTCTCATGCATGGCTTCATTTGGGGGCTGTAAGGACACCAATGGGATCCCATGCCTATGCATCGCTCTCCCCGTGGCGTCCCTGCCGCCGCCGTGGAGCTGCTTCGCCTTTGCCTCTGCCGGAGCGTGCGATGCTTGGGAATGCTTGGGGATAAACAGGCAGTCGGGGCAGTGCTCGGGTGCTGCAAGTCACGATGCCACGGAGTGGGGTATATGCAGGCCGGAAGGCCCAGCGTGGATAGCCTCACAGCCTCCCAACCCAGGTGATTCTGCAGTATTACATCGCAGAACCGTGCTGCAGGCGGCCGATGACAGGACCAAAGACGTGCGGAGACAGCCGACATGCGGGCTCTGCCTGCGGTTTATTGGGGCATTGCCAACTCGTCGTCTTGTCAAAGCTGCAGCAACAACTGGCAGACGCCGTGTTCACGGACACCGACATTTACACCTGCACATACACAATATTGCTTGTCGCTCAAAGCAACAATTGGATCCTTCACAGGAGTTTCGGGACCAACTAGTGGGCGCCAGGGAGGCTGTCGTAAAAGCGATGAATGGGATGCCCTAAACCAAAGGCGCTAAGAGAGGTATCCTTAACGCCAGTCAGCTTGTGGCGGCTCTAGCGGTCTTGACCTCGTGCTTGGTGGGTCGTATCCAATGCTGACGCCCAAGTGCCCCATACAAAAAGGTCCATATCTCGACACTCCATGAGGCTTGGAACTGTGAGTCAACTTCTTCACCGCGTCGAAGAAGGTCGAATGTGGTCCGTAGCTGCATCTGGTAGGCATACGGACCGAGTGTATACGGAGTCAAGCACGTAGATGCTTCACACCGAGACGAAATGCGTTTGTCCACCAAGTAGATGGACTGACAACGTCGGCTTGGTTCGGAGTTGCGGTCAACGATGGTATCGTTACCTTTGTTATCAACTGCCGAGGTCGTATGTTGCCTGCTGACTGAGACTTGAACCAGATGTGAATACCCATTGTGCTTGATGTCAGATGTCCAATCCTCAAGGATGGCTCTCACCACTTAGGTAATCAATAATGTTCTAGACCGTTAGTTCAGGGAAATTGACCATGGTCGAGATATATGTCTACCCAAGTCTTGGACCAATTGGGTATGACTGGAGCCACACCAGCATTCTGGTACCCACTGCTGTTGTGCTACCGGGATGTTTAAACCCAGCATCAGAGAACCTCTTCGTGAGGCTCCTGTTCCATCCACAATACCATGCCTAGCACTAGTATACGAGCGCACTATTATGTCACTGCGCAGATCACAGCCACATAGTCCAGTTCGGTAGGTCTGGCTGCACGTAGGGCTTAACGCAACGGGGACCCGCAGCGAATTCGAAGATGGTTCGGTTCAAGTGTGTCACCTAATTATTCGATCTCTGAAGCACAAAAGAGAAGAAGGAGGTTTCAACCAGTGTATCTTGAACCTCAAATGAGCTCAAAGCCATCCGGGAGTACACGTATTCGGAAAGACTTTTGAAGCATGATCGAGAGCAATGCTCATCCAAGCCAGCTTGTGGATGTAAATGACACAGCTCTTCCCTGTTGGATCAGAACGAGAAAGCTTGCGACTCCATCTATCAACTGTCTTCATTATGATAAGTACGTTTTGGTGTCCTTTTCACATAGGTCGTCCTGAAAACAAGTCACATCACAAGATACCTCCAATGGCAGCCATCTATGCGAGCGGAGTTGCACGCTTCTGAGAGTTTTCCAATCTGTCCTCATTTCTAAGCCCAAGAAAGTACTAACATGCATAACTCTAGAGCACATTAGTAAAGAATTTACGGCTGCTGGCCTATCACTGACTGACCTGGAGCGCTTGAAACCGCGGAATAACTGCCGTCTTTAGCAACGCTGATGTCAGGGTGAGCAGCGCCAACCCAAAAGTGAATACAAAGTCAGAATATGGACCATTTAGCATTCCCCACAGCCTCACTGTAGTCAATATTACCTGGTCAGTCCACTCCAAATTCAAACAGTGATGTTCTTGGACCTGACCTTTCGGCTGAGCGCAGCGTCCGGGTAGTACAGTCTGGAGCACGCCCCTGATATACAACTAAGAAACCTACACTTTAGGATTGTGTCTAGTCTTCGTCAACTGACTACGAGCCAAGAGTGAGTTGGTCTTTTGTTGCGCATCTTCTACTTTGCCGTCTATAAAGATAAGCACTCAACACATTCGCATAAATAAAGGGATACCCGCATCCTGCTGGGCCTTTCACAGATCTATATTGCATCTTGATTGGCAATTGAACATCATCATCGTCCTTACGTTGTCAAATAAAGCTGCCTGTTTTGCTTTCCAGGGCTCGCTGGCGAAACCTCTCATGATGAGTTGCATGGGCTGCACCTTGGCCACACGCGGTTCTGCATAACACGGGAACTCAATGAGCTCATCGTGCCCGGTGTATGTCCAAGTCCAACAGAGGCTCGGAGCGGTATGATAGATAGCCAAGTCGATTGGACCGTTTGATGGCGACTCAGATGCCCTGTCTTCTCGTCTCATGATCTAAATCATTCAGAAGACACGAACATGTGGTGCAGTGAAGCATTTTCGTATAAACCCAACGATCATTGAAGCTTGAAGCTGGGATCTTTTGTCACCTTCCACTGGTTTGACCTGTTTCTGATAGCCTGGGGTGAGAGAATAGAATGCATCTACTCCTTGTCAATAAAGCCAGCTCTGGGTGTTGCTACAAACCCTCGAAGCATATCAGCTTCAGTAAGTATTACCTTACGGTATCGGCGTAATATCATTATGATGCTTGCCGGGGTATAAAGGGAGGGTTCGTGTGGCACAAGGTGGGCACCGGGCCTCTGTGAGGCAATTTTGCTTGTGATAAGACAGCACCGGCCTTACCAACTCGAAAGGGACTGCTATCTCCCACCGACATGCCATGGCCAATGAGTCTTTGCAACGTTGCTCAGCGAGCGTTACCGCCTGAATGCCTTCCTAGCATGTCGACACGCAAGTGTAGCCGCCATCAGATGACAGGAGAATTCGACATCTGAAGTCGTCATGTACCAAAGGCTTGCGTATATACACAAAAGAAAAGCCGAGCCGTGTGGTGGGTATGCAGAGTCGCATTTCGGATCACCGGCACAGTGGTTCTTGCCTTCGATACCACAACACCAAAGCACCACATCGACGAATCGCATATCCGGCACCCGAGCTGGCCCAGCCATTCTCCGACTTATTCCAAAGCGCATGGTTCCCCGTGTAGGGAATATGTCACGCGCGCTGTCCGCGGAGACAGCACACCAGGACGCAGATAGGATCGGCCGGCACTGGGCACGGAACAGCGGCACCTACGGGATCGAGCGGAAGGGAAGAGGCGATGGGAACCTAGTGTACGCAGGCCTTGTGCTGTGCGGTCTTGGGAACGAGGCGTACCTGGACAACGGAAACCTAGGCCCAACCTAGCGCCGGTTGACATTAAATCAAGCTTTTCGCCTGCGTAGGTCAGGCTAATTTAGTATATAAGTGGCCCCACGGATCTATCGAATGAGCTCTGGCCTACGCCGCCGCGATGTCACTGTGCATGCTCATGTACCATAGGGAAACCCCTGGCAATTCTAGAAATTTACGAGGACCAGGCTCGGGTCGTGGTGGTGGGTGTACTCAGGGAGGTCCTGCTTGCTCTGTTCCATACGGAGGTCTTCTCGAAGATTTGCGCTGGATAACTCGTAAAGGAAAGCCGGGGTTGTTTAGACCACCAACTCTAACGTGTCAGCTTCCGAAAGTGACTGGGATCGACCGTCGGCCATGGGGGAAACCTGCGTGCCGCGTTTCCGTGCTTCCGTGTTTCCATGTTCAATGTACCGTGTATGCAGTTGGAACACTACCGTCATGGGCAAACTTCTTGAGCTACGCAGCGAACGACTTCAGATGAAATGGTAGGTACCTTTCGGGCTTGGGCAACATAAGCTTCATTTCAGCTGCCCGAATGATCAGACAACGGACCGACGCTTGCTGGCATGTCCAGCTTTGACGGACATCTAGCTACGAACTCATTGCAGCTGACCTTACTTGTGGCCTTCCAGAAGGCATTGCCGCTTGCATTCCTCGCAAGAACGCCTCATCGCAATGATCAAACCAGTCTTGCATGCATCCATCCGTAGAACCGTAGTGACTGCCGGTAGGCCCCAAGCTACCTTCCATAACCAGAAGTGCAAATTCCAACCCTCAACGCCTTGCTCGATGATATCATGCCAAATCAACAAAGGAAACGGAGCCACCAGCATCATAACTCCTCGAATTTCTCAGCGATGGGGCTGAGTTTCGACTTCTTGCAAGCCTTAGGTGCTGGTAATAAGACGAAATTCGGATGCCTTCGTTTGAGCTGTTCCTTCTCGCACTCTTCATCCTCCAGGCGTATTCTGCCCTCGCCGTACCAGACTCTGCGGATTCTAAGCCAAAAGTCAGCTTCAAACTCCATCGTGTTTGCCGTAAAATCCCGGGCAGGAAAACTCACGTTCTGCACATCGGGCTCCAGATCTCGATGAGGGCCACAATGGCGATGAATATCAACACAGTAGTGACTAGTGTCATGTCGGCGTAGCGTCTAACGAGATAGAAATGACCCGCGTGCATCTTGCAGGGGACGCGGTCGTACAAGGGCTTGTTTCCCTCGGTCTCCAGCTCGACGGTGGTGAGATGAATCCGTGCTGCCTTGCCTGTCTCTTCTCTGATAATGCTGGAGTCGGGGACGACGGCCTGGCTGGGTGGCTGCTCCTTCTCCGCAACGTGGTCCGAGGAGTCTTGCAGTGAAAGCAAGTAGGCCGTCTTTAAGGGCCGAGGTGATGCGAGTGCCTTTGACGGAGTCTCATCGTCCGAGGGGCTATATGGGCGGTTGTCAGGCCGCGTCTCCAATACATCCTGAACCCCGGCATCCTCCACCACGGCGATCTCTGGCTTGATGAGGAAGGACGAATCATGCGGTGCTGTGCTCGATGCGATAACTGTCGACTTGGGAGGCGCGTGCTGCAAGAGGACAAGTAGTGGTGCGGCAAAAGCCCACGACGAGGCCGAGAGCGCACAGAGCGCGATCGAGGCCTTCATCTTGTAATTAGGTGGGCGATTCAGTATTGTGGTTGTTTTGTTGTTTCCAAAAAGTCCTTCAAGACCCAGGTCGACAGGCGGACGGACTGCAAGCAGGGGCCGCAAGGACGAGCTGGTCAATATAAGTGCCTGGACGAACCGGAACAGTTTGGACCCTAATAAGGAGATGGAGGGGTCTGGTGCCTCTGGCAATTAATCTAGTCTTGCCAATGGTCTAGGCCCCGTCACGACGCGGGGAAACACGCAATGTTCCTGGATGGCCTTGAATGGTGGAATGGGAATGAAGCCCGGTGGTCTTGGCAAGCCCAAGGGTCGAAAGTCGAGGTGCAGCTGGGCTGATTGAAGTAAGCTGAACGCCAGCCGGAAGACAAAAGCGGGCTGGCCAGGCGCGTGGGGCGGCCGGCGGAAGGGGGAGACAGGAGCGTCTTGTTAATCTCGCCAAAAAGCTGACAGCCGACGACGATGGCTTGATGGCGGGTCCTGTAGAGGTAGGCGGGGAGTAGTGAATATTCGCGGGAGTCGACAGGCCTCAGGTTATTAATGAGAGAGCTGCCGGTATTTCCCACTGCCAACGTGCTGTCATGCGCGGCTCCTCCCAAGTTGAGTAAATGAAGTACGAATCCTAGTGGGGTGCTGCTTGGCTTTGGGTGACGAGCGCCAAGCTGGGAGGCTGTGAAGGCTACAAAGAAGAATCTCGGCAGGATCACAATGCTGAAGATGTGGCAGCAGATCAGTGATAATAATAATCCCAAAAGATGGAGACCTCTCGCGTAGATCGTAACATTGGGAATGGTCCTGCAGCGACTGTGCTGTGCCGTCGGGGCGCTGGTCCGCACCTTGGCCATCTACGTCCAGAGTGGGTTCGACGCAGTATCTCGTCTCGACACAGGCGCCAGAATATACAGAACTATCCCAGGGTCGCCATGGCTTTGACATGCAGGCATGGATGCAGGTCCAAGGGTCCCCTCCCACACATCGTACCCAGGTCGCCCGGCCTGTCTGGGCTGCCTGGCAGTTCCATAGTGCAATGGAACTGGGCCAGGAAAGTCATCAAAGCTACCCACTCATGATACAAGCCTGACAACCTAGCGGCAGTTTTCTTTGTTTGTGCCTCTCAACCTCTGCCCGCTAACTTATTCTGACAGTCCAAGCGTCCAGTGCCTACTAACATGGTAACGACCACTAGGGGCACTGGACCGCAGTGGTGCCACTACTATGGTACAGCGGTAGCACCACAGCTACCAAAGCAGTTAGTCAGTGGGCCCTTTTCGGCTTTTGCAGCTTTCTTTGCGTCGGAGAGGCGTCTGCCTTCTCGCCCAGGCTTTGCCAGGGGCCGCGCTACAGTGCTGCTAAGGCTGGCTGGCCCTTTCGGCGCTTGCTTCAGGTCACGTCGATCTGGTGTCTTCGGGGCAGACTGCGCATTTCGTTTTGCAGGAGATTGGCATGTCAAATTATACCACGGAGCCATGTGCACTGGGAGGTGCATCACCACACCATGATTTTAGACTTTGCGGCCGCCATGGATCCCGCTGGCTCCCAGCTTGGGAATACGTCAGGCCGAGCTGCGGCTCAGGCCAGAGTCAAGTTTTTTGATTCCTTCCAGCGCATCCTTCCGGGAGCCCATCCTCGAATAAGCTCAGCATAGCCTCTCGGTAGTTTAGCGTCGCACCAGATCGGGCATGACCGACAGCCCAGGAATGCCAGGCCCGGCGCCAGGACGTGCATCCCTCCTAAGATTGGTGGCGCTGTTTTCTAGTCCCGACAGCAGCTCCCCAGCTTGCCCAGCTACAACACGCAGACGTCGGTGTCGAACGATGCTTGGCACGTGGGGATTTAGATCACGACACTCAAGCCTCCAATGGTGAAGCCAAGCCCATTTGCCCAGCTTGCCAGCATAATACATGATATAGCGCAACGCCGCCGACCTCAGCATTCGCAGTGTTTCGGCGGCATTAAATCTCTCAATGCCGTATGCGGATCGACCTCGTCTCGACTTGACCTCCAGGTAGCCCAGAGGACGAAGCACGGTTATACAGTAAGTTAGGTTAGCAGGTTTCTGTCATGTTTGACAGTTCTGCCAGGGTGCCCAAGATGAGGCATGAGCTGCCGGGTGGTTCGCCGAGCCCTCTCTTGGTCCAAACACTTTGCCAAACGCACTCGACACAAGACTTGACAGGAAGTTATTTAACGTGCATGCAGTTGCGGGGAGGGATGCAGAGGGAGGTCAAGTCTTAACCCAGACGTGGCCATACTCGGCTCAGATCTGCGCAGGGGGGGTTTTACAGGTCGGCAGCTGATTGGGTCTCTCCACGAGCTGACCCGCGGCTGTAAGTCTATTCCCCTGAGAGGCTCCTGTAATACGCAGGTAATCTGCATACACGGATCCGAAAGCGATAGCTGTTCCTGGCCCGATGACATTAAGGTGACAATGAGCGTGCAATCCTATCGAAAAAATCGGGCCCTGCATGCAACGCTCGACATGCCCACAAAAGCGGACCAGATGAAGCAACTAAGATAGAAAGATAAAGGCTCTTGGCCCATGTCCGTGCCGGGGGACATGTGTGTTTCAGTCGCGACAAGCAAAAATGGGATCACACGCGGGCCCGCTGAAAGCACCGACCGTCACTAGATCTTCGACAGGCATTTGACACATCTTCTTCTCCACGGTAGACCGACAATGCAAGGTATACCGAGGTCGCCAAACCTTTCCTCCGCAGGAACAGACCGCTGGGTAATGTGACAAGCACGACAAGGCTGGGCATCTATCCGGCGGATCAGAGCGGTCTGCCGGCTGGCGCTCGGTTCCATCAGACGCCGCCGGGGTGGGAAGAGATGCCTGGAATACGTATTTAAATTGAAGCATCATGCTCAGGCGGCCATATGCCGACGACGACACTACTCGACTATACGGTACAAGTGAACGTAGCGCACGCATCGCCCGCGCCTGGACCAATGGTTAGCTTGTGTTAGTAATGAGCGTTACGCCTTCGCGCGACTTTCGGCACGGCATAGTCTGTCTAACTAGGAAAAGATTGAGAAAAGCCGGCCGGGCGTATGCATGATGGATGGACTATTGACTACTTGGGAACCCATCAGTCTCAATTCTGCCACCATTCCCAGAGTTTCATTCCAGACCACCTTGGACCCACGAACGAGAGAAGCAAGGTAAGCATCGCATTAGCCGCTAGTAATGTTCTCGTCTCTGGGATCCCACCCAAAACTCCACAGGAGCCATGCGCAGAACAGTGGTTTTTGTAACGGCACCCGACACTTCTCGAACACGTTTCGACCTTTATAGGAAGACAAGGAAGACAACTGCCAGGCATGGCGAGCCGAGGTGAGCGTTGATTGGCGCGCGGCCGGACCTGTATGCAGCATACTCTGAGGTCCTAGTTAGGTAGGTACCTAGGTATGCAGATAGCTCTACCTGATTCCGATCACCGAACTCTGGGATTCGCCATGCACTGCTAGAGCAACTCTCTGTCTCCGAGAACTGTAGCTTGGGATTGCCAAACCACAGGACCTCGCGCACAGCTACCTTTTGCTGCTACCGACATACCATAGGAATCCAAGTCCTTTGAATTCAGGGTGTCATGACCCATCAACCCACCAGCCTCAAATACATAGCAGGAGGATCTGGAACTGTGGCCATGGGCCGTGCACGCCGGCTTTGGCTCCAGTTGGTGTCCGACGGGAGCCCATTGGATGGACGTCTTGGCACTGCAAGGAACCTCATTCAAGCCAGTGGAGGCGCGTAAAGTGCTTCGACTCAGTTGGCCAGTTGGGGGCGCTGTGTTCGGCGTCATTCCAGCAAACACCAACGGGCTGCCCAGAGACCCCCCAACGCGGCCTGAGATGCTGAGATCATCCGCGCACGCATCTTGACTCTCGACGACAAGGCCCAGCCTCGGCTCCCACCGATGGCATCCCGTACGGGACCACAGCCGGCAGCCAACCCGACCCAGCGCGAGGCTTCGTTCCCCCCTTTGACGCGCTCGGCCACCCTGCCCGACATCAGCTCCTCGCCTCGCACCTCGCGCTCCCACCTGGCCCCCGAGGATGCCTTCCTCGCCGCCTCGCCGCCCCGCCAGCTGAACGGCTTCGAGAGCAACGCGGCGTCCCACGACTCCGGCGCCGAGTCCCGCCTCCGCCGCCTGCGCTCCAAGCTGGGCAGCAGGAGCCGGAGCCGCCACAGGCGCCGGAGGCGCACCTGGAAGAAGATCCTCTGGGTCAAGCAGTCCTTCCCGGACAACTACACCGACGCCACGACCTTCCTGGACAGCCTGCAGCGCAACCCTCGCCTCCAGCCCTACGAGTTCTGGCCCCTGGTCGCCGACACTACCGTCATCGTGCAGCAGGTGTGCTCCGTCACCATCTTCGTCGTCTGCTTCGTCGGCATCTTCACCGAGAGGGTCTCGCCTGTCACCATTGTGGGATGGAGCAGCTTTGCGACCTTCCTGGGCTGGCTCCTGTGGGACTGGTGGATAGGCCAGGAGGGCGAGGACGAGGTGCTGCAGAGGCAGAACAGCCTGCGCAGCCGGAGCGCGCGGCAGGCCCGGCAGGAGAATGCGCGGAATTCGACGGCGACCACGACGCCCTCGGCGGCGAGCTCGGTGACCAATCTTGGGAGCACCGAGCGGACTCAATCGCAGGGCAACCTCGTCGCCATGCGCCAGCACCATGGCGGCTCTGCGACGTCGTTGCAGTCCAGCACCTCGCACAACAGCCACCAAGGGCGCCATGGCGAACCCCAGGACGGACCGAGTCACCGTCCATCTTCCCCCCTCCGAGGTGGTCGGCTTGGCCTCCGGCTGAGCACCATCAAATCCGCCATCCTCATCTACTTCACCATCCTGGGCCTTTCACCCATACTCAAGTCGCTTACCCGATCTACGTCACCTGACAGTATCTGGGCCATGTCGTTCTGGCTTTTGGCTATCAACATCTTCTTCTACGACTATTCGGGAGGTGTGGGAGTCAAGTTCCCGGCGTCTCTATCTACGAACGCCGCACTCATGGCGTCGACGGTGCTCGCCTCCCGTCTTCCATCGACCGGGCAGGTCTTCAGCCTGACCCTGTTCAGCATTGAGGTATTCGGATTGTTTCCGGTCTTCAGGCGGTATGCTAGACACCGGAGCTGGCAGTACCACGTTGCGCTGTCCGTGTTATTAGTCATCGGTGCCGGAGGCGGTGTAGGGTTGATCCTGAGCGACAGGAAAGACGGCACGTTCCCCTGGCGAAGTGGGCTCCTAGGGGTACTGGTCGGTGTCCTGATCGCCGTCATGGCCATGGGCGCATCGAGTTGGTGGCTCATAGGACTGCAGAAGTACAAGAATGCCATGAATGGGCCATGGGATGCTGCAAGGCCAATCATCATGAGTCGGAGGCAGTGGGACGATGGCTGACGCGTTTAGGCACAATAATGAATATAAAACGATATAGAGGACACGAGAGGCTGATTACGTGAATGATTCGACGTGCAACCCGGGACCTGATACTACTGTAGCGTAAAACGTACCCTCAGTGTACTGTGCTGTGAAGTTTATCGAGAGCTTGCTTGTCGATTACTGTGTCATGGCAAGGGTTTTCGGCGCAATTTGGCGGTTTCTTGCTCAAGGTCATGGGTGTAGAGGACTGGCATAGAACAAAGACCTGAATTGTCGAGAACCTGACCAACACATACGTATTCCTTTGTTTCGAGACCTAACAAGCAGCCGAGTGATCAGTCGACCCTTTTTTGGTGATACCATCAAGTACACTGGCCAATCTCATCATTTGACCTGGCTAATCACTCTTCATTCAGCACCTTTCCAACACCGGCCTCGTAGCCAGGGGGGGTTCCTTGTTGAGAGGACCATGGCCTGGACGTCGTCCGTATGTAGTAGCATGTGGGCAGTCCACGAGTACAGGAGCAGTCACGGGTGAAGCTCTCTCGCCACACTTCTGCCCATTGTGTCATTGGATGATCCACGCGATCTGAAAAGCTGACTATCAAGTAACTCGGTATATTACATTCGAGCATCCTGGATTTTGCTCATACATACCTAATTGGGTGTATTATGCTAGCTCAGGGCAATGCCAAGAGATACATGCTGTGCTGGAGATCTTACAGATCCAGTTGATCGTCTCTAGGTTGCGACTACCCCAAGTCTCGACAAGCGCGTTGTCTTGTTCATCTTGGACGGATGGAGGCCCCTTGGACCGGCCAAGTTGGAGATGGCATGGATAAAATATGCGACCTCTCGGACACAATAGAACAACACCTCAGATGTTGGGATCCCGATAGGGTTATATTTATGCCTCTGCTTTGCAGCGGCGGAGAACTGCCCACCGGCTCGCCGTTGGCACAGAGATGTCCCTTTATGCAACCGCAATGCCAACAACCCGTTACCGATCTGGATGGCCTATCGGCTAATGCTCTTGGAAACCCGCAGTATAGGTATTGGGGGAGTACGAAATGTATCGGTTTACTGGGGTCCCATGGTACCCATAGTAGGGAACCTTCAGCTCACGAACGTCGCAAGCAAAAATTTGACGAAATAGTGACGAGCAGATTACCCCCCATCGAAGAAGATTTGGACGACACCATCTGGGACATCGACAAGGGCAAAGATGGGCTGAAAGAGGCGGAGCCACCTGCCACGTTGACAGTAAAAGCGAAAATCGTCTCGAAAAAGCCGGAAGCAGAGGAACGTAACGACAGCAGTAGTCTTTACGAAGACGACCGCAGCTCCCCCGACTTTGAGCGGTCGGGTTTATTCTTGTCATGTGCGGAAAGGTTCTCACAAAGCCGCGAGACAGAGGAAGACAACGCTAGCTGGACTCATGATGAGGATGATAGCAGCTCGCTGTATCCTGCTTCATCGAGTATAATCTCGCCGGAATTGGAAAGTCTTTTCGGAGATCAAGAGTCAGAGGAACACGACGAGGAGGACCAAGGGCTGTACTATTATTTCCCCAACTTGGAGCCCGAAGCCGGGTGCTGTTGGCTTTGGGATATGATTAAGTCGGCTTGGAACCGAATCAGAGGTCGGACGGTTACGTTGGATGCATGAGGTGCCATCTTGATCTAGTACAACTACAGGCCATTCGAGTAGCATGATTCCTTCTCGCGTGACCGAGTGCTATCCAGTCAAGTTTCTCAAATAAATATCATAATCGAGCTAGCAGGGGGAACTCGACTGGCCAAAGTACACTTGCAATTCATGACAGCTTGCGGACGAAACAAGCACTCACCGACTGGATATTTTTGTGACTTGTACCCGACCAAGCCATAGCGACTTTTTGATTGTAGAGGTAAAGACTGAATCACGATGACTGCCACTTCTGAATGTGTATCCATGGGGGCCATTGAGGGATGCAGGCAAATCTTCTGACTATACCGCAGAGAATTTGCTCCCATGTTTGTTACGCTGGAGGTGGGACGACATGAAGGACACACTAACCCACACGGTTTCGTCCAAAGTATTGGCACGCTTTTACCAGCGTAAACGCAAGTCTCTTCTTTCAGTCAACCCCTTGATTCGCTGCGCACACAGTGACCCACTGAGGCCATTTCTTCTTGTTTTTATCCTTAATCCTCATTCACAGAGGCGCGCTGAAGTCTAAGCCCACCACTGTGAATCCGCCGGGAGCCAACGAGGGGAGCCGCTACAGTCAAAGAAGCTTATCGATTAAGGTTATACATGACTATGCACCATCCTTGGCCTGATGTCCATTTATATCCGTCAAAAGTGGAGAGGAGGCTTCGTTTTGTGGAAACGGCATTGTAACAGCAGATGGTCTGACTATAACCATACTTAGTATGGGGCGCGCCTGTAGGAGCAGGGGTGGGCCTCAAACGCCAAGACCGACCAATGGCCAGCACCCCGTGTATCAGAACGCCGAGCCCGCCGAGACCTCTGACGATTGCAGTCTGAGCAGACAACATTCGGACGAAAGAAGTGCTGACAATCAGCCAGCCAGCCCGCCCACGGCGCCTGGTCGTGCCTTGTACGGGTTGGCTGGATTATATCAAGCCATGACAGCCCCCATAGGCTCACGGTGGAACGCTGGGTTGCCGTTCCTTGGCGTTTCTGCTCCTCGCCTCTTCCAACCTGGCCCCCATGCTACCACCCATGGACGAAGCGCAAGGCGATGAGACTGCTTGGCGGAGCTTGACACAGACGGGTGCGAGCTTGTGATATGGGCATTACGAGAACGTGAGTGAGAAGGAAGGGGAACACCACGATGTGATGCTGGGGTCGCGGCGCATCATCCTTCCAGAATGTGTTTCTGGATTGGCGATCCGCATTGGCTTGGTGCGGGAAGGGAAGGCAGAGTCTTGAACTTTGCTTCGTCTCCTTTTCGTTTCTCTTCTGCTTCTATATTTACTGTTTTCCCCAGACTCCACGCCTGAAGAAAGCTTGTCCCAGAGGTCGAAGTTGGTCTCTGTTTCTGGACCTGCTCGTCTCCTGCTTTCCTCTCTGCCCTTTCTTTCTTTTTCTTGCTCGCGGCTGGCTCGTCTCTTTTTCTACGTCTCGTTTATAATCTATTAAAACCCTTAGAATGTTGACCATTCGATCTCTCCTGGCCCTCGGCCTCCTCTGCACCGTCGAGGCGTTCCCCGGTCCGCAGCTCAACCCTCGCGCGAGGAACAGGGCCAGCAGCGGCGGAGGCAGGCAGAAGCAGCAGACGGCCTTCCAGCAGGCCCAGCAGATCCCGCAAGGGGTCTCGACGGCCACGGATGGGTCGACCATCTTGGACATGACCGCCCAGGTCAAGTAAGTGCTTAACCGCTTCATGCCTCCAGTGGCCTCCTAATGAGCAAAACTAACGAGATCACCCACAGCGGCCTCCCTCTCCGCTTCAAGATCTCCGGCCCCGCGGACCAGTTCACCGCGGACTCGGGCGTGGACGGGGCGACGCAGCAGGCCGGGGCGCAGGGCGCGCTGGGGCTCAACGTGCTGCTGCACGGCGACGGGGGCCAGTCGTTCTTCGACTTCCCGAACCAGGCGGTGCAGCAGAACCTGGCGGGCGTAGCGGTGCTGGCGCCGGACCCGAACCTGTTCTGGGGCGGCGGGGCGGGCCTGCAGCGGACGGACGGCGTGGCGCACGCGCAGGCGGTCAACGACCTGGTGCAGACGGTGCTGCCGCAGGTCATGGCGTTCAACGCGTCCAACGTCTTCTTCACGGGGGTGTCGGGCGGGTCGCTGATGCTCAGCGGCTTCTTCATCCCGGCCCACATGACCAACTTCCAGGGCACCGGCGTGCTGCTCAACTGCGGCGCGCTGGCGCCCCAGGTCGACTTTGTCGACGCCGCCGCCGTCATGGCCAGCACCAAGATCCACTTCCAGAGCACGCAGCAGGAGCTGGCCGACCTGCAGCAGAGCATCCCGGAGAGCGTGGCCGCGTTCGAGCAGACGGCGGCCGACGCCGGGCTGAACGCCAACCAGATCGGAGCGCTGCAGACGGTGGACAACTCGCCCAACGGCGGACACTGCGAGTTCGACGAGAAGGATTTCGTGAGTGGCGTGCAGTTGATGGCCGACAGCTTCTCGGCGATCATGCAGGGTGGAAACGGCCAGGTCAACGGGGTGAATGTCTTGAACCCCGTGGTAGGCAATGAGAACTTGAAGTTCAGCGGCGCCACCAGGTGAATGGGCGTCGGATGAAAACAGCGTATCCTATACAGGGCCGTCCTCCATAAGAAAACCTGTCCCACGGTGGGCTATATCACCGCGGATCCTCACAAGACTAGGGTCCTACTTATAAAGAATTAAAACTTTGGGGCAACATATATCATCTAAATATTTCGCATTCAGCTTTCTACAATCTAAAATGATATCCCCGGGCTAGCAAACGCCTTTCAAATCAATCATCTAGACAAACTTGCTGTCCTTGACAACATACAGGTCAACGTACTCGTCGACCGGCGTAGACTCGAGCTTCTTGCCATCCATGCCGAGCTCAACGAGCTCCTTAACCTTGGCCTCGGGGAAGTGAGGTCCGAGGTGTCTCTGGTACTTGGCCAGAATGTGGGGCTTGGCCTCTTCTCTTCGCAGCCTGTGGCCCAGAGGAGCCTCGACGACGACCTCCTCCAGGACGGTACCGTCGTTGAGCTCGACAGTCAGGGCGTTGGAGATGGTTCGGAGCGACGGGTCGTGGTAGTCCTGAGTGAACTGGGGGTCCTCGACGCACTTGATCTTCTTGCGAAGAGACTCGACCAGCTCAGAGGTGGCTGCCTCGCCGCCATCGGTGTAGTCTGTGGCCTCGAGACGGCCAAAGACAAGCATCACGGAGCACATGTACTGGATGCAGTGGTCACGATCGGCAAAGTTGTCCATGGGTTTGAACTGCTTGTCAATGATGCGGATGCAAGCCTCGTGGGTTCGGCAGGTGACAGCCTTGATGTCAGCAGCCGACTTGCCCTGCTCCTTGAGGATGTTGTGGATCTTCTGCGATGCCTCGACAGCCGTTTGCGAGTGGAACTCAGCAGGGTAGGACACCTTGAACAGGACGTTCTCCATGACGTAGCTGCCGTAGGGGCGCTGGAACTCAAACTTGTTGCCCTTGAACAGGACATCGTAGAAGCCCCAGACGGGGGCGGACAGGACGGTAGGGATGCCAGGCTCTCCCTTCAGAACCTTGAGGGCCAGGTTGACGGCACGCTGGCAAGCGTCACCGGCAGCCCAGGACTTTCGGGACATGGTGTTGGGCGAGTGGCGGTAGGTTCGCAAGCTCTGGCCGTCAACCCAGGCCTGGGTGACAGCGTCGGCGGTCTGCCTCTCGGTCAAGCCGAGCATCTTGGAGATGACAGCCGTGCTGGCAACCTTGACGAGGACAACGTGGTCGAGGCCGACCTTGTTGTACGAGTTGAGCAGAGCCAAGCAGCCCTGGATCTCGTGTGCCTTGATCATGGCCTCCAGGACGTCGCGGATGGTGAACTGCTTGCCCCCGGCAATGTTGCCGCCGGCCTTGTTGGTTCTCGTGATCCAATCAGCGACGGCGAGGATGGCGCCGAGGTTGTCCGAAGGGTGTCCCCATTCGGCGGCCAGCCAGCAGTCGTTGTAGTCGAGCCAGCGGATCATGGCACCGATGTTGAAGGCGGCGTTGACGGGGTCCAGCTGGAAGTCGGTACCGGGGACCTTGGGGCCATTGGGCACGACGGTGCCGGGCACAATGGGCCCCAGCAGCTTCGTGCACTCCTTGAAGCGCAGGCCCTCAAGACCGCAGCCCAATGTGTCGAGGAAGACCCATCGCGCCGTGTCAAACTGTGGTGTTGAGAGAGCGGACGGTTAGCCGCGGCTGTTGCTAGCGGAACGTCGGACGGGGGGGCGCGGGGTAGTGGGAATCCGGAGTCGAGGAGCAGCGGGTAGCGGTCCGGGGACTCGAATCCAAAACGCCAAAACAAACGTGCAGGAAAGAGACTTACAGCCAATTCGGAGTCAATCGGGGTGTTGTGGACGTAGCTGGCAATGTCCTTGATCTCGGGATCGTACTCCCTGCCCTCGGTCGGCATGGCGGGCGCGGCGGACTGGCGAGAAGCTATGGTGGAGAAGGCGCTGGAACTGAGGCGTGTGCCCGCGGCCGACAGTCGAGGGGCGGCGGTGGTGGCTCGGAGCTTGGAGGACGACGAGAGAGCTAGGGGAGCGGTCGACTGGAGCTTGGTGGTCGGTTGCAGGCGCAGTGATCTCGAGGCAGTTCGCAGGCTGCGGTTGACAGCAGACATCTTGGGTTCGCCCTTCACGAGTCTTCTGGGGGAGAGAGGGAGAAGATTAAGAAAGGAGGGAGTAAGGACCCAAGTTGGCCAGAAGATGCGAGGTGTGAGTGGTTCAATTGAGCGAGAGCTGCATGCAACTAGCTGTCAAAAGGCCGTTCCGTACCTTTAGTGGGTTATGTACTATGGTAACAGCTTGGAGACGGTTTTAAGCCGGACGGGGCCCTGAGATCTGGGGGGCCCTGGGGGGCTTTTCTCTACCCCAACAACCTCTAGCCATCGCAAGCCTCGGGTTCCGCCCTCTCACGATGGGGAGGGGAGCTCGTTTTCCTGGGGCTCCAGCCAGTGCTAGCCACCGCTAGCCCGCACCAACCCCGGCTGCCCACCTTTTTGATCCTCGGCTTAAAAGGGGACACCCTGATGCTACCCAAGACCCTCACAACTCGTGACAGTGCCAACGCCGACGCCGACGCCGACATCAAATCCGCCGTCTAAATCCGAGCAGGCAGAATCGTGGCTGTAGAAAGCACAGATGATCGCTGTGATGGTTTGTCGTATTGGGATCAGCGTGTGGTTCTGTGCCAAAATCTCCTGACTCGGTTGTATCCGGCTATAACTAGGTGACGGCGGTGAGGTCGCGGTCTAAGACAAAAAAAATAGTGGCTCATCACATGGTCTCCTGTCCACAATATCAAAATTCGATGGAAGTCGATGTTATCATGTACTGCCGGCTAGTGGTGTTCTTCTTCAGACACACGTTAAATGAACCGTGAGTAATCATCTCATGAAACTGATACTTGCAGAGTATATACCAAGTCTGCCATATATACCTGGAGAAATATACACGTATACGAACGGAAGCAACTCCTCGCTGGCAAGGGACAAACTTGCGCTTGAGGCTACTCCATAGAACCCACCCGCAATCACTCCCACAGTGTACCCAACTACTCAAGTGCCCTCCATGCCTCTTTCTCCTACTTCAAGATCTTGGGGCCCAGGCTCCTCCACAGCTCACACCGCTGGCCCCGCCCGGCCTCCCACTGGTGCGCATCCGCGGTCTGAAACACGCTGACCAGCCCGGGGTCCGCGTACTGGGTGACGGGGGTGCCCCAGTTGGAGAGCGCCGAGTAGGGCACGCCGCCGGTCTGGTTGAGGTTGAGCAGACGCGGGGCCTGGTCGGTCCAGGCCAGGAAGCTGGGCGGCGGCGCGGCGGCGGAGCCGTTGCTGCTGGTGGTGACGATGGCCGGCCGGCCCTGCGCGACGAAGCTTCCCCACATCTGCTGGAACGCCGCCACGAAGCCCGCGCTCAGGTTCGGCGTCGCCGGGCCCCAGTACGCGCTGATGTCGGCCTGGTGCTGCGCAAACGGCACGCTGTACTGGTAGTGGTACGCGGCCGAGCTGGCGCCGGCGCCGGTGAAGGCTGACGCGAGCCAGTAGGCCGGGCACACGAAGGTCGACTCGGCGTAGATGGCCTGTCATCGTGGGACGTTTTGTGAGTTTTCCAGTCTTCGCATTGTGATCTACGACTCGGGGTGAATGTGGTGTGGTGGAGGGCACTTACATTGGCCTGCTGCTGCGGGCCGACGGCATCCTGGCTCACGTTGGTTGCGTACGGACCGCGCAGCCCGTCCGTCTCCTGCTTGAAGTCTGTCTGATTTTCCGAACCGGGGTATGCGGCAACGATCTCGTCAATGTCCTGCTGCGAGAGGTTAGGGAAGCGCTCGGCGACGAATGCCCGGACGCCGCTCTCGGTGGTGATGGGAGCCCCTGGATTATGGGCGAACAGCCCTCCTTCGTTGGCGTTGTTGCCGCTCAGCATGCGAACCCCATTGACCTGCTTGTTCTGCAGCTGTTGGCTTGGGAGCTGGGTCACGTAAGACCCGTCTGTGACCGGGAGGAATGCCCTACGCCAGTGTCAGTTTCAAGTCGTTCGACTTGACTAACAGATAGTATGCAGTCTGACGCTACCTACCATTCGCCATATGTGGCCCTTACTTGGGACATGTCATTATTGGCCACTTGCAACGTGGTCGTGTTCTTCGTGAGCAAACAATCAAAGACGGACCCGTTGTTTGGGCAGCCAACTTCCACGGAGAAGTTGTAATACTTCTGTGTTGGTACGTTGTCATTGAACTTCCATTGCGTTGGCAGATAAGGGGAAGCAGCAATCGCCTATAAGCTGTTTCAATACATCGAAGGCTCCAAGGTTTCACTTCATCCACGGGGAGCTGTTGACCTACGTTTTGAAAGAGCTTGGTTCCCACGCTGGCATTGGCCGCCATGGCGTGGAGCATGACACTCCCCCCGCCCGCCGACTCTCCCGAGATCGTGACTCGGCTCGGGTCGCCACCGAATTGCTTGATGTTCTTCTGTACCCATTCCAGAGCGAATGCCTGGTCGAGCAGGCCGGCGTTCAGGACGCCCCTGTCCTTGATCTCTTGCGATGAGAGGAATCCGAAGACGCCCAGCTACCCTCGTGAGGCATGATCAGCATACGTCTGATTGTTCATCGGAACGTCGGGTTTACGCACTCTATACTGGACACTGACAGCCACCAGGCTGTTGTTGTTGGCATTGACGAAGGGACCCAGGTCATACTGATACCCGTTCCCGAAGCCATATCCGCCGCCGTGGATCCACACCAGCACCGGCAGACCCGAGGCGTTCTGCGGCGCGTAGACATCGAGGAACAGGCAGTCCTCGTCGCCCGCCGTGAAGGGAAACGGCGAGCCGGCTGGATAGGCCTGCGGGCACTGGGGTCCCGACTCGGCGGCCGAGACGACTGCGGTGCGGTTTGTCGGTGGTGCTTTGGGCGCCTGCCAGCGCAGGGCGCCGACGGGAGCGGCGGCGTAGCGGATCCTTTCGGCGGTGTGTCAGTGCCGGCTCCTTCACATGACTGGACGACGACGATGCAATGGCACGTGGTGCCCTATAGGTCGGTCTGTACGTACCCTCTCCACTCGTTCAGCCCGGAGGTGGCGTTAGTATAGCCTTCGTATACAGCATAGTCTAGATCGGCCTGGAGGGCGCTTGCGCTGGCTGGGGAGACCCTGCTAGCGATTGACACGACGAACGCGCCGGCGACGGCCAGGGACCGCGACAACATGGTGAACTGCTTCTTTCTGCCTTGCTTCAAACGAATGACGAGGAAACGAACGTGGTGGGCAGCCTAATCTAATGGGTGTAATAGACCGACCGAATTGACCGGCGGCAGCTCACCTAGATATGTGGCCACGTCATGGAGAAAAGCCATAAGCCTGAAGGCTTCATAATCGTGCCGCTGGAGGGTTACCCCCGGGGCTTCCGCATTGCATCATTAATGAAGTGCGATAATATCGGTGCCCGCGGGTGTTAGTGATCGTGCCAGGTTCCAGTGCGGGCCAAAGCAGGGGTTGCATCCAGATTGAGGCTCTGATGCAACATTCCCCAACCCTCGGGTAGAAACGTGGTAGGGCCTTGTGCGATGGAAATGAGGCTAAGTAGTTAAGGGATGCCCTCTCGCAACTTAATCCGAAAAGGCAATTCTCGCTGCCCTCGTTTGGAATACACGGGCGTGCGGAGGTGGTAACAAATGACCAGAGTCTGGTCAGATTTCTATTTTCTATTATAAGCAGGGCGCCTAAAAAAAGAGGGGGATTGCCGTGCAGGTAACAAACCATCCATCATACAACGCCTCACGGGGACTCAACGCTCGCGACTGTATGATAAACAATACGTACTTATACGTACCAAAACTTAGACATAGTCTCTCTCGCGATCGAAGACAGAACAGGGGGTATCTGGCGCCGCGAGTAAAATCTGAAGATAGTATTGCAAATTGCGCTGTTTTGCCTGCGCCCGAATCCCTTCCCCGGGACCAAGATTTTTCTACCCAAGGCGATCCAACCCCAAAAGAGTGAACGCACGATAAAGTACAATAAAACAAATTCTCGACGGTGCTGCCGTATGTAGCCTCCGCACACCAACGCCACCCACCTATTGCCCATGGCTCGATGCTAAATATATACAGGAACTCAGCTCTATGCGAGCAGTATCCGAGCAATTCGTGCTCATGGCCAAACAACCGATCTCTTCGAGGGTTTATTTTGAGTTTGAACACACGGTGGTGGCTCAATATTCCCGTTGTTGCCGCGATACTGCGATCCTTTCATCGCACAGGGTCCTGACAATGACACGGATTGAACGTGACAGACCTCCTGCGATGCCGATATAACTTTTGAAAGATCGCGAAGGCGCGCATGAACCCGAATCACCTGGGCCAGCATACCTGAGCACATCGGCGTCGTGAGAGTCGATGAATCCCAGTCTTCTCAATAGCCTGTTTTCACAGCCCGCACTTATTCTGCTGCTTCTGGCTCAAATGTGGGGACAATGCCATGCTTGTTTTGCATATGTCGTCTCCAGTTGTCCTTTCGGGGGAAGGCCTTGCCGCCCTTGAAGTACTGACAACCCTCTTGGGTGCAGTGGAAGCCCTTCTTCTTCTCATGCTTGTCGTTGATGTGTCGGTCGAGATGTGTCTTGGTACCAAATTTCTTCCCACAGTCGTCGTAAGGACAGACGTGCTTGCGATCGTGATATCTCTTGTGATGATTCAACTTGTGAATCTGGTCAAAAGTACGACCGCACTCCTCGCAAGTCAAGGCAAGTTTGGGCGACCCTGCCGAGTTCGCAGGAGACAAGCTGTTGTCCGGTCTCAGCATTCCATCATTCAAGGGCACTCCATTGCTAAAAGGTGCCGGCGATGGTGAGGGGGTTATTCTCGTGTCTGGGGTTCTTCCACTGGAAGGGTTTGTCGAGGTCTGGCCCGCTGGAGTGGACCAGTCCGATGGTCCGTCAAACGAAGGCCTGTTATAGGATGGCTCCGTAATATCTGGGATTCCTGCGTCGAAGTGGCTCTCGCTGGGTTCCTCTTCTTCTTCTTCTTCCTCCAATTCGGACTCGTCAGCTTCGTCTTCGTCGTCCTCTGGATTCGTTTGCCCTTCCTGCGAGGGGGCCATGGGGGGAGGAGAATATGTATTGGGCGGCGAGGTTGGCGGAGAAGCAGACGCTATTCGTATAAGCTCTGCATCGTTGAAAGCTGCCTTCTCCGCAGGATTCGTAGGCTTCATGAGGTCCTTTGGGTCGGCAAAGCCCTGTGGAGGCTCTAAGGGCGGAGAGTGAGAGCCTCGGATCATGGTGGGACTGCCTTCACTGGTGTAATCGGCTGTTTCTATCTCCATCGGTTCTGGCAGTTCAGGGCTCTTGAACCTCGTCATTTGCCGCGCTGCAGTCGTGTCGCCGGGACCTTGTTTTTGACGGAACACTGCCGAAGGAAGCTGAGGGTCAAGCGGTGATCCCATGGGCATCGAGTCGAGCCTGTGAGGTAAATCTCCGTTCGCGTCGCTCGCGGGACCATGCCGCTTTGCTTTCTTGCTGGCATGAAGATCTGTGCGGCTTCCGTCGCTCATCTCCTGAGGTTCGTCGAACAGCTGCATGTCTGGGGGGTATCCACGAGGCTGTCCCGGCGCCCTGTCACTGGATCTTTCTACGGAGGGCATGGGAACGTCTTGGTTACCATGAGACAGTGATGGTTGGGGTTGACCTTCCTCCATGGTGATTTCTGAGAGACGAGTTGAACGTTTTCTCTTGATGAACCTGTCCGTGAGGCGACTCCAGGTCGAGCCCTTGCTGTTCTTCCGGCTTGCACGGGCTCTCCGGAGTTGCTCCTCGTACAACTCGGTCATTTGTCTGGTCGGGGGTACCGGGGCCTGTTCTGGCTCCGAGTCCATAGCAATATTGGTATCGTAGTAGCTGGCTGCACCACCACCAACGTCCATCACAGGAGCTGCGGCATACTGGTCAGACACAACCCCGTCCTGGGCGTCCTTCGGCCAAGGCGGCGGATAAGACTGGAAATCGAAGTTCTGCCCAAAGTTCTGCTGCTGTGGAGGGGCGAAGTTATCGGGAGCACCAGCAAAGTTGGGCTCGTTGGTCGAGATGGGATACTGCTGGAAGGCGGCTCTGTCATGAGCAGCAGGACCTCCCTGCGAGATCTGGCCGTCTCCCGTGTATGTCGAATAATACTGCGATTGGGACGTCTGCTGGCTGCTGGCGGCCTGGTCCGGGCCGGGAAAGGACAACCTGCGTTCAGCTTCCGGAGGCTTGGTCAGGTCGCTTTCTTCCAGGCGCCGGGCCCTTCGCCGGTAGCGGAAATAGACGAAGCCTAATACAAGGGAGATGAGAAAGACGCCGACGATGGAGCCCACAACAGCGCCGGCAATACCGCCTGGGCTCATGGATGAGCGTGCCACAAGGGCACGCGTGGAGATGAGATGCAAGGCCATGGTTCCTGGGTTTGAGCCGTCAGGCGCGCGACGGGATGGATGGTAGAAAGAACTGTCCGGGTGCTATTCCTTGTAGCCCACAGACATGAGCAACAGGCAAGGTCCGGCAAGGCGCGAATTGGCTGGGCGGGCAGATGGGGTTGGCGCCTGCGAGACGTGGTACGCCGGTGAGATGAGGGCGGTGGTGAGACGGGGTGGTCGAGACTTGTAGGCCAGCGGGAGGGTCAGCACGAGCTGCCCGAGAAGGCGGCCTCGGGAAGCCGATGTTAGCAAATGGCGTCGACTGAGATGGATGGGCAATTGATGCGTTCCCCCAGCATATTTGAAAGCGCGGCGGACGAGAGGACGTCAAAGGCGACCCTGTTTTCCAAGGAAGGTGTTCAGCCTCATCGACATGGGAAGACGCCAGCCAGAAAAGGCCCCGAGAGAGGACGTTGGCTGGTTGGCTGCCAAGTGGTGGGTGAGCGAGTAGAAAGGACCCTGGACGTTTTGGCTGCTGGTTGGAGTCCTCCCGAGTTTGCAGGTAGACGGTAGACGGTAGACCAACGGTGACCCCACAGGGAGGTGGACATGAGGGGTGGGGAGCCGTGGGCAGGGCCTCACTGAGGGAGGCAGAGGGCACGCTGAGACGCAAGAACTTCGTCAGCTAGCGCACCATCCCGACCGCAGCCCTTTGCCATGGGAAAACACGCGAAACTGAGGAATCCTGTACTAGCCGCCTAACACGTGGGGCCTCCCGGTGCTCAGTTGCTCGAGGTCCCCTCCTGGTCGCACCGCATCCGCGGCCAATGGCGCCAATGGGATCACCAGCGCCGAGTCTCCCCCTGCCGTACCACAGTACTGCGCCACGAGCAGACCACCCCAAAGGTCCGCAAGGCGCTGCGGCTAGACGCAAGACATGGGAGCGTTACCCTAAAGGTGCTACGGGGGTCGTTTGATTAGTGCACCACTACACACCATTGCAGAGTGGGTTGGCACCGCCCGCCTGCCCGCTATCGACCTTCGGCGCGCCTTTAAGCTTTTCGCGCCTCTACGCCGGTCCCGTAGCCAGGGGCACTCTCGATCATGATTTGACGGGCCCTCGGCGGGCGCGATATCAATTCCAGCTGCCACTGTTCTGAGACGCGGCCATTCCGGGTGGCATGAGCAAGCTACCAGCAAAACCAACAACCACCAGCAGTCGGCTCTCCAGGAGTCGAGATCTAGACTCACCATGCGAGGGGCCATGTTTCGACCGCAGCGCCAGCTCTCCAGGCTCGTTGCAGCAGGACCGAGTCCCTCCCGGCTCTCGTCGCTTGCGGAACCGAGATGCTGCTGCTCCGGTAGCTTTGCGAGGCGGGCCTCACCACCACGGCCACTGACGACGAGAGCCTTCGCGACAGCGCCAACTCTCCAAGACAAGCAGCCCGTGGGTGCGCACGATGCGCCAGAAGCAGCCACTGAGGCGCCATCGGCGCCGCAACCACAGCTCCCCCCGTCCAAGACGCCGAAGCGCCGGCGGCGGGGCGTCGTCGCAGCCCTCGTTTTTCTGTTCGTTGGCACCGGCATAGGCTCCTTGTTCCGACTCTCCGTCTCGCCGCCGCCTCTGCCAGCGCCGGGAACGAGGGAAGACGAGCTGCTGCTGCCCTCGATCCACGACAAGGCCGCCAAGCTGCCCATCGTCCAGCTCCTCTCGTCCGACCCGTCGTGGGAGTCATGGAGTGCCTACGAAAGCAGGAGCGAGCGGAGCCCCAGCATAACCTCGGGGCCCATGTCCGGCTCTAGAGGTCTTGCCTACCAGCGCATATTCTACAAGCAGGAGACTGGCGAGATGACGAGCGTCATCTACTTTGGTGGCGCCCTCAGTGGCTTCCCCGGTGTCGTCCACGGCGGCGCGCTGGCGACAGTTCTGGACGAGACTCTCGGACGCTGTGCCATCGTGAGGTTTCCCGCGAGGACCGGCGTCACCGCGACGCTTGATCTTACCTATAGGAAGCCCACCTTGACCAATGCTTTCTATGTGATCAAGACCAGGCCTGTTGTGCTAGAGGCAGACGAAGTGGTTGGCAAAGATGGGGCAAAGAAGAGCGACCGGAAACTATGGGTTGAGGGCAACATACAGACGTTGGACGGGAAGGTCTGCGTCGAAGCCAAGGCTCTGTTTGTGGTGCCCAAGGGGGTCAAGCCCGGCCCCATCAGTGGTAAATGGTGAATGGGAAAGCGAACTGTAGATTTCTTAGAATGCTACGAACATGCGAGCGCTGAATGTTTGAAGCATGGTTTGTCACCTGGAGAGATAGACTCCATTGTATTATGGAGAACTGACGTTGATGTGAGACAATAGATATTACTCGCAAGAGAACATACAATCTTTTAAGGGGCCACTTTGATTTGGATATAGTTACGTGATCAGCGCTCATCGAGCGTCTTAGATGCTACATATATTCTGCGGGATCTTGCCAAAACATCCCACATGTTGACATTGTTATTACTAGCACCATCGTGTGCCGGCCGGCGAAGTCAACACTAGTCCGACAAAGCCATATCCTCAACACTGTTATGTCGAGCTTAATATACGTATCACAGCCCCGGGACACGCCTCTAGTTCTAGACCGAGGTGGCCAATTCTTACTTTCCCTTGGCCCCCGGTAACGGGCCAATGAGTTGATATCGACCGGCACTCATCTGAGACACTGAAGCGATCTGACGAGATCAGGACCACTGAGACACCAACGTCGCAGCGCCAGTGGCTTGCTGGCTTGCGGGCATGCGGGAAAACCTGGGGTTGGAAACCATTTCACGTACCTCTTTGCTGGACCTTGCAGTCGTGGCCAGCAGCTGTCATATTCTGGAGGGCGAATTATCTCTGTTCCGTCGAATCCTGGTTCAGCTGAAAGCTGGTGTACGACTCGTGACCTTATGCTTCATGGTTGCGGGTTTACCCAATGCAACTAACTCTATGGCTACGTGGGCCCTGGTTCATTAGGATACTCTGTTATAATTCACCTGTGATTGGTAACCTTGTATTCGCCTACTAGTCTAATGGGTTTGCAATCTCGAAACATTGTGTCCGCTCGTAGCTTTGCAGCTCAGTGCAGAAGGCCTGGGCTGCCGGTAGTCGAGGTGTGCCTATCAACAACCTTGCATGACGCCAAAGAGAAATATTTGCAAATCAATTCAATCTGTAGCGCCAATGACTAAGGTGAACCTTCCATCATGCTTCGATAAGTAACTAGTCGCCATGGTTTTTTTTTTTTTTTTTTTTTTTTCACGATTTCGGAACTGGATGGAGCAAGGATTATTTTCTTTCAGATGAGGTAGGCTAGATAGGGTTGTGTGACTAGTTACTGTAGATCCAGCCGCCTGTCTGATTAGTCGGCCTGCATAAGGGCGCTTCGGCGCTCCGGAGATGGGACGGAAACACACCGCATCATTGATGGTCTTAGTGCAAAGACCCTGTCCTGTCCGGGGTTGTCGATGGGAATTCTTCAAGACCACGGCGTAGATCGATTGTCGGGATTTGAATCAGCCGCCAGATTGGAGAGGCTACGTAATGCTCGGGGTTCAAGACCTTGGGAAGATCTGTGTCTCACTGGGGGCGGCCAGTGGATCACGAAGTGATGCAAGCTACGAGGCTGGAGGCAAGTCATGTTGGGCTTTCTCGCCGTTGCGTGTGCGGATGAAGAGCTCAGCGACTGGATGACGAGAAGCCAGTAAACATCACCTCATGACTCGTTGGAGTACCGGAAATGCCATCTAGAATTCGGTGACGCAGCATTGGGGTCTTAGGAAAATCCAGGGTTCAGTAGCATGCCCAATCCGGCAAGGTGTCAGCTCGGGTAGATGGTGCGAACCTTGCCCCTGATGGCGCCGAGGATCTGATTGACTTGCAGATGCGAAATCTCGCTCCCCAACGAGATCTTAGAAGCCCTCTATGTGCAGCGGCATATCGGAGTCGTACCCGGATCGTCGTACCGAGCGTACTTTGGGGTTTGTTTAGCTGCACTTTGTGGTATAGTCAGTTGTACGAGAGCCTATCATGATCCGGTTCTACTTTCGCTGCCTTCTTATCCCATCGTTACTATCTGGTGCATCGTAATGATCGCGTTCCAGCTTTCCTCCTTGAACGCTGCCGTCTTGTTGTTCCTTTTTCTTCTTTTAAGAGTACTGTGGCGTTGGATTGGTCTATAAGGGCAAGATACCTGTTGGCCAAATACTGTTCCGTACTTGCCAGGTTGTTGTACCCAAACCGCGCCTCCGTATTGAACAGGCGAGCTCGATGCTCACGGCATTGGAAAGGGCCATACAGATCGCAGGGGTCAGAGGTTGCCCAACTAGGTACACAGCTCTTGGAGCACACGATCTTTGGAGCACGGTGCACTCTCGTGTGCTTCATTCCTAACGCAAGAACCATGAGGGCGATGAATTGCTTATACTCCACTGCACTTGATAACGTGCGGTTTCTGCAGTGAAACATGTCATGCAGCCAGAACAGAAGTCGGATCTATAACCACGGCATGCTGCCCATCTCTTGAGGCGTCCAAACACGTGCGATTGGTCGCCGGTGGTACGGTGCTGGCTCCGGCCATGGACCAGTTGGGATCGTCCCCCCGGCAAGTGCGTCATTAGTGCGGATAGTTGTGGGGCACCGCGTAAACCGCATATGGGATTTCTCGATGGTCGTCTCCGATCTGGAACTTCAGCATCGCCGGTTTGGCAGCTTTCCAAATCGACTTTGCAATTTGACCCCAAAGACCCCATGATGGCCGTTGGCTCTAGTTGTCTTTTCTCGCTCACCATGGACTGTCTAGCCATCCATTACTGGCAGTCGGGCAAGGTGTCACTGCACATCTCGGCCAGGCGTGGCGGAAACTCTACCCTGCTCTAGCGGCATACTTCAGGTTCCCTCAGAGAGAGCTGGGATTGCCCCTTGGTTTTCCATTACCCTTTGAGTTCATCATAGACTGCGGCTGTCCCTTATTACGACCTTCAACGATACACCACGATAGCCAGGCCCGTGTACGGTTGTAATTTCCTCGAGCCTCTTCCTCCATGCCTCCGACACTAGCAGCGCAATACACATAGCTTCGATTTCTATTGTCCCCTCGTCACTTACCAGACGTAAAATCTCAAATCACTCGCGGAAGTCGGTTTCTGGACTATCGTTTCTCTTTCTCTGCACACATCCAACAACAAGAAGTTGGGCCACGTACCGTGTCTCGCTCCACAGACTCTCGAACCAGTAACCGACGTGTCCCAACAGAGCTTATGTCTGGTTCGCTGGCCTAAACCCTCAGGAACGTACCACAGACGTTTATTTGTTGTCACGTCTCCCGACCACGATGTCGGCGAGTAATGTTCTGATATATTTTGTCCGCCGGGATCTGAGGGTCTCAGACAACCCAATCCTCCATCACCTCGCTTCGTCCTCCGATCATGGCTTTACACATATCCTGCCGGTCTACGTGTTCGTGTCTAATCAGATAGAGGTATCAGGGTTCATCAAAGATGGCAGCAAGTCCCCATATCCAGAAGCCAAGAGCCAAGTTGCCGGGTTCTGGAGATGCGGTCCACACAGGGCTAAAATCATTGCTGCCTCCGTGTGGGATATGAAAGAGTCTTTGCAGAGTTTGGGCAGCGATCTGATCATTCGCGTTGGTCAATATGACGATACGCTAAAGTCCCTCTTGGAAGGCTTCAAAGAAAAAGATCAAAATGTCGGAGCTGTATGGATAACGTCCGATGAGGGTGTCGAAGAAAGGCGTGACGAACGAAAGCTGGCATCCATATGTTCTAGTTCCGGTGTCGACTTTAAAGCGTGGGTGGATGAGAAGTACTTCATTGATGAGTATGTTCACTCCTTTCTTGAGGTTCCTTGCTGTCTGGCTGACGAATGGACAGTCGAGATTTGAAGCTTGCTTCCCCCCAGGAGCTTCCAGATGTTTTCACAACCTACCGCAAGATGATGGAGCCACTCCGAGAAAGACCTAGGGCTGCCCTTCCAAGGCCATCCAAGTCTTCTCTACCCCAACTTCCTTCAACGTCAAGCATCTCACCACAAGCACGACCCTTTGAAATTTCCGCGACACTCGAGGATCTTAAAGAAGCTGTTCTAAGTCCGATCAAGACGATTTTGTCAGATGCGCCCCCATTTCCTGAGGATGCCGTATCGGCTCATCCCTTTGAAGGGGGTGAAACACGTGCTCGGACACGTCTTGACACGATCATCAACAACGGTACCGTGTACAGCTATAAGAGTTCTCGTAATGGTCTGATCGGGGCCGGTTTTAGCACGAAGTTGTCAGCATACCTCGCACTCGGTTCCATTACGGCACGCCAGGTACATGACGCTTTACTGAGATACGAGGATGGTACAGATGAGGCATATAAGGAAGCTCCAGGTTATGGTGAGGGTGAAAATGAGGGTTCAAAGGGTGTTCGATTCGAGCTCTTGTGGCGCGATTATATGAGGCTTTGTACGAGGAAGTTCACCTACAGGTTGTTCCGCCGCGAAGGATTTCGGGATGATAGCAGTATCAAGTGGAAGTCACCTAAGAAGGAAGAAGCCCCCACTGACGACTCGCAATCGGAAGAGATTGACAGGATACTGGCCCGCATATTCGCTGGAACAACGGGCATGGGGCTCATTGATGCGTCCCAACGCGAGCTGCTGCATACGGGGTACACTTCAAATCGAGCTCGTCAAAACGTTGCCAGTTTCTTAGCCAAACACCTTGGCATAGACTGGCGTTACGGCGCCGAGTGGTATGAGATGATACTCGTCGATTATGATGTTTCTTCCAACTGGTCGAATTGGCAGTACGTGTCTGGCGTTGGTAACGATCCCCGGGGAGAAGCCCGAATTTTCAACCCAGTCAAGCAAGCTTTCGACTACGACAAGGAGGGCGAATACGTCAAGATGTGGGTGCCAGAACTTCGGGCCGTCGAAAAGCTCGAGAATATCTTCCAAGCCTGTACCACGCCGAAGGAGGACTGGGAACGCTTTGGCCTTACAGGCCTCGCTATGGTAGAGGACCCTATTAAGCGGATTGATTTCTCCGTCGAAGGAAAACCTAACAAACATGTCAAACGACCGTTTGACCGACGCCGGAAGGATGGAAGAATCCGTAGCAGCGCAAATCTATCAAATCATCACGTCGCCAACGGGAATGCGCAAGAGAACAGCTACGCTGGCGGTGAGCAGAGAGGCCAATACCCCCAGTTCGATGCCCCGAGGTATCCGCGCGGTGATTTCAGAGGAGGCCGAGGGGGTGGGCGCGGTGGTCCCCGAGGTGGTTATCGAGGACGAGGTTATGGTCCGCCAAGGGGTGGAGGATATCGAGGCGGACGGGGTAACTTTCAGGCCTATGGAACTGTTCCAGGTGGTTTTGGGGCATGGCCTCCAACGCAACAGTCAGGTGTATAGCGTGTCTACGGTGTCTATCATAGACGGTGCGACTTGCATCAGAAGCATTGGTCATATCAGCGCTTCAAAGAATATGTCATAGACAAGACCGCCGTGGGATATCAAGCGGACTGGAACCCAAGTCAACGGATGTCTTTGGAATCAGCATCGATATGTTAACTATGTATATTTTGCTTGTATTACATGGTGTCTACTCCGCTGGCGTGCTTAAGCAGACCTGAACGTGCACAGCTTGAACATGCCGATCTGACGTGAACATGTATTACAAGACTGAATATGGTGGTAAGCTTCAAACGTCAATGGTCAGTTGGCTTCGCTAGGTTGAATAGCTACACTGTCTTCAAATTCTATGGTCTTGGAAAAGTGAAACGAGTAGTAGACTGCAGGGTACTGCAATTGCACGCACGAGGTAGTATAGTGGTTCCCTAGATCGAAAGTCCGAGTTTTACAATACATTACTGTCCATAATATTACTTTTCTTCGTGAATTGAATGCCATCCTGCACTGTTGCACCAAGATGACAGCTTACCCGATTTTGCTGGCAGCTGCTGTCCACTAAAGTTCGCGGGCGGACTATTGAAGTCTATGATCTCATCATTTTGGCGGAATGGCAACCAAAGCCACCGTTGGGCTCCCCCAACACGCTAGGGCTGCCTGCATACTCCCCTTGACGGCGCGCCTGGCCTCCCGAAGCCAAGTCACTCCGAGCTGTCATGCATTTCGTGGCCGGACTTTTTCGGACAGCGATATGAAACGACCACGCCGGATCACATTAAGTTATAAGTCGTGTGGCATACACATGCAAACGCACACATCCCGCACCGGTGCTCTCCTGTTAGCCGTCTGTTAAGGTTGCAACCTGCCGAGGCGCCATTGATCTGCTAGGATCTCCCCCTCTGGGATAAGTCGTAGCAATGGCCTACGACTATGCGCTTGTGTCAGTCGCTGCTTTTCGAAATTCCTGAATAGGCTTGATTGCGCCCAGTGCTAACATTGGCTACAGGCACCTGAAGTTCACCATCCCATTGGCTGGCGTCTTGACCTTTATACTGAGGCCGCTCCTCACCAGGCTGGATCTATACAAGACCTTGGCCCTGATAGTCATCGCATTCACAGCAACTCTGCCATGGGATTCCTTTCTCATTCACAATGGCGTCTGGACGTATCCCCCGGACGCGATTGCAGGTCCGCGGTTGTTCCTGGTCCCAGCGGAAGAGTTATTCTTCTTCGTGATTCAAACTTATATTACATCCATGCTCTACATCCTGTTCAATAAGCCGATCTTGCATGCCCAGTATCTGACTACTAAAGAAGATTCTGCTCCTGCCGCAAGGTCGATAAGGACACTCGGACAGGCTTTTCTAGGTGGCTGTACCGCTGTTGGGGCACTTCTAGTCAAGAAAGGAGGCGATGGATTCTACCTGGGACTAATCCTAGTGTGGGCATGCCCATTCGCCCTGCTTACCTGGACGTTCTCTGGGTACTTTTTAATTCAACTCCCGTTGGTATGTGTTGCAGCCCCGATACTGTTGCCCACACTTTACCTATGGGTTGTGGATGAGTTGGCATTGGGAAGGGGCACTTGGTCGATAGAGTCCGGGACAAAGTTGGGGTGGTGCCTATGGGGAAGCTTAGAGCTCGAGGAGGCCATCTTTTTCCTGATGACCAACGCTCTCATCGTCTTTGGGCTCGTGGCATTTGACCGCGGGATGGCGGTCTTGAATACGTTCCCTCACCTTTTCCCAAAAGTGCCAGCAACGCCATCTCCTCTATTACTCTTGAAAGGGGTCCTTACAGACCCCTCGAAGTACGATATGAAGCGTGTACACGGCATTCGGGAAGCGGTTCAGAGATTGAGGCGAAAAAGCCGGAGTTTCTACCTTGCGAGTTCTGTCTTCCCCGGCCGGGTGCGTATCGACCTTGTCCTTCTGTGAGTCCAGACCAAGCCCTCGCCGTGGTGTATTGGAGCTGACAGACCCAGGTACTCCTTCTGTCGGGTGGCAGATGACCTGATAGACGATGCCAAAACTGAGGCGGAAGCACTGGATTGGATCCAGAAGCTGACTGGCTATCTTGACCTGGTTTACTCGACGACGTTTACAGTGTCACCTTCGGAGAATACGGCGGTTCAGACATTTATCAGAGACAACTTCCCCAAGTCGGATCAGTCGGCTCTCCAACTTCTTCCAACTAATCTATTACCCCGCGAACCCTTATATGAGCTGCTGGAAGGCTTCAAGATGGATCTGGCCTTCTCGCATACAGGCGGCAAAGGGGAGCCGCACTTACCAGCAAACTTCCCAATTCGAAATGAGCAGGACCTTGAGTTGTATGCGCACCGTGTTGCAAGTACAGTTGGAGAGCTCTGCCTGTGGCTAGTTTTCGAGCATGGCCACCGCCGGCTGTCAAAGGACAAGGAGGACAGCTTGATACAAGCAGCACAGACTATGGGACATGCACTACAGTATGTCAACATAGCCCGCGACATTGCCGTCGATGCGGACATGGAGCGCGTCTACCTCCCCACAAACTGGTTAAAGGAGGAAGGCGTCACTCCTCGGGACATCATCAAAGCACCGAGACAAGCCGTGGTGCAAAGGCTCAGGGAACGGCTTCTGAAGGTCGCTTTTGCTGAGTACGAGCGATCACGCGCTCCCATGGAGATGCTACCTAGTGATGTGCGCGGGCCGCTCATTGTGGCAGTTGAGAGCTACATGGAGATTGGCCGTGTCCTACGAGAAAATAAAGGAGTACGATCCTCGAAGAACCCGAAAAGAGCCACAGTCTCTCGGTCCAGGAGGATCTGGGTTGCGTGGAAGAATCTTGCATCTCAATAAGGCGTTGCATTGCATTGCATTTCATTTCAGCTTTTTCTAATTATTTCTTTACCTTATTAGACTTTCAAGGCAGATCAGCTCTCGACTCAGTTACTGAATGATCATCCCAAAATTGTACTGAATTATCGAACCCCATGTACGACATGTAGGATAATTGTTCCGTCTGTGCAGAGAAGAGTGCATATTGTACCTCTGGTATAGAGACGTTCGTACTTGCTACTGTTTTATTGGGTCTAGTACCCCATCCACAGACAGTCGCACTCTCTATATCGTGCAGTCAACGACCAAGTGACAATTTCAGGGTATTAGTCAACTGGATTTCAATTTTACACGTCCTATGGTCGTGACACCGTAATTACGCCAATATTGATCATTCGACGTGGCGCAGTACCACCGTTCCAGCACACTGGTTCCTTCGGTCTTGGCCTGTAACCCACCGTCCCTGGAGTGATGATTCATTGAGTCTCGGACTCGGACAACTTAGCAACAGCGCAATCCTTCCGAACTGCCCCTTGGATTGCTGTCCCAAATTGTCGCTAACAATGATGAATCAAGACTTTCCAGGTTACTTGGAATTGTATGTAGTCCACGCATGTGTCATCATCATTTGATTGGCTTGCACGTGGGCTTTCCCTTGCGCTGTCCAAGAAGGTTTGCTCTTGCATGGCGGCCGAGCACACTAGTCGAGATCTGCCCGTCGTGTAAGTCCGCAATGGGTCCGGGCTATTGAGTCTAGTACCCTGTCACGACAACCGGACATCGGCCCGTAGATATCAACAGGCCATCGCCTCGACTGTCGGCATATGGTGTCCTCTCGAAGTCGGTTACACTAGAGCCGTCGCTTTCACTGAATACGTGTCTCTCCTAGCCAGCGTTGCACATCAAGCCTACGTTGCCCGCGCAGTACACTCCAATTCTTTCCCGGCCGAGCCATAGAGATGGAGAAAATACGGCAAAAGAAAGCCATTGTCATTGGTCAGACCGAAAGGACCCTCATCCTATGCGATCATACTGACTATAATATCAGGCGCCGGCGCCGGTGGCATTGCAACCGCAGCGCGGCTTGCCAAGTTGGGCTTCCAAGTAACGGTATTAGAGAAGAACTCCTTCACGGGTGGTCGCTGCTCTCTCATTCATCACGAGGGATATCGATTTGACCAGGGGCCATCCTTACTATTGCTCCCCAAACTCTTTAAGGAGGCATTTTACGACCTGGACACATCCCTCGAGGCCGAAGGTGTGGAGCTATTACAGTGTCCGTCTAACTACAATGTCTGGTTTTCGGATGGGGAGTCCTTCGAGCTGTCAACGGATCTGTCGCGCATGAAGACGCAGATTGAGCGCTGGGAAGGTAAGGACGGGTTCGAACGGTACCTGGCGTGGTTGCGAGAGGCGCACCAGCATTACGAGCTCAGCGTCAGCGATGTGCTGCACAAGAACTTCACCAAATGGTGGGACCTCGCAAACCCCGGGTTCATACGGACAGGGCTGAAGCTACACCCGCTGCATAGTATATGGAGCCGGGCGAGCAAATATTTCTGGACCGAGAGACTCAGGAGGGTGTTCACCTTTGCGACCATGTACATGGGCATGAGTCCGTTTGATGCGCCGGCAACCTACTCGTTACTACAGTATACGGAGTTGGCGGAGGGTATCTGGTACCCAAGAGGCGGTTTTCATGTGGTCTTGCAAGCTCTAGTCGATGTCGGAAAGAGACTCGGCGTAGAGTACCGCCTGAGCACGCCGGTGAAGCAAGTCTTGACCTCACCAGACGGAAAGACAGCCAATGGCGTCTTACTAGAGTCAGGAGAGAGGCTCGAGGCCGATGTTGTTGTGGTGAATGCCGATCTGGTTTACGCTTACAGCAACTTGTTTCCCCAGACGCCGAGCATGGAAAGTTACAGCAGGTCGTTAAGAGAAAGGGACGGTTCGTGCAGTTCTATATCATTCTACTGGAGTCTGAACCGGAAGGTACCAGAGCTTAAAACCCACAACATCTTCCTGGCAGAAGAATACAGGGAGTCGTTCGATGCCATCTTCGATCGCCAGTCGCTACCTAAAGAACCCAGCTTCTATATTAATGTACCGAGCCGCATGGACGAAGCTGCGGCACCGAACGGCTGTGACGCTGTCATTGCTCTAGTACCCACTGGCCACTTGTTGCAATCAAAAGGTTTCATGAAGTCGGACGCCGGCATCCCCAGGGACCAAGACTGGCCGACATTGGTTAACCAGGCGCGCCGGACCGTTTTGTCCACGATCTCGGCGCGGACGGGCTGCGAATCATTGGGCAACCTGATCACCAACGAAATCATCAACGACCCGTTTACTTGGGAGTCCAAGTTCAACCTCGACAAGGGGTCGATCCTCGGCCTGAGCCACAGCTTCTTTAACGTGCTCAAGTTCCGTCCGAGTACCAAGGCCAGGGGGCTTGATAACGCATACTTTGTGGGCGCCAGTACGCACCCCGGCACCGGCGTGCCGATTGTACTGGCGGGTGCGAAAATCACGACGGAGCAGATCCTAGAGGATTTCGGCATGCCGGTCACCTGGCAGACACATCCCTCGAAACTCAAGGACCAAGGGGTCCCGCAGACGAAATCAACGAGCCAACTAGACAAGGTTCATGCCCCCGTGTCAGGGACGATCTTATATATGATATCTTTGTCCATCTGGCTGGTGTTCTTCATGTACTTTTGGCGGCCTACTGGCTTCTAGGACGTTGAATTGAAATTTGTAGATACAGAAATCTTCATTCTGATTTAGTCACATTGTAATAGCCAAGTATTGGTTCATTGGCAGTCCGTCTTCTCTGTTATATACCATAGCAGTTAGAAAAGACTAAGCGCGCTGGCACAAGGCTATGCTGAAGAAATGCAACGCTAGACGCTTCAGAATTTGCAAAATGCCAAGCTTACAGCCTCCCTCGTGTAGTTTCTTCCCCTGCAACCCTAAGCCAGTAGGAAGCTCCAGACCACGGATGGTAGGTGGCAAAACATCTGTCTCGTTATTGATAACTTCCTGAGAATATTGACCTAACCATCGTAGACACAAGTCAGAACCCCTATTGGTACGCATGTAGCTGATATTGCCATTGTCGTGCTGTACACCGAGGTACTCCGTGATGGAGCAAGTTCGCGGTTGACACGTTCGCGCAATAATCTAGTAAATCTGATAGGATGTATGTTCAGGATAGACTCCCTGTAGAACTCGTCCCAGGTGCGCGCAAACATGTATGCAGGAACGTAGTCGGAATCACTGACTCCAACGTACATGCACCCAACGCCTTGGAAGACATGTTGTGACTTCTTCGGGGCCGTCAACGGCGCTACCAGCCAGAAGCGCTCTATATGCCGTGGAGGTTTGCACAATGCAGCGACGATGGTGGTTAACTTATCCAAAACGGTATCGACGTAGGTGCTTAAGGTCCAACTGGACTGGTATTCGATAGCCAGGTGCTTTATGGGAATGCAAAAGAAACTATCGCAAGAGAGGTGATTTGTAACCATCAAAGTTCGGAAGAGAATGCGGCTGATCCAGGACTCGAAGAAACCTTTGGGAACTGTGACCAGCACCAGGTCCGTGTGTGGCCGGATAACAAAGAATTGTGGTTTGCCATCCCGTTCGAAACGGTAGTTTGCCGTCGTATGACGATGCCTGCTTACCGCAATGTTGCGTCGACTGCTCCTCTGGATTTTCGTGTCCTTGTCAGTTTGATGATAGTGCCACATCATGCGCCCTCGAGACTCCTTGCAGGCCGTCCATAGTCCAGAGTCGACCAGGTAGGATGAATGATTGCAAAGGGGGAGCGGATCCTCACACAATGGGTCGCAGCGCTCCTGATGGCGCGGGACGTATAGTTGATAGGACCAGGCTCTGAGAAACGGATAGCCGCGCACTCGCTGCTTGCTCGACAGGCACGAATTCAGCTGGAAAATTTGGACTGAAGGCTTGTCTGTCCGTATTACAGAGTCCCATATCCGCTCTCGTAACTCCTTTGGCAGGTCAGAAAATCGTTGGAACCCTCTGTGTGCGGCGATGCTGGCGGTGATAGCCTCCATGCTGCAGACTCGTCTGAGGGTACTGTTCTGCCCCGGTTATTGGCTGGCTCTAGGCTTGATAGAATACAACGAATTGTATTTGATTTCCAATCGTTTCTCAGTAACCCAACTTTCATTTCGAGGACCCCTAATCGTTATGGCTGATGCTTGAAACGGTAAATTGCGAATTGTCGGAGAATGGCAAGACATAGGAACCTATGTAAATCCAGCTCGTTCATGGCTCCTATTTAGAATTGGAGTTGCAGCGTCCTCCTGGTCCCTTCCAAGAAAATAAAATTTGTAGACTGTGAGTCTCTCTTTGTCGCGGCTGCCCTGAAAGACACTTGGGGGGATGTAATCAGAGACACTGAGCCTACCTTGACAATACACAACGAAGGACTTGCCCATATTACGTGGTTGTATCACAAAATACTTCAAAGTGGAAATTACATAGGTCTGTTGATGTCTTTTTTGTTGTGAAAATTGGACCCTCCTGCCATGGTTGCCTCATGCTGAGAATATGAGAGGCTTGACATATCATCCATTGTGTAAGCACCTTCGTGTTACATGTTCATGTTCATAATGCCTGAGAATTCACTGCTGGTGGTTATGAGATGCTGCATCAATGCAAGCATTTTAGGTGTGCAATAATGCTGTGATCCATTTCTTTGCTGTCTGTTTGTCTAGGACACAGGATCATGGCAGGCCATTCACAGCAGACTGTGAGGTCTTGGCACCTGCAATCAATGGGACGGGCCATGACAGACATGTCCAACCAGGCCTTGCAGCAAATCGCGCAACCCGGCATGAACAAAGGAATGGTCAAATATGTTGCCGTACCTGATTCGTACGACACAACCATTGCATACAAGGAAGAGACGCCGCAGGTACTCTGATCTGAAGGCCACGCAGAACCCACAAGGAACAAATCAGCGCACCTCGCAACTTTGCTTGATGGGCAATTTTGAATCCCATCAACATCGGAATTCCGGCATCAACGGCGGCGGCGGGGAATATGAGGGTAGACTGTTGGGCGTTCTGGAGCTATTTTTGGGGCCACCACCCACTCAGATTCCGGGGTTCTAGTTAGCCTGGTTAGTGAGCGCCGGGCACCCTGCAGCAGGGAAGGTCAATCCCAGTCCGCCCGCCTGGCCCGCCCCAAGTGCCCCAACCCAACCACAAAGAGCGGATCGGCGTTGATGTTCCGCAGCACTTTAGCCTTCCAGTCCAGCTGCGCCTGGCCCTTTAACTTCCAGGAACATTCCTCTTCTCTTGCTAAGACATCGCTCCTGGTTCCCCATCTTTGCCCTTTGCTTCAGCGATCGAGCACGAATAGCAGAGTATACCTAGAACAGCGCCCACAGCATCATGGCCGCCGCGGGCATGGTCGATCCCACAAAGGTCGGCAGGTATCCCGTCATACTTAGCGATGCGCTATTGGGCAAGAAGTCGAGCGAGGTCTACACGGGCGTCAGATGTAAGCCATCCTGGAGCCGTCTCGCGATGGCTGCCTGCCACGTTTCTGGCCACGCGAATCTGCGCTGACGGTGCTGCTGCACAGATAATCACAAGCCGGATACACCGCCCGAGCATGCGAGATTAAAGCCGAGTGCATCGTCCAGGGCATTCGACCTCACATATCAGGAACAAGGTGGCAACGGCGCTTACAAGTACCGGGGCAGCCGGACAAGCGACAACGGCAAATATGTCCTCATTTTCGACCCGCGGAGAGAGGCCTTCGTGCTGCACAAGGTCGACTCGACGTTCAATATGAACCTCACCCAGACGCCAGACAACAAGGATGCCGAGAGCTTGAAACGAGAATACCCGCACCTCAAGAACAGCGGCACCGAGTCCTCCACTGGCAAACCCAAGAGCAACGCCAAGTCGCAAGGTGCCAAAGAGTCCAAGACATCGAGGAAGAAGAAGGAGGAGTCCCCACCGGCGCCGGTATCGAAGAAGCGCACTCCGGCATCGGACGTGGAGGAGAGCAGCGACGACGATGGGGGTCTGGACATCGAGTTCCCCGGCGGCGATCCGTCGGGCGCAAATCGGGACTTCTCTCCTGCCTTCCCACCGAGGCGCTTCTCCGAGTTCGTGGCGCAGGCGGATGGGGAGGATGACGACGCCGATGGCGAGGACGACGACGATGACATGAGCGAGGAGCACTTCAAGCTGCCGTCGCCCTTGAACTACCAGGCCACAACAACCAAGGCGCCAGAACCAATAAATGACATACAGAACCAAACCATCTCCCTGACGTTCGACGATGACTCGGAATCAGAGGAGGATGAGGAGCCGCAGCCACCACCCCAGCCGCAACAAGAAGCCGAACCAGCAGAAGAGCTGGAACAAGACGACATGGACGTAGATGAGCTTGAGGCAGAACTGGCAGCTGAATTCGGAGCGCAATCCGAGAGCGACGTCAGTGAGGAGGACTAGTGAAGCAACCGAATGTGGCCCAGCGGAATTGCAGCAAGGCAAGAGGACGACAGCGCGGGCATAACGAGCCAGCCCCGCGACCTCAAATGCCAGAGCCAGACAACTATGGAAAGACAGTGCGTGATGTTGATTGAGGATTTCTCCAATTTTGTTTCCCACCTTTTGGCACGGAGTTTTGGCATGTCATTGCGATTACCTTTGGTAGTAGTTGGGGTGGGCAGGCGCTTCATAGGTTTGGCGCTTTGGATCATATATACCATCATCAGTCGCGTACCACGGCGAGTGAGAGGGCAGCCAGTTATTGGTGGCTTACCCAAGTACGGCTATAGGACATTGACTACTTTCACGATATGTCTTCCTCGTCAATTTATCACTGTTTCTCTACAAGCCAGCAGTTACGCGAATGGAAGATCTGGCGTGATGCTCGACTTGAAGTAGTGCAGCATACCATAATCTTGTTAGCATCGTCACTACCACAAGTTTGCCTACTGCGGCCTTGATGCCCATAATCGTAGGTAGCTACGGGAGTGTCGGCGATGGGCACACAACCACTGAGCCCAGGAGCCAGAGCCCAGTCCAGTCCAGTAGACGGGCGAGTATCACATGCTGCGTACGGATAGAGTTTTGGACGACCAGGGCTGGAAAGGGCTGGCAAAATGGATAAGGCGGCATAGCGCAGTCCCTGAAAGGCGGCCATGCCACCAGGCAGGCCAGGGGCCCTGGGGGTTCTCTGGATCGCCAAGAGGAACTAAGAGCAAGCCCGTTCCCAAGGTTGCCAGCGGGGCTACGGGCCTTAAAGCGGGGGCTCGTTTCACTGCTACCCTGCTACGCCACTCCCCAAACGACCGCCTCAGTTTCAATCCACCAACAATCGATACGAGAAACAACATCTGACTCTGACCTGCCAGCAGGTCTATTGAGAACACACTCGCTTCCTATTTGCATCTTCTCCGCGGCTCTCGCTACTCAACTTCCGGGAGTATCGTCACGGCCAGCTCGCCCTTGGTGCTTCAAGCCTGCCGACGAAACCGACATCGCAGCTTCGAGAGTCTTTCCAGGTGTATTGAATAATTCTGTCTTCAAGATACGCTAGTACATCATTCGCCATGGACCGACAAGAAATCATCGCGACGAACAAGTCGCTGCGCTTGATCAAGAATGTGAGACCTCCCGCGATTGCCTTGATGTCTTGGTCTATGGATACTGACTGTCCCCCAGGAACTCGAGCACCTCTTGGAGAAGGGCATTGTGAATGACGACGTCTTCGACAACATCATGCGCATTCTGCCCGCCGAGTCCTCCCTATCCGGCGCAACACCCTCGTCTCGCCAGCCCTCCGTTGCGTCTCCGGTGCCCTCTGCCAACCCCATCTCGCCGCCGCCCACCTCCGGCCTGGCGAACCTGGCCATCTCGCAGAACCCGTCCCCGTCCCCGGCACCGCCGGCGTACAACTCCACAGGCCCGCCATCGCTACCCCAGCGCAACGGCCCGCCGCCGCCTCCGCCGTCCAAGCCCGTCATCGCACACGCCAAGGCGCTTTACAAGTACACGGCGGCCGATGACCGCGACCTCAGCTTCGAGCGCGACGACCGCGTCGCCGTCTTCGAGTACATGAACGACGACTGGTGGATGGGCAAGAACCAGCGCACGGGGCTCGAGGGCATCTTCCCCAAGAACTACGTCGAGATCGACCACTCGGCCGGCGCCGGTGGCTTCCCCGGCGAGAAGGCCGGCTTCTACGCCCCCAGCCAGCCCACCTACGCCAGCCCGGCACCCGGCGGATACCCGGCGCCGCCGCCCCAGCAGAACCCCTACAACGCAAATGTCCCGCCCATGGCCGTCGCCGAGGGCAGCAACGGCCAGCAGGCATCCGCCGGCGGAAAGGGCGGGGAGATGGGCAAGAAGTTTGGCAAGAAGCTCGGAAACGCCGCTATCTTCGGCGCCGGCGCGACGCTGGGTGGAAACTTGGTCAACAGTATCTTCTAGAGGGCGTGAGAAGATGTTGTTTTTCTTTATATGTTGGCTTTCTTGCATGAAGCAAGGTCTCCTAGCTCCTGCAGATGGGCTTGGTGAGATGATCTCGAAGGCAAAAACTGGGGACGCCCCAGGAACAGCCCGTAGAATATTGGCATTAATGATGTTTCCTGGGCTAGGATTGCAGTCGGCGTTATGACTTGAATCGTACATTTTATCATTAAGTATGTTTCTGGTACTGGCACTAGTGAATGTTCTATACTCACAATGTCATGAAATGATATTCCCGAGATTTCATAACCTTGGACTGATATACGTCGGGTTGCATTTATATTTCGGCCTGTAGTTCGCCTTTTAGAAATCGTGAGGTAGGATATTCTCACTTGTCGCATCATGTCCAGCAATTCTGGGTGCCTCTCGAGGTTTAGTCTAGGAGCTGGGCGACCAAAGAGTCGTCTAGAAGGTATAGGATGGATAAAAGGGGACAAAGTGGACAAAAGAAAGAAGCTCCAAAACGGGTTGAAATGGAGGATGCTGCTATTACGTGGAATCGAATCCAGCCTTGATGGCATGCCCTCGTGCCTCTTACCTGCCTTCATGCTGACCTTTCCCTTTCCACGTCTTTGCCCCAAGAGTCAAGGTAGGAATGCACGTATAACCCGATGTTGGAGCTATGACAGCTCCAAAGTTCAGTTATGGTTCTGCCGAGTCAAAGATTAGGCACGTCCTTGGAAACTCGAAGGATTCACTTATTGATAGATCATATCAATCGAACTCAGTGGGCAGCTGTACCATCGGCAGTGTAATAAGGTCTACAAACCCCCTTTCACTGCTGTTAACTCCGTAAGGGATAGACCTGACGAAATCAAATGCGTAATTTGAAGTCTGGTCGTGGTTAAAGAGTAATTATTCTTGGTAAACCCACCATACGCCAGTCATCACGCACCTTCTTTCACTGAACTCTGCCCATGAACGGTGGTCCTTTTTACCTTGGCTATTAGCTAAGCAGGTAGGTTGAGGTCAGCCAAGCTCACAGATCGGCAAAGACAATACAGTTTTGCCTAGGTGACCCCAATGATGCGGCGCTGCGTGACTGACATCAACGGGCATTAGGGTTTGAGGGGTACCCCAACGTCAATCAACTCCTCGGGACGACGTTCGAGCTTTTTGTGACAACTTGTGTGTCTCCATCCCCGCATTGATCAATCGGTAACGCTCTGTCATGGCGTCTCAAGTTGTCCGTGACCTGATTGACAGAGTTGCTGAGAGGCGAAAGGGGGATGATCTCTGGTACTGTGAGCTAGTAAGCGTCTTCCGATGAGCAACGGAACTGGGGCAAGCTCTCGAGGATTCATCGCTAACAAGCCGCTGTCAGATCATCGGTTTTGCAGCTTGCAACCATGGCGAGCTGGCCGGCCTGGTCTATCAGAAGGCCCTCCAGAATGCGGTTGATGATGTAGAGAAGAAGGAGATATGGAGCCGCATCCGCGAGGCTATTCTCAAGGCCATGGTATATCTTGGACAAGCTAGGCTGCTCGCAGCAGAGCTCGCGCTCTTCGAAGTCCTGAAGCTTGAGGATGTCGACCAGGAGACACCACAACGAGACTGGAAGGACGACGAGCACGGCAAAATGAAAGCCGTGGATTGGCTCACCACGCTCTCCGGCACCGAGTTCGCTGATCGCTTTGTCACCTTGGCAGATGAACGGTGCCCAGATCTCTGTAAGTGCCCACGCTCCTGCAAAGCAGTCGGCCCAAGACAAACGTGTTTCTCACAAAACCTGCTGCAGCCCATTATCTGATTACGCTATCTAACGGCCACGTCATGACCGACGAACGCGTGCTTGACATGGTGGAGACGGAGCGACTTATACTTCTGGCGCTCATGGCCCAGAACGTGGGTTGGTGGGCTCAATCGCACTATCGCGCGCTCATTAGGGTGGGAGGAACAAAGGAGATGGCACATGCCGCCAATGAGTTGGCCTTGGAGATCACTAAGACCTTTGGGATCAAGATTGACGGTGCTTCAAACGTCGATGAGCTGTGTGACTCGGCCATCTGATGGGTTGTACTGAGAAGGACTCGAGAGGTACTCTGCCCAGCTTGAATAGGGGTGTACTGTCATTGATCCTAGTCCTCCACCAAGCTACCTCATGGTTGGGACTTGAACGCGAACTCGAGACGCGGCATGCAAGTCCGTAAAATAAGAAAAGTAACTGCCAGTTTTTGACAGGATTGTGAGTTTGGCCTCACAACGCGGGCGGCAGGTGTATAGATGTGAAGACCAAAAACTTAACCAAGCCACTGCCAAGATCTACGCCCCAAGTTTGAACGAAACGAAGCTCGTCGGTGCCAATACTCAAGAACGGTTGCAAATTTAGAGCATTACGAATCGAGACACTTTCCCAAAGCGACAAGCAGCCGATTCACCTCAAAAAGGAACCACCAGTTTCAAGCGCACAACCCATGCCAAGGGGGTCATTGCTAAGGGGTGCCGGTGCCATGCAGGAGATCTGGTGTAACATGAGACTATATCCACAAAGCATCGTATGTATGTATATATGTATGTAAGTATCAGATCGCCTTTGCAGGAGTTCCCGACGTGCCGCTGCATCTACCTTGTCGTTTCCAGTAACGCCTTTCGCGTATAACCGGGTGATTGAAGCAAAAACAACTCACACTCCTCTAGCCCAAAGCAATACCTTGCTCCTTTGAGTATGTAGCGCGGAATTAGGGAGATGCAGACTTGAGGAAAAAGAAAGCAGTTGGCAGCGTGCGGGCAGGACACCCGCAAACCACTGAAGGTCCAATCGCAATGCGTGGTTTTGTCTCCTTGGTGGTGAATTAGCACCAGGTAGGTAAAGGGCAAGATGCATTGCAACCACTACGCAGTAGAGACCGTAACAGGCCAACCCAATCCTCGACTTGTATCAATTGATCCCATTCCGGGACCCCCAAAACGTTCGGATCTTAGATTTCATCCTGTTTTACTTTGGACTATGGAGAACCTTAAGCTTGCTTTTAGGCTAAGCGAACAAGTCGGCCGTGCCCCTGACCAATGCGGGATTGTCTCTGGGGACGCAGCCGAGTCTGCTTGCTTTGATCGCATGCACGGAAATTCTGTTTTATTTTTCTATATTTCATTTTCCCCTGCTCTGGCGCCGCGGGCACCCGAACGGACGGTTGACATTCGACTGATAGCCAGCCAAGAAAAAGCATCGAGACACCAACACCAAGCATCGTTGGCAGGCGGCCCAAGCCAGCATCGGCGACGCTAGTCGTGCGCCCCACCCGAAAGACTCCCGCCTGTCCAGGGAACCCCCCGGCCACCTGCTGTCACATATCGACCCGAAAGTGGGCTCGATGATACAATGCGGCCAGAATCATCGCATTTGCTCCATCGACTATCCTCAGCTCCGGCGCGCGAGATGTGCTGCTAGCAACGGGAAGCATTGCTCATTCTGGTCTCAGGACTTCGTGGGCGGCACACCGACGCTCAGCAGCTGGCTTCCCCAACGGCCCGGCCTGGGCTCTCTTGAAGAAGCACTACACCACCACCCGTAGCCAGCCACGACCACCCCTCCCTTGCTGGGATCGGACGATCTGACTTACACGTACTGTATGTCCGTAGCTTGCTTGCCTTGCTGCTTAATCAGGTGTGCGCTTCGCTTCCTCGGACCATATCACGCGCCTGCTCCTTTCGTCGTGGCTCTGTCCCCCTTCCCGTCGTTTAGGTTCGCAGGGGAATCGGCCTCCTTGCCCTCCTGTCATCAGAAGTCCGTGTGCCAACCCGACGCTCGGTAACGGGAGCTACGCCGTCGAGATTCTTCCTTCCCGGGTGACCGTTCGCAGTCCTCCACGAGACCGAGGTCACTGGACTCCAACTATCCAACTATCCCTTTCCCTCAGCTCGCCCTCAGCCTTGTTTTCGTTGCCTGCCCGCAGCGGCTCCCACCCCGACTGGCCTCCGCCTGCATTGCATTGCCAGGGTTTGGACCTGTCGACCCTTTGCGACGTTTCCGCTACCATCTGGCGGTCAACGGCGCTGGTGTCACGAGCGCCAGTCAAAGCAGGCCAAGAAGCCAGGACCCTGAGTTACCCCATGTTCTCATCCTTATCGCCAATCGCGACAGTCATTCAACTTGCGATATAGAATGACCGCATCACAATCTTAACACCAGCTTGTACTGCTATTTGCGCAACCCAGTTCCACAGCAGGCCGACCGTTTTCGTCCTCGTGGCTGTTTGCTCACGGCGCAACATTGGATGATTGCACCCTCGGTCTCTGAGTTACGAGTCTATCCGCGACGAAAGCGAAGCGCCGGGAATAGATCGAATAGTACGATTTCTCCACATTGCTGTCCCGCCTTACAGAGACCATTCCCAGCAGGCAGGATCGTGTTTTGGACTTGTTAGTCTCCTCAGCTCAGTCGCGGTTGGCTGGATCGCTGCTCCCCTCGACCCGCCGAATAGTTGCACCGAACTATGGATGGCAAGTGATCAACCACCGCGATCTCCCCACTGCCGCCGCTCCGAGATTTGGGCAATCTCGACAGCCGCCGCCCATTCTCTTCCTCCTCCCTTTTCGTCCTCCGCCAGCCAGCAATGGCGATATCCGCCCTCAGGCCGCCCCTCACAGATGGTGATGCTATCGCCATGGATGTGACTGCCCCTCCCGAGTTGGCAGAGTCTAGCTTCTTCACCGAGGTCTTACAGATCTCGCCGGGTGACGCCAGCGCGATTCTTGACAGCTTGATGGCCCGAGCCGCAAGCCTGGGCATTGCGGCATCACGACCGTCGACTGCGCTCTCGACGGCAGGCCAACCCAATACTTCCAGCACAGCGGATCCGAGTGTGACGCTAGAGACAAGCCACGCCCGGACGGCCTCCACTGGGTCCAAGGCGTCGGTTAGTACCACATTAACTTCTGCCTTCTCCGATGATGGCATTCCCGAACCGGCCGCCAACACAGTGACGCGCAAGCGATCTCGAAACTTGACCTTCAGTTACTATGACAAGTACCTCGCTCAAGTCAACCCTCATCTCCACCAGTCCAAGTTTATAAGTTTCCCGCCAACTGAGCGGCACAACTCAACGCCCAGTCTGTTCAGCGTCAGTTCGCGAAAAAGTTATCTGGCGGGGTTAAGGCATGGCCTCTTCAAGATTAGCAGGAGACGGAAGTCTTCGCCCTTTCCCGAAGCCATCATCATGTATGCCCCCACCCGCGTGCCCCTCCACACTGTTGAAATTTGGCTGACTTGGCTTCAGTTCGTGTAGTGCTTGCCGCGAAGACTTCAAACCAGACCAAACACTAGAAAGACTTCCCTGTGGGCATAGCTATTGCACCAAATGTCTCCGAATAATGATCAACCAAGCCTGTAAAGACGAAGCCAAGATGCCTCCGAGGTGTTGCACTCAACCAATTCCAGGCTCGATGATCAGATCCATCTTGACCCGCGAGGAGCAAAATGTGTTTCTTAAAGCGGTTCAACAATTTTCAACGCCATGGGAGGCCCGCATATTTTGCTCGAACCCTTCCTGCGGTGAGTTCATTCCACCTAGGATCAAGATCGACCCACGACACCCTTTCCAAGTAACATGCCGCAAATGCCAAACGAAGGTATGCATAATGTGTAAGAGGGATGCGCATCCTGTCGGCCACGATTGTCCTTCCGACACAGAACTCGAGGCCGTACTGAAGATTGGGGAAGCCTCGGGTTGGAGGCGGTGTTACAAATGCCGGACACTGGTTGAGCTCACGCAGGGCTGCAGCCACATGACATGTCGCTGTAAGGCACAGGTGAGTGCTCATAAGTCATTCCCTGCAAAACACAGCAGGGGTGACGCCACGACGGTGGTTTTATCGATCCGCAAATCGCCCTCATTTCTCTTGTTTGATATGCAATTTTTGAAGTCCGCCGACTTACTTAACTTTATAGTTCTGCTACGTGTGTGGTGGTGTTTGGGACGGTACAGTGGGTTGTGCGAATTATTGCAATGGTGAAGAGGTGCTCGAGCGCAGGCGTATCGAGGAGGCAGAACGCCTAGCCGCGAGAGAGGCAGAGGAGGCTCTGAAGAAAGAGGTGGCAGAAAAGGAAGCAGCAGAAAGGTTGGAGGCCGAAAAGCGAACCCAGGAATCCCCCGAGTTCCAGGCCCTACAAGAAAGTCAGATACAGGAGATGGAGAGATATCACACCTTCGAGCGGAAGACGAAGTGGCTGATGTGGACTAGGCATTCAGAGGAAAAGCTGGCCCTGGTCGAGAAACATTCGGGGGCAATTGAAAGGATGAAAGATAGGCACTTGAAGACGTCGGCAACCCTGGAAGACCGCCAGGTACAGGCCGAACTTGAGCTACGGAGCACCCTGGAGCAGAGTGAACGGAATGTGCGCATTCGATTAAAGCACATGGAGGCCTATTGCGACGGCCTGGGACAGAACACGCTCGAAGACATGCCCAAGCGTACGGTGACGGAGCGGGATTTGCGGGAGCTTGGCCAACAATACAACGTCGAGAAGAACATGAAGCAATTGCACCAGGCCAAAATCAATGTTATGCGCGATCGCCAAGCCAAAGCATTGGAGGAGCTCTTGCAGCGACAGGAGAGCGAGCTGGAGAGCTTGTTAGAAAAGAACGCGGCTGAAATCGAAGATCTCGAACTTTCTTTCGCCGACGAGGATGATGTCCTCGCCACCACGTTTCAACGACGAAAGCGTATTCTAGAAAAGCGTTGGGAGCTGTCGTTGCGAATATTACAGAAAGACTTGGAAGCAGAGAAAGGGGTCCGGTACTCCACTTTGGGGCTGCCGGAATGGCCTCAGCAGAAGGAGTCGGTTGACGATAATCTCTCAGCCGTGGAAGAATGATGCTGCCAGCCTCTCACCTCATTAACGAAGCGCACGCGATCCGAAGCATCGATCTTTCTTTGTCTATTGGCTGGTCATTTGCTGCATTTCCTTCAGATCATATTTCAGGTTTGGATATACCAAGAAGACGTCGTTACGGAGTTTGGGGGTTTTTATACATTTCGGAAAGCATTTCGACTCGGGCTTGCATTCCGCATCACAATGCCATGCTAGATTCACTGGAAATTGCTGCAATGAAGAGCATGGCGATATACCCAGCCATTTTTGGCAAGAAGAGGAAGGCATTTTCTGGCAATTGGCATATAGGGGGCTTTTTGAGACAAATAGTGGGCGGGCACGCGTATGGGCAATCTCAATAGCATCGCCCATTGTCTTTAACTATTACTACATTCTAAGACTCCACCGGAAATATGTGATTCAATGCAGCGAAACAATTCATTAGCCTCTATAATCACCAGGAGGGTGGTTTAGGCACGGCGCAGACATAAACCTTCACTGCTATAGCTCAACCTTGATCCGTTGATGTTTCTATCTTACTTGGTGAACGTGAAACTAATACGTAGATAAAAGGAGTTCTTAGATTGCATCCGTAAGCAACGTCAAGGAAGGGACATTCTCCTGTATGGCTTACGTATGTCAATCCCTTATTTTATCAGATAATTTCAAATTAGCACATGTACTGCAACCGGTACTTTTCTGCCATATCATTACTCTGGTCGGCCTCTGCCCATTTCTCCATGCCGCCTGTGACACCATGCTCGTCCACCGTCCACGTGCCATTCCAATCATTCGGATCCAGTGCTCTAAAACCCGGAACAGCTGGACTTCATGTCGAACCAGAAACCGTTACAACTCTTCTGGAACAGACCCGCCGATAGTCCCTCGCCTTGATTCATAGACTGCTTTAGGAGAAACCCATCTGTCGACTTGGCATAATGCTGGGCTCTAGCCAGGAAATGGTCCGATAGCAGAAGCCGGCACGTATCGTCGAAAGCGGGCGATTCGAATTTGTTCTCGGCAATCCAAACGCCGCTGGAGAAACCCGAGGCCGGTCGGGTATAAGGCGAGGGGAATGGGTTCCAAATACCATCCGGAAAGGTGGCGAGCAAGATTGTGCCATCACTCCGGTCGCCTCAAAAACGAAGGATAGGGTTGTTATTTGGGCTTGTATAATAATCGATACCCTCAAACAGCTGATCCATGAGGTGCACTCCGGGTATGCGGAGATCGGGCGCGATAAATTGAAGGCTTGGTACGGTAGATTTGATGGAGCGGTCGATTTCACGCAGAATTTTGACCACGAAGTTGTTTCCAGAAACCTGCTCGGATGTAACAAGTTTTTCAGCAAGTTGAGCTATATCGAATATCGTCCTCTTGTTTCGGGTTGCGCTTGCCATGCCTGTTGATTGAGGCATACGCTCCTCAATAGCTTTCAGGAGGCTGCGAAAGGCCGTCACGGTCCTTTCCAGAATCACTTCGCTATGAGGTATCAAGAGCCAGGGTCTATTGTTCCGCCGGTACCGTGGTTCGAAACCTCGACAGATTATTCGTCCTCAGAGTCCGACTCCCCACCGTCGACGATGACTTTGGCTAAGTCGATCATCTCGAGGTATTCAGCTAAGGTATCCTGTAAAGGTATCCATGGACGTTGGTCCCGCCCGACAACTGTGTCGTCCATTGTTAAAGACAAATCGATCCGAGCTTTTAGTGTGTATTCATCGAATCTAGGCGTTTCTTTGATCAGCTTGGTACGACTCTCAAAACAGGCTGAGCGGAAATCACTAACATGAGGCCCAGCGGATGGCTCATAACATCGGCCGCGTGACACAGCAACAGATAGCGGTTTGGATCCGGCTCTTCAACAAAGAGTGAAGGTAACCCGAAGAAGTCTTCCGGAAGTGCGATAGCCATCAAATAATAAAAGAAATTTCCGAAGAGCGGATTGGCCTGGCTCTCCAATTCGGGGTGTATAACCCTAGCAGAGTGAAAGTCGACAAGATCTGGGGCAAGCCTCCCAGCCACACCCGTTGCATTGCATTCCAGGCCGTAAGTATCCCACCATTTTCCAGTACTCTCCTCAAAGGGGAGGCCTAGGCGATGTGTCGCGCCGTCCCAACCGCGGCGCAGTATCTCATTGCAAAGAGATGCGCTTAGACGGGGATCAAAAGCGACAGCGGGGCTGCAAACTGTGCCCATGATGAGTTTCAAAGGACGGTGGAGCAATTCGAGGACAACGCGGTACTGGCTTTAGGACGTGACAGTAGATATATTCAATGAGTTCTTGCAGCATGGGACACGCAGGAAGAACAGTCGATCTGAGTTATTTGAATAGTGCTAGTTGACTAGTTGCAGGGGTGGGCCCTTAACTAACAAGAGCAAGCTGGACATGACCCTGAGTAACCCACGTGACTGGAACTAGACATGCAAAGTGGTCGTTCTTCCAGTATTTGAGCCAGGACTGGCCAGGCATGAAGCCTGAGTCATATTAAATTAGGCCGCGCAGATCTGCTTGGTCTCTTTTCTACATGATGAATACCTCATCTGTCTTGGCGCCAACCTGGGCCTCGGCACCAGAGCAGTTCCGTGGGATGGGCGGTAGGTATGTATATGTATGTATTTCCTAGGTCTCGCATGCCCAGAATAGTAGTTACTTGGGCCAAAGTAGCCGCTGGTGCTGCCGCAGTAGCTGTAGTTGGAGCAATAGTTCCTAAAGTCTGTGCCAACATATGTCTTGTCACCCGAGAAAGGAGGACCACATGAACCATCACTCGACACGTTGCTGTCCTGACACGCTCCCGAGTAAAACTTGCGCACTTTGCAGTAGTCGCCACCCGATCCGCGATAACGGTAGACCGAACATCGTATATCGTGTAGTGTTGTTAATTTGCACTTGGTGAGTAGGCCGGGGCCTGATGCTGTTCAAGGTGACTTACTCTCCGAAGCCATATCCTGCGCAGATAATGTTGCCATAATCTGGGCCACAGGTTCCATGTCTGGAAATATCCACGGCGGCGGTGCAGTTTCCTGGATAGCAGAAATCGTGGTCACAGTACTATGTAGCCCGAACCGTCCCCACAGTAGCCGCTTCTTGAACAACAACTTTCAACAACAAGAATCTTGTGGAAACCTGTCTAGGCCGCTACGACCGCTCAACACGAGGTGGGAACTTACCTGCCAAAGTCGGAACCCTGACACTTCGAGTAACCTGCCGATGGACCACAGATCCCACAAATATCATCCAGCTTCTACTACCTACGGAACGCCCATGCCAGACGCAACCGATATTGAGCCTAGAGCTCTGCTGACGAAACATTTGTGCGAGGCTGTAGATTGGTAACCACACTTAGGGATGAGATCAATAATCTTGGGCTTGCGCAAGCCAAGCGTTCCAATGTTACTATGGCAAACTTTCATGAGTGATAGATAGAAAAGCATGATCATCTATATAATTTGCAGTTCACTCAAGCTCCAGCACATACGACCATAGGCGCTAGAAAACTCGGGATCCCGTCCGCTCTCCCCGTAGATAAACTGGCGATCGCTGGATTAGTAGTTGGGTGGGTGACCACCAGCGAATACCCGGTGTTGTATGTTTTTGCTCATCCATTTTAAAATCCTTTTTATTATTTCTATTAAAATATGTATTAAAAACAATGGTTTAAAATAATAAGCTCAATGCTTGTTAATACATATATTTTGAGCTTTTATTAAAATAGTTTATTATAAATATCTAAATATTTAAAGAAACGGCCCGATAGCGTAGGTCTGATCGTTTTCACACCGCTTAACCATGTTTCCAAACATTTGATAAACCTGTTGTATGCTTATTCTATCAAGCTTCTGGCGATCGTTCTTCTTAACGACCAGAAGGTCGTTTTCCACCATATCAAGAAATTCATGAAAGAACTGGGAACAGTTCGGTTGTTTATGCAATTCTCGGATGAACTTGAGGCAAAATCATGTTAGTAAGTTCCTATGACAAATTAACCGAGAGGAAGGGATCACCTCTTTCACCGTTGGTTTGATGACCGCCGTCGTTTTTCCATTGCAGACCTCTAGTTCAAAAAAGGTAGTTGTCTCCATGTAGTGCCACATGGGGTCGGAACTTCTTCGCTGCTTCACAAAATCATCGAGTAGTTTGCGCCCCCCAAGCATCCAGGTGATGAATTCAAGATAGAGGCACCCCAGGGTCCACATGTCATATGAGCGACCGATGGCCGCTTCCGGCTTGAGATCGGTTTCGGGTGCGCGGTATCCCAAAGACACGCCCCATTTGCTCCTTTCGGTCATGGACAGCGTCTGATGGACGCTGAACTCCGCGAGGCCAAAGTCAGACAGTTTGAGTGTCCCTGCAGCCTTGTGATTCTCCCGGTTTAGTTCAGCAAACCACAAAACGTTCTCCGGTTTGATATCGCCATGATGACCAAATACCACATCCAGATTCCCTGCTTGACTGGAACCGGGCTGCTTGTGGGTGGTGACATGCTCGTGGATTTTGGTAATGCCATGTGCAATACCCTTGCATTGCCTGGCCATCCACAAGACAGTTTCCATGTCAAATGAAGGGTTCTGCCTTGTCCAATATGTCTGAAGATCTGTCTCGGCCCAATCGAAGAGCAGGAAGAACTGGTTAGATTGCTCATAGGTGGCTAGAAGGCTGATCAAGTGAGGGTGCTTATCGCCACTGAACTTTTTGAGAATCTCTACTTCCTTTCCGAAGGCGATTTTGCTCTGAGAGTGGAGACGTTTGACTGCAAAGTATGCATTGTTGAGTTCGCCTGGGTTTATGTGGAAGCTGTGGTGCTCAGGGTGTATAGAGACCTTGAAAACTCTGGCAAAGCCACCTTCCAGCTCTGTCTGGTTGTTCCCAATAAATGGTAATATCCTCTGCTTTTCCAGTTCATAATGTATGTCGTTTGTATGGCTTAACGGTCGACCAAAGGTGAAAGGCAGCGTCGTCCACTGCCATTCATTGAAGTTGCATATCTCAAACTGGTTCCACCACTTGGTGTGGAAGCACTTTAAGATCTTATCTGGCTGCCTACGAGCCCTCAGATCATAAAAACCTTTATTATCGGGTTGTGGGGTTTTGATTAACGGCAAGTCCGAGTCGTTAACACCTGAGGGATCCGCCAAGAGTTTGACAATGGCCCTGGTCTTCTGGATAAGAATTAGAACAGCCAAAATTTTGATGTAGGACTTGTTATTGTTTTGTTGGTCGTGGCCTGGACTTCCCTCCTGTGTCCCAGTCCCGTGGCATATTGTCTTTGCGTATTCTGCAATTGTGTCTTCAGCGAGAGAATCCTCAAAGTATGTAGCTAGCTCATGTTGAACCTGCTCTTCAGTCAAGATTTTGGACAGTTGTCCCTTAGCGAAAAACCCACGCGTCTCCTGTTGGGTAGATGTAAGGGCTGCGAAAAGCTCATCTTGTAAACATCTCGTTGGCCGGTTGGGTAGCGCAGATGTCACTTTGACTGAGAATTCGGGGTTATGATTGTCTCTATCCAGTTGAAACCCTGAGTCGTCGTAGGACTGGAAGTGAAACCCTGTTCTCTGCCAACTAGTGTCCGCGATTAGAACGCTGTCTTTACTCGGTGCCGTAAGGGCGTCGTCGTCCAGGACCTGATCGTCGCTGGGAAAAGATTGGTCGAAAATGGACGAGGGCTTGCTCTAACAGAGAGTGTGAATTAAAAACACGGACAGCATACCCTTGTTGGCATATAATGACATACCGCTAAATCAGAGGCCGCTTCGTCTATGTCCATATTGCCATCCAGACGGTTTTCAGAAACAAGGTTCACATTGTACTCTGCTGTATATTCCGCCGTGAGACTGGCCAAGTTGCTGGGCGAAGCATTTGATTGTCGACTCTTAACCATGCTGGCGTCTGGCCGTGTCCATGAAAAGGACCCGTCTTGAACTGGCCGTCTGTTATATGTGTTTTCACATGAAGCCTGCTGCGGCATTGATTAACTGCGTAACGTGTCGTTTGAGCCTTTGAGAATATTGAAAACAATGAGGGATAGAACGAGAAACTCAGAGGCAAAGGGCAACGGCATCCAAGAGTCAGCTTTTATATCCACGTCTTAGTTGAGGCTGCGTGCCACTAGGCGCGTTGTTTGGGGACTTGCGGCTTGCTGCGTAGCGGTTGGGTGGCACGAAGTGGTGTAAGAGGGGCTGGAGGCGCGGTGTAAGGGACCACGTCGCTGCGAAGGGGAACGCGAGCCACAGACACTGGGAAAAGGGCCACTTGTACATCAGACACTAAAGGTGGTTGCGACGTGGCGCGACCCTGAATAGGGCATTGTACAGGGCTGAGGCCAGCCCTTTACACAAGGCTGCTTGAGGCTGACGGTTGTCAGACCGCCCTGAAAAGGTAGCATAGTACTGACCCCAATTTCCACTTTGCTCTGCTTATTCTTAGCATTATTACCCGGCACTCCGGTATTTCTGAGATTTGTCCTGCTGTCTAGCAGCACGCCACTTTCCGTATATTATTATTATTATTATTGCAATAGGCCGCTCGGTACGGATTGTGGCGTGTCGGGACCCAAAAACACGAGGAATCGAGCGGGCGAGCACCTCTGCGCTCTATCCGCAGCAGACTTGTCTGACTTCTTGCTCGACCAGCAATTATTGACACCCGTGGACATCTAGTGTCCGTATGTGGATAATGTTGAATGCGTGGCATGCAAGGCTCTCCCACCCAGGGACATACCGCTTATCCCTTTAGACTTGATCGCTGTGACCAGGCTGAGATATCAGTCCTGGTATGCAATCACTGTTTGAGTAGGAAACTGGCCGTGCAAGGCTCTTCCATTGAGTGGTCCGACCAAGCAAAAAGAGCCTTACCACTTGGATCTCGATACCACGTAGCACAGCAAGTAATGCCACTCGATGCCGACACCCACTTGTAACATGCACATAAAACCGGTGAACGTCGCAACCACCACAGCGTGCCGTCTTTGGAAGGCTTGCCAATGACATACGAAGTAGGGTAGTAGCCAACACGCAGCATAATTGGCGAAGCATCTTCATGCACACCAGGTAGGTGGGCATAATCAGCACTAACCCCACCGAGGACCTTCGGGCCGGCGCTGTGAAACCCCCGTCCACACCTTTTCAAGAACTACCAGCCTATTAGACTCGCGTCTGGATAATATTAAAGAGTTGTAGAAACTTCACCGAGCCCAAAGCCCGGCAACGATCAGGCTGCTCTCTCTGAGCGGCCCATTCCTCGATGCGGCTCTGCTCGGTAAGGCGACCGCCACCCCATCCCATTCCATAAAACTTTCTTATACTTATATTGCGGTTTGCCCACAAGGCTTTTTCCACGGATCCATGTTGTACAGCAACATTACACACACAGGAATACTTCCGTTTTGAGAGCATGGCTTCTACCCATAACGTCCCTGGCCCACGTCTTGCAGATCGACTGTACAACATACAGGTAGAGAGCTCGTTTGACAAAAACACATTCTGGCCCCGTGGCTGCCTTCATGACATCTTCAAACCAGAAGCAGTTTATGCCCAATTGGGGCTGGAGGTCAGATCCGGATCTAGCCCGAAAAGCCCTGTGGACTTTATTCTGAAGAACAAGATAATATTTGCTCTTCTCCTCAAGATGTCCTTCAGGCCACAGGAGATCTTTCAAGCAATGATTCATTTCCAGCGCGTCAATTTTGATGATTCTCAGTTACCTTTGACTTCTGAAGATTTGAAATCCCAGATCTTTTGTGACTCTGACTATTACAGAGAACCATGGTCAGCTTTTCGAGCAAAAGACTTTTGTGGTTCTCAATGGAACTTCATTGCACCAGTCTTCGACCACGCTCCAAGCTCTTACATACTGCATCCTAAAAGCGTACTTCCATTTACAAGTGCGACTGGGCATCTTGCTCCTAAAGGTTCCGGAAACTTTGGCAACGTGTACGAAGTCATCATTCATCCCGCCCATCTGGAGGGCATTGTCTCTGTAAGCCTTTGAACCATATTCATTCAAGTTATATCTTCGATATCTCTCAGGAGCTTACATATGAGAGGCCGGTGATCGCGAGGCCGGTGCTCGCGTCGCCGTCAAGAAACTTCATCGCCCCGAGGTCCAAGACGAAGCCCAGGTTCAAGAGCTTGAGAAAGAGTGGAAGAAAGAAATACAGGCACATGAAGAGCTCACCACATGTGGGCACCCCAACATCATCAAGTTCATAGCGGGCATCACCAGAGCACAGGACCGCTACCTCGTGTGCGAGTGGGCTAGTGGAGGGAACCTGCGCGAGTTTTGGACCAAGAACAATAGCCGGCCTCTCACCAGGACCATGGTCAAAGATGTCATTTGTCAAATCCAAGGGATAGCCGGCGCATTGAAGGTCATTCATGACAGAAAATACCGGCACGGCGACCTAAAACCAGAGAACATCGTTCGACTCAAGACTCCGTCACGAAACTCGGTTTCCTCACAGGTTGACGTTGGCCACCTGAAAATTTTGGACATGGGCTTGACCAAGTATCACAGCATGGCTACCCGGTTTCGAAACCTGGCAACGACCACGTGAGTTTTGGTTCTAGTCATCATCTATCAGGATTTCTTATCATGTTGCACCAGCATAACACCTGGTCGACGCATGACCTGCAACACCGCAAACTCTGACAGAATTGTACAGCAAATACGCGACCTGGAGATACGAGCCGCCAGAGGCATCCAATAAAGATCAGCCCTGGTCGCGACGATACGACATTTGGTCTGCCGGCTGTGTCATACTCGAGTTCATCATATGGCTGCTCGAAGGGCCCAAAGGACTGAAAGACTTCAACGACAAGATTGTGGATGAGTTCCGTAAAGAATGCCATTACTTTGAGTTGAAAAAGGAGAATGGACAGACTACGTCCAAGGTGCACACAGCAGTGGAACACAAGATGAAATCGTTGTCATCGCATCCCTGGTGCGAACAAAGTAAAACTGCGCTGGGAGACCTTCTCAAGTTAGTCAGAGACAGACTGCTGGTAGTGACTCTGGACGCACCGGCCTCTGTAAAAGGTAAAATCCCCCACGATAGGACACGGGTCCAAGTACGTGCAGATTCTAGCACCCTTAAAGCGGAACTTGACGAAATCGTGAGAAGAGGAAAAATGAACCAAGCCTACTGGTTGAAAGGTAAGACCTTCGAGAATGTTCCGAATCTACACCCAGAAACGGCGGTCACTCCTGCGGCTAGCGAGAGCCATGTTGAAAATGCCAAAGGCCTGGTCACGACCGAAAGATCGTCCCCCATTGTCCCCTTGCTGACAGGAAGCCTAAGAGTAGGTTGAGCTCTGAACCCTCAATCAAACCGTCTTCACCGTCCGACGTCGCTGTCGACAGCTAATAGTTCATGTTTGATATAGACTGTATGTGTCTTTAGATTATGACCTTACTGTACCCTTGCTCAAGTCTTTGCTGCTGCTGATAATAGCTTCGTATGTCTAAATAGGAAGTGAGTACACCCTCTAGCGGAGTTCTGAACAGACCGGGTATGATTGACACTGATGATAGTATGTAAGTGGCACCTTGAATTACTGCTTCGTCACAGCCCAGTATTCAGCTAAGTACCCCTTCACCTGCAGCGTGTAGGTTTCCTATCAGCTTGATTATACCGAATGTGCAAGTTGATAATGGAGGACTCCAGAACGTAACTCTCCCCATAATAGTATAAGCAATGATAGGTAGGATTGAGCTGACTTGCTTCATATTCGCGCTACTTTAGACCCAGGTATGTTTCTCGACCAAGCGTTTCGATCATGACCAAATGGAGAGCCTGACCTATGAACAATATCTCCTGTAGCTGAGCAACATTTGGAATTTTTCAGTTGATAACACTTTTGCAATGAAACTCGTCCACACCATCGGAAAAGCGGGCTTGTCCCCGAAACACATAGGCTCAACAGGGTATTGTGCGAAATGCCAACATCTTGAATCCTGGACGCCAAATTGCAGCTTTGTCGACAGTTTGGAAGAATTGGAGCGTAAAATCCATACGTGTGACTTCTGCAAAATGCGATGGGAGCTCTGCCATCATCTGGACCGAGAAAAGTTTCCTGTTGCCCAATTCAAACTCGACCAATCCATGCTCAAGTTGAACGAGGCATATCCACCCGTATTGACTATACGTCGGGATCCAGGTGCGTTGATCCACATTACCGACCTGCTAGGCAACTACTGAGTTTAGTCATAGAGGCATCGACAGGCAACATGAGCCACATTCAAATTGGATGGCCTCAGCTTCCCCCAACTGCGAGTCAGACACAATATGATGTCCTACGGCAGTGGCTGAAGGACTGCGATGCAGAGCACCTCGAATGTTCACGTCAGAAACCCACCCACTTGCCCACAAGACTCATGCATCTCAAAGGCCAGGGGCGTAGTACTATCAGTCTCTACGAAACCCAACCTACAGACGCCTTCGAGTATATTGCTTTGTCTCACCCGTGGGGCAAAGGGCCACATTTTCGGACCACTCTGGCCAACGTTGAAGCACACCGGAAGGGCATTGGGTTCGAGGCGCTACCGGCCACATTTCGACACGCTGTCGTTGTTTCCCGTGAGCTTGGCATTGACTACCTCTGGATCGACTCGGTCTGCATAATCCAAGGAGAAGGGGGGGACTTTAACCAGGAAGCCAAGCGCATGGAAGATGTTTTCAGTTCGGCATTCTGCGTGCTTGCTGCAAGCAGTGCGCGCGGGCAGAACGATGGCTTCTTGAATCCGCGATCCCACGCACGTCAGCACTTGACTTTCGACCGCATCGGGGGGCTGCCCAAGTTCTTCTTGGGCCCTTTTATGGACAATTTCAACCAAGATGTGCTGGAAGCACCGCTGAGCAGGCGCGGGTGGGTACTACAGGAGAGAGCGCTGGCACGAAGAACTATCTATTTCACCGACAGCCAAACATATTGGGAATGTGGAAAAACAGTCAGGTGCGAGACACTGACCAGAATGGACAAGTGAGTTATATATACCTTCGTTTGTCATCTTGGTTGCCTACATGGCTAGCTCACCTTGCCTCACCGTAGTAAACTTGTATCGTTCCTTGGCGATGCCCACTTCCCGTCTAAGCTGTCCAACGAATCAACCTCGCGCGGCGAAAAGATACTCTTTTACGAGGGTCTCTATAGCCTCTACACGCGCCTCGAGTTCACACGCATATCAGACAGACCTATTGCCATTGCCGGGCTCGAGAAGAGGCTCATCCGCGACCTCAAGGCACACGGTGGCTTTGGCGTTTTTGACGACGGCCGCAGCCTCTTGCAGCGCAGCCTCCTGTGGCGGCGCGGACGGGAAGTTACGGCACTTACAAGAATCGACCCGGATCCCTCTTCTGTCTCCGTGCCCACCTGGTCGTGGATGGCCTACGACGGCGGGGTGGATTACCTTGACCTGCCACTTGGAGGGGTCCATTGGCTGCCGTCCACCGAGGCCATACAGAGCCCGTGGGCTTCTGAAGGCACCGATACATGGCATACTGATGATGGGAAAGAATCCGTCGAGTTGGAGGCATGTGCAAGGCCCTTTGCAGCAGCGCCCGGCAGCCGGGGGCTGACCACCCATGATGAGATCATGATAGTTTATGACAACCCAAATATGATGAACAGGGAGGACGGGGATCTTATGTGCGTCGTGGTTGGCAGCGCAAGGAACAAGGGTTCTATCGAGGAGGACATGGTGCACTATGTTTTGGTCATCGCTTTGTCTCAGGGGTTGTCCTACGCGGAAGACGGAAGGCAGAGGTATGAGAGAGTCGGTGTGGGCCGCATGAAGGGCAAGTTTCTCGATCTGAAGTCCCCGGCCCAGACTGTGGTCGTTCGCTAGACAGCTCCGAGATCGGTTTCTTACTACGTCAAATTACTACGTCAATTGGAATGTACGCTCTTCGCACCATCCCTATGCTGTTCTTCGCCTATTGCCCTATATTTTTGGGTGGTCGCATAACTCTACTATAACATCCACTAATCACCCTCGTTTCTCACTTCTACTTTGTATCCAAGCTCAGTTTATAGCCCCAATCATATTACTTTTCAAGCCTAACGGAAACCCGCCACGCCTTTTTTTCCCGCGGCCTCCCAGCTACCGAATTCTCCTTACTGGCTTTTAGTCCGACACTCTTCACCAACACGCACGAACCGTGTGAATTTGCGATTCAGAAACTCGGCCACATTCAACCGAACTCTTAATGTGGTCTCACTTCAAGGGTCCAAAAAATCCAACAGACGCAAGCTTCGCAGTTATTATCAAACCTAGACTAGCAAGCTCTAACACAATTCATGTTGAACTTGTGAAACTGCTCTGCAACGTGATTACTGGACGGTGAATCATTTCATCGCTTCCTCTGCCGCATGTTTGTGTATCTCACAACATACAAGCAGCCTTGAGGACACGAGACTAGCATGTTTAGGCGTCTTTCAACCAAAACGTTTGATATATATAAACATGGTTGATAAAAATTAACATCGAACCTCCTCCCCTGCACTCCGTCGAATAGCCTTAAAATAACCTAAGCAGCCACCGAATATTCGTTCCTATAACGGCTGATGCTACCTTAGGCTCTTCCGTTAAGCAATATACGGAACAAGAATCGCAATAGTGCAAGATTTGGAGTACCAGGTCTATCCTTAAGAAATCTGATGCATGCGCCTAGGGGCGCACCAAAATAGCTTATCGCATATAAGGTAAGAATATAGATAATCCATTTAAGGTTCATTCTGCTCCCCTGTATAATTGGTCAGGGTAGCTTTCTACACATCACTTTTCATGACCCTATAATCCACGTATCAAAGTCTTTCTAAATTGTTCAGGAAAATAGCAGCGCGATAAGTCGTAAAACTTCGATCAGTACCTGTTATTTTAACGACTTACTTATTTAGCTTGGTAAACACGATGGACTTGCCCAACATGGCTACTCAATCAACACGTGGCAACACTACCGTAACTCATATCGGACAACACATTAGTCCGAATTGCGCAAGAACCTCAAGTAATTAGGTCTATTTCTTCAAACACATGAAAGCTGAAGAGCATAATAGTCGTAAATTGTTCGCTATGAGAACTTTGATGGGGGTGAATCAGCGTACCCTTCTCGCCTTCGAGCCATATTAAGTTTCGTCAACCCATGGATCGGAGAAAGCCCCTCAGACCTGGTGGATATTTATCGAGCTGTAGACTTGAAATTCGACCTTTGCCTCCATTCGATTGCAAGACCAAAACCCGGGTTTATTCATTTCTTTGGCTCTACCTTGAGCACCCCGTTCAAAATCCATCCCAAACCATATCCTCCATCGTAACGCACTGTGATGGACGTGGAGAACATAGCAAGTACCTCTTTCGAGGGTGCATCTTGTGCAGATGTACCCTCTTCTTCAAAAAAACTGATAGTGGGAAGCTCTCAGCTCTACAAAGATGGGCAGAGGCGGTGTGTTCCGATGCCTACTCCAGACCCAAAAGGTATGTGCCTGACCACCGAAGGTCCTCGTGACGACTTGCTAACATTTCCTGTTTTTCATTCCAGATCCTCTGAATCTTCCAGAGTGGCGTAAATGGCTCGCAGTTGGTGCACTGTGCTTTTGTAAGTCTACCTAATCGTCGTACCGTCCTAGTCTCGCGTACTGACCAGAGATATTAGTCGGAGCTCTAGCGCTCACCATCGAACACGTCGTTGGAGGGCTGATACCTATATTCGTGTTGGAATACTCTGGCATCGACCCAAAGACCATCATAGACCATCCGAGAAATGTATCGACGTCGCCGACCGACAATATGAACGGCCTTGACAGTCTTTCCAATCTTGGCGGCCCTTCGATATCTCAGGTGACCCTGCTTTCGACGTTGCCCCTGGCTATCAATGGCATAGCATCGTTTTTTCTTGTCCCTATATCTGCTGCCATCGGACGGAGACCTGTTATTTTGATCGCGGGCATTCTCCCATGGATAGGTGGCCTCTGGGCCGGCTTTAGCACAAGCCTAGGGAGTCACCTGGCTGCCCGATGTCTACAAGGATTTGGCGTAGGCACAGTCGAGGCCCTAATTCCCCTGATGATACAGGACCTTATGTTCATTCACAAGCGGAACAAGGCACTCGCAACTCTATGGTCCAGCCAGGGTATACTTATTATCTGCCTAGGCATTTCAAGGTGAGTTTTCTTCCATAATTTGACAATTAAGCCAATTACTCACTGTGTTAAGCCCCTTCATTGTGGCACAGCTCAGCTGGAGGCATCTCTACTGGATCTACTCGGGTATTGCTGCCTGTGCTTGGCTGGCCATCATATTACTCGTACCGGAAAGCAGATGGGAAAGATCAAAAGAAGAACTCGGTAAGTTAGAAGAAGTATCCCATCTGTAAAGTTCTAGTCTGATACCATCGTCAGCCGGCAATGAAGTTTATCCACTTCGTCCTGGCAAGGATCGTCCTCATCTCGATCACGAAATGTATGGCCGCCGGACCAGATGGACCGACTTCGGAATCTTCAACATACCATTGCGATGGTCATCTGCTGTTAGCACACTATGGAATTCTGTCAGATGCATCATATTCCCCAACATCATTTGGATCATCGCACTTAGCTCAGTCGCGTCCGGCGCCTTTGGAGCATTCTCACAGACTCAAGCTGCAGTACTTCTCGCCGCCGGTTGGGATTTCAAAACCCTCGGTCTCGCCGGCCTAACGATGATCGCTGCTACTCCGTTCATCCTTCTGTCTGCGCATGCAGTTGACATGGTCGGTAGTTGGATGGCGAGGCGGAATGGAGGCCAAAGGGAACCTGAGTTCCTCCTTCCAACCTTGCTTGTTCCCGTAATCATATCCATCGTTGGTTTCGTGGTCTATAGCTACGGTGCTGCGAACATCGCCACAGTATCGAGCATCGTCATCCTCACGGCGTTCTTCCTCATGACCTATGGGGGCGGCACAGCAAGCACAATCCTGACGTCTTACCTTATTGAGAGTCACCCAGACATCGCTGCGTAAGTACTGCGATGTCTCCGTTGTAGAATCTGATCTAACGCTACGCAGATCCGTACTGGTCACCGTATCTTCTCTTCGCCATCTAGTCGGCTTCCTCCTCAATTTCCGAGCAACGGATTGGATAAAGTCTGTTGGGTTCATAAGACTATTCTCCATCTACAGCAGCATATTTCTCGCTATCGCGGTCTTCGGTATGGTGATCTATTTCAGAGGAAAACAGTGGCGGGCTTGGGGCAATGGAAAGATTCGCGAGACGGCGGATAGAGGGATGTTGAACGGGGAGAAGGTTTAGCATGTCTTGCTACGCCAGAAAATTTTCGACTTCGTCGTTCAAAGCATTGTTGAATAAGGAATAAGTTGGTGTCGTTAAGAATGAGATCAGTTTGCACCCTGGAATCGGCCAAAGCCGTGAGTGTTCGTTTGCCCGTGACAAGGCACTCATCATATTGTTATCCTGACAAACTGTACAATCACGATACGCATTTGGTGCAGGAGAGATCGGTATGATATACTCGGAGGGGTTTCTCACTGCCAACTCTCTACTCAGACCACTATTCTCACATCTGCAATTACTGCTCGATGGTCGCTCAAGTAGACGCTGTCCTTCACGTTTGACAATACCTCGTATCGATTGATTTCCCACCTCTGATCCGCTTTGGGTCCAAGCCATACGAAGTCGATGCGTGTACCGTCTTGGCCTATCCTGCTAGGATCGAAGCTAGTATAGGTGTCATATTCCCCGAATCTTTGAGAAGCATTCGCCGTTGTGTACACCTCAGCGAAATAGCCATCGTTAATAACGGTTGTGTAGGCGTCGGCCCCTGGCTCTGAATTGAAATCGCCCGTCAGGGAGACGGCCAAAGGGCCCCAAGTCTTCTGCACATCCTTGATCACCTGCAGCGCCACCTTGATCCCTTTGGTCCTTGCCTCGGAGCTGGCATTGTCTAGGTGAGTGTTCGCGGCAATGAAACGCTTGCCGCTGCGGATGTGCTCGAAGATCCCTATGTTCACCAGCCGACGGCTGCCGGCATTCCAGCTCTTGGAGGGCTCATCCGGTGTGAGCGATAACCATTTTGTCACGTTGGAGAGTAATCGCAGGGCCGATGGGCGATACAGGATTGGATTGTATTCACCGGACTGCTTACCGTCATCGCGGCCTACCCCAATGTGCGCCCACGAGTCTCCTAAGCCGGTCTTGATATCTATCAATTGCTGGTGCAGAACCTCTTGCAATCCGATAATGGTTTCTGCGCCATCAGGAGCCCCCGCTATTGCGTCTTTGAGTTGATTGACAACTAGTGGCCCTCGTGTAGACCACGGTTTCTCATTCTGTTCCCGAGAAGTTGCCGCATATCGGATATTAAACGTGGCGAGACGGTAGGGAAGAGTCTGGGCCATCACGGCGTCCGCAGCGAGAAGCAAAATTCCAAGGAGTACAATATCGAGCTGCATTGTGGGCGTAGCGAAGATCAAAGACTACTGTATCTATTTGGATTATTCTGTCAGCTCAACGGGACCAGTACCTATGACCCCGCAAAATGTGGCGCTTGCTATTATATACTCCAACCCGGACTCCGCCAAGAGTATCGCGGGGGAACTACATGTGGGAGTGCGTTTCTCCTGTTCTAAGTCCGCGTAGTTACGTGTGAGACTTTTTGTCTTAGTGAGCTGCCAATGCGACAGCATAAAAAGGCCCCATGCTACCTTGAACTGAGGGGCAAACGGATCGAGGAGACCATCCAAATACTTCGGTAATTATCTAACATGTTCCATTGCTACGTTGGTCCGATAAATTGTGTGAACCAACATTGACACCTCCCTCCAAGTATAAAAATAGGAGCAATGTACTCCAATTGGTTCACGTGCCTGCTCTTCGTTTCACAATTAAGATGCAGTGCTAAATGCAAGTAATATCGCGACGCATTAGTATGCATAACACTACTATATAGCCGATACAGGGGCCGACATAGCGCCGCATCGAGCATGACAACGGACATGGGGAACTACGTGCAAGCACACTCGACGGAAACACCAGGAATGGTTTTCTCCACATGGTGAGGTATCAATTCAAAGAAACGAAGATATGGGGTAATTGGTCGCCCTATTAGATGACAGATACAGATAAGGGATTATTCATTCAGCGCTCGCGACACATCAAGCGCCTGGCCTTATTGCGATACGCAGACTTAAACCTCATGAACATTGACGACATCACCGTACTGGTTGAGTCCGATCTCCTTCTTCTTAATGGAAGCCTTGACAGGGTTCTTGGCGGCAAAGATCTCGTCTAGTTCCTCAAGCTGCAGGCAGAATTAGCGTTTGCACATATGCGTACATATCTTAGAAAACTTACAGTGCGGCCCTTGGTCTCGGGCAGGTACATCCAGATGATGAATGCCTGGACGGCATCCTGAACCGTAAAGATCACGTATGTAATCCAGCCAATCTGCTGCATGGATACTGGCCACGCAAACTGGTTGAGGAGACCAGCGGCGTTGACGGCCAGCGACGAGAAAGCCATACCCTTCGCGCGCATCTCGAAGGAAAGGACCTCGACCGGGTAAAGAGCCTGGAGAGGGGTAATACCAACGGAGTAGATGGACCCAAAGATGAAGATCATAGCAAGAGAAGCCTGAGAGGCAGCCTTGTTGGTACCCTGCCGGGCGGTTCCGTCAGGGTTGATACCGCCACCGGACTTGGCGAATTCTGAAGCCGCAATAGTCATGCCGAGCCAGACAACGCAGCAACCGGTGAATGAGAACAGAAGCAGCGGGCGACGACCGACGCGATCAACAAGGAAAGCACCGAAGATGGCGAATAGGAACTGCTGGCAGGAGTTGATGAGGGTGATGTTGGCCTGTTCAATGCTGTTGATGTAGCCAGCGGACTCTAGCACCGCGCCCAAGAAGTAGGAGAGCACAGCATTGCCAGCCCACTGTCCAAAGATGGATACAGCCAGGTTGCAGCAAAGACGGTAGACCGACGATCGGTTGCGGAACAGAGCGCGGTAGTCCCACCATCGCTTGTCGGCACCGTCCATGTTGAGTAGTTCTTCGTATTCGTGCATCTGGAGGGACACCCAGGCGCTTTCGGGGTTGCCATTTCCGTGGTACTTGGTGAGCATTTGCTTAGCTGCCTCCTTCTTGTTGTTGACATACAGCCACCTTGGCGATTCGGGGAGGAAGAAGACAAAGAGACAGATGAGTCCAGAGAAGAGGGCCTGAAGCCAGGTGATCAAGCGCCAGGAATAGTCTCCACCAGTGTTAAGGGCACCGCGGGCAGCGCCGGACGCAATGATGGCACCGGAGAACCAGAGGGTGTTGTACATGGCTCCAACCACTCCGCGGAATGCAGGGTGGTTGATCTCGACGACGTACATAGGTCCTGCAGCAGCAGCGATCGAGACACCGAAACCGAGCAAGAAACGACCGCCCATGAAGGCTTCAGCGGCGTGGGATGTACCCTGGATGATAGTACCGAGAATGATCAGGAGTGCACCGATCAACATGCCGACTCTTCGACCCCAGGTGTCGATGGCAGGACCGACGAAGGGAAGCGCGACGACACCTGCACGAATACAAGTCAGAAACCGTTATCAAAGCAGAGACATTTGTTATAAGTAGGATACCTACCTCCAATTTGGTACATGGAAGACACAATACCGGCCCAGATACCAGAGCTCTGAACGTTGTAATACTCCTTAAACCATTGATTCTGGAGCAGGTTGTTGATCAGGGAACCATCATAGCCGTTCATCGTGGAGCAAAAGAATCCAACGATCGAAAAGGAGTAGATCATGATTTGGGCTCCGGTCCACGCGCTCGGGGGCTCCTTGGTCATGGCCTCTGCGAAGGCCTCATTGCCCTTCACGACCTTGGTCTGGACCTGCTCCTACAGAGGCGTTAATGATTTGCTTTGTGGGCACGGTTGGCATAAGCAAGATTACCTTCTCGGGAGCGGTGCTGATGTCGACACCATTCTTCTCTTCCACAGACATGTTTGCGGTCGGTAGATCTGCCTCCTTATTCTACAATATAGAATGACTCGATCAAGAGGGATAACGAAACCCTCAGACTAACTGTGAGTAACAGGAGAAGAGAGCCTGTCGTAGACGGACAACTGATGGCACAAAATCTAAGAACCAGGCATGCGGTAAGCGCTTGCTCTTATACGAAAGGGTTGCCATGTAGCACCCATGGGGCAGACCCTTCCCAGGATCTTCCTCACGACATGCATGCAATGTCGCTGAGATGAACGTACAAGGGTAGCACCACCACTTTGATGGCTGCCACCCTACCCGCAAACCGCGTGGTCACACCCATGTCGGCCTGGCGAGAAAATTGGCTGACAGGGGCGATCGAGGGACTTGGCTGCCCGCGGCCAGAACGTCTCGCTTCGCCAAGGGCGTTGATCACTGGCCAACAATGGACCGGCGCATCGACACCAGGTTCCGACCGGGGGGCGTTTTTCGTGTCTCTCTTCAATGCAATCAGGAGTTAACTGCATGTGAAATGTTGGCAGGTATCGGAGTAGGCTCCAGGTTTGGCATTGACTCTGGTATTTTGTTACAGCTGGACCCAGCTAGTTGGAGTATTTCCCCGGATCTGCGGGTCGACCGCCTCCGCATTTTCCCCCAAAGGTCCACTGTGGAGTGACTAGAGGAGTCAAGGGCGGCGTTCAACGCTCATGATGGTGCCCGTAGGCTTTGCGGTGTCCGCACAACAAGAAACTTTCGGCCCTCATGGCCATGCGAGATGTTGGTCAGACGCGAAACAGCGTCCGGTGTGGCGCTCATGGAATCCAGCTCGCTTGATTCAGGTTCCTCCAGCGGGAGGGCGCGCCTGGGCTGTGGCCCCCATAGGAAGAAGCCAGACGGGTTCCGGCCCTCAGTTCCAGGCGGTCACGAGCGGCGCAATAGACCCTGGCACCGAACGTGCGGTCGGTTGGAGACGCGCTGGAGTAGGCGGTGCCCTTGCCTCGGGAACGACTTTTCTCTAGACAATGGGGAATGGCTCCTCCATTCATTGTCGCAATCAAGGCGATCATGCGTCTCGGAACAGCCCAACGAGGCCGGGCGCGAAGGCTAGAAAGGCGAAAGAGCGAAGCAAGAAGATCGTGAGGCTCTTGTGATAGGCCATCTGACACCATTCCAGCTCTCTGCGCTTGACCTGTTCCGTCCACGGGCATCGTCCCTCCGCCGTGAATCCTGCTGAACAGGGGATAGTCAGGGCAAGCCTATGAGACCCGAGAATTGGGGGATTACATGCATGCATTGGGATCGCAATTGAGTTATAAACGGGGCCTTTCACGATTAGCTCGATATCAGTTAGCTACATACAAACAGTGCACATGGACAACCTAGTCGGTCTACTTAGTAAGAGGACTATCAACAGAGCTTGGCCTGCGACTGGTGGACAAACACCCACGGGTAGGCTGCATGGAAAGCTGGCCGCACGCTTAACCCGGTACGTTATTATCAAAGTGACTCGTCCCACAGCCCAGTGAAACTCGTGAGCGACAGCAAAACGAACTAGGTCACCATCAGTAAACTGGTCGGATTCCACAGTTGCTGAGCGGGCCGGTCTCCATAGGTGAACCTTCTCTGCGTCAAACTAAACAGAGTGTAGCCGAGGCCATCCCATTGCACAGCGGCAGCCCCTGCCGCGTCCAGGCTTGGCGTTTCGCTTGCCTGCATCTACCACGACCTTACGGTTGACCTGGCCGAACCAATATATGAATCCCATGGTGCAGAGTTGACAGGAGACCGAGAAACAGCCTTACCTAGCTTGTTACTCGGGAATTCAGTCACGAAGATACCGCCTAGGCATGGTCCGATGTTCGTGCCAAGAAGGCCTTAGTTTTCATGGTATTACCGGAACTCAGAGTTTGTCACGCTCAATGACTACGCGTGAGCGCGACACAAATAGGAGAGGAAAGACAAAGTATAATCCGAGGTCAACGCCGCCCGTCACTGAATGTGTATGGACCTGGCAGGCCAGGTGATTTAGCCCGATGAGGCTCCCGTAAACTCCTTATCCCAGAAGTCTGGATCGTCCCGTCTTAACGATTGCATGGCACGTCAGCAATAGATGCACGGGTCAGGTCAACCAATGATAGGCCCATCTGAAAGACAGATCTCTCACTTTATGTATGCATACTCATGAGACGGCACGGCCAAGCCGATTCGCCAGACTTCAGGACGTCCTCGTTCTTCCGGCCGTCCCAGAATATGTAGGATATGTAGGTCTTTTGCTTGCTGAGAAGACCACACTGTGAATGGAAGTGACATGGGTATCATGCCGCTGCAGAGAATATCATGCACAGTCCCCCTAACAGCTGATTCTTGCCAAAATGAAATGCAGCAGGGCAATCTCGCGTGCTATCGATGCTCTCGTCTCTAGGTACAACTTGAACATGCACTATCAGGATGCAGCCAGAGAGATAAAGTTCAGGGCGACACACAGCATGTAAAGTCTGACACACTAAATTACCTGATGAAATCACGCGATCGTACTTCTCCCGTTTCCTTCTCAGTTTCGCGATTATGGTCCTGACCTATCGCGACCGAGCAGCAGGGACCCAGATCGGCCTTGTCCACAGATATTGGATCTTTGCTATTACCCATCCATATCATCGATACGTTGAACGACTGCCTGCCGGGAACAAATAAGTCAGAGAATCCAGTTCGTTTTTTTCTTAGCCTTCGATTGGACGCAAACTCATCTGTGAGAATAGCTGTCCCTTCTTAACCGTCTTTCTTTGCTCCTCCGGCGCTCTTGAGACTTCCTGCGTCTAAATATACATAGGCACGCGAGTGGTTGCGGTTTAGACGTTCCCTTCCCTGCATAACTCACTCGTTTGACTGGCATATGCTCAGATTACTCGTGCGTGCTGCCTTTAATCCTGCGAGGCTCGGTACCGAAATTAAACACACTTGAGCTGAATAGCTGGGGTCGTCTTCTAGATGGAGAAAGTGGTCGTGCTCCCGAGATTGGCTGTTGGTGTCCTAGCACAGCCACTGAGACCACTTACCCGACTAGCCAGTATCTAAAGGTACGCTGCAACAGTAGTTCGCCGCCTCCTAGGGCAAGGTATCAATTTAATATCTCTCGCTGCATGTGGTAGGGCAGCCACTCGGAGATACGGAGGTGAGACCACCTTATTGAACCGGCCCGGTTTTCGTTGAGATACAGGGGCTTCCCGGTGGCCTTTCAATGTATTGTGCGTCTCGAATGTACGGAAGCTGAGTGCATATGTATATAGAGAGAGCGTTGCTAGAGCTCATGTTTCTCCCGAAGCACCCGAGAGCCGATATGAATGTTCAATAAACCCTTTTCTTGTACTCACCAATAATGCGCACGCAAACTGGTGGTTGGAATGGTTCAGACCGTATACAGTGATATCGAAGCCAAACTGTTTCAGTTCGACTCGTCCTTCTGGGAGACGAAACCTTCAACTGTTGGCTTTGTTCTTCTGACCAGGAATAGGAGAAGAGACAAAATATGACCCCTGATACGAGAGATTCTTGACAAAATCCGGCCCTAATCGGAGGCCGAGCATTACAGCCTGAATTTTAGTGAGAACTTGCAAGTTTTCAGTGACGAAACTTTGGCAGGGAACTTGACAATGGGTTAAGACGTTCCCTTGTTGTATTAATCTGACTCTGGCAGTAACTTGATTCAACAATAACCCATAGCTTATGCCATCTACGTTAGAACATCTGCCGCCTCCCTTCAAACAGTACTCCAGCAAGCCGGCGCTTTGCTCAGTTGTCCGAAGACGAGACCGTTCTCCCGGGAGACATATTTTTGGCATTTACTTTCCTTTGATCTCTCACAAATCCAGAGATCCTCACTGTTGCAGAGTTTCGGAAATCCGGCTTGCAGAGCCTTTGCTACGACATCCGAGCAGGCGTCTCATACGAGTAAGCGAGGCTAGCAGCAACTATCCCGAATACTGAAGCAATGGAGCGTCCTCTTCGATATACCCTTCAGCCGCCTCTAGACATTCCTGCTTCTTGTATGCGCCCATGTCTGGCCAGCAATGATCTTTCCAGATGCCCTTGACAACGAGCAGGACATCCTGTTCCTCCTCCATCACGACTGCCTGGGTCTCTACTACGACACTCTCCGTGGTCGGTGCGAAGTTCAATGACCGAAACTGGCCCTTCAGAAGCTCAAAAGAGTCCTCTACTGCCCAGGCGGGATTCGATCTCCAGGCTTCATCCTCAGATACCTCCGCTTCCCCCGCAAGAGGCTCGCGAGAGGGGTTTGCATGGATATAACTCGGGCAGTGGATCCAGTAGACGACGCCGAGCTCGGTATCCAAGAGGAAACAGTACCCGCCGTGCGGCGACGAGCAGAGACCAACCACATGCGACAGGGTATGGCCCCAAGTGTCGGCGCCGTCTGTGTGCATTTATGTACGCTCGACTTCGCCTCTGCGCAGCGCCTCTACGAGGATGTCTGTCTGGTAGTCCACGAAGCGTGCACCTGGCGCTGCTTCGGGCTGCGCATCGTCATATTGGTCACGGAATAGGGCAGATGGCGTAGCAGATCGAGTACCTCCGGAGTCTTGCCCAAGGGACCGAAGTCCTCCGCGTTGATGCTCGGCCAGCCGGAGGCCGGTGATTGCAAGACTTCGGACTCGGAAAGATACATTCCCATGAGAAACTCGTAATAGTCATTGGCGGCCGCGATGGTGCGGTCGCGCGAGTAGCTAATCTCATGTAGTTTCGGCATGATGACAGCGTGCGGAGTTGGATAAAGTCCTAATGTCGTTGACGGTTTCTCAGCGAAGAGGGTGCGATGTGTGGAGGTTGCGACCTAGTCAATAAAATGGACTTGGCCCGTCAAGAGAACTGGTTTCTGCTCTAAAAATGGTCGTCCCTTATCTCGATGCCGCAAATCTACGTCATTATTTCTAGAAGCGTACGCGCCCTTCTCGTTATAGCCATGTGATAAGTTGTGGTAAGGCATTGCAACCCACAGTCATCGGTCGATAAAGTGGCTAAGCACCCTGGGAAAGGCACGGAGCATCCACAGGATTGAGCTTCCCTAATTGAGAATGTAGGGAGCCTTGAATGGTTTCTATAGCTCCCTATCAAGTTCCGCATAGGGGTTGACCAACTTGCTTCACGTCGCGTCGAGTTTCATTGAGAGTATCACTTGGTCTTCTCCTAGTACGTACACGGTGAATTGGCCACATCTCGCAAGCGTAATAGAGAAATCAGAAGTCTGAGCTCGACGCAGTAATTTGGCTTGAATGTGTATGTTTAGCGCGCTCAATTATATACAGCTCTCGATTGTAGTCGTTGCCAGCTCAAGACACTTGAGCCTACACCCGATTGCGGTACACCATACCTTGTTGCACGGTGGAATCCAGGCCATCTTGAATGATGCTTATCACATCGCAATTACAACGCGCTCGTCACAGTGTACCTCGCCCGCGACGGCAACGAACGGGATTTTGGATGATGAAACTGTGGCGCTACAAATCACATCTTCTTGCAATAGAATTTCAGATACTTATGGTAATAGAGTCGTATCCGATGATGATGGTTCACCGGTGCTCTTTCTCACTTGCATTTCCATACACTGCAAGCTGACTAGTCCAACAATATTCATAAGGACAACCATGCCACCAACTCCGTCCATCTCGTCCGCCCTGTAAAGAGCGATTAAGTACACCGGCGACTTACAAGCCGGGCGGGGCAGGCGCGGTCTAAAGCGAGTGGGAATCCCTTTCAGCCAGCCAAATTCTATGCGAGCGTTGTTTAGGTATCGTGTAAGACGAAGCCTCCCTTTGTAAACTCCACGAACTCCAGTAAAACGACATGCAATGTGATTGCATCAAGCACAAGTGCTACAAGTCTAGTTCCACGCCTTGCTCAATGGGCTAGCGATCTTGGGTGCGAATTGCAAACTCTTGCGGCGGGCAGCCATCAGGCGCATCATGACATTCTGATCCTTCTGCGGGCTCAGCACGCCGCTGCCTAGGTCGGCATAAATGCTCGGCTTCGGCGGTGCAGTACGTGTGAGCATCTGCTGCTGCTCTGGCGTATTGTCCTGAGACCAGTCTGCGGATGGTGTCTCAGGCGTGACATCCATCTCCGTGACATAGCGGTGGATGGCCTCGGGGGCAGGAGTCTTCGGGACGGGCGTAAGCATACTTCCGTCCCACTGGTCCTCGTCCGCATACCCCATCTCCTCATCATCGTCAGGATTGGATGGAGAGCGCACCCAGGCAGTACTGTCCCTTCGGCTGACATGGTTGTTAGGCACGGTCTGACAATCGCGAGCTGGAGCAGCTGTCTGCTTCATCGGGGTCACGAGCGTGCCGTTCATGTTGGCGAGGGCCCTGGGCTCCATGCTCTTGCGACGACGAGCGCCTCCACGAGGGACGAGCGATGTGTCAATGTAGTACTGCGCTTCATCAAGCCACTCATTCTCGCGTTCACAGCTGTTCAGTGTCAGCTTTTCAATGGTCAATCGAATGTGGCGATAAATGTACTCACTCTAAAACCCAGCCCACACCTACACACTGGACTACGCCGCCAGTCTCCCGTACCTTTTCCATGGTTCTCTTGCCGCCGTCCTTGTAGACCACGTGGGTGATGCCGACTTTTGCAGTGGAGAGATCGCCATTTGCGGGCGTGGTTGGATTCCAGGTCCAGCTCTTGACACAGCGAGCACCCATCTGGGAAAGGAGCTCGACAAAGACGGGGCTGGCATCTGCACCCTCGCTAGTGTGGACATCAACAAAGACAACAGCACCTCGAAGCAGAGATGGGTTTACATCCCGCCGAGGCGTGCGGGCGGGAGTGCCGATTGAGGACCAAATGTCCGACTTTGCTGGCGTCACAGGAGGCTGATACTGCTCGTCCTCTTCCATGATGGTCTTGGATGACTCCTTTTCGGGAGAGTAAGAGATGACGGTCGCGTTTCTAGAAGGGCCGGCAGGTCGTTTCATGGGCACGCGAGAAACGCTTGCACTTCTCTTCTTCAAGGTCATGGGAGTAGAGTCATCGGCAGGCTTCAGGGGGACCTTTGTTGTTGTGTTGAATGTACGCATTGTCGAGGGTCGCATGGGAGTAACAGGGGGGACGGCAGGCTGCCCAGCAGGGCCGAGCAGGGCCGGATCAATGGGCATGGCATTTTCGTCACCGTACTCCTGGCTGGCCTCGGAGATGGAGTCATCATGAGCTTGAACCTCGAAGACAGCTTCCGCTTGGTTGGGCTCCAGAAGCGACATCTCGTCTGCCTCAGCAGCAAGCTCAACATCCTCGCTGGTGATGGGTACGTCGTCAAATACTGGGTCCTCATAGTTTGCAGCGAGGTCTGCCTCAAGGGCAGCCATCATTTCAGCCTCGGCATCAGCCTCCAGGTCAAGCTCCATCTCAGCACGGATCTTCATCTCATCTTCGAAAAAGGTGCCTTTAGAGGGCGACCGATCAGCCGTCGCAGGGATGTCATTCTCAAGGAGAGAATACTCCTCCGCATCTGCGGTCATAGCCTCATCACCTTCGGTCTTTGATGGACTACTTGCCCGCCAATCGCCGAGTTGTCTTGCGAGGGGTGTGAAACCTAACTTGGGTCCACGCGAGACGGATCTGATGGCACGGCCGGCATTCTTAATTGCGCTTGAGGGTAGCGCATTTCGGGATGTCCTGGAAGATCCTGGTGTTGGTGTAGCTGGAACACCCGAGAAGCTCAGGGTGGTATCTTCCCGGAATTTGGGCACGGACTTGCCACTCAACGCCAACTCATCCTCTGAGTCGTAGATATCTTGCGGAACAAGATCCTTCTGGCGTAGACCAAACATGGGGTTCGCTGCTTGGACGGCGGGTTGAGGAGTGTGCTTGGTAGGAGGGCTTGAAGGCATCGGTTCTTCTGCAGACGCACCATCAACTTCCATAGGGTCTCCGTGCGCAGCTTCCACGGCTACGGGCTCTGGCGCAGACACAGCCTCGTCAACCTCAACTGGCTGCAGCTGCTCGGTTGACAAAGCTTTTGTCGGCGAGGGCTTGTCCTGGAGAGCTGGGTCCGCGTGACGAGGGAGCACAGCTGACAAACGTCCTGGAAACTCCAACTGTGCAGGCGACTCCAGGTCCTCATCATCACTTTGTGACATTTCAATGTCATTGTCGCAGTTTTCGTCCGCCACTGGCTCTGCCAGAGGCTCTGGATCTTGCTCGGGGGCGATGGGCTGGAACGCTGCTGGCTCTGCCTCCGCGGGCGTCTTAGCGTGCTCCTCGCTAGTCGAGGTCTCCTTCTCTGACGATCGAGAGACCGAACCAAGAACCTTGAACGGAGACATCGGGCGCTTTGCCGGGGATTGCAGGAATGACAGTTTCGAGGGTGATCGAGGTTGTTCCGAATTGTGTGATGATGATGGCGCCTGTAGTGCCATGATGGGTACCTGAGGTCGCTTTGCAGGTGACTGCAGTATGGAGGCCTTGAGCGGGTTCTGGGTTGCCTCGGACTCGCTCTTCTTGGATGAGAAGAGCAATGTGGGGACACCCTCGGCCCTCTTTGCTGGGGACTTCAAGGAGTCCTTGAAGGGGCTCGGGGGTGGCCTTCGGACGGGGCTTCCAAAGATGGAGGACCCAGCCAGCTCATCGGCCTGGTCATCGTGGTCGGCGAAGTCGTCAGCGGTATCGTGAACCACGGGGGCGCTGGCTTCCAGCTTCCTCGGGTTGGGGGGCTTCACAGGGCTCTTCATCAAGGGCTTGTACGGCGTCATCTCATACGTGGCCAGTTCATCGTCCGAGTTGCTAGCTCGAGAGAGCGGGCGGTTCTGGCCGTCCTTCTTGGGGCTCAGGGGCGTGGGCTTGTCCTTCTTGTCGGCAGTGGGAGCCGTCCTTGCGCTGGCACGGGTGGCTCGGGCGGCGGTGGCAGTCTTGCGGACGGGTTTGGCGCGCAGGCCCGTGGCCGGCTCTGTCTTGGCCTTTGCCTTGGTGTTAGCAGGCGGGACCATGTTCTCTTTCTCTGGTTCCTGGAAAGTCACCGATTTCTTAACGGCACCAATCCTAGATGCAGGTCTGGAGACGGCAGATCTCAGGCCGGGAGTGGGCTCCGTGGTGGCCTCTGTGCAGATGACGCCGGGCTGTTTGGCGGCGCCCGAGGCAGCGCGGCCGCGAGCCGTCTTCTTGACGGGCACGGGGGCGGCGGCTGCCTTGTCCTCATCGGTCTGTGTCTTTTTGGCGCGGGTGCGCGTGGGCTTGGAGGGCTCCGGCTTGGGCGGCTCCTCTGCGGTCTTCTTTGCCCGTCCGCGGGTGGGCTTCGGTGCGGACGCCGCAGTCTCAGCGGGGGCAGCGGGCTGCGGCTCGGGCTCGACCACCTTTCTGGGCCGGCCTCTGCCCCGGGTGGGCTTGACGGCCTCTGCGGCGGGTGGTGCAGCAGGCTTGTGGGATTCCTCATCGGTCTCGTGGTCGTTCTCGGTGTCGTCGGGCCTGGTCTTGCGTTTCATGGAGGCGGCGGTGCGGGTGGTGGTGGCGACGGCGGCCTTGGTGGTCCTCGCGGCGGAGGCGATGGTGCTGGTGGTGGCCGAGCTGGTGCCGGCCTTCGCAGCAGCCCTCGCGCGGGTCATGCGCTTCGGGGGCGTTTCGACGTCCATGGTGTGGGTGGTCGGCAAGAGGCTGTCGTGGATGTCGACAGGAGGGCTTACCGTGTTTCGTGGCGGGCAGAGTGCGACATGGATGTCGGCGTGGAAGACGGCCAAAAGGGACGGGCTTTTGCTGGGATGGGGATAGGGATGGGGATGGCCATGAAAATAAATTGAGTCCGTGTTTACACTGCTCCACCACGCGTGTGAGGCGTGACCCTAGCCGGCCGTCTTGGCGGGGCGCTGTTAACCCGGCAACCACCTGTCAAGTTGGGCCCCACACCACAGTATTGGACCCCCGATTGCCCGACCGAGCCTCCTGACGTGACGACGGCAAGACGACAAGGCGTTGGCAGCCAATGATTTTACACAAAGTTGACGCGGAAACAAGCTTTGCAACCACTTGGCTCGCAGAGAGATCCAATCTTCTCGCAAATGATGCGCGGTAACATTTGAAGACTGCAGCCTGGTAGTTGGCAGCATCTGTCTGCCCGTGCATTCCATCACGGTAGGTGCTCCTCCCACATCGACCTCAACGTACTACAGTATCTCGTTATCGATCGCTCCCGACCACGTGACAGTGTTGGCATACTGGGCTTATTCGTGCCTGTTCTTGGACAGTGAACGATAATGCTATAATTAAATTGTGTTGCAAGTGCATTCATTCTTGGACATCTAGGCATTATGGCTGCTTCCATCTGCCAGGATCTGTTGGAGAGACAGAGATGGGCCAGTTGCTGCCGAGTTCCTTTTCAGAAGCCCATGGTTCATTTCCGTGCAGCATACTAACTTACGTTGGCCTGGGCCACGGCGCAACACGACAGCTCGAGGAGGGAGCATATCGCAGAGCATCAGGACTACCCGGGTAGACAAGTCAGGAACATCCCAGGGCAGCTATTGTTTGCTCAAGCTGCAGGTAAACCTGCAATAGCTAGCATAGGATCTGTAATCGGATCCTTCGCTCGCTCCGTGCAAACTGGCGCCATCGTCTGGTGTCATGTCAGGAATGATTGCAGTGTTACTCGTAGCTATCTCTAGAGTTCTGGATATGTCAACATCTACATGCAGTAAAATTACAAACCCCATCTTCCCCGAGTTGGGCTACGGCGAGGCGACTAGTGCTTGGTCCCAATACGCCCAGGCCGGGCAAGCTTTATCTGGAATGAAGCTAGCTCACTTTAGAGTTGTGCTACGGGTGACTGGCTTTGAGGACATCCAGGACCACCGCTGCTGGGCTTTTCGGCAGTCGCTCGACGGCAGGACAGTGCCGTTTCTCAACGGCTCGTGGTCTCGTCTTCATGGCTGAGACCTGAGGCCCTTTTCATGTACGTGATGGCCTGCTGAAGACACAGCATGCAAGACGCGCCGCGTGCAAAAAGAAGCGTGCAGCCAGCCACTGGCCCAACTGGCCCCGTGCCAGATGTCATATGCCAAGTGCGGGAGATCGAACTGAGAGAAGCGAATTTCAAAGGACCCATGGTCCATGAAGTTGGAGCGCCCGCAAGTCGGTCCAATGAGCGCGGTCTGGTCTGACGTAACCCCACCTCGTGCTGTACTATGGGACTGGCTGTGTTCACTGGGGGGGGAAGGGGGGCATTTGAGCATTCCTCCCCGACGCATCTCCACCAAGTTAACCTACAGCTGCAGCAAAACAACTCCGAGGGAGGAAAAAAACTACTAGGCCTGCTAGGTAGCTAGGAACCCTTGCTGTTCCGATGCCCGAGTTGCCCGCCACCCGCGCAGCTTGCCCAGTCAGTCCCTCACCCCGACGCAGTGGGCTGATGACCTGGAGCGGCAACTAGCAATCTTGCCCGCATGCCATAACTCACTAGAGAGAGAAAAACCTTACAGGATCATACATACATACCTGGCTCTGGTTTGCTTGTTGATTGATAAGATCAGTCAGCCCCCCCGGGAATTCGCAACTCGACCAGAAGCAACTCTTTCCTGCCTTCTCTGCATTTGCTTGCCGGGTACGGTAGTAGAATGTCGACTTGACCCGACTCACAGCGGCGACTCCGAGCGCAGCCGATCATCGCCTTCCCCAGTCCATCGACCAGCGTCCATCGTCCATCGACACTCCGATTGCGCGATCCCATCGGCAGACGCACCTCGCCTGCATTCTACTCCTCTCAACACTGCTCGACTGGTCGCATCGTCTCATGACCCTTTCTGTGTCGCTTCAGTCTGGGTCATTGGATTGCTGGGAGGGGTATTATCGTCGCAAGGACCAGCGGCTACGTCCTTTCGCCTACTAGATTTTCTTAGACAACATCGCCACCCAGTCTCTCATCATGGCGCTTTCCAAATCCCAACGCATCAGCATCATGGTTGCTATAAGCACCGTCTTCTTCCTGGTCGAATTGATCTCGGGGCTTATGGTCAAATCCCTGGCGCTGACTGCCGATGCCTTTCACATGTTAAACGACATCATCTCCTTGCTCGTCGGTCTCTGGGCGGTTAGAATCTCCAAGAGACAGAGCACCGACAAGTTCTCCTATGGCGTACGCTCTGCCCCTTCCTACTACCGCTTTGGCCTTGTTTGCTAACATATGTCCCAGTGGGTTCGAGCTGAAATCCTCGGCGGCTTCTTCAACGCCGTGTTTCTCATCGCCCTATGCGTCTCCATTATCATTGAGTCCATTACCCGCTTCTTCGACCCGCCCGAGATCTCCAACCCTCAGCTCATCCTCATCGTCGGCTGCTGTGGCCTGGCATCCAACTTGGTAGGATTCGTCGTGCTGGGCCACGGTGGGCATGATCACGGCCACTCCCATGACGACGGCGAACATGGTCATGACCACGCCCACGACCATAATGAGGCTGCTATTGCGGAGGAAGGTAGAGCCAGCTCCAACACTGGGGGAATGGACGACGAGAGCGGCCCGGCTACAGATATATTCCCCGAAGTGGCTTTGGCGCGGGCAAATGCTGGAGGCAGCTCACCCGAGACTGTCCGCCGCATCCAGTTCAACAGCTCCGATGGCGGCCATAAGTCGGAACGGAGCGCCAGCCGATCAACAAGGGGCCGTGAGCGACGTCGCGCGGGCAGCCTTAAGCATAGCCGCCTGCAAAGCATCGAGGACCACAGCTTCCACCCTGCTAGTTTCAGACAGAACATCATCGATCAGAGCAGGTCCAACGCCGAGGAGTCTGACGAGAGCTCGACCGAGGGCGACACATCTGTGGATGAGAATAGTTCCCTACTTCACCATGGCAACGGCGTCAACAACAACGGTGCTATCGCCCACGGCGCTTCGCACCGGACCAGGCGCGGCTCGGGTGTGCATAAGGAGCACCACCACAACAAACCCCGGACTTCCACTGGTTCTGGAGGACACGGCCACAACCATGCGGACATGGGCATGAATGCCATGATCCTACACGTCCTGGGAGATGCGCTTGGCAACGTCGGCGTCATCATCACCGCTTTGATCATCTGGCTTACTGACTTACCCGGCAAATACTACACCGATCCCGCTGTTTCCTTGTTCATCACGGCTATCATTCTGCACACAGCTCTGCCGCTCACACGAGCGACTGCCAAGGTACTACTTCAGGCAACTCCAGACAACATCAACATTCGAGAGATCAAAGAGGATATTCAAGCACTAGACGGCGTGATCAGTTGTCACCATGTCCATGTGTGGCGGCTATCCGACACCAAGATCGTGGCTTCTATGCACGTTCAGGTTTCTTTCCCCAGCACGCAAGAGGGGGGCGAGAAGTACATGGCGCTCGCCAAGCAGGCCAGGAAGTGCCTGCATGCCTATGGGATCCACAGCGCAACTATCCAGCCAGAGTTCTGCGTCGACGAGAGATGCAACCACGACGATGCCTCGTTGCAGTTGGATGGACAATCCGCGCCAATCTGCGGCAACGGGACGAACTGCCTCCTTGACTGCACCGACGACTGCGAGGAGCAGGGGTGCTGCTCGGTCCCGGGTTCCGCCAACGGTGACGGTTCTAGGCGTTCTAGTCACTCGGCCCACAACCATGACCACGACCATGATCACGGCAACGACCACGGTCATCACTAATATAATCGTTCCTTCGTTCATACATCTGTATTTTCACGGACCTCTATCAGCGTCTTCAGATGAAGCGCTGTAGCACGAGATCCACCACTTCCCATCCAATAGGCGTTTGGAGAGTAGAGTTTGGCGGGCATTGCATTGGGCGGCTATCTCATTTGTTCTTCGTCGAGACGTCTACGTGTAGAGGGAGGACGGGGGCGCATCTTGCTTCGGAGTGTAAAAGCTAGAGCGGGCACGTTGTACTCTTATAGTGATGGATGGTAGCGAGTCAGTTGAAATTCAACAGTAGCGTTCCCCCTGTCAATTCGGTCTTCGATGTTACTCTAAAGGTCTTGAGATCTTGTCTAGATTGGCCGATTTGGTCGACTAATAGGTTTGACACCTTGCGTCGCATCGCTATATACTCTGTGATCCCCCCTCTCAATGATAACTACCCCTGAAACCGCAACTACCTGATTAGTTGGCGTGTCGCCACGTATAGAAACCCCCAAAGCCAGTCGCTTGATGCGCTTTCGAAACAAAAAGATTCCCCGGTACACGTTCGGGCCCAGACTTCGGGAAGTTGGCTCGACCTATCCCTCCTGCTATCGATGGGGCAGAGTCCTCCTATGTCATCAAATCAAGTCACTGAGGTGGTTGCCGGGGATTGCTTTCAGCTGACAAACGAACAGCTACCACAGGCACGAGAAGCGTACAGTGAGTGCATCGATGGGATATCACGAGACGAGAACGCCAATCGGCAGTAGATAACACAAGATCCTCAATTGAGACGTTGCCAAATGATCCCTCCCTACGCCAAGCTAATGCCATTTTAACCCAAAGCCAAACTGGTGGTGGTATCTCATTAAAATCCGAAACATTTCCCGCCCGTCCTCCTTTTTACATCGCAAGCACCAAGAATGCCACGGCCAGCAGGCACGACAAGAGAAGATCCGGCCGGGCCCCGGTCGGCATCGCACCACTGTCGGCGGTAGCGGCAAGCGCCAGGAACGGCTGCGGTTCGAAAGACGACACGGCCCTGCTGTCGACGGTGCCGTTCCAGCAGTACTGCTTGAAGCAGTCCTGGCAGGCCGAGGGGATGTCGGTGCCCGTCTTGATCAGGCTGCGCTGGATCACGGCGCAGGCGGCGCAGGTCCTCCAGTTCTCGTTCCCGGACAGCGTCCCGTTGCCCATGGTGCCGGCGTTGAAGCCGTTCTGGATGATGTTGTTGCGCTCGCTGTCCGTGTAGCTCGGGTCGAACGTGGACACGTTGCTCATGGCCGTGTAGGGGGTGTTGGGGACGTAGACGATCAGGGGCGGGATGTGGGATCCCGAGGTGAAGTTGTTCACATCGCACCCGAAAAAGGTCGGCTTCCTGTTCAGCCCGAGGTTGATGAACGTCTCGGCGTCCGGCACGGCCGGGAACTGGGTCCCGTTCGAGATCTTCTCCAAGCTGCGCTCCCAGGTAGCCCGCAGGGCCGTGCCGTTGGGCCAGTTGTATGTCGTGTCCGCGGAGGAGTCGACAGAGAAGATGACATCTACTGCACGCTCAGGCTGGATGAGGGGGTGCAGAGGGATGTTCTGCAGATCCTCTCCGCCATCCACCAACGTGAGCCTCGTCTCCGCAGCGTTGTAGTTGGTGTCGGCATTGTACCCGAAGAAGGGGTTAGGCGAGTAGTCCGCGATATCGTCATTGGCACTGCCGAGATCCTTCAGGACATCCTGGATCACGGTCTGCAGGAATTCCGGAATGCCAGATGATGACAGGTTCTGCAGGATGAACTGGTTGAACAGCGAGCTGCTCGTGCCCATGACGAAACCGTACTGATCGAAGCCCCTGTAGCACTGCGCGTTGTCCGGGAGGCTGCCCTTGGAGAAGTTGGAGCCCAGATACTCCAGCGGTGCGAAGCCGAATACAGTCGGGTCAAAGGAACCCATCTCCCAGGGGTTGAATTCGTAGACAGTCGCATTCAACGAGACGATGGTGGTATCAGGCTGGCGTCCATCAGCCACGAGAATAGGCATGGGCTGATTTGCGTCCTTGAAGTCCTGGGTCTGGGCTATGGACGAGAATGTGAAGGCTGGGCCACCGTCCGTCGCATTTATCAGCTGGTATGACAGAGCCCGGCCCCAGTAGTCAGTGATCGAGGTATCGAAACCCATGCTGCCCTTGCGCTCAACGTCATCGGCGATGGTGTTCCAGTAGTCTGCCGTGTTCAGGATGGAAATGCCGCTCTCCTCGGGTCCCTGGAAGATGGACCTGTCGAACGCCCAAAGCGAGGAGCTCGGGCTGCCATCCCGGAGCTGCACCACGGTCGAGAAGTTATTGGCGTATATCGAACCCACAAGCCACCCGCCACCCGAGAGTCCGGCCAGGTAGGTGCTTGACTGCAGCAAGCCTCCGATACCGTGAGCATCCGACGACCCGGGAACCCGACTGTCGGCAGCTGCGACAAAGCCGGCCCCATTCATCAGAGCACGGTACCCACCCCCGGACACAGCGATGCCGACATTTGGAATGTTGGTCAGGTTGCTTTTGTGAGAGTCGATGTACGACTGGGCGTCGAACCCTGCAATATTGGATGCGCTCAGAAACTCAGCCAGTGGCGACAGGGTATTTTGCCTCCGGATCTTGAGCCAGTCCGACTCCTGCGACGACACCGTCGCGGCGTTGCGGATGGACGGGCGCGTCGAAGGGCAGTCAACGGTGCCAGGCGCATACCCCTTGGTCGGGGAGTTGGCAAAGGCCCTGCGTCCGGCGCTCACGGCAGCATGCTCCAGTGCTGCTGCGCTGGCATCCGGTGCGGCGAGGGCCAGTGAGGTTAATACCGAAAATAGGGATGTGGAAAGTGAGAGATGCATCGCCAGGGATTCCGTGTCGAACGTAGCCGACACAAGGTTTCGAGCGGGCGGGATCGTAATTGAGGCAGGTGGAAAGTTCAGGACAGACAGCAGGCAGGCTCTCTGTTCTTTATTTTGACAGAGGTTCCAGCTCTTGCGTCACAGTCGCACAGCCAGGAGCCGGATCCCGGCTTGGTCAATGGCAGATCGGATCGTTCGGCCAACGCGCGCAAACTTGGGTGTCGAAAACTGGAGTTGACAACACGAAGGGGCCAAACCTAATTTCAGTACTAAACAGCCAAGAACCAAAAGCATGGGATCTGCGAATTACAGCGCCTGGGCTTCTTATACAGTTCAAAAAAGAGTTTCCCTGCCTTGGACAACCGTCAAACCGTACAGCCGTATTTCCTAAGCCCACGTAAGATCCCAAGATGGTTGCGCCGCTCGTGCACCTCAAGTGAACGTCAGCGAATGATGCAAAGTCGAGTCCGTTGGTGGTGGCTACGCCCTGCTTCTCAGCCCGGACTAGCAAGGATGGGAGCCCTGTAGGCTCCCTGTTCCGTGCCTGCAGTAGGTCCCATCGCCAGCTTCCCGGGGCTATTCCTGGCCGCAGATCGGGCACTAACTACGGGCTGGCGGCCGCATGGAAACCCCGAGGGACCAACAGGGCTGTGTTCGTCGCGTGCCGGCCCCTATGTACTGTACTGTAGCTATACTGTAGCTGGAGTTTGATGTCTGATTCAACTAGCTCCAGAACGGCACCGGCACTCGACATAGCCTATTCCAAATGCTCGAGCACGGATGCGTGAAACGGTTGCTGTGTCCATAAGTAGGCTAGGTATGGCGTGTAATCTGCCCAAGTACCACGGTATATGTAAAACGGCCTCCAACGCCCAGCCGGGTTCCAGCATCAGTGCATGTAACCCCGCGGCTGAGATGACGTCGTTTTAGGCAAGCCTCGCAAAAGTTGGAGACAGTTTGAGTATGGATGCATGCGCAGTTCACGAGCATCGAATACATAAGACTACAGAGCAGAGTCAAGAAGAGAAAAACAGGGTCCCGAGAACAAATAGTACGGGACTAAAAGTCGACTTTGCTGACGTTTTTATCAGAGATGGCTTAGCGCTGAGATCGGTGGTTTTTGTCAGCCTGGAGATCCTCGGACTTCTCGTATGCACCGTTCGTACTGTCTCATGGGCGGTCCAGATAAGGCGACTTTTACCGAGCCACACATTCGGGTGAGTGAACCTTGAAGAGTACAGAGAAATATGAGCTATGGATTATTCCGTCTTTAGGCAGATAGTGTAGACTGTGAAATGAGATCCACCTCGTCCTCAATTCATGGGTATCATCGAGTATAGTAAGTACATTATATGGTCGTGTCCATGCACAAACTTTTCCGAAACCATGTCCAGGTGCTGGAGATTTGGTTATGAGTGTGCTGATAGTATAGCCAGGTTTACTTCAGCGATCCAACATTTCTGCCCAGACGGCTAAATAGAAGAGTCATTCTGACAGATGAGAAATTCGTGTGGCGTAAGACATAAAAACGTGAAGAGCAACGACTGGAGCCCAGAGGCCCTGTCGTGTTCGGTGGTCGTGATCTCATGACAGTACCCTACCATGGCCATAGGGTGAAACGTAAAGTATAGTGGTGAACAGACGTCACCGAAACGTACGGAATGGGCCTTCTACCACCCTGACATCTTTGATCCCGTCGGGCATCATGCGGAGCCATTCGGCCCAGTTTTCAATGTTGAGGTTGTCGTCAGTCAGCCTGATCGATAGGGTCAGCTGGGGCCCGCTAGCAACCTCCGAGTTGAACCCCGGAGTTCTTGGCCGAGCCCCCTGCAAAGGGTATAACGTAATAGATGGTAATTTAGGGTTCCCTGACATCTGCAGATGCAATGGCATGGGGACACTCGCAGCACGGCCATCGGAATTATGCTCCTGCACTATTTTGGTGTACGCGGGCAAAAGTTTCGAGTATAGCTCCGCTGCGGAGAGAACGTTGGGGGATCGTTGGCTTGCTCGGGTCCGCAATTGCTGGGCCAAGGCCCTTGAGAAGGTATTCCTGCCGAGTTGATGTAGATGCTCTTCGGAGGCAGAAGCAGCAATCAACTCTAGAACCCCCTGTTGCCGAGTCATCTTCGAAGAGGGATGATATGCTGCATCAAAGATAACCAGTGTATCGGAGCATGCCCCTTCCAAGAAATCCTGGATGCCACTCCACTTGATGATCGAAGCTTTCTCGCGGTCGTTCGGGCTAATCAGTCAGCATGATTCGCCTCTTAGACATGGTTTGCTCTAACTCACCTAGCGAGGACCATCTCACCATCGTCCAAGTAGGTACAGCCATTGTAGTACACGATCTTCAAGACGTCTCTCGTATCGTTGTTCTCCGTGAAGTCGTTCAGTGTTCGCGACAGCCACCTTGCCGAGTTTTTGCAGCCGTCTGACGAAGACGGAGGAATCTTGATGATCTCCAGAGTAAAGAGATAGTCGCGAAACACGGCGGCTAGGTCTTCCACTGCACTGAAAACACCAGAGGTATCGTCATCTTGCCAGCAAATGAGAAGTGCCAGCACGGTGCTGTATCTCCCACTGTGCGGCCCGGAGAGTAGTCTCGAGGCAGCAGTCTCTAATTCAGACCTGACAAAGTCGATATTAGGCAGGGCTGTAGGCATAATCGGAGCAGCCGCCAACGAAGGTATCGACATGGTCCTGTCTGGGCGCGGTCCCGACGGTAAGGGAGTCCGGATTCGGGAGTCACCGAGAGGCGGGCGCCCCGGTGTGGTCTGGTGAACCGGAGGCGTTGGGGTTGAGTCGATATCCATCTCCTGGGGATCCTGAGTATAGCTGTGCCGTAGGTGGTTCGAGGCCGGGCTGATGGGGCGGCCTAACAGGGGTGCAAGCTCCTGCATGGGACTATGAGCCCTTTGATACTTCTTGATGGCATCTTCCCAAGTCATGTTGTGATGGTTCGGGTGGCAAGCTACTCGCCTTCTGCGACAGTCCGCACAAGCACCCAGTTTTCGAATCAGCTGCAGCTCAGATTAGCAAAATCGCACAACAAGACAGCCTTGCAGTGTCTTACGGCAGCTTTCTCTCGCTGCGCAGCCGAGAGGGGCCCGGTGCGGCGGCGGCTGGCGCGGCGGTTGGACGAGACTTCAGCGCCATCTCGGACCGAGAAGATGGACTGTGACGACTCTACGCTGTAAGCCGTTGAGCTGCTGTCGCTGGTCGCCGCCGTCGTGACCGTGGCATCAGTGCCGGTCGTGGAGGTTGACGAGGCAGTGTCCTTTCTTGGAGATGTTAGACTGAAGCACGGGGCACGCGAGTATACGTACACCTAAATTGGTATACAGTGAAGGTACCGTAGGGCACATCCATGGGGCCGGGCCTTACCTGATGGGTTGCGGGGAACCAAGCGGCGCCGGCGAGTGAGTGCCGGGTGGCTGACCATGTTCAATCTGCCCGTCCGGCGGTTGGGCCAACTGCTGATCTTGCAGGTGGCCGTGCTGTCGCGGGTGCTCCTCCTGTTGCGGTTGTAGTTGGTGTTGTTGAGGTACCTGCTGCTGGGCGCGGGGATCATCCGACTTCAAGAGCTCTGCTAGAGTGGGAGCAGGGTGCATTTTTCTTTCCGGTGCTGGTGCTGGGAGACGACCTCGCTACATCATAGGAGAGGTAACGAATTTCTCTTCGCCCAAAAAAAAATTGGCACTGGACGTCCGGCGGGCCTCGTAGCGGGAGAACGCCGATTCTGCGTGCGACCGCTGCCGGATTGCACACGACGGGACTCTCTGGCCTTCCGGAAATGCCCTCAGCTCAGGTTATCAAGGTCCTCGGCGCGGAGGTCTCGATGGAAATGTAGCGCGTAACGCCGCAAAAGTACCGTCCCGCAGTCCAGGTGCTTTGCAGGGTCCCGAGGACGACCCAAGGAGACGGGTAACCGAGGAACTTCCGGGGCAAACGGGGACAGCCAGACTGGTGGAATTCGTCTCAACTACGATCTTTCACACGAGGTCTGGGGTCTAGGCCTGAGGATAATCAACAAGATGGCCGGGACTTAAGAGTCTGGCACCTCCAGACCTGATCGCTTAATTTTTTGTCCAAGGCTACGGCGGTTCGCCACGTGGGCGTATCAACTATGTTGCTCATTTCCAAAACGATAGGGAAGAACTGTATGCATGTATTGTAGACCACCCCCCTTCCGTCTGCCACCCACCCCGGGCGCCAATCACTGTCGCTCGCCAGCCCAGGTGAGGTACCTAGGTCTAGGTCAATCCGGCTTGATGCGCGCGACAGCCTCAGAATAATCAATCTTTCCGCTGTGTCCCTATTCCTCCGGACAGGAAGAGTTTTGCCTCTGTGCACGTAGCCCCCGCCGACGACAAAGGACGCGCTGGATCCGCCCCGGTTCGACAGATCGGGCCATCCGTGGTCACAGTTTAATGCAGCATCCCGTCTCGACACAGGCCATGATGCTTTCTTTTGAAGCAAATCGATGCCTTACCTGCGGCCCCCGTGTCAATGCTCAGCCCCCCCAATCCTCTCTCAACTAGGCCTGGGCTGCAATGCCGCGTTTTCTGTCTGAGCGGTTTTCGGGCTCGGTAAAGATCGGTACGAGACCTGTCCCGGTGAACATGTTCACTTGGAGCTGCATGACTCTAGTCCTTCTCGGTGGAAAGGTGGAACCGCGGCAAGTCCGTGTCCAATTCCAACGACCACTGCAACGTAGTGCCGAGAAAGAAGACTCGCCTATTTGCCTACCACCTGCCTGTGGGGGTTGTGCGTCCTGGTTGCGAGGTGTCCCAGCCAGCGGTCCAATTATTGCATGGCAACTCGGCCCGAGGTGAACATCTTTAGCGCTTGTCTACACCGAATTCCCATTCAGGAACACCGTTGTCAAGACAGCAAGTTGTTACAGGGGGAAACGTAGAAAGAGGCCAGCATTTCCAAGTTCCACACAGCTCGATGCCAAGCGTCACTTTTAGATTGGGGCCTTTTGGGCAGAGCCCAGTCATCAACTATAACATAGTCTACAGCAACTCTTCTCTCAAGTTGAGTGACTATGCGCAGATCGTTGGGCTCTCATACGTAAGATTTAGGCGCTTGTAGGAGGGACTTCCCCATACGCGAGGTGTCATTGTGTGGTACGTTCACCCAAACTCGCCTGCACACTTCATAGGCGCAGGCACTTTCAGCCAATGGATTTTGTTGCCATGGTGCGAAGATGTCACGCGCTCTGCATACCCACGCGAGGGACTGGATGCCCGAGGGTTTTTGTTGATCTATGCCCGCCCGAGGAGTATTGTCGTTGGACATAAGAGGCCCTAGTCAGACATACGTGTTTCGTTCGTGTCAACGTTTACCTTCCTTGTGCAACATATAGTCCATCACAGTCTCGAGCGAGTCATGCGGCTGACACGTCGCCCATCAGGATCACAAGCAGGGTCTTTTCTCACCAGCATCTTCCCTAGACTGTTCGGTAGCCGCTGCGTTATTTACCACCCTAGATGCCGCTGATGAGCTCTCGCGGCCTCGCGTCGTTTTATACTTGGCGTCCTGCATCTTTTCCATGTTTGTACCTTGAGGGGTCTAAACACCTGGATTTGAAGGATATCTGGGACTATGTCTAATTATAAGCGCTAATAGACTGCGCGAGTGTTGCTTCTAGAGAGCTCTTTTCCGTCTTGGCCTTATCAGCATAGGTAGGAACAAGACCAATGATGGCATATGCTAGCGAATCAATGACACTCTCAGAACTCCGCAACGCCGCTGAGATAGTGACGCTGTACGGGGTCATGGATATGATGCCCTGTTTGCCAATTAGGGTGCTCAAAGATTGCTGGTGAACTTTAACAAACTAGATCGTTTGATTCAGTTTGTCTGTGTGGTCTGGCTCCATAAGAAGGGGAACTTACGGTCGTCAACGCTTCGTAGATCTTCTGCTGGTCGGCCTCTGAGAAAGGTGAGGACCCGGAGCTTTGACCCTTGGGGCTCTCCATGGCGTTGAGGCCGCTGACAAGTGCGCTGAGCTGGTCGATGATCTGGCCGAAGTTACCGACGACTTGCTATTATCCAGGCATGTAGAGTAAGTCATCAAGTCAAGACTTTCCCGATTGGCAGTCTGGGCTTACTGGTGTGGTTTGTTGGAGGTTAAACATGCTGATACCGGTTGCTATGTTATTGGTCTTGGAAGAGATATCTGTCACCTTGTCGATGCTGGTAGCAATCTCGCCCGCCTGGAGAGCCTGGCCAGCTGTCATAATGAAGGTGTCAACTTTGAAAGACTTATAAAAGAGTATTGGCTCAATCGTATATATCGAAAAGATGACGCACCAACGATGTGCAAGTACGGGACCTGTAGCTTCCCTTATATATAGCGAGCGGCCTTGCAATTGTCACTGCATCGAAACTATATATAGCTGCTTTTTCTAAACATTCCAGTCAGAAAGAGCCCGTTTGAGACAAGAAGCGGCATATGCCGCAATTCACGCATGTGGCTGATACCTGGGTGGTGGTAAGGAAAATCCAACACGATGGTTTAGTGGATCATTTGAGTGGTTAGTGCTGGATTGGCAACGTCCCTAGCACGGGTGTATGAGACATTGTGTAGGTCTCTTGAGCGATAAGCATGTCCCAGACTTGACACACACATCACACTTAGACCTCTCTCAGCTGAATGGGCAATTTTCATGCAGAGTATCTAGCTTGTGTAGACAGCATTTACGTCGCAAACAGTACCAAACCCGAAAAACTAAGGAGCAGTGACAAGTACAGTGTTCTCATCCGAACAGACCTCCTAGCTTTCTCGCAAGAGAAGTGTAATGATTTCTCTAAAGAGCATGGCAGGGTAAGAATGCGAAGGCATTTCAACGGTCTTGCCCTTGCGGTGTAGATTAGTCGTATTCGAAATGTTCTGCACCAAATAGCACTCAAACTGGTTCTACACGATTTTGTCTCTTATTTTTCTGAGTCATTCTCAACCATGCGCATGGGTGAAATTGAATTAACTATCGAGGAACGAATAGGTTACTCTCAGCCTACAACAGTGGTGCAGCACATGCCCATAGGTTGCGCCGTACCATTGTGGGCCATGGAACCCGTCAGAAGAGAGGCTTGCGGTCCTTCTGATTGCCTATAAGTGTTTCTGACAGCGAGCGCCAGCCAACGAGGACCCTTCCACTCTTGTACTTGGCTGAGAAGTCTAGTAATTGCTGTTCAATGAATTGCAACCAACGAAGCAACAATTCGAACCTGCGGTAGTCTCGTGATGTACCACGCTGCTCAGCAAGCCACCGGCGGTGGATTTGGCTGCCTAGATGTTGTGGCCAGTGGGCCAACTTCAGCTGGCCTTCCTACTCACAGTAAAAAACCAAAAAGATCATCGGCCATGTCTATAATGCCCATTAGTTGATTTCTGACATTGAACCTGTCGTAAATGTGTTTGACAAACGTTGCGCCAAATCAATGACGTCAGATGAAGCGCGTAGGGCTGCTCGGGGTCCTAGCCGAATGCGAAGCGCGCTGGCGGCCGGGACTAGAGTGACCCGGATCGTAGGATCTATTGAGATGTCCGCGCTGATTTTTCGATTCCAAAGCGACCGCCAAGGTCAAGTGGTTGTCGTTCTCGGAACTACAGTAAAAGGAATCCATTGAACATTTCTTTTTAAGCCGGCGCCGGTCTTCCGTTTTCAATAAACCAAGGTGCCGCCCTTGAATGACTGACGATTGGTTGCCAAACTGAGCCCGTTCCGGTGTCCCGTGTTTCAAACTGAAGATCACAGGCGTTACAAAGACAAGCAGCTCTAGCAGACTTAAATCCAGCATCATTGAACCTTCGACCAAGATGGCGGGCACCGTCTACGTGCTCGACGACTATTACCTGGCGATAACGCTGCTCATCACTGTTGCCTATCAGCTGATCTTCTTCTCGGTGGCCTTTACATTCAAGTTCGACAAGCTCACAGGTGGGTTGTATCAGCAGGTCCACGCTCCCGAGGTCAACACTGACAATTGCGAGAAGATTTTGCGGGAGGCACCAATTTCGTTGTATTAGCAATCATCACACTTGCCTTCAGTGGACACCATGGCGCGCGTCAGATCGTCGCGTCCCTCTTCATCATGGTCTGGGGCATCCGCTTGTCGGGCTTCCTCCTCTTCCGGATCCTGAAGACAGGGAAGGACGACCGATTTGACGACAAGCGCGACAAGTTCTTCCCCTTCCTCGGGTTCTGGGTGTTCCAGATGATCTGGGTCTGGACCGTATCGTTACCTGTCACGGTGCTGAACTCACCCAATGTGCAGCGGTATCCGCAGGTTCCCTTTGGCACGGGTCGGGACATTGCGGGCATCATACTGTTCGCCATCGGCTTCATCATGGAGAGTGTGAGCGACGTGCAGAAGTTCATTTTCCGCCAGCGGAATGACAAGACTGCCATTTGTGACAAGGGATTCTTTTACTTCTCGCGGCATCCAAATTATTTCGGCGAGATCATTATCCAGTTCGGTAAGTCAAGTCCAAGATCTAATGAGGAATCATAAATGCTCACCAATGTAGCGATCTACATGATAGCGGTTTCTGCCGCCGCAGACGGGTATGTTGGGGGCCAAGCTTTCAAAGCACTTTATGCCACGATATTCGGCCCATTTTTTCTGACCATCCTCCTGATGTTTGTCTCTGGGCTCCCATTGTCCGAGAGACCCGGAGCCAAGAAGCGGTATGAGAAAGGCATGAACTGGGAGGGTTACAAGAAGTACCTGGAGAGGACGAGCATCCTGATTCCGTTCCCTCCCCAAATTTATGGGCGGTTGCCGGTAATTCTCAAAAGAACCCTATTCCTCGAGTTTCCTATGTATGTATTTGATCCTGCGAAACATGCGGATGGCGCAACAGGACAGCGTTCCGCTGAGGAAGGCCAGGGCGCGGGTGGTGCTCGACAAAGTGGGGAGCAACTGACCGGAGCCCACTGATACGGGGTTGGAATCAGAGACATACACCAAGGCTCAACTCTAATTAATGTGAATAGTTCCTTTAAACTCGACACAACTATCGTTTCTTGAAGAATGCACGGACGTCTTTTTAAATACCAATCTCAGAAGTCCTGTAGTGTCCACGACGCCCCTTCCAACTAGATGACTCCTCGTTATACTGGCCCACTCAATTCACACGCACCTCTGACAGACCCTAGTTGAGCCACCTCACTGACAGGCTTCGGCGCAGGAAACCCTCCACTACCTGTCAAGACACCTGGCTGATCGTGATCCATCGGTTGATCCAATGTCTCTTGCGTGCTTGAATATTCGGAATCTGTGGGCTCCTCGGAATAGGTCTCCGATCCCTCGGGAATGGGGACCATGGCTGATTTCGTCCAGATGTGAATCGCGCCCTTCCAATCCAGGCCATCGATGCAGCCCCCCTTCACTGATACTACATTTTTCTCCTGCTTGGCGTTAGCTGTGTACATCATGAGACCACAGTTCGCTCACAGCAGTGGTATGCAGCAATCTGGTTCCGCATATCCGACAAAAGTAGCTTCAAGAGATTAGTTATACGTATAACGAAGTTGGGCAGCTTGTGTACCCACCAGTTCAGATTATGGCCACTCGGAGTTGGGCGGCTGGTATTGTTCGTCAGCGGTTGAGTGTTTAATGCGCTTGGGAAAGGGCAACTTGCGAATAGCAGGCCAGATCCGGGTGCTTTGGCAAGGGGAATTTGGGAAATATGGCTGAAGTTCCAAAGGCAGAGCTCGTCTGCCTCCTACACTCTGCACAGTGGCAGATGTACCTATCCAACATTGAGCGTGTCAGCCATTGATAATCACACAACTGGAGATAGTATATTAACTGACAGAGCAAGCGGCTTTGGTGACGGCGTCAGAAACTTGACTGCCCCGCATTGACAACGAGCTTCCATGGTGGCGAGTGTATAAGCGACAACACCAATTGCTGTATATCCCAAAATCTAGGGAAAGGAATGCAGAGGCCAAGTATTCCTATTCTACAAGATCAGATCATCGAACTTTTAAATACCGGGTAGCGCTCAACCTATCCCAAGCTTGCTCAACTGCCCAGGGGAGGCTATGCCTCTTCCAGACGTCAGCCTATGCAAGGTCGGTTCTCCGCAATCGCAAAAAGCGTGTGAAACAGGGACCCGCGCCTGAGTCACCGGCAGCGCGAAGTCACATGCACTGGCGTCACCCCTGCTTCCCAACTGCAATATGCGGTTATCTCATTCATGCAAGCCCTTTTTAGTCAGGACGCGACGTAATCTTGACGCGAAATGGTGCCCGAAGGAGAGTTTGTGCACCGAGCTGAAGAAAGGGACGCTATCTTGTTACCCCGAGTCGGGTCGGACACATTTCGGATTTGCCTGGCCAAGCAATTCCGCACCAGGAGCCTGCTGCAGAGTTGGCGCCATGGAAACCCTCGACTCGCTTGTAGATACCTATGGGAGAAATGAGCAGCGCCGTAGGGCTGCTGGGGCTTTAAAAGTTGAGTTGCTTTTGGTGGTGACTAAAGGGTAGCAACCAATCATTCGTCTTCTTCTACATTTTTCAGCTAGCCAGCCTTTTGGTTGTACACCGCTGGAAGCCGACGGCAGTTATATGTACGTGTTGCATATCAATAGCAACAGCCAATTGATTGGAATGAGTTGTATATGTACGCCGAGCCTACGACCGGAGCGTGACGTCAAGGTATATAAAATTCAAGGAGGCAGCACTCCGATGTCGTAGATCCTACGATAGCTCAAAGTCATGATAGTTCACCTCTAACACTTAGGCATTCGGCTTACCAATAATGGGGATGCCTCTGTCACGCGCTGAAGTGCGCACGGTTTGTGGCAATCATAGTTGGATAGCATTCGTAGATACCAAACCTTTCCCCTCGGGCCGGCAGTCTCAAGGGGCGATAAAACAATCTGAAGTCGTGGTCGAATTCCGCAGGATCCTGCGATGTGGGAATATTTCCATCTGGCGTGGGGATATCGGGTCCGTGTACACTATTAGATAGATGTGGATACAAGAGCAAAACAGTCAAAACGGACTTATAACGGTGCACCACTCTTAGAGTCAGACTAGCAGTGTGGCTGAATGCTCCGATGGGCACGTATCAATTTAACAGTTTCTAACGAAGGGAGTAATAAAACATCTCATACAAAGGAGCGAATATTGGTCGACCAATTCAAAGAAAGTACGCGGAAGGAAACGAAGAGGCCTGAAATGGAGGTAATGTAGGGAGATCCACTCCAGCTCTCAGCACCATGTTCTCGGTACGCCCCAAATCAAACCAGTTACCAGCATGGCGGGGTTCGGTATGAGAGGTGAAGGAACGTCGCTCCTAAATCGCCAATCCACACAGCGGTGAAATCGTCGTATTGAGTTTAATTGACGTTGCTGCAGCAGTCTTGTCCGGGGAACAATGGATCCACCACACACAAGTTGTTGTTTCCGTTCTTGCAGACCCAGCCAGCCCCCTTGTCGGGGCAGTAATCTTCGAATCTGACGGAGACCTGGTCGCTGTTGCAGATAAAGGTAGAACCAAATTGATGCCCTTGCTGATTCGGCGGGAGTGCAGCATTAAGGCGCTGCTCCCAGACCTGCTGGACTGGTAACACAAAAGAAAGACGTGTTAGACCTCCGTGTCAGGTGGAAAACAGTATGGATGGACCACATACATGGGCCTCCATTAAGGAGGTTATATCCGCAGTATCTCATCCCGTTCTTACATTCGTTCGGGAATGCTGTGGCCTGCCCCAGAAGAAGAGCGGCGAGACCGACGGCGAATGCGTTGATTTGAACCATGTTGACGGGTGATAATGAGATACAATGGTAGGCGTTGGAACAAGTGACTTTGTTCTGCAAGATATTTCTGTTGTGACACAATAGTATCGTGAAAGCTGGAAAGGGGAACACTCACCCCCTTTATATACAAGTACGGCAATGTTTACCTCCGTCCCAAGAAGCAGAGTACGAAACCGGTCAGACTATCATTGTGAGTGCTACATGAATGTGATGGGTTTTCAGGACTGAATTCGCATTTCTGACCACCACCAACACAGGCTCAAGGTCAGCTGCGTACGCACTGTGCCCCTTTTCAAACAGCAACCATGGTTCCGTTCGCAGAGTGTTGCTATTCAGTTTGTGATATCTCAGTCGGATGTTGTTTACGCAATGTAAGCTTGCTAGTGCTGCGAAAGGGCCTCGAGCCACTACACCTTCTGTATATAAGGACAGTCAAAATGAAGATTTGTACCTATAGGCAAGTAATAGAGAAGCTAAAGATAGTCGTCGAAACTCTTGTTGTAAATCTCACCCTCGAAGGAGATCTCACTAGCTGGTACAAATCACTTGGACTTCCTGATTTCCACAACACAAGAGATCTTTGTATGACATCAGGTAAAAGACTGAAACATGTGCCACTGTTGTGACAGCCAGAGTTTAGCGACTTACCACACCTCTCTTACGTTCAGCCTTTTTCTCACCGCCAAGAAAAGCCCTGCGTGGACTCGACAGCGTGTTGTCCGCTCAGCCTTCTAGAATGATTCTAGAGGCTGTCCTCCACAGTCAACTTAGAGCCGACCCGATTGGTCCTATACCACGGACCGGAGTTTCGGCGCATCGGCCGAGAGTACAATCATCTTATAACCGCAATCAGGAGTGAATCTCAGAGATACCTGGATAGTTTTACGTAAACTTGTTGCTTGGTGGCTTTGGTGGCGGCGTTCGGCCGTGTGGTAATACTGACTGAACACTCCTTGGCAAAGGAACAGGCGAAGAGCAGGAAACTGTTCTTTGTTTCGCTATGAGACGGCATGCGGAGGGTGACACATTAAGGCGTAGGAGTTGCTTCTGCCATTGTCCCCCATAAATCTTGGGTCTCGATCACGAAGCAGGGCTACCGTATTCGGAGAATCGTCAAATGCAGTGCAGTTGTATCTTGTTTTCCGAATTTATCTGCCTGGAACTATCCAAGTCTTTGGTACATCATGCCTGCATAGGGGCTCGGTCAGGTGATGGACTGTGTGCTGGGGCAACATGCCTGTATCGCCTGACCAGCGCGGCCGCGTTGCCATTCTTGGCTACGAAAATACGTAGTACCAATTATACCCTTGGCATGGTGCTCGCTATTTAGTTCTATATGGGTCTGACATCAGCATCGCTGGATTGGCAAGGCTGCAGGGTGTGGAATTGTGAGCGCTTGCATTTCCCATTGGTTGGAAGTCAGTAATCACTCGCATCTGATGTTCAATCAATGGAAGAAATGGCATATACTCACATGAACGCCACTGATTCGGTCATGGATTCATGCAGAACTGGGCCTCATTGGAAGGAATAATTGAAATTTGTCCGATGTCCACACGGTGCAACCTGTGGACACCAGCGATGATGGGAAACACGTCTACATAGGTGTAATGTAAGGGCACAATATCTCTTGCGTGGTTTCTCTTCTGGTATAGGTGTCACAAGAAAGGTATAAGTTACGGCAAACTTGCTTTCCTCTTTGTGATACCTGTTGCAATTTTACCTGGCATTTACCTTGGCTGACTGCCGTAAACATGAGACCATGCTGTTCAGATCGTCCAAATTTTTCCCTCCATGGGTCTTTTTAACGCCGAAGTCATTCCCTAGTCTTCATTACCCATGCACCCACGCCGAATGAACTCGCCTCATCGAGACCTAGAAGTCAGCAAAGATCCGAAGCGTCCAACGCACAAGATGAGCCACCGCGCAGAGGTGGCTTGGGAGAGATGAATGGCGAGCCCAGCTCGAGTTCGCTCACGTCACTGTTGTTATGCCTGCGATGGCGGACACGCCGTTGGCCGAGGGTCGACGAGATATTCCCCGCGAACCTGGGCTGTATGAAGTTTTCGTCGGCTCGATCCAGCAGGAGGATGGGGACGTAAATGATGCCGATGAGGATGAAGCCGAAGGCCGAGGCCGAGACGCGGAGGAAGGAGAGCAGCGTCATGCGCGCCACGTCTCGGACCTGGGCGGTGGAGAGAGTCACGACGGCGAAGAGGCCGATGAGCGTGAGCAGGAGCGAGCAGGCGAAGTACTCCATGGTGTCGACGAGAGTCTCCGGCGCCATGTTGCGAATGCTGTTATATCAAGCAGGTGGGTTGCACCTCTGACACGTAGGCTGCCAAAATATTCACTTGGTTTCGGGTTCTTGTTTGAAGTGTCAGTGAATCTCGATCTTTTGGTGGCGTCGTCGAAGCTGAAGCCGGCATGTCCTGTCGTGGCTAGTGTTGCTGTGCGCCGCAGGGTACAACGCTCAAGATGAAGATCAATGGTCACCGTCCCCCGCCGTCGACGTGTCACGGTGACACAAGCTGGTTTCGATGATGAATTACCGAGTGGTCCGGTATGATTCTCAAACTTCGATCAGGATAGTAATCGGTGGAAGAGGCGGGTGTGAGTTCGGACGGCACCGATTCGCAAAAAGTCCTCAGATGCCTGGAAACAACCCCCATTGACGTATGGCAGAGAAGGTGAAAGAAATTGCTACGGAATTAAGAACAGGCGCGAGAAAGGAAGGTTCATCCGACTCGAGCGTTTCGAGCGTTTCGGTTCGACGAGATGGGAATGAGATGTTGCCTTGAGTTGCCCCGTGCCGCAGGCCACGCCCATTTTATAAAATCTAGATCCAGGTCCAGATCCATACCCTCTATATTCACCCAACAAAATCCCAATATTCACGCTTGCTTAGTCGCATCTCGCTCAACACAAATGACCCTGATCCGTGCCGCTGCTTCCGGGTTCTCATTTAGAGCTTCCTCCAGGCCGGCGCACCACGCGATCTTCCGCGCATTATCCCAGTCCGGTGCCACCAGCTCAACCTCCAGGCGCCGCAGCTTGCTCATAGACCGCAACCCGTCCTGCACCCACGGCTGTAGCTCGCCATCGCCATCTCTGGCCTCCGGGACCACCGTGACTTTCCCGGGTATCGTGGACCGTTGTTTAGAGGAATCGCCGCCACCGCTGTTGCTGCCCAGGATCTTCAGCCTGAGGCCGTGCAGCCCCCTGGCCCAGAACGCGCATAACTCCTGCCACTCTACTGCATAGGAGGCAGAGAGATCCCGGGCGAGCAATTCCAGCCTGGCATACCGCATGGCGTCCCGCTGCCACGGCCGCAGGCCTTTGATGAAGGACCGGGCTGCCCAGAGACCCGAGGTGAACCAGTTGACAAACACGAACTCGTTGGTTGCCAAGGGCAGCTCGCGGATCTCGTGGTAGATCTGCTTGTTTGCCCTCAGGAGCGCCGATGGAACACCCGCAAAGGGGCGATGCGGAGACAGCAAAGGTACCACCGCCCCCTGGCTGACCTCGGTGCTAATGATATGCTCCTTCGGCTCTACATCAACTCCACCGCAATATTCCTCGCTAGCCGTCGGTTCTGGACGGACAACTTTCAAGAAGTAGCTGTCGTACCTAGGTACAGGATACGACGGCATCAGTTGTGTTTGCTTCACTGGGTGCTCTCGATAAACCCAGCCGTATATCTCCAGTCGTATCTCTAAAGGGAGGTGCAGAATGGGAAACATCCCAGTGTTTCTCTGCTTGTGGCTTTCGACCGGCTCATCTAGGCTGATCGCATCTGTTTCGTAATCTGACCACCCATCGCACAATAAAACATCCGTCTGCAAGACCGTCTTGACGTCGAAAAGGTCTTTCGGATCCAGGTGTTTTGGCTTGAATGCATCAGTCATTGACATAGTGACCTGCTGGTGGTTGGTATCATTTTGGCACCACGGTACCACATTTCCATCGCAAAAGTAGTCATCGTCGAAAGGGTCTTCTTCAAACATAGTGAGAGACTCGAGTCATAACGTGCACCGTAAGCACGGCGGAGTAAACAAGACTTGTTTCGCAAGGGCTGAATACAAACCCCAGAAGCAGGGGAAACAGAGAAGAAGCAAAGCAAAATAATAAAAGTAAGAGAGTAGCAAGTCCTCGTACATGAGCGCCGCAGATGAACGGTCGGCGGTCACATATATCTCCTGTCAGCCTCTAGAGGTGAGTTAGGGGACTTCGGCACAACCACCGAGCCAATGAAGCCGAACCACACACCCTCCCCAGTCTTATGAGTCGACCGGCGAATGCAGGGTGCGGCACATCGCGCTGACTTGGCGACCAAGCGGCGCCCATCCACATGGGTCCCGTAACTACTATCGTGCGAAAGGCGGATCATGTCAGCTGACGGTGCATCTCTATCTCCCAAATCATTTCCTTGACTCTGTGTATAGAGACGCTAGCGGACGCAACCAAAGCACCGTGTTGGAGTAATCAATGACTTGGCAAGCAGACAAATACGCCGATCTGACACCGTCAACCTGTCTAACAAACCATGCGCTCTCCAGGACCAACATGCTTTTTTAAATCAAGTTTCCATGATCGGCTGCTATATCTTCAAGCGCTGTAGTTTTGGGAAAGTCCTCCAGACACCAAATGACTGACTCAAGCCAACAGCTCCATCACTTGGACTAGGATCGATCCAGCAATCCCGCCCGGCACCTGAGTCGGAAAGCTTCTATCGAGCGAGCCTCTAAATCTTGAGGCGGGTGGCATTCTTGATTAGCCCTGCGGCCGGCTTCCGCACTGAGATGTGGGCACTTGATGGGCTGCAGTCAGGGGTAGGCAAAACTGGAGATGACTGCACAGAAATTGGACCAAACACGCGAGTTTTTACGCATGAAGTGCGACTTTGTTGTGAATAAAATGCAAGATAGAGACTCTTAGGCAACTGCACCATATAGGAGGCTATCTTTGAATGATCTTGTTGCCTCCATAGCTATGCCCTCGATGGAAGTTGCCCCAACGTAGCCACTCTTAGTATATTGTCCAAGTTCAAGCCCTCGGTATGTTCAACGCCACCCGGATGACTGGCTTGGGTCTGAAGAGATGGCACAGCCGGGGGAGGTGGCGGGGGCCGATCCAGCATGACGATGTCGTCTTCGTCCTCCTGTTTGGCAGTCTCGGCGGCCTTGGCGGCGCCGCTGCCCTCCTGTTCCTCGTCTTCATCTTCCTCATCGTCATCCTCGTACTCCTCAAATTTGCGTCGCAGGCCAGTGCGCACGTTCTCGATGCCCAGGTCGAGCTCCTCGGCCGTGAAGTCCTCGGGAAACTCCTCCTCGATGAACTTGCCGGCGCGCCTGCCGATCCACGCGTCAATGGCCTCCCAGCGCAGGTTCATGGGCAGCGTGTTCTCGTCGTCGTCGTCGGCGTCGTCCCCCGTGCTCTGCGTGACCCCGTCCACGGTGATCAGGTCGTCCTTGTTCTCGAGGTACGTCCTGCGGCCCTCGTCCATGGCGTTGGCGACGTCGGGCTCGGGCTTCTTGCGCAGCAGCTGCAGAAGGATGTTCTCCTGGGTGCGGCCCGGGAAGTTGGTCGAGGGGTGCACGGCGAGCCGCGTGAACAGCTCGTTGTGCTGCGTCGTGATGGTGAGCAGCGAGCGCATGTTCTGCTGCAGGATGTCGGCCGAGGCTTGTAGAGACTCGCTAATTGTTTGTGCATGTCGTTAGCCATCGGGTCGAGCACGAGGTGAGTTGCATGGTGCCGCGCATCGAGGGAGGCAGGCAGCCTTGACCTAAGAGCGTCTGCATCATGCGGGGTGGTGCTTACAGGTTCGGTAACGGATTGCTGTTGATCACGTCGGACTTCAGGCTCCCGATGCTGTTGGAGAGCTGGAACAGGCGCTGGCGCGTCTGCTCGACGGCCTTGAGCTCCTCTTGGGTCAAGCTCAGCGACGCCATCGTGCGTTTCGTCGTAATCGAGGGCCAGAGTCGAGCGGTGGATTTGGCGCGGCTGATGGCGTTGAGCTGCAGGCAGCTTCAGAGAGCTGTACGAAGAACAGCGGCCGGCTGGGCGTGAATAACGTGCGTCGTGGACTTGCGCGGCTTCTGGAATGAAGTTGGTATGAGTGCCAATTATTTGTCGTTCGAGTTGCGACGTTCAGCTACAGGAAAAGGGATCGACGTCCAATGAAGCCCAGGGTGGGGGCCGTGGACTTCGGGGTCGGCCGTTAGCACGCGCTCTTACCGTACGCCTAACCACGATACTATTGCCCATCTGCATCTCTTCGCCAGGGGGTCCCATAGTTGGGGGTTTCATTGCATCAAGCTCACAACGCAACATGGGTATGTCGATTGTCTCAATGCAACATTCTTCTTCTAAATTACTGCGCCAATACGATATGTTTGAGTTTTGTCAATTCAGTCTCAGGCTACCTAATCATAATCATTCTTGCTAGTAGCCAAATAGGCTGCCAAGGTATCTTCAACGTGTACGCTCAGCAATGCCAAATAAATCGCCAGACACCAGATCATTCTCAAGACTCCTAGTAAAACAGCCAGCCCGTCATCGAAGCTTAGAAACATATCCCCCCTTGTGAAAACTCCAATGTAAATGCGGTTCGTTATAAGTATTCAAATCCCAAGGCTCGGTTTATTGGTTGTGCGAACCGGCCTGGTCGTACGTGATGACGTTGCCAGTCTCACGGCCGTATTTATCAACGGCCGGGAAGCGAGCCTTGCGCTCGAGGTCATCCAGTGGCAAGAAGGAGCGGATGTATCTATCATGCAATTAGTACACATCGGTCAATCAATCAGGGAGCGCCTAGGGACTTACTTTGCTGTTCCATCTTCATGGGTTGCCGGGTTGAAATCCCAGCTGTCAAACCGGCCAATCTTCAACGCGTCCCATACGACTCTGCGCTTACGCTGAGACAGAAGAACCTCGTCCGTGATGGCCTGGAAGTCCCACCGGGCCTTGGCCTCCGTCTCGAACTTGATGAACTTGAGCTTCGCCTCTTCCTCCTCGGGAGTCAAGTCCTCCTGGTTGGCCAGCTTCGCGAGGTTGACCAGTTCAAGGGGGTCCTGTTCCAAGTTGAACAGCTGTGGCTCGTCCTTGGGACAGGTGATGTACTTCCATGGTCCGCGGCGGATCATCATGAGAGGGCTGTTGGTACCCTCGCCTGTGTACTCGGCAATCACGGTATCGTGTCCCTCACGACCTTCCAGGTGTGGCAGCATAGAGATTCCATCCATGGGCAAACCAGGTGCTGGCTTCGTGCCAACCAGGTCGCAGAGTGTCGGCAGGATGTCCAAGGTCGAGACATTCTGCTTAACGCGGTGAGGCTCGAACCGGCTGGGGTCCGAGATCAGGAGCGGCACTCGCGCCGAGCCCTCAAAGTAGTTCATCTTGTACCAAAGCCCTCGCTCGCCCAGCATATCACCGTGATCACCGCTGAAGACGATAATCGTGTTCTTGTCCAGACGGCACTGCTTCAGGGTCTGCAGCAACCGGCCAATGCAGTCATCGACATAACTGACGGCACCGTAGTAAGCCCGTCGCGCGCGCTTGATCTGCTCGTCTGTGAAGTTCTCGTCCCACAGGTCGCAAACCTTCATCAGGCGCTTGCTGTGTGCATCCTGCTCTTCCTTGGGGATGGACACCTTGGGCAGATCAATGTCGACGCCCTCGTAGAGATCCCAGTATTTCTCCTCAATCGTATACGGGTCGTGAGGGTGTGTGAGGGAGACAGTCAAGGCGAATGGCCGCTTGTTGGGGCCTTCGCGGACCTGATCATACAGGAACTGTGTCGACTTGTACATGACCTCCTCATCGTAGTCAAGCTGGTTGCTCCTGACACATGTGCCGGCCTGCAGGATAGAGCTGGCATTGTGGTACCACTCCAGGCGCCTGTCCGGCTCGTCCCAGTTGACTGCCCAGCCAAAATCTCCAGGGTAGATGTCTGCCGTGAGACGAGTCTCGTAACCGTGGAGCTGGTCTCCCACAAAGTGCATCTTGCCGGCCAATGATGTGTGGTAGCCCTTGGCTCTCAGATAGTGCGCATACGTCGGCCAGTCACTTGAGATCTGCGAGGCGTTATCGTACGCGCCGATCTTCATGGGCAGTAACCCCGTTATCAAGCTCATGCGCGAGGGAGCACAGAGGGGTGAGGGGCAGTAGGCAGAGTCAAACTGGACGGACTTGGCCGCCAGGGCATCGAGGTTCGGGGTCTTGATCTGGGACTCTGGGTTGTACATCTTCAGCAGCGGGGCTGCTAGCTGATCTGCCATGATGAAGAGGATGTTGGGCTGGTTGGGGTCTGCGGATGGCACCAGGGACGGGGCACCCGCCGTCTGGCGGGTGCTGTTGACCGGAGTGACATGCGGCGACGAAGGCATCGAGTTCAAATCGGGCGCCATGATGAGAGGGTATCAAACAGGCAGAGCGTAGACGGAGAGAGAGAGAGGTAGAGAACTGGAATGGGTGTAGGAGCTAGAGGCTGGGTAATAGATATCGAGGGACCCGGAGGTTTTATGACTCGACAACACACGCAACGATGACCCAAGGAGTGTTCGCGTGTCTACCTTGGGAGACGTAGATAACAGCTATGACAAACCAGATGACGGCTTACCGGACGGATTACCTTGAGACGGGCCTCGGGAGGGACCGTGTATTCACGCTATCAGGCGAACTGAGGCAGGAGGGAAGAGCAGATCAGTCTGGCGCGAGAGGGGAGGGAAATGGCGAAATATCACGTTAGCTCTCATGGACACCGCTTATTCATTAGCTCCAATCTGTCAGTCGTGCCAATTTTGATAACACGACCCCGTCGACAGCGACTCACTTGCTATGTAAGGTCTGCGGCTTTACTCGATTCCGCTAAGCGCCATTGGACCCTTGGGACTATGGAACGAATTTAGAAGGCCAATGGGCCCAATCGAGGCCCTGCTCTCGTGCTCCCCTTGCATGAAAAAGCCGATGAACGGAGATCATGACCCTGGAGGGTCCGTTCCCTGGGCCACTCAACGTGACCCCAGGGTCCGAATAGGAAAGTCGGGCTTCAGGTAGAGGACCCCTACTGTCAGAGCCGTGACGGAATGCTGATCCCCATCCTTCAGCTGGCACGAGGGCGAATTGTTGCGACACGCAGCCCATTTGCAGTGACAGCAAGGCAGAGGGGGGAACTCGACCCGTCGTGAAAAGCTTCCCTGGCCTGGCAGGCCTGGAATGTCGAGCCGCTCCCTCGTCCGCATCGATCGCACTCGATTGCACAGCTCTAGCCTGAATTGAGCTGATGCAATGAGGCTAAGGCATCACGAAATCTGGGGAAGCCCCTGCGTCGATGACGGGTAGCTCGTGTGTAACCCCAGTTTTCCCGGATGACGACAGACAAGTTGGGGATGTCGCAATTTTTAGGGCGTCCTGGGGGGCTCTGCCCTAGACAGTTCGGACGTCGGTGAGTTTCACCGTAGACGGCAGGCGTGCCTAGATTGTAAAGTCATAATGAGGAAAACCGTGTGGAAAGTAACCTCGTTATCGCTACTGAGCTGTAGGTTTGGGCTTCACTGCGTTAGGGCGTGGGTGATAGTTGAAAGAGGAATGTTGCGTTCAGCTGAAGCCGTTCCGAGGCACACAGCAGGTGGTAACTACAGCCCAGGCGGCCCCGGGACAGCCTGAAAACATTCGGAGATTTCAGCCTTCCGACGTTTCAACGTCTGTGCATGAAATGGGGCTGCCCCCTAGTTCCGCGCTGCCGACTATGTAAGCCGTGATTCTGACATGTAACCCCGGCATATTCGTAGCCCTGGGAGGTTATGCCTAGGGTTCCCATTGGGTGAGGCGTTGATGGTTCTACAAGCTCGTCCCGGACGAGCCGGATTCGAATCAGAGTGCACGTCGCTAACCGTTGCTTGAACTCCCGTCCCTTTCCAGTACTCAATCTGATCATCTGATTACGAACGTGCCGTGTGAAGTTGTCCCTCATCAACTTGAGCCAAGTCCCACGCATAATCACTGTATTAAAGTTGCCATGTCGCCGTAGGGACATGGTCCTGTGTGTCTATATCAAAAGATGGAAGTGTGTTCCTGCCGTCCCACCGAGACAATCAAGAGCCCAAGGTTCCAGCTTAACCCCGACGGCGGGTAGTAGGGCCTTTACTCTTTGGCGTCGCGGTAGATGTGCCGGAGCTCGCGGGGCCCGCGGCCAATGGTGCTTCCTTCATCTTGCCCCGAGCCTTGGCTGAGGGCGCATTCCAGTAGTATACCATCTGCGCAGCCAGGACTAGGTTCAACGCGAAGCCAGCAATGAAGCCGTACAAGATTAGCTTGTCATCCACCTCTTGCAGTGTCGTGAAGATGCGGGAGAGCGAGCCGGCAAGGTAGTTGAAGACCTGCAACTTTGTTAGCGCACCGTATTTGGTAATCAATCTAGACTCCCAAGATTGGCCCCATGTATTCACCCAGATGGAGCCGGGGACTACAGGCGCAAGTTCTCACTGGGAATCTACTGCCAGGACTTACCGTGAATGCACTCAGCTGGCCAGTTCCGCCTTCTTGCCAGATGGCGAGGATCTGAGGGATCTTGCTGCCAACTCCCAGCACTCCAGCACCAGCCTGCAGCAAGCTCATCGTCTTCATATCGACCACGTTCTCGGTGAACAAGCTAAAGGCAGCGGCGGCAAGAGCGGCGACGAAGAGGGCGGCGGCGCTCGCCTTGCCGGAGTAGTTCAGGACGAGAACGGTGATGACGACGTTCTGGCCCATGATGAGGGCGGTCTCGCCAAAGGTGCTGAAGGGGAAGCCGTTGCGCACATTGTAGGCCAGGCTGATGAGGTAGGACGAGGTCTCGAGCAGGTAGGACAGGAAGCTGATGCCCGAGGCGGAGCGCGACTGCACGAGCTTGATGATCTGGGGCACCTTGACGATGGAGGAGGCGCCGATGATGCCGATGCCCAGGCCCTTGGAGATGGCCAGCTTGACGCACTCGGTGGCGGTCGGGTCGAGGTCGAGGATCAGCGTCTTGTAGCAGGTCTCGCCGATGATGGAGACACCGAGGTCGCGGATCGGCGCGGGAAGGTTGTTGGTTATGGGCTGCAGCGGCTGCAGGGCAGACTTGAGAGCGTCCATGGTGAAGCTGCTGTGTCGTCGGAGTTGAGCGGGCCTGGAGTACCAGCAAGAAATACGACAACGGTATGCTGTAGCGCAAGCTGAGCTCCGGGTCGACGACGCAAGATCAGTAATGGCCAGCGAGGCTTGAAGCTAGCGTGAAGATGGAGACCGAGAGCTGGCCCAGAAAATTATTGGACGTGATTTGCAGGGATCATGGAGTCGCTATGGGAATCCTGACTTTAGGGGTTCGCGCCAAGCATTCGGGACACGACCACCTACCGTGGGTACTGTGTAAGGTTGCACGGCGCACTGACCAGGCCCCAACTTCGAGGCCATCCATACACTCGGTGCCTTGAGGTTCGTGAAATATATCCAGTCTTGGCCACAAGCATAGATACTGCACTTTCACTTCCATGTCACAAGTCCTTATGTGGTGCCAAATTTTTTTATCTTGATGGCCATTACGCGGCCCGTCGCAATGCAGATTCATCAGTAGCTAGGTATCTGTTCCATTCCGCAATGTACATCACGCTCCTGGCTTGGCGAAACCCGAAGAGAAATACCATTTGTCAGTCCTGCGCAATCCCTTCTGAACACTCCACGGAAGTGTGTATACGGAGGTGATTAACAGACGCGCTCATCAGTAAAGCCCAAAATGCTCAATATTTGAGATCGTATGCGATCATGCACTGCCAGTCGGTTAAGCCAAATCGTTCCAAAGTCCAGGCCCACGTATTGGAGAACATTCTTGGGCAGATCGCAGTATATCACCTCGGAAGTGACGAGCCTATTGAGAACGACCCGTTGGCCTGGGTTCCAGGGTAGGCAAGGTGCCTGTGTGGATGTACTCAAACCTTGGCCTTCCTGCCCTTGACCTTTCTTCCCTTCTTCGGGCTTTTCTGTGGACTCTTCTTGAGCTCGGCAGCATCAAAGGCTTGAACAAGATCTAGGCAACCCTTCAGGTGTTCCAGGGGCTCCCAGGTGTTCTCAGAATCAGGGTAGTTGATCCATTTCACATGGTACAACTTTCGGCCATCGTCCTCGACCTTGGAATCGACCAGTTTTTCAACGTCGTAAACAAACTTTTTCCTGCCACGTCCATTGTTGCTTACGCGCCGAGAAATGCCCCTTTTGCCCTGAGCCGATGTTGGTGGCTCTTCGGCATAGCGTTGTGGCTTGTTCTAGGTCTTTGTCAGTTCTTTGCTCGCGTGGGATATGGAGGTGAAGACATACAGTCGCAAGGATCCCTGCCTTGGCGGATTCAGCTGCGGCTCGTACCGGTCGCGACGGTGTTGCGTTCTCCACGGCCGTCTCCGAAATTTCCGCCGTAGTGCTTCGCTTCTGCTTCTTTCTCTTCGCTGGCGTTGATGCTTCGGTGACAGGGACATTGGCACTATCTGTGGTTTTCTGTGCAGACTTGGAAGGGCGACCCCGGCCCCTACGACCAGACTGAAGGACAGCGTCCTCTGGCTTAGGATCTTCGGCAGCCTTGTTCTTGAGAGAAAGGCGACCCCGATGTTTTTTCTTCTTTGGAGTATCGACTTCATCGCCGTCATCGGCGATGGAAAGGCGGCCACGCTTCTTTGAGGCGGCTTTGAGGGCTTTGGGTGTACCCAAATCACCGCCCACGTTGCCTTGGAAAAAGTCGTTGCCGTCATCATCGGACTCGCCAAGACTGTCCATGCGGACAACTGTACGCCGCATTTTGTCCTTCTTAGACTCAACCTTGGGCTTGGATCCTAGCTTCCGTTAGCAACACATCGTGTCCGGCGGTGTGGATGGATACCTCTAGGAAAAGGACCTCTCGTACGATCAGTAGCTTTGCTCTTCTTAGACTTCTTGCTAGACTCGGGCTCGGGAAGTTGATCACGATCTGGGCCTCGCTGGACGCTGACAGAAGCGGCCTTGACCTTGTCGAATTTCTTGGCTGATCCAACCTTGGGCTGAAGATCTTCATCCGAGTCTTCCTCTGTCGTGCTCTCTTGATGCGCGTCTACCTCCTCATTATCGTTTCCCTCGAACCCATCATTCAAGAGGTTGTCTAAGGGGCTGTCGCCGAATGTTAGCCTCTGGAAGCGAAAATGCTACAGCCGGAAACTCACTCCGATCCCAATGGAAGGATTTCGGTCTGGCTGAAGGACTCCCACGGCGATGACATTGTATCGAAAGTGCTGCTTGCCTTGTTGTTGATTGCCGAGATGAAGCTGAAATCATTGTGAGCTTCAGATCGATACGGTGATGTTCACAGTTTGGTCACTTTGAGCTTAGGACAAGGAAACACGTACGTTATATGCTGTGACGACTCGTCAGATTGGTGACAAGGTGACGGATTAGGTCACAGAGAGGGTCGAAAGGTTCCGCAACAGAGTGTTTTTGCGTCGGGCAAAGAGGTAGTTGCCAAAGGATGAGATCAGTTTCAACAAGTGGGCTCGTAATGTGCATCTCCTGGGATGAATCAGCCAGCTCTGGAGCGCGTTGAACAACGGTTTGTATTTGACGTGGAGATTCCTTTGCTGACTTTTGTTGTTGGGTGAAGGAAAGACCGTCCCGGGACGTGCCCACCCTCTATTTAGATGCTTGAGACGTGGAGGTCGCGCTACGGACAATCACCGAGAAAACAATCAACTCCCCTGGACAAGGTGGGGCAACAAGTAAGATGATCAACAGCGCAAGAGCTTGTCGAGGTTATCCTTATGATTCTATGATGTTACCAGAGGTGAAAATGGAGCGTGGACCGCAGGAGGACTTGTGAGATCGCCAAGGCAATGTTCCTGTGGGCGACCGTCTTCGATGGTCGGTTTGCGGACGGGCCTGAACGTAGCTCGACTAGAAACGCTCTTGTCCTGGGCGACGTGGTTCGACCTCCACTGCTCACCCTCCTGGTGCCCTTGATCGTCTCTTAACTGGCTTGAATGTGGTATTGAAGGCTGGCTTCAAAGGAAGCCGCAAGCTCGCTGGGGATCAGGAGGCTTATGTACTTCATCTGCTTGTTCATTTATGAATGGCAATGTGAGAAGCCATCGTCAATTCACAGATCACGGTCATCAAAATCCGCTGGCTCTCTAGAGTCTACTTTAGGGTCCAACGCAGAATATACTTTCTGCAACATACGGCTTGGTTGTTGGAAAATCTTTGCATTCATGTATTTGCCTATGCAGCTGTCGCTTGTGTCTTCCTCGATGTAGAAGCCGGCCATGGGCAGTGGGGTCGGCGCCATACACATGAATGTGTCGAAGCTTCCCGACGTTTGTTTGTCCTGCGCCTATCCAAGATCTAAGCAAACATTGTCCAACGCATCATGGCTTGCAATAGATTAACCAAGTAAGTAGAATCTAGTCGACGTCGTCCTCGTAGTCATCGGGAAGCTCCTCGAACCGACCAGACTGCTGCGCAACCCGTACTGGGTTTTCCGCAGATATTATTCCATTGGCTCGCAGCCTGAAAGAATATTAGATTCAATCCCTTGAGTTTTGGGGCTTTCAACTTACCTCTCGAACAACACGAAGAGCCTCTCGGCCTCTCTCTCCTTCTCTTCGTCGGTCATCTCAGGAGCGGCCGGATGCCTTTCTGAATCTAGGAACTGGCCTGTGACAGGATTGACCGGCCGGCTGCCGGCATTGGCGAACGCCTCTTGGGCGTTTTGAGGTATAGGCAGATTTCTGTTGAAGAGAAAGCCAGACGCAAATCCATAGCCAACATTGTCAACGAACTTGGATGCGTCCTTGTCTGACATATCAAAAAGAAGTTCCGAGATGGCTTCACGTAGCTGTGGCGTTACCGGATTTGTCGAGTTTCGCAGGAGCCAAGATGCTAAGGTGACACTCTGCCCAAGGACCTCCTTGCGGTCGTTCTCGGTCGGCAGAAGCTGCGATCGAACAGACTCTCTAACATCCTCCGAGCCGTACTCATAAACAGCACGGATGACTCCGATCAAGGCTGTGACGGTGTTCTCCAAATCCTCGTTACTATATGACTTGCTGGAGCGGCGAAGTATATCAATGAGCCGCTCGGAAAGTGCGGTTGGCTCCGTTTGGGGATACAAGGAGCCCTGAATATCCTTGGCGCCAAGATCCAAATTCAACAGGGCGTTGACTAAGGAGACGACAGGGGGGTCAAGGGGCTTGCTTGTGTTATAAGTTCCTCTACACAACAGTGTGATGATGTGAGGAATAGCTGGAGTGAATGCAGACGTCTTGGTCTTGCAGTGATGAGACAGGTTGAAGAGTAGTTTCAAGGTTTCGATCAATGCCATTCCCTCCATTGGGTCGGTCACCGGCTTGGGCACACCTGCGTGTTTTGCATGCCGCTCCAGGTTTTTGCAGATGGTATCAGCCACTTGGTGCTTGTCAATGAGCTCCTCCAAATTCGCCTCAGCATAAGTTGTAAGAAAAATGATCCTAGAGACAAGGAATTCGTCATCACGATTGTCGTTCTTGAGTTGCTGGCAAGCTTTGGACTCATATCCCAGGTCAACAAATATCTGCCGGCTTTCAGGCTTGAGCAAAAGTGCATTGCAGAGACAGCGCAGGGCATTTCTGGATGTTGTACTGGAAGGGCTATTGAAAGCATGCCGTGTCAAAGTCTCGATTCCCTATGGGGTCGATGAGTAAGCTTGTGAGTGCCGACAGTCTTTGGGTTCGACGCATACCTCCTTGGCAAATATGGGATCCGCATTTTGAGGGTCTCTTCCGTAGATCTTTAACTCCTCTAGGGCAGCATCTCTTTCTGCCACGGGGGTTAGTTATACTGGGCACAGAACTTTAAGGCAAGAATACCCACGATGAGGTAGCAGACTGATAGTTTCCAAGTCTTTCGTCAACTTGCGCATGAGCTCGGTCACGGCAGCTAGCTTTTCTATATTTGCCTTTAGCTGTGAACAAGTGGACTGCAGGGCATTGCAGAATACCTGGCCCCCGAAGAGTGCCCATCGTCTGGGACATTTCGACGTGTACAACGTGGGGTTTTTCGTCGAAGCTAGTCCGGCGGACGTTTGACGAAGAAGAGGAAAACAACCTCTTGAGGCCGGATGGCCTCTCGCGACAGTTCTGGTGAGGCATTGTGAGAAAGAGCCACAACAGAAACGAGGGGACGGTTTTCGTGGGACATGGAGTAAGCTGATGGTGGGCGCGAGGCAAGAAGCAGATGGCAAATGACGGCCACGATTGCAGGCAAGGTGATCAAATCAAGGGAAGAGGAACGACTGGAGTTGAGGTGGAGAAGACGAGAAGGGAACAAGCTCAGCAACAGAGCCATGTAGTCATCTTGGGTGCTGCCATTTCCAAGCCACGATGACCGAAGTGGTGGTGATTCGCCCAGGGCCTTGAAGAGGCTAAAATGGCATCAAGCGGTAAAGTGGTTCAACCTTGGAAGGTGTTGACGTACCCTTGTTGGCCAAAAAAATTCCGTACCTCGCCGGGAGATGGATCTCAGCAAATAGGGGGTGAGCAGCCGCGGAGCTGGAATGAGGGCTGTGTCACGTTGATGAAGTAAAAGCTGACGAGCCTGTACAGGTGCTGGTACAAGACAATTCCGGCCGAATATGGCGAACTAACACAGCGGGATGCTGGAGATGAGGTTGGCGAAGTACTTGGGACGCAGGAGCGGTTAACCAGATGCGGCAACATGAAGCATGCAGCACCAATGCAAGCGTGACACAAGCCGTCTGTTCGAGTCTGACAGCACCTTGCAGCTGGGACTCCTCATCAAAAGCGGCCCCCCCTCACGTTTCGTTGGCTCGTTTCGGTAATCCAGCAGGACGACGTCTCTCGGGCAGACTTTCTTTCTCCGCATTGTGGCGCCGGGAGATGTGGGCTGCGGGCTGTGGCTGTGCAGACGCGAATTAAGCTGTTCGGTAGCGCGCGACGATTCGGCCCTGGCAGGCAATGGATGGGTAGATGCGATGCGATGCGACCGTCGGAAGTTGACAACCATCATACCGGATATATATGCTACACAGTGGCCCTTCGCATGGCATATGCTTGCAGAACAATGTAGGAGCTCCCGAATCTGAGCTTCGTCTGCTTACAACCCTGGGCCAGTCTACAGACATAGGGCAATCTGTAAGTTGCAGCGAACTTGACTCTGTACCTATTGCATCTTCAGAGCCCTTGCCCCGCTAGAATCGCGTGGCGCACGGCCCTGGGGGGTTTCTCTGGGGTTGGGAGGGTGCCAAGCGGTCGCCCCGTGGATCGCGACAGGGATTTAGCTATTAAGGTAGTCGGCCAAAAGGCGCGGTCTGGTAATTGAGAGACGCGCTGAACGCGTAGCACCGGGTTTTCTCATTTGACAGGGGGGGCCTAATCCAACGCATCTCGGGCTTCTTCGAGCCACTGCACTTGTCCTCTACTCGCCATGCTTGTATGACCACCAGGAGACGACTCTTTTGCGTTCGTTTGTTTTCACGTTTTGTCGTTGCTATCGATCACCCCAACACAGTCTGCTGCTTGCGACGCCGAGTACTGCCCCCTCAACGTCACATGAGCCTTGGTCCCTCCTGAGGACCCTCGAGCGGTGGGCTTGCAAGTCCTGGAGCGGTTGACTTGCCGTCATGGTGCCGCAGATAACTGTTTCCAGAGGTCTGGAGACACTACCTGCCCGACCGCCGACACCCCCGCGAGAGAAGACGGTTGACGTTACGAACCAGAAGCAGCTCCTGGCCCGCAAGTCGCTCGGCCCAAGACGGAGCCTCAGCACGCCGCCAGGCTACTCACCCGACTCATCCGACCTGTCCGATCCCTCATCGCGTAGGACCCGAAAGAAGGTTGGGTTTTCGACTCAAGCCGAGTACCGCGACGCTCCGTCCCTGCTTGAGAGTGTCACCAGACAGCCAACGCCAGTCTCGGCCTCTTCGACTGCGAGTCTCCCGAAACCGCTCAAGTCAATCCTCAAGCCCTCGCCTCCTGCCATTGCCAACCCGTTGGATCCGTGCGAGGGTGCCGACGAGGAGACCAGACATGCCAACATCGCCACAATGTTGGAATCGACGACCAAGCAACTGGCTGGGGCCGATCGGGCTTCCAAGCTGGACGCTTACATGATGCTCGTACGCGCCTTGAAGACGTCAAACAATCTGCCCGACCGGATTGCTCTGCAGGACAAAATGAGCCTGTTCACGCAATTCATACAGCGGGATATCACAACCAAGAACGCCGCCGGGGACCTCGACATGTCTTTGAGCAATCATGCCTCGACGCTGCTCATCACCTTCCTAAACTTCCCCGCCATTGCATCAACACTTCCCAATGACTTCGGCGTCTTCATGATTGACCACTGCATTCGGTCGTTTGAGGACGCCACCATTCCTAAGGATGTCGTGAGGCACCTTATGCAAGTCGTTGCCTCGCAAAATTTCCCTCCAAAGGTCATGACGGCCGACAGGGTCGGGCGGTTGGTGGCTTCGCTGCACAGGATTGAGGAGCACCTGACCGGAAAGAGCATTGTCATGTCTCGTATCCTAATCTACCGCCGGTTGATCAAGCAATCAAAGCCTCACATGACCACCCACTCGGATTGGCTGCTTGACCTCTTCTCGGATATGCTGAGCAGCGTCAAGGAGATTCGGGCGACGGCCATCGCCTTGGGTCTTGAGGCGAGTTTCGGCATTGGCAAAGAGAAACAACTGTCAAGGCGGGTCATGGAGATCCTCGACTTGGTGGCCGAGGAGAGGAAGTACATTGAGTATTACGTCGAGCGCTTGAAGGCTATGGCCTTATCGAAAGACAAGCACGAATCCTCAGCTGTACCCCAGATATGGAGTGTTGTCATTCTGCTTCTGAGATGCCCTGTGGACAGGTGGGAGTTCTTCGGTCCTTGGCTTGAGATTATTCAGCTATGCTTCAACAGCGGTGATCTACAGACAAAGTTCGAGGCCAACTATGCCTGGAACCGCTTGGTCTACTGTCTACAACTCAATGAACAATCTTCGCCCAAGACCATCGGCGTTGTATGTCAGCCATTCCTCACCCAGCTCAAACGGAGGAAATTGAATGAAGAGCTGCGCAAGGTGTGCTTTGGGAGTGTATGCAACCTGTACTACTACGCTTTCCGACCCAATACCAGCCCGAGTCACACGGACAACTTCTGGGACTCTTGCATTCCTCAGATAATTCAAGCCATGGTCGCCCCTGAAATGAACCCAAAAGGTGCAGAACAACCAGTCGCTGGCCCGCCTGACCACACCCACCAAGCCATCCTAATCTTGACGAGTCTGTTCAACTCGACAACGCCGAGAATATGGAAAGAGGATCATATTGCAGATTCTCCAATAGCGAGACCAGACGAGCTGCCGGCTCTGGACCCAAAATGGGTTCGGCGAAACGCTGCCAAGATCTTTGCCGTCATCGAGCCAATCCTCATGAAGACTTACTTGGATATCAGTAACCCCGGATCTCCCGTTGCTAAACTGTGGAAGGCCCTGATTACTGCTGTTGCCTCTGCTGCGAGTAAGGAGATCAAGGTATCGACAGATACAGCCGTGTTCATGGCACACATTTTCACCTTTCTCTTCCGTGTCTGGTCCCGAGGCCTCAGCGAGACTGGTGGTGGCGAAGAGGGTTCTCGCAGATTATTCGAGGCCACCCGCGTATTTCTCACAATGGTAATTGACTCAGTCGGCCTCCTTCCTTTCACCGAGAAGCAGCTTTCCATGGGTAAACAAAACACTTTCTTGCCCGTGGCGACGCCTTCTCACCGGCCAGGAAAGGGTCAAGGCGTCACCCGGACGCCTCTACACCATCTGTTTTCGATTCTGTCGTCCTTGCCTCCTGGTGCCGATGACAATGAGTGGTTAGCAGGACTGCTACGATCTGTTCTGTCTCCCTTTCTCACCCCCAAGTCTCCTCGAACCAAGGTTGACCTTGTGCATGAGCTTATGCAGTCTTTGCCGATGGATACTTTGGCGCCATACGGACCTTGGCTGGTAGTTTCGGAGGTTCTTTCTGAGTCTCTGGAAAGCAGCCAGTTGACCCATTCTTCCACTGGGTCTGGCAGCCTGCCTCCTGTCGGTCACGAATACAGAGAGATCGTTAAGCATCTCGACAGAGGACTGAGGTCAACACCAAAACTACCGTGGAAGCATTGGCAATCGCTATTCCAGGCTCTAGCCACGCGAGCAAGCGATGAGACAGGGGCTGCGGGTTGCGCTATTGCCATAATCGAGCCGTTGGCGAAGACGATACTGGATATCATTGCCAGTGACTCGGAGGCCAAGAACAGCATCAACCTGTTCCGATCTGGCATTGAATTGATCTCCAACTCCAGGCAGCCGCGAGATCGCCACGCCGTGGACGCCGCCCGTCTTCGTCTCTGGGGCACCTCCATCTCAGGATCAAGGTCGGCATCATTTGACACTTTTGACAATCTCTACCGACTTATCGATCAACTTCTCCATACCTCATACAACCACTTCAACGAATACGAAACCGGTGGAATCATTGTTCCCTTGATTACCGAGGTTGCCGGCTTTCTAACAAGATGTAACCAACTTTTGGTGTTCAAGACCTTGGTTCACCTGCAGAATGGCATCGGTATCTGGATCCAGGATACTGAAGGGCGGTACGGTAGCCGGCAGTCTCCCTCTGTTTCTGAAGCTGTAAGTTCTCAAGCCTAGTGATTAACACTCATAACTAATTAGTGCAGGTCAAAATGCTATGGGATCGGATTTGCAATATCTTCATCAAGGCCGATAACCTGGAACAGGTACAGTTAGATATGATCGAGCCGCTGTTATGCTCCGCGTTCGAGAGTAAGCATAGGCACACTGTCAATACCCTTGCGTCTCTGTGGAATAGCGCATTCGACCAAGCCGAGAAGATCGAATACCCGGCAAGACTGAAGTCTGTACTCCTCTCAGTACGGTCGTATGCATACATCGTCCTCCCAGGTCTTGATATTTCCAGCTATGGGGCCAGTAGACCGCAGCCGAGCTTTGTTGAATCCCAGGATGACCTGGATGTTCCCTCTACCAAGTCAAGTCGGAGAAACACGCCGCAGTCGGAGAGGCCATCCTCGTCCCGGCGATCCAACACTCCAGGATCTGGGAAGGTGTCAATCCCAAGCAAACGACGTTTAGAAAGCACACCAGACGTTCCCCGTTCCAAATCGGCACGCCGAAGCGCAACACCCCGACTGCGACATGATAATTCCCAAATCCAGTTCGCTGTGATTGCTTCGTCATCGCCAATTGGAAGTCTCGAATCCCAGGTATTGACCGAACGCCAAAAAGAAGTCCGAGAAAGACAGCAGCACAACGCTACCCTGTTCCCCAACATTCGACCTAGTGCTGATACCAACGATACGAGGCCTGAGGAACCTCGGGAGTCTTCTGGCGAGGACAGACCGGAGAAGGTGGCAACACCCAAGTCACATCGCAGTTTTGAGGATTATGTGTCATCAACACCAACTCCGCGACGAGGCCAAGCACCTCTGATCGAAGACAATGACCATGAGATGACTGATGATATCCCCTCTTCACCTCCTGATCCCCGCCGGTACCCGCTGGTTCCCGAGCTCAACAAGGCACACTCAAGTAGCAGCAGTGTGTTGGACGAGTACCAGTTCTTGTCCTCGCCACTCTCTGGTTCGCCGCGGCTCGGCCACCGAACAGCCGCCATCGACCGGAACATTGCTCCCGAACATCCACAGGAATCATCCGAGGATGGGGGCAGAGCAGAAACTGAGCCGACCAAGACGGCGCCCGAGGCAGCCGAGGTTTCGGAGGATGAAGGTGACCGCGCTGATATTGAGGACGACGTTCAAGGCCATCCCATGGCGCAAGACAAGGTTGAAGATATCTTGCCGCCTGCTGTCAAAGAACCAGTCACGCCTCCCCATGGCCGCGACCTCAAGGTGCAGGATACACCCAAATCGGACACTGAGGTCTTCGTCGATGCTCTTACCAGTCCAGCTCCCCGTACACCACGAGCCCAGCGAGCTCTCGCCAGAGCCTCACAAGCAGCGTCTATCACGACCACGAAGGCGTCTCAGCCCAAGGATCGCTCTTTTGACGCTTCCGATGTTGATGAGCGCAGTTTACTACGTCTAGTTGTTGAGCTCGATTCACGTAAATGCGAGCCTCTTTCAGCATACACCACAGAAGAGGCTGCCGCAGAGGAGGGCCCAAGTCAGATCGAGGAATCCCAATCTGGGGAGTCCCAGAATCCCGAGTCTCCAGTCCTCGATTGTATCACAGTCAATACTGGTTCCAGCAGACGCCGAGGCAGGTCGAGGAAGTCCAAATCTGGGCGATCGTCCTCACCTGTGATCCCATCGACGCCTGCCGACGCTAGCAACTCACAGGAACCCAACAGGCAAACCAAGAAGAAGCGCAAGAGAACTTCTGACAAGTCTCAAGAGCAGGGGTCCCAGGAGTCGCAGGAATCTAACGGCAAGAAGCGCAGGCACAGTCAAGAGCACGACGTAGACGTGGAGACTGTGCCTGACAGCCAGCTTCTGCCGGTCAACGACAGTAAGTCTCTTTTGCCACCTGCAGTGAGAAGAACACAACTGATCGTCTACCCAGATGCTTTGGTGGAGCAATCTCACGTCTCTGACGAAGAGCAACCGACAAGCTTCTCGCAAGAGTCCCCCATTGAGGGCCAGGAAAATAACGAAGAAGTGACGACTGAAACCGCCGATGTGGCTGTTGCCTACAGCCCCATGGATGAACGAGAAGCGGTGAACCTACAGATTGTGCAGGAAGCATCGCAGAGCGCCGAGGAGGAAGGGGATGCCCCAGTCGCCGAGCCTGCGATTGAGAATGCGGTGGACGAGGAAATGGAGCCTCGCGTCGATGAGCCTCACGCCACAGGCGTGGATGTTGCGGTGAAGGAAATACACCAGGAAGACGAGGGAGTCGACCAACAGGCTACAGCTGCGCCTGAAACAGCTGAGGAAGCTGTGCTGCCGCAGGCTGCACCTGAGAAGTCGTCGATGGAGAAGATCATGGACGCCTTGAGAGGTGGCTTGGCGGAGCTCCGCTCGGCAGCGCTGTCCAGACAGGAGGTCTATCAGGTGGAGGACATGTTCATGGATATCAAGCGAGAACTTTACGAGGCGGAAGCGCGAGGCCGCAGCTAGAGCATAGAGGAGGGCAGGGACGATGTACATTTGTTATTGGATGGCACATTGGAGTGGGCATACTGGATTCATGAAGCAGGCATTGTGTATCTGTACGAAACGGACGAGAAACCACATTGGCGCGGAGTTCTGGGCGACATGGCAAACAAACATGAATGATAATCAGCATAGAGAGTTTACTGCAGGGCGTGTGTCCCGAAGATACCCTTACCCTATACTTCCCACTTGCGTCGTTGTCTTGTAAGGTTGTGAATCGGGACCCTACAGATACAAATCTGTTTTATCGTGACTATTATGACCGTACTTGAGTCGGGCGCTCCGGTAAGCTTATACTACATATGCTTATGTAGGGTTTTTGACCTGGGACAGACTTGGCCTGAAACTAATGCTGAGCTACCTAGCTACCTAGGTACCCAGCCCGACCTTTCTCCCAGAACTGCATGGCAGGTAATCAATGCAGCTCCCAATCCCCAAGTGGTGCAGCCCTTCATTACATTAGCTCAACTTGCCACGTCTGCCTACAGTAGCTGGAAGGGAGGTGCCTAAGTTCGGCATTAGTTCGAACAGATGGCACGAACCTCGGTGAACCAGCCGACAGCAAGCAAACGGGGCAGCAGCCTGACTGCCTAAGTAAAGCCATGAATGAGGTGAGATGTACAGGGACAAGATGCAAAGGTTTTCTGTCTGCTGCGTGTTTCAGGTTATGCAGTGCCCACATGTGCAAGGAAGTAGAGAGCTGCTGCTGATGCACGTCAGTCACCAGGCAAGGTCCCACGGGGGCCTATCTGGCCATTGAGATGCTGCGACGGTGGAAAGAAGAGGTAGACCCCTCCAACTCGAGTCGATCCCGACGGGTTCAGGACCGTATTGGCGATGCGATGAAGACATGGGTATTGTCCACTATACGGTAGGGTCGTCTACATACTGTAGGCAACGCAACCCCATCGACGAGGCACCCTGAGGCCCGGTACATACGAACCCAGGGATATACCGAAAGGGTAGATCAGACAAAACCAGAGACCAGCAGCGGGCTGATAAACGGTCTGGATTTACCCCGCCATTGTGTGGGCGGCCAGCCGGGAGCTTGCCTGTGGAGCTGATCAAACGGACATCTATGTAAGCTCTCGGATCGCCTCACTAGGCAAGTTAGCTCACAAATAGGGCACCCAAGGTCGTACTGGACAAGAATATACCTAGGTGTATATATTGAGTAGGCAATGCCCATCGTCTGCAGGGAGATGGGAAAAGGATAGATTTCCCACGTTCCGTTTTCCTTGGTGATACTCCACCATTGCTGTGTTTCCTCATTCCACCAGATCGCCACCAGCAACGCCCTGCAACCTTCTGCAACCCCCCTGGCCAGCCAGCCAGACAGACAGACAGACAGACAGACAGACGAGGACAGGGACAGGGAGTGTGACCTACAAGAACAACAGCTCCAGCACCCCGCCGCCGAACGTCTCAAACACCAAATACAAAACAACCCCGCCATCGTCATACTTGAGCCTGCTATCGCATCGTCGGACCTTCTGACGTGAAACAACACAGAGAAGCAACAAGCTCCGTGCCTCTATCTTCATTCCCACCTTCTGATCGACCGCCGACTCGTAATCCTAATTCCCACCGCGACCCGACCACACTTTGCCAATCCCCTTCCATCTCCGTCCCGCCATCATCCGCCCATCCCACCCACAAGAACGCAAAGATGGTTGACCGCCCCAACAAGCCCGCCGCCCTGGCCACCACGCCCGGCCTGCCCCCGCAAGCCCAGGTCAACATCACCCACGACAACAGCCGCGTGAACGCCGTCCTGCCCTCGGGAGAGAGCATTGAGGTGCTTCTGTACGGCGCCACCGTCACCAGCTGGAAGGACCGCGCCGGCAACGAGCGCCTGTGGTTGTCTGATGCCGCCAAGCTCGACGGCAGCAAGGCCGTCCGGGGTGGCATCCCCTTGGTTTTCCCTGTAAGATAATCATCTGTCGTCTGGCTCTCACACGAGAGAGATACCACGATTTGGATCTCTACTCTAAAGTCGGAACCGGCCACTTTGGGACTACTTATGTGCTGACTCTATATGCCCCTCCCTAGGTCTTTGGCACTGCACCCGACCACGCCGCAACATCCAAGCTCCCCCAGCACGGCTTTGCGCGCACGTCGATCTGGGAGTTCATGGGGAGCTCGACCTCGGAATCCACCGGCAAGTCCGACAACTCAGTCAAGCTGGACTTTGGTCTCAGCCAGTCCAACCTGACCGACGAGTCCAAGAAGCTGTGGCCGCACCCCTTCTCGCTGCAGTACAGCGTCACCCTCACCCCGGACAGCCTGGGCACCGGCATGGTCATCACGAACCAGGGCGACCAGCCCTTCGAGGCCCAGCTCCTCATGCACACCTACCTGCGCGTCAAGGACATCACCAAGGTCTCGGTGACGGGTCTCGAGGAGTCTGACTACGTCGACAAGGTGGACGCCGCCAAGACCAAGAAGCAGTCGGGCACCGTCACCATCTCGGGCGAGACGGACCGCGTCTACACGCCGGCCAAGGGGCCCTCGCATCCCGTCGTCGTCTCCGAGGGCGGCGCAGCCACGTTCACCGTGGTGCGGGATAACCTGGACGACGTCGTGGTGTGGAACCCCTGGATTGAGAAGGCCGCCGGTATGGGCGACTTTGAGCCCAAGGACGGCTACAAGAACATGATCTGCATCGAGGCCGGCGCAGTCAAGGGATGGCAGAAGCTGGAGGCCGGTGATGCCTTTGAGGGCGCCCAAGTCATCTCGGTCTGACTGGAAGGCACCGAAGTCAAGAGAGGCAAGCTCTAGGCGCAGGGGTTCACGTAAGGGGTTGCCAAAGAACAGATGACTTAGAGCGAGGTCATAAGAAGAATGAGGCCAGAAAGAGTCTAGTCATGAGAGATACTCGGGAGAGAAGCGTATCTAGACACAGGACATCAAGTTCGACCATACCCCCTAGCAATAAAACCACACGCAACCAACGAGAAACATTGCAAAGCACTCTGCGTTTCCTCCTTGTTTCTCATGAAGTAGAACGTTGACAAATAAGGTACGCAGTCCGAGATCCGATGAAGCCACTTGACCAATAGTCTGCCGCTTGACAGAGAAGCAATAGTATACCGCTTGAACAAGAAGTATCAAAGTCGAATAGATCCAACGGGCCGGAGGACCATGCAATAAGGGGTTTCGGTACGGCCATTGATCGTGTCCATTCACCCAAACGCCTCCGTCCGCCCCCTGACCTCATCAAACCCCAGATACGCGGCTTCGACCAGGATCCAAGCCCCGTCACCATCCCCATCCGCCTCCCTCCTCCCCCGACTACCGGCCCCCTTCCGGCCTCCAGCACCCCGGGCCGGCACGTGCAGGACGTCGCTGTGCCCGCAGTTGCACCGCCGGTCCGCGCCCGCCGTGCTGCTCCTCGCCCCGGCCCCCGGTAGTTGCCGCCCGTCGTAGTCGGCGCACCCGCACCCGTCCCCCTGGCACCGCGCCACCTGGCTCAGGTACCTCTTGCGCACCAGCGACGCGTCCCGGTGGCCCAGCGCCGCGTACATCCTCTGGTCCCAGTTCACGTACCGCAGCAGCAGCTTGCTGACGGCGGGCCCGCCGTTCGCGTGCGAGGACGCCGGGTGCCGGCAGTAGCACAGCTCCAGGGCGTTTCCGTCTTCGTCTGTTTCGCGCTGGTGCTTCTCGTCCGCCTCCGCCCTGTCTCGGTCCGTGGACCCTGGTCGCTGGCGAAGTGTGGTAGCCGAGTCGTAGTCGAAACAGCCGCACTTCTCGCTGCAGGCCCTGAGTTCAGTGAGGCGAGTCTTGGAGCGGCCGGAGGGGTCGCGGTGTTGTTGCTTTGCGTAGTATCTCTGCAGCGTCTGGGCCGAAAGGAGCAGAGCCATGGACTCCTCCGTAATGGTATAGGCTCTACGAGTGTCAACGGCCGGCGCCTGCAAGCGCCGTTTGCGCTTCCCTTTGCCCTTGCCCTTGCCTTCTTCCCGGGTCGACCCTATATCCAGTTGCCTCTCGCTTTGCACATATTTCAATGCTTGTCGGATCTGAGACTTGGTCATGGGTGAGATGGAGGCGCTGCCCATGTGCTGGCGCATGCGGTGCAGATACGTGCGGCCATGGCAAGGGGCCGCGGCCAGGTCCATCAGCACGGCTCTTAACACGATGTCCGGAGAGGACGCAGATGCACCCGGCGGCCCGGGCGGTGTCTCGAACAGATCCGGGAACGCGAGGCTCGCAAGGTAGAGAGAGCCGTCCACAATCGAGCGCATTGCCGCCTCCTGGCTGTCTTCGTACGACGGGGGCGGAGGCGGAGGCGGAGGCAGCGCCGAAGAGTTTGCGCCGACCAGCTGCCGGCCCAGGCGGCGGAGGATGTCCATTGCTGAAGTCGGACCAGGAGCGCCGCTGTAGTACTCGCCCTGGTCCCCGTCTTGGGTAACTATATCTTCAAGGTGGCATGAGAAGGAATCCGGCCGAGCGCTTCATGGTTATGGAGATATGAAGAGCGCAGTAGTTATAATACCGTACAGTTGAGCTGAGTGCAGTTAAAATAACCGCATCTGGGCTCGGTCAAGGTAAGGCATACTGACTTGGTGCGTGTAAGACGGCGATGTGGAGCCGTGCGGCTGAGCAGGTCATGGGGAAGTCGGCCTACAAACTAGTGTACGGTAGGGGCCTGGCTGCATACAGCTCAGGGCAGTGCAGTACTAGAGCACCTCTTGGGCAGAAGCTTGGCACTCGCTGTGTAGCCGCCCAGGACGGAGGAGGATATTGTGCAGTAGAAAGGGCAGACTAGGCTTGGCAACGATTCAGGGAAACCTTTGAAGTCGTGGAGACTCGCTCTGGTTCACTCGAGACTAGTATACCAGAACCAGACACCGACAATGGGATCAAATTGGAGGACAGGGTCAGGTGTACATGTTTGATATAGACATTGATGAACGAGATTTTTCCTCATGCTGCGAAAATTTTGAGCGCCTTTCCCTGAATGCCCGTCCGTCGTAGATCATCGTCTTCATTCCTACCTAGATACTCCCCAGCCCGTGTCTCACTGTCTCTCAAGGCTTGGCGTCTTCTCGCTCCTGAATGTAGTGGTCAGCGACAAGGAAGGCCATCTCCAGGGCTTGCTTCTCGTTGAGGCGGGGGTCGCAGAAGCTGGTGTAGTTGGTCGACAGGTCCTCCTCGTCGAGCCCCTGGCTGCCGCCCATGCACTCGGTGACGGCGTCGCCCGTCAGCTCGAGGTGCATGCCGCCGAGGTAGCTGCCCTCCTCCTTGTGGACCTTGAGCGTCTCCTGGAGCTCGGTGAAGATGTCGTCGAAGCGCCGCGTCTTGATGCCCGACCCCGTCGACCGCGTGTTGCCGTGCATGGGGTCGCACTGCCAGATGACGCAGCCGCGGTACTCGCTGCCCTCGACGGCGCGGATGTGCGCCGGCAGCAGCTCGCGCACCTTGGCGGCGCCGTAGCGCGTGATCAGCGTGATCTTGCCGACCTCGCGGTCCGGGTTGAGCGTGCGCAGCAGCTCCAGCAGGTCCGAGACGGGCGTCGTGGGGCCGACCTTGATGCCGATGGGGTTGGCGATGCCGCGGAAGAACTCGACATGGGCGTGGTCGATCTGCCGCGTGCGGTCGCCGATCCAGATGAAGTGCGCCGACGTGTCGTAGTACTCGCGGCGCGACGTCTGGCCCTCGGCCGCGTACACGGGATTCTCCAGCAGCCGCGTGAGGCTCTCCTCGTACTCCAGCAGCAGGCCCTCGTGGCTGGTGAAGACGTCCACAGTTCCGAGCTGGGAGCTCTTGTCGGCGCCGATGGTGCGCATGAAGCGCAGCGACTCCTGGAGGAACTTGACCGTCTCGGAGTACTTGGCCTTGAGCTCCGAGTCCTTGACGTGGCCGAGCTCCCAGTTCAGTGGCCGGTGCAGGTCGGCAATGCCGGATGAGATGGCGGCCCGGATGTAGTTAAGTGTTGCTGCAGAGTAGTTGTAAGCCCTATATTCTCGTGTCAGCATGTCATGTACTTCCCAAGAACCGGTGGTCTGGCGTCAGATCTTACTTGACCAGGCGCTGAGGATCGAGGGCTCTGTCCTCCAGTTCGAAGCCGTTGAGGATGTCACCTCTGAACGAGGGCACCTGCTGGCCGTTGACCGTCTCAAAGGGGCTCGACCTCGGCTTGGCGTACTGGCCAGCCATGCGGCCGATTCTCACGACCTTTCTGTTGGTGCCGCGGATGAGGACAAGACTCATCTGCAGCAGAAGCTTGAGCTTGGACTCAATGGCATCCTGGCGGCAGTAGGAGAAGAGCTCGGCACAGTCACCGCCTTGCAGCAGGAATGCCTTGCCCTGAGCGACTTCCTTCAGGTTCTCCTTCAACTTGTTGATCTCGTAGGGATGCACAATGGGAGGCAGATGGTCCAATTCGCCGGTCGCCTTCTTCAGGGCTTTCAGATCTGGATACTCTGGGAACTGCTTGATGGGCTTGGACCTCCAGGAACTGGGCGTCCACTCAGCCGAGCTGTTGCCAGAACCATTTGCGCCCCCGTTTGTGCCGTTGGGCACAGCGTCGACTGAAGCCATGCTTGTGTAGTGGTGATGTGGCAGGAAGCTGTGTGGGTGAGGATTCTGCAAATAGAGTAGCGCTCGCTCTAGACGCTCTGAGTATACCGTGAAGAGGCCGAAGATTTGTAAAAAAAAAGGACCGCACCTATCGGTCCATGTAAAATATGTGGGATTGGGGAGGTGATATTTAAACTTCCAAGGACAATTCCTCAAAAGCTTACAGAGAAAGCGAGGGCAATATGCTCATCTCATACAGATGAGTCAAAGGCCTGGAATATTGGGAGTATGTACCTAACCATGGACGTGCCACAAGTCGCTAAGCTACCTCCAGTAGGTGACTATGCCGTCAGCAGCCGCCTGCAGACCCTGATGCTGACGGCCGTTTTTACCGCCATTTACACTACAGAACCAACCCTGTGCCCCCTGTCTCCCCTGTCTCCCCTGTCCCGCGCCGCTGGGGGCCGGCTGCCCCGCCGAAGCTGAGCTAGGTACAGCATCCTCCCACCCCACCCTGCCCGCCGCCGCCGCGGCCAGGAGCTTTGGTCGAGAAATCCTGACGACGTCAAGGAATTCCGAAGTCACGGCACCACCCACGCCCCTGCGACAACCGAACCAAAGCACCCTCCCGGCAGGCACATACATACACTTACACACACACGCACACATAATGGCCGAGCCCCAGCCCCCCACCATCGTCGAAGGCGCCACCACCGGCGACGTCGAGGATGAGGTCCAGGCCACGGCCAAGTCGGCCGAGGACCGCAAGGCCGCCGCCGCCATGTCGCGCCTCGACGCCCGCGACGACGAGGCCTCGGGCGCCCAGGTCGACCAGGACGCCGTCAACAAGGCCATGCAGAGCCTGGGCGGCTCCGGCGCCGCGGCCGCGAAGGCCGACGCCAAGAAGGTCAAGATCGATGCCGCCGACGTCGCGCTGCTGGTGAGTTTCTTGTCCCATGGTGTTCTCTTTCCAGCAATCCTCGGTGTCTATTGAGTGGCAAGCCGCAGAACTGACAAGGAGAAACCCGCTTTAGGTCGACGAGCTGGAGCTCTCGAAACCCAAGGCGACTGAGCTCTTGAAGACGCATGACGGCGATGCCGTGCAGGCCATGAAGGCCTTCGTTGCTGTGTCGTGAGAAGGGAGGGCTAGGAAAATGTGATTCAGAAGAAACTGCATAGATTACGGCGTCTGTCTATTCGGGAGACTACTGGGAATAGAAGGATGGATAATTACCATCAGACAGTGGCGTTGGGCAACGAGCAGCAATTCTCTGGACTATACCCAAAATACTGTTCTCCCAGGAGACGCACTGTGAAAAGAGATGCCACACAGAGACGGCAGAAAAGAGCATTCTCAGGAGCAATGAAACAATTCAAAGAGGGAAAATCGTATCTTATGTCTCCTCTATATACTCTGAGGGGTATCTACGCGTGTACTGGACAAGAAAAATCTACCCGCCTATCAAGTCTGTCTAATCTAGGACCCCATGAAATGCGCCGTCTTGGCACATCGCGGCTCCCACAGCTCCGTCTCGTCCCCCATGAACCAGGAGCCCCGGCCTCGCGGACGCTTCCCGCCGGGTCCGCCCGGCCCCCGGCGAGGGGGCCCGTCTCCGTATGGCGCGTACCCGTACGGCGGATAACGAGGTGGTGGTGGGTACCCATGCGTCCCGTTCCCTCGCGGCGGCCGCCTGCCGCCCGGGGGCCCCCATGCCATCAGCGGCCACATGGGGATGTAGCAGCGCTCGTCCCAGGCGCACACCTCGGCACACCCCGTGAACTTGTCTTCCCAGCCCAGCCAGGCCACCAGCTGCTGGACACCGTCGCTCCAAGAAGCGGCCAGCCGCGCGTAGTGCTCGAGACCGACAGCCTTGCCATCTGCGCCCGAGTCGGCCCCGTTGAAATCCGCAGCCCAGCGTGCCTCGACCTGGAACCCGACGGTCAGCAGGACGGAGCAGATGGCGCCGTAGGTCTCCTCGACCGCCCACTGCAGGTCACGCTCTTCGGGGCTGAGAATGAGCCCCTCGGAGGGCGCCATCAGCCTCGTGTAGCGGTACCGGCATCGGGAATACGTCTCCGCATACAGTTGCGAGTCCGTCCTCCAGGCGGACGGTTGATAGTTCGACGGGTACTCCAGGAACGCGACGGAGAATGAATGGGCCTGCGATCGCAAGGTGGACATCCAGCTCTTGATCCCCGTGTCATTGTGCGAGTAGTCCGCGTACGAGCTCAGGATCTGTGCTAGCTCTTTCATGCTCCTGCCGGCATTCTGCGTGATTTCGTTCATCATGTACACCCAGTCTGCCCCTGAGCAGCCCGCGCCATCGCTCAATAACTCCTTCAGGACCCGCTCCGAGTTGTTGCGCATCAAGCCTGCCTCTTCAGCCGTGACATCCTCCAGGTGATGGTACCGTCTTCGTCTGGCGATCTCCGTTAGGGCGGCCGTACGGTTTCCCTCTGGTCCCTCGCCCTCCCAAAATCCCTCGCTGGTGAGGTTGTACAGCTCTCGTTCCGTCTCCGCCCTAACTCTGGTCAGGTTTGCGAGCCTGGGAGAGTAGTACGACAGGATGCCGCAGTTGCTGACTTTCGCCCGGACTTCGCCGAGACCGGGGCTGTTTCGCGATTCCCCATAGTGATATGTCGCGCTGGAGAACCAGCCCCAGCCCTGCGACCTGAGAAAGGGCTCCCGGTCGATCTCCCACCTCCAGTTGGGCGGCCGCGGGGGGTCCGTCGGATCCGTCGAGTGATCTGTCCGCGTCGGCGCGGGCGGCAACGAGTAGTAAGAACTCTCCTGCTCAGCTTGCACGGGTGCCTCCCGCCTTCCACCGTCATGATCATTGTCTTCATCCTCCTTCTCCTTTGGCAGCTGCGGAGCCGTTACGTTGAGGCGGCTCAGCAGCTTGAGGCTGGGGCTCGTGAAGTCGCACCAGATCATCTCGAAGCCGGCGTTCATGCGGACGACGCCCTCGTAACCCCAGCCGCGGCCCCGGAGACCGGCCGCCTCCAGCCAGTCGCACAGGCCGGAGGCGCGGGCGTATTCCTCCCAAAGACCCCAGCCATCGTGCTCGGGACCGGTGACGTTGCCGAACACGTGCAACATCTGCGTGTCGAGCTGGCCCAGGCCCATCAAGGTGGCCGACTCCCCATCGAAGTAGAGAGCCCTGATCGGCTTGGTCGTCTGGTACGTGAGCATGTGGGAGCTCCGTGTGCTTCCCATGATCCCGTACGACATCTCGCTAGGATCACCTGTTAGAGACCATACGTAGTTATACTCCTCATGGGGTGGCTATAATCACATGTCGAAAGCCAACCATTCCGGGCTCGGCGGCGCCTCATCGTCGAGGCGGCCGTGGTAGAAGAGCGTATAGGCGGGGATCTCGCAGGGGACGATGCTGTGCCCGTTTGGGAAGAAAGTGTTGCCCCATTGCTGCAGGAACGAAGACGCGGACGAGAAGAGATAGGGCGCGGGTGACGAGAAATTGAGTTGCCACAGCGAACTCTGTGGTCCCTCGACGGCGGCACCGAGCGGGTACTGCTCGGATGCGCCCAGTGCGAGGTTTATAGTTGCAGATGCAACCCCGTATACCGCGAAGCGCATCTTTGCATACTGGGTGGGCTAAACCTCGTCAAGAGGCCCCCAGCAAGCTTTGGGACGGTCAGAGAAGGGACTTTATTAACAGTAAGAGAACGTTCTTCAATGACAATGCAGCATCGCCCCGTTGCGGATTGCCCAGAGAGATAAGAGAGACCCTTGGTGACGCGGCCCCCTGCAACTAAGCGCGGAACCTGGGAGAGCACGGGCCATTCAACGGTTCCCAATCCATGACCTGAGAGTGGTCTGTCGAGTTCTTAGATATATAGGCATCCTTGCGATGTAACTTGTTACCATGGCTTTGTTGTGTCGGCCAACAATTTCCTGAAAACATCTAGACCACGCCTTTAGCTTAATGCAAAGAAATCATCAGTTAACGTTGCTCAAGGCAATATTTTTGGATGAATGCCGCAACTCGTTCGTGTATTAATTAAGTCGACCTATATAGAGCCAGCCCTTGTGCTGCTGAATCAAAGTCAAACCAGTCATGTCTATATATGTATGCACAGAAGACCGCCTGTGGCCATGCTATAAGTACACCGTGTACGTAAAGGGGTATGTAAAAAAGTCCTGCCCAATGCTACTCAATTCCCTCTAATAAGGGTTCATTGAGATCATGAATCCCCGAACACCCCCTTCTCCTTCCTGGGGTCTTTTCCCTGACGAACGCCGCCAATGAGAAATCAATGCCACCGCCGTTCAATATCATGGCATGGGCCCTATCAAGCTTCCACGCGCTGACGCTGTCGCTTGATATGTGGCTGTCTGCACCCGTCCTTCCTCTCTCCGCCATGCTGTCAAATCCAACTGGCAATCTCGAAAATGCCAGAGTGGCTGCAAATGTCCGGTGCAAGAATGACCAAGTCCATGTTTTTGCTATCCCTCAAACGCCTTCAAAAACCCAAACCGCAATCTATGATTTCCTCTTCTGTCCTTTCGATCCCTCCTTTTCGAGTTTCTCGACGTTTTCTTCGGTCAGCGAATCGCCTTCCGGTAGGCTGTTTGATAGTCCATGTGGTTTTGGCGCATCCGTTGCACCTGCTGCCCCCAAGAGCTTGTCGTCCCTGAGCTGCATTGCCAGCTCGTCCGAATCCAACTGCCTTGTCTGCGATGACGCGGTGCTGCCGTATGATCCGAATGGGAAATGCGACCCCTTACGAACCATCGGTCTCGGCGTCAGCAAGTTGACGCGATCCTCGTCGCCCTTTGAGTCCGGTTCGCTTTTGCGGTTCTCTTCCCCCTTTCCTTGGTCGCCGATGACTGAGCGCTCGTCCGGCGTGGCAGTCTCGGCGTCAATATCTGAGAGTCCCAGCATTGGTATGTCTGCACTGAGGCAGTGCTCACCTGATTCGGAGCAGTCGGACACAGACATGTCTGTACGATCAGCTGGCGGCGGACTTTTTCTTTTGGTTTTCCCCCACTTGATGAGCATCCTTTCCAATACCTTGCCTTTGACTGGTTTGGCCAAGTAATCGTCCATACCGGCTTTTGTGCATTTTTCCCTGTCGCCCTGGATTGCGGAGGCGGTCATAGCCACGATCGGAATATCCCTTACGAACGCCCGGTACGGAACATGATGGCGGAGTATGTGTGTGCATTTGTAACCATCAATCACTGGCATCTGGACGTCCATCAATATAATATCGGGCTTTGGCAATTTGCCCTCTTGTGAGGCTTCGAGATAGTCAAGAGCCTCCTTGCCGTTCCATGCAGCATCCACTTTGAAGCCAAGCTTCTTGATGGTCTTCGTGGCGATTTGCTGGTTGATTGCACTATAATCACATTAGCGTGATCATCATTGGTATGTGAACACATAAACCTTACTTGTCCTCTACCACAAGAATGGAGATATTAGCTCGCTCCGACATGGGCAGGTCTTCCTCGCTGAACATCAGAGACGACGGGATATTGACGGATTGTGTCCTTCGGGGTGATCGGCTGCCGTCAAGGAGGTTGTGCGTTTTGTCGGCAGGGGGCGTGTTGATCCTTTGCTCAAATTCGGAGCTGTTACAAGACACGCTCATTTCCGACTGTAGGCGGTCGGGTATGGGACCAATCTCCACCAGCGACGACTTGTGCACGCTCTGCGGCTTGTTGAAGGGAATCCAGAAGGTGGCGGTCGTGCCGTTACCCATCGATGACTCCAGGGATATCCTCCCTCGCATCAGCTCAACAAGGTTCTTCGATATTGTCAAGCCAAGACCAGTGCCACCAAATTTTCGCGCAGTGGATGGGTCACCTTGGCTAAATGGTTTGAATAGACGCTTCCGCACTTCTTCTTCTATACCGATTCCGGTATCTTCGATCACGAACTTGATTTCGATGCTGTCATGGGTTTCCTTTCCCTTCCATACGGAGAACTTGACGTATCCAGTATTTGTGAATTTTATACTGTTCGTCAGCAAATTGGTGATGATTTGCCTCACACGACCGCTGACGGAATTAGTTATATTCGGTAAGCGGACACCAGGGAACTTACGGATCCCCTAGCACGACAAGATCTTCGGCGATATCCGCAGATATATTGGCATGGAAGGCCAGATTTTTCCTGTGGAAGATATGAGTTAGCACTCTAATGATAATGGAGGCCATGCCATGCCGTGCTTCCACACCAGCCGTGTTTGCAGATCTTACCTTTCCGCCGCAAAGCTCAACATCTTGGAGACGTCCTGTACCACGACAGAGAGAGAAAATTGGACCTCTTCTATGTCCAGCCGCCCGGATTCAACCTTGGAAAAATCAAGGATGTCGTTGATCACGGTCAGGAGAGCATTGGCCGATCTGACAATATTTTGAGCAAACTCCCTCTGCTCATCGCCCAGAGGCATGTCGAGAAGCAATTCAGCCATGCCAATCACACCTGTGATGGGCGTCCTAATCTCGTGAGACATCTTGACGGAATAGTCAGCAAGAATTCTATCACAAGTTGGGGCGAGACTCACGTTTGCCAGGAACTGGCTCTTCAATCGGCTAGCCTCTTTCGCGGCCGCTTCGTTCGCTACCAGTTGTCTCTTTTCTTTCGCTTGCGCCTTCAGGTCAAGTTCTCTCTCCTTGAGCTCCGTTACATCCATGATGACCCCTATGACCCCATCAACGACGGATTCGCTCGTAATGCCGTCACGAGACTGCTTTCCAAAAGTGGGTATAAACCGAGTTCGGAAAAAGTGATCATCTAAAGACATGTTAATCGGCCGCAGATTGTCGCATTGAAGCAAGAGGCTTACCCAACTCGTGTTCCGTAACCATATCCCGCCTCCGTTTACCATGGAACATTTCGTGAATTGGAGCCAAAAAGGCAGGAATCTCGCCATGTGGCATTCGTGAGTTCAGGTCGTTGAAAACCTCATCTACATCTCTCCCGACATAGTGCAGTGCGTAAAGATCGTCGTCGCTACTCTCATCTTCACGACCTCGAGCCTCTTTCCTCCGATCCCAGATAATGGCCCCTTCGAGCATAGTAACCTTCCGATTCCTGTCGACGGAGAAAATTGTCGTCTGCGCGTGAGAGAGGACACTGAGCAGCTGCTGTCTCATTCTCCTAGCTGCAGCCTTTGTCTCGAGACTCTCATGCACATCTGTACATGTACCGAACCACTTCTCAATCTTTCCAGTGTGCTTGTTTCTCAACGGCAGTGCTCGTCCCAGCATCCACCTCCACTCGCCATGTTTGCTCAGACACCTATACTCGGTGTAGTAAGGGTCTCCGGTTGCCAGACAGTGCTTCCATTTCCGTACAGTCGAGGGCATGTCGTCTGGGTGAAATGGATTCTTCCAGCCGAGGCCGAGGGATTCCTCGGGGGTCAAGCCCGTGTAGTCGTACCACCGGGAGTTAAAGAAATCATGCATCCCGTCAGGTGTGGTGGTCCAGACCATCTGTGGCATGGTATCACAGATGAGTTTGAACCTCTCTTCGTCTTGTTCCTTGATGGTTGTGATCTCCTGAGCCATCTGTGTGACATCCCGACAAGTGACGACACCGGCGACCATCTCTCCCGTCAGCGGGTCTTTGATGATCTCTCCCAGCACATCGTAGATGACCTTCGTCTTCTCTGACCTGTGAAACATGCCAATTCGCATACCAGTAAATGGTACGCCGGTCCTCAGCAGCACGGCGATGGGGAACTCGCTGGAGTCGTATTGGCGGGTGAAGTCTTCATCGTAAACAATCCATTCGCTGAGAAGATCCAATCCCTGGACATCAGTAATTTCTGCGGCCTCGGGATCAAAGAAGAGATCCCGCGCAGCAGCATTCATGACCGGACTGCTGCCGTCTTTCCACATCGCCAAGATGGGCATTTGTGTGTTATCCAACAGCGCATCCTTGATTCTAGTCATCTTCTGGAAAAGCGACGGCGTTTGCGACGTCGTACTACGTGACGGCGGGCCCATGGGTGGGAAGGGACTTGAAGATAGTGACACAGCGCTGGGGCTGATCCTGAATGATGGAGAATTAGAATCATGGCTTGAGCCGACTGAGGGCGGGTTGGAGCTGGAGATCGACTTCTTCTCGGCAGCCTCGAGAATTGTTGTCGAAGACCTTGGCAACGACCTTCTGGGAGCAATCGGCACCGACGGCGTTTCTGTATTGGTGAAAGTAAGAGTGAAGTACGTCTGATGCTCTTCGACCTCGAAGACGGTGATTATCATTTTTGCTAGGACCTGGTTGTCCAACTTTTTCGTCTTGGAGGCTGGCCTGTAAATTTTAGGAGAGACCACGACCTCGATAACTGAGTTGCTGCATGACTTGCTTGCAGTCCCATCGTTGTCAGATAATGGAGCACCGACGGGTGTTAGCGGCTCGGAGGTCGTCGGTGTCGCGTCCTGAGCAGATGCGACATTGGTAGACTGTGGTTGAGATGGCTCTCCTACTTGATCGGCTGCGCCATCGGTGACCAAGGAATCCAGTAGGTCGTCCCACGAAACCCAAACGGGTCGCCCGTCTTGCAGCATGTCAACGCCGACCTGAGACAAGGTCTGACCTCGAAGCTGATCCAGCACGGTAAGGCCGTTCTGGTGTGCAGGCGCGTCGACCGGAAGACCTAGGAGGCGGCCCATGGCTTCGTTTGCCAACACGACTGTTTTTAGGCTATTGAGGACAAGAACGGGGACGGGCAAGAACTGCATCGCGGAGAAGGCGAGCTGGCCCGGAGATAGATAGGGCATCGCGAGCCGAAAAGGGCTTGCCGACTGCGACCTCCTACTCTTTGGGGACACGGCAGAAGCATGATCGCTGAGCATCCGGTTGGGGCTTGACTGAGAAAGAGGACCATCCTGTTTCAGCGTCAAGTCGGGGTTCCGCCACGATCGCGGTGAGTTTTCGGGGGCCGTCCGGCTCGGGAGCGGAGGTTTGTCGAGAGCTGAGGGAGCTTCCGGGGGCATGGCGGGTAAGTCACGGTGAGATCGGGTATGGTCATCGTTGCGTGTAATGGGAACAGGAGATGATGAGGACACCATAGCGCCGGCCCCTACCACGCAACACCAAGGTCAGGGCGTCCCATGAACCGCGAGAATGTTATGGGTTGATTTGGCACGAGCTCGCTGAGTGAAGCAGGGCAGGACTTGTGACGTGGAAACTGAGTTTGCGCACGACACAGGAGCTCAGGCGTCCAAGTCGACGAGGGAAAGCAGCGGCAGCATCCAGTTCTGACTAACTTAAGGTAGTTGGTGTGGAGATCAACACCAGATGGATTGGCCCGAAGCCGATGGGGTGCAAATGTGGCGGGCGGGTGGTCAAGTCGCGATTGGGGAGCCCGAAGTCTGTCCTGGACCCTGGTCAGCTAGAGCAGTCGGAGCGAGCTCATGGTGAGCTTCCATGGAATTGTGTAAATGGCATGGGACGCGAGTCGGGTTTCCCGCCTCGCATGCTGAGCGGCTTTGCCCACTGCAATCTGCGGGTTGCAGCCCAGCGCAGTTGCAAGTTGCCAGCCCACAGACGGAGTCCACAAGTGAGGCGGGGAAGCGTCCACTGCTTCCAGGTTGCTTTGGGAAACACACTTGCATCACGGTACATACCTACATGGACCAGGGTGGTGGTGGGTATTGGGAGAATTAGGGGTCTTGTCACGTCACACCAGAGCGCCGTGCCTGGCGATGAGTAGCAGTAGTAGCACCACAGTAAGTCCAGTGTCGTGCGCCGACGATAACGCCGCAAAGACCCGAGGAAGGATATGCCAGTTGTTGTGGGCAGGCCGAGCAACTGGGACGGACAGCCTGCAGAAGCTGGTGTTGCGGTTGACTAGTTACTGCGTGTCACTACAGTGGGCGGCGGGTTGCCTTACCCTAGAGGATGTAGATCAGCGCCTGAAGAAGTTTTCACTCAAACAGAGTTTAAGCCACCAGGGGACCTCCCGACGTCAGTCTCAGGAAGACGTTGGGAACGTGGCCAATGGCAGCGCCTGCTGGTGGCTAGCAAAGGAGACGGGCGAGTCTCGCCAGGAACTGCAAGAGCTCGAGATGATGATAGGTCTTCGCCTCGGCAGACGGTGGTGACGCAGGGAGCCAGGCTGGATAGGCACGACCCCGATTCCATAGTCACTGCAGGTGGCCACTGGGTCGGTGGCCAGTTCTGTCAGTCGGGCGCGTCCAGTTGAGGATCTTTAGCTTTGCGCTTGTCTGAAAGGAAGGCCAAATCCCGACGAAGCGTCGGCGGGGCTCGTGGAACCCGGCAAGATGGAATGCTAGATCAGGAATGGGATGGGCGGAATGCGGTGTTGGGATTGGGCAATCTGCTCTCCGCCTTTGAGAGCCCATCCCAGGAGGAGCCAACACCAACAGAGAGGAGTCTCATTGCCAATTGGGACTTGGGAGGGCCTGGAGGGGTACTGGCAGCATGGGCATGGTGCAGGCATTCGGGCAAGGGCAATTGGGTGTGGACGCTGACGATCGTCGATAGGCGGGTCTAGACTAGCCTGCGCAGGGGCCAGGCGCTCTAGCGGCAGCCCGCAAACCTTAGTCCCCAAGGCGGTTCTGCCTCCGTAGCTAGGTGGCCACTGGCAAGCCGGCCCTGTGGGATCATGACGTATTGCAGGTCCCATCTGCCGCTCCAAGGTCCCAAATAATGGGTCTGCATGGGACAGAAAGCCCACCACCACTTTCAGCCATACGATAGCTAGATGCCGGGACAGGCAATTGGCAGATCAGCAACAGTTGAGCCTTTGGCCTGTCTCTGCCTATACACTGCACTCCCGTTTGGTCGCGTTATGAGCTTTCCTTGCCTGTCACAAGGAAGCAAGCAGCGATTTCCGTTGCGACGCGGGCGCAATCCGCTGGGAGTTCTTCGGATATCTAGGTACTGTAGTTAGCACGCCTGAACCACTTACACATACACAGGTGGCTCTGTCTATAGTGTGGCGCATCGCATGCAGCCCCGGCTCGTCAAATTAACCGAGACGCAGAACACCTATACTCGCATCTTCTACAGTAAATAGACTTTCGGTGCACTATGGATATCACGCACCACGCGATATGATGTCATATGAGTAACAACAGACCGACCAAACAGGACGTATCTTGTACTATCGCCCAGCCGGGCCTGCTAGTGGCACCCCATTAGACGTTCGGCGTTCCAGGCCGAAGCAGGAGCGGGTACCGATTTATCGTGACATTCATTATCATCAAAGCCTTACATCAGCCCTGACAGTACGCCAGCTGCACTGCTCTCACATGCAACCTTCAACCTTGGAAGTATGCACGCATATTCATGAAGTCTCCTTGATCTTTCCGCAGAGGTCGCAGCTCCAGAAATTCCAGTCCCTCAGCCGTCCACACACGGAGCAGGTCCAAGTTCTTGGCGCCACGGGCTTCGCTCCCAGGGCTGACGTCGCCGAATTAGAGTTGAACTGTCCCGCTGACGGGACGCTTCGGGTGCCGTTGGGGGAGTTCGTAGTCAAGTCAATGGTGGCTATTCGCTGACGCTTAACTCCTCGCTCCGCCAGATCCTTGGTCACCTCCTCGGCTCTCTCCGTTCCGCATGCATCACAACAGAGATACTCCAGGGGATTCTCGAGGGTGCACACGTGGCAGGTCCACGATGTCGATGCTGGGTCGTTCTTGTCTACCTCAGGCAAGCCTTCACGCTTGTTTCCTAGTTGCGCGCTAGGCTTGTCTTTCATGTGATCCGCTCTCGAAACGTGCAGTCCTTGACTTGCGCTTCCAGCAGGATTACCAGAAGTAGGCGGTGCGTACGATGCGCCGTGCTTGGCTTTCTCATCTTCTTGGACTAGTTCCCACAAGGCCTGGGCGATTGCAGCCTCGTTCGCAGCATCCTCTTCGGCCTTGGTGCTGAAGCCATTCCTCGTGGCTGTGTCGGCAATCTCCTGGATCTCTGCCTCGTTGTGTGTAGTGCTTGCACAACCTTGGAGTGTCTTGTTCCGCCTCTCGACGGCATCGACGATGACTTTGCGTATGTCTTGACCTGGCCGGGGGGCCATGCCGCCTAATCGTTGGCCGGAACCAGCTGCGAGCGTGCGACGCTTCTCTGCCGCTGCTCGGGCGAGCCGCCGAGCCTCGTGCATGGGAACACCTCCTCGCCCTCCAAGGCGCTGGCCTTCCGACAAGAACCCTTCACCAGTGTATCCCTTCATTAGGAGCGCCTCGTGCTCGTCTCGGAGCTGATCCCACAAAGCATGGAACTTCGCGTTGTGCGGACCATGCACAATGTGGGATAGCTCATGGAGCATAGTGTCCACGACTTGTTCTATGGGGAGGAACTGGTTGCGGTCAGAAGGGTATCGCAGCCGGAGGCAGATCTTCTGCCCACGGTTCACATTAAGACCTAATAGTTAACATGTAAGTCGATTTCTAGAATAGGCGAGTTTCTGGGGGTGCGCACCAAGAAGATTTTGTTCGCTGGGATAGAATTCTGTGATCTGTCGTACTTTCCACCCGCGGGCTCTCATGATAGGCTTCACCAGCGAAGCGATCTTCTGCAGCGTATGCAGCGCATCTTTGGCCCGGGGGAGGTCCTTCAGATGGGAGTACGAAAGGACAAGAGGATCTAGCTCTGCCATGATGCTTGACGACAGAGCCTTCGTTTGAACTCCAAAAGACGACGATTTGGTTGAACGTTGGGGAGAGTGAATGAAAAGAAAAGGATAGAAGACGGCGAAGCTAGCAGTCCACCACCAGTCTAGCCGTCACCTCGAAGACTGCATTCCAGTGACTCGCCCGAGGTCATCACATAAGCTGGCATTGGGTCGAAGGCGTCAGGCTTCGAGGTTGCAAGAGTCGATTGGTGCCTCCAAACGCGCACGCCACCTGACTGGGAGAAACGCGTAAAGTGGTTGCTGCCTCGTCCGCTCGCCAGCGTGATTAATAAGGAGGGGCGACGCAGTTGACAGCGGGATTTGGGGCTACTGAGTTGCACCTGGCAACGGAGCCAACTGCGAGCGGGACCTATTCGGTGATCCCGGTGCAAGAACTTGGTCGGAATATAATCCATCCTCTAACACACCACTCTTCTAATCCCTAGCATTCGTACACCATCGTAAAAACACAATTCATATGCGTCGCGTATAGGTATGCAAGTTGTACAAAGTAACACATTCTCCGCCTTGCAGCTTGGCTGAGCCTAATTAACCTCAGCTTATGCCGTGCCACAGGAAGGCCGCAGCTCCCTAGATATTTTACTCCACCCATCCATCCATCCATTCAATCACGTTCCAAAATACGATGAACAATGATCAATTATGTAAGGCTTGTTCCAGGTCACGGTAGATGCGGACTCGTGGCGGGGGTCCAGCATAATGGAAGCTCCATCCGCCTCAGCGTAGGGCGGCTTGCCCTTCACCCGGACGATACTATCCGACATCATAACTCGTAGATACATACGCCCGTTCCGAAGGAGCCTGTTGTGTCGGCCATTTCATTGCCCTATTTTTCACGCGCAGCTCAGTACTCGCCTGCTCGAAGATTATGCCCAATGGTCAGTATTACAGGACGATTTGGTAGTCGGCACAAGTAGATAGGCTATCAAGCAGCGCCCACGCCCTGTACGAATAGAAGGACAGAGTGGAGTTCAATGTTCGAAGGAACTATATACCTCTTACCACCTCAAGTTCCCCCATCCTTCGCCACGTGACCACCGACCACTGACGCGGCTACTGCCCATCACAATGCTGTGCGTCCATCGCTGTCCGCAACAGTTGACATTTACCATTGCAGAGTCAAGCAGCAGACAAACAACATGGACACGACCGTGTCGGCAAGCCTACGATAGAGGAGTGGACCCATTTCCGTCATGTACATTCAGACCAGGCCCCAGAAGCCAACCAACAGATGGATCTTATTGCAGTGTAACCATGCGAGAGGAATTTGTAGGCGAAGTCGAAGGAGCATCAGAAGCTCCACGTGCTAAAAGGAGGTTCACAGCGGCAACATACCCCATGCGGGCAGCCTCGCGCAAAGCTATCCGCCCAAGAGCGTCCCGCTGATTTACGTCGACACGCCCTGAGTCTAGTAGGACGGCGAGGGAATCGGTCCTCTGCTGCTGCACCGCTGCAGTCAAGGGAGTGAAGCCCTCACTATTTGTTGTGGATGTGTCAAATTGATTCGTGCTAAGCAAAAATCTCAGCAGCCGGGGATCGCTCATTGTATCAAAGAGCATAGATTGCAAGGTATAGTGGCATGTGTTGTGCGCCATTCGATATACAGTGCGTTTCGTCGCCTCGTGACGAAACGCCTCATAAGAAGCCTGGACTCCTGGTAGGTGGCTATATCGAGCTGCTTCTATCATAAGTACTGCACATATGACGTCTGATTTTCTCGTTGCCATAGCCCGTTGAAAGGGGCTGGCCACTCCACTCCTAAGAGGGGAAAATATAGATGTCTGCCATACTTTACACTCGATCAGATGACAGTACTGACCACTGATGAAGTGATCTAAGTTTGGAATTGGTTCAGCGGGTCCAAAGATGCAGGAGCAGGCACCATTCCCATAACGAAACCGGGACAGGAATTCCCTCTGAGAAACACCACATCTTTGGGCCTCATTGGAATGGTAAAGGATGTTTTCCACGGAGTATCGTAGAAAGGTATGCCTTCGAGACCTCTGGTCCATCGGGATGCCGTCTGATTGTACGTACTGCTCACAGCAGCGCTTCAGCTGTTCGTGGCTGTATCCTTCGAAGTTCTCGCCTTGATTCAAGCCCGCTTCGCGAAATCCATTGCCATTCAAAAAGAATGTCCTTACGGACTCGTGGATGAACTGTACCACCCTATGCCCAGGCTGTCCAGTTATCTCCACAAGCCCTTTGGAACAATCCGAAATGAATCTCTCAATGATTTGCTCGTTAAGATCACCCCAAAACCATTCAAACGACAAGCCAGGTTCCACTCCAGCTAGAATCGCGAAGTAAACCTCAGTGGGAGTCAGTGGCCTCGAAGAGAATAATGTCCACTGCATGCAGAGCAATAATTCGTCCTGGTTGCATTTGTCTCTCGAGAGAATATCACGGAACAGTGTATGCAGGTTTTCTGGCAACTGGCTTAAACGTCTCTGCAGGGCGTGTATCCGGCCTCTGTCGTACTCTGTGTTTAGTATTGATACTACTAACACAACCCACATGAATACCCCCGAGGCTTTGTGTAGAATTTGCGATCGGATGTCTTCGTCAAGGGTGCTGTGTCCCAGCCGTAGTCGGTGCTGGAGGTAGGTGGCTATGTCCTGACTATGGCCTCCCTGATGCTCCAGGGTGAAACTGAGTCCATGACGCAGGGAAATGTGCGGGTAATGCCGGCTGGTGAACCAGGCGTAGAAAATAGGGCGAGGTCGGGTGCCATGCCCAATATCTTCCAGAAAATGCACCATGTCACGAATCTGATCTTCGTCGCACTCGTCGAGGGCATCGATGAAGCATTCGAGCCTCCGACCGTTGAGTCTCAGGATAGCCCGCTCAAAAATTGTTTTAAGGGTTTGAATGTTCCAGTAGATGGCAAAGTCAGAGGGCGCCCTGGCAGTGCGATCGTATTTTGGTACTAAAATATCGAGAGCCGTCATGAGTTTGGGCTCCGCTACCATTATTTGAAGCAGCAGCGATCGATACATGCCGGCAGTGGATTTCTCCAAATCGTTTCCCCGAGCGTTGAAGAAGAATCTAGCAATCATCCTTCCTCCTTCTTTATTGGCTTGATCCGCCGCGAACTTGGCAAGGGTAGACTTCCCGGCACCGGGCTTCCCTCTAATCCAAAGAAACCCGTGATGGTCTTCAAGCATGCTCGGGTCGCGCCAGCTTCTGTATTCTGGGGTTTCAAGGAGCCAGCGACATGTCCTTGTCTCTGGATCTTCGATGGAGAAATACCGGCTGTCCATACGAGGGAATTCCAGCGACTTCAACAAAATCCCTCTACACCCCTCCATGTATCTCAAGCGATCCTGAGATACGATTGGAGCCACAATTCTTTCGATTGCGCGGGCAACCTTAAGAAATTCGGGATCACCAATAATACCTCCTCGGCTGAAACGACACATGTCCATATGGTTTCGGCCGATGTGTTCCGTTGTTTCGATGGATGAGTCATTCAGGCACGAGGAGACATCCTCGACCACCTGTTTAGGTTAGCATGATGTGAGTCGGCAACATGAAATGCAGTTGTATTCACCTTGTGTCCTCCAAGGGCTGCAACGCCAAGTTGTTCTTGGAAACAATGGACGCTCCATTTCTGGAGTCTTGCCATAGACCCAAATTCATCCCGTAGCTCTTTCAGTCGTTCTGACGTCGGGAGTAATGATTCGACGATCTTGGCATTTGCTGAGAAGCCCATACACTTGAGGACTTTCTCTACGACGTGGTGGACAAAGCCTCGCGGGTCTGCTCCTCCGTGAGGTGTTCCGAAGAACACGATGCCCTGTGTGGACTGGTACACGTCGTGGAGATGCATCTGCTGTCCTTCGAATGCCTTGCTTTGCCGAAGCAACTCCTTAACTACTATGCCACCGAGGCTGTGTGCTATGAAGACGATCGGTCTCAGCGGGTCTTCTCCGTCGGACTCACGCCGATATGCTTCCAGGGAAACCAGGAAGTCGTGCGAGATGTCGTAGATTGTAGTTTTGATCTTCGGGCCGCCGAGCCAGTGCTTTATGCGAGTATCGTACCCGTATGTTAAAATACGGGCCGATGGAACATAACCGGGCAGAAGATCACGGGGCCAGTATACGCCCTGGTTTCCAAATCCACTATCTTTGTCTGAGAGCGCGGTAGACATCTTCCTTTTGGAAGATTGGGATGTGGGGTTTTCTAGACTGCCTTGCGTCTCCTTTGATTTCCTTTCCTGGCCATCCTTGTGGAGCCATGTGCGCTCTGGGTGACCCGTAAAACCGTGCACGAATACGATGCTACACGAATCAGTGGCCTGAAGATCTACCGAGTCTCGACTACTTGCTCTATCTGTGGGTTGTCTGGCTTCTCGACGATAGACATCCCAACCGGATGGATGATAGTGTTGGTAGACCTAGCCCGCAGCGCCATCTTGGTCAAGGCTTTGAGTCCGCTTCATGTGGGAAAGACTGCCAACTCAAGTGAGCTTCGTTCGGCAGACGAAAATCCTATCGTAACTTTTAAGAAATCGAATGATCCATGTGTTGCATGAGGTCGTGCTTGCGAATGCGAATAAGGTCAGCAAGGCTGGGGCTATGCTGGGCTGTGCCGTGACTACATAGGTACTGAGCTGCATCTGCGGTTATTCTAGGCACCACTTGTAATCTGATAGGCTGCTAACAATCCTACGAATGGCCGCCGCGGGCACACCCGGCTAGGCTGTATTTAGTCGTGGATGCCTACCTCTGTCAGCTTGAGTCAATCGTCATCTTTCGCAGGTCTTGCCTGTAAGTGAAGGTTGGATTTGGTATATAAGCTATACAGGAAAGAGGCCGAGCTTTTTAGATAGATAGTAAATACATCGCTATGGCACACCTACACCTATACGCCGAAATGAACGAGCGGCGCCCAACGCAGTGACATTCACTAAGCCCTCTGTCGACCAGGCTCTGGCTATTGGTGACGCTCTTGCTATGCTTACGCAAAAGCTGCAAACAGGAAATGAAGAAAATGCTGACCCGCCGTACCGATTGGAATATGCTTGGGGGTGTACGGCGTTCCAGGATCATCGCTACCGACAAAGATGGCTGCTCTTGGGAAGAGAAGATAAGCGAGATACCTACTAATGTGCAAGAGGTGGTGGCCCAAGGCCATCAAGAAAAATTGGTGAAGTCTAGATTGAGGATTCAAAATGATGATGTTCTCTACTGGCTTTACCTTCTCATGCTGATAGATGTTACTGTTTCTATTTTCTCCAGAATGGCGTTATGACAGAATCAACGCAAAGTTCGGCCCATTTAATTTGCCCTGCTGGAGATATCCAGAGTTAAGTGTTCATGGCAAGGCTGGCGCTCATTTTTCGCATCGAGGTGAACTTGATCATGCTGCTATGAGGTGTTTTCGCTACCCTCGAATAAGATCCACTGCAACTTTGGGGAACCCTCACTTGCTCGACGTGGATTATGATAGCAACCGTGTTTGATTCTACGTGTTTGTATCGAATTTCCCTCTTTGCAATCGCTTTAGTAGTCGTGTGTGTGTGTGTGTGTGTGTGTGTTCGGCTGGCAGCCGTCACAGCCACCTCGACCCTCCCAGATCATGTGTCTCCTCTTACTCAACATCAAATATTGAACTGTTCAACTCGTCTAACGTCCTGGGTCTTTGTTGACCGATCCTACATGTTGACTGGCTGCATTAAACGAAAGGAAATGTTGAAAGGTGTATTCGGTAGTCTGAGTGAACATTCTCGAATTACCATATTCCTAGCGACTTTCGATATTCACAAATCCTTGTTTCGCTCGGTATGAAATATCGTATGTTGCTGCGTGAGAAGCGAGAGCCTCTGGTACCTGCCCGAAGTTGAACTTCCACACCATCATAGCCGTCATGATTCGCGTTTCTAGCATTGCCAGCCGCCGGCCCCAGCATGCCCGGATGCCGAGGCCAAAGGCCAGTTGTGCGTTCGTTGAACCATCAAACTCGATAATCTCTCCCTTCTCACCCCGCACCAGCCAGCGCTCAGGATCGAAAACCTCAAGGTCCTCGTTTCCATTACCAGGGTACTGCTTTACTCGCGTCGCATCCGTCTTCAATTCCCGCCAGTATTTGGTAGACGGTGCTTTGGAGAAGTCCGGCCCCTGAAGGATCATAAGTACAACCGTACCCTTAGGGATGTGGTGACCGAGAAGCTCCGTGTCGCGGACCGTGTCTCGAGGCACGATCATGCCAGCACGGAGCCTCAGCATCTCCTCGAGCACGGCATCGAGGTATGGGATTTTGGTGTTAATAATCTCGGCACAGGTTGGCAATCTATTCTCCTGTACCGCCTCAGTAAGAGCCGACTGCAACTCGCTGAGAAGCGTCTCCTGGACGCCTGGATAGTCGGCTAACAGCTTCAGGATCCAGACGAGGGCTGCGCTTGTGGTATGCTGCCCAGCAACGAGGTTTCCCCAGGCCTAGGAAATTTTGATCAGTTGTCAATGAAACATTCCTTTTTACATATAAATAGTCATTAGACGGATAGGCATGGATTATGTTCGTCTTACCTCGTCTACAAATATAGACTTGCCCAGCACTGTTGGCCGGCCAGCCTTCATGGCTGCCTTCTGCTCGCGGAAGACCATAGAGTCGATGCCGGTCTTCGCCTCCTCATCATGGATTGAACGTTTGACCCCTATATCAATGTGTCTGCGAATGAAGCTGTCCTTGTAACTGAAAAGCTTCCTGCAGTGCGATGTCCCCCAGCGCAACCACCAGGAAACAAGCGCAACGGGCCATTTGGTGGCATATATAGCTGTGACTCTGTCACCGAGATAGGTCAGAGCCTCCTGAAAGCTGTGTAGTTTAGCTTGGGGGAAAATAGCCTCGCCATGAGCTCCGAACTTTACTTCGGTCTTTTTCAGCCCTTTTATGAACTCTACCTGCCTTGCTAGAGCTGAATCTGCAAAGTCGTCGCCGAAGTGAAAGATCATGATCGTGTCAAGAGCCAGGTACTTCAAATCGTCGACCATGCTGAAGCATCTACCATTGCCAAGGCGGGCTTTGTGCTCCCAAAGATCTATGATCCTAACCATCGAGGTGTGGACAGAGGGCCCAACCACATTATGCATGTGGGGTTTATCTAGGAGGTCTTTCAGCCAGTTTCTAGATGTTCTCCAGTCGTTGTCTGTCATCATATTCAGGTGAAACTCGCCCAGAAGCGGAAAACGGTCAATGATGTAGGCGGAGCGGTCGTAGTCGCTCCGAGTCATCACCTCACGGACTTCACGAAGATCGCCGACCAGAACGACAGGTTTGGAAAGAGGCCCCATTAGCGCTTGGCAGATGGGAGAACCATGCTTCTCAAGTTGTTTGCTGCTCCATTTCGCCAGTCCACCAGGGTCATTGCGAAGATTCAGCCAGTCGCCAAAGATGGACTTGGCTGAGTCCTCATTGTAAGGGATGTCTGGAAGAGGTTTGGGAAGTAGCCATCTGTGCAAGCCATACAATACCACAAAAGATCCGAAGGCAAAATAGACCGTAAGTAGTTGGAAATTGCCAACAATCCCTAATATGTCAAAGTATGGCATGGCTTGTGTATATTCTGTGTACGTCTCGTGTGAAGGAGTAGGAGCATAGAAACGAGCAGGGTGGGACAATGCCTGAGGACAAAAGAACCTCGGCCTCATGGTTCATGGGAGCCACATCTATCGAGATTGTATGACCGTTAAGTAGGTGAGAATCGAATAGTAGACGTTAGTAATAATACAAGCAAGTGGCATAGTTCTTGATTCTGTTTCGTGCGCATTCGTGTCGTGGCGCAGTGTTCCATGAAAGTCATGTACCTGTGGCAGCACCTCGCCCGACGAATTTCGGCCGATGGAATGCATATGCAGATTTTAATCGCGGCTCAACCTGCAGGTTGCCCAGTAAACAAATGTCCAGTAGATGTAGGGCCCTCACGCATGCTCTCTAACATCACCGATAGGATATTTTTCGAGGATGTCGTCGACGCGAGCGGCCCCTGGGCATCTGTTAAGTTGAAGCAGACTGTCACCTACGTTATCAGCGCCACTTTTCTGCAGAGCTGACCCGAATGCCCCTTCTACTCCGATGCCCCTTTGGTCTATACTTATCAGAGATCTACCATATCGTCATGAGATTACAATCCCTGAAGGAGTTACTCAGGCTTAAGTCCGAATTACAATTCACAAACTCAAAGCTTCAAAGCTCTTGCTTTGTGCTATACCGACATCCACACAAGTGTGTAGAAACGTGATCTTCAAGTCACCAGTAGGTAGTACGGCAGCTCCTCATTGCTTTTATTCTATCGTTACACGGCGATTAACGCATTTGGCTTTGCCTTCGCCCCACCTGATCTCATCGTGACTAGCTGTGTTCTTTGCCTTTCAGCAGTCCATGATCTAATGAAACTTTTGACTACACGTTCTAAATATTATGAACATCGCTATCAGTAATGGGAAATAATAATTCGTCTATCTGTAGCCCGTTGTATGACAAATCTTCCTGCATCATCTCAGCATTTGATCTACTCATCGAGCTGGACTCTTCACTTGGCTGGTTTGACGACTGCCAGCTTGCTGGATTGTCATAGACTCCCGGGCCTAAGAACGTGCGTGACCATTGAGAGCGGCGAGTCGGATTTGGAGGAAATGGTGATTCGAGAACTTTATTCTCGTTGGCTGCCTTAGCTAGGAGCTGTGCGATAATCTGGGCTCCGGTAGAAGCCTGTTCGCTAACCTCAGCGAGCTTCTGAAGGCGGTGAAGAGCTTTCTCGGCCGCTTGTATTGTCTCATGCCGGGTCAGTCTATCCATCCTCAGGCCAAGGATGTCCGAACTGTCATCTTCTTGATTGAAAGGAAAATCATCATCCAAAGTCAGACATAATAGAAGAACAGTAGGCTCAAAAGTGTTAAAGATAATGGCGGACATGCGTGTGTAAGAGCCAGAGAACAGAGAGTGTAGTGACGAAACAGCTTCTAAAACCTTGAGTGCCGCTATCGCCATCCTTCTTTTCTGCGACTGATGCAACACTTTCTTATAGGGAGGAAAGGTTGCGGTATGACTTGAATCGAGCATCATGAGAGGCCGGAAGTTCCAGCAAATGGAATCGAAAATGGCAATGTATAGCAATTGCCTCTGCATAGCCAATTCTGGAATGTGGCGATCCCATTTGGTGTCTGGTTGCAGGGCAAAAGCCGGTGATAGGGTAGAAAGAAATTCGGCGCAAAATTTCTCGTATCTTCGCTCAGCATCAGCCGGGTCAGACACCACGTGTGAACTCCAAGTCAACTGGAGGCTTCTCCAGAACCTGCCTAATTGTGCCTGCATTAGACGTTCCGTAAATATATTGGGCGCTTCATGGTCTAGGCCCATTCCTCCAAGGCGGCTTTCAAGGTTTAGTTGAGGCGATATCTCTGAGAGTAAGTTGTCTGGTAAGAATGGAAGCCGATCAAGCTGCCTGGACAGTTGGCTATTGAATTCAAGTTTGGTCAGCCAGGCGCTTTCGAGGATGAATCTTGCCAAGACCCACCTATCTATGGCATAGAGAACGCAGAGAGTTCTCTGGCGCATTTCTTTCTCCACTATCGTATCACCATAGTCCCCAGGACTCGTGGAATTGGTGTGAATACCAGCCTTCTGAGCGGCGTGGCTGGCATGAGCAATGCCTTCCCAAAATTTGTCGGTTCGCCCCTCGCACTGTAGCTTTAGTGCATGTAGTATAACATGCTGCACGCGGATTAATGATCCTCTCTTGCCGATAGTAAGACATTCTTTGGCAAGGCCGTCCGCAAGGTCACTACAGGTACTCCGTATCTCGGAAAGAGCCACTCCGCGCACACTATCAATAGTGTAGGATGGTGACGGGAGGAACTGAGCCGCGTAGGAGCACATTCGTAAAACTAGTACAAGAAGCTCCAAATCAGTTGCCGATAATCCGTCACTTTTGGCCCGCCATTGGTGATAGAGCGTCAAAAAGCTAGGCCCATGGACGACCTGCTTCATCCTAACCCACTGACCGTCAGCTATCTATGGGGCAGATCGCACAACTGGTCGTAAGCACACCTACCAATTCAAATCGCTGACGAAGTACTGTACGAGGAAGTCAATAACTTCGGGCGGTGGCATTCGTTCCTGGACAAGCTTGACCACACTAGAGGTGCTGGCCGATGGTCCATCACTAAGAGCCTCAACGACATTGCCGTCGCCGCTCAAGCCCCACTAGGCAGTCCAGTCCGAGTCAGCAAATGGAACAAGCTCGAAGCCGAATATTAAGATTGGTGTTGTCAAATGATTACCTTCTTCAGCAATGCCATTGTATTGGAGTTACTATCCTCGAAGTAGCCAAAACATTCGAATTTCAAATGCCGGTTAGGGGATATAATGCCCCCTGGTCTAGCCTTGAGCAATTCTTGCGCCTCAAGGTTGGTGGTCGATGACCCATAAGTCTTCTCGAGACTGCCAGATGTCATTGCATCTCCCGTCTTGTCCGACGACAAATTTTGCGCTAAATCATGAGATTGAGAATCATCCAATGCAAAATTGTAAGAGCATTCTTCGGGCCGCCGCCGTCGAGTGCAATGATCACATGGATACTGACGGTTACACTATATTGGAAGACTTGTTACAATCCTGCCTTCTGACTCAGCAATGTAGCCGCGAGCGTGGAACCTACTTTCTGCTTCCGTGTGTAGCACGGCATACATGTCAAGATCTGACGCTTCCGGCCGACACGATGCATTGTGTGACGGTGAAGGGGACAGGCCAAATGATCGACCCAATAGGAGCAGCATATGGACGGATCGGGCCCGAAGCTTTAGAACCATCCACATGAAGATTGATTGCTTTACATATTTTCTCAAGGGCGCCACTTATTTATATATCTATGTATGCAACACGTAATTTCGCGAAAGATAAGCATGAAAATGCAGGCCAAGAGTCAGACCGGAACGATCCCCAGCACCGTACCGAGGCAGGCAGGCAGATGTTCAAGATTGCGCTCACTGACCACAATCAGGGTCCTCAGCCGCAGCAAGAAAGGGCCAAAAACCGAGCGGGAGGCAAATGATGCAAAGTACGCCATCTCGGGAGGATCCGATGTGGCTTCAACCGTCGAAACGTTTGCAGGGATGCGCATGTTCTGCATATCTTCAAAACTTCTCCTCACAAAATAGTTGATCAGAACATAAAATCACTGACCAGTACTTATTTGTATGAGTTGTCCGGGAAAAGCGAGGGAAATAGGTTCCATTTTAGGGATAGTAGGCAATTTTCTCCATCCGATCGGACATGCTGAATTATTTGGTGCCTGTAGACCCCGTTCCGGGATATCGAGTTTAACGGTACCGTTACGTTCGTTTCTTCAAAACAGGTTGGCGGGGAGTTGAAACCGAGGGCACTATTGGCTAGGACCAGACTTATCGCGGAAAGGATTTGCCGGGAAGGATCTTAGGAGCTAGTCCAGCGGGTAAACAGTCGTGGACAGGGGGCCTGCTTGCAAGCTGATTCGCCTGAATATTGAACTATGCGATGCTATTACGACTATTTTGACTTTCGACCCTATCATTGCCTTTCCTTGTCATCAAGAAACAGAAAGTGCCTCCGTTCCTGACTGTGTAACCTGTACCTCGTACATCTCTTCTAGAGAATACTTATCAGAGTAAAGAAAGCGTCCTGATTGGACCACGTAACCAACCGTTACCGACGTCGTTAAGCTCTGCCGGTCTCAGCAGGAGGCCTGTGATTGAAAGTCTCTTGCAGCCGCTATCCTACCCGTTCGGGTTCTACTAAGCGAGGTTATGCAAGACTTACTGCAGATCGAAGTTTATTGCACATGGCATGGGGACTAAAAGCTCTGTAGTTACATCTCCGATCCACATCTGCGACTCAGCTTCCTATTTCCTGTGGAAAAAATGGCTGCTTCTCCTGCCAACGCCAGGTAGATCGCTCATCCAACCTCCGTTGTTGGGGCGTTGTTGGGGACAGCTCTACATCAAAGAGGGAGAAAATGCATGCCGACGCGAACCTCGCCTGTTGCAAGGCCAAGTTTCGCACATTCAAGAGTCTGAGCCTAGATAGATGGATTGAAACGTCATATGAGATTCTTATCGTCTTCCTCAATGTATCCGATGTTTCTGTCCACTATTTACCGCCCCAAATGAAGGTATGCGGCCGGTCGAGGTATTTGGGGTTACGGAAAATTATAAGTGAGGGACCGATACCCAGAGCCCGGCTGGGACCTCACCATCTACAACCATGTTTGCACGCCTGATATACTACACGAGGGATGCTCGATGGCACCGAAGCACATAGGCGCACGGCTTCGTCGAGATAGGCACTCAAGTGTTTACAGCTCCCTGTTGCGTTGGGATGGACATCTGCGCGCGTAGCAAATTTTTTTTTCTGCAAAGCTCGCTTGTGTGACGCACGGATGATCGATCAACTGAATTGGTGGCCGTCTTTGACGGGTTAGATCCTCAAACCGGAGTGTTACCTAGATTTGACACTGTACATTCAGCAGGGAAGTCCACTACTTGTCAAAGCTGATTTCGACTTCCGACCACCCTCAATCCTCAGGGGCTAGGATCAGCAAGCGCCAAGCAAAGCCGACAAGTGGCAAAATACTCACAACGCTTTGCATTGCATTTCTAATTAGACTAGACTGTACAAGTAATGGAATTCGTTTTCAAACCCCGTTGCCGTCTTCCTCTCATGTAGCTTTAGGCGTTAAATCGCTATCAGTCACAAACGCAGCCGCTCGTGGCGCTTGCGGGGTTGGAAGCTGAAATATACTTATGCAAGTCAGCATGCGGGGCACCGGGGATGCGGGAATCCATGTCGATTTCAGCGCCTCAATTGATCAGTCTACGGGTAGATCAGCCCATCTCCGCCCAGGAAAATGAATCAACCAATCACAGCATTCCACACAAGAAGCTTGGTGAGCTTAGCAGGCGCGCAGGGCTTGGACTTTTGGGTAGCACCTGTCTCTTGACCCTCGTCGTCTCCCCACGACGTCGGATCATGATTATATCGACAGTTCGCTTCTCACTGACTACTGTGCAGCCCGGATAGTCTATCTTTGTCTCCCGACCACGCATGTAGGCGCCGTGAAGTCGGCCGATACTGTCGGACATTTCAAGCCCGCCCACTGGGATATGGTTGGGGTGGGTTCATACTACTATACGTAGTCATTATACCAATTGTTGCCAACACGTCTATGGTGGGCGACGGCCGAGATCTGTCGGTGATCTTCAGCCGTTATTCCTGAAGCCCTTGCACCTGAGGCTGGAGAGTTGATGTAGATACGATTTATCATCGCGGTCGAGGCGACATCGCATGGTGAAGGGAGTACAAATGCGTGGAGACAAGATTTATCTAAATAGAAGACAAGTCACCATCTGTTTCGTGGCATTTAAATGTGAATTTACTGAATGATAGAGCCATCTAATGGTCTAATTCTCTCGGTTTCATCCTGGTCATAGAAGTGTCATAGTGAAGTTCAAGTGTCACGAACGGCTCTCACGACGATAGAGGTCGACAATTTCATCTTGCCTATCATAATCTATCCCTGTGTCTATTGAAGTCTTAGTAGCAGCAACTATGACGGTCAAAGACAGTGGATCCGGTGAGCCCATTGCAATTGTTGGAATTGGTCAGTCGTTGAACCTCCTTGCGTCAATACAACATTCATTGACATGCACCAGGGTGCCACATGCCGGGAGGTGTTCGGGATATTCCAGCCCTGTGGGAGTTCCTCAGAGAGCAAAAAGATGTGCACCGTGAATTTGAGGAACCACGATTCCCCGCCAAAGGTTTTTATCATCCAAACCGCGAGCGGCCAGGTACTGCCGTCGCCAGTGGTGGCTTCGTCCTCGATGAGGATCCACGTCTGTTTGACCCGGCGTTCTTTGGGATCACAGACCTCGAGGCAGAGACCATGGACGCCTCGCAACGCAAACTTCTCGAGGTCACGTACGAGGCTTTTGAAAACGCTGGAGACACCTGGGAGACTGTGTCCGGTTCCCGCATGGGAGTCTTCGTAGGGTACGTCTATATTGCTTACTTCCCGGCTTTGCCTGCGTGGCCCTAGACGGTTCTGCTTCTAAGTTGTCGTTATATTCTAACACTAAAACTACACAAGTGACCTTAACCTGGACAATTACGTATCTCAGACGCGCGACTGGGATTACGGAGGCAAATACTCGGCCACCGGTGCCTTTCCGAACATGCTGGCCAACAGGATTCACTACGTCTTCAACCTTAAGGGTCCAAGCCTCCTAGTGAATAGCGCATGCACTTCTGCGATGTATGCTCTGCACTTGGCAGTTACGGCGATTAGAAACGGTGATTGTGACTCGGCTATTGTCGCAGGGTGCAGTACGTTGATATCCAGCTTTGCAATTGCCTCCTTTCAAACCTTTCCCCCGCCCACCAAGACAAATATTCGAATGACTGCATACTAACGCATGAAATAAAAAGACTGGATCATGGACCCCAATATTCACCTCTCAATGAGTAAACTAGGGGCCTTGTCCGCAAGTTCTCGGAGTCATGCCTTTGATGCTTCTGCTGACGGCTACGCTCGTGGTGAGGGCTTCGCAGCTCTGTATCTGAAGCCGGTTTCCCGTGCAGTCCTAGACAAGTCTCCTGTCCGCGGCGTCATCATGGGTACCGCCGTCAATGCCAATGGCCGTACCAACGGAGTTACCAACCCAAGCGGCCCCGCGCAGGAAATTGTCATACGGGCAGCGTAGGTTGCTTGTGAAACCTCACTTTATCTCTAGATCACTGACTGTGGCTTAAAAACAGGTACAAGAATGCAGGTGATCTAGACCCTTCAGAAACAATGCTTCTCGAATGCCATGGGACCGGCACGCGCGTGGGTGATCCAACTGAGGTGAAGGCTGCGGGCAATGTCTTTGGGCCCGGAAGATCTAGCAACTATGCCGACCGCTTGATGGTTGGATCGGTCAAAACAAACGTTGGCCACTTGGAAGGTGCATGTGCACTACCAGGTATTCTCAAGGTTGTGGCGGCTCTCGAAAATGGCGAGATCCCTCCTACTCTTCACATAAAGACGCCAAATCCACTCATCGATTTCGACACAGCCAAGGCCCGGGTTGTAACTGATGTTGAACCATGGCCTCAAGCCAAAGTGAAACGCGCCAGTGTCACTTCCGCCGGGTTTGGTGGAACCAACGGCCACTGCGTTATAGATCATGTGAACAATGTTCTTCCCAACTATATCAAGCCCGGTGTCATCAAAAAACACATCAACGAGGCGAAAGGCACCAATGGGACCAATGGAGCCCACGGCGCCAACGGAATCAACGGGACCAACGGGCTCAACGGGCTCAACGGGGTCAATGGGGTCAACGGAACCAACGGAAGCAATGGTCACGGCATGAATGGAAATGTCTTCGCAGTTGAAACCCCGCACTATTTCCCTGTAGTTGATGAGCCGACCTTGATCAGGAAGTCTGATGCAGCCACTCGTCAGCTTGTGGTTCTTCCTTTCTCAGCACGTATGTCAAGCTCAACATGCCGAGGCATGGAACAATTTGAATTAGTTACAATACTGATACGATACCACAGACAATCCTGCTTCACTTAAAGCGAACCTGCAAGCACTGTCAAACGTAGTCCACCAGCATTCGCTTGCTGACGTGGCCTACACCCTCTCCAATAAGCGTTCACGCTTTACCCACCGAGCCTTTGCTATTGTCGACAGAGACCAAGTAGCTCAAAAAGGTCTGAGCCTCAATGAGGAGCCGCGGATTTTTTCCTCACCTCAACATGTCCGCACCGCATTTGTATTTACCGGACAGGGTGCTCAGTGGCATGGAATGGGAGCACAGCTTTTTGAGTACGCCGTTTTCCGCAAATCAATCTCATATCTGGACTACGTCCTCTCTCTCTTGCCAACACCTCCTGAATGGAAGATTGCGGATATTCTCTCTGGATCTGAACTGTATGACCACCGGTTTATTCAGACACCTGCCGTCTCGCAGACTGTGTGTTCTGGACTGCAGATTGGTCTTGTTGACCTTCTCGCTTCGTGGTCGGTTCGTCCTGCCGGCGTGGTGGGACACTCCTCTGGAGAAATGGCCGCTGCGTATGCAGCCGGCCGCCTGACTGCTGCTGAAGCGATCACGGCTGCATATTACCGTGGTTATGCTGTTTCTTCCAACACGGCGAAAGGAGCCATGATAGCGGTAGGGCTTGGCCATAAAAAGGGGCAAGAGTATATTACAAGTGCTGGTTTGGATGGCCAAGTCAAAGTTGCAGCGATTAACTCCCCAGACAGCATTACAATGTCCGGGGATGTTGAAGCTATCGAGAAACTGGCCTCTAAGCTCACTACAGAAGGCATATTCAACAGATTGCTGAAGACAGGTGGTCTTGCCTATCACTCTCACCACATGCTTGCATTGGGTGACTATTACGCTAAGCTGCTTGATGATGGGTTCATGAGCCTGAAAGAGCTTATATCTACGGCTGGCAAATACCACCAGATTCCATGGGTGTCATCAGTCACGCCGAACAAAAAGATGCCCGGAGATCACGTGGCAGAGTCTTATTGGAGGGCAAACTTGGAATCCCCGGTATGCTTTTCTGAGGCTGCGTCCAAGTTACTTGACACAGCGGACTTGAACATCGGCTCAGTAATAGAAATTGGTCCGCATACGGCGCTCAAGAACCCCCTGGGACAGATCATCAAGGCACTGAATAAGAACATTCCATATGTCGCATCCGTAAAGAGGGGCGAAGATGCTCACAGATCGATGGTTGAACTCGCGGGAACACTATTTTCCATCAACACCGATGTGAATCTAGCTGCGGTCAATTCCGTTGATGAGGATGGTGCACTAGCACATGGTTGCATGGCCATCGATCTCCCTCCGTACAAGTATACCTATGGGCCTATCAATTACCTTGAGAGTCGACTGAGCAAAGAATACCGTCTCCGCAAGGTCCCTCGCCACGATCTTCTGGGTAGCAAGGTGGCCGGAACTACAAGACTTCGTCCGCAATGGCGCAACTTTCTACGCATAAAGGATCTCCCTTGGCTTGATGACCACCGCGTCCCACCACACGTCCTACACCCGGGAGCCGCGCATGTTGTCATGGCAATGGTAGCTGCTGAGCATTCTTATTTAGAGTTTCCCGACGCTCTCCCTATTGTAGGGTTTACCCTCCGCAACCTCTCGATTAAAAAGACGCTCGTCGTTCCCCAGGACGATTATGGTGTCGAAATTGTGATGAGCATGGAGCTTGACGACAGTGCAACAGCCAAGACGCCAGGTTGGTCGAGCTTCTCTGTTTCCTCTGTAGTTCGAGATACAGATCAATGGACGGAGCATTGCTCTGGTCTCGTGAAGGTCGAGGTTGCTTCTTTTGAGCTACCCACCCTAGTAGACTCGACCAACATGGATGGACGGGCCGTAAATGCCCAATCCTGGTACACACGTTTCTCTAACATGGGGCTCCATTTCGGTCCATCGTTCCAAGGTTACTCGGACATTCGTGCGGATCCAGCGATCAATGTCGCATCGGCGAAGTTGGCTTTGAATACGACTGCAGGGCTATTCCCTGGCGGCGAATCGAGCTATCCCATCCATCCAGCATCATTTGATCTCCTCGTACGCCTTGGGCTCATGGCCTGTAATGGCGGCCAGGCTGATACTCTCAGTGTGCAACTCCCTATCCATTTGGATGAGATGCGCTTCAAGCATGGGTTCCTGGATGGTCGTGACTGGGTAAGGGGCATCTCCAGGGCAGAGAAACGTGGACTGCGCAGCGCCTACGGCGACCTACAGATGATGGACGAAAGCGGCAACGTATTTCTATCTGTACAAAACATGAAGTTCACCAATTTGAACAACGATTTCGGCGACGCGGCTCTTTCCGCCAAGGCTTATTCTAGCCCATTCACTCGCCTTACTTGGAGGCCAGATATCCGTGCCATGAGCAAGGGCCAACGCCTTGTGTTGTTACCTCCCACCCCAGAAGAGGTCACCAAGCCGTTCCCTCAACTATCCAAGATATTTAGCCTCATTGGCCACGCCAACCCTAATATACGTGTTCTGCAGCTCAATAGTGGCAGTGACATAGGGGCGTCTTCAGCGGTTCTGAAGACATTAACAGGCCCTAATGGGATCAAAGCATACCAAAAATACGCCATAACCGACCCTTCCCCTGTTGAATTTACATCCCTACGCGAGCTGACGTCCGAGTACCAAGATATAAACTATTTTGCCCTAGACATTCAGAAGGACCCGCTACAGCAGGGAGCGCAGCAAGGTGCATACGACGTTATTCTGTGGCCAAATGCGGTAGATGCCTCTGAGAGTAGTTACGAAGCTTTGGAACACTGCAAGGCGCTTCTTAAACCTGGTGGCACATTAGTTCTAGTGGATATCAGCGGAGCAGATTCGGATGCCAAGTCATGGAATCCGGCGTTGGAACAAACCGGATTCGAGGCCGGTACAGAGCTTGCAGAGACGTTCTCACTTGATACGAACCACCATGGCACTGTCATACTCACTACCGCCATTGATAAGGACAAGGAGGTCAATAAAGGCAGTCCAGTTGTACACCTCCTTCACGGTGCTAACGGCGCACCCACGCTTCTCGCCCACTTGGCTCAGGCCCTGGAGAAGCGCGGTCTCTCCACCAAAACATTTCCACTTGACGAGGCGCGAGAGACAGTAGCTCCTAACTCTCGTGTGGTGGCATTTCTTGAAGGAGAAAACCTCTTACTCGACGCCGATCAGAACCGAATCAGCCTATTCCAACACCTCGCGGCGAACACTGCCACAATGGTCTGGGTTACGTCGTGCGGCCTGCCTAAGGCCGTGAATCCCGATGGGGCATTCATCACTGGACTATTGCGGACTCTGGGAACCGAGAATCCCTCCGCTCAATTCCTTTCTGTTGACCTAGATGCCAATAACTTTGAGGTCGGCGATGACGAAGTTCATGAACTGGTCCGCTGCATCATTGATGAAGAGGCAGCACTGCAAGGGCTTGGGGACAGCGTTGAGTGTGAGGTGAACCGCGACTGTGCCTGGCAAAATGGCTGCTTGTGGGTGAGTCGGGTCGTGCCCGATGAGGCTCTACAAGAGTATGCAGAGCCAACATTTACGCCGAGCGACAAAGATATGGAGTTGAAGGTAATGGACAGCCAAGGGCCCGTTCGTGCAGTATTTGGGACACCGGGCATTCTGGTGCGTACCCATGACCCACAGGGAACGACTTTTCCCTGGCCCCTTTCACTGAGAGAGCAATTGCTAACAGCCAGACATGTAAAGACTTCACTGTATTTCCGAACCTATACAGAGCTCTGGCAACCTCTGCCAAAGGATTGGATCGAGATTAAGGTAGAGGCAGTGGGCCTCAACTGGAAGGATCTTGGTCTGTGTTCCGGCCGCTTTGATCAGAATAACCTCTCAAATGAGTACGTTGGCATCGTCACGCAGAAAGGTCCGAACGTAGCCCATGTCGCCGTAGGCGATCGAGTCTACGGAATGGGTAAGGGCCACTTTGGAAACTATACGCGTGTTCCGGCAATCATCGCGCAGAAGCTTGGCCCAGAAATCGACCCAATCGAGGCCGCTACCATGCCTCTGGTCTATATGACGGCTGTCTATGCCCTTGAACATGTCACCCGAGTGAAGAGGGGCCAGAGGGTACTGATCCAGTCCGGGTCTGGAGGTCTTGGTATTGCCGCCATCCAACTTGCGCGCTCCAAGGGTGCCGACGTCTTTGCTACTGTCGGCACTGCAGATAAAGCCCGTTTCCTGGCCGAGGAATTGGGTGTTCCTTCTAGCCGTATCTTTTCATCCCGCGATATTGCAGACCTGCCACGCATGGTTACCGCCACGAATAACAATGGTTTCGATGTAATCCTCAGCACGTCTCAGGGTGACCTACTCTTCGAATCTATAAGAGCGCTGGCACCTATGGGTACTCTCGTTGATGTCGGCCGCTTGGATGTTACAAATTCTAAGACTATAGCCCTAGAGCTCTTCCAAAAGAGCGCGGGATTTGTGTCGTTCGATCTTAGTATCGTGGTGGACCGCAATCCTGCGCTTGGTGGAGAGCTGATGCGTGCGGTGGATGATTATCGCCGTGCTGGACACATCCATCCTATAAAGCCATATACAGTTATGGACATTTCTCAACTCGACCAAGCATTGCTCCGGTTCTCCAAAGGCACGCACATTGGGAAAATGGTGATATCATACCAGAGGCCCGATTCTATGGTCAAAGTGCAGCAATCGGTGCCGGCTGCCAAATTTGACCCTCAGTCACGCTATGTGCTTGTGGGTGGTCTAACTGGGCTTGGTCGAGCCATTGTTAGGTGGATGAGTGACCGTGGCGCGCGAGACTTAATGATCTGGTCGAGAAGCGGTGCCAAAAACCTAAGTGCGGAGTCTATTGCTTTGATAGATGGACTGGCCGCTAAAGGTGTACGCGTCCGACCGATCTCCTGTGACGTGAGCAATCGAGAACAGGTTCTCCAGGCTATGAAGGAAGCGAACGACGGCCGCGAGGTACGCGGTGTCTTCAACTTTGCCGTTGCGTATCACGATATCTCGTTTGATAAGATGACAGCAGAGCAATTTCACGCGGGCATGGCAGCCAAGGTCATCGGAAACAAACACCTTCACGAAGCAACTGCGTCTTTGCCCCTCGATTTCTTTGTTATGATCTCAACCTTCGGTACCTTCTTCGCTTTCCCTACGCAGAGCACTTACCTGGCGGCCAATAACTACATGGATTACTTTGCACGGTACCGCCACCGGCTGGGGCTGCCGGCCACGACGGTGGCCATTGGTCTGATCAGCGACGTGGGACCGCTGACACAGGGCACCATCACTTCCAATCTGTTTGTGCGTGCCAAGGGTCAAACAGTCACGGCAGCGCAGCTCTTGAGACTATTGGAGCCGGCCTTTGAGAGTAAGAGGGCCCGTGACAGGTCGCAAAAACACTGGCTTGGGTACTCTGAAGATCCTCTGTCCGAAGCAAACATCTTCACGTGTGTCGACCCTGCTGTCGGAGCCAAGATAAAGCTGGATGAGGTTCAGGCCAAAAAGGCGTCGGCCACCGACGTGCCTCGCTGGCACCGCGATCCGCGGGTTTCAATGATGATGCGTGCGACGGATGATGCATATCGCTACCAGAGCGGGGAGGGTGGTGCCAGGGGTGCCCAAGGGCACGATGACGCGAGTGACATGTCGCCAGCAGCACAGCTGCGGAGGCAGTTCGACCTTGCTACCAGCAAGATCAGATTGAATGCCGCAGATGGGGGGGATAGCAAGGAGCTCCACACTGAACTCGTAGAGCTCGTGACACAGGGCATCAAGGCGTCTGTGGCTGAGATGCTGTTCCTGGACCCTTCGGCCGTCAACGCGGCGAGTGGAGTAGCAGAGCAGGGCATTGACAGTTTGCTGGCTGCTGAGTTTCGGAATTGGCTGACGGTGGCATTTGCTAAGAACATTAGCATGCTCGACCTTATGGATGCGAGGAACACGATCAACGCACTCGCACTCGACATTGTTGACAATGCAGTTGCTAGGTAGATTGGTTTGGGAGAAGTCTCTTAAGGTATTCTTGGATTTTTTGGGTTCTTCGTCCGTGTCCACTCCTCTGCTTTTCTACATAATTTTTTCTGTTGGGCTCTTTTCTCATCACCTATTTGGGACAGTGATAGGGCTTCATCGAACTGAAAGCATATAGTAGGACTTATCTTTATGGGAACTTCGCAACACCAGGCATAAATAGTTCACTACGATCTAGCGTAGTCTAGCGTCTTTTTCAAACTAAGCCAATTCCATTATACACAAAATTACACATTTACGTAGTCATAGCTGAGTACGAGCCACCTTTCACGCCGGCCTTGCAACTCTAACTCTGACTTTTCGCTACACTTCGTAATGGGGCACACTCCTTCAGAGTTAGCCAGACTTTTAATACTTCTATCCTCTCCCGATTAATTACAGCACTTCTGGATACCCAGTTGATGTTACTAGTCGGTATGGGTGGTAGAATACTCCACTTTCATAGGACATGCAGTAGCACGGATCTCGCGCCGTGCCGGGTTAGATTAGGTTCGAAGGTTATTATTACTAGTGCATCAACTTGCATCCATACATGAGCATTGCCTTTTGTAGCTCGCAAGTTGGCGACAATGCCGCAATAACGGGGGAATAAGCAGCGGTGCGTTTTGAGCCGCCTATTTTGTGGGCCTAACAGGGTACCCGAACCTTGTGTCAATACCGCCTGAATCAAGAGAACATGAACAGGTCGAACAGGAAAGGTGTAGCCCGCGCCGAACCGAGTGCATGCCACAGTTGCGGCCGAAAAATTTCGGCCGACATGCTGCATACGCCCCGCCGTCCCTGGTACTCCATTGGGTTTTAAGGTTGCTCTCACATGTATATCCGTCTATTCCCGTAAGCCAACAAGCATCGAAGCTCAATGCGGGCGTGCACCAATCCCTCCCTCCCCTGCCCTCACCGGGGAACCTTCCGCGTCGGCTATGGTACGTAGTCACATTGATGATACCAGGGTCTGCAGCCAACCTAAAATTCTGTTTTGTGGCGTCTAGTACATAGTATTTGGCTGATATGCGGTGATAGCGGACATAAGAAATCATAAGCCCATGTTGGGGGCTTGTGTTGTTTGCAAACGCGAAGTTGAAGTGGCATCTTCCCCTACAAGTTGTTCGAGAGCACAAAACCATCTCTAGCCCAGGTTCCTCATTGTAAAGTGGCCATAACAAATAGCGTCACGGTTCTTCGTGCCGAATGACAAAGCCACCTACTGGGTGCCCTGCAGGGATCAACCAATCATCATGTCACCTGAACATACAACAGAACCGAAGACGAGCATCGCCAACGAGGAGAGCCATCGCACAGATAGCGACGACCATACCTCTCCGCAAGAGACGACTCCTATATCCGGCAACACGATGGGCAGCAACGACAAGGAGAAAATGGCCGCAACGGATACGCCCTCTGCTGACGCAACGGCGAATGGCGACAAACGCGACATCACTGGCACGCGCTGGATCCTAATATGCGCCGCCCTCTATCTGTCATCTCTAATGTATGGCCTCGACACCACCATCGCCGCCGACATTCAAGGGGCCGTCATTGAGACGTTTGGAAGTGTGCCCCAGCTGTCCTGGATCGGTGCCGGATTTCCCCTTGGCTCCGTGGCCGTCATCCTGCCTTACGGTTTCCTGTATACCGCATTTAACATGAAGTGGTTATACATCGCAGGCATTGTGTTGTTTCAGGCCGGCTCTGCTCTCTGTGGTGCAGCACCCACTATGAATGCCCTCATCGTGGGCCGAGTGTACGATTGGAACCCGCGGTCCGCACCACCACAAGTATTATCGCTAACCCTCAGGTTCCAAACAGGTTCGCTGGCGCTGGCGGAACAGGGATCTACCTCGGTGGCCTGAACCACTTCTCTGCCTTGACCACCAGACAAGAGCGAGGCACCTACCTTACCGGCATTGGCTTCATCTGGGGCGTTGGCTGCATTCTTGGCCCTGTTGTGGGTGGAGGCTTCTCGGTCTCGTCGGCGACGTGGCGTTGGGGCTTCTATATCAACCTCGTTATCGGTGCTCTCAGTGCCCCTATCTACTTATTCTGCCTGCCCGCTATTCACCCAGCATCCGACAAGTCGTTACGTGAACGAATTGTCAGTCTGGATTACGTTGGTTTCGTGCTATCCGCCTCAATGTGGGTTTTCTTTACAGTGGGCTTCATCTTCACTGGAGCGGTCTGGGCGTGGAACGATGCCGGCACTATCGTCATGATCGTGCTTTTTGGTGTCTGCTTAATTCTTTACACGATACAACAGTATTTCTGCCTCTTCACGAGCCGAACGACGCGCTCCTTCCCGGGCCAACTGCTACTCTCGCGCACCCAAATCCTCATGTACATCACGACGACATGCGCCAATGCCAGCATGTTTTTCACCATGTTCTACATACCCATCTGTAAGCGGTCACTGCGAGACAACCTAGGCGTCATTCCCCCAAAAGCCTGAATATGACCCGTGTAGCATTCACGAAAACAATTACTAACCCATAAATCATCCCCAGACTTCCAGTTCGTACAGAACGACAGCTCACTTGTAGCTGCGGTTCGACTGCTGCCTTTCGTTATAGTGCTCATCACTTGCAACCTCGCTTCAGGCTGGGCGCTGCCAAAGGTCAAATATTATTTTGCGATGTGCCTCGTCTCGGGCCTCATCATGACCCTGGCTTCGGCGCTCTTCTTTGCCTATCTATCGACCTCGGCGCCGACTAGTCAAATCTATGGCTTCAGCATCTTGATGGGCTTTGGTGCTGGCACGACCATGTAAGTCCCCAATCTGGTACCCAGTTGTGGTGATTATACTGACATCGATGGAATTAGGCAACTGGGATACGCCGTAGCGAGCTTGAAGGCCCCGCAACCGTCAGATGTCTTTCATGCAATCAACCTACAGAACATCGCGCAAATTGGGGCCACCGTCATCTCCCTCGTCATCTCGGGTCAGGTCTTCCAGTCGACAGCTGTTCGAAATCTCAATGGCGTCTTAGCAGGCTTGGATTTTAGCGAGGCAGAGATCAAGAGTCTTGTCGCCGGGAACCAGAGCACGGTGTTCCAATCCCTTGATCTCGGTCTGCGTGAGGCAGTCATCAACGCCATCATCACGGCCATGCAAAGGGCCTTCATTATACCCCTTGTCGCTGGTATTGTCAGCACTTTTTCTGCCCTCTTCATGCACAGAGAGAGGATTTTTTGAGTAATTACAAGCCTTTCTTGCATTATGAATATAGATATATGTGTATATATATGATATTTTAATCCCTCTTACGTTCATCAAGTACAATGTGCTATCATTAGGTATAGACCTTGTAGATCTTCGACCAACCTTTAATCCCGATTTAGTGTTTGGTGTGAGCCACTGTGCTGCTCTATGAGAATATTGCCATCCTTTCCAGCGGCCTAGCAATAAGCTACACCGCATCATCTTGCATTGCGATCGCTTCTCGGAGCCTAAGGTCATGTTTCCAGATCACTGGTGACATGTTCGCCGCCGCGTGCAACGACGTATCCCCATTTCGTTTGGGACGTCGGTTGCTGCGCCCAATGTCAAGAGTCCCAGAAACAACGGCCTTTCTTGGGGACCACCATCGCCGCAAGGTACAGCAAAGCATTGCCATCGCTATTATTCTCGTGCGCGGAGTCATCATGACGTGACAGCAATCTAAGCAGCTGCATTCCATTTTATCATCGTCTGCACCAACGTTGACGGGCTCGCGATGGCAATTATATGGGCGCTAGTCCTGCAGCCAGGTGATTTCAAATCGAGATCAAGCGCTGTGTTCGACCAGGAGTGTCACCATGCTGGTGTGAAGTGTACGCCTGGTTTTCCCATCATCCGCGTCAAACCCAAATAGTATAACAAGCTGCAGGGTTGTGTAGTTGCTTCCGTATCGTGTATGACCATGTCTGCCGTGGAACAGGACACAAGGAAGGAAAGTGTGGTGAAAGCTTGAGCAGCGACTCGTTTCCAGGAGGATTAGGGCACTCTCCTTTTTGGACGCCTAATGCAAAGGTGTCCTGCCATAGAAATCGCAGCGCTCAATCATGTAATTAAAACAGATGCTCCAACAGATTTAATGTAATACAGAAACGTGATAATACATAGGGTATCGTATTTGATTAACTCCAATATGTTTAATATGTTTTGATAGTTCTGAATCTGTTCCCACTTCACTATCGAAGGACCAAAGAACATGCCTTTCATTAATTCTTCCTCCGCTCACGCACCATCTCAACCAACATCTCCGGACTCATGGCCGCCCCGCGAACCTTGTCCAGGAGCTCATCCGTGTCGGCGCCCGCGATAATCTGCCGTAATTTCGTCGAGCTGAGGTTGGGATCCAGCGCCCGCTCCTCGCACTTGACGAACCGAATTGTGTAGGATCTCCGTCCGCTCTCCCGACAGACCCAGACTTCGCCCTTCTTAGCCTCTAGCTCTCCCGTCTGTTCTTGCCCCTGCCCCTGGGAAGAACTACTACCAACACCATCCTCATCACCCTCACCACCGTCGCGAGTTATCACCCGCTCCCACGGCGCGAACCCGACCATGTCCTCCAGCTCCGGCGACCCGGGCACCACGAAGTCGGCGGCGCGGCACACGTCGGACGTGACGACGCCGTGGAGCCCGGATTTCTGCGGGCGCCACCACTCGACGTAGTCCGGGCCCAGCAGCTCGTGCATCTCGAGCGCGAAGCCGTCGTCCTGGCACGCCTGCATCAGCCGCCACAGGAAGCCGAACCAGTCGTCCAGGGGCCGGGGGAAGACCCAGACGCCCCTGCGCCGCAGCGACGCCGGCAGCCCTTGCTCCAGCAAGGCCTTGCGCTGGTCGAACGGCAGGTGCAGGCCGCCACCTTGCGGCGAGGCCGGCGTCGTCCTCGACTCCCTGGCGAGCTTGCGCTGCACCCAGCGCTCGCCGTGCGTGATGGCGATGATGGCCACCGCGTTGAAGTCCGGGTCAGCCTCGTGCCGGCTGTGCTCTAGGACATGATCCATCAGTGCCTGGTGGCCGAGGTGTGGCGGGTTGAAGCTGCCGATGTAGTAGATGATGCGGTTTGTCTTGCCTCTCCTCAAGGTGGGCGGGGCGATGGCTGGGTTTGTCGCTGCGCTTTCATCACTGGCGACCCCGAAAGGATGCAGCTGTTCGTTTGTTTTCCATGCTTTCTGGATGTAGGTGTCCAGCCGCGCCGTTTCAGGGGGAGAGACAGATGCTGCCGGGGTCGTCATGCTTATCTTGCTCTTCTGGATAATGTCCCAAAATGGCATGTTGTATTCTGTTCTGGAAGGTATCGTTCTAAGTATATAGGCTTTTATGGCCTTCATATGTCGCAACTCCTCATCGAATGTCACGCGTAGTCTCTTCTAGTCAGCTCTGGATAGAAACAACTATCCAAGCTGGTTTATGTTGTGAAACAATTCCTTTGTCAAAGTCCAGCGCTGCCAATGTCTGCCTGGGGCGCAGGCACCTGTGTGGGTGGCCAATGAGGCTTCGCGCAGGCAGCAACCCCTGATCCGTGAATTAGTTACCTACATCATCACAACATGATGCCATTATGGTACAGTCATCGCGGTTCTGGACACGTTTTAATGATAAAATATTAATTATTTACAAACTGCACCGTAAATTCCGCATCTTAATTTTCCCCGTTCATCACCAAATCAGCTAGCTTATTGCTCCCCAAGCTGGGAAGAAGCCTGGCTTCTCTTGTTTCGCGCGAATTGAAATAACGAAAGCCGCTTTCCTCATGCCCGGCTACGTAAAGTACAGAAAACAAAGGAAAATGAACTATCAACCCCCCATGAAAATCATCACTCTCGAAGTAGCGTGAGTGGCCGATCTGTTGTGCGTTGATAGTGGTGCAAAGGAGTGTGTGCGTATGTGCGTGATTATTTCTGCTTCTTGTTGCGCGTGAAAAGCAAGTATAGGTGGCGTACAGGGTATCAATCTAGAGTCGCAAAGATATAGCCAACCATGGGAAATTTTTGAGGCAACGGGTAGGAGGCAGCCACTATATAGCGCCCGCCTCAACTCCCAGAAGCCTTGGTATCATTCGGTACAAATGAAATAGGTTTGAGAACCAGGGGTTGCCCAGGGTTCGTCAAACTTCCGACGACCGCGCACTGATGTGCTGTTTAGTCGTCGAAGAATCCAGCGTCGTCAAAGTCTTCGATATGATTTGCATCGGAATCGTATCCGCTGGAGCGCACCATCGGAGGGGTCACAGGTCCTCCCCTCTGGTCAGATATCCGCCGTGGTGGCGTTCCAGGCATAGGCATCTTCTCTGCTTGTCGAGCGGTCACAGAAGGACCACGAGATCGGTTGGCAAACTGCTCCGCCGTGTAACGACGTCCAGTGTTGCCGAAAGCTGTTGGCTGTGGCTGGCTCTGCTCAGCGAGCGCCGGTGGTGTGTTACGCAGACCTGAGGCTGGCGGAGTCATGAGACCCGAGAGAAAGCTGCTCTGCGAAGCAGGACTTGGGTTACTCTTGGAAGGGGTCTGGTTCCTCCCGGCGCCGGGGGACGACAGAACGCTCGAGAGGTTGTTGAGACTTGGTTGATTGGCTTTGCGCCAATTGCCCCAAGCTGCGGCGAGAGGACCGACAGCTTGAGCAACTCGCGGAGTAGCAGCACCCTTGATAGCAGCAGCAAGTTCGGGCAGGTTAATGGCGGAGCCACCATTCATCGCCCTCTCCCTTTCCTGTTGCTCCATTTGGAGGTTGGCTTTCAAGCGGATCGTTGCATCCTTGACAGCTTCTCTGTTGTAGCTGTCGGAGGACAAAGCAGTGATGATATCCTGCAGATCGCTATGCCGGACAGCCAATAGCTCACGCAGCCAAGTGATCTCGTCGTCACGCTTGGTGATCTTCGTAGGAGCATCCGGGTCAAGCTTGGACACGGTCTGCTCAAGTTCTTCAATGTGTTGCTCGCGAGCTTGAAGTTGCTCTTGGAGAACCATGATGGATTCCCGGAGGGCCTGTGGCGAAATCTTCTCTGGCAGCTGCATCGCCTGTGTAACTGCGGGCTTCGCAGCCGTGGATGCAACTTGCACAACTGACTCGGAAGCGCCTGCTGCCTTAGCAGCCTGGGCCGCCGCTCTAGCAGCTTCTTGTGCAATCTGCACTCTCTCTTCCAGATGTGTTACGCGATCCTGTAGGTGTTCCGTCTTAGATGTAGATAGGCTCAACCGTTCAAGCAACAGAGACTCTGCGCGCTGGGCATCCTCCGTCTTGTTGTTCAGCTCACGCTCGAAGCGAGTTTGCAGGTCTTCGAGTTCGTTCTGGTGCTTCTGAATGACCTCGTCAAGATCCTTTGTGCGCGTGGTCTGCGCCTCCTCAAGCATCATCTCGTGATGGGCCTTGGCAGTATCAGCGTCCATGTTGACCTGCTCGATCTGGGCGCGGAGCTTGTTGAGTTCCTCCTCAAGCGCTACCTCGTGGGCCTCCTTCAGAGCTTCGTTGGCTAGGTGGGCTTGAGTAAGCTCAGCGCGGATCTTGTCAGCCTCTTCCTCGAATTGGGCGCGAGCGATGTTGACCTGCTCATTGGCAGCATCAAGCTCGCTTTGCACGGACGTGCGCGTACGCTGGACCTCGGTGGCTGCGGATTCCTTGGCCTCCTTGGCCTCGCGTTGGAAGTGAAGCGCTGTGGTCTGGATCTTGTGGTTCTCGCTGCGCAGTTCTCCGAGCAGTCCTTCCAGGCGCTTGCATTCAGCAACAGCTCGCATACCCGCTCGCTCGCCGCCTTCAAGCCTCTCGAGTTCGGCCTCGAGGCGCTCACGAGTCCTCGATTCAGCTTGGAGTCTAGCATCAAGAACCTCTTGGCGTGCGATGAGAGCTTGTTCCTTCTTGGTACGTCTGCTGTTCTCTTCGGAGATCTCACGGGCGGCATGGGCCATGTCATCTTGCATGGAGACAAACTTGGCGCGCCAGTTCTCCCGGATCCTCTCGGTCTCGGATAGTTGAGTGCTGAGAGTGTCGATGACCTTGCGGAGGTGCTTAGCCTCCTCCACAGCGCCGACAAGATCATCGGTCTGTCGTCGGTTGGACTCCCGTGCATGTTCAGCCTCAGATCGCCAGTGGCGAGCTTCTTGCCTAGCTCCGCGCAGCTCCTCGTCGGTAGCATTGAGACGGTTGGTAAGATCAATCTGGTTCTTGTCGGCATTGGACTGAGCCGCCTCAAGCAGAGCGAGTCGCATAGTGCTCTTGCCAGCTGCTTGTTCTACGGCCTTGACCTTCTGGTCTCGTTCTTCGAGAACAGAGCGCAGGCGGTCCTCTTCCTCCGAAGAGATACGAAGAAGGCGTTGGATCTCTGAAAGTCTATCTTCAGCCTCTCTCCGACCGTGCAATTCAGCATCGGTCTTTGCTTCTTGATGCTGGAGTCTTTCTTCAAGATCATGGATGCGCTGATCATATACGCTCCTGTTCATAATCTCAACCTCTACTTTGGTTTCTGCTTGGTCGAGTTGGCGCTGCAATTCAAAGGAGCGGTCTTCAGCACTTCGTCGAGTAGTGGTCTCCTTCTCGACGTGTGCCTCCTGGTCCTTGAGTCGCTGCTCAAGCTCGTGAATCCTTGCTTGCATTTCTGCCATCTTCAATGTCGCCTCATCATCATCTTTGACGACCGGGGGCGGAGTGGGAGGCAGGCGGTTCTGCACAGCTTCTTCAACAACATTGCGGAGATCTTCTGCGCGGAAGTCGAGATGGAGCGATTGGCTGAATTGCTCTCTCATCTCCTGCAACTCCTTCAGAACGGAGCTGTGGTCAAGTGCAGAAGCTGGCTCGGTTTGTTCGACAACGCTCTGCAATGCACGGCTAGCGTGGTGTTGGTTAAGCGCCTCAAGCACAGCGAAACGCATCTGTTCCATGCGCTTGTTTCTTTGAGGGCTGATGGACCGACGAGCAACGGGCATGTCATCATCCTCGTCATCTGCATCGCTTTCCTGGACCTCAGCGGAGACGCTGCGTCTCTCTGGGCGGCTGGACGGTGTTCGGCGAGACATAGCAAGCAGGGCGTGCTGAATAGTTCCTAGGGTCTTTTCAAGCGGATCGAGGCGATCAGCCAAGATATCTCCAACCAAGCCTTGGACATGGCCATCGAAGTAGTGAGCACGCTGCTCAAGTTTATCCTGCTCGTCGGCACTGAAGGCTTTATCCCACTCCTCGCTTTCTGTGGCATCGCCGCTGCCCAGGTCATGCACTGGACCTTCAACATCGAACGACTGAGTGAGTGCACTTCGCGGAGGATCGACGAACGGATCCTCAAGTTCAGTCGATAACATGGGCGGTGCCATTTCTTGAGGCAAAGTCCTGTATTCGCGTGGGCTGGGGCTGGGGCCGTCGCTTCTGAGCTTGTCGTGCGGTGGTAGATAAAGAGGTGATGAATCCTTAACTGCAGCGAGAGAAATGTGTTTGGCAGGACTGGTTTGGCGCCATTTGGGAGACTCCAGGGTCCTGTTAACACCCATGGTCGGATCATTCTCGTTCAGGTGTTGCATCACTGCGTCAATCTCCTCGAAAGTGAGTTCATGTTCCGTCTTCTCGGTCTTGTCATCACCCGGTACAGACGGTGGGCTGACAGGCATCGGGATTGACTCATTGAAGCTGTGAAGCGCCAAAGGTTCGCGAGCCTTATCGTCGTCGGTTCCATGTCCCTCTGAAATCGCTCTATCTGTTTCAGGAGAAGGTGAAGCAGCAAATTTAGGGCTAGGGAAGCTCTTCACAGGCTCCGGCTCCGGCTCAGGCTCCGATGGAGCAAACCGTGATGCACCCAATCCTTGACGCGGTGCAGCGAAACGAGAAGCAGCCAATCCGGATCGAGCTGGCTTGGGAGGCTCGGGAGACGGTTCGCGTACTTTAGCATCTGCCACTGGCCGGGGCTCTGGGCCTGGAGTTGGCGAGGCAGCTCTGTCATCTTCGCTTTCACTGGGATCAACCATCTGCTGAGGCTGGGTTTTCAGAATAGGCTCGAAGGGAGCAGCCAGAGGGTTTGGTGCACCAAATGTAAACGAACCAGCAACAGGCACAAAAGGCTTGGCAGTTGCGGAAAGACTCTTCTTGTGGCCTTTCTGGAAAGGATCGAAATCACCAAAGGGCCTAGCGTTATTGAAGTCGTGAACCTCGGCATCGTTCTTGAACTCGAATGGAAGCCAGTTGGCCTTGTCTTGGTCGGGAGACGTCGCAGACGGACTGGTTGTAGCCTTAGTGTTGGATTCCGACTGCAACTTCCCATCAGTAGATTCGGACAGCACAGTCGAGGCCAGCGTAGTGTCGCCAATTGCAGCGTTCTCGTCTTCCTCGTCTTGACTTTCTTCAACGACTGGCTCCTTTGCGGGTGCTTTCGTCTGCGTGGCCATCAAAGGCTCGGGTTCCGGTGTAGGCTCCGCAAAGAGTGGAATATCCTCACCATCGTCGACATCCTCGCGGAACTTCTTACCGCGGCGGGCTGCATCTGTCAAACGACCATCCTTATCGACTTCGTCCTCAGGGGCCGGCGCTGGACCAGGTGTAGGAGACTTTGAGTGGCGACTAGCCGGTCGGACGATGGGGATGGCCTTGCTTTTCTTCGCTGGCTTAACAACATCTGCGAGATTGAGGTTGATGCTGCCGAAGATGGAGCCCGGGCGGGTGTCTCCGCTTTCGTTGCCGGAAGCCGCAGCGCTTGTGACGGACGCAGAAAAGGAGCTGAGTGGCTGGAAAGTAGGCGCATCGGGGTTGAACTTGGGCCCGGAAGCCGAGAAGCTGAAGTCGCTTTTCCCGGGAACATTGAAGTCGCTCTTGGGAGGGAAACTGAATTCACTTTGATTCGGAGAGAACACCGGTGCCGCAGCGTTAATCCTGCCCTTCGATGAGGAAAGCGACGGAACGCTAAAATGGCTCGAGGTAGCTGACTGAGGTGGCATCGACGAGAAAGAGGTCTGGAAAGCAGCAGGCTGGAAACTGCTGGCCGTCGGTTCGAAACTGCTTTGTCCAAAGCTAAACTGACCTGGCGTGAATGAGCTGGTGGGGTTGAACTTGAATTCGGTAGCATTGGCATTCAGCTTCGACAGAGACGGCTTGCTGGCATGGCTGGTGCGGCGTGAAGGTGGTTTGCTACCGTTGAAGGACTGAACTTCGGCCCACGGGTTGCTAGTGTTCGAGAATGAGCGGTCGTGGAAAGCGTTCGACATGCCGAAGTTGGACACTGGTGTTCCCAAGTTGCTAGGGTTGGTCTCAATCTCGTAAGATTCATCGTTCTTCTGCTGGCTGAAGGTTTGCGGCTTGTTCATGCTACCCTCGTCGGTGCTGTCCCGTACCTCGTCATTGTCAAAGAAGGGTTTCTGGGTAAGAGAGTGACCACGGCTGTGCGGTCGAGGGTGGTGCAGGACAGGGCCTTCATCGGAATCCGTACCAAAGTTTCCAAAATGAACGGATGGGCCTCTCGTGTGTAGCGGCAAGGGAACGTTAGCAGGGTCTATAGGCGCGTTGCCGGCTTCCGTCTTCTCATTCTCTTGATGAGGACTATAATCTTCATGTTCCAGCTGCTCTCGGAACTGCTCCTCCAAGTGGTACTCGGCATCATCAATCTCTTTCTGCAGACTAGCACTGGCGTTGTGCTTGATGAATTGACCAGCTTCGGGCGTCTTGGAGGGGCTCTTGTTCTCGTATGGGTTGCTCTGAGTCTCTTCGTCCACCTCACGCAGTTCCTGCAAGCGCGGAGATGCCCTTGCGGAATCCTGGCGCTGGAGCTGTTGGTGTGGAAGCATTGGGAATTGTAAGGACTGGTGTCGCTGGTGCAGCCCAAGTGGCGAAGGTATCCCCTCGTGCTGGAAGGGCGATGTTGGGGACTTGATCGAGCCCAGATTCATGGCTGAGGGAGAACCACTGCGGCCAAACTGCTGTTGCAGCAGCATCGACTGGGGAGACCAGCCGTGCGGGGACGGTTGACCAGAGAAGTGGAATGGAAGCTCATTAGGCGAGATTGAGATAGAGGCACGTGGGTTGAATTTGCCTGGCAAGCCGTTGAAGGATAGCGGCGAAGCCACCGAGGGAACTGTAGGGCTCTGTGTAGCGGAAGTACCGTGGAAAGCGCCAGGAAAAGGGAAGCCTTGGGGGCCAGCGCTCGCTGCGGACCCAGTCGGAATAGGGGGCGAAAACGGTAATGGAGGATATTGGTTCGGCATCATGTTCAAAGGCGCAGGGGAGATTGAGGGCTGCTCTGCGGGTTCTTCATCTCCAAAGGACACACCAAGCGCCCTAAGCTTGGCCTCATTCAGCTCATTAACGTAGTCCTTCCAGGCGTTGAGATCCGGTAACGTGACCTTGTACTTGCCATTGGACCGGTCTCTAGCAATATCATCCAAATTTGGCCATAGATTTCGGCTCTGCGAGTAAGCTTCCAAAGGGTCGAGGGACGTGTCTTCGACCTCGAAGGCGGCATCCAAGTCGAAGCCTCGCGTGTTGTAGCCCAGCTCGTCCCATGAACGGAACATTTCTGCGGTCTTTTCCGCAGTCAGTGGGATGGGCCTCTGGGTACCATAGCCCCTCTCTTCATCCCGAGGAAGATGAACCATAATGTTCTTGCCCTTCCATGGTACCTTCTTCTTGAGCCGGGGCGTCTGAGCCGAAACTGGCTTGGTAGGTTTTGTGGGAGTAGCGGGAAGCTGAATCGAGCCATTCACGCTCGCCTTCCGCTCAAAACCGGGGGTTTCCACCTTGGCCGCTTCTGACGTAGATTCGACAGTGTGAATGCTGGCGGCATCCTGGGCAGCATGGCCCAGTTCTAGAGTAAAACTGTCCATGGCTGCGGTGGCAGTGTTGACACTATTCGACACTGCTTGCTTGAGGGTCTCGCTGCTAGAACGGGATCTGGGGTGGCGACGTGAAGTCCGGCGGGGCTGCTGAAGCAGTCGTTGGGCTTGTATCGCCTTTGGTCGTGGCGTGCGAGGGTCGGTCTCCTCAAACCAACCAGCGTCGTCGCCAGAAACAGAGCCGCTCAATGAAGAGTGCTCGCTGAAATCCCCGTCGCTCAGCCAATGGCGGTGCTCCGAGGTGAGATCGTTGGTTGTGTGAGCACGAATCCACTCCTCAGTGATGCCACCAAGGGGTCTTCGAGCACGGTTCAGAAGCACGGCTGCGCTGTCTGACAGACGAGATTGCTGCGACTGGACCTGACCAGTTGGCGAAACTCCGGGGACTGCTCTTAGGAAGGGAGTCGCAATCTCGAGCTGATGGATTGGCGAATCGTCCGAGGGCTCGCTACTGAAGCTCTGCCGTCGAAGATGACGCCGGGCGTTGGGTGGATACGGAGAACCCCAGCTCGCGGTCACGTACTGAGCACTGCGATCCTCGGGCTCGGATTCGGACTGAGGCGAGTCGACTCTTCGTAGATGCTCCCGTGCTCGATCCGGCAGTTTCGGGGCGGGCAGCGACGGTAGCACGGGGGAGGACGAGATGCCGTCGTCAGAGCCGTCGACGGTCGAGCTGGTGGAGAAGGCAGGAGATCTCGGCGAATGTAGGGCTCGAGATGGCGAGGCTCCTATGCTGTCCCGTGCGGCAGCACTAGGAGAGCTCGGGGTCCTTGGGGGAGACGTCTTCAAGGCGCCTTCATGCCGACAAGAGATGTTAGTGACGAGATGCTTCATAGGCTGCGACGCGCATCACGACTAGGCACTCCGAGACGGGAGGCTCTGGATGATGGCCAGGTGAGGCGGGTCGCCGGGATGTTGCCTGTGGCGGGAGCGTACCAATGTGAGATCAGCGCAGACGAAGGGAATATCGCCTGCTACTGAGTCTCAAAATTCTTCTCTGGCGTCGCCAATCAACACCTCTGCAGCCCAAGAGTCATGCGGACAACTCTAGGCTATCAGGGGGCTTCTCGGGACGTGTCGTTCGCGACGCGTTTTTTTCTTTGGGCTGGATGGAAAATGAGTGGTATGAGACCCAGGGGTCCGGGTGGCCCAAAGAATAAAGAGGCAGCGCTGGAGAAGAGGCGGAAGAGAATATTAAAGGAGCGGGAAAGGAGCACGACTCTGAGCGATTGTCGAATGCATCGGATCGCAGTCGCTTGTCGGCTTGGAAGCTGAGGGTCGAGTCGGCGGGTTGGGCAGTCGAAACTGATGAACTCGAGTCGACGGACGGACAACGGACGACAAGCAAACAAACGACGATACGTAGGCCAGACGCGGGAGACGTGTGTGGAGAGCGCGGAGAGAGACACACACATAGGTCAGACCTTGTTAGCAGCACTGGACTGGACGTACAGGAGTGCAGCACACTGGACTTTCTGCCGGGACTGGACGCGATGATTTGGCCAGGGATTGCCACGCCTTGCTGTGCGCCAATGCAGGACCAGGAGCTGGGAAGAGCTGTCGAAATTAAATGCCGCCTTTCCTGTTCTGGCCCCCCCGGTGCCCCATTGGTGATGAGCTGCGCGTCGACTGTTGCGAGGTACCTGGGCGCCGGGGCCTCGCCCACCGGGGACAATGCGGGATTGTCCCACCGCCCGCGTATTTCCCAACAACCCCCTTTTATCCCGGCCCATTTCAGAATTGACAGGCGGGCCCCTCCATGAGCACATGGGCAGACCCTGACCCATTTCTCTAATGAGGTCTGGCCGTTTTTGATTCGCTCGTCTCCCTCCAAAATGTTCTGCCAACACAGCCAAAGACGCGATTGCGCTGTCTGCAACAACTTGGGATACTCTGCTATACTGTCATAATGGACTCTTTCTCTGCTCACAACAAGAGATTCTGCGGTGTATTCCTCCGTGACAGTAGGGGGGCCCGCCTGGCCTCTTGCCGCTGCGAAATTGCACGGATCCCGAGACAATTGCGGCTCAAATTAGAGTGGACACCTGCTAGCTGCTACCTTATTCCGGGGCTCGGAAAGGTGCAAGCCGTCCACCCACACATGCCTGTGCTTATCCTTCTTTATACGCGTGGCTTCTTGCGATGGGCTCAACTGTGATGTGTGCTGTGAGAACGAACCGTTTGGGCCGCGGTGATGCTAAAGAACCAGCATTGAGCCCTTTGAACGCGAGTGTCTTCATATGCCTTTTTACAACTTGCTTTACTTTACATGTAAACAACCATCTCACCGTTAGACTCGAGTGAGACGTCGGCATCGCTGCAAATAAGGTGTTGGTGAATTCTGCTAGATTTTGTGCTCAAAAGATAAGATCCGCCCCGTCCAGGCCATGGAACATCGAATCAGAAACAAGTCAGAATATATATAAGTGCCAAATTTTGTCACTCGTCCTGATAACAAGATATCTACCACAACCCTGCTCTTGTTCTCTCAACAGACTGCCTTGGCAAGTCCGATTCGAAAGTGCGAGTGACGCGGTTCAGAAGGTGATATCATCTATCGCCTAGAAGAATTCCAAGAGCCATTTGTTCCCACTTGGTGTGCGCTCCGCTCAATGAGCAGGAAGTTCTACCACATAGCATCCTGCGTCACATATCATTACGCATTGCGGGCAACCCATTAATACCAAAGGACCAGACATGGCAGTGGATTCTGGTGAACTCCATATTGCTTCTTGGGAGTGCATATTGCTTCTTGCATAGTGGAATATATGAGTCCCGGCAGACTAATACCGTCACAAGCTCGGCAACCTATGAAAGTCGGGTTGATAGCTTGACCCTGCCGTCAACATTGGCTATGTCAAGCCTGTACATGAACCCAGCCTTTCGAGTCTTTGTTCATCGTCGAGCCCCGTGAAGGTTTCAACCCTCGCGAGATGACTCTTGTTATCAGGCGGCAAGTCCCTGGATCACCGGATGCCTATTCCATAAGACACTTCTGTTGACCTTCAAATAGCTGTTTTGTTGTAATCGCTTACGACCTGAGCCACTTTTGAACAATATGAACTGACATACGTGTCGCGGTGTCGGGCAGCACAAACACAGTCGCTAGTCTTGAGCTTCACTAACATGGAGTTCAAATTCGAATGACAACTTGTACGATGGTAACTGCTTGTGGGCTCCTTCCGCTTATGCACTGAACTCATTCATTGCTGTCACATCAAGCACGTATCCCCCATCTTCGAACAGCATGACTCGTGCTCATTACCAAGGCAATAGGCTGGCCGACGGTGTCTGTCGCCTGCAGGGCATCAGCACCATATAGAACTATCCGGTATCGTCATGAGAGCAGTTCAGTTCAAGACCTAGGTGGATCTCGGTGAGGATGATCAAGAGGCCTATATCTTCAACATGGCTGCACAAAGTGACACAGGAGGACTTTATACTAAGACTCTGTGAATGACTAATCAGCGCGGGGTGGAGTCAACGCGAATGGCGTCTCAGTGTATCCATAGCATGTCAGTGTCAGTGGTCTGCAGAAGTCTAGCAAACCACCATGTAATACGCGTGCAAAGATGAAACCACTGAAAACGCAGTATCGGGGTCGACAAGTACATAGGAACGATGCGAGACGCAAGCTTGGGGGCCAACGGGGCTGGTTTGTGTTGAGGTGCTGCTGGATTCCCAGCAGAAGGATGTCATGGCACGCTCGAGACCGCAAGAGGAAGGTTGAGGCCGCTGCAAGGCTTGGTCGGTTACCGGATTCGGGCTGGGGCTCAGCCAGTCAGCAGCGCAGGAACAGCGCCGGGCAGCGCGAGAGCGAAGAAAAAAGACGTTTATGATGCACTGTGAGATGCATTGCATGGAAGCGACCCGGCTCCTGCGCCTGCTTCTTCGCCACCCGCCGAACCCTAGTCGGTCGGTCGGTCGGTCGATCACAAAGGGCTGAAGGGTCGCGGGGCGAGCAATGACGATGTTCTGCCCCAGACCCCGAGCCTGCCAAGCAAGCACAAGAAGCGCGAGAAGCCGCCAGGTATAGCAAAGCATGCCGTGCCGTGACGTGCGAAGGTAGTGTCAAACCAGGTTTTGCAGAGGGGTCCAATAGTACAAGCAGTTATTGATCAAGCACTCTATCCGAAGCCAAGAACGACACAGGGACCCGGGTGGCATCGGCGGTGGATCTGCTCTATATCCGGACACCCGAAATAGTCGCTTTAAATGGTGATGTTCTGTCTGAGCAGCAGTCGTTGACTCGGTACGACAATGCAAGATACGTTTATGTACATGTCATATTCGAGTGGACAACAAACTGGTCGTCAAGACTACCTACGGTAGGGATGTAAGTTATGTGTGTGAGTTGCGGCTTAGTCGTCGACAACAACCACCCATATTTGGTCGGGTGAGACCATCCTGGGGGATTCCAGACAGTCGGATGGCACCAGCGAAGTTTGTTTCCTGCACTGGCGCAAGGGGGGTGTGGCCCCAGGTGGGCGATATGCGCCTTGTCAGCCCATCAGCTCGTGTAAAAACAGACTGCAAGCACGTTGGAAAAGCACGATGCTGCCTTGAGTCGTTACACAGTCAGACAACGGGGGATGCATCGCTAGTTGCGCAAAGCAATGCGTCGCATGTGACGGGCTGGAGTGCAGGACCAGTGTTTAGTGTGCAGCGTTTTGCTCTGGTCGTCTGGCTGCCGAACGGCACACGCGCTCGCCGCGACGACACTGGTCTCGCTCTGTTACTAACTTGCCCTTAGCGCTCCCATAACTAATGCACTGGCTGCGCTGTGTGGGCTAGCAGCAAACGGGGTGGGCCGGTTAGTGGACGGCGTTGCCCTGTCAAGACGGCCCTGGACCCCTTATGGGGGGGTGTTGGGGGTCGGGCTATCATCCATGGATGCCGGCGCCGTGAAAGAAATGCAGATGGGCAACGTAATACGAGCTGGGCCCACACAATTGGGGCGCGGTGAGTGGCCAGAAGGGGGGGCGGCCCCAGCGAGCCCATTGCGTGTAACGAACCCATCAAATAATCTCGTCGGGGTGGGCAGACGAGCTTGACGAGGCCTGGCAAATGGCAGAGAGGTCTGAGATGGGGATTTGCCCGGGGGTCCCAAGAGGGTCTCTGGGTCTCTGGGTCTCTGGGTCTCACTGGGCCTGCTGGGGTTCTCTCGGCCTCGCTCTCTCACACCACACACCACCACGACCAGTCCACACGCCCTTTCTCTCTCCTTCCCATTGTCCCTGCGGCCCCCGTTGCATTGCTGCTCGTTTACTACATACAAACCCGCCGCCAACGCCCGCTCGTTGAACACCCACACTCGTTTCTCCTTTCGTTCAGCCAAAGTACACACGAACAGTCATAAGAAAAATACTTCGTCCCTTTTCCCTTGTTTCCGACTTGTTCTCGCCTTTTCCGACCTTCTCGCCATCGTTCGCACGACCAGTTGACGCACCACCTTGTTTTCCTTCCTCTCGTTCCATCACCGCACACCCACACGTGTTCGTCCCATCCGACCAAAGCCAAACCAAAAGCACTCTCACGTCCAAAGCCAAGAGGGGCCGCTCGTGTTTCCGACAGATTCGCGTGCTCGACACCGCCTGCTTCAGATTAGGGACTCCGTCACTGCGCACCGCCCGCCTGTGATTGGCAACGGGCCACCGCGCGTGGACTTTGCATAATCTAACCTGACCCTCTTCGACCACTTCTCTATCCTCGTCCTTCTCGCGACACCTTTCCCTCGGCTGGACCTCATCCATCGCCGCCATCATGTACTCGTCGCGCCTTATCCACCTCCTGCTGGTGGCCCTGTCGGTCTTCAGCGCCGCCGAGGCTACCTGGCTCAAGTTCGGCTTCATCGGCAAGGCCACCAACGAGGTCGGCAACGCCGTCATCGCCAGACAGGACTCGTCGGGCTCCTCGTCGTCAGCACCCCAGACCACCACCAGGCGCACCACTACTACCGCTCCCACCACTACCTCCGAGGCGGACCCTACCACTACCGACCCTACGACTACAAGTGTGCCGACCACCAAGCCGACCACCACCGTGCCCACGACTTCTCAGGGCACGACCACTGCTCCAACTACCACACAGGGCCCGGCCACGACGAGCAGCGGAAATGGACCCACCACTGATGCGCCCACAACCACGTCGGACGGCTCAGCCTCTGCCACTGACGCCACTACATCCGCTGCCTCGCCTTTCACAACCACCTTTGTTTCCACCGTAACCGCCTCTGACGGCCAGGTGTCCACCATCTCTAGTTCGGCCGTTGTCACCCCCACCGGCTCGCTGGCCCAGACGGGAGACTCGAACGCCAACGCCGCCATGTCGAACCAGACTCGCAACACCATCATCGGTGTCTGCGTTGGTGTCGGTGGAGCCATCATCTTGGCTGTCGCCGGTGTCCTGTTCTGGCGCCTGCGCCGCAGAAGATCGCAGGATGGCGAGGACTTGGTCAACTACGGCGCCGGTACTTCGCAGTTCAACAGTGGCCCGGAGAAGAGCGAGGCCAGCGGTAGTATGTCTGGCCGCAGCCCGTTCCAGAGCACCCTGGAGTCGTATCACGCCCCGACCCAGAGCAACACTGGTACCAACTTCTAAGCTCCGACCATTCACGACGCATGTACACACACAAAACACCCCACCTACCTCTCGTGGCCCGATTTCCACGTCTCGATTTGGCCTGTCATTTTTTCAACCGGCGTATCTAGGAGTTGCGGGAACTTGCATCAGTTTGTCCCCTAAGATGCAACTGTCTTATGGATAGAAAATCTCGGATCATCTGACTGGAACTTCTCAAAGAAGACGACCACGGCGCGTATGCATACGACTGCGAGGCAGGCTTGATTTGAGCAATCAGATGGGTTTGTTGGTAGCAGCATTCAGGCATAAGGATTTCACGGTCCCAACTCTAGGGATGGGTTGATCGATCGATTGAAGGCATTGCCGGAAAATGTATACTGCTTAATAATACTGAACCCCTTTACATTCTCATAGATCGTATATAGGAACCCCTTCGCCCCTGACAACCTGTGGTGGTCCCAAACTCAAATTTTCGCCCTACCTCTTAGGTCCCAGAGCACTGGGAAGAGCAACATGACTCGGTATGCAGGTACAGAGTCAAAACCCAGACGGCGGGCCACCGGCGCCGTCTTCTAGACATGGATGCGACGTCTTGTCAAAGTTGTAGACTCACGTGAACCCAGGACGACATGTCTCGACGGTGCTGACCTTTTTTTCTTTTTTCTGGTCGGCATTGCAACCAGTTCAGATACCCCGGTTTGAACAACATTTTTTGGTGCGGGGGTCTCGGCTCCCGGAAAGGTCGACTCTATAAAGTGGGAGTGTCGTGGGTTTGGTTGGACCACCTCTTCCGGGGTGCAGGCGTCTCAGCACCGTTTCAGCCTTCATCCACGATGAGACCTCAACGCCAATGGCTCGGACGATCTGGAGCTGTCATGACTGAGATGGCAAAACCGTAGGTTCTTCGAATTCAATTTCATTTACCTTTCACCTACCTAGGCTCGTACGCGCCGTAATCTGTCTTCGAACTGTTCGCTACCCCTGGAAATCATTGCACATATACACGGCGGAAGCTCAATACCCAGCACGCACTCAACTCGAGACGCCGAGCGCACTGTTTTGCACTGGAAAGAAGAGCATTAACAGCCATAGACCTGTTGCTCGACGCCTTAGTACGCGCCTCACCGTGGTTGCTCAATAATGATTGTGGAGTCTAACATTGACCTATAGTCTCACCCCGTCCGCTTATAACTTTAATCAACCCGACTGTCGACCGGCCATGAAGTGCAGTGCGCTCAGCTTGACGTCGGTGGTCGCTCTGCTCGTGGCCAGTGCTGCTGCAGGCGACTTCGTCGAGGAGATGCAAAGAGATTTCAAGATGGCACTGCTGCCGCGGCAGCTTGCGACGAATCTCCAGGTATGAGGCGGCCCAATAACCAAGCCTTGCAATGGAGATATGCTCACGCTGTAGCTCAGGCATTTAGCGGGAAACTGGGAGGCGAAGCTGCCCCGGCTGTAAGCTCACTGTTGGTGCCGCCACAGGTCGATACCATACTGACGGAGATGCTAGATCACAAACTCGGGCAACCCGGAAAGGCCATTTGAGGTGGACGGTGATACCTTTGTATGTCGGTTCTGGTCTTACTCTGCATACGCTTACGAGTCGGACAATCCTGGCTAACTAAGCGCCTTTGTGCCACGCAGACGGACTTCCAATCCGCGGCAGGCCGAGCATGTGACAACCAGAAAAACCTCTGCGCCAACCAGGCAAACAGTAACAAGGGCGGCTCTCTCGAAGTAGGGGACTGTGATAAGCAGAATGGTAAGTCCAGGCCTTCGGCGGATAGGCCCTTGCTTGACAGTCTTGCTGACTTTATGGGTTTCCTTCTCACAGACCAATGCAAACAAGCTGCCTCGAGCGCGACGGTGACCAGCTTTGCTACGCTGACGAGCTCGACTGCCGATTTTGACATTTTCTGCGAGTAAGACGGCGTTTGTTGGATATAATGGGGAACAAGCGAAGCGAGCAGATGATTTGGTTGAGGTCACATCACACTTCATGAGTATTTCGGGATGTGTGAAGAGGAATACGAGTAACGCCACGCTAGCGGCTAACAGGCGGGCCACAGAATACCTTGGTTTGATTTTTACTGGATGAGGTTGACGAAATGCATTATACCATGTGTATCTTAAAGACTCAATGATATTTCATTCGATTTTATTATTTTTGCCTTCGCAACATTCCCTGTGCCTTACCGGTCAAAGACAGGGGTGGCAAAGCAGACAATAGACATTGCCATCTTCAGCCATGTGACTGCCCCTTGAACAGAGGGGAGTGAAGCCGCCTCGTGTCCCGTAGACAATGGGCTCTCGTGACAAAGAAGCAGCAGTCACACCTAAGCATCGTGAAAAAGACATGATAGCCCGTCACAGCCTGACGATGACTGAAGAGAAACGCAGAAACTAAACCCAAGCGTACAAACGACTGACTCAACTAAACACCGATCTACACTGATTCCATAGACGATACACCAATCACAAAACCTCCCAGACAAAAAAACCCCCCCCCCCCCCCCCTAAAAATGGGCAACCAAGCCTCCACCCTCGTCGCGGTCCCCTCGCCCGTCCAGGAGCCGCACAACGCGCACTGCGCGTACTGGTACCCGGCCAAGGCGGGCGACACGTGCGAGGCCGTGGCGCGGGCCATGTGCGGCGACGTGGCCCGGCTGCAGGCGCTGAACCCGGCGCTGGCCGGCGACTGCGGCGCCCACCTCTGGGCCGGCACCTGGTACTGCCTGCAGGACGTCGGCCAGCCGGCCCCCTGCGCCGGCGCGCCTGAGCTTCCCGTGCCCGAGGCCTGCCCGCCGGGCTTCATCTGCAAGAAGCCCGGCGAGGACGGCTGCCCGGCCGACCGCTTCTGCAAGATCGAGGTCGTTGCCCAGCCCGACGTCACGTCCACGGCGGTCGTGGTGGTCACCGCGGCGCCGGTGAGTCTCGAAAAGAAGCGGGTAGTGTACAGGGCTTAATCTGGGAAGACAGGTAATAGGGCCGGGGAGGGAGTTAGGTATCTGGAAATTTTGGGCTGATGTTGTACAACACTATCGGCTAGGCAATATGCTATGTTTGTTCACTACGTAAGTGAAAAGGAGGGCGGCAGGGCTCCTGTATAATACCCATTCTAATTTCTTCACTTAGCTGTATACCATACGCTCGATCAGCTTGCTACCACTGAAGCCAGCAATCCTTTCTTGTGGTTTCATTGTCTGTGTAACCATTGGCTCTAAATCTAAATATTCTTAGAACACAGGAGACTTCCTCCATGGCTCCGGTGCTCTCTCTCTAAACGAGGAGTAGTACCCTAGGCCGGCACGTTACAGAAATAAAAGAGAAGGCATTCATTGGTAAACATCACTTTATGATCGCATGTTGTTTAAAGAACCATAATAATAGAAAGAACCCAAATACCCACGAGGTCGTGAGGACTTTGTAATGATTAACTACCTCGCGGAGCGATGCGGATCCAACCGGGCTGTCTTCAAAATGGGCTCGCCAGCCTTCGTGGGTGTCGCGCCAGGATGATAAGACAATTCAAAACTCCAATTGACTGGTCGCACATGTCTTCACCGTATCACAACTGAACTTTCACCTCCATTTCGATGTCTGCTTTCTGATCCGTCAACATGCTGTTTCGACCAAGACACCGCTCCTCAAGGTGTCGCCATTGAAGCTGGGGTTCTTCTCATGCGGTTCCTCTTCCATTTGGTTCTTCTTCAGAAAGGGTAGCACCTGGAGATACCGCAATATGCTCTTTTGTCGCATACCTGGAGAGATGACGAGGTCTTGTTCGAAGACATGGATTGTGAGTCGACTCAGCTGAGCAAGAAAGCTAAGATTCAACCAAATCTGGAGTCTATATCTGCTCTACCCACATGGAAAGCAGTGCTGGGCAAGGCCATTCACTCAATCTGGATGTGGTACTCGAAGGCCGAAGCCTGCTTTGGTCTAGCTAGAGAATATGGCTGTGGACGCTAAAGCTTAGATATCGCAACTTTGAGCAATGTCGCTAATTCTCTGGCGGTTGGACATTGCAAGAAGAACAGCAACCGAGATCAGACAACAGATACATGGAAATACATCTCAAAATTATCTCGCTTTGACTTACTGTGACTACGCTGAAATAGAGCTGATGAACTGTCTGACAACTGAAGTGTCCAAAGGACCAATGCCAAGCAACGATTGACCTAGGCCCGCGGCAGTTCAGTCTGCGAACCCAATAAGATCACGACTAATACCGGCATCGTGGGATACCGGCAGCTCACTTGCCGGTGGCACCAGCTTCTCCGCGCGCTTCAGTGTCGTGGCTGAATCGGGGGATCGGGTCTGTCGGACGACAGTCCACAAGATCGTGGTTGAGAAATGTGATTGGTTCTCAAAGATAGACCAATGCTGCAGAAGTATTACAGTCAAACAGCTTCATATCTGAGAAGTCGACCTGAACTACACCCAATGAAGATCGTAGACTCTCTTCTAGCCCATGTTGAAGGTCGGTATTCCGGAGGAAGCCACACGAGTTTTTCAGAATCTTTCATGATCCACTTTCCATACGCGTTAAGATTGACCCCATAGGTGAGCGGATCAGGAGTGTTTTGTTCATGAGCAGCTGTGATAGGGTATCTGTGGAATTCGAGCGTCATTGGGTTCCAGAGATTCCAGAACCGGTCTAACTCGTCACTTGATACTGACAGTACAAGCTCGTTAGGAAAGAAGGTGATCTCTCTAACAAAGCCTTTGTCGTACTGCATCACCTGTAGTTGTAAGCCCGTTGTTGTATCCCAGAGACGGACCGTCTTGTCTCGTGATGCTGACGCTATCATTTGCCCATCCGGTGAAAACTTGATTGTTGTGATAACATCATTTGGGCTCTCGAGTGTATGCAAGTGGGTATATGTTACTGTGTTCCAAAGCCGGAGAGTCCTATCTTGTGATACTACAGCGACAAGCTGGCTGTCGGGTGAGAAGACAATGTCCGTAGCAGTGCCCCTGTGGCCCTGGAGTGTGTGCCTGTGTTCACCTATCGTTGTGTCCCAGAGATCGATCCTTTCTGCCTTGACCAGGTCATTTATTGATATCGCTAGAAGCTGATTATTGTAAGAGAAGGCGACTCGCCAGGCGTCCCTCACCTCCAGCGTCTGCTGGTGCGCACCTGTAACCGCGTTCCAGTAAACAATGTGGCCCTCAGATATAAACGCAATGAGCTGGCTGTCGGGCGAGAAGGCGATTTGAAAAACGTGGTCTTCTTGATCTTCGAGCATCCACATGAACGTGCCTGTTCTCATACTCCAAAGCCGGATAGGTTCCTCCCGTGACCGCGACGCTAAGATCCGACTATCAGGCGAGAAAACGATCTCATCGACTGGACTGCTATGGCCCTTGAGCGTATGTATGTGGGCCCCGGTTCTCGCGTTATGGAGCCGAATGGTGTTACCAAGGGATACCATTGCTACTAATTGGCCATCTGTTGAATAAGCGACAGCCCGGATTAGACCATTTTGATCGTCGAGTGTTTGTTGGTGTGTGCCATTTCCCGCGTTCCAAATCCGGACCGTACCGTTGATCGACGCGGATGCTAAAAGTTTGCTGTCGGGTGAGAAAGTGACGCTGAAAACCGGATACCTGTGGCCCTCAAGGGTCCTCAGGTGTAACCCCGTTACTGCGTCCCAGACTTTGACTGTTTTGTCCTGCGACGCTGATGCTACAAGCTTGCCGTCAGGTGAGAAGACGACTGCGCGGACATTTTCGCTATGGTGATCGAAAGATTCTTGGTGTGTAGATAATCTTGCATCCCACATTCGGACACTACCGTCATATGACCCCGATGAAATAACCTGGCTGTTTGCTGAGAAAGTAACAGCAGAAGAGTAGGGATCCGCAAATGTTGTCAGGTGCGACCCAGTTGTTGCGCTCCAAAGCCGAACCGTATTGTCGCCACACGATGCTAAAAGCTGGCCATCTGGGGAGAAAGCAACTGAGTTGACCGATTCGGTGTGCCCCTTAAGAATGTGCTTCTGCTCACCATTCGCTGTGTTCCAAACCCCAATAGTATAATCGGATGATTCTGCTGCTATTAACTGGCCGTCTGGCGAGAAGGCAACTGTCCATATTATGCCACTATGACCCCTAAGCGTGCAATGGTACGCGCCAGTTGCTAGTTTCCAGAGCCTAATTGTGTCATCCGTAAAGACTAATGCTATAAGCTGGAAGTCGGGTGAGAAGGCACCATAATAGACGGAGGCTTCGTAGTCATCCAACGTCTTTTCCAGGACTGCGCCAGTCTTCGTGTTCCACAGTCGGATCTGAGTAGCTCCTAATGATGCGAATGCTAGAAACAGGCCATCTGGCGAAAAGGCAATCGCTTCGGCGGATTGCCCGTCGACGTCAAACGTTTTCTCACGCGTACCAGTTGTTACATCCCAGATCCGGATTGTCTGGTCGCTAGATTCTGACGCCAAGATCTGGTTGTTGGGTGAGAAGGTGATTGTGTTGACATCATCGTCGTGGCCCTCAAGCGTCTGCAGGTGGGTGCCAGTATATGCATTCCACAGTCGGATCGTATGGTCTCTTGATGCTGATGCTAGAAGCTTGCCATCCGGCGAAAACGCAACTGCTGTGACGGGTTCGCTATGGCCCTCAAGCGTTTGCAGGTGTGCATCCCAGTCAGATTTCACACCCTGAACATGGCCAAGCCTCGGCATGCGTTGACTCCAAAGCTTTTGGTGCACTTTGCTTGCCGCCGGAGAGAATAGGAGCAGAGTCCCGTAAATTTGAAGAGGTGCGCGCTCAATGATCGACCCAAATTTTGAAATGACCTTGCTGGCATCTTCCACAAACCCAACAAATTCCACAGGGGTGTTAGAGAAGTGCTGTATCAGTGAGCCCCAGTATGGCATATCAGGAGAAACGATCACGAACCTTGCTTAATTCTAGAAGCGATATAACGGCAGTAATCGCGTCTCCAAGGCGTTCAAGAAGTGACAAGATTTCTAGCCAGTGAAGGAAATGTTCGTAGAGGAAGGAGGAAACACAATTGTTGAGAGATCGTCCACTGCCTTGTAGGTGATAAACCCAGTGAAGGCAAGCGTACTTGAGATCGGCAGGTATACAAAGATCTATAATGTTCTTGTCGATTTCGTCTCGAGTCGCGTCTAGTCTTCGGATATCACAGATGTCCCGTTTCAATGCTCCCGTCATACGCTGAATGCATTTCGCCGCTAGCAGAGCGTGTGTCTCTGAAGCGTTCACTCGATACACGCTGGCATGAGAATCGTCGGCGTAGAGGAGAAAGTCGCTGAATGACTTGTGCAGCAGCCGTATAGGGCTTTGGGGTTCAGGAGGGATGTCTAATACTGCGTGCAACTCCGGAAGCCACCAGTTGACATCGTCTATGTCAATGCCAAGGAGACCAGCGAGTGACATAGCCGGCAGTGGAGTAGCGAGAAGAACAAGAGAGCCCAGGAATTGCAGCTGCTGACCAGATTCCACATCCTCATTACCATAGAAAATCTGGCTGAGAATAGGATCATAAATCTGATTAAGCTGAGACTTGTTGTCTTCACACTGCTTGAGCCACAGCTTCAATTGATTCTTTGGATTTCTCGGGCGCTGTTCGTCGTAGACAAATCGGCAAAGAGTGGCAGCATAGATGAATAGGGGCTCGGGGCTTGTAGCCAGTCGAAGCAGGCAGTCCAAGTCCTCAGCAGTTGGCCACGGGTCTTGTTGGACCCTACACTTCCTTCGTATGTCTGCGAATTTCGTGCTCAAGAAAATTTGGATGTCGGTCTTGGTGTCTTCAGAGAATTCTCGATGTAACTCAAGTCTGCGAGCAGTTTTGTTCTTGAGTAGAGACTCAAAAGCGTCGATAATCTTTGGGTCGGGTCTGCTTGTGAGAAGTATTCGCAAGCGAATTGAAGAGATTTTATGAAGCTTGGACAGTAAGGTCATGATCCGCGAGAAGTGCTCAGGGCGTTCACACTCGTCCAAGGCGTCGATTATAACTGCCTTGGATAATTGGTTTGTTCCGGCTGGAGGAAGCTCTATCAAGGGGAGCCATAGGAGCTTGTCGAACTGAAATTCAAGCCCCTTCTTTTCCACTGCGTCCCTATCGAGACCGTCTAAGGACTTCTGAAGACAGCTTTTGAAGGGAGTAATGGCGTCAACCAGTTGCATAGCAAGAGTGGGAAACAGTCGAGAGGTGTCATTGCGGTTCTGCTCGCCTCTCTTGAAAAAGTATCCAGCAACTAATCGCTTCCCGCTGGAGAAAGAGTCAACAACACTGCGTGCGATGGTGGATTTGCCGGTCCCTGCAGGGCCGACAAGCCAGAAGAAAGGTTCGCTGGAGTCTTCGTCTGCCCACTGACTGATTGTTTCCTGAATGCGACTTCGAGTACCGCGCACACATCTTGGGCTATCCTGAACATCGGCGCTATCGTAGCGCGCTTCGTTGACGACTGGAAGGTCTATAGGGCGATCCTCGAGTATTCGGCTACTTAATCTTTAGTCCGGTTTCAGAAGTGAGAAGACGTGACGTACTTTGTGTGCCTTTGCTCCGCCAGCTGCTCCTCCGCGATGGATAACAAGGATCGCATGTTTCCATACTGCTGTTCTGCCGCCTTGCTGAGGACTTCTAGAGTATTCTGTGAAGCAATGGTGTTCACAGTACTTGATTCTTCCCGCACGATCTGTTCTAGTTCCTTTATCTTGGACACCATTTTCTCCCATTCATCGTGGCGGATCACATCCCGACTTATATTGGCAACCCATGTCCGGTAGAATCGCAGAACGCTCTTGATTTGAAATTCGAGGATGCGTTCATATAGGTCCACAATATGGCTGTCAAATTCGGGTTTCAGGGCCGAGCCGCGTATGGTTTCCGGCCATAGGAGACGTTCGAGCTCCACATAGTAGCGGATGCGAGAGGTAACATATGACAAGCCGTCACGATTGGCTTCTTCTGCCGCACTCGGGTTCGTCAACACCGGCAGGAGGACACAGACGCCGGCCCAGGCGAGCGATGCCTCAGGGGACACCTTGACAGCCTCATTGATGAGGCCTTTGATAGCCTGTGTGAATTGAGCTACTTGTGCGATCTGGTCCCTCAGAACAAAATCGTGGCCGAAGATAGTGTATTTGGTCTTCTTTTCGTCCGCTCGTTGCATGCCCCGGTCGGTGATGCTCTTGAGTTGGGCCTGGCGTTTGTCAGGGTGAGTATTGATTCTATTCTCAGGATGACTGAAGTCCTCTTCGTGGTGAGGTATATCCTGCAGTCTGGCTATACTGGTGGCTTACACAAGTGTTAGCTTGTAGGAACGACACAGCCCCGCGACGGAGACATACTATGCTCCACCAATTCTCTGGAGAGAAGCGCCTCGTATTGATCCACGAGCTGCACCTCCTTTTCGCGAAGAGCTTCGTAGGCGCGGTTCCATAGCGACGGCATGGTTTCCGATGGCAACTGCGTCGTCTGAGAGAGCGCCGGGTTGGCTTGAGTCGTTGAAATGCAAGTTGGACCGGACACGCAGGAAGATTCCGATTCTGTACCTTGGAGCGGGCCTGAATTAGACTGCGACAGTCGCTGGTCGGCGATATTGGCCGAGCTCGGGAAAGCCCCAGTCATGGAGGAGCTGTCATCGATGGGTGGCACTGGTGTCTGCGCGGATGGGCCACCATTGGCGTGGTCCTTGTCCACGTTGCTGCCACCATGGCGTACTGAGACCTTCAAGCGTTGAAGGGCTTTCGAAAGCCCCATGGCGTCCACAAGCTGATCACTGCTGAAGAAAATGGATGATTTTCAAGGGACATCGCCTACGATATTTCCAGGAAGATCAGGAATGCCTAAATATGTGGGATTGACGAGGCTGTGGCCATGCAGGCCGCTGGCAGTCAGCGTGCGTTGGTCCAATCATGCGCGACTGGCGATCACCCTGCATGCGTGATTGTTACCATTACTGCGGCCGTATGGCTTCGTTCTCTGGCAGGTGGAGAGCTGCCGGCCTAGAGGATCAAGACATTCAATAACAGTAGTCTTCAGACCTGCGTATCTACGGGCGGGCCAAAGTTGGACCGGTGACCCTTTACGTCTTCACAGTAGCAGTTAATGTTGCAGAGACTCAACCAGCCTAGTATAGGTAGAGTGACTATCTTTGTAGCCTGAAGATTCTCCTCAGGCGATATGCATCTTCACGGTTATTCGACGATTGGTCGCATCTTTGAAGCCTTCACATCTTCTGGTTGGACTTCATTAGTAAGAAATTCTTTCTTTGAATTACTAGATCCATCAAGTATCAAGGAAAGGGACTCTCTACTAGCCGCGAGTGAATGTTTATGATTGGGTTGCTGGGATGAACGTGGGTGCGGCGGCCAAAGGACTTGTCTTAATTTAATTGGCTAGCAGCACACCTGGGCACCCATGTCTCACCTCTGCCTCATCACACTCACGGCCCGTGCATTTCGAGCCGTACAATCCGGCACCCTGCTGCCGCAAGATGCGACTCCTCAATGTATCGTCAATGAGGCTCGAGTTCTTCCAGGGCGACTTCTCCAATGATCATTTTACCGGCGAAATACCACGGTACGCCATCTTGTCGCATACCTGGGGAGATGGCGAGGTCCTGTTCGAAGACATGGACCACGCGGCAAAGTGGTCCACCAAGAAAGCGAACGATAAAGTTCGAGGGAGTTGTGACCAGGCAAAGAAGCTAGGACTCAACTACATCTGGATCGACACTTGCTGCATCCATAAGGAAAGCAGTGCAGAGCTGTCCGAGGCTATCAACTCGATGTTCACGTGGTATTTGAAGGCATATGTCTGTTTGGTCTACCTCGAGGATGCATTTACAGCCTCTGGCTCAGATTTCGGCACCTGGGAACATTGTCGCTGGTTCTCTCGCGGTTGGACATTACAAGAGCTCATAGCACCCACGAACGTTGTCTTCTTCAACAAAGACTGGGTTTGTCTTGGAGACCGGTTTTCCATGGCGACAGCACTGGCAAATAAAACCGGCATTGATGAACGCGTACTGAGGAGTGGCCACTGGGCCATTCCACCAAATATTGATTATCACAACATTAACGACGAGTTCTGTATTACCTGTCAGCAGGTCACTGGTATCCGTTCCATCCTTGCTTCGTACAGCACATCTACAAAGTTCCGATGGGCGGCACATCGGGAGACAACACGAACAGAAGATTTATATTGGTAAGATATCATCCCACTGTCCCGGGCCTTAGGGCGATATTAGGCGAGAGTTGGCTCACTGATTTTGGATTTGCTATAGTGAGCGACCTGTTTTCCCGATTGTGCCCTAATATCAGAGCTGCTTCTCTTTGCTGCGGGTTTCCGCAATCTGAAAGAGCTGTAAGGCATCGAAATAATTTGCTAAAACCCAGTATCGTGCTGTAGATTGCCTATTGGGCATCTTCGACGTCAACATGCCGCTTCTATACGGGGAAGGCCACCGTGCTTTTCGACGACTGCAGGAGCAGGTTATCAAGTCTACTTAGTGAGTTTTTTCATTTGTAAATTCTGTGCAGGGATGAATCTTCGAGGGCCTCAATCTTTGACAGAAGATAGCATGCTGCTGGTCGCCGGTTTCACAATGCGTTGCACTGCAGTGAGGAAACTTCGTGGCACATTTCTCGCCAGCAGTTCATACCAGACAGCAAGTGCTAATATTTCTTACACATATAGTGACCACACTATTCTGCTTCACGATAGTAACGATACCACTACATACAAGGTTCTGGCCGAAACTTTGGAGGGATTTTCGAGTTTCAACTGGCTGGCAGAACGCAAGACTTTCCATTTAGACTACTCACCGGGAAGACTGACACTTGAAGTACTAATGGGCAAACTCCCCAGATCAAACCATTCAAGGGCTAGATTTGTAGCGGTTCTTGACTGTCTTTTAGGGACTGACCCTCTATGGCGACCCTGCATTATCCTGGCCCAAGTTCCTGGTCTTGATCCTACTTTCTTTCGAAGTTCACCCTATATATACATTCTCCAAACCAATGGCGGCATCTACGAACTTGGTCAGGGACATCTTCGTCTATTCGAATTCATCGAGGCCAACGAAACGAAGCGGGGGAAGGTCACAATAATCGACAAAATGCAAGACGACAATATCGGCGTACCTAATGCACTTCCAGATGTGATTAAACTCTGCCTCAGTTCATCAAAGTGGTCTATTCAGGAGACATTTCCCCATGCCACAGGCGCTGGCCTATTTATGACGGCTGATATCGCCGAGTCTTTCGTGTCGTGGTCTGTCGGTATCGCTGCACTTGGCAATGAGGATGGCTTCGGACTTATCCTCGTATTTGGGACCCGATGGAATGAAGACTGTCTGTGGGCCAAGCTACTCAGTGTGGAGGACCTTGAAACCCTTATCGTCATGCCTTACTGTTCGCAGGACGAATTCGAGAGCGAAGGCTCAGACAAAGTGCCAGCTACACAATATGAGCTGGCGAATTACTTGGTTCGCCGGATTCCTCAATCGCCATCATTACAGTTGGACAGCTTGTTTAACCGCGTGAAAGAGGCTGGTAACACGATAGAAATTGGTGGTGTGAGAGTTTGTGCTACGCTCCAGACTGAAACGTTCTTGGACAGGACCGTGGCAATGCTGAACGTTGAGTTCAGTGATGGCTCGCTTCCAAGCATCGGCCCTAGATTGATTGGAGGAATACCTTGAATGTGAAAGGTGATATGAACCTGACATCTTATGAATGAGATGGATGCCCTAGTCGTACGATCACAGAACATCGTGGTTGAATGTTAATTGATGTTTTCCAGTCTTATATTGGCATATCTCCTCAAATTCTAGTATTGCGATCAAAACGGTTGGACTATCTCGATTCTCATGACGTCCTCTTGCCTATCTATACATTCATCTCTTGGGGCTTTTCAGTAGGGTCCTTCTGAGAACCTTGGTTCTGAAGCCTTCTTGCCACATTGTTGCCCAGATATTTCTCCATGTTGGGTACGAAAGCGGACGCAACAATTAAGATAACAGAAAATGGGATTGTGCAATAGAAGACAACCTTGAAAGCATCCGTGTAAGCGGCCTTCAGGGCGTTGCCAACAGCCGCAATGATTGAGTCGCTAATTCCAGGAACAGTCGTAAAACTCCCAGCAGTTATTCCGGCGAACAACTGCGGAAGGGATGATGGCGGTAATCCAGCATCTATGGCGGCTGGCGCGACATACTGTGGCACGTAGTCATTGAGTTTGTTCGAAAGCACCGAGACGTACAAGGCTTGTGCAACGGCCCCAGCCAGGGCGCGCAATGAGCCCATGACTCCAGTCGCAAGTCCGATATCTTGAGGTTCAAGAACGAGAGTCACACCCGGAAAGGAGATGTTATCGATAAACCCAATGGCAACGAGTCCGCAGGTGGCGAGGGCGATAGTTGCCGCCCAGCGATCCTTGTCTAGAGACAAGAGGGCTGTGATGAAGGTGAAGGACAGCAAAGAGGCGATCACAGTCTGGATCTTGACTTTGGGCACGAAGGAGATAAAGAGACCTCCTAGTACTTGACCTGCAAGGATACCGCCGCCAACAACTGAGCTCTGCATGCCAATCTCCCGAGAATCTGTTGTATAGATGGACTGAATCAAGGTTGGCCAGATGACGGTGAGCGAATAATAAACCATCGCCCCAATGGCTGCAATGACCACGATCGCAACAAAACCAATGTTTTTGAACAGACGAGGGGGCATGATCGGCTGCACTTTGCAGAAATATGCCTCTGCATTCGAAATTAGTCAAGCCTACATAAATATCTTCAATTGCCACTTACCATATACAATGAAGAAGATGAATGTTAATAAACCTATGATGATAGTACACAGCACATGCGCGCTAGCCCATGGGTATGTCGTACCTCCCCACTATATCTGATTAGAAGTCGTTGCCAGATAGCTGTAAGACGAAGGACCACTTACGGAGAGGCCAACTAGGAAAAGAACACACCCTGCAATAAACAGGAATATTCCAATGAAATCTAGCTCCTTGACTTGCTGCCGCTTGGTCTTGCCGTTGACGTGGAGTTGGTTATACGTCGGCGGGTGGTAGAGGAAGAAGTACAGCGCGAGAGCAATGACACTGAAGATGTCGCCCAAGAAGTAGCTCCATCGCCACTTTGAGGCCGTGTTCTCGATGAAGAGCCTGGCTATGATCGGACCGAACACGGCGAAGGGTGCCGATGAGATGAAGACGAGAGTGACGATGGGACCCCTCATGGTATTTGGCACCAGTTCGCCAAGGACGATCCCAAAGGATAGCTGTCCTGCTGCAGCAATACCATTGCAGAGGTTTGCACCGATAAGCATGCCTACGCTTTGGGCACAGGACCCTATGATACATCCAATGAGACCAAGGACCTGTGTACCGAGCACCATGTATCGTCTGCCAAAGATATCGCTGATTCGGCCGACGAGAAGGAATCCGATGCAACTCCCGAGGGTCCAGACTGTCGCAACCCAGTTGATGTCAGGGGAGTTTCCGAGATCGGCATTGATCAGAGTTCTAACATTTCGTCAGGTCTCCGTTCGGAAAGTTGGAGGCATAGGAAGCACTTACAATGTGTTCGCTGGCAAGACCCAACCGAGGTAAGCACAGATGTTTGCGCAGCATTGTGCCTATGTGGACAGTGGTCAGTTTTTGAGGGAATGGAGTGAGTTAGGTTGAAGGCGTACCACTACCGTTCCTATGAACTCGACGCTTCTAAAATATCCCTCTGGCATGGCTGCTGCGTCCCCTCCTACGGCATTGTGATCGACGTAATTAACAGTTCCATCAGTGTGAACAACCTTCAAGTAGTTCTTGTTGTCTTCCGAGGTTTCGGTATGGACTTCTTTCAACTGATTATCCTTGGGGTCCCTAGCACTTTCCACGTGCTCACTGCGAGCAATCTTCGCTTCTTGCAGCTCATTGTTTGACGCAGAGTTGTCGTCCGAAGACATGCTGAGCGGCATGCGTTAGGATAATACTAGGAGGCGATATGTAAAGGGGTGAAATAATGAATGATAGTGGCCCTTGAAGGATTGCAGAAAGCTTAGTCCGGGGGTTTTAGTCAACTGTAACAGAGGGGTCTCCGTTCATATCTGGGCTTACAGATTGGTAGTACTGTGGGTGGGGATAGATGATAGTAGAAGTATACATGCAACCATAAGCTGCGATGACCGTAAGCTTAGCGCGTCTACTTTCTGACCGCTTTGTGCTGCCTTTCGCCCGATACTGTACGCAAACAAGATCTGAAGTCAGGTCTGGCTCAGATCAAAAAAGTCGGAAAAGTTACGCTGGAAACTTGACACAGGTCTTGGGGAGCTGAAATCAATTTGAGGAGAAACTCAAGGTGAACTTGCCCGGCTTCCAGGTTGACGATTGCCAGGTCCTATGAAGATCTGGCCCAAGAGAGGGCCAGACCAGCGTACCCTCTGTGCAACATTCGTATCCATCCAGCTGAACTAGCCTACCTATGACATGTGTGTTCTAGGAGGGCCTAGGCACGACAATGTCGCAGAGCCATGCGCCACGTACAGACCTCTCACTTGACATTGTTAATGCAGAACTGGCGCCAAGATGCATGTCAATCAAGGAGATCCCTGCTCTTAGAAAAATCCGGGGGAGGACCCAACGACACGGTAGTGCATAACATGGGGAAGTTTGTGAGCAGATACCACTTTGGTCGGATGTATCAGGCTGCGGGTGTGTTGTTACGGTTTGCGGAGAATGGGACCCGGCTGCCAGGACTAAAACCTGGCTGACGCAAAGTTAGCACGCCTCTATTATACCTGTTGACATCTGCACGTGATACGGATAACCACAGCCGAAGCAATCAATGCTCAACTATTAATTGACTTTTGCGGCTTTCCTGTTTTAGTTGACCTCCTTCTTTATCCAATTTTCAGGAATTATACAGCCTTATCGTCGGATTATCTGCTCTACCAAACTTAACAGCTCCGAAAATTCAAGACCAGGTTGACCAAAACGAAATTTTCGCCTAGGGGGGAATTCGCAAGGGTAAAGCCCGTATTGTCGAGAAGTGAGACACATCTCGTGGTCTTATGCAAGAGTAGTAGCACGTGACTGGTGCATTTTGGCCAGCGCTGCGAATTTTGCCGTTTATTAGGAAGCGGATAAGAACAAGAATAGACAATCATGACTGCGCGTGAATCAAAGCCGGTTCAATCTCGTCGAAGCTACGCCGCAGCAATGAGCCAGATAGTCATTTTGAGCGTTCATCCCAAATAATCTAGCCGCGCGAAATACAGGTCAGGGCCTGCGGGGCCGCTGACCGTTTCCACAGCTTGAGATTCAGCCTCACGAGGCTCCGCATGCTTATTTACTTCTTTTGATGCAACAGCGATTTCACTGTTATGAAGCTCCATCATATAAAAAGTCTACTGGTCCTAGCTTCTTGGAAATGAGATTAATCAACACATCGACATTGGACATGCATGACTTCTTTGGAAGCAGCATTCCTGATTTTGCTATTCTGAGCCACACCTGGGGAACGGAAGAGATAACATACCAGCAATGGATGGCCAGGGATGATAGTGAAGGGTCACTAGCATGCAAAAGCGGTTATCAGAAGATTATAAGGGCATCCCAACAGGCCCGCGAGGATGGATTGGATTGGATATGGATCGATACCAATTGCATCGACAAAACCAGCTCTGCGGAACTGACTGAAGCCATCAACTCCATGTTCAAGTGGTATAATGACTCAAAAGTTTGCTATGCCTACTTGGCGGACGTTGCAATCGCTGATCTTTCTGCTCGGGATAGCACTTTCCGTCGTAGCCTGTGGTTCACTCGTGGCTGGACGCTCCAGGAGCTTCTAGCTCCAAAATATCTGGTGTTCTATACTCGGGAATGGGTTCCTATAGGAGAACGCTCGCACCCGCGCCTGCTACTCTCAATCTCCAAAGCAACCGCAATTGAGCCAATGTACTTAACGGGGCATAGGAGTGTAACCATGGCTAGTGTTGCGAAAAGGATGTCTTGGTTATCAAAGAGGCGGACGACCCGAGACGAGGATATTGCCTATTGCATGTTGGGGATTTTTGGGGTCAACATGCCTCTACTCTACGGAGAAGGTAGCAAGGCATTCCTGCGTCTCCAGGAGGAGATCATCAAAGTTTCGCATGACCATTCGTTATTTTGCTGGACGTTCACGGCGGAGGTACCTCTGGACTGGGTGAGCATCCTAGCCCCTACCCCAGGAGCCTTCGAGAGGTCTGCAAATTATGTCCCCAAGGAACTGCGTCAAGCGTTGACCCCATACACGATAACGAACCTGGGGCTATCAATCCAACTTCCCATCGTCCATACCCTCACCAGCTCATTCGTAATTTTGAATGCTGGGCTGAGTCAGCAGGACATGAGCGAGCGAGCTGGTCTAGCAGTGCGACAAGACCAATATTCTTCACGTGCCATTCGAACCACGCCGATTCTTAGACGCCACTGGTTTCCCAATGAACCACTGAATATACATTGGTCTAACCCGCAGCTCATGCATCGCCATGAGTTCTTCGTCAACTCCAGACCTGGCATCCTCATATCCAATCCATACGCACAACCTATGCTGGAAGATCTCAGCGTTCTTGTTTTGATGCAGACCACTGATCCCAGACTCTTCAAAGGAGCGGAACCAATCGGTCTCAGTCCAGAAGGATACTCCAGCTACAACGTTGCGTGCATGGAGACACCAACCATTGAAACATACCCTCCAGGTATGTTTGACTTTCAGCGAAGTCTCTTGTATCTGCCGGCAATCAATGAAGGGGAAGACTCTACTGCTGCTTGCTTGTTAGTCTTGCGCCACGAAAGCGAACCGTCTAGTGGCTACTTTCTTTACTTTGCAGCCAGAACGTCTGCGAGGGGCGAAAAGACGTGGTCCTGCGATGTAGTCCCACGTGCCAGTCTATCAAGGCGAAAACGGTCTGGTCGCTGGCCGGTCGGTGAAATCTTGGCAGATTTCATCAAAAAGACTGTAAAGGGTTCCGCAAAGGATCCTTTAAGGTTGACCATAGGGCCCTTTCTTACGGCAAGTCGATCTCACACCACGAGAGCAGTCCTCTTACACGGATCTCAGCAGGGAAAACTCTGGGTTGCACGGCGCGCGGTGGAAGAAGATAATAGCGACGTGGACTCTAACTGCGCCAATGCCGGCCATTAGCGCGCACCAAAGTCCGCGATCTAGTTACTCACACTGTATTTTCTTTCGTTCTACTAAGAAGATTCAGATCGTACTGAGAGCGTAAATACGCTAGGTTGTCACCTCACGGAAGAGCATTTCATGATCACAAGTGTCCTAACTTCTTCAGCTTGAACATAGTTGTAGTATATCATTTCGCACCTTACTCCACAGCTTTTAGGCCGTTATATCCCAGGTTTTGAAGCTACGCCACTCCCACAATATAGGCGCTAAGTGTACTATGTGTCATTGAGAAGTATTTATCAACCGTCAACGGGTGTTTCGGGATCCAAACGTGGTAGAGCTAGGTTGCCATTTCCGGCAGACCAACCCGTAAACCAGGAACCTTCGTGAAATGACCCTTATGCTCGCCTAACCCAAGCAATGTTAAAGATGGTAGTGTGCCAATACTCCTGATGTGATCGGCCCCTTTTGCAACCAGTCCTGCGAAACGCCACCCAATGCACTTTGATGATAGTTATGCCCAATGGGGAAAAGATAAATCACAACGAAGAAAGCCTTCTATCCCGCTTTTGCAACGAACGCGTGTGCTTGGAGTTGTACATGGAGGTCGGGCGTTGCCTCGTGGCCCCAGTCCTGGTTGCCTCTCCAGGAGTGACAGCGGCGGACCTGGGTAACGCACTTCTCATCATCTGCTGGTGGTCCCTCGTTCGAGCTCGTGGTATCGGTAATTGGAGAACCGCATTGTCTGGGTACATCTTCTCACCGCTGTCGAAGGAGCTGTCCTTCTCGCTCATTACCCCCTTTCCCTTTTCATCGACCCCGCTGCTCCCTACGCCGCCTTTTACGAGCACCGCAGTGCCGGCTCCCTTGGTCAACGACGACTGGAAGCTCTCCCAGTTCTGAGCTGGTGACTTGGTCTCGTCCGTGACCATGAACAGGGCCGCGACGACTAGGCCACAGCAGAAGATTATGGTGCAGATGACGGCGCCCGCTCGGTCACCGGTGGTGACTGGCGCGAATACGATGCCGCCCAAGGGATCGGTCCGACCAATATCAGAACCACCACCGGCGGGATCGCCAACGCTGGTTCCGCCCGTGCTGCCGGTAACAGGCGCCTCGGCATCTTGAATCATGTTGGCGAGTACTACCTCGGCGGCGGCCATCTGCTGCCCGACTCCGGTCGACCCGTCCCATTTGCCGGAATTGTTCGCCCACTTCATGCCACACATGCGACCGTTGTTGCCCCCCACGCACTGGTTGGCCGCGGCCTTGGCCGAATTTTCGAGGAGCGGTTTGATGCGATTGTAAGTCCAGGGAGCCCATTTCGTGGTTGCCGCCATCCAGCGGCTCAAGTACGCTTTGAACGATTGCTGATCTAGATTACAGAGCCCAACACCCTCGCAAGCGATCTCGATCATCACGGGTGGACTATTGTTCTCGTCGCTGAAGAAGAACACATCCGTCCCATTTAGCAGGCCGTCGACCCTCTCACGCCACATATCGCGATCACTGGCGCGATTTTCGGCCTCTGCCCAGGCGTACATTGCGGCGGCCCCGAGAAGAAACGACCCCGCGTTATACGAGAACTGGTAGGGCACGGGGTTCGTGCAGTTGATTTCGATATGCGACCCATCGTACACGCGATAGTCGTCGTCCATGAACTTGACATTGACCATCCAGTCCCAGGTTTTCACGGCCCAGTCAGCATACGAACTGTTTCCGGTATAAAGAGCCAGGCGCGCAGCGATGTTGAAAAAGCAACCCTGGGAGATGGAGTTTTTGTAGTTGTAGCCATTGTTCCATTGGAATATCTGCCACCGCAAACCTCCGTTGCAGTACTGAGTGTCCCATCGAGCTGCTTGCGTGTTGAATACGGCTTGTGCGAGTGCCAGCCAATGCGGCTGTCCTTTCGGCGGATCTGGAAATTTGTACTCTGCAGCGGTCATGACTGCCATGCCCCAAAACCCTTGATCGTCGTTCCCCTCGGTGAGAGTCTGGTTTGGCGGCATGTAATCGTTGTACGGTCCAACCTGGAAGAGCAGGGCATCCTGGGCAATCTGGTTGTACGTCGCGTCTCCTGTGTAATACCAATAGTCGATCAGGGATCCCATCATGGCGCCCGCCTCCCACCCTGATTGAAATCCATCAGTCAACTCGGAATACCTCGAATCGGAGGAGGATGCTCACAGTAGTATGGTGGTGGTAGGAGACCAGGAGTCTGCCCCGGTTGATCGCCCGTATAGAAGGTCATCAGATCAGCAACCATCTGTTTGGAGACACTCCGTATAGAGTCTGGGGGAGAGCTATCAGTTGAGCCATTGATACGAAGACATCTTGGCCAGATGCTAACCTTGTGAGTTTATGTCGAGATCATAGGCACTGGCACTAAACTGGCTGCTCATCAGCAGCAAAGGTGCTGCTGACAAGGTTGGCGCCCATAAAAGCCGCATTATAGTGGTTGTTGATCGAAGTATGGCCTGGGAGAGATCTATGAATCCATCCAGGTCGTCATGAGAAGCAATTACAAGTTTGAATAGAGCTTTGAAGAGTCAAAGAGAGGATTCGAAGCGGCAATTTAATCGGTCAATCCTGTTTTCAACATGCGACTGTTGGCATGCATACATACACGGCCATTCAACTGCAGTCCGCATCTATCGTGAAAGGCGTTTGACCAGGCAGGGGTAATGTCAAGACATGGGTCGCACTTGTGAGCCCCGCGTCAGGATCGAATTAATACGAGAGATGATTGATAATCTGGAAGGGTCGCACTTGGAAAAGGCAACCATGGCAGATTATGTGAGTGCGAAAGGACGAAGGGCTACCTAAGGGCAGGTCTAGATGGCAGCCACCTACCTTTTGACAAGCTGCATGTCCAGCCGACGTGGACAAGCGTGACGCACAGCTTACCTTCCAGCCTTGCTTCCCCGAGGTAAGCAAGCTTTGCGCGGTGATGTTCATACGAGAAATCTGGGGTAGACTAAACTACTACACATGTAAGTGCTGGGGTGGGTTGCCCTCAGGGCGGGCCGATGAACCTGCAGTCGATCATTTGACACGCAACTCCGAGTACTGTTCAGGCCGGCTGCGGCACAGAAGATACACTCGTGTTGAGCGATGGGGCTCGAACCAATGTACATGGCTCCCGCCCAAAACAGCGCGACCCCAAAAATGACGCTGCCTGATTGCGGGCAGCGCTGACGATCGAATAGTACCTGAGCAGTATCCCGCGTTGTATTGCATCCATGACGAGAGCAGAAAGCGGGGAAAGCAGCTGAAAGAGAAGGGCATAGTTAAGCGTTCGGCAACGGCTGGCTGGCTTATCCCGGGCTTCCAGCAGGAGCCTTGAACTAAGACACCAGGAGACTCAGAATGTTCGAATGAGACTTCAGCCAAATGTTAAGTGATGTTGCCAAGACAAGCGAAAATGAAGGAGTCCCCAGCAGCAGTGGTCTGGTTCAGATGAATACGCAGGCGTAACCTCGCGTGGTTGTAGGTGGCTCGCTCGTACGATGGCTTCACGAGGTTGGATTCCGGGGATTGCGCGGAGCCGAAGCGGCAGGAAGTCGGCGCATGTAATTATTGAATCAGATGGATTGAATCGGATGGTCGGTTAGGTTCCCAGGTGGCTGGATGTCAGTGGATGAACGGCTCCAGTCTGTTCTTGGAGCTCCACTTGCCCAGAAGGACGAAGCCGACTGACTGCCTATTCCAGAACACATGGGATACGATTCAATACATTAAGGTAGCTAGCTAGCTGCCACAGTCTCTTGCACGCCCGCTAGCAACCTTGAGTCTAAAGAGTGGCTAGGGTGGGCGGAGAAGACGACGACGAGACGGGGCTAATTAGTCTTTTCAACTGCACTCCAGAGAGTTCGGGGCGCGCGGCGGCAGCCGGGCCAGCCATCCATTCTTTGCCCATTTCATGGCGATGAAACGGAGCTGCAACATGCTTGAGGGCTCTGAAGATTCGACCGCAAGCTTGGCATACTACCGTAACACTGTCAACTGAAAAAGGGTCGCCACATGGATCGCCAGGAACGCTTGGGATGGCCTCAATTCTACAAACATGGAAAAGATTGAGCAAGTAATCTCTTCCTTGTCGGGCCCCTGCGCGCGTGCGGACTCTGGTCCTGGCCAAAGCAGGATACGGGGTGGCTGCATTAATTAGAAGACTGACGTAGGTGCACACGGAGGAGCTTATGGAGGAGGGGACTGTAGGGACCCAGGGACTCCTCATGGGCGACCCGAGGCCTTGGCTTGGCCTACCAGCCCTCGCATTGCCTCGCCCGCCAGCCTAGCAGCGCACTGCCACAGCCGCGATTGCGAGTCGTGAGGCTTTTGAGGCGGATGTCTCTCGGATTGCGTGGACGCCGCCTCCAGGTACACCTTGGTAACGTAGGGCCAGTCAGGTAGCTGGCGAATGCTGGTTCGTAGACGGGCGGCGATTCACTGAATTCACATGTCCCTCGCAGGACAGGCTTCTTCCGCGCTGGTAAAAAAGATAAGAAGCGAAACAACTGGTTCGGGTCCTCCACGTCGCATGCAATCAAAGCGAGCAAAGGGGTTTTGACACACGGCCGGCCATTCTGCGACTCTAGCGAGGAACAAAGCCGTGCTTCACCAGAGCGACAAGGCTAGACAAACCGCTGCCGTTTGGTCGATTGTCGACTGGCCACTGCCACTGTCCAGGGTCTGCTGATCAGCCGGGGCCCTGCGGTCCCAGTCTCCGTACCAAAACGTTTCACCAGGCCAACTCGGCCTGGGGCCTGCTAGGGAGCACGGATACCTACCATCCCCGTTCTGGCCGCCTGCCCAGCGACTGGCCACTGGAGTCTGGGCGTCTCTGCTGCTGCTGCTACCTGGCGTTGCCGTCCATCTTCCCTTGTCAGCAGCCAAACCTCTCCTCTGCCAACCTCTCTTCATTCCACATCCACACTCTTCTCGCGAGAAAGCCAGCCAGCCATATCCATCCATTAACATCGTCGCCATCGCCGACCGACGCTCAGTATCAATCCACGCAACTTTTAACGCACGTCGCATCCACCGCTCGTTTGATCCGCCCTCCGCCGTCTAGCCAAGCTCTCCCGTCACAATGGCCTCCCAAGACGCTCCCTACGACCCCTACATCCCCAGCGGCCAGGCTGGCGCTGCTCCCCAGCAGGGAGGAAACCCCAGGACACAGGCGCTGCAAGCTGTAAGTTGATTTTGAGAAACCCTCTACCATGCCGATCGAGACGAGTTGCCCCGGATTCGTGATCCTGGCCCTGTCCGCCACAAGCGCCCACGGCATATCCCACACCTGTCGTCAATCCAGCACAATGGAATCACGCGAGTAGGTGTCATAAAGGGGCATGCGCGCACCTTGCGAACAACCACCGCCGATCCTTCGATTGCCAGGAGCGCCGTTGAGATGATTTCGAAAGATGCCAGTGGCATCTGATGAGCATCTGCATAGGCCAGGGTGCCAACCGCACGACTTAAGTGAGAGTCAACCGGCGATGGCCCGCCTCTTCGACATCGCGCGCGCATGCGCGCCTCTGTGACAAGAAATCGCACTCCGAGACTCTTTCTTCAGTCTGCAGCAGGACTGTATTGCGCAAATTCGGGGCAAAGTCAGGCGGCTACTCACAGAAACAGTCTGCTAACGTGAGCCATGACAGCAAATCGATGACACCGTCGGTGTCATGAGAGAGAACATCAACAAGGTCTCTCAACGTGGCGAGCGGCTCGATGCCCTTCAAGATAAGACGGACAACCTGGCCGTCTCGGCACAAGGCTTCCGCCGCGGCGCCAACAGAGTGCGCAAGCAGATGTGGTGGAAGGACATGAAGATGCGAATGTGCCTGATTGCAGGTATCATCATCCTCATTCTCGTCATTGTCATTCCAGCTGGTAAGTGTCCTACCCACAAGATTCGCATTGTCCGCCCTCACAGTACGTGCTGACACACGGCCTCCACAGTCGTCGCGACCAAGAACAAATAAGAGAGCATCGATTCGATTTGATTGCCGCAAGACGTGGACAACGGGGCATGACATGAATGACATGGTGGAACTCGCAGGCTACGAGGACCTGAAGTGGTTCAAGACGATCAAAGCACATGGGATTTATAGTACAGAGGAGTTATTGTCATGGGTTTGACCGGTTCTTTTCTCTTTGACTCGCACCAATACCACACGACCTGGGCCGGACGACGCCGGCCGGGCCTTTGGAGATAGTTGCGCAGGATGAGATGCCTCCGTATGTATGTATGATGGCGAGGCGAGACGAGACGAAGCAAGGCGTTTCCGACTTAATTGAGACATCCTTCCACGACGCCGTGCCTGCTGGCTGTTGCAGCCTTTTGGTGAACCACCGATGATGAACACGAGAATACGAGACGCCAGGCCTCAGACTGTCACGAGAGGATGGCTGGAAATTAGCCCTGTTCCAACTTCGAATCTTCATCACATGCATGCGACTACTTGTATATCCTAGGTCGAGGCAGCCGATATGACTGCCGTCTTGGAGGGATCGGGGTTGCTGCAGACTACATCGGATTAAGTACTCGTAACTCGTAGCCAACCTGACGTATACTATAGGTAGCCCCATAGTGAGAGCACTGGATCCTCCAAAACTGTCTAGGCTGCATTCTTGTGTGAATGCCGTGCCACCGTACAGACAACTGAATCAAGTAACCCGAGATCATCACGCCGTGAGCCATTTTCCCTCCCATGTACGCACCAACTCAGGTCGGCTGGTAGGTGTGCTCAAATATAGCTCAGGACGAGGGAGGCCTCTGCGGACTGTCACGAGTAGCCAACTCATCACGGCTCTTACAAGCAAAACCGATAGACCACTCGCGGTAGCACGGGGGCTCGGAGCCGTGTCGTCACATATTGGATCTGCATGTGGTGAGAGGTTACATAAACGGGCAGCGGGCGGGTCTGCTACCGTCGACGACGCTAGTTGGCACCGATGTTGAGGGTCTGAGGTGTCTGACTCCGACCTGGCCTCTGGGCTGACGGGGTTGCATGGCCCGCATGGGGAATGGCATGGGAGACGCCCTCGACGACAGCGATTTTCGGCGCCCAAATTTTCCCCCCAAGCCCTTTTGGTAGTGCGTGCCCCAGACCAGGACCGACAGCTGCCCCTCGGAAACAGAGATTTATTACCGACAATTGTGTACCTGGGCCTGCCCATGACTGTCGAGTCAACTCCAGAGGTCTAGCCTTGAGTCTTTGAACAACCCTCTCCAGCCGATTTCTCTATTCTGAGGTAAGCCAATTGGCCTCAACGTCTTGTTATACATGAACTCCGGCAATCGTTTGTTCTACCGCGACATAGTCTGATTGATCCCCCGTGCATCCAGGTCTCTGTGCTTCTGCTTGTCCAGAGCTTGGGAAGGGAGCTCCTGCCCCTCCTACTCCGTTGACCACGCCGAACTACTCGAGTCGGATCCCGCGACCGACTTTTTGTGCACAGGCACAACCCGAGAAAGAAAAGCCCTAGGCTTGTCAACCGGGCTTCGACTCGACCCGAACCCTTCCAAGGATACATCGGATACATCCTTGGATAGACAACTCTCCTCTCCCAACGCCTCGCTCCGTTCCACCCTCTCGTCTGCTGCCACGCCGCACGATCGAACGCCATGCTTTCCCGGGCCAGTCGAGTCGCCGTCCGGGCCACCATCCGGGCTGGCGCTCGGAGGGCATCGCCTCGCACCGCCGCACGCTTCGTCCCTGCGCTCGCGAGCAGGACCCAATTGGCCGCCTACTCGTCCAAGGAGAACAACTCCAAGTTCATCCGCACCGCCGTCATCCAGGTCCTCAACAGCATCGGCTCCAAGCGCGAGGTCCAGCAGTACCTCTCCCACTTCTCCTCCGTCTCGTCCCAGAAGTTCGCCGTCATCAAGGTCGGCGGCGCCATCCTGACCGAGCACCTGGACGAGTTCTGCAGCAACTTGGCCTTCCTCTACCATGTCGGCCTGTTCCCCATCATCGTCCACGGCGCTGGGCCCCAGCTCAACAAGCTCCTCGAGGAGGCGGGCGTTGAGCCCCAGTTCGAGGAGGGCATCCGTATCACCGACGGCAAGACCCTCGGCGTTGCCCGCAAGCTGTTCCTCCAGGAGAACCTGAAGCTCGTCCAGCGCTTGGAGGCCATGGGCGTTCGCGCCCGTCCCATCACCTCGAGCGTCTTCACCGCTGATTACCTCGACAAGGACAAGTGGAAGTTCGTGGGCAAGATCACGGACGTCAACAAGGAGCCCATCGAGAGCGCCATTGCCAATGGATACTTGCCTATCCTTACCTCCATGGCCGAGACCCCCGAGGGCCAGGTCCTCAACGTCAACGCCGACGTGGCCGCCAGTGAGCTCGCCCACGCCGTCGAGCCCCTGAAGGTTGTCTACCTGAGCGAGAAGGGCGGCCTGTTCGACGGCGATGGCCAGAAGATCTCGGCTATCAACCTCGACCAGGAGTTCGACTCCATCATGTCACAGAGCTGGTGCAAGTTCGGCACCCGCTTAAAGATCAAGGAGATCAAGGAGCTCCTGGACGGGCTCCCCCGAACCTCCAGCGTCGCCATCATCCACCCGGCCGAGCTTCAGAAGGAGCTGTTCACCGACTCGGGAGCCGGCACCCTTATCCGCCGTGGTGCCAAGCTCATGACCGCTACTAGTGTTGACGAGTTCACGGATCTGCAGCAGCTGAAGGAGGTCCTCGTGCGCGACCGTGATGTGACGGATGCAAGGGCCACCGTCGATCGCTACGTGGACTTCTTGAAGCAACGGGAGTTCAAGGCCTTCTTCGATGAGGACATGAAGGCCCTCGCCGTGGTCTTGCAGCCCGATCAGAAGAAGGCCTACTCGACCTTGGCAACCTTGACCATTACCAAGTCTGGCTGGTTGAGCAATGTCGCCGACAACATTTTTGCCGCCATCAAGAACGAGTACCCGAGCCTTGTCTGGACCGTCAAATCGGACGACGAGAACCTCACCTGGTTCTTCGAGAAGGCAGACGGCAGTCTGATCCGAGGCAACGACGTACTGTTCTGGTACGGAATTGAGGAGGGTCAGGACCTCACCGAGCTCATGAAGGAATTCACCACCCACGGCCGTTCCATGCTCGGCGAGTCCAACTTGGAGTCGAGACTGCACCGAGCTGCCCAGATCGCCTCGCAAAACCTCAAGACCCATGCTGCTTCCGGATCGGTCGCAAACCAGGCACGTGGCTACTCTACGCTTGCCCGCCGACCTGTGCTGGGAACTGCCCGTGGCTTTGCCAAGGGCCTGTCGAGGGGGTTTGCTACCACTACCAACCCCAACCCTCCCTACGGAAAGAAGCATGCTTCCAACGAGGTCCCCTCGAGGGTGGCCTTGATTGGTGCCCGTGGCTACACCGGCCAGGCTCTGATCTCCCTCCTCAACACCCACCCCAACTTTGTCCTGAAGCACGTTTCTTCTCGTGAGCTCGCCGGACAGAAGCTCCAGGGCTACGACAAGAAGGAGGTCACCTACGAGAACTTGAGTGCCGAGGAAGTTGGCCAGATGGAGGAGAGAGGCGACATTGACGTCTGGGTCATGGCCCTTCCCAACGGTGTTTGCAAGCCTTACGTCGATGCGATCGACCAAGCTCGCGCAAAGACGGGTGCCAGGGATGACACCAGCGTGATTGTGGATCTGTCGGCGGACTACAGATTCGACGACGGCTGGACCTACGGTCTTCCCGAGCTGGTCAAGCGCTCCAAGATCGCCCAGGCCAACAGAATCTCCAACCCCGGCTGCTATGCGACTGGTGCTCAGCTGGGTATCGCACCCCTGTTGGAGTTCCTCGGTGGCCAGCCCAGCATCTTCGGTGTCTCTGGTTACTCGGGGGCCGGCACCAAGCCGTCGCCCAAGAACAACGTTGAGCTCCTCAGCGACAACTTGATCGCCTACAGCTTGACGGATCACATCCACGAGCGGGAGGTCAGCACTCAGCTCAACACCCCCGTTTCCTTCTCGCCACACGTCGCCCAGTGGTTCCAGGGCATCCACCACACCATCCACATCCCGCTCAACAAGACCATGACGTCGCGAGAGATCCGTCAGATCTACCAGGACCGGTACGCCGGTGAGAAGCTGGTCAAGGTTATTGGCGAGGCGCCCATGGTCAAGTCGATCAGCCAGAAGCACCACGTCGAGATCGGTGGGTTCGCCGTCCACAGCTCAGGCAAGCGGGTCGTCGTCTGCGCGACCATCGACAACCTGCTCAAGGGAGCAGCTACACAATGCTTACGTAAGTGACACCCCTGAACCTGGACTATTATACGACCACGACCCGTTAGAAAGAATAGTATGCTGACTCTGCCACACAGAGAACATGAACCTGGCACGCGGCTATGCGGAGTTTGAGGGTATCCCCCTGTCGGAGTAGACACTAAAACGGCTATCTTTCCTTGCTTCTTGTCATTTCAATGGGTTTCTAGGGTTTTCGGCTAATCTTTTTCGGTCTTGATTTTGTGTATATACCTCGAGGCCAATTGAAGAAAATGTTCATATACTCGTGATGGTGATTTTTCTTATGCTGTCCAAGCCATGTTGCCGCCTCTTGCCTTGGATGTGAAGACTCGTAGCAATGACTTGTGGCAATGATCACTGACGATTATAAACCATATGACCCTATATATACAAGTGCATCGCAAATGAGGTTCCTTTGACAGCAAGTGTGCATTTATAGTCCTGTCAAACAGATCTGACTAAAAAAATTACTTAGTAGTAACAACTCGATGGGCAATGCGGGCGTGGAGCATTACCTGGCAGGACCCCTGCTCCAACCTTCAACCTTGGCTACACACACTATTGAACACTCCCGTCAACCGCCCTCCGATAGCGGGCCACATCCAGTCAACATTTTTGGCGGGGCAGGGGCCCGAGAAACATCCCACTTACAAGACGGGACTACGTCAGTAATAATACCAGCACCGCGCAAATCTCCAGACCGATCTGCGACAACAGTCAATCACTCTACAGACAACAATTGGACGGTCCCCGGCAACTCTCGCGGAAACCAAGAGACACCCCAAGAAACCACCATGGCGCCTCCGTTCCCAACCAAGAAGTGCGGCGTCCTGGGCTGCACGGGCTCGGTCGGCCAGCGCTTCATCCTGCTGCTCCAGCAGCACCCGCACTTTGTCCTCCACGCCGTCGGCGCCTCGTCGCGGTCCGCCGGCAAGAAGTACAAGGACGCCGTGCGCTGGAAGCAGGCCTCGCCCATCGGCGCCGTCGGCGACCTGGTCGTGCGCGAGTGCAAGGCCAGCGAGTTCGCCGACTGCGACGTCGTCTTCTCCGGCCTGGACTCGGACGTCGCTGGTGACATCGGTATGTACTTTTGTCCTTGTATAGTCCGCCCGCCCAAAGAGATCGATATAGCTGACCGAGTTCCTCTCTCCCCTTCCTACAGAGATGGAGTTCCTCAAGGCCAACCTCGCCGTCTTCTCCAACGCCAAGAACTACCGCCGCGACCCCCTCGTGCCGCTCGTCGTGCCGACCGTCAACCTGCCGCACCTGGACCTGATCCCGCACCAGCGCCGCCACCACGGGCTCGAGAAGGGCTTCCTGGTGTGCAACTCCAACTGCGCCGTCATCGGGCTGGTGATCCCGTTCGCCGCGCTGCAGGCGCGCTTCGGCCCCGTCGACACCGTCTCGGTCGTCACCATGCAGGCCGTCTCGGGCGCCGGCTACCCGGGCGTCAGCAGCATGGACATGATCGACAACGTCGTGCCCTTCATCTCGGGCGAGGAGGACAAGCTCGAGACCGAGGCGCGCAAGATCCTCGGCTCCATCTCGGACGACCGCACCGCCCTCGTCGACCAGGACGGCCTGCGCGTCTCGGCCGCCTGCAACCGCGTGCCCGTGCTGGACGGCCACACGGCCTGCGTCAGCCTGCGCTTCAAGAACCGGCCCGCCCCCCAGATCGACGACGTCAAGGCCGCGCTGCGCGAGTACGTCAGCGAGGCCCAGGCCCTCGGCTGCCCCAGCGCCCCGCAGCCCAGCATCATGGTCTTCGACGACGCCGACCGCCCGCAGCCGCGCCTCGACCGCGACCTGGGCCGCGGCTACACCGTCAGCGTCGGCCGCGTGCGCGAGGACGACAGCGGCATCTTCGACCTCAAGTTCGTCGCCCTGAGCCACAACACCGTCATTGGCGCCGCCGGTTCGTCCATACTGAACGCCGAGGCCGCGGTCCTGAAGGGCTACATCTAAAAAAAGAAAAGAAGCATGTGTGTTTTCTGGCGTTGAGACGGGGACAGAGCATTTAACCGGGTACCAATTGGCTGTAGACCGGAGGCTTATAGAGGAATGGGAACAAAAGGTTCGAAAAAGTCCAAAATTGGAATCTCAGTTGAAGCTCAAGCTTATGCTATGACCATTGTGATATGAAACCCCCTGATATGTGATCTATACTCTTTTTCACAATACATGGTAGTATAATAATGCATGTCTACGCAATTTTATATCTTAGGCGGACTCTCCATAGATTCGTTCCCCTTATCAAGCACCCTTTCCCTGCAAACTTATGGCAAACTCAGGAAGAGCTGCTCCATCGCCGGGTAGTTTGGCGTGCTATTTGACCGTTCTTAGCATGATATTACCTCCGCAGTGTTTCCGGAGTACTCACCCAAGTCCAGTGACCGGATCCCACCCCTTGACGGCCGAGAAGCCATCCGTGCCGCACCCGGGGTTCTTGCCGTTGGTGATGTCGTTCAGCACCTGTGGGTTCTCGTAGAGCACCGGGTTGACGAAGCCCACGGGGCCCTTGCCCGCCGCGAGCCGCTTCTCGTTGATCATGTTGATCAGGGAGGCGAAGACGGGTGCCGAAGCTAAATCGTTGTCAGACCAGCGCACCGGTATACTCATATTATACCATCTAGAAACGGGGGAGGCCGACATACCGGATGTCCCAAAGGAAAGCGTAAAGTTGCCGTCCACAGCAGTCAGGTACCGCGCACCGTTGGCCGAGACGTCCGGGTACGCGCGGACGGTGCCAGAGTTGTTGAAGCGGTCGGCGCCGTAGGGGGGCCGCGAGTCGGCGAAGTAGGTGCCGACGGCGGCGCGCTGGTAGGTCGGGGCGGCGAAGACGTTGGAGAAGCCGCCGCCGGACAGGATGACCTCCTCGCAGGCGCTCTCGGGCGAGCGCACCGACGAGCCGTTGAGGATCTGCGTCGCGCCCACGCTGGTGACCCAGGGGCAGGTGCCCGGGAAGGAGGGTGTGAAGAGCCCCGAGCCCCCGCTGTTGAAGGCGCCCGTCGCCGGGTCGACGCACGCCGCCCCGTTGCCCGCCACGCCGTTGTCGCCCGACGAGAAGACCATGGTCACGCCCTGCAGCGCCAGCTTCATGTACTCGGCGCACTGGCGCTGCTCGTACCGCGCGCCCAGGTCGCCCTCGTTGGACCCGTAGCTGGTCGAGATGACGTTGGTGGCCTGCGCCGTGCCGCAGCGCACCTTGTCCGAGTACTGGCCGTCGACGTTGGGGTCTTTGGAGTCGCCGCCCTCGAACGAGCAGAAGCTGCCGTCCAGGGCGTCCAGCAGGTTGCCGAAGCTGGCGCCCTGGACCAGATCGCCGACCTGGAACAGGGTCGCCTGCTGGGGGAAAATCAGGCCCATGGCAAACTCAAGGTCCAGCGCCGACTCGCCGTTGAAACTGAAGCTTCGATTTGTCGTCTGGACGACCCCGTTGTCAATGGCTTGGAGAATCGGGGGCTTCCCGACAAGCTTCGGCTGGAACTGATCAAAGAACAGGTCCAGGTCGCCCTGCAGGAAAGCCTGAGGCGTATATTCGACGATCCCAAGAGTATTGTTTGACTTTGCGAGAGAGCCCGGCGGCACTGCATACAAGGCGCGGATGCAGTCGATCGTCAGCATCTGATCGCAGTTGGCCAAGCTCGCGAGAGCACTCTCGATCACAGCTCCCTGCTTCGGGGAGAACCCATCGTTGGCCCCTGAACCCAGGATGCCGTGCTCGGGGCGTTGTCGCTTCGACAGTGACCTCTTCTTGAGTTCCTGGGTCTGCCCTTCGGTGACTCCTATTTTCTTGTTCTCCCGCTCATGTCCGACGCGCCGATCGAAGTGGACTGTCGGCGTGATCAAGTCGATATGTTCAACGAGGTGCTCGGGGACGTGGTACTTGTCACAAGCTACATGCGAGTGTCCCTGTCGGTTGTGCCTATAGACGTGGTACTCGGTCTTCAGGAGCTGTTCGACTTCGTTTACAGTCGCCTTGAATTCTAACCAGTGACGACCCTTGGAGAGCGAGACTCGACTCGGATGTATCCCTTCAGACTCGAGCCATATCTTGACAGCGTCGACTGTTTCCTGCTTGGGAGCAAATGTCTTGATAACCTGCTCAGGAGTCCAATGCTTCCCATAACCGGCGGACTTGGGATGAGAGACGGCATTGATAAACTCGTCTGCCCGATGCAGGTTTGATTGTGACAATCCGATTCGGACGGGCAATGCCTGCAACCTGTGAAGGCGACCAACTTTGGTCCATTCTCGCCTCGCAACCAAGCGTTCCTCGTGAACGACATGGCTCACTGTCCTTGTAAGAGGCTTTCCTTCTACCGCTGCCGCCAGGGCAGCGAGCAGACTAGCCAGCACAACAAGCCTCATTCTTCAAAGCCCGCACCGTCACAAGCCAGCTAGCGAACACAAAAGAACAGTCAAACATGGAGCCAAAGCGACTATATTGAGAGCGATTAGGTCGCTATACCACGATGGATGATTCGCGTCATTCCACTGCCCACGTAGTCCATCGCCGCATTGTAGGAAAATGGTTTCACATTGCAGCATTGCCTCGATAGCAACCTGTAATTGAGAACGCCAGCCTGGTTGAGTAGATAGGAGGCTCAGCTTGCCGGTTCCAATGAGCGGGAAGCACACCAGGCCAGGGACCCATTGTCGTCCGAGCCCTAACTAACTATCCCTGGGTATCCAATAACATCCCCGCCACCTGCACAAAGGACTATGGAGCGTGAATATGAGATACGCGAAGGGGGTTCGGAGCATCGACAAGCCTTGGCGAAAGAAGCCTTTTGCCGAGAATATCAAACACACTTGCCGCATTGGCGTTCCAAACCATGGGCTCGACGTGGAGCACGAAGTTTGAGATCCAGACCAATGATTGTGCAGGATGGATGAGGCTCTGCTCTGTCGATTCACGGTTCCACATCTTTTCGAACGCCGCGGCCAGCCCCAGGACCCCCACAGGGACCCCCCATCTGCCTTTGCCAGGGGAGCGTGTTTCAGACTCGGCCCGTGAAGATAGTGAAGAGCCTAGCAACCGATCATTGACGCGTATGCATGGAACGCATCTGGCGGTAGTTGGCCTCACTTCTGTGCCGACTTGGCCTCGATGTACCGTTGCAGGGTCTTTTTCTGAAGAGCATTCAGCTCGTTGTTGATTTCTCGGAGGCTCTCGATTTCTTTGCGCAGTTTGTCATCCCCTGCTGCGGAAGCTTGAGGCTGAGGCTGTTGCAAAGAAATGATTGCCTGCTCCAAAGCGTCCTGTGAAAAGCCCTTGGAGTTCAGCATCTTGGTGAAGTGTGTTTCGTCTGCTTGGTCAGACTCCAATTGGGCAGTGAAGTTGTAACTGCGACTGCCTAGGAATGGCTTCACAATGCTGACAGGCTGTGTGTCCCGAGAAGTAGAAATCGGTGAGGTAAAGAGGATGTTGCTCACGATAGCGTTCAGATTCGCTATTTCAGTGGCAACAGCTTTGGTGCTCAGATCCCACCTTAGGATCTGCCCATTTGGATGGCCAGAGAGGAGAAGAGTACCATCATAACTGAGACCAAGACTGGACGCTGGTCCTGTCTCTTGAGTAACTGAGCCAAAGGGTGACGAGACTTGTACCGCAGTTGAGCTTGCTTCTGCGCTCTGGGCCCCGATCAGGGACTTTTCTGCAAACAACTCTACAGCAAACATGGAGCCATCGTCAGTTGACGCATAGAAAGCACGCGCGCAAGGATCGAGACACAGGTTCATGGGGGAAGTAGGGAGCAACAAGGTTCGCAAAGCCATCCCGGTCTGATAGTTCCAGATGATACAAGACTTGTCTTTGCTGGCAGAAACGCAGATGTTTGTATCACGGTTGATGCTTTGGCTCACAGCCAAAGATGTGATAGCAGCGCGGTGATTCGACAAGGTCTGCTCCGGCTCGTGCTCAATGGTTGTATCGCGTTCCAGAAGCCGGGGAAGCTGCCAAACCAGAATATTCGAGTCATCGGAGCCGGTGATCAAATGGTAAGGAGTGGACGCGATGCAGGTTACGGCCTGGACATGGCACGCTGGGGTTGTCACCTGCCGGCCTGTACATGTCTACGGAACGAAGTCAGTGATCTGAGCTCGGAAAAGACGTGAATTTCGCATGACATACCTCCCATACAATAATGCGGCCCTGATCCGTGCCTAGCACCAGCACATCACCCTGAAGAGCAATGCTCCTTATTCTTTCTTGAAATGTGACTGTGGCCTCCTGGTTTCCCTTTTCTCTGGAGTAGACATGGACTGTCGACTTCTCATGCTGCGCGGAGAAGACATGGGCGTCGCTGACGGCGAGGCAGTGTCGGGGAGCCGAGCTCTTCTTGAAAGTGCCCGCGGTCGAGTGGCTCGGGTGGAGGATATGCTCGTAGATGCCGACGTCCTTGGCGATCGCGGTGTTGTTCGTAAGCGGTGGTCCGGTAATGGACGCGAAGTACCGTTCGGTCAGCATGGCGACTCTTGCGCGCGCGGTCCGCGCGAACAGATGGGCGCCGGTGGGAGATCCGGAAGCACTGGCGTATGTGTGTACCCAAGGATTTTGTCGCCTTGTTCGGAGGCTGCTCACGAACTGGTTTCACAATCAGGGCAAATCTGGCTCGGTCTGGAGAATACGGTATTCAAGAAGCTCTATTCCACTGCAATGCAATAGGGTTCTGCAAGGGATTTCTTGGGCTTTGGCGAGAGCTTGCGAGGGCAGGTTTGCCGTTTGCACGCAGTGCCAGCAGCTGGACCCTGAAGCTATCGCAAACGAAATTTTGTGCTCTAGCAGCGGCCGGCTTCCGCTTACCCCACCAAGCTCAAGCTAACCCGTGCAACGGTGGTGCCCGTCCGCCGTCGCGCGTCGGCCGCCCGCCAAGAGGCCCATCCCAGGTTGGAGGCTGGAGCTGCACTGGGATGCGGGCTCCAGCCTACAGCCAGCAGGCCAAACCAACTTTTGGGAACCTTTGAGGCTCTGCCCCGAACGGCCATAGTTGCAATGAGTAACCAAGGATATCCCGGCCGAGATAGGGGCATCATCGTGTCGAATATCAACCTCACATGTCCGTCGCATTTCTCAATGACTGAGATGACGGTTTTGTTCGGTGATAGATCAACTCTCAAAGGGCCACAACACTGTATTTCGATCCGGACCTCCAGCTGTCACAAATGACACATCCGAGAGCGAGAGCACAACCCGGACAACCTTGGATGTGCTACTGTGAGTTACAGAGCTTGGCTGTCTGGGCGTTAGATCCCCCGGCGTGGTGGTCGTCTCGCCCATCATGATGACGAGGTCAGCAGCCAGCTAGTGGTTCCTGACTGCATTTATCAAAGTCTAGCTCTGCACCCACCAAAATCCTGCGTGAGATTGGAGCTCCTGTGCAAGCTGTGCTACATAGTGCGTGAGCTCGCTGTGGGAGGTTGCTTTTCGCTTTCGCCTCCAACTGATTTCCCTTGCGCTATGCATGTCTTGCATCGCAGAAACTGGAGCACATTGCAGAAAAGGCAACTTGCTCGTTTGGCTAGATGCGTGTCTAGGCCCAAGGGAAATAAATAGCCTTCCGACCCAGACTTGCCGACAATCTGGTCTGTCAGGTCCCAGTGCTGCTCACTTTCTCTTGCCTTCAGCCGCCTGCTGATGTCGTATGGGGAGGCTAATAGGAACGGGACACGAGGAGCACGCCTTCAATAAATCCCCGACTCGCTTACAGGCTCGCCCACCAAATCCCGACTTGCCCAGGCCCCCGGAAACTACAACAACGTGGCCACCCGTTCTCGCATTCTCGTTGCATTAGCTTGCATCTCAACCAGCCAGGGGGTTGTAGGTACACATTTCCTCTAGTTACCACACAGAACTTAGTACGCAGTAGTCTTCAACTTGTTTCTACTTGAGCTGCAGCTAGTCAAAACACCATGCGGTGCTCCGACCGAGACTCAGCATCCTGTTTGTAATTACGAGCTGTGCGAGCGAGTGCGACTAGGTAACGGTCAGCCAGTGCTTTTTCGACGTCCGCTTGCCGCCGAAGATGGCAGCCCATTGGTGAGATCGTCGTAGGATTCCCGCATCCTCGATAGCCACGCTCCAGCGGGTCTCGCATTTTCTTTTATTGTCTTGGAATGCGCTTTAGTTTCCCCACCGGTTCGGTAGTCCAAGAAACTACCAGGGAAGCTTTCGAGCTTTCCACAGCTCTCAGATCAGTGTTGTCTTCTGCCGGGGAAAGCGACATTGGGCAATCACACAAACATGCGATGAGCGTAGCATCGCCTGGGTATGCATGGTGCCGCGCTGGAACGTAATTAAAAGACGAGCCCAAGAACCAGTTCCCCGCGGCCTTTGATTTGAATGGAATCGAGGACCCCGGCAAGCTGATCTCTTGGCAACGTGGAGACATCAGATGAGTGATTACCAAAAAGGCTAACCGCAGTCTCTCTTCCTAAGATCGCCACGGCGCACCGGCAAAGAGAAAAGCAAAGACAAAAGACGGCGGCAGTCCAGATACCATGAGTAGCATCTGAGACGGTAGCATCTTTCTCATACGAGTGTCTCGCTTGGGTCCAGATTGCAGAACCGTCTCAAGATGGGTGTCTTCTTCCTTCCAAGGATTCCCGCTGCCCCCACCAGTGGTCCATCCATTCCTCATAAACCCCTGGACATCCTAGGAATGCTGGAGGTCGATCATGTCGACTATCTGAAAACCCCCCTGCAACAGCCCGCTGACCGGGGCTCCTTTTCTGTTCAATTCGTGACCCCTGCTGACCTGCTGCTGGCTGACCTCAATCTTTGTTTCCAACATCCTCCAGGCTTTGGTTAACTCGTAAACAAGGTTGTCCTGGCCGCAAAGTCGACAGACGTGCGTGGGCCGCGTTCCCGACTTTTCTTTTGGAATCAAGCGTGGAATTCGTGAAACGAACTACACAAGCCAACAGCTGCAGCATTCGGCACGTCGTGGCCAGTCAGAGCGGCCGACATCGATGTCAGCTGCGAAACGCACCGAGAGCACTGCATATGCGAGGCTGGCCCAGCCGTCCCGTAGCTGCCAACATGGAGATCTCGGAGCCGCTCATGGACTGCAACTTCCCGGAGTTCCTCGCGGGAGACTTGGGGCGATCAGAAGATGTTTTTCTCTCGAGGAATTTAACTGCCGGTGCGCCCGCACCGTCGTTGGCGGATGACGGGAGCAAGCGACGTTATTCACTTCAGGACAGCTCCTCACAGTTTTTAACGTCCCAACCGCGGGTGGCTCTGTCGCGAATGAAATCGCTTCAATCACTCAAGCCGGCCAAATCGCCAGCCATGGCCGAGGTGAACGAGAGTCCCAGGAAAAGTAGTGACACGACTGACTCCTCTGCCACCGACTCGTCTGGTGGCATGGAGCCACCGTCCATTGCAACCCGTAATGTTTCGGTTACTACCACGGCTACTTCTGTGACCTCCGGCAGATTTTCACCCAGCGAGAAATCCCCCTCGCCAGTGGACAAGCTCCCCCATTACAGCTGGGTGGACTTGGATCTCGCGGACGCCCTCAAGTCAGAGAGAAGCTACACCATGGGCCACATTAGTTCCCGACGGACGCCAGCTTCACCTCGAGGCAACATTGCAGATTCGCGGAGTATGTCGATGGGTACCAAGACTGTGCGTCCTGGGAAGATGGATTCATTCTCGACTGTCACTTCTCCAGCCAAAACTCCGACTGCAGCGATGAGCCCTCAGAGACCGTATTTCTTCGAAGGGCGAGCAGGGCCACCGACAGAATTTCCCATTCGACGCTCATCTCTCTCTCAGAATAAAGACCTCCTCACTCTCCCGCCGCGTCATCGAAAATCTTCTCGTTCACCTCCACCGCCAAACATTGTCATTCCCGGCAATGTAACACATGTCACACCTACCAGAAGCCCGACACCGCTGGACCAAAATAACGGCAAGTTTCTGAAGGACGCAGAGGAACGCAGCATATTGACTCTCGACGATGACTCCGACGACGACTATGATGATTCCTTGGCAGTTCCCACCCCAGCACCTGTGAGGACGCAGGTCGCGACACCGAGAATTGTGTCACCTTCGACTGACGTCGAGCAGTGGCTAGATACAAGCAATATTGGTTTCTCATTCAATCCTCAAGCCAAAAACGAGAATCCCGTGTCACGTATCCCCATCGGGTCCGAGGTGCTTGACACCCTGCGAATCTCAGTAGCATGCTTTCCCGAGACGATGCTCTTATGCTCTAGTCTCTCAATAGAGACGATCCGAAGTCATTCTAGGAAGATCAAGTACCGCATGCAGGATCTTGACAATGGATCGCAACTTTCGCTGAACCTTGGTGATGGATCACCAAAGCCATCCGTGTGGAAATGGTTGACCACCAAGCGACCTCAAGACACCAGTCCAACCAAGCTTCAGCCGAGACAGAGAGCCTATCTGGACCCGCCGACTCTCTCCACAGGTCCGCGCCTAGATGAACCAGACTGGTCGGCAATCAGGAACGTCTTTCCTAACGGGACTGACTACCTGTGCGACGCACTCTACGCCCATCTGCTTGCCTACAACTACATATCTTCCCTCTGCCCTCGATCTGTCCCTCTGAGCCCAATCCAGAGACCCGGTTCAAACCAGTCCAGTGCTCAGAGCATTACAGAAACCGCATCCAAATGCTCAGAGAGCACCCAGATCAAGCCCAAGGCGGCGAAGTTGCTAGGGCTTTCTGAAGACACTCCAGCAGTCATGCCACGTAGCCCAGGAGTTGACTCTCAGAAATCGCCGAGAAGTCTCACCCTACGCAATAAGCCATCTTTCTTCGCAGGGCACCGGGAGAACTCCAAGACGTTTGGCACCGGCGCCAGCCGATCGGCCGACGATCACGACAAATCCCTGAAGGAGCTTCAACTCGGGCTAGCGAAGTGTATCGCGAGATTGGTGGGCACGCTGCGCCTGACCTCGCACGAGAACAAAGCAGTCAGCGTTACCAAGCAGGTGGACATCAAGGACGTCGATCCCCTATTCATCCGCGCTCTCTGCGAAATTGTCCGCTCTTGCGAGGAGCGAGCGTAGTCGCAGATGTCGCAAATTTGGCCACTGCCGGGGCCTGAGGGTTAGAAGACGCGGTTTATATACGGCCCGTGGGGTCCGGGCAGTCCAGTTCCTGACATCTTTGCCAGGTCTCAAGATTAATCACAATGTACAACAGTCTCCTTTGTTACTAAAAGCCACGGTGGAACTGATATTTCAGGGGGTACGTGGTAGAAGATTCCAAACGGTGGACTCAAAAGCGGAATGGACATCTGGCGTTGGTGGCATTGGCATCGGTCCTATATACCCTTTGCATTGAGAAGCCGTTTTGCATTGCTTTGTTGCTGTCAGTAGTACATTAGAGGAGTTACAGACTGCGACATTACCTTAATTGTCAACTATTGTTTTGCCTTGATCGTATGTCGTGATCTATCGGCTCAGTCCTCGAACGGATACAGAATGTGAAGTTATGCTTGCATATCGATTCGAGGCAATGGAAGATTGGGCTACTCTTGAGCTTGGAACGCCAAGGAGATGATATTATAAGCATCTGCCCTTTGGATCAGGCTGATATCCTGATGTCGGATACGGATGTGATAGCACTTAGCGGCACGATTTACACTTGGAATGCCGATATGCTCCATCTTCTAAGTGTATTTATAACATGATCCGCTGCAATCTTGATCAATAGGGAATGTTGTTGCTTCGGCGTTTTCACAGTAGTCTGGCCCAAATATGGAAAGACGAGATATTGCGTCCATAATGAGAGTAGGGCCATCGCACAAACGGTTCTACCTTTGGGTACTTGTGTAGTCCTCTCAACGTGCCGCGGCCTTGCGTCTCAGGTCTCGAGCTCAAGCTGGGATTTATTCCATACCGAAACCATGGATTACAAGTGTGACGTCTTATTTCCTCCAATTCAAGCCGCAAGGAAATACAAAACCTGGCAGGCGCGATCCAGGCCTACCAATACGTAGTGAATTTACGTGGATTTCTATCAGCTGGTTTCCATTCACTTAAGATAAGCCTTCGAACGCTTTGCAATATTCCAACACCCTCCCTCCGGCTACTACTTATTAGACCACCCATTGACCTTTCTCTAGGGCTTGATACCACCTCATACCATCGACCTAGGAACAGTCCACGACAATCAACAAGAGACCACATCATCGCACCATGAAGTCATCTATTACCATCATTGCGCTCATCCTAGGTGGACTGTCCGGCATCCAAGCCGCTCAGGGCGACATCCAGGGACGCGCTGAGGTAAATCCCATGACCTACTCACCATGATACCCCCTGGCAGCAAGATACTGATACCGACCCCAGACACCCCCTCCGTACTGCGACTCTCCCAACAAGCCATCGGCCAGCCTCTACTGGACCCTTGACAACATCGCCACGCTGCGCAGAGAAGGCAAGACCTGACACACCCCTCCGGGCTGCACCCGCGTCGCCTGCCAGTGGAAGTCGGCCATCCACGTGTGCAACGACAAGAGCACTGATGTTGCTCCGCCGTGCTCCCAGGTCGCGGACTACGCCGAGCATATCCTGAACTTCTGTGATCCTAATTTTGATAGAACTCACGTTCAGGGTCTGGAGACAGATGATGAGAACTGGTACGTCATGGTTGGGGGTAGTGACTGCTGAAGAAAGGGGGATCAACTACACATGGACGCAGAGAAAATAGACTGAGATGAATTGATCGTCAAATTGTGTCTATGTCAACCATAAGTTCGTTGGTGTTCTTTCGTTCCTGCCTCCCCAGCGAATGCCTTTTTCCCAGTCCGGCCTTTCGTCTGATTGCGAGACCCATCAAGGTTGCAAACAACAGGATATGTCACTGTGTTTGCAGATATATATGAGGACCCTGTTGGCGGTTGATTTCCTATTTCAAGTGAAGCTCTGGTGTTTCCGAATCTCTCCCTCGCAATCCATCAAGAAACTTGCCCATAAACATCACGGCATACTTCTTCATCCTCCACCTTGATCAACCACTGCTCACCGACATCATCCACAAACCGCTCAAGAGCAGACATACAACATGAAGTTCTCCTTTGTAGTATTCGCCGTTCTCGCCTTCGTGGCTGTGGGCAATGGCACGCCGATCGGTGGCAATGTTGACGACGTCTCGGTCGCCAACAATAGCAGCGCTGTCGAGAACTCCAACGTAAGATATTACCCCGAAGCCTCTTTTTTTGTTTTTAACATTTTTTCCTAGTCCATATACTAAGTGATGCGAGCCTCTGAAATGATTTGCTGACCTCGTATTCCCCGCCAGCACATCCAATGCCACGAGGCAGGCCAGAAGCGCACGCTCCTGGACTACGTCAACGACAACATCGCGAGCCTGAGGGGCTACAACGACACGGACAACAAGTGCCTGGCGCCCAAGCACACCGAGTGCTGGCGCGTCGCCTGCCAGTGGTGCTCGGCCATCTTCGTCTGCAACCACAACGACTACGACATCAACCCGTCGTGTGGCCGCGTCGCCGGCCTCGCCCAGGACATCGTCAACCAGTGCCACACCCACCCCAAGCACAACGCCTTCCACTACGCTGAGGGCCGCCAGGACGTCGACGGCGAGAACTGGTCCGTCAGGGTTGCGGACAGTGACTGCTGCTAGAGCAAGTCGGGATCTGGGGCAGGGGAGACTGTGAAGGTGCTTCGTGCAGGAATCCACCCATCTAACGTCGATCATGGAATTCGTGTTACGGCTAGACTTAGCCTTGAGGACTTTTCTACCTGGGTCTCTCACTGAACTGAGTGTCTAAATCCACATGACCACATGATCACTGAAATCAAGCACCCCGTGAACGTGCCTTCTAATGAGTAATAATTATAATTGCCTGCCAGATTTGAAACGCGTTTGGGTATCATTGTTCTATCAGCACCATACACCTTCCTTGTATACTCACTAGACTTGATTTATGGTTGGCTTCTGTCAATCCTACTGGTAATCAACATGATGACCGAATGGATAGCTTTCCCGAAGAGGAGCTCCGACTTGTCCCTTCTCGGCCCAATCCGTCATCGCCGTCAGTCCCGTGTCCGTTCGCGGTGTTGTTGCAGGGAATGAGACACTTCCACTGCTGCCAAAGTTCTCCCTACTCTGCGGGTACGGGGGCTTGTCGGGAGGATACGGCAAACGCTCTGAAGTGGGAGCGGCGAGCCGGCCGTGCATCTGGAAAGTTTTGGCATGAGCGTTGCTCAGGCCGAGCAAACCGGCTGTGATAAGCAGCAGACCCATGAAGATGATGTTGCCGACTTGAGACATGTTGCCGCTGAATGATGCGACCACGTAGACGATCAGCTTCGCCATCGCTTCCAGGTAGCCGTCAATGTGGGTCTTTGTCCGGAGCCATGAAGAAGTCGTGATGGCTTGAAGGTCGTCTGCCATGCCGCGGAGACAGACAGACCGGCCATTGCCCAGATCAACGAGATACTGGGTCAGCATGTGGCTGACATCTGGGTCTGGGGGCAGGGGCTTGGGAGGCTGGGAGCGCTGCTTGATGACCCAGATATTCAACACGCGTGACAGCATCAGAGCCACCAAGAGGGCTATACCCCACCCTTTATACTGTCAGTCTCTCTTGAGAAAGATTATAGGCCCCGTTATGGAAACTTACACTCTTGCAGCAGGACAAGAAACACGATTGCCGTCACCGTGAGCACGGGACTAGCAAGGTATAGCAGATGCGAGAACCAGCCGAGGTCCGAGCCCGAGTCCCTCCAGATAGTCGCACGCTGCCCACGGCGTTGCCCCTGCCGCGCACGCCTGAAGTACTGCCGCTGCGGCAGCATGCCCACGTCGACCGTGACGATCTCGCCTTGCCTGCCGACCTTCTGCAGATACCGCACCGTGGCGGGGTTGACGATACTATACGTGGACGTCTTGCCCTGGATCTGCTCCACGGCATCGAACCTTGCGGACTCATCAGCCAGGGCATCTGCGGCTTGCTGGTAATGGAGTCCCGGCGCCAGCAGCAAGCTGTCGAGCCATGATGATCCGCCGGTGATGGCTGTTCGCTGGGCAATGGTACCCAGATCTGCCAGGGCGATCAGACCACCGGCCGAGAGCGTGAAATTGGGTATCGGGACTTTGGACCAGTGTGGAAAAGCAGCTGCTCTCTTGAGAAGGCTCTGTGGCGTTGGTCAGTACGTGTGAGACATGATGAGATTGGACGGAGCAAGCCCACCTCCATCACTGCCCCTCAGTAATTGGTTCACCGGGTGTATAGTATCTCTGCACGAATCATTCACGATAGTCTTCTGGATGCTCGATGCAAATTCCTGCAGTAAAGCTCAGTTCCAAAGCCGGTCTTGGAGACCGACCCAGAAATGCAGTATTGACTACTTTATAAGAGAGGCGTGAGTCTTTCTTTGTACATTCTGGTCATGGTTGCAACCCATTGGCGGAGGGCTCTGGCCGCCCGAGGCTTCGTGCCTGCGATCGCCCGGGTTGTCGAAGCAACCAACCAATAGGCGCGGCCAATGAAAGAGGGTTTACTGATCACGAGCCTCCCTGATACTGGAAGGATAATGAAACTGTACTCCCACAGCCTGCAGTCTGCAATTTGCGTGGCCAGGAAACATGACCAGTCTGCACTACGTATGGACTGGCTATGCGCGTCAGATTGCAGAACGTCGCATCAGGTCCACCCTCACCAAGGCCTCCATGTTGCGTCATGAGAGGTTCCCCAGGCGAACTAGTCAACAGTACGCTCTCAAGACAGAGGCAAGCAGAACGCGATCTTGTTACTCAAGCGGGGTCAGGTGAGATTGAACAAAATATAGGTTGAGCAGTGGCTTTTCGAAGCCTCGAGATATATTTCTAACCTAGGTTTACTACTGTGCAGAACACACAGGCTGTCAGGGCGATTCGATGTTGTTGTGTGTAAGAGGAGAGGTGGGAGGCAGCAGGACCAGGGCTCCCACTGAGCTGAGCACCTGGGCAGTGGGAATAAACCTTGGTTCCCCACCCTTCAGGCCCCCCGCAAGCCTTACAGTGGCCCGGAATCCGGGGTTACGCCGACCGCTGCATCAGGTAAAGACTCACTCACGCAGGCCAGGCGATAAAGCTATGGGGGAGCCTTATCGGTCGCCCATCCCAGGGTCCTGGTCTCACTCACCTCATCGACGACATGCTTCGACTTGACTCTACTGCGTTGTTGCAAGTATAGCTGAAGCAGACACGATATGGCAATGGCGTCGCCGCATACAGAACCCACCTATACCGTCTTCATCCGACTCCCATTCCCGCGGGGCGATTTCGCAGATCCTCCTCCCGTAGGTGCTCTCTACTCTGCACTAACCGAAGCTCCGTGTACTGCGAGAGACTAACAGGTGTCCAGGTCAACTGGGATTCCTCAAAAGATGAAGCCCTCTGGGACATCGTGTCGGGTGTCTCCAAGACAGATCTAGACTGTGAGTTTATTGTTATCTTCAAAAGACGACTCGACATGCTGACGAGGCTGCTACAGGGAACGAGATGTAAGTACCGCGAGCCTCCAACTGACGCCCCCCAACCAACACTTTGAACAGCGCGACCCGGTTCGAAGTCACCGTCGATTTTCTCCTACAGCAGGTCGCCTTCCTCACCGAGCGACATACCTCACAAGTGCGCGCCCAGCTGCGGAAGGCCGCCGCCGCTGCCAAGAGTTCCCCTGCGCCGTCTCCCATACCTGGCGCAGAAGGTGCTGTCGCCGGAGAAGGCATTCAGCGCACGGGTTCCGCAGCCAGTCGAGCCAGGGCCCCATCGGCCTTGTCTGTGAGGAAAGACTCTCCCCTGCCCCGGAACGATGGCAGCGTGCCCGGGACGCCGATGAGAAGCACACCGCGACCGCAATCCACACGCAATTCATCGTCCAACACGGCTTCTCTGTTCACAACCCGCAACCTAGGCGGCAGCAGCAGGGGGGCTACAAGATCTGGCGATACTCAAAGACGGAGGCTCTCCTCATTGCCCATCACCACGACAGCTGATGAGGTCGAGCCTGATCCTCCGTCTCCCGGTCCTGCTGATACGAGTTCGGCTGGTTCATCGTCCGAGGAATCCAGCCCAGCCCAGTCGCGCATCATTCGCCGGCCTCCGCGCTTCCAGGCCCACGATACTGCCTCACCCTTTGGTGAGGACGATGAAGACGACGAGCCCGCGTTCCTGCCTTATAGACCACAAAATGAGGGCTCAACAAGTGGCCAGCACGACCTGAGCGCTACCTTGCGAGGTAACCCCCGAGACCCTCCAAGGAAGATACCGAAACAACACGGCAAGATACATCTATCACAGACCTCCGACTCATCCACGAGCTCGGCGGCGCCTGCGAAGAGAGGGACCTCGGGAGGGAAAAACGCACCAAGCGGTCCGCTCTCGCCCCGCCGCACAATGGAGCTCGCAGGCCGAAGCCCTAGAGGCAAGGGCAAGGGTTATTCACGGGACAGTGACGGCACCCCGAGTATGGGAAGCAGTTTCAGTGATCTGGATGGTATGTTCTCCCTTGCTGAAAGGCAACGCTAGTGGATACTAATCTGCCACAGATGCGTCGGTGACGCAATCAGCTCTTGAAGAGGCGCTAGCTAGCAAACTGCAAGATGGGGGAACGATTGGGAGCCGGATGAGCACTATAAGTAATGTGTTCAGGAGTCGGTATCTTCCAAAGTCTAACCAACCTTGAGTCAGTCCAGAGAGGACCATCAATGGACTTGGGAGTTTAGTTCATCTATTTGGCCCGGTACGAGGAATGCGGCATCCGGCGTTGGGGTATATCGGCCACTCCGTGAGCTATGTTCGGCGTTGGAATCTCTGAGAAATGGGTCCGTCTATTATGAAATACAGTCTGGTACTCTTACAGGTCATCTATCTGAATGATGCCACTATAACTTGACGGAATGTCAAAGCTGATTATGGCTATGGAGCCCATGTTGCTCCTCAAAAAAACACATCCAGCACAACTTGATTTCATCCTGCTTGAGTCGAATGTCCAACCTATTATTAACCAGAGCCACACATCAAATGCGGTATGAACATTCCCTCCTTGGTCACCACAACAAACTCGCTCAGAGACGATCCACATCCCTCTTCTCCTTGGCGCGCTCCTTCAACCTCTCCACGACGTCCACCTTGGCCCACTGGCCGTGCAGGCAGTCAAAGTGCGCCCACTCGCACTCGTCCCAGGCGAAGCGGCAGCCCGCGCCGGCGCGCCGGCCGGGCACGCCCAGCCAGTCCGGGCAGATTAGGCGCTGCACGATGGCGCCCGGCGGGTAGCAGTGCTGCAGCGGGCACACGCTGAACCGGCACGGCAGCCGCGCCACCCAGAACGGGCACACCACCTTGGCCCGCTCCGCCGCCCGCGGCCGCGGCAGGTACGGCCATCGCGGCCACAGCATCGCGCTCCGGCTCTCCGGCGACGGCGTGCGGCGTTGGTGGCCCGCGGGCGAGCGGTGCAGCTTGTTGTGGGGGCGGGACTCGCGCACCGGGCCTGAGGTCCAGGTCGATGCTGCAGCGGGACCCTCGGCCTCCTCCTGCTGCCGCTCCTGCTGGCGCGGCGGCAGCGAGCCATGCTGGTGGTGCTGGTGCTGGTTATGAATGGAGGTGTTGCTGCGCGAGGCCTGGTCCTCTGCCTTGGCCGCCTGGCGGGCTTGGATCTCCGCCTGGTTCCAAGACATGATCGACGTGGCGATGCTGGAGGTCATGCTGGTGGCGGTAGGCGGAGGGTCGTAAAAGACGTCATTCTGTGCCGTAGCAGCGTGCTCGTACTGGATGGCGCGGTAGTCGGCCTGCTGGTCGTACCGGCCCTCGCTGGTGTCGCTGATAGCGATGAGCTTCGGGAAGTCCGAATACTGCTCTCGCACGCGGGGCGTGGAGTCAATGTGCTTCGCGGGGGTCGGCGAGGGCGCGTGGGCATCTTGCTGATGAACAGGAGTAGAAGGGTCCTCCTGTGCCACGGTCATCGAGTAGCGCAGATTCGTCTGAGCATGGCTGCGGCGGATGGTGCTTGGGGCGCTGCTCAAGACGCTGCCGCCGATGCCCTCAGAAGGCGAGATGTGCGCGTGAAGGGCGAGGCTGAGGGCATGGCTGCTGCGAGGGCTCGACTCGGGGGTCCCCTTGGTACTCAACTGTGGTTGAAGTTAGTTTCCACTTATAGTAGGGACGAAAACTAACCCAAGGTTCTAGCGTGTGGCGCCATACAAAGGGAGTATAAACTGGGAGGATGAAGATATACAGCGACGGGAGAGTGGATGGTACGGATTATGCTAGTACTTAGGTAATACTAGGAAATACCAACTCCACAAAACAAGCCACCCGCTTTTCTGTTCCAGAGTGTAGAACTTTGAGTGGTGAGGCAGAAGACAAAAAGAACATAAACAGACTCATCACTTACTGGCAAAGAATTAGCCGACTGCAGTGTCTTGGCTTTTGCAGAGCTGGAACTGGAACGCTGCTCATGCTCGGGCGACTGCTCATAGAGACGTGTAGGCGTCAGTGCCGGAATATCGCTCAGTGTTCTCTCGCGGGTCGACGTCGAAGTGGCAATCTCATATCCGGGCCAAATCAGTGGCGAATACTCTCGATTCTCGAGCTGGGCATTATTCTTGTCCAGCTTGGAGGACTCGACAGAACCGGCGATACTGCTACCAGGAGTACAGCGCTGCTTTGCCGGGCTATTGACTGCAGTACTGCTGGCTGTGCTACCAGTGGGATGGAGGTCCTCATCGTGATTGAGGAGGCTCAGGATCGCAGCGTACCGCTCTCCATCAATTTCACCTGCGTCGTGCAGTATTGAAAGCGAAGCCAGAAGGTGACCCTTGGCGTACTTCACTTTGTCTCCAGCAGAGGAGTATCCAGACATCTTGGTGTTTGTTATGATGAAGGTGGACTACACAGTAACGGAAAATTGATGAAAACTTGATCAGTGGCCAATGAAGGCGACTGAGAAGATGAAAAGAAGGAAATGAAGGGCGAGGATGCCAGGTGAATATTATTTTCGGCCCAGTCAACGGACCAGAAAGGAAGGGGTGTGTTTCCCTAGGAGAGTTGAGGAGTTGGCCGGGGCGGATGAGAAGTATTTTGCTTTTGTGGTCAGCAGTGCAGTATTCAGGTATCAAATCAATTTGATTGTTCTCTTCAGACAATCCCCTGGCCTTGATGTAAGTATCCATGTCGATATCAGGCATCTTTGACTTTGAGGTGAATGGATGCCCCGTGGTGCGAACACCGCGGGTCCTATGACGATGCATGGACGTCGGCGATGTTTGGACCACGACGAGGAGGTATGGACAACGATGTAAGGGCGATAGTGTATCAACGTCGTTGCATCCGGAGGCATTGACGGAGCCCAACTTGACAAACTCTCACATGACTTTGAGGCTAGTCAAAAAATGTATGCTTTGGGAATTCTGTCTTTTACGTTAATGTGTCACTATACCGGGCCCATCCTCCGTCCAAGTTCAGATACTACCATGTATCAGCTGCTATTTAGCACCATCTTGTATTGAGAGCTTTCGGTACAGTAAAGACATTTAACTTATGTAATTCGTGGCTAGCCTCAATCACTCTTGTCCGGTTGCTAGTCCATACTGCGGCATTGTGGTAAGAGACAAGAAAGGCGAGGAAAAAAGCGTGTGGTGAAAGTGCTTGAAGTGTCTGCACGATCAGCGACTTCGACTTGTGAGTGAATCCAGGGGAAGGCACTGGAGCAAGTCAGTGTACAGTGGCGTGACGGATGAACAGGCTATGCCGTGACTCAATCACCGATTAAAACGTAGCCCAGAATGATTATCTTGATTTGCTGTCGACGAGGCTCTGGAACTACCAGAATAAGATAGCTTTGGGCAAATACTGGGTATAAAAGTAGGCGTGAGGGGCGTGAAGAGAGTTTGTTGATCTTGGTGCGTATCAATTGGTAGAAGAGAAGTACTTCGGGTGGTTACGGCGGGTGTGCCCTCAAGCGAATCTCGTTCTTGCACTTAGCCACCGACTCGGTTGAGATGTACTGCTAAGAGGTAATATGTCAAATCTGAGTCATGACAACCATGCGTACGGGACAAGGGTGAACAAGGAACAAGACATCGAAGGTTTAGTTGAACGGAGCCGACATTTGAACTAGACATGTCTCTAGTCGTACAAGACCAAAACAATCATTTTGTGATTCGCCTTCCAAAGTTTCTTTCCAGGCATCACCACAATCTCACTATGCCGGAGAGATATCTCAGGTGATGTGAAACAGTATCTGTAGCAGATACGACCTCGTGGTGTAGTAATGTGCATAGCAACACCGTGCAAATGCCAGAAAGCAGCGTACTATTCCTGTCCTCAAATTTAGTTGTGCTGCCATCTGATCCCTGCCGAAGTAGTCTTCAATGAACATTGAAGTTTATGCGCCCTCTTGGGACACCAAGATCATCTCTTCTGGTGAACAAATGACATAGACCGGGTTTTCCATTCACATGCCGCCTTGGAGGTGCATCACGACCTCAGGTCAACATATCGGAAGATGATCAGACACGACTTGTTATCTCGTATTCCTCAACTAGACACCACATAGGTCAGTAGACGCGTGGCAACCGTAAAATATAAGAGGGAACCTACCACCTCCTGGGTGGGACCGATGGTGTCTACCAAGCCAATCTCCAGGCCGTTGCTGGTCGCCGGGGTGATCCGGGGATGTGGCGCGTCTGGTGTCATGAGAATCAGCACCACGCTTGTCGTCAAGCTGCGCCAGAGGAGCCTGAGCCTGAGCTTGACGGTTGGAGTCTGCGAAAGGGTCGCCGTTGGCATCTGTGACAGTCTCAAGGTCCTTGGCACACTGCTGCTTCATCTTCTCCTTCTTGTTCTTGCGCACGCGCCAAGCGAACAACCCAGCAATCAAGATGATGACGACTGCGACTACGCCAATGATGATGCCAAGTTCGGCTCCCGAGGTGGTATGAAGGCCGTCCGCACCACCGCCCTTGTCGGCCGAGTTCTGGCCTTCTTGGTAGGGGCTCCCGGACCCGGCAGGAGGATTCTGCTGGGAATCACCTGCGTGGTCATGATCCATGGTGCTGGTGTTTGTGGTCGTTGTTACTGTTTCTGAGTGTACCTGGCTATGTGGATGGATCGGCTGGGCAGGTTTCAGTCGGCGACTGGCAACTGCACAGCAACCTGGTACTGGACCCGTCTCAAGATTGTGATGTTGTCGGCGACGTGTTCGGAAGATGAAGCACGAAGGATCTCACAAACGAGTGATGTGAAGGGAGGGAGGTGAAAAGTCGGCGACAGCCTCAGTTGCCCCGTAAGATGTATTTCAACTCACCGAGCCCCAGAGTCCAGGCTTTAGTACCGACAAGGAGGTGAATTTTGGTGCTGGCATTCAGGAAGGAACGCGGCGGCCGGTCACAAACAGATGCAAATCCGAACCTAGACAATGGGTGTATTTTGCAAGGCGCGTGAAGAGTTTTTGAGGGGGGTCGCTGCTCGCTCCGGGCAGTGCAAGCGATTGTCGTAATCCGTACCAGCAACCGGACAGCCGGTGGTCTAACGTGACCTCAATCAAAATGTTTCGGGGCTGTTGGCAAGCATCTCTCATCTCCTCGAGTTTGTACTCTGTCTCGAGAACATGTTTGCCATTCTCAGCGTCGCAGTGCAGCCGAAGAGCGACGTGTCTGTTACACTGATTTCGAGTGATCTCCCTGCTGATCTTGTGGTGATACACTGAAGAGTCTGCATTCGAAATCATGATTTCATTGAAAACCTTCTCCTTCCGCGAGGCCCCAGATTTATTACAGCCTTTTGAGCCTCTCGGTAATCCGTTTGTCCAGGTCGGCCAAGACTGTATCGAGTGCGAATAGCGCGAAGAAGGGCGCGACTCCCGGCCTCAACTCAAGGGTCATGTGATGAAAAGTGCTTTGCGGCTTCTTGCATTAGTTTCTATCTTAAGCCACAGAAGTGTTCAGCGTGTGTCAGAAGTCACTCCTCGGCTTGCCGTTATAGTCGATTGACGGGTGGTCGGGAACATCGTAGGAAACCGGCAATCCAACCACTGGCTGCACCGCAATCTTGTGCCAATTGCAGCAGTGGCACAGGTGCGATCTTATAAGAGGCCCTTTGAAACTGTTGCCGCTGGTGCAGCCTTTGATCAAGAAGGAATTCTGGTCGTTCCGAGTACTCAATTAGGCTCCTTCGCCTGTCACCACGGAATACCACTCGAGGCAACACTGGCAATTCAACTGTGAACAAGATCAAGACTCCGGAAATAAGTGGTCTCGGACAGCAGAAGTGGGACTTTTGCTACTTATCATCTGGTCTTGCGATCAAGCTGCTTGTGCGGAAGGAATGACCGGAATATTGTTTACTATAGACTCCATTCGGGCGCTCCTGCCTTCTTTACACCTTGACGCACGCGGATGCAAATGGCTCGCATTAGCATAAGGCCTGACTATAGCTTCGTCGCAGTGGAGCGTGAGGATCTCCTTTAGCCTTGTATTCTGCCGGGGTCCTACACAGTATTAGCAGTTCTTATTGAGATTGCATTGGGATCTTGCTTATCCTACTGTCTAGAGACCCAGACTCTAATAGTATAACTATGTAGTCCAATAGACTATAATTTTCATGATAACAGCTTCTCATAAGACCGTATGTTCTATTTACTTCAACCCAATGGGATCACATTGACATAAGCTACGACCTTGACCGTTGCGCAGTAATAGGTAACGCGCTGATTTATTGGGTCTGTTCAGGCACCTGTGCTCGACTGTATGCACCGCGTACCTAGGTATATAGTCTTCAGACAGCGTCTATAGCGTACACGATGCATGCTTCTCGCATCACACTCCGTGATATGCATGAATCCACATGCCAATAACGTATAGTAGGGTGCACGTTGATGGCTACATCAGAGCAACGTCATCCACCTTGTTGTCTCTTTCGGGGAATGAAAAGTGGTACGCGAGCTCAGATGGATATACTCAATTCATTCGTCTGACACCTCGCTGATTGACTCTGGATAGTGTATACATATATATGTGTGACGTGCGATGTCAACAGTGACAGTTGCGCTCTGTCAATAAGGTTAGCTCAGGGATCAAAGTGAACGGATAGAGAACTGAGCAGGCCGCCCCTTTTGCGCAACACCGTAACAACTATGCATTGCACTGACAGTTGTGCACATGCGTACGCACTGCGTAGATAGGTTCCAGACAGCTCCCATAGCGTATGTAACACATCCTACACCCACACATTAAACCCATGTCAACATAATATCCATGTACCAGATCGATCCTATATCTAACAGGGTTCGTGTCTATAACATGTTGTGTTGGGAAAGATGTTTCACTCTCGAATTTGCGAGACTTTACTACAGGGCCTTTATAAACCATTATCTTCTGCCTCCCTCTTATCATCCTCAGCTTGTACATTATTTAAAGCAGGCATGTTTAGAATCAAGGGCCGAAGTCGAGCAGTGGAATCTTATAACACGACCGTCAAGCACATAGCCACAAACGTGCGAACTTGATTTATCTGTACAAAGTAGATAATTGTCCTTTCCATCCTGAGCAATTATCGATCGATTAGCAAGAGGGCGCTATCTCAGCCCCATATAAAAATTGACTACCTAAAAAGAAGACCAGGGTGCAGCTTACAAGCGCAATCTGGCCCCACGCAACTTTATCAACACAATATAATTAAAATTACGCGACCGTTTTTCAACGATCAACAGGTCTGGTGGTCTAGTGGTATGATTCGCGCTTAGGGCTCACCCTATAGCAAAGTTGCGCGAGGTCCCGGGTTCGATCCCCGGCCAGACCCTTTCTTTTGCCTTTTCCTCGTTTTTGAGGACGAGGGATGAATTGCTTTTGGTCCGTTTGACAATACTGAGTGAGTGAGGTCTTCCAGGTGTCTTGCGACGTGTGTTTCACTTCGAATATTCCATCTTAAGTTCTGCTAAGCTGGTTGCAGCTAGGTTAACTAAAGCCTGGTAATTGCCAGACACTATCTATCCGTTGTTTAAAAACTATAACCCTCTCTTTCTACATTAATTACTACGTGCACTTAACGCGCTGACTTACTATTTAGACATTTGTACCATTTCTAAGGATCGGATAGATGAGTACTTCTTACTTAAGAGTTACGACTCTTTGACGCTTCCCTCGGTAAGTATTAAATGTGAAGTACCTACCTAGCATGTCTCTCGTTATATTCCCCGCCTTTTCATATGTGAGGTTCAATGGCGGAGTATAAATGTCTACCGCAATGCAGATAAATCTAAGCTATATCAGATTGACGTTGATAAGCCGCATAGCGGGTTGCTCAACTGAAGTCGGATCACAGAACAGGAATGAAAGACTTATCAGGCGGGGGTGAAGCATGAGGTGGTTAATACTGGGAGCAGGATACCTGGAGCAGTATGTTTCCAGGGAGCTCAAATCATGTGCAAGTGAGGCTGTGGGAGAAAGAGTGTTGCATTTGTTAGTGCCTATGGGTGGTTAGCCTCTCCCCAGCCTTACGCCCAACCAGGGTCGTAAAGCACATTCAGATGGCAACCCAACCAGGCCGAGTGCCCGACCCATTGTTTCGCCATCGTCAACCTCATAATTGTCGTTTCCTGTATGCTAAGTCATTCGTACTTGTCCTAAGAACATGGGCAGCTTTTGGAGCAGGCCAGAGACGGTGCCCCGCACTCCGTACGAGTACTTGGACCCCTTACCCAAGGGCAAAATACGCCTGCTGGAAGTTCAAGGCCGACTCGGCAGCGGGTGGCTCTCATTATTTCAAAATGGTCGCCTTGTTTATAAGCTGATCACGGTAGACCTGCACGACAGTCCGCCGTTCATTGCGATTTCTTACATGTGGGGTTCCCCTAAACACACAGACACGATACTTATTGGAGATGCACATGTGCTACCAGTCACTGCCAGTGCCCATGAGTGCCTAGACATCCTCTCTGACGCCAAGCATCTCTGGATTGACGCAATATGTATCAATCAGACCAACCATGTAGAGAAGTCGCAGAATGTTGGCATGATGGGCGAAATATACAGCCAAGCAATCGAAGTTGTTGGTATACTGGGAAGAACCACTGCGCTGAGCGGCTTATACTCTAGTAACATCCTCGACAGGGCGTCACTGCACCTCAGGGGCGTCGATCGCTTCATGCGCCGAAAGGAGGCTTCTCAACGAGATTCATCCCTTACAAATCCGCATCGACGCCACGAGCAAACAAGACTAATTAGCGAAAGATCGTATCCGGAAGAATCGATCTTTAGTAGATTCTTTGCGGAATCGTCCAGTGCGCAGTTCGTACTTCACCAACTTGAGACTCACTCTACCGCATTGAAAATACTCCGCCATCCCTACTGGTATGCGAATTTCAAGTTTCCACTTCTGCCTACTTTATCACGAGTGCTGTCTTAGGAGGAATGAGTCTTCAATAAGACATGCTGACCCATGATTGTCGTATAGGAGGCGTGTGTGGATTATACAAGAACTAGCACTTGCGAAGAAGGTCACCGTGTACCATCACGGTGTTTTCCTCCGCTGGGAGCAGCTTTTGAGCATGCTAAATAGCCTCGAAGAGCTCGATAAAGAACTCTACAACTCTCGTCCCCGTGAAGACTGGGAACAGGGCCGCGTTGAGAGTATGGCGGTTTCCGTCGAGAACTTCCTCGCCGGGTACCAATACCTTATTGAAGACCGTACTCAATTGGACAGTGTCTTTGAGAGCCGATATCGCAGGGCATACTTGCGCATGCTTCAACTTGTGATGCAGATTGACCAGCTTAGATGGAGTCCAAAACACTCCCTGAAAGATATCCTCATCGGAACTACGTACTCTCAAGCGACGAACCCCCGAGACAAGGTGTTCGCCTTACTTGGCCTGGTGTCCCCGGAACACGCTACTTCAACGTCAAGGGCCCCAATGATCATGCCAAACTACGATAAATCAAAGGAAGAAATCTACACAGAAACGACTCTTGCTCTCATCAAGGCAGGTGACTATACCACCCATCTTCTCGCCGGTGGCATAGGATGGGATGAAGAGGAGCGCAACATGCCGTCTTGGATGGTCAATTGGGCACGCCCTCCTCAGATCTTCGTGGATAGTGACACTCACCATGGCAAAGATAGACTCGACAAGTACTGGGCTGGATTGGGCAACAAACCAGACGAGACGGAGGACAGCACTTTCACCATCATCGATCCCGACAGGATCCTGGGCAAGTTCATACGGCTCGACAAGATTGTGTTTCTGGGTCCGCAAATCACGCCCGAGTCCAACCGCTGGCTTCTCGGCTGCTGGGGTGCCATAGACCACTTTGTGCCCAAGGGGTACCCTTACCGGACTCCAAGCTTTCCCCCAATCGAGAAACACGAGGTCCTCTGGCGGGTATTGCTAGACGTGCCTGCGGTCGGAAGACCCCGGAAGGTGAACTGCTATGATAGGGCATGCGAGGTGGAGACCGACGCCTTCGCTTCCGGCTTTGTTGAGTCGAATGGGGAGCAGCACCTCTGTAGAGATCTGGTGGACAGCGCATTCCGCGAATGGGCCGATCTGGGCCCTCCCACGAAGCCAAGATACCACGGACTGAGGGACAGCTTCAGGGATGCCTTGTCGCGTTCCCAGTCCAATGGGTCTCGCCTTGCTATATCTGACAAAGGATATCTGGGCACGGTGCCCCCATACTCGGCCGTAGGCGACGAGATCATGGTTCACATTGGATGTCCCTTGCCCGTTGTGCTCAGAAAGGCGCCTGAACAAGGCCCTGACCTTGGATTTCCTCACATCTATCGGCGCCTAGTCGGGAAAGCACATTTCTTGGGCATGATGAGAGCTGAATGGACAGGTGGGAAAAGTGTGGATGAAATCATGGACGCATTCGCTAGTCGAGTTCACAAGGTCGTGTTGATATAAGTGCATTTCTCCATGGCCTTCATAGCATATCCTGGTCCTTTCTTTCAGACATGTGTGCGACAATATCTTTTTGGATTTTCATGGCTCTTAACTTCATCTCTAGTGCTAACGTCTGAACACGGCTCAATAGTTATCTTCCTCTTCGGCTGAGAAATCATACGTGTCATAAGTTTGCCATCTACTTACCTCCCTCCATTTGCCAGGAGAGAATATCGGTTTGAAGGGAGTGATGATAGTGCGCGTCGACGTCAACAATTCCGTTGGGCATGGTTCATCTGAATCCTACTCACGCTCATCATCGAGCATTCCCATGCCTGCGCGCCAGGGGCCGGTTTCGACGGCTTTCACATCTTTCAATACCCGAACGAAGCGCGGGATGTTGACTTCCTCGCGCTTAAAAGCCTCGCTCTCGTCCCAAATCTTCTGGACCCATGGTCTAATGGCCATTCCGCACCCTCTTGGCCGTTTGTGGAAGACGCACCAGAGCCGTTGATGATGCCACGGTATAGAAACGCGGACGTGCAGGCTTCTTTGCTCCGTAGTTTGAAGCAGCTCCAGGAACTTCTGAAATGGTAAGGCGTCGACGTCATCATAGACAAGGAACTCGATTGAGGGATTATGTTCTTGTCGATACCGCTGTAGAAACATTGTGTACATCTCAGGTACACGATCAAATAGGCGGAGTTTTCCGACATCAGGGATATCTGGAGTTGACTTGGTCAAGCTCCACTCTTTTGGGCATTGGACGTGCTTATCCAGAGACAAGTCGATGCCTGTCTTTTGGAACCGGAAGTGAAGACGTTTCAGAGTACCGTGACCGATCATGTCCATGATGCGATGATAGTAAATAATGAACTGCCTGCCCAGCAAGTCAGGGACAATGGGCAGGTCGACAACAAGGTCGCGGATTCTCAGGCGAGGCCATCTGTACCGTTCCAATTGCAGAAACTCAATGATTTCAGAGCCTCCGTAGCCATTGAGGTGGAACGTGTTGACCTCGAAGAAGAGTTGTGAAGCTTCACGGTTCATTTGGGAGCTTGTAAGAAACAGGTTCAGGTAACCGCCACGGCGGTACGCTCCGTACTTCCCGTCCTCTGCGGATGGCTTGAAACCTATGGCGACGCCTCTGCTGTTGTAGACGGCGTTACGGAGAGTCTTCTTGCGAAGTTCCGGTGGCAGTTTAGTGAAGGGAAAGGGCGCAGCGCGGGGTGACGATGTCTCCTAGTAGCGAGGGGTAGACAATGCCCGAGGGTCGAATGTCCAAATGTCTTCGGGCATGATCTTTGTCGTCTCCGGTAAGGTGACAGCGGCGTTAAGTCTGCCCAGAAGGAACGCTCACGGTATAGATTGATACTCTAAGCTCTGCAGAGGCTTGACTGAGGACCAGAAGAACTCAGGGTGAGAGCTGGTCTGCGTCAGAGAGGAGATATTAGGACGAAATCGGATGCTGGATGCCCAGACTTGAAGCATCTGAAGTCAGGAAGGCAAGAAGGTCATCTGTCAACAATTACGAGGCAAGTACAATTGAAGCCAAACTATCGGTCCCTGCCCATAGTGAAGTAGCGTATCTTGCCAACCTCTGTCTCAGTACGCTCAATTATAAGAGTGACTCTCTTGGCAAAAGAGCACTATTTTTACCAATTTCAGCATTTAGGGTCTAGGAGGGCGGGGAGCCAATGCAATGGGGACACTCGAGCTGGTGTCTTGATACTCCTTATCTTTCCTGGCAGCTCGCAAGCAATACGGAGTCATCCTGCGTACAGGCCGGCACAACACTTGGCCCTATTCACTCGTCCAAGCACACGCAGCAGATGTTGATTAACAATGTATTCACAAAACCACGCCTGTCTCCTATCTCGCTCTATCAACCACACGCATAGTCCCACAGAAACCGGGGGGACGAAAAACAAGGTATCAGTGTACTGATCCACACACTCCGGGGGCCCCTCCGATCCATGTCCAAATGCATCGAGCAACCAAACAAAGGAGAAGCCCGTGTAAACGATTGGGGGAATACGCCGCCAGCCCTGTGTGGGTGAAACCCCAGCCAGGGAAAACAAACCAAAAAACAATCAGAAAAAACGCCTATGCGATGCGTGCACAGCAGCAGTCAAGAAAAACTTTTTGACCGCAAGCCGGGCCTTGGTCTTGTGTGTATCCAGTTGGAGAATGAATTCGCGTCCATGCGCTCGCCAGTAATGCCTTGTACGCCCCTCCTCCTTTCCCCTCTCGTGTTCGTGTGCCCCGATGTGGTGACAAATGAAATGAGACAGTGGTGATTCTCTGTCAGATCGTAGTGGGTGGTGTGGTATCTCTATGCGCCTCGCCTCTTCTATTTATACATCCCGTTGTGTCTTCGCATCTCTTCGACTGAAGCTTTGTCCAGAAAGCAGAAAGATTAGGCTCGGACCATCGGCTTCCTACGCACCAAAAATGGGCTGGGCATCTCGTCTTTCTCAGGGTCCCAGACGGCGACGGGCTCGGCGTATCGATCAGCGGCACGATCCTTGAAGGTGCGCTTGGGGCTGACGTTGGAGTTCTCGGCCTGGCGACCACCGGCACGTGCTTGCTGTAGCTCCACTAGGGTTCGTCCGCGGACGTTCTTGTTCGAAAGCTTGCTGACGGAACTATCCGAATCCTTGGTCGAGTTCTTGCGTTGTAAACCGTTCTCTCCGCTGGCTGCCATCAGATTCGCCGCTGACGGAATCTTGCTAAGTCGTCGGTTGGGCGAGTTGTTGCGTTCGCGGAGAGCGCCGTTGCTAGGCTTGTGCTGAAGTTGCGACACGGGGGGCAATGATGGAATGGGCTTGTTGAGGCTTGTGATGGTATTGGTCCTGACATGACCCATGGGGGCGGTTTTGGTGGTGGTAAGTGCTGGTCGTCGGGTACCGAAGGGGTTCTTCGATGACCGGACATTGCGGGTAGGGGATGGCACGAGAGGCTCATCATCGTCATCTTCCGACTCCGATAGCAACGGCTCAGGCTCCCTGAATCGTTCTTCGTTTCTGCCGGCAAAAATATCTGGGTTGGACGTGGGCGCCTTAGTAGCGGCGTTGCGACGTGGTGATAGGGACAGAGCTGCGAGCGGCATGGGGGAAGGTGAAGCCATCTCGATGTCCATGGGGGTGCCAAGAACGCCGGCAAACATGGTCTGCGCTCGACCAAAGGGTGTGCGCGCACTCTTCTTGAGCGGCTGGATCTGCTCAGGTGAGTCGATGGACAGCTCGGTGAGATCGGTCGTCGATGGGAAATCCCCGTCGGCATCTGTGCTGTGTCCACCGATCGACTGCGGGTAGTCCGACTTGGAGAGAGAGGAGGTGAACTCCTGGGTCTCAACTACGCCGAATGAGACGGTCTTCTTCTGGATTTCTTCTTGGACGCGTGCTGCGACTTCTGCCTCGAATCGCTCTCGAAGAGACTCCATCTCCTCGTTGACAAGGCGGTCAATTTCCAGACGTGCCTTGACTTCCCATTCTCTCCGCACCGTCGACTCGATCTCCTGGCGCATAAAGGCCTTGTCAGATTCAGCGCTGGCCAGTCTGCGCTCGACCTCGGCCATCTTCTTGTTGGCAGTCTCCTCCTTGATCTTCAGCATCCTGCTCATATCGACAACCTCTCTCTCCTTGCGCATCAGTCGGACGACCGGCATGTTGAGGAGTTGAGCCGTGTCAGGTCGGCGATCTGGGTTGACGCGCAGACAGTCCTTGATGACGGCCGAGAGTTCTGACGAGTAGACCTGGGGCAAGGGGGCAATCTTGCCCTCCTTGATCTTCTGGACAAGTTGAAAGTGCGACTTGGCGTTGAAGGGTGGCTCTCGGGTGCAAAGTTCGTATATGATGCAGCCTAACGACCAGATGTCGGACTTGAGTGTGTATCTCTCGGCGGCGCATATCTCCGGAGACATGTAGAAGGGGGTGCCGACGTAAGTCGAGGCAAAGTCGTGCGACGACATGATCTTGGACAGGCCAAAGTCGCCGAGCTTGACAGAGTTGTCGTCGTTGAGGAAAACTAGCCCAGGTCAGCGTCACGGTTCACGCTACAGCGAAGGGCCATCAGTGCACTTACCATTCTCGGGCTTGAGATCTCTGTGGAGGATGGTCATGCCTCCGGTGGGTGCCTTTGGCTTCACATTGGCGCCGAGCCCCAGGACGTGCTTGCCCACCTCGGGCGGGTCGACACCGTAGTGACATCGGTACAGGGCCATGACGAGCTGAGAGAATATGCTCCATACAAAGGACTCTTCGGCGTACTGGTTCTTGGTGGCCAGGTCCCGGATGACGCGCCCGAGGTCGCCGTTGCCACAGTATTCCATGTAGAGGTGCAGGTCTTGCGACAGCTTGAGGTGCTCGCGGTGGTAGTAGGCGACAATGTTGGGGTGTCGCAGGCCGGAGAGGATCTGGAACTCTGCATGCAGTTGCTCACGCTCCTTCTGGGACATCTTCAGGTAGCTGATCTCCTTGCGGCAGAGGACCATGCCGTCGACCTTTCTCCGCACTCGCCGGATAACTCCAAAGGAGCCATGGCCTGTGTCGCAGACGAGAGGTCAGCCATTGAATGGTGTGAGATGGTGAGATGATGAATGAGATGGTGAATGAGACGGCGATGGTGATGGCAGTGGCGCTTGGCATGGGGACGGGTGGCTCAACAGGGAGGAACACAAGGCGTCTGCTTACCGATCTTCTCCAGGACCTCATACTTGTCGGCTTCCGTCATGATGAATGGTGTTCACAACGGGCGTTTGGTGCACTACGACTTCTGTCCCATAGGCTGAGGATATGAAGCATTACCGGGCCAAGGGGCGTCGTCGGGAGTGTCTGAGCAGCAAGCGCAATTTCGTTTTTGGGGGTTTGGTGTTGGGTTGATTAAGATGAACAGGAGGACGGGAGAGCTGCTGCACATGGAAAGGTGCAACAATGTCAGGTATTGGATGTGACCGAAAGGGCCGCCCGAGTGAATCGCACTCACGATGGGGCCCGTGAAAACGGCCTAGCGCCCGTGAATAAACATGGGCGCCATTGTCACGGCAACAGGCCCTGGAGACCAACTAGTGGACCGCCTAGCAGCCCCGCGTAGCCCTGGGCAGCCCGCGGGCCAGCCCCAAAAACCACCTAGCCGATCCCCCCCGACCCCCTGCCGGCCGGGCGCTCGGGCCATCCCCGGCTCCCACCACCGCCATTATGGAAGCTGTGGACTTGCTGTGGACGTGCTGTGGACGCTGGTGCACGCCAGCGACGGTGCGGACTGCTGGTCGACCGGGGCCCTCGGAACACTGGCGCAACGACCCAAGCCCAAGTCCCTTCAGGGTCTGACGGATGACAACATCACTTCCGTCACCTGGACCACCCCCTTAGTGTGACATCGGGTCGAGCCGTCAAGCGTCAAGCGTCAAGCGTCGAGCGGTGTTCTGTGCACGATTGACTTGTTAGAGCCCAACTAGTTAAAAGGTTTTTGTGCCGTATCCGTGCATGGCTTGACTAGACGGCCACATGACTATAGCGAGGCGGCAGGCCAATGAGTTACCCACGTACACGGTATGGCGCGAGTCAGCGGGCAGCTCTTGCACCAACGCCGACCCAGAGCAGTGGATGGGAGAGCCTCGAATTGATCAAGCTACCCCACTAACGTCATATCGCCACCCGCGCCTTCACTGGTCCTTTGTGTCTATCCCGGGGTGCTGTTCTGCAGCCAACATTTTGTCGTGCATTTTTATTACATGCGTGTTACTGATCCATCTTTACTTCCCTCATTCACCCAGATATATTTTTGCATATTTCAGGCGCTGGCTGTCCTTTCACCATGGTTTTGAGGAAGCATGAGCTGGAGGCAAAGCTCAAAGACGACATCCAACTTGTCAAGAGCGGGGTGCTGCGAGATGACAACCCCTTGGATCAGAGCGAGGAGTTCAACGAATTGTTGGCGGCATGCCGACGCGGCGATCTGAGAAGGGTACAGGAGCTCATCTCGACCGGCGTCAACATCAACGGCAAGGACAAGTTCGACTACACGCCGCTCATTATCGTGAGACAGATCCATGATCCCCGTCAAATTCTTTTCGGAGTTAGCGGACTTGAGAGAGACAGCTCTCATGCTGACGTCTTCTCCAGGCAAGTTTATGTGGCCATTACGAGTTGGTCCAACACCTACTGGAGTCTGGCGCACTAGCAGAGCGTGATACGTTCCAGGGAGAACGCTGCATCTACAACGCGCTCAACGACAGGATACGAAACCTCTTACTCCAATACGACTACTCCAAGTCCACGGACCCTCTTCAACCATGGGCTGCCCACATTACCTCGCTGCTGGGCCGGGACTCGCCCAAGACCTCAGACATCACTATTGCTGCGTCGGAGTCCTTCTCACTTCACAAGTTTGTCCTCTCCGCAAGGACGCCCTACTTCCAGAGGAAGTTGGCCGACGCCCCTGAAACCACATCGTGGAAGCTGCCCCCTTCCATACCTGTTGAGTCTTTCCAAGTGGTAATGCGATATCTCTACCTGGGCGATCTCCCACGCGATCTCGTAGGCCCCTGGAGCTCAGCTACCGAAGAGGAAGTCCTCACCGGTATTGACAAGATCAGCAAGCAGTTAGAAGTGACACAGCTGTGGGAGGCCATCTTATCAGGGAATGACAGGCGGCTGGCCCGCCAAAGGCATCAAGACGAAGTATCGAGAGCCGCATCTCAGATCGGCAGTTTCTTCGAAGACAAGATTCTAAGTCACAAGATGGTCGTCGACACGAGGAAGGTCCAAGACGTCAAGTGGCGGCATGACAACTCGATTTTCGCCGACTGCCTTCTCAGGGCCGACGAAGCCGAGATCGACGAGAAGGAGATGGACGAAACTGAGCATACGAATGGGATTCCCATTGGCCCCGGTGCCGAGCCATCGCAAAAGCAGAACGGGGAGCGCAAGCGTCCCAAATCTGTCCTATATCCCGTCCACAAGGCGATGCTCATCCGAAGCCCTTACTTTGAGACAATGTTTTCAAGCCAATTTATGGAAGCACAGGAGTCTGAGCACCTGCACATCATCAAGATAGATTGTGTCCCCGAGGTGCTTGAGATCATCCTCGCTTTCCTCTACACGGAAAAAGCCGACTGCCCGCTGGATCTGGGACTCGACGTCCTCTATGCAGCAGACATGCTGTTCTTGGACAAGCTCAAGACAAAGGCTGCTATAGCCATCAGCACACTAGGTAGCGGAAACAACAATGTCCTTATTGATCGGACGCATACGCAGGAAGACGAGGCGGAGCTGGAGGTTGAAATTGAGCCCATCAATGTGTATGACGTGATCCATGCCGCATGGGACCTGAGGGTACAGAGACTTGAGGAGTTTGCTGCCCGATATATCGCTTACAGGCTCGAGGACTACATCGATGAGGAGGAGTTCGCCGAGCTCATCCAAGAAAGTGCCTCGAGGCTGAAGAGGAGAGAAGAAACCGATACCATCGAGTTGCTCGATGACATCCGGTACTATCTCTCCGAGCGATTCCGACTGCGGTTCGAGGATGCCGGTCTGGATGAGATGCTGGACGAGGAGGGCGAGATAGACCCGGCCTTGGCGGAAGCAATAGCCGGCACAGAGGGCCTGGACATCAATGGCGCGGAAGAAAAGCCCGAGGTCAAAGGAGATGTTAACCCTGCAGTTGAAGCCCCAGCAGAGGCCGAAGGTATCAACGGGGTCGTCCGCACCTTGGATGGTGAAATGGTCGAGGATGGGTTCTCCTCGGACGCGGTCAATTACCAGATTTTGCTGCAGAAGATTGACGGCATGCTAGACAAATTGAAGCTAGACGCATAAGAGATGAGCAGTACTAGAGGCATAGAAATACCAACATGTATTCGATATCCTACCTGCGGACAACACCTGTGCTGTAACTAACAGGCAAAGGGTAATTTGACAACTCAGCTCTCCCTGAGCTCAGTTCTGGATGAAAAAAAAAAAAAACCACCCAAAGTCTCGTGCGGGAATATAGTAAGGCGGAAAGTTTCTTTGAATAAGTGGCTAGGAGATTTTACACCGGTGGATACAGTAAGTCCAACGCCCGAACGCAACCCCAGTCTGGCGCCTACACATCTACGTCTTCGTCCTCTTCTTTGTCCTCCAATTTGTCTTCCTCTTCCTCTCCATCCTCTACTTCATCTACTTCGTCTTCCTCTTCGTCCTCTACTTCGTCCACTTCGTCTTCCCCTTCATCTTCCTCTTCGCCTTCCTCATCCTCGACGTCCTCGTTATCCAGGTCATCAAGCAGCATGTCCTCGTCCTCGTCCTCGCCTTCACCCTCATCATCCACGTCCTCAACCGTCGTCCTGAGGTACCGCTTTACAAGCCCGATCTTGGCCGCGTCTTTGCCCCTGTCCCCGGTCCCCTGCAGCGGGCCCCGGGGCCTGCCGAAGAGATCCGTCCTCGACGGCATGTGGGTCATTCTGAAGAGCTCGCGGAGTCTCGACCTCTTGCTCTCGGCCGTTGGTTCGTGGTGGCTGGACACCGCATAGGGGTTCTTCGTCTTCTTCAGCTGTGGCGGCGGCTCTTCGTCTTCGTCCTCCTCTTCCTCTTCTTCTTGCTCCTCCTCTTCCTCGTCCAGGCCCACAAAGTCATCGCGGATCTCCGAGTCGGAGCTTATATCCAGGCGGTACTGCTCGTCAGCGTCAACCACAGGCGCGCCCCTCCCGGCAGCCGCCAAGAAAGGGTTCGACGACGCCGCCCCCGCGTGCCGCGTCGGCAGTCCATCGAGGCTGATGTCCGAGTCGTCCTCGGTGCCGACGCCCTCGCCCAGGCGCGACTCGTCGAACGGCTTCGCCTTCCACGCCGACAGGTCAGCCTCGGGCGCGGTCGGGGCCGGAGCCGGAGCCGTGGCGGCCGCGCCTGCGCTGGGGACACTGTTGTCGTTGTCATGGTCATTGCTGCTGGTAGTGGCGGCGGCGGCCTTGTCGCCGCGCTGCTCCGACACCATGCGCAGGATCACGTACTGCCAGCGCAGCTGGTCGTCGATCATGGCCCAGGTCGCCACGTCGTAGCCGCCGCGCACGTAGACGTTGCCCATGGCGCGGCCCGCCAGCCGCAGCGAGATGCGCACGGCGTCGCGCTGGGCCTCGGTCATGTCCTGGAACGTGCGCTGGATGTCCTGGAGTTCCTGCGTCATGGTATGTTAGTAAGCGACTGCCCTTGGGTTTTTGACGAGAGCGGGCTGTCGAGACACAGGGATAATGTTGAGAGACAGAGGGAGAGACGAAGGAAAGGCTATCAAGGGAGAACTTACTTCGTAGTGCTTGCTGGCCGTCTGGAACGGAGGCTGGAACCCCGGAAAGCCTGCGGCAAACCCGGTGCCGTCCGCATTCGGCGGACCTGGTGGAGGGAAAGGGGCAGAGTCCGAAGGCCCTTGCGCTCCGTTGAAGTCCCAGGGCGGAACCGTCGCGTACTGGGAATGCAGAAAGGGGTTGGCGCCGTTGCTATTGTTGATATGAATTCTACTAGGCTGATTTGCGTTGTTGGCATTGGTGGCCGGCAGTATAATCGTCGTTCTGCCGGGGGCGGCTTGAGAATATACAGCCCCCTGAGCTCCCGTCTGCGTCAGATTAATGGTGTCCTGAGTCTGGGTGCCGCTCTGAGTCACTCCGCTTGCTCCCTTGCCCTGCGCTGCGGAGGTGGACGGAGGCACCTGGGAGATGCCCAGCGACCGAGGCATTCGAATCAATGCAGGGGGCAGCATCCCGCCAGCTTCCTTGCCCTTTGGCCATGGGGGCAGCTCGGCGGAGGGGTCCGGGGCGTCCGGGATAGGGTTGTTGTTCGTGACGCCGTCGACCTCGATCCCGACCAGCCTGGCGATCTGCAGGGGCAAGTTGTCGCTTGTCGCCCTGCGAATGGCGTCGTTCTTGTTGAGGTTGAGCCGTCTCGTCACCCTGCTCCTCCACATATACCTGCAAGCGTCGTGTCAGTCAGGACTCTGTGCCTACCCCTAAGGGAGGAGGCAATAGGGGGACTCACTGGAGCATGGCCTGGCTGAACCCATATCCTCGGAGCTGCATCCACCTGGTGATGATGGGCCAGCGGCGCTTGGACACCCGTCCGTAGGGGTATTTGGGTTCGCGGTCCCTCAGGCAGCCGAACCAGGCCACGGCGCGGATCAGCTCGCTCTCGCACAGGTCATCGTAGTCCAAGCTTCGCCCATTGCGGTCCTTTTGGCGGAGGCGGCGGCCTGTCATCGTATAAAACAATATCGATATCGATCGATCTGTCTGTGTATGAGAGGTGTGAGATCGGGTGTAAGTATGCCTTTTCTATCAGCCCAATCTTCTGGGGCAAGATAGGTATAGAAGTGAGAATCGATAGAGAGCAGTCTGATGCGATTCTGCTGTTAGAAAGACCCTCTAGCGTCATCTGCCGCTTTCGTAGTCAATAAAGGACCTGCCACATGGGCCCATTCTGCTAGACACATTACTGAACCGGAAGATGCTGTCTCGCGTTTTTGTCTTGCTGAGACAAAGACCAGCGCTACAAGGAAGTTCAACTGGGCAACAGTTAGCGTGACGAAACAAACCCTTGCATACCTTCTATGCCGTATACGTTGCTAGATCCATGCTCATCTGTATGATAAATATGTAGCTGTTTCTCTATATGATCGAAAATGAATCTTGCATGTAAAATGAGTAGTCGAGCGGACTTGCATAGCACACGCGCGAGTCTCCATGCTTGAGTTGAAGAAGATGCAATGCGTATTGAGAATGGTATATAGACCCCAGATAATGCATCCCTTATTCAAGAAGCTTGAATCTCGACGTGGTAACTCCAAACGCCCCTTGTATGCAAATGAGTCCCAACTCGGGTATATCGTGTTCTATCTTCCCTCCTCTCGTGTCTTCTTTCTCCTCTCCTCGTCCTCCTTGGCTTTCTCGCCCGGGGCTTTCTCGCACGGCACGCTCACGATATTGTGGCCCACTCTATTGTGGCCATCTTTATCCTTCCTAGGCCCGAATACCACCGCCGTCAGGCTTCCGCCCTTGACACAGCTGCTGTCGAGGCCGTACGTCCACTTGCCGATGGTCAGCCCCTTCTTCGCATCGTGGCCGTACACCACCGTCGTCCTCATCTCCTCCTGGGCAATGTTCCCTTGGCTCTCGTCCCATGCCTCGCTCCAGGGCCTACCGTCCCGACCCGCAGTGGGCAGCACGACTTCGTAATCGTTCTCGCCCTCGCCCCGCGCTCGCGATGCTACCATCTCCTCGTCGACCTCCTTGTCCGAGACGTGGACGTGTTTCCGCGCCCTCTCGGACGCCACCTCTTCGAGCAACTTTTTGACGCGCTCTCGGCGCACCTGCTCGGCTGGGTAGAGCAGCGTGCGCATGTTCATCACAGCCCACGGGTCTTGGCTGGTCAGCTCAATGCCCGGGACCAGACCGGCGTGGACCACGACGGTCTCGCCGTAGTTGGGAATTTTGCCCAGCTTCAGGATGGCGGGCAGGCCGTTCAGCCACTTGCGCTGCGCCGGCGTCAGGGACGCGGCGACGCTGACCTCGGCGGACTGGAGGCCGGACTGCGCTGCGAGCGCCGGCTCCGTCATGTCGTCCTTCTGCTCGGCCGTCGTACCCTTCAGGTCGCTGATGGACCCTGCGCCCTGCCCGACGACGTATTTTGTTTGCGAATTTTCCCAGGACAGGAGGATACGGTCCTCGTGGTTCCCACGCACACCGCTGGCGCCCATCTCCATGGCGAGGGCCACGACGCCCGCGCTGTCGGGCCCCTTGTTGACCATGTCCCCTGTGAACACGACATGGTCCCCGCGCGCGGCGTCGTACTTGACTTCGGCAAGCAGTGCCTTCAGTTCGTTGAGCTGCCCGTGGACATCGCCAATGATGATGAGGCGGTGCGACGACGGCGACGTGGTCGGGAGCTTGTCGGCGGCGAGGGTGCCGATGAGAACCACATCCTTCAGCGGCGGGCGGCCGTAGGTGCCGTAGACCATGGGCGGCACGGGCTCCTGCGCAGCGGCGATGTCGGCGAAGCTCTGGCCCGACCAACCCTTTTGCTGCTGCTGCTGCTGGTTGGCGTGACCGCCGTTTTCGAGAAACGACTTGAGAGGCTGCAGCTTCTGCGCAGCCTCGGTCATGCTGTCGAAGCGCGTGTAGCCCAGGAAGATGGTGCTGAGGGCCAGCACCAGGACGCAGACGTAGAGGAGACGGCGTCGCAGCGAGCGCGGGTGCAGCTGTGGGGTGGGACAGACGGCCATGTTCGAAGTTGACTCGGAGCTAAGGGGTATCCTCCCAGTTCGGGACGGGTCCTGGCGCAGAGCTTGGAGATTGAAAGCGGTGGTGGCCAATAGTAGGAACCAAAGAAACGTTGCTGAGTGTCTGGAAGTATATCTGCAAAAGGGTTGTCCTCGCCGTCCCTGGCAAACTGGCTCTCACCCTCGACCAGCAACGGGTTGTCCGGGGAGAGAGTTGGAATCTACGAAGATCCTGTTTGGCATCGATTGCGTGCGGGTACTCCCCTGCTAGATTCACGTAGTTCCGTAATAGCTTGTCGAAACTGTGGAGTTTGGGTAGTATAGCACAGGTGATAAGCGTGAACGCGTCGTCATCCAGCAGCTTGTGGAGGTGTCCCCTGGTAAAGAATACATCGCTGCGCCGAGCTGCCGCTCTCTCTTCGGCGCGAGAGAGCTGGAAAGGGAGGCTGCAACTGGCGCCAGGCAATTGGTGTTGAAGTTGCCGTCTTTCCCGGCGCTGAGCTGAGCCGGGCGCTGTGGGAAAAACACGAGGGAATGGCCAAGGAGAAAGAACTGTGTGTGATAGGTATGCATTGCTTGGCGGGCCACTGCTTAGCCTTGCCCAAGCCGGCAAACTGGCACGCGACAAAATGCTTGTCTTTCTGTCTGCCCGTTACCACGATCCAATGATGTCCACCTCAACCGCCAGGGCTAGAATTGGCCGAGCCAATGTTTACAGCGTACTACTAATTTAGTATGCGTCCTTCGAGATAACCGCATCTGGGTCTTTCCTGTAGTAGACAATCAACCTTGTCTCCTTTATTGCGCGGCTCAGCTCTCCCAGCTCCTATTTCCTAGCTTTGTCTCGGGGAGGCATCCACAATTCGCTAAAGACAACCTTGATGGGCTCACAGACTACAGCTTGTACATTCCAAGATTTCAGAAACTCCATGTCAATAAACTAGAGAGCCAGGATGACAATCCCCCGTGTTCATCTCTGGTTCTAACTGTGTGCGTACTGTGGAACGTGCAATCGTCGGCAGGCAACTCGAGGCGACCTCGGCGGTTTGACACTGCTAGGAGACTGTGGAACGTTGTCATCACGCCCTTCCAAGGTTCGTATTGACTTATCGGGTACTTGAGCTCTAAAGTTTGCGGCCGCAGTCTTATGGCCTGCTTATCTCATTTATCTTATTCCCGACTTGGAACTACAGTACACTGATCCTCAAATATGCACGAAGAAAGAAATGGCACCATCCAGCTAGCTCCCTGAATGCGGCCATGTCGCTGCCTCCAGATGCACTGTGTGGTGTCGCGGCTTTGCGCATATCTGCAATGCCAGATGGCACTGCAGGTGGAATAGCCTGGTCACATTCAATCTGAATGGTATGCCGATGTAATCCAGGCCTGTGTAGCGTGTGCGCGCTCCAAGCGCAACGTAAAGGGGTTTGATGGTATCCGAACGAATCGAAGAGTTGAAGTACCTCATAAACGCCACCCAATGCTGCTTGCAACCGTCTACAGTACTCTTACACGTCACGTCTGCCCGGGGCGCGACGGCCTCACTTCTTGTCCTGCTTGTCCTGCCTCTCCTGCCTCTCCTGCCTCTCCTGCTCCTGCCTGTACTTCTCGTTCTCGACCTCGCGCCAGTCCCTGGGCTCGGGCTCGTTGCCGTCCGTCTTCTTGACGCCGCCGCCGAACGCGGAGCGGCCGGCGTAGAGCTGGTAGCCCTCGCCCGAGTCGGCGGTGGACAGGTTCTTGAAGGTGATGGGCTGGTTGCCGCGGAAGCGCTTGCGCATGTCGATCATGCCCCTCCTGCAGTCGCCGAAGCCCTTCTTGAGCTGAATGCACTTGGTCGGCAGGGTGCTGGAGAGGGGCTCGCGCAGGCACTCGGCCGCCGTGTGCCGCTGGACCATGACGCACTCGGACTCCTGGAGGCACTGCGCCAGGGCGTCTCCTGGATTGCGGGAAAGACTTTGATCAGCGGACGCCTCGGTACTGGGGCACGGGGGCGCTGCGGGGTGACGAACGTATCTCCTTACATGAGCTCGGCATCTTATCTTGTCTGGATTCACAGGCCGTCGACACAAGGTTGGCAGCAGCTCCAGCAACGAACGATCTGAGGGTATCCCGATGGTGCCACCGACACAGGGCACGAAAAACCCAAAGCCGCAGCCGATCGCCGCAAGCCTCCGGCGCAAGCAACGCGGGGCCTCTGATTGGCGGGTCGGCTTTAGTGGGCTCTCCACGCCTTTTGGGCGGCTCGTTTGGCCCCTTGGGGGCTTGGCTGCTTCCATGGGGCTGCTAGAGATTGCCCGCCCTGCCGCCCAGACGATAGGAGACAGGGGTAGCTTTGGATGGAGCCGCCCTTTTCATTAGTTAGTGGGGGGCAAGGGGGAGCTCTGTTGTTGCAGTACCACAGTGAAGCGAGTGGATGATGGCCGGATGGCTCCAGTAACAGGTTAGCCTCATCTCATCTCATTATTGATCATGGGCTTTATTTTCCAGCATTGCGAAAAGTCAAGTCGTCCATGGGCGTGTTGCGGCCAGCGATTCTGCCATCCCTCTACTGTGACTGAATTCTCTATTCTGAGCTTCTCCCTTGCTTCTGGTCGCTCGATCAGCTCTGTCGCTGCCAAAACCTGCAGCCTGCCCAAAAGACAAGAAGGGCAATTGAGTTGCGTCGACTTTCGCATGTGACATCACTGCGCTGCAGGTGGTCGTGACCCGCGTCAACGGGCTGCTGACCCACCCTCCACTTCTACGTGCTCCCAGTTCCAGGCCAGAACCCAGACCCAGACCAGGACCCAGACCAGGACCCAGACCAGGACCCGAAACTCCACGAGCTTGTCCAGCAGCTGTACCTCCGTAATCAACATCGATAGTGTCTGTCGCTTGTGATATCCCGTTCTCCATTGTGCGGTAGACTATGACTTGCACGCCATCCTCCGTTCCCAGAGCTATTTGAGCTGTCCTGCAAAGATGCCGGTACCCTTTATCGGGCGCTTGAACCCGTGAGTAGCCGCCTCGTTCTTGTTCTTGTTCCCTCATCAGGCGCGCCCCCCAAAGTCGACCTGCGCATGCTGATCACGTATGTCTCTCGTAGGATCGAGTATATCGCTCTCGTCGGCTCCTTCTGCCTCGTCGGCCTCGAGGCCATCATTCGCATCCTGACCCTCGCCCTGCGTATGTAGCCACCACCTAGACTCGCAAGCCATCTGCGCGCTTCATACTGACGACACGACGCAGCAACCTCGCTGCTGTCACTCTTCTACGCAGCTTCCCGGCGCCTCTTTAACCGTTTGACGTCACTTGAATCGAAACAAGCAGAGGAAAAACAAAAGTGTAAGCGTAGCTGTAGCTTGGGATACTGGCCTCGGCATACAGGAGACTGACCTATCGTCTCGCAGCTATATCGACGTCCGTTAGGAATGCGTCCGACTTTGTCGACCTGTGCGCCACTTTCGGCTACTACGCCGAGGAGCATGTGGTCCAAACCAAGGATGGCTATCTGCTAGGCGTTCATCGCCTGGCATGGCGCAAGGGCGAGGAGGACTTGAAAGTCAACAGTGGACCGCAGAGCCTCAAGAAGAAAGTCATCTACATGCACCACGGGCTGCTGATGAACAGTGAGGTTTGGGTCTGCCTCACAGACGCCCAGCGATGTCTGCCGTTTGTCTTGGTTGAACAAGGCTACGATGTCTGGGTAAGTTGTCGAAGCAGGTCCCGTCTTCAAACCTTTCTGCTTTGCTAACCTGGGGATATAGCTGGGCAACAACAGAGGCAACAAGTATTCCAAAAAGTCTGTCAAGCACTCGCCCTCCAGCCTCGACTTCTGGAACTTCTCCATCGATGAATTCGCTTTCCACGACATCCCAGACTCGATCGCTTACATCTTGGAGTCCACCAAGCAGCCCTCGCTGTCCTATATCGGCTTCTCTCAAGGAACGGCTCAGTCGTTTGCGACCTTGGCTATACATCCCAAGCTCAATGAACAAGTCAATGTGTTTATTGCGCTGGCGCCTGCCATGTCGCCCGCTGGCTTGTCGAATGGGATCGTCGATGCTCTGATCAAAGCATCTCCCCAAGTCCTGTTTCTCCTGTTTGGCCGCCGCTCGATCTTGGCCTCGGCAACCATGTGGCAGTCCATTCTCTACCCGCCCATCTTTGTCCGCGTTATCGACATGGGTCTTGACTTCCTCTTTGGCTGGAAGGCGAAGAACATTTCCATGTCGCAGAAGCTGGCCGCCTACCCGCATCTCTATTCTTTCACGAGCACCAAGTCGGTAGTGCATTGGTTCCAGATCATCCGCAATCAGTCTTTCCAGATGTACGATGACGACGTACACCCGCCATTGACCACCTCGAGCAAGTACACCAAGGTGGCCAAGTATCCAACACGCAATATCAAGACACCCATCGTCCTCGTCTACGGCGGCAGCGATTCTCTAGTCGACATCAAGGTCATGCTGCGCGAGCTCCCGAAACGGACGGTGGCCACGGAGATTCCTCCATACGAGCATCTGGACTTCTTGTGGGCTACCGATGTTGACACCCAGGTCTTCCCGCACGTCTTTGATGCCCTGGACAATTTCACGGACGCTGAACACACGAGGGAGGAGTATGAGAGTTACCGCCGCGCACGCAACGCAAGCTTGGGTGCATCCGCTTCTTTCCGCCACCAGTAGGTATTCAGATCAATAGTTATATGCGAGGATCTAGATGAGAGGCGCTGACACAAACACCAATAGATACCGGGGTAGTGATGCTGTTGACGCGGACGCAGCAACTATGCTTTCTATGGGTCAGCTTGACAACAGAAGCGATCCGGCGCTGGCACATCATGCCCGTGAGGGCTTCGTTACCCCAGAGTCGCCGTCCACAGATACCTCAGGCACGACCTTGACCTCACAAGCGCCCGAGAGCGGCCGTCGCGTTGCCTCTTCGTTGCAAGTGGAGACAAGAACACCGGAGACCCCTGATCGGACGGGCTCTTGGACTGGGGCCGATGGTGTCGCAGAACATGCGACTCGAGAGCCCGATTCATCCACACCCTCACCGACAAGGCTGCCAGACAGTGCGAAGAGAGTCTACAACCGACGGGGAAGCGCGGCCAGCAACCTGAGCTTTGACTCTACCAAGGACAGAAAGGGCAGGAGTGGCGGTATCCGCGTTGGTGCGGCAAAACCCGTCGGTGGTGTTGTCACGGGCGGGAGTGCTAGCAACCTGACGGGCAGCAGTGACGAGGGGAGCCGAAAGAGGAACGGGCGCTAGGCACCCCAGAACCCTTTGGTTTCGTTTTAAACTATGTGTACACGAGATTGGAACACAGCTATAGAAGTTATAGACAGGCTAGGCTTTCTAAAGCCAGCCGCTGTCGGAGTGGTGTCTTGGTCGGAGTCCGGAGTTCATACAATATGGTGTCTTTTTTGCACCTGTACATAGAACGTCATCAAGTCGATGTCTAAATAAAGTCTATGATGTTGGAAACTATCTTAGCTATAACGTGTCAAACTCAGACCACCCCTCGTGGTGCGAAGAGGCAGAACATGATACAATGGGATCAAGGAGGTCCTATGCTTCTCGTGTTCAGACGTCTCGCAACCTTCCAGCCTAAGTACAACAAAACAGCAGAGCAATCACTACGGGCAGGTCTTTCGGCGGACAGACACAGTATATGTATAGTCTGGGCAGGATTACAGGCGCGACTTCTCAAGCTCCTCTCTACTCCCCCGTGTCACTCTCCATGCATACAGTTGAGCAACATTCATGGCCATGTATTCGATTCTGAAGACACTACAAGACAAGACGGCCCTGCCAGGAGCGGCAAAGGGGGGGGAATTGTGGGTATCTGCACAGAACAATAACGGAGTCCTCTCGCATCCATTCCTCTTCCCCGAAGGGGGAAAGAGCCAAAAGATATAAAAGACATCCCATCCATCCGTCCATTCATCCATCGGTCCGCCACTTATTTCATTCCACTGAAACAAAAAACCCCCCTGCGTCGTTTTTCATGAGCTCCAATATTGTACATTATATTTTACGAATTTCATTGGGGGTTTCGTATGGAGTCGTTCCGCCCGGGGCCTTCCTCTCTCTCTCTCTCTGTATCCTTCTCCCTCGTCTCGCCCCCTCCATCTTCCCCAGCTCCCTGTCCCCTCCCCTCGAGATATAGCACATAGATACAGAGACGGAGGACAGGGGGAAGAAAACCGGAAAACAAAAGCAAAAACAAATAAAAAGTTCCACGAAATTGAAGACCGAGCAAGACGCACAGAAGCCCCACCCGGAAGAGATAAAAAAGAACGCCCCACGTGAATCTTGCGTGATCGTGTGCCGGTTTTTCTTTCATTACTCTCAAGCAGCGCAGATCGTGGCGTCGGGTCCGCGGGAAAAAACAACAAGGCAAGAAAGCAAGCGATCAAATGATGTCGTAAACCCCATACCAGACCGAAAGAGGCCGGTTGCGGTCATCGCGGAGACTCGTGCGGGGAAAGAAAAACCTAACAAGGCCTAGGCCAGGACCGCAAGCAGCGGCCTCGTGTTGGAGCCGCGAAGACGCCCATGGTTTTCCGTCATGTAATATGTGCACTGTACACTCTAGGCCCTGCCCCGCGTGTCGTAAAGCAAAAATATATACGAGTTTTCTTCAGCTTCTCGGGGTCAGCCGGCTTCGTTCGTGGGAAAGGCTTTTTTTGCGAAAGGGCCAGATAGCCTCAGCCTTAGGTATGCTTGGCACTTTGGCCATTGGGACCTTGGTGATCGTCAGTATCGAGCCGCTTACGCCAGTCAGCTAAACTCTCACTGAGGCCGAGCCCAACGGCATCATCGCCCTTCTTTGCCGGACCGCTCTCAAAGTCGAAAGCGGTAGACAGACGATAGTTCTCGTTTGTTGCCTCCCATTTCGTCCGGAGTTGATCGAGTTCGTCTGCCAGATTGTCGAGCGCGGCGCTGTTCCTAGCGTCGCCTAGCCCGCCGTAAAGGCTCTCCGCCTCTGAACTTTCCTGGCGTTGATGGCCTGGGTTGCTCAGATTGGGAGTCTGTTCCGAACCGATGCTCGGCACCTGTCGGCTCCGTCTCCGGTAGTTGTCAACCGAGTTCTCGACTTGGTCAAGAAGCAGGCCAACCTTATGCTCAGCATCCTGGGCACGCTTCTCGAGCTGGGCGTTATCTTGATGCATCTGTTCAAGGCCCTTCTCCAAAGCTGCAAGGCGAGAGGCTGCATCTCCGCTCGTCTTCTTGGCGCTGTCGCGCTCTATCTTGGTAGCCTCGAGCTCTTGACGTACAACGGCAAGCTGCTTCTCCAGCTGCCCGGCTGAGGTTTTGAGTTGCTCCTGTAGACTCTGGATCTTTTGCTCCAAGGCGGAGCGCTGGTTGTCCCAGTCAGCTGGCACGGAGCCAGCCTTGGCTTCGGCACCGAGGGACTTCTCTTCGAGCTCAAGGTTTTCGGTCTTCAGACGTGCATTATCAGACTTGTACTTGGCCAACTCCTCCTTCATCCGCTTCAGCATCTTTTCGGTGCCTTTGACATAGTGAACCGCGGACTGGTAGTCGCTCTCGAGCTGCGTGACTCTTTCTCTGTACGCTTGCTCCGTCTGCTGAATCTGAATTTCAAAGGCTTGCTTCATCTCTTCGTTGGCTGCGCGACTTTCTGCGAGCTGTGCCTCCACGTCGTTGCTGGCTGGAGATTCGTTTCTTGAACCCATACCTCTGACACGAGAAAGACCTGTTGGGCTGATTCCACGCTCAGTCAAGATATCTTTGAGGGTATTGTGTTGTACACTCATGGCGTTCGTTTCCAGTTGCTGGTTGGCAAGTTGATGCTTCAAGTCCGAGTTCATGGCCTGGAGAGTCTGCGTGTCCTTCAGCGCCGCTTGCAGTTGTCTTCGGATCGTGACGCCTTCTCTGCTGGACTGTTCTTGATACGCCTCGAGCCCGGCGATGCGCTCCTCGGCACTACGTAATTTGTCGGATGCGGCATCAGCCTCCTGTTGGTACTTCTTAACCAGGGCATTGGCAGCGTTGACTTGACCTTGGAGGGCAACAATGCGGTCTGCATCTACCTGCTTGGACTTGTTGCCATTTTGGGTGATCTTATCCAGGCCAGAGAGAACAGCTAGGCGGTGTGTCTTGGCTTCGTTTGCGTGCCGTTCGGCAAGTTCCTCTGCATCTCTGAGCCGTTGGCTGACAGCTACAAGTTCGGCTGTGCTTGACTCGTGTTCCGCTTTGAGATTCGTCAACTTTGATTCGACTCTTTCGCGCGATGCACGCTCCTCGTCGAGTTTCTGCTCGAGGTGGGTTCTCATGTCTTCCGACGCTGCTACAGCGGCTCGGAGAGCATCTAGGTCGGCACCTCCATCCCTGACGCCACCACTAGCCTCTTCATGTCTTCTCTGTAGATCGGCTTTCTCAACGGTGAGTGCATTCAGGGTCGCAGTTGCTTCAGCACTTGCAGTCGCTTGTTCGCGAGCATCGCGCTGGGCCATGTGAAGTTCGGCACGTAATGATTCAAGTTCGAGCGAGGTCTGCTGCTTGTAGGACTCCAGTCCAGCCATTCGCTTTTGAGCAGCACTGGTGGTGTCGTCTGCGAGTTGGCGTGCTCGCTTCTCAGCCCCAAGCTCGGCTTCTGCGCGTTCAAGAGAGTTTTGAAGCTCTCTCTGAAGGTTGAGTGCCGCGGCTAGTTTTCGGCTGCTGTCAGCACTACGGTTTCCTTCGTCGCGGTCGTTATCCAGCTGAGGAGTGCTGGCAGCACTGCCTGTATGGGCTGCCATCTTGGCCTTGGCATAAATCGCCTCCTGGACTGCGGCATCGCGCTGTCGTTCGGCCTCGGCAATTTGCTTTGCAGCCAACACTGCCTGCTTGTCAACAGAGCTCTGGACGTTAGCTAGCTCTTGTCTCATTGCCAGGAGTGCCTCAATCAACGGTTTGTCCTCGTCGTCAAAGGTTTCTGCTCGGCTCTCCAACGTCGGACTCATAGCCGCACTCGGACTATACCCTGCCTTGCGGGCCAATTCGAGCTCAGATGCATACCATGCGTTGCGGTTCCTAGCGGCATCCAATTCCTTAAGCAAAACCACCGCCTGCGAGTTTCTGCCGGAACTTCTACGTGATAGAGGGTTGCTGGTCTGCCTGGTAGGGGGTGGCGGCGATGATGGGCGGTTCGTGACATTCTTGAGATTCGGCTCTGTAATACTGTCCACCGAGCCTTGACCACGAGTCTGTCTTGTTGATCCCTTCTTAATGGCATCGACAGCAGCATTCTCCGGCTTTCCGGCAGTTCGCCCCTGATTAGGAGTGCGGCGCCCGTTTGTGGTCGCGCCCTCCTCTTTGACCTGTGACAACGGCGATTGGGTGCGGGTGTTGGGGCTGGAGGAACCAGACCCCGACCCAGCCGCCTCGCGTTCTATGCGCTCAATGGAAGCATTCCTGACTCTTCCATTGGTGGTATTCGTGTTGACGGTAGGTCGGGGTGGCTGACCCTGCGGTGGAGGCCCCGAAGGTCCTGGAGGCGCTGCAGCTCTGGGCATCTTGGACACCGCAGCACCAGGCGCGTTTGGAGGAGCTCCATTTGGCGGTTTTGACGGGCTCATTGCACGAGCGTTTTCCTGGGCCTGAATCCGCCTCTGATCAGGACCATTCGAGCCCTCGCGAAGCGGCATCGTTCGCGGTCCCGTCGCGGGGGCGTCACCGCTTGGCCGCCGTTGCTGTTGCACTTTCTGTGTGTTGGACTGGATCTGCGCGTCATTTGGGTAACGGATCTTGGTGGTATCCAGGACGTAGACAATAGACAGATCATTGACCTGGTTCGTCGCAGAGCTGGGCTCTCCTCCCACTACCACAACCGACTTGCCTACTGCCGTCATGCTGTGACCAGAACGGGGAGAGGGTGTAGGACCCATGTTCTGGAAGGTGTACCATCGCCGAGAGCTGATGCGGAAAGCAGCCAGGTCGCCCAGATCCGCACCCTCTTCGGTACGGCCTCCAAAGATATACATCACGTCGTCCACCAAGGCCGCGGCATGGCCCTCTCTTGGAAGCGGAATGTACCCTATACAGTCCAGCTGAGCCCAAAGATTGGTCGCCGGGTCATAACACCACACATCGTTGAACCACTGAAAACCATTGGTGCCACCGAACCTGCAAAAATTAGCCACAGACCGCCGAGGCACAGCGCGAGCATTACTCACAGATACAGCTTGTCATTGTAGGATATCATGGTGTGGTTCGTTCGTGCGGGCGGTACCCTGCCTTTCGGCGAAGAGTTGATGTCGATATTCTCATAGAGAATTTCCCAGCGGTTGGTCGGCAGTTGCAGTTGGTTCAAATCAAAGGCAGCCAGGTCATTCATGAAATAGCCTTCGATTTGGCCACCGAAGATGAATATCTTGGACCCAACGATATTGAGCGAATGTCCATAACGCCCAGAAGGTCGGGGTCCAGCCGGTAATGCCCTGGACCATTGTCTTGTGGCTGCATGGCGGATTAGCAAAGTTGTACAGGAGTCGTTAGCCCAGCTTCACGGCAAGAGTGTAACCTACAAGTATTGAGGAGGTATAGAGTCTCGTCCAAAACATCAGCCTCGTCGATCTTGGTATCACCGCCATAGACAATGAAAGCATTGCCAACCAACAGGGAGGCATGGCCAACTCTTGGTCCCGGGCCCTCAGCAGTAGTGGAGAGTGGGTAGCAGCTCATGTTGCCGCCGGCTTCAATTAACCACAGATCCCCCTTCACGGTCGAGCTGTTGATCAATCCACCCATCAAGTAGATGTCGCCTTCTTTCGAAGACAAGCCATTGACTGCGGCTCCATATCGAGGGAAGGGACTCGGTATCGAGGAAGTGAAGTTGAGCCTTCTCTGCGACCACGGAAACAGCGATGCGTTAGGGTTTGTCGGAGGGTTTGCGCCTGGAGGGCTTGTCTGCGGGCTGTTGCGAAACTGGTAGGAGGGTAATGGTCAGTGTGTGCAGCGCATACACAAGGCGCATATAAGATAGAAGCTTGCTTACAGGTAGATCACTTGGCTGCTGTTGTTGCGCCTGCTCTGGTCCTCGGCGCACAGCGTACTTGTCGACATCTTGAATGGGGCTGCCCTCGTCGAGCGAGTTGAGGCTGCCCGTCGGCGTCGACCGCGAATTCTTCTCATCCCGTACGGCTCTGGATGCGGCACTTGGGATGGAGCCGCCTGCACTGGGGGGGCCTTCACGGCTCTGGACGGACCTGTCCTGGCTCTTCTTGGACTTGAATAGGAACGCCATCGCGGGTTAGAGCCAGAGTCTTCTCGGGAAGACACGGGCGACTTGCGATTGCGATGGCAGCGTGGTTTGGAGGGGGATGCCTCGCCGACGACGATGGCGCAAATCGACCAGATTGTCGTGATGCGACGCTTCGGATTCAGGGGGAGAAGGGTGTCGTCGAGCTGGCGAACAAAGAAACGCTGTCGTCGCGATGTGGGTCGGGGGTCGGGATGGCTGGGAATTGCATGGAGGTTGGCGGTGGTCGGGCGGTTGGTCAGGTTGGCTCTCCAGGGTCCCGGTCACAGAAAGTTGACCACCTCTATCCGGCAATTAAAACAAAAAAAAGTCGGGCGCCGTCGCTGTCCTGCGCAGGCTCGCTGGTCCGGCCTGGATGATTTGATCCAAGTGCGAAAAATGATGTCTAAGGAGTGAGAAAGGTCGGGTGACGATATCTGGTATCGTGGTAATTGCGTTCAACGGGTGGAGGGTCCAGCGCGGCGGGTTGAAGGAGAGGGTTGGTTATTACGGAGCAGTAGCCGCGCTCGGGTTGCTCCCTGTATGCTTATCTCAGACTCGACCGAGGAGCACTCCAGCCAAAGACTCCGGTCTTGTGCGACGGTACGATTCGATCCAAAGCGTGCTGCCGGTGTTCGGTGTGGTCGGTTGCGCGGCGTTGCGATGCTCCTTGCCCAAACGACCGGGGAACAGTAGCAGATGGGAGCAAGCGACTTCGCGAGCAGGTGTAGTAATGAAAAGGGACGAAAGGCGGCCGGTCAAGGGCGAAGCGGCCAGCGATCAAGAATCAGACGGGATAGGATGCAAATTTCCAAAATGTACGTCCAGGGGTGCCCCTTCAATAAGGTCAGGTACTGTAGGCCCCCCCCTTACCCTTGAGCTGGCGCGGTAGCGCTGCAGACGGCTGGGCTCCTGGTGTGCAAGTCCCAAGCAGAAGTGGATATCGTGGCGGCCCTGGGTTGCTGGGGGTCAAGTCATTCACGGGGCACGATGCACTTGGCATCGACGTCCTCGGTGCCTCCTCTGTGCGTGGCCTGGCTTTCCGCTCTGCCGTGATTTGCTGCAGCTCTGCAGGTAATCCTCGCGCAGCGCTTTGGGCTATATTGCTGGGGGGCCATGTATGTCTAAGATTGCTTCAACGCGCGCGTCGGAGTGAGCACTGATGAGTCTCCCATCCGTGATCTGTGGGGGGGCGCCCGTCTCTGCCGTTGGCCAACGGTAGTACCACCACCGTACCAAGGGAGGTATCTGCACACTACTGTCGTCATCAGGCTGTGTTTTCTGTACTACAGTGCCTATGGTACGCCTTGACGGACCCCAAAATAGCTACGAAATGCAGGTGCCACAGATGGTAGTATTTGTCGCCCGTTTCGTTTCCCTTTGTGCCGGCCAAGTTGGCGGCATTTGTGGTCGCTCGCTGTACGAGTTACACCTTGCAAGATATATAATCAGGGGCTCAGTCCGCGATGGAGTTTGCCAGTTAAATTGTCACGGTGGGATTGGCATCAGACTTCCTTAAACAAGACGTGCGAGGCGTTCTCCATAGAAATTTTTAACAACGTGCAAAGGGTGTCGCCCCCGTCAAGCCCGTACCCCGTCACACTCAACGACGTAAGTAGGCAATAGATACCCAGTGTCAGGTTTTTCGCTCGGCGCAAAGTCACACCATGAGCTGCGCCGACTATTTCCATGTTCTGCACCAGAGAATTTGTGGAAGAGCCCCCAACTGCGGCGTTGGCGTGATACAAGGAACCCCCTTTCGAGCCTATGTGTAGCAGCTAAGGTCACGACTCGTCCGATGTCCAGTGTCCGCGGGTGGGCATTCTAAACATGGAAAATACGAATGCAGCCCCTTACATTGGTCTGGCGTCCTAAATATGCAGGAACTCGCCGTGTCAAGATTCACAAAAGGGGAGCCTAGGGCCGGAGCAGAGAGGCTCAGCTACATAAGCTCGGCCTCCTTATCGACTGGACGACGGGGTGCCCAAGATCTTGCTTGACCTGGCCCGACGTCAGATGCGGCCCGTCGCTCTGCGGTCGGATGCCTGCATCTTTCAATTGAGTTCTGGGTGGCGCCGTCTTGGGAAGTCCACAACTCACAACCCAGTCCACCACCCCGACTGTTGAGTGTTTAACAAGTGTCTAACAATCGCCATCCAGAGTCCCGTGTCTAATTGCCATCAACCTTCTTGACCCGGCGTCGCTGATCGTGCCTGTGGCCCTCATTTAATCATTCGTGTGTGGGTTCAACAGAGCGATTCCAGTATGATTTGTGAACTACACCGCATCTGAGCTTCTGAATCTCACGACATGCACCTGGCTTGCCTCAGCCGAAGCGTGGTCCCTCGCTTCAGGGAAAGTTGAATGAAGTACCATAGTCAACCTGGATTTCCGGGTAAAGGGTCTTTAGGCGGCTGTGTTTCCGGGCAATGTCTTGAGAAATTCGGGATAAGAGCCATTGAACTCTAATGGAATCGCTTTTCGTGAATCACTGAGATCGTCGTAAACAATGATTGACGGATTCTGGGGTACCATTTCTAGCAACCAGCCTGGTCTTAAGCAACATGAAAGCTTTTCTCAGTGCGTTCGTTCGAATTGCTATCGCATCCCATGGAAACACGAACATGCTGGCGCCCCTCGTCCATTAGAAAATCAGCCACGAAGGGCAGGCCATAGGGACCAAAGTACTTGAGCAGCCATGGCACTGCAGACGATGTTCATTGTGGCTACACAGATGGACCTACACGCCCTTACAACGTTTCCAAGCAATAAGAATGCATGCTGAAGCGCCAGCACATGTGCAGGCGAGGCGTCGAATTGAGTCGCGACACGACCCGTTGACTGGGTGGCCGCCATGAGCCAGTCAAGTCGCTGAACGTGCCTCTGGCAATCTGGATACCCTGGCCCACCCGACGTCGATAAGTTCCAAAGAGAAAAAAAAAGGCCCCGAGGTCAGCTGAAACACTGGGGAAGGCGCACTGCGCAGCCCCATAGTTATCCGGCACGTGAGTCACCATACCTTTGGGGGCTTAGTGCGCACCCGAGGTTCGGCGAGAGCCCCACCGCCGTGGCCGACCCCCCGATGCCCCTGCCCGGAACTTTTGAGAGCGGCTGAGGTAATGGACGGGCAGACGGGGCCCAGGGGGGATCGGATTCGCGGAATCATCACGGGAACACAGTTGCGCGCCAAAGGCAGAGAGACCCCCGCAGCGAGCGTACTCAAGAACTTTTGATATGCGTCTCTCTGGTCCCAAATGCAATTAATTGCCTGGCGACCTTGCGAGTGCAGAGGGTGCTCAGTATAAGTAGAGGAGCGAATGGCTCGTACAGTATTGTAGTTAACCCTTGCGAAGGCATTCTGCCGTTGAGAGTGCATGGGTTGGAAAGGACATGACAGCCTTATGAGTCCATAACGCATCGTTCTTCTTGACCCGTATCACCTCGATTATAAGCTTCAACCTAGGAGCGATTCTCTTGTCCGTGTGTTTTGCCAGGTATTGTTCCCTTACTGCAAGGTAGAAGAAGCTCACCGACGGCGAGTTGGGAGCTAGAATACAGACTGCCCCACATTTCGAGCTGTCAAGCCGAGTTGGGCGACCGCCTGCAACTGAGAGGATCTGATCGGGGCGCCCAGAGCGGACAGCACCTCAACCTCAAACCTCGAGCCGCTGCCACCGACCACCGACCGTCCATTCACCACCGCGTCATCCTGCCCTGCCATTGACATCCTCTTCGGCTCGAACCCCCCGTGAGCGCTTCTTCAGCACTTCGCCGGCGCTCGATCACTCGGCCCTGCTCCCATTGGAGACTCCAGGCAGCACAACGCAGAGCGCAGTCAACGGTGCATTAGCAGTAGGCCATGCTGGATTAGAGGTCATGCATCATGACGGCGGTCGCAGTACATCGTAATGCGGATCCTGCGCGCCAGCAACACCACAATTCGACCGCCGCTACACTCGTCTCCTCCGGGCCCTCTGCGTCGCACCAGCAGCCACGAAAGGCTTCCCAACCGCCCACCCCCCACACATCCTCCAGACCCGCACGCGACGGTGCCGCGCCAGCTGCCGTGAGCGCAAACGGGAGCTCTGCTGCCATGCCGCCCAGCGCTGTGTCCAACGGCGTGCTACCGCTCAGAGCCTCGGCCATGGCGAACGGCAGTGGCAGTGGCAGTGGCAACGGCCACTCCGACCGTGTCACGGATGGCGACGAGGAGCTCTCCGGCGCTGACCGCCGCCCCTCGACCGCTCCCGGCAACAAGCAGCACCCGCAACTCACCCGCCTTCAATCCTTCGACGACTCCGATCGAGAGCAGATCAAGCGGCGACCCAAGCCGCCGTTGCTGCGCTCCAAGAGCGAGCACATCATGCGCTTTGAAGAGCCTGAGCATACAGATGACGAGGTTTACGACGACTGGAGTGCGCGTCACGGCTTCGAGGACCATTACCAGTCCGAAGACATCATTTCCCAGTTGGCCAACGTGAGTACATTTTCTATATGCACCCCAGCTGCATTTATATTCTTTCGCTATCCGGTCTGTTGCTCGACGATCCTCTGGTTGCGCCTGTACGGTCATTGTCGGGTTTAGGGTAGCTCTGCCATGCCTTGCCCCCAATGACCAAAGCTATGGTGCAAGCGCAAGCATCTGACATGAAGTGCACATGGTATGGAAGCATGTTCACGACTCTCAAAGTCAGCGCTTTCGTCAATGACTCCCAAACCTACTGCCTTTTCTTCGAGATACAATAGCCATGGGGTTGGTGACGTAAGCGGGAATCATCCTTGGCCAGCCAACTATACAGTCACCTTGGTAGATGAATGGGTTATGCCATTATTTCTTTATACCATGAAGCCTTTCTGGACCTATGCTGACCTTTAACCGCCAGAACTGGTACATGTACTATACAGACAAGCGCCACGAGACGACCGGCCAGCCCAAAGCCCCCCTTTACGAAATCGAGGACTGGCGGATGAGAGATCGACTGAAGACGGTCTCAGCAGCACTAGCAGTGTGCTTAAATATCGGCGTCGAGCCTCCCGACCAACTCAAGACTAATCCAGGCGCAAAGCTTGAGGCTTGGACAGATCCTTTCGGGCCCAAAGCACTGGAAGTCATCGGCAAATCCCTGCAGGTGCAGTATGAGAACATCTCGCTGCGTACTAGGTATAAGCAGTACTTGGATCCCTCCGTCGAAGAGACGAAGAAGTTCTGCATGTCCCTGAGACGAAATGCGAAAGATGAAAGGGTACTGCTCCATTACAACGGCCACGGCGTCCCAAAACCCACTGCGTCTGGTGAAATCTGGGTGTTTAATAAGAACTTCACCCAGTATATCCCCATCTCGCTCTACGATCTGCAACATTGGTTACAGGCCCCGACGATATTCGTCTGGGATTGCTCTGAGGCTGGCAATATTATCAACAATTACCATAGATTCGTTGACAAGCATGAGGATGAGGAGGCATCACAGGCAGCGGCGGATCCCAATTACGAAAAGACCAAGTACCGCTCGTACCTTCATCTGGCAGCCTGTGCGGTGAAAGAGAATCTCCCGACAAACCCCAATCTGCCTGCGGATCTGTTCACCGCCTGCCTCACCACACCCATGGAGATGTCACTGTGGTTCTTCGTCTTGCAGAACCCTTTGAAGACCAGTCTCACCCCCGAGAGAGCCAAGAAGCTACCTGGCCGACTTCAAGAGAGAAGGACACCGCTTGGCGAGCTCAACTGGATCTTCACTGCCATCACCGACACCATTGCGTGGACGTCGCTACCGCGGCAGCTCTTCAGAAAATTCTTCAGGCAAGATCTCATGGTTGCCGCCCTCTTCCGCAACTTCATTCTTGCACAGAGAATCATGATCGTCTATGGCTGCCATCCCCAGTCCTACCCAGCGCTGCCAGACACTCACCAGCATCCATTGTGGGAGAGTTGGGATCTCGCGGTAGACCTAGCTCTGGCTCAACTACCGATGCTCGAGAAGAAAGAAAACGAGGGCATCGATTATGAGTATCAAAGTTCGACATTCTTCACTGAGCAATTAACGGCATTCGAAGTCTACCTTGCACGGGGCGACGCCAACCTCCAGAAACCGCCGGATCAACTGCCTGTCGTGCTTCAAGTCTTATTAAGTCAGCAGCATAGAGTCAGGGCCCTCATCCTCCTTGGTAGATTCTTGGACTTGGGACCGTGGGCTGTCCAGCTTGCTCTCAGCATTGGGATCTTTCCTTACGTGCTCAAGCTTCTACAGTCTGCGGCTGCTGAGCTCAAGCCTGTCATGGTATTCATATGGACCCGAATCCTGGCCGTCGACATCTCCTGTCAACCTGATCTAATTAAGGATAGTGGGTACAACTACTTCGCTCAGATCCTGCGGCCAACTGAGACGCTTCCTGTTGCCAACAGCGATGAGCACAAGGCAATGTGTGCCTTCGTTCTTTCAATGCTGTGTAAAGGATATAAGTCTGGTCAGGTTGTGTGCAACCAGGTTGATATCATGTCTTCATGCCTGGTCCATCTTAGAAACGAAGATAATGTCCTTTTGCGACAATGGGCTTGCTTGTGCATCAGTCAATTATGGCAAGACTTACCCGAGGCGAAGTGGAGAGGCATCAGAGAGAACGCCCCCCTCAAACTAGCATCTCTGGCCAAAGATCCATGCTGTGAGGTGCGCGCAGCAGTCGTTCATGCTTTGACTACTTTCTTAGGAATCCCCGACCTCACCGACGAGGTTGCTCGGATCGAGGAATCAGTAGCTTGGACGCTGCTCGACATGGCAAACGACGGTAGTCCGCTTGTGCGCAAGGAGTTACTTGTCTTCCTGTCGCAGTTTGTGCTACGTTATGAGAGCAAGTTCCTAGTGACTGCGTTCGAGCAGCTCGCAGAAGAGAAAGAATACCTAATTCACCCCCCGCATGACGACGGGTCAGACCAAAAGATGGGCTTACATTATGTTCAGCCTGAGAGTCGCAACCCCGATGGCACAGTCAAGGCGACAGCTCAAGGATTATCGCACAACACCGTATTTGCGGCTTGTTGGAAGCATGTCTTGATCCTGACGGTGGATCCTCATCCTGAGGTGCAAAGAGATGCCACACTGGTTGTTGACTATGTTCACAACGCACTATTGACCTCACCCACGGGCATCCATGCTCATGGACTTATGGAAGAAATCACGCGACGCACGAGAAAGACTAGAGGTCACAAAAAACAGGTCTCAATGTCACGTAACAGCATGATCGGACCTGCCGCTGCAGCCTCTACAGCTCCAGAGCCTTCCCCAGGTCTGCTCAAACGGACGGCAAGTCTTCTCTTCCAAATACCCAGCACCATCTGGAGCACAGAGTCAAATCCCGGGACGCCTTTGCCCTCACCAGGACTCACTCGCACTGGTTCACAGAGGGTCAAATCGGCAGCGGATTGGGCCGCTCCACCTGAGCAGAACGATCTTGCTGCAGCTCCCTCGCATTACCATGTCGTTGATGAGCCTGTCTCTGGCGAATTCAAGGAGCGAAACTATGAAAAACTGCCCTCATTACCACTGAGGAGCACATTCCTTGATTGGTCGGTGGAGTATTTCCGTGAGCCCCAGATGAAGCCAACCGAGTCAGAAGAACCTGGAAGTACAGAGTACAACGAGCGTCTTTGGAGGAGATCACGGAACGAGAATATTTTGCGAGAGACTCAGCCACAGAAGCATTACGCTGGCACTCATAGGTGGACAAACCAGCTTTGCATCATGAACAATGGCGCTCAACCGTCCAAGATGACTTTCCACCAATTCGAGGACCATCTTGCGGTTGCAGACGACGGCAATACCGTCAATATTTGGGACTGGAAGAAACAGCATCGTATAGGTCGTTTCTCCAACGGGAACCCACCAGGCTCGAACATCTGCGACATGAAGTTCATCAACGAGGATGATAATGCATTCCTGATGACCGGATCTTCCGATGGTGTGCTGCGTGTCTACCGCAACTACGAATTCGAAAAGTCCACCGAGCTCGCAGCTGCTTGGAGAGCACTGACACATATGGTACCGAGTAATGTAAACTCTGGAATGGTGTTCGACTGGCAGCAGGTCACTGGCAAGGTCCTTGTGGCTGGAGACGTACGAGTTATCCGGGTCTGGGCCGCAGCCTATGAAACCTGTATCATGGATATTCCTGCCCGTTCCGGCTCCTGTGTGACGTCGCTCACATCGGATCAAATGACTGGTAATGTCTTTGTCGCTGGATTTGGTGACGGCGCAGTCAGGTGCTTTGACACCCGACTGAGACCTCAGGAGTCTATGGTCAAGAAGTGGAAGGACGATTCTGACCGTCAGTGGATCAAGAGCGTCCACATGCAGCGAGGCGGCCAGCGTGAACTGGTATCAGCCAGCCGAAACGGCAAGGTCAAGCTCTGGGACATTCGAATGGATAGCCCTTTGAAAGTGATCCAGACAACTCGAGATGGGCTTCGGACAGCTAGTACTCATGAACACTTGCCTGTCTTCTCTGTGTAAGTCGTTTCCCCCGAGGAACCAACTATCTCTCCCCTTCGAACTAACTTCTTCCTAGTGGTACTTCGGCCCATACGGTCAAGGTTTTCAACTTCGATGGCCGCGAGCTCTCGCGCATGGAGCCATACTCCAGCTTCTTGCAGCAGAATCGCGGCGCACCAATCTCCAGCACATCCTTCCACCCTCATCGTATGATCCTTGGGTGTGCTGCCCGTGGGGATCATCATATCAACCTCTTCACGTGTGCTCAGGAAAAGCCTGAGGCATACCTCAACTCCCTCTAAGTCCCTACCCAGCTGTCCATGGATTCAACTTCTTCGCAAAACTCGCGGGTGCCATTGGCGTCGACTGGAAAAGCGGTAAAGAATGGGATCAAAAGTTAGACATTACGATCTAAGAAGTTTTCAATTACGACGCGGTCCTTTCTAAGGCTTTGCATGCCTCATTCATCACACAGACAAATCTTGTTTGTCTGCTGCATCAGAACGGCGGGTTCTCGATAAGGGGCAAGTGTGTTCAGGCGTTCAGGATGAGCTTTGACAAGCAGGAGGGGTGTGATTTTTCTCTTTTCATCGTTACGGATGAAGATGCTATTGCGCTGTTCATGCATTTATAGGCCTCCATGTGGTGGACATTCTATCGGTCTCGTTCTCTGCTTCATGACTTGACACGGCCGCTTGATTTTTTCGTTTTTGCGGATTTTTAAACCCCTGTGTGCTGAAGAGACGGGGGAACAGCACGGAGTCGCGTTATGTAGAGTATAATAGTGTCATCGTCACGCGATTAATTCATAGCTGGCATCGTAGATAATAGGAGCATATGATATGGGCTTCTTGGCTTTCGTTTGATGTGGGGTGACTACGTGACCGAAGAGGTGCTGGCGCTTTGCACAGTATGATAATCCATGGACCGAGGAACCCTATCTCACTCTCAGTGGTAGAGTGTTGGTCCAAGCCAACCTAGTTCGAGGATGACCAGAGGATACTGTAGGCGGTCCGCCCTTGCGCCTGTCGGATTTAGTGCCAGGGCGACGCGTTGAGCATATTGTTGAGTTCTATGATATCTACGTGAACCTGCTCCGCCAGCCGGCGAATGCTGGAGACCCAAATGTTCAACGCCCATTTTGTATATGTTGGGATCTTTTTTAATAACCCGCACTCGGTCTGAAGACTGGAACACATCACGAACACCGGGCTCCTCAAGAGTAATGAAGATAGAGAGGGTTTACCATCGATCAACACAAGTTTATATTTGGAGACCTAAATATATAAGAAAGTCACGGAGATGAATGAGTGATCGCACAATCTGGTTAGTTCCATCCCGTAGCGGACCAGCACCAGTAGCAAAATGTGGTGGTTGGCATTCCATGGACCTCGACGCCAAAATCAGCCAGTATGACCTGGAAGTTGTTGCCCTCGTCCACCCTAGCCGGTTGGTGTCGCGCAGCCACGGCAAGTCTAGTCCACAAGGATCTGGGAAGGGCCGAGACCTGGCTCGCCCACGACGCAGCGGATCGCCTGGGTGGCGTTCTGGTACTGCTTGGGGAAGTTGCGCGTCTCCTGGCCGGGCATGTCCCAGTAGTCGCCCAGGCAGTTGGATTGGCTGCAAGGGGGAGTAACGCCACGGTCAGCGAGGGTGCTTTGAGTCGAAGGGAGAAGGGGGGGCCTCGGAGGTCTACTTACGTGAAAAAGGTGCACTTGACCGGCTTGTGGGAGGCGTGGAAGGCTCGCGCGGATTTCACGCCGGCCTCGAAGCCGTTGGGGAACTCGCCTAGGTTAGGGAAGACGTGCGTGTTAGTCTGATATCGTGCGGTAGATTTGATTCTGATGATGAAGACGACGACGACCGGAAGTTAAGACGTAACGACGGGTGCGTTGGCCTGAGTAGAATCAGAGTTCGAGGGAAAAGACTTACTGCACTGCTTGTCGTGGATCGTGAAGGTCTCGCAAACGCCGTTGAAGTTGGTCTGGTGGCAGAGTCTGAGGGCGGGCATGTCCTCGAGAGCTGAAACCTCGTCCGAGGCGGCGACGAGCTCCGTGGGAGCGGCCAGCGCAAGGGAAGCGCAGCGCGAGAGAACCGCGAGAGTCCAGGTGATCTTCATGTCGGCGAGGGCTGGGTGGGAAACGACGGGAGGGACTGATAAGGGATCCTGTGGCTTAGGGCGCTCAACAAAAAACGCAAGGGACGATGTATTGAGAGGAGAAGGAAGAGAACATGATGACGAAGCAGGCGGGTACTCCTTTTATATCTTCGGGCAGTGGGAGAGCCCGAAGATGACGGTGCTTTCGTGGATCCGCGCAAAGTCTCAATGTGCATGCCACTCCCATTAGCGGCTGTTTCTTTGAGCGAAACCCGATCTCGGGGGTCTTTCTTCTCTTCTCATCACTCTGAAGCCTCATAAATGGGGGCTCGATCTTGGTTGGCTAAGTGGATGGACTCAAATTCTCTCACATGGGGAACTAGCAGTGCGCGCCGTTCCCGCTCCGGTTCGAGCAGATATTCCAGGCATATGGCTAAGAAACCGATATCACCAGTGTGTGTATATATGACTCTCGGGCTTCATACGGAAAATTTCCACATGGTAGGCTTTCTCTTTTGGAACTCATTCAATCTGCATTACTTCAGGGGTTCCCCGCTCTATACTTGCGCAAACAGGGGATCGAACCATAACCATGGTTCCAAATGGTGTCGAATCGTGGTGACTATAATATATTTTCACGTCTTTGAGTATATTGGCAGTGGATGGAGTTCATTTGCTGGGCATTGCGGATATTATATACTGGCACCACTCACCAGCCAAGACTGAAATCTTGCTCCTGTGGAAAATTAGGGGAGTCCCAGGAGATCTCTGGCTGTCTAGACTGTGGTGAGTGAAGAGCGAGTTGTACATCCATTTCGATCGTTCACAACACAAGCTGGTATTTTGCGCATTGTTGCGTGGCACGGTGCTAATACCTTATTCTGGTTCGTCGACCGATCCCTGAGAAGTTTGAAGATAACAAGCGTGTTCGACGTCATTTTAGTATTTATCTGAATTATTACGATGTTTTCGTTTGTCATGACCCTTCAAAGTCTTCTAACTGTAGAAGAGTGATGTGCGAGTTGCATCAGTCTCCAACATGGACGCGATGATGCTTGGTCTAGATTTCTGATGACCTAGTACCTGCAGCAGCTCAATGAAATGCGCTCTAATACCGTTATGTTGTTCTAGATCGATAGAGCAAGTAAGAATGCTGCAAGCTGCAGACCCGACATAAGAAACAACAGGTAGTGTATGATTCCTCGTTCGCGTATAAAGTCATGGCCCGGTGCTTCTCAGGATTTCACTATATCCGTCTTCGACTTAAGACTCCTCGTCTATTCACATTCCCAACCCATAGCAGACCGATCAACATACATCATGCAGGTCACGTGGAAGACTCTTGTCTTTGTCCAGTGTATTGCCAGTGCACTGGCGGCTCCCGCAGAAGAGGTATCTGAAATGAGTAGCACGTTGAATTTCCCTCGAGTCAAAGTCTGCGAGCATGGCAACTTCACGGGCAGATGCGAGGTTTTCAATGCTCACGCCGAGCCAGAGAAGTGCAGTGAGTATACTCTTACTAAGCCCGAGAACCGGGGCCATGTTGGCATTTTGCAATGTTTGGGGCACATAAGCTGATTTGCGCAATTTCATACAGGCCCCTTCCCTCTAGGCTGGAACGATGTCGCCAGCTCGGTTAAGATCTGGGTTCCCCTCACCCACGAGGTCGCTTGCACATTCCATACGTGAGTTCCCTTCAACACACACTATCTCCACTTATCTTCAATTCCTTCTCCTATCCTTCCAAAATATCTCAGTCTCGTTGACCATCTTCTGTAGAACCATGGATTGCAACTCCGAGTTCGCCGACATCCCACCCTGGGAGATGCCTGGACACGAGTCCAAGAGTATCCCTGCCCCATACCACGACGCTTTGAACTCTGTATCGTGCCGCGTCCAGAGAAGAATGAGCGGCTAGTGGTGCTTCATCATCGCCTTCCTTTCACTTGGCTTTACCCGTGATGCTCTGGATTAGTGGAGCCTCGAGCGGCGCGGTTGGTGCTACCTAAGATGCAATCCTCGATTCATCTCAGAGTCGCAGTACTTCCGTATGATAGCCGCCATTCTCTTTTTCCCTTTCTTGTCCCTTTATCCTTCAAACAATCAAATAGCCCTAGCTCGACCAGCCCTTGATTCTTCGGCCATAACATCATAATGGTAGAACCAAACATTACACGCCATGATCTCTTGTATTACCTAGGTGACATACTTTGAAGCTCCATTAAATCGCGGCCTGGTATGCTTCCAGCTTTTCCGGTTTTTCTTGTGAGCTAAATGCTCGGGAACTTACGTAAAAAGCTGATCAGTGTCACCTTGAATAACCCCCGTATCTCCACGAAGGTCAGATACAGAATATTAGGTACCTGTCTTCCATCAAACCAGACTGCATCTCCCTGTTGTGGTGACTTTCGAAGCCCTTTAAGTTGACCACGATACTTCAAAGCACTTGGCGGCCTTTCAGATGGCAGAAAGTACGTTGCTCTGTACTATGTACCGCGAGTTTGAAGAAGTATGAGGTCGCAGTCTAAGTCAAGTCGATGGCATCGCGATGTGTACAGAAGTTTAGCTGGCCATTCCAGTGGTGGGGTGACGGTTGTCGTAAAGAACAACCTTCAACAGTGTCCTCCAATGAGACAAAGCGCTTTACAAAGACTTTACATCGAGAATCAAAGGCTCTCAGAGATATTGGCTTTTCAACGTAACCCCGAGCTCTTTGTCAGAAAGTCACATGTCGCTGGATAATGGACTTGTTCCATAGGCATACAAATACCCGGTGCAGCACCCGTTGCAACTGCATGCTCCATCATAATTATAATATACAGTCGACGGGTGCAGCTATTTACGCCCGGAAAGTCTCTTGAGATTTTCTAGGTGATTCATCTCATCCTTTCTATTCTCCTCCTTCCTAGGGCCATCTTCTATCTTATATACATATACCACCATTTCTGATGGGAAATTGCGGCTGCTTGGCGAAGAAGTACGAGTACTCCTGTTTCCACACAGAGAGAAGGAAGGTGCGTTGTTGGAAGGCTGATTTCAGGGTAGGTAACCCCTGTCTTGGGGTACTCCTGTCGAGTTGCACTCCGAAGAAGCTCAAGAAGAAAAGGTACGGTCTTTGTAAGGTATGTACGGGATATTTCGTCCTTCCGTCTTTCAACGACAAGAAGTACGTAGAGAGATTCCTGGAGTACAAGAAAGACCATGGTTGGGAGAGCCACAAGATGAGGCCACATCGCATACCAGTAGATGCTGTACTTGACGAAGAGGACATGTTTCGCATTCATCGACAAAGTCCGATGCGCATGATTGCTCCGATAGTTGACGTGCGGTCTCCTGATTCCCCCGGCATTATTATATCTCCTTTCGTGGATCTACCTATTCCAAACTGCCGTCTCAGTTTCGGAAGCTTCGACTTTGCGACCGTTGGCGCGGTTCCGACCAAACATACTTCAAACAGCAGACCCGTGAGCCCCTGCTCGAGCGCCTATTCGAAAGATGAGGATGAGGTGAGCCCCCTATCTGCTGGTTCAGATAGCTCCATGGTTATAAGAACACCGGAAGAGGATGAGAAACACAGAGAGCCAAGCACAATTAGTGGCCGTAGCCTGTTAAGCATAGATTCTGGGGATTCACCCATCAAAACTACTACTCTCCAGGTTTCAGCAGTTATCATCCGTCGCGATGTTCCCCAGCTGGACAGCGCTCCTAGGCGACGCAAGAAGAGACAATATTTCCAAGCTGCCGAGAAATCGGTGGATTCCCCCACCGGCTTTGCTCGCCGCGTCCAGGTCCGAAGTCAGTCCCTTACCGTCCCTGTTCCGCCACCTCAGAGATTTCATAAAGTGTTCGCCGGCTGCGAACAGCACTACTTTCGACCCGCCTTTGGCTGTCACGGCTGCCGCCGCGGAATCTTCGTGGAGCACGGTGAGCCAACTGAGATAGACACGATACGTGGTTGCCGGTCTGCTCCGCCCATGTTGGTAAGAGTCCAAATTCCGAAGTCGCGATTCGAGTCAGCCGTACAACCTCTTTGTCACTGCGATAAGCTCAAGGATGCGAAATGCTTTACGTGCTTGGAGAGAGATGCGCAAAGTGCTGTCGTTGGTGCCAGCTTTTTCTGAATTAATTGAGGGTGGAGGAGGTATTAGGTGAGGTCCTCCGCACGTCTGCCCTAGACACCGACCGAATGTTGAAGGGCAGTTTAAGACTTAGGTAAGAGGCGTCCCGGGAATCTGGTGCTCCTTGGAAATAAGACTCATCTGGATAGAAATGGCTAGAATAGAAGGTAAGGGATATTGCCCGTAATAGATTGTAAATTTACCAGGATAGGTGGCCTATTGTTTGGAAACCCGTTATAGTACAGCGCCGTAACAAAGTGACATCTTATCATTATTGATAATGCGAATCATTCAACCTTGCGACTGTGTAGCTTCATTCTTCATGATGTGACTTCGCCTCAGTAAGCGGGTCGATTCATCCAATCCATCACTCTGTCCTTCATGCTTCCACTGCTAGAGCGGCGAGTCTTCGCGTGATCGACGTAACCAACCATGTCACAAGCTCCGGCCGATGGATGTCTGGTGGCCATAGTTCGATTTTTATAGCCTAGCAAGGTCAGCGAGGGCTTTTGTAAGCTCCACGCAGTGAGTGTGTCCACTTACTTGAAGAGTCACGCCGGCCTGGATTATTGATCACGGCCTCGTACTTCTCTTTGGCGGTCTGGAATGTTTTCGACATACTGATCGTTCTTTATGTGTTTGCTTGATGATTTTGTCATGTACAACTTTTCTTGAAGGAGGAAACCCAAAAACATCTGAGGTGGGACGTCGACCGTATATATCCTAGGTCGCTTTAAGGTTGCTTAGAGTTGGGGTCAACCCCTCACATGATATCAGATCGCCTGCCCCGGATTACTACTTCCTTGAGGTGATCTCCAATGTTTCAGGACGGAATACAAGGTCATTGGTTCCCTGATGAGGAATGACGAAATTGTTGCATGTCGCGTAACCTGCTAAAGATAGCTCCCATGGACCTTCATGCTAACGCCATTGGACAACATCCCAGAATTGGCCTTGATACACTTGATGTTATATAGTGCTTTTCTGCTTGGGGTCTCTGAATCTAGTAAATTTGTTCGCTAGCCTATACGAACCGATCTATCGAACGATACTATAGGCCGCCTGTCACCTCTTTCATTGAAGCAAGTACTACCAGGCGGTCTTTGCAATAGCTCCGTCAGGGTACTTTCTAACAAAGTACTTTCTAGCCTCATCGATCAACAATATCCCTATACCAAAGGCGAAAGGCAAGAAGTAGTGCTCAACGGGAACCACGGTGGTGCCGAGGACCTGCTGGAACACTGGCACATATAACCAGAAGATGGCCATAAGAAGTGCGAAGATGATTGCAGGGAACAGGTAGAGGTTCTGCGTCAGCTTGTTGAACGCAGGTGGATGTTGGAAGATGCTCCAACGCCTAGTACGAACGGCCATCAGGTTGAACCATTGCCTGCATTCTATTAGTAAAGCCCCCCATTTGATAGCAAGCAACGTACATGACTACAAGGTTGATGAAGTAAATAGACGACGCCTCATTGAGCTTCTGCAAATAGTAGTCCGCGTCGATTCCATCAGGCTCTGTGGTAAAGCCGAACCAGAGAGTGGTGAAAGGGATGCCATTCTTTTGGAGGTACCAGTAGGCCATCGAGAACGACGCGAGGGTTTCTAGAACGCCGAGAACTCCATATGCGTAGAAGATAAGCTGCCAGTTGACCAGGCGGTCCTTCTTGACATCGCGCGGCTTGCGCAGAAGAACATCTGCCTCGGGCTTCTCGTACGACAAAGCCGTCGCAGCAGCGCAATCTGTGAAGCAACTGTATAATGTTAGTCATGCGTAAATGTCACATACTCGCTGACTTGTACCTACCAGATAATGATCATAAGGAAAGACGACAGGATTTGCGGCAGGCCAAACAGAACGTTGGTCATGACAGGCCAGAACTCGGCGAAGGAACCAGCGGGAAGCAGGTAGCAGATGACCTTTTTCAAGTTGTCGAAAACCACACGACCGTACTGAACAGCCTCAACGACCGAGGAGAATGATTCGAGGAGCACCATGTCAGCAGCTTCAATGGCAATATCCGAACCGCTTCCCATGGCGATACCAACGTCGGCGGCCTTGAGAGATGGGGCATCATTTACACCGTCTCCGGTCATGGCCACGACACCGCTGTTCTGGAACTCCTTGACGATACGCAGCTTCTGCTCGGGTGTGGTACGGGCAAAGACAACCTCTTCATACTCGGTGAGCACCTTCCATTGGTGTGCACTCATTCCAACCAAGTCTGGCCCGCTGAGGACAATAGATTGCCTGTGTATGGGAGCCTTTTCTGATTCTGAGCCAGAGTCGGAGAAGTCGTCCCGCGGAAGTGCACTCAGACCGTGGACCGCGGAAGATGGTAGCGTGACAATGCCAGCGTCCTGCGCAATCGCCAAAGCAGTGAGGGCAAAGTCTCCAGTGACCTGAGGAGAATTAGTATAAGCAGAACCCAAGGAACATGATGCTTACCATGAAGAAACGAATTCCAGCGCCGCGCAGAGTCGAAACGACATCCTTGATCTCAGGACGCAGCGGGTCCACGATCGCGACCATGCCGACCAGAGTCAGGCCAGTTTTGGCTTGATCCGCCATTTCATCTTCAAATTGCGTGGTGCCAGTCTGGTGCTTGACATGCTCCCTGCGTATGACCTTGCGTGCCAGGAGAATGCAACGCTTTCCCTGGCTGGAGTAGTTGTTCTTGACTTGTTCGATCGTGGCTCGCATGTCGGCGTCGAAGGGGTGTGCGTCTCCGGAGTTGGTGATGTAGTACGAGCAACGGCCGATCAGCACATCAGGGGCGCCCTTGATGGTTAGAAGACTATAAGGATGTCGGGTCAGTACTGGGTGTGTACATCATGGCGTTGTGGGAGACTTACGTGTCGCCTTGCTTGAAAGCATCTGCCTCGGCTTGCGGGAGGGTCTGCGACAGGCAGTCATTCTTGAACAGGGAGAAGGTCCGGATCATGAACTTGTTCTTCGAGTTGAAGGCAAGCTCGTAGGTCTTTTGCCAACACTGTCGCATATGTTGGACGGAACCGAGGCGCTCGGAGAATCTCAGAATTGCCTGGTCTGTTGCGTCACCGTACACACGTCTCTCTTCGATCGGCAAGTTGTTTGTCGCAGCATCGAACTCAGAGGCGTTGCACAGGGCAGACAAGGCGCATACCTGACTGACACCAGTCGTAACTATACCGGCAACATCAGGAGTTTCACTAGCGTTGAGCTCAGCCTCAGCTTTGTCTGCCGTGATGGTATGGGTTCCAATGGAGACTTCTGTAACGGTCATTCGGTTCTATATCGTGTCAGTTCAGCTTCGCAACGGAGACAATTATAGCATGGACATACTTGAGTGAGGGTACCGGTCTTGTCCGAGCAGATAACAGATACAGAACCGAGAGTTTCGACAGTCTTAAGCGACTTGCAAAGGACCTTGTTCTTCTGCATAATGTTCGCTGTGATGGTAAGACCCGCTGTCACGGCAATAGGGAGGCCCTCTGGGATGAATGCAATGGCAACACTGACACAACTGACGATCAGCATTGGCACACTGATCCAATCCGGGTGGGATGTTCTGAGCCAAGAGCCCCAGACAATCAGCACGATTGAGATCATGGTGAACATGATTGAGCATATGATTATGACAAAGTACAAAACCTCGCGTTCCAGCGTTGTCAGCTTGGTTTTGGGCTCGTTGGTCAGGTTTGCGATCCTGCCAAAGACGGTGCGATCACCAGTAGCGACGACCAGGCCGATACCAGAGCCAGAGGTACAGTGAGTTCCCTGGAGGCCAATATTCTTGGTCTCTAGATAGTTGGCATCGGTGGAGTCCACAGTACCAGCAAGGGGCACAGACTCGCCAGTCAGAATCGACCGGTCAAATCTGGCGTCGCCTGATACCTGGAGGAATCGCACATCTGCAGGCAACTTGTTGCCAGCCTTCAGGGAAATGATGTCTCCGGGAACAAGTTCCGATGCTGGGAGCGACGCCTGCTTGCCGTCGCGGATTACCAGAGAGTCCTCGGGAAGCATGTTCTTGATGCTCTTCATCACGCGCGACGAGCTCCAGTCCTGCCACATGTTGAAAGCGGCCTGGATGAAGAAGACAGCAAGGAGGACGATAGCAAGCGCCTTTGCAGCCAAGTCAGCTGTTATTCTACGTGATGACTGTCATTGTAGAATCTCTTACCAGGTTGGCAATTGCCGGGTTGGGCTCGCCCAGGGGCTTCCATGACACGAACACGAGGATAGAACCGACAAGTAGTACAGGACCAAATCCCTTGAAAAGGTATCCGAGGTATTTCTGGACGGTATTCGACTTGGGAGGAGTTGGAGCATTGCGACCAAACTCCTTGAACTTCCGTGCAACTTGGTCTGGGGATAGTCCGGTCGTGATCGAGGAACTCAGGCGGCGGAGCGCCTCTTCGGTTGAGATCGTGTGCCACTCAAGGGTCGATAGTTCTGTGGCAACAATGTCAGTCAGGGGCGGCCTAAAATTATGTTTTATAAGTATGAACCTTTGGCAGCCGTGTCCTTGGCTTTTGCGAGTTCAGCGACATCTTTGCTCTTGGACTCCTCGATGGCGAACGAACTGGTTCACGGGTGTAAGTGTAAGTGGTGGGATACACTCGCTAAGACAGACTAAGCGCGACTTACACAGTTCGGTACTGGATGGGCAGCGCAATGGCCGGGTTCACTTCACGTCGCGATCGCACACTGCGGATTGACATGGAGCTGGCATTGGAATGCGTACGGCGCAAGGCACGAGTTGAACGAGCAGCTTCCTCATCGTCCCAACGGATGCGCTCGGCCGCCGCCTGCTTCAAGTCTGGCTCGTCCATTATCTCTTCTTATAAGAGAGAAACGAATCTACAAGGAACTGAGTTTGCGACCGCGTAATTTCACTGCGACGCGCGTACTGCAAGCTTGAGAAATGAAGGATAGAAGGGAACGCAAGAATGCTACTGCAGCAAGGCACGTATGTAAACAGCATTCCGATATTATATATAGTCTACACAAATTTGGGAGTCCGGTCACCGCTTTGCAAGAGTTCCCTGGGACCAACATGGAAAACAGGATGCCATACTGTTGGTTGTCTGGGCTGTCTGGCTCAGAGCACAGTGCGGCGCCAGTATTTGTTACGCCATCTGATGGTCGCTGGGCTGGCAGGGCTGGCTTGTCACATGCGGTCACCGCCTAGTCACGGATTACTTCAGAGGCGCGCTCCTCTCCTGGCGGATGAGGGCGGAGGAGGCAGTGCTCCCTTAGCTGGTGAATCCGGGGCGCTGGGAAATCGCGCACCAGTTCCGGCAAGGCTCTGTTGACATCAGTTAAATTTGTCGCGGGAGCAGGCCTGGTCCACGGTGATCTGAGGGGTAAAAATCCTGATTTGACGGCCCGTTCATTGTGGGAGAGACTGAGGCTCCTGCTAGGGGACTGCTCGCCGCTTGCGGGAAATTTGTGAGGCCTCCCTTCGAGGTTGGCTTGTCCCCAGTAAGGTTCGCACCAAGGGTGCTGACGCCCGCTTCGGTTGCAGTTGGAGGAGTCATTCAGGGTCTTTTGGGGCAACGGCATATACCGACCGCCAAGGGCGCAAGTTGCATTCTCAGTCGTTTTGATTGGTTGAGAAGCCCCAGTTATTCACACGGCTTGCCGAATACAGTAATCCTGCATGTCTCCAGTTCCCACTGCGACGCAGGTGCTCGAGGTTGATAAACTGACCTCGCAACAGCTTTCCGGGACTCTCTACAGCAAATGGCTTCGCCTACTTGAATCGCAACATGGATCAATATGCGCCGAGGAGGATTCGTGTCACCCCCGCGCTGCACTACTGTGTCACGTAACATGGTGCTCGTTTGGTTCTAGCTGGGAACCAATAGCACCATTCATTCCAAGTCGTGCAGGAAATAGAGTGATGTCCATCTCGTGTGACATTGCCAAACAACATGGGCAAAATGGTGGTAAGGCTGGCTGAGATCTTGGTCCGGCATCATAGCTCGAACTGCCAAAGTGATTGATTGCGATTCAAATCCAGTCGCCTCCTATAAGTTCAGATACGTTCGCCTAAGGCTTCCAATCACATCTTGCGCGGAAGCCATATGAGTTATGTCGTGTCGTACATGTTACATGGTCTTCTCACTCCTCTAATTGATTATGAGTGATCGCAATCGGATCTGGGCAAGACCGTTATTAGTGATCCGTCTAACGTGATGGTGGCAGGTTCTGTATCCAATCTGGCATCCTAGCCACCTTGTTCAGCCCATTTCTGCGTTTGGTCTTATTGCTATGGCTGACAAACTGGCCTGCCCATCCTGGTTGTGCGATGGTGGCCGTGGTACAGCTATTGCTTTGTCGTCGCCTAATAATGAAAAGCACTTGACAGGAAACGACTCCACCGCGCAGAAAAACACGAGAAAAAGATAGCTTTCATCAGCCGCTGGATATACTACCTCCTCAATAGAAAAATTTTCGCTGTTCACTTTCCTCTTCCCATTCATTGCGGACTGGCGTGGAAGATGGTGAAGGCAGCGTGTTCTCGAGGCGCTATCTCGGAGCTACAGGAAACAAATTACAAACATGCCTGGAAAAAAGACTCCGACCCCATCACCAAAAGTGCCTCATGTACATAGCAGTAATGGCTATTCCAGAAAGACACAGTAATCTCGTTTCTTACCGAAATATTTTCCAATCGCCTCTGAAAGAGTTCGAGGCTTGCGGAAACCCTAAACCGATATGGCAGTGGAGACCATTGCACCAATCGGGTACGGAAGCGGCACGTTTCCAGTCTGTGTAAGCCACCCGCAATTTGCAGCCTAGGATAGGTTTGTTCAAACAGGTCTAACCATGCGGCTTGTTGTTGGGCATCGGCTGCCGCTGGCCACTCTGTAAGTAATAACCTAGAAGGACCCACATCTCTGCCCCTTTCTGGAGCCACACTGCTAAAGAACTAAAACCAGTACAGAGCAACAGCAGAAAGAAGTAACGGGCAGAGGTTGCATCGTCCAGGGCTCATAAATTCCCTCAAAGCAGATTGCAATATGGACAATGGAACATGACAAATATTCTACTAGAGCGCCGCCTGGACTCTGGCCCCATAAGACGCAGCGCGAAACGACAGTGTTTGGATCTGACTCGATTATGTTTCTTCTCAGCTCTAATATGGCGCATTCGTCACCCACCTTCTCCCGGCGCTAAAGCATGAGCTCGACAGCATCTTTCACGTGGGACAGGGGAGAAGACGGAGCCCGGTGCATGCACTGGCCTCGTTGGGCCCTTGCCGTCTTCGCAAAATTTCGAGCCTGCTCGCAGCGCATCGACCAGCAGCGCTCCACCAAGCCTAGGATCTCTGTTAAATGCTAAGCTTCGGTAAGCTGTAACTAGGACGCTCGCCTAGCCTTCACTCCAAGACGAAGTCCACGCAGCTTTCGTACGTCTGTTGCGCTGCAGTGCCGAACCAGAACCATTGCAACACGCAATCACCAGCTTGCGTGCACTGTCCGGCAGCCAGTTGGGGAATCGTAACAGAGAAATTTGTGTTGTTTGCCGGCAATGCCGCCAGGCTCTCGTCCGCATAGCTTTCAAATTCAATAAGCGGATCCCCGACGACGGTGTTTGTTGCCGTATCCACGATGGACACGTTCATGGGTCCCTCGTGGGGGATTGGGATGATAGCCTGCATCCGAACGACCTGTCCAGGTGTGAAGGATTGCACCAGGTCAACGTTGTCTTCGAACTTTGCACCGCGGCACAGGTCAAGTTGGCCTATTCGTCATTAGTATCTCAGTCAGCGATCATGAGTGGCAACTTACAGGCCGCCGTCGTCCCAAATACATCCTCAAGTGGGATTGTAGCATCTGACTCGACGTTCGAGATAGCCTGCGCACCGCATGCAGCTTGCATCGCCGGCCCAGGGAGGCGTGCGGGAGGAGATGTGATATTTCCGTGAGCAGATGCGCCTCCGACCAGAGCGGCCACTGCGCCAACGATAATTTCTGACCGCATTTCGAACAAGATGGAACCAAGATCTATTCCGTGAACGATTCGATTATCCAGAAACACACCAAGAAAGATATTGAAGAGTGACCAGCACGAAAGCGAATGAATATGTTGATTTGGTGTAAGTGAGCGGACTAGAAAACAGGTATCAATCTCAGAGGAATCTAGGAGGACAAGAGTTGATTATGTCTATCGTTAATCCTCGGCAGCAAACGCCGAGGCTTGGGTTTTGAGACGTGCATCTTGAAACTGTTGATCAATCCTCGAGACCGTGTGCTGTGTAACTGCCAAGACCGTCACTTGGGCGCTTGATTCGTTTACCACACCCCTGTCCTGTCGCAGATGCACTTCATAGCGAAGCAATCTGGGCGGAAGTCCCTGGAGGCGGGTTCGGATGGCAGAGAGCATGTGGAGACCATCCCTGGCTAGAGATCCGACGATTACCAGGTCAAGGACAAGAATAACCTGCCAAGGAGTATGAGGTGTAGGTAAGTAGAGGCGAGGATGAGGCTGACAACTGCCGGCGGCTCGGTGTCTACCAAACTTACACAACCCAGCATGACGGGTATGCTACTCCTGGTTGGGACTAGTGTGACCACTATAGGGCTGGTTGGTCTTGGCATCTCTGAATGGCTGGTGAGAACCCTTGGCAGTGTAGTTATTCTCTGGCCATTATCGCAAGCAGGCTCAAACCTCCATTTCTAAATTTTCCGACCGGCCAAACATCTCAGACCTTCTAGCTCGCCATTGAGAACGTAGCAGGCTCTGGTCAAAGTCTTGGCATCATCATCAGATGACTTAAGAAGTACCTGTGCATTCAACTGGTCGCATGAGCTGCACTGCCCGTCGCTGTCAGTCTTGGGGTTGGGCCAGCGCTTCCTTTTCCATTGCATCGATACTTCCATAGCGAGTAACTGTACACATCTCTCAAACGGGGAAAGGGGATGGCTTGACCACTTTCCCCCGCGATGGTCGTAGAGCGACTATCTACTCTCTGGAACCCTCGTTCAGACGTCTCAGCCTGTTTCTGCAAAAAGTGGCTACGAGACTGATACCACTTTGATGTTATCCAAGGCAGCATTTGGAGCTGACTGGTAATCGAGAAGAATATCAAGGCACTTTCCTGGTCAGTGGGTAGGCTCTTGGGAAAGCACTATCGGCGCCCGCCTCGATGAGTAGCCAGAGCCATTAGCAGCTGCAATCTGCAAAACCCAAATTCTATTTTTCCGCAGGATCTTTGGCGGAAATATCAAGCTGTCATCCGCACGTACCTCAGTCGCTAAGAGGGAAGTAGAGCCCGAGCAAGTGGCATAATCGAGATCCTACATCATAACTCCAATATTCTTAGGCGTCTCTACTCAAGTCTCGGAAACTGGTTGTTACGTTTAAGCGCTTCAGACACGAGAGGCGTCATAAAATAAGTTCTATTGCGTAGCAGGCATATGAGATTCGTATCAACGCCAAGTGTCTATGTCGCAAAACATCACCATGGTACACTCATCACTCACAATGTGAACATGGTTGCAAGGGTGAAGGTCAGAAAAAGATGAGGCATGTACAGATAAGTAGAGTCATGTCGCTATTTGGCGTATCAAACTCGATTATTACCAAAGGGATATGAGTTGGTTGGCTAGAAACCCATCGACAGCCTTGAATAATCATCCTCCCAACCTTGAGGTTTGCTAAGCGACACTTGGTAACTACTGTGAGGAATTCTTACGGTAAAGAATGGTATTCACCTTTCCAGGCAGCCACTTTCGCAGTTAATTTACTTCGAGAATTCACCTCAAGCGTGGCAGCACAAAAACATGTCTCTCACCGCAGCATTCCTTGATCCTCTCTGCCATCCTCACCTTCCGCTTCGACTGTGCATCTACCATCAAACTGATTTTGTTATCGTTAACTGAGATTGATTTCTCTTGTCGCTAAACCAGTGATAACAATCAGCGCCATGATGCTTCTGAACGCCCTGCTGGTAGCTGCCGTTGCTCTTGCGAGCTTCGCCTCGGGTGCGATCATCAACGAGGGCACTACGAACGACCACGCCTATGGTGGCCTCCAGCTTGCCGGACCTGACGACAAATCCTTCGCCGCCAAGTCTGTCGAGGCGACACTTACGATCCCGAGAGTCGAGTGGGCTAAGGAACGTGGCCTGGACAAGCCGCACGAGAGCTTCACCTTGGGTTGCGAGATGTTCGGCGGCTATGCGAGGGAGAACAAGGACTGCTCAGATGCCGGTCCCAGAGTTGGCCTTCTCGTCACGGTAGGCGTTCAATCTTGACGTTTTCGAGCATGATATGCTGACACTCTTCTCCGTGGATCAGGTCGATGAGAACAGCGTCGTCAAGTACGAGGTTCTCGTGCTCTGGGCGGGTTCCGGCAATCAGTACTGGTATACAGCCGACGATGAGGAGATGCAAGCCCTGGATCCCAAGGCTGGGGATAACCTTGCGATCAAGGTTGAACTGACTTCTGGCCATAGCGCCGATATGTGAGTAACTAGACACTTGTCATACCAGACATGTTACTGAACCTTGGGCAGCACGATCAAAAATGCCAAGAACTCGGCTACTTTCAGCCACTCTATCGACATCGGTGCCGGTAACTCAAAGGCCATGTGCGTGGGTTCGCAGTCCTGGAGTGCCGGTGGTTGTATCGTCGGCACCTCTCTGTCTGGCGCAGAGGGACCCAGAAGCGAATACATCTCCTTCACGGACCTCACGGTGATCGATCAGAAGGGAGGCAAGCATATCCTCGAGGAAAGCGAGAACGTTAGTCTATACGAACTTCTCCGCTATCACACGACTGTCAAAGTGGAGCTGCGTGATCATACTCTGCTGTTCAGGCCCGAGTCATCCCACGACTACCTGGCCTAGAAATGAACACGTATTAAAGATTAAGGATGGCTCCTGGCTGGACTCGACGCTGCTTGTGGGTGCTCTTCGACTGGACTATGGTGCAGCATCGACAGATTAAGTCCATAGAAATGGAGAACTAGAACGTATTCTCTGAACACACTGGTTCCATTGCTTCTATATGTTCAATCCATCCTGATATCTCATGCATAAAGGTACGAAGTGTGCGACAGCAGGCCAGGCTTGGAGCCTGTTGGGATACATTACATCATCTGGCCTTGGGCGTCCTTGAGCCCTTGTACACCAATACTCAAGTTCGCCATTCGGAGTCAGTCCTCTTTCCCCAGTCGTGTACTCCTGACAAAGCATGACTCGTTAGGTGGGTAAACTTTGAATCGACTGCCACCCAATGGTATACTAGCCGCAAAATGTATGCCGCGGTCGGTCATTTGCCAATAAGAGGCGCTACTGTTATGCTGAAGCGTGTGCTCTCGGAGATCCGACGCTGATACCGCTTTAAAGTTACTGAACGTCAAATTCGAGAATATAGGTACATGTTTCGGGTCGTTCCCGGACCTTTCAATCATTCCCCATGCTGCACCTCCTTCCAGGCAAATTTGAAAATCCTGGTTGGTCGGGTTTGGAGATTTGATGTTGACAGAGTATTGCGCACTTGAGTTCAAGTTTTTGAAATGCCTATTGCTCCTTGTAAGAGCTCCATGAGACACTGTGTGGAGTTCAGGGTGGGGGCAACATTTACTTACGCCCTGCCTGTCGTAGGACTCTCGGCTTCTAACCTGACTGCTATATGATCTCCTGGGGCGACTTCGGCAACATTAGAAATGTTAAGAATCCCAATCCACATAACCTACCAATAAAGCTGTCTATGAATGCAGCTCCTGCTGGAAACCACTCATACCACGCTTTTGCGCTTGTGCTCCCGTTTGGGTTCAGCTTCAGGCGGCAGGTACGTTAGCGAGCTGTGTCACCACTGTTGCCACTTAAGAACTCACCGTACTAAGAACCCCGGCCTGGAGAAGCGCTCCTGCAGGAGAGCACTCATGGCCAGTTATTCCAATCCACGAAGAGAGGTATGCCTCCTCTGAAGCTTTCGCGCTTGGTCTAAAACAGAGATGAGGAACGGGCCATTCTGCGATGGCCACCGCAACGGCTGGTGACAAGCTTTGTCTGTTGGGTACCAGTATCACCGCACCAGCCCAATTTGAGCTTTCTATCGTTTTGACTGTGGTACGGATCGGAAACACGCCACGGGTTTCGAATACGCCGGCGTTGGCTTGCACGCCTAAATTTTTTCCATATTGTAGCGCGAAGCCTTTCAGAAGGCCTATAACGACGATAAAATGGACCATACGCAATCGATGCATCGCGAAATTGTCAATTATGACTGGCTGAGCCTACCAACAAAGTCTGAAAATGTAGCGTAGAGCGGCTATTAAAGATTTCGGCTTGCCGAGACTCATTAATATACGCTGGGGAACCAACGTTCAGCGGGTACCGCTAAGAATCACTTACAAATGAAGAGAGTAATGTGTGAGTGGATCTCACCAAGACTGAATTGAGTCAAAAGTTTATTCTTCCCCCGTTCAAGTGACGAACAGCCGGCCATCTAATCTCTGGAATGACCGCACACCATGTCAGCGAGATGTTCCGCTCATACTTCGAGATGCCTACGCAGTAAGCATGCCCAGAAATCTATAACAAATCTTCCAATAAAGCGATCGCACAATTGAGTAGTTACGGTCGCCAGATATGCATCATATTGCCTGGATTACGATCTCCAGCACATGCCCGAATGAACTCTTAACGTACATATTATTCATGCTCAGGTTGAACTTGGAGTTGCCCGCTATGATATTAGTCTCGAGTGAAAATCGAAATACATTAGTGAGAGCTATAGTCGTAAATTTCGTACAGTCCCTTATGACTGTGTGATCGCTAAGCTATCACTCAATATTACGAATTCGTATGGCTGGAATCCTGTATGGAGATGCGCCCTCATGAGATGCTGCTCTCCCATTGTGCGGTGAGTGTACTGATGTTAATATCAATTTTGACTGTACGTTACCAAAAGACCGTGGTGCCGAAGCCATGTAGACAGGAAATTGTATGCTGCATAAGTAGACGCCTTCTCTGGTTTCTAGACCGATTACGTAGCCGTTAGGCAAGTTTCCCCCTTACATTCGTCTTTTTTCGACATAAAAGGATTCGATAGTTCCTATGAACTAAGAATTATAGAGAGCACCGTAGAGCACGCGTCGGTTTGGCACCATCAAGTGTTAGTATGCGATTCATTGTTCAAGGCAATTTCGAAGAAACTTTATTCAAGTTGACTGAGATTCGATTTCTGCCCGCAAGGAAGATGAAGCTGTGTAGGTGTTGATTTGTGTTTATCAAGTGTCACGTAACGTGTGCTTGTGTTAGCAATTCACGTGCAGGTGTAGCGATTCGAACAAGGGCTGAATAAGACCAAAGTTGTTGTATAGATAGGTTGAAAGGTCAGTTGGTGGATTCAAGTTGAGAGCGAATTTGCAAACGTCAAGTAAGTGGCCCGAAGGAACAGAAGCCGTATTAGTAGCCACGTCATGCTCATCACGAAAGCGACCATTATCATTTGGATTCCAAGTGAACGAGGCGCGTCCATTGGGACATAGTTGGAATCAACGGCAACAAGATGTGTCGGTACAGAACCGCAAATTGCTCGTGGGTATGTATGATCGTTATAATGTCCATGTATGCCTCAAGGACTTGACGAGATGCCAGGATATGCATCTAGATATTTTCCTTACTGTTATAATCTAATAGGAAGCGGCCGGTGGTCTTCCAACATCTAAGAGAATCACCGTGATCAGAACTCAACGAAGATCTCTTAACACAAGAGACTATTCAGTGCACTGCAAGCCTAAGCCTCAGGGTTAGTGTTGAAAAGCGTCAGCACCACGAGAGTGCCAGAAGGCTGCTCAAGGTTTGCGCAGCCGTTCTTCCCACCAAGGGAAGTAATTATCTGCCCCTGAATGGGGTGGTTGCTGCTTCCACTACGCATGATACTTTGGACACAGCATGGTGCTGTTAGGAGTACGATAGGGGCGCTTGTCATATCAAGATACACGACAGAAGTGTTGCGGAAGCTCGAAGTTTAAGAGAAGCAAAGGCCGGGGCTTGGGTATAAGTCGTATTTGCAAAGAAAAGGCGCTGTGTTTGCCGAATGGTGCGCAGGAGATACACGCGCAATATAATTTAACATAGACGCGTGCATTTTGAAGTACATTCTCCCAAACGCCGTCTATGAAGAAACACCTTTCGTGAACGAGACCAATCCCGGTTTTAGCTGCCTCGTCTCTTCAGCCGTTTTCCATAAACTTGAACCCCCCATGTGGACGTGATGCGTTATCTCGGTTCGTTCTCATGCGTCATCTCAAGCGCGCTGGTTGGGGTGGAGAGGGCAGCTCATACTCTTGTGGAGGTAAATGTGCAGTGCTGTGATGGGGCCAACGCGATTGTCCAGGCGGCGAATCTGTTTGATTTCGGTAGGACCGAGCTTGTCTCCTGGAGGCCGAGAAAGTCAAGTATGCTATCCATAGGGACAGCAATGTGATAAGTAGGGAGGCAAGGCCAATGGCGATGCCAATGACTACTGATGGTGAGATTTCTTGGGCGGACGACATGGGTTTAATTGTTGCAGAACCTCTGTTGAATCTGATATAATGGGGTTATGAGTGAATGAGCGATGTCAATGCCGCCTCGAAAGATAACTGGTGATGTAAATATCCAAAAGCGAGGAAAACTTGCCCGTTGAAAAGTGGAAAAGGGATGAATTTGTGATTGTTCATCACGAGGGCAGGCTCATTAATCTATCTGGGCCTCAAGGTACTGCCCATATCCTACGGACTTGCATGTACACTGCGAGACTGCGACTGCGACAATGCGACAGTCGGTGCCAGATTTCAGAAAGTTCGCCCGAGCTCATCATAAGACAACTGAATATGTAACCACAGAGAGAAGCCACGAGGGTTGACGGCAAGCTCTCAAGACTAGTGAGCTATGGGTGTTGTGGAGACTGCGACAGTGCGATATTCGTCCACTCGATCATGCAGATCGTGAGCGGGACCAGGGTCTCTCTTTTCCACGGCGTCTGCGACAGTGCGAACGGCAGCCTATTGGCCGCCACCGCTGAACCGTTGCATCAGGAGCAGCTGGGGGCTCTACAGGAGAAAATTTGGCCGCTTGGCTGAGCCAACTGCGACATTGCGAACGCCAATCAGATGCTGCCGCTTGGACTGCATTGCGGCGAATGTATGAAGGCAACAGGTCTACGGCTCGAGGCTGTGGGCAGCTTTCGTTGACTTCCCTTTTTCACAATTCAACTCGCACCTCTAAAGCTCATTGAGGTCCTCTGGCTACTGTGACGACTGCAAGTCTTTGTGCAGTTCACTCCCTGAGCTCCCACGAAAGGCCCGAACCTGGCTGGGAGGCATTTTTTGCTTAGAATATAGGCAGGAAGAAGTCTTCCCCTCGACAATCATCGCACCCTAAATCTGCTGTACCTGGTTGACTCTCCACACACACAAATACAGCACTTCCGCCCAAGAGAACGGACCACCGCCGTCGGATTGGACTTGATATTACGGAAACATGGAACCAATCAGTGCCAAGCGACGGCGGTTGAATTATTCTAAGTGTACCTTCTGTAGGAAGGACAAGAAGAGAGCGAGTAGCTCCTGAGTTGCCATAGCTGACCCGTACTTACTGCTTTCACAGTGCGAGCCGCGGAACCGCGAGTGGCCAGCGCGAAGATGCGATCGGTGCGAAAGTATGGGTCTTGAGTGTTCGGCGAACGAGAGTACCAAGATGAACGGAACCAGCTCACGAATAGCGAGTGTAAACCAGCCACCTATACTCGGTCAATCTCCCCTCGATAACGTCCAAAGCGACCAAGAACTGATCGAATGCCAAAACATGTAGGCAAATAAGGTATCAGCTTGCTTTCATGATAACTGACGGCCAATCAGGGCGCTAGAGGTATCTTGGCTCAGGCGACTTGGAAAGGAGGTTTCTTCAATGATCGACTTGACCCAAGACCATGGGCCTTACGAAGCCATTGGCCAACTCTCAATATGTGAAATGAATGATGTGCTATTGGACATCGCAAGCAGAAAAGAATACATTTGTATTCAGGCGTCGAAACTACTTCGCTCCCAAAGCCGGGGCGTCCAAGAAGCTGCCCATTCGGTGGCATTTGAGCTTATGACCAGTCAAACACTTGACTCAACTGAAAATTCGTTCTTTGAATCCACTATACAAGAACTGAAAAGTTTTGTGGAAAGCTGCAAAGTGAGTGGTAAGATCGACCTTGAGCTTTTAGTCCGGGAATACCTCCTATGTAACTGGGACAACGGCGACAGAGGTGATGTCAATCTTCATCAGGAAGTGGACGGTTACGAAAGGGCCTTTCAAAGGTACATAGAACGACTGAATCAGATCGATGATCGGACATTTTTCCATCAGCCATCCAAGGATGTCACCTCGCCGTTCATGGGAAACCCGATACTATTGAGAATCAGAATGCAGCACACGGCGCACCCGGAAAGGAAAGATCATTTCGGACGAAACCTTCTGCAAGTGGCGCTGGACACAGAAACTGATTGCGCGTCGATAATCGATAACCCACATAGAAGTGAAGAAGATCTCGTCAGGCTTATCGGACATTGTGATGAAGGTGGCCGCACATCCCTCCACATCGCCGCAAGCCGAGGCATTAACTGCTTCTTTCGGAAGCTTCAGGACCTACCTCGTTCGGTATTCGACCCAATTCTGAACCGTACGGATAACAAGCATTCAACGGTTCTCATGTATGCGGCATTTAAAGGGCATTACCAGATTGTCAGCATACTTCTAAATCGATTTCACGCCGACTCAAGTACTAAGGATTCATGTGGTCGCAACGCTTTACACTATGCTGTGAAAAGTGGACATGAAACAGTCATCCGAGAGCTTGTTCGTCATAATCCTGATCTCCTCAATGCCGGTGACCACAACGGATATACTTCGTTCCATATTGGCATACTGACGGGACGTATCGAAATTATTCGGGTGTTGCTGAGTTTTTCACAGCTGGATGTGAATAAGACAGAGAGTACCCTGCACTCACCACTTGCGATCGCATCCGAGCACGGCCATGACGCGATCATGGGTTGTATACTCGGGGACGCAAGGTTCAGCCGAGAGAGCATCAATTCCAGAGATGCAATTGGGGCCACAGGACTTTGGTACGCTGCCAAGTATGGTCATTTGGAAGCAGTGAAGCTTCTAATCTTCTATGGTGCAGATGCTGGTATTGCAAATTCAAACGGCGTCACGCCTTGCGATGCTGCACGAGAGCGGGGATATACTGAAATGGTTGCTCATTTAGAGAAACATCTGCCGGTGCCAGTGGGGAGAGATTGGGGCCATGCTTCAGGAAGTTTTCAACCAGAAGAGGGAGCTATGCCCAGACACTGGTTTCCGAATGTAGTCTCCAACACCTCTGTCATGGTCCCCTTGCCATCACTTCTTTCTGGAAATGAATTCCATTACAACTAGGGCGATTTTAGGTAGGACGCTTCATATGTTTTCTTGAACATTGTCGCATCTAATGGTGACACAGAAACCCGACGACCGGGACTATCTAGTAAAGTATTGACTAGAGTACACCAAAAGCAAGGAAGCACACTGATTTCTTCACCGTCATCCACTTTGTTGGGCTTTGACCACTCGTCGAAGGTTTAGGACATAGTTGTGATAGTGGAGATAAATGAGAGCATCGCTTGGTTTTCTCGTCGAAAATTTTTCTCCTTTCATTGTGTAGGCAATTCTATAGTTTAGCAGCTGGCGAGGTACGATACAGAATAGTACAAATGGCCTCCCACGTATCTCATCTACCAGGCCCAGAAAGATTAGCCACTTGACATCTCCAATCTAAGTCTTCTCCGTAACTATGCCAGAGTTATTGAATCCTTATTGGCCGCCGAACAGACTCAAGTAGATGTTCCAACCCACACCGGCCAGACTGCCAACCAGGTTGCGCCCAGTGACGGTCTTGACAAAGGCGAAGTTGACGAGGCTGACGAAAGGCCACAGCTTCCAGCCGGCGTAGACCAGGGGCCAGAACTCGGCGTAGCTCTTGGCCTGGACGCTCGCCCAGTCGACCTTGCTGTAGTCGATGCTGCCCTTGGCTAGCAGGAAGTTGACGCTCTGGTCCGGGGTGCTGAGCGGGGTGCCCAGGGGGCGGGCCATGGCCTGGTTGGCGCTGTGCATGAAGAGGCTGAAGACGATGGTGTTGAAGGCGGCGCTAACGGTCTGGTCCAGCAGCGTCTTGATCAGCGTGTTGGCGATGTTGAGCTTGGGCTCCACCAGCCGGCCCTCGCGCGCCGACCGCTCCAGCGCCTTGTCGTCGCCCTTGGAAGCCGTCGCCACCGCCTCCGGCGTCGGCGACGCGTGGTACGCCGGCCAGGTGCTCTCCAGGAACTCCTGCCACAGCACGTTGGGGTGCGTGTTCAGGAAGTTGAACAGCGTGAACTGAAACACGGGTACCCAATCAATGACAAGCGGTGTCTTGTGGCTCAGGTTAGCGTCGTCCAGACAAAGAAGGCTTCACAGATTGGAATCCCCCCAGACGCCTCGAGTCCCATTGTTGGGCTCGAGTCGACGGCTCGGGCGGGTGCTACTTACATCATGGCGGTAAGCGGTGATGATCTGTGCCAGCAGATTCGACGTCGCGGCCAGGACAGCGGACTGGATGGACGCGACGGTGATGCCCGGGAGCTCAAAAGCCATCGTGGCAGATCCAGAGGGGGGCCTCGTTGTAGATGAGTGACGTCCCAACACAGAGATTCTTTCAAATGAGATTATTCTCTTAATGGCCGACACCAAAATTTGGAACCAATAGTCCTGTAATGTCGCGATTGTGAGGTAGTTGGCGCAGCGCAGATGCGAAATGACTTTGGGTTACGCAGGAGAAGGAGAGTCGGCACCGGTCCCCGGAGCTTGGACCCTGTAGAAATACCTTTTCCGCCGGGTGATTTTAGATGTACGGATTAGGGTCAAAGGCGGCCAAGGGGTTCAATGACGGCGTGATCAACAGGCCAAAAGGTCAAGGGAATTCTTTGTTCATCAGGGCGATCTATTATTTTCTAATCTAGGAGACGACGGAGTATGCATTGGGTACTGAATATATTCAGCTATAGCTCAATTTTCCAAGGACAGGTGGCACGGGTTGGTGCCTGCCGCATCAAGTGTCTGAAGGGGTGATGCGAATTGGCCAATCATCGACGGTCTGCCTAAAGTGGGCCCACACCCCTTGGCTACTATGGTTCTTGGGCCTTCCGCTTGTGGCCAGGAAACGTATGTGAGTCGTAAGTCTTTCAGCTTTTTATTTTTTTTGGTATCTATTCACAGATTCCACCTCTATGCAAAGCCTGATTGCCTACTTGTATTGTACACACCAGACATGGCATCTTTGTCTGCGACGGCCATGTGATCCGTCTTACGAGGCACAAATCCTCCTTCCTCCTACGCCAGTTGAGGCGTCACAAGAGGCCCCAAATTCACAGTGCACGATCCATACCCAGATCATGGCCTGGTGAGAACCCACATCAAGAAAAACTGTACCAAGTACGAGTAGCCAAACAAGAACTGGGTGCGCTGGTTTCTCTTCGTTCTTGACTCTGTTTGCATCCGAGGGTCGGTCGAGTTCTCCGGAAGCAACACATATCTCAAAGACCGCATCTGTAAAGTGTTAGCAAGGCCTTATACCAAAATTGGAAGCAAATTCTCTCCATTGCTTACCAGGAAGAACGAGTTGGCCAAGAACGTGTAAAAGAATACAGACCAGCCAATCATACCGCCGGTGCCCTTGCCCCCGTTGACAAGCTGGGCCGTGGCCACGGTGACAATGACACCTACGAACTTGTATCCGGAGTAGGCCATGAGGTCGAAGAGCTGCGATTCATTGGAAATGCTGAGGAAGTAGCACCCGAGTCGCAAAAAGGCAATTTCAAGGACCACCACCAGTCCGGCCACGAAAGCCGTAGCCCCAATGAGGTCTGGTTGGAACTGTCCGCGAATACCTGCCAGTAGAGTCGACAGAAGGACGTATGTCACAAATGCCATCACTAGTATGTCGGGTTAGAAAGAAATTCAGTGCCGGTGGTAAGCTTGGGAGCCGTACCTGGAATATACATGTCGGGACTGTTAATGTCGTCTCTCGGGGGCTGGTACCAGCCCTCCTGGCCGTTGGGACCGACAGCCTGCCTGCGCGACCAGGGCTTGTGGCGCCAGGGGAAGAGGACGAGAAACAGCTTGTTGACAACGTAGAAGTTGGAGACGTTGAAGTAGTGCTTCAGCGCCGAGAAGTTGACCCAGCGGTTGACCTGATAAACTCGTCAGCGTCGTCCATGACCTGTGGCTGCGTTCGAAGACCGTACATTCTGTTCCAAGTATTCCTGGCCGTGCTTGAAGGCATTCTGGCCCATGGACGCGGCTATTTGTGCGGTGGGGTCGTTCATGAAGTTGCCATATTGCCCAAAGGCGTTGCCGCCTTGCTGGCCTGGTTGGCCCTGCTGGTATGGGTTGCTGTAGGCGCCCTGTGTCTGTGGCTGCGACGACGTCGGCGGCGGGGGAGATCTGAGTTGCGGTACGGTCGAGACATGCTGGGGCACAGGGTGGTGCAGGGGCGGCGAGTGGCCGTAGTTCTGACGCTGCATCTTGACGATGTCGGCTCTGGACAAGACGGGCGGGTCCGGAGAAGAGTTGGGGGGATCTGGAGTATGGCGGCTTAAGGTGAGGGTCGAGTGCGACGCAGCTGTCGCAAGCGAGCGGTGCAAGAGGGTTGCGGATGTGGGTAGAGGCCGGGGCTCAAGGCTGCAGCTCCGGATGTTGGAATTCGGTGATGTGTTTTCAATTCGCTGGCGGCAGTGAGCTGTCCTGTCCAGTGTTGCCCTCCAGACCCCCCCTGCCCACGGCGCTGCTGGAAGCTTGGAAAGCCGCGCTACGGACCCAGGGTTTAGGTAATCGTGGCTGGCGCTAAACGATGGAGCTTACAGTGGACGGTCGAAGCCCTCAGGGGCCCCTGTTGCACTGGCCCAGGCGGGTTCTCCCACTAACAGGTTGCGCCAAGGACCCGTGAACCGCTGTGGACCGGGGACGCAATTACACCTGATCCGAAACCCTCACTGCAATCGGTACGTACCGGCCTCCGATAACGTTCGCGAGCTGCCACCTTTCTCTGCCGCGCCAGCCAGACGGACGGGAGCACATCTTTGCTGCTGCTACCTCATCGTGCATTTCGTGAGGGAAAGCTGCAGAAGTCTCCAAATTCAACGTCAGTCGCATCCGCCCGAGTCTGCGCCGGCTCTCCTCTAGCCGCCATGTTGGACACGTTCGAGATCCTGACCACCTCCGGCGTCGTCGTGTGGTCGCGGTCCTATGCCGCCGTCAGCCCCTCTATAGTCAACAGTTTCATCACCGATGTCTTTATCGAGGAGAAGGGCGCAATCGCCGGCGCCAAAGACGACCAGCCCACCGCCAGCAACCCTCCCTACCGAGCAGACCAGCACACCCTGAAATGGACCTTCTCCAAAGAACTAGGAGTCATCTTTGTTGTACGTACTTGCTGCTCTTTCACTCCTCGTTGCTCTCTCTAGCCTGTACTTTCTGCACACTAGTCCAATTGTCTCACTCTCGCTAGGCTGTCTATAGGTCCCTGCTGCACCTGTCCTGGATCGACAAACTGGTCGACAACCTCAAGACCATCTTCGTAGATCTGTACGGCGACCAGCTCAAGAAGCCGAACACCACCCTCGTGCACTGCCACAAGTTCGACGAATACTTCGACCAGCAGGTCAGGCAGCTCGAATCCAGCGCCGCGGTCAAAGGCAGCCAACCCTCAGCCGCTGCCCTGGTCTCGGACGACGAAGCCGTTTCAGGCAATCTCGGCGATGAACCTCCTCTGCCCCCGGGTTTGAAGCACCGATCGATAGCACAGAATGGGGCGCAAGAGCTTCCATCCACCACCGAGTCGACACCGGTCGTGACGCCGTCTAATTCGCGGCCCTCTACACCGGGGACAAGCCATTTGGTAGTAGGCAAGGGCGGTCCCATGGCCAAGATGTCGCGACGGGCACGAAAGATGCAGAATACCTCGGCGCCGGCCTCATCCGGAGACGAAGGGCCAGCACGAAAGGCCAAGAAGGCGCCCAAGAAGGGGCGCAAGTGGAATGCCGACGGTTATGCAAGTGAGGAGGACGATGTGCAACTTGACTACTCAGCCGCCGCCAATGCCGCCACCAGCGAGAGCGAAGCCGAAGGCCGTTCCACCGCCATGGAAAGTATTGATTCGTCGACGTGGGGTACAAAGACCTCCAAGGGTCAATTCGTCCTCAAAGATCTCGATGATGAAGTCAACGACATTCTTGCATCAGCACAAGCCAAGTCGACAGGCTCCTCTAGCAGCGGTGGCCTAGTCAACTCGGGTTTCAGCACTATCAGTGGCCTCTTCCGCAATGTGGTCGGTGGCAAGACCCTAACGAAAGAAGACCTAAAGAAGCCTATGGATGGCATGAAGGAACACCTGATCAAAAAGAACGTTGCCCCAGAGGCAGCGGTGCGCCTGCGGGACAGTGTTGAGCACGAGTTGACCGGCTTGAAGACGGGCAGTTTCGAGTCAATCGATGCACGCATCGCAAAAGCTATGGAGGCATCCCTGACCAAGATGCTCACCCCTACATCATCTCTGGACCTACTTCGCGAGGTGGATGCTGTGACGAGACCTTCGACCTTCTCGAGCGTCAAGCCGCGCCCTTACGTCATCTCTGTTGTCGGTGTCAACGGCGTCGGCAAGTCGACAAATTTGTCCAAAATATGTTTCTTTTTGCTGGAGAACAAGTACAAGGTTCTCGTCGTGGCAGGAGACACTTTCCGTTCGGGTGCTGTAGAACAGTTGAAGGTCCATGTGAGAAACCTGAAGGAGCTCACGCAGCGTGAAGGTGGCAAGGTTGAGCTCTTCGAAAAGGGGTATGGTGGGGATGCCGCTACAGTCGCAAGGGACGCTGTCCGTACGGCCAGCAATGAGGGCTTCGATGTCGTCTTGATTGACACAGCTGGAAGACGGCACAATGATCAGAGATTGATGTCGAACCTTGAAAAGTTTGCTAAGTTCGCCAACCCAGACAAGATTCTGATGGTTGGAGAGGTAAGTTTACCACTTATAACCGAAGTCCAGTCAGAAAACTAATTGTATTTATAGGCACTTGTTGGCAATGACTCTGTTGCACAGGCACAAAACTTCAATGCTTCCTTCGGTCAAGGACGCACTCTGGACGGCTTCATCATATCCAAGTGCGATACCGTAGGCGACATGGTTGGCACCATCGTCAGTATCGTACATGCGACCAACGTACCCGTTCTTTTTGTTGGTGTCGGCCAGCACTATGAAGATATCAGGAGCTTCTCAGTCAAATGGGCTGTCAAGAAGTTGTTAAGTAATAACTAATTAAATAAAGTATCCATGTGCTGGTAAGTTTACCAGCACTGCGACAGCAAAATGCAGTACGAACAACCCGAAGACATTACAAGTGTATTACCGCAACGTGACTCTTGCGAAAGCCGGAACTAATTCCGACTGTGGTCCAAGCCTGCCGAATTTGATGTCTCGACTCTTAATCATGACCAATCATAAGAGGTCTTGCTGGCTGGGGTCATGGCAAGCCGACAAACCCACGGCGTTAACGCTCGTGGCATGTTGTTTTCAGCTCCTGCAACTAGTGCAGGGCTACATCAACCTCGTCCAAGCGCATTGCTGCAATTCGGCATGGTATTGCTTGAACGAACGCCACATACCCGGATGGGGTTTCTACAATTGAACTGACAGCAAAGGTAGACGCCTGTTAAATAGTGAAGAAGCTACCACATGCATTCGAACTAATCCTCTCCTTGAAACCCTATAGAGACCTGAGCCAGGAGAACATGAACCAAGATTCGACTGCAGCAATTCTCAAGATGAACTCTGTCCAACAAGACAATGTCGCTACTGAGCAGGCGCAGCCATTATCCCAGGGTAACCCACGGATCCACGGCCCAACACCCATGTCTCCAGGAGCAGGCCAGGCCATTCGCCGTCGACCTGTGTCAGTGGCTCGCCAGCAGGCGACGAACCAGACTTCCTTGCCGTCACCTATTTCTCCTCAGAGTGGGATCTCTTCGCCATTGAACGGGTTTGGCAAGACAAGCCAGTACTTTCCTCCTCAGCCTTCGAGCGAGGCCCCCGGGGTTGCACAGGTTCCACAATATCAACCGCAAAGTAATCCTTATCCTCCACCACCGCCTCCAGGATCTAGCACTCCATCAGTACAGCCATACCAGCAACCACAGAGCCACACCGTATATTCTCCGCCTCCAATAGTGCAGAATGGACTTCCAACTCCTCCACCATCGACGGCATCTAACTCTCAGCCTTATTTCCCCCCTCCAACTCCACAACCGGCAGCTGTACCGTCCTATAACCCAGCTCAGGTAATGCAATCGCCTTACCCAGTTTATAATCCAGCGCAGATGGACAGGTCGACTTTCCAGATGCCAGGCTACCCTCCGCCAAGTTCAACCTCAACGGCAGGCGCTGGATCTCTTCCTGCAAATGTAGCCTCCCCTATACGATCCAGCTCGAAGAGGCTCTCCACTTGGAGTAAGGAGGCAGCGACAAAGTACTGGAACAAGGAGACGGCCAAGAAGGCCTACAAGAACAGCGTCGACTTCCTCGTGAAGACAAATGACAAACTGGACAAGGTGGTGCAGCCCATGATGCCAGTTCTCGCTGTGACTAACCCCGACCTCGCCTCGGCTATCCAAGTTAGTCAGGCGATGCAAAACGCTCAGAACGCTCAGAACGTGCAGAACGTGGCGAATGGCACTCCAAATCAGGCTGGTGGAGGGTTGAATACGATGGGTCACTTGGCGGCAGCTTTGATACAATCTTCTGGTGATAATTCGGAGAACAGCGGGACGGGTGCAAACCCACTGCTCGCAGCTCTGGAGCAGTCGGCGAACAATCCGTATGGCAGTGGTGCAGATACCAATGCGCTGATGGCGGCACTCACACAGTCAACGAATGGGAATACGTATGCGAACGGCAGTACAGATCCAAACACACTCTTGATTTCATCGCTCATTCAACAGCAGTCGAATGCTGCAACGGCGTCCTTGCTCGCAAACATGAATAACAACGCGCAAGGCGACCAAGCCCAGCTCATTGCCGCCATCATCCAGCAGCAGCAAGAACAGTCGGTAGCTACTGCGGCGGCAATGATGGCAGCGACTGCATCTCCAAATCCTGCATATAATACTGCAACAGCTCAGGCTGACTCGCGCGCCATGCCGGGTGCAAATACGTTTTATAATGGAACAAACCCTAGTATTCCTCGAGAGGCAACTGTCCCTCTACACAGCCCTCAACAATCAGGTCCACAGGGTCTGGCCCAGCAGCCTCCTCCTACAAGCTCACTGTTCAGTTCTACTTCATTGCCCCCGCAAGCACAACCCGTCGCCATCCCGACAAATACGGCAGCAGCCGCCTGGGTTCACTACCAAGCCGCAATATTCGGGCTCGGGGACATATATCTTCCCCCGGACCACGGCATAAGCGACGCGGGATACAACTGCCTCGTCGGAGACCTGACGAATCTGTCGGGACACTTCGAGATCAGGCTGCTCTACACAGCCTCGCAGGTACTGAGGGATGTAGCGACGACCCAGGACCTCACCAAGGACGGGGATACGACCGTACTCGAGCCCTGCGCCGTCGCTGACTTCGGCATCCCGACCGGCGGCGTGAGCCTGACCTGCGGCATCTCCATGAAAGAAGCCGAAGCGGACGGCGCCATGCCGGCCATGTACAAGGCGATCGTACAGTCGCCGTACGGCCACGGTCTTGCCGTGTCGTTCTTCGTGCCGGTGCAGCAGCTGCCGGCTGCCAAGGTGGTCGCTAGGTTCATGCTCTCGTCAATCAAATGGATTGATCGTTCGACGGTGTCCAAGTCTGTTGCTGGCCAGCTTGTGGGCAAGTGGAGATTCGAGGACGAGCCGCTGTTGATCGAGCTGGAGGATGTGGATAGCAACGCAGAGACTAAGGAGTTGGTATTCACGGCTGATGGGCGGTATTTTTACGACAGGAAAGGGGGCGTCGACCAGCAGCAGCAGGACCGCGATGGTGCGTATGATCCGGATCATACCCGAGGGCAATTCGAGGCCTACGAGTATGCGGCGGGAGGCTGCGTGCATCTGGTGTTGGTCGAGGAGCGCACGGGCAGCGTCGAGGTCCAGGCCGTGGAGCTGAGCGAAGGTGTGATGGTTGTCAAGGAGAAGCGATATCTTCGGGTCTCGAGTAGCTAAGCTCAGGGGGCTATGCTCTTTAATTCCCGAGGCCACGGGAATATAACCTTTTGTCTCCAGCATCCCGCAAAGAAACACAAGCCAGTGAGCCAGCGTTTGGTGAACAGCTGAGGCAACCCTTTTGTTCTTTCTGTGCTAGTCCTGGAGACGACGACTTCCAGTGAGACATGGCGGTCGAGGTCGTTGGCATCGTAGTCCTCTGAGCTTTCGTCGCGAGGCCACGAGGCGGTGAAGACATAAGGAGAGGAAACCCCGTCGCGCGTAGGCTTCTGGTCCTCATCCTCCTCATCCCAGATGAACACTGCGCTTGCGTCCTCAAGCCCAACTAAGGTCCCGAGTCTGAGTATCCTGCCTTGATCTATCGCTCTGACAAGTTCTTTAGCCATGGTCCTCATGGAGCTTTGAGAAAAAGTCTCTTGCCAGAACTCGGCGTCACCTCCACTTCGCGCATCGCGATCTAAATATTCCTCGAACAGGCCGGCGAGGTGATCGTGAGATAAAGCTTTGAGCTGCGATGCCAGCTGTTGCAGCCGTTTTCGCTCATGCAGTCCCAAGGTGCCGTGAGGAGGCTGGATTCGCCGAAGGTCGTCTGAGAAATCTGCAGTCTCAATGATGTCTCCAAGCCGCCAGAGGTGGCCCTTCGTCCGGATTCCGGCCGGCGTGAGATCCACCTCGGTAAAGCGGCACCCTTTATTGAACGAGAGACTGCATTTGTCGCCGGGGGCATAGAATCCGTCGAAAGACAATGCCTTGAGGAAGCTGGAGACTGTCATGTTCGGAACTTGCCCGCGGTATGGGCGACGGTCCGAGTTGTCCAGGATCTCTCCATTCAGCAAGTACATGGCCAGCATTGCCAGACTAAGACTTTGTTCCTCATCTTTCAGTCTCTCTTCGTCGAGGCGAATTGAGTACTGGCAGCAATTAGCGGTAATGGCGAGCCGGTCCCACGGATCTTCGACGTCTCTCTGCTCGAGGTCGGCGATAATGCTGGATGACATGGAACGAGACCCTGGCAACATGATGGTGTACTTCCCAGCCGCGCTGAGGATATCTTGGATGATTTCCCCGTCCTTCTCTGTCAAGTGGTCCAGTCCCTGCATTGCCAGGCAGAGCTTGGTCACTTCGTAGGAGAAATCTACAGAGTTGAGACACAGCTCGCCACGAACACGGCCGAAAGTGCCGTGAGACCATTTCGCTTCCTCCAAGTCCGGACTATGCCCTATCAGCAAGGTCATCCCAGTTCCGGCACGGTAGTTTTCCTGGAATATCCAAGCTCGACGCCACCACGTGTCGCTGATGATCCGATGCACCAGATGCAGTGTTCTCCTGACCGCAGGCAGCTGTGCGCTGTCTGATAATTGGAAGTGCTGCCCCAATGGCGTTTCATCGACCAGCATCTGGTCCACTAGCAGAGCGAGGTGGTCCAGGTCTCCCTGCGTTTCGATCTGCAGCTCGAGCAAGCCCACCGGGTGATTGCTGTACTTGTACACCAAGTCCATGGCCTCGAGGCTCTCCTGCTTTTGGATGCAACTGTCGTGGTCGCAATGACGCCAGAATTTGCAGGCCTTCTGTGGGATGCTATGTCTGTCAATCCACAGCGATTTGACGCCATGATGGCCCATATAGCTTCGCACGCGGTCGAGAACGCGGTCCCGAATGCGCGTAGGCCAACATCGAGCACGATCTCTGGTCTGTACCTCGTATACTTGACTTTTACCGGCCTCCTTGTCGCCAGCATGCAGCCGCCAGGCCCATGACACGGCAACATACTCGTGGTTTTTGTAGGCGTTGATATCTTCGTCTGGCCTGCGCAGCGAAAAGCGGGACTTTGAATCTTCTAGCTCTGGGTCTCTATCGGAGGGACTTCGCTTCCGCTTGCGACACCGTTCTAGAGTGAAACATTTGAGGTTCTGGATGACGCTTAGGTCCTTACCTCGCCGGGCCTGGCTCTTCTCGATGCTGAGGAGGAGGTCAACAATTGGCATGCCGTGGGCCTCGGCCAACTCTTGCAACGTCTCATCCTTATCGTCATGGTGCTGTGTCATTGCGCGTATCTGACTCAGATCTAATAGAGCTCTCTTGGCTCATTGCAAGGTGGTTTTCGGACTTTGAATGACAAGAAAGGGCCACCAAGGACTGCAGATGTGCAATCTATTTTCGGCAGTCCTAGCGTCGCGACACAGCCTCGCTAGGGGGGAGGTAACACTATGCCTGCTATTTTAGTGATCTGCATATAGGGCTTACACAGTTGTTTACCCCGCTCTTTTGGACCTATCGCCCCTGGACATTGTCTAGGTCGCGACAGCCTGAGGCCAGCAGCTAAAATAGTGGGATTGGCTATAAGAACTCTATTTCAACGTGGTCTAGGAGTCTGCATTGCACCAATACGCTCATAGCGCCTCTTACTCATGTCTTGTTGGAGCCAATCACACACAATAGAGCAGATTAGACAGACTGAGACGTTCAAGCAATTCGATTGAATTTCACTAACATAATAATGGGCTATCTCATATATTGCGCGACCCGCCGTTTCATATGTATCGAGGTTCTAGAGCAGTCACACTAGTTGAAGGCTCACTTTGTCATACTATCCTTTGCGTAGCTGTTCGATGTGGTGGTTTTCGTACCCCGTCTTATCGCCATGACTTGACAATTGGAAGAGAGTGTCCCCTTCGGGGCTCCAGTCTAGATCTTCTCTATCCTCACTTCGAGTCCGCCCGGCCTCAACGTGAACCCAGGGTTCTCCACCTTGAAAGGGTGTTCAACGGTCAGAAACCGATAATTGCGCACCATCTCCACCAATATGGTCTTGATCTCAAACTGTGCGAACTGCTTTCCGATGCATATACGCGGCCCGTTTGAGAATGCCTCAAAGGCATACGGTGATGCCTGTTGAGCGTTCAGATGCTCCCATCGAGTGGGGTCGGCGCTGTCTGCGTCAGCCCCCCAGATTGTAGGGTTGGAATGGGTGACAGAAGGACAAAGGTCTAAAGGCGTGCCTTTGGGAATGTGAATACCCTCAATTGTAAGGTCGTGGTTAGCCTCTCGGTGGTAGGTGGTGGCTGGCTGTTGTCAGATACGTTCAGTAAAGTTCTCAACTTGAGTACTCACATGGTGAGTACATGCGCAGCGCTTCTTTGACAAAATTCTCTAGGTAAGGCAGCTTATCCATCTCCACGAAAGACGGCTCAGCTGACAGAGAGCCAATTTCCTCACGGAGCCTATCTTGTATGCTGTGGTTTGTGACCATGATGTAGCAGCTCCAAGACAGCATATTGGCCGAGGTATCGTGGCCTGCAGCCATGAACTCTAGGATCTGTTACCGAGATATTAGCATCGTCAGGTACTGCCAACCGAATTCAGTCAAATAGTATTGGCAGCCGAACTTACATGGCCTAAGAATTCTTTTTCTCCAATCATTTGCGCTGTGCCGCCCCTTATGCTTTCTTCAACGACGAAAGTCACAAAGTCTCTTGAGTCTTTCTGTTCATAGGTTCCATCTTGCATGGCAGCCCGAATAACACGATAGCGATCCCGTATAATCGTTGTCAACACTTCGTTTAGCCAATCCATAGCGGAGAGGAACTCTCGGTTAGCCTCAAGTGGCAACCACCTGGTCGGAACCCACCCGTTCATGAATAGAAGCAATTTCCCGACCGTGCCTGGAGAGAAGAAGAGGTCGTATGCCTCGTGAAATGTGCATCTATCGCGCAGTCCATTCTGTTTTCGCCCGGCTACACCATCTTGTCTTTGGTCGTGCACTTCTCCGGGCTTGACATAATTTAGATCAACTCCCAAAATGGCAGAGCCCATTATGTCAAGAATAGCCTTCGAAAAGGTATTTGTGCAATCAAAAGAGCCAGTCATCCCATTACTGTTTTTTATGGTCTCTTCGAAGAATCTGCAAATATCCTTGGCCTTTTCCTTGAAGATTGGCTCTAGTTTGCGAATATTTTGCAGTGAGAAGGAGCCGCCCAGCATTTTCCGGTGAGCTCGATGCTCATCGCCCTCCATGAGAATTAGGCCATGTCCGGCAACCTCCCTCACAATCCGCAGAAAGAACTTGGATTTGGAGAAGGAGTAACATTGTGTCTGCAGTACTTCTTTGTGAGCGTTGATATTGTTCGGTACCAGAACCTCTGTATTGGCAATTGAAAGGTATCTAATGAACGGTGCATCAGGGAATTGCTTCATCCACTGGACGTACAGAGTGGTTGGCGTCTCGGCTTTCAGAAGGTTGATAGTTTGCCCCAAGAAGAAATGGTTGTTCTGATCGCAATAGTAAGATAACATGAAGACCTAGGGTGCCTTTTTCTTACTGACCGTGGGACCTGGGACGTGGCGAAGGGGTGAAAAGTACTTGTGGTACAGAAAAATACGGTAGTATTTCAATGCGAGATACTGGGCTAGGAATATGGTCCAGGCATGACGCGTGAAAATGCCATAGGGACTGTCCACTCCAACTTCATGGTGCGGCCAAAGTAATCGAATCAGACTTGTTTCGACAACAGCCAGACCCCCACAAATAGTGACATCCATGATCTGCCTTCAACTCCAGCGACTTTGCTGACGCGTATTGACCGTGTTGTCGTGAGACGCGGCTGCGAAGAGTGCGGGGGCCAGAATGCGGGATATTGAACAAGAAGTCTCTTTCTTCACAATCAGAATCATTTGACAGCCAAAGCTTTTGAAATACATGACTGACTTACTTACCTTCGCTAATTCACTTTTGGATCGCAGCCCCTCTATCGATGAACGAACAAGGATCATGCGGTTACTTACAATATTGGTTGGTGCAGCGTCATATGTTACCACGACGGGCTTCCGCTTCAGAACACGGCTCGCTTAGAAATCGCACACTTGTACGGTCAAAACACCCTTGACGGGCCGGGATCTTGGTACCCTTGACGGGCCGAAAACTGGGGTCCAATGGAGATAAGACAGTAAGTTAAAATTACGGGCTCGGTAACAGTCAGGGATAACATGTCGTTTGCCAGTTTACCTGCATACACCTCCTCTTCAGTGCCACATAGCCTGCCCAATAGCCAATAGGTCCCAATTATGTGACCCGAGGACATGGCACTCCAAACGCGAGGCCACAATTGACCCGATGGTACCTAGTAAAACTATGGATCGTTTCTTTTGAATCGAACCATATGATCGAAAAAGTGACCTGTGTAGTTCTCCTCTGGCCGGAAGTGCTTACCTGTTGCCGCGGCCATGGCTGTTCCCTGACAACCAATATCCGTCAAGTGGCAAGTGTCGCACTCACCGAACACAGAGTACTGCATTTCGGCTTTTCGCAATCCACATAAAGCCCTATATAGCTCAACTGACATCCTTTATTTGCCTCCATCTGTCCAATATGCAGCGCCCCTTCCACAACAATGTGATCTGCGCAGCATGATTCTATAAGACACTATGATTAACCTACGAGGGGTTCAAGCTCGTGCGTCCTCCTCTAGCCTCTACGGGCAAGAGTTGATTGACTTAGCTTGGACGCAACAACCCATCGAAACAGATGGGCTCGGCAGAGTCCTTTCTGTCGTCGTCCTAGTTCTACTTACGTTGAGTACTATAGCGGTCAGTCTACGGGTTTTCGTCCGCGGCTGGCTTCTACGAAGAGACAGACTGTGGGGTTTAGATGACACTCTATCCGTTCTGAGCTATGTAAGTGAATTGAAACGTGGGCTCTGTGCCTTGCTGGCTGACGTGTGCCTCGTCTCCAATAGTTGACATTCCTCCCTTCTTGCGTCTTCATCCTTCTCGCAACACGATTCGGACTCGGTACTCCAGATGATAGACTGACAGCACCGCTCAAGGCAAGGGCCGCCTTGTACATGGGCTATTGGCAAATGCACTATGCAGCGTCAGTCAACCTCGTCAAAGCTGGTATTGCCGTAGCTCTGCTGTGTCTCACGATCCAACGACGATACCGATATGCGATATGGGCCATACTGGTCTCTGCTCCTGTCTTCACCTTGGGTGTCGTCATTGTGCTCGTGACTACTTGCCATCTAGTAGGCGCCTAGTTCGATCTAGACCTGGGTCCATGCCCGGCGCATGACCTGATGGCCCAACTAAGCTACTTGTTCACCGTTTTCACTGTTATTCTGGATTGGGCGTGTGCCATAATCCCATATCTTCTGCTAAGAAAGCTCGAGATGCGGCGATATGTAAAGGTTTCTCTTGTTATCGTCTTGACTATGGGTGGCTTTGCAAGCACTGCTGCTATTGTTCGACTACCCTACCTAAAATACTACCGTACCACCGAAGATCAGCTTTGTAAGTTGCAAAATGATTTCAGTTGGTAGACATGGCTATTTGACTTGGTCGGCTCTTTCCTCTGATGTTTCATTCAATAGACTAATTATGGCCGCCTTGGGTTTAGTCCACGTTGCGAACATTATCCTTTGGTCCACAGTTGAGAATGGAGTGGGATTAATCGCCGCCTCTTTGCCGCCAATACGCAAACTCTTTGGCTATTATGGGGACACAGATCAAATGCCTCGCCGAGTTGAGCGAGCCGGTGCTATTGAGACTATTGGCGGTACACCGTTCAGTAAATATTCAACTACACAGCTACGAATACTGACACCAAAGCCAAGAAGCAGCGGGCAATGGGATCGGCTTGATGAGACCAGTTCTAGCCAAGAACGCATCTCATATCCACTATAGCTGGTGTAAGCATGTCCAGATATTCAAAAGCTATCTTGCAGGCTGAAGGCTTAAAATTTTGACTCATATAATACCATAACTGTCAAGCATGCGTGGTCTGTGTTTTATGATGTGAACAAGGTTCGTGGGCTGGTGAAGGCTAGTGCTTTAAGACCTTGCTATAAAACCAGGAGTAAATCAAGATTGCTAACGGCAAGCCTGCGCTTATCACTTAATCTAATCCGCGTGCCTCATATGACCTGAAACCTCAAAGCCGAATCCAAGCCAGCCAAGACCCTGTGAAGACTCCATTCAGTACCAACCAAGCCAGCGACGGGCTCACATGGCCGCAAGATGATCACCCAAGCTTATGAGCAGCAAGGTGCAGCCAACAGCCAGGACTTTCAATCGAGAGATACGGTACCAGATTGGAGATCTCAGGTGGATGTATACGAAGAAACTATAACAAGAATTAGTGAGTTGCTGAGGTTTCATGCTGAGCAGCAACGGAGAGAGTTTACCGTACAGCCTGCTGTGATACAGGATTTTTCGCAAAACTTTTGCGATTCAATTCCGAAATAGAGTCGTTCAGTGTATGTTTCGTATTTATTTTCACTTTGTCCTTGAGATCCGTTCACTGCAGCCTCTTCATCCAGCCATAGGTACCCGGCTTACTAAAGACTAACTTGACCTTGAGCTCCCGAACTCTCCCTTATAAACCTGGCAAGGTAGTTCGCCTGCCCCGACGCTTATTCTCGTCCCGCTCCTTCTTTCGATCTTCGCGTTTCTCTTCTCTCTCCCGTCGTCGTTGCTCAGCCTCTGAGCACGTCGTGCATTGTCCACTCCAGAGCGGTGGTCCATAGTTCTCGACTATGTCACCACACTCTCCAAACGCCCTGTTTGCAGTCTTCACCAGCTTGCATTTCAGTTTCCCACCCGGTTGGTCATCTCCATATTCACGGTTGCAGCTTTGGCAGACGGTCTTGTGGTACATCTGGGTGCACATCGGGATATCTTAACTCAATACCGTCCGTCCTCGTTCGTAGCTCGTTGTGTCTTCGCAGGCACCTTGCCCACTACTGATTGAGTCTCAGTCCCATTTGTGGGAGATATATAGCTTAACCGTAAATTCTCATTTGAGCAGCTAAAATTTACATTTGACGCCGTGAGGTGTTACTACTTTCGAAACTCGTGATCTGCTCTCGATTGATAACGTGGAATATCCTGAGTGGCATCAACGAATAATTGGCCTACCAGCGTCAAATGATCCTCTCATAATGGTTTGTTGGAGTTTTGCTGCGTTGGAGAAAACAAAGAAGTCTGGTTCGTACGACGAGCAGACATGTTGAGTGTCACCGAGCATCTTTGATCGTGGCGCCAAGACGTCGCCGGATCCGTCCCAGCGTCAGATGTGCACAATGAAGGGGCTAAATCACAACACCAGCCATGAAACAGGCTGGTGTTATTCAGAGACTCACGTGGTAGGATGGTGCGAGTTATTTGCGCTGAACCCCAGAGCGCGTGGGTCTGGTCCATGGATGCCCCTCCATCAGCGATGTTATGAAACCGACGATGGCTCCTCTGACGCTGCCCTGTTAAGGGTAGGCCTAAAGCCACATTGTATGATGATATTCAGAGAAAGCTCGACAACCGTCTAGTTTTGTCACAGACGAACTGCTGAGCCTCGCCTGGGAGACGCTTCAACGCTTTGGTCACTCCACATTGTCCACCTGACAATTATATATATAGTGTCATGTAACATCTCTCGAATTGAATAATACTATATACAACTACTCAGAGAATGTGATTCCAACAATATTGACATCTGCTCCTGACCAATTCTCAGTCGAATATTTCGAAGAGACTAGGCCAAGGCGTAAAAGGAATAGTAGAGAGCGTAATATATTTGGGTCTTGTTTTTGTTCTTTTAAGGTAGGGCCAAGCATGGCCTCTTTCATGGTTTTTTGATATGTTTCGGGCTTGTTGACAATCTGAATACCTCCTCGCTGGACATCCCCTGTTTGATATATAGTGACGAATTCTGCATGGTGATCGCATAGATGAGCACTGTGCAGATATACGGCGTCGTGGGTAGATTTTCAGGTGCTTGCCTAGGTCGGCAAGATATAGTGGTTGGTCGAAGTGTCGAGTTGAGGACTTGATAGGAATGACCGCGGTTTTCCAATGGTTCCATATGTCAAGTGTTCCATTCCAACATTGTCGCGTCTCCGGACTGACTGCTTGGCGCTTTCATGCTATCCCAGACCCTACCTCCGGGACACCATGAGGCTGTATAGTGGATGGAGCAGTGAAATAAGCTTCCATCAGATGACCGAATCATATCGATAATCGAGACCCAGCTGTCACTCTTCCAATCTCCCTGTTGAATAAAATCCACCACGCCTGGTGTAGTTTCGTCGTGATGGTATAGAGCTGGATGAGAGCGCTTTGTGGTGTGTTTTTGGCGCTACTCAAAGCTCGATTGGCAGTCAACGTAGCTTGGACATTACTCTGGCGCGTGGTCCATATTTCGTTTCGTTCTGAGTTGACGAGTAGAAGTAAACGTTAGATCACGTCTACTTCAGGGAATCCCCCCTTTCCAACAACAGCAGCACCGACGGCGGTGACAGCATCTCCGAGAGGCGTCTCAATCGTAGCCGGGGTCGAACAAGGTCTTCACGCAGCACGAGCCGGGGGATGGTCAACAACGAATCAGTCCAGGAGCAAGACTCGACTGGAGGATCGAGGACGGCTTTCCCGGCGGCTCGGCCCCTGGAATGTGCTGGACGGCGCGCGCAAGCTTCGAGATCAGTCTCGATCGGAGGAGTCGTGGCGATTCTGGCGCTGGTGAGGTCGGAGGTCAGGGGCAGGAGACTCGGCCTCGAGGCAAGATGGTTGATCGAGGACATAGTTTCCCGGTTGCCCCAGAGCAGGTGCCTCTGAGACTTCCCATGGCGCTGGTGGGCGACATGGAGGTCAGTAACCTTTAGCCGTGGTCAGACGGGAAGCGAGTTGAAAAGTGTGAAGAGGAGCGAGCTCGACTCTTCACCCCAATAAGGGAGCACGCGAATGTGATTCATCCTTACAGAACGGCAACAATCAGATGCTACAGCTCAACTAGCATACTAGGACTAGAAACCCACATTAAAGTACCGGCTGTAGATGCGTGCTTATATTCTCGCGTACCCTCTACTCTGCAGCAGCCGTACGTCAGAATGTGACGAGGAGCATAGAGGAGGTGGGTGTCTAGACCCTGTCATTGGCCTGATATACTGGCCCCTGCGCGCATAGAGATGCTGCATGAGAACAGATGCCACCTCAGCTCTCAGATCGAAGAAGGCCGAGTCCATCTACAATTCAACCCACCTACAACGGCACATCCTTCATGCTACGTTTGGGGAGGTCTTATGACAGCAACGGCGGCTAAATTGAAGAATGTGTCGTTTTCAATACTCTACATACTACGGAATCTGTCTCTGAAGCGAGCAGGGCGCTTAGTGTATGATGCCCCACGACGAGTATGAGTATGCAAATTTCTGTTTACACGGGCCGAACGGTGACGTGGAGCCCCGCCGACGTCATTCGGCGCCAAGCTTTATAAGAGCAGGTTTTAACGTTCAAGGCTGCCGCAAGTGTAGAGCCGCAATATCGCATGCAAAATGAGCAATCCCATCTTGAGACAGCGATTGGACCTCCCAACCCCCTGTGCAGTTCGCTAGTCCGGAGCTTTTAGACCGGGCGTTCGTAAGGGTCTCACCATGTCAGAGCCTTTTTTTTCCTTGGGACGAGCAGGCACAAAAGCCAAGATTGGGAAAGTCCCCAAAGGCCTGACGCTGGAAATAGCGGCTACACGGCAGGCAGGGTCCCCCATGTCACCGTGCATCCGGATCGCCATGCCAAATCGTCGATGGCCGTTAGGGCGGGGTCTCTGGGCCTTCTGGCTCGGTTGCACTTTGGCACTACGCAACGTCTCGAACCAATTTAGCATGACGTCAATTCTATATGCGGCGCAGATCTGCCCAAGCAAACCCACCGTGCCACGCGCGCGTCACAGCAGAACAGCCCATCACGCGCTTTCGGCGGGCTGGTTTCAAGACGGGAGAGGGCTGCAAGATAGGGAATCCCTGGGCCCGGTGATTGGTTTCGCCCAGGGCTCTAGGGCCTAGCTCCCCTGGGGGCGTCCCGTCGTTTCCTATTCCGGCACTCGTCCCTCATGTAATCCGTATGTCATTGCTAGGCTGGGCTCCGGTCTATGACCTAAGATTTGTGGCCCGTGGATTGCAGTGTGACCGAAATGAGAGCATCGCAAGCTCGAGGCTGGTCGATAATTTGCTGGAAGGTGCTCTGGGGACCCCCGAAAGCAGTAAGAGTCGCCATGCAGCCCATGTGAGCCTACCCCGGTTGGGACGAGCTAGGCGATGTACTCGTGGTATTTGCCTTGATTGCAAGGTGGGCGGTGGGAAGATTGATATGAGTTTTCTTTGTGACTCGGCAAACGGACGAATATAAGAAGTGGTTTTCACCTGCGGATTCTGTGACCTAAAAAACTCGTCATTCCAAACAACATCAACAATCAGCCATCCACTCAACCACAAACAGAGAACTACTACAGTCTCTAGGAACTCAATTCTCTACACCAATACCCATCTCCACCAAACAACCTACAAGTCCAGACCACAACCGCCAAAATGGGTGCCGTCGTCTCTTGCGTAAGTTCCATCTCCCTACGCCATCCCGCAGCTCCACCAGCGGAAAACTCTACTATGACTCGGGAACCGCATGGCTAACGCGTTACCTTCTCCTACCACAGATTCAGAACATGTTCCGCACCATCGGCAGCTGCCTGATGGCCATTGTCAACGGCATCGCCGGCATCCTGACGGCCATCATCCACGGCATTGCCTCCTTCTTCAACATCCTCATCTCCTTCCTGACCTGCGGCTACTGCGGTCGCAAGCGAGGCGCGCGCGCCGGCCGCTCGCATGGCACGAGGACGAGTCGAGTCTAGACGCGGCTCTCATCCCATCATCACTATGAGTCTGGGAAGGGAAACAGAGATGAGAGCCTTAGGACAGCGAGCAAGAGGACAATTGGAGTAACTGGTATTTCATTGTGCGTCGGACGGAGGGAGAGAGCATGAAGTCACGATACCCCGTTTTCATGAACGAAGATATGACGTTTGGCATGACGCTCTTCGCGGTTTCATTTTGTAGCATAATACCACCTGCATTTCACATCTAAACTCTGTGTTTTACACTGCCAGTGATTATGAAAATATGCTTGTTGCTTGGTCTTCCGTGTTCATGTCCTTAAACAACAAAAGGTGTCATTGTAGAACAGTCAATCATGTGCTCGGGAGATTATAGCATGTGAAGGTCACATAACTTAGCACACTTCATCGTCCACTGAACATTCGCGGCGGTATGCGTAATCCTGTTTCTTATTCTACTTAATGACACCTAGTCGATATCAATCAGATTCCGTGCAAAGAAATTCTCAATCTGGCGCCCAGATTCCTTGCCCACCAGTGGCTCGAGATCGCTTAAACTCATGTTTGCCACTTCTCGGACATTTTCACACTCCAAGGTCAGGTTCTTGATGTTCTTGGGCGTGACGCCTGGCACTGCGCTGAGCATCTCCTGCGGCTCCAGATTGAAGCTCTGGTCCTCGACCCTCATGTTCTTGTCCAACCCGGCGCGCACAGCCGTGATAGGATCCGGCTCTTCCTCTTGTGTCTTCAGGTTCTCGAAGATTTCAGCGGTTTGATAGGGACTGCTGGACCAGATGATCTTCAGGCGCGGGAAGGCGAGCGTAAGAAGGACAAGCTTAGACTGCAGGTCCGAAGGCATGTTGGCCGGGTTGATAGAGGACAGGTTTCCCGAGAGGTCGGCAAAAGGCTCCAGCGTGAAGGATTTGTTCTGATCAAATTCGATCAGTAGCATCGGGTTTTTGTAGTGTTGGAACATTGTCTCTGCCTGGTTGAAGAGACGGCCGTCCCTGAATGAGCTGATCAAATCATTGATCGACTTCCGCTCAATGCAGATTGAGGGAGATAGGATATAATCGCCGACGGTCAACATGCATGGCACGATTATTATGTTTCGCCCATGCAAGAGTGACGGGAGCGAGGATCCAAACTCTCGAACGTCGACAACAACGCGAGGAGGTTGGGCCGTTGCGGCGAGTCTACCACCGCCCGCGATTCGGGTGTTCACCGTTCGAAGAAAGGCTTCTTGAGGGTCCTCGACTCCATTGCCCGCTGTTGTATCGACAACAGTCATGCTAGCACGTTCCTTGATGAGCTTTGTAAATGCATCCTTCTCTCGGCGGACGGAGGCCAGATACCGTTGTTCCTCAACTGAGCCCCCGTAGAACATGAAATATACCCTGACATTCCTGTCATTGTGGGAAGAACGGTATACCTCGACGCGGCGGATGAAGCTAGCATCCGGCTCGTACATGATGATGTAGCGAGGTTTGATTTCTTCCAGAATGTGCTCGTCTTGGTCGCCCTCGTATGCATGAACGACGACAAGATCTTGCATCTCGTACAGCTCAAAGAAGTCGTCCATATCCTCCAGTGGATCGGCTATGATATCGGGTTTCTGGTTCGCCTCCTCCTCTGTCGGTTGTACGCCAGTCTCAAGGTCTGCTACTTCAGCAGGTTTCTCAAAGTACTGTACCACACTGCCGTTAGCAGCCCTCCCAGGAGCTGTACCCGTTGCGCCCCCTCCACGTTGCCTCCTTCGCTTGTTGGCCGGTACCCGGCCTTTACCTTGGCCAAGTCGTGGGTCTGCGGCGCCCTCCATTGCTTTTTGATTTTCAGAGAAGAGTGCTGTGCTGACTTGTGCAAACTCTCTTTTCCACTTCAGGTATTCTCGCAACCTTCTCCTCATCATAAATGTTCCAGAGGCCTTGGTATCTTCGTCATCATCCTGCTTGGCGCCCGTAACATCGGCTTTCGACTTGATGTGCATCAACTGGAGGAAATCCCGAAGCTGACGACAAGTGGAAGTATCTGAGCACATGATCAGAATGGTCCCATTGGAGTCATCCTTCACAGCGGGCTCAAAATATAAATCGCGGTCTATCTCCTCTAGGATCTCTGCGAGAACGGCCCACTTCGGTTGTTCTTCGAGCACAGGGCGGAGAGAGTCTATTGACGTCCTTTCGGTAGGTTTCATGTTGCTGGAGTAAACTCGCTGCTTTGCAGTGCTGAAGATGGTATGGGCAGCGTCGAGGAACATCCAGGGAGACTGGTTTTGCCTGGTTGATCCGGGCTGGGGAGAATGGGCTGCGTGAATGGTATCTAGATGCTGCAAAAACGACACCGAGTCGAACGCTAAGACCGAGTGCAACATACTCCGGAGGACTGTCAGATCGCTAACTATCTGCTTGGTCTTCCAACTGACACGGTGCCAGTTTGGATCCAGCTGCCTGCGTACCATGACATCGAAGTTTTTCAGGAGGGCGCTGTCGAGGTTCCAGTCCTCCATCTCTAGACCGGTATTTCCCTTCTTCAATTCGTGAATGCTGACCTCTACACACTCCATGATGGCGGTCTGGATCTCCTTCATTGCGTCTGTCATGGGAACTTCAAGCTCAATGACTTCCGCCTTCTTCTTGCCTTCTAACGAACCCGCAACGGTCACGTGAAATCGTGGCCACAGAGAGGCTTTCCGCAGGAACAAGTTACGCATCATGGTAGATAACGGCGAGAAGCCGATAGTGAATGGGTCTGGATTATCGGAGAAGGCCTTGAGAAAGCCGACCTTGTTTTTCTGCCGATATATACGAAGGATGAATGCTTCGAGTGAGGTTGCAATAACCTTGTCCGCATGAAGCACTATCACGCCGGTGATGGTCTCGGGGTTCAGCAGCGTCGTCAGGAGATCGACGACCAAGATGCGGGACGTGATACTGTAGATGCCGCCCCGAGCATACATCTTCTCCCTGGCGGCGACGCTGGTGAAGTCGGTGTTCACGACGGTGAGGCCCCTCGCCTTGGGCGACATGCTGATGGCAGCATGCTCAGCGAGAGCCTCGCCGATCCATGCATTCTCGCGGTCCTCGGCACCCACTACGATCACGAGGTTGTTCCCAGCGGCATCATAGCTGTGCAGCAGGTTGGTCACCAGCCTCATGAGGCCGAGGCCCCTGGCGAGTACGACAAGCTCATCCTCGCCACGGAGCTCCTGAAACAGGTGTTGCTGGTATTCCTACGAGGCATCAGAGGCGAGCGGCGCAACACAGGAGCTGGCAGGACGTACAAGAGGCAGCGAGAGCTTCACCGGTTGCGGTGCATTGTTGGCAGACATGCGGGGCACGGCACGCCTTGATTCGCTAACAGACAACAGACGCGTAAATGGGCTTCTCAACCGTGTATCCGCGCCTTGAGCATGGTTGCCCTTGGCCTGTGACAAAGTCTCGGGAAGTATCCGGGAGCGGCGGATGCAGCCGGAGCACGAAACTGCGTAATTGGCGAGGCCGACCGGCCCTGGTTTGGCTGCCTGGACTGCAGTTTGACGTGGGGACAGGCGTCAGAAGCGTCGTCGCAGCGTGGCCCGCGTCGGCTTCTTGCAGAGGCCCAAAAGCATGAAATCCGGGGTTGCGTCTGCTGCGAATCATCGGCTAGATCGCCCGCGGCCCAGTGGACGGGGCCAATCACGGCGGCGCTAGGTGCCAGATACGTCATCCAAGGGTCAGGTGTAAGTTGACTGTAATCCAAACTCTGGGTTCTGGTTTATAAAGACTCGACAAAACCCAAGGTCCTTAGGAAGCTTTCGTTCTTACCTTTAAAGAATAATACCGTTATTCACACATCACAACATTAGAATCAAACGCTTAACCTCACTCATCAAACCAAAACACAACATGCCTGGCAAGGACACTTTCCCCACCCCTCAGGTGAGTACTGCGGCAACTGGCTTTCCCTCGGACACGCCTTTTGCAGCCCCTTTTGTACGAATGGAAAGATCCCATTGCTGATCACATTAGACTGGTAAGGTCGATGCCGACTTCAAGCCCCACGACCCCTCCACCGCTGCTGAGCCGCTAGGAAAGGCCTTCGAGGCGCACAAAGCTCACCCTGGCCCGGCCATTCCTCAATCGATGCCTGAGCAGGAGGGAACCAAGGAGGAGCGCCAGGCCAAGGCCAAGGAGCTGAACAAATAAGCGGCTGGCCGGTGAATTGCGAGGGAGAAGTCATGTTGCCTATACGAGTGCACGGCTCTGAAATGTACGCATCGGGGCTCCAGGGGCCTTGTAACTAATTAGTGATGAGATAATGAGAGCCAATGATATCACGTCAATAGGGCAATGCTTAGTTTGTGCCATAATGTTTCGTCCCCTGCCATCAGTCCTCAGCACAGGCATGCTGCTTTTACGTGTTCTGCTCTTGCCTGTGCAGGCTGCCTGATTCCGGCTTCTCAAGATCAGATTTGATGCCCGAAGTGGAGGGCGTCCTTTAGTGCGCGGACATCAACAATTTGAATCTGCGAAGTACAGAATACCGACATTAAATCCTGCAGCACAATGTCAAGAGGAGTGATCTTGTGATATCTACAGCACAATCACTGACGATAAGACGGAAGTGGTATGTCCATGCTGTAGCGCAATCGAGATGGAAGGCGGGGCATTCCGTACCCGGTTCCAGAAACTCAAGGCGGGCGGCTTTTCGCCATGGTAGCCAAATCTAAGGGAGTGAGTGGTGGCTGTGCGCTGAGGGCCCCCAAAAGCCGAGTGGCAGGCAGGCGTTGGCGAAAATGACGACGCAAATCTTAGCGTGCCACGGCGGGATGTTTGTGAAGAGGCAGTTATTTGCAGACTGGCCAATTATGGTATGGTAGAGCGTGCCTTTTCCATGTCAATTGCCTGCTCAAGTTGTTACTGTCGCTTGTCAATTAAACTACAGTAACTACCTAGCTACCTATAGGGAGGGGAGGCCTACATAGGACCCTTGTCGTCCCATCGTCCCAAGCTCGAATCCGCTGCGGGTCAGAGACACTGCACGGTGACGGAAGAACGGTTTCCCAACCCAGCTCCAGGCCCCGGACCTTCCACCACACACATTGACCAACCAACCCAACGGCGGCCGCCTTCGATACTGCCTCCCAAAGAGAAGTAAGCGCCCGCCACTACGACACACCACAACGCCTCCGGCTCGGCCACGACCACGCGTACGATCACAACCCCCGGTCCCCAAGGCAGCATTGTTTTTCCCACCTCCTCCCCCGACTGCGCCGACGCAGCTGGCCTTTCCCTACGCCTTCATGACCGCTTAGGCTCGCCGTCCCAGCAGCCGCCGCCGCCATCATGCCGTCCATCCTGAACGAAGAGGACAAGGAGACGGTCAAGCGCATGGTGCCGAAGCAGACCAACAAGATCCACGCCGTAGCCGTCGCCAGACTGTACGTCGCATACCCCAACAAGTCGAAATGGACCTACACCGGGCTCCAGGGCGCCGTCGTGCTCGCCAATGACCTGGTCGGACACACATACTGGCTGAAGCTGGTCGACATATCGGTAAGTGCCGCACGTGCTCTGCTCTGCTGCATCCAGCGCCTTTGGCCCAGCTACTGACAGGCAGCCCCCGTACAGCCAGCCGGTCGAGGAGTGATATGGGATCAGGAGATCTTCGATACATGGCAGTACAACCAGGACCGCACCTTCTTCCACACATTCGAGCTCGAGGAATGCCTGGCCGGCCTGTCCTTTGTCGACGAGAAGGAGGCGAAGCAGTTCAGGAAGAAGATGGACGAGCGGGAGAAGAACGCAAGCAAGGCCACGAGGAACACGCCCTTCGGCGGACACAGTCAACCCGTGAAATCAGGTGGCCTGTTTGGCAGCATCTTCGGAGGACATAGACACTCCTCGGCGCCCACGCCACCAGAATCTCCACGGAACAACGCACCACTTCCCCCGCCGCCGCCGTCACAATCAAGGTCACCTCCCGGAGGCGTGAACGGCTTCCACAAGCCAGGTTCCGAGTTCGCTACGCTAGAGGCATACGACCCCAACTGGCGGGATAACTTTGGCAACTTCCTCACGGAACAGGGGCTCACAGACGACTTTATCAAAGATAACCAGGACTTTATTGTCGAGTTCTTGAAGGAGCAGGGAGACGCTGTACCCAGGGCCACTGCACCCCCTCCGCCGCCGCCGCCTCCCGTTAACGGCAGCTCTGGCGGGCACGGTCGAGCACCACCCCCCCCTCCCCCGCCAGCAGGGCGAGCCGCGCCTGAGCTAGTGGCCTCGTCGGGATCACGACGCGGAGCCCCTCCACCACCCCCGGCCCCCAGACGCTCCGGCAAGGCGGAGACTCACCGAGAACCAACACCCCCGCAAGATAACACTCCGCCCCGGCCCAGATTCAATGCGCCTCCGCCGTTGCCAGATGCTGGCAAGTTCGCCCACACGGAGCCCGCTCGGCCCGTGCCAGCAGCGCCAGCGCCAGGTCCCCCTCCACCTCCCAGACCTCCCAAGACGCCGATGGACGGAGACGACGCCGGCCACAGGTTCGGCGTGCCCCCTCCTTTCACCGGCCAGCGTGTCAGCAACGCACCGCCGGCACCGCCGTCCAGAGGCCCCGTGCCGCCACCGCCGCCTCGGGACGTGCCGCTGCCTCCTCCTCGAGACGTACCGGCGCCGCCAAAGGCACCGGCTTCGAGTGCGCCCCCTCTCCCCCCTTCATCATCGCGGCCGGTTCCAGCTCCGCCGCCGAGAGGGGTGCCTGCTCCACCACCTCTACCATCATCAAACGCACCTCCTCCGCCTCCACTGCCCGGAACACTGTCAGGCGCTCCTCCACCACCAGCGCCGCCGCCTCCTCCGCCCGGTGGAGCTGGGGGTGCACCTCCGCCGCCACCGCCGCCGCCGCCGCCGAACCGCGACAGTGGCTATGCGTCTGGCGTGCCGGCCGCTGCGGTGCCGCCGGTTGACTCGAGCCGCTCCGCCGTGCTGGACAGCATCCAGAAGGCGGGCGGCATCGGGGCGCTCAAGAAGGTGGACAGGAGCCAGATCCGGGACCGAAGCGCGGCCATGCCCGGCGGGTCCGACACGGGCCCGCACGGCAGCGGCCTGCCGCCCGCCGGCGTGGCCCCCGCCGCTGGAGGCGCGCCCAACATGGCCGACGCCCTGGCGGCCGCGCTGCAGAAACGGAAGCAGAAGGTCGGCGATAGTGGTACGTATTTCAAGACACACACACCCCTCACATTCTCAATTTCCCATTGCAGCAAGAACAGCAGGCTAACATGGCGGCAGACGACGAAGCTGATGATGACGACTGGTAAACGGGATCGTATGCGGCCGCTGGGACTGCGACTTTGGGGGGATGATGACTACCGGTATCCTGAAGCGGGAGGCGGGACAGAAATAGGAAGAGAAGGAACACGTTGCAGTGGTCGTAGTTGTAGCAGTCTAGAGTCGAGTAGTGGAAGTAGTGGAATAGAGAGTATTTGTTGGGAGACCACACGATTGAGATTGAGGATGTTGTGGCGAATAGGGGTTTTCTGCAAGAGAAGTGTCATCTACTATACCCTAGTCAGGGAAGCGGTTTGGACACGTTCAGAGGCGAGTTATCAGTATTAAAATAACAAGTCTAGCCAATGAAAGAGTCGTGATGTGTACGTGCATATTATACAAGTCTAGACTTGGAAATGGAGACCATGTTTCTAGAGGTAGTTTTTTCTGATTGAAGTTCACATTCTGTTGCTGGAGGCTATTCAGAGATGATGTCACAATGGCGAGAAAAGGTATGTTGACACTGCACTGCAGGTATGAGCACATAGATATAAGTCTGATTTATCAAGTCACTGCATTCGATCATTCATTCGTCAAGTCGGCAAATTCCATGTGCGAAAGTGTATAAGGATGCAAAGTGTATTCATTACCAGCCGAAAGGTACCTAAGAAGAACCAGAAAAAGCCATGACGTCTCTCCCACCATGGCCTCGCTCCACCACATTGTCCAACTGTCGCGGAACCAGGCCGTCAATAATAATTTTTTGGGAAGGTTGATTGGGCCTGGTTTGAGAGAGAAGACAGCCTTCCCCGGGGCGTCCCGTTTTTCCCATCTCTGCCGGTTGTGCTGGGTGTGCGCCATGTCCGTTCCGTTTTCTGCGGCCACGAAAGGGAAGAAGAAAATAGACATGCCGAGCACACACCCACGCACAGAAAGGGGGAGGCAGGAAAGTTGATGGAGGAATGAGAGGAGGACAAGACGGGCCCGGGTGGACGATGCTCTGTTGTTCGTTCCCGAGGAATAACCCCCGGTGGTGCGGCGGCGGCCGCCGCGCGCGCAGGTGGCGATCTTAGATGTCGTCGATCTCGATCTCCTTGCCGGCGGCGTCGTCGCTGTCCGAGTCGCGGTCCTCGTCGAACTCGAAGTTGCACTCGCCGTCCTCGTTAGGGCCGTAGGTGTCGGTCTCGTTGATCTTGGCCGACTCGGGCAGCTCGCCGTAGGCCTTGAGGGAGCGGGCCTCGTCGGCCGTGTACTTGAGGATGACGTCGCCCTTCTCGTCCTGGTAGTCGCGCAGCGACAGCAGGATGATGTCGCCCTGGTTGATCCAGACCTTCTTGCGCAGCTTGCCGCGGATGTGGCCCAGGCGCTTGGTGCCGTCGAAGCACAGCGTCTCTAGGCGGCCGTTGCCGAGCATCTTGACGACCTGGGCATATTCTGGAAGGAGTGGCACTCGCGTTAATCACCTCTGCTCTAACTCTGTGGTGGAGGTTGGATGGACGGATGGGTGGATGGATTAGTCGACGTACCTTGACCCTCCTCCTTGAAGGTGAGTTCACGCTTCTCGTTGTCGTTCTCGTTCTTACCCCTACGCCTGTTCTTTCCTCCCTGTTGTGGCGATGCATGTCAGTATATTGGTTCTTCTGTGAGGTGCTATTTTCTTTGAGGGCGTTGCCACGGGGTTTCTCTGTTTCGCTGGTCTATCTCCCACCACCCACAAACGGACTACCGTAGGAGGGGTGGGACACACAGAGAGAGAGAGGGAGGGAGGGATTATGGCGGGGTCGTGGAAAACAGAATGGTGCGGGCAGCGCGCGTGGGTTCGAGTGTTTTGAATTGGGAGTGACTGACCTTTCCCTTGTTCTTGGGCATCTTGGCGGTTGTGTTGAGTCGCTGTGTGTCGAGGTGTAGACGGTGGCAGTCGTGAAACTGTCAAGACAGCGATGTTTTTTTTTAGGGCGTGGGTTGTGGTGAGAGATGCTTTGGGGGGAATGCGGTTGTGCGGTGACGACGAGGGAGTGGATGGGTGGATGAGTGGATGAGTGGATGGGCGGATGGGCTTAACTACCTATGAGCAGACCACAGCAGACCAGAGCAGACCAGAGCGCCGCAGCAAATCAAGCGGCAAACATTGGGCGCACACCCACAGCCCACCACCACTACCACCACCATGAGCCACCCACTGCCCCTCTGAAGTTAACTCGGGCTCTTTGTGCTTTGCTGCAGTCAGTATGAGTAATAGTGGGGGCGACTCGGGCTCCTGCTTTGAGGCTTAGCGCCCGCTTTGTCGCACTTTTCTCGCTCCCAAGTCAGTCAGTCAGTCAGTCAAGTCAGTCCAACGGCGGCGATGGCACTCCCGTCCTGGATTGGAGCCATCCCTGTTCAGGCCCTGGACAGCTTTGGCGCAGGTACCTCCTTGTCGTTGGAGTTTAGTATGGACTACCGAAGTATTGCATGTCCAGTCCTCCGGAGATAACTAGGTACAGCTTCCATACAGCTCATTCAACCCTCCAGCTTCTGGTCAGCCTTGCGTCACCACTTCCTCCGGCTGCCCTTCCCGCGTCCCCGTCTGCTCTCCCTCCCCGAGCAGACCCGCCGTTCCCGTGCCCCGGGCGCCATGAGCTCTCTGGCCGCCCAGTCATAGACCGGCCCCATTCGAGGCCATGACCAGAGCCCTGCCGTCCGGGCTCCTACCTCGCCTGGGAGTGTCGCCTGCAGCACCGCGCCTCGCCCTCCGCCCAGCTCAGCTCCATCCGGCGACGCGGCGCTCATGGACCGACCTGAGAAGCAAGAAGCCACGGCCCGAGCCCCGACCGCACCGCGGCCTCGTGCCTGAGCGTATCCTGCCGTCCACCGCCGCGGCTGCCAAACCACCCAGAGATGCGGCGCCGGGCCCGAAAGCGCAGCTCCTGCGGCTCGGCCTGGGCCTGCCGGCCCACGTGAAGCGGCTGCACGGGGTGGACCTCAAGCCGAACCCGTGCAACGTGGCGGCGTTCGCCAGCGCTCAGCACTGCGTCGACCTGCGCGCCGTCAAGTACCTGGACGACGTGGTGCACCCGTTCGCGCAGTCGGTCGTGGACCGGTTCGCGGCCGCGCACCAGACGGCCCCGCTCTGGTGGTCCGTCAACGCCTTCGGCGACGGCACGCCCTTCGTCATCAACACGGCCGAGCGCCTGCTGAGCCGCGCCGTGCGCCTGGCCCTCGAGGCCGCCGGCTACGACCGCGACGGCCGCGCCCTGGACGGCCGCGGGCCCGCGGCGCAGCCCGATATCTACGGCACCCTGCGCGTCACCTGCGCCCACCCCGTCATCCTCTGCCAGAAGAAGTTCGAGGCCGAGATCGCGCCCATCGGCGTGGCCGTCGTCCAGGCCGCCATCGCCAATCTTCAAGCGCAGCAGCGGGCGGCGCCTCGCCACGCCCAAGGAGCTACGAAAATGCCACAGGCACGCAGAGCACTAGGTGCTGCAGGCCTAGGAAGTCCGCGGATGTCGTCCGACGAGTGGTCCGAGAGAGGGCAATATCGGTCTTCGAAAGCGCGAAACGAGAAGGCTGCCCCCCGAGATGGCCATCGGGACAGCGCTCAACCCAACCGCAGCGCGGGCAGGCCGCCATCTGGTTCGAGGAGTATTTTGCGCGGAACCAAAGATCGGGCCAAATAATGCGGACCTTCCAGAGTGGCGTGTAAAAACAATGAATACTATGTACAATATGGATATACCTTAAGTGGCCGGTCAGTCAGCCATGTAATCGCGTGTGTCGAGTCAGCATAAATACAGACTACAAAACTCGCTATTATGCGACCTTCCCTCGGCGTAAACACTCACTGACGGAGCGCCAAGCTCGACAGCTTTCTGAAACCAGACCGGAGTAGAACAGATATCGGGACTAGAGGTAGATATCATTCTTTTTTTATTTCTTTGAACTGCCTATTGTAGGTACACTGTATACACTCTAGCATGCTGGACCAGCGACCAAGAGCTTCTCCCCTGAATCGCCGCCACAAGGTTGTAGAAGTATCTGAATTTACACTGCCACGACATCTGCAAAGTCATCCCGACTCGCAGTTGGCAACTTTCATCCGGGGGCAACACGACGAGGCTGAAACAATTAGCCCTTGTAGGCCGACGGGCCAACCATGAGCTCGGGCTTGACGAGGCTGTCAAAGTCGGCCTCGCTGAGGGCGTTCAGCTCCATGGCGCTCTCCTTGAGGGTGAGGCCCTTCTTGTGGGCGTTCTTGGCGACCTTGCTCGCCATGTCGTAGCCGATCTTGGGGTTCAGGCAGGTGACCAGCATGAGGCTAGATAGCGAAAGTCAGTATATACATGTATTGGCGTAGGGGATTTTAGTATCTGTCTGGTAGACTTACGACTCCTTCATGATGTTGGCAATCTTCTCCTCGTTGGCCTGCAGGCCGGCCACGAGGTTCTTCTCAAAGGACGTCATGCCGTCGGCCAGCAGGCGACTGCTGTGCAGCAGGTTGCGGATGACCAGGGGCTTGTAGACGTTGAGCTCGAACTGGCCGTTCATGCCGCCGATGGTGGTGGCGACGTGGTTGCCCATGACCTGGGCGCAGACCATGGTCAGGGCCTCGCACTGGGTGGGGTTGACCTTGCCGGGCATGATGGAGGAGCCGGGCTCGTTCTCGGGCAGGTTCAGCTCGCCGAGGCCGCAGCGGGGGCCGCTGCCGAGGTAGCGGATGTCCTGGGCGATCTTGGTGAGCGAGGCGGCCAGGGTGTTGAGCGAGCCGTGGGCCTGGACGATGGCGTCGTGGGCGGCGAGGGCCTCGAACTTGTTGGGGGCCGTCGAGAACTCCTTGCCGGTCATCTTGCTGACCTCCTCGGCGATGCCCTCGGCGAAGCCCTGGAAGGTGTTGATGCCGGTGCCGACGGCGGTGCCGCCCTGGGCCAGCAGGCGCAGGTCGGGCAGCGAGCTCTCGACGCGCTTGATGCCCATGTCCAGCTGGGCGACGTAGCCCGAGAACTCCTGGGCCAGGGTCAGGGGGGTGGCGTCCTGCAGGTGGGTGCGGCCGATCTTGATGATCTTCTTGGCCTCGAAGTCGTCGACCTTCTTCTGGAGGGCGTCGCGGAGGGAGCGGATGGCGGGCAGGAGGCTGTCCTCGAACTCGAGCACGGCGGCGATGTGCATGACGGTGGGGAAGGTGTCGTTGGACGAGGCGGAGCGGTTGACGTGGTCGTTGGGGTGGACGGGCTTCTTGCTGCCCATGGTGCCGCCGAGGATCTCGATGGCGCGGTTGGAGATGACCTCGTTGGCGTTCATGTTGGACTGGGTGCCGGAGCCCGTCTGCCAGACGACGAGGGGGAAGTGGTCGAGCAGCTTGAGGTCGGCGACCTCCTTGGCGGCCTGCTGGATAGCCTGGCCGATCTTCTCATCTGCGCATGGGGAGAAGAAGGTGTCAGTTCATGAGCTCTCTCTCACTCTCTCTCACTTTCTTTGGCTTTTGCGGGTGGTGGTGTATTGTATAAGTGGTGCATGTGGGGAGAAGGGTATTTTGTCCGTACCGAGGCCATAGCGCATGTTGACGGTGGCAGCGGCGCCCTTCAGGATACCGAAGGCCTTGACGATGGGCGGGGGCATGCGGTCCTGGGGCTGGTTGATCTTGAAGTTCTCGAGGGAGCGCTCCGTCTGGGCGCCCCAGTACTTGTCGGCGGGGACCTGGATCTCGCCAAAGGCGTCGCTCTCGGTCCTGGTGTTGCCCATCCTTAACGAGGTTGCGTGGAAGTTTCTCTGGGCGCGGAGGGCGTAGGTGGAGGGCAGCGCGGCGGGCTTGGAGAAGGGAGTATATGGCGAGGCGGCGGGCGAGGCCGCAGATGAGGAGTAATTGCATGTGCAAGCCAGGGCGACTCTCGGAGCTGTCCTCCTCGGCAGCAGGCCGGCAGTAGCTCGTACCGATCGAAGCATGATGGGCAACCTTGGACACAGGAGACGCTTTCCTAAAAAGGACCTCGTGGGTGAGTCTTATGCAGCCTGGCAGGAAGCCAATTGGTAAGTAGACGGTCTAGTAGATGAAGGTGCAAGTCCGTACCAGGTGGTTTTTGCTGAGGCCTAAGTTTCCGTCTCGCGATGGCGCAGAGAGATAAAACCTCGCTCCGACCCGGAACCAAAATAAATCTCGCTGAGACAGCCCAGCTTCTCGGCTTGGGAGGGAAGCTCCCTCCACCCCCTGGACCGTGGACGTCGGCACTGTCGCTAGTGCCTACACACCACAGGAACCGCTGTGTGGGCTCTGTGTGGGCTCCGTGTGGGTGCTGGAGCCGTCCCAGATCGGACCGGGATTTCCCGACATCATTGAATGGATCATGCTGTGATGTAGGTAGTAGGTAGTACGGAGAGTGCTCTGTATGCAACTTGGTTATTGTTTCCATAACTGTATAATTTGCAAGGTATCTTGTTTGTCAGGTATCTCCACTTACACGTATACTCACAACTATAGTCACAATGTTGCGTGCTTTCTCTCTCGGGGCCGGGACGACGGTGGGCTGATATCCCAACCTTGAACAGCCTCCTTTCCCAATCTGTATCTTGGTCTAGTGGAACACAGCATCGGAATAGTTTGTAACAGATGCGCTTCTTGCTGCGCATGTGCATACGCTTTGCGCCTCATGAGCCGTTTGGCGTCGTCCATTGGCATCGTCAATTCAAAGTCGCTGTGGCTTTGGGGCTTGCAGGGAGGTGTTTTGATGAGACTCGCATTGCTGCTGTGCATGCACAGGGACGAACGGCTGGCAAGTCACATACTGTGCAAGTTAGTTATCAGACGTCCAAGCTCGAAATGATCGACACCACAGGCCGCCCCCTGTCTGCCCGCCAGCCCAGCGGCGCACACCCTGACCAACCACGCAACCAGCAAGCAGGCAAGCAAGCAACCACCGTCGCAACTTCGTGCCATTGATCCTGTATAACTCCCCAGCTCGACTCGACCAGCCCGCTCACCGGAAAACACCCAGCACCCCATCACGCCGAGCCTGATCTCGCCTCGACCTACGCTGCGAACGCCAGCATGCTAGTTTCCCTCACCGTCGGCAAGGTCGACGCTGGCGTCACCGTGCTCCTGACGCCAGACAAACGCCTGGTATGTGTCCTCTCCCGAGCTCCTGAATCCTCACCACCTCGCCCCTCGAAACCTCGTCGCAAACCCTCGCCATGGCTCCCTGGCTTCCTTCTCGCCCCATGCCGCCTACACGGGTCTCTCCTCGAGCCAATTGTGCCGACCGCTAACCTGGCTTCCCCCTCCAGATCGAGTTCCCCTCCATCCTGCTGCCGCCCAACATCACCTCGGGCTCCATAGTCGACATCACCGTCTCGCGCAACCATGGCTCGGAAGAGACGGCCGACCAGCGCTTCGCCGCCCTGCAGGACCAGATCTTCAACGCCTTCGGCGCCTCGGAGCCCGTCGCCCCCGTGCTGCGCTGCCGCAACGCCACGCAGACGTCGGTCGTGCTCGAGTGGGACCCCATCGAGCTGGCCACGGCCGACCTGATCTCGCTGAGCCTGTACCGCAACGGCCAGAAGGCCGGCAACATCCCCCGGCCCCTGCACATGCACAGCACCAAGATCTCGGGCCTGGCCGTCGACACCGAGTACGCCTTCCACCTCGTGCTGCGCACCAGCGCCGGCACCATGGCCAGCCCCCAGGTCGTCGTCCGCACCCACAAGATGACCGACCTGAGCGGCATCACCATCACCACCGGCATCCTGCCCGCCGGCCAGCGGGACGGCCTGGCCAAGGCCGTAGAGCGCATCGGCGCCAAGATCGTCGACGGCGTCCGCATCGACACCACCCACTTCGTCACCACCGAGGGCCGCGGCATGGCCTGGGAGAAGGCCGTCGAGATGAACATCCCCGTCGTACGCCCCGAGTGGGTCGAGGCCTGCGAGACCAACGGCCGCATCCTCGGCGTCACCAAGTTCTACCTCGACGCGCTGAGGCCCGGGCCCCCGGAGTCGGAGGAGACGACACCCAAGGCATCGGCACAGGTACCGGATCAGCAGCAGACCAAGTCCCTCCCCCCTGATCCGCCGGCGGAGAACGGGAATGGCGCGGCAGCCACGGAGGAAAAGAAGGAGGCAGAGGAGAGCAGTGACGACGATGATGACGACAGTGACGACAACGAAGACGGCGGCGCGGCAGATAGCGAAAAGGCCGAGGAAAAGGCCAAATCGGCGGACGCGGAGCAGAAGATGAGGCTGGAGGACAAAGACACCCAGAAGGTCGCCCTACGGCCGGGGCAGGCCGCGGCGTCAGGCAAGGAGGATGGCACGGAAGGCGACGACGAGGACGGCGGCGTAGACGAGAAGCAGCCGGCGCCGTCGCCGGGCGATGGGGCCAGTTTCCAGGACGTCGCCCTATAAGGGGGTGGGAGACAGGAAAAGGCAGCAAGGAGAGCCAATAATATAGAACGGTTAGAAGGACCGGGATCACAGGACAATGGGAGTCGGCATTCGTCTTTGCATGTGTGTGTTCGCGTGTTAAGCATGGAGTTCTCGTGAGGAGGGTCGTGGGGCTCTGCTTATTGAGCCTGGAACTTGAACTTTGAGGGCGACGGAAACGTGACACTGGACTGGATTCTGTATCATCTAGGGGAGAGGCCTTCGAGAGAAAGGGGCAAAAGTTCGAGCGCTTCTTCGCGGGTGTGGGCGTTGCAAGACGTCGGGTATAGAATATACTAATGACCATTTTGTTTGACATTTATTACTAGTCTGTGACCGTTGGCTATACCCCTCTGGTGATGGTTTATATGGTTGCCATTCCTTTGTCTCCTCTTGATCACTGAAGGATTCACCCACTATCTGCTTCGTCGCGACCTAAGTTAATCAGGATCCGTCCTGAATCGGTCCACCTGCGAGAAATTACAGGCTGCAAACAAGACAACACCGACCCGCAAGCCTCCTGTTATACCCAAGGCAGCGGCCTCCAACAAGAGGGACCCCAGGCCTCGTGTTGTTCAACCTGCTTTAGAATGATATTGCTACATCAAACCTTATACTTCTCATAGAGCCCGATATATCGCTTTAACGGTAACCTCATCATTATAAACCTTGCTACAACAAAATATTACAGATGCCTACCTTCGACCTCTGCCCCATTAAGCAGGAGATCCTTTCGCTGTTGGTACCACTCCCTGTATCACCTGATGCACGGGGACAGTGGAGACATGGGTCACTATACTGTCAACAGTGCATATGCCGGTAATACTAAGACAATAGTGGGGTGGGAAATAGTACGAAAGCCTCCTCTAGACAAAGATGAGAAGCGTAGTACACAGTGTTGATTAGCTCGAAACAAATCAACCATAGACATAGGGCCACAAACTCTCTCATGGGTGAAATTGACGTTTGCACGTGCTACATCTACATCATGACTCTCAAGCCGACTTGGGCCCGGACCCATCACAGAACAGTAGGATGTTAGCGTCAGCACCGAAATCGTCGCAAGGCCTGCATAACTAGGTAGTATTGCATGTCGTACTCCCTAGGTAGGAACCAACCCGCGCGACGCGCTATCGGCTGCACAGCCCCCTCGGTTTTGTGAGACAAAGAAAATGAAGCTCCACCGCCGATTGGATGGCATCAAGAGCCTTCTCTGCCTTAACATCGAGCACGGGCCAAGGAGAGGTCGCCCTGCATAGACGGCATACGATACATCAGCGCTGGTCTTTGGGTGGGTGTATGCATCCCCTGCACACCATTACACCGAAGTGCGCAAGAGTACCAGGCCTTGGAGGCGTGATGGATCAAGTGGGAGTGGGAAGAGCACGTGTAGCGTTAGCTGAGGATTATGCCGTCCTGAATGGCACCGCCAATGAGAGTACGCCGTCCCACGCCACTCAGTCCGATATGTGTGTGTCCAATTCATGACCCGGGGCGGCACCATACGAGCTCGGCCACTTAAGGACTGACTGGAAGAGGCAGGGGAGTGGTGCAAGTATATTCAGCCTCGAAACCTGAGTTTTTCAGTTGCACTCTTCTCCATCTATATATATATACTCCACTTCGTCAACACCTTAAGTTATTTTGTATCCGTATGTCTCAAGTTTTGGATATCATCGCCTTCCCATTACCTCCTGTGTTTTGAAGCATTCTTTACATTTTGCTACTTTACTTCGAGTACCTCCTGTCATGTCAGTCACCAAGCCGCTGTCCACTGAAGCCATAGTAGCCATCACAATCGGCTTGGCGTCACTGATCATCGGGCTACTCTCTCTCTGGATCACTTGCTTGGCATTCACCCATTCGCGCATCTCACAAGCACGACCTCCTTGGCCCCAACCGCCATCAATGGAGGCGTCATACTCGCGTATGATCTACTTTCAAGACCGCAGGTTGCGTGTCACCGATGGCTTCGCGGTACGACCTTCAGATCTTCATCCCGTACCGTATTTGGGTTCATCAAAAGACGTAAGACTTCTCATTGTCTTGACCTTGCCATGTACTCATTAAAGAAAAAGTATCTCCTAACGACTTATAGGACCTTTTGTAATGGCCGGCACATTTACTTCTGGTAACGAAGTCAGTTGGTAGAGGAAATTGGATACATTCAAGGGGGGGCACTGCAGACTATAAACCACGACCTTTTTAGATCTATCAGAGATGCTTAGGGCCCTTTTGTTGGACCAACGTCCAATTGAACTGAGCAGCACAGCATTACAATCAATTGATTTTACCTGCGCAGAGCTCTTCGTCACAACGCCGGGCCCTTTTGCATATACGTATTGATCAGCGGTAACAGTGTTGCCGCTCAGAGATCTTAAAACCTCGAGAAGACCAAGCACAATCGAGGCCCCATCAGCGATGCTGTTGTACATTACAGCATGATAATTGTCAGTCCACTCTGTTTGTAGCTAAATGCTGGGGGATTACCATGGGTAGACTTGATTGGAGACTTGAAAGGGTGCTCCGTGATAGGAGGCCCTGGCCTAACACCCAAATTTTCGTGAGCTTTCCTGCAAATGTTCCCTTTGCGAATCGAGTACTGGAAGGGACAGCAACTTTGTTAAGTCCTTGTGCTTATTTAAATCGAGACCACGCATGATGCAAATCATATCTCAACACTGTAATCAGATTCCGAGCTCTCGGCTGACCCGCCTAGCTACCGTCTGAAGTTGCCTTTAACTCCACTTAAGTTAATTCTCAACGCTTGAATTAGTGCAATGAGTGTACCCGCGCCACACCTGAAGTAGCTAGATCCTCAGCCTAAATTAACAACATCCATGGTTCGTCCAATACCTCTATTGAACGACGAAGGAATGAACATCTACACAATTTGGGGGAGCATGGCCAGGCTCGGTTCTGGGTCGACGCATCTCCCTGAAGTCGGGTTGCGAACATGAAGATATTGGCCTGTAGCACGCTTGTAATACCCAAGACCGCGACTGTTGATAGACAGTGACCCCCGGGCGTGGGAGTGCGAGTAGGTTAGCACATCGCTTATGGGCTCGGTAAAAAACCGGATCACGTTGCAAGGGCTTCATTCTCTACCAGTTACATTTGTTCAAACCACATGTACTCCCCCATCGCGGTGAACAACTACGAAACACATGTGTTCTGTTCAATGTCGATGCCGTCGCGAAGCTTTCAGTAGCCTCATATCTGTATGTCCTTGCTCCTGGCCTCCATTGCCCACTCAGGCACCTTGCGTGCGTCTCCGACAACAACTCACGAGCATGATATGGTAGAGCATCCCACACCGGGCTGTTCGTTGTATGTACTAACCACGTGACTGCATTGCCTCTTCCGGAATCAGTCCAACAAGCCCACATTTGACGGATCTCATTAACGCAGGCGAGACTTGCAGTCGTCACTGGTAACAATCAGCGGGCTTCCTGTCTTTGTGTTGGAGACTACGGCATGAGCTGCTCGACCATGCGCCACCAGAGAAGCGCTTGCATCCAAGTCGAAACTCCTGAAAACATGTACTGAAATGGCTCATTAGAGCCGAGCGGTCAGTACTATCCCCAGCTGCCATGATCACGCCTCGAAACATAGCTTTGAAAATGCCCATAAGTTGTCCATCATGTAGTTCGCCACCATAATGAAGCTCAACACCATGGTCATGAGGGTTCTCAGCAGACTATTCATGCTTGTTGACAAAGGAATGTATCCGTCTAGCTTTGGAGAGGTAGAACAGTACTTATATGCTCACAACAGCCTCAGCTACATGATTTCCATATGCAACTAGGTAACATCAGCCTCTGACCAGAAACAAAGCCTGTCATTTTGCGCGACTGTCACGAGATCGCAATATGCCGCTATTATATCACGCTTTGCGACCGAACCACACGACAGACTTGAAGAAAGCTATTCCCATCATGCCAGGTACCACTATCAAGGACTGGGTAGTCTGCCAATGTCTCGCCCCTTACGACTACAACATCGACACCTACACAGTTCATGACCCGAATCATGAACGTTGCAACCAATGTTGGCGCAAAGAGTTTAAAACAAGCTCATGATAGAGATGTTTGCGGGTACACACATTCATTGCCTGTGCGGTCGTCGTTTTATCTGGATTAGTCCAGGAGAAATAGGATTTCCTAGCACTATAATCTCTATCGGTCATGGGTTGCTGCAAAGCAAGACTTAGCTCTCCACCGCATCGAATGCATACACAACTTGCCACTTTCAGTGAACCCACGCTCATTACACCATCGGTTTCGGGATCGCTCTGCTTCGGGTACGAGGCATTATTTCCTGTTAGTTAGGCATTGGCGAGTTAAAACAGTTAGGCATTCACTACCAGTTGAATACAAAAATGATTCGATGCCCAGTCAGAAAACATTGACTGAGCGGTGTAAATGAATGTAGTGGGGCCATATTTATTCATGTCGCTGCTATTTCAGAACAGAATCGAATACTTTCTTCCGACACCTTGGGCTTTGGTGACGTCTGATCAAGAATCCCTCGTGAGTTCTTGCTGTCCAACTGTCCGTGCCAGACATTTTGAAATAAATATGAATTGTTACCGGTGGCTCCCAAATGTAGTAGCTCCACATGTGAATGCCACGCAGACCCCCAGCCCGTCACGAAATAGTTACAGCCTTCATCGATGTAGATGATAAGACTCATTTGAATTCGTCTTGATATAATCAGTTAATATCCTCACAAAATGGTTCATTCAGAATTGGCTTATGTACGACTGAGCTGTCAAGAGTATATTTCCATTTTTAGAAGCTCTTAAGTAGTATTCTAAGCTTCGAAAGGCCGTCGAATCAAGATCAATTTGTAACCGTGTGTGTCCCGAGAGCCCCGCGATTGTCAAAGCTGAACGCTTATGCGTAAACTTTTTGATATAGTCCCAGGTTGAAAGTGCAGAAAATCGGTATAGGAACAGTATCTAAGCAATTATCCCACATTGCTGGATGCATATACTGCCATGGTCAAGACAGTCTACAGTTCATCAAAACGACTTGGTACACGCGTTGCACTTTTAGAAACCATTTACCACCTCTCCATCAAGAGAACATGATCTGTTCTTAAGGTACAGTGATGGGGGTGAAGATATACTGGTGAACATATAGCCATGTGACTGCGCTTATCGTTGATATTGGAGCAAAAACGACGAAGACCACCTCTGCCTTGTGGTATGGATCTTCCAGGCTGAGCACGATTTCCCCGGCCCTAGCTAACCGTCCTTCAACTGACGTATAGTTTGAATAAAACTCTGCATTCCGTCTTCGCCGCTTCGAACAAGTGTTGTCATGGCATCGACCCAATCGCTATCCACTGAAGCAGTGGTGGCAATTGCAGTTGGCTTAACGTCGCTGCTCATCGGATTGCTCTCACTTTGAATTACATACTTGGCTTACACTCACTCACGTTCCGCACGGACTCAGAGCAATGCGAACCGATTTCAATCGCCCTGGCCGCGACTACAACCAACCGAGGTTTCTGCTTCAGCTTATGGGTTGCTTTCAATACCACAAGTTGCACGATATCGATGAAACCACCGTGCAACTTTGAAGCAATCCAGTTGATAGCACCTGAATTGTCATAAAGCAAGTAAGAGAATTCCATTCTTTTTTTTTTTTTTTTTTTTTTTTTTTTTTTTTTTTTTTTTTTTTGAAACATCATGGCTACGAATCGTATTGTTTTCCAGTCAAAGGATTCGATTTAATGATGTAGTAGTCAAGAACTATCTTGGTTGTTTACAAACTTTAGAGAATGTTTAGGTGTTTGGTTTCAGTCCGACGATACATTTGGGACGCCGTCCAGCTGCATTATCTTCTCTGCATCAATGGAAATTAGGAGTCGTACTGTACCGCGACAAGACAGCCACTTTAACAACCGGGGTACTTCTGTTCCAAAAGCAAATCAAGCAGAGGCGGAACTTTACGCTGCAGAGTATATAGCGACGTTTAGTAAGCTATTAATATGACTCTCAAATCCTTTACCTAGAAAGTCATTTTGGATAATTTGCTGTCGAGATGCGCTCTACGCAAACTTGAGTGAACATAATTCATAGTAGGCTGTCCCGTTGGTAACTACTCCCCACCTATGCCTAGACGAAATATCACTGCGAATTTGAAGACCGTGCTGGAGTCAGGGCCGCAAGCCGTTCATGCATCTGGCGCGGGAGAAGCGTGCGATTGCGCTCTAATTAGCCACAAGCATGCGTCCCTAGGTGCTTCCAAAGTTAAAAGGCCTTGGCGCGTGTCTACGCACAGCGGGCGTTGTACTTTGTACTGCGTACCGACCTCGTGGGTGAGCCACCCCTAGCTCCCCCCGTCGTCTGAAGTTGCCTTCAACTCCGATTGGTCAAAATGCCAACGCCTAGCGCAATGAGTATACCCGCAGCACCCCTAAAATAGCTAGATCTCCAATCTAAATCAAACAACACCCACCGTTTGTGCAATTCCTCCAGTCATTGAGCAGGACCATCGCCTTTGTTTGAAACGGAGCCACGGTACGATGAGATGATTCCACGTCCTGGAAATGCGGCGATATTAAGGGCGTGACGATGCAGCAGGGGTGGTAGAGCCGCATCAAAAGGATGGACTCCCCAAGCTATCTTGTCCAGATGGGCTCCCACTTCTTGTCACTTGTTGTGTCTCGCGATATATTCTTTCGTTCTCCATTCATACATTCTTTTTCCGACGATTGACTCGTCTTTTGTCATTCTTTCTAAGAGCAAGGTCTCTCTCAAACTACCAACATGAAGTTCTCTTCCCAAGTTTCCGCTGCAGCCATCTTGGCAAAGGCTGCTTCTGCCGGCACCGTTGTCTGGGACGGCCGGTTCACCGATACTAGTGCCTCAGACCTGAGCAAGTGGAGCTGGTCCAACCAGGTTGGCGCCTACCAGTACTACATCCACGGCACGGGAGACGTCGCTGAATATGTGAACATCGGCGCCGAGTACGCCAATCCGGCCGATGGCTCGGGCCTCGGCGTCAAGATCTCCCTCACTGATACCGCATACTGGAACGGCCAGACGATGCGTCGAACCGAGCTGATCCCCCAGACGAAAGATACTGCTGCCATCAGTTCGGGCACCCTCTACTACCACTTCAGCATCAAGCGCAGCGACACCAATGCCCCCTCTGTCAACCGCGAACACCAGATCGCGTTCTTCGAGAGCCACTTCACCGAGCTGAAGGCTGGCTGGCTTAGCGGTGCTTCTGGAGACTCCGATGCCTCGCTGAGGTGGTTTGCCAACAGCCAGAGCCAGTGGAACGTCACCTGGGAGGCGGATGTGTGGCACAACATTGCCTATGAGATCAACTTCGATGCCAACACCGTCGGTTTCTGGCACTCGACCGGCTCAGACGCCTTGACCCAGGTCGTCGCTCCAGTCTCGGCCAGCGTGTCCAGCAACGGTGCTGATTGGCACTTGGGTGCCTTGGAGCTTCCCCGTGATGGATATACTGACTCGGACGAGGACTTCTTCTTTTCCGGAGTCTACATTGAGAGCGGCGACTTGACAACCACTTTCTCTGGCAGCTCCGGTTCTGGCAATTCTGGCGCTGCTCCGTCATCCACCGTTGCGGCTACTTCGACGGTCGCTGCAAGCAGTGTCGCAAGCAACCCAACGACCTTGGTCACTTCAACCAAGGCGACCGCCTCAGCTGCTGTCAGTACTTCTAGCGCTGTTGAGTCTGCCGTAACCACCGCCGTTGCTTCTCCCACCTCTATTGCCACTCAAGTCACCTCTTCCGCGGCCGCCAGCGCAGTAACTACAGAGACATTGCCAGTGACAACAAGTGCACTCCCTTCGGCTGCTTCATCGTCGTCCACAGCACCCGCCAGCAGCAGCTCTGCGAAGCCATGCAAAAGCAAGAAGAGAAAGGCCAGACAGGCTAGAAGACTTCCTTAAGTAACGGAATACCCTCGATTCAAGGCGCTCTTGGGTCCATTAAGTCGTCCTTGATTTAGACCGAAGATTTCCTTCATAGAGTTTCATGTATATTCTTTTAACCTACTCCTTTTGGATAGGCAGCTAAGAGCACAACGTAAATAAGAGAACGAATAAGCGCACTCTCCCAGATGATATTATCCCGTTAGCATTCCGTGCCAGTAATTTGCGACCAATGGTCTTGATTTCTCTGTCCGTCATCAAGGTGCGACTTCACCGAGACCGGATAGACTAAGATCACATTGAGCGTGTACCATCACGTTGTCTTAGATATAAAGTGACCTCTTTTCTCCGCTGACTAGTCATATGGATGTGATGATGCGGTGAGAATTCCTCGGGCCAAGGTCTACGAGGCTGCCTTAAGATTGGGCAGCGGGCACGTTGACACATAATCATAGGAGAAGATTGTCTACAAGAATTAGGGATGGAATGTTCCTAAGCTCCGCTTGACATGTCGCCCGCCAAGCTATCTATGCTGTTGCTAGCGCATCACATTCAGCTCCAATGCTTTGCTTGTTCGCCGCCCTTCCTGGAGTCCAGCCTCATGGAATGCTGTATATAACCTCTTCCGTTGCTTTAAAGTGAGAACCGAAACCAATCAGCAGATAATCAAGATTACAGACCGCTGCAAAGTGATGCTCAGAACTCAGAACTTGATCAATTTCCGCTCCCGCGACCTTGAGAACCCAGCTGTGAATACTCACTTTAGCCTCCACCTCTTTGCGGTTGGCGGTAGCAGAGCCAATGGCAGATTTTGAAATGACCGTACTCATCAAGGTGTGCTGTTCCACAAACTCTAGATCTATATTCACCAGATCGGGAACTCGACCATAAGTCTTCATGAGCACAACGAGACGTCGCTCTTGCTCGAAAGGCTGGTTCTCGAAGAAGCATGCACCGTTTGCAGGTATACGGGCTGCAGGAATTCCGTCAATAAATTGGCTCCTTGTGAATTCGCCCATGAGTGCGCGCATTGTTTGTCGGCGAGACTCGTAGAAGTGATCCAGCCAGATCTCGCGTAGACTTGGCACAACTGTGTTAAGTACACGGAAGGATCGAGCCCCAATCTGTTGGAAGTTCTCTTTGGCCACATCAGAGTCCTGCTCTAGGAGCTTTCGTTGCTTCTCGACAACTTGCGCGAAATCGCTGGTGTATGGGCAACGTTCCGGTATTGCCAGTTTCTGCACGCGTGCGAGATCTCGAGGCTGCACGGAGCCTGGGACTAAAGGAGAGTACGGAAAACGGAGAGTATCCAGTGAGAAGTTGAAGTACACGGTTGTCGTACCACCGGGTAAGCCCATGCAGAGCTCATAGTGCCTCAGCGTCTCCAAACGAGACTGTCGGCTGACCCATAGCGTGACAGATAGAGTGGCTCTAGAACATGTCGTGGTATTGATCAGGAGCTTATCACCGTCCGCGAAAGGTTCTTGCTCGCGAATTGCTCGCGAGTGACGCCCCTTCAGCTGTTCTTCCGTCGCGTCGGCTGTGACGCTGACGTTGGGTCCATGGTATTTTCTTGAGATGGTAACAACGCGCTCCTCCCAAGTTTCTCGCCAAATCTTCAACTGCAACTCGGTGGGGAGGAATGAAAATATGGTGAAGTGACATGCTTGGTCTTCACCATCATCATGAAGGAGGCCATTTGTGCCGCAGTTCTCACGTTCTTGAGACATGGCGAACGATCGCGCTTCAAGGTATTCTTCACGCTGGAAAGCGTCAGTAAAAGTGAATGAAGGCTTTGGAGGTATTCGTTGAGGTGCTTGCAGGTGATTACTCAAGGTTCCTGGAACAAGTTGGTACTCAAGCACAGAAGTGCTTTTGGTAATGCTCCTGGTGAAGTGTGCAGCGCGTAGAACCCCGGGGGATTTCACCTCACATCAAAAGTCGGAGATGAGGTGCGGAGCAAGGATGGAAGCTTCAAAATCACCATAGGTGACGCAAAGAAGGTGGCAAACAAGAACCGGAAGAGCTATTTGAGTGACGGATCTGATGAAGAGAAGTGGTCTTGCAGAGATATGCGATCGCGTTTCTCAATTCTGAAAGGATAGCCTCGATGACCTGGCCGGTTTTGTTTGCAAGTGGCTTCTGATGAATGAGCTGCACGCACAAGGGCGATCAGAACCCCATGGCCTCGAAGCTGCCCAATTCCCACGATGAAATCTGTTAGGGACGATGGATCAGGAAGGAGGTTGAGGCAGTTGAAGGTGTCTAACCCGTTCACTTCGCATTGACTTTTTGCTCCATGTTCTAATTCGAGCGACTGACAATCACTTCATCTGATCGTTTACAGATGAATAATGAGCAATTAGGAGTGAGGGAGGTCCAGTGGTGATCTTTCCACACATCTGGAGCGCAGGGTTTACATATGCCTTCTTCGGTAGAATCATCCACAAGGCTTAAACTGCTGGAGCACACGCGTTTGGAAATGCTCTGAACTTTATCACATGGTGAAATCAATATCATATCTATTAGGATGCAGTAACATTGGTTCACGAACGCAACGAGACAATGTAATAGCCGGATGTCGATGCTTGATACGATTTTTAAGAAAATTCACGTTCACTGGCACATGCAGCGGTATGCGAGTCTCATGAAGGAAGTTTTACCATTGCATGATTACTAGGTCGGCATTGCTAATTTGATACGCCCCTGGTTTGTGAAGCAAAAGCTTATGAACTTGAAGATGGATAGATGGGCTGAATTCTTGTCCCAGGCGCCAGGCTTTGGATATAAATATGAGCAAGTTGTAGATCCAGCAATTGCCCATCCTCTGATATCACAAACAGGTATGACACTCTGTGACAATCATGATGCCTAGGTGACCTCAATAAGTCTGCTGGGCGGCCAGAGACTGCGCTGCTTGCAATTATTTCTCTTGATGTTTTGCATCAATACAGTTAAAAAATACGAGAAGTTTGGCACTTTGCGTGGTATCGCAGTGGGATGGTGATCTCTGGTTGATACCGTCTTAATGGCCATCACAGCTTTGGCTTCAGCTTGGCGTTTCCATGAATCATCACGCCCCACAGCCCAAAGTCGATCCCATTGTCTGAACTTGAACTTCGCTATGGTCGAAATTGCACCACATGCACACTTTCAAGATTGGTACGCTTTGGACAACGTAAATACTACTATCTGGAATTCGTCCTCTGCCTGTGTTAGACAGCCGTGCATAAGCAACCACCCTGTCGGGTTCGCGGACCAATCCTGGCTGATCAGCCAATCAGCGTCAACTATTCGCGTAGCTCCCCATCCCACCAACCAGCTTCAACTCTCATCTCATCCACCTCCATGTCGAAGCCCTGGATCCTGGTCTCGCCGTCCAGCCGGGGCATAGGCTATGCCCTGACGCGGCATCTCCTCCAGAGGACAACGCTCCCCATCGTAGCGACGTGCCGGTCACGGGACACCTCGGCAACCAAGGCCTCGCTGCTGGAGCAACTGCCAACACTGCACCACCAGGACAAGGAGGACCAGGCCTCTCGGCTTGTCGTGTTCCCGCTGGATGTGACGGACGAGGGCAGCATCCGAGAGGCTGCGGAGCATGCTGCGGAGCTCTTCCCGCCGCGGACGCACCACCTGCACCTAGGTTTTGCGATGCCGGGGATCCTGCACCCGGAGAAGAGCCCGGCGCAGGTGGATGCTGCCGACGCGGAGAAAACGTTCCACGTCAACACTCTGGGGCCGCTGCTGCTGATGAAGCACTTTGGGGAGCTTCTGCCTCGGAAACGGGACGAGTTGGCCATCCCTGGGGGCGGTGGATCGGACAGCGGAGGCCCGGGGAAGCTCCTGCCGCTGCCGCGGCACGCGACGTGGCTCAACATGTCGGCGCGCGTGGGCTCCGTGTCAGACAACCGGCTGGGCGGGTGGTACAGCTACCGGGCGTCCAAGGCGGCGGTCAACTCGCTGACGCGGACGTTCGACCTGCACCTGCAGAACCGCAGCGGGGCCAAGGCCATGGCCGTCGCGTACCACCCGGGCACAGTCAAGACGGGGCTGAGCCAGGAGTTCTGGGCCAACGTGAAGGAGGAGAAGCTGTTCAGCCCCGAGTTCGCCGCCGAGAAGATGTGCGAGGTCGTCTGCTCGAGAGAGCAGGAGCACAGGGGCCGGATCTGGGACTGGAACGGCAGCGAGATCATGCCCTGATGAGCGAAGCGTTTGAGAACTAGGAACAAGAGTCTGCAATATTCTGCCGGGCTTGGAATTGTACCCGCAACGTGTCGACTATAGGCGTTATAGAACTGCACGGAAGACCTACCACAGCAGCGAGGGACAGATAACTAGGGGTTTAAGCAAATGTAAGGCGCTCTACTGCGAGAGTCTTATATGATCTTTGGGCTATCCAGCTTCCATCTCGTGAGTTCCAGACATCTGCATTGTAGTACCTGTGATCTCTCTGGTATCGTACCGGAGGCATCCCGCCCCAGTGCGTTTCCTATATTTCAAGTCACTTGAGAGGTCCTGGTGCTTTAAAAGCATTTTTGTAGATTGATGTTGTACTGTTCCTCTATAATTCTTTCTACTAGACTCCCTGTCATACACTCGACATCCATCAAATGAGTAAGAAGCGAATACTTTCAAAGCAAAAAAAAGGGGACCAAATGCCCCAAATTGATATTAGGTTCCGCCTCCATTCAGGCCATTGGAAGCTTGCCATCTCGAGGAAATCAGGGTACGCGCTTGTCGGGTTGTGCACAGCAGCGATTCTGGCATTGGAGGTCTCAGCTGCGCAATCTCGTCCCTTCAACCCCCTTGATGGTCATGGCCGTCTCAGTCGTCGGATAAAAGCAAGAGTCTCTAACCCCCACATATTCAAAAATTTGGTATAATTGAACCGCCATTCGTGATATTATGCCAAATGCATGGCGAGGCGGTACTGTATCGGTCAAATATCGCCCAGGCGATTCAACAGAGAGCAGAGTTCTGAGGGGTCAGGCCTAGAAGCCCCCCTTGGTACCGTTCTTCTGGTCGATGTATCGGAATCGTTCGCGCTCCTTGCGATCCTTGGAGAGACAGGCGAGGGCCATGATCAGAGCAACATCAACGCCAACCATACCGAACGCCGCCGTGAAGATATTGTCGACGAAGACGTTCGTGAACGATATCAATGGTGCGGCACAGCCCTTGATGAGAGCAGCGGCTGCCGGACTCGGGCAGGTAGCGTCTGTGACGAAAGCAGGAGTCGTGCTGTTGATATATCCACAGCATTGGAACTGACACCCGTGTTAGCAACACGACCTAAGGACCAACGGCGAATGGCTTACCTTGGTCTGGAGGAGATCCTGAACCCTAGCGGGCTGCGACATCCAGATATCGAAGAACTCTTGCTTCGTCTTCAACGTGATGATCCACAAGTCCAGTCCAATGATCAAAGTGAAAAGCGCGTCCACCACCACGAGATATGCCGCAAACTTCAACCATCCTCGACTCGGGGTCAACAGTGCCGGAATGGTCACCAGGAAGATGAACAATGTCAAGGCGCCGTTGGCGATACCAGCTAGAGAAAAGCGTCAGACACGGCGCGAGATTTGGGTCCCAAGCAAAACCATGCTTGGCGGCGCAACCTACCTGTCAGTGGGAACCTCTGGTATAGTAGATCTCGGGCGGCCTCCTCTCCCTCGTTCGGCGGGTTGAAGCAAGTGTTGATGACCACGACGGAGAAACCCAGCATGATAGCACCCATCACCGCGAACAATCCATCAATGGCCACAAAGGCCAGCTGAACCTTATTCACCATCTTTGCTTATCGAGTAGCCAGTTGGCCCCGAGGTGGTTGGTCTCGAAGTACTTGGCTACTCGGTAAAGTCCACCTCTTGGGTCTGCCGACCTCTTTCCCTGAAGCTGTCCTCCCTCTATGCAACGAAGTGGCGAAATGATGCGACGACCGGCGTCAACTAGGCGATACTGAAAAGGTTTACGGGAAAGGCGTAGTCGGAGATATCACAGGCATGGAGACCCGCTGGGACGTGGAAGAGAAGGAAAGGAATGAATGGAATGTCGAAATCGATCGACGTGTCAACGAACACCAGGAACTGACAACCCACGCCTCGACCGAAAAAAGCCGAAAGGTAAGTGTAAAAGAGCAGTGGGCGTGAAACGAAGGTTATGATTATGGAGAGAGGGCAGTGAGGACAGAGATGATGCACGAGGGGGGGCAGTGGATGGGGGGTCCCAGTACGACACAGACACAAGCGCCAGGCCTACGAATCCGCGACCAGACTGACGTTTCCTACTACGACGCTACCTAATCACGTACGACGGACGAGGTCGAACGGCGGGGGCACAAGAGGCACAAGAGGCACAAGAGACAGGTGGGATCCAGGCACGGAGAGGGCAGGATCGATTGGAGACACGCACGCAAGCCATACTGTCCAGATTGTGGCCTGACTGGGCCGGCAAGAAACACAGCAGAAACGGCCGCGGGCTCCACCTGCCGTGATGCGACACCGCTTCAGCGCGCGGTCGAGGGTGGTGAGGATGTGCGATCCCCGACGCATGGTGTTTCAGCGCTTGTAAGGGGACTCGACTTCGCCAGGTCTGAGGCAAAGCGACGTCGTCCTGCGCGCGCGCACGTGCCGTCATTGGCGCCGTGCAGCCCAGCATAGCGCCCGGACAGCCAATCAATCGGCACGCCCAGGGCCACCCCTTGCTGGGCGAGCAGAATCGAATGATTTTGGTTTGAGGCTCTTACAGCCCTTCTGGCTTAATGGGTTATCTTGTCAGAGTCCGTGATGTCTCTCTGTGAGGCCCCCACAAGCCGCCGTGGGCAGCTTCTGGCGTGGGCTTGTCTCGCAACATGCTCCCAATGCTGAGCCTCATCGGCTCCAGTGAAAAGAGTTGCCAAGTAGTGGGCCAGGTTAGAGTCCGGGTAACGGCTGGGCGTGGACATTCATCGTCTGTCGTCCTTGAACGGTCAGGTTTCCATCGAATTGTGTGTGTCGCGGAGCTTATAGACAAGCAAATGTCATCAAATGTTGTTCTCACCTCCTTGGGTAGAGTAGTGGCTTCAACCAAACTCTTGGTATTCGGCATTCGAGGATGCGAGAACTACGTGGACTAAAACACGAACCCATGCGCATTGCCGTCTCTGCAGCACATCACCCGCAATATAAAAGATGGGATGTCGGAGATCATCACGCAGTGCGGCAAGGATACACGGCTAAAATAGCAACAATTTCAGTGATTGCAGTCTGGCGGAAATGTGCTAGACTACTTGAGGAATGTGTATGGCTGTATCCTATGAAGAAAGTAGTGCCGAGTTGAGCCTCATCTGGGCTGATGCAGGACAGTAGGTATGTGACGCCTCTGCAGTCGGGCTTTCCCCGGTTCAGTCTTTCCTTGACTGGCCTTGGGTAGACGTCGAATTTGATTCATACATCAATCAAGGTCGACGCTTGCTCATCACCCCCATCCCCCCCAAACATTTCCAAAGCTATATTTGAAAGACCTTGTTTGCGATTGTTATCATCTGCAGCGTAGTGCCGACGGGTACTTGCCTCGATTGCTTGAACATGCGTGAAACGTGAACACCAGTCAGGACAAGGACAAAGCGGAAGCCCTAATCGAACAAGGACGGTTAGGCGCATACGATCGGGAGATGAGCCAAAGACACATTGCAGCAGCATTCCAGAGCCTCGGTACTGTGCAATGTACAACCGCCGTGGTGAGACCTGGGGCACCCGCGTGGGAGCACGAGTGACTACGTGATTCGTGATGACTATCCCCATCACGCCGCGCTTCGATTATGGCTTCTAGAGTTCAAGCTACGGCATGGCCAAACAGGGCGCCACGGCGCCACCTCGTGGGAGATTCTCGGCAGTGCGTGCTCCTCAGGCGATCGAGATAAGAGACAGGCCGGAATCGCGTAGGATTGCCTTGGTGACTTGCACTTTCGACGCAGACGAGGGAATTAGCCGTGCTTGTTTCTAGTCGGATCAGAGGACGACAAAATGTTGCCTTCTGGTATCACCGTCAACCACGGTAAGGCTAATGGAGCATCGAGCTATCACCTGTTTGATGTATGTATGTCTTTGTGGTCCTCGACACCCATTCGGCAATAGGGCTGGTGTAGGCCCGTGGACTAAGGAGACCTTGAGTATCGTGTCTCTTCATGTCGGCGGATCACTGAACATGATCTCAAGACATGCATCTGTTCACCAAGGTCTAAGGAGATATGGGGTTTGCCAGTGCTGGGTGCGCACTAGCGGTCTGCAACATCAACACCGCGTTGATGTCTCCAATACTGCTTGACGTCTTGGCTTCACCTACCTTCGTTGCCCGAAGCTATGCCTTTCAGACATGTAGCCAATAACGGCGGAGTTGCTCAACGACTTATTAGTCAACTGCCTAGGTAGGTAGGACGGTATGTGTCGTGATGCGTATGACGCCACACGGCAGAGCCGTTTGCTGTCACTGGATCTGACTAATTTGTATTTCTCTGGTGAATATTGATGCTTTGCACACATGTGATCTGGCTAGGATCAAGTACTTGCACCTTGTCCGTCAGGGTCGTTGAGGCCTGATCTATGCCGGCGACGGGATCTCTGCCGGCAACGCGTTATAGTGACTTCCGCCAACCCAACCCCAAAAAGCACTTCGTTCAACTCCTTCCTTTCCAGTTGCAGCTACTGCATCGTATCACCTATGTGCATGGAGAGGAATATTCAGGGATAGGCAGCAAATCCAAAGAAAGCAATAGCAGGCATCGCCTTCCCAACCCACTCCACAATGATTTCTGAATTCTTCTCCCGGTGACGGACCCACGAGATCGGAACAGTGGGCGGTTGTTTTCTCAGGCGCGGCCGACTCGTTGAGATTGCTGCACCCAATTTCGTGGCTCAATCGATGATTCGACGGAGCAAGCCCCTTCGAGGGTGGGCAGGATGGGTTAGGCGCAGCACCATCGAGGGGCGAACCCGCTTTCGTACAGCTCCAGCAACGTCCAGCCTGTCAATCTTCCCAACCCCTCATCCACGAACTCGACCCGTGTCCAGGGGACGAGGGTAGCTTTTTTGCTCTTCTCGGCAATCAGGTCTTCTCTCATTCGACGAGAGCCCTCACACGCTTCGACGCCCGCTTGGCTACGCACCCCGCTTTTCCTCCGTCCCCTGTCGATACTGGCGCGCGCCCCATGGCGGCGGACCTAATCTTGAGCCCCTGGTCAGTGCATTTGGCCCATGTGGAGGAAGGCCCTTCAATAATCTTGAGGGTAGATCACAAGGCCAGACGAAATCTCTCTGTCTCTCTCAACTAGCCGGTTGAACATGCGTTGCATCGTAGAGCCTGGCAGGGGCCATCCGCAATGCTGGCAGACTGGGTACCATTCTTCCGCCATGCAAGGCAGGCATCGTAGACAGGGCTTCTTGCAGGGCTTCATATCGACAGTTGACGATCTGCCAACGCCTTAGCTCAAGCGCCGCAGCGTCACTATTGACAACTGCCCAATAGGATGATCCTCCTCCGAATGTCTCGCCGCGTAGCATTGCTATTCCAGCCACGGATTGGAACGTCCGGGAGTTGGTTCGCCCATGAGCCAGGACGTGAGCCATTTGTTGGATGGCTGTGTGGTGTCCGGTGTGTTCATAGTCTTCGCACGAGTTGCTGAAGATGAGAGACTGTCTTGCTTGTCGAGCCGGCTTGCCTGGCCCAGAAAAGCAGATGGCGCTATTTTCAAACGGCCGGGCCAACCTGGCGACTGCGGCTGCAGTTTGGTGGCTCCGGGGGGCCATAGACTCCGAGCCGTGCGTTTTGCAGCAGGTGATATTGGACCAGAACCTCAAAGTCTGATGAACCCCTCCGACCAACCTCCAACCACATCCTTGGAGTACCATCCACACTGGCGCAAGATGCCGAACCCCTGCTTGGACCTCAGCCTTCTATTGCTCAATCCTTCTGCGGACCAGTGCCGGAAGCTTTACGCGCAGAAGCAAGCCTGCTTACCATGTGCCATGTGCACATGTGCCTCTCGTCGCAAGCGAACGCTCCGCCGATCCCAGCTGTCAGAGGCGGAAAGCCTACGACAGGTCTCACTCTTTGGGGGTTGAATCACCCAAGAGGTGAGGGAGTATTCCGTCCAGGTTCCCCGAATGCATGCACGCCCGCATCAAGAGCTTCTTGCCTCTTCCGGCTCCCGTCAGCGCTATGATTGATGCTTGTCAGCTTGGAACCTGGGATTGCAACTTGCGCTGGGCGCCTCTCATCCTACCCACGCATGGGCGAAAAGTAGTGCCCCACCGACTTATAGTAGTGTCAATTAGTTTGCCTATGCATCCATGCCAGCATGCATGGCGTTCCTCAACCCCCGACGACATCGTGGGGCTACGGCCATTGTGTGTCTGGCTCTTGGGCCATCAGCAGACACTGTGCGTCCCTGAGTCGAGACAGCTCTTTGCTCCTTGTGCTGGGTTTCTCGACAGTGCGGGCCGTGGGAATCTTCATCTCGCCAAAAAGCAAGCGGGCTAAGCGGCGGAGAAACGGTAGGTACCGACCCCCCGTTGGCCATGGCTGCTGCTGGAAGCTGTGACGGGATGCACGTCCTCATAGCGTGCAGATGGCGGAGATCAGCTCAAACGACAGGGGAAACGGCAATAGTTTCGCGATGGGTGAAAGAGAAAGACGTGTCACTATCCCAGGGCAAACTCAGAATGCAGAGTCCTCTCAGGAGCCCAGACAACCGTGGTCACACTGCGGCAATCTGCTGTGTGAACGATGCGTGCGCTGTGCCGCCAGGACCTGGGCCGTCGGCTGCCAGTTTCCTGCCCAAGGCTCCTCGGGTTCCGACAGCGAGCGTGGAGTGCAGCTCCAAGCAACCCCCTCCATCTCGAGTCATCCTCAAACGACTCGAACGCTGGGGAGAAACCTTACCGCCAACGGCGTGGAAGACGTGTTCAACCTCCCGCGCGTTGGTTCAGACAGGACGAGGTGGTCGGTAGAGTCATGAAGCGAGTTGTTTGGTATACTCATTGGATATAATCTTTCGGCCCAAATAGGTTTCGCTTATGTGTCCTTGTTGGTCACAACTCGGGCGGTGCCATTCAGCAATCCGCAGCGACATGACAAGCCATGCCATGCCATGCCTTGACCATGGGGGGGTGGGGAGGAGACCACGGTGCGTCGAGGCCGTTGCTTCTACTATGCGGCATAGTACGTACAGAGGAGCCAAGGTACTGTAGCTGCATGTGGGTGAGTGAGAGTGTGAGTGTGTGGAGGATGCACTTGACCTCGGGGACCCTGTCTCTCCGTTTCGACCACTGCAGAGTCCCCCGTGCCCTTCGCCCCCCCGACAGCTGCCTGGGTTTGCCTGTGCGCGCTGGGGAGACTCGGCGCTGCTAGTGCGGACGGCTTGCTGGCCACGAAGTTGCATCCACATTCTTCACCCTGTCGCTCGGTTCGGTGGCAGAGCACCTTCCCTACTTTGTCAAGGCTAGGGCCGCTCGAGGCGCTGTGATAGGCCGGACGCAGGCACTCAATCCCCACCCCGGCCACCCCCCCCTTGCGCGGGTCCCCTGGTCGGCGCTGATTGATGAGCAAGAGGACATCATCCATCTGCTGGTGGTGCTGGCACGTTGCTGGTGCCGGTTCACGAGAGAACGAGTACCATAGTACCATAGTACCATAGGACCATAGTAGATGAGCGTCGCTGTTCGTTCGTTTGCTCGTTCGCCCGCTTGTCTGTCCAGTCGATTCCCCCCCGGCCCTCGCCCTTTTAAGATTGTGGTAGCCGTGGCCGCTCTCGCGCGTGTGCTACCACCTCGCTATCCTCTTTTCACCCATCCCGCATTCGCCTTTCCCTGATCAACCAAGCGGGTGCTTCTGTACATCCTACAGGGGAATCCAGCCGCCGAAAGCGTACCCTACAGTACTAGTACTAGGCCTGCGTCTATCTCGAGGCATCTGAAAGATCCCGAGGCACTCACCACCTTGCGACTGTATCGCGCAGATCTGCAGTTTGCCCGCTGACGTCCAGGAATCCTGCCTGTTACCAGACTAGATCCCCAGACGCCCGATCCAGGCTGGCAGTACCATAGTACATACCACTTTTGGCACTGGAACTTGCCCTTTTCTCTCCCTCGCGCCCTGAAGCCCTCCTGATCCCGAACGAGCCCCAAGCACAGAACCCGACAGACGGGAACTAATCACGCTTTGAGCGCGTGCGTGGACCAGCCTGCTGCCAGACCAGACGGTTCTAGGCATAGCCCGCGGCCGTCCATTTTCCAGCCAGTGGAGCCGACCCCCGTCGTGCCCCGTCTGCATCTGAGGGAAGACCTGGGAGCGCCCAGTGAGACCCAGCGAAGACCCAGAGAGACCCAGAGACACTGGAGCTGGGACCCGCCTGCGCCCTCTCAAAAGCACAAGCCTTTCTCTGCCACGCTGGACCCGTCAACCCGTCAACTCTCCCACTGCAAATTCCTAATCAGGAAGCCCAGCTGCCAATTCCTCACCCATCCCCCATCCCATCTCATCGCCCTCCAGTCGCCAATTCATCGCCACCTCGCGTCCTCTGGAAGCGCAAGCACCCACTGGGCAGCAGCAGCAGACACGGCCGCCGGTCAGCGAGAGCGCAGCGTAGTTGAAGCAAAAAGAAAAAAAAAGAGCGAACGGCGTCGCGCGTGCTCTCGTCTCGTCCCGGGCAGACACACCAGACTCGATACAGTAAGTCGCCATCCCCGATTCTGTCATCTGTTCCTGCAAAAGCGCAAGCCATCCGCAACCCAACCCGCGGCAGGCCTGAACCTGAACCCGCAAACCGCCTGCCAACCCGCAGCCCGCAGCCCGCAAAAAATAATCCCCTCCCACTCCCTCGCTCTCGGCTCTCCCCCCCAAACCCCAAACCCCAAACCAAACTCGTCTGGGCCACCGCCTACTACAACAAGACAGGTTAAAGTAACGGTTACCTGCTACAGAAACTCTCCACGCTTCAACGCCAGATCCAGCCTAGGTTGCCGGCACCACTCTCAATCCAGCAATTTTTTGCCTTTTCTCTGTGATACCGGGTCCTATACCGTATCGCGCACCGCTTCGCATTGCATTGCATCGTCGCGACCCAGCACAGTCCACACCACCGCAATGGCCGACATCACCGACCAGCACGACCAGGCCCAGGCCGGCGACCTCGACGACGCCCATGCCGTCGGCAACGGCACCGCTGCCGAGTCTCGCGGCGTCAAGCGCCAGCGCAACAGCATCGCCGACGACGATGATGACGATGACGACAAGGGCGGCCGTGAGCGTCGCAAGATTGAGATCAAGTTCATCACCGACAAGTCGCGTCGTCACATCACCTTTTCCAAGCGCAAGGCTGGTATCATGAAGAAGGTACGCGTCAATTTCCACCACCACCTGCTGCTCTGCTCCCTACCCATCCCAATCCCATCCGCGCATCTGGTTTTGCGACCATGATGAAACTCTGACGCCGTGGTACATCATCTTCATCTCACTACACTCGCCTTTCCACTTGGCTTGACTCTCTATCCTCTCTATCTTGACCGCGGCCACTGTCAGAAGTAGCGACATCATCCCCCAATAAGTCACACTCTAGCTAACAAGAACGCGCCCACTGCAGGCCTACGAGCTTTCGGTCCTCACCGGCACCCAAGTCCTTCTGCTCGTCGTCTCCGAGACGGGTCTGGTCTACACCTTCACAACCCCCAAGCTGCAGCCTCTGGTGACCAAGGCGGAGGGCAAGAACCTTATTCAGGTAAGTCAAGAGTGATGGAAACGAGCTTCCGAGAGCCGCCCTCCCTTCCTGGAAACTAACAGGCCTTTTCTTTAGGCTTGCTTGAACGCGCCTGAGCCCAGCCAGGGCAACGAAAACGGTGCCGATGATTCAAACCAGATTGATTCGCCCGAGGAACCTGCGAACGCTCACCTGCCGCCGGCATCTGGCCGGCCGGGCATGCCGCCTTCGCACATGCCCGGTGGCTACATGCCTAATGTCCCCATGGACCCCCAGCAGGCCATGGCGTACCAGAGCTACGTCCAGCAGCGAGGTGCACAGTATGCCATGCCGCCGCAGCAGGGCATGCCTCAGCACACCTCGCACCAGTCATAGGAGTAGGAGAACGTCAGCTCTCCACCCCTACATGACACGAACATGACATTGCTGGTCGCGACTCCTTCACCCGCCTGCCTGATACCCAGACTATAATGCATTCACGAGGCTCTCATTTTTACCAAGGCCTATGGTTTCGATTTGACCTCTGTCATAATCAACGAAGCATCCGTGGACCCGGCGTTGTGTGGCCATTCTGCCTTTTTTTTTTTTCTTCCCTCTCCGCGATTCCACTTTTCGACTTTCGACCTCGATTCTGCGTTCCCTTCCCTCTTCCGTTTTTTGACGACCCGCTTCTCTTTCACGGCATATACCGCAAACAGATCTTCTGGCATCGGACGATCTGTTTGGCCTCAAAGTCGCTAATTGCTTGTCATCTTCTGCGAACACGTACCTCATAGGCTTGGGTCTTTCCCAGGCCTTGTGGGACGACCTCTCGATACACAACCCACCTCTACCCCTCTCAATGACAGGGAGCACAGGATCTGGCCCTTACACTGTGTCACCGAGCGAACCGTCTCTTTTCATCTGGGGGACGAAAGGCTCGATGCACAGTACGACTCCTACGGCACATGATGAAATGACCACGATTTGACGCGGGAAATGGATTCCATGAGTCAAATGGGTGACCGAAGCGTGCTTCGGGCACGAATCGGTTGACCAGCCTGCGCACCATCGAATCTTGACATACATTCCCTTGTCACCAGATTCTTGCCCTCGTCGTTTCTCACGATGATCTCGGGCCACTGCATAAAACTTGCAGCCGGTGGATATCTCGGCCAACTCGAGAATGCGATCTGTATGATAGGACATAGATACTCCAGCATGCAAAATTGACATGCGTTTCGGTCCAAATGTGTTCCCATTTGATATTTTCACATGTCCGATGATTTTCGTCCCGTTATCCGTAATGCTAAATATTTGGTAAACATAACCTGCAGTGGAGCTTCACATATCGGAAGCTAGGTGTCCAAGACGGAAGGGCACAGCTAAAGAAAAACATGGCAATAATAGATGCGCTGCCATTCAAATGCGCATGCATCGCGTATACGCAACAGGCGTACGAGCCAGCACCTACCTTCATACTAATCTTCCGTGGGTGGCAATGGCCGGTGCTTCAAGGCTTTTACCGGTGCATCCGGGCACCAACGTCGTCGTTCTCGCTTTCGGGCAATGGAATATCCGTGATCGAAGATGAGTGGACCTCGAAGAGCAGCCACGGATCACCGGCTTTTGAGGGCGCTCGGTTCGTCATATTTCGGGCCTCTCACCTTGTATCCCGGTCCTTCGGCGTGAGAGCCCGCACTGCGCTTCCGAGGGGTGAGATGCCCTCGATCCTGGGGGTTTGCCTTCACGGATTCCAGCGCAGGCGTGTACCGTAGGCCCGCTCCCTCCTGGTAGAGGGAATGGGTATCGTGCGTTTCTGCTGGAACAGGCACTCCGATATTCCACGTTTAGGAGCAGTCGGGGCGTCGCGGAATAACACCATGAGGCTCCGGGCGTATCCCAAGTAGTCATGCGAGATTCTCCCGGTCCATCTCGCTCATTCCATTCCCATCGTTCGTCCTTTTGGTGTGGTCGTTCCAGCCGTATTCCCATTCAACCGCGGTACCTTCATTGTCAAGACCTATGATAGCACCATGCCCGGCGGCCCAGGTGATGACGCGGGGCAAGTGCTCCCTTGTAAATTGCAATTGCCCGTCAAGTCTCAGTCGATCCTTAAAACTCGATAGTGGGAATGAACCAAAAACTTTTCGGCCAAGGTCCATTGCCGCGGTTGCAGCGCAAGACTGCGTTATCTTGGGGAGGGGTCAGGTCATAGCGAGCTCGAAACAGGCCTGTTGCGGCTGAAGGCTGCCAGTGGATCCGTTGTATACACATGTACTTTGAAGACTTTCAGAAGTGCGTGTATATGGGTTTAAAAGTTGCAGGCAGAGGCGAAAAAGTATTGGTATCCACGAAAGGCAACGAAGCCCAACGACGGGTATGCGAGGAAAAGGAAGAGCAGGATCTTCCCGCATCGCACCTCCAGGGGCACAATGAAAAGAGAAGAAACCAAGAGAACTATGACGGAAGGAGGGAAGAGAAAACCCAAGACAGCCAGGGAAAAATCTCCTCCATTTTCTCACTAAACCCGCTTCAGAGAGAGAGAGCAGAAGCGTGGGTTCCCACCCGCATGAACTCGTTGACGACACACAGCCCCTCGCAGCGACACTGGCACCAACCGACATAGGCAAGTTTTGTCCCGCGGATACTCGATGCGGAAGAGCGTCGAAACAAAGGGCCCCCAGAAGCCCCAGGGCTTGGGCCGATGCGGAATGGCGCCGCGTGGCCCGCGCCCCGGCCGGGGCTTTTTTTGACACACGGGAACTGCGGAAGTGGGAACCTTTTTTTTTCTTTTCTCCTTTTCGTCGTCTCGGCCTCTTCGGGCCAAGGAGAGGGAGGAGAGGCCGCTTTTCCACTCAGAAGTGGAAAGAGCGCAGGATACAGATATATCTGGGCTCGGTCCCCTCTCATTGACTCGTGTCTGCGATCAAGGTAGCAGTTGGAAATACGTTGGCCGCCTTGGACACGGGGGTTTGCGTGTCGCTGCGCTGCCCGGCTGCCACCCACCCGGAAACCTACAACTGTTTTCGGGTCGACGGGAGCCTCGTAGGTTCGGGAGTGGGGTCGCCTCTGGTCCCCGGGGGTCTCGGGACGCTGAATGGTCACCCACGGCAATTGGGGAATCATGCGCGGCAGGTTATTCCCAGGTGCGAGTCGAAGTATACGCATACAGTGGCACCCCGAAACAGGGAACGCATGTGTAACATGTAGACACCTCGCAGCTTCATCAGTCCCAAAGGTTCTACATAGAGCTTCATCAATCCAACTTGATCGAGCCATGGCACGATCATCATGAACATTGTCGTCGGTACTGCGCAGCCGCACTCCTCACCAAGCACCTACGACCTTATGTTAGTGAGATCACCCGTCTCCTCTCATGGGAACAACTTCCTTGAAAAGGTAACGATATGCCCAGCGGGCTGCGTGCAGAAGTGTCGCTGAAAACAGTAACACCCTTGCGTGGCCGGGTCGTAAACCGAGAAAGAAAACCACTGACGTGTAAAGACTTCCGGTCCAAGTATCGCTGGCTAACCGTTCTACTGCATTTTCAATGGCAGAGCGCCATCTCTCCAATCACCCACATGACCGGCCTGCAAGCTGCGGTCTGTGCTCCAACCTGCTTCTGACATATCCTCAGGTTGGATATTACCGTTGGAACTCAGGACATTGGAACGCATTGACACGGACCAAGTGCTACAACATATCCAATCAAATGGAGAGAACTTCTCACAATCCCTAAACTGATCTCTATTTTCCCATACAAATAAGTACTGGTCAGTGCGTTTTGCTCCTATGTATGGAAATTAGTCCGTGTCAACGCGTTCCAACGTCCTGAGTTTTAAAGGTATTATCTAACTCAGACTCTTCACCAGCTTCAGGCCATAGTAAAGCCACGGCAAACACTCCTACATTCAGTGCTCTCTCCTTAAACGAAATCAGAGCTCACCGTCTTCCAAGGCTACAAAGTGCGTCTTGTGAGAGATGATCCATTAGATCCCATTTGAATTTGCTCAGTTCATGCGGTAGACGAAATCCAGCCATCTCAATTGTTACGAGTGAGTGGAAGGGTATGAAAGAAGTTGGTGCGACATGATCTATACGCTTCATGCACGCCTATACTGCAATGAAGAATGTATCCATTGGCCAGCATAGTTCTTGCTAGTAGACAGACCTAACTCGAGCTGCTGAGATACGAAAGTCCAGACTGCACTTAGCTAAGGTGGACTGTTAGCAGCCCAGTGAAGTCTAACCTGTAGGCAGGGGTAGGGCATGATGTTGAGTGGACCCTGAACTTGCGCAGACACTATCCCTTAACAGTTCTAGTGCATGGCCGCGTGCATTGCAGGGTTCAGCCACACGAGCGCATTTGAGAGAGTTTCTTCCCTTGTAACTAATAAGTGCTCACACAATCATGTGCCTCGGGGGATCTGGGTGGTCGCCCGCAGCGGTGGGAAGTCAGCTCTTGGGCTCCTGTAGCATTTGTTTAATTTGTTCTTGTCGAAATTAAGCTGAGAGCCTCACGGCGTTCCAGTATCCGTATCTAGCAGTCAAGTATATAGTATCTGCCAAAACTCCACAGGGGTCGTCTCAAGAATATTGAGTATAGTGCCCTCGCGCCTGTAAAACTACCAAACGCCTGCTGTAATCCAGTGCCAATACAAGAGAGGTGGTATACGGCCACATAGTCTTGTGGTGCAACACCCAAGGCGCTCGGAGTGCCCTCTTGGTCATAATGTCGTAGAAATATATGATATAAAACGTGGAGAGATGCGACACGTCTAGTGCTCGAAACCGGTAGCATAACGGCCGACTAGCAAGCTACCGACGAAGATACCCGCAAGCACCGAGAGGAAATAGCCGACGTTCATCGTCATGACCGCCAACATGCTGTCAGACCAGTTAGTTCCGCCCCGGGTCTGTTCTGACGGCGCGCGTAGGTGACTTACAGAAGGTAGCTAACACCAGCAATGACCGTGTCGATCAAAGCGCGAATGGGATCGACGGATAGTCTCCAGGGCCGGACCGCGGTGGTCCTCTTCTTCACAACCATGACATCCTCCTCGACACCATTCTCGGTCAGGGTCATCCTCTTGGCCAGGCTGTCGCGCGAGATCTGCTCGGAGATTGGCAGCTTGCCTTCGACGGCTATGAACCTCCTGTTGAGTTCGCGGTCGAGCCACCGCGACTCCTGGATCGCTTTGGCTGCCAGGAGGCCCCGGAGGACGATGGCGAGGACGATCAGGAAGATGCAGGTGCCGGCGTAGGCACCAGTGTTGCTAGGTGTCCATGCTTCTGTGAACAAGGGCGAGCTCATGGTGTTCTGGAAGACCATCATCATGCTCATGCTGGAAGTTGAGCTGTCCATGTCCATGTCCATATCCATGGTCATGCCATCGGTGTGAGGAGCCATTTTGATGCCGAAGGTACTGTAACGGTATTTTGGTGGTGGGAAGTGAGCGGTCAATTCGAATGTGTAAATGCAGTGTGCAGCAAGGCGCCGGTCCGAGCTGATTTGGAGGAGTTGTTGAATGGGTGTTGTGAAAGTAAACAATAGAGTTTGTGGTCAAGCGGATGCTAATGTGTCTTACGAGAGAGCCGGCCCTAAGGAAATTGCTAACAGGGCAAGAATAGGACAATGTATTATACCAAGATGCCGAGCGGTTTTGCGAGAGTTTATGAGACTGGGGGTTGGCCGTGGAAACCCAAGCGCAGGGACGCCGGGGTGTGGGGGTGAGTGTGTTCTTCAAACAAGGGCAGTTCTCGCACAAGACGGCTGAGACGGATCCCGACAACGACAGCATTGACTATCTTGCACTGGTTCACAATGCGCCGAGCTGAATGGTCCACGGAATCCACCAGCAGCCCATTCAAGTTGGTAAAGAACTTGAGAGGAACGCAATTGCGCAGTCTGGTCTGGGTTTTGAGACAGAGCCACTCTTCCTCGGGGCATTGTTGTAGATCTTGCCTCCCGCAGCCACCATCCTAAATGGGTTCGCCAGACCGTGGCACCTGCAGCCATCACCCCGATTTCCTGTCCATTGGTTCTGTGAAGCTTGCAGCCCCGAGATAGTGCCTGCCGACTTTGGCCGTTTAAATGTGACAAAGAAGGGTCCCAGAATAGAACAGACAATACAGAGTTTGAAGGCAAAGTTGCGGTCGCCGTCCCTTTGTCCAAGCCAGATCTTTGCCTAATCGACGTCTCAGTCACACCAAGCCCGGTTTCGTAGCATGATCGACAAGAGGCCGCTGACTTAACTAAACTTTCAAGGTGCCGCTAGCTGCGCGAGGGAGTTTAGGATTCTTCGGCAGAGAGCCCCCCTGTCGTTGGCATTCCAGACGATTCAACGGTCCAGACCCGGCCCGTGCATATGCTAAGCATCTGCCGCAGTGGGCTTATTGCCGAACCACTTCCTTGGGTGACCCTCGTCTGGATGTCGTCTCCTACACGAGGGCGTTTCTTACTCGACTTTTTGTCTCATGCAACATATTGCAACACTTGTTATCATGCTCAACGGGGGACAGGCCAGAGATATCGGGGATATTCGAAGCAGTTCAAGCAGCAGCGCAAGGAAGACTTGCAACATCACCGCCCTGCATTATCAGAGTATGACTGGTCTAATGACGCAACAGCCACGCCGCAGAGTATTGTGTGAGGTTTTCCCACGGCGTTATAGAGTAATCAAAATAGAAATATGGAAACGCTGACTGATCTTGGCCATTCAATGTGCTTATGGTGTCAAATGGCGACAATCGTGCCGCTTCAGGTCTCTCAAGTCGGCTAAAATGCAGATATGGCTATATGCACCACAATCTAGTGGCCGCGGGTGGTAAGTGAAATATCGCAGCCTTGATTCTGTGTAAGTTCATCTTTCTAGTGTTAATACCGACTACGATTTGGACGGGTATGGAAGTAGTATCACTTGGAGATATGACCCCACTCATTCTCATTCACCAACACGTCGCCTTTAAGATGAGCAGGCCAACCTCGAAAGCAAAAATTTACGAAGTTCGAAAACGCAGCATGGTGTCTCGCTGTTGGCACTGTCCGCCTGCAAGTGGCTACCGTGAGATCATGCGTCAGCCCAATTATAACTGCCTATGCCCTTGAAGATATTGAATCTTACGGTTCAACTTGACGTTACAAAACTGAGTCTATTCTTAGGCCGCCATGTATATACATGTAAATTAACTTACGACTTCTCTTCATTTCACTCTCCGCCCCGAATACACACCGACACCCCACCTTCATAACATGTGAAGGTTAGGCAAAGGGGCAATCGTGCTTCGCTATGCCGTGTGTTTACCCTAATGTCATGATAAGGTTAGGCAGCAAATCTTGGAGGTCTGTTTTACACTGGCAGAAGTTCAAGTAGGGAAAAACGGCTGACAAGAACTATCTGCGCAAGTGTACGAGATCATGTTCGTTTCTATTGAGTTGAGCAAAGCAGTGCCCAGACATAACCTGTATCACAGTCGAGGGTATATCGGTTAGTTGTCTCCAAAACGATTGCAAGGCATGAACGAAACATTTAGTGATACTATGTCGTTAGTATGTGTGTTCTACGGTCAGATGTGTCAGCTCACTAGGTCATGAAAGGCTGTTTGGCTAACCATATAGCCTTCGTATGTCATAGTCCAATAAATAGCTGTGCTGATACTCGAGTTTCGGTGATGACATAACCCTTACACATAAGGTACAGCTCCAGAGTGATGTAGCCCTAGTAGAAAACCAGTTCTGAGAACTTCTGGCACCTCCTTTCTCAAAGTGACCATTTTGAAGCAAGGTACCAAACACCTCTCAGTCGTGGTCGAGATATTTCTGGACACCAGCGTGGCTTGCTTTATTCACACAACGGAATATCGTAGAACAACCGAAAATTGTTATCTGATGGAGATATATACATCCATTAGTAAAGCGAGCTGAGAGAGCGCATTCAAATAAGAAGGCGGACAACCGACTACGGAGTGATAGGGTTCATCAGAGGATTAAGCTTGCCTCGAAGAACATTTTAAGCATACGGACGTCCTGACCTGTCTTTCCAGATACCCTATCACTCCTCGGTGCTGAAACCACACACGGGACTTGCTCCCAATGTAGGAAGATTATTTCGGTGTTTCAACAACATCATCCGCACCACAAATGAGTACTGGCGTGGCAGTGTCCGTGGAGCCGACAGGCCTGCAGTGTATGAGACGGTCGTATTATTGTTGCACGAGCTCGATGAGGTCGCTCTTGAAGCATGGAAGTACTACGATATATGCAGTGGCTTCCTCTATTTTGTTTTATCCTCCTCTTCAAGAGTACAGCAGCGTAGGGTGGTTTACCCATGAACAGGATACCTCTTATATCTTTTATTTCCGTTAGAACTGCTTCGACTCATCAATAATTTCGGAGACTAATAGAATCTGACTCTCTAGAGAACTAAATGACATCAGTCAAGCTATGAACCACTCGATCATACCGTGGGATCTTGGCCTTGGAAGGTCGAACCAACAGACTCTGACGGTACTGCCATGGACTTGATAGACTGTGATAGCCTCTCATAAGATAATAAGACCTAGATGACTCCAACAGGATACGCGATATGTGTAGAGCGCAGCGCGATATCAAGTAAAGCCAATGAACTCTTGTTTCGCTATATCTGCTACTGATCGATTCTATAATACAACTTCCATGCATGGCCGAAATTATCACGTATCTCAGACTATGCTGCGATTACATACACAAGAGATTGCTCTTATCAGTCAGTTTCCGCAATATCAGAGCATTGCTAAGCAGAGACTCCAACGACAAGTACGGCCTACAATATAGCCCCTGTATGGTGTGTTATCGTCCTGTGGACGAGCGTGCGTAAGCAGCCTTACTATTTGCTGACCAGGGATGAGGGTGCAGTGCACTGCGCCTAGTCGAAAGTTGCTGCCCAAGTCGATGCCCTGGTATCACCCACCATATGCCATTGTTCATGGGCATTTACTGCAATTTGTTGTGTGCATGTTGCCGTGATACTACCTCTGCCATCCCCCCACAAGGCCGAATGGAGCAAAGATCGGCTGGAAGTCCCTTGCAGTATCACAGCTGGCTGTGCACCGATCTCCACACACAGACCACACGCTACCATCGGGAGGGCAGACAATGGCACGGTTGGATTTAACCGCTGCCGCAGTCGATGTACACGATGTTCTCTTGTCTGCAGCTGCCCGCTGTGCCCACGAACCGGGAAAATATCCATGCCCCCCCCGCAACTCATGTTCAGGGAACCAGGTCCGACTTCAGTACCACCGCCCCCTTGCCGCCGAAGGGATGGTGGAGGAGTGCACTGCCCAATTGCTAGACCGGGTGTCCTGGCGCGTCCAGTGCAACACTACCATGTGCACCGATAGGTCCCGAAAGCCGGGATGGCACTGGTGCGCGAGAACGGACCAACCGAGCCTAATTTAACGACATGGAAAATCTTGGCCCTGTGTTGTTGGACAGAGGCATGTTTGGACCACTTATAAAATTTCCCGTCTGCGCCGTGCAACCAGTATATGGAAGAATTGACATGAAGCCAGCCTAGTCCTGACTCTATCCTGGTGTCTGAGCTGTATTGCTTTCACCCTGGTCAGAATACATGTTGAATCGAGACCGTCTTCCGGTTCAGTGATTGATCATATCTGCAGTATCTGTTTTAGATCGAAGAAGCAACCAACATTGATGGTATGCTGTTGCTGATTGAAAGTGTCGGTCCATTGATTGGTTATGCATCTGCGTATACTTGAAGAGACCTTTGGGGGTTTAGTTAGCGGATCTGCCTCGTCAGCATCAATGTTGCGAGTAGAACAAGGGCGCGTCAGGCCATCTTTGAGAATGTGTAACGAAGGATGCTGAACAGTTGATAATGATCGGCGGCGCAAAAATACCGTTTCAGAAATAAACGGGAAGATTGAGCTGGTACAGAACAGATACCCGGCCGCACTTGCCGGCCATGGCCGTATTGGCTGGCCTGAGAGTAAGCTCCTCAGCAAGTTACCTCCGTTTTCGCAATCGGCTTACGATGGGAGATGACTGGGATGTCCTCAGGCTGATTCCTGTGAGACTCGCATTCTCCTCGTATTGGTGAACATGATCCCCCAATGAGAAAATAAGCATCCGCAGGAAGCGCAGATGACTCAATTATTCACATGTCGTCTTAGGCCCACGTAAGATTCAATAGGGCCATCCTCATCTGAACAAATCAAATGGGATTGATTCAACGAGGCTCGTATACGCGAATTTCCGGACAATATTTTCTGCCAGGCTTTGGCTCGACGTATGTCTCAGCGCTGGGTCAACAGATTCCTGTAGATCAGCCCTACTGTAAGACAGTAAGCTAATGCTGGGGCAATCACAGATGGCTTGGAATTGCTTTTGATCCTTCATCTGGGGTTTCACAAGCATATGGTTGGGCGCTTGTCAGCAAATGAGAGATTTAGCTGACAGCTTGGGAAATGGCGGGCAGACATTGTCCTGAGATTCGAACACTGTTCCGAAGGTTGATTGACGTATCTTGCAGGCTGCTGTAGTAAGGTGATGAGGACGGCGCTTTGTCATGTTTCTGAGCTTGCTTGAATGCCTCGGCTGGGTAATCAAGGAAGGTGAATATCAGGGGCGCCCCAGCCGCCCAAGCTATCGGTATTCAGCCTCATGTTGTGGCGTCGAATTGTGAATTAATTCGTCTCCACTGGGATAGTGCGCAGAAGCATCGCGTGGGTGAGGATCAGGGTCCTCTCTCCATCAACCAAGCCCACCATCCCACCCCCAGATGTGGTGGCCGCTAGACATAAGCCAACAAGCCTCGAGGGCTGGTTCCTACCAGCTGGAACGCATGGCCGAGGAACAAATCACATTGCCACCCAGCTTCTGGGAAAACACTCCCGGTCAGACCGGAATGCTACCTCTTTCGGATGGGCTGAACGGAACACGCAGAAGCGTGTGGGATGTCAGTCCTGGATTTCAAGTGGACGATGCGTCTCATGTGCCCAATACCACGGGGGTTCCTAGCAAGGATGTCAATACATGAGGTAGGTCCGCCAGAGGGGTGTGCGAACTCCGCGTAGCGAATAGGAGGGCCGACCTAGCGAGGGCGAGCGGTAAGGAGAAAAGACGAGTCGCTCATAGCATCGACATGATTTGAAACGTAGGCCGCATACGCTGACGGGTTGCATCTTGCACTAGTGATGGGGTTGATCAGACCTGTCTCCCGATCCAAGTGAGCTAACATCAATGAGCTGAAAGGTAGCAGGAAGAGCTACTAGATCGGAAGGCAATTCGAGACGGCATTTTCCTAGTAGGCCCTCGGGTCCGTCCGACCGCCGGGAGTCTACTTGGTCAAGCTTGTCTGCGAGGTGGGAGGCTAGGCCTCATGGCCCAGCGTCGACGAAGTTCTGGCCAAGTTGCCCCTGAGGATACCTGGCTGATTCCCCCATGACTGTCCAAAGATTATCCTGGTTGCAACACAGACCATGAAGTAAATTCAGTGGAGAGCGCGAACTACTCCAGCTAAGCCGTCAAGGCTCCTAGCATGTTTGACCGCTGTCGCCGACAGTGTTCACGCCCTAAGATAGAGTTTAGAATGACCATGGACAGCGTTCCTGAGGGCATTTGGCTTGCGTCAATCGATTCAGTCACCTGGGCATGTCTACATAGCATCTTGATCCCCACCACATGAGGCATGATTTAAGCCTGAAGTATTGTGCTTGAAGCAAAGTCTCGTCTGGACATCCTGTAGCCCGGCTATTTCTAGCCTCGGCATTGGTGCCTATGTGGTTAGGTGTCATTGCATGGTGTTCGCTGAATGAACCTGATTGGGATTTCCCGAGTCATTCGACTACAGCACCAGAATGTTGGCCGTCGGCATCATGGCAATAACTGCTCTCAAATGTGATGGCGGATAACACGCAGACAAGAAATACTGCATTGTTTTCGCGCCTTTGACTGGTATTATCTGGACCAATGTATGGGTATCTACAAGCTGAGAAATTAAAGAGCATCTTGCCGTTTGAACCCCAGCCAACGGAGCTTATACCAGAAAGGACCAGCAACAAACCCTCGTCATCTTACACGCCTGACTCTCCTAGAACGCCAATGGCCATCGTCCACCCGTCTTCCTATTCAGTGTTTACTCCTTGTTTGTGATGCTCGCGTTCGCCGAGCATCATACCAACCCCCAATGGTTTGATCTTGTTTGCCAATATATTAGGTAGACGGCGATCGCCGAATTCCTATTACCATAGTTGTCCTAACTTCAAGCTCATCATAAACCAATGCAATCCCCCGGCCCTGATAGTCTTGCTTCGTACAAGTACAATTCCGAAAGATGACGCTCGCCAATTCTATCGCCTCCAATGACACCAAAGAAAATACCAAGAGCGGTGGATGACGCAAGAACTGCCGTTCGTAGATCCTCTGCAAGTGAACGCCATCGTGAGTGCCGGAGAAATGCTATAGCGGCCGTGAACCCCGAGGTCCCAGTAACTCGCCTTGTGCCGGGTCCCAAAAACACCAAAACTCCCTTTTGTTTCGATATTCCGAATCCCACCCATTCCGATGGTGCTGTTTTTGCTGTTTTTCCTCAGCCTTAAACCGTGACGTGTAAACTGAATGTAGTAAAAAGCGGCCCGGATTTATATCCCTTTGTTTCACGGCTCGCGCCTCCAGATCTATTTGAAGTCCATGCCGACATGGTTGTTATCGGTATCCGTGCCCTGAAGAATTCAGATGGTACTGTTCACATCTCTTCCTTGATATCATCATTCGAGCTGAGATCAGGATCTTGCTTCACATCGTCCTGTGGAGAGGAATCGTCAGTCGGTGAGGTTTTGCCGTTACCGCAACCTTTCACCAGTCGGTGTCGCTTTTCTCGGGTTAGCATACAGTCGCGAACCAGTATTGGAATAACTCACCTTCAAGGCATCCTTTCGTGAGAAGCTCTTATCGCAGTGGTTGCAAGGGAATGGCTTGACTGCAAGGTGGATCCTCTTGTGTCGCTTTAGATCGTGGTTTCGGTTGAAACTCTGGGGGCAAACGTCGCATTTGAACGGACGATCCTGTTGAGGAGGTGCTTGACCGTGGGGGTACATGTGTCCAATATGCCCTGGATAACCATGCGACATGTGGTTCAGTCCGCCTACTATGGTCATCTGTCCACCAGGATTCGTCATGTTCGAGAGTACGGCACCTCCCATTGCCGGCGGGAGGGGATATCCATACGAGCGGCTCTGATAATGCGGCGGCTGCATGGGAGAATGCTGCCCACTCAGAGAAGGAATCCCTCTCGACATTGGCCCAGTCGTGGTGGGGGAATGATGGGTTGGGGACGGTAAAGTTGACGCAGAGAAGGCGGGGAAAGACGATTGCTGTGGCGTTGATGAAGGCGTCGTGTAATAGCCAGGCGTAGGCGGGTGTCGACCATAACTATCAGCAGGTGCTGCGCTCGATGGTGTGGGAGGCTGCGAGACAGCTCCCTGGGAGCTCAGAATCGAGTTCTGCAGAGGCGGCGGGTGATGCGAAGTCTGGTGAGAGAGCATAGAGTGATGGGCCGGCCCGCCCCCTGATGTAGGGAGAGGAAATGGCGGAGACACAGAGTCATAAGGGGGGGCGGCCAAGGATTCGCCTGTCGCTGGCGAATTCGAGCTCCTTGCATGATACGCAGCGCCGGTCGGCGAGTACAGCTGTCGGTTGTAATTTGGCTGCATAAGACCGGTCTGCCCTTGGTTCAAAGAACTATACGTATAAGACGAGCCACCTGGTAATGGCCAGCTGCCAGTCGGATTATATGGTGCAATTCCGCCTGCTTGCGAACTCTGTGAGCTCCCACTGTTCACACCCGAAGACAGAGGACTCAGGCCGTCCGTCCCTGTCATACTTCGTTAGTAGTCTATTCATGAAGATACCTCTGAGTAGTTGGACTCTGTAGATGCTCTTGCAGCGCACAACCGCGTGGGGAAGATTTGGCGGCGCAGATGGGAGAAGGGGTGGTATCATACTTGGGACTTGACTATCCACCATGGGATTTGGCGGAGGAAGTTGGAAATGTGGAAGGCCTCCAGCTGCTGGTCTGCGCGATGCGAAACTCGTCGTTTCCATACTTATCGTAGGAGGTGAGCCCCAAGGCAGGTGCAGCCTGTGCTTGAGAGAGACAGAAGTCGAGGGAAAGGAGATCCCTGCGTAGTTAATCCAACCAGGAAGCTATGCGTGTAAATAGTTCGAAAGATATATCGAACAAGACGGCGTAGATAGTCTACGAGGAACCCTATCGTTTTGGAGTTGATCGTTAACGAGCGAGTGCTTGTGTTCCTTATACAATGGCTGTCGCTGAAGCGTGTCTCGCGTATGGCGGCGGCTGCCTTGTGGTTGAATGTTATAAGTGCTGGTAGGTGTGTGGTAGACCCTGTTGGCAACAATACTAAGAGTGATAGTCGTGGTTATTATCGTCCCAGAACAGTGGCTCCTACACCAGAGGCGTCGTCCTCTTTCTTTGGTTCCGTGGAGGTATGGCTTGCAGATCGGGCTGGCCGTTACCGCAACCACTGCTGGCGATGGCTGAGTGAGGCCCAGGACCGTACTAGAGAATGGTGGACTTAAGGGACCGTGATGAAGGTTATCCTTCGGTGGGCTCGACAGTCTTAAGGCAGGTATTGGGGAGTGGGGACGACGATCACCAGAATGGCGCCGGGAGGCGCCTGTCGAGAATATATGTGGGAGGCTCTATTGGGCGAGTGTGCCCCCGGCTCTCTGCGCATAGGGTGACTTTGCTTTTCGGCTGGCTTGTGCTATGCTGGGACTGCCTAGCTTGCTTTTCTGACGGGATCTCTTGACCTTGGGACGAGCTGGGACGAGCTAGACCAGGTAGTGCCCTAGTCTAGCTTCGGTGGGCTGAAGGGCTGCCGGAATGGCGTTCGAGACCTGGGAGGAGACCTGAGAGAGTAATTCAGGCCGGATAGGTAGCCAGTACCGAAGGAACTCTATCTGGCCCGTAGTCACCTGGTCCCCTTTTCGACTCGGTCGAAGTCGTCTATACAAACTGCGCCGGGTTTCAGACCATTCCCCTGTCCAAGACTTTGGGGGGCGAGTGAAGAAGTCCTCAGACAGATGCTGGGACTACGGAGAAAAGTCAAAAGCAGGCTGACGAGTGCCAGGAGTGAAGGTATGAGTTCGGACGACCAATAGCCACGCGCTTCAAATTCCACGCGCATTTGCTCTTGGGAATATCGCTAGTTGGCAGCTATTCGGAGATGAACACATACAAACAAATCTTAGACGAGATCTAGTGAAAGGCAGTGTCGGATCATGTTCAAGTGAAAGGAGCGGAGTTGTAAGCCGGTGTGAAAAGGAAGGGCCTGGCTGTCTCTTCCTCTGGAAAGCGTCGAGTGGGTGTGGGCTCTCTCCGCAATGCACTCAAGGATCAATGTCAGTCCGTCGGGCAGGCTAGAAGAGGATCTATCAAATGAAGAATGGGGGATGTCAGAGGGAATTCGGATATGTAAGAAGAAGGCTAGAACCCTGGAGCTTGGCGACCCTCCAAGTCCCCCATGCACCCAAGATTCCGGGATGGCCTTAACGACCTTCTCCTGCACCGTTCCCTCTCTATTGGCACGCTGACCACATGTGGATGCAAGGGATCCCAGGCTTGTCATCGATGAAGAAAAGCATCATAAACAGAAGCGACCAGATTGCTCATCGATAGCAAAGCTGGTCAGTCGGCCTTCTAGAAAAATGGTCCAAGGTATTGGCATCGCTCTTGGGTTTCGACAGCCTGCTTCCAGATACCCGGCGCAACCGGCCACGTTTGCCTCGCTGAAATCCTTGGGCCTTGCCTCGTGTGCACTTCTCTTGTGCCCGAGCTGTTCGGGGGGTTGTTGATTATTACACCCAGGCTTGCCAGGGTGCGTTCAGCCCCCCTGCTCCAATTTGACATGGGCAAGGGGGGTACCGCTGCACGGGCGCGACCCATGGAATAGACTACGGAGGTGGTTAAGTTCAGAGTGGTCCACAGATGGTCGAATCATGGCCAAGCTAGGCCAGCGCGATGCGTATCGACGCCTAATCACTACTCGTACGAGTACACCTAACTAGGCGGAGAGAGCGAAATCGATACCGTCTGTACATTCGCTGTAAGTTAACCGGCGTACGTGAAGGGTCCAGCAGCACAATCACCATACGTGTTATGTGTTCCGCTAGCACCTCAGGTCGACTCGCAACATTATTGTCTTGGCACACACGATCGCAGATGGCAGTCCGATACGTGCTAGTCCCCTCGGCTCCAGCATCGACATTTCAGCTCGTCTAGTAGCTTGCGTCTTGCGACCCGCTGCCATGTGCGGCAGCGATAGCGAATGGCCATACACTACGTACTTGGCAATCACTGCATCAATCATCTCGTGCCATGGGATTGCGTCTGAACCCTGGGACCAACCTGATGAGAAGATTCCCATACTCAAAATTGCAAGCGAGGATATTGAATATTATGCACGTATACTTGTTGTCACCCCTAATGCGTTTTGTGTTTCAGCGCGTATTGGTATTACTAGAGTCAGTGGCAGCTCGCCGCGCGACCTTCTAATTCGAGAAGAATAACCACTGTAAGCTTTGTTCCCTTTTCCTTCTCTTACTCATGCTGAGCATACAACCCTAACAAGGACTGACCCAAGCCTCTCCATGTTTCATTGCCTCTCGTCAACAACGAGCGCCCGAGTTCTCGCTTCTATACAATGTAATGAAGCAATCATATCGTACGACTCTCAACTCTGTGAAAACTCGTCATGTTGCTGTGAAGGCCAGAGGTCTAGACCGTGCCTCGGCGAGTAGGGTACTGGTCCCGGGACTGCTACTGGTTTTGGACTTGACCACTTTCAGCACTTCCAGCAGTGCGCTAGCGATGCGATGCTGCAAGGCGGATGTGCTAGGAGGCTGATATGGCGACCAGGGTAGCCTGCCCCTCTTTCTCGGAAGCATCCATGTATGTACGGTTGGGTGACTCGCATCCTGTCTGTCTCTTTCTCTTTCGCTGCTCAAACTAGCAATTCTTCGATCAATATGAGCATATTCCAGTAGCGGCAATCGGTGTTGTGGGGGGTCCAGACTATGAGACATCGGAATGATTTCTGAGGTATCTCAACATTCAGCTAAAACTAGCAGATCTGTCGAGCCAAACTCTGTCTCATGTCTTCCCAGATGGACAGGGGGACTTCCGGGCCACTAGTTAGGGGCCAAAGGAAAGATTCAAAGTGCGAACAAGGCTGGTGTATCAGCTCGCACCACTGACATCTCTGCAGTTGAGTCAAATGAGGTAACACTAAGTTGCTGAGCTTGCTTTTCTCGAAACCTATGTCGGTAGTATGGTATCTAACGCTCCGTACACATTGATCAAGATGCAATGATTGCAGATCACCAAGCATCCCCCGCGGGTCCCGCCCGGAATGACACTGGGGTGCCGGTGTGCTGGAAATGACCATGATGGAGGCTTGCCTCGTTCTGGGAATTTTTGACGAGTAGCGTAGATTTGCCTCGCAGCGGAATTCGCAACGGCTGAAAGCTGCAACAGACAAGACAGTCAACCGGTTTCGAGCCCACCAAGTGGACCGGTGGGGAGAAGACACAAGAAGTGGATTGCGCGCCGCGTCTACCTAGATCTAGATGATGGCCTGCGGGCCTGCTTGCGCGACCCAGGAAGAAGGCCTCCCGTGCCTTCATTATTTCGAGCCGCTCGAGTTGCATTCACAGCGCAATCTGCAATAGCTATTCCTGTATACTCCGTCACAGTGACGACGTAGAGGTTGTCGAACCACGTTTGTACACATTCAATATGTCTATCTTTAGTATCGTTGCAACGGCGGGCCAGTCCCGTTCATTTCGAGAGGCATCAATGATGTGTGATAAACTTCCGCCGCTGCATTAACTGGTAACTGACCGCATGCTCTGTGTAACCCGACAGCTCCTGATTACCAGGCTTCAGCACCACCCATTGAATGTCTGCCCCAACCCAGCTGGGGCGCCTTACAGGGGGCCTTCCTGTACCGGCATTGACCGGACACGGCTCGATCTGTTTGTGCCCATGGACCAACCGCGAAGGCCCAGCGGCCTGACCTATTTGCTGTTTGGTTGATTAATTGATTGCGACAAATTTGATGAACATGCTATTGAACTCTGGTCATGTGGCCTTTGGCAATTCGGCTCCGAGGGACTGGCAACGGGCCAGGCCGGCGTCATGGCCATAACAGGCAATTGGAGTCCTGGAGCTGCGGTTCTAATTCGTACATTGGCAGGTGGGCCACCAGGACGGCGATAGAGGCGTCTAGAACCGGCACCCACGCTTCACGATCTCTGTTCTCCAGACCAGATCTCTGCGTGGCGCAAAGAAGGTTAAAGAGCCACGTTGAAGCGACATGTGGCCACGGGTAGGGGTTCTCGGTTCTCGCGAGATCCAAGTCTATTTCGCAAAAGACTTGGCCTGCTGGCGTTAGGATCTCAAGGGTCTCCGGGGAGTTGGCAGGATCCGCTTCCTGCCCTCGATGGCAGGCACCATGTCAGCACCGCCTGCAACAACCTGGGCTATTCAATGCAAGCCGCAACGTGCAGCACGACCACCTGCGCGGTTCGGCGGGTAGGCATTCCTCGTATAGATGGATGATGGCGGGTCGCCTCTCCTGGCTGCTTCATCACCAATATTGCTCGTATCTTACTCCCTCCATCCTGTTGAAGCGGAATCGGCATGCGACCATAGCTACACGCCCGGCCACGTGGTAATTCGTGAATCCTCAGTGAGATATCCATGTCGAGTCGAAGCTGCGTAGAGGTTACTGACTGCCTATGTGACTGTAACACGCTCTGCGTGCCGTGCCACGCCGTGACCGAACTAACAATGAACAGCGTCGGGGATGGCGAGTCATTGGTCGAGCTGCCCTTGGCTCGTTCGCGAATCAACCCGCGCTCTCTACTACTATTGGATGCAAGGCAACCCAGCTCTGGTCACGAAGCAATTTGTTGCCGGGTACCTATAGCGTCCACTCAGCCGATCCAACAGCTATCAACCCGGTGGGCATCATATCTACATTCTATTGTCTGCTCAGATGGTTGGTGGGCCTTGAGACCGCCTGCCACGAGACAGATCGAGGCAGATCGAGTCAGATTCAACGATGCATTCAATTCACAAGTTGGTTGCATAGGACACCCGGCCTTGCCTGCATATTGAACCACGAACAGGTGGAAGGGTGTGGGCTGCGTGCTGTACCATACATAGTATAATGTTTTCACCGCAAAAACCTGAACTGACAGGGCCCTACCCTGCCTACGGCCGAGGGCTCGCGGGGTGGTGTGGCCCACGTTGCAGCTCCTGACGGATCTGATGTCAGGGCTCGCTGTCGCCAGCATGGGGGCCCCCCTGAGCTGTCAGCATCTCAGCAGAACGGGTCTGAGCAGAAATACCACCAAACCAGAAAATGTCTGATGTGCAGTCCCGTACATATGCATTTGTGAAGTTTAGCACACGCGCTGTTTGCCTGAACTGGATCAAGTCCAGCTTCTCCGCGCTTGACAGGTGACCGGTATCCCGCTCCGCCAGCCTGAGTTACAGACGGACCTGGCTAGCCAAGGCAATCCCGCGCCCGCGTCCACCGCACACCGCACTCTGTGCTGCTGGTCTGGACTCTGGCATGGGTCAGGCTCCTTCTAGGTACGCGGTACGGACCCCGGACCCCAGCACCAGGTTGCTAGTCTCCGGAATGAGCGTCAGTAGGGCAACTATTGATTACTCTCCGATCCTTGGAGGCACAGCCGACAGCGAGGACACCTTTTCTCTCGAAGGAGCGATGGGATTCGCATTGTGCATACATCTCGCGCCGACAGCGCAGCTGTAAGCAATTGATCTCGAGCCTGACGATGTCTCTCCGAGAAGCGTGATCGCTTGAGTATCCGAAATTGCGGGCACATTCCGTCTGCAAGTCTTCGGGATTGGCCCTGTCGTTCTCCCTTTCCGGTATTTTCAGCTGATCATCTGGATTCAGCCTTGGCCCAATCGGGACATGGTTCAGCATCACGAAGAAGCACTCATGCTCGTCTTTGCTCCGTCCTTCCTTCAGCCTGCGGGACGTCCTCACCCACCTCAGCAACCCCCGAGCTTGGCCTGTGCAAGCTGATGTCATGGCTTCACGTGGTCGGCTGCTGACGAGGATCCTTTCACCAACGTGATGGCCTGGAAACGGCGCGTCATTCGCTGGCACATCTACCTCTGCGCGGTACCAGTATGCATTCGTTGGGAAATGGAGGCTGAACACGCGGCCGTGGCTTTGGAACCCTTGTGTTCCCGTTCATTGGGCGGCTGGCTTGCAGACCGAGACACGATGTGGCCCCCCAGCCAAGGCGAATCGTTGGATTCCCAACTGAAGGGATAGCCACGGCTTCGGTAGAGCCATCCGAGCACCGCGAACACGCGCTGGGCGACTCCACTTGTCCTGTCAACAGCCAATGCCTGCACTTGGCGTCACGCGAGGTGAACCAAAAGGCGCCATCCTGGAAGAGCCTCATTCACTGGCCTGGCACACAGTCCTGCACGGTCTCTTCAAGCAACGCATAGCTTGGTTCGCGACTGTCGCTGATCTGATTGCTTGTCAAGGCGGGAAATCCCATCCCCAACCCTGCATGAAATGTCTCCAGTACCCATACCTGGAGACCATCTCTATGACCTGACATTCACCTACATCCACAGCTCAGATTCTCGCTCATGGTCAATTCATTGTGCAACTTCTTCCGTGCGATCATAGATAGGCAAGGCAGGTTCCAGCTTGTAGTCCGTGGGCGGCTGAGAAGAAAGGTCCACCTATCCCGCTCGTGTGTGGATCAACTGACGATCTCTGCGTGTGTTGCAGCGACGATCAACACCATTCTCGTGTGCAGAGTAAAGCCCCGAATCCCTGTGCCGATCGCGTTCGTCCTTGCAGCCCGTAATTACGGTTCGTGATCCTCCATATTGCGCCCTTCGTTTGATATGATCTTCTGTTCCTGGTGCCAAATTTCATGTTATCCTTTTCATCCGAACCCCTGGTATATTTGCCCTTACCTGAAATGCGACTCTTTATGCGAGACAGGGGATGGCTGTACTCGGTACGAAAGACAACAGGCATGCAGCATCGGTACGGGAGCGACAGGCATGACTTGCCATAGCAAACTATGAATGCTGCCTTTTATAAATGTCGCCTTTTATAAATGTCTTCTGGAAGTGCTTGAATAATCTCAAATGAAAGTGACCTGCTACAATGCCTCGAAGATAATGGCCAAGGCCCTGGTCGTGCTTGCTTGACGACCAAGTCAAGTCGTCTGCCAACTCAAGGATGTTGAGTGACGTGAAATTTACTGTTGTTGACACGCCTTTGTCCTCTGCAGGATATGCTATGGGCGCTATGGATGGACGCATTTAGGTATGATACACTGCGTGGCGCCTGGAGCAGCCTGCCACAAAGGTTTGCATGAAGAAGTAGGACGGGCCAAACGCCATCTCCGTTGTTCAGGCTACGTACGTGTTTGAGTTTTTGATCATGGGGTTAAGCAGAAGATCTGGTCCCAATAGCAGGTACAGATTCAACTCTCTCCAGACCTACCAAGATACAAGGAAAGACATCCATTCTTGGTTCGTCCTGCAAGCGTCAACGTCAACATACTCGACACACTATATAGTGTCATACTCGACTACATTCAGTGTCAGCCAGCAATGAATGGCATTTTGAGGAGAGCTTGATATACCATGTGGAACTAGACGATACAAGACAGAGCTCTATGCCTCTCTCGGATGGGGAACAAGGAACTACAAAGAGAAACAGCCGCCATTCACGTTCATACTAACAACTCGCCGGACTCATGGGCAATATGACTACAGTAAGGAGGAGAGCTGCTTTTCTTCTGTATGAATATCCAAATCGTACCCACAAAGCCTGCGTCACTTCGACCAAGGATACATTTAATGACCAGTCTACTTCAGGCGTTCGCTTAATCTCATGGGCTTTATACACTCCTAAGTACACTTAGACCATAGTAGTATAGTCCTCTGTAGTTCGCATCAGAAACAGTCCGCGACTCGTCGTCGAACTGAGGAACTGCTACCAACATGTGTTTGAAGACCACTGGCTATGTGTTCCGCGCGGAATCAGCTACACCCCGAACAAGTGCATACATCAATTGAAAATGAATTGTTTGCAGCCCCAGGCATAAAACACCTGGCATTAGCAGTCCTCCAACCCATCTGCACCCATGCATGTATTGATCTATATATACATGGGACCAAAGGCACATATACAGACACCGTACGTGTTCCCATTGGAACACGTGTATCGAGCGCGAGAACGTTGCCAAATCTTTCCTGCTTAATTCCTTATTCTACAATTCTTATGTGGCCTTGAGGTCCTTTCCCAAGCTATATATGCAGCATTAGCTTTTGAGCAGCTGGCTTGTCAGCTTTACCTTGTCATAAGCCTGAAGGTAAGAGGGAGTGCAACCACTGTTCTTGGTATTAAACTGCTAGAGTTGCTCTTGTCTCTCTCCATTAGTAGAAGCACCGTAGTAAGTGAACAATGGCTGAAGAATTGTCCAGCTAGCGACTCAGACGCGGCTCGTGCTTACTGCCATGAGTCTTGCTCTCTACCATGTGATGAAGAGAAGACCCAGGGGGCTAGCTCTTCTATGTTTGCCAACAGCTGCTGGTTGTCCAGGAAGAAGAATCCACACCATGGTTGGCAAGGAGGAAAAAGGAGTGGCTAAGAACATGAACAGTTCAGTGAACCGCAGACTCGCCAGGCAACAATATGTGCCTCTCTAGGAGCATGAAACACGACCACAAACATATAGCATCTTCGGCTCAATGGAAGTCATTCCTGTTACGGTCTTGTTTCACGACTGTGGAATACGACCTCAATCCAAGTTGTCGACGATTGAAACTGCTCAGACTATGCTCCGTGTGATGCTACACTATATCCGCAGACTGTGACACCTGTATAGGCCTTGCGGCCCAGTTGTCTGGGTCGGCTAAACAGTGATTGGCATGCTCGGTGGTACAAAAGTGCGCCGCCGTCACCCAACTCTGTGTTCTGGCGTGAATCGAGACCTCTACAGTATCTGGCGAGTGCACTCATGATCCTTGTCGAGGCAGCAATGGTATGGAGGTTGTGGATCTCGATTATGTTTGGAGCTGCACGGCTTGTGGTGACTCAATCAAGTTTACTTCATTTTTTTTTTGTGTATTCAAGTATCATTCCACCCACGAAACCTCGAGTCAAGGCATAGAGAGCATCTCATAAAATACATCCGGATCCACACATATTTCTCAGCGTCCCAGTCCCTTACAACTTGCTAGCAGGGCTGGCGCTACCCACAGCGGTGATCTCGTTATACAACAACGAGGTCAAGAAATCCGCGTAGTCCTCACCCGTAACCTGGCCACTGAAGTATTGTGCTGCGAGGCCGAACTTGTTGCCCTGGGGTGCTCCCTTGGCGAGCTCGGCGGCCTGCTCCTTCAACAGCTTGAGGGCGTAGGCCTTGTCGACCTTCTTGCCCTCGGCAGTTGTAACGCCGTGCCTCACCCATTGCCACAGCTGCGAGCGAGACACTTCAGCGGTAGCCGCGTCCTCCCTGTACAACAGAGATCAGTAAATGGGACATATAAGACGTGAAGTGGAGTGCCTACATGAGGTAGTTGATGGGAACACATCCAACACCGCGGATCCAGGCCTCCATGTAGCCCAGACCGATGTTGAGGTTCTTGCGGATACCCTCCTCGGTGATCTTGCCAGGGACGTTCATGTTCAGCAGGTCGTTTTGGCCAATGGAGACATCCTCGCGACGGATGAACAACTGGTTGGGAGTTGGCATGTGCTTGTTGAAGATCTCAGAGGCAATAGCGGCCAAGGCCGGGTGGGCGACCCAGGTACTGATCTTGTGTTAGTTCACTTATGCAAAGATAGTGGATGATCCAGAAACCTACCCGTCGTGACCAGCACGAACTTCGCGCAACTTGTCGGCTCGGACACCTTCCATCGCCTTGTCGTTCGCAGCCTTGTCATCCTTGATAGGAATCTGTGCTGCCATACCACCCATGGCGTGAACACCACGCTTGTGACATGTTTGAATCAACAGTTTAACCTGTGCGCTGTTAGGCAATGGTTCCTGTTCCTGTCTTATGAAAGTGGCCTTACATATGCATCCATGAAAGGAACCGTCATGGTAACGGAGCTACGATCTGGCAAGACGAAGTTGCTGTTCTGGCGGAACTTCTTGATTACACTGAAGATGTAATCCCAACGGCCGCAATTCAGGCCGGAACTGTGATCCCTGAGCTCGTAGATGATTTCATCCATCTCAAACGCGGCCAGGATGGTCTCAATGAGCACGGTTCCACGGATGGTACCGCGGCTCATGCCGATGTAGTCTTGAGCCAGGTTGAAAACGTCGTTCCACAGACGGGCCTCGAGATGCGACTCCATCTTTGGAAGGTAGAAGTAAGGACCGAATCCTCGCTTCACGGCCTCGAATGCATTGTGATAGAAGTACAGGCCAAAATCAAAGAGTGATCCTGAGATGGGCTCGCCGTCCACGGTGACATGCTTCTCCTCCAGGTGCCATCCACGGGGACGGACAATGAGGGTAGGCAGGGTACGGTCCGTTCTAATCTTGTATTCCTTCGGGCCTTGCTTGAATTGCAGCTGACGCCGCACGGCATCGTACATGTTAACCTGGCCATTAATCATGTTATCCCACGTCGGGGCGCTCGAATCTGAGAGGTGTTAATTTATATACATAGGACGGCCCCCACACTTGAGTGGAAGCAGTGAGGATTCGTATTACATACCTTCAAAATCAGCCATGTAAGTCCAAACATCCGAGTTCAGGGCGTTGACGACCATCTTCCGGTCCGTGGGGCCGGTAATCTCCACTCTGCGGTCTACGAGACCCGGGGCCGGGGGCGCGCCCTTCCACGTCGCATTGTCGCGGATGTGCTTGGTCTCGGGCAAAAAGTCTGGCAGGACGCCCTTGTCCAGCTCGGCCTGGCGGATCTTGCGTCGCTCCAAGAGCTGCTTCCGTGTGGCATTGAAGGACCGGTGCAGGAGGGTCAGGAAGGCGAGGGCGTCGGGGGTCAAGATCTTCTTATGTTCCGGACCGACAGCGCCGAGGACGTTGACGCCCTGGAGGATGGTATCGGCGCTGACCATGGTGGCTGTAGTCGGGGTTGTTGGGTACAAGTCTGCTTTCGGTGTTGGTGGGCTTGCGTATAAGTCGGATAGGGCGTCTTATAGCCGAGGATAGGCCAATGGGGGTATCAATGGGAGTATGAAAGGGGCCAGAAGCGGACAGAGGCAGAGGAGCAAGTTGATGATATGAGGGGAAGAAAGTTTCTTATGAGAAGAGTGAAACTCGCCAACGGCGTGAGTCGGATCTGGATGGCAACTGGCTCGGCTGGGTTGTGGTGATGACGAAGATGGGACGGAACTCCAGATCTCCAACTTCGGCAATCACTCTCGTCTAACTCGAGGAGCCTGGGGGTTGGCTGGCAGACGTCGAGGTGCTATTGCCGGGGCAGTTGACCAGATGCGTGCAAGAGAGACAGACAAGCATGCGGCCTGCGCCCCCTGTGACTGGCCCAAGGGCGACTACGTACTGGACAATAAGCTCGGCGCCCTGGGCTTCTCGGGCGGAGGGGTGTTACGAGTGGCTCCCTTCTAGCCGGCGATGCGACGGAGGTCTGGAGCTTGTGAAAGTGTGGGGGAGCTCGAGCCAGCCAAAGCAGATCAGAGAATCGGATACCGAAGTTAGCCTCGAGCTGTCCAGTGCCGCAAGCTAAAGCATGTGCTTCCCAGCTCCAATGTTCCCCCTCGCGCGGCGACCCTGGCCTACTTATTACGTCGTTGTCGGACTGGAGAAGGCAGATCATGGATGCAGCATTCCCCAGGCGGGCCAGCCCAAGCCGGTCCTCAATTCCTTTATCTGCATTTCTCCATAGTGGTTTGCCCAGCGGCCAGCGGCCAGCGGCCAGCGGCCAGCGGCCAGGCGTGAGAGCTTGGGCGGGGGCCGGCCGCTTGGACGGAAGCCGCCTCACATATTTGGGGGACACTGGCGGCCGGCGGCCATGACGCAACGGACGGAACAGCCCTTTGCTGAGCAGTCATCAACCAATTGGCCCTTCTTCCTGTTCCCTAATTGGATCAATTGCACCAGGGCCCCGTCCGAGCTCGGTGCGATTCTGTCACTAATTACATACACCGTTGGTGCTGCCAGTCTCGTCGCGATAACGAAAGCACGGAAGCCCATACTGTTGTTGACATGATTGATTGCCATGACACAGAAAAAGGCACCGAGCCAAAGCACCTGCAAAACCGATGACGCCGGGCGCCGAGATACCGAACAGAGCCTAAAACCTTGCCGAGGTCGGATGAGGGCCCCTAGCAGGCTACCAGCCCTGGGGACCCACCTAATTCTTGGGCCACTGCCAGCTGCCGGCTCTTTCCGGTATTTGCCGAGCTAACTGGACATACTCGGCAGCCAGAGGCCAAGACGCAACTATAGGAAGACGCTATACGACTGACTCACAAAGCAGAAAGCCTGCAGGCCGAATAGAGGACGCTGCGGCGTGAGTAGACACAGAGCCGGGGCCGGCGTGGCGGTGCCTGCGAGTGCACGACGAGTTACGGAGGCGGACTCAGTCCAACCTATCCGACTATCCAGACAACTGACGCAGTTGTAGGGGAGAAGTCGCCCAAGACCAAGTGTGGGGGTTTTGGTATACACTGTAACCTGACTTTTTACTCCATATTATCACAACAGAGCTAATCAAGGCGTCGAGCTCATTTATCAAGCACAAAAGTGTCATTATGAGAGAGTGAACAACTATATACAAGGAGATTCGCGCCAATCCTGGCCAAATCAATTGCCCGTTCCCTGCGTTGTCGTCTGACTGGATTTGCGCGTAGACAGAGGAAAGTTACAAGGGAGTGAGGTGGACATCAATCATCAACTTCGTCGACTCGTTCAGAGTGGGCGCCGCCGGGGCCCCAGTGCCGGCCCCGGAATCCATCGCCAGCCTGCTGCCATTGCCTCATTTGGCAACACCGATGCAGGCAAAGTACTCGCGGAAAGCGTGAGCCTCGACGGCCAACAGACCCTCGTGGTCGACCATGCAGGCCGGGCGCCAGAACTCGGGCTCGACGCGGTCGAGGAGACCCGGGTAGCTGGTCAGGCCCATGGGCTCCGTGACACCCCACGGGTTGCGGATGATGATGTACTGGCGGTCGCCGTGGTTGGTCCAGCCCAGCACCGAGTAGGCGTGGTTGGCGACCAGGTTGGACCCGCGGTACATGCGGCCCGAGGCGTGGGTGAAGGCGGCCATGGGGTTGATGGTCTTCTCGTTGACCGAGCAGCGACGCACGATGCCGACGAGGGCAGCCGCCTCGTGCTTCTCGGTGAAGTAGTAGTGCGGCTCCCGGCCGTTGATCTGCGCCATGGCCTTGATGGGGTCACCGTGGGCCGTCTGCGTGATGTCGGGGCGCTCCGAGTTGGACCTGGTGATCCACTTGGCAAAGGCCTTCTCGTACAGCGCCGGCCAGATGTCGTTCTCGCCCGAGGCGCGGCAGTAGATGGGGTCGTTGCTGGAGTTGTTGATGGGCACCTCGTAGTCGACCTCGACGGTCTCGGTCTTGGAGTTGTTGCGGCCGCCCTTGTCGTGGAAGCGGATGAAGTGGCGCCGGCGGCGGTTGCCTCCCTCCTGGTCGTTTCCGTGCATCATCTCGTGGTTGGGCATGACGCGCGACGCACGCTGGATGACCGACGGGTTGGCCCAGAAGACGGAGAAGATGGCGGCAATCAACCAGGAGTTGCTGGTTGCACCCTGGACGGGATCGTCAAACCGGTTGGCGTGGTTGCACTCGTTCTCCATGCTGATGTGGTTGAAGTTGTGGTTGCCCAGGCGGACGCGGTTCAGGTCCATGATCAGTCTCTGGTTGTAGTGCTGGAAGACAATCTCGTCGATGTTGCGCCATGTGCTGTTAGGGGGAGACCAGCGGCCCTTCTCGTGGTCGTTGTGGCGGAAGGGAGTGGCCAGCTCATTCATTGATCGGGTGAGCTCTCGGTTGGTGACAGTTCGTCCAATCGAGTGAGCATCCAACACAACGCGAAGCTTGCCATTCTGCATGCGTGCCATCTTGACTCGGGTGTGCTCAAGCTGCTTGAGTCCAATCTGCTCAAGGTCGCCCAGCTTCTCAATCCTGGAGAGATCGGGAGTCATGAGGTCACGCTCATCAAGGATCTTCATCTCCTTCTCGTGAAGCTGCTCGGCCCGGCGTTCCTTCTCGTTCAACTGCAGACCAGCGTAGAGCACAGACTTGTGTCTCATGTCAAACAGCTCATCGTAGTCGGTCTGCAGAACATCTGAAAGGATACGTGCCACATTCATGGAGCGGCGGTCAAGCTTGTGGCCGAGCATAGCTTCCACCATGGCATAAGGGTTGATGGCACCGATCATCATCTCAGAGTCCTTGGGTGGGCGATCTGGCTGAGGCTCCCGGATGAGGGTTGAGTCGTTCTTGAAGTCACGGAGGTCGTCATATTCCTCGGATGCAGTTCTTGAGGACGAGGACTCGGAGATTGCGTCCTTGTCAATCTTCTTTCCCGTCAGAGCCTCGAAGAGGGCGTAGGCGTCAATGTTCCCCGATGGGGTGGAGGCTGGAGCAGCGTTGTTGAACATTTTCAGATCAAAGTGAGTTCTTGTCAGTTACCAGTAAGAGACTGAAATTCTGAGTTGATGATAAAAGAGAAGAAAGAAGATCCTGAGGGAGAATCACTGCTCTTATACATCAAAGCCAATACGCTCATTGAACTCAAAGGAAGGAGATTCAACGGCCGGCCACCGGAGACCAATATTGCAACCTCAACGCATGCTACTGGTAGCTTCTAAACCCAAGACTCGTCATGTATACCTTGCAACATGCACTCGAAACCCTGTGAAGCTTTTCCTTTGCCACCTTGAAGGCTCTCCACATGCACACTGCACACGCTTCGCTATGGTTGAGTTCGGGCAACTACCATGGCAGACACTGTATGATTGCATTAAGGCTGACAGGGTGGCCCCCTAAAGGTCGCGTCTATTGAGCTCTAGAAGCACCAACAAAGGCGCGAGCCTCCGTGTCATCAAACTCTCGAGTTCAGTGAGAGTATTGAATTCAGACGGATGACATTGTGCCCTCCTCCACCATGTTGTAGGTTTGCTGACCCAACTTCTGAGTTGAGCCATTATTACCCGGATGTCCATTGCATGAACGACAAACTCCACTGCCTGGCAAATGTATCCAACCCAACCATACGGTTATAGTTGCCTGGCTATCAAGGTTGGGATCACATATGTACTGGAGAGGGGAATGCCCTTTCCTTACATGACATACAAGTGGATCACCACCAGCCCTCAACTCTGGCTCGATTTTGGCTGGCTCTTCAAGGCTGACTAGAGTCACATAATTATTTGCATGCCCGCTTGAAATTGCAAAGATATAGATCGATCTCCATAGCATATGGTAACTTGAATTCGAAGTAGAATTGCTCAACCTCAGGCGGTTCCCTACAGAAGGCCAGGCGGATAGTACGTAATGTGCCCAGCCCCCTTATACCCTGCTTGAGTTCTTAGAGTTCATACTAGCGATGCGGCTCAGGAGCCTCAGCTAAATTTGCGGGGAAACGTGTTACACGCCTGAGCTTCTAACAGGGGCTTATTTTCTAGAAACTGGGTACGCCCATCTAGGCGGAACCAGAGTCTGAGCGTAACCTACTGGAGGTTCGATTTGTGTGGCTGTGGTGGCAGGCGACAGCCAAACTCCAGATCGGACATCAGTATTGCTAACATGATTTGCATGACGTTCAGAGCCCGGCTCCAAGAGCTTGGCTGGATCTACACATCTTGCTGCTTTGCCGCTCAGATACCAGAGCTCGCTGATGTTTGCCCCTTCAGGGGAACGGATGGGTCCAACTCTATACTACGACCCCTCGCGCTAAGCTCGTTTCCGAGGGATTACCATCTGGAGATACATCCAGCAGCTTTCGTATGTCTCACACTAACTGCGGGGCCGTAAGGTAGCCAGGGGCTCTCCGGAACGAGGGGAAAGCTCCCCATAACTCAATTGACATAACCTTGTAATTGTTGCCAGTTCCAGTTGCTGTGACCGTTGGGACGTTGGGGGAATGCCGACATCCGGCCAGGGGTTGCGGCCCGACCTACACTTACTGGAGGGTGTGAACGGCAACTTCCATATGCGACATTGAGACATATGGCTTTCTGGAAATATGCACGACGACGAGTGAAGAAGATGTTTTCGAGCAAGACCAGAGGCTTGATTGGAAGAATACTTACCTTAGACTACCAATGGGCACACTCTGAAAGATGCATGTGGCATTTCACAGTATTCCAGGGGAGGCATATAATTGAGGGAAGCTCCTTCAAGTCGCAATGGTTGATAAATTTCTCTAGATGTCACCTGAACTCAGAACCCCCTCCCCAAGCAAACACACATCCACACACATAGCAAACCGTGGATGAGGGTTTGACCTATGGCCATCCAAGAAATACCTATGACTGTGCATTTATGCACCAAACCAAGACTATGAAGCACCTGCTCTCGGCTGGAACACAACATATTTGCAACCCCGGATGAGGGTATCACTTGAATAGAGTATTGCTAAAGGTGGGCGGCGCATCCATCTCTTTGTTTTCCACTGCTCCCGTATCTAGTTATTTCGACTCTTGAGCTGGAGGTTTACAGCAAACTTCTGCGACTCATGTCCGTCATTAACGACCTCGAGGGCGAACTTAGGGCAAAAGGTGACATACAGTGCGCGAGTGGAATCCCATGCTGAGTCCCACTGCGTCATTCCACTTTCTTTTGCTACTGGAGCTTTAACGATGGGATCTATGTTACTCAAACAAGAAACACGAAAATGCTTAACTTGAAACCTTGCGCTATGTACGCGTCCTTTGTCCGCTTCTACCAACATTGCGCTGTGGTCACGGAGCGTTCGCATGTGACTTCTTCTTTATCAGGGTAGCAAATTGAAAGCGGTCTCTCGAGAACCAACAAACCGCGTAGGGAGCAGTGTCGGCACATTTTCTATGTTTTCCAGACTTCAGATCGCACGTTAATCTCGTTGGTAACGTCAGTAATGCCTTAAGGATATATCGCAACATGTCCACCAGCTCCATCATTTAGTTATCATAACGGATCAGAATGGATTATTGAATACACTGGTTCTGTCAGATCTTAAGCGAAATTGAGCAAGGCGATGAATTTATTTTGGCACAATAGTAGAATTCTTCCCCTGATCGGTTTCGGCTCATCGATAGATACACTTATAAATACCTGGGAGTCTGGTGGGGATCAGTATAGTACGAGCCAATTGCATTTTTGACAGTGTCTTGGCGGTGACCTATGGAGTCCTGCTGAGTGGAGGCACAGCACAAGGGTCATGTGGCTTCTCGCATGCCCATGTTGGCCAGCTAACATTTACGCAACGCGTTGGGAGTTACTCTGAATGACTCGGCAATTGGCGACACGATGTCGCGCTGGCACGAGTCTCACTGCAGATTGCCAGATGTAAGCGTAATCGGCGGGCTTCCTTGCTGTTCGCACTGTTTTGCGATATTTCCTGTTGATGACGTTAAGCCGGACAGTCAGCTACGCGGTCCCCAGATCCCCTCACACTCTGGCTCGCTACCATTGAATCTCTCCTGGCCGCAGTCGGTAAAATATCTTGGCGCAACGGCCCCGCGGGGCTTGAATTCTGGGTCTGCGACGGACTCCAAAGTACAGTCCGAAGAAGACTCATCGAAAGATGGCTCAGAGGCAATTGTTGCCAAGCGTCAGGTCAAGGAGACACATGGAGAAGACGGGCGGAAAACCGCAAACGAGAGGAGTGCTCCAGGATATACGAACCTCATCTGGTCAGACGAGATCAGATTACTTCGGCTGAGCCCTGGTACACCAGGTGATCCTGTTCACGCAAATTTTGTCAACATCCAGCTGGATCAAGGTCCACCAATCTTTGAAGCACTCTCCTATACCTGGGCTGACGAGTCGGGGGATGCAACCAGATGCAGACCTATCTTCATCGGTCCGTACTGGGATATCTATGTGGCAACGAGGAACTGCGAAAGAGCTCTGTCCAATATACGCAGACCTAGGTTGACCCGAGACATTTGGGTTGATTCCATTTGCATCAACCAGGACGACGATACAGAGAGGTCAGCACAAGTCAGTCTAATACCAAGAATTTACGCAGAAGCAGAGAGCGTCGTGGTGTATCTTGGAGAGGAATCTCCGGAGAGCGGTGCAGCTCTCGAAATCCTGGTATTACAGGATCGTGCAAGCATCTTTTCCGATCTTGAAGCGTCACGGCTCAAGCATGACTTAGAACAGCGTACAGCAGCGGAACACACAAAGCAACAACTGGAAGACATATTCGGACGACCCTATTTCAAGAGGCTTTGGGTTGTTCAAGAGCTTATTCAGGCAAAATCCGCTGTGATATGTTGCGGCACACAATCAGCACTCTGGCCATTGAGGGGCCTTGAAAGTCTACGCTCGCTCATCGACATACCACGATGGACTCGGTACAGAAATTTCCGAAGTAATATCACGGAGATGAACTTTGTTGAACTCATCGTTGACACGAGGGATTGCTTGTGCTCGGATCCACGTGACAAGGTCTTCGCTATCCTAGGTTTGATCCGTTTCAGGAAACAACTGGCACTCGTTCCTGATTACACACAAAGTTTTGAACGGATCTGTATTGGCACAGCTTCTTATATGGGGCAGTGCTGCGATGAATGGATAAGCGTCCTGAAATATGCAAATGCAGGAGCCACAAATCGTCACCTTCCATCTTGGGTCCCTGACTGGACTTAGGTCCGCCCTGTCAGCAACAGAGCTTTCAGTTCACCTGCGTACTACAAGTACCTTCCAGACGCCATGGTTGAATCAAGGCTTAGGCCTTATCAGATCTTCCTGTTCGAGCCACCTCAAAATTCAAGCGTTGAGATTGCTTCGGAAGATGGTTCCCTGCAGGTTTCGGCAATGAGAATATGTCGAATATGCGATCGTTTCAGCACGTCGAAATCGGCCAAGGGATCATATGCAAGTTTGAGCTCCCCACTGATCAGCGACTTGATAGACTACGGCCCAGGAGAATTTCATCTATTTTGTCCTGTGGAATCGCTTACAGGTTACGAGGTCGTGTTTTGGTTACATGGCATCAGCTCTTTCGCAATCCTGAAATGCTCGTCTCACCAGTCCCGGTATTCATTCGTGTCCTTGTGCAGTCTTGCGCCTATGAGCCATGATCCCCCGAGAACCAAAGAAGGCTATTTTGCTGTTCGAGACTTCTCGACAACAGAGGAAGAAGTGATACGCGGAGTGGATGAGAGCTTAAGACCCGCAGACCAAGCCACATCGTGGGCGCGGCCAACTTCCTCTGGAAGCTTCATGTCTACCATGCAAAGATTGGCAGATGCCACTCTATTCTTCGAGAATCAATCACGTGGAGATAGTCTGCAGAAGAGGTGGCTCACATTAAGGGATGAAATGGAGTGGTATCTCAGGAGTGATAGCCACCGCCGGAACTTTGCACTATACCTCATCGAGCTAGAAGCAGTACGTCCTGGCGGACGAGATGCTTCTTACTACCACCCGCCAAGCCGTTCGCACGTTGGACACTTGAAGCAACTAAACAAGCTTCTGTGGTCATTAATCCCTGCAGGTGGATCATGGGGCCATCACTATGCTGGATCTGAACCTCCGGAGGATGGTTCTATTCAGGATGCTTCCGATATTATTTACAGGCTCATGAACTGGGCTAGCGTCACCATGGAAGTTATAGATGAGTGTAGCAGATGGACTTCGATGATGAATTCAAGCTGGGTTGGAGATCTTACTGGAGCAAGTATTCCGGCGGAGTGGGCTGCTCGCTATGAACTGTTTGAAGAAAACATCACCGCCGGACTCAACGCCGAGATTACAAGTCTTGACGTTACTTTGCTGATATTGGACTTATTCTCGAAGAGCTAAAACGATAATTCTGAGGACGAACCAGGACCAAGGACCAGTGAAGCTTCTCGCCACGAATTTACAACGAGGATGGATAGCTGTTTATGGGATTGGAATAGCGTCTATCGATATCTAGCTAAGCAGCAAGAAATATTTGGCTCTCTGATGGAAAGCGATCACGTAAGTAGGTGGGTAAAGGCCCTTAATGAAGATGGCTGGGGAAGAGAAGAGACAATGCAACTGCATGAAGAAAACAATGGAGACGATCACCAAGAGGGAGGCAAAGAGCAAGATCTACACCAGCACAGGGAGATGGACGGGGTGGAAAGTGACTGGCTTCATGAGTTTGATAAGCAGATGGTGACGAGGTTTAAGCTACATGCCTATGGTTTTCCAATTGGGAAATCGGAAAGGATTGTGATCGATTAAGCAAGAGAAAGACTCTCCAATCAACATTGCATCAAAGGGAGATCGATCCAGATGGGGGAAAAAAAAGGTCAACAAATTAGGTCAAGCTCCTTTGTACCAGCTACACTTAAAAATTAAGCTTTCAAGGAGGAATTCTTGAAGGTGGATCCAAGCACCAAAAGACATCACGTCTTCAGCCCATTATTCTTAATGCCCTCCATTAGCTCCTCCTCTGCCTTGGCGTACCCGGGCACCGTAACACCCTTTCCGGAGGGGCGATCGGCATTGTATGTTGGCACCACTCTCTGCTTAGCTATCAAGACCTCAAGTATGGTGCCGTCGCCGTACTCGGGATTCTCGCACAACTGCAGCATTGCCTCGGCGATCTCTTCAGGATCAATGAGTAGGTCGTTCTTTTGATCCAACATGGCTGCCTTGTGGGGGTCCTCTTCCCACATAGGTGTCTGAAAACACATATCAGCACCAATTATCTGTGAGCAAGTTTTGTAGCTTGAATAGGCCACGTCAGAAGTAGCAGTTAACTTGCCTTTACAGCCCCAGGGGCGACCGCTCCAACCCGGATGCCAAGTTCGTCCCTCAACCTCGCAAGTGATCTCACGAATCCACTCAGCCCATGCTTGCTGGCAAAGTAGAGCGGTGTGCCGATACTCGCCGCTTGACCGGCTATGCTGCTCACGTGCACAAGACATCCCGGCGCGCGCTGCTGCGTCCAGTAACCGATGGCAAGTTGGCTCAGCCGGATCGGGTGCGTCAGGTTGACGTCGAGCGTGGCGTACGTATTGCAACCGTCGCCTCCCACATCGGCTGCTATGTCCCGAGAGGGCGTGTCAGGGTTTGTTGCCGTGCGCGGCGGATGCCAGAAGTTGGAGAACCTGGGCTCGAAAAGCCCGGCGCCGGGGCAGACAATGTCAAGACGTGGGAAGGAGGAGAGTCCCTTGTCGAAGAGCGCCGATAGCTGGGGCCAGGACCGCACGTCGGTGGGATGGAACAGGGCTGAAGGACGTGAGGAGGCTGGAGGGTAAGGATACTCTGATAGGAGCTGCTGTGCCTCAGGGCGAAGATTCAAGTCTCCAATCAGGACTGAGCAGCCACGAGAGAGGAGCAAGCGGGCAAAGGCCAGGTTGATCCCTAAACAATGGCGTCAATCTTATAAACAAAAGACTCGGGAGTATGAAGAGTGGTCCTGGATAGATTTAGGAGGCAGATTTTCATACCTGAACCTCCACCAGTGATAATTGCATACTTCCCGGCTACGGACAAGGACGCCATAGTCCTCTGCGTTTCTCAAGCTAGACGTCGTTTCACTGTTCTTCACGATGATGAAACTAGAGAGTCCCAAAGCACTAATTAAGGGTAAACAAGTGGTGGGCAGAAAGCAAGAGTGTCACCTGATCAATCTCATAAGTGTAAGAAAAGAGCCCTCGTGAAAGTCCTACACCTCTATCATGCCGAGGCACCTGGTTGACCACTTATCGGCCTGGCCGGCTACTGATGTCAGCAGATACGACAATGGTCTGCCAAGTAGCTTCAATACTTATCAGCGGATATACACACCCGCAGAGACCATTATCATCTCTGTTGGGGTTCCAAGGGGAGAAGGGGATCAGGTTGGGGTACATGAGGGGAAGCACTTGGAAAGGTGGGAGGGTCGACAGCGGGGAATCCTGGCGAAGCAGCCCATCCCCACACGATGTCTAATCATTGGCGAAACTATCCCTCTCATGCTGAAACGAGCATGTGCGTTACGAAGAATGTTGATGCTCTCATATAGACTCAACGAGGGTCTGGATGGGAAAGGGAAGAAGATGTCCTCTGTCATCTCTGTAGCACTCTGCAATGAGCAGAAACACGCTCCATGCGGTTGGATAACCAGACCAATCTGCCATGAAACCTGAACGAAACCACATCCTCGATAGTAAATGAGACACTCAATGAATACATCGAGCCGCAGATGCTTGTATTTATGACATAGCTGCATGTGGTACAGTCGACTGTGATTCTAACATCATTCAATACACAGTCTAGGCAGAGGGTTCTTTATAGTGCATCCGGTCCAGGACCCTGGTCGGCCCTGCGTCACCGGCGTCACCGGCGTCACGCAAATTCAAGGGACCACAAGCTAGCAGGGATCTTCGGACCGCAACTCTATCTTATCGCGTCTGCTAGCTCTGGAAATTTACATACCTTCAGCATCGTGACCTGACCGAGTGCATCTCTACAACCAGGGGACGCGGCTCCCTCCAAAATGAGCTCAAGCCCTTGTTCGACGCAACTTACAGAACCTCCCTGATATAGAGGCCGTTACCAGAATGGCAGCACCTCTCAAGGCGGCCGGCGCCGCCGCCACAGCAGCGACAGCCGTCTCCGGCTCCGGCTTCGTCCCGCGCACCACCTTCGAGGTCTCGTCCCAGATATCGCGGTCCTATTTCCTGGGCCACCACGCGGGCGCCCTAACGTCGATGCGCCGCATTCTATCCAACATCAGCCTGATCATCGAGTGTCGCGACAGCCGCGTGCCCCTGACCTCGACCAACCCGCTGCTCGAGTCCTCGCTCGCGGGCCGCGACCGCATCATCGTCTACACCAAGTCCGACCTCGGCTTCCCGCCGTCCGCGGGCCGCTTCCGCCAGGCACAGCAGAACCTGCTCAGCCGGTGGCACGCCGAGCGCCACGGCATCATCACGGAGCACCGGCCGGGGGAGGCGGGCGCCGCGGGGGGCATCTTCGGCCCGGGCCGCACCGAGGTCGTCTTCACGGACGAGCGGCAGCCCAAGACGATCCAGAAGCTGCTGGACGCCATGAAGGAGCGCGCCGCGGCGGCCGACTCGCTGACGGGGCTGCGCGCGCTGGTCGTCGGCATGCCCAACGCCGGCAAGAGCACGCTGCTCAACGCCATGCGCCGCGTCGGCATGCACCTGGGCAAGGCGGCGCGGACCGGGGCGCAGCCGGGCATCACGCGCAAGCTGTCGTCGCCCGTGCGCGTGATCCCCGAGGACAGCGCGGCGGGCATCGAGCAGGGCGTCTTCGTCTTCGACACCCCGGGCGTCTTCGTGCCCTACGTCGGCGACCTGGAGTCCATGCTCAAGCTGAGCCTGGTCGGCTGCGTCAAGGACGGCATCGTCCCCGTCGAGACCGTCGCCGACTACCTGCTGTACTGGCTCAACCTTAAGGACCCGGCCGCCTACGCCGACTTCTGCCCGCCCACCAACGACGTCGCCGCCTTCCTCGACGGTGTCGCCGTGCGCACCGGCAAGCTCCTCAAGGGCGGCGCTCCCGGCCGCGAGCTTGCCGCCACCTGGGTCGTGCAGCAGTGGCGCAAGGGCAACTTGGGCCAGTTCGGCCTGGACGAGGTCAACGAGGAGGTGCTGCGCGAGTGGGCGCGGAAGGGACAGGGCGCCGGTGTGGGCGACCAGGAGCCCATCAGCATGAATCAGGCCCGGAAGCGGGAGAAGGAGGCCAGGAAGGCCTACAAACTTGCCAAGAGGCAGGCTTCCGCCGGTGGCCCATGAAGCTCATGATTGAGCTTGGCTACAAGCGAACGGCAGATAGCAGAGAAATTCGAGTATCTTGTCCGGGAGAGGGACGGATACACGGGCACCAGTGCGGTTGTATCTTTTTGAACAAACGGAAATGTGCCCCAGGTAATGGTGCAAAGCGGCCAGAGACGTCAACCATCATAACGAATCCTACGGCTCGTTGTAGCACTGAAGGTGGACAAGACATTCAGTATAGGCAGTCGGTCATCTCGAGTGGGCAGCTTCGACGAAGCTAGCCAGATTTGGTTCCTGCTGATCTATCAGACTCCCGACACGCCTGTCCGGAGCAGAATCAGGGCCCTGGTGGCCATCTCCGGGAGGATTAGAGATTGATACAGCCGATACCATTGATGTTCAGCATCGCATGTACATTAATAAGGTGTTCATTGATACGCTTGAGAGACTCCCAGCTCAGGGCTGTGTGTAGCATATATATAGCAACGGCCCAACCGTCTTGTACAGTCAAGTCGGAAACAAATAATACAATAACTCGATTCTAGCACTGCCTTGCAACCGTGGCTGACTTGAGCGCCCAGCTACATATATTGCTGGCGACCGCTGGCGACTTTCTGGCGCAAGTAGTGGGAAGACGTCTGCACTCATTACAATGCCTTTCCAGAGGCCATTTACTTCCAGATAATCACGGACTCGGATCTGGCAAAGCAGGCATGATCCGTACTGATTCTCGAATGCTATATTCAAAAAGCTCAACCAGCTTCGCGATTGCGTGCTTGTTCTAGTCCCCGTGCATACAGGTTCCTGTAGTATACCGTGGCATGCAACTACAACATACCCGCATACAGCGCCTGCCTGGTCCTCACAGCCCTGGCCCATCACACGAGACCCGCTACGTCGCAGCGGACACCCTGTGACCGCCGCCTCTGAAAATTGGGACGACTTGACTTGCAACTGCTGAGCAAACTGAGGGGATTTCCCTTTTTTCCCATTTGAACCTATGGGGACGCACACGACCCGTGCTGGCGGGCCCGTCCGATGTACACTATAACGCCAAGGAAAATGCAACATGATAGTTGGTAGTGAGAAAAAAAAATCAAAAAGATCTGGCATGGTACCGAGATCCAACCCTCCGAACGCCAATGACACCATCCGTCCCGTGAGACGGGACACAAATACAACGACGGGCAGGTTCATTCTCCCCGCGAAACACAGGTGAGGATCTCACGTGATATACTCCTGCTGCCACTTGACCAGATCCCTGGTCAACGCATCCATCATCTCCACACAGCTCAGATCCTTGAAGTCTTTTGCGGAGGTGCCGTTGGTGGTGGCAGCGGCGTCGCCGGCCAACCTGTCACCGTTTGTTCCGTTGACTTGACTTCCCTCTTCACTTGCAGGCTGGCTATTCCTTTCAGACAGCGGCTCGCTGGCCAGTTCTACCTGAGTCCGGCCGATGAATTCCATCAGGTTATTTGCGCGCCTCTTCAGGTCAGTCATGGTGATCTTTGAGTTCATGCCGCCCCTTGCCTTGCTGCTAGGCTTGGGGCCGGGTTCGTGGGTAATCTTGGGGTGGTGCTCGTCCTTGTCACGCGCTATGTCTCGGGACATGGATCTTGCGGGTGAACCTTCGTTTAGATGCGAGTCACGCTCCTTGGTGTACTGGTTTCTTCCTTTCTTCTTCGGAAGCGGGAGAGGCTTCTTTTTATTGGAGCTGGCGGGGACCTGGTCGGCGGGCGGCGTGTCCGGGGCGGGCTGCGAGGATGCAGGAGGATCCGGCGGATGGACGGATTCGGTAGACCGATTGACGGAGGCACGGGTGGCCAGGGGCATTTCCTCGGAAGGATCAGAGTCTGCATCGGCATCCACATCAGCTTGAAAGACCTTGACGACAATGGTAGTTGCAGTGGCGGGTTTACCATCAGCTCTGCGGCGTTCGGCTCGGCCTTTGCGTTTGTTAGCGGCCTCGGCTCGTTTGCGCTCCTGTTCCTCACGGCGCTCGTCTCGCTCGGCCTTCTCACGCTGGCTGCGGACTACATGCCGGGACGATTTCTTGGAGGTCCCGTTGCGGAGGCCCGACTCGTCCTCGGACTCTTCCTGGCTGGCGGAAAGGGCCTGATCCCCAGGCGAGGGCGACTTGGATGTTGTCCTTTGCCTCTTGATCTCGGGTTGCCTGCAAGCACCACGGTTAGCCGGGCCGGAAGTCTCGAGCGCAAGCAGCACGTACTCCTCATCGTCGTCTCTGCCCCTCTTGGGACGCCTTGGGCCTAGTTCGGGCTCCTCGGTGATGGCATCCCCCTTGCTGATCTCCAGCGCGCGCCTGAGCTGTTCCTCGTCGTAGGCCGCATCGCGGCTGTTCATGGTCGACCGCCGCTTGGCCGAGGCGCTCTGGGCTGCAGCGGCTGCAGCTGAGGCCCGCGAGCTCTTGCGGTCACCGCTCCTGGGGGAGCGGGCACCCTCTTTGGCGGTCGAGGTAGCCCTCGAGGTCGCCCGCGAGGGTCGGTGGAGGGGTAGGTAAATGGAGTATTTTTGTCTGCGAGGCGGCATCGTGTCAGCATGTTCAGCTTGCAGGGCGAAACGAGCATGTGTTTTTGGCAGGTTTCACAGAGGGACTGGCCGTGGGCGTGGTGGAATGGGGTCATGGCAGGGTTGCTGGAAGTTGGAACGTGGAAGCTGCAGCAGAGAGGGGGTGATCGACGGGCGATTGATTGTCAGCCAGCGCTTCGCCACGGCTGAGCTGAGAGAAGACAGCACAGCCAATGGAGCAGACCGCGCCGGCACGGTCGCAACGGAGCGCTGGAAAAGGGCGCGCGCGACAGAATCGAGTGTGTACTCACCCATTGCTGGCCGTGTAGATTTTGTGCAGGTCCTTTCGGCAGAGTTCGCAGTAGTAGTCGTCCGGGAGCAGGTCCTCGTTGACAATGCCCATGCAGAGCCCATGCTCCCAGACCTTGCACACGTCACATTGGACGAAAAAGCCGGCGAGGTCGTCGGTCAGTTCGATGGTGAAGAGCGGCTCGAGGTCAATTGCGTCCTTGAGCGCATGCTGCTTGGTGTCGTCGTCGAGGGGCGGCAGGCCAGGGTAGTCGTCGAAGCCGCAGACGCAGCGGACGGCCTCGTCGTCCTCCTGGATCTCGTTGTCGTCGCTCGCGATGGCCATCTCGGGCAGCTCTACCTTGGGCTGCTTGTCGCGATCGTCGTCTCGGGCGCGGGTGCTCCGGCGGCGGAGGAGGGGGTTGTCGTCGCCGCTGGCCGTGGCGGCGGTCGAGTCTTCGGGGGGCTCCGAGGAGAGCGAGGCGCTGCCGGTGGACTTCTGGGGGGAGGAGGCCTTGGTGAGGGCTCTGGTCGGTCGTTCGGCACGGCCAGACGAGCTGGACGTGGCAGAGGAGAGCTGGGATTGGGATTGAGTCGTTCGCGCCCGAGAAGACCGTCGAGTGGGAGAGGTGCCGGCCATTTCTCGGCGGGCGAGCGACTCGAAGGGGGGGTTTCAAGGCGGCCCGCGGGGATTCGCGCGTCTACGTCAACGGGAGCACGCGGTCGTCTGTGGCAAGGGCGGACGGGTGAGCGCCCGGGAGAGGCAGAGGCAGGTCGAGGGTGGTAAGGGGACCGGCCGACCGTGGCAGGGCCGTGGTGGGTGAGAGCTCTCGCGCGGGAGGAGAGCGGCCGAGTCTGAACTTGGAAGGGATGCTCTGGCTAGGACGACAAAGATTGAGCACTCTGGAGGCGCGGGCGGGGATCTGGCATGACTGTACAGGGCGCTGGGAAGACAAATGGCACGCGGTGACGAGAGAGAGGTGAGCGGGCAGGGCGGACGAGGAAGAAGAATCGTAGAGCAGGTGGTAGGTGGACTGTGTAGGCAGTACGGGCTATTGGCGTGGGATTGGAGCGCCGGGTAGCAGATCTAAGCGGGGACTTTTCCACTGCAGCCAGTCTCGCTCCTCGCCAACTCTAAACTCTCGCTCTCGCCCTTGGACATTTTTGGATTTGGAGACAGGGCCACGGACGGCATCGGCGCCTGCTGACCACAACCACCGAGCGAGCGGGCAGCTCTCTCTTCCTGGCCTTGGCCTTGGCCTCTGACCCTGACCTGCAGGGGTGCCGTGCCGTGCTGTGCTGTGCTGTGCTATGCTGTGCTCCTCTTCTGGCTCCTGTTCTGGCAGATGGCCGCCAGTGTCGACGCAAAAGCCGGCCACAAAAACCCAGCGGACCATGGATCTTCCGTGCTGCTCTTCCGCCCGCTTTGGGCTTTGGGGCGGGCCCCATGTAAGTAGAAGTGTTGCCAGCCATGATCCACGGCGGGGAGGGGACAGTGTGACACACACGGAGGGTCAACCGTCAAGTCGGCGGCATGTGTCGACGTCCCAAAGACAGATCATGATTCGAGGGTAAATCATGCAAGGTAGGTAGTGGTATGTGCTGTAGTCAAGCCGATGAGAAAGTACGCTGGCCTACTGCTCGCTCTTATGAAGAAGATGGTGAGGATGGCCGCCCTCTATTCTCCTGGGCTTGGATCGCTTGGATGTGTCAGCGTCGGCAGAGGCCATGACGATATGTGCTGTCTCGACGTTCCTGTTGTGAGCGAGGGGAGGATTGCACCAATAAAGGTAGATAGATGGCAACCCGCCAGAGGGCAGCCGTTGCGAGAAGAATGCGAGATGGGCTTGTGAGCCGGCGACCCCTTCCTCCCGGCAGGCAGACGGCACCGACGGGCAACGAAGAGAGCCAGCCAGCTTGTCTGTAAACGACGACGACAAACGGCAGAAGACAACCTTGGAAACCCCCCCACTTCCCAACCTGAGGTTTCCCATCTCAGAAACACCAGAGCCCAACCCACAAGGCAGCATGCGTGCATCCATTCACAGGCCAGGACAAGTAATCGGTGCCTCAGCCGGTGGGCCAGCTCCAACGGTTCCAGCTGTCAGTGGAGGGGCAGTATGGGCTGTTCCCGTCTTACACGGAGCCCTGGACCTCGGGGGGGGGGGGTCGTCGAGTCCGCCTGCAGGTGGCCCCTCCCAAGCCTCCCACAAGGCAGAGAGACACAGCCCTGAGTTCCAGAGTCCCAGAGTCCCAGAGATGTCTAGGTGCACCCGACACTCGGCACTCTCCCACTGGCGCCCGGGCTGATGATTAATGAGATTCGACAGCAGGGTCAAAGACCTGCTATCGGCCCTTGCACCTCCCCAAACGGCCCACTAAGCCGACCCGTCCACCGTCCATATCCATATCGCCAGCACAATCCACCATCCGTCCAATCCATTCCGTGACCTGCCATGCATGCACGCACGCACTGAATGAGTGAATGACCCGACACCCAGCCTGCCCACCATATCTATCACACACACACACACACACTCTCTCTGTCTCTCTCTCCCTCTCTTCGTTGTTGGAAGCACGACGAACCGAGCAAGTCCCGCTCGCGACCCTGGAGACGATCGGCATCGACGACAAGACAGGCGCCTTCGCCAGCATCCCACCGCCCCCAGACTCCAGCCCGCCGAAACCCAGAGCTTAGCCCGGGCCGCCTGGATAGGGGAACAAAACGTCGCCCGTGGCGTACTGCAACCTTGCACGTTGGCCGTCGACGTCCATCTTTTGCTTCCCTCCCCCTCTGGCTGGCCTTTCACCCTCTCACACCCCTCGGTGCCCTGATCGGTCCCCCTTGGCTCTCCGCTCTCCCTCCTGTAGGTACATTGCACGCATCTCACCCATCCACCAGCCCAGCCTGCATGAGAAAAAGCAGCTGGGCCCGGCCCAGTGGCTCCTCCTGCATACGGAGCCAGTCCGCCGCCTGCTGTGAGGTTGTTGGGCAGCGCCTCCAGCGAACCCCGACCTGTCTCTCCACATAGGACGCCGTTTCCTAGCTTTCATAGTGACTGCACGCAAGATCATGATCCTTTTTAGTAACCTTTCTCATACATAGATTCCTGGCCAAAGCCCCTGGAAGCACCCTTATACCGCTGCGGTGCTTATCGAGGCATCCGCCGAGCCCTCTCGTCGCTCACCACTGAGGGCCGCCCGTCGACGAGCCGCTGGACTTCTTCTGAGCGAACCGTCCCCCGAACAGGAAGGGGACGGAGGAAAGCCACTTGCATCAGACAGCTGGCTGTCAGAAGACCTAGAGGACCTGGCTTCGATATGTGATGGGTATGTCGCTTCTATTGTTCATGCATCGTTGAGAAGAGTTCACGTTCGGCGATGCGTTGCGAGGATCCTGTGCCTTCCCGGCCGCCGGGGCATTATGTCTGCGTTGTGCCCCGCGTTACCCACGATCACGGCGTTTTAATTGCTGCCACTCACGATGTCCTGCAAAGTCGCTGGCATCGTGGGGGGTTTTCCTGGTCTTGCCCTCTCTTCCTTTCACCATGTCGTGGATTCCTGATCGCTCCACCTGGAAGCTTTGGGGTGTGCAAGTCTGGTCTCTCTTGGCCTCAAACCCTTCAGCTGCCATGATGGGCTGCCTTTTCGGTCCTGCGGCCTTGTGGCTAACCTTTTCTCGACGTGGTCGATCAGCAGACTCTTGTGAAAATATGTCTCCAGATTCTGTATCCTCGCTCTTTCCAGACCGGCCGATACGACCTCTTCCCAAACGCCGACTGCGTGAGCGCCTGTCCCCCGACGTTGCCGACACCATCAAGTACCCTCCGGAGCCCCAGAACAACGCCCCGCTGTTCTACTACCCTTACAACCTCAAGTCAGAATCCGGGACGGCCGGAGCCGAGCTGGGAAACGTGGTCAACAAGGAGAACGGGGCAGAGCTGGCTCAGGAACCTGGCCCCCGTCGGCATGGTCTAGGCGGGGAGATCGACGAGGAAGGTCATATTCACCGGAATAGGAGGTCACTGGCCACACGGCCACTTCACGAGTCTTCAGCTCACGCAATGCGCACACCTCCGAGAGCGAGTCAAGGCCGACACCAAATTCCGCAGCCACCGCCTTCTACAGCATCCTCCGCCGACGGGTACGACTCGTTTGAGAACACCAACAACAAGAAGAAGAGAAAAATTCCGACGGCCGGGGAGAGCATTTTGAACGGTGCTCACGCGCTCAACGACGCGAGCATCTTGGGGGTGCCTTCGCCGCCCATGACCGGAGATGAGGGTTCGGGCGATGCTTTGGCTGCCACACCCTCGCCTTACGCTTATTCCGGGGGCACTGCCACCAATGGACAAGGGATCTCGGGCCCGGGACGAGGCCGTTATGGGCGAAATCGCAGCGGCCGTAGCCCCTTGAGACAAGTACCTGACCCGAACTCCAACTGGCCTGTCAAGAACTCTAAGCCAAGATCTGGTGGCCAGTACCCCGTCCCTACAGGTATGTCGAACAAGTGATCCCCCTCCTGGGGTGTTCTTTCTGCCCATTCTACCCAAGCAATGCTTCTGCGGTTGCCCTTCTCTCTCTCCCCTCTCAGCTGGCTGTTGGTACGGCGAAACCCGGCTCTCATTCCGAAATCCACCAAGAATTTTCTGGTCTGGGAGAGAAGGGGCGGCATCCTTGATATTTTCTTCAAACAATCATCAACTGACATGAACACCTTAGGAGAAAATGCAGGTATCATCTCAAACGCCATTGCCAGCGCTGAGAAGCTTCCAGTGCCCCCGGGCCAGGAAAACATAAGTCTACTACATCAGCAAGCTTCCACGAAAGTCAGCCCAGACTCCTCGCAATTCACGTTTACTTTCGACTCCCAAGTACCGGGGACAGTCTCTTGGCCCGGGTCGGAATCTTCGTCTTCTCACTTGACAGCAAACAACCAGAGTCAGCAAGGGATCATGACTGGTGACTCCAAAGACGTTTACTACGGGGGTAGTGCGCGACCTCAGCCGGGCCAGGTACCTCAAACCGGGTCGGCGGGTACCCAGACCCTGCCATCTGGGCAGTTGGACGCTGTGGGCAAAGGGGCTTCACCCGCCAATGCTCCGCCGAAGAAAGCGAAACGACGTGGAAATCCACTGCTCCAAGCCGCAAGACAGCGCCGCCAAGAACAGGAGTATAAGAACTACCACCATCCTCCGTCGCCTGAAGATGTCTGGATCTGCGAATTCTGCGAGTACGAGAGGATCTTTGGGCGACCTCCCGAGGCCTTGATACGTCAATATGAGATCAAGGATCGCCGTCGCCGACGGGAGGAAGCTGAGCGCCGCCGGCTGTTGGAGAAGGCCAAGATGAAGTCGAGAAAGGGAAAGAAGCCCAGCAAGCTTCCCGCCAAGAACAACGCACCGGCGCAGGATCGAAACCCGGCTACGTCTGCCAACCAAGTCCCGCCTATGGACCATGACCCCAACCAGGATATTCACAGCGAGGAGTTCGAGGAGGACGACTACTACGAGGACGATGTTCACGATGACAATTGCCCTGCTGTTGCACGCGGTCTGGATTTCGAGTCGCATGCATCTTCCGTGGAAGGATACGCCGACCATGGCGGGCCTGAAGGCGGAGGCCATGATACGCGCGTGCCTGTGTCTTAGCGGCTCCTGAATCGTCCATGTGATGGTATACTTGACTGTTGTCAGGACGCATCTCGTATGGACTCTTTTCTACGGCCAAGGCTTCACCCCTTTGGTCATAACCCCAAAGAATAGTTTGTGGTCAACTCGTTGGTGGGAATGATGTTGACCCAACTGTTCCCCAAACCCCTACGTCAGATCTAACCCCTGCCGTCTATTCAGCAATCCCCGACAGCCCATGGGATCATCGATCCAGGACCTTTGGCACAAATCATTTACTGACAGCTCGACTGGATACAACAAGCATGGGTTGTGAATTTGCCTTGGCGGCAGCACGATTATAGCTTGTTACCAGGTCAGGCACAATGTTGGTCTACGATGCGTATCGCAGGAAATGGCAAATACAACGTGCAGAGTATCAGCACTCACATGGTATGCGGATAAAAACATACTTTGTCCTCCACTCTGCGTTTGTTAGGCTAGATAGGCAATGCACAAGAACCCCCCTTTCATGAAATCGTATGTGCATTATGACCGTGTTGTATGTGGCCGTCACCCAGCACACTCCGCATATTGCAAGACAAATGATCTGAATCGACAGGTCTGTTGGCCGGCTATTGACGGTTGATTTCCTCTCAACTGGTGTATAGCTTCGATCACGGCTAGAGACTCGATTCAGCACTTACTGCAGATTGAAGAGTAGACAATGCAATGAGCAGACTATACTAACGAGGTCTAGAACCGAAACAAAGCAAAGGACCTGAGTGTCAGCGAGCCCTTGGAGATTGGTCAAGTAGAGAGACGGTTGATTCTAGAACCCATGTGTGGCCTTTGAAGACAAGAGATTCTCACCAAGACCTTTGCAAACAGCGTATAGTGTCCCAACTACTTGCGGTGAGCCCACTATACGCAGAATCCCATAGTTCTATTGCGATACGTCCTGCAAACTCTGTTGTTAGGATCGACCCCCAGGTTATGACGTCAGCGCAGCCTTGGCTTCCGGGAGCGAAATTGTGCATCATCGACCGTGCTGGTGTTGTTCATGATGAGCACCGGCCTAGAGCGTTTTAGTCTAGAGCGGGCTCAGGTGCGGAACGGGGGGCTATGTAACATGTAACTCAACCCACACGCTCTTCGGAAGATTTATGTTGACGATATAGCAATAGCATGTCTCATGGCTTATGACCCCAAAGTCGATGTCCTCCGCTGCGAATTTATGGTACCTAATTAAGACTGTGTAGAAGGCACTCGAGGCGCTTCAGGTGTTGCTATTTCAGGGGTCGCGACGGTGGATATATGTAAGGTACTGACCGCATATGCGTCTGAGTAAGGCCAGGCCAACACGCAACCACGCATTTGGTCTGAAGCCACTAGAAGCACTTGACAGCTTTGACAGAACCTTGCTTGTTCCTGCGCACCCGTAACCTAGTAGTGCGAGGCTGGCAGTACGCCGTGAGGTGAGCTGTCTGGAGGCGCCTGGTACACTTAGGCGAAGCGCTGCAGAAGTACTTTGCAAGTGCCGTGAAATCACGATTAGTTTCAGTTCAGAGTGCAGACAAGAGCGGACGGTGTTGGCGGTGATCTGGCGAAGATCGACAGGCCGGGGGAGCTTTTCGATTGCCAGGGTGCATGGGTGGGGATGGGGGGCCGCCCCAAAGTACACACGGTAGCGCGCCATTGTGCCAGCAGAGCAAGGGCTCCGAGGCCGCCGTGGCATTGGGTAAAGGACAAGCTCGACAAGGTGCAGTTGCAGGTGCCTGCTTTGCCCTTGGCTTGCCTCTTGCCTGGGGGTGGCTGTCATCCAATGCCAGATGCGTGTTGCCGTCGCGGAGTGGAATGAGAAATGGGATCTGAGGGAGTCGGGAACGTGGCTTGGGGGCGGTGGCCCCACAACCGTCATCATTCATGCTCACAACGCACTTCTTTTGCTTTGCGACTGGGACCATGCAGATGGGCCAACCACACACCACCCGTTGCGACGAACAACGGTAGCTCTCTCTTTGTCAACCATCCTCCTTCGGCCTGGTCTTGCGCCAGAGTGTATCCTCATCCGCCGGTAGTCATCGCCTAGACTAGACCAGCCCTGGTATCAAATACCTTGCGCCGTACTTCTACAGACACCTCCCCGACACTCTGCTCCGTATGAACGGCCGTATAGGAGCATCGAGGCCTTGCGCCTGGTAGACCTACGAGAACGAGCCCAGAGGAGCAGTTTGGACGTGAAGACAGGAGGCAAACCTCAGCACTGAGCAACCATGTTTGGAGGGTCGCGACGACACAGTCGGCAGCAGCCGCATCCGGTATGTTGATCAGCTTCTCCATTTCCTTTCAGGTTCCTGTGTCTTCCCACGCATCCTATTCGTTAGTGCGCTCGCGAGCCGGTACCTTCACCGGCCGGCTCGCTGCCAGGCGAAGCTAGACGACTAGCCGTGAAGCTATACCAAGCCGAGCCTCTTCATACTTTGACGATGATGTCGTGACCCGCATTAATTCCCGTCTGTCATTCCTCTCTCTGGCACACGCACACATCACACACACGTCGCGAACTTGGGCCGCCATCTCGAGCTGACTCTTATCCTTTTCACCCCCTTCGCAGCAGCTCACTCGGATCACTGCAAACCCCAACGCCTCGACAGCCGCCGCCGCTGCTTTCATGGCGTCCAGCAGCCAGAACCCGAACAGGGCCCTCTCGTCCGCCGCTGCCGCCGCCGCCCTCCGCGCCCGTCCGACGACGCCCACCAATGTCGCCGACGTCCAGACGAAGCGGACCATGCGCCGGAGCCCCTCGGTGTCGTCCGCGGGGAGCGGCGCCCGGACGCCCAGGCTCGAGAGGAAAGCCAGCTCGGGAAGCATGTCAGAACGCTCCTTTCGGAGTCCCTCTCCCCATGGCGAGCGCCGAGCAATGTCGGGTGACCACCCGCCCGTGCCCGCCATCCCTGCCGGCCACCGGGCCACCAAGAGCTCGAGCTCCGCCGGCGTGGGCATGCAGAACTTCAAGACCGCATCGCAAAAGATGGACACGGGGCTGCCTTCGTGGTACACAAAACCCAGCGGAGACCCGACCAACGTCCGCACTTCTGATGCGCCGATGAACTACACAGCACAACCGCAGCGGCCCGAGAGCATCACATCTAACCATCAACGATCAGACAGCAGGAGTTCATCTGTAAACTTCTCATATCCAGGTCGCTTGCGCGCGCAGTCTCCACCTGCGTCGCCCGTTGCCGACAGCTATGCTCGATGGAGCAGTCCCCCCAGGCAGGCATCTTCAAAATCAAAACGACTCTCAACTACCTCCTCTACTTCCGACAAAGCATCGCAAAGCTTGGTCTATGATCCAAACTCGAGGAGGATGGTCCCTAAAGCCGATCTGGAGGCTGTGGAGTATCAGGTTAGAGCAGCAAGTGAAAAGAATCCTAAGAAGAAGAAGAGTCAGGTTGGTGTGCAGAGATCTGGTAGTCAGCTGGCAAAGGGCACCATTGCCAGAGTCAGGGGAACTATGGTAGAAGCCGACGGGCAACAGCGCGACTTGGCTAAACGCGAGCAACCTGTTCTCGAGTCGCAGCACCCGACAACGGCAGAAAGGCAAGCACTGGAGGACCCTGCGATAGGAACCTTAATCACGGCGCCGCAGCCTCAGCAAGAGAAGAGAGAAGCAGAACAACAACGGCTCCGGTCTCCGGAGCCGCAGGATTCGAGGTTGTCTACGCCATCACCGGCACCGCAAGAGTCGGAACGCATCACAAGCCCTCGGCCTGGCAGGCAATTGGCTAGGAAACCATCCGTTGTAAGGGAGGAGGCCGAGGATGATGTAGAGGACGTTGATGATGTGCCCCTACCCCCGAAGGCGGTTTTAGACGCCCTGGACAACATACCTACGCGGCAGACTTTGTACGAAGGGGAAGAGATCTCCTTGAAACCTAAGCCGCAGCCTGCCCATCCTGGGGCAGCTGTTGAAGATCTACCGACAGAGGGTCAGGCCTTCGCTGAGAATAAGACGGTAGCTGGCCTAGCACGGGAAGGCAGTCTACCGAGAAGGTCAATGTCGCAGAGTCCTGTTCGTCAGGCCCGCTTCGCCGCGCTACCGGCCGAAGGTCTCGTTGTCAGGCATGCACCGCCACCCAGATCTGCGTCTCCCATAAAGTCAGCCCTGAAGCAGCACAGTCCCTCTCCTAGAGAAACATCCCCGGCAGAGAATGGAACAGCCGACGCAGCGAGAGCCAGTGCAGCTACGCCTGATCTCGAAGCACCTCTACCACGTAAGAAAGCGGTCCGAGTCAGCTTCGACGATCGGAGTCCGATTGTTGTCGGTGAGTCTACACCAGCAGTCGATGAAGTAGACTCGCCAGTGGTACCGAGCCCTCAACAAACACGCCGCCCGTGGTATAGTCACATTGGTCGCGGAAAGAAGAAGGAAACGGCGCTGGAGGATGATGAGGTGATGAAGCCGCGGCCGGCATTGCCAAGCTTCGGCAGTGTGCGCGAGAAGAAGATTCGTGAAGTCGAGGAGCCGGAGAGGCCTTTGATCCGACCCCACGAGTCTTCGGCTTCTCCGCCCTCACCCGCTTCCCCGGTCGTGCGTCCGTATAGCCCCAGCGAGTCCACAAAAGCGGAGCCCGGATCGTCCAACGACTTCGCCATCGGCTCCGTACTTGCACAAGAGCAGGTTCTACGAAACGAAGCAAATATTTCACGGTTTAGAGAACCACTGCCGCCCGTTGTCACCTCTGTCGAAGGGCATGGGGATTTCTCCGATAGCATGAGGAGCACGGATGACGAGGAAGGGCTGTTTGATGACGCAGACCTCGCCAGCGACGCTGAAGCTATACCGGACTCGCAAACGACGGCCGCCACAGTGCAGGGGTCCCAGAGCAACTCCCAGAACGGCTCAACCATATTGGAGAAGATTCCTGTTGAGCCCGAGCAGCAAGCTGTCCCACAAATACCAGCTCAACTGCAGACCGAAGCGGTGCCTGCGATAGCAATCACTCAGCCAAGCCCTGCTATTCCGGAGGAATCTCTCGCAAAGGAAAAGCAACGGCCGTATTTTGACGTTCCTGGCATGTTTCCTGAGGACGATTCGTCGGACAACAGCCCGAACGCTTCGCAACAAACCGCGGCTGCCACATCATTTCCATCGTCAACTGCAGATGCGATGAAGGAGCCGGAAGCTGTTGTTGCACCTTCGCAGGCTCGCACCCTGCCGCAGACCACACTAGCTACCACCCCTCAACTTCCTTTGCCAGAGGAGAAGTCTGACAATGAATCAAATGACTCCATCTATAGCGATGCCTACGAAGATCTATCCGATCTCGATGGTGATGGTTTCCAGTCGCTGAATGCGGTTGTTGAGAGCCCGGTTACCAAAGTATCACCACCACGGCAGCTCGCTGACACCGCTGCCGGGGAGAAAGCTAGGACTGAGGAGATGAAGCCTTCAGTACAGCAAGAACCTGCTGATTCGGTTCCGCTGGTTGCATTTTCCAAAACAGGAGGCGATTGGGAACAGGCCAAGTCTTTCTGGCGTAGTCTGACTGCTGAGAAGAGACGACAGCTCGAGAAGGAGGCACTGGAGGATGCTGGCGCTGACGGCGACGAAGAGGAGATGCAAACTCCGGTTCGACGTATGAGCAGCAGAAGCAAAAAGACGGCCGAGCAGCGGCAGTCAACTTCGGTCGCCCAGGCCGCAAAGGCTCAAGCAGCAGCGCCAGCGCCCACGTCTAAGGCGGTACAACCTATTGATCCGGAACGAATTTATATGATTCAGCCTGGATCCCAGGCTACTCACGGGCCGATCAGCCCTAAATCACCAACCGGACGGATGCGGACTTCATTGAGGGGGGAGCAACCGGCGAGGACTGGCACTCTCACTAAAACTACTCCTGGTGAAGTCCATATGCGGAGATCCATGAGATCCAATGCTGGCAATGAAGAGCATGCCTCGCGCCGTGTATCAGCGCCTCCGGAGCGCGTGATATCTCCACCGATGTCTTCAGGCCGGCCAAAGTCTGGTTCAAAGTCACAAGCTTCATACAGCAGTAACACCGTATCGAACGATGTTGCCGCCTCAGCTGCGTCGGCTTTCTCACGGACCAGTCGGCCCGCGCCCCAGCGACGTGACTCTGATGCAAGTGACAGCAGCTTCAAGCGAGCTCGTACGGCTCCTACGAATGGGTTCGGTTTCCGGCGGACGATGAGACAGGACACGGCACCAGCGCAGACTGCTTCCCCGGAAGCCACGAAGGGGTCAAGTCGCTTCAGCCTGCGATCTTTGTCGCCTTCTGGCTCGCCCTTCCGCCGCGCCTCTACCACTGCAGCAAGCAGCGGCCCTCCTGCGAGTATGTCGATGCGCCGAACCCTGCGCTCAGGTAGCGAGTCCAGCAAGGAATCCAAGCCCTCCTCGGTGCATTTCCCGTCTTTCGGACGCTCCAGCGGCCAAAAGGCAGCTCCTCGTGTAAGCCGCTTCGGCGACTCGAGCGATGAGGATGAGCCTGTCCCGACCTTTCGCAGCCGCTTTGATAATTCCAGCGACGAGGAAGATGCTCGGCCCAGTACGGCCTCTCGCCCTCTCTCCAAGGGCACTCTAAGAGGGTCCGCCACTGCGCCTGCTGTCTACAAGAAGGCTACAACCCCCGTGCCGGAAGAGGACGAGGAATCGCCGGATTTGCCTGACTCTGACGACGATCCTTCGATGCATATGCCGAGCCCTCTCCAAAGCCCAGCGAGTCGCGCAACCGCATTCCGTCCACCCATAACGGAGCGCCTCAGTTCCGGGATCGGAACCTCCACTCTGAAACGGTCGGGCTCGGGACGCGGAAGCCTACAGACATCCGCTACGGCGCCTGTTATTACGACACCTCCAAAGGAACGCCGGGGATCGTTCATGGGCAACATTCTGCGTCGTAACAAGAAAGTCGACGGTGCTGGCAAGATTACGCGCTCCGAGATCATGGACAGCGCCGCTCGGCGCGATACCAAGTATGAGCGTAGCACCGACGAGCTGAAGGGCATTCGCCGGGACCAGCGACCTACCAGTCCCAAGTTGCAGAAACGAGGCGGTATCAACAGAGGCGATAGCTGGCCATTGCCTGAAGCGGCCGAGAACCCAGATCGGCCCAGCACCGCTGGAGGACGGGTGAATGGTGCCGAGGTGGTCAGACCGCCGTTTGCGGGCAGACGGAGCGTCAGCCTGGGTTTGCCCGGAGTGGAAACCCAGGTCAACGGCGTCGATGTTGGCAGTGTTGGTCAATTCGATCCGAGTGTCGGTGCTGCCGGCGCAGACGTGACCAAGAAGAAGAAGAAGTTCGGCACGCTCCGCCGAATGTTCAGGCTGGACGACTAGTGTCTGTCCTCACGACAGTATGGCGGGGACAGCGATTCCGGCATCGTAGCGCAGAGGGCGAAAGGCACGGTCCTCGTACGCAAGAGGCTTTCTGGGCCACGGATTCTTGGTGGCCCTGCTGGATTACCGGCCCACGTTCAAGACGGTATGCTGTGGAGCGTTCATTGAACGCCGAGCTGGATCAGGATAAGGTAATGAGGGGAGGAAAAACAGGACTATACATATTGGGGACTGGGAGGCGAAGGGGTGAATCATTTTACACACAGGAAGATACCCGATTCACGAGGTTTAATCCGAGCAACACGGCATCGAGACGACGATGGAACAGGTTCTTTTGTTGAGGCGACCTTTTGGAATAAAACGAAACGGCGTCGTGGCGAATACACACACAAGGCGGACAGCTTAACGACCGACTGGCACTACCCACGGCCATGTCTTCTTTATTCTACTTTAATTATTCTCTATTCCCCATATACGTTCGGCAGCTGTTCTTAGTAGGATACCACGGAAAGCAAAACATCATGGCATAAGCAGGCTTCCCGGCGTACACCAGAGGGTCTCTTGGTTACAGGATTGGAAAGGGCGCCAATACAGAATGGTCAAGCTTGCCAGTCAATCAGCTGGCTGAAGAACAATGGGCGGCTTAGCTAATGACAGTACTGCTGTCGCAATAATACCACTTTTGACTGCATTAGACCTGTCTTGCGTGCAGATCCTAAAAATCGTGTTCAGGGGCTGGCCTAGTCTAACAAGCCTATCTGATTATGTCGTCGCCCTCACCCTTTCACTCCTTTTTGTGTGACTATAGTAGACCATGCTCCTGCGTCACCGGAAATGCACCCGTCTATCACCGTCATCCAACCCGCCGCCACGCTGCTGCCTCTCGTACCTCCTTCTGCGCCTGTCCTTACCGTCGCCCGGATTTCGTCTCTTCCTTCGCTTCTGCTGCCGCTGCCGCTCTCCTCGGGCTTTAGATGTCGTCCCGTTGCCCCGGCCCGGCCGCCGCGGTGGGTACGCGTACCGCCCCTCGTGGTGCTCCGCCATGCCGTATCTCTTGCGCCGGGCTTCGCTGCTGCTCGTATTGCGCTCGTCATCGCTGCCGCGCCGCCATCGTTTAGATGGGGATCTCCTTCTAGCTGGGCTCCTGACGCGACGCCCGCCTCTGCTGCTGTCGCAGGCTCTGTCTCGGCGGTGCTCCTGTTGCCGCTGCCATAGGGACCTGCTTATGGGGGAGTTGGGCTGCCAGGGCTGAGTGGTACGGGCTTGCGTGTCAGTATTGATCTTTTCTACCTGGAGTAGCAGCACAGTAGGGAGGATGAAGTCGAAGATCTGGGAAGCTACGCACCCCTGAGCGCTGATACGGTGTCTGCCGCCCGGCGGCTTCGTGGTCGTAGTGCAGAGCTGCTGGGCTCCGGAGTTCGCTACCGGGCCGTTGGTGCTCCCTCACTCCGTGGACCTTGTCGAAGTCGTTGTAGTCGTTGAGTTCGTTGAATCGTCGCTCTCGTCGCCGCTGCTGAGATCTGTCTTTGCCATTCGAGTCAGCGTCTTCCCCTATAAGAGAATTTCCTTGATTTTTTTTTTCAAGTTCTCATTCTAGCAACGATTGTGAGAAATAGGAGAAATAGGGGGTGGGCTCAGTACGTTTACTCGGACCCCTGGCACTCGTCATGTACAACGCCGACGTATCCGGAGCCGTCCACCTCCCATCCCTCGACCGAGGACCGCTCGCCACCTTCCTCGCACGCGGCAGCGCTTTCGAGAATGGCGACGAGGATGAAGAAGAGGAGTAAGAGGAGTAGGAGGACGACGAGGACGACGAACTCGACGAGCTCGACGACAGTGCCACGTAGCGGGGCGGCCCCCGCCGCTTGCCCTGGGTCAGCAACTCCGGAGCTGAGGCGCCCAGGGCCCGGGGGAAGCCGTCGGGCTTGAGGAAGAAGGAAAAAAAGGACCGACGCGGCTTCACGGGCCGCGGGTGGTGCTTCGTGGTGCTGCCGCCGCCGTGGCGTTCGCGTTCCTTGGCCCGCAGATACCGGTCTACGTCTGCGAGCGGGTTCGGGGCGCTCGTTCTCTTCTCCATCTTCTTTTTCTTCTTCTGATAGCTTGAGGTTGGACCTCTTGACTTTTGCTCGTGGTAGCTGGCGGTCTTCGTTGATGGGTCTCGGTGGCGTGTCTGGTATTCCGCGGCCAGCTTGCTCCGCCGCTCGCGCCGTCGTCGTTCAGACTCACTTGAGGAACCGGAGAAGCGGACATGTTTCGTTTCCCCCTTTCGTTTCACCCCTCTAGCCTTCTCGTCAAACCTTGTTCTCCTTTGCTCATCCCCAAGTTGATTGCGGTGCAACGCCGATGTCATCATATAGTCTGAAGATGGCACCGCCAACCTCGGAGCAGAAACCCTAGATCCATTACGTCTCTTCGTACTGTGCCCAGATCGACGCTTCATTGCTGTTGGAACTCCGTAGGCCTGCTTGGGTAGCTTCCCAATGTCGACATTGGGGCTGTAGGCATAGGACCAGTATTCGTGATCCCACTTCATGTTTTCATGTCAGCTCCTATAAGGCATCTCACTAGCAACGGTGATGGCTGCCTAGTCGCACCATATCAACGCAGAAGCATGAATTACTTGAAGGCAAACAACAGGAGAACACTAACAACGCCTTTCGGTCGCACATAACCACGTATGCTGCCTCCCCACCCGCGGTTCTTCCTCGACTTCATCGCGCCACTACCAGCACCAGCACTACCCTGGTTCTTCCTACCACAGCAATGGAACGCGGAACCAAGTTCCCGGACACGAGAACGGGACGGCGCGGGGTCTGAGCCGTGGAGCCCGTGCTGGTGTCGCGGGACGGAGTAGGACGTGTAATACCGGCCCCAGACGCCGTCGCAGAGGCTCTGCTCGTCCTTGGGCACCGGGAAAGTCGCGGATCTGGTGTCTCTGCGTACGCACATGGGCGGACGGGTGTCAGGCGAGGTGCGTATTGAGTAGATCCAGGCAAAGAGGTGTATGGATAGTCACGTCGAGTTGGAAGGACGAAGTCGAAATGCGTGCTGGAAAGGGGCTTGGTGGGCAGACGCAGACACGAACGGAGGTTATGTGTACGCAAGACTCAGCTACCATCCAGGATATTTAGAAGGATTCTTCTCTCTCCAGATCCGATGGCTCTAGGAAATATTACGCCCCTGATTGATCACCATCTGCCCTTCCCCTATTGAAAAAGACAGCCTCACTACAGGGTGACCGACGGATAGATCCGCTCTTGAGGTAGCCGCAGGGGCATGGTGCTTAGCCCTTGATCGTACTACACAATCGCCTCGTTAGCCTTGACGAGAATACCGAACTCTCGACGGCGTCATCTATAACCTCGTAGAGCGGTGAACGGCTCGAGGCTGGCAAAGCGCCCTACAGTCTGTTTGCCTGGGGAAAGGTGAGCTTGCAAGCCCTATCGAACGTATCTGTGCAACGCAAACGTACCAGGTTGGAGGCCACTCGTCTGCCCTATGTTATGAGCACGGCATCAAATGCGATCACAGTATGTGTATGAGCTGAGTTGAGCTTTTTACATACTTCTGAATATGAAGTATGCCCTCTTTTCGATGAAAGGCTAGGTGTGGCCTCGCTGCCAGGTCAGTTCTCTAATAGTGTCACTACATCTCGCCTATAGCTGTGTAATGTGCCATGCATCGAATCAGACGAACCAATCGCACAGAAGACAGGAATGAGGCAGTGCTGTTAACAACCGCGAAAAATTGCATTCATTATCCATAACGCTCCTTATGGTTCCCTCAATCCTCAATACTACTAATATGTTACACGTATCGTCCACATCCGTTCCAGGATTCCGTACCATGCCGCACCGCTAACCGAATAATTATCAAGTCCGTGACAAAAGCAATGCAAACACCAGTATCAAACGATGCGAAGGTATCTTTTTGCCAAACGCCATCCCATCTTCCGGTCGGGCGCCGCGCCTTGTGAAGCGACATGCGGGGGAAAGGGAGAAAAACATGCTCACAAGAACCCCTTGGTCAGGCTGGGCGCCCGTCCAAGACTGCTCTTGCGCTTCGGCACCTCGATCCCGGTGCCGCTGAGGCTGCTGGTCTCGTCCGCCCCATCCGCGATAGCTCGCCACCCACTAGACCTTCGCACGCTTCCTCCGTCGAGGCCTGGGGTGCCGAACCGCAGAGTACCGGTCACGCTCCCCTTCTCCATCCGCAAGTGCTTCCAGCCCTCGAGCTCGCGTTCGAGTCTGGCGGTCTTCTCCTTCTCCTGGGCAAGCTCGCGCTCGGCTCGCCTTGCTGAGAGCTGGTTGGTGCCCTCCGAGGACTGCAGCTCTTCGATCGTCTTCAGGAGCTTCTCGACCTTGTCACGCTGGCGGTTGGCGTCTTCGGTAAGCTGAGCAGCCTGCTTGTCTTTGCGATCGATCTGGCTCTGCAGGTCTTTGACGGTGCGGTCAACATTGCGGACACTACGCTGCGACTTGGATCGCTCCGTCTCTTGTGCTTCCAGTTGTGATTCGAGCTGTAGGTTTGCGGTGTCAGTATTGATATTTCTTTTCGTGAGTCTGCGAATGAGGGATGAAAAGGGGCGGCTAGGTGACTTGGATGGTGAGAGTGATCGGCGCCGGATTTCCGTCGGTTGATCCTCAGGCTCAGATATTGTAGAATAAGGGATACTGACCTCCTGGACTCGTTTGTGCAGGAACTTGACGTCCTGGCTGGCGCTAGAATAGCCCTTCGTCTCGAGATCGACCAGACGCACTTGGAGTTCGTTCAGGCTCTTCTCAAGAGCAGCTTTTTGCTTAGAAAGCTCGGCACCTATCTCGCGCTCGACAACCATCTCCTTCTGGAGTTCGTTTGCCAGTGACTCAGACCGTCTCATCTTCTCAACTGCAGCCGCAGCAATATCTTCTTGTTGGGCAAGACCAGACTTGAGCTCCAGAATCTGCTTGTCGGTGCTTGCGGCGTTTCGCAAGGCTGGGCTCTCGCTCTTGGCCAAGTCATCAAGACCAGCCTTGGCTTCTTGAAGCCTTGCTTCGATACTGCGCTTCTCGCGAATCAAGGCGTCCCGCTCAGCGGTGATGTCGTCGACAGAGGTGCGGAGTGATCGGACCTGCGACAACAGTGATACGACCTTGGTCTGTGCCTCGTTGTGGGCATTGACGGCGTCGTCGCGAGAGGCGACGACGTCAGATAGGGTACTTTCAAGGCGAGCCTTCTCCTTTGACCACGTAGAGCTGTTGAGCACCTCGTCATCCCACTTGGAGCGCAAGTCGTCGAGCTCTTCCCGCAAACGGGTGATCTCAGATTGCTTGTACAGCTTCTCTTCCCGAGCAAGGTCAAGCTCCTTGGTAAGAGTGGCAAACTCGGCCTGGTACTTCTTGCGCGTTTGCTCCATGCTCGACTCCTTGTCTTCGATGTCAATAGCTCTCTGGTTTCTGTAGTCCTCGAGCTCATTGTGCAGGCGCTTCTTGGCTTGCGTCGCCGCTTCCAAGTCAGTGGAAAGATCCTCGAGCTTCTCTTCCAATCGCTGATTTTGTCGTTGGAGATCCTCTAGATCGCCATCGGCACTCTTACGATGAGCCATGATCTCGGCCAACTGTTCCTCGGCTTCCGCAGCCTGAGACTTGGCGAACTGTTCAGCTCGGGTTGCCTTGAGCACAGAGATTTCAGCTTGCTCCAGTTTGCTGAAGTACTCATCGGCTCGAGTTTTGTAGAGGTCAAGGCTTGAAGAGACGTCGACAAGCTTGGAAGTTTCGGCATCCAGTCGGATCTGGAGATCGGCGAACTCTTGCAGTAGCTGGTTTCGACTTCCAGCTTCCTGCTCTCTCGCAACGGTCATCTCCTGTAGGTCGGACTTTGCATCACGCAACTCAACCTCCAGGCTTGCACGGTCGCGTCGCATCTTCTCGAAGTATTCCTTGACATCGGTCAATTCAGCGACAGCATCATTATGACTATGCAGCAGCGACCTTCGCGACTCTTCTTGGCTGTTGAGGAGCTCGAGAATCTCTTCATGCGACTTTGTCTGGATGTCGCGCAGTGAAAGCTCGCCAGCTCGCATGGACTTTTCCAAGTACGAGACCTTCTTGGACGAATCATCCAGCATATCATGCAGGCGGTTGTTGGCCTTTTCCAACTTTTGCATCCTGCGCATCGAGGGGCTCTCGTCAAAGGGTGTGATCTCTCGCGTGGGCGTGGACCTCTCAACTTGGCTCTGGAGATGGCGATTCTGCATCTGTGCCAGCTGTAGCTGGTTCTGGAGTTCCTCAACCTCAGTTTTCAGATCCTGGCGGTTGTTGAAACTGAGCATGTCTGCAGTCTTGTCGGATTTACCGGAGTCCTGGACAGTCTCATTCTCATTCCCAAAACGACGCGTCGGGGTAGTTGAGTTCGAGTTGTACCGCCCGTTGAGCTTGCTTCGCCTCTGTGTAGGTGAGCCGGTGAAAGGGGCCTCGTTAGGGTTCATCTCTTCTAGTCGTGGTCGCATAGGTGAATCGACCCTGGAGGCGCGGAGTTCGGCCAGCTGGGCCTCAGCATTAGTGCGCCCTGCAGTCTGCACGCGAAGGTTCTGCTGTAGTTCCTCGATCTTTCTGATCATCTCAAAGTTCTTGCTCATCATCTTCTCATGGCTCTCGTTAGGTTGGATTGTCACGGGCACCTCAGGGTCCACAGCCTTCAGTACCCGAAGCAACTGTGCTCGGAGGTCGTCCAGCTCCTTCCCGCGCGAGTCGAGAGTAGCCTGTAATGTGCGGGCGGTCGCCTGGGCTTGTGTTCGCGCTTGACGCTCCGACTCGAGAGTTCGGTTGGCTTCCGCAAGCTGGGCTGTGGATTGAGAAGAAAGCTTCTCAGCATTCCTGTTTGATTGGACTTCACGAGCAACTTCATGGTTGAGGTCCTCGATGCTAAGTTGCATCTTCTCCAACCTCTTCTCCAAGCTGGCAACATTCAACTGGGACTCTCCGAGTTGTTTGTTGAGCTTCGTGTTCGTCTCCTCAAGTCGTGCCTTCTCACGTTGGAGGCTGACGACTTGGCCTCTGGAGGCCTCGCTCACCCTCGAGCTAGATCGGGCGATCTCGAGGCCCTTTTGTTGGAGTTTGTTGAGCAGAGCGCGGTTGTCGTTCTCGGAAGCGGTCAACCGACCCTTGACTGTCACAAGCTCGCGTTCGAGACGCTCTTTGGCTTGGTCGTTCTTGAGACCAAACTCGCCTGATTCGATCATGAACTTGTTGAGATCCTCGACCTGGCGGTTCAGCTTTTCACATTCAGATTCGAACCACCTCAGCCGCTCCTGCGTAGCATCCAAGTCTCTCTCGAGACTAGCCTCACGTTCACGGGCTACCCGTGTGGCATTGCGTTCGCCGGCTTGTTCGGCTTGTAGACGAGCTTCTTCAGCTTGTGTCTTTGCCACTCGAAGCCTACGGATCTCCTCGCGTGCCTCGTCTCGTTCCTTCTCTGCCGTTGCCCGAGCCTCCTTGGTTCGTCGCAAAGTGTCTTGCTGCAGATAGAGCTCCTTTTCGATGGTGATTTTAAGCTCCTTAAGCTCTTCATGCTCGTCCTGCAGGGCTTGGAACTTGTGCTCGGCAATCAGCGCAACGTCGTCTCGAGACTGACGCTCCCGACTCAGATCGGACTGAACCTTGAAGAGCTGATCTTTCAGGTCTTTGATTTGCGACTCAAGCAATTGGCGGTTTTGGCTGGCTTGAGCATCTTCGGAAAGTCTTGCCTCCAGCAGTTGCTTTGCATCCTCAGCTTCCCGCTGAAGTTGCGACTGCTGGGATTTCATAGCAACCATCTCCGCCTGAACGTCGCGCAGACGCCCCGAGACCTTCTCTTTCTCAGCGAGCAGAGCCTTCTTTTGATCATCAAAGCTCCGCTGCTCCATTTGGAACTTCTTATTGTCTCCACGAAGAACGATGAGCTCGCTTTCCTTCTTTCGTACCAGGTCCTCGTAGTCCGTAGAAGTCTTGGATAATTGCGATAGCTGCTGCTGAACCTCGCGGTTCTCACGACTCAGATTCTGCTCACGGGATCTTAGGGTTTGCAGTTCCTTTTGCGCCGCGGCTAGTTTGATATCGGCATCTTGATCGACCTTCAACAGCTTGCCCTCAAGATCTCGTACTTTTCGATCCTTGAGTGACAGCTGACTCTGTAGCATCCGCACATCTTCTGAGAGTGCTGCTTCCTGAGCACTACGGTCGGCTTGTTTTTGAGAAATCTCGTGGAGCTCTGCTTCGAGATCAGAGGCCCGCAAGTCCAACTCTTTCTTTTCTTCTTCGAGTCGGCCAATCAAGGCTGCAGCTTGCTCTAGTTGGGCTCGGTGCTTATCAACCTCCCCTTCAGCACGTTTCTTGGCGTCAAGCAGGTCGTCTAGTTGATCTTCAAGCCTTTCCTGGTCCTCGATGGCCCCAGCCAGTTTCTCCTCAAGCTCGGCTTCTCGCTGCTGCAGCCTCTTGAAGATCTCCTCCTTGTCCAAGGCCAAGGCTCTTTCACTCTCAAGAGTCTGCTGTATCCGCATGAGGTCGGCATGGGTGTTACGGCGCTCTTCCTCAAGTCGCTGGCGGTTCTCGTTTTCCAACCGCATCTGGTCATTCAATTGCCGTATCTTCTCATCGCGGCGTTTCACTTCAGTGGCCGTACGAGTGGCACCCAACAACGGCTTCATCTTAATAAGGAGTTGCCACCAAGGATTGTCGCATAGGTCGAGGTAAACATTGAAGTTCCGCTGAATGACACGAGTTGCTTCTGCACGATACAACCTTTTGAATGCAATGCGTCTCTGGATGTAACCACGAGCGACAGACTGAAACCGAGACATGATCTCGGCAATCAAGGCGTCACGCTGCTCTTCCAATTCGGCTAGAACGCCAGCGCGGAAGAACACTTTCGTGATACCGACACGGTACAGAGACTTGTCCAAGCCCAATTTGTCTAGAATAATCGCGGCGGCAGCCTGGCCTTCGACGTAGCCCTTGGGCATATCGCGGCACAAGACCTCGTATCGCTGGCGGAATTCCGAGAAGGGCAGTCTGTTTGGGAAGCCCGTTCGCGCAATACGGATACCTTCAAGTACACCATTACACCGCAGCTGGTCCAGTACGAGAAGTGCGTTGAATTGCTTAGGACGCTTCTTGTGATTGGGCAATATGCATCGGACAAAGTGAGGATGCGTGGAGTGCAGCTGGGCCATCAAGCTGGAGAGCTGTTCCTTGTGGCGCTGGGCGACAGTTCGGAAAAGCCCCTTCTTGACTCTGCTACGAGCGCCGCCATTATCATCGTCAGGATCGGCGCAATCTGCAAACAGACCAGCGACGTGCTTGTCTGTGGAGGAAGCCAGGAGACGGGTGATGTTGTCGTTCAGTGGGTCCTTGTTCTTCTCTAGCCAACCTTGAGTTGAATATTCTACGTCGGCGGCGTAATGCGTCAAGATAAAGCCGTGCTTAGGGCCTGGTCTTGACGGGCGGTACTTGTTGGACTTCTTATCCCAGAGAGAGTTTAGTTTCTCGGTGAATGATTTATCGGTAGCTTTCGGCATGACACTGTCTTCATCAAGGCACGAGAAGATACCGATGGGATTTGGCAGCTCGATGAGATCGATAGTCGGCTGCAAATCGCGACCGAAGTCGATAAATTGCCACTCGATCTGCTCTCGGGCATATTCCTCCTGCTCCAGGACAAACATGTGGTGGTTGAAGAACTGCTGCAGCTTCTCGTTGGTGTAGTTGATGCACAGCTGCTCGAAGCTGTTCTCCTCGAAGATCTCAAAACCAGCGATATCCAGAACGCCGATGAAATTGGAGTCGTCCATGCCCATGCCGTTCCGATCCAGCTGGCGATTGATCATGGTAACCAGGTTTCCAAAGCCGCGTTCATAGATACCCTTGGCAAGAGCGTCGATTCCGAGCCGTACCTGGTCTGGCGTCTGCTCCTTGGTGACCCATTCGCGGCCAGCCTTGACCTTGGGATGCAGCAGGCCTTGCAAGAAAGGCTCCAGTTGTATGCCCAACAGTTCACACACTTTGGCAGCTACATCCTTGGCGTCGGGTGACAGTCGCGCCTGGTCCGCCATCCGGCTCTCCTTGACGACAGAGATATTGCCGAGGTGAAGCACCGCGGCGACCGTCCGAAGAATGGCATTCTGCTCCTTGTCAGAGAAGCCCATGACATGGAACGCCTCCAATAGCGAGTTCCATTCATCCATGTCGGACACGCCAGTAATCGTGTGGTGGCCATCCCGGGTATATGCGAAGTCCTCCACCTCCATATTGCCCAGGAGATAGTCTTGCCTCATGCCGCGATCTGCACCAGTCAGGAGCTGATAGAAGATGTGGTAGTTGCGCTCTTGAGAATTGATGTGCACGACCCTTGACTTTTCGAGCAGATACCAGTCGATGAAGGCACCCGCAATAGCGCCCGTGCGCGTGAACTCGATCCTGATGAACTTGCCAAACCGAGAGGAGTTGTTATTCCGCACGGTCTGGGCGTTGCCGAAAGCTTCTAGGATAGGATTGGCTCGGAGGATCTGCTGGGAAAGATTCGAGTGCTGGCCGCGGCCCTTGACGGGCGACTCGGAGCGCGCAACGGCGGCGAGGTACTGAATGACCTTTTTGGTGTTTTCGGTTTTTCCAGCACCGGATTCGCCGGTGACCAAAATACTCTGGTTTTCTCCCTCGTCGACCAAATTTCGGAAAGCCTCGTCGGCCATGGCAAAGATGTGGGGCTTTGTGTCCTCGCGATTGCGGCCCTTGTACATGTTAACGTACTCATTGCTGTATATCGGCAGCGGACAATAGGGGTTGACGGTGACCAGGAAGAGACCCGAGTAGGTGTAGATCAGGTCGGCCTGGTATCGCATATGGAGATTGTGTACGACCGAGGCCTCGTTGAGGTGGGTCAACTCGGCCATGTCGTTGGCCTTGTCGAACTTGGCAGGATTGACCTTGTCTACGCTCTCGGCGTCGACCTCACGTTGCTGTCCTCGGGTCAGTAGTTGCGTATGGGGTGCGCACCAGGCGACTCATTGGGCGGGTGCTACGTACGCTTCCATCGTCACACTGGACCAGGATGCTGCCGCCGGGGAGCTCCTCGACGACCCATCCCTTCACGAAGGCGGCGTGGGGGTCTCTGAGCCAGACGTATCTCTTGCCGGAGAAGTCATTCTCGCCTTCTATGCCCTTGACGACGTCTATACTCCGGCGCAGGTCGTCGGTCTTGATGAAGGAGGGAGCAAATGTGGTGGACGAGTTCAGGGGGCTGCTCTTGGAGTCGCTGCGGTGATGGCGGGAGCCAGTGCTCGAAGCGGGAGCGAAGCTGGCGGCAATGGATGCCACGGAGGAGCTGTTGCGCTGGTGTGTAGGCGGCTTCGCGACGCTGGACAGGGGCGAGGCGGCCGAGAAGTTTGCGGACTTGGGGCGGCTCGCGATGGCCGGGGCGCCGGGGCCGGTGGAGGGCGAGCCAGCGCGGGAGAAGGGATTGCGCCTCTGCGACATGGTGTGCGCATTCGAGGCCATGGGGGGTTACGTAGATCTGTCTGCTGTATACGACGGCTCAGCGAGAGTGTGTGAGTGCCGTCCGTCGTCGAGGGGGAGCCGTCATGTAGCGGCCTGGGGCGTGATGGGATAGATGCAGAGCGACGCGGGTTTCGAGATGCATGCCATGAAAAATCACCAGATCACCAGGGGTTTCGTTTCCAAGACAATATTACAACGCCGTGGGAATCGTGATCATGATCGTCTCCGTCGTGAATGCAAAGAAAAGGGCCTTGGCCGTTGTGTGCTGTCTCCAGGGCGCTGTCGTCTTGAAGTACAGGTGACTTGAGCAAGCAAAATCATGCGAATGCGCCTTCTGCAGACCAGACCAGACCGACCGGCGGTTGTTGTTTACTTTGGTTGCTGTAAACACGCGTGCACGGGCCATCGATGACGGAGGGCGGCTGTCGAGTCTCGATGCTCCCCCCAAATGCCCCCCAAGGTGGTCCCTGGCAACTGTGGCTCGTCTGGGGGCTTTGGGCGGGGGGCATCTGCAGCGGCGGCCTGGAGCGCAAGCCCCAAAGTGCCCTGTCTGGCACGTGTGTGGGCAGTCTCAGCTAGAGCTAGTCCCGCCAGTGCACACCGCGGGTGAGGCTGTCTAGCCTATGATAGGCCTAGTGCCCCCTGGAACCCGATGATCGAGCGGTCGAGACTAGAAACGAGCCGTCTCCAGTCCTGGACCTCGAGCGCCGGGTTGGGCGGAAATACGTTCTTGCGCCATTCCGCCTTCTTCTTCTTCCTCGCACGCGCCCGCCGGTACGTCGTCGTCGTTGAGAGCTAGTCGCGAATCTGTGCTGGGAACGGTGTGCACGTCGATCATTTTTTGAAATGGAACCTAGATTGTCCTGAAGCTTCTCAAGCTCGTACTGCACCTATTGCCATCACCCTCACACACGCGCCGTCCGGTCCATATAGAGCAAGCGAGCTACCGTGTCGGCTCGTCGCATTCTATACTCCCCGTCTTGCGCTGATCAGAACTGGGCGCTGTGCACAGTGGCGGCCCCCGGCAGCTCGACAACGTTGTTTGCTTGCCGTCCAGCTGGTCCATTCCTCTCAGCCAACCACCTCGACCGCGCGAGTCCAGTAGCTTGCCACTCCTCCCGTGTAACGCGACTTGCTGCCGCTGCCGCTGTCTGGCTGGAAGCCTCATCATTTCTTTGATCGTCCAAGAAAACAAAGGAGTCCATCCTCGAGGCCAAGCTTCCGCCACCATGTTACTGGCCTTCTTGACATCACTTTGTAACTAGAATTCACCTGCCGTCGTACAAGACGGACTCGCAACCCCCATCCTGGGACGAGTCGCATTGTACCAACGACACCAACACCGAACATGTCTCAACCGCCCTACGAATACGCTCATTACATGGGCCAACACCCCCAACAGCCATACCAATATGCCGCCCCGCCCATCATCCAACCCGCCGCCTCCTTCTATGCTTCCCCTCAGGACCCGAGTCCGGCTGCCATCGCTGCCAACTACGCCTCCATCAATGGCTCCTTCGAGATGAACGCCAGCAGGATTCCTGGCCTAGGCCTGAGTTCTTCCGTGGGCACTCCGGTGCAGCGCGCATCTTATCATGCCGATAACAGTCTTTCTCAGCCCCAAAAAGCCTTCGCGAATGCCTCAAGCCCGTCCGCTCAGCGGGCGCAACCGCCAGGTATCATCGGCTTGCAGCCACTCAACCCTGCATACGGCACCGGGAATACACCTGCAAAGCCTCCCGTCACCCAATCCAACGACGTATCAGAGGAAGGCGAGCTGAGTGAAGGTGAACTTGAAGATCTATACGAACCCCGAGACTCCAACGTCCCGGCTGCCACGGGGACGAAGAAGCCTGCCCCACATCTCGATGCCGTCGAGAATCTATCCGGAAGTGTTGGCGATGCGGATGGCTCTTCCATCTACGATACTGGTTCTGGAAGGGACGAGATTGTCATCGACAGCACTTCAGCTTCCCAACCCGCACTGGACGACGAGGAGGATTATGAGCCCGTAGATTACGAACCTGAGTATTTCCCCCGTGAGCACTCGCGATCATACTCACCACACCTCTCACCTGTCGAAACGAGGAGCGACGCTCCCAAAAGCAAGCGTAAGCCAGCCATCCTCTGGCTCCTTAAGATTCATAGCTGACTTACTACGCAGAATCTGCGTCGGCCCACCAGCCCATGGCCCCGTTTGCCGTGCCTGGCGCAGCAACTACGCAGTCACCCGCTACGGTGCCTTCTCCAAACGGACACATCGCCTCGGCGGTTGCCAAGGTTGATGTGTCTGCCGACACTCTGAAGCTGGCCGAACCAAGTCCTGCAGATCTCCCGTACAAGTCAATTACAGAGGCCAAAAAGAAGGCACAAGAGGCGATTCTGGGGCTTTGGCCGCTGAAAGTCCGCTACCAAAATTATGTGGAGGAAGGACTAGATCCTCATGTCGTCAGTTCTCTTTTCACCGAGCTAGGCCTCGACACCTCGTCCGGTGTACCTGCTGTTACTCAACCCACCCCCTCTACTAAGGCATCATCAACAAAACCGTCAGAAGTTACGTCTACAGTTCAGCCTTCGCCAAAGTCTACTCCCCAGCCAGCCGTCGCGGTACAATCTTCAAAAACGGGTTCTGACAAGCCAGCACTCGGTGGTGAGCCCAAGATGGCAGACAAGAAGTCAGCACAAGAAGAGCGCAAAGACAAGATAGCACGAATGCTTGCCGAGAAGAAGAACAAGACTGCGGCTCCTCCGACCGCCCCGGCACCTGCGGCGGCAGCAACTTCCAACGGAACCGCATCAACTCAGAGTGAGGCGCTGAAGGCGAAGTTGAGGGCCGAGAAGAACCAGAAAATCCTGGAAAAAATGGCGGCGCTGAAGAAGCGGCAGGAGGAAAAATCCAAACTTTCAGAACAGCCATCGGGCACACAGACGCCGGAGGGTGAAAAGGCCATACCGACTACCACCTCGGAGCCTTTGTCCACCAAGGACACTGCGTCAGCACCGTCTTTTGGAGAACAGGCGCGAGCCCCCTCTGCGCCACGAGGTCCATCTGGACTTTCTGTGCCTTCCTCCCCCCAACCCACACCACAATCTCGCGCATTGAAAAGGCCGGTGGCCGCCGATTTCGATTCGTACCCGACAAGCAGCAGTGGGCTCAAGCGCACCCGTACACAAGAAACGCTGATCATTGATGTCAGCGACGACGAAGATGTGGAGATGGATCTTGGATCTCCTACAGAGGCACCGTCAAGCGCAATTCCAAATAACCCCGGGCTCGTCCGCCAAAATTCTCTCGCGGCATATCCACCTCTCAGCAACTCTCGCACGTGGCGAGGCCAGAGATCAAGCCCTGCCACACCAGCTGCGGGGACACCCTCCGGCCATGGGCACAAACTGGATTTCTTGACCCAGCAAATCGAAGAAGCCAAGAAAAGGATTGCCGAAGCAGAGGCCAAGAAGGCATCCAAGAAGCCCAGCAGCGCCTCGACGCCGTCACGGTCGCCGGTCCATGGTGCCGGACAGGCGGACTCCTTAAGGCTGCCCAAGCTTTCCGAGGCTTTGCAACATAACAATAACGAGCGGCGTGTTAGGATCGCAAGCTACCATTTACCTGTTGTTGAAGCTGCTCTTAGAGAGAAGCAGGAAAAGTTGAGATGCCTCCAACTGGAGGCGGCGCAACTCGAGCTTGAACTGCAGGCCAGCCTAGCCGAACGCGAACGACTGACGGCCGAAATGGACAGTCTTGACACAAGCGTGGAACAAGAACCTCCTCATCTGAACGGCTCGGACGAGCAGCAGCAAACCTCTATTCCTGGTACGTTTGACACATCCATTGCAACGACTCGCGCGCTCCGTCTCCATCGCCGTGTCTTTGTGCACTCAAGAACGATTGAACTAATACCTCCCTAGAAAATATTGCTGCCAGCCAAGGCGGAAGTTTTGCGGTTGAGGAGCCAGCCTCGGAGCCGAGACGGCCTTCGACGGATACTGCTACCCAAGAGGATCCACAATCGACGATGGATCAGGAAGAAACGGAGTCGTTAAGCGACAATGCCAACATGGATCTTGAATCCGAGGACTCCGATGCGGATGACGTTGCTGATTCTACCACGATTGTTCACACTGAAGCTGTGACCCAATCGGATCTTCCCCAAAGCGATATGGATGTTCCACGACCAGACTCCGAGGATGTCATTACAACTGAGCAAGTGCCTGATACCGAAGTTCAAGACACGGTGACAGGCGACAACACTCAACACAGCGTATCAAGCCGTGTTTCCCCTGAGGCCCAAACAGATGATCTCGCACGAGCCGAAGCAGATACTCCTATGCAGATCTCTGACGCGGATGACGACGACGACGACGGCGACAATTATGAGCCGTTACCCGCCCCGATCTCCGAGGCCGGTCAAATGAAAGAAGACACAAACCTCGAAAATGGAGAGGTAGACCTACATTTCCACCTAGAAAGTTCTTCACTCATGACCGAGCAGGTGCCTGACGAAGAGCCATATGAGCCAAACCCAGCCCAGGGCCTGCAACCAGGTGCCGAAGTAGAACCGGAAACCTCGCCTGCCGAAGTACATTTCCGCCCGTCACCGGAGCCTCGCTTACTGACCGATCAGCAGGCCCAAGTCCCGAGTTCACTCTCTGCCAAGCAATTGTTGTCGTATCAAAGTCCCTTGCGATATTTTCATGCCTACAGGTTTCATCCAAAATACCTGGATGACGTTTCGGGGGGGCTAAAGTCGATGACTTATAGCTCAAAGATTGATGCCTCGCGTCCTCTTTGCCCCTCGGTCGTTGACGGTGGACAGTGCCCCTATGGTTCTGGCTGTGAGTTTCAGCACTTTGAAAATATGGTTCTCTCGGGTAAGTAATTGCTTTTCTGGAACCATTCTTCTGGTCTCTCCCAGGATCAGGCTGGTCTTTCGTGGTTTCTTCCCCCTCTTGGAAAGCTGACGTTTCACGACTCTCCACTCAGACACGGCCATCATCGCAGAGCTTGGCTCTACGGACATGTACGAGGGTGAACAAAAAGGCCGCTTCATCGAAGGCCTTAAGAAGGTCCTCCAAGATCTCAAGGCGAAAAAGGTTAAGGATTTTGATAGCATCACCAAAGCCATCGTCCAGTATCGAGGAGAGTTCCTTGGGGACAAGAGCAAAGTCTTGCCACTCAAGAACGTTGCTCTCTGAGCGGCCTTCGTACTTCTAACATACACGCAGCAGAGTCCCTACGCGGCCCCCATCGAACCTCCACTGCCGCCTTGTAGTATACATGCAGGTTTGTGCTCGCCAGGCCTGCATTCTCATTCAGCATCATCCCCGGCGCCGAAGTGATATTGCCTTGGTGCCATATTGCCATCCCCCATCGGCAGCAAGAAACGCTGCCTCGTCAGTGCCGTGCAACATGCGCTTGTACGTAGAAAGAGGCGGAAGGCGTTGAAACATTTGGCACCGCATCGATACCCCCACCCTGCATTGTCTTGTCGTTTTGCTTTTCGTTCGCTGTTGGCGCCCCTTACCACTCCCAATAATCAGCCGACAAACCAGTGTCGGTAAATGGAAGTGAGGAAAACCTGGAACATGAGCAGAAAGAATAAGAAAGAAGAAAAGTAACTGGAGAAGAGAAGAAGAAGAAGAAGAAGAAAGATGCCGAGGAGGCCATAAAAGCAAACACGTAATCGGAAGGGAAAGTCGGAAGCGGAGAAAAATCGTAATCTGATTGCTGCTTGAAACACAGCAAAATCCAGGAGGTCTGAGCCTGTTTCCCTCCCACCAATATATGTCTGGCAGTGGTGGGAACAACCCATGCGACATGGTGGCGAGCAGAGGCAAGATTTCCTGCTAGATAGCTTCAAGTAAGCACATCAATACACACTGTATCCATGAAATGCGCAGTCCCTTCTATCTTCAACAACGGTGCCTTGTAAGAGATCCTGCGTGATATTATACGAGCGATTAGTGCAAAACGTGGGACAAGATCATCAGCTTAAGACACATCTCATGGAGTCAGTTTTCTCTACCTTCTCGACATATGAAGGAGCCACTGCCAGGGTTGCAAGGATCAAAGACATTTTCATAATTTCAACCACACTCCGTTAGTCATTGATTCACCAAGTTGTAATGCTACACATGTTCCATTGTACCCCACGAATCCTCCTCACAAAGTCAAGGCAATAATAACACCAGAACACCATGCCGCCGGAGTATTCCCATAGCCCCTAAGAATGGAAACCTCTCGCCTTGCGGTCTGCCCACCATCGCCATCATCATCATCAAGTCAAGGTACTGACATGCGTGTCGAAGACCTCGTTCCTCCAGCCGCCGACCTCGTACTCCTCGACGCGGTCGCCGGCGCGGGCGGCCTCGTCGTTCCAGATCTTGACGACGCTGCCGGGCGTGTAGACGCCCTTGAAGACGCCCTCGCCGGGCTGGGCGACGCCGACGCGCGTGTACAGGTCCGGGTCCTCGGCGGGGACGAGGCGGGCGGCGACGGCGCGGACAAAGGTCCACAGGTCGGCCGGGTCGGCGATGCGCGTGGCGCGGAGGCGCTCGCGCGCGTACAGCAGCTCGCGGTTGCCGGCGTGCAGGAGGCCCGCGATGGCGCCCGCCAGCTGCACCTCCATGGTGGCCTTGAGCAGGGGCCGCAGCAGGGGCTTGAACAGCCAGCCGAGCCAGGCGAACCGGCTCTTGCGCAGCGTGTAGTCGAGCTTGTGCACGCGCACGCGCACGGCGCGCAGCGTCAGGATCTGCTCCATGCGCTCGCGGCAGATCTCCACCTCCAGGTGGATGTCGACGCCGCGCTCGTCCAGCGCGAAGCTGGCGATGCCCTCGTCGGCCAGGCGGAACAGCCCGCTGTGGGCGCGCAGCCAGAAGCCGATTTCGTCGGCGCGAGCCGAGAGACCGTCGATCTTGATGAGCATGAGGTTCTTCGATGTCGTCGTCGTGCGGTATCGTGCCTTGCGTATTTCCAGATCGTTGTAAGTCTCTACCTTGAAGCGGTACGGCAGGAAAGACGTGTGGTTGACAGTCACGCCGGGTTCGATGATGAGGTTCTCCAGGAGAAGGTCGATGGCGGGCGTGCCGACTTCCAGGCGCGGAATCGGTAGGTACTGAATAGCGCTTATGAGAAGAGGAATAAAGACATTGATGGCATCTTGGACGAGATCGGGATTCGTAACTGCGTTAGTAGGAGATAAGACCCCGAAGATACGTAGTGTTGTGGTGATAAGGTTGTGAATATCCTCATCGTGGAGCACACTCTTGAAAGTGACGGAGAGTTGCTGCAGCAGCTCATCCACATCCTGTCGGAGGCTGCTCTCTGTTCCCACCTTCTTGCTCTTCTCCCTAAGCTCTTGCAATTTTGCGTCCGCGTTGGTAAAGAAATCGGGATCAGTAAGGAGCTTCTGCAGGCTGTCTCCCACCTCCTGCATAAAGTGCTCAAACTCGGGGTCCTTCTCCTTGTGGGCTATGACCTTCTTGAACAGGGTCTCACTTCTCTCCCACTCCTTCTTGTCGCCGAAGCTCGAGACGAACTCCCAAATGTTCTTCATAGCTTTGTCCATCGCACGATTTTCGTGAACATCATCTTGCGCCGCCTCCGCAATCTCTTCAGCGGCGCGTGAATACACCAGCGCGTAACGCTTTATCAGAAGAGAAAGCGTAGAGACAGAGTCTGAATAGTCTTTACGCTTGCGCAGATTCAGGACAACCTGCTGGAGACGTTTCAGAAGCGTTTGTCCTTCGTCTCCTGACAGCTTGTCCTTGGTGCTCTCGAGGGCAGCACTGGCGACTTCAGCGCCCTCGTGCGCGACGATCTTGCTGACGTCTTGAACATCTTGGCCAAGCTCCTGGCCGGTCGGGGCCTTGCCGTTTGTGCCAGCGTCCGGATGAGCGACCTGCTTCTGCTCCTCCGCCGACGGCTCCAGCTGCTTGCCAGCTTCCTCGGCGGCGGAACTCAGAGCAAAAGCGGAATCCTTGAATATCTCACGGCCAACTGTATTCAAGTCGCCGAGGAAAACGCGGAAATCCGAGTTGGTGAAGAGCAAGGATCCGACGGTCTGCAGGCTCTTGTAGGCAGCGGCAGCATCGGCCTTGGCCTTGGATTTGCTGGCGCGGTGTTGGAGGTCGTCCACGTCGACCGAGATCCTGCTCTTTGTCAAGAACCATATGAGATCCTGGAGTTGGTCCTCGTCGTTCTTGTTTTTGAGGAGCGTGATGAACTGGTGTAGCCATTGCTTGGTGAGGCGGGCCAGACGCCTTCCACTGTCGGAGAGATCTGGGTTATCCGGATTGAGGACGTCGCTCGCAAGCAGAGTGCGCAGGTTGATGATGGCCTGCTCGGTGCTCGGCATGTATCCCTTGGTGAGGGCTCTCAGCATCTGGTAGCTGTGGAGCTTGCGGTACAGCTCCCGCTGCAGATGAGTGTCTTGCTCATACTGAGGCAGCAGCGGCTCCTGATCCTCGTCGCGGGACTTGCCCCACCCGAAGCAAGAGGACAGCATTCTGACCGAGATAGAGTGGTTCTCACTGCACGTCCTCAGTGATGCATCGTGGTGATGCGATGGTATGGTTCTGTTTGCGGCCAGAGCATGTGCAGGCAACTGAACGCAGTCACTTACACGTCGAGCGCGACGCAAGCTGCTGCGGGAATGAGGGCCAGGCGTGTTAGACGCCTCATGATGACGTCGTAGCGTGTGGGAACCGGCAGGGGGTGCAACGGAGCTAGAGCCTACCACAGCCCAGCTAGCAGGGGTAGCTCAGTTACTTGATTAGGTAGTGCGGCCAGCGAGGTTCAACCGCTGTAGCTCTCCCTTTACTAGAGTCTAGAGTCCTCCAGAGTCCTTCAGCTCACGAGGCTATTTGACCCGAAATATTACAGGTATTCTCGTCAATATGTATGTGCTGTTATCTATTGGCCTAAAATCCAAAATCATTGAGCATTCAAGTGATTCACTGCCACTTTGCCGTGAGTCTTGCTACAGCTCTAAACCTAGAATGAGGAGACTCTAAGCTCATCCCGCTTCGGGGTAGCACCCTCTGTTGCTCCTCTTTCGCAAGCACGCAAACTGCATAACGAAATGCTGTTACACATGAGTTCTCGCCTTCTCGTCATACCAGGGGAAGCACTGTGACCAGAAGTTCTATCTCGCTGATGTACTCTACATTGTGCATCGTGGTGTTGCCCTTGGCTCTCCTACACTATTCAACGGTCGTAACTTCGTGACTATCGCAGGCAGGTTGTTTTATTTCCGCCTAGCCTGGTTGATGTACTTCCCTTTCCCCTCATCTGCGCTCGATCTCGAAAGTCGTCTTGCAGTCAGTTTCCTCAGTTCTGTTTAGCTCCTGCTCACAAGAATGGCAACACGGCCGCAGCTGCCCGAGGTTGTAGATGCATGGCGCTGGAGTCTCAGTCAGTCCAACTGCAGTCACAGAGCTGTGGCGTTGGTGCAGTCGCCTTACAGCGCATTAAGCACGCGCGCAACACCACGCACACCGACATGGTTCTTCTTCCGCCAGCACATGATTAATACAGGTGTTCTCTGATTAGCCAAACAGAAGCGAATGACCTGATTGATACCTATCTATCACGGTCTAGGGCTCTACTCGCAAACAGGCTCCGCCGACGCTTGAAAGCATTGTTCCTCGAACCGGTCTGCGTCGACCTCGACTATCAATACAATGGTACCACACTCTCGAGTCTCCCATGTTTTAGTAGAGCTAACCAGCTGCAGGATGATAATCCTGAACCCGAGGCTCTCAAGGCCATCGCCACTGCCCTCGAGAAGATGGTCACCACTAAGGCCACCGCTATGGAGACAGCAGCTACCCCGAGGCCCATGGCGTACTTGGAGACCGCGACGTTGGTACTGATGTGCATTTGGTTCATCACGGGCACTTGGTTTCTCGCTTTGGGGGAATTGAAGAAAGACCTTGTCAATGAGCAAGATCAACGCCTGATGAACCTGCAGGCGGCTCCGGATAAGACGCTTGATTAAACTGAGGCTGTTTAATAGGTGCATCAATGTCTAAGCAGGACAGTGTTCAGCCTTGATCAGGAATAATGAATTTTGGGTCCTTCTTGTAATACAACCTCAGCTTTTACTGGCCACTTAGTACTACCACAGGCTTTAAGCACTAGTTGTCAAACGAGAGCATTCTGCGACACTCTAAGCGCAGCAGAAGTAAGCTCGACGGATGGGTTCCTACGTCACATCTTCCTTGACAAGGCCAGTTTCGCCCAATGCCTCATAACGTGTCCGCACTAACAAGATATTCGGCATTTGTGCTACTTTACAACCACACGGGTGAGACCATCGAGATGGGGACAACATGAAAATACACATGAGATTCAATTTCTAGGGTCCACCATAAAAGACTTGTGTCATTCCATAGCCGCGTATGAATACTACAAGCGTAGCTCAGAGTTTCCCCTTGGCCTTCTTGCCGACGCCCCAAGCGGCGGCGTCCCACGTGCCCCCAGTCTCCTCCACCTTGTCATTCAGTTTGTTGAAGAAATCCTTGCTGATGGCGCTATCCACAAACTCACGGACGCGCACGACCTTGCTTCCGTCCTCGGTGAAGTCGAACATCATGACGTACTCATTCCGGTACGGGCCAGCGGCCGTCTCGGCGGTCGACCGGACCCACATGGCGACCTTGTTGCCGGCCTTGTCCTCGAACACGTCGTCTATCATGACTGTGAAGTTTTTGAACAGTGGCATCGTGGAGCCGAAAGCCGCGCGGTACGTGGCGTTATCCATCGGCGGCCGCTTGAGCGATTCTACGCGGATAAGTAAGAAGAGGTAGACGAGGATGCATATAAATTGGAAAGTTGAGGCCAGAGATAAAAAGGGAAATTGGTTACTCACTTGGAAGAACCTCCTGAGTACAGGACTCGTCGCGGTACGCCATGATGGCATCAATGTTCCACTCGTTGTAAGCCTGAATGGCCTGGAGTGCCACCTCACGTCTCTTTGACATAGTGCCTATTATGTAGTCAAATTACTATGCGCATGAGACTAGAATGCGAACTTTGAGTTCGGGTGCGAGTTGTCTTGGACTGAGACCCTCCGGAAAGCATGTGAATGGAGCGGGGTGCATTGAGTGTTCGGCCAGCGTAACATTGCGTGGTGTCATGTCTGATTGGTCGCAGCTGTCCGGCCACCAACTCACACGCCTAATTAACGTGCCCAATACTGATTGTCAATCCGTCATGTTTGTGCCCGTAGGAGTATGAGCATAGCAATTGTCAATTGTCTCCATTCTAGACTCCATGTCGTGATTCGTCGCTGATCCCATCGAATTGTAATCATGGAGCCGCCGTCTCGTGTCATCACTGGTTATAAGTGACGTTTCAGCAATACCATGTCCATAAATTATGTGACCGAAACCCGTTCTGGTTGTCGAATATGTGGCTTGAATGCCACCGCGAGAACCAGCGTGCGCGCTAAGTAGATTGCATGTCGTAATAATCTGTATCGTCAAGTCCTTCAAAGCATGGAGACTAGTGATCCCTGAGCCATAACACAAATAACGCATAGAGATCGCTAATGGTCGCGAGATAAATGATACCCATGAGCAAACGATTCGTGACCACTTTGGAGGAGAAACGCGGCAATGGTGTGTCACCCATCCAGTAGCCCAAGAGGAAGAAGGTTGAGCTCACAGCCACTATGCATAGAGTGAGACCGAACTCTGTAGAAACTCTTAAGAAGAGAAATTCTACCGCGAACCTCGCGCAAAACAACACAAGGACAAGTTGAACCCAGGAAAAGATATTTGGAGGCCGAGATGACCAGACAAGGGTGTACCCCATCATGATGGTCGTGGCCGTGGGCGGGGTTACTGAGGAACTGAAGAATGAAACAAATAGGAATGGGGTGGATAAAGAAGCCGAAATCAGGAGCCTATACGTTCTGACGGCACCGGAGCTGTTCGGGAGAAGTAGGTGATTATTGGCAGCATCTCGTATGTAGTCGATATCGTAACGCATCCACAACTAATAGCCGCCGCAAACGCTGAATCATCAGTGCAAGCAAGACAAGTCCATGAGCCTAGATTTGGTGGACGGTTGGAGAAACCACTTTCGGGCAATAAAGTACAAGCCGCCGTATAGTATACACCCAGTACTACCAGTGAGTAACACAAGAAGGGAAGTGGGCCCATGTTTCTTATAGTCGCACTTAGGTGGTGCATATTGACCGGGAGAAATATTGTGCTGATCCGAGCTATCTGCTCGCCAAAGCCAGCGACTTGTAGGAAAATTCTTGCAGCCCAGCTCCAGGAGTACTTTGGGATTCTGCTGGGGGTGCTCTCCTCGACGTTGAGGCAGAAGGTTTCACGCCCCAACGTTTTAGTTCGGCTTGTGAATAGGAGCACTCCATCTCCATAGGAAACTCCGCCCGAGATATCTTGAAGCAGATTCTCAGCCTCCGTAGATTGAATGAATTGTCGAAAGGTTTCTAGTGGAACTAGTTGAATAGCAACCTTGGGGGAAGTGTTCCGCAGCAACCAGGGTGAGTGTGCTGGTGTGTGTCTCAGCACACTTGCAGCGAATACATCCTCTGTGTTGATTCGTCGAATGAACAGCGTATGGAGCTTTATAGTTCCTGGCGGCCCGGATCGGGACCAGTACAACACATATTTAGATGGCGACCAATTTTCGGACGGGACCACACGCAGTAATTCCAATGAGGGTGCAATGGAAAGCCACATGACTTCCTGGCTCTCTTCAAGAATGAAGTCATCATCCAAGTCGGTAGTCGAGAGATGGAAGGACTGTGTGCGCCAACGAGTCCATGTCTGCTTTCCAACCAACTTGATTGGCGCGTCGGCTCTCCCGTAAAGCCCATTGTCCAGTCTGCTCAACGGAATAGCAAGCAGGCACCAAGGTTCGTCTCTGATTTGGCAAGGAAGTACCATGTGGGGATTATCGTCCTCAGAGGCTGGCAAACTAACACGCAGCCCTTTGCTCGTCAGTTCCCAGTCGAACGTGGCCTGGTGAGCGATGACACACTCACTACCCATGAAGTTTGTCGGGCTGTTTGCCAGTACGCCCGAAGACCAGTCCCAGGTCGCTTCTTCAGGCGTCGGATCGCTCCACGGATGTTCTTGCGCTGTGAGCATTGCGATTGCAGAACGCCAGGCACAATGTGGCTTTGCAAAGCCTGTTGTTTGCGACGAGGGACGTGTGAGATGTCTCGAGCGGAACTCATGCCACGGAAGACCCCAGGCGAGCAATGTTGGGTCGAAGTGTCGGCGTATTATTTCCTCCTGTAGCCTCAAGAATGCGTGAGATCCTTCGCCGTATAGCAACGGCATACTGACACGACAAAGACCAAGTAGTGAGTAGGCAACATCTTCTTCTCTGGTAGTCTTACGCTTAGCTGCCCAGCTCATCTTTTCTGCAATGGTGGCACTTTGAACCCGTAATAAGCGGGAGCTCTTGCCACAGCAGAACCTGCTTGTGTGCTGCAAAAGGTAACGCTCGTCAATACCGGTAGACGCCTTTATTGCTGATGCCAACAGATCGCGGTCACCAATCAACTCCCATTCGGCCCCGAAAAATAGCACTTGACGTGGTGCTAACAGTTCTTGCAAAGTCCAGCCTCGTGTCAACCACCGACTTCCATTCAACTGTGCAAGAATGGTTTGCTCATCATCATGAACAAAATCACTCAGGTATGCCAAACACAGTTCGGCATTCTGATACCAGCGAAACATTGAGTTGATTGCCTCCGATAGTTCGGCACTACTCGTCTTGTCAATGCAACAAGTGTCAACCCAACCATAGTCGTAACCTTGCTGACAGGCCTCGTGGCAGAAGCGGCTTATTTTGAGGTACCCGGGCTTTTTCTTCGCTGCCAACTTGTGGAACTCCTCATACGACACCTCACCTTCCTCCCATGTGTGTGACAGAATAGCATAGGGAGGGATATTCTGTACAAATTCTTGAATGACTAGAGTTCTGACGTTGATGAGACGCATTTCGGGCAGCAGTCAAGTTGGGCCAGCTATGCTGCAAACATCGGCAGAAGGCAAAGAGGAACGAAAGCGTACAGGGTATCACTGGGGGAGGGTTGGTATTGGGTGGGAGAGTTTGAGAGTTAGAGAGCGAATGAAACAGGACCTACCACGTCGCTGAAACAAGCAAGCAGCCACGCATATCTGGACTACTCGCCAGGTCTATTATCGACTTCTGGCCCCCAGAGGGACGGCGAGTGGTGAAAGCATGGTCATTCGTCACAATGCACGTCGGTGGCATGTCATATGTGTGGTGGGAAGCGAACATATGCCATTGGTTCCTAAGACGCTCAGTTAGGCTGATCTTGGTCGTTCGGGACAGGGCGCTCGTCAGATTCGAAAAATGGCTGCGTTTTCACGCTTGGGTAATGATGCATTCACCAAAAGAGAAAAATTGAAAAAAAGAAGAAAACATTTGCAAGCATAGTTTAACATTGAATACCTACGCCGTACACGATTTGCGATTGGTATGTATGTCATACGTGTATTTTGAAGTAAGCCATTACGGGAATCAGGACTGGTCCTTTGACTCCTCGTTATTGTCTTGTCTCAAGTGAGAATGTAAACATAGTACTGATCAATGATTAATCAATTGGAAATGAGAGCGAGCGCTAAAGTAGGTGCGCTTTGATTGGACAAGATCAATTAAATGGGGCGGGCGAAAGCTGAAGCGTTCAAAAAATGCTCTGCATCTCACCGAACCTCCCCCGAACTTCCTAATGACCGCAGAGATCAGCCAAGCTGCGCCGCTCTAGAATGTCTTTAGGCACCCATTATTGCATCAATGATCAGCATCGGCCAGACACTCAAAGGCCGTCTCTCAATATACTCTGTGGTGAAGGAGCTGCACTGGGCAGCCGACAATGGCGGTGTTTATCTGAGCCTGTAAGCCTCCACCATCAAGACTTGAACTACACCTAATCCATGGTGTAGTAATGGTAGGGGAGAGAAATGTATTCTTAAGAGCGTCAGGGGCCATTGGCGCTTAGAGAATGAGGTTGCCGTTCTCAAGCGCTACCAGTCTGAAAGCCCCCTTTTCCGTCCTCTAATTGACGAGATTGTGGAGCCGAATGATCCACCTTCCATACTACTGGCATACCGAGACAGCGACCTGTTGGAAGAATCGAACCGAAAGAGACTGTCGCGTCTTGAGATCAAACAGGTAGCCAGAAAGGTGTTGAGTGCACTTCGTATTCTTCACAGAGATGGCATGGTTCACACTGGTACGCAGGATATCTGACACTCGAATTCCGACGCTGACTGCCCTAATCACCTGGCAGATATTAAACTGGATAACATATGCGTTGACTTTGGTGAATCTGACCAACGCTTCTCTGCTATTCAGCTTGGGGACTGCGGAGGCGTTGTCTCAAGACTCCAAATTTGCCAACGAGGGTCATCTCATTGGTGCCAGTTTCACCCGCAGTCCGGAGGCACAACTGCATTTGCCGTGGGGAACGCCTACTGATATCTGGTCCTTTGGAAATGCTGTGAGACTTGACTTGCTTCTTCTATTCCCTTACCATTTTCACTGTCACTTGCTGACAGGACTGCAGGTTCTCAGCCTCTTGTACGGTGGTGGATTTCACTTTTTCAACCCGGCCAATGAGGGCATCAAAACGGACAACGATGAGTATGAGCTGACTGTCCTTCATCGCATGTATCGATACTTTGGTCCTTTCCCTCAGTCATACCAGGATATTGCAGACGACAATGCTGCGGCTGTCATCAACTACATCAACAGCTCAGGGCCACCTGCAAAACCGTATCACCTAGTCACGCGTCGAGAGATTCTCCCTGCAGACAAAGACTTTGTACTCAAGATTATGAAACTGGACCCTCGTGACCGACCGACAGCTGAGCAGTTGTTGAGCGATCCCTGGTTCACAGAGGAGTCAGAAGATACTCGTGGCCCTCTTTGAGTATATCTATACGATCCCAGCGAATCAACACCGGTCCAGAGACCTTTGTACCGACTCTTAACTATGAGCTGTAATCATGGAAGTCGAAACTCAAGTCATCCGGAGGAATCGAAGGACACACAGTCATGAATGGCGCGGCAGAAACTGAATTTTTACAAGACACCGATGGTCAGCACGGCAATCCGGAGCACCAAGTGCATCGCTTAGCACTGCCACCAAGACCCCAGTCATAATTCAGACGTCTGGCATCAAGACTAGGATCACACTCAGTTTACGGCAGCATTACGACCTCCCGCGTGGCATCCTTCCGCTAGCAGCCCACGTCAAATTAGACGTGCCGTTGGCTGTCGAGGCTTAGGCAGCAGGGCAGAATGTGACTGCAGCATGGATAGTCCATTCTGTAGAAAACCCAACACATCCCTGCACCAGACTGTCTAATGATTGCGAAGGCTCTCTTTTTCCAACATGCTGAATAACTTCAGCAAGATATCGACTACATTCGTCTGCTCGAAACAGCTCCAGCACATGATGGTAGCGGTCCCGTGATATGTAGCCTTGCCCAAGTCACCTTCTCCTATAGGTCTCGGTATGGCGCCCTATCTTATAGGTGGAGTGATGCCAGCATCCAAGGTGCCATTGCACTGAATGGATTTGAGAGGGCCGTTGGGAAGAATCTCGAGGATGTTCTTCGCTGTCCCCCCTCCCCCACCCCCTCCCTCTTCCCTTTTTCTTCGGGCGCCGGGCAACACCAACCGCCAGCAAACACGCCATCACCACCCAGCAACCCCTAGCACCAGACTAATTGGAAACCTAGGAGACCTTAAAGGGTGCAACAAGTGAATAGATTTTCGCCTACGGGCAATTGAAAAAGATCCAAGTTGGTCGAATGGTTAGAAACTTCGATATGGTTAAAGGGAGCTCTTCTCTCCAAAGTTCCAACACGATCCAATATATATATATATATATCAAAAATCGAATATCGAAAAGATCGAATATATATTTTTGCTGTTTTCGAAGGCAGTCAAGTCGGAATGGGCGAATGGGGGCGAGGGTCGCGGGTTCAAATTCGGGTGTCTTTGCCCTTTTTCTTTTTTCTTTTTTTTTTTCTTTTTGGGACCCCTATCATTGCAGGCAGAACTTTTGCACGCAGTGCAACCCGCCTGAATTTTTTGGAGGCCTTTAGAAGAAACGCATTTCGCAAAGATACCAGAGATAAGATATGCGGCTTGCTTGGACTCGTGATGGAGGCAGAGGAGTTCCCAGTAGAATACACCAGGTTATTATTCGCAGCATGGTTGGATGCTATGAATATCATAGAGCGGCGTCACAGACTGCATGATAAGGAGGTCCTTGCCACTAGCTATCTTTTGGGGAGTTCAGCTTGGGTTGAGCACTGCTAGAACGTTGGAAGACATGATCTACTCTGACTTAGGGAAACATGAAATGGTTGACATCTTCTCACTGTGCATATATCCTGTGCGCTTCATCCATTGTCTCTATTCTCATATAATCAATACACATCGCTCAACACACCGAATAAGCCATCGTCTGCTCTCTCCGCTACTCCACCGCTGTCTTGGCTCGCACCCTCTCCACGTGCTGATCATGGAACTCCTTGACGGCGGGGATGATCAGGCTCTCGATCTCCATCTCGGGCTCACCCTCGGGCAGCAGGGCGGGGTCCATGGGGGCGTCGCGGACCCAATCCTTGTCGGCGGCGCCGACGAGGCCCTCGCGGCCGCTCATGGACTTGCGCCGGCGGTCGCGCGGCACGCGCACCCACTTGTCCTTCTCCTGGCCGGGGGCCACGAAGACGACCTCCCACTTGCGCGTCGTCAGCAGGTTGCCGATGACCAGGTGGTGCTGGTACCGGTTCAGCGAGTACTTGGCCTTGTGCACCAGGATGGCCGGGTCCGTCTCGAGCTTGAACGAGACGATCATGCCCTCGGGCGCCCAGCCGTCGACCAGGTTCTTGAGGAACTTGGGAACCGGGTCCAGGTCGATGATCAGGCGCTTGCTGCGCGGGATGGCCGGCGACGAGTCGAAGTTGTCGAAGGTCTCGTCGGGCTCCTCGGCCGTCTTCTGCCTCGCCGGCGCTATCGTCGTCGGCCCTTGCTGCTTCAAGCTGTCTGTTGCATCTGTGCTCTGGATCTTGTGCTCCGACATGCGGTCGGCCGGGACAAAGAAATCAGAGACCGCGGCCGCGAGGTAGAGCAGGCCATCCGGCCCAAGCGGTCGCATAAGCTGCGCAATGCCCCGTAGTTCGTGCAAGTAGTCGGTGATGGTGGTGAAGGGAATCATCAGCAGCATCCGGTTCTTCTTGGCCGAGTTGTACTTGCGCAACACCCGGATCATCTTTTCCTGGTGCTCCGGGTTGGCAACCACGCTGCCGTTGGCATCCTCGTACATGAAATCCAGAAAACAGTCAGTCGAGTGGCTGTAATGCCTGCTGTACGGCAGGAGGGAGAACTGCCGGTGCAGGAAGATGACGGAATAGCCGGCCTCCAGGAAGTATTCGGCTGATGTCGCACCTCGCGTACCGGCACTGAAGTTATCAATGAAGCGGACGGTCTGCTTCTCCAGGGGAACTGTGGTGCCTCCGGACGTGATCAGAACGACGCGGCGCTTGAGTTCGGCCTGGTGGTTGATGAACTCTCGCGCCAGTGTCATATGATTTGCGAGCGCCTTGGGAGGCGGGTTTGACGAAAAATAGGCATTCTCCTCCTGGACGGAGGCGGCCGTCGCCTGCGTTGAGGCGCTCGACATGGTGTCCTGACTTGTTGTAGATGAGATGGATGAAGAACGAGATGAGGCTCGTGATGAAGATGAAAGTTTGAATGAGAGACTGAGAGCAGTTGATTGACTCTCACGTGACGGCAAATTCGCCGGGTGTATCTGTGAATCCATCATGTGTAAGTGCAGGCCCGTAAGTTTTGTGGGTTATGGTCCGTGAAGCATCTGGCTCCAGGGTCTCGAGGCCGCGTATCTATAAGATAACCCCTCCATTCTGGCCAGCTGCGCTGTGCATAAATCTGATGACGTCCGAGCATGGCTCATGGCTACCGGTGCTCCGGCCGCCAAGTAGTCAGACCTCGGTCCCCGGCTTCGTCGGCCGGGGGGATTCAAGTGCGGAGAAAGCGCCGTTTGACGGCTCGCGACGGAAGCTAGGGGTCCAGCTGGCCCTTGCGGGAATAACAGGGGCTCAGGATGGAGGGGAAGCGAGGTGACGTTTTGTCTACTTACGTGGGTGTTTTTCCTTCGGTATGGTTGATGCGAGGCACGTCTATATTATACCACGAAGAGCTATTTCGTCTGACTCATCCTTGATTATGTCTCGGGCTTTTTCTTTGGCGGTCAGGTTTTGGTCAATCAAAGAGTCTCAAAGAGTCTGCGCATTTTGGCCGGATGAAGGGGAAGTTAGTGATATTGTGGCCCGTGCGACCCATGAGAGGTGCGCATAAATACGCATGTATTTTCCATCACGAGCCTCACGACTTGCTTCGCCCGATGGTTGCCATTTTGCGCAGAGATGCTTCGCGGTTAATTAATCAGTTCTGGGCACTATATGATTCTTTCTTTGGCCTTTTCCTGTTGATTTATGGTGTTCGTTTTGCAAAATGGTGAGCTCTCTGAGTTACTTGGAGGGTTACTAGGTTCGCATAGTTACCCCATGAGTGCAAAGTGACACGCATGACTTTCAAAGGCATGTGCATCAACAACATTTCGTTCGTGCGAGTACATCTGATAAAAGTAATTATCGTTTTGATGATGTGAGGAAAAACTAATCGCCCTCTTCTGAGATTGAGTGTTTCTCTGTTCCATCACCATTTGCGCTGTGCACGAACGCCAAAGATGGCTGCCAAGTCACTGTGGTCGTATACCACATGATTCAAGTTCGTGAGAAATTAAGTCTTTTGACATCCTATCTTACAGCCCCGAGCTAACTATGCCACAATTGAATGAACGAGTGTGTTCTCAGACAGCCTCCAACCCCAAAGTCCAAATTTTCTTATGTACAGTATTGTCAAACCCTGAAAGCAACCCATGCTAGCACTGAAATGTGAAGTGATAAAAAAGGAACAAGCCAGAAGTCCGTTCTTGTTCCAATACTGCTGCTATCGCAGCAAAAGTGTTGCTTTGGGTGGAAGATCGCAATTGCCCAAACCCCCTCTTACAACATGCCCGCGACGGCAACGACGGCACCAAGTGCAACTCCCATCATGCCAGTGACTGCGCTGCCTTCCGCCCTGCCGCCAGGGGCAGCGTTATGCGTGGCGGTCGGGCCAGCGGTCTGGCTGCCCAGGGTCTGGGTCGTGGTAATGTCACCGCTGACGGCGGCAGCGACGGTCGCGAGACCCGTGTAGACGGACTCGCTGCCCTGGGCATCGGTGGTGGTGTATGTCACCGTGGTGGTGACGGTGGGGCCCTGGCTCCAGCCGGCGCCCCAGCCGACCCAGCCGTTGAAGCCGCCGTGGTCGTTCCAGCCGCCATTAGGGCCGGCATACCAGGGCGAGCCGTTGCCGACGCAGCCCGTGACCGTCACGACGCCGCCGGACCAGGTCTTGGAGCCCGAATATGCCGCGGCCCACTCCGACCACACCTGGTTGCCCTCGACGCCAGCCCAGCCTCCAGCACCGCCGGGGCCTCCGGGGCCGGACGGGCCGCCCCAGTTTCCGGGACCACCCTTGCCTGTTGGCCAGCCGCCGGGTGCGCCCCAGGTTACGGAACCTGAGGGGTAGGTGATTGTCTGGACGCCGGTGGACCCAGCCGAGGTGCAGGATTCCCACTGCGAACAGAGCGAGGACGACAGGGAAGAGTATGATGCCCAGGCTGTGGAAGTAGAGGCGCAGCCGGCGTTAACACAGGATGACACCTGGTCGCCCTTGTCGGACGCGCAGTATTCGGACTGGGCGGGCCAGTAGGCCGATGTGGTAGCCGAGGCGGAGCCCCAGTAAGCGGAAGAGAGACATGATTGCTTTTGCCATGTTAGTACAAGATCATGGTAGATTGGCAAGACCGATGTAGTGAACGTACAGCGCACTCAGGGGCACCTCCCCACCACTGTGCTGAGGCAGCAGAAGGTGCCAAGACTGCGGCGATGCTTGAGGTCTTCATTTTCGCCTTTCGTCGCTTAGATCTGAGTCTTGTCGTTCTGTTGGGTATTGCGGAAGAGTGAACGGCCTTGGGCGGGTGTGTGTATAGACGAGAGTGGAGATGGGGTTAAGAGAGTTGAGGTCAAGCGGGAGGTCTAACATATACTTATATGTCAAGCATCGGTCTCATGAAACGGCACGCCGACATGTATGTCTGAACTAGCTTCGCAGCAGCCAGACATGAGCCAAAAATGGGACGCTCGCCCCCGAACTCAGTGCGACGTCGTCATAGGCCACCTCAGTGAGCTGCGAATACACATCCTCAAGCTTTCGCCCCCTACCTGTGAGTGAGTCCGAACGGGAACGCAAGGCTGGGGAAAGGAAACCGGGCTAGTCCTGCATGGAAATCCCCGCCTACGCGTGTTACGGCGAGGTTATGCTTATTCCTGTGAAGATCAGTCACATGAGAGACGGCTGGGGGGAAAGGCAAGATGGCCTTGGGCGGCACACGGGCTCCGAGTGTTGGGCGGGGATGATTCTGGCTGATCCCGCCTCGCCGCGCGTCATAAGCTTCGCTGTAGCCATAGGACGTGAGCGGCTGTCCACGGCGCTGCAGAAGTCGATGCAATGCAGAGTAAGCTCGGGTTCTGGAAGGGTGACAGGAAAGATCAGACATCGTGCCGGCCATAGAGTCGGTAGAGTTTGGCACCGACGCCGCCCCTGCTGTCTGTGTCTGGCGTCGGTGCGAAGCTTGTTCGGGGCGGCCAGCCCTCGCAGGCCCGGCGTCTATTACGCTGCATGGCCACGCAAGCGCGAGCTGCCGTGCAAGTCATCTTGTACGAATCCAGAAGCAGCCAGCCATCCAGAGGTTCGGATAGAGTTGAGAAACTGAGCTGGCGCAGGGGGTTTGGGGTAGTCCGGGGGCGTTGTGGAACCCTGCCGAGGCCGAGAGCTGCACTTGTCCTTGTCCGAAGGATCTTTTAGTCGGGGTCTTACCCCGAAACTGGGGCAAGACAACGCAGTCTATTCTGACTACATGACCAGGTTTGGCATGCACGTAGGGTAAGATGCTTCTGCTCTGTACGTCAGCACAAAGGGTCGTAGGCATTTACGAATGGCACTGACCAAGGGTAGTCAACGTGCAGGCGAATCATCGCTTGCGAGTAATTGTATGTAGATGACACAGGGCCAAGTGTGTATATGCATGCTGTGCAAAGTAGAAAGACATAATATGAGATGGCAGGTCTGGAATGAAATCTACTTAGAATACATGAAGCAGTATTGAAGCCCACCACATATGCCAGGCAACGTGCTTGATCCAAGAGACACAGGCCTTTGCTATAAGTCTTTGGAGAATGCTCTCGATCGTAACAACACTCACAATCTGTGTCACACCATCATGTCAGATACCATGGTATCAAAGATACGAATCGAAGGACTGAGAAAATGCAAGTCCATTGCCGCACTGTTTTACACGATCATCGTCAGAAATGTCCACTATCCATGCTCGACACCATCGCTCTAGTGAATCCGTTGCCTTTCATGCCCGTCGGGTCTGCACACTGGCAGAACGTGCCATCCGCATGCCGTCCCCAAATGTACCCACCATTAAACCACCCCTCTGGATCCTCTGAACTCCTCAAAATCATTGGTGCTGCGACAAAGGCACCTCGTGTCCACTCCTAGAGACGTGCAACGGAAAGAAGAAAAATAAAACCAAACAAAAGGAAAAGCGGGTGGTCTGATCCGCAATGCGTCCGTCTCGTGTTCCAGATGCCAATGTTGCACTGGGCTGGCGCAGGCCAAGGACCGGTGATTGCTGCCAGCCCAGAACGCTTAAACTCAAAATAATCCTACAACTGCAACTCATGGCTTTCTCAACATAGACAGCGGCCGTCTTCTGCCCTACAGCATTGTGCCGAACACGTCGTCTCTAGGTATGGGCTTGCGGGGAGACCCATCCTCTGTTGCTGGTTTACGATGGCGGAAGGTGAACCCGACGAAGAGTGCCTTGCCCATCTCGTCGTCGCGATCGGCCATTGTCTCAAGGGCCTGTTGTTTGTCATGGACCTCCTTGTACTTGGCCATATCAGCTTCATTGGTGAAGTCATCGAAGTAGCCCGCGTCCATTTCCGAGTCCAGCTCGGGAACAAACGGCGCCTTGGTCTGTCGAAGGGTCTCCCAGTCTACCTCTGCAAAGTATTGATGCTCTGTGATCTCCTTGAAGCTGGAAAAGCGCTTGGATCGCGAGTTGATACAGCTGGGAGAGGTTAGCAATCAGCTATGGTGGACAGGGTTGCGATGCTTACGTTGTGATGAAGTTCCAAGTTCTGTTACTGAGGAAGTAGTTGGGGTCTTCCCAAACAGGACGCTTGAGCACCTCCTTCCAATGCTTGAGGTTTCGCCACGTCTCATCCGCCGTCGAACCGGCGAAAGGGGGGAAGCCAGTGAGGGCTTCAAACAGCATGCAGCCCAGACTCCAGTAGTCGACAGTGGAGTCATACTCGTCGCCCCTCAGTACCTCAGGAGCCATGTAATCAGGTGATCCAACTATGGACTTTGCATAATTCACATCCTTCTCACGCATCGAGCGGTACCCGTCGCGGCGCTCTGCCACGGTGCGCTGATCCATGGGCTTGCCGAAGGGCACGGTGGTCTCGGAAGCCTTCTCAAGCTTGATGCGCATCGACTCGACCCTTGCTGGTGCCAACATTCCAGCAGCCAGACCAAAATCGGTCAATTTGATGTGGCCCGAGGAGTCGACCAAGAAGTTCTCGGGCTTTAGATCTCTGTGAATGTAGCCCAACTGGTGCAGAGCGTCGACAGAGCAGAACATCTCAGCAATGTAGAACCGGGCATGGCGATTGGAGAGAACTCCCGTGTTGTTGAGCAGCGTCCGGAAGTCTCCGCCTGGTACGTATTCCATGGCAAGATAGATACTCTTGTCATCCTGGAAAGAGTACAGCAGGCGAACTAGCCACTCGCTCTTGGCCGAAGTAAGGATGTCTCGTTCGGTCAGGACATGGCGGACCTCATCGAGCTTGAACAGAAGCTTCTTGCTCATGACCTTCAGAGCGCACACCTCTTTAGTGTCCTTCTTCTGAGCAAGGTAGACTTGACCGTAGCCTCCCTGACCAATCTGTGTGAGGATCTGGAAGTCGCCGTGTCGAAGGCGAACACGTCGTTTTCTGAGGTTGGCACGCTCGCGACCGGTGTACTTCTGCCACATCTGCTTGTATGTCTCATCATCCGTCTCTGGCGGCGCCGGGAATTCCTCCTTGAAGGCGTTCAGACGGGTTTGCCGCGAGCCGACATAAGTCAGCAGATCGAAGTAGTAGTCGAGGAAGTATAGCTGCGTGACATTGACAAGGCGGCGGACGTTGGGCTTCTTCAGTATTTCCAGCTCCTCGGGGGTCAGGCCGCGGGAGGTATTGAACTTCTTGTTCGAATGAGTCAGTGGCCTGGGCTCTCGGGGCTGATATAGCTCCTGCCTCGAGACGGCGGCCTGATTGTATGTATAAGGCGAGTTGCTGCTGGAATCCACGACCGGGATGCGCGAAGGCGGCGTGTTCTCTTGCCCATGTCTCTTCAGAGGACTGCCGGCGGAGATGCCTGCCTTGTTCTTGTGGATGATGCTCTCGTCGGTAGAAGGGGAGCCGGTGCCGAAATAGTCATCATCGGCGGGCTGAAGGTTGCTTCTCACAGGTGACAAGGGAGAGGCGCCGGCCGAGGTCTGGGGTCGGAGTCTCAAGGGACTGTCAAGGCCGGTGTTGCTGCCAAGCTTCATGGCATTGTCGAAGGCGACAGGAAGCTCATTGGCACCAGGAGGAATAGTCCTCTTGCTGGGGCTGCCCTGCGGCGTCGAGGCGGGCTCGATAAAGCTGTTGCGGTTTGGCGTGGCCGGCCTCTCGCCCATGGCAGACTTGGCCTGGCTGCCGGGGAACATGTTGGCAATGAAGCTGGCCATGACTGCTGCTCGCAGTACGCGTCTAGATCGATGGATGGATGCTGCGACGGAGGGCGCAGGGGATCAAGACCTCGTCGCAAGGCTCTAATGGATACGATGCTTGACGGGGAGTGCGCAAGCGATGCGATCGAGGTGCAGTTGTTGATGCGAACAGATAGCGGCCAAGATACAAGTCTAGGGAAGAAACCGAGTAGTGACCTGCGGCTCTCCGAGCTCCCAAGGCAGATTGGGTCGAAAGGCAGCGATCTTCTCCAAAACAATGCTGGATTTAAGGAAGACGGTGGTGGAGTAGTGCATGGAGTGGTTGTGATGGTCGTGATATGGTGGGGTAGTAGGTAGTGTCCAAGCCCAACGTCACGCAAGTCAACAACGTCGCCCCGGCAGCGGGCACCGGGCCAGACCTTAGGGCCCCCCCCTAGCACCGTAAGCCCCTCACCACGGACCCCCCGTGGTCCCCTGCAGCATTCCCGTCTCACTGGGATCGCACAGTAGATCTAGCGCCGCCCACGGGCGAATTAGGTACCACCGCGGTAATTTGCGATGCCTTGGATCTTGGATCTTGGACTTGGATGTGTCCCAGTCTCTCCATCCATGGATGTTTGTTGTTTGACCGATCCCTTCGATCGGACGGGCACGCCGCTACCTCCACAGGCCCCATTGAGGGCTCTCCAGGTCGCGTAGGGCATAACTATGGATAAGTGGTGGATGTGTTAGGTGGCCCTTGGGATTTGCATTGATTTGCATATGCATTTCCAACAAAACAGCCGCCCAGGTAGTAGTTATGGTTTGTTGCCAGCGTTCCAGTAGTATCCAATGCCTCCAGAATCCGCCATGGAGTAGCACCAAAGAGTACCTGGATACAGTGCACTTTACAGTGCGGCGGACTGTAAACATGCGCGTCAGTGCCAGATCAGCGCGAGGCTGACAGGGTGACATCCTGGGAACTTTTCCTGGCCAGCCTCGGCGTGGAGTGATGCGATCTTCTTTATCGTGCAACCTTATCTCCGTAGCTACAACCCGGCGATTCTATTCTCTTGGAGACACAGCATCCTGCGCCTCACCGATTGGCCCCCATTCATCTTGAACCGCCAACATGCCAAAGGAACGTAACTTCAATCCCGTGCAGGCCCAGCGGAAGGCCGACAAGGCCAAGGAGATCAAGAAGGGTGAGAGCTCCCGTTCCCGTCTGCAGCTCACACCGACTGACAGAAACCTGCAGGCAAGGCAGACGCCGCCGCCCGGCGAAACGAGAAGCTCGCAAAGCGCAACCCAGAGCGCCTACAAAAGCAAGTCGACGACCTCAAGCAGATCACCGCCAGTGGTGGCAAGCTCACGAAGCATGAAGAGACGGTGCTCGAAAGTCTCGAACGAGACTTGAAGCAGGTCAAGAAGGCTCGCGAGGCCCTCGGTGACAAAGCCCCAACCTTTGACCGCAGCAGTCCTCGGCCAGGCGGTCATGGTGTGCTCGGCAAGAGGAGACGCGACAATGAGGACGTTTCGAGCAGCGATGAGGACGTCCCGGATGACGTAAAGAGCATACCCATGCCGCGCGACACCCCACCTCCGATTTCCAAGGAGATCATGGACCAGTGGTACGCGAAACGGAGGGCGAGGAGAACCAATGCCAACGAAACTCCTGTTGGCGATAAGCGAGGACGTTCGGGTACGACCGAGAAGCCAGAGAAGCCAGAGAAGCCAGTTGCGCCGGTGGAAGCAAAGACCGTCTACGAAGCCAAGCCTGTCATCCGCGATTTAAAGAAGGAAGCCGTCAGCGCCTTCATGCCCACCGCTGTCAGGATGAAACTCGAGAAAGGCAAGGGTCAGGGCGCACTTATGGAACCAGAAGAGGCCGACCGCTTGGAGCGGGAGGGTTACCTGAAGACTACAGAGGACAGGGGCGACACAGCCGGTTCTGCATCCCGATCGCACGCTGTTACGATGGAAGAAGTGGAGGATGACGAGGACTGACGGCCTGCATTGGCAACACAAATGTCGACTACCGACGCCAAGATCTTGCGTTTAAGACTGTACAAGCTTTCGACTATGATACCCCTAAAAATTTACAACATGATGGATCAGACAAGTCAGCAAACCCACGCGATGTTTGATGACCAGATCCAAATCGCAACCCTCCACTGTGTCTGTGGACATACCGGCCCTGGGGTCTATTTCCAGGAGCGGGTGAAGTTGACCGCCAAGTCTAGCCTTATGTTCACCCACGATTGGCCATCGTGCATTGAGATGACAGGTCGCGGTCAAAACTGATGAGCCAAAGAACTCTGAAGTACCAGTCGGGATACTGGTCATTCTCGGGTTGCAGCACTCATCGGGCCAGAAAGGACGGTACAGACAGGCTACACCACGAGACTCATTACGCACAACCACAGCGAGGCCGCAAATGTATCGGAGTCACCATCGCATCATTCATCTCTTGGCGTATGGCGTGGGTAATTAGGTAACTTTTATTGACTCGGCTCAAGCCCCTCCTTCCCCATGTCATCGCAAAGAGCTTCCTGAGTGGGCCATAGTCTTTATAGTGGGGTGCCGAAACGGAAGCCGAAGGGCGTGCTTTAGCGCTGCCGTCCTGGAGGGTCCGACCCCGGGCAGACGGTTCACTTTTCCGATGACTGAGAAAGTTTTGTGACTCTTTGGCTATGCTGCGATCTCTCTCCTACACGATGGTTTGTGGTGAAGCGCTGCCAATTCAACAACTCGTAGCAGAGTCAGTTGTCGTCCCTCTCTTTACAAGGCCTGGCCCGCTTGCTTAACTCTATAATGGACGAAAAGCACCATGGCGTTGCCCAGCCCCCGTCGGTCCCAATTAGTGAAGAAGCTCGAGATGCCTCGAGCCTCGAGAAAGGAGACGCTGCAGTACCGGCAAACATCAATCCGCAAATGTTTGTAGTTCAGGACGAAAAGGAGACTGCTCCGGTGGAGGGGAATACGTCGGACTCATCAAGCCCACAGACATTGCTCGGCAATGAAACCTACCCGGAAGGAGGTCGAGAGGCATGGACCGTCGTATTCGGGTCGTTCTGCGGCTTGTTCGCGTCTCTAGGCATCATGAACATGATAGCGATTTTCCAGACCTATACTGCCGCGCATCAACTATCTGATTATAGCGAGGGGACGATAGGCTGGATCTTTTCAGTATACACCTTCCTCGCATTCGGATGTGGCATCTATATCGGTCCTATATTCGACAAGTACGGGCCTAGATGGCTGATCCTACCGGGTGGTATTGGCATTATCATAAGCATGATGCTCATGAGTATATGCACCCGTGAGCCCATTTTCCACCTTCTATCCTACGGTATGATGTACTGACAGAACTTAGAATACTGGCATTTCCTACTCGTCTTCGGGATCCTGAATGGAGTTTGCACCTCCTTGCTGTTCACTCCTTGTTTCACAACCGTCGGCCACTTTTTCAAAGAGCGCCGTGGAACGGCCACCGGGCTCGCCAGCACCGGCGGCGGCGTAGGCGGCGTCATCTTCCCGCTGATGCTGAATCAGCTGTTCCCGCGCCTGGGCTGGGGCTGGAGCGTGCGGATCCTGGGCTTCATCTGCCTGTTCCTCGTCGTCATCTGCAACCTGCTGGTGCACCGGCGCCTGCCGCCGGCGCAGAACGCGAGCCCGCACCCGGACTTCCGCATCTTCCGCGACCGGGCCTTCCTGCTGACCACGGCGGGCGTCTTCCTGCTCGAGTTCGCCCTCTTCATCCCGCTGGCGTACATCTCGAGCTACGCCCTCGCCGCCGGCTTCCCGCCCTCCTTCTCCTTCACCATCCTCACCATCCTCAACGCCGCCAGCATCCTCGGCCGCTGCCTGCCCGGCCTCTTGGCCGACGTCATCGGGCCCTTCAACTCGAACATCATCTCGGTCTTCATCACCGTCGTCGCCTGCCTCGGCGTCTGGCTGCCCGCCGGCCACACGCTGCCGGGGATCATCATCTTCGCCATCCTGTTTGGCTTTGCCACGGGCAACAACATCTCCATCACCCCGGTGTGCGTGAGTCGCCTGTGCCACATCAGCAATTACGGTCGATATTATGCTACTTGCTACACAGTGGTCAGCATTGCGTGCTTGATCGGCATCCCGATCGGAGGCGCGGTCCTGTCGGCCTGTGGCGGCGACTACTGGGGCTTGATTCTGCTCACGGGGCTTGTCGAGGTGCTGAGTCTGATTGCGTTCATCGCGGCCAAGGTGGTGAGCGTGGGTTGGAAGCCTTGGGTGAAGTTTTAAGCTGGGTGATGGCGTGGGTCCTTTGCTTAGTTCAGATACATGATAGAGCAGTCATAGATCATGAATAGAAAGAATAATGACCCAAGAGAACTTAAATTGAAATTATCGAAGTAATTGCGTGACTCAATGATTCGGTGATTCTACTTCCATCTCGACCGAAGGCATTTGAATTGTGATGCTATAACTGTGCTTGCCATGGGTACCTGGCATGTAGGTTTCATGTGGTTTGTATAATGACTGTATTTCCTCTATAGGAAGAGTATGCTAATGATATCCGAGCTAATTCTCCATGATACTTATGCTAAGTTACAGTAACCCCTTGATGCCAGAGAACGCCTTCCGCTTTCTGACTCTTAACACCCACCACATAGTTCCTCCTAGGATCGGACGTAGTATGGAACGACCGTCCACCATGTGTCCTGTGACAAGTCTCCAAACAAACTGCATATAGAACAGTACATCACACCGTTTGTCCTCCTCACTTACGTTGATCTAGAACTTTCCGATGGAGCCCCTTGGAGTTACTTGCTCCTCATCGCCTTTCTCGGAGGTGCTAGCATAGGCAGAACGGATCGTCTCCGTCAAGGTGTCGACATTCTCCTCGACAACCACAGTCGTGATGACGTCCATCTGAATGCAGTTGCCGGGCACGTCTCTCCTAAGGGACTCCTGGCTGGGCCCACGGGGTAGGGCTCCGGTTTTCCACCGCGACTCGCCCCCGATGCTCCACCACCACCATCCACTGTGCGAGCTGGCGGGCTTGTCGCGCCTACTGGCCGGCCCCTCGATCCATATCATGTTGCCGTAGCGTCGCGAGAAGGGCGTTCGCATGAAGGCGAATTTGTCGAGGCCAGTGTCTCGCATGTCCTCTGGGGTGCTAATCAGCATGGTCGTCGACCACAGAATCGTGTTCCATAACCCGTTGGAGGCCAGAATCAACCCGGCGATGCAGTAGTAGGTCACAGAAGGATTGCCACCGCTGATGGTGACTAGTCGGGCGATAGCCAGGGGACTGGTACACGCGATGTAGATGAACGGATAGATCAGGAATGCCGGGTGGTGACCCGAGGGCTGATTTCCTTGAGCGGACGAGTCGTGCCCTCTGGGTAAGTGGCGTGAGGATCTCTTCTCATGGTATAGCGACCAGAACACAAGACAGTACAAGATGATAGTTACGGGTATCGAGGCAAGCACCCATGCCCATTCGCCCCATAATCGGGCGGCAAAGTATCTCGAGTTCACCCAGCACTAAATCTTGTTTGTCAGTATACTACTTTGCTGATCATAATAAGGCTCAGGAGCCCCAATTTGCACTCACCCAGGTGTTAGCCCTGACGAACCAACCACCTTCAGCCTTTCCGTTGTCGGTCTGAATTATGCCAGCTGAACTCAGGACGAGTGCAAGCAACCAACAAAACACTATCCAGCTGTGAGTGAACCACTGGGGCGGCCTCCAACCGCGGACCACGGCGAGATAAGTGTTGATAGATATCGATACGAAGAAAATACTACCGGCTAGGATCCCGATGTTGTTGAGCCAGCCTTGGGTCCAGCAGGTGCTTGTTCCCACGTAGATTCCGTCACGTACGACCCAGTGGATATTGAGCGTATATCCCATCGCTGTTTGCATCTCTGCCAGTAGTAAATTGTAGATAAAGATGGGAAACGGGTTTCGGGGCTGCTCTGTCCGCGGTGACTGCATGGCGGGCGGCTTGGATACCACGCTGGGTGGGTGAGACGAGGAACCCGGCGGAGGATAGTGCCGGTCGGGGAAGCCGAAGGTAAGGTCATGAGATCCGGGCTCTTTCTTAGATTCCTGCCATCTTTCGAATCGCCCCATCAGCAGCTTGTATGTCAGGAAGCAGAATAGTGTGGTCGTCGAGATGAATGAAATCATTGCCGTAGTTCCCACGGCCGTGAGGGCTCTCCGGTGCGCACCCGGCAAGTGGTCCAAAGTGTCGCTGCTTGGTTCCAACGTCCCGTATCTGGGGGTTTCGTCCATGATAATCGATCAAATAATACACATAGACTCTAAGTTGGTAATGAAAACGGGCAAGAACATCGGTGACTCGTACTGGCCATGGATGCAACTGTCGTCCTTAAAAATCCTAACCCATTGCACAGAAATCGCAGCGCCTCAAATGGGATCCAGAGGCGATTTAACGGATTTGATCCATGGCCCTTGGTGTTTGCCCCAAATCTCTTCTGTCGGATCAGTACTGCCCCTTACGCGTGGCCGTGAAGTGTGCTTAGACGCAAGGGCGGACAGTCGAAGTGGTTCAGGGCAAACACTTGTTGCGGTTCGGACAAATAGCCCAAATTGGATAAAAAAGATCATAGATAATATATCATGAATATGTCCAGTGTCGGTAGGTGAACTGGACGATCCCGGGGGTTGATGACTGAAACAAGTCGCCCGCTGATGAGTATCATGTCAAGCCGAGTCCTGGAGTAGCTAGTGAAACACTATGGAATAATCACCAATTTGTCCATGGTTTCATGCAGACATCGATCAGGATTGGAGGCATGCTTTGGAGCGGCCATTGGACAGCCGAGCGCAGGAATTTCTCCATGAATGCCAATGCTTCTCCTTGGGGCTATTACACGTGTGGTATCGACTCTTTTGAGAGCATGGGATACACCATTCGGCGAAATGAATGGGAGTTTGCTTGTCCTAATCCTTGCGTGCAAGAAGAAGGAGGTGGTGCTGCTGTGTAACGAAAGCAATCCGCTTGGTCCTTGAGGTCACAATACTTGAAGTTTTGCGGTCAGCCATATTCAATATGAGATCTGTCTTCGCAAAATCGGATCGCAACAATGTGAACACTTATCTTGCCTTTCCCACCGCAGTCTTTACAGTCTGTGATGATCCCAGCTCTGCGGAATATTTATCATCATCGACAGCGTGAGAACGCGGCCGGGGACTTGGCCACGGCTGCTGATTGCACACATGGTTACTCAGTAACGCTGATCGAGGGATGTTCCCGGATCCTTGGGTGAGGGAAGGCGGAGAGCAACTTGTATTCAGGAGCCCTCACGTGAGTCGGCTTGGTCATTCATCCGAGGTGTATTGATTGCATAGATTGCAAAGTAGATCCTAGAGGTCCCTAGGAATAGTTGAAAAGCCATTTGGCCCATTTCTCAGTTGTTTCTGCAAGGGAGCCTCACATCCATTGTCTTATCCTGCGCGGCTCTCGCCCGAGCGGTGTTGCGTTGCATTCGCTTCGACATCGTGTTACCGGATTTCTACGTTTGCCATGCACGAGCTGCATTCATGGTACATCTTCCAGAGTCTGTGCCATAGAAGGCGCCATGTTCAGCCGATAAGTTGAGTAATTACCCGATGACTATTTCTATACGGCAAACATCAAGGAACAAATCATAGACCAGAGCAAGATATGAAGATTGACTCCATACGGAGTAGCCACGGCCGGAGCATGCACAACTCGATGCACTGCTAAAGCTTTCCTTTGCGTTTCTTCGGGCTCAAGGTCATTGATCACTGAATTTATTGTGATAGTCCAGACTAGGGCTGACCTTGCGATCCTATCAATGACAATCTCATTGCCATTGTATTCCTGGTAATGATCGTCGCTCAACGAAACTAGGCCAAAAATACGTCAAAGAGCGACAATGCTGTGTTATCTCTGAAGGAACAAGGGAAGGGGAGGGAGTTCGTCATGAGTAACGAAAGGTTTGTCGTAATAATTATCGAAGAAGCTTGTGTTGGTCCTCCGAGCAGCTCTCCCCCCGAAAATCCCAGAAAATCTGATAGTCACCGTTGTGAGGCTCAGAAAACGCATGCCTTCCTGTCGTAGCGTTCTTTGGCTACAGGTATTCATCTCAAATTCTTCGAATGGGTTCCTGATGTCCAAGTAATGAAGGTGCCAGCCATGTTTACCTTTCGGTTTATAAAGCTCCAGGTCCAGCTTCAGGTAGGTCCATGGACAACGCAATGAGATCGAAGCGTACACGACCTTCCCGGAGCTATTACGCTACAAGGCATAATCCCTTTCCGAAATAGTAAAGCGGCTGATTCGACTTCATTCATATGGACTGTTCTTATTGTGTTCTCTTCTGACGTTTAAATACAATTAACAGTAGTTTGCACGTATTCGAGAGGTCCTATAACCTCTCGTTCCCCGATGAGCTCATATTACAGATGCAATGCGGTTGTTCCAGTCTGGTTGATTCACATCTACGGATTTCATTGTGATTTATGTACTATACATTACTTGAGTACCTGCCCTATCCGTGGTGATTATCGCCCAGGCGCGAGTCTCCAAGCTCTCAGAGGCAGGCTTTGGAGATGCATAACCTTGGGTCGAATGTACATCGTGAAGGTGACCACGCCGACAATGACACAGATGATGTTGACAATGTAGTATCCATCACGGAGCATCTCGCAAGACCCGCCGCCGTTGATGCATAACTCCTTGTCGGGCTGCATCGCGCAAGAGAAGGGCTTGGTGACAAGCGGAGACTTCAAGGTTGTAGTGTCAACCTTGGTCGTTGGTGGGTAGCATGTCGCCTCTGTGAAGTAATCAACCAGGCGAAGGACAAAGAACTTGGGGAATGTGCCACCCAGGTTGGAGACGCTGAATTTCAAGTTAGCTGAAGGGGCTCCACTATTTAGAAGAGAGCGAGGGCACTTACGTTGCAAGGAGTGTCATATAAGTGCCACCGATCACAGGATCGGCAACCCTCGCATGGAAAGCAGAAATGGCGACAAACATGATGGTGTTGGTGAAAGTAGAGAAGATGTGCTCTCCAATAACGACCAGCATATACCAAGGCGTAACGCCACCGGCAGGGAAGATCATGACGGTGAACTGCGCAAGGATGGCAGCAGCCAAGCGACCCATAAAACCCCAGCACCAAAGCTTCATCGGGGTATACTCCTGAGACCACTTGCCGGCATAGTAACCCAACCCAATCTCGAAGGGGAAATCGATCAAGACCGTAAGAGCCATGTTTTCTTTACCAAAACCCTTGTCCAAAAGCTTGAGGTTGGTGACGCCGTCGTTAGCTTGGAAACCAATCTTGGCAATCAAGTGAACGACAATGATGGTTTGAATATTCTTGAGCTTCAGGACACCCCACATAATCTTGTAGACGTCCCAGATACCATCCTCGTTGCGGGTTTTCTCCTCCTTCTTCAGGACCGCGAGCGCGAGAGTGACGAAGATGTAGGCCCAACCCCAGAAAGTCAAATACCCGCCTAGACTCAACAGACCAGTCTCGAGGGGTTCGGATCTAAACCATTTGTTCGCAAAGTCCTTCGAGTTGAATGCCAGGAAAACGGTATACGACAAGAACTGTCCAGCGGTGAGACCGACAGTCTGCGCAGTCGAGGCGTAGGATACATTGCCAGGCGTCAGGAGGGTGAGAGCCCAACCATCCACGGCAATATCCTGAGTGGCGCACATGAACACGAGGAAGAACCACCAGCCGGTGAAGTTCCAAACGGTCGGGCCACCTGGCTTTCCGGTAGTTGACATCCAGTCCTCCACCACCGACCCCAGTATCAACATGCCAAACCCAGATATCAGCTGAATAGGTAGGATCCAACTCTTTCTCCTGCCAACCTTGGGGCTCCACCATGCGTCCACGATGGGACTCCAGAGCAGCTTCAGCGAGTAGGGGTATCCGGCCAAGCTGAAGATTCCGATCTCGCCATAAGACAGATGCTCCTTGAGGAGGAATGGCACAGATCCATGCGCCAGCCCCATGGGGATACCCTGCAGAAAGTAGAGCAGTACGAGCAGACCAAAGTTCTTCTGGTCCTGCTTCGGCAGCTCCCAGAAGCCATGGTTATTAACCGTTGGCGTCTTGGGGACGGGGTCGTCCAGGGTGAAGGACTCGCGCGCCATCAGATTCCCGGTGACCTGGCTCGAGTCGGTCTTCTGGGCAGTTTTCCGACGATATTCGGTGTTTTCCATGCTGCCGTCGAGTGATCCGTTCGAACGGGTACCCGTCGAGACCGATAGTTTGTCTCGATTCGGCGACTTCGAGCGTCTGGTTCTGACACCCATAGGTTATTCTTGGGAGCGTGTGGATGCGGGCCAAGGTAAGGTGTGCGGTGCGGCGCGGCGCGGGCGAGGGACAATGTGCGGTCCGAGTGCTATCGACGTGTCTGTCGCAAAAAGCAAAACTGCAAAGCGGGCGGAAGGGAGTCTTATCGAGCAGGGACGAGTATGTCTGAGAATCTCTCGAGACACGAGCAGCGAGAGACGAAGAACAGATTGCACTAGATTAGAGTATTACCAGATCGAGGCGTCAGGCACCACTGCACAATGACAAATGGTCGCCTGCAGGGGAAAGTAGCCTCTGCCTGTGGTATCGGGCCCCGAGTAAGGCTGCCGGGTATGCGCTGGTATTTTTTGCCGCTTGAATGATATTGGCTGCTGAGGATATCTTCAACGGCTGTCTGCCAATGACTCGTCACGGTTTAGGGAAGAGAAAGAGCAACTGTGGCCTCTTGAACTTTGGCGACTAGTTTGAAGTGGCAAAGAGGAGCCTCGACCGAATAGGAATTATCTGGGATGGCAAGAAAATGGATCGCAAGTCGTGCGTGAGAATCAGAGTCCCAGCGGATAAAGAATACGGTCCCCCTCAGTCCATCGTGGACCCAAAACTGCGTCCTGCCTCAAACGAACAAAGAGGACAGCGCTGCAACTCGCTAGCTGGGATACCTCCAGGTATCGACAAGGGAAAGGCGGCGGCTCGGCGGCCGTCGTATTCAGCACCCCGGACCACCCAAAGATCCGGTCCGACCAGGGGCCGTCAGCGCTAAAGGCCTCGGGACAGCCTAACGCAAACGCATACGGTAGAGAACAGTACTGTAGAGTTTTGGGTAACCCCACTCCCGATAAGATAGACAATAGGCAGTTAGCGTCGACAGTGCAGGCGGCGGGCGAGCAGGCCTCGGGATCCTCCGAGTCCCAGTTGAGATCGCGCGTCAAACAAAGTCACGGTCCAGAGATTCAGCGGCAGCGTGACTGCGACCAGATGACAAAAGAATCACCGCCACACATACTGCGCGCCCAGGGAACTCGCCGCCAATAATGGCCTCTAGAGGATCACCATCGCCTGACTTATCAGTGGCCGATTTATTGGACAATGAGATTGCCAAGCTGAGAGCTCAAGGTACCGCGCGTGCTCCCCTGATGTAAACAAAAAGGGAGGGACTTATACTGATGCGACCACCAGTGGAATCGTTGAAGAGTGAACTGCAAATTCAAACCACGACTCTACTCGTGGCGGACTCGACGCGCAGCATTCTCAAGAGTCGGACTAGGAAGGCCTCACGAAATGATGCGGCCGCAAGTACAAGGCTCTTGGCGCAGTCCGAGAAGCAGACTGCGCATAAACAGCAGGGTCTCTACAGAGCATGCGCCTCCATCACCGCTCTCAAAATCCTCGATCCGGACCCAAATGCTGTCGACGGCGGCAACGTACTGGGACTGCGTTTCGAAGTCATGTCGAGATCCAGGTTCATCAGACCCTACTACGTCATGCTGAACAGGCCGTATCCGAATTCACGCCATCTACGCGTCCATCGACATACGGTGCCGCCGTGCATCCCTCTCTCCGGCCTCGCAGCTCGGTACCTACCAGCGCCCAAAGCAAGCGACGACGAGGCTGCGGCGCGTAGCCAGGATCTTTCGCATTTTGCGCGTGCACTCAGGAGAGAGTTGGTACGGTACCAGAACCGAATTGCCACAATTGGTGATCTGAGGAAAGCAGCCGGGCTTGGAAGCAGCAAAGGCAAAGGCAAGCAGCTCGAAGCTCCAATATCTGAGATCAGCGCGGCGGATGCAGAGGCCAAACAAATACGTGTGGAATGGGAAGACGGACGTACTGGCCGCCTAGTCATGGACGACGATGGGAAATTGGTGAAAATGGTCGCCCAAGGAGAAAATGGACGAGATCGGGAGGCCGTCAGGCAGTTGCTTGGTGGCAGTATCCGTATTGACGATCTGGTTCGGCGGCTCGACAATTCGTGAGGGCAGAAGGGTTTGGACCAACCAGTCACGTCTAGAACAAATACACTATACCCATTCCTAAATCCATTTCTAAACGCTCTGTGTCTGTATCAATTACTATCCTACGACGGTGGTAAAACGAGTTGATCCCCCGAAGCGGTTCCTTGGCATTTGCGGATACCTTTTCCTATCAGTACGCGCCCCGCATCATCAATGGTACCTCACCTACAATTGAAATCACGCAGTACCTACAACTGCAATTTCCTCGCGATTTTTCAGGTTGGCCCGCGGAAATCACAGGAATTTGGGCGGTTCAGACACGGTCAAAATGAGGTCCATTAGAGAAGTGAGCATGCTGACTACTACTCTACTTGCTTTGGCGGGTCTTAGCGAAGCAGTCCAATACGGCAACAATCATGTTGCCGTATCAAGGGACAAGGATCTGGTGGCAGCAAACTTCCCCGATGTTGCTGTTGACTTGCTGTCACCAGCTTTCAGAGCTCCAGACAGTGTACCAGAAGGAATTGCGGAGGGGACTGAAGGACCGACTGACGATGCTACACTTGGTAAGTCAAATTGTCACCTATGACACCTATAAGATTTAACAACGAAGTAGACCGTTTCGTACAGTCTATCGCTAGTAGAAATTCTTGGATGAACTATAATCTAGCCGACTTCACGTCTGAAGAAGGCCGTCCATTCCCCTATCTTTATCTATCAACATCATCGTCACACTTCGAGCAGGCTGGGAACACTTCAAAGCTGCGCGTTTGGCTTCAAGGTGGTGTTCACGGAAACGAGCCCGCTGGCGATCAGGGGTTGTTGGCGCTGATTGGGAAACTCGATGCCAACCAGACCTGGGCCCAATCACTACTGCAAAAGATGGATATAGTCATCTGGCCGCGTTATAATCCCGACGGCGTGGCGAATTTCCAGCGCGCTCTCGCGACAAACCTGGACCCTAACCGCGAGCACACAAAATTGAACAGACAGCAGACTCGCGATATAAAGAAGCTGTTCAGCGCATTCTCACCACATGTCACTGTCGACATGCACGAGTTCACCCCACGCAACTTTGGAAATTATAGGCATGGCATGGACGCGTTGGTAGCAGCAGGCAAGAACCTCAACATCCATGCCGAAATACGGAATATCTCAGAGCGACTCTTTGTTGCCGATATTGGCCGAGCGTTGGATTCACAAGGCTTCAGATGGGACCCGTACTTCACCGGTTCCTACAACTCCATCACGGGCACTATCAATCTAGAAGAGGCCGAAAGCGACGCCAAGAGCGGAAGGAATAATTATGCCATGAATCAGTGCATCACGATCCTCTGCGAGTTCCGAGGCATCGGTCTCGCCGATCAACATTTCCAGCGCCGCGTTGCAACCGCGTTGACCATGGTGTCGGCTATCCTGCAGACAACCCACGATCACGCAGATCTCGTGTACGCAACCGTCGAGGGAGCTATACAGAAATACATCAAGAGCGATGAGGACATCGTGATTTCGGACTATTCTGACATCGTTGACCGAAATGTCACATTCATCGACACCACCAACGGCGACGTTGTGCAGGTGCCCACCCGGTGGGCGAGCACGACGCCTACGTTTGCCAACTTGACCAAGTCCAGACCAGAAGCTTACCTCATACCGCGCGCGTGGTCCGACTTGGCCTCTCGACTGCGCGATGCTGGCGTTGAGGTTCAGACCCTTGAGTCTGTCTACAGCGGTACCGTGGAAGCTCTGAAGATCACCTCGGCTTCGATCGCTGGCTACTACTACGAAGGCGCCGTTGGAGTGACTATACAGACTGAGCCAGTTGAGCGGAACATTACCTTACCCGAGGGCAGTTTCTGGGTCAGCACACGGCAGAAGAATGCCGCATTAGCTTTCGCTACTCTCGAACCCGAGGGGCTTGACTCGTATGCCAGTTTCAACCTGGTTCCCGTGAACGAGGGGGATGAGTATCCAATTTTCAGGATCATGAAATCTCATTTAGAAGCCGGGGGTCAGCTTGCAGCTCGACATGATAAAATTGCAGGTAACAGTCAGAAGCCATTTCAAATGTAAATAGTGCTTAATCTTGAATCAAGCAATAGATCCGCAATCATTATATGCTTGACAGTATGCTTTCACGAAGCTCCTAGGTCTTCCATGCCGGTGACCTCTTCTCCAGGAAAGCCCCTATGCCCTCTGCAGCATCGTCCGACCGAGCATGCAAAGCCATAACCCTTCCAGCCCACCGCATTGCCTTTTCATACCCATCCACACCATCCTCTGCCTCCTCATCGCGGAACCGATGAGCTTCCAGCTGTGTCCAGAAAGCCCACTTCCCCAGCGCCTGCGGCATCCCCGCCGTGTCCTCGGCCAGCCGCTCGACCATCTCCTTAACCCTCTTCTCCAAAGCTTCGTCGTCCACCACCGTCTCGATTGCGCCAGCGGGCATCTGGTCCGCCCGCACCGGCTCCGCAAGCGCCAGCATCCTGTACGCCAGCGGTGCCCCCAGCCGCCTGGCCACCGCCGTCGCCGGCGAGGTGCACGGCAGCCCGATCGCGGCACCCGGCAGGCGGAACGGGGTCTCCACCCGCGCGACGGGCAAGTCCGTGGTCAGCGCGAGCTGCGCACCGGCCGCGGTCGCCAGGCCCTGGACGACGCCGATGACGGGGGCCGGCGACCGACGGATCAGCGTCATGACCTCGGCGCAGAGGGCAAACGTCTCGCGCACCTCGGCGGGGCCGAGCCGGCTCAGCTCCTTCAGGTCGTGGCCGGCGCTGAAGACCGGGCCGGCGCTGCGGAGCACCAGGACCGTGGGCAGCCCGGCCCGCGCGCTGTGCCACTGCGCGCTGTGCAGTAGCCAGCCGTACTTCTGCACCGCCGAGGGGTCGGTCTGCGCCTGTGCTGCCTCAAAGCCATGGAGGAGATTGGGGTCGAAAGGCGGCAGTAGGCGGACCTTGTTGTCCACTGGCGAAGTGTTGTACTGGTGGAGCTGGTCCCGCAGATCCCGGAGTACAGAGAGCGACAGGGCGTTGCGGCTCTGGGGATTAGAGAGGGTCAGATATGCCGCTTTTGCGGGGAGCTTTGGCCATTTAGAAGCCATGATCGAGTGGTATCATTGTTTGGGATGTCGATATAAACCTATAACTGCGAGTAGTATTGTTTCTGGCAGATTGAGTATTGATGCAGTCCAACTCGGTACTTCCTGCGGGGAAGCCCCCTCCTTTACGATCCCACATGAGACTTTCTAGGAATAGCAGAGTCGTAAAGAGCCGTGAACTGCAAATGGATGAGGTCAGATCCAGCGGATTGGTGTTCTTGAGGACCAAATCAAGAAAAGTCTTTTGCTCTTTCTTTGGCTTGTGTAACAATCGGTCCTTCAGTGCACCTTAGACCAAGGATATATTTCTCCGGCTGGCAGGTAGATTAAAGAAAATCCTTGCGGAATAAGACACCTATGCAACGTAGTAATATATAGCGCAAGGTCCAAATCAAGTTGCCGGGAAGAGTACGAGAGTCCATAGTAGTTGATAGTCCATTATATTGCCATATTAACATCATTTAGTCCAAATACCCAGGTCCAAGTTTTCGGGTTCCCTGACTCCAATTACCTAAAAATAAAGAAAACTGATAAGTAGAACATGTCCTCCGCTATACCAAAACCATTAAACATTGATCTCGAAGTCACTGCCCTCCATAGCAGTCCGCACCCACCCCGCCCAACAAGAGCCAAATTAGATTATGGCAACTGCGAAAGCAGCAACGGCCAAGGCAGCTCCGGCTCCCTTGGCATTTGCCACGGCGGCAGCAGTGACAGGAGACTGAGTGCTTGTTGCAGTAGCAGATGTCTTGGCCGTGCTAGTAGTGCCGACGGTGGGAGGCTTGGTAATCTTGGTAGTCGGGAAGGACTCAGAGGTGGGAACGGGTAGAGGGACAGCAGGGTAAGAGGTGGCCTCGACCGAAGACGAGGTCTCTCCTGGGACGCTCTCGGAGTGGGTAGGGTTGGCAGGATAAGTCTCGCTGTAGGTACTAGGCGGCCCTGGAGGCACCACAACGGTGTCCGTAGGAGAGGGGAGGTAAGTGGTGACAGGCGACTTGCTACTTGTCGTGACGTAGGTCGTACCTTCTGACTCGGTCACGGAGCATAAAGTCGTGCTTACCGGGATGGAGATGATGGTCGTCGTGGGGCCTTCATCACAGTCGGTAGTCGAAGTTGTGACGCTGTAGACAGTTGAGGTCGTCCAGTGAGGTGGTTTGTCGCCCCACGACTTAGTAGTCTTAGGGGGCTTGTCAGTCGTCGTGCAGTCAGGAGGTCCAGGAGGGCCCGGAAGAGGTGGATAGCCATGGTCACCATCATGTCCGCCATGACCAGGCGGCGAGGGTGGACCTGGAAAAGGAGGATGACCATGGTCGCCTGTAGCGGCGACGACAGTCGCTAGAGTAACGAGGGTGATTGATGCGAGCTTCATTTTCGCTATCCAAGAAAGCTTCAGAAAAGAATGATTGAGATAAGTCCAAAGAGCAACGAGAGTTCCAAGAAGCGAATGTGGTGTATTCAAGATACTTGAATGACTTGGAAGGCAACGAGCGTGAAGGCAGTGACCTTACTACCAATGCCGGATCGTAGAACGGAACCTAAAGAGCAGGGCTCGAGGTAGCAAGGCCCCAGCGGGGTTTCGCAGTGATCCTTATAGTACGAGAAACTGACGACATATTGGACACTCGTTCGGTGACCCTCGCATCTGCCAGTGACCGGTTGCAAATGGCAAGTCATTGACACGGTGTTGGCCAAGGCTCCGGCCATGATGCCAAAAGGGTAAGGTCACGCCAACCCATGTCTGCAAAAGGTGTCCAAGCTCGGGCTATACATCTACTAGACGCCTCTGATAGGCTAGACACTATCCCATCATGCGGGACAACGGTGGCCAGCATAATTTGGGGTTCATGCTGAAAAAGGTTGTATTTATCCCCAAATGTACATATTTCCGAGGCTGAAAGGCCACTGATGTCACCCACCACACGCAGAGACCCCTACCAAATGCACTGTCGACCTCGTTCCTGCATCTGACCCAGGGGCTGGCCTTTCAACTTGTCCTAGACTACGACGTGTAAGGCGAATCAAGTGTAGCAGCGAAACGTCTTTGCCCCTCTTTGTCACCATGAAGAGGAGGGCACCGCCATGTCCTCGCGTTTCAGACAAACGGTGTTGGCTAGCTTTTCGACTCACGGAATCACTGAAGACGCAGTCTGTCGACAGTCAGCGCCAGTCAGGTGCCCTATCAAGACCTGAGCCGCGCTACTTCTAGCCTCAGCTTGAACTGAGCTATGCACAAAAGTGAACATGTGCACGCACGCATTACACTTGTGTACGAGACTGGCTATGTATAGAGCGTCTCTGTTCTACTACCGAGGCACGACTATCGCCAGGCCTGGCAAAAATGGACGACCAATAATGGTCGGGATTATTACCAAGCATGCTGGCGCTGAGCATTCCTTAACAAACTGACCGCGGTCTGGTGAGCAAAATCTGCACAAGCAGAAGCATGCATTTTGTACTTCGGATACTGTTGACCATCGAAACAACCGAAGACGCAGGCCTCGCCTGCACCATTGTGTAGGCATACTCGCCCAAAAGCTTTCACCGCATACAACATGTTCGAACGGTCAAACCTCATTTTTCAGACACCAGTGCCGGCGTAGGCTCCCGCTTTTCTTCTAGCACATGTGCAGTTTAAGCCCCTTCCAGGAGGCCTTTACGCACTGCCACACTATCAGACGGAGCTGTATGTTCGGTGTAATGCGGAATGAAATTGAAGCTTTGCTTGCATCGCGCTGGACGAACAATATTGGCAAAAGCCGAAGAAATGAAGGGGACCCCCACCTGTGACTTTCTAGATAAGCAAGTACGCTCAATGCTACCTCTGTGAAACATTTGAGGAACCAAAGCAAATAATACGGTAACTCCGGCGACCCGATATGATGTCAAGTACGTCAGTCCACTCAAAGAAGCAGAATTAGCACACGGCTTCTAAATCCCACTGGTCTGGCAGACCAACGCACGGAGATCAGGCCACTAAAATCTTTAGCGACAGGCAAAATAGTATAAGCTGCCAGTTTATACAAGCAAAACGAAGTGGACATACCATTGGACAAACAGGTCGGCGAGCTTGCGTCATGCATGCGTTATCACGCCATTAGCGACTTCTAGAGACAAATCGTCTTATGCATACTTCAATAGCTCAGGATGCACTCCCACATACTGTTCGGCGGCGAGCTGAACTGAAGAACTATTGCGCGTAATTAAATAGACAGTTCAAACGTCGATCAGTCGCTAAGCCATGTAATCCTTCCGTCAACAGTAGACTGGCCAATAACGATGTCGAGAAGATTCGGGGTCCCCATCCATACAGCATGTACAATGAGCTATGGCTGAGACATTGGCCATCTATCCGTGCCGTGCCGTATGTATTGCTTTTTCCCTGTCTTACCCGTCCGTTGGGAATCCACTGGATACTCTTAGTTTACGCCAATCACATGAAGTAACAGTGAATCGCAAGATCGTGAGGCATCGGCAAGCGAAGAGAAGTCCCATTCGCACCTGGAGAAGTTGCTCCTCGATGCTAACCCATGACTACCGATTGCCCGCTATAAGAATGACAACATCGTCCCAGCTCACATGGTTCGGGTGCTCCAGATTCAGGCCGTCATATCAGAACCATGTCGCCTTCCTCAGTCTTATCCGGTTCACAAGGAATGGGCCACGCCCATTCCTTTCACGAACGGCGCGTCACCTCCAGACAAGTATCGGGGATGCTTGAGAGCAGACTACTGCGTGCCAATGGCGGTCCGCGCCGGGACATGAGCAAACAACTCCTTCGCCAGGCGTCAATGACCATGGACACTTCGACTATTACCAGCGTCGTGTATTCGTTGAAGAGGCGCAGTGACAATGAGTTGGGCCACGACGTATCCGCTAGGTTGATGGGTGAGACCCATGATTCAATCCTCGATTGGATTGGTGCTCAGCGTATGAGCCATCTGCCACCTGAAGGCAGCAGTTATGACAAGGTGTTGGCGTGGACACAACTATTCGTCGAGAGACTCCATTCCTTCGAAATTGCCATTGAGGACTTTGCCGCGGATAGTGGTGTTGCCGCACACCTGGCTTATGGCTATTGTGCCATTCTGCTCGAAGTAAGTCCCTAGCAGTTGCAGCCACTGGTAAACCTTGAATCGAATTGCTAACATGCTGGTACACTATAGTTGGGCCAAGAGAATGCCCCGGCTCTCATGACCTCACTTGGATTCTTCTACAGCATCTCTATGTCTCTAGTCAATCTTCTAGAGCGTACTGAGATGTTTGGCGTGTCACAAGTCATCAGAGAGCAGCTGGTGCTCGCCCTAGCGGACCTGGTCACTCTTGTCGCTAGTGTAGCAACACACTTCCACAAGGCTATTAGTGGAGATTCAGATGAGTCCATATCCATCAACATCTACAGCAAATTCTCGGGGCAGATCCGGGCTTTCGAGGAGCGCTGCGAGAAGATCGCCGAATCCATGTGGCGCCATCAGTTGCTGGTTGATAACCTAGATGCCGAGGCCGGTAAGCATACTGCACTGTTCCTGCTTTCTTTGTACATCTGACTAATTGTGAGGCGAAAAGTGTCCGATGTCAAGTCCATCAAGCAATGGTTGACTCCAGAAGATCGTGCTTTGGCCAAGACCGCTGCAGGATCTTCTCTCTTGGCTCACGATCGTGAAGAGCTGACCTGTCTCTGGGTTGGCTCTCATCTTGCCCGGTTCCTCAAAGGGCAAGAAAAGATATTGTCCATCAGTGGCAAGCCAGGTAGTGGAAAGACGATTGTATCTTCCGTCATCGTCGATTACTTGCAACGACCAATTTCGGGTGTCCGCTACAATGCTTTGTTCATTCCGATAAGTAAGCATCCTAGTTACTTACATCTTATGGCGTTCTGCTCGCCATACCGTGGATCCTTCCTCAACACTTTTCACAATCTTCCTTTCCACTTCGACTAACAGCACTCTACAGATAGCAGAGTCTCCGCTGAAACCTCTTCTCGAGCTATTGCGAAAGCCATTCTAAGCCAGCTTTTTTCAAAGCGCATCGGTAACATTCAGCTCCTTCAGATATTAGTAGACGCCTTTGAACGGAGTCAGCAAGCCATATCCTCGGAGGAGTATGATAACATCGTATGGGAAGCCTTGGAGCGTGCACTTTCTGCTGTACTCCCCGGTGCCCGAGAGCTCGTCATTGTTGTGGACGGCATCGATGAATCCTCATTGGAAGAGGAAAAGTTGTTCCGGCGCCTCGCTAATGCCACAGAACATGGCATTAATGTCCGTCTCATCACCCTTGGGAAAACAAAGCACACAGCTCAGGGCCAGAAAAACCTCCAGGTCGGCCAAGAGTTGATCTTTGATGACATCATGGCCGTAATTCGAAGCCAATGGGAGTCGGACAATGAGTTCACTGAAATGTCTGAGTTTGAGCAAGAGTCGATAGTCACCAGGCTCACTGAGGCTTCTGCGGGATCGTTTCTCTGGGCAAAGCTTGCGGCAAGGCGTCTCCGCCGCGAGATCGGCGTCGATAAGTTCAAAGCAGCTATCGACAATGTGATTAAGACGAAACCCACCATCACCGATTTCGTTCAGCGGAACATCAAGTCATCTAGTGTGACTGATGATGCACGGCTCATGCTGATGTGGCTAGCCGTTGCCGAGCGCCCCTTATCATTGAGAGAGCTTGCCACGCTGGCATCCATCCAAGTCGAGAAGAATACCGTCTCAGACAAAGCGATTGACGTCCTGACAGTCATGAAGCATGTGCAAGGCCTCGTGTTCTTGCAAGATGGTCTTATGTACATCCGGCATGGCCTGATTCGTACCTCTTTACACGAGTTGATTGCGAAGGGAGAATTGGTGCCAGCAGTTGTTGATGCCCATGCAGACCTCACAACCCGCCTTCTTTTGTACATCAAGACTGCGTTAACTCACCAGAGTGCGCCATCTATCAAACCTCTCGAAGATGACGACAAGAGTCAACTGCTGAAGAAACATCCCTTGCTTGAGTTTGCTCTGCGCTATTGGCCCGTCCATCTTACTCGGTCGGCCGTCTATACAAGTGGAGGCCATAAAGGGGCAGCGAAGGCATTTGCAAAATTGTACCCGCACACCGTCACATCTATGCTCTTGCAGGCCAGCCTCTGGGAGCAATACCCAAAGCCATTGTTGCTCACATACCTGACAACCATCACCAACATTTACCGCGAGTGTTTCACTACCGCTAGTCCTTTAACACTTCAGTGCATCATCTACTTGGCAACAATTCATTCTCAAATTGAGCTGATTAACGAATCCGCCGCCTTTTTCTTCGAGGCAGCTTCTCTGAGCAGCAAACAGGACCCTGCCAACCACACTTTGACTTTGGAACTGGCCAATAAATATCTTGAGTTGACTGAGTCTAAGGTTACAAATTCCAAGACTGAAGTCATGATCAGGCGGGAAACTATGTTCTCAGTTTTGGTCGAGTGTTACAAGGCCAAATACGGTCAAACCTCGACGTATGTGGTCACTGCCCTCCGGCACCTGGTCGAGCACTATCGGTACATCAAGGAAGAAAAGAAATGCCAGACAATCATGGAATATGTTCATTCCATCACCGGCTCCAAGTCACAAAGTGGTACATTGGAAACTGATAATGAATTGCAAATCTCGTTGAGCAAGAGGAAGAAGTCTGCAACCACCACTGAAGGTGTTGCTCTCCATTTAGGGACCCAAGAGCGAGACGAACTCATCGAAGAGCTTGAATACTCCATCCAAAGAGCCGAGGAATGCGTGGTAGAGGGCCGCATTGAAGTGGCCGAGCGGTTGTACATCGAGGCATGGCAGCATGTCAGCCACGAATATCGCATCCATCGCTCCGAGGTCTGGGCGGACCGTAACTTGAGTGCGCAATTGAGCTACTCCAAGTTCTTGCTGTCACAGAAGAGATCGTCGGAGGCATCTTCCATTCTTGTCAGTGTCTGGGAAGAATACAGGCAGTCAACAGGACTGTTAACCGAAAGTTCTGTCCTAATGCTCGTACAAGTTGCTCACAGTCTGAAGTCGATGAGCCATGCGTCAGTGTCTTTGACCATCTTCAAGTTCTGCTTGCAGTACTTCCAGGCCACCAACCGTGTCAATACATCAGCGTACAAGGAGATCGAGCAAGCCATACGGATCACGTCGCAAGAGATTGCAAAGTCAGCTAGCTCCTCTCTGGCTGACATATCTGAAACGACCTTGATGGAAATGATATATGAACGTACCAGTTCCATCACCACCGTTGATCAATCCACATTTGCATCTATCGACAACCTTGTTTCGCTATTCGCCTCACAGAACCGCTGGCATGACGCAAGCCAGTTTATCGAGAAAGTGCTTCAGGGTATTTGGCCTTCGCTGTTCAGTCCTAACGTGCAGGATGTTGCGCTTGTTCAGGAGCACGTCGACAGCTGTGTAGGTCTCGCAGTGCGTCTTGCAGAGTGCTATCATTCCCAAAGGTGCCGGGACAAAGAGGAAAACATTCGGGTCCGTGTTTATCGTGCCTTGCGATCAGGTCGCAAAGTTGACGACAAGCTACGAGAGTCTGCCGTCAGTCAGCTGCTATCGCTTTACAGCCAGACTTCGCAAAAGGACTCGGCCATCACTATCCGCCAGGAGATGCTGGATGACTTGACAGAGTGTCATGGTGAGCAGCATGCTAGCGTCATCAAGGCACTGTGGGAGTTGGCAGAGTTCACTCGCCCATGGCCCATATTTGTCGAGTACTATCAGAGAATCATCCGCAATCTCAATAAGGACACCGAAGTCAGCAAGTCTGCGGCCCTCAAGCCTATCGTGATTGTCTCGGCTGAGCTCTGGAACAAGGGAGCCCTATCCGAGGCGTTGCCCTACTACAGAACGCTTATCAACACCTTCGTCGCGGCTCCGAAACTGAGCCCCTTATTCCAGGATGCGCCACTGGTGCGAGAGTCTTTCGATCGCTACATGGCCTGCCTACGACATTCCCGGACGACTTTCACGGCTGTCTACAAGATTGCTTCCGAGTATCAGGTTCAATGTAAGACGGTCTTTGGTACTTCAGCATCCATCACCATTCACGCCACCCTGACCCTAGCTGAGGTGTGCCAGGACTCCAAGAGCACTGAAGCGCAGGTCATTACGCTGTACGAAGAACTTTTGACATTGAAATCTGACGAAATCAATCGTAAAGATATATCAGCAGCTTTGGAGATCTTGTACGAAAAGCAAACTGCAATGGTCATGTCGAAGAGCTCGACTACTGTCTCGTCGTCGCAGGTTGATCGCGCTGTCAAGGTTCTGCACAAGCGTGTTACTACAGTTCGCGAAACACACGGATGGGCCCATGAGGAGTCCCTCCATCAGCTTACAGAGCTCGTTCGCTTCCACAGCAAGCAAGGCGAGACTGAGGTAGTATCACGCGAACTCAAGGAGGCGACTGTCAAGATCCTTTCTACCAAGACCACCTCTACTCAGCTGATCACTGCCGCGTCGACTATTGCTTCGAGCTATGTGGCTTGCAATCAGTTGAGTCAGGTCACTGAGCTCACTGAGAGCCTTTATCGCCAGATTATGGTTAAGGATACCACGAGCGTCAAGACATGCCAGTTTGACCTGACGGCAAAGGGCCGCGAAAGCCTCGTCTTTGTAGCCCAGCTTGAGTACAGTCTCCGTCGGGGCTCGTCTACCTTGACCGAGATCATGGCGACACTGACTACTCAGTATGCATACTTTGACGAGTTCAGGGCCATGACACGGTCGAAGTCCAGCAAGTTCCTCGACGTGTCCGTGGCTACTGCCCGCCTCCATGCGTACTTGATTAAGTGCGCCCGTGACACCGTGGCTTCTCAGGTCTTTGATCAATACTTCCACTGGGTTAGCGATGCCAAGTCGAAGTACGTGAAGCAGGCCAACCTGTCCACGATTCAGACCAAGACCTTCCTGCATGCTGTTCTAGACCATCTGAGCACACACAAATCGAAAGACGTCGTGCGCACTGTCGGCATCATCGGCAGCACTAAGGTTCCCAAGCTCTTGGATGAGAAACGCTACCAAGACGCATGCGACTTGGCGATCGCGTGCTTCAAGTTCATTGCCGCAAAGCCTGAGGCGTATCGCACACCTATCATGGTGAAGCTGGTACTGACCTCGGGGATGTCCCTCGGCAGTCGCGTGTCAAACAAGGGAGTTAACAATGCCGCGCGCGCGGCGCTCCTTCGAACGTCTGAGATTATCGTCTCCGATGTTCTCCGTGTGATGACTGAAATGAACATTAACCTGGCGAAGCTGGAGTTGGTACACCTGAACCAGCTTGTCATCCTCTTGGGCGCGCAGGAGAACCATGAGACTCTTGCGAGCTTGCTGACGATGCTTTGGAACAGCCGCGAGGCACAACGTGACTGGGATCCTGCTGTAACATTTACCCTGGCCCGGCGCTATATCTTGGCCCGCTATGTGGTCGGCGATACAATCGCTGCCCTGCGCATCGCTGAACACATAGTCTACAACTGCCGTAGGGTTCATGGCCTCTACCATCCCTCTACACTGGAGATGTCCACCCTGCTGTCACAGCTATACTCGGGTCTTGCGCAACGACACCACCAGCAGGCAACTGCCGCTACCAACGGGCAGAAGAGCGGCTCGACAGGGGCTAAGGAGATGGCAAACCGCTACTACAAGAAGAGCGCCACTCTTCATGAGAATATCCTTCGCGGCTTCAGCGACCCCGACTTTGCAAGCATGGACGGCGGCTCCTTGATGGATAGGATGGACGGCGCTTCCAGCGTCGAAGGCGGGTCCATCACGCCACTGCATGCAATCCGCGGCACCAGTCCCGTCCGCGGACATGTCGAGTCCGAAGGGCAGTGTGTCCGTCGCCACCTTCGACTCCTCAAGCTGGCCCTCCAGCGCTTGGGCAGTTGGCCTAAGGACTATGCCGAATATGAACGTTTGAATGCAGACGTGTTTGCACAGTACACCGATGACTTGAAGGGTGTAGAGGGAGTAGAGAAGTGGGACCTCAAAGCGTTCGGTGATAGCAAGGCCGAGGCAGATATTGACCTTCTTAGGCCAGAAGATCTGCAGAATTGGGAACTGATCGATGAACGCCAGTCTACCAACGGCCACACACAGGAGGAGGAAGAACTGTAAGGGGGTCTGCAATGGGTCTGTCGCCAGGCCGATGTGAAGGTGTCTGGGGCTTCGCATGGTTGGCAGGACGGATGCGACCTTTGTTCTTGTGTACTTTACTGTAGGATAGGACAGTGTGGTTTTCTCTTTCTTTTTTCTAGACAGTTCGCCCGAAGACATTCCCTTATTTATTGATGCACCTTTCGCTACCGCTGGATCCCTGATGCGTGTTTCAAGGCTTTGTAGATTCATAAGATAGCGCATCGTCAGAATCACTTCTCCTATCGTCGTAGGAGGCATTCATTACGACATGTGCTTGTAATTGCACGATTTGTATTATTATACGAGCTTTGCGCATGATGCTACCCTGCAATGAAGGAAGCCGTCGGGGATATGAACGGAGCAACTGTTCGCTGAGCACCCAAGTGCTTCAGGTGTTTTCTTGAACGTATTACAGTGCTGTGCCGTGGTACTGGTTACCGGTGCTAAGAACATCTCGACCCTGGCAGTACCTCCCTATATGATGTGACCGCGGCATAGACCACCGCTGTCCGAGACGCACAATGCTATCTTCTTGTGGCACGCTATGCGTTGCCTGCAAATAGTATATCATGTAGACGGTCGCCGTCTCGAGATGACGTGCTTCTTCAAGCGCTACGCCGTACCGTTAGTTTTGCGAGGCCTGCGATAATGTTCAAGTCAGAACTTACTAGCATGGACCTGATTTGGACGTTCGACGCCTTCCATTGTCGCTGCAGAAGCATGAAGCGAGTCTGTTGACGGGAGGCAGTGGGACCTGCAGCAGTTGACAGGTATAGGGTATACACATATCGCAAGGTACCAAGATTGCCTTCTTTCTCCAGGGACAACTTCACCAGTCCAATTTCTCCCGTGGCTGCTGTTCAATCTTGACCTCTTTTTTCTCCAATACAGCAGGCGTATGTGTTTCCGGAATAAGATCTAGAATTTGGCGATGAATAGCCCACTTGGCAAGTTGAATATCAATGATACCATTCCACTTTACGATCAATGGGTGGGCGGCTGCCACGTCTTCGAAGAGAATGTCGCTTTCTGGCCGGTGGGCTTGAAGTTCATATTTCCACGTGCCATCGGTTTCCCAATATCTCTCGTTGAAGATCCCCTCCGTGCTCAGGTCCTTTCGAGCATCTTCAAGCAATTGTTGGGCATGCAAGAAGTCATCGTCGTTGCCGGCGCGCAAGGCATCGGTTATCCCCTCCAGGAAACCTATCACCTGCCCTGCCTTCAGACCAACATTGGCTCCCAGGCTAAAGCCTTCATCGAACCCCGCCTGGATGCTCTTAGCTTTGGCTGCAGCAATGCCTTCGCGATACCCGGAAGTGGCGTGTTCCGTTTGCAGTCGTCGTACATCCGATGGGTGTGACTCTCTGGCCTCCGGACGGTCCTCCGACTCGAATGCGGGGGAACCAGCGTCTGACCCGAAAACATCATCTAGGGGATCATCGGCCGGTGGCGCTGGGTCTGCCGTAGAAATCATTTGGATCATGAGATCTTCATCTCGGGAGTCCCGCGGTGCCATGTGCATTTTGCCCTGCTCTGTCTGTCCCTCTGATTCTGATGATTGTATGAATTGAGAGCACGATCGCCAGTGAAATTTTTGGGGTGACTCAACACAGTGTTGTCTACTTCGTTCGGTGAAATTATACTGTGTACGACACTGTATTCATTACTCCTGAGTTTGCAGGCTTGGTCCCTCACATGTAACAATTATTTACGAGAAATGGCATGTAAGAACTACATTAGTGCTCAAGAAGTGGATAAATATCCGTTGGGATCGGCTGAGGTGATTTTGGTCCATGTTTATCCGTCCTTCAAGTCACCAACACGGAACACGAAGAATGCGCAGTATACCGTTACTACCGGCTGCACACGATCACAAGGCCTGGACTTGCACCATCTCTAATAACGGTATCAGTCGTGTGGAATCTAATAATAGCATAGTTGCACTAACCTAACGGTGCGGTGCGATGTTAGACTTGGCATGGTTTTACACGAAGTTATATGGCAATGCCATTCTAAGAATCCAGTTGCAAAGACTACATGTTAGAGCAAGCGGCCTAGCTTTCCTGTGCTGCTGTGTATATGTACCAGTCGTCTCTATTATGGTTTGGTCTTGGTTGTGTAATTACCACCTTCGGACATTAACAGTTTATGTGGACAGCTGGGAAGAGGCACTTCATATGTTGGAAGCAAGGAGGTTGACTTACCCTTACAGTAAAGAGACAGAAGGGCCTCTCGAGGAAACTTAATGGTATAGGAAGAATAGCAGGACGACTGCTTTGCAGAATGGAAGGCAACTTGACAAAAACACAGCCGTATGGCCGGAGACGAGCAGTCCTCGCTACCACTCTAAGAGTCCGGCAGCAAAAACGTAAACAACCCCATGCGAGATTCGAACCCGCGACCCTTGGCGCCGGAAACCAAAGAGCTAACCACTGCTCCAATGGGGCGTTGTACACATGTTGCCCACGTGGGCTGTTGATGGCAAATCCGCAGATGAGACTTATCGTCATCGTCGACGTCTGCCTAGATCAGATGAGAGATTGAATGGGAAGTGACTTGCTCACGTGGCCGCTCGTTTGGGTTGCTCTGGACGCCAAATTCTCAGACGAGAGGAAGGCGAGGCTGCATCAGGGCCCGATCATGTACCTTCCCGTTCCTACTTGCGCGGTAGACTCCCCATGTTCTTGCTTGACTCAACAATCCGTCACGGCTTTGGACAGCATGAATTCACCCAGGCCTAGGCACTCAGACTTCAGGGCACTCAACTCGAAATTCTGTAAATGTCGAGTGTTTCAAAATTGGAAAACTTTACCGCACTCCCTCTACGGTATTTCATAGCTCCCATCGGACACCAGTACTGCTGATCGGATGCCGTAATAGCACCCTTAAATCAACTTTGAAGAGTTTGATCGGACATATACTTCATGGGGAATTTTCAGATCTATCTGATATCTACTGGTCGGTATCTGGGGCCTAACGATGTCCAAGACCTGATTCGGTGCGATACTCTGTGCGATGCGTAGCAGTGGAAGGAAGGCTAGCCTTCGAATGTTAATTTAAACAGGGTATGAGTAAGTGATATTCGCAGCTCAAGAGGATCATCTTGTCAGTGTCGCAGGTGTCTTCACATGACGTGATGATTAATTCAATGTAAGCTGGTGATGAAAAGTCCCACTAGGAGTTGCGTATGTGTAAGGTATTTTCACAACTAGCAAAAAGTCGCAGCGGCATGTTGAAACACGAAATGATATTGTTATTATGGTGCCATTCACCAGTTCTGATCAAAAGAGATGTGTGTCTGCCATCAAGCTTAACAAGGCATCCAGGACGTTCAGTAGTGATGAGCCACCGTCAGCCCTATGCGCTGCGCTGCAGCGGCAACGGCTACCCGGCTGGGCTTTATAGCATCTCGGATATACACCCTAGGGCAATTCCGGCTTAGTGGAATGCAGAAACAGGTCGACGCCATAGGTTTCCCCAATGCTAATTCTCCATATCAATTGGCGGTAGGATTTCGTTAACAAATGTCTTTGCATGCCGCTCAACAGATCCGAGTCGGCCGGGCCAATCACATACCTACAGGTGCATGGCGAAAGCAATCCTCCATGTGCCTTGACTAAGATGCAATCTCGCAACAGGAGCCGAAGAGAGGAGGCGGGATAACCCTTGGCCGTGCCTGTCTAGTCTCGATACATATTCAAGTTCTTCTCGACCTTGCTGCTCTTCAGTTGTGTTCCTTTGCGGCACTTGTAGGCCAAGTGAAGTGCGATTGAAGCTCGCTTCATCCCGAGCTTCAGGTGGCAACCTTATCAACCCAATTGAAGTTCAACGTTCCCAATGGAGTATCGAGTATCTGCAATGCGGTACCTTTGATCGTGCCTGGCAGGCCTGGAGCCAAATACCTACCCTTGCTACCCCGCTCAAGTCCCCAGTCTATGCGGAGCTGGGAACAGCGCCGCCGCCAGCAAGGGTTTCCCAATGCCGTCGTCCATCATTGGGAGCAGTTCGAGCCAAGCATCATTCCCAGCAGAGATCCTGGTGATAAGAGCCCTTGGAGAACGTGCTCGGCCCCGAGATAGGCAGGTCAACAGTAGTGCTCATTGGTCAATGACGCTGACATTCGATTAATGTCTCTCGTAAGCTTCATCGCGCACCTGCGATCCATGTTCATGCTGGGACCGGTTGCGCAAAGCCGTGGACAGAACCTGGTCTTCGTCCCTGGGTCAACAGGATCATGAAAGGCGGGATTATAGTACTCGCGGGGTGCATATAACTTGAAGCTGTCGCTGCCAACTTAATTGTTGCGAATGTCGACGGTTAGAGTAGCGGTTTGCTTTGTTCGTTACGAAGCTACACCAGGTCACTTGTCAGGTGTTGCGTAGCTGACTTTACTTCATGATGTGGTTTCAAAAGCTCTGCGTCGCTTTGGCGCTGTCCCTCGCCACATGCCCCAACAACATCTTCTCTTTGGCAGAGCCGAGTCCAAACCCGAGCACCGCAGTTGGGGGCAAACCGTTCCCTCCCTTGATTGAGGCAACCTTAGAAGATCTCATATCAGGACTTGAGGATGGACGCTTCACCAGCGTTGACCTGGTCAACGCGTACACCGCCCGCATTATGGAAGTGAATTCAACCCTCAAGATGGTTACGTACTTGAACCCGGACGCTCTGTCGATCGCAGCCGAGGCAGATGCTCTGAGAGCAGAAGGAACAGTGCTTGGTCCTCTGCACGGTATACCCATTTTAATCAAGAACAATATTGCCACGAACGACAGCGAGCCCAATACGGCAGGGTCATACGCTTTGCTCGGCGCAAAGGTTCCTCAAGACAGCACCGTGGCTGCCAAGCTCCGAAAAGCAGGCGCCATCATTCTAGGGAAGGCAAATCTTTCACAGTGGGCGAATTGGCGAAGCGATAATACCAGCAATGGCTGGACTGCCGATGGTGGACAGACAGAGGGCGCATACTATCCAGGGCAAGATCCATCTGGTTCCAGCTCGGGTAGTGGCGTGGCAAGCTCACTCGGTCTTGCACTTGCAGCTCTTGGAACCGAGACAGATGGCTCAATAGTCTCCCCTTCGAATGTTAACAACCTGGTTGGTATCAAGCCGACAGTTGGTCTGACCTCGAGGTTCCTGGTAATCCCCATTTCAGAGCACCAAGATACAGTCGGCCCAATGGCAAGAACCGTGAAAGATGCCGCATACATCTTGTCCGCTATCGCTGGAAAGGACTCCAATGATAACTATACCGATGCCATTCCCTTCGATACAATTCCAGACTACGCTGCCGCGTGCGATCACGACGCTCTCAAAGGAAAACGACTCGGGATTCCGCGTAACGTCTTCGATATTACAGGGGCCGAGGAGCAGTATGGCCCTATCGTGGCCGCCTTCAACGCGTCTCTCGAGGTATTCCGAGCTGCTGGGGCCGAAATCGTCGACGACATCTTCCTCGAGGGCTACGAGGTGCTAGCCCGGTCGAACTACGAACTCACGGTACTCGGTGCGGACTTCGTTACGAACATTGCGAGTTACTTCGCGAAGCTGAGCTACAACCCTAATAATATCACCACGCTCGAGGAGCTGCAGGAGTTCACACAGGGTTTCCCCATCGAGGACTGGCCAGAGCGCGACACACGAATCTGGCAGCGCGCCCTGGATCTCGGATTCACAAATGATAGCCCAGAGTTCTGGTCCAACTACACTGCGGATCTCTACTACGGCGGTCTCCTCGGTGTCACGGGTGCCCTGACCAACTTCTCGCTGGATGCTTTGATTCTGCCCACCACATTCTCTTCGACGCTACCGGCTGTCATTGGCGCGCCCATCGTGACTGTCCCACTGGGCAAGTACCCGGAGAACCAGACGGTCATCCCGAACTCTTTCGGAAACCTGAATGACACGGCACCGAATATCCCGTTCGGAATCTCTTTCCTCGGCGAGCACTTTAGCGAGGAGAAGCTCATCGGGCTTGCGTACGCTTTCGAGCAGCGCACCCTGGTTAGAAATACGATCAAACCGTACATAGAGCCCAAGACAGAGTTGGCTGATGTGGTGTGCAAAAGGCAAGCTGGTGGAAAGGAGCAGCGGGCGATCAGACTATAAACCTAATATTACGTCTGTAATTAAATGCATCCATATATATTGACCATCTCCGCCATTCCCTGAGGACAGCGGCTGAGCATCATTTTCCCATATCCTGATCAGATCGAGTGCAACACTCCCAACGTACATTTGATTACAAGCTCTCAAAGTACATATATGTCGCCAACTTGAGAGTCGACAAAGCCCAAGGTGCTGATTTATCAGTTGTAGGCAGTCCTTGCTGTTAGAGAGGCAGCACAAGTCTCAACACCGCCCTTTCCCTCTCATGCCCTCTATCTTCCCCCAAACACGCAGGCGCACACCGTCATGGTATGCACGTACCTCAACCTGCCGCCCTCGACGCGGAACTCGTGGCTGTCGGGCGCGTCCTGCATGGTCTGGAACGTGCACAGCACGTTGACGCTGCCCGCCTCCTCGTCGATGACGTAGCGCCGGTTCGTGTTGGGCGGGCTGCTGCCCTCCGGGAGCCCGACGTCGCAGCGGTCGTCCGGCCGCCCCTGCCCCGTGTACATGGAGCCCTCGAGCCGCCGGCACGGCGTGCCCCACGGCACCTTCTCGGCCGCCGCCGTCGCGTTCGGTCCCCAGAGGTCCAGGTACCGGTCGGCGGCCTGCTGCAGCGTGGCGCGAGTGTCGCGCTTGGAAGCGTCGACGATGGGGCCCCAGTTCTCCTCAATTACATGTGAGAGTGTCTGGGAGGCGTTGAACATCCAGGACCCCGTCGTGGAGACGACTGAGTCGATCAGGATGGCTCGGAGACCGCCGTACCTTGGCCCGTCGGGAGAGGACGACGTGTTGGTGGCTTTGTACCTAATTTGTGTCCCGATGACATAGGGCTTAGCCTCGTCCACCACGATCAGCTCCGTATAAGTCGCACAGGCTGTAGTATCAATGGTACTGCGATTATGGGCTGGTATCATTGTCTGGCTCAGGACGCCCCCCGTGAGAGCCGTGGCGTTGTTGTTCTCGATGTAGGAAGCATTCTCAATAAGCAGAGGCCTCAGGTTCATCAATCCAGTGCTTCGCGTCGCTACGTAGTGATCGGCAGCCGCTTGGAGGGCATCCCGGCTGCATTGTCCTGAAGCCAACGGTATAGTACTGCTAAGGACAGCAGCCAACCCAAGGGTTTGAACTCGCATGCTATGATATACCGTTTCTGGCTGTCGTTAGGAATACAAAACTTATAGCATCGTAAAACCCAAGGGCCTCTGTATGAAAAGCGGGTAGCCTGGGCTATAAGAGGGCTTTGACCGGTGAATCCGACTATGTGCCGTGAAGGCTAATATACGTGCGGGGACCAAGATAGAATTGGCAAAAGCCGAAGTGCACAGTTCGCAGTTCATCCATGGCCAATGGTAACATGAGCCTGAAACGAGTCGCAGCTGGAAGCGCTCTTGTTGGCTTCAGAATGCAAACACGGAAGGCTCCATAGTGATCTCGGGTCTAGAAATATGCCAGATGTAATGAGATGATACAACTTTTGCTACACTGGCGTAGTAGTTCCTCATTTTTAACGTATATCTATCGCCAGAACGATATCCGTGTAGCACCTGTGATTTTGGCTATAGATAGGCTACATTCAATGCGGCCGCGTCTCGTCCAACTCACAAATCGGCGCCGGTCGCCATCCAGGGGAGATTTTCGTTGGACTGAAGAGCTCCTGGCTTCTATGAAGCTCCAAATATGACTCGCTCGTACAGTCACTCATCCGCCGTGACCAATGGCGGTGTGGATTGTTTGGTCGCATTGGTTTCGCATCTCACTTCTGCTCCTTGACAGACTCCTCTCCCAAGACCTTACTTGCCGCCATGAACCTAGACGGGAAAATATTAGTGACTCTGACTTCTCCAAGGTGGCGCCGGTCGTTCGCAACCCCCAAAGATAGGTCACAGAAACTTACATGCCGCCATGCCAACTTCCCAAACCTCTCATAGCCTCGGCCTGGACGGCCGTCATGCGCAGCAAGTTCTCAGTGTCTGCCAAGTTTGACGACAGTTGGCTCAGCTGTGAGTGTAGATGTGCCTATGACACTTGGAATTAGCAAATGTGTACGGTGCTGAGCGATCCTTCTCATAGTTGACCGAATGTGAGCACGCGTCGACGTGCGCAGACTCACCAATTGCCGCTGCTTCACGATTCCACCGGAGCTCTGAGGCGCAATAGACGGCCTCGGCGCACCGCTGGACGTGTAGCGGTCCATGTTGGTGCTTCTGGTAGCCATCCTCCCCGTGGAAAGTCGTGTGCTATCAAGTTTGCGCCTGCTGCTAGTGACGAGTCCCAAACCAGCTGTTGGCGGGGTGTGGGGTTTAGGACGCGTCCTGTGCTGACCGTTCCTGAGGCTAGTGGTTTGTTGATATGATGCGATAGTCCTCACACGTTGTGTCCGCTGCCACAAGCGAAGCAGTTCTCTTTCGTCGGGCTGACTGATGCGTGTTTGTTCTAAATGTCATGCATCAACAAAGATGGCCGATGGTTCATGGTGTAGCCCCGATTGGGCAGGGAGAGTTGTTGTTTGAGTGGGGTTGGAACAGCCCAGCACCAATCGCGTTCCTCCGCAGCTCCATCTGTATGAACTGCCAGCATCAGAGTGCCGTCAAGCAATGGTGTTTTGTATACGGTCTTCCTGTGAATCGTAATACAGGCAAACTAAATCAATCGCGAGTACTTACCAACTTTTCCTTATGTCTGGCTAATGGTGTATTTTCGAAAGTTGACAGAACATGGGATGTAGAGCCAACTTTCGTACTACAGCGTCTCCCCTGAAGACACACATCATATTGGGGAGGACTACGTTTTGAGACAACACTATACAACACCAAGCATTCCGATATGCGCAAGGAGAAACCGTAGGTGGCCATGCTTGCATCTAAGCATTGAATTGCTAAATGTTTGAGGTGACTAAAGCCGTATGACAGTCCAGGTATGCTCCTCGGAGCAACTTAGGTAGCTATTATGTTGCTATGCAGCCCAGAGTTGAACAGGTACCACAAACACATTTGCATAATAGGAGAGAACGAATCAGGAGAATATACTCCCATCGAGCAAGAGATGTGCTCTACCGTGACTTGTTAGCTAGCTCATGGCCAATTCCCTAGTAGACTACTGCGATTGTCTGCACTCAGTGTATGATCGTTCCAGAGGCAGGCGTATAAGCATAAAAGGCGGCCTCGACAAAAACCAACGGCACACGGGTTCGGCCCAACGCATGTCTCAGATACCCTGCAAGTCAACGTCTATGCGAGCTGAAATCTACAGGCCACCCGCATGCGGACGAACTATAAATCTGGCCATTTCCCCAAAGCCAAGCAAACAGAGAGATCGGATGCCCCTTCCACAGTGCCATCTTCCCTCATTCACGACTCAGGTTCGCCCGATGGCTTGGGTTTTGTTGTTGCTGACACTCATCTACAGCCGCTCCCAAGCTCCTGCATAGTATCTATATGTAGAGCACTACACCCAACGCCATGCAACCACATAAAGGACGGAAAGGTGACGGAAGCGCTCCAGAGAAAAGCGCAAGAGGATCTAGGACGTCGGCAAAGTCGCAGTGGCAAAAGAGCAACATCGCTCCTCGTTGCTTTTCTATATAGAACAAGCTCGTATCGCTCGGCAACTATCCCCCGGTCATGCCCGCTGCAGTACATACACACACACACACACACGTTCCCTTGGCAAACCTAACCTCCCTTGTTCCCGACAGACGTCGGGATGCGAGCGCGTGGTTTTTCCTTCTTGGCCTTGTCTTTCGCTTGCCTTGCTTTTCCTTTGTTCCAAGCAAGGCGGGCGTGCAAGCCAACACGGCCACACTTCCGCCCAGCATGAAACAGCCCGTCCGGTGCTGGTGGCAGGCGGCCCGCCTCACTAGCGAGCGGCCTGCAGGGTGTCCTGCCGAGAAGCTCGACGCCCGTCAGCCTCATCCGAACGAGTTCGCATGAGGCCGGCCGCGTTCAGACGAACTTTGGGGAGAAACCCGTTTACAATGTGGAGACTGCTCAAAAACAATGAGAAGGCTCAGATACGTACCTAGCACACGTCAAGGTTCTTGTGCTGGTCTCATTCACTGCCTGCAAGTAGGAAAAAGAAGACTCGTGATTGGGACAACGAAATATTTTTGTTCACGACTCCTTGATTGTATTGCCGCTGCCTTCGTCTCGTCACATGGGAGCGGCCTCTGATTAAGCCTGCACCTAAGTAGTTTCCTCTTCGTTCCATCTGTGTCCAGCCCTCTCGTTCGGTTGCCAGAATGTGTTGCAGGATCCTTTCTTAGACGTCGGGTCCTTGCTGCTTTATCTCCTCCTGGCAGGTACCAGTCATATCAGCCAGCCCTTTCGAACATTAAAAGACACAAACCCAATTATCGATGTGAAGTAACGAGGAAACAAGATCCTTCTGGGGGATCTGTATGTGCGATATTCATGAAACCAAGCTGCCCCGCCACGGACCGATACCTCTATGTAGACCGCTTCCTGCGATGTTTCGAATCTTGGGCCGGCTGTGCGACGCAAAAACCACCATCGCAAGGTCGTTGCGGGTTTCTCTCCCCTCGTCTAAGTCATAGCCATACAACCCTTCTGAACGCAACAACTCCCGTCTTGATGCTGAGTACATCAAGGACATCCTGTTTACAAAACAAAGCAAACGCAAAAACCAAAGGAAAACTGATCATTAGAGTTTTGTACACGCCTCCAATGCTGTGTGACCTTGCGCTGAAGGAATCCCATCCATTAGCCGCGCCCCGGCGGCGAAAATCCAGATGGAACGTGGTTCCACTAGGTCTGTCATCGCAACCGAGAGATTATTTTCCCTGGGATTCTGAGTGCAGGTGCTTCTGGCCGGAGGGTTGGGATGCTCATGTAAGGAGAGTTCGAGTATGTGTGTGTGCCGGGAAAAGGCGAAGGACCCCGCAACCCAATGCAATATTACCAGAAATGAATGAGAACTGTTTTCGTCGTTCCAAATGCTATGTACGTGAAGGCACCCTAGCCAGGGTCCAAGTGAAATTATGTGTGCGCCGTAAAAAGTAGTAACCAAGCTCCTGCTCTGAATGGGGTTCGGGGCATCCTGTTCGCCAGTTTTGGCTGTCGAATTGGCACTCCAAAATAAAAATGCGAGTGCGTCGGAGACAACGTTGTTGGGCTTGTCAAAGCCTCGGTACGGATTCTCGGTACAGAATACATCTTGGCGACGGAAAAGACGGGGCGATAAGGCAGTCGTCGAAGTGACAGTGTTCAGCCTGCGCAGTCAGTGTCCAAGACGTCCAGGGGCGAGGTGCAGCGTGCCCTTTACTGAACTCCGATGGGAGCTCGAGGGCCTAGGCTGCTCTGGCTACTATGCGCAGACGGTTCCGAGTCTAGGTTGGCAGAGTCACCACTCCCCGCGCTGGCGCTCGCACTTCCGGTCAGACTGCGTACGTTCTTGACTCTGGGTGGTTGGAGATTGCTCACCCCGACACGTTGTTCAACCTGCTGTGGAGCGACCGAGTTTCCCTGCCCCGGGGGATACCGAGGGACCGGCTGGCGTACGCCATTGGGAGGTGACGGCCGTCCGTGAGGGTTGGGCCCTCCAAAGCCGTTTGGCGGCGACGGACGCCCGTTGCCTCCACGGATGGATGGACTGTAGGGGTGCCCGGGCGACTGACTAGCCCGCCTGGGGTACGGCCCGCCCATGCCTCCAGGTCCGTTGAGTTGGTCCAGATGCTGTGCGGTCAGTGAGTTGGCTCTAGACCCGGCGACGGCCTGGTGCATCTGACCGCGATCGACGTTGCCGTATCGGTTCGAAGAGTATCCCAACAACGGGTCGTCGAGTATGTCGGTATGCGTCATGGGAACGGAGGCGTTCATGAGCTGGCTGGATCGGTTTCTGCCAAAATTCGGCCGGCCCCATCTGCTGTTGCGAGCAGGCGCACCACCTCCCATCTCAGGATCGTGTCTCAGTTGGCTCTGACTAGGTGCTTTGGCCCGGTTCTTCCTGGATGTCATGCTCATCATATCGACCTGGTCAGGATCAACTGAAGGGACGATAAGAGCGTTGGGGTCAAAGTAATCGCCCTCTTCGTCTTCGTCATCATACATACCGGCGCCGCCAGCCCGCGGAGGTGGGCGCCGCCTGGGTCCTGGTGGTGGTGGACCACGTCTCATGCGGAATTCTTGTTCCTTGAGGGCCATGTCGCGTTGGCGGAGTGCCACTTCCCTGTCGCGAAACTCGCCGTTCTCGCCGGGGTAACCAGCGTCTCCACCCTCAGGAATGTCATCGTAGAGGACAAGGTGGCTGAACTCGCCCAGATCGTCCTCCATGGAACCACGCCTCGACGGCTGCCGCGAAGAGGGCGCGTAACCGCCGCCCGGAGGACCGCGATAGCCGTTCGGAGGACCACCAGGAGGGGGTCGTCGCATACCAGGGGGCGGGCCGCTGAAGTTAGACGAATTCCTCGGCCGTGGCCGCATGCCGTTGCCGTTCGGGATTCCATTAGAAACACTGCGAGGCGGTGGTCCATTGGACGACATTCTAGGCCCGGGCATCGGTGCAGATGGCGAACCAGGGACGGTTGCTAGACCATTAGTTTCCTTGGGCCGGCTCTGATTGACCATGTTCAAGTGGTGGAAGACTGCATATAGCGTTTCTATCCGTGGCAACTTGACTCCCAATGTCTGAGCGAGCTTGATGGGCGATCCGAGGAAAGTCTCAACCTCCATGGGTCGTCTTGCCATGTAGTCTTGCCACATAATACTCGGCTCTTGTATCTGGCACTGCTCTTTGATGGCATTCTCTTTGAAGTCTGGGCCGAGTTTGCAGCCCTGAGTAGTTGCAAGCTCGATAAGCTCGTCAATAACGTCCGAGACTAGCTGGCGGACGCCGGTCTTTTCCAGGAGCGCAGTATGCGACGAGGTTTCGAAAATGACGCTGGCTGGATGGAAGGCAATGGGACTGCAAGGGCAATAATTTAGTAAGACTATCACCGGTGCGGTTGTGGCCGTCGTTGGGCCCCAGGAAACCACTTACCCAATCACGCGCTCGAACTGCTGTTGTCGGATGTTAGACGACACCTTGCAATCGACGCGTCCAGTGCTCAGGGTCATAGCCAGAGCCTGAGCCATGTCGTCCTGTATCGACGCAGGAATACTGCCGCTCTTGTTCGCAGGCCCGACCCAGATTTCTGTCGATCCCTTGTGCTCGAACTCGCTCTGGCCAAGCTGCGAAATCTCGGCGTTCGATACGAGGGATAAAACGACGTTGGTGGGGAATCTCTCTTCGATGAGCGCTTCGATGCCCAAAGTATGTGTGGTATTGATCAAAATGCATGTGTGCTGCGGCGTCACCACCGAGTCTATGACGGATGCGAGATCGTATACGTCTGGGAGTGCTTTTATACAGAGAATGACATAGTCGTACGTCGCTTTGCCCTGAGCGGCATCTTCTGGTGTTTTGACAACTAAGACGCGATATAGTCAGCAACAGCCCGTTCCTCGATCGCTACCAGCAATCCAGCTTTCGCTCAGAAGACTTACCCTGTCGAGGCTTGAAGCGCTCGTTGCCAAATGAGGCAGACCTGCTCGACCGTTAGCCGCAAGACCTCAAGAGGCACACGCGATTGGACCTACTTGAATGTGATACCATATTGGTGGACTGCTTCGAAATTCGACTTCCACACCAGCGTTACGTCGCAAGCATTGGTGGCCTGAAGCCTCCACGAGAGGAAAGCAGACACGGCATTACCTCCCACTGTACAAATGTGAATTAGCTCCGAGTCGTCCATGGCAAAGTAAGAAAAGGCAGTCGACAAGCTGCATATGCCGGCGCCAGGCTCTGCTCCCGGGTGGAGCGGAGGTTGAACGATAGGGGAAAAAAGTGATGGCACGTCGCGGCAATGAGGGTAGCGAGTGAGGCAATGGACTGAGCGAGAGGATCTTGGGGGCTTAGGGATAGGGTTCTTCGCTGTTTCCATCTAGCGGTAGCACCAAGAACGGCCAGGTCAGACGGGGATGGGGTAGGACGCGCTTCAAGTACGACGGGCAGGGCAGGTATGGTATACAAGATTGGGCCGTGGAATGTAGCGACAGGACAGGCAGAGATGGGAAGGGCGCTTGGGAGGACTGGGACTAGTCGCGGCAAAAGTATCCAAGAGCACTGCACTTACCTGAAAGGATCTTTAGTCTCGGTGTCGTCGGTGCCATGATGTCTGTCGCCCAGAATTGGGATAGCGAGCGTGGGAGGCCTTGTGAATGGCCTGGAGCTGGGCTGAGCTGGGTTGATGGACGCTCTCACGATGCGTTCGGGACGAGCCAATGCAATGTAGCCCTTGGTGCTGCTTGCAGCGGCCACAGGCAGAGGTCACGACCGACAGTGGCGGAAGTGCTGCGGCGCCTTCTCAGTGGCTGGCTGTCTTACTCCAGGGCGCTGGTCCCAAAACTAGGTTTTCGTCGAGTGCGATATGGCAGCCGTCCGTGGGTAGGCACTGCAAGGTCAGGTCTGGTCTTTGATCACTGCCGTATCTGGAGTCGTCCCGTTGGGGGGGTGTGCAGCGCGACAGACGTTGGACAACGATTGTTGTTTGGCAGTGGTGCTGCTGCTGCTGCTGGGACGGCGTCAATCGTGGGAGGCCGGCTGAGGGGCTGCCGGGATGGGATGGGATGGGCAATGCAGCTGCACATGTAGCGGGCGCCTCTGGAGTCGGTTCGACAGTCAAACGAGTGGTGGTGAGGCAGGCCTTTGCTTCGGGTGGCGTTAGACGACAATGGACAATTCCGTCATCCAACGGCTAGCGGTGCTTCTTTGGCCGCAGTTCCACACGCGATGCAGACGCAGGAGATTGCGACGAGCCGGCAGAGACCAGCTGGGTAACGAGCGTTGTTCTTCTTGGCCTTGTGGGAGGGCCCAGAAAGAATCGGTCGAGTCGTGTAGTTGGATGGATGGTTGGCTGGCTGGCTGGGCGGGCGGCTGGCTGGATGGGACTTCTCGGGGGGGCCAGTACAGTACAGTACAGTAGTAACACCACACTACTGACTGCGCTCCAACTATTTGCTTTCGGATTAGGAGCGGGTCGTGGGTTATTTCCCGGTGCTAGGCGTTCCAATCCAGCATGGGACTAGCGAAGGTTCCGAAGTTGAATCAACGAGATGCGATCGCTGCTTCTGGTTCTGTGCTGTGTCCGACCTCGTCGTCGACTGGACAGGAAAGGGGAGAGAAGAGAAGGAGAGCAAGCAAGGGAAAACAGAAATGCGATCAGTAGCGAGCGGGCCAGGCTGGCAGAGCTTGGCAGACGTGTTGCGAAAAGAAGTGGAGAGTTGGGTTTGGTTTCCAGAAGCTGTCGCCGGCTATGTCGGTGGAACGGCGGGACACGGTAGCGGGCGAACAGTGCCTCGCGGTGAGAAGCAGGTAGCCAGGTAGCCAGGTAATGAGCCAAGTACTGTCCGACGGTAGCGTCGTAGCTGGCAGTACGTAGGGCAAAGAGGCCGAGCAAGCAAGTGGGAGCGCCAGCAAGAACCAGCAGGGGGGGTGTGGAGGGAGGGGGGGAAGAGGCCTGCGCGGCCAAGGGGGTGGTGATTCGTTGGATCAGATGCGGATGCGTTGGGCTTTGTGCAACGGTTCGTCTATCAGTCGTCTGTCCCGGCTGGAAGCAGAGAGAACAGAAAATTTCAAACCGAGGGAGAGCAGGGTGCGTGAAGCGCACTGAGATAGGATGACAGCCAGCCTCTAGGTTCACCCGGCAGCAGAAACACTGGGAGGGGAAAATAAAATAAAATAAAATAAAATAAAACAAAAAGAGGCACAGGACGAGCAGTCAAGTCACGTCTATCATCCATCAGTCATCAACATCCCGCAACCAGGCACGCACGCACGCAACGCAGTCTGTGAGCCAATGCAGCCAAGCGGGCACAATTCATCGGACAGCAAGACAGTTGGGGGTCGGACAGGCACTGGGCGGCCTTGGTAACTCCTGCTCTGTCTGCCTGTGGCCCTCTGCTGTCGGCCTGCTGCCTGTACACAGTACTGTTGCTGCCAGGCATGTATGTAGGCTCTAGACTGTAGAGGCCATCTCAGATGGACGCCCGCGGGAGGGGCGTCTTTCGAGACACGCACCATCAAACTAGGATGTCCAGGGAGCTACTCCAGTACATGCATGCTAGGGAGCGCTGGGATGGGCCAGGGGGTGTTGGTGGAATACAGGGGGTGCCCATCGGGGGCCTAGCATGGCAGCGCCGCAGCAGCACGGGGCACAGAGCAGAACACGCACCCGCCGCGCTCCACGTCGAGGGCAAACCCGAGCGTGAGCGGACAGCCCAGTTGCGTTCTGGGCTGGGCTCTCGCTCTCGATTACGTAGCAGAGCGTTGCGATGGAACTACTGCGTACTACGGTATGGGGCCTCTCCTAGTTCAAGCGGCGGGCTGTGAGAGTGAATCCATCTCGGTGGCCCCCCGGCGACATTGGCACAGCGCGCGCCCTTGCAATGAAAATCTCAACGGCGCCCAGGTGGTGAGCCGCGATAGCGTCTCGGGCGCAGCAAAAATAACCTGCCCTAATATAATGTGCATGCTTCCACCAAGTTACCTGCGTACTGTACAGGCCGTGGACCCATACGGTGGCATTTAGGCCCGCCTTGCGCCGAAGGACTAGGCTCAAACCGTACCTTTATTGCTATGTACCATAGTGCACAAGCAACAAAACACCTCGAGGCTAAAGGGAATTGCCCCAAATGGAAAAGTAGTCGCGGAATTGGAGGCCTTGGCAGGCACCGTCGCCCAATTCCCATCGAGGTCCACTGCCCTGATTGATGTTATGAAGGCTGAAGTTCCCTTGGTTCCCAGAATCTCGATCACCAAGGCCATCGAAATCACGGGGGGGGAGGGGGGTCGTCTTGCAACTTGCAACCTTGCTTGGTCTTCCCAGCCGGACCGGCCAGCTCGACCGATAACTTCGCACTCGGTGCGGGACTAGGAATCATCCCAAAGGGCATTGCGTTTCTCGGTTAGAACCCGAATGATCAGAGGAGGGACGCCTGGGGAGACTTCAGCGGCGCAGCCGAAAAGCTACAGGAAGAATCTGCTGATAAAGGGGCAACCCAATTCGTGCGAGCTTCAGTATAGAAAACGTGTGCAGACACGAGCAAATGGCTTTGCCTTACGTCACGAGCGAAGGAGGGTATGCCCGTTGACGTGCTTGAGCCTGGGCATGTTGGCTGTGTGGTGCAAGGGTTGATCGAAGCGAAAGTCAATCGAAATAAGGCGCGCATCACAATGGACAATTGTTGTGTGAAGGTAGTGCGCGCCCTGTGTTCCCTACACGGCAGCATTTGTATATATGCCAACTTGACTTATGCACCTCTACAGAGCGCTCACCAACCCACGTACCGTACAGGTTGGGCATACCATAGTAGGCCAGCCCTTCCGCCATGATTCGTCAGCAAACCCACGACGACAAATTGTGCCATTGAACCGATCAATACTCCATTCAAATCACTGCTATAATCAAGTTGTGTCCATAAGCTGCGTTGTTGCTAGCACTTGCAGCGCCTCCAGTCGATCGGATGGCTGGTCATCAAGTGGAAACCTGTGCATAGAGACAGATCGGTAGTGCACTATGGTACAGTAGCTGACACTGCCTGTTGGAAAAAATCCAGACTCCCAAAAGGCAACGGAGTCCAGGGCGGGTGATCTGCAATGGGAGACTCTGGCCAGTCTGGGACTCTTTTGGTGCAGACTGGCGTGATCGGGAAGATCAGCATCACTTATGCAGTCTAGGCTGTGGAGAGCCCCAGGCCCAAGGAACTCAGAGCGAGGGTGGTGTGATCAGGGGTAACACGCGTACGAACTGTCGACTCTCATACATAGTTGCAGTAACAACGTGAATCTGCAAGTCAGATCACACATTATCCTCAACAACGGCCAGCCACCTACAGGTGCATCCTGGCGAGAGGTGCGGCCATGGTGGCAAGGAGACGGTAAAGGCCGTTGGAACGACTAATCTCCGCCCGTTCCGTGGGCTCAACACGGTGACACGGGAGACCGACCCTACAGCTTACTCTCCAATCTATCCATTCGCCAGCCAAGCCGCTGCCGACCTGCTATCTCGAAGTCCCCTGCGTCTTACATACACGGAACGTACAGAAGCTTCGGGGTACTATCCAGCGTGCTGCTCCGGGGCTGTGCAATCATTGATCACTATACGACCATAGATTGCGGGACGATTCATGTGCAATTGAGAATTCCGCCTCTCGTTATGGGGCAACCGTCAATTCAGGTTTGCTAGCCCTGACCAAGACTTCGATAATCCTCGATTTGGCGTTTCCATGGTGTCGGGCCCAGATTTGGTGGAGCGCAAATACCATGTCAGGCCGTTCCCTTTTACGCGTATTCACGTGGAAATAGGACTCTTGAATCTCAAAGGAAGAAAGGGACTATTTCCAGCCATGTCTTGAGCCGCTTCAATGGTTTTCGATGGACAAGGTGCAGAGAGGCCCAACATCTCGTGTCGTAGGCATCAGCATTTCCTTTCGGTATGGCAAAGATTGAAGTCCTCGGGTGGGTTTCCCATCCCTATCGTATCAACTGCATGCCTGGGATGCAGGTGAGGTTGCATTGCTCGTACGGACCCGGTACCTCACTGCAAGTCCGCGAGGGGCAGTCCAATAACAGCAGCCGTGGCGCTGAAGGCTTGGGAGCAGGAGCAGGAATTAAAACGGGTGCACATGGCCCAAAACTTGGAAGAGGAAATTAGCAGGCTGATAGCGAGACCGTCTTTTTGACAGCTTGTTTGTTCACGGACTTTGAACCTCGAGAATGGCAAAGACCGTAAGCCCGTGCCGCTGCAAATGCGCGCACCCATCGGCCAACTCCCCCGTGGTCGTCCTCTCTGTAACATCCGCACTGCAGACGTGCAAGTATTCTGGTACAAAAGATATCCTAGCTTGCCTAGGCCAAGGTCTTTCCAAGGATTTCCTAACCCCCCTGCTCTCTCTGGTTTAAAGCTGCGATCCCTGTCCCAAATGCCTGTTCCTGAGCACCCCCTGGATCCTGATGAAGCTTTCGCGCCGGCAGTAGTGTGTGGTTGAATAAGGCCTTTGCTGGACAACTTCAGAGTCAATCAGGGCAATGCTCCGGGAAAGTGGTCCGTCTTTTTCTCTATGTCATCTCATATAATAGGATTTTTAAGCAAGCACCCTGGTCCCAAGATACA